TTAAAACAGCAAAACAACCCACATCAAGAGGCTGTAAGAGATGTGAAGAATGAGGTGGCATGCAGACTGGTATAATATTATTTTCAGTGCATATTTGATCAAATTGAGGTGTCAAATGGCTTCCATGGCCATCAAGAATAAGCATCCGATATCTCCCCTTCGTGCGGCTTGTCGTATGAGGAATAAAGTGCTTTTGAAGCCATTGCAACCCAATCTCATCTGTTGTCCAGCCATTTTTACTGATATTAAGTCTCCAATCTTGTGGAAGAATCTCAAACCAGCCTTGTTGATAGAAGGTTGTTGCTTTGAAGATAATATATGAGGGCAAAGCCCATCCTGTTGAATTAACTGCTTCAATTACTGTGACCCATTCGCGATTACCAGGTTGTAATAGGTATGGTCTTCCATATCAATCACTACCTGTAATAACCTTTGCAGAAGCACAGAGACCCATAGCAAAGCCAGTCTCATCAAAGTTGTATATATCTTCAGATAAGATCCCATACTCTTGTATAACCTCTTGTACGCGATTAAAATGCTCTTGGATTATCTTAATATCCTCGCATTTTGCTCTCTCGTAGTTATATCTTCGTGAAAACCGTAGTTTCACCTCTGGATGGCGGTCAACAAATCGATAAACCCATCTCATATCTTGTACAAGAGATGGTCGGGGAGGCAATCCACGTTTATCAAGATCAAGAATCCATTTTAGAAGAGATTCCTCTTCATATTGAGTCAATATATGACTATTTGCGCGTTTCTCACCTCTATATTCGATACCGTTGAGTCGATCTCGGAGAGTTGTACGAGGAATTTGATAGATCTCTGAAGCACGTAAAACACTGCGAATTTTGCCATTTTTTAAATCAGAAATAGCAAGTAGAATCTTGCCCTCTTGTTCCACCAACTGTACGAGTTGGTGGCATATTGACGTGTTGAAATCTAGTAAATAGAATAGAGCGCGTATTCCGGGAGAAACTGGCGGTTGGGTGTCAGTGGCGGGTGGGTGTCCGATTACGTTATCATGTGGACATTGCTCCAGAGGAAGATGGGAATTGCGAAACGATTTAGATTATGAGAAAACAGTTGCTACAGATCGTATGATTTCCCATTCATTAATTCTGAATCTGCAAAGGTGGTTACACAATCATGGCCACAGAAAAAGACGACAAGTCTCTGTCCATCAGGGACGCACGAGTACATGCAGTGTGACATAATCTTTTACAAACTCTAGCAAAAACGACTCGCCCAGGTATACCGGTAATAATCTCGACTGACCCGCACAATCACTTTACCGACGACATTGGCACCGGCGATATGACCGGTTCCTTTTCACAGTGACCTGAGACCCTGGGTTTTGCTGCACTTCGAGATGCTAACCTCGTCCATGAATTTGCGGATATAATCCGACAGGAGTATCTAGCAATTGGATTCCGTCTCGCCTTGCATCCACAAGTAGACCTAGCTATCGAGCCACGCTGGGCGCGTATCTCTAGCGGATTCGGCGAGGACGCCAATATGACTAGTCAGCTCGCGGCATCCTATATCAAAGGACTCCAAGATAAACCATTGGGGCCTCAGTCAACATCAGCCATGACCAAGCATTTTCCTGGCGGTGGTCCTCAGAAGGACGGAGAAGATTCCCACTTTACCTACGGCAGAGAACAGATATATGATGGGGATAATATGTAGTATCATCTGGAGCCTTTCCGTGCTGCAATTGCTGCAGGAACCTCTCAGATGATGCCTTATTATGGGAAACCCGTCGAGACGAAATATGAAGAAGTGGGCTTTGCTTTTAATCGACAAATCGTTACGGAGCTCCTGCGCGAAGAACTCGGATGTAAAGGAATCGTCTGCACAGATTGGGGTCTTGTAACGGACGCAGTAATCTTAAAATAAGACATGCCTGCAAGTTGCTGCGGCCTGGAACACTTATCACGGGCTGGCCGTATCAAGAGACTTTTAGAAGGTGGTTGCGATATGATATGCGGCAAATCGTGTCCGGAATTGATCGTCCAACTGGTACAGGAAGGACTGGTTCCTGAATCACGAATCGACATTTCTGTCAAGCTGGTATTGCGAGAAAAGTTGATCTTAGGGCTCTTTGATAATCCATTCGTGGATGTGGATCCAGCCGCAGAAGTTGTAGGCTACGAGTCGTTCCGAGCAGCAGGAAATCAAGCACAATGACGATCATATACCTTGTTGAAGAACGAGAACGACATCCTTCCCTTGCGAGATATAAAGGGTAAAGCGGTTTATCTAGAAGGTTTTGAGCATGCAATAGTCGAGGCGAGAGGATACATTGTTGTTGGCAAACTGGAAGATGCTGAAATCGCTTTTCTACGATTGAAAGCGCCTTACGAGCCTCGCCCTGGAGGATTCGAAGAGCATTTCCACGCAGGGTCCCTTGAATTCTCATCTGAAGAAAAACCACGGCAGGCTGCAATATTCAAAGCCATCCCTATAGTCATTACTGATCTTTATCTTGATCGTCCGGCAGCCATTCCGGAAATAACTGAAGCCGCGTCCGTCCTCCTCGTCAGTTACGGTAGTACCTCAGAGGCTTTTCTGAACGTTGTTACAGGTAATTCGGAACCTACGGGGCTTTTGTTTTTTGAGTTGCCGTCTTCTAGGGACGCAGTGAGGATTTCTCGTTCGGATGTTCCCTATGATACCAAGGATCCCTTTTTCAGTTCGGAGACGGATTGCGCTATACAAGGACATGATATCGAAATTATATAAGAGTAGCAACTAGAATATAGATAGAAGCAGATTAAGATCGATTGCGGTTAGGGAGCTATTCTTCTAACCCCCTTGGAAGTGATGTATATGTACCTAGTACAACAAAAAGTCGGGAATACAGTAGAACCTGGCTATAACGAAAGGAAGGTCGCCTCATATTTCCACTGATCTCAGCTTGAATTACGTTAATATGGGACTAAATAGCATCCTATTTACAAACATTAGGATAGATAAGTATATTAAAGGTGCTTTTCATCTCTAAATCGAACTCGCTTCTGGATATATTGACTTGGAATCCGAGAGGCCTGCTGTTCGTTATAACCAGTTCTACTGTATTACCAATTTTGATTCCCAAAGTACAGTTTTTACAGTAGCTTCCACGACCACATTCAGTAGATGAAAGGCCCAGATAAACCTGAAAAATTCACAGAAGCGCTCAATATCTTCACAGCTAGACAACCTTGGAGGGTCTTAGGGTTAGCTAGCTGTGGGGCTCGGGGAATTACACCTCCAATTTCGGGGAGATACATCTCTCTCCTCACTCAGTCTAATTAGCGAATGACTTAGTTCCTCTATGATCATTTAGTCGTTCGCTTTATTTTGTTATTTGCAGCTTATTGAAATGATTTTTTATTTTGTAATCATCCTAATCATCAACCTTGGAAGCGAAGCCAATTGCTGAAAGGAAGTAGAAGAGAGGAGCGATATTTAATCGTTTCGCAATCATGGCAAACCCTCCAAACATTATGTTTATTATGGCCGATGACCATGCCGCAAAAGCCATCAGCTGCTACGGTGCCGGTATAAACCATACACCAAACCTCGATCGTCTTGCGAATGAAGGAATGAGATTCAATCACTGTTACGTGACAAATTCAATCTGCACTCCAAGCCGGGCCACAATTCTGACAGGAACACACAACCACGTCAACGGCGTGCGAACGCTAGTCAGCGATATCGATAATCGTCTTCCCAATGTCGCAAAGCAGCTCCGCGCAGGTGGGGCGTATCAGACTGCTATGATCGGTAAATGGCATTTGGGTGAAGGTGCACGTCATGAGCCTACGGGGTTTGATTACTGGACAGTCCTGCCGGGTCAGGGGGATTACCACGATCCAGCGATGATAGAAATGGGAAAGCGGGTTGTCGAAAAGGGATATGCGACGGATATAATCACTGATAAAAGTATTTCCTGGATGCAGAATCGGGATAAAACCAGGCCCTTTTTCCTGATGTGTCATCACAAGGCACCCCATCGGTCTTGGGAATGTCATCCAAAACACAAACGTCTTTATCAAGAGGACATCAAGCTATCGGATACCTTTACGGATGATTATAAAAATCGAGCCCGGGCAGCGGCAGTTGCAAAGATGAGGGTTGCAGATGACCTCACCTACGGCGACTTAGGGCTAGTGCAGCCCGAAGGTGGTGATGAGGTCGGAGAACGTCTTGTTCAGGGCTGGCATGAGAGGAAGATACCCAACCCAGAAGATGTGACATCCTTACGTCTGATTGATCGTGAACCCGGGCCTATATATACCTTTTCATCACAGACGGAGTTGGCGGAGTTCAAGTTCCAACGATATATGAAGCGTTATCTCCGTACGATCGCCTCAATAGACGAAAATGTTGGCCGATTGCTCGACTATCTCGATTCCGAGCCTGGATTGGCCCAAATCACAGTTGTGATCTATACCTCAGACCAGGGTTTCTTTCTCGGTGAACATGGTTGGTTTGATAAACGTTTCATGTACGAGGAATCCTTCCAAATGCCCTTCCTAATCCGGTATCCGCGCGAAATACGCCCGAAGAGTATCTGCGATGATATTATTTCTAATGTTGATTTTGCGCCTACTTTTCTTGACTTTGCCTCCGTACGGATTCCCACCTATATGCAAGGTGTTTCGTTCCGGGCCCTCTTACAAGGTCACACGCCGAGTGACTGGCAGCAGGTAGCCTATCACCGATATTGGATGCACCGGGATGTCATTCATAATGCTTACGCCCATTATGGGATTCGCGACCAATGTTATAAGTTGATTTATTGGTATAATGAGGATTTCGGGATTGAAGGTACCCGCCCTGGCGGCGAGGAGAAGGAATGGGAGCTCTTTGACTGTCAGGAGGACCCTCTGGAGCTGTTCAATTGTTACCATGATCCCAAGTACCAAAAAGTCGTGCAGACAATGACGAGAAAGTTGGAGGAGAAAATGTTAGAGATTGGCGATGAGCCTGTGCATCAGCAGTACAACGCAGCATCACATAGTGCTTTATCCAACAGTGTCAATGGGATAGCTGGCAGCCTAAAGGATAAAATTTCGACACGGAATCATTGACCAACCATATCTTCCATTTTGCTCAACTGAAAGAAGAAAGTAGTACCAAAGAAAATCGGACATGTTCGTCTAAATATAGAAATCTTTTCCTTACATGTCAAGACGGATCACACCATTTAAAAGATTTGGGGATATATCATATACCCAGCGCTGTAAGTTCAGGCACTTTTCCGGTGTCCAGGTGTATAATGCCCTATGACCCATGCTGATAATGTAATTTTGTCATGGACCTTCTAAGATTTCTTGTTTGGAGGTAAGTAGAAAGAAGTCAGATTATGCCGATCCATGGACATATCTGAAACTCAATTTTTCTTTATGTTTCACAGGACTCCTCCTGTACAACTCTTTATCTACTATAAATCACCCAGCAGACTGCGCCAGAACTTCAGTTGACGAAAAAATTAAAAAAACATGATAGCAGTCTGGTTGTTTCTCAGGTAGAGACGCATTAGAAATGCCTGCAACCCAAGAGGAACCCTCCGTAGTGCCACCCCCGTTGTCAGCTGATGTATCGGCAGATGGGAAAGGCGCTGCAAAGGCTGGGACAAAGCACGAGCGATCTCCTGATCCAGATGATCCAGAATAGGAGGGCGGAAGAGCTACATCGGTTGCGGTGGAAAGAACAAGTCATAGATAAGATTTTTGAGCCTGGCTCCGATAAGAACAAAAATCCCCACTGCATAATAGAAGAGGCCCCTAAACAAAATACGCACCGAGAATGCAAGTGACGACTCCAAAATCATGCTGAAAGTCAGATTCCATGTCGTATACGGAGACCTGACACGGCCAAATCAGTCAAAGAATCTCGAAAGGCCAGTTTCTTGCTTCAGCGAACACCATATCCTAAGTTCGGTTTCACAACTTGCAAGTTTTGTGAAAAGAAGATCCAACCAGAAGTCCGTCGAATTAGATTAAGCCCCGGAATGCACTTTCAATCTCCCGGTAAGGTACTTTACCCAGGTATGAATCCCTGTGTTGGAAAACACCCTCCACTATACGAATTTCGCCAATTCAACTATAGAGTATTACCATGTGAAATGCTTTGAAAATTTGTTGGATATGTCATCATTTTGCCAAGCGGGCAGCTTCGATGTTGACACGAAAGACCCCCCCCCCCCCAAAATTAGGGTGCTGCAAGCATTATCAAGGAATGCGTTTCCTGGTGAAAGCTCCGGCTCTCCCAAGTCTGAGTACTTCACCGACAGCGTATGAGAGACCAGCAAAGAAAGTCAAAAAGGAAGATGGACCTGTTTTATCGCAGCCATCAGCCGTTATCAAGGAAGAACTGGCAGATAATCCAACTGCTGTAGCAGCGTCGACAGAACGAATGCCCACTCCATGCTGGGAAGTCACCCAATACCTTCTCTCCGAGACTGACCCAGACTATGATGAACGGCATGCCCTCAGTCAAGCATTGAAAGCATGGGTAAAGGATGCTGTGAGTGATCTCTCGTATTTCAGAGAGGGAGGATCGGCGAGTAATTAATGGTTCATACAGAGAGTCAGAGACTAGCAGAACGAGCAAGACGGAGACGCTAAAGAACAACCTACTTGACTAAAGTAGGACGCCAAGGAGAACCACCCCTCCCAGTAGCGAAGATATTGAAAGTTTGAGGAGCATTGCCAATGTCCTCAGCACCGGTGCATTACACCACGTACTTCTGTCCAGATTGATGAGGGGTGACGGGAGTGGTAACTATATCAAAGCATTCTGCAACACGAGCACCTACCTGATTCTGCTCGTGAGTGGTCTGTAAAAATGCTAAGAAAGGGCTATGCTGATTTTGAACTACTTAGGCTTTACCATCCAGGATACGAATGCATGTCATGTGCATCGTCGTTGCTTAATCGCTTCCTGTCTTGTCGTAGTTCTATAGCTATGTACTAGTACTTAGATAAGTAACCTTCCAAACTGAACAACATCACTACGATTCATGTCAAAGCACGCAATAAATATGTATTCAGCGATAGCAAGCCTAGACCACAGCGGCGTTCAACTGGGAACAAGGATTAGTTCTACAATACATCTTCTGATATCACAAACCTGGAACCCAGCGGCGAATCATTGGTCCTCGTCATTCGAGTGGCTGTATGTTAGCTGACCCAATCTACCGAATACTTATTGAGTGTCAATGACAAGTCAAAAAGCCACTTCGGCCCAATTCTACCCAAGGGCCAAAAGTGCCCAGGTGTGCATGGCATGACTAGACTAGGCCTAGCTGGTAGCCCCTCTCGTTGATCGGATAGCCGCCATACACCATGCACTAGTATGCAGTGTTCCCTACCCCGCTCGCGCTACCAACGCCAGCTGTCATCGACAAAAACTTGTTCTAGTGGAAATAAATTAAACATTCAATCAGAGCTAAAACCTTGACGAGGATGGCGTCGACTATTGATTTTTCTCCCGCGTCATTTGAATGATTTGGTGCGAGCATCCGTCATCGGATTCAGGATCGAGTCAGCCTTATCTATCAACATTATGTCAAGAGGAGTAGCTGAACGTTCACCCTCGTGTCAGTCGACCCGTTCGCTCTCGTGTACTCCTGAGCAATAACTTTTATCAAGCCACGCGACTTTTGTATTGATGTTATTGGAGATTTGATCGAGATGAGTTGTCTATGTAAAGCCTACTTGACATTGATATTGAGGGAAAGATATGTTGTATCGAGTCATGGATAGGAGTAAAATTCAGCATATTGAACATAATTTGTGTACTTATAGAGAAACATTACAATGACAAATGTGTTGATGAGTTGAAGATCATGGAGAGAGAAGCTCACGTGGGAAGGGAAGCCCTAATGTGTCATGCACCCTTTTATCAAGAAGCTAATTAACCACAGTTCTATTTTCAGAACACAGTAAAATCTATATTCGTATGCATTCGAGACAAAAATAGCATCGACCATACTACCTCGGGTCGAAATTGATATTAATTATCGTATCTTCTAGAGAGCTTCGACCAATCAACAAACAATTACAAATTCCAGAATAGACACAATCAACATAATTCCTATTTTTATCTGTTTTTTGGCTGCAAGTCCAGCATAATTATCACCAGCATATGCAGCCATGTTCACAGGCACATTGTGATTCGCAATGGGATTGGCTGAGAACATACATTAGCATAGATTAAGCTCATGCAAGAACAGCCAATGGTTGACGGTGAATGCACAATTTGCTGTCATTTTTTGAAGCTATTGAAAGCTAATTTGTGATTGTCTAACCCGATTGAGCACCAAGTGCCTTTATCATACATTTGATTGGCTATAGCAAGTTCTGTAGCAATTTACGCTATCTTTTTAGCTGCTTTTAGTGACGCGGGAAAAGAGGAGACTCTGTGTACCAACTTAGTCGCGGTCAACACAGTCCAGAGTGCGGAGAAGGATGAGGCATATTCAGGGCGAGGTCTATATCAGCTGTGGATTTCCTCATGGAATTGACCCTTTCTCATTCTGTCAATCAAAACATCCAACAGGATAATCATACCAAATACAGACAAAATGGTTGTCAGTCTACGGCTTCCTCTTTCTTCTCCCCGGACTATCACGTCCAACATGATCTCTCCTCCCCTCAGTCCAGACTTCAACTTCGACTCCGACGCCCTTACACCATCTACCCTTCCAGCATTGGAGTACATCTCAGAGAAGCTTTCACAAAAATCTTTGCATGTCACATTACTCGTTGGCCGAGGCCAACCGATACCCACCGGGGAATCATCCGACCTTAACATCATCCCAGTAACACAACTAGATCCACAATCATGGAAGGTCTTCTACAAGATCGTCGAAAAGGGAGCTAAGAAGTTCTCTCTCGGCCAGGGCTGGACCGACGCTCTCGATCAACATGCTCGACAACAGCTCAAGAATGAATATCTCATTGAACAATCCCTTCGACAAAACGAGATCCTATTCAGCCAAGAGGGACTGACACTCTTAAATGTCGACCGCATCTACACCTTGAAGCGTCGATTGTGTGTTCTTTCTCAAAACCAAAATAGCATCAACAACGAAGAGAAATATCTTTCTTCTTGCGTCCAGCTACTCAACAAGACTATCACCAGCTGCCAGGGTCGACCCTTTAGCTTCGGCTTCTTCCACCGTGCCTACGAACATCTTCATGTTACCGATGAACTCCTCAAAAAGGTCGCTGCTGCATATAAGACCCGATACGGCCAAGAAGGCATTGTCATCATCACACCAAAATCATCACCCGCACTTCCCACCATTGCTCCTACTGCAACTAAGAAGGAAACCACCCGCAAATCACCGGTCATGCGTACCGCTGCCGCGAATACGCGCGTCCGCCGACCAGCTCCTTCATCTTCGCCAGTTGCTCGCCACTATCGTGTTCCCTCTCGCGTGCCCTCGCGAGCTGGAACACCGAGACGCGGACCAAAGACTCCCGTTTCGGCGTCTGATGTGACTCCCATCACCCGGAATGAATGGAATATTCTCATCGGCCCTGAGTTTTGGCAGAACAAACCCACTGTGACGATGTGGGTTCCTACTCCTGCCGTATCAGTTGTTGGTTGAATGATCCCAAGAACAGAAGGATCGTTTTAATAAGCTTCTTGGGCCAACGCTCAAATCCAACCTCAGTGATTCGGGTATCGACGCCGAGAAGGTGATCTATCGGATACGTTGGATAGAAGACTCTGATGTCAGTCACGAAGACGACATCATCGAGACTCACTCCGGCTTTGGTCGCCCGATCACTTCGGTCCCAGACTGCATACATGCACTGCCTCAATTGCCGTCGTGCAGATAGCAGGTACTAAGCCGATACAGCTACGACGTTTACGAATAAAATCATGAAAGCATAGCAGAGCGAACTTGCATGTATCCATGTCACATCGACTTTTTTATGTATATAGAGATTTGAGCATGATTATTTGCTCTCCATGAATATCGTTTAATTCATACTTAATTCTTCTCTACATGTATTCCTGACGAAATCGAACTTCCAAGGTTCTTCATTTCTAGGTCTAGAGCAACAGCCTTGCCCGGGCATGTGTGTAGTGCAAAGTACAGCCCAGTGGCTATGCAGACAATGCGCGTTAGTATCCAGACCGCAAATGATGAGGCTGAAATAAGTAATCGGATTCAACTAGCGTCGTTTATTCGTGCATGGATAGTCTTGCGACCGGTCTCTAGCCTTGTACCCCTGTAGTTAAAGTGGCTCTAGTAGTGCAACTTGTCATTCTTGCCCGGGAGGCTTCTTCTCCAACCTTTCGCTTTGCATCCCTTTCAGTATATATTCAAATTGGCCACTTTTTGTTCATAAGCTGACAGTCAAACTTGAAATACCCTCCGATGTATATACCGTCTCATTAGGGTTACAGTACCGTTAGACACCGGTGTTACTGGTGCTGAGCAATGGCAAATTTACACCGCTCAAGGACCTTGCCAGCTACGATTGTGCATTACTGTGAGTGTTCAGATGATCCAATCTACCTTGTCATTGTACTAAACATATCCAGCTTCGGGGTCATGGAAGCTGATAGATGTCAAGCATCTCGAAGTAAGCCGCAAGTCCTAATTCATCTGCCGATTACACGTCCAGACGTCTAATGTTATTTGCTAAAGTTCGAACTTTTACCGAAACGATGTTATATGTATGTTTCACCAAATCCAACCCTAGATCTCTTCTGCTACAATGACTAATGAAGAACGATACAGTCTACTACTACAGAGAAACTATCCCAAGGACAAACCGGAACTTTTGCCAATTGTACCAATACTGGAGTATTTCGATGCACCCCCTGTACTTGCTACAGGAATGTGTGCCGAGATAAACGGCTATTTCGGGGCGAGTAGTGGTTATGATGACGATGAAAGATTGAAGCGTTACAGTAATCCATCTCGCATTTCCTTTGTTGTTGAAGTAGTAACCTAATGGAACAGGTACGTGGATGCGCTGTCTTGTGAAGATGGTTCTCAAAAAACCTGTCAACGGCAAGAACTACAATTGGTTCGAAATGACATTGTTGAGTCGATGGGCTGCGCTTGCGGATACGCATCATATTATGTGTACTGATGCGCCGGATCATTTTCCCAGAAGTCTTTTGAATGCATTGAAAAAGGCTTCTTACCAGACGAGCCCGGATTATTTCCGAGACCCATTTTCGATGCATGCGCAGTTACTGGATCAGATCGTGGAGTTGAACGATAAGTCTGTATGGGCTATTAGGCACCCTATTCGGGATATTGAAAAGGTTATACCTTTTCCTTTCTATCGAGGTCACTAGTCCATTAGTTAATACGTGATACAGCAACGACCAACCGCCAGCCCAGACTTTGAGTCAATGCACGAGATCTCTCGGCATACAATCCACATCTCTGAAGTATTGCTGGTTACTATATTGAATTTTGAGAGTCTGAGGGAGCAGCAAAGATACATGCATAGTGAAAGTATCAAGTCGCACGAGGGTAAACTACTTCTAGGTAAAGAGTATCGGGAGGGGGCTCTTGAATATCTGAATTTTCAGATTCAGATGCTCAAAAGTTTGAGGGAACGGTCCATTTCGAATCATTCGAGGTTGAGCAGTGAGATTACCGTTGTATGTTCCTCTTCCCCTCTTCTTGAGCAAATGTGAGTTTGGAGCTGATTGATAAAGGCCTATAACCGTATAGCTCAGCAAGACAATCGAGTCATGAACTCAATCGCATTTCTGACCATGATCTTCCTTCCTGCTGCGTTCATCTCAGTGAGTCTTTCGTCTCTTATTTTGCCGATATACTCTAATATTCTTCAGTCCTTCTTCAGCACAACATTCTTCAGCTTCGGTGAGGATGGACTGCAAGTCTCCAAACAAATGTGGCTCTACTGGGCCGTCACCATCCCATCCACGCTAATCATCATGATCGTCTGGCGATTATGTCTCCATACCAAGGCGCCGTTGACATACCACTCCATAAAGCAATTTGGCAAGACCCGGTATAACCGAATGCTGAAAAAGGACAATAACGAGAAGATGACTGTTTGAGGTAATTAGGGCTAGGGTTAGGGCTTCATAATATCTGTTAGGTATATATCCACCAATCAGATCTCCGCAATAGGCCCCGGGAACTTTGATAGCTCTGAGCAAGTCATCCCTCCATCACATCTCTTGGCTTCTTTTGCCTTGAACTCGGAGACTGCCGATATCCACACAATGGTTCTTTTCTCTATTTTGTCATGTATTTTCTGCATTAGGAATCTCTTTTGCATGAGGTTTATCACTAGGAAGAGGCCAATTGATTGATTAGCCTGCGCGTTATGTGGGCATCCTGGCTGTAACCCCGCTCTTAGATTTTTACACATTTCTATGACTTTATCATTGATGAAGAGAAAAGGTTTATTATTACAAGAGTACCTGTGCAATATCTCTTATTATTCCTATCAATCGAACAAGAAATCTCCAAAATGTCTGGCTCGACATCTTCCCATGGTCAGGTGACCTATACCAACACCAACAATACTGGCAAAAGAGCGACCTTCGCCGTGCGTGTGTCATCCCTCAGACGGAAATTTGTCCTCAAAGCGGAGAGGATTCATACTCGAATCCCAGCAATTAAGAAGATTCCGTTGTCGGCTCTCGGGATTATCTCGTTGATAGCATTTATCAACATGTTGGTGTGGGCTGCGTGTGGTATTGTACTGGTTTGTCTTCCTTCCTTTTCGCTACAAGGACATGAGACGGATACTAACATGTATGTTATAGCATTTCTATCCGTGAGTTACTTGCTTCTGTCTACCAAGACGATAGTGATATGGTGGGCAAATTCTAAGTGGCACAGGTCATTGATATCCACGGCCGCAATATCGTATTCCCTAGGGTTGCGCCATGCTCTTGATGCAGATCATATCTCCGTACGAATATCCATCCTCCATGCTATGTTTACGACTTATATGTGTGATTAGGCAATCGATCTAATGACCCGCCGACTACTTGCAAGTGGACAGAAGCCAGTCACCGTAGGAACATTTTTCTCTCTCGGACATTCCACGTAAGTCACCTATTCAATCTTATTGCATTAGCTTCAATTGACGAGACTAAGAATCGTCATTATAACATCAATCGTGGTTGCAGCCACCGCAGCAGCAGTATCAAATCGATTCGGTAAATTCAGCACCGTCGGTGGAATCATAGGCACATCCGTCAGCGCCGCGTTCCTGATCTTATTAGGAATCATGAACGCATACATCTTGTACAAACTTGTGCAACAAATGCGCAAAGTGCTTAGATTTTACCGTCGACGACGGCAGTTACGCGAAAACATGGATGATTCTGAGATTGGCGAAGATGAGATGGACATCTGGAAGATTGAAGGAGGTGGATTCTTGTTTTCGGTGCTGAAAAGGATGTTTGTTCTTATTGATAGGTATGTCTTCTTTTTCCCAAGGTCAGAAGCAATGTGCTGATCTTCCAAGACCCTGGAAGATGTATCCTCTTGGGATACTGTTTGGACTGGGCTTCGATACATCATCCGAAATTGCTCTGTTGGGTATCTCATCTATTGAAGCTGCTCGCCAGGATAGTTTTTGGGTGATTTTAATTTTCCCTATTTTATTTACAGGTACCCTCCTCCCCTCTCATTCCTATACTTGTGACCATTTTGACGGATTTTGTAGCCGGAATGTGTCTCCTCGATACTACAGATGGTGCATTGATGCTATCTCTCTACATCCAACCAGCCACAAACTTCCTCCCTGCTACAAAACAGCGAGAAGCAGAAGCATCAGAAACCGAGCAAACAGAGGTAACACGACTGTCAGCTGAAGATGACATCGAAAACCAGCCAACAGCGACCACAACAATCGAGGGGACCGAATCCAACAATCGCGACCCAATAGCTTTCCTTTACTATTCCATCGTCCTCACAACACTAACCGTCATGGTAGCCCTAGTCATCGGTATTATCCAAGTGCTCAGTCTGATATTGAATGTAACAGATGCTACAGGGAAGTTCTGGGATGGAGTGCAGACTGCAAGTGATTATTATGATGCTATTGGTGGTGGGATTTGCGGCTGTTTTATTATTGTTGGGTTGTCCAGTGTGGTTTGCTATCAGCCGTGGAGGAGGTGGGTTGGTGTTGATGTTATTGATGATGGTAACCACGAGCAAACAGAAGTTTTTCAAGGAGAAATCGAAAGACAAGAGCATGAGACTGGCAAGGGGTTTACAGCCAAGTCTGGTGGAGGCATATCTGCGCGTGAGGTCCAGGTTAACCCAGGACCGAGCCGTGATCTGTTCGACAACTGAGTCGTCATTCTTAGTATATAGACTAATACGTAGATATATGTATACGAAATCCCAAGAATATTGAATCACCTAGTACATCTCTCACTAGCAGGTCTCCATCCAACTCCCAATCCCTCCATTACCAACCTCTCCCTCTCCTCCCACGTCCTCCCCCCCTTCTCCAAATCAATAACATGACCCCCCGAAGTCCTCTCTCGCACGCCACTAGAATCAAATTTCCATCCATGCGCCTTTTTAGCATATCGTCTCAAATCCCGCTCAAATGTGGTATCGCCTGACCAGCCCAATACGGCGCAACCAACTGTACGCCATGGTGAGATAATAATATCGACCCGTCGATGGGGGTTTGAATTTTTCCTTTGGACCTCTCCTTCCCCTTCATTTTCGATATTATTGTCAGCCTCAAAATGAGGATCTTGCCACACAACAAGTGCTTTATCTAAACTATCGAAATGATGTGATCCCGGATCACCATGAAACGACAACGTTTGCTGCTCTCTATTTGAGGTCGTCATATGCAAAGCGAGAGTATGCTTAATCCAACCTCCGTTCTCCAAACTACCGACTACGTCAAGGACAAGATCCTTTGTAACGCGCTCATCACGATGACTCAGAACCAGATCTATATCTCCCTGCGTCTCCTTTCCGCGACGATATCCGCCTACAATGATACATTCGATTCCCTGGCCGTCGTATTCACAACCGGGTCTGGCGAGGATTGCATGTCGATGAATCGTTTTCGCGATTTCGGCGACTTCTGTGCGCGGGATACCTGCCAGGAATTCGTCGTAATATTTTAGACCAATCTGTTGTACGCGTGACAGGTTATTCCATCCATGCACAATCACATCATCCAAATCGCGCCATTGACGTTGATAATAGAATTCTCGGGCTGTTCTGGCACCCACTCCCCAGATATTATAGAACTGATGGATTGTACTAATCACAGGATCCGTATCAAGTACATCAGCAGCTTCCAATCTTCCATCGGAACTATTCCGAAACTCGACGAACAAATTAGCAATCTTCGTATCGCACCCTGGTAACGATAGAACTTCCACCGGCGTGCGAAGTTCATACGGATACGCCGCCAGTGCCGCGATCGATGTACTATAAGCTCGTACCCCGATTTCGTCGAGGGTCAATTCACGCACTTTGCGAATTTTGACGAGCTGGTTTATGAATGCTTCATTTGGCGGGTGTAAAGGTGCTGAGCGCATGCAGGCGTACATAATCCGGTTTTTGACCCAGTCTGGTGCCGGTGGGATGAGGATTGTGGCATCGTGTTCGGAGGTTGTTTGTCGGTATAATGTGGGTGGACTGTAGTGTTGTGAGCTGTTTCCTCCTCCTGCTGTTATTGCTGCTTTTCCGGCGTGTCTTGATGACGAGGCGAATCTTGAGGTGTATGACGATTGGGAGGATGGGGCAGGCCTGGATGCTGCGTCGCCTATGGCACGGGCTAGGATTCCTCCGCTTTCTTTTACGCTTGAGATTGGTATATGCGTCTGCGTCGAGGTGGGTTCTTGTGGTCGTGCAATCACTTTTCCGTGGTAGACGATGAAGTGATCAATATTCAGTGCTTTCCCTGCTTTGACTGATTGGGTTATCCATTCGAGTTTGACAACCTTGACGTGATTCTCTTGCACGATTGAGTTTTGTTCTTGTTGCGTATTGGTTTCGGCAGTGATAACAGATGATTGCAGTAGTCTTCTCTGTTGCTGCACCGGTGACGAAGCCCTACTATCTACGCATGCGTTCTCGGTCTCTGTACTGCCTAAATCGACTACATCCTGCTGACTCCATCCCTCCCCCTTCCGCGACCCCAATCGCCTCCTCTTTGGTGAGGGCGACGACGAGTCCTGCCTTTGTCTCTTCGCTGAACCACCACCTCCAGAACCAGCGGTATCCAAAGACATAACCTCCTCAGTCCAAACTCCCCTCGCCCTTAGTTCCAACGCTGCTCGTTTCCGTTGCACAATCGTACCTATAAATATCCGGGCTTCCGAGACGTCGTATGTCAATGTAGCTTCCAGACGCCCGAGTTGGTCTTCCAGCGTATGTAGTTCGTCCAATGTGAGTCGTGTCGGGAGGACGAACATGGGTGGGTAATTTGCGAAAAGAGGTGTGCCGAGGGCTTCGTCGTCTGCGAGGGGTGATGATGTTGGTGCTCGTGGGATGGATGAAGTCATTGATATATATTGATATGTAAAATTTCAAAAGACTATGCGTATATGAATTGTCGTATAATCATGTAATAGACCAAAATCATAAGTCGTCATATGCGAGGAACAGTCTGGGGTCGCATCATGTCGCATGGTCGCAGCACTCGAGCATGTGCTCAATAATGGTTTTATTCATGAGGGAGATGAAGCCAATTCACCCTAAAGCAAATCATCCAAAAGGCGCATCCGTTCATCGATGAGTGGTTGAGTGAGATAGTTGGAGATAAATCTTGGGAAAGATTTAAGCTTACTTCTGAACCCCGATTGGCGCTCACGTCATTGCGATAACCGACGTCATCTATCCATAACAACCACCGAGGAAGTATAGTACGTACATAGGAAAGATAGAAAGAACATTGAATATGTATATTGTGCAGATAATACAATTTTACAAATCATAAAGAGTTATAAGAGCAAGCAAGCCATGCTCAAAGAGAAAAAGTACCTAACCGCACAAGCGCATACGCAATCGCTAGCCCCAAGCGCCATAGAATCGTAACAAACACACATCAACAATTAGTAAACAGAGAGGCGACGGGGGGAGAAGAAAATATATGTATATAATACCGAAGAAATAAAATAATCATCTTGTTTTTCTCTTGTTTTTTGTATATTTCATTGCAATGGCCGTGAACTGCCCATCTCACCATACCGACCACGACTCTTGGTCGTATCATAAGCATTGACAATCCTCATCTGCTGACCACCTTCGTCAGCCTGACTAAACGCATACCCACGCTGTTTGCGCATGCGCTGCACCTGCCGGACCTTGCGGATCGCCTTTTGGAATTGTTCCATTCGAGGCCGGTAGTCTTGCACGTTGTATTTTTGGATTTCTTGAACGTGGTGGTATGGTTGTGGTCGGTACATGCGTTTGGCGTATTTCCAGACAAAGTCGCGCATGAGGCAGATGACTGGCAATAAAGCGGCCATTAGGTAGAATTGTGGGATTGAGAAGACAACGGGGATGATTCCGTGGTATTCGGTGGAAAAGCCGATGGCTGGTGCGGCGAAGCCGTAGGCAGGTAGGAATACGATCCATAGTAGTAAAGAGCCTGGAATCGCAATTAAATGGTATTTGGTCCATGTGTTGGTGATTAGAGATGCTTTCCCGAGCACCGTCACCAGCACGGATGTATACATGGCTGTACCCCAGACCCAGTGACCGGTGGCCATACCATTTTGTTCCTTGAGGTCGTTGTAGAAGATTCCTTCTCCGATGATGTACGCCAGCAATGAGTGGTAGAATCCATTGGCGATCCAAGACCAGAAGTTTGTGATTTTGAAGAACACTCCCTTCTGTCCTAGCTGATAAAGTTGCGGGTAACGATCTAGGAGTCTAGCGGAAACGAACTGATCCACGATACCAAGCGCGAACGGCGGAAGAACGGTGAAGATCACGTTGAAGAAAGTTAATGTCCATGACTCGTAAATAACCTCACCTGAAAAGGCGTTTTGGAACGAGTACTGTTCTAATAGTTAGTAAGCAGTCTAACGAGCTGGACAGTAATACTAACCCAGAATTGTGTCATGTTCAAAGCAATGTTCTTGTAGAATGAGAACAAGATGACCCGACTGATACGATGATACGACCACGAACCATGAACAAGGAGAAGTTTACGCAAAAATCGGAATTGTCCAATAGAGACGTCAGCCGCACGGGCAGCTTGAAGACCTTCGAGACCACTAATACCAACACCCACATGGGCGGCTTGGATCATAGAGACGTCGTTGGCTCCATCACCAATGGCTAGAAGAAGTGCTTTTTTATGGCGTTTGACGAGCTTGACGACAAGAGCTTTTTGAAGGGGAGAAACTCGACTATCATATATCATTAGTCATGTAATAAAATGAAATGTCAAGACACCTACCAGCAAATAACCGCTTTACAAAGAACAGCCAAATCCAAAAAGAGCTTTTCCATGTCCTTCTCAAGGGCAAAGGTCAACGATTTACCATCGATAATCAATGCAAGAGGCTCCATCTCGCTACCAGCACTGAGTTGACTCTGAGCCGCTGATAGTTTCTTCGTCAAATTTTCTCTTGTTGCAGAGGCGTTCTCCTCGTTAACAATCAAAAGCGACATATCTTCCGAAATCAATTTGCAAGACATGCCAATATTGATCGCGGTTTCCTGTCTATCACCCGTCAAGACCCAGACCTTGATACCGGCCTGCTGGAGAGTGTGGATCGTATCGGGTACGCCATCCTGCAGTCTGTCCTCAATAGCCGTGGCTCCAAGAAGGTAAAAATCCTTTTCAATGAGCTCCGAAGCCTTGTCAAGTTCTTCCTGACGGTTACCGCTGACTGTTGTGGCAGCCTTTTCGTGAATTTGAAGCCATTGCTGGAACTCGTCTTCGGGAACCTCGCGCATTGCCAAACACAGCGTTCGCAAACCTTCAGTAGCGTATTCCTCCAGATGCTGTAACGTTGCTTCGACAATCGGGTTATCCGGGTGAAGACGTTCCAAAATCACTGTATCGGCACCCTTGCAGAATACCCTGACTTTGCCATCGGGACATCGATAGACAGTGGACATTCTCTTCCTTGTTGAGTTGAACTCGCACACCGCCAACAATTCATATTCGTATTCTTGGCCATTCACCATGATTTGCACAGTTCGTGGCTTACGGTTCGTAAACTGATATCCAAGCATGACAGCACCTTCGACCAATGCACCCTCGTCGGGAGAGGCAGCCTGATATTTGATTTCGCCAGGCCTGTCATCTCTTCTTTCAGGAATAACAGTGTGACAAATTGCGAGTAACGCCAAAAACTGGTGAATGATCTCCGCGGTTGGGTGGGATTTGAGGTTCTCCTGCAGCTGTTTAAAATCGTGAATGCCAAGTTCATTACCTGGACCTGCTTTCCTGTCTTCAGGGATATCACCACCGTATTGAATACCACCGATCGAACATTGCTTGAACTCCATCATATTGCAGGTCAAAGTTCCTGTTTTGTCCGAAAATATATACTCAATCTGGCCGAGTTCTTCAACCAATGAGGACGTTCGGCATGTTGCTGGAGTATCCGTCTTATCGTAGTAAATATCCAAATCAGAATTGATGAGAAGAGCCTGAAAGTACTTGACAATTTCGATCGTGACGAACAGCGAGATCGGAACCAAATTCGAGAACAAGACCCAGTTGGTCGCAATATCCATGAAGAACTGCTTCACGACATTGTAGTTACCGTAGTTCAAATATGTCAACTTATCGCCGGATGTCTTGCGAGTAATTAAATCACCGACTGATGTAATGACACTCAAGGTAATGAGGATGGCGACTAAGATCAAAATCTGCAAGTTAACGGTATGCTCAACAGCTGTTCGTTTAATAGGAGTGGCAGTAGCGTTTCGCATCAACTTCGTCTCGTGACCAGTAAATACAACAACTCCGTGAATCCAGGGTGTGTTGCGGAGGGTAGCACCACGAAGAAGAAGCTGTTCTGGTGTCAATGGAAGCTCTTTTTCGCCTCCACCAGCATGCATAGTCATTGTGGCCTCGTAAGTATAGAGACTACTGTTGGGCTGCTCGGACCGAAGCCGTCCACTGAGTCTGCTGAGATCGCTAGGGTTGACAAGATGTGCCGTTTCTGGAATAGCTTGTTTGACTTTGAGGTTGGTCTCACCATCGAGGTTCGCGGTTTCAATATAGCATAGACCTTCAGGTTCGGAACTCGCCAGGAGGACAAGATCCGCCGGGAACGGTTGCTCAGACTCCACACGGACGATATCACCGACGGCGACATCCAACCATTTGGTTTCTTGAAATTGTGAGCCCTTGAGGACTAGAGCTTTTGATGTATTCAAGGAAGTGTCAGAAGACCTTCGCTTATAGTCTTCCACCAGCTCCTTGATAGCCGACACCAACAACACAAGACATAATGGTACGATTGTGGTATATCGATTCGTGGGCGTGACATTCGGAATCTGTTGCAGACAAGCGGTAAACAAGAAAAACAAGTTGGCGTATTTGGAGAACTGCTCGTAAAGGAACTTAGGTATAAAAGTAATGACGTTGTACTTGGCTGTCGAAATATGATTGTCGACGTATTTTTGCGAAGAATTAGCAGGCGCATTGTTGAGCATGATAATTCTTGGTCCGAGAGTTGATGGATCGACTTTTCTTCTCCCAAATCTAAAGCCCGAACTTTTTTTCTTCGCCTTTTGGACGCTACTATCGTCTTCGAGTCTTGAACCCCGAGCCCCAGCTTCTGTTAAGGGGAGATCCATTTCCGAATACTCATTACCCATACCGAGCATGTTCTTCGCTCTGCCCATCAGCCCACCGCCCAAGCCCAAAATACTATTTCGTTCGTGTTGTTGCCGTAACCGACCACTTGATATATTCTCATCCATATCATTGTAATAACCGTGCATGTGCTCATCTTCGTAATCATCGATGTCCGAATATCTATGGAAATTACTCAAGCCCGACGTCTGTGAATATGTGCGATGCGCGGGTGCGCCGAGATATGGGTCACTTCCGGCTTGATGCTCAACTTGCAATCCAGCGGTTGGATGCGCTCCAGTGCCCGCTGGATGTCTGCCTCCAACAAAATCATCGTAAGAAACTGACGGTCGCGGTTGGTCGGAGTCATCGATATTATATTGCTCTAGAAGATGGCTGTCGTCTACCGGTGGACGTTGGCCAGTGTTGTAAACGGGCGCGTTGGACTCATCCAGCTGCAGCAAGTCGTCGCCACCATTCCCGCCAGCGGATGGATGACTTCCAGGAGGCCGACCGCTGGCCATCGTACGATGGGCGAGCTGACAGCCTTGTAACTATCGCAGGCGAGAGGGAAAAGGGTGCGAAAAATCAGAAGTGCCCCTGAAGCATTGGTGCCGAGATCGAGATAAAGATCGAAAGGTTGTTGTTTCAGTTGAGGTGGTCGCAAAGGAGAGGTTGAGAGGATGGCGAAAGATAATCTATTGCCTCGACTGTGACGCTTAACAGTCAGAACAATTTGTCAGTGAAGAAGTCTCGTAAGATATGATTTTACTTGCACAGATCTCATTTGAAGATGTGTCTCAGCTGTGTCCAGCAACTAAAGTTGCGTCTCCGTGCAAATACTTAGCTTAAAGCTGCAGTTCTCAGGGAGCCAATCAGCACTCCTCACTGGGGCATTAACGTCTAAGCCACTTTTGGATCTCGACGCTGTATTGAATGTGTAATATTACAGTGCATTCCACTTTTTGCTGCTATTCACTGGCACTATCCGCGTATTGCAATCGCCATAGCATGAAAGGCATACCAGTCAATACATACGTCCTACTTTTCATTGTGCTTGTCCACGCAGTGTCATTACTCTGAACATGTCGCCAAGTTGAAAAAAGAAACAGCCGACTGTTTCCTGTTTATATTATATCCACTGCTAAAAAGCCGTGCATTCTATAAATACACTGATCTCATCACCATTGCAGCAAGAATGAGTATGCCGCCACGAGTTTCATCGGGTGGTTGCCATCCAGGCAGCTGTGAAACTGCTTCAAACAAGGGGCATAGCCTCCACGAACAATCTTGGAGGGGTGATCCATCCGGAACCCGGCGGCTGATTTGCGGCAGCTTGTCATGCTGCTGACACGAGGGGTTTACACAACCAACTTCTTATGATGTCTTGTATAAATTGTTTGATGTCTTATCCTTCACGATCATTCTCCGCATTGGCTTCCGAAGCACGGTTCACCTTTGCGCGCCGAGCCAGGTCAGCTTCGAGCGCTTTACTTATTATGCCGTTGATTTCGAGTACTTTCTGTTGCGCAAGGTTTGTTTTGTTGATGACTTCGAGCGCACTGACCGGACTGCCAGCGGCCTTGTATACTGCACATGTTTCGCCGGTGCTGTTGAGCGCAATTATAAGGTCGCCTTCAGATGCTTGTTCCTCTTTGCGGGTGGCATCTAATATGAGAACCTTTCCTTCGTGGAAAGATTGGAATGTGATTGATAATGGCTTGTGGGTAATGTTCAATGGTACCGGCACTCGTTCGTTGATGCCGAAGACCCTGACCTGACCGTCCTTGACCTCGATATCTGGTCGTCGAAAATGCTGTAGACCAGCCATGATGCCAATGCAGGCCGAGTCGATCAGATTGCCGTCGTAGTCGGTTACATGTACATCGGCCCGTATATTCCAGCAGCTTTTGCCTTTTAAAATGCATAAAGATTCCGTATCCAACGCATTGGAGTGACGAATAACACGGTCAAGTACTCGCGACACGTAAGTTTCGAGCTCGTTTTGTCTTGGGACGTATTAGCAAATTATCCAGCCTCGCCGAGTGAGTTTCATATCGTACCGAAGATTTTCCCAAGCAGGAGATCCCATAGCAGTAAGTTCCATGGCTATCAGAAAAGTACCGTCGCTTTGGCGGTCATCGCGGGGTCTGGATACTTCGGCCGATATGCGCACAACCAAACTAGAGATAGATGGGATGAGTATGTTACCATCGAACATCAGAAAGAAGTGACATGCCTTGTCTGTCCAAGCTGAACTTTAACATGCCCATATTCTTCGCCAAAGGTTACTGAGAGAGGACGAAAAGTGTCGGCGTTGCGTCCGTCAAGACGGATATTCTCAAGCAAAGCTTCGAGAATGAATTCTCGCTCCGCTACGGACAGCGGGGTTTCTTTTGACATGTCGTTTGTAATAAAATGAGAGTTTGAGCCTAAATAGCAGATCAATTGCAGTATTGCACAGATAGCATTATTGAGAGTCGCAATAGCCAAAGGGCGTGAGTGATAAAGCTCCAAAGAACTTTTTGGCGGCAGATTATTAAATTACATTTGCGGCCTGGACGGTGTTAGCCAATCACTCCGAGGCGGTGAAAGTCGCTCTTGTTGCTTCCGCATAACTATCACATCTCACTTCGGCCTTACAGCAACCTTTAACTAAATATACAACCACAATCCATCGAGATGACTACAGGTAAGCTCTCGCTTGAGGATATTACGAAGTCTTCCTTGTGCTAACGTTTACAGCGCACCGTCCCACATTCGATCCGGTAATGAACATTTGCCCCATTTCAAAGTGTCAACATTAACCCAGCCCAGGCCCAAGGCAAAGAGGCCCTTCGTGGTCCAGCTTACCATCAACGACTCCTGCCTGCTTATATGCACCTGAAAACTCGGTATGCGCATGTTGACGCCCAGATGACATGACTTACAGCTAACACAACACAGTCAACCAGGTCAAGGCGGCGCGGCCGATCAACCACGCGATCTACGAGCAGAATTGTTAGCCGCCGAAGCTGCGCATTTCGCAAAGACTAAGGGTGTTACAAATGAATCGCCTGCCGAACCAGTTCCGAAACTCAAGCGGGATCTTGAGGAGGATAGAGAAGCCAATCTTGATGCAGAGGATATAGAGGCCAAAAGGCGGAGGATACTTGAGGAAACAAGGGATATAGACGCGGATTCGGTGGGGTCAGATTCGGACAGTAGTGAAGAAGAAAGGTATATTGATTACCTGTGTGTGCGCTTTTATGGACCGGCATGTTCTGACTATCTATTCAGTGACGACGAAGAAGATGAAGCCGCAGAACTCATGCGCGAACTCGAAAAGATCAAACAAGAGCGACAAGCACAAAAAGAAAAAGAGGTCAGTCACACAATCACTGCCATTCTGCGTCGGCGGCTAATATTTATGGGTTTAGGAACGCGAAAGAGAAGCCCAAGAACAAGAGCAGCGAGAGTACGATATTGCGCGCGGCAATCCATTACTGAATCCGCAGGACTTTAATATCAAGCGTCGCTGGGACGATGATGTTGTCTTCAAGAATCAAGCGCGTGGTAGTGAAGTCAAGAAAGGGCCGGAGTTTGTTAACGTAAGTAATGCCCTTGACTGGATGAAATCGTATGCTCATTTATTCTAGGATCTGCTACGATCGGACTTTCATAAACGATTTATGGTGAGTTGTCTCCTAGAGAATGTATGATGTTCGTGGTTTCTAACTGGAGATATAGTCGAAGTATGTACGATGATTGCATGATGGCTTGTATGGATTGTATTGGCGTTTTAGATCGAATGGATTTTATCTCTGTACATGATAGTTCTTTCTAGCATCGACTTCTTACTGAAGCAGTTCATCCTATCTGACCATTTTCATCTTCATATGTTCTTCACCGCCCGGTACACCGCTAGGTAACACCGGCAGTAACCATTATCTCCAAGTCAACTCTCAAGACTTCATCAACCCATCTCCAACACTAACATGCATATCGCTACAGTCGTCAACAATGGACTCCCAAGCTACCAGCAAAACTCTACACAGTAAGTAAGTTCCTTATCATCCTGGTCAGCTTAACAACACAATCTAATCATCCTTTTCCCGCGCAACAAATGCGGGGAAATGCTCTAATACAGATCGCATCAACACCGATATAACGCAGTTACTACAACGATTTGAGAATATACTCGCGCCTTCGAGGGTCGGTTTTTTCGAGAATTTAAGATGATAAATTATTTACAAGCTGGATATAAGTTAACCGAACCGGAGAAAAAACAGGTCGAAAATTCAGAAAATGCCAACACAGCCGTTGGTGTTTATAATCTAAACGTTGAAACGACTGCTCTCGTTAGTCGTCTTCTTTCCATTATTATCTTCCCTCTGCATTCTATTCTTTAATCGATCAGCTCTGATTTATATCCCCGTTGTTCAAACCAGATCCGCGCCGCTGAAGACCTCCTCTCGCTCACGCGCTACATGAAGGAAGCATGGCTCTTTGAAAAACTCAATACAGTCGGCGAAGATGAACATGATAAGCGACGGAATCAGAAGTTGGAGGAAGATGTAGCAGGTGTCAGGGAGGCGGTTCAAAGGGGACTTCTTGGGGATAATGATACCAATGGGGAGGGGAAGTGAACGCCGTCTCCTCGTTTTGACTTTTGAGGTTCTTGTTTGCGACCTGACGAATCGAATCTCATGGGTGTATCTTTGGGTTGATAATTCCTGGTATTGGCGTCAGGGTACATGGATACAGGCGTTTGTGCATCGGGCAATTAAAAGCGGCATTATGAATAGAAAACTGAACATGGCAGACACTCAAAACTGAGCTGGATTTTGATCGATCTTTGACTGAGTTTTCAATTCTCTAAACTTGACGCATGCAGTTCGTGGTTATGGACGTTTTTTATCGACTGCCATTGTACTTAATCGACATACGAAATCAATAAAGGCAAATAAATGGCAACTTGAAATAGGAGAGAGGAACATAGAATCTGATGTATGTAAATAGCATCGGTAACTTAGGGCTAATTGATAGGGCTTATCGCCTTCCCCGCGCCACGTCCAGACGCATTCCTCTTATCTGAACTTCAATTTTTCCAAATCCTCACAATTCCAGACGACGCTCGATTAGCAAGATACCCCCGAAAGAAAGCTATAACCGTAATCACACAATCGACCTATCAAACAAACGCAACAGGGAAAAGAGAATAAATGTCTCTCCCACCATCCTCAGACCCAGACTCACTCCAAATGAAAACCCCATTAACACTCGTCGTCGCCACAACACCCATCACTCGACCACCAGGATCGTCCAAAAAACCAATCCTCGGTATAGGATTAAATGGGACCTTACCATGGCCCAGGATAAAATCTGATATGAACTTTTTTGCGCGCGTTACTTCGCGTCCTCCCTCATCTGGAGATGGTAGTGGTAGCGGTAACGGGAAAGAGAAGATAAATGCAATAATAATGGGTCGAAAGACGTATTATTCCCTCCCGAAAGGACTTCGACCGCTCAAAGATCGCTTGAATGTCATCATCTCAAGGGACGAGCATGGAACCGTGTCAACAGAAATACATCAGGATCTAACACGACAAAAAGAGAAATCCCGCACCGACGGCAAGGAAGATAAACGAGATGCCTTTGTCGCACACAGTTTCGACTCTGCGCTAACCCAACTTTTCGATAAGCACCGTCGGCAGGATTTGGGGTATGTGTATGTCATTGGTGGTGGGGAGATATATAAATCTTCTTTGGAGTTGGAGGTATCGTTGTCTTCAAAGATTGTGCAGAGGATTTTGATGACGAGGATTAAGAGGAGGGATGGTGAGAAGTATGAGTGTGATACTTTCTTCCCGCTTACGGATGAGGATCTATCTACTTCGACGGGTGGTGAAAAGGGGTGGAGACGGGTGGGTGTTGAGGAGGTTGAGGGGTGGGTTGGGGAGAGTGTTAAGGAGGATTGGACTGAGGAAGGGGAGGTTGCGTTCAAGATTGAAGGGTATGAAAGGGTTTAATCATTACTTTTGTATAATATTGAAAAATGCTATGCAGTTCGTATATAGACAGTTATGCAGACATCTATATACTATTTGATGCATCGAAACAAAACGCCATGGCTCGTATGCGGACGTAAACGGGAATCTGATATGACCTCAAATGCAAGAAATTAAGACTTCCCAAGCTCCCTCATGTGCTTCACGAATTGCTTCTTATGAACTAGTCCCTGGAACTTGCCATCTTGCAGAACACACACGTATCGAAGACCTAGTTTGACGAAACATTGATAAACCAAATCTAGTGGTGAGTGAACGTCGAGAGCAACAGGAGACTATGTCCGTTAGTTTTGGACAGATTGAACGTAATGAAAGGAAGCATACCGGATCAATGTAAATCGTAAAATCATGCACAATACTATTCGTCTCACCATCCTCGTTATAGGGCTCAGGCCAATTCTGATGGTCGGGAGACATGATGCAGAATTCCGCATATTCATCCTCAAGTCCATCCAATGCAAACTCAAGATCGGTGGCTGCAATCATGCCTACCAATACTGTATCTCGCACAATCGGTAGGCCGCTATCGAGTTCACCGGCCATGAGCAGGTAGTCAAGTTTTCCGCGCAGATCCTTGGCTCTGACGAGTGGGGAGTCAGTGATATCGATGGTTCGGTGGCGGCCTGTGGATCGACTGAGGTCACCCAACGTCTGGTCCGTGGCTGGATGACTGCCTTTGTTATCAAGGAATGGGTAATCATTCATATCGGTAAGCAAGTCCTATGTCACGTTAGTATTTCTTTCCAAGACCCGGTCGAGTTTCACTTACATAAATGCTCCGCGGCTCAATAGCATCAGCCGTCCACTTGGCGCATAGAATAGAAATGCAGAATGGTAGCACATGATTCAAGCTGCCAGTCAATTCAAAGCAAATGACAGCCAGCGTCACTGAAAGTCGAGTAACGCCACACATGGTCGCTCCCGCAGCTACCATCGCATAGACGCCAGGTGTGACACATGACTCAACGCCGGGAACAGCAGGACAACTGGCAAAAAGAAACAAGTCCGGGTATGAAACCACAAAATATTGTGTCAAATGTCCAACGATCCGTCCCATCAGGCCGCCAACAACCATGGAAGGAACGTATATACCAGCTGGGACCTTTATTCCAAAGGTAATGGTTGTCAACAGGCTCTTGACCACAAAAGCCACGAGCAGATACTTCACCACCTCCAAAATATCCTCCTTCTCGTTTGGACACAGACCAGATTTTGTCACGCCGGTCGGATCGCATGGTGCCGTGAGTTCTTCAAGAAGCTCGGCCACAGCTAGCTTGGTATAGCGGTTCCAGAAGCTCACGACTCCTGTAAGAAAGGCCACCAGAACAACTTCCAAAATAGGTGCTCGTTTGATCACTGGGATCCGACGGAATGATCTAGCCCAGATATTCGTGGCTTTGATAAACAGGGCACCTAGGACTCCACCTAGGATACCTAACAGAATAAAAAGTCCCATCTCGAACATCTCCCAATCAGAGACGTATCGTACCTGAAACGGCACGATCTTGCCTGTACCGTAGGGATTGAGGAATTTGAGGGATAATGCGGAAGCCTTGAAATTGTTAGAATCAAGGTTATTTCACTTTATCTGAGATTAAAACTTACAATGCAGCAAAAGAATGTTCTAAACAAGGTCTTTGGAGGGAAATAATAGCTTCAGACAGTCAGTATCCGAAAAGATTCTTGACAGAGGGGATACATACCTCACTTCTTCCAGTCCAAAAAGAACACCTCCAATAGGCGCTCCAAAAGCAACTGCCACACCGCTGGCTGCGGCAGCTCCAAGAACTTCTCGGCGTTTGGCATCGTTGGTGTGATACTTCTTAAACCCACGACTGCAAATGTTGCCCACGCATGTTGCAATGTGTACATAAGGCCCTTCTTTGCCCAAGCTCATACCAGACGAAATGGCCAAGATCAAAGCAAAAGTCTTGAACATAAGAGTCTTCAATCCCAAATACCCGTGCAAAACAAAGCCGCTCAAAATAACTTTGACCTCTGCCACTCCACTGCCAGCAGCAGAGTAGTAGATAGTGGCTGGCTTACTTCGCAGTCTGGTGTAGTATCCACTGGGACTTCTAGGACCGTCACTGCTCTCTGCACCTAGGTTCTCGTCCAATGTGGACAGAGCGATTGTTGAAGGTATAACCGTTTTTGTGAACATGGTAAGTCCACATGCACCCATAGCCATTAAGATGGCCCAGAAAACGTAGAAAATAAAGTCCACCGAATCATTATCGAATCGAGAGAACCCCACTATTTGTGACCACGAATTCCATGCGTCGCATGATCTCTCACCGCCGCAGCAATCTCTACGGGTCGTAAACCAAGACGTTGTGCAAATTCCGTCCTTTAACTCGAAAACATGCTTATCGACAATATCCACAAAATAGGCAATGGCTGCAGTAATACAACCGATGACGGCTACGAGAATCCATCCTTGGGCACCATCGAACAGGGCAAGTAACCGGCCACGAAAGTCCTTGCGACTCCGCAACTCCCGCAATCGAATGCCGTCCTTGATACTGTCATGAACCCAGTCAATAGACGTAAACTGATCGTACCATAGGCGTTCATCTAAGAACGACGATCCCTGCATGACATCTTCGTTCCAGTCTTTGGGTGTATCGTCCGCCTGAGCCTGAGTCTGAGATCTAGAACCAACCGGAAATCGCGCTGAAGCTCTACGGCTATGATGCCGGGACCGGCGAAGCGTACCTCCTGTGGTGTTGTATCGGAAGAACGTATCCGGTCTCGATGCGGTACCGTAGGTTGTTCGGCGGGAGTCATTTCCGAGCAAGCTATCATTTTCGTGTGCTGGAAACCGACGTCGATAAGTGGGAGAAACTGGAGCTGTTACTGGAGCGCGGTAATGCTCATAGTCATCGGAATCATCGTCATCGTGCGTGCTTGTAGGAGGGTCATAGGCTGAGCGAGGCATACTGTTGATAACGGCGGGTACGATGTCCCGTTGAATAGAGGATGTGAGGCTAGAACTGCATGTTTCTTTGTCTTTCAGGACTCCGAAGGACGATAAAGATAGACGTCTATATCGTCTGGGTACGACGATGTTGTCGTTCTTTCGACCAAAAATCGAGAGGTTGATAGGTTACGTCAGCCCGCTTTTGGTGCTCCTTGAAGGTAAACAAACACGCGAACTGCTCTCCGCAGCGGTCTGATAAATGGAGCCTTTTATTGAATGACAGAACGATGGAATGATAGAATCAAAAATCAAGAGAAATCAAATGAATACTGTCCATGTCCATACAGACGGGAGACCACCAAGGTAAAGCACTAAAGGCAAAGGTCGTTGGATCCTTAGGCTAAGAGCATCGGGATTGGTCAGTCGGCGAGCCTCGCATCATCTGACAGGCCCACCTGGTACAGTCAGTCATTCTCGCGGCCATTCAGTATTCTTAGAACATAATATAGTATGGGGAATAACCATAGTTGAGACGAAACAGAGTCATGTAAAAGTAAATATTCACTTCGTGTGATCATTCATCGTGGCCACGGGGATATGTGTGTGTGCCTCAGGTATAAACTGTGACGCCTGAGTCCTCAGGTGTCAATTCCCGGAACGGAACAACATCTCTCCATCTCCCAATCAAAAGACTCGAAGAACTTCATCAATCTCCATTTATTCTCCATGGGGTTGCTGGGATCACTTTCCATTCATCCGTCCATCCATGCTTCTAATCTTACTCGGTTGCATTGACTGCATACAGCCAGCGGCTAGACATGCATGTGCAGCTGATCTATCTCATCTGCAACTAATTGGCACCGCACGGCAAAACTCGCATTTACCGAATGAATATGAACTAGTTAGTAGTTGGTTTTTCAATTTACATAAATCGCATTTTCGGTTTCTGTCTTGATGCGAGTATGGAATTGGCCTATCTGCACACGCGGGAAATTTTTCCCGGGATCGTGCCAATCAGAATCTATTATGGAGGGACAATTATTGGGTTGGTTTTGGTGTTGTAGATTGTACGAGAGCTTTGTTGTAGTTAAACTGAGTACCTACGAAGAGGTTAGTTAGCTTTGAAGAATCTTAAGCATCAATTTCCCCGCTACAAATGCGGGCATCCGACCAGACTGAAAATTTTGACTTTTAAAAGTCTAGACGCCTCCGGAAAAACTCAAGTCTCTTTCCAGAACTAGAAAAACCGCTTGGGAACACATGCAGGTCAGTGCTCTTCGATTGCCGTCGTGCATTTAGAGACCATTCCATCTGATTGTGATCGTCCCATCTTCTATAGTGCATATGAAGTACAGGTACGTACCCAGCAGATCGGATTGACCAGTATACCGGATACTGTCACTGACTAGTTAGTCATTGCTAGGTTCGTGGTGATCCAGGTACATGTCAACTGGTACATCCGGCAAACTTTGGTATACGGAGACCAAAAAAAGGAAAGAAACTTCTAACCATCTAGCCCATCTAGATCCCTCTATCTTTTACCCTGATCACCTTTTTTCGTCAGACCTCCTCAACATTGTTTTTTCCTTCTTTTCTTTTTCTATATACCTGAACGGGATAATAGTCAATAATCAATACCCCTGCCGGGATTTATACTCGCAATACGGATTGTCTGCCCAGGATATCTTTATCCTTTCATTTGCCATTCGACTCTCACACACCATACTCCAGAAACTCGCATACATTCTGGACGGAGATACCCTGCGACAATAGGAAAGGAGCGCATGAACTATATATTACGTACAGGTGACAGGTATAAATAGGGCTCGGAACGACAGTCTGAGAACAATAGGATTTAAATCTCCCAAATGTCAACAGCTCCGTCGGCAAATATGCCTTCTCCTCCTCCATCACAGAATGGACGGCCAAAATATGACCAATTCATGATTTTCGGGGATTCAATAACCCAGTTCTCGTATGATCAGCGGCTAGGCTTTGGGTTTGGTGCTGCTCTAGAGAGTGGTGAGTACACTTCCGGGGTTCAAATCTGCTTTGAAAAAGGTCAGAGAGCTCTAACACGTTCGGTTTACTAGACTATGCTAGACGTCTCGATGTAGTCAATCGAGGATTTAGGTATGATCTCTAAATGGCAATATTCGGTTATTGGAACTACAGACTGACAAGTGTAGTGGGTATACGACCGCAAATGCCAGAGTTCTGTTTCCACAGATATGGCCTACATTACAGGAAGGTCGAGTCCGGTTAATGGTGATTACCCCTGTCTTTGCATAATTATGTTTATCTATGAATTGACAATAGCACAGACAATATTCTTCGGCGCAAACGACGCCGTGTTGCCACCGCATGCGCAGCAAGTTCCACTTGACCAGTACAAGGAGAACCTCAAATTCCTCATACAGCACCCATCAGTCAAGGAGCACGGCACTAAAATCATTATTCTGACCCCTCCACCAATCAATGAGTACCAATTACAGTACTTTGACGCAGAAAAGGGCTTTGATACCCCCAGTCGAACAGCTGCCAACACCAAGCTGTACGCTGATGCGTGTCGTGACGTTGCCCAGTCGCTTGGAGTGCCCGTGGCTGATATTTGGATGGCGATTATGAAGTCGACTGGGTGGGAGACTGGGCAGCCGCTGACTGGTTCCAAGGAGGTCCCTGCAAACCAACAGCTGGCGAGTATGCTGACTGATGGTGTGTCGTTTCCAGCTGATGATAAAGTCTAGATGGTTTGCTAATTTTTCGAGTATAGGTCTGCATTTCACCGGTAATGGGTATAAAGTCATGTATGAAGAAGTCATGAAGACGATACGGGCTACCTGGCCTGAAGAAGCTCCGGAGAAACTGCCAGAGGTTTTTCCACCCTGGAACATTGCTCCGAAATGAGTTTGATCAGAGTTCATGGATAATGCAGTACTTGGCGGTTTTTAAAGCGGTTAAGTTATTGGCTGTAATGATTGCTCGTTTCACCTTCTCGTGTACCTACTTGGACTTGATAACGATCACTGAGTGGATGTGTGTTCGTTGAAGAGGCTCTATATGATTGGCACTTGTTTGCCTAGGTAGCTGACTATGTGATCTCACTCGGGAAGTGGAAATTCCTGATACCCCTAAGTATCCATGGAATGAAACAGCTCGAATGGACTACTGTTTTCTGCTTTTCCCAGCAACTTTGATCCTCTCGGTACTGAAACTTTCGGACTTTTCGAGACATACACCTCAAAGCTTTATTTGCTCCTTTATTGAACTGGTTTTTATCCATACGTATCTAGATATGCGGTACTCTTAATGGAGAGCTGCTCAGAATATTTACCTAGGTAGGTATAAACAACGTCATCTAAATTCGGCTAGGACTCCTAGGTAGTTATATTGTCAGGAATCTCCCGAGGTGGCTACAATGAATCGCTCCAGGGCCAAGTATAGATGTTCAGAGAACCATACTTTGCCGGAAACTTGCCTCGAAATTACCCCATTATAGCATCTCCATCTCCATCGTTTCCGAAACTTGAAGGAAATGTGAAGACTCCCACAATGCTTGATCGTGGATAATGACAATAACACAAGGAAGAGCAGGAAATTGGAGGCAGGGCAACTGCAAAAGTCGTTTGTATTCATCCGTTCTTCAGGTGAATATAAACCCTAGCTGCGAAGCGACAGAACTTCCCACAACCCATTCCAACAGTCAGACCATCCATACAAGTCTACCTAGCACCATCATCTCCTTACTGGACATATTGCAAGCGGTTCCTGCATCAAACTTTCACGCCAAACGAGATCGACAAACATGGAGCCTGAACTTACCACCGATCCCGACGATCGAATCGACCAGGTCGCTCAATACATTACCATACTAGGCAACAAGATCGGCCAACTGGAGCAAAAAGTCAAGAACGTAGAAGGAAAGCTCACCACAATTGACCAAAATCTTGCCCACATCGACAAACGCATCGAAGACATGAGCAAAGATGTCGTTGAGCGAGACGACCAACTCGACACTCAAGATTCGCTCTGGCTCAACGTTCGTGCCGGCGAACTCGACAATGTCTGGGACCAAGTCACCAACGGACATGAAGAGGATGATATCTTCATCACACACGGAGCTGATGTCGAACTCGACATGCGCGTACTCAATCATCTCCATAATACCGACGAAGCTCGATTGGAGACTGCAGAAATCGGCTTTGAGCACTTGTATGGTTACAAATTTGATGGGGATAATGAGGAAATGATCATGGGCTCACCACAGGAGGTTCGTTCGATTATCAATATGCGTGCAAATCTGAAATTTCTTCGTGCTTGGAAGGCCAACTCTACTATGACGGATTACTTGATCGACGTATGCGATGCCATCTTGCAGCGTTGGGGCAATAGGGAAAATGTCTATTATCCGAAGTCACGGTTGAAACAAGAGTACTTGGAGCTACTAAACTCCTACAAGCAGAAGGGGGAAGACTGAATGATAGGAGGTTGCTATGGGGATATCTCTGGATGTTCGACGCTTAGGGCTGAGTAACCCTAAGGCCCAAACAGGCTGAATATTCATCTGAATTGGAATCAATCACACTCTTTTGGGATTTTCCTTCTTATACAGTACATGTACATGTAGAACCTGGCTATAACGAACAGAAAGCCTACCAGTGCCCAAGTCAATATATCTAGAAATGAGTTCAATTTAGGGATAAAGGGCACCCCTGATACATTAATCTATTTAGTATTAAGAAATCATGTGCTCTTCAGTCTTATAATAAGATTTTTAAGCTAATATTAATGGAACTGTGAGCGGCCTTCCTTTTATTATAGCCGGGTTCTACTGCAGACATGGGTCATTTCATGATTAACTTTTAGGCAGCGACAAGTCCTAGACAGTAGGCAACATGACTCATAAATAGACTGCAGAGCCCCTATCTCAAATTAATGGCCATCATCTTATTCTATCTGGCAAACAAACAGAACACAGCGATATCGACTTCGTTTTAGAATTCTGAGACAGTCTCACAATCTGGTCGGATTAAGAGAGGAAAGGCTCGAAGAGGGATTTAACAAGGAAATCGATTTGATCCTCTCTCCATGGAGGATCACACGATGGACGTGGAAAGGGACAGATTTCTCTCGGGGAGATTGAAGCTTGCGGCACTGGATATCTGGGAGTTTATTGAAGAAACAAACGAACAAGAAGGTATTCCAAGGTTGGTTCTATCGACTGGGCGTACGAGTATGTGATATGCGGCTGCGTCAACACTATTGGAGATGGAGTAAAGATATTGGAAACGCTGTCATACAAGGATGCAACTCAGAACTCGTGGACTGCCACTAGTCACATAATGGCTCCCGAATTCAATAATCAATATACCGGTGATGTGGAAGGATAGGATCTTTCTGATGCAACCAAGGACTTTATCAGTGAGACAGAAGATCTGCTGCCCAAGGTACCTACCAAAGCTTCTACCTAAGTATAGCCACACAAGTTGTGTACTCTCGCTGCACTCGAGAGGCAGAAAGGTTGGACTAAGTGTACCTAGGTAAAATAAGTATAGAGAGCTCCAGCTGATGAGAAATATATACTATTGCGATTGTCCTATAATGTATAGGACACCGCTGCCTAGTCAGATGTTTGCAAAATGCCGGGATTTGCTTGGAGGTTCGCAGTCTGTCCTGCTGAAGAAGGAGTGAATGTATACTAGAAGGTTTTAGATGGAAGACTTGCGGATATGGGAGTAGTAGGAAGAAAAGTCATTCCGTTCCGTTCCCTTCCCCACCAATTAGGTAGAATCTAGTAATAAGAACCAATTAGAAAGCACGGATTAAGATGTACCCCGCAAAAAGGTCACATGATCGCTATGGCAGATAGTTCACCCTTCATTACATACACTTCATTCCGTTCAGACATAAAGATCCTTTGCGTATACATTTCGAAACCTGTTCTTCTTCCCCGCTTTGCTTTCGTCTCAGTTCAGGATAATCAGCGCCTATTGAATCGCCGCTCCCATATCTGAAAGAATTACGGAAGTCATTCAAACTGACCCCAAGGAATTATCTCTCTACAGACGTCTGCAACATAACGAAACGAAGAACGCCACATCAGCGACGGTTTCCCAACGCCCATTATCAATAGCTTCTCAAACCACGCTTGCGATCGGCGTCATACTTAGTGGACGAATATTCGAATAAGATTTATCTTGAATGGGCCAACACTCTTAGTGAAGCAGGTCATACAGACGGGGAAGACGGCCTTTTGGCCCGGGCCGTCTCTGAGTCCTGGAGTGAGGGTGATGTGAGGAGGACAAAGGAAAAGGAACGACGTCAAGGAGGCTTTTGTGGATATTTTACACTGCATCGAAACGAATAGTGCTCTCACTTCACTTTAGGATCTGATTGAAAGGAACCGTGGTAATGGATGCGCAGTACCCGTTTGCATCTCGTGAAGATATCTGGCGCGTATTCGAAGAGGTCAAGGATTTGTATTCCACGCAGCTCGAGCACGGAGAGCGGATTTCAAGGCTGGAGCGGCGAAGGGAGGATGACGCTCGGTTGAAGAGTGTATGGGGCCCAATCTCACAGTTTCCCAGCACCATGAATGGCCCACTCACAGGTAAGCATGCCCTTTAGTATTTGCGATAAAATTCCTTCTAATAATATTCCAGAGCCTTCATACACCCCGACCGTTGACGCCTTCAAAGGTTTCGATCAAGGCCATCCTCACAGCATCGTCACGAATATGACTCTAGACAACGACGAGGAGCCACGGAGAGGTGCGTCTAGGGCCAATAGCGTTCGCTTTGATGAAAGTGCAATAAACGGGTATTACGGCCAGGTCAACCGCTCGACGACTGAGCTTCCTATTCGCACGGGAAGCGGAATGAGCAGTCATGCCCTGACTGAGCGTTCTCTGTCTCATCGCTCAGATGGTCGCCAGAGTTCCTCAGGACATTCACATCATTCTGCGCGGACTAATAGCATGGGGATTGACACTGCACGAATAGCAGGCTCAAGTGGCGGGTCGCCTGCAAGCTCGATTATGCCGCCACCCGGGTTGTTTCTGCTGGGACCTGTTCCTTGCATTATTCGTTGCTGGCTGACAACTACATTTTCTAATGACTCGTTACTGTATGCAGCTGTATGTTCCGGCTCATATACGTCTTCTCTCGGCTACGGCTTGATTGAGAAGCTCGGATATGTGGATCAGATCATTATCGAGGAAGGGCTGCGCTACATTAAGCTTCCTGTCTACCTTCCAGAAGCCAGCATTCATCAAACATCCTCTCGTGCCGGCAGTCCCTCGCCTCAGCTTCCCACTGTAACCGTCCGGTTTGTAATCCGAGATGTGGACCCAGAAGACAAGAGCATCCAAATCATCCTTGGAAGTGATGTTCTCCGATCTCACAATGCGGATATTCTCTTCTCACAGGATAAGATTATCATGGTCGATGATGACAGAAACAAGGTTTGTATTCCTCTTGTGCGACCTGAAAATGATGCAGTGTTCAAGTTTCTCAACACTGCCTCTAATGCCTTGCGGGATTTTTATTCCAAACAGCAACAATCACACGACACAGATTTACAAGCAACTGTCAATGGGAGTGATCATGGTACGATTGAGCGACCTGTTTCAAGACCTCAGGCCGGTTCCGTTACGTCTACAAAGGTGGAAGAACTTGTAGATCGCGACCGTAGCTCACGACCTACGACAAGGGACGGCGGCCAATCTGAGACTGGTACTCAATCTGCAAGAGAAGGCAGTGCATCGGTTGATCAAGAAGCGTATCCTGGTATCTCAGCCAAGACAGAGCCTGCTGGACCATGGGGATCATGGCGACGCGCAGATAGCAGTGCTATTGGCATGGCTAAATCGAACCGTGGACGAGCAATGAAGGTTCTACGACCATCAAAATCACTATCCTCCCGTGTTCCATCCACGACCTCTAACCAAGCCAATTCCACTTCTCAACCTGAATCTGCGCCATCTTCCGCTGCATTATATCAAACGGGCGAAAACATATCGGCAGCACAGACGTCTAATCCAGATCTTGTTCATCCTACCCCGAGCCGGAGCGCCAGTTTCAAGTCATCGGGAGATGGCTCATGGCCGACTACTGGCAAGAATCGAGCAAGTAACCCCATAGGAGGAGCATCAGCATTTGGTTGGCTCAATTCTTCGTAGTTTTTTAGTTTCCTCCATTGCTGCTTCTCTTTTATGGTTGCTTTTAGTTCTTAAGTTCGGGCTGGAGATGCATGGAGTACGATAAGCAGATAGTATAGATTACTATCTGATACTATTCTTGACATGAATGTATTCTAGATTTTACACTACGCTTTACAATAGCTAGTAATACTAGTCATGCGCTGATCTGGTTTTCCGCTCGACCGATGAGCTTGTTGAAATAATCTGCTTTGGAAGGTAACTAACTCAGTTAACCAGTCGTATAATAACCCTAACCCTGTTATAAGCTTCCCCGCATACAGCCGTTTACCCCAACTCAGCCTCTCCGATTTGCCCCGCATTCCTTCAGAGAGCTCTTCATAAACCTCGGGAAACATCCTGACCTTTGACAGTCTGACTCGGTCGATTGTTCTCCTCTCATTACATTGAATACATCCTCATTTATACAAGCCTACCTGAAGTTCGCAATTAGAATCTAAGAATCATGGCTAATTTGAGTGCGAGAGCGAGTCGTATCAGTGGGTTCCTCTCTAAATTCGAGTTCGCCGAGGAAAATGATAGAAGGCTAACTATCTTATCATCTAGGAAATCCGGTGCTATTGTATGCTGTCCTTGCTGTTTAGATGGACATTGGCTAATGATTGATACCCAGTATATGTGACATACAAGAAAAGTTCCGAGAACACATCTATGAGTTCCCAAAAGTGTAGGCCTCTCCCCCTAAAGGCTGTACACAAGGCATCGATTGACCGTTAATGACAGTGTATCAACGACCCAAAAACTGCTCAAAGCAAGCGCCACCCTTGAAGTGCCGGTCTACATAACAACGCAAAACAAAGCGCGACTCGGCGACACTGTGTCCGAACTACTTTCTCAAATCACCCCTGACAATGGTCAACCCGGGAACACGGTGATAGCAAACATCGACAAGACTGCATTTAGCATGTATACTCCAGATATAGTCTCTCAATACCACTCAGCTACCAAGAACAAGAGCGACAAGGACCCTGAACAGAAACTAGATGCCATCATCGTCGGTATCGAGACGCACATCTGTGTTACTCAGACAACCCTCGACTTACTCGAGGCCGGGCACAGAGTTTACATCGTCGCGGATGCGGTTAGCAGTGTGAATTCGGAGGAAAGAGGGATAGCATTGAATCGACTTCGAGACGCGGGGGCTATTGTGACGACGAGTGAGAGTTTGATTTTTGAGATGTTGAGGGATGCAAAGAGTCCCGGGTTCAAGAGTATTAATGGGTTGATTAAGGAGTATAAGGAGGATACGAAGAATGCTGTGAAGATCCTGTGTAAATATTGACTTTTTTTCTATTCTGTTCTGCCTCGGTCTACCTCGCCGTGAGTATATTGTTCTAGTTCTCTGATAATAGTACATGATTTTCGAATCTTAGCCACATTACAATTGGATTTCCTCAATTTTGGCGCGTCCATGCGCCCATGTCACATTACCTTGTGAAGCTTTACCCCATATGGAATGAACCTCATCGAGGAACGCAGGAAGGAATGACCCTGGTCCATGTACCGTGTTCTTTGCAGCTGCATTCTCAGCCGCTATTTCATACATCAATAATCCTGCGAGCACTGCGAGAAACTTGTCGTCCCGATAAGCTGCCATGTAGGCGCCGCAAACTGTGCCAATGGCACACCCAGTCTGTTTCAAACCATGGATTAGTTTATCATTTTTGTCGAACTGAAATGCATTGAGGGGATCTTACTCCTGTAGCTTTACTAAGTAATTCGTGACCATTCTTCACTGCAATAACGCGATATCCATCACTTAGGTAGTCGACTGCTCCGGTAAGAAGGACAATATTTCCTAGTGAAACCCATTGTCAGCGATACCAGGTCCATTACTGGGTGGTCAAATACATACGCTCCCTACGTGCTAGATCTCTAGCCAAGGTAGCCTTTTCCACATCATTCAACGAACTCGGTCCACTATCGACACCCCGCTGCGTAAGATTGCTCGTATTTCCATAGACCTGCCGTATTTCTCGCTCGTTCCCTTTAATGAGATCAAAGTAGCCGCCAGCCATCAACGTCTTGACCGCATCTCGGCGGATTGCGGTGGCTCCAGCACCAACGGGATCGAGGACGACGGGGTTGCCGTTGGTATTATATGCTTTGATTGCTTTGAGATATTCCCCAATGCTTGCGCTGGTCAGTGTGCCCATGTTGATGACTAGGCCGCCTCTGTGGACGGCGAGGTCTTTTGCTTCATCGCCGTATTGGGACATTATGGGTGATAGACCGCTGTAGAATTCAAATATCAGTAACAATCAATGCGAAAAAAGAGTGGGAAGTCATACGCTGAGATAGCCACATTCGCAACAAAATTTGCAACAACAAAATTTATCATGCTGTGGACGATAGGGTGACAGTTCACCACCTTTTGAACCACTTCCGGAACAGCCGCAGCCAGTGCGCCCGCATCGACAGACGAAGAGATCTCAGGGCTTCCTGTAATGAAAGGCGGCGGTATAGCTATAGCCTGTTTGAATTGTTCCGCAACTGACTTGGGATCGTCTGCCGCGATGATTGCGCTGACTATAGCTACGCCATCGAGGGCCTTGTTTTGCCCTGCTGATTGGTACAGTACCCGTTGCACATTGGACAGATTGATGCCTCCGATTGCGACTGTGCCAACAGTGCGATTGAGACGGCTGATACTATCAAGTATGGTCTTTACACCTGCTGTGCCAATGATGTTTTTTGTATTTGTTTTCCTATCAATCTTCTTAGTCTCCTACACAGTTCAAAAAGGCATCTTATTATCGTGGTTGGATACTCACGTCGGAGTGGCAAACAACGTGCCAATGCCTAGATAATCAGCCCCTTCTTCAACAGCCTTCACGGCCTCTTCGACCGATGATGCACTGATTCCGACAATGGCGTCTTTGCTCAGAATCTTCTTGGCGGCAGTTATTGCTGTAGCAATGCATTAATGACACTGTTTCTAAGACCCAAAATGACAGAGATTCCTACACATATCATCTTGTCCCAGATGCACACCCTCAGCACCAGACGCCATAGCGACATCCACACGGTCATTTATAATAAGAGGAACATTGTATCGTTTCGTAATCTCATGAAGCCTCGTAGCTGTTTCCACGAGAAGTCCTGTGTCACTCGTTTTGTCTCTGTATTGGACGATAGTAACTCCTGTATGGCATCAATGAATTGCACATTGCTCATGATTCATGCTGATAACTTACCACCCTTACACGCCTCCTCAACAACTTTGTAGATATCTCGGCTTCCGAGTATCGCAGATGTAGAGTCTGTGACTAAGTAAAGACTGAGGTCGAGCGTCATGGTGCTCATATCAACCGTGGCTGTACCAATTGAATAGCTTTGTACTTTTCCGAGGATGCCAGTCTATGATCAGAACAACAAGATATGAATGACAAAATAGATGGTCCTGAATGGCAGTCGTGATAACCCTAAGTCCGGGATATGAATCTGTTGACAACGGGTCAGCATGTCTCAGCACAAATGAGTGAGCATATCAATGATTAACTCCGTCAATCCCAAGTCCCGTATATGTGAATTTGAGCAACATCTTTTCGATACCACTAGTCTCACAGATGGGCAACTGCTATATCGCTATCAGATATACCCCGCCATACTTCGGAGCAAGTCATATCGTGATGCAGAAAACTAGAATCCGACTGAACTTACATACAAAAAAGCCAAAGTACCTGTCGCTAATCGAATATCAACAATAGATTGTTTATGTCCAATGAGCAGGTCTCATAGATTGTTGTGCAAGTCTTCGATCTTTGCAAATTCCCCCACTACGAAAAGCGTCGTAAAATAAATTACCATAATACATGTTCTAATTTAGCATACGGAGGTAGTTACTTGTTTGGGTAAGTACAAAAGATTTTATGGCCAAAATTTCGAAAATTCAGTTGCCGTCTTCCCGAGAAGTCAGCTGACGTACGTAATTTTTCGAGTCGTGTATTTTATTGTTGCTAAAGTCCTAACAAATTCGATCACGTACTGGTATTCGCCAATTACGAATTTCCCTGTAATTGGTAATTAAAATACGTGGGCGCATCCTAGCCACTGATTGGCCACGCGGCGTTAGGCGATGGCGGCCGTTGTTGCCTTTTTCTTACTCACTCCATTTTTGTTTCTCTTACAAATATTCCTCTTCCTTACACACAGATTGGAAAGCATCATTCTTCCTACACCCATCCCAAAAACCTATAATCGCCATCAGTGTTGACTTAAAGTCATCTCGCTACAGCAGTGCGTATCCAGCCAGCCCACATTCACCCAACCCATTTCCCGTATTCATCCATCCGAGTCGAATTCGTCAACATTCTGACCCTCTCTTGTCTTCCAGATTCGCTCGATTCTGCTCACTTTCATCAAAAGCCATCCCCGTTGGTTTTTGGACTCCCATCAAATTCCGTCGCAACGTTTACTGCCAGCGAACAAAGACAGCTCGAGGTCGAGAGTCTGTTCATGTATTCGCCCTCCGTCAACGCTTTTGAACACCATTTGCCGCTTAAGCTGCATACGTTTCGCTACGTGCGGAAACCGTGTAGTATACACTCCAGATCCTGTGGTTGAACCGTTGTGGCCGTCGATTACTAGACGTTCATCATTCTCATTAAGTTTCTTGCAAATTTTGAGGTACAATTTTACCGCATGTATCTTTGCGATCGAACGATTTTCGTTGTGTCTTCTGTCGTCCGCTTTTCGCACAAACCGCCCATTCTCGCTCCTTGCAAAAGTTTCTTAGTTTAAGATCTCCAATTCGACACCATGGCTACCGTCAACGTTCGTCGGGATGTTACCGATCCCTTTTACCGTTACAAGATGGAGAAGCTCCAAGCCAAGATCGAGGGTAAAGGTAACGGTATCAAGACCGTCGTTGTGAACTTGAACACCGTCGCCCAATCCCTTGCCCGTCCTCCGGAGTACGTTATCAAGTACTTCGGTTTCGAAATTGGAGCCCAGGCCAACGCAAAGCCCACTGATGACCGCTGGATCATTAACGGTGCTCACGATGCTCCTAAGCTTCAGGACTTGTTGGATGGTTTCATTGACAAATTCGTTCTCTGCAAGAAGTGCAAGAACCCTGAAACCGAAGTCATCCTCAAGGACAACCGTATCACTCTTGACTGCAAGGCCTGCGGCCAGCGATCTGAGGTTGATCCCCGTCTCAAGCTAAGCACTTTCATCTTGAGAAAAACCCCTACCAAGGGCGGTAAAAAGGACAAGAAATCTCGTCGTGACAAGAAGAAAGAGAAAGACGAAACCAATGGAGAAAAGAATGGCAGCCCAGGAGAGAGCAATGCTTCTGACGAAGGCGAAAATGGCGATGTCGAAATCCCAGCTGGTAGTGACGACGAGATCGTCGCTGGTGCTGAGAAGATCAACATCCAGGATGAGAATGAGGAAGAGGTTCAGTGGTCCGTCGATGTCTCCGAGGAAGCCGTCAAGGCCCGTGCTAAGGACTTGCCCGACGATCTCAAGCGAACCTTGATCTTGGAAGGCGGCGAGGATGAGGATGAAGAAGGCGGTGCTACCATCTACGATCAGCTCGGAAGTTGGATCATCAAGGAGGCTGAAGAGAAAGGCGGCGTCGCCAACGTCAGCGACATCGACATCTACATGAAGGCTAAGGACCTGGGCATTGAAAACAAGCATAAGACTTTAACTGTGCTTGCTCAGACCATCTTTGACGAGAAGATTGTCAAACAGATTCCATCTCGTGCTGGCATGCTCAAGAAGTTGATCACTTCCGAGCGCCATGAGAAGGCCTTCCTCGGTGGTACTGAGCGTTTCGTAGGCAAGGACCATCCTGAGCTCATCTCTCAAGTACCGGCTATCCTTCTCGGATACTATCAGAACGATCTTGTTTCTGAGGATGTCCTCACCGCTTGGGGCAGCAAGGCCAGCAAGAAGTATGTCGATCCTTCTACCAGCCGAAAGGTTCGCAAGGCTGCTGAAAAGTTTCTCGAGTGGCTCTCGACTGCCGACAGCGATGAGAGTGAAGAAGAGTCTGAGTAAAATCGCTCGATTCACTCAATTAAGAGCAGCTATCACGTAGCACACTACACTCATTTGTTGTCAATGTGTTTCGAGTGTTCTGTCTTTACACGCCAAATCTGACTTGATTTTGTTTGCCTTGCTGTGTTTTGCTGTCCGCACACGATGACAATTCAGTTGATTACTATATTAACTATTATGTTTGAGTTGATTTCCACCAAAGCAATTAACTCAACTTATCAATCAAATTTCTCCACTCACTTTGAGTATATACAATAACGATTCGTAATCCTTCGTATTCGGATGTCCACTTTTAGAAGACTAGAGTTATACAGCTTCCACAGACGCAAATTTCCATCTCCCTCTCTTAGCAGCATCATCATTAAACCTCTCCAACTCCTTCCGCAATCGCCACCTATCCCCGTTTCGCGATCTCGTGGTAGAGGCTGACGATGTGGTCGTAGTAGTCAACAACCCTTGCCAAAAGATAAACCACGTTAAATCCTTATTCCACGCTTCCATGGCTTGTAACGCGTTACTAACAAGGTGCATATCCCCGTTACCGCTTGCGGCATGTTGTTTCTGTACAGCCTGCTCCTGCTGTTGTTGTGGTGGATGCCGATGGTAATAATCAAAGTAATACCTGGCCCCGACGAATTTCGTGATCCATTCTCCGATGAATTCGGCCAGTTCGTCGCCGATGGCCAGTGGGACTCGTACATGAGCGAGAATATTCACGAATAGTATTAGGAGAGAGCGCCAGAGGATATGATGTTGTGTGAAAGAGCGTGTGGTAGTATTCGACAAACTCAGGTCTGGGTTGTTAGGTTTGAGTAGATCTTTTGATATCTGTGGTGCTGGGGGTCGCCGGTTTTGACGCTCGAGGGTCTTCTCTGCATCAATGAGGACTTTTTTCCAGTTTTCGAGGTATAATCGGCGCCAGCGGGGGAATTCGGTCGCCACGCGTGAGGACATGAAGTCACCTGCTAGTTCGCACATGCTTGTCACTGCGTCGCAGGCCGCGGTGGTGACGTATGTTTCTTCTTTGATGATGCTGTGATCTTCTGGTTTGGGGTTGGTTGTTGCTCGAGAGATAATATCCGTTGATGAGGAGCTTGTCGTTGTTTCGAGATATATGGACGTAGTTGCGGCAGAAGGAGGAGCAATCCGTCCACTTACTGGCGGCCATAGCTCGTTGATAAGTGGGAGAAAACTGGTCTGATTCTTCGACAAAATGGGTAAAGCCTTGTTGAGAAGGGAAAGAAGTGATCTCCTCAGGAACGGGGACGGTGAGCCAAGATGTGGAGGTACAGATTTGACTATTTGCAAAAGTAAATTGTGTGATTTGCTGAGAGGTTTAGGGGCGTCTTCTGGATCTTTCGGCGTAGGAAGAGATTCGTCGGCTTCATCGAGAGGGTTCGCGTTCGCATTGTTGAGAAGTCCTTCAATATCGTCGTCTCCTTTGGGAAGTGGAGGTCCATCTAATTCTCGTGTCCAGGGGCGTTGAGGGTGCGATACTCGTTCTTCGTCTAACATGGTATCCATTTCTTCGATACGTGCTCGTTTAGTTTTTCTCTGAGCAATATCTTCCACTAATCTGGCGACTGATAATGGTTCATATGCTTGTTTTGTATGTTCCAAAAGGTTTTCCTGTCCATCCTCAGTGATAGCCAGTAGTTCAGGAGTCTTACTACCTTCTTCGACAATCGCGGCAAGACTCGAATAGAGTAAGTCAACAAGTTTTGGATAACCATGATACATGTCAAGAATGCCAAAAATCGAGCGAACCAGATCATCTAGGTATGGTATAAGACCAGCCCCAGAAAGTTTGACCATCATCAAAAGGACCTGTGGAGGATAGGGCGAGACGTCGAATGTATTGAGCTTGAGCGCCACTGAATTGACAAGATAGTCAACATTCCCGATCAGCATTGCGCGAGTATCTGGATAATTGCAGGATCGTGTGATTATGTTCAAACACGCCATCGCGTGGGTTTGTAAGTTTGGGTTGTTCGAGGCGAGGAATTGAAGGACAGGGTACAAGGCATCTATCAACTCTGGCCGAAAATCTTCTTTCAGTTGTTGGGCTTGTAGAGCCACGGCCTCTAATGCAAGTGCAGAGACCCTCCAATCTCTTGGATCGATCGTTGGTGGTTCATTCAAAACTGGAAGTGCAATGGAATACAGTTCCTCAATCATTGTCGTACGAGACGAGAGAGTAGCAGATGTGTCAAAGGTCAGGAACTCGTCAATGCCATTCGGTGCTTCAGATCGTAAGAACTGCAAGGCCAGCCACAAAGGTGCAACGACAGCATCACCCGAAGCTTGATGGACCTGATTTATAATATATCTAGTGATAGCTTCGCCCGACTGTGTATGACTGAGCCTTGTGACCATGGATGTCATATCTGTCAGTGTCTGCTGCTGACTGCGGTGTTCCAGAAGTACTGGCGGAAATGTCTGCAACGCGTTTTGTTTGCCTATAACAGCGAGCTCCAAACCCCCCGAAGAAGGACGCACGGCCATAGGCGCGGACTTTGATGATCGAACTACTGCCGCGACACTATCACAGAGTCCGATCGCGACGTTACTCTCTAGTAAAGCCGAACTTGACTGTACCTGAGAAAGAATTTGAAAAGCAATGGTGATTTGTTTGATAGCCCTTTGCTTTGCAGCTTCGTCGTTGCTCTGCATGATCCTCTGGAAGGAAGTCGTCCATATATGAAGTAGTTCCTTGAGCACATCCACAGTTTGGCTCCGCACTGTGGCTAGATGGATCAATGAGGTATAAGCATTATTTGGAGCATCGCCATCGTCAGCATCCGAGAGAACCACCATGGTCTCAACGATAAGAGACAAAGAGTCCTTCAAAGACTTCGAGCATTCTTCAATTACCATCACGCAAAGATTGAGAAGAGCATCGCGCACTGCTTGCCGTTCATGCTGTCTAACTTGAACGACGTTTGCTAGGGCAAGCTTGATTTGTCCGGTTGTCGCTTTGAGCCATGACTCGTCGAGAACCAATTTGTCACTTGATTCATTTTTATGTTGTTCTCCATACACAGTGTTATCATTGAGAACAGCCCGAAGAATACTTTCTAATAACTGAAGGGATCCATCCAGGACTTTGAAGCTCCTCCGCGCTCTAGTGGTTGGTTTTACAATCTTTGTCAAAGCTGAGACGACACGAGGCATGATGCTTGCCAGAATTACTCTATCAGTAACCCGACTGAGAAGAGAACGAAGTGCTGATAGTGCTGATATTTGGACGGCAGTCGAAGCCCCTTCTGAAAGGCCTTCTAAAAGCAGATAAACAGTTTGGTCGATGATAGTAGCGGAACCGATTTCATTGAAAATAGTCTTCTCGGCCACTGGTCCTTGGAGCACCTGAAAGATAGCATCCATACATTCGAAGCTTGCGACTGATAGCTCTTCCGAGTCTGGTCTTAGAACGGCTTGCCCTCGATTCTGGGCCGGTGTGCCTCCAATCAAAATGGTCATGAGAATGAGCAATTGTTTCCCCATTTCCGGGGCCAGCTGAGCTCGCCATCCCTTCGCGACAAGGACTGTAATGCATTTGACAGCAGCCTCTAGACATCTTTGAGGTAGAGTTTGTGCTTGGTTGAACACTTGCGACAGAGGGAAGAACACATACTCGGCAAGTTTTGCGTCCAGTGCATCCCCACTTCCTAATGGTTCGAGCACGGCGTACAAGCCGTCTAGTGCTTTTTGAACATCACTAGGATGGTTCTGGAGTGTACGAAAGCTCAAAGCTGCGGAGCTGAGCTCAACACATACAGGGCGAAGCTTTATGAGATGAAGTTAGAAGCATTTCGATACATTGAAGAAGCGAAAGCATACCTTCCTGAACGTCTCCTGTCTCTGGGCCTCCATTTGATGGTGCCTAATCCATATACCCAACGTGGCTTAATACTTCAGTTATTGTTGTCGTCAATGACACATTTTATCTTAGAAATATGCGTAGATATTCACTGAAGTTGTTAGATTCAAACAGTTCATCTCCATCTAATCCGCCGCATTTTCTGCCGCATTTATACCTAGGCGGTCTATATATAGCTGACCGCCTTCATCATAGTGTTGAGCTTTCCTGTAATGACATCTGGAATTATTTACAGATCAGTCGAAGGACATATCTTTTGAGAGATCTCAGAGAATCCGCTCAAATCACACGATTACATGCATTCTATCGATGACCTGCTTTGTTGACCTGTCCGCCGATTCCCCCGGCAGCTGTCCACGTGACGCTATAACTAATTAACGCGTCACTTCACGCGTCTTTGGAAAGTTTAGCCCGTTCCCACAGGATACAGCCTCATTCCGCTTGAAAGCCATCACCCACTACATTGTTCGGATAATTTCGATTCGGCATTGGTTTCTACTTAATCATCCCAAGGTTTTCTATGCGGCAATTCTTGCGTTCCTCTGTCCTGCATTGGCCTTCCACCAATTCGAGGAATCGCGGTTCACTTACGAGCCTATTCACGAGACCATACGATTTCATTCATGCGACTACAGTAGTAAATATTTCAAGGACCAGTCATCGAGCGGTTCAATTTCGCGACATTTCAGTTTGGACGCGTCGTCCAAAATTAGATATGCCTGAAAAGACTGGCACGAGGCAAGCTACGCTTGGGTATGTCAGAGATCCTCAGGCGACGATCTGGTGCGTGGATGTTGTCGCCGTACTGCCAGATGATACTGTTAGTCGCAATTACTGATTACGGCTAACGAAATATCACAAATGAATAGGAAATTCTTCGGGTCAGACAGACAAACGTCCTCAGATGCCACGAAACGCCAAACTACACTGTCCTTTTCCAATGGGAACAAGAGAAAAGAAGCAACTACCAGTGAGAAAGCTGTGGCCGAATCAAAAGATACTGAAGGACAAGATGACGTGGAAATAAACGGAGATGCACCGGTGGCCAAGGATGAGCCCACGTCACCTACAAAAGGTGTCAAGCGCGAGCAGTTTGTGGAAGCTGAAGAGAGCGACTCGGATATCCAGTCTGCCAACAAGAGACGAAAGAAGAACTCGAAAAGCCCACGGCCGAAGAAGACTGCCAAGGAGGTTCTCGCCGAGCGTCCGTCGTCGCCCAAGATAGCGAAAAAGGCCTCTGGAGAAGTGACTCCTGTAGAAGAAGACATAGATGAACCTGCAGAGGAGCCATCGGCCAGCGAAGAAGAAGATGATGAGAAACCAGAAATCAAGAAGAAGCAAATTGAAAAGATTCAAGCAACTTTGAAGAGTACCGGCAATGATCCGTATCCTGACTGGAGGGCGGGGGAACCTGTCCCATATGCTGCACTGTGCACGACGTTTTCTCTCATTGAAATGACAACTAAGCGCTTGATAATTCTAGCGCATGCGTCACTATTCCTACGTCAAGTACTAAGACTCACTCCGGAAGATCTGTTGCCAACCGTTCAATTGATGATTAACAAACTGGCAGCCGACTACGCTGGCATTGAACTGGGTATTGGAGAGTCTTTGATCATGAAGTCAATTGGAGAAACTACCGGACGAAGCTTGTCTGTTATCAAAGCTGACCAGCATGAGATTGGAGATTTGGGTCTGGTTGCGGCAAAGAGTAGACTAAACCAGCCTACGATGTTCAAACCAAAGCCATTGACAGTCAGGGGCGTCCATGAAGGGCTACTCGCGATTGCCAAGGTCCAAGGTCATGGATCCCAGGATAAGAAGATCTCGGGTATAAAGAAACTTCTGTCAGCGGCAGATTCGGCCATCGCAGGCAAGGGAGCTAAGGGAGTGGATATCAAGCAGAATAAAGGAGGTCCAAGTGAAGCCAAATTTCTCATCAGGTTTCTCGAAGGAAAGCTAAGACTTGGATTGGCTGAAAAAACGGTTCTCGTTGCTCTCGCGCAGGCAGTAGTCACTCATGAAGCAGCCCTCAAAGGCGAAAAGTCTCCAAGCGCTGAGCGTCTGGCCCAGGGAGAGTCTGTACTAAAGCAGGTGTACAGCGAACTTCCAGCCTATGAAGTTATCATTCCCGCTATGCTGAAGGAGGGGATCTTCAACTTACCAAAAGTCTGCAAGCTACAACCTGGTGTTCCGTTGAAGCCCATGTTGGCGAAGCCAACTAAATCCATCACCGAGGTGCTGGACAGATTCGAGGGCAAGGAATTCACATGCGAGTACAAATATGATGGCGAACGAGCTCAAATTCACTATGTGTCTCCGGACTCGATCCATCAGTACCCGAATGCGACTGCTACTCTTCAGAAGGATGCCAAGGGTCTCAGCTCGATCTTCTCGCGAAATTCAGAAGATTTATCCAAGAAGTATCCCGATATTCTAGCAAAACTGGATACCTGGATTAAGCCAGGCGTTACCAGCTTCGTCCTTGACTGTGAAACGGTTGCGTGGGATATGGCAAACAAAAAGGTTCTTCCCTTTCAGCAACTCATGACCCGTAAACGAAAGGATGTCAAGGCTGAAGATGTCAAAGTCAAGGTCTGTGTCTTTGCATTTGATCTACTCTTCTTAAATGGCGAGCCCACAGTCAAAAAGTCTCTCCGCGAGCGTCGCCAGCTCCTGCATGAGTCTTTCCATCCCACGGAGGGAGAGTTTGCATTTGCTGAACATTCCAACACCAACGAGCTCGATGAAATCCAGAGTCTTCTGGAAGAGAGTGTTAAATCCTCATGCGAGGGTCTGATGGTCAAGATGCTGGATACAGAGGAGAGTGGCTATGAACCTAGTAAACGAAGTCGGAATTGGCTCAAGGTAAGTTTGCATAGCAATATCTTGTTTTTATTTCTCTAACAAATACTGCAGGTTAAAAAAGATTACCTTTCAGGTCTCGGAGACTCTCTGGACCTCGTCGTCCTAGGAGCATACTTTGGCCGAGGAAAGCGAACATCAGTCTACGGGGCTTTCCTATTAGCAGCATACAACTCTAGCAAACAGACTTTCGAAACTATATGTAACATCGGTACGGGCTTTTCGGAAGCCTTACTGGAAGAGTTGCACAAAGAACTCTCTCCCCTCGCCATCGACCGTCCCAAGCCCTTCTACGAACACTCCACAGTCCCCAAAGAACAGCCAGACGTCTGGTTCGAGCCTCGCCTAGTATGGGAAATCAAAGCTGCGGATCTTACCCTCAGTCCACGTTACAAGGCTGCATCGGACGAGGTTGTGGGAACATCCGGTGCTGGGAAGGGTATTTCGCTGCGTTTCCCTCGATATATCAAAGCGCGTGATGACAAGAAACCTGAGCAGGCGACTACTACCCGAGCCGTGGCGGATATGTATCGCCGACAGGAAGCTGTGGTCAAGGAGAGTGCTGGGAAGGGAGGTGTTGACGATGACTTTGAGTATTAGTGTTTCCTGGTATCTGGGTACATCTGTGTCTATTTGTATGATTGCATCGAAGAAAGATTGTCGACGAGACTAATTGGTACCAACATGTGATTTTTCCGTAAGTACAAGCATGAACACGTGCTGCCAGGGGTCGCTTAGGTTACCCTGCAGTACCCAGACCTTCCCTATCGTTTTAGCCCCGGGACAAGCTATGCACTGACTAAACTAGCGGCCGCACTGGCCGCGTGGGCAGTTAAGCCTTTTAAGGCATCTTGACATGCCACGCGATGCACGTGTATTCAGGCACCGTCGATTATTTGTTAGATCGAGATGTAGTCTCGATCTCGCTTCACGATGGAGATTAATTAATTGAAGGGTTTAAGCGACTACAACCCGTATATAACTAACCGACTCTCTTCTTTCCACTCTTCACCATGAAGTTCCAGTCCATCCGGAAAATTTCAAAATGGAGCGCGGATTGAAAGCGTCTATACTGTTGGCCACCATTGTGTGCGCCTCAGTCTCTACAGCCAAGTCCGAATGTACCGATAAAACTGCTCCCATGCAGATGCGTCTGGCATATGCTGGAGACCGCGGCATGACCGTCAGCTGGAATACCTACTCCAAGCTGGACCATCCCTCTGTTCGATACGGACTGCATCCTGATTCCCTTGATCGCAAGGCAGTTTCCGATGTGTCGGTCACTTATCCTACCTCCACCACCTACAACAATCATGTCAAGATCAATGGTCTCAAACCAGATACTCTGTATTACTACCAGCCGCAGTGTGGCAATTCCAGCCAGATCTATAGCATGAAAACTGCTCGTCCGGTTGGTGATAGCACCCCGTTCACCATTGCCGTGGCTGGTGATATGGGGCTGATTGGTCCTGACGGTTTGACGACCACTACTGGTCCTAATGGAGGCACTGCACCCCTCGGTCCCGGTGACAACAACACCATTCAGTCGATGGAGTCGCTGAAGTCTGAATGGGACTTTTTCTGGCACCGTGAGTACCAATCACGATTTTATCATCTGATTGAGCTAATTGGGTTATACAGCTGGTGACATTGCCTACGCCGATTATTGGCTGAAGGAGGAAGCTCAGGGTTTTCTTCCCAACTACACCGTCGCCGACGGTCAAGCACTGTATGAGAAGTTCTTGAATGAATATTTCGATGAGATGACTGCTCTTACTGCCGATCGTCCTTATATGGTTGGACCTGGCAACCACGATTCCAACTGTAAGCATCTCTCACGTGATTCCAAGTCAGCAAGCAAACATGAAGAGCACTTCAGGTCTCTGAAGTCTACCTAGGTATAATTCAAGCTGACATAAATTTCCTCGACTATAATATAGGTGACAACGGTGGTACAACCAGCAACGGTGTCGCCTACAACATCAGCATCTGCCCCGTCGGCCAAACCAACTTTACTGGTTTCCGTAACCATTATCGCATGCCTAGCCAGGAGTCCAGCGGCGTTGAAAATTTCTGGTACTCCTTCAATCACGGCATGGTTCACTTCATCCAGTTGAACACCGAGACCGACATTGGCGGTGGCTTCGTTGCTCCTGACGAGCCTGGTGGTTCTGAGGGCATGAATTCGGGTCCCTTTGGATCTTATCCAAATGAACAGCTTGACTGGCTCAAGAATGATCTGGAGAGTGTGGATCGTAGCAAGACCCCTTGGGTTATTGCCGGTAAGATCTTTTCCCGTGATCTTATTCTTGACTTGGCCATCATCTAACATTATTAAAAACAGCCGTCCATCGCCCTTGGTACGTAAGTGCCAAAAACACTAGCGGCAGCATCTGCACCATCTGCAAAGACGTCTTTGAGCCCTTACTCGTCGAATACGGCGTTGATCTCGTCATGCAAGCTCACACCCACTATTACGAGCGCAATCAGCCCCTGAACAACTATGTCATTGACCCCGCGGGCCTCAACAATCCTCAGTCTCCATGGTATATCACGAGCGCTGCACCAGGCCACTACGATGGTTTGGACAGTCTTGTCCGTCCTCTTAAGCCTTATGTGGTTTATGCTCAGGATACTGCTTATGGATGGAGCAAGATTACCTTCCATAACTGCTCGCATATGACTCATGAGTTTGTGGCTAGTCGGAATAATACTATCCTTGACACTGCTACGCTTTTCAAGGATCGCAAGTGCGAGCCTGGGACTGGTGGCGACGATGGTGGTGACGACACCTGCGAAATCTAAGCATAAGAATCGAGGGCTGTTGAAGCTCGACGGGGACGCATAACATCTCTTTTTCTTTTCTTCTTTTTCTCTCAGGATTCCGAGCCGTGCAGTTGACGGATTGACTTGGTCCATCTCTTCCTTTTTGATATTAGACCTTTCTTCCTTCTCTGAGATCTTCCCTTTTGTCTACTTGTGTAATATTACTGACCTCCAATATGGATGTGACTGGATACCAGTCATGGTAATACAGGCTCAGATATTTGTATATATCATTATATTATTGCAATTATTGTAACTGATATTTCTCTGCAACCGCAGCATTTTCAACCAACCAATATTAATCAAAGAGGTTACCCAAATCTAGACCAGTGCCAAACACCGCGCAATTCTCCCAGATCGAAAAATGATTTGAAACAAAAGCATTTCGTCGTGAGCAAAAAACAAACACCGGGACCATCCATCTACCCCATGTACATGGATTATGTGATATAGTTGAAAATATGAAAAGGTCAAATAAGAGATAGAAAATCGTGACGATATGAATTATTCCTCGACAAACTTTCTCTTCACACCGTTCCCATTCGAGACTCCTCCTGATGAGCCCGATCCGGCTGCTGCTTGTACTGACGGAGGAGGCCCAGGTTTCCTCTCAGCCTGCATAGCAGCCGCCTGCCTCTTCTTCCAAGCCGCCTTGATCGCCGGGGCAGCACGAATGAGATCTTCCTCTGTGACATGATCCTGAATCGACTCTAGAACTTTCTCCACTGTCGAAATATGGTTCGCATCCTTCTTATCCTCCCGGAAACGCATATATCGCCATCGTCCACGATCGTCTTGGTAACATTCAACTATTATATCATCCAGCGGTATTTGAAGAGCTTTGAGTGCTTCCCATTCCGATTGCGTAACGTGCATCTCGCTAAAGATGCGGTGTTCATTATTATTATGAAGTACAAAAAGATGGAAAATCGGCATAGCATCGTAATCGTAATACGGCTCAACAATCCCATCCGCCTCGTCATCCGTATCCGGCTCCAAAAGCGGGAATTCAAGCCTCATCCGAAAATCGATCGTATTCTCTGATGGTGGTTTCCACTTCAATATATGCTCATCCGTACCGATTTTGTAAGGTGTGCTTCGACATGTGAAAATCAACCCGTCATTTCCGTGAATTTTCTTCACTTTGGGGATAATTTCGCGAAACATCATCTCGATACCGTAACTGAATTGAGTCGATTTATCCTCCACGGCGAATATTCGATGTTGTTTCTCTTCGGGGTATTTCTTGTACATGGCGTTATAAGGTTTGAGGACGTTTTCCTTGAAATATGCCAGTCGTTTGTCCAGTGTTCGATGCATAAGACTCTTCCCGTCGAGAACCATGCAGTCAAAGACGAGATATTTCAACTGCGTGGACCCATCCTCATAGGTATCAAGCACCAACTCTCCATCCACAAGCGTGCCCACATGAAAGGACTGAAAAGTGTCATCATTCGGTAACGGGAAATGCAACTGCGGCACATATCGATAATCATTCTTCCGATCAATCAAATAATGAACCTCAGGTGTATCGGAATCAGGGTCCCCGCTAGTAAAGTACATCAAACACCTGATACCGTCCGTCTTTTCACACACGTAGTAATCTTCCTTTTGGAGTTCGATCAGGTGTTTTGCGGAGAAGGAGACTGGTTGCGCGCCGGGGAAGCTTGTGCTTTTGCGGTCGAGGAGTTCTGCGACTTCGCGACGGAATTGTTCTGCGAGTTCGGGCTCGGCTTTAATGCCTATTTCATCGAGGTCGGGGACTGGGTGGCCCATTTTGTTGTTGTGTAGTCTTTTCAGTAAGTGTTATATGTCTGAGGTGTGTGCGAGGTTTGATCTCGGCCAAGTCCAGTATCTGAAAAAGTAACGACCGAAGTTTGAACCGAGCTGCTAAGAAGACAAAGTCAAATATTCCATCGCAGCTGCGTTTGTCAAAAGAAGTTATAATAAGTGAGTGTAATCTGTCGGCGGGAGTTGTAGCGTTCATTGAGTAATGTTCAGACTGAAGTTGGGGAAGCTTCATGTTGAAGTTCCGAATTCTTTGTTGCCTCAAATCTCGGGCATCAATCGGCTTTGTGTCGGCCACTACTTTGTGATATCTAACAGGCTCATGTCCCGCATTGTTTACAATCAAGCAATTGATAAATAAAATATCATTTCTAGAATACAGAATAAAATAAAGATACATCAGTGCGTATGTAGGGTATCATATGTTCGTCGAAATCAGACCACCGCCCGTAAACGCCCCAAACTGTACATAACCCAATAACAATAATACAGCCAAAAACAAGAGTGAGAAAGAGGGACAGCATAAGTCATCATCAGGTCACGCTAAGATGTAGCTGCCACAGCTGTCTTTGGTGTAGTGGCTACATTCGCAGGACGGTTAACGGGTGTTGCCTGAGGATTGGCCTGTTTCTTTGACACATCTCCTGCAGCAGAAGAGTCCTGTAGAGTAGACGACGCTGTGGCAGTAGCAGTACCCATAGTCGGACTCTCAGTCTGAAAGAGTCCATTTGTTTCTCCGTTCGTCGCCGGTCCGGTAGAGAATAGACCTCCTCCGCGAGCGCCGCCGAGGACGTTTGACAACATTTCCTTCATACGCACGTAATGATACTTCTTGCGTGTTGGTATCAGCGTATGAACAGCTAGTGGTGTCGGATGTGACCGCGAAATAGCAGCCATGACGGCATCGCGCTCTTCGTCCGAGTCAACAGGACCGTTGTTCTCAAAATCATCTTGTAGAGGAGCATTGGCATCAATCGCAGCTTCTATAATCAAGTTAGTACCAATACGCAAATTTAAGGTACAAAAAGAGAGCCTGACTTTGTTGACGAGCTTGATTCTTCTTCTGATAAGCTTGCAAAAGCATATCATACGGTAGTGAACGACCAGGAACCGCACGCTTCGCACCCATAGAATGGCTCTTGCAAGTAAGCGATCTCGCACACATCGACCCATTCGGCAACAGAACACCACATTGCTTCTCAACATCCACCGGACCCTTGGGTTTAGGTACTTTTGGTTTAGGCTCTTCCTTCTTTTTCTTCTTTTTCGGTTCTTTACCATCCTTCTCATCTTCGCCATCTGCCGCTTTGCGTTTCTTGCCTTTCTTCGGTCCATCGTCTGCCATTCCCTTTACCGCGCCCTTTTTAGCGGTCTTTTGCCCCTTGATTCCGTCGTCATCTTTATCGTCATCTTCACCGTCCTTACTATCGGCGATCTTGGCTTGATTTTTTGCATCACGAGCCTCTTTCTTTTTACGCGCTTTCTCCTGTTTAGCCTTTAAGCATTCTCGGATGTGTTCCACAGCGGTGGTTTTTAGTTGTGGTCTTTTGCAATGTTTGCAAATCACGGTCTCGAGTTCTTCTTCTCGTGGTTTTCCAGATGGGAAGGCTGCGATCGTTTTGGCGTCCATTTGCGGAAGGACGGGGGAGCCACCGGGCGATCCTGAAGCGTCGACATCCTCTATACAATAGTACACCAAGTAATTAATACTGCAGCCCAGAAGATCGAGACAGAGCGCGAGATGCTCACCTTGCGGTTCAGACTTATTCCCTGTCTTGGCGCCCTTCCCAGCCTGCTTCTTCAACTTGATTTTGCCAGGTTTGGTATCTTTCTCTGAGAACTTGTACCCTGACGCGTCCACAAAATTGATACTCGCTATACACTCGCAATAAAAAAAATATTAGCATGACCAAACTTCCTCGAGCCGGAGACAGCACATATTCAAAACGCACCCTGACCCGCTGCCATAGTCTTTAGAGTGGAGAGAAGAGATAAGGGGAGCGTAAAGAAGAGATCTAGCACCAGTGCATGAGTCTCCTGAGACTGTTGCAAGATTCTGGGCTAGAATGAGGTCAAATAAAGAGAAAAGTAATGATCGTCGGTTGATGGCTTGCTTGATACTCGGGAAAGCGGAGTTGCTTAATCCATCAATGCATCATTTATATCTGTGGGGGTTGGTCACGTGATGCTATTATGGACAGTAAGTTAAGCGCTGATTGAAGTAAGCATATTGGTCTTTTGTCTATAAAGAATAATGTACAAGTCATAATAGTACAGATTATCGATATCGTGCAAAGCAGAGACTGCTGTTTGTCCCTCCAAATCCAAAACTGTTTGTCAAGGCTATGTCTACCTTCCGTTCCTGTGCTTCGTTGGCAGCATAGTTGCAGTCGAATTCAGCTGTTCTGGTCCCTAGATTGATGGTAGGTGGCATAATACTCTATCAGAAGTAAGCTGTGAGCTGCGTCGTGTCTAAACAAGCCAATGATATAGAATTATACCTCGTGAATAGCCAGGACGGAAAAAATGGCTTCAATAGCCCCAGCTCCTCCTAATAAATGTCCAATAGCACCTTTGGTGCTGCTCACATTAATATCAGCAGCTTTCTGTTTCCCCTGTCCTCCTGTAGTGTCCAGTAGCAAAGCCTTGACAGCAGCATTTTCAGCCGCGTCACCCACAACAGTCGATGTTGCATGGGCGTTAACATAATCGACAGCTGAAGGGGGAATCTTGGCATGCTTGAGAGCTCTTCTCATCGCTGATAATGCACCGGCACCGTTTTCTTTTGGCGCGGTGATATGAAATGCATCTCCTGATGTGCCGTATCCTTTGAACTCAGCGTAGATGCGGGCGCCTCGTGCTTTGGCATGTTCCAGTTCCTAGAATTTGTCAGCAAACACCCAATACCCAATACCCAATGTTGCAGCGCCGAATTGGCACTAGGAAGTGCGAAATTTACTTCGAGAATCATAACAGCAGCACCTTCACCAACAACAAACCCCTGCCGATCCGCATCAAAAGGCCGAGATGCTTTGGTAGGATTTTCATTAAAATCCGTCGCCAGGCTTCTTGCTCGCGCAAAACCGCCTAATGCCAAAGGATGAATGCAAGACTCTGCGCCACCTGTGACCATGACATCTGCATCGCCAAAGGCGATAAACCGAGCGGCATCTCCGATGGAGTGTGCTCCGGTAGTACATGCAGTCGTTGCAGCATGATTCGGTCCCTAGTTGTTTCTTAGAGTCGAAGATAGGAGTAAAAATTGGACTAGGATGAATCTCACCATCAAGCCGTACTTCATCGAAATTTGCCCAGCACCAAGATTGATGAGTAACTTTGGGACAAATAGAGGAGAAACCTTTTTGTATCCCTAGCCGAAAGATCAATTCATGTTCGTACGTGATCATGTGGAGTGGACCTCACATTATTCTCAAACGCTACAACGGTATCATAAATTTGGTCGAAATTGCCAATACCAGATCCCAAGCATACTCCCTACAAAAATCAGCATCCCAGTCGAATTACCAGGATAGATAAATATACTGTAGCTTCACGCTGCTCATCAGACGTAGGTCGCCACGCAGCATCCTCCAGAGCTTCTTCAGTAGCAGCCACGGCAAATTGTGCAAAAGTAGCCATTCTTCGCTCTTCCTTTGAAATAATTAGCATCCAAGTCTCTCTCAGAAGATCAAATGAATACGTACATCACGATTCAACCATTCCGAGACCGTCCAACCTCCTTCCTTGCGATTCCCTAACGGTACAACCGCAGCAATCTGGGCTGGGATCTCGGAGAACCGGGGATGACGGTCTGCAACATTGACGATACCGCAATGGCCGTCGAGGAGACGAGACCAAGTACGACGGATGCCTTTGACGAGTTAGATACATAACATAGAAATAATTTAGAAGACTGACGACATACCAACGCCAAGCGGTGTAACCGCTCCCAGACCAGTCACGACCACCCTCCGCATGGCATTATGCAATTACGAGCCAGGCAACCAAGCAAGACTGTTGTAGACTGAAGATGATTGTAAACTGTCTATACAAAATACCTGATCTGGCTAGCCTGCAGAACCGCTTACTCTTTCTTTTTCGGGTAGGTCGCTAGCAGGTCGGTAAGATCGGTCCGTTAAACAAGTCTGACAGCTAACAGTAACAAATCTTATAGGACGATTCAACCAGAGAACAAAATTTGGCTGTGGAGGCGGACTGTTAATCCATCAACCAAAAGATGGAGTTGAAGAAAGTTGATCAAGAAAGGAAAGTCTGCACGACAGAACACATTACGCTATACTGTATCGGGTCTAGTGTATAGAGATATGGGTAGATAAGCACGTGATAAGATAGATATCGAGTGGGGCGATGGCATCCGAAAAAGGAAAGTCGATGCTATACCAACTGGCACGACTCGATCGATTTCTCCATTTTTCTGTGAAATAGAGTGGCACCAAAGTATGCCATAATGTTAATTATCATATAAGACTGCCTCCCTTTTTTTTTTCTTTTTGTCAATTGAGATTCCTCTTTCCGGACTGTCGGCAAAATGGCTATCTCTATCAAAAACGTCATTGTACTCGGCCTATTGGCCCTGTGTGCCGGAGTCCATGCTCACTCTGACCATCATCACAATGAAGATGAGGAAATAATCCTGACACAAAGTAAAAAGGAGGAACTTTTACTGAAATGGGAGCAAGAAGTATGGTCTTTTCTACCTTTTCACTATCACGATTACTGATTTGATTGGAAACAGTGGGGATTTTCTGGTGTTTCGACATTTGCGCATATGAAAACAGTCAAATGTCTCATTGAGCCGGATGAGAGGTACGATATTGCTGTTATTGGGGCACCATTCGATACTGCTGTTAGCTATCGACCAGGTGAGTCGACACCCAACTATATATCTATCTTATATTCCAACCTACTTACGATATAAGGCGCACGATTTGGTCCTCGCGCAATCCGCGCAGCCAGTGGCCGCCAGCTCCCAGGAACAAGCTACAACGCCCGCGCAGCCATAAACCCCTACAAATCATGGGCCACAATCCTCGACTGCGGCGACATCCCCATCACGCCCTTTGACAACGCACTAGCCGAACGACAAATGTATGAAGCCTTTTTAGAGTTGGGAACCCGTCCTGCAAAGACCACTTCCGCTCCCAACGATAAGGGGATTGGAGCTGGAAAACCGAAATTAGTCACATTGGGAGGTGACCATAGCATCGCCCTACCGGCACTAAGGGCTCTGTATCAGATATATCAAAAACCTATCACAGTACTACATTTTGATGCGCATCTAGATACCTGGAATCCCGTCCGATATGCCTCGTACTGGCTCTCGGAGCAATCCCGGTTTAATCATGGAAGTTTCTTCCACATCGCCAGTACCGAAGGTCTGATTTCGAATACCACCTCTGCGCACGCAGGTCTCAGGACAAGACTAACCGGTATCGATGACGGGGATTACACCAACCCCGGTCCCGAACAAGGATTCATGCGTATCCATGCCGATGATATCGACGACATCGGCACCAGCGGCATAATCGACTCAATCATAAACCGTATCGGCCTCGACCCCGATCAACCCGTCTATCTATCCGTAGATATCGACGTGCTCGATCCCGGCACTGCCCCTGGAACAGGAACCCCCGAACCCGGTGGCTGGACAACGCGCGAAATGATCCGTATCCTGCGCGGAATCGAAAAATTGAATCTCGTGGGCGCCGATATTGTGGAGGTTAGTCCTAGTTATGATAATGTTGGGGAGACGACTGCGTTGGCAGCGGCGCAGGTTGTGTTTGAGATTATTACGAGTATGGTTAAGGCTGGGTCAGGGAGGGATTTGGGGGGGTGGTATGGGAAGAAGGATGGGGAGGTTTTTGAGGGGGGGAAGGGGAAGGATGAGTTATAGGCAGTGGTGATATGAAGGTATGATGTGATGAATGATGAGTGTGTTGCTTCCAAGGTTTTAGTAGATATAAGTTAAGAATTAAGATATATATTTATATATATGTATATATATGCAAGTTATGCATAGGCGGAGTATCAAATAATTCAGTGAAAACTGTGACACGAAGCTGCTGAGAGGAACAATAATCAAAAAGACTGTCCTACCTAGGTATATCATGCATATGGACATCATTTGATAGAAGAGAGACAAGTTTGAAATTTCATAGATTTGATAGCTAGCTATTCGGAAGGAATTTGGAACCATGTTATATACGTAGAGCCATGATCACGCTATAAGAAAGCGTAACAATTTCTTCTATCAAAAGGGTGTCTCACCGGAACCTGCGCCAGACTAGACGAAGATCAACAGATAGAACAAAACACAACGCTTGAGATGGAAGCCATAAGTACGCAGAGAGAGAAATGGAATTGGATCTGTTTCTTTAGTTTCTGATTGACTCTGGCTGTGAGGGTTCACTGATATCGAAGAGTAAAATAATAATATTGGAATAGAGCAAGCAGATAGAGCGAGAAAAAAAAAGGAAATGGAATCGGGGAAATTGAGTGGTAATAAAGCGAGAGAACAAACAAAAATAATCCGGACGCCACATGATATCAAATCTGGTTAAAAAACGTATCATTCAGACCACTTGAAGCTTCAATTGCGTTGGAGAAGAAGAGGGTGAAAGTTGTGTTTGTGCTTGGGGGTTGGTTTCAAAGGTGTGTTCTGATCTTGCAGTTTCTTTCTGTCGGTTTGAATTTTTCTGGTTTATAGAACGACGCATTTGGATCTTTTCTTTGGGGCGGGTTCGAGAGCAGCGACAATAGCCTGGACATGTCAGTAAATACTATCCATACATATGTTTCCATGTTGCAGCGATAGCTGCAACTTTGAAGACAGAACAAACCTCATCAAAAACATCCTTCAACTTATACTGCGTCAGAGCCGAACATTCCACATACTTGACCGCACCCAATTCCTTAGCCATCCGATCCCCATCTTCCTTGCGCACAGGCTGCATCTTCTGTTTAGCCAATTTCTCGCGCACGGCAGGATCATCTCGCAAATCCGTCTGGGTGCCGACAATCAGGCACGGAACACCGGGACAGTGGTGATGGACTTCGGGAAACCATTTCTCTCGCACGTTCTCGAATGAGGCGGGGGAAGTGACGGAGAAGCAGACGAGAAAAACATCGGTTTGAGGGTAGGAGAGGGGCCGGAGACGGTCGTAATCTTCTTGTCCAGCGGTATCAAAGAGGCCGAGGGTATAGGGCTCGTCGCCGATCCTTTTGTGAACCGTTAGAATTGTTAAATCTTCATCAGTTTTATCGAGGGCACGTACATGACCGTCACAGCATAATTATCGAAAACAGTCGGAACGTATTCCGACGGAAACTTATTTGTCGTATACGAAATCAATAAGCAAGTCTTTCCGACCGCACCGTCACCGACAACGACACATCTAACGACTGTCAGTATAGACAGTAATTATAGAAAGGAAATTAGAGGTTCCGCGCCACAGCTCGTGATATGACGAGCGCGTTGCCAGCCTGATCAAACGGAATGAACGTACTTAATTGTAGCCACAACCATATTGCTCTTCCTTTTTTTTTTAATCCTTCTGCTTTATTGGATTCAGTATGCGGGGACGGTAGAGGGGGCGGTTGGGTTGTAAGTCGGTCGTAAAGGAGAATAAATGGGAATTGAACCGGTCGATCAACCCCGAGGGTGGCAGTTGTAGCTATCGACTGCAGTGTTGACGGAGAGAATAAGATAAGGATTAAGAGTAATAATTAGAATAAAGAGAAAGGACAAGATTGATAGATAGACAGTGGCAGGAGCAGCAGACAAGAAGCGTGATTGATGGTTGGAGAGTCGTGTCAGAGAGTGTCAGAGAACGGAGATAGACAAGGAGTAGTCAGTTTGTTGTTAGTTAGTCACTCAGTTTCATGTGGGGGTTCTCCCTCACCACGACTCACGGTTTAAGGTTGATACTGCGATACTACAGATAAATAGATGTTCTGTTTATTATATTAGATTTATTATTTGTACAGTTTCTATCCTTCCTCGACATCCAAGTGAAGCTGCAACAAGCTACCTTGGCGGTGAGTAGGACTCCATCCGACCCGTACCTCAACAGCTGTTACAGTATGCACTATCTAACTAGAATCCTTCGCCTTACTACGTAGTAACAATTCTACTCAATACTAATCAACACAAAATCCACAAACTTCGAAGAAAACAGAATCTAGAAACACAAACAGAAAATACAATTAAACCAGGAGAACAAAACAAAGAGTGGAGAATCAATGAGTCGAGAACTTCTCTACTGAGTTTATTCGTGGCTAATTGTTTGAGTCTTAGGTCTTAATCGATGACCCCTTATCATTTCTCTGGAGGAGTATTGTTTTGTATTCGGACGATATTTACTCTCATTACCACTGGTTACAAGTGGGTAATTTATGTATTTTCATGTATTATCATGTATTATCATGTTATATCTCGTACCGTCTTTACGACTTCGAAAAGATACATGAATCATGTTAACTGTTTTCTCTTCTATCATCTCTATAAATTGTAAGTGTAACAATATCTCCTTCCTGTTATATACTGCTGGTTCTGTACAAACCATAGAACCTTCATCACTCATAAATCATAATCATCCTAATTATCAATACCATCATAGTCTGTCGCCATCCTCCAGGGATGCCCGAGCAGGAGTCTCATTCAAATGTGCATGCGACGAGCGTCTACGCTTTCTCGTCGGACCCATCTATTCTCATCAGTATATACAACCCTGAAAGAAAATATATTCAGATAGAAAATACCTTATCCAGTTGATAGTCCCTCATCGTCAAACTCAACGGCACAATCGGTAACGCCGCTAAAATAGCCAGACACAACAAATTGTTCATCGTCTCCTGATATGCACGGTTAATCGCTATCCGCGTCTCCGAGCCCATGGGATAGGATAACGCGATAGTCAATTTACCAAAAATCTCTTCGACTTGGTCTTGACTTTCGGCTGGAAGATATTGTCGTAATCGTTTCGGTATTTGATGGGTCCAGACTGCGCCCGAAATCGCCGCTCCAACGGCGCCTCCCATCTCGAGTGCTGTCAGGAATATAGCGGTTGCACCTGCGACTTCTTGGTGTTGGGCTGATGCCTGTACACCGAGTTGTACGGGGACGTTGACCAGACCTCCCCCAGTGCCGACTAGTATCTGAGTACCCAGAATCTGAAGAAACGAACTACCTTCCTGCCGGTAAAGTAACATAGCCACCAGACCTAGAATATACACAATCGTTCCCGCGGTGACAAAAATGCGGTACCGGCGAGTATATTTAATCAGAATGGAAACCACGAACGCCGCAATCGTGGAGGTGAATGAGAATGTCTGCGTAACCCGTCCCGCCACGGCAATGTCGTAATTCTGAACGACTTGCAAGTAAGAGTAAAAATAAGGTTGAACGGAAAAATAAAAGGCCATGAAGTAGAAAACGCCAATGCGCAGCCAGCCAGCGCAGTCCGTTCGGTCAGTAGATGTAGTGAAAGTAACGGTTTTGGAGCGAGCTGTCGCGATGATTCCCAGGCAGGAAACAGAACAAGACAGATACATCCCAGCACTAGCACGATGATAATGCTATTGTCGTGCCACCCATTTTTAGAGTTGGCTGCCAAAGTAAGCGGAATCAGCAGTAACGAAACGGCAGCAGTAAGAAGAATCAATCCAAACATATCCAGTTCATACCATACCGATCGCAAAGACTGATATAGAGTGCGCTTGCGATGCTTCTTTTTGATGAGCCGCAATCTCTTGGCTTTCCGTTGGTTGAAAAGTAAGGATAGCGCAAGCGGGAGAAATGTTGCCGGCAGTATAATCGCCCACATCCCATAACCCCAGCGCCACGATGAATGACGAAGGACTGCATCTGCGATGGTAGGACCAATCCAAACTGTGACCAAAAACGGAAACTCAGGCAAAAGGGCGAAGAGCGCTCGATTTAAAAGATCGCTACTATCGGCGATGAATACTTGTTGAAGAATTTGCAGACCGGTCGATCCAGCAGAATAGAATATCTGGGCGGAAGCATATGTCTGCACATTGTTTGACGCGGCCATTTGAATATATCCAAGAATGTAGATGATGATGCTAACGCAGAATGCTTCGAACCGGCCGAACACATCCGCCACTTTTGCCATGGGTGGTTTGATTACAGCTTCAGTCGTAAGTATTTGACTGAAACGAGAGGTAGAAGACAGGCCTACCGTTGACAACATTCTGTACAACCAGCACCGTCGAAATCAAAGAATGCTTGCTAAACGAGCTCGTAGCGTATACGGCAAGCGAAGCCACCGTCTGACCTTCGAGTGACGTGCAGAACGCCATGAGAAATATCCTACAGAACCATCAGTCAGTACCCCATTTCGAATAACGTCCAAACACCTACCCCAAATATGCAATCATCAACGACTTCTGTGTCCACGTCAAACTAATAGCCTCAATCTTCCTCACTCCATCCTGCACATCACTTGCCGTGCTCCCCTCATCCTCGGTCCCAATATCATTATCCGGCTCGTACACTGAATGAGGATACAGCAGCCGGTCTTCCTCTTGGTCGCCCATCGAAGTATCGGTACTTATAGTTCCATAAGATATGACATTCGAAGTGGTTTCCAATAAGGTCATACCGACTACCAGTTGAGTGCATTCGATGCAACTTAGTAGTACGCAGTACCTTTTTTTTTTTTTTCTCTTTTTCTGTTGTTGTTATGTGCCTGGGTTTTATGTACAGTCCATGCGAGTTATGTTTTGGGAGTTGGTAATGTTCGGTTGGACGGTAACGGGTGTAAGGAGACTGAAACGGAAACCGGCGATAGAAACGTACGAACGTATGTCTGCGATACTGTTCACATAAGAGGGTGAATGAGCAAATCACCCGGACAGAGAAGAGCAGGTATATCTATACGATGGGTAAACAAAGTCGAGAGTCGACCGGCTCAGGTAAGCCGACTTAATCCGGAGGCAAGAGCGGCTAAAGCGTTCGGACGGGGAACAGAGTAGTATTTGCTAGTGAGTAGTCTGTGAATAGTGGAGTGGACATGTCCAGTTGAGATACAAGTCGACGAATGGAATATACAGTTGGTAATTAAAGAGAAAGGACGAGGGAGGAGGTCAGCGAGTTAAGCTCCGAGGTGAAGTTTGGTGGGGGCTGACATACGATATAATCTGATCAGATAAGATCTGGATGTTACACGCCGACTGACTCGACAAGACTCGGTATGTTACTCCGTACATGGGTTGTTTCTCTATTTCTTTTGACTAAATCTGTGCGGGTGTAAAGTAGAGAATAAAACCCAACAAGCTAAGTCTGCTGTGATATTGATACCTATATACTTCGGCCACCTGCGATAGACATGGTGGACACTGGAATGTATCGAACACGTTGAGCTTGGAATGATGCTCGATCCACATTAATTGACACACACTTTTCAGTGGGTTTCCACCACCAAATGGCGAAAATCCACCACCAAATCATCCGTTGTCGCAGAAGAAGGCCTGGCAGCATACGAGCCCACCCAACACTCGGCCGTCTCTTCCTGCTCAAATGCCCACGTGACTTCTCGCAACGGGACACGTGAGATGCCCTCGACCAGATACACCCACAGCGTATTATCCTCCTCCCTCACCAGCTCAATCGTCACAGCCTGTCCGCCAGACGGTACCGGCACCAGACTCCAATCAGCCCATCGGTCCTTGGCCACGACGCTGATGTGCGGTTTGCTGTTTGTGAACTCGATTCCGCACTTGATCCATTGGCGTTGCTCGTCGGTTTTGCCGTTGTTGATTACGATGATCAGCCCGCCTTGGTCGTAGAGGACCTTCCATTCCGCGACGATCGAGACTCGCACCCGCTTGAATGATTTTAGTGGTATGGTTTTGTATAATATAGGAGCATTGAATCGGTGCGTTGCCGGTGGTTTGGCCCAGACGTCCGTGGAAGGAGACGCTTTGATTGAGTAGTTGATCGGGAGATCTTTTGCGTCGGGAACACTCTGGGAAGAGTTGATAAACTTGTAGTCGGACATTGTCGTAGGTATAAACTGACTCGATATTTACAAGGTGAAAGGGTAATGTGGTCAAAAGGAGGGATAATTCCTGGGAAATACGAGGATGCCTCCAGGCGGGGTTATTCCTGGGCGTCCATCTGATGTAATCTCTTAACTCTTCATTTCTTCGACTCGACCCGCAGACCTCGTATCATCTCTCTTCTTTTGTCATGGTTTGTCTAAATGGTAGCTGTGGATATATTGATATTAGTGGGATTGCACTGCCACTACCACTTGCGATAGACTTCAAGGCGGATTTACTACATTACAGCCGCTCAGATTACCTAACCGGTTGACTTAAATCGTATCAGTAATCTCGGCAAAGAAAATGGATTTGATTTATATCTGCCAGACACAAGTACATTACTGTTCTATGTGTTTGCTTTCTTGGGCATTCCAGGTAAAGTCATGATGCCGCGATTTCGAGATCATTTGGGCAAAGCAAAGCCGAGCATGCAGAATACACCAGTACTTCCAGTTCCTGATGAGAAATGGTCTCCAGTCGCAAGCAGCAAAGATGCCCTGCAACAGGTCCTTGAAGACATGTATTGGGAGGGCGTCTGGGATGAGCTATAGAACATCATCCGCACTTTGGCTATATGGCAACAGCCAGAGTTTGCTGATGTCTCAGTGCCAGACGAAGACGACGACTTTGTTCATGGATTCGACGCGTTTGTGGATCAGGTTAGCCAACCGGCGAGAGAGCATGCGATTAGATATAGTATGCACAAGATCCGTGAATGGCTGTAAAAGCCATCTAAACCAGGTATCAGACCAGGCACGCTCTGCGAAAAAGGAGCATACTCCTACCAAACCGTCAACATACATATCTTCCCTACAGGAAGCTGCAGTGGACCAAAAGGCCGAGTACACCGGCTCAAAGATCAAATCCTCTATTCGGCAGACCATCAGGGGTATGCGCTGGCCATATCTTACTTTACATGGCTACTAAACAGAACATAGATATGCCGACTTTTACCGGGATAGAAAAACGAGCACAGATGTTGCTACAGGCAGCGGGTATTTGGCCTGGCTGTGACAATTATGGCCGATGAAAGCTAATTGTGATGATTCAGGATTCCTTGACATTGAAAAACTGATAGAAAGTCAGCCAACAAACAAGAAAGAAAGGAGACCGGTCGTTCCTCAGTGTATGTGTACGATCCAAGTAGATGGCCTGCTGTAGCTAACTTGACTTAGTGGAATTTTCTCCAGACAGGCCACTTGACTTCTATCCCATGCATTGCGCCAACGCTCAATGCAACACCATCATCACTGGAAGCATGTTTACATCCGACAACCCCAAGGAGGCCCGTGTAATCTGTGAAGATTGCTACCTTCATTTCTTCTACGGGAGGGAATCATACGTCAAAAAAATATAAACACTGCATCCTCGCCAAAGCTATCACACCTGAACAAAGTCAGAAGATGTGTCCTTGTCAACGGGTTCCTCATTTTGATAAAGACAACAAACCCCTACCACTATTTCCGGTTGACCGAAATGCTCCACATGACAGGTATAGACTGGCCACAAACGGGGTAACTTGCAAACTCTGGACCCTCGACGATCGCGTTGCCATTGCAAAGTATAACGCACTTCGAACAGCAGCAGGGCTTAAAGAAACCAAGAAGGGAATAAAACCGACTTCTGCTGTTCATACAATGATCATGCTCGACAACACCCAGCCCCAGGGAAATTCGGTTTTTGAGATTTTCAGAAAATCGTCAAAGGCTGGACATGAGCGTTCCGAGCAGGTGGTACCCCCCTTGACGAGCTTGACTAACGTCGTCACCAACCCGAAAGCGGACCCGGATGTTCCAATGTTCTTTAAAGAATACGTTGATGAGAATCCTTTTGCAAATGTCCATATGAAACTCCGTGTTGGACCGCTGATTATCGAAAATGGTATATCCGAGGGTGCTCTTGTCACTTTGAGGGAGGCTCCCGTCTTTCATCAGCGTCTGAGTCTCTCTGACAAGGGAAAGCAAGGTCTTATTGTGATAGGCTCCGAAAAACAAAAAGTATGGAAACATATTCAACCAGTCCAACGTTTGACGAACTACAAAGCGGTCATGAAACAAGTTGTCGGCGCCCCTTTCAGCGGTCTCTTGCTAGAAGACGATGAGCGTGCAATGATTGGCGATGTTATTTATGCGAGTCAATCACTATCTGGGACAGGGACAGATCTCAAAGACCCACTTGAACGACTACTAAAGAATCTTATGAGAATTATAGGCACTCGCGTGAAGATATACCTCAGCAGTATAGCAGAACGACTTTTGAGTCCAACCACGCGCCTCTCATGGAATTCCATGCACAACAATTGCCAACAATTTTGCAACTCGCTCATCGACCACAACATCTTCCGGCCTTTGATCAGCGACTTGGTCGAACCTCTCTACCTCATGAGCTTCCTCTGCCCTGACGAGGGCTATATGCGGCCGATAGTTCACAAGTTCAGCGTCCCATCTGGACTGACACAGGATTACATTTCGCAATTCTACTTTGGTCGTTCCGATAAGGAAGCCGACATTATCGATACATACCAGGAATATTGGTACGATTGGGGCGCCTTCGGAGGGCCCATATACAAATATCAAAATATTTTCCCTGGGACTGCACCGAGGCTTATGGTCGATATCCGACACGTTGCGGTAATTGTAATCTGTCCAAACACGTCTGGGCATTTCCGTTTGATTCCTGGTCTATGGTATCGCATCACCTTACTCGCGATCAACACATGTACGCGCCATCTTCTCTTTCCGAGCTCAAAGTTTCCACAGAGCCTACCCCTCAATCCTGGATGCGCAATCGACTCAACGTTTTAAGTGCATCAACAAGTCTTTACCGCGGCGCAGTGGCCATGGCCATAACAGCCATATTCCGTTCTGCAACAGCTTGGCTATCACCATCCTCAAAACTAGGAACAGAACTGTCCTCTCGAGATCCATATCTAGCACGCGTCAAGATAGGCGGAATCCACCGTGCTCAACCTTTCGGTCATCTCCTCTTCGATGCTAAGAAACAAACTACATTTTTCCAGGCGGAATGGGCATCGAGACCGTTTTATCAACAAGTTGAGGCTTATGAATCTGCGCGAGAAGAGTGTATCAAACTTTCTGATGTTCCAGGACTGAATGTACCTCCTCCTCCATCAAAAGCAGAGAATAAATCCGGCTCTCCCTCTCAACGCAACGAACAAGTGGCAAATACAGTAGACATCAACGAAATTTACGCAGATGCAGCACTCACAAGCCGTAATGCCACAAGTTGGAGTGCGGGTTGTGCAGTGGAGTGCGGATCGAGTTGTGCCTCTGGATGTGGGAATAGTAGTTGTGGAGGTGCCGCGGGAAGTAGTACTTACCCTGGTACGAGTGATACGACCCATGGAGGGAGTAGTAGTGGTGCTGGTAGCTATGGGGATAGGAGTGCTGGTCATGGGAGTATTAATACTAGTAGTTGTGGGAGTAGTTGTGGGAGTAGTTGTGGGAGTAGTAGTGGAGGAGGAAGTAGTAGTGGAGGGGGCAGCAGTTGTGGAGGAGGGGATGGGTGTGGGAGCAACTGACATGGAACTGTTATAGATCTATTAGTATGAATTCTAACGTTCATCCAGTTGAGATAGAAAAGTCGTGCGAAGATCATAGCCAGGGACGTTGATGCCGAAATTATAAATTAGGGCTAATATAGCCCTAACCCTAACAAGATATAGTGGAAAAGGCCTTGAAGTTCGTCTCGTGGCTGTGCAGATGTCATCAAGTAACAACATAACTTGGCAGTGGGTTGATACGAATAATACTTCATAAATATTCTCTCGAGCACATTTCATCTTCTTAACACGTAGACTTTTTTTGGACAATACTATCCACCGAGAAGGTAATCCTAGTGTCTACTACAATGTCGCTTCTCGTCCCTTCCACAACACGTAAACTTCACCAAGCCGCTGAACAAGAAATAAAACAGCTAAAATCCTGGCAAACCAGCCAACCTCTTGACGATTGTTGGAATTTGCTAGAAGCAGGAGATACAAAAGACAGCGCTGGACAGCAACCACTAATCCCGGCGCCCAGTTTATTCAAATCTTTAACCATTCCAACAACAACCAGCATCAGTAAAGATGAGTATCCACTACCAACCCCCACCCAATGCGCAGTCCACCTAGAACTCCTCGAAGTATTTCTCGCCTTACGCTACAAAATCGTCAACTCAACAGCATTAGACACCACATTCGGCGTTAAGGGGAGCAGTACCAGAACCGTATGGAGAAAGATATTCGATATCGACCTGCGGAAATCAGTCTATAAAAAGGCGATAATACGTGATGATAGGTTTCAGGATTGGCGGAGGGAGAAGTGGGATTTTTATTTGAGGATTGCCGTGGAAAGGTTTGATATTTGGATTAAGGCTGTGGATAGGGTTGTTCAAGAGCAGAAGGAGGAAGGGGAAAAGGTTTCTTTGCCGTGTTTGCCTCCTTTGGGTATGTTATTATCTTCTATTTATTTTGATTGAGTGGTGGAGAAGGCTGATCGAAGCTCATTGATCAGATGTTCTCATGTTTTGGCATGCATTTCTGTTGAATCCGGACGATTTTGACACTTTTTGCAGCGATCACAAGTTGAGAATCATTCGCCATGTGGAATTCCCCTGGTCAGAAATTGTACGAGTTTTATTTCTCATTCTTTGCGAGAATCATACTGACAGACACAAGCACAAAGCGATCAATCCAAGGACATGGACCTACGAACTTCCCAGGTCATCACTCGAATGGACTAAACACGATTGCCAAATAGAGCCAGACCTATTCCAATACCTCATCGAGATTGGAGTAACACCATCCAGCCCCATTGCGCAAACACTGTCTCGATTCGGAGACCCTAAAGATCAACAAGTTGGGAGTCTATGGACAACCCTGAAACAGATGATCCTCGGCGAACGGGATAACCGATTCATGAAGAATCTACTTCAGATCCAAATGGGCATGCAGATCCCGGCTCGCTTGGCTTTGACTGAAAACGTCAAACGTCAGGCTTCATTCGTCGATAAGATGCATAGTCATCTCTGGATCTCTAGTCCTGCTATCAGCGGGACACTGCGTCGCGCAATCGATCGATATAGCAAGTTTCTCAAACTTTTCCAGCTGTATCCCGGTAAAATGCTCGTACCCACGCTGGATATTGATTTAATCTGGCATACACACCAGTGCTCTGCAGTTCTATACGAAGAATCCGTGCGAGCAATGACAGGACGGTATATTAATCACAACGACAAGATTGGGAAGAAAGAACTGGGTCATGGCGCAGATGAGACGCAGGATTTGTTTCGTACACGATTTGGGGAGGAGTACGAGGTCTGTTTGTGCTGGGATTGTGAGATGATTACTACTGCGTTGGAGAAGCTTGATGAGGACGGGGCTGATTTGTTGACTGGTGATGGGTTAGATATGTCCGATTTGGCGGAGAAGGTTGGGAGGTATCTTGCTTATTACCGGGCGAAGGAGTTGGATAGACGTGTTGATCTTAGAATCAACATATAATAGTGTTGATATATCTAAATGTACATCAATTTATGGCATGTCCTGAAACTATCCACGTACACATACTCCGGCAGGGAATAAACCCTAAGCCCTAACTACTTGCTGAAGTACCCTGACGAATTACCAGATACGTCCGTGAGATTTTCAAGATTTCCAATCCAATAATACATTAGACTTAAAACTACATGCACACCATGGACAATTACCTAAGTAGGGAAGTCACGCGTTCAGATCATATGCCAGAGCAAGCCATACATCCTAGGTAGATAACGAGGTGACATGACCTATAACCACAATACCATATGGAATCATGCAATTAGACATAAACTCCGTTCTTCACATCATTGACTCCCGAAAAAAAAGTGTCGGCTAGAATCAAAGAGCACTGACCGTACCTAAGTACCTACTAACTTAACCACCGACATATTAAACATAACATCCCAGGATATTCTTAGGCACATGCATATAACTCTCTGCTTTCATAAAATGATAGTCTCAATCACCAAATAAATTTTTAATATATTCAAACTAGGTATTTCGGTCGAATGTTCCGTGGCAAAAATAGGCCTGGGTCAGGCATCCGATACCCTGCCTAATCTAATCCCTGACATGAAAAATGCGGCGCAGGCGACTTACTACCCTAAACGTATGTTGGTTGCTAGGCAGATACATGAAGTTACATGGGGTCCAATCCATTCATATGTTTTATGCTCGAAGAGACCTTAAACATCGAGGTGTAGTGTAGGTATGCACGGTTTCTAATCCAGGAAAAGTGTGCCTGTTTATACTCCATGGATGCCTAGATTGTCGGTCTCTTTTTATATCATGGTATATATGAAAGGAGAGCCCGGAATCGTTTCTTTCTAGAGGGTGTGTACAATATCAATAGATGCATCTAGGTATACAAGTTGCATGCATCCCAACTTACTTAGGGTAATAACCGTTAGTAGCCGACGCGAATAGTATATTCCCCGCAAATTGCGATACTTCTCTACACCGTGTACCTAGTGGATTGTTGAAAAATGAAATCTCTTAGTACAAATCCTTCCTCTACGTTTTTCGATATCACGCGATTTCTCTCCAATTCGACCCTGCTCGATTCCGATAGTCCGCTTGACTGTCGACGATCCTGTGATGTACCACAATGACGTTCAACGTTGGACAGTGTTTATACCGAGATCTATGACTGGATAATTTTGGTCCATCCATGGATGATCATCTAGATATATTTAGGAACACCTGTGCCACATTTGCAGAACCCGTCAGTGATGTTCCATATAACAAGTAGATTACGCTAGGACGAACAGTTGACAGGGACTGATTTCAGTTTGCTTCAAGCGTTACTCATCACTGGACAGAATTATTTTGAAATCAGGTAGGTACGGAGTAGAACGAGTTGGTGTATGGAGTACATACGGGATACAGAATTAGGGTCATCTGCACTTAGTACTTGATAATGAGCCTTTTGTTTCTTTCTTTCAAGGATTGATACTTGATCTTGAAGATATGACAGCATTAACCTATCCAGGAAAGAGTTATGATTCAAACATGCTCAAAACTGGACGGAATGTTCTGTGTCCGCTTACTAGCTACACCTGGTCTGTGGCGAAACCGACGACCATCAGACTGAATCGTTTCGAAATAGATCTTGTTGCATTCCACGATTGAGTTTTATGATACGAATCTCCTGAAATGAAGTCAATAAATGAGGTTCAATGGAGATAATTCCATGGTTTATTCCCGCTTAGACCGAGAATTAGGGTTTCTGAAAATGTGGTCCGGGAGGGTGAGTATTTAAGCGGTCTCGAATCATGATTCATGAATGATAATGAGTATTAAAATTGATCTTATAGGCAGAAGCGATGTGACCGAGGACCTCCGGCTTGTAAATCTGAACATCCGGATTGACATGTGGGTTCTTCACCATGGGTTAGCCGCTTAGTCTCAGGTGTCATTCGTCTGTTCAGGACAACTCCATCTTGCGGAACATTGCTATCTCTCCGGTACACACTACCGTCCTCTGTAATAGTACGTACGTAGTAATGATATGACGCGTTAGTAGCACTGCTACTATGGAGTAGATCAGCCTGGATGCAGTGCTCGGTAAGCCCGGCAAAATCCAGCCAAGTCTGACATCGCTTGACTTGACTGGCTCGTGATTCATGTTTAGGTGCTTATGTTGTACAATTCTCGAGGACGAATATTCAGGGTTCATGGTGGTTGTACCGTTCTGAGGGTCGAAGCCTCAGAACAACCGCGGTCTGTTATTCAAATCATTTCATCTGTAAGTCTGGAACACCCTGGTCTGTGGACGAGTGTCACGATTGGGCTAAATCCCGTACGCCCTACACAAGCGCAGGCCGAACCACAAAAGGGTCTTTCTAGTGAATCCTCCAATTTTGTCCAGGACGGATTCGAGGTGCCACGAAGAATTTGAAAGGGCCATCTTCATCGATAATAGTCAATAGCTGGGATGATCGACGCATACAAAGCCTTCTTCGATAATATCTCGTCTCTAATATAGTTTGTCAGACTCGCGAGTCAAGTGCTTTGAACGGGAGAGCGGGTCATAGATTTGCAAGCCGAAGTCGATCGCATTGCCTCGTCCTGGCGTATCTTGGCCGATATTAGGTTCAAATTTTAAATTGAGGATTTCTCTCTCTTTGAGTCTGAGTCGTAAGACATGACTCCATTGGTCCAAGTCACCTGATCGTCTCATCATGCGGCGTGGCAACGGCTTGAACAAAAAAAAAAGCGGCTTTTCCATTGGAAATCAATGAAAACTCTCCGAGTCGAGCGGCTAGCGGCTGAACCATCGAGGAATATTCCAGGCAATCAGCGGCCAGGAAAGCAGGTTAATTGACAAAAGCCGAGGTCTATTGGACGAGAGGCAGTCTAATTTATGCGGAGGAATCACTGACTGACTTGTCTGATGATGGGTCAGCGACTCATGGAATGCCTCTTTCAGTCCATCTCCGTTGTCTAGCCAGCCGCTAGCCTCCGTAGCCTGGCCTGAGTAATCTCTTTCTTTCTCCTTTCTTTGTGTCTTGAGGCTTGATCAATCTCGTTCTTCATGGGCTATGGCTGCAAACCGAAGCGATAGTCTGCATCTCGGTATCCATTGTGGGCGTTTAAGGTTCATTGCTGAAAGAATATGAAGTTATGCCAATATCACAATTGTGACTCGAGCAGTTGAGAGTAGGTCGCACGTATGTACGTATTCTATACTTTGTAGGGTCTTTGTCGCTTTGTTTCTTTGAGGATGAAGAGATAATGTGAGGTTGAGATTGAGGTTACTCGGACTACGAGGGTGACTAATACAGTAGGACAAGAGGAAGGAGCGACGGGGAGAGAGAGAGACACGAGGAAGGAGCAGTCAGGTGCCCGAAAGGGAAAGAGCTCATCCTCGAAAATATCTCAACTTCATCTTTCATCCTTTCATCTATTTTCATCATCAACTCGACATTCTCATTTGCTACGCAGTACTAGTAATGAGCTATGTACAGCTCAAAGCACAGACACACGGCCACGCACGGAGTCTCCCGTCCTCATCTGCGACACACGCGATGATCAGACGATCGACCAACCCTTCTTCGATTTCCTCACGGTTGGTCGGCTTCTTTGTCGCCGGCGCTTGTCGAGAGCCCCTGATCACTCAGTGTGTAAACGGTCCTCCCCACATGGACCTGAGTAGCACAGAGTCATTTCGTATACCTGTCCAGGAGCTCCGTACGTACTCGGTGATACCACATGTTGCTTCATTTGCCGCACCAGAGCCTCAGCGATTCGACTTCTGCGGCATGCAAGCTGACAATTCACGACACTGCAACAAGTTCAACTTCATGAAATAAGAAAACAGATCCACTTTGCGGCCGTCGCTTGGACTGTTTATTGTGCAATACGGAAGAAGCTGAGGAATGATATGATTAATAATAGGCACGTACTACGTACCACTACGACCAACGTAGTATCCTCGTGTCCACTGCCCACATACAATTCGTCTGGTCTTCCTCTAGTGGGCTCTAGTCTCCGCTGCCAAACAAAAAGACATGAGTCCACTGTGCGACTAGGAACCGCGCTAATTGCTCACTAGAACATATCGAATTTGGAAGCGAGGCGGCGCAGGTCGTATCATTCATCACCATCATCGTCATTCTTCTGCCACCTTTCTCGAGTATTTTTGTGCCGAATTAAAGGGGGGCCATTTTATTTTTCCGCGGTTGGTGGACGAATAACAGACCGGCCAGTTCCGACACTCGCTTTGTCAGGGTCAAATCGAATATATCAAAATCCCACACTTATACCCTCCATTCCGACGAGATACATACGGCACAGCTGGCGATGCAACGATGTGCTGGCAGTTGACCGGAGGCTGTTACGCGGCAGAAGGGGGAAGGGGGATTATTCTCTTTTTGTGGTTGCATTGTGCTTCTCGCTGCTATTCGTCTAAAAATCCCAGCAGAACGGTAAGCTAAAATTGGTGCAACTTGGTGTTGTTCTGCGACCAATCCACCCGGCCTGTTGATGTTGGTCGTGCATGGGAGGACGTTTTTCTCGTCTGCTCATTCGACTCCCCTCATGTTCTCTACGTTACTCTCGCCCCTCAATGACGAAAAAAACCGGATGCGAAAAAGGCCTCAGTGATGGACGCATATTTTGGTTCATTCTTTTTGATTGCATTCGCCCTTGCACCCTCCCACTTGTTGCCATTTTCGTTTGTCTGTCGCTTCGGTGAAAGGAGAGACGGAGAAAAGATAACGGGCTCTCGGCTAACCGCTTCTATCACCCAGGTTGGTGTTTTCTTCCTCGTCCCCCCTGTCCGTCTTCCTTCTAGTACGTACGGAGTACGTACTCCGTTCCACGGCCAAATTAATCAGTCCCCCGACTTTTTGTTTTTCCTCTTTTTTTTTTTTATATTAATTGTACTCTTTGGTGCATTGCAGGTTTAATTTTGCGCGTCACAGACAATCCTTTTGCTAGCAAAACGGGGTAAAGCAAATCTAGCGTTGCTTTCACTCCACCCTGATGGATCCAGTTTGCTCGCAGATCTACGTATCAGGACGGGATCGGATGATTCTCACAATGCACGTTGGGTCCAGAATTTGACAGCGGCACCCTGGCATGAGCAGAGCCTTTTCCTTTAGTACGTAGTATGTACTGTTGAGTGCTGCGCCCAGTCATGCACGCCCTATCAGAGTCAGACCTAGTCCGATTTATAGGTTTAACTTTATGCAGATGTGAAAATGATGCGCCGCATTTAACATCGGGCTTCTTTCTTTGGCCGAGACACTGGTTTCCCTTCCTCCCTCCCTCCCCGCCACTCTCGACTACTCGATGAAGGGAATATTAGAGAGTCTTGTTCCATTATTCAGTCTGCCTTGTCCCGACTGACATGTTCACGTCTTTGTTTGAATGATTTCTCACTAGAATAAATATATTTTCCTTCCTCGTTCAGCAAATCACTTGAATCTATCTCCCCCGATCATAGCCATTGACGGTCGACTCATCATCCCCACCCTCAACCCCCAGGAAAGGGTCTTGCAAGGTAATTAAAAAAGACCCTTGTCCGGTCTTCTTGTCTTTGTTCAGTCAGACATGCATCAGAAGAGAGACTCTTAAATAGGAATATCTCCGTTTGGGACCGACTAGTGTTGCACTGCTCCAATTGGTTCTGTGAGGGACTCGACCATATATCCTTTCCGGCATAGTATAAGATACCAAGCATTACCCGACTCTGTTCTACGAATCTTGCACTGTTTCTTTGAACAACGATTTGTTATCGGTGGCCTTTGTGGTTTTTTCGTTTTTTTCTTCTGGCTGGAGTTGAGCTAGAAGCCCTAATCGATCATATATTCACATTTTTCCGCCACCACCCAGCGCATATCAGACAACACTTGTGTCCATTTCTGACCTGCAATTGAGAGCGACATTATCAAACACATATCCAGCAATCATGACGGCTGTCAAAACCCCAATGTCAATCAGTGCGCTGCTGAATCCACAGCAGCAAAATGGAGATATCAACATGCGGCACCATATCGATCTCCCACTTCGACAAATGCAAATCGGCGATATGAACAGCATGCAATACAGCCAGGCCGATTACCGACATTATCAGAACACTTCAAGAAGGATACAACACGAGAGTGACGAACAAAGATCGCTGGACGACAAGAGACTTCAGACAGCAGGAGGATACCGATATGAACGCTTCGACTCCGTCTCCAGCACCTCTTCCACAACGATAAGTGAACGCCGAAGAGCGCCACGGCCAAAATACACCGACGAAGAAATGTATTTCATCTGGTACCACCGCGTAGACCTCGATGAAGAATGGCGCGATTGCACAGAGGCCTTTAACAAACAGTTCCCAAGCCAAGGACGTAGCGAACGAAATACGCAGGGAATCCAATGCAAATTCTACCGATTTATTAATGCGAAGAAATGTCCCACCGTAAGGGAACAGAGACGGCTCAAGGATGGAGAGTTTATGGCTCACGGCCGATCATCGAGGGGCAGGTTGTTGCCCAAGTTTGGCGTTGTGGAGTGGTGTCATGTTTGGTATCCGTGGATGAGGGCTGAGCATGCTATTGCTGGTCTGCATCCTGGTCCGCAGTTACATCCTGTCGAGCCCCAATATCAGCAGCATCAGCACGTTCAGGGCAGCCAGAAGATGCCGTCTGAGAAGCAGATGATGAGAACGTATAGCCACTCATCTATATCCTCGTCCGCGGCCTCGATCTTGTCCTCGGAAGCATCGACGCCGGAACCGTATACACCTAGCGCTTACTCGGATGATATTGCTAGCGACGAGGAGATGGTGCAATGATCGAGGACGCATATTATCTATCAAGTACATACTCAAAAGACGAAAAGTCACACTTCTCCCTACCCATCGACCCTATCTTCTCCCTGACATACACTCTTACTCCTTGTCCGTCCTCCTTAACATCCCTCTCAAAATACGTCTTTTTTATGCTCTGTTTCTGACTTTCTGGAGAGGCTATCTGTCGTTACTGCATAGTTTTGGGCTCGGGTGGTATCCTCATTTTTTCGTTTGTTCTTTTCGTCTTCATGGTCGGATTTCTGCTTTTCCTATGCCGCTTTCTGGTTCGTGTTGCTCTTTTTCAGCCGAAATCATATATCGAGGTGATCTACTAGTCGAACACAAATGCGTGTTCTATTGACTGGCTAGAACATCCTTTGTTTACGCTCTGATAATGGTGGGGGTATTCTCCTCTTTCTTTCTTCTATGCACATCTTGTTTGACCGGAGGACTATTGTCATTTTTTCTTTGATGCTGATGATCGGTGGTGGCGGATCTTTTTCTTTCTCTTTCTTTTATCTACATATCTTTGTTTGGCTTTTTCAAGGCTTTTGTCGTCGTCGTTGTTGTGTGGCTTTGTTGCGATTCGGCTTATATACATTATTCGACCCATTTCTTGCTATACATGTACGTTAGGTACATTTTCAAAATCGAATCAAGCAATTGATATACAGATTAATTTATAGTTTCCAACTATTTACAGTATAGATTGGTCGATTAGTTAGTTTTGACTAGTCAATTAGCAACCTACGTATGGGTACTTCATGCTCAGTCATCGTCATCATCATCCCCAACATAGTCATACATATGCTTTCGATAATCGTCATCATAGTCAACCTCATCATCAAACTCATTAACATCATATTCCTCATCATCAGACCGCGCCATCCGGTAACGATGGTAAATACGCGGATTATCGTCGTATTCGTCTGCCGACGAAACTTCGTCATCCGGGTAGTCGTTTGCCGGGTTATCTTCGGCTGTTCATCATATCAATACAATGTGATCATTTTGCGGAAACAAGGAACGTACCGTTGGAATCAACATCGTCACCGTCCCAATCTACCTCGGAGTCCTGATCATCTTCGAGGTATTGGTCCCATAACTCTTCGTCGTCAGAAGTGATTACTACGACACCAACGTCTGTACGTGTAGGATCGATGGTGATACCGCCGGGCGTATTGGCCTCGGCTAATGGATCTTCGTATCCTGTAATGTCTGATTGTGGCGCAGCTCCTGACACCGAGGACGTGACTGTATGAATGGGAACACGAACGTAAGTATCGTAGACGTAGTCGCCGTCACTTTCTGCTCCGGCATCTGCGTTTTGCTCCATTTTGTCGTGTTGCTCGTTGGCAGGCGACGTCTCGGGCTGAGCTGCTCTTCGAGTCCCAGGACTCCGAGGCTTGAATTTCAGAGGGCGATTTGGTCGCGGAATGACAACACGAGCAGGCGCAGATGGAGCTTCTTTACGATGGACATCCATCTGGTTCTCCTCCGCTTCAATATCGAGCATCACATCTTCAAGTTCTTTCGCCAACTTGTCCAAATCATCCTCTTGAGGCTCAAATTTAGTAGTCAGATGTTCCTTGGCAGCTGAAATGGACGACTTTTGCTCTTCTCTCCACTTCTTCTCTGCCTGGTTGACTATAGGTCGCTTTCTCCTCGTAGGCGCGGTTTCTTCGTCGGTTCCGGTTTTGGCTATTTGAGACTGAACCACAGTATCGACCTCAGTATTGCTGCCTGCTGTCTTTTCCAAAGTCTCAATAACTGATGCGCCTCGGAGAGATGGAGCACGAATTAATTTCTCAACAAGGACGGCTCGAGCTCGAGTGGGCGTATTGCCTTTCATGACCCCGCTTCCAGCACTGCCCTTGAGAGGACCCAAAGGAGTGCTGGGTCGGGAGATGTGAAATCGACGAAGTGACGTCGGAAATGGCGCGGGACTCGCGCTGAGCGGTGGTGTATGGCGCGACGACGCAGGGGTTGCAGCCCTTGAACTACTAGCAGATTTCTCATTCTCACGATCTGAGAGTCCATCCGAAACACCCAAGTATTTGCTGATGGGTTCCTGCAGCCTTTTACGTTTGGCCTCAGCTTCTTGACGTTGCGAGGCGGCCAGAGCCCGTTCACTTCGAAACTCTGCGCCTGGCGAAGTTGCTCGAACAGTGGGGATACCACTTGTTCCTGCTGGGAAACCGGCAGGTCTGCCCTGTCTAATATCTGGAAAACCAGACGTGCTCACAGACCTGGAACTGCGAAGGCGGCTCTGGAGAGCTGCAGCAGCTGGTGACGACGGTGACGATACGCCGTCTCCAGCAGCCTCGCCAGTAACAGAATCATCCGGACCTTTGACTCTTTGAAAAACAAAGTCCGTAAAACGCCGCTTCTTTTGCTGAAGCTCGGATTGGATGTCTATCGCGATAATTAGTGTATATCCTGACCGATCGAGTGTGTAGATTTGGGTTTTCCCCATAAACAAGATGTATACATGCAAACAGTGGGGTAAATTAAACTTACAAAGCGTGTCAACCGGCTCCTCCTCTCGCCGTCGCTTGACATGAAATTGCTCAGGAGGCAAAGATTTGTCCTCGAAGTTCATGGTTCAGGTTATTTGTACTTTCATACACGAAAGAGTTCTCCCTTGCTGTGTTATGGTGAAGACTCGACTTGTCATGCCACAGCCTCGGTGGCGGGAGATATTTATATTTATGGGTCTGTCACGTGAAATCCACGTGCCGGTTGGAAGAGACTCAAGAGAGATGTCACAAAATAACCCTAACCCTATGGCTAAGCCCCTAATTTGAAGAATCTTGGGGCACTTTCCATCTATTTTGGTCTTACCAAGCGAATAGATCTGGCTACACCCATCATGGGATTGAACCTGATTACATTTAAAATCAGGCTCTTTTATTCAGCCTATCAAGTTGTCGGGACGGTATCACCATGGCGACATGTTATCTTGTTGAGTGACAGTCTACAGCTGTACAGTCTGCTTCTCAATAAACCGACAACCACAAGCTTCAGCAAGTTGAGTCAGCCTCATTTTCCACATCCTTGTCTTGAACTTCTAGAATATTGAACTTCCTTGAACCATGAATCGCAAAACTTAAGAATCAGGTCAAGCAAAATTGTGACGGGCCTGGCAGCTGTGTCGCGTTGGCTCCTCGACGGAGCCCTAAGCCCTAGAGAGTTACAAATCGGGATATCTCTTTGTCTTCACAATTTCCCGATTAGGCTCCGACGAGAGCCGTACGCACACATATAAAAGAGATCTCTGCCCGCGGCTGAGCGTGCTCCTTTTCTTTTTCTCCTCATGCTTAGTTTTTGTTCGACTAGTTGCCTCTTAGGATAGAGAATGAACGCCGTCACAAAATGACAAGATCTGTCGAGAATCCCCTGAGCCTTAAGAATGATGAGTGTTAAGAAAGTTTACTCAGATACACTAATGATTTTGAACAAGATCCCTTAACTCTGGAAGAGTTTCGCCGCCGTGTAAGGAACCCAGACCAGCTTTAAGGATCTCTACAAGCATCTGGAAGAACTATATAACAAGATCGATAAGCATAACCTTGAAGCCAGATCCCAGAACAAGGATGAAGAACACCAAGATGAGATTATCGCCTTGCAAGAAACTATCAAGATGAAAGACCAGGCTTTAGCTGAGTTGATTCAAGAACGAGACCAATATCGAGATACAGTCGCATAGCAATCCATCCTACTAATAAACCAGAGCTTAGGACCTAGAAACCCTAACGTCATCATCTCTGTAGTGACTAAGAAAAGTTCGAAACACCTAGACCCTCCTATATTGACTAATGGGGAAGATCCTGAATTTGAAAATTGGACACTGCTTATTTGTTGGAAGCTCTAGAGTAATGCTGACCATGATCTAACTGTTGAAGATCGCACTACCTATATAATTGGATGTTGTGGTTGATAGGCTACAAAACACATCATTACTTACTCCCACTCAGGTGCAGTGAACCTATATATAGACTTTAAAGATATTCTAGAACACCTATTGACCATCTACAATGATATGAATCAAGAAACCAAGAATAAGCTCTACTACTTACAGATGAAAATCACCAACAAATTCCAAGTCTTTCTTTCCAAATTCTAAGAATCTGAGCTAACAATAGTTAAATGGAAGGAAGAATTATACCATAAACTTACAAATTGTCTCCAGAATGTGGTAGTGACTTAGGGTAATGATGAGACTGTTGGATTCACTGCTTTTACTAAAATTTGTGCTAGTATCGCCAACTGGTTTGAACATTAATCACATAGAAGAAATCAAGTTTAAGATAAAACCTCTATACCTGCCCAAAGAGAATCCCCATTAGGAAATCCTCCAGGACCTAGTAAATCCAGAGCTAATTCCTAGAAGACATTGACCCCATAGTTCCGCACACAACTCATCAAAGAAGGAAAGTGTTTCTATTGTAAACAAGCTAGATATATTGTGACGGACTGCTCCCTAAAGAAGAATACAGAACTTAAAAGCCTTGAGAAAAATTAAGAACCTTCAACAAAAAGAATTGGAAAATAGGAAGGCCTAGGAAAGTCTCCATCCTAGGATAGACATATCTTGATGTGTGCAAGTTAGATCTTAGCCAACTGCTTAGCCATGAGAAAGACAGTTTTACTATGCCTATCTAGCTAGCAAAGAATTCATGCACTATTTCTACAAAAGCACTAGTAGACATAGGAGCTAACGGACTCGTCTTCATTGATACCCAATTTGCCATCGGATTAGCCAAGTATTTGGCCTCAAAACGATTCCCTTAGAACCCAATTTGAAATCAAAGGATATAATAGCAAAGTTGCAGCTGCTATTACTCATGCCCTTATCATATCCTTAATAATTAATGGGCGCTTCTAACTAGATGTACCCTTCCTCATTGTCGACTTGGGAAGGCATGACGTGGTCCTAGGACGATTATAGATGACTAGGAACAAGGTCCTAGCTTATTGCTCCAGGAAGAGATTATTCCGGCCAGAAGAGGTGTCCTTGCAAAATAAAATTATAATAAAGAACTATATTCCCGTGCCTAAGAAAATCCTAAAAGGTCTAAGATTATTGAACTCCATCACCAGGAAGATGCAGATAAATAAGACATCTAAGGAATAATGGATTCCTATGGAATATAGCTGGACCTATAACAAGAGTCATGAAGTGTTATTACTGAGAATGAGTAAAGCACTGCGGGCCGCACAACTAGAACTAGAGCTTCTAAAATCTATACCCCTCAAGAAACCAATGTCTCCAAATAAGAAAGCTGTCTCAATCGATATAGCTATGATTAGTGGAGTGGGTCTTATGCGTTATGTTTGGAATAAGGAGAGCACCATACTCATGACTAGCCTCTATGAGATCAATAAAGTCATTGAGGATAAAGGATCCTAGTTGCCAGAGGATCCTGAGATACAGGAAATCAAAGAGAAACTCCCTGAGATATATCATGAGTTTGTCAATGTATTTTTGAAGGCCAAGTCGGACGAGATGCCGCCAAGTTGCTATTGTATAAGATGTCACTGGAAGAATTAGAGACAGCAAAGACATATATCATTGACAACTTAGATAAGAGGTTTATTGTATCTAGTAACACTCCATTTGTATTATCTATTCTTATGGCAGAGAAGCTAGGAAGTGAATTGCGTTTTTGCATGGATTACTAGAAACTGAATACTCTTTCTAAGAAGGATCGATATTCCTTGCCATTGATTGATGAGGTATTTAAAAGGCTAAGCTATGCGAGGATTTCTACCAAGCTGAATATATGGTAAGGATTTCATAGGATCCGGATGCACCCTAACTCTGAGAATCTAACAATGTTCCAAAGCCAGTATGGAACCTTCAAATATAAGGTGATGCTATTTAGGTTAGCTAATAGCCCTGCGACATTCCAACGCTAATTAGCGATATCTTTATAGATTTTGTAGATTAATTTATAGTCACTTTTATTGATGACCTGCTCATCTACAGCGAAAATGAGCTAGATCACTATGCCCATGTGCGAATGGTACTAGAGTGGTCACGGGCAGCAGGTCTCTAAGCTGCTATATCGGATAATACGGTTATTCTTATACCGAGAAATAATTATAGATGCTGTGTAATCATTATAGCCCCTTGGTTTCTTTTTCCTCAGTAATAGGAGAATCGGATACTGGCTAATGAGGTTAACAACCCCTCTTATCCGTATGGTTAAACTTATTAGCAATGTTACAACACAGGGTTATTTCCAAGCCAGAAGATCTTCTCAATGGACTAGCAATGTATAGTTACTAGAGATCATTTTGCGGGGTGTGGAGCTCCATTATGGGGCAATCTATGTATCTATGTGATAAACATCCTGGGATTCGGCATTGGCCAGGATAGCGGACATAATCAAGCATTTACTATTTTATCTTTACAGAAATATTCTTACAGCATGGCTGCTTTAAAGGCAATTATTATTTCATTTGCATGGCTATTGGCCTACATAGCCTCAGCACCGGCCCTCACGTTCGCCGTACCAGCAACAAGGCCTGCTAACGCCCATAGAGAGCTTTCTGCTGCACCAGGAGGAGTCTTGTAAGTATAAAGAAGCTTTTATGCCAGTAATTGCTAACGTGAATGGCGCGGGTTCGATTTTTTTGCTTTTCCAGCTTACATGGAAGATGTCGATGCGACAGAGACCTGTCTACAAAATCTCAAAGAGTTGACGGGCACATGGCCACCAATTCGAGTTGGAGGAACAACGCGGTATGTGGTTGTACAATACCCAATCAGCCCTAACTACCGATATAGAAACAGAGCAACTTACCACCCGACCTCGACCAGCGCAGGTGTATCCGATCCAAATGAGGCACCGGATACTCTAACTTTTAGTCCTCCATTCATTTTATTGGCAGCCAGATATCGTGGCGAAGTGATACTAGGTCTCAGCCGCGCCTTGATAATCTGTCCAACACAGTAGCAGCGGCCAAACTTGCGAAAAGCCAGATGGGAACTCTCTATGCCATTGAACTTGGTAACGAGCCGAACTAAAGTAGGCTGGAAACGTCTTTTTCTTTGAAAGAACAGGAAAACTGTTGCTAAATACCATTTGGAGTTTCTAGTCTTTACGAACAGTGATCCCATCGCTAACGGCGACTCCTGGACAGCTGCCGCCGATTATGTATCTGAGATCCAATGGCAAAATGCAGTATGCGGAAACCTATCAGTAACTGATCTAATTCCAGCAGGAGTCTCCTTCGGTACCTTTCCCATGCGCATTGCAGATTTGACGGCAGTAGAGGGTACTGCCAGTATCTACGACAAGGATTACTGTTTCCACAATTATCCGCAGTTTACCAGCACCGCTAATCTCTCTTCTCTAATGAGCCACAGCGGAATTGAAAGTCAAACCCAGCCATTTGCTGCAGAAGTCTCTGCTGCGGCCCAAGAGGGCAAGCCCCACGTTCTTGGAGAGACAAACTCAGGCAGGTTCTATTCATGGTACCTAAGATGCGATTCTTCTGACCTCATAGCAGCTACTGGCGGTGGAGGTGGGATTAGCCCTACTTTCAGTGAGGCTCTTTGGATTCTGGACTATGTGATGCAATCTTTGATAATGGGGACCGAGTTTAGGTGTTCTACTTTCATCAAGAGACCATAGGCAACTGCTAGTAGAAAATTGTCTTAACCAGTAGACGAATCCAGCTTACAAAATATTAGGTCAATACTGCTGGTGGGGAAGATATGACATTGAGGCTCCTTACTACGGTGCCTACTTTGTTAATATGGCTCTAGCTGGCACAGATAGTATCACGGCTTTGGACGACCAGACTACTGCTTATGCTGCCTATGCGATCTTCGAGTCGGATGCGGTTGCAAGGGTTCTGCTCTACAACTGGGAATACTATACAAGCGGAACACGACCAAACCAGACCTTCAGTCTTACAGGACTGTCGCCTGGAATTGTTACTGCGAAACGCCTTACAGCTCCGTATGCTGCCTCTCGGGTGGATTATGGCGGAAATCCAACAGTTGCTGGCCGGACCTTTGTCAATGGTACTTGCACGATTCAAGGTACCGCCGTGGAAGAGACTACCACCGTGTCTGGTGGAGAAGCTACATTTACCATCGGTGCATCTGAAGCTCTGTTAGTTTATGTGTAACTGGCGTACAAGTCAGCTGAGAATTATTGAGCTGGTCTCCGAGTTTCCTTGACAATTCAGCCCAAAGTATGGATTATCATTTTCCGACATCAATGCCGGACAGAAGAATATTTGGGCTATCATTACAGCGTGGCTGAAGTTTTCAGGCAATATTAGCTTGTTTATATGTCTCTTATCTCTTAATACAAAGAACTATGTTTTAGTGTGTGAATAGGGGGAAACGATCCTACCCACCCTTGGAGAGTAGTAACAATCAACCGAAATCCACCTTAGTTGTATGGAGATGTGCTCAGATGCTAGATACCTTGCACGAAACAGCTAGGTATACGGCCTCATTATAAATATATACTGATATATCAACACAGGACTGTGGGAGACATACCTCATCTATACTACGCAATGAAGGAAGCTCTAAGACGAGCTGTATAAATATGAACCAAGCAAGACCAGGTGCTGATCAGAAGAGGAAGCTAGCTGTAGAGATCAATCGACTCTATCACTATCAATTCGACGACGCAATGCTGCGATATCAGCTGGTCCAGCACGACAGCACCCTCCAACAACAATGCCTCCCCACTCAGCTTTTGATTGGTGCTGTATAATGTCCCAGAAGATCTCATCCCAGGGCCTTTTCACGGTATCTGTGACGGATTGCACCCATGTCTTGGTAACAGGGTCATATTTCTCCCCCTTTGTTCCGTCCGGGTACAACACAAGCCATGGTTTCGAAGATGCCCACTCATCAATCTGTGCTTGGTCCAGCAGTCGTCGCACCTCATCCCGCATAATGGAAACAATCGCTTCGACACGATCAATTCGAGTACAATTCAGGCCTATTCCCCATGGTCGCGGTAGTCCAGGATGATTCCCAACAGCCGCGCGCACCCACTGTCTAATCTCTTCCTCGTCGACCTGTTCACCAGGGAATACGCCGCATATCCACCATGGTTTTTTGCTTGTCGAGTCACGGCCCACCACATCACATACAGCCCCTCGCACAGCGCATACCTCATCCGCTCTGCGTAGCGTTTCGAAAGCGATGTAATCCACCTGGTCCCATGATTCGTCCTCACTCTCGGTAAAAATTTTCAACCTCTGTGTATGCCATTCTCGCAATGCATTCTCTCCATCCATTTCAGGTGGGTAGATCCCCGTATATTCTGCAGAAACCGGCGACATTGTCGCACCGTACGGCCCTAGCGACAACGCAACGGAACGTTTCTTGTCATCAGCAGTAGAAGAAACCGCGCTCCGCACAAGCGGAATTGCAGATCGCATGTATTGTGCCGCATCCCTGGCCGTATAACTCGAGTTTGTCCTCGTGAAACCTTCCGTACTGGTCTGGTAGGTAGCTGTTAGGATGATGTCGGCCCCGGCGTCACAAAAGGCGTGGTGGGCGGCTTGGAGAGTTGAGGGAGAGTCGATGAGTAGGTGGGATGACCAGAGAGGCTTCTCGGGCGTGAATTGGACATTGAAGGGGGAGGCCTCGAGAGTTGTCCCGAGACCGCCGTCTAAAAGGAGAATTTGCATTGTCTAGATGTAGTTCAACATATCTAACTAACGTTAACTAACTTTGATATATGTATTTTTAAGGCGGATCCAGGTCCTTGGAGCAAGTTCATTCTTTATTCAAAATAAGGGCTCACAATCCATGAACAGGCGCTAATGGTGTACCGGTAACATGGTTCTCTTCCAAAGAATCGCACTGGGTTCGACTCCCAGTTAGCGCAAGACAGCTATCATTTCACTTAATTTTTTTGTTTCTTTTGATGGAAAAGCCATGTAATAATAGCTATGGTGTATCTGCCTGAGTTGTGCTGGCGGATGGTGCCTATGAGAACTTCACTGTTTGGCACGATGCCTCAGCAAAACTAAAACTATACTCGAAGGAATGATGTAGTTATTATTACACCTGCTTAAACCCAGTCTACAAGCCCCAATTGACCTCGTCAAGGCACAAGAATCAACGTCTTCACTCTCCCACCCAACCTCATGAAGCCATCAGACTCGAGAAACTGCACCAAACGACATAGAAAACCAATGTCCCTCGAACAAGCCCTCCCAAGACTCGGGCTGATGTGTCTATCAACAAACCTCCTAAGCGCAATCCAAAGTTCCGACTTGAGTGGAACTGACCGCCAGGGGATCACAGTATTCTCGATCATTATTCTAGTTCCCGTCTGGATTTGGGGGGTCTGTAGTTGGATCGAGACTACAACCCGTATTTCTCCTACCGCGTGCAACAATTCCCTGACCGGGGGTCTGATAGCTGCCAACATTACGCTAGTTTATGTTTCTTCTTCTTCTTTTTAGGGTGGTTCGACGATGGGGTTGTTGGTAGGGCTTTTATGGTCATATTAAAAACCGTCACCGAAAGAGATTAATCATTCAGGAAGTCTTAACGAAGTGTTCTGTTTGTTGTTGGTGTACTATTCCTGGCTCGTTCGAAGATTCAAATCACGATATTCAAATTATTCTTACTATAGATGATGCTACATGATATAATGGAACATAAATGAGCTATTATACAGAGCTCCCCCCGGTCACCCATGCCAAACCCTAGCCCAATAATGCTTTTTTTCTTGTCTTTCTTGTAAAGAAACGAAAATGAAACAAAAATAAACGACATGTAGTTCAAACAGAAAGAAACGAGCACCAGCCCCAAATCCAGCCGAGTGTCTCCATCTCTCGAATTAGTCGGGGTTTGTCAAAGCTTTCGTTAGCCAGCTAGCAATACATGGGTTAATAAATAAAAAAAACGATTAAGAAATAAATTAGTTGAGGGAATAAATCATATAGAAAAATGCATAAGATCAAGACGAATACATGAATCAAAAGGAAAAAATGGCACTAAAATATCAGTAGATAGGGGGGCATGACAAATCAAAGAAGAGAAGTAAAAAGAGAAGAGAAGAGAATTAGTTGTTAAGACACATGGATATGGAATAAAATGCACCTCTGCAGATCAAATGAAACGATATAAGCAGCATTCCCGTCCTATTTCGCTCCAATCTCCTCTTCAGCCCAGCCAGGAAGAGACGACTCATTCTGAATAGCTAGACCAAACCCGCTGTGGTTCAATCCGCTGAGTGCGGAGCTAAAGCTGGAGAAGCTTCCCTGAGGCTGGTGAGACAACCCGGAGCGGCCGTGAGAAGGCTGGCCGACATTTGGTCCGAAGGGTTCTTGGGAGAACGAAGGAAGACTGACAGCTCGAGAATGCTGAATTCGAGGAACACTGAGGCTGTTGGCAGAGCTGTGGGTAGATCCGGCGTGGCCGTTGGCAACGTTCAAAAAGCCGTTAGATGGCTTTCGTTGATTGATAGAGCTCTCGATCGAGCCATTGGGTATCTCGTTCGAGGCTGCTCCATTGTATAAAGCTGCCTGCTGATTGGCAAGAGCCTGTTGTTGCTGTTGCTGAAGAGTCGCCAAAGTGATGGGATCCGTCAAGCGGCTCTCCTGATCTTGTCCCTGCTGAGAAACATGATTCAGGTACATCGTCAAGGGATTGTTATTTCCAGTGTTCAGAATGGATGAAGGAGATGCTAGGTTCTGCAGAGGTCGATTTTGCTGTCCACCCTGGGAGCCTGTCGATCCTGGAGCCGGGGACAAGGCTGGTCGGGTCGGGCTAGGCTGAGAGCCGTTCTGACTACTGCTCTGCTTGAAACCGTTCAAAGGAGATGGTGACTGCTCTTCAAGACCATTCCGGTTCTGTTGTTGATTGTTGTTATTTACTTGACGAGGAGCATTGCCGCATCGGTCTTTGCCGAAGTTGATTTTAAAGCGCTTGTATTCCTCGCGGCTTCGCATGCCTTCAATAGCCTTGATAGCGTTGGCGATGTTTGTAAAGTTCACAAAAGCACAGCTCTTTTCTCTCAGAGTATTGACAAGCTCAATCTCGCCGTACTCTGAAAAGTCCTGACGAAGACGCTCCTCGGTCCATGTCTCGTCCAAATTGCCGATATATACGTTTCGCGAAGCTCCTCCACTGACTGCCAAAGCGATGGCTGGAGGGAGAGCGCCGGAGTGCTTACCCCAGCCAATCTTAAGCCGTCTGTTATGGATCATCAACCCCTGAAGGTTGCTGAGAGCATAAAACGAAGCGGCAGAAGTAGGGTCAATAAAAGTGACAAAGCAGATATGCTTGTCAGGGATATAACGGATATGGTGCAACAGACCACCGCGGACCACATTGCAAATTTCTTCGATAGTGGTCTCTGGGTGAATGTTACCCAAATAGATGGTACGATTTCCGAGATTGTTGACGCCACCAGCAGTGGTTGCAACAGCGGCTGCAGCAACCGATTGCTGGGCGAGCGCATTAGAGATCAAATCACGGTCTGCACTGTTGAGAACGTGAGCGTAGCCAGGAGCGATACCAAGGTACTGAGCGGCGTTTTGCTGTTGAGTCTTTGACACATAGGCACAGCGGTCCTTTCCGTAGAAAACTCGTCGAGGAGCTTGCCATTTGGCCTCTTGAGGGAGTTGTGCGACGGCTTTAATGGCGTTGCTGATGGACAAGAAATGGACGAAACCGATGGCCTTTTCCTTGACGAGCTTGACGGTGTCGATAGGACCAAACTTTCCTAGCTCTTCGCGGAGTTCATCCTCTGTGATATCTTCTGGGAGACTGCCCAGGTAAACATTCCGAGACGCGCCTGACTGCTGAACTGCTACGGCAACGGAAGTTGGGACCTGAGAAGGTTTACCCCAGCCAATCTTAATATCGTTGCCCTTGATTGACAACTTTTTGAGGATAGCATCGGAGTGAAAGTGCGTCGCAGAGCTACTGTCGAGGAACGAGATGAACGCGCAGTTCTTGTCTGGTAGCAAGCGAACAGACTCGATTTGGCCGCTGCGAACGTGGTTCAGAATCTCTTCTGCCGACGTTTCCGCCGGGATGTTGCCAAGGTACACAGTGCGGCTGGTGCCTGAAAGCATTTGCGGTCCGAGGTGGACCGAAGCGTTAGATGCACCAAAAGTAGCATTTGTCAAACCAGGGAACCCACCAATTGGCGACTGTGGCCCTCCCAACAGCTGAGATCCAGCAAAACCATCTGCAGAAACCAAACCGGGATATAATTGAGGAGACAAAGCATTTTGTTGCGCCTGGGTTGGACTAGTCAAAGTGTTCTGAGCATTTTGGTTATGCGCAGAATTTGCCTGAGAAAATCCGCCAAAGTTGGTAAATTGAGGGGAGGCAAAAGCGGAAGGGGTACCGGGTTGGAAGGGACTTCCGAGCAGAAGCTGGGAAGGGAGCAAGGGTGTAACGTTCATATCGAAACCAGATCCGAGGTCGTTACCGCTGTGAAGTCCAGTATTTATAGAAGGGATATTAGCTCGTCGAGAATCGCGGTTTCCGAAGCTTTGCACAGAAGGATTGTTTGAATTGAAGGCGCCGTGAGAGAAGCCAGTCTGGTCTGCGTTGAATCCGGAGAATTTCGACATCGACGGTAAACGCGAGTTTTTAGAATCCGCAGTTTGCATGGCGAGCATGTGCGGCGGTAGGACAAGGTTGTCCCGTATATTGGAAGTAAGTAAAGCCGTTTTGAAGGGAGTGACAGGTCCGGACAGATATCACCGGACGAGTCGCAGAATATAGATATTAGTATAAACCTAGCTAGTCGACTCGCTTGTCGCTCCGAGATTGTATCTGGCACGTTCGATCTGATCCCCTCGGTGCTAGACGCGTTCAGTGGGTGGCAGACTGTATCCCCAAACTGAGTCGTATATATAAACCTGCGAATAGGATCGATTTCCGTCGTGAACATACAACGGCGAATATAGGAGCGCTCTCGGTTCGAAGGTAGATCGCGACGACAGATTTGCAAAGCGAACGTGAGGCGACGAAGCGATGAATAATTATCGAATCGAAGAATCGAACAGCTAGCGCACAGGCTAACAAAAAGAAGGTGTAGTAGCTTCGAGGTAAGAATAGCTAATATAATGACTGACTGAGATGATACGGAAATTAGATGAGATGAACGACGCAGAAGGGGTGGTTGTTTACCTTTCCCTAGATTAAATCAAAGAGAATTATACCGAAGGAGCCAGGATAGTCAATTGGAGAAAAGTGAAGAAAAGAATTAGGTAGCTGGGGAGGAAAAGAAAAGAAACGAAAGAAAATGAACGAACGAGCGAGCGAACGTGGAGAAGTAAGGAATGAGGAGAAAGGTATGCAAGAAGAGAAGAAAAGATGAAGCTGCGAGAGTGAAGAAGGGGGGAAAAGATCAGATGAGAACAAACAAATAATTGGCAAGAACCACCGCGGGAAAGGAGGAACGACAAAACGGGCTAGACCAGCTTTTACTACTCGTGACTTTGCATTAATGCTGCTACATGATTAATCTTTTTCGATTTACTTGCTGATTTTTATTCTAGCGATTTTATCGAACGAGTATTATCTGGCCTGTCTCTTACTGCGTGGTATACACCGAGTACAGGAGCTGAACGAACACGAGTATGTACGGAATCGGGACAGTACTTGGAGAAACTAACACTCTTCCAGTAATTAATTATACTATGAATAGGGCTCACTAGGCTGATCCCAGTTGGTGGGGATGATCATTTCTTGTACTTTTAATCTTTATGCGCGCACATGGCGAGATTCAAGTACGTACTGAAGACCAAGTGACACTGAAGCTGAAGTCTTCTCGGCCAATATTGAACCTTGGAACTCGTATCCAATCGGTGTTTGGTAGACGGAGCCTCCATCTTCTGCAATTGACTGACAATTCAATGCGCATACATTCATGCGCTGATAGAAGGTTAAGTGGATTGAGTCCAGGTACGGAGTCTCGACACCAGGGATCAGGAGCGCGGATCCATGGATCCTTGACACGCGTTGTAGATATAAGGACCATGAACCCCAAGGTTGAACTTTGATGTGTCCTCCCACAATCAATTCCAGCCAGGGGGCAGACACTAGAAGTAGAAACTAAGAGTTGGCAAATGCCAACTTGGTTAGAACTTGGAATTAGCAGCCCGGAGCGGTTAGTACGAGAATTAAAAGGAAGCCCCATTCTTGTCCCCTGTTCGTCCAATGAACACTATCACCGGAAGTCTTCAGCCTCAGATGATACATACTATGTATGTTTTGTGGATGCAGCGATGAGACAAGTATGCACACGTTCATCACAATGGAGGGCGCCGCAGCTTAAGAGTACGTACTGCCGTCTAGGTTATGCGTCGACTCGCTATGGCTGAAATTTAGCAGAGCATCAATACGCACCGATGGAGACAGAACGTGTCGACAATCAGAACAAAGCGAGGTGTCGCTGCTTATTGTGCTGTGCATACAGAATGGCTGGTCAAATCAGCCGCCTGCACCTTATACGTTATTCAGCGAGGCGGCAAGGTCGATATTTGAAACAGCTCTCATACATAAACGACAAGATCGAAGACATCTGACTCGGTGGCTGTAGACAGATCGTGGCTCTCGAGATACTCCTCCGTACGTACATAGTAGAGAATGTTTTCTTTTTCGAGATCCATCTGGGTGGATCCAGCCCCTGACCTGATTTTGAACTAGGCTGGAAACAGTTAGATTCCGAATCAGATCATGTGACTTATTTCGATCTTTGTCGAGATTAATTCTTTCAGACTTGAAGACTTCTCATTTTTTCGTTTCGATTTATATGCCAACAGAGCAGAGACAGACTGTCTCTGTTTATGAGCGAGCGTGTGGCAATGCCGGCTATTACGGCAGAATGGACATCACGCATTGAATATACCCCGTACCGAAGCAGTCTAGTCGCATTCCGCAAGAAGATACACCATGACTATTGACTCTGGTTATCAGAGGAATGGCTATCGAATGCCTAGGGTATATTCCAGGTGTGTAATCAATAATTTATGAACTACGCATGACTACTCCATAGCAGTAGCTTGGATATTTAGGACAACCAGTGTAATAATTTTGTTCGTAGGGGTGAGGTAGTCGATGTTTCTGCCACGTAAGTAAGGTGTCAACCGTCACGATAAGAAAGAGCCCCTCAATCTTTCCGCCTTTTGTGCGCATCCACCCAATATTTTCAACCCCTCACCTTTTTGTGTGCAGGAATCGACTCGACGCACAACAGTACATTCCTGAAGCAGGAATTGTACGATTGATTGCAATTGTTCGACAAGAGGTCTACCTGGAGTTTTCAGAAACTGCATGTAATTGGTTGGTTCTTTTCTTATCTCTGAGTCATAGCCCCAGGTCGCAGGCCGCATTGATCAGATTCAGCGAACAAGCCAAATCACATTTTATATCACCTCAATTAACTATTTTGCTGCAGAGCAACCACGAGAATTTCCATTGAGTAGCCGACGTCAACATGGCGGCTCCCGAACAGCACATCTACATTGACGAAGATGTCGGCAAAGACGACTCTTCGGCCAACGGCACCGAAGCCGCTCCCTACAAATCGCTTCTCCATGCCATGCTACAACATGCCCCGACTACCGAGGGAATCAAGTACCTCACCCGCAAATCGGTCACCGGCCCCGTCGAGGAAGGTAATGAAGCTGAACGTCTCGAGTGGAAGGCACCGTCAGCGTCGGCTATGAAGAAATCGACCAGACTGTATGAAGGAGCATTAAAGAAAGCGGCTAAAGCACAGGAAATCGCCATTCGCGAGAAGGCAGATGCCGAGAAGCGTCAGGTTGTGCTCGAGGAGGCTAAGAAGGTTATCATTAAAGAGGATGCTTCTCTTCCCAAGCCAGTGCGTATCCGACTCGATGTCACGGACCCAGCGATTGTCAAGTTGCGTGCCCCAGAATCAGATGAGCCTGGAACTCGTGTTCGCGTGCTCGGTCGGGTTCATCGTTTGCGATCACAGAAGGATGTTATTTTCATCACGCTTTATGATGGATATGGATATCTTCAGTGTATCATGACGGGTGATATGGTCAAGACTTACGACATGATGACCTTGACTTTGGAGACGTCTATTGCCATCCACGGAGAGATGCGCGCCGTTCCTCCTAAGCAACATGCCCCCAACGACCGAGAATTGCACGCCGACTATTTCAAGATCATTGGCAAGGCGGCGGGTGATAAGGAGGCCATTACCAGCCGAGTGGCGCCGGATGCCGATCCTCAGACACTTTATGACAACCGACACTTGGTTCTCCGTGGTGAGACCTCTTCATCAGTCATGAAAGTGCGAGCAGCAACCTTGAGAGCGTTTAGGCGAACATTCGAGGCGACCAGGATGTTGGAAGTCACCCCTCCTTCCATGGTGCAGACACAGGTCGAAGGTGGCAGCACACTGTTTTCGTTTGACTACTACGGCGAACCAGCGTATCTGACACAGTCCTCGCAATTGTATCTCGAGACATGCCTGGCATCTCTTGGAGATGTGTTTTGTATCTGCCCATCCTTCCGAGCAGAGAAATCGCTTACCCGTCGTCACTTGTCTGAATACACTCACATCGAAGCCGAGCTCGATTTTATCACTTTCGACGATCTCCTCGAACACTTGGAAGAAGTCATTTCCACAGTTATTGGCGAATTGCTCGCCGACGAACAAACCGCCAAACTCATCAAGGACCTCAACCCAGACTTCAAAGTACCGTCGCGCCCGTTCAAACGCATGCGATACTCGGACGCAATTGACTGGCTACGCGAACACAACATCCCCAACGAAGAAGGACAACCGCATCAATTCGGCGACGATATTGCGGAAGCTGCCGAACGTAAGATGACGGATATCATCAACCAGCCTATCTTCCTGACACATTTCCCCGCGGAAATCAAGGCGTTTTACATGAAGAAAGACCCACAGGATCCGCGAGTCACTGAAAGTGTTGACGTACTCATGCCTGGTGTCGGTGAGATTGTAGGAGGAAGTTGCCGTATTGATGATTGGGATGAGTTGATTGCCGCGTATAAGCGGGAGGAGATGGATCCGTCGCCCTATTACTGGTACACCGATCAGCGAAAGTACGTCTCTCTTCTATTTTGCTATCTAAAATAGAGCGCACTAACTTTAGTCAATAGGTACGGAACGTCGCCCCACGGAGGTTACGGATTGGGCCTTGAGCGATTCTTAGCTTGGATTTGTGGTCGCTACACCGTCCGTGAATGCTGCTTGTATCCGAGATTTACGGGCCGATGCACGCCATAGTTTGTCTGTTTGATTTGAATGGTTTCAGGATGATGGGTAGTTTGATAAAATGCATGAATTTTTCTTTACGTATTGAGTGGTTGCACATTTGATCAGATTTGAATTAAAGAATCTCTCCATGTATCACTACATACACCGTACAGATGACAAGAAATAGTAAAACGCCAATATCCTAGCTCTATTCCAGAGAAACTCCTAGGAAGGGCTAAACTCTCATCCAAATCCCCTCCTGGACATGCCCATCCTCCTCCTCAGCCGAGGCCATGATATGCGGCACAACCAATTCGACCCCTTTAGTGGCGCCGGCACCACCATTCGAGAAGGAAGGGTTGTGTCGAGGCGGTAGAGGACGACTGGGATCCATCATGCCAGCTACCGCCATCTCTGAAGTACTAGTATAGTTGCCGTATCCTCCATAGGACGGAATAGCGGCACTAATGTATTCCGATGCAGAGGACATGGATGACGACGAAGGCGGACTACCAGTCACAGAGGACGAGGCGGTGGTCGTGCTCGGCGTATTAACGAGCGAAGGCGCCATCGTCGATAGACTGGAGGTACTATTCCGAGCCGTCGGCGGACGACGGAATAGTGGCATTGACGACGACGGAGTCGATGAAGAGATCCTCTCGTCTTGGCCGCGCGGATGATGGAACTGAGAAAGATAGTTCCATGCATCGCTCGATGCGAGCGAGGTCGACGACCCGTCTCGACCGTGTCGATGGTTACCGCCGGATATAATGGGTTTCCATTCGGTGGGATCAAGATCCGATTTGGCGTCGTGGAGGTCGGAAGGTATCCTTGCGACCAGAGGGCGGGATACTGGAATTGGTTTTGAGGTTGGTGTGGTAGACATTATTGATGATGAGGTGTCGATGTTGATGGGTGATGAAGGGGAGGAGGTCATTGTGTATGTATATGAAGAAGCTGAGAGAGGTTTGCAAGAGTCTTTGCGACGGCAGCTATATAGCAACAAGAATTAGAACGGTAGGGTACACGTTAAGGGTTAACGACATACCTTTCACTGCAGTACAGAACCGAGTTGCTGGGCACCGTTATCTGTTTCTCACACATGGCGCTAATATAAGACGTCAGCCAAGTACAACAGATATGTCGTGGAATGTGAGACGAACATAAAAAAAAGAAAAGAAGAGAATGAGGCGAATCGCCCCGCTGGTAGGACATAGATAGATAAGGAGTAGACATACCAATATTGTAAAAAACTAGTCGCCATCTCAAAATGTTCGACTTCTGGTTTGACAGAATAACTGGCAGGACCAGATCCTGCCCCTAATAATCTTCCAAGTGATTGATGGGATTTGTTTCGTTGAGGATGATGGAAATGAGCTGAAGCGGTTTTGCGGTGATAAAGGGCGGGTCGTTGGGGCTTGATAGCCGAGCCTTTTTTAGGGGTAGGCGATGTAGGAGAGGGAGCAGGAGTAGGAGTAGGTGTAGGTGTAGTTTTAGCAACAGGAGAAGAGGTATGGCGGTGTAAAGGAGGCCGTTTCGTGGATGGCGGTGAAGTATTAGTAGTGCCTCTAGTATGAGGCTTTTGTTGTTGGCGGTGCATGACTGTTATCTTGTCTCAAGATAAGTATGTACAGACCCACTGATGGCGGAGGGTGGATCAAAGGGATGGATTTGATAGTCTTTTTGTTTCACAGATTCACAGGTAGGACAGAAGAATTGAGGGATTTTTATTTTATAAGTCGAATATTCGTGATGTCGATATAATTTTGCGAGATGGATGCAGGTACACGCGAGGCGAGTAGCTCTCAAGGTACACAGAACCACTGCTAACAAACTGAGTTAGAATCGGAAAAGGAAAAGGGGAAAAAAAGAAAAGAAATGAGAATGCCCGAATGACTCACAGGGTTCGATCCTTGCAACTTAGTACTTACTTATCTATCAGGGCTGAAATGCTAGAAAGTATGTTGATAAAGATAAGAAAGCGGTGTGCAGTAAACATGTTCCTGAGTAAGAAGGTAGAGAAAAGAAGAGGAATCACTCGAATAAATACAATAAATGATCCAATGCATTCGCAATATGAAATAAGACCTAGATATCTGCCTGAGGGATTGATCAGATCCATCACGTAATTGAGTCTAGCCTGATGCAGTAATCTTTCTACGTTTTCTAACCCTAACTCGAATTCTAGAACACTTTTTCACGGCACTTACGACACAGAGGAGAAGGATTCTATTAGTGGAATCGTTATTATTAGTTACTATCGCGCTTGACGAAAAAGAAAATGCAAAAAGATAAGCACGTTGATGCGCCGGCGCAGATAAGTCGATCTGTCCGAGCCCATAGTGCAAGACATGGGCTAGACCCTAGACCTTTGGCGTGTAGTCACAAGTATTAACTGCATACTATGATACGTGGTATGTATGAACTAGCTAGCACACGAATCAAGTTTCAATCTGTCAAAAGTCTAGAATGTGTGTAGTCATGTGTGGAGAGAATCATTCGATTAGATCATTACCGCATCCGGATATTCCGCTTGTTCAGTCACTCTTTTTGACATTCTAGAACGAGTTCTGCCCGGTAGATCAATTTCTTCATGTCATCTACTTGTTTAGTCCACTTGAGAAAAATTGGGCGAAAATTCGAAAAGGGATAGGGGACTGGTGTGGAGGGGAATGGAGGGGTAACACGACGCCCCCCGGTGGTTAGGGTTACTGTTACTTTCTCCATACTCCGTACATTTGCACCACTTCCGGCTACACAACATCCATTTCAAGCTTTTATCTTGTTCTTTTGTGATATGTATTGTGACTGTGGAGTGGACATACGTAGTCGTCGAATTAAGAACGAATCAAATCTTGGAAACATACGAACGGAAAAAGGTACCTAGAATCTTTCTATCCATGGTTTTGTCTGTTCTATTTTAAAGTACTTGTCATGTCACTACGTGGCGGACCACTTACGTACGAGTTACAGGTAAAGTAGTGGTTGACGTCAATTACATGGCTATTCTTCTGCCTGGAAAAGATTCATCCCTTGGTAGGGATAAGGCGGCGGAATAAATCACTCATATGGTGGTGTCATCTGTTTGTATGAGCATATTTTGAGGGAGTTTGTATCGCACTCTTGCGTGACACAGAATGTGAGGCGTCATTATTTTCATTAGATATACAATACAGGGTTAGGGTTGAGAGTAACACAGTGTTTGGGTATTCTCATGGTAAACATGCCTATAATAATAATACCAAGACGGATCATGAACCGTCCACCTCCATAGCTTCACCGTTGCTCCTACATTTATCAACATCAATAGTCGACTCAGCTTTCCTATCCGGCTTCACCCCTGTAATAAACTGTTCCGGAACACCATTCGCCGCTACCGTTGCACTACCGACATAACATCCAAGCATACCGCTCCATGCGTACTTTTGTTCGGTCAGATTGCGAATTTCTCGATACCCAACGACGTTTGCAAAGGGGAGGCCCGTGTCTGGGTCACGGTAGCGGGACAGTTGTGATGTTATTGGGCAGAGGTGCTGTGATATTTCTGTTTGATTATTAGTATATACGGAAAATATATATATATATAATATGCGTATGTGGAGATCAAACGTACTAGCCAAACGAGGTGGTTTTTTGGCGTTGAAATATATACTATACTCGCGGCTTTGTATGGTGGCGTTGTCAAAGTTCTCTAGGACGAGTAGATTTCGGCCCGTTTGTTCGACTTGTTCGGGCCGCATTGCAGCTTCAATCTCGCTTATTGTCGGCTCGGCCACGGCCGTGGGCTGGTGGGCTTCGGTCGGGCCAGGAACGTCTTGCATCGACACATCGGCTTGTTCAGTATTTTCCTGAAGAGGCGTAGCAGGTATCGTAGCAGGTTCAATATCGGGGTTGTCGACACTATCCGTTTGTGCGATAGTTGATGTGTCTTGTTCTGCTGGCTCTGTGGTAGTCTTTGTCTCCACCGGCTTGTCTGTCTCTGCTGCCGTAGAATCCGCTGCTTCAGATGCATTTGGTATTGACTTTGTTTCCGACTTGGGCGCTTCATCGGCAATTGTAGAACTACCCTCTGGCGCAGTTTTGCTTAGGGTATCGCCTGTGTCCTGCTCTTTGCCGTCCACAGCCGGTTCATCCGCCACAGACTTTTCTTTATCTTTGGTCTCTGGTTTATTCTCGAGCTTCGAGCCCTCAGCAGTCTTCCCACTCGTAGTCCCTTCAACGCGCGCTGATTCCGGGAGAGCCTCAACCTCTGGCTCTGATTTCTCCGGTGCCGGTGTTGTCGGTACAGACGCATGCTGATGGGTGCCGTCAAGAAATCCTTGAGGGCTCGTCACTGTCACGTTTTGTTGTGCCTGCGTGCTGATCTTGTTTGGTAGTGCAGATGCGGTTTCCCCATTAACAACCGTAGCTGTATTCTCTTGAATTAAACTCGTCGGATGGAGAGATTCCGCCTTGACCGCCTCCTGCGACGTATCCTTCGCCTTCTTCTTCCGCTCAGGTTCCTTCTCTTCAGATTTCGGTTGAACTTCGACATTGCCCACACGCACCAATTTCCCATTAACCCACTTGGCAATCCCACTCCACCACGACATAACAGGTCCTTCAAGACGGCGGTTCTGGAGAGCCTCAAGCTTAGCCTTGCGTTCCTCAGCCTTTCGTTTCTCCATTTCCTCCCACCGATTCAGGCTTTTACTATTTAATCGCTCAATCTTTGCTGCTTCGGCTAATCGTTCCTCCTGTGTCATGACTTTGGGTTTCAATCTTTGCTTCCTCTTGGCGGCTTCCTCCATATTTGCAATAAGCTTAATTCGTCTTTGTTCACTGTCCTTTAGCCTAGCATGCGTAAGTTCTTTGTTCTGCATAGTTTGGCGACGGGAAGACGATCGAACCGGTCCCTCTTCGGGCGTCGGTAGCCACGAGACCCGTTCAGACTTTTTCTTCGGACGCGGTGTAGTAGCAGATGTACTCGACAAGGAAGGTGAATCAATCTTCACTTTCTTCCGCAGAGCCGTAAGCCTTAGAGACTCCTGAGCTTTGCGCTTTTTCCGTTCGACTCTCGCTTGTTTTTCCAGCTCTTTCTCCCCTTCCAGGTCGTCATCCGCCGCGTTCGGTCCCTGGTCGTCCTCGTCTTCAGACGAAGAATCTAAACGCATGTCATCAAATTCCCCGTCGGCTCCTTCTTCCTCATCAAACTCGTCGTCGTTCTCATCTTCGGCAAACAGAAGCGTTAAATCATCGTCGGCAGCGGCATCGAGTAAAGACGACATGTTCCTCCCGGCTGTACTTCGTTTCTGTCGACCAGCGACCAGGGATTCAACGACCTCATCGTCGGATGTGTCGGCGCCAGTGTCTGCTCCGGTTAAAGAAGACGTCTCATCCGGGGTTGCCATGATTGCTGTATCATGAAGATTGCGCAGTTGCGCGAATCTTCCTAATGTGTTAGACTAGAATGGCGATCGGGTGTATTGACATTCGACAGTAAGTTGTTTGTATAGAGCTGTCCGTGATTGAAATGTAACTCGTAAATCTGACTTTATCCGTGAGTTGTGATTGTTTTGAGAAACAAAGGAACATTGAATCATCGCCGCCAGTCTGTAAAGAAGCTCTGCGTCGGCGTGTCTTGGCAGCCGCCGTGTCACATGACTTCGTGCCGAGCTAAGAGCACGTGACCTAAATGTCGCCGTAAAAATACCACATTACATAATCAACCAAACAGGTCTCAACTAACGTAATTCCCAAGCGAACCGCCCACCCAAGCGACCCGCCCACCTCCCCGAAAAATAACTCTCTATATTGATTTCTCATATTTCAACGCGTCAAAATGCCACCAATTCGCAAGAAAGATCCCTTAAAATCTGCTCAAATAGAGGGAAAGATCCAGTTAGCTATTTCTGATTTGAAAAATGGAAGAATTTCCAATATTCGTGAAGCTACAAGGATTTATGATATTCCTCGTACGACTCTCCGAGATCGACTCAAAGGCATTGAATATAAAGGTGAAAAGCGTGCCAACCACCATAAATTGACTCAATCTGAGGAGGATTCACTTGTCAAATGGGTTCTTGATTTAGATCGACGTGGATTACCTCCCCGACATTCTCTTGTACGAGAAATGGTCAATTATCTTCTACAACAACATGGAAAATCACAAGTTGGAAAAAACTGGGTGACCAATCTGATTAAACGCCGTCCGGAGATTGATTCTAAATTCGCAAGGAAATATAACTATGAACGTGCCAAATGTGAAGATCCAAAGATAATTCAAGAACATTTTGACCGCGTACGAGCTGCTATATCTGAGTATGGAATCTTACCAGAAGATATCTATAACTTTGATGAGACTGGCTTTGCTATGGGACCCTGTGCATCTGCGAAGGTTATTACTGGAAGCGATCGATATGCTCAGCCAAAGCTTTTACAGCCTGGAAATCGAGAATGGGTGACTGCAATTGAAGCAACAAATTCAACTGGTTGGGCGTTACCTTCGTACATTATTTTCAAAGCAAAGAAAAACGTACGATTAGGTTGGTTTGAGGATCTTCCAGATGATTGGAGAATCAATATTAGCGATAATGGTTGGACAACAGATCAAATAGGATTAGAATGGCTTAAAACCCATTTTATTCCTAATATTAATGATCGTACAATGGGAAAATACCGAATGTTGATTCTTGATGGCCATGGAAGCCATTTGACTCCAGAATTTGATCGTACATGCACTGAGAATAATATTATTCCAATCTGCATGCCACCTCATTCTTCGCATCTATTACAGCCTCTTGATGTTGGCTGTTTTGCAGTTTTAAAACGGTATTATGGGCAGGTTGTTGAGCAACGAATGAGGCTTGGATTCAATCATATCGACAAAATGGACTTTTTAACAGCATTTCCACAGGCTCGTACAGTGGCATATAAAGCTCAATCTATTCAGAATAGCTTCGCAGCCACTGGATTAGTGCCTTTCAATCCAGATCGAGTTCTTCAATATCTTAATATTCAATTGAAGACTCCAACCCCCCCTCCAAGTCGATCAAGCAATACAGCATCATCCTGCTTACAAACACCTCAAAATATACGCCAATTTGTACGCCAGTCAACTACAATCAATAAACATATAAATGAGCGCACAGGAAATCAGAATCAAGAAATCAATCAGGCAGTTATACGGTTGTCAAAAGCCTACGAAATACTAGCGAATGATACTTTACTCGTACGGAAAGAAAACCATGATTTACGAGCTGCGAATGAAAAAGAGAAGCAAAAACGCCAAAAATCTAAGAAAAAGATATCTATTGAGCATGGGATTACTAGTGAAGAAGCTCAAGCGCTTGTACAAGGTCAGGTTGAGGCATCTCAAGCTGTTACGGCTGCTCCAGTTGAGCCGGAGCTCCCAGCTTCTCAAGCAGTCGTACGCCGCCAATTTCGCTGCAGTGGTTGTGGTGTTGAAGGACATAAAATTAATCGATGTCCTAATCTTACTACTAATTAATTTTTTGTATATAATTTGTATGTGATTAAGAAATTGTGATTTGAAATCAATATAGAGAGTTATTTTTCGGGGAGGTGGGCGGGTCGCTTGGGTGGGCGGTTCGCTTGGGAATTACGTTAACTAACTGTTAACTAACTAATGCAGGTACCCAAACCAGGCAAGTCTATATTCAGACACTGAAGGACGTCCTGTTTCAGAGGGCGACTGGCGCGGAGAGTCGGTTGGCTAGCTTAAGTCCGCTGGAAGCGGTTAACTAGGACTTAAGTCAGAGTAAGCATGGGGTAAGATAAGTTAACGTACGTTATGGCTGTTCCTGAATGTCATCCCGTGACAGCTACAAAACAGAAACATCTGTGGGGCGCTGCGTCATTTCCTCTCTTAAGACTCTCTACTTATGTAGTTACAACTACATATGTTCTCTCATGTGTGGACACTACTGTTGAGTGATCTTCTGATCATATCAGTTGTCTGTGTACACGCGGCTGGTCTGGTGAATGTCCAAGAGCTAGGGTAGACGAATCATGTGTGGGGGGAATGACAGCCCCTTACTGCTACTGTTCCAAACAGCAATCTGGACAGGATGCTCGCTCTCTATAAATAGGATGATACCCAGCTTGTTTGATTCGAGCAATCGTCATGGTCTACTTAATCGGTATTCCTTTGAAACACGATCCCCCTCATCAAGCGCTCTACAAAACGAACTGTGGAGGGAACCCTGATCTTATCGATCATCGATCAGATAAGTCGCTATCGCGACCTGCCAGGTTTGGTTCTCGGCTGCTCAATAAGTATGTTTTAACACATGCAGCGAGTTTGATGATAGTCTGAGTCCTTCATCAAGCTGACATGTCGCTTTTCAGTCTTGATTCATTCTAGATGCATCTAAGTAGCCAACTGTCAACCGTACTTGCGTATCGTAAATACGGTAACGATACCATCGGAGGATTCAAAACCAGTAGCTTACTTTGGATAGCATGCAATGACGGTATCTTTTTCTGAAACAGGTCGGCATGCACTGTTGAGATACTCTAGAAGTAATTACTATGTATGCTGAATTCCCGCGATATATACCCAGTTTCTAACTGAAATGTGATTATTATTTGTTCTTGTCGTCTGGTAATATTGAGTACCCAGCATACGAAGACACTGTAATTACATTACCGTACGAAACGCGGCATAGTTTTATGGGCGGCCCTAGTAGCGTCGTTTCGCTCCTTCTCCTGGCGACAATTACCTTGACACTTTCTTCTCTATCTTATCCTCTCGTTATCCTCAACCCTCCCCTATCATCCTCTTCTCTTCCTTTCCCTACCTCTCTCGAAGGGGCTTTGATAATATTAGTCTATTAATATCTTTCTTCTGAAGAATTGCTCTTCATCCCATTGATTCGTTTCGTCCTCCGTTTTCCCCATCAACGCAGCTCTCTCTCTCCGCCCCCCTGCCACCCTGTCCGATCTGTTGAACGACTCCTCAAAACGCTCTTTGTCGGTCTTCTTCTCGGAGGTTGTGTGTCTCGACGACAATTGCACTTCTGCCGTATTTGGGAATTATTCTACAGGGATATCCTTTATAATAACTCTAATTCCAATTAATTCGGCCTGGAATTACCTTCTGTGTGCTCCCGGTTTTCGCATGACCCTGTCTTTCGCCCGTTGCCAGCCGCGTCCCGTGACACAATCAGCTTGCGATTGTTGACCCTATTCAGAGTCCACAATTGTTTGCGAGCGCGGTAAATCTCTTCGATCCGGATAAGCTCCACTGTGTTGGAACATTGTGCGGGTAGCTTGTTACTGCTAAAGATCCGCCACTGCGTGGTTGGTCCATTGCGTATAGTGCGATCGCGAATTTGTTCTCAAGTCATCAACTTCCTCCCTGGGTTCCTATTAGAAAGAAGGAGGTGAAGCCGTTTATTGAGATTGAACGACTGTCTTCATCGCATCTTACAATCTTATGGGGTTTTCATAGCGACTTCCGTCTTTACCGAGCAATCCACCTCAAGGATCCTCCCGGAACCGAACAGTCAAACAGCCCCGTCTCTCTTTCTACTCGAACAATTACAACTTCGGTTCAGTTCTATAAACCCCGGTCAAATATTTCTATAATCTATAATGGTGCCAGTTTCGCGGCCGGACGGCCATCTCAATCTCAACTACATCCCAGTCTCTCAGCCAATGTCAGGGACGTCGACGGGCAGCAATTCGCCAAATGAGTTGCCTGGAAATTTAGGCAAGTCACCGTTTGGTACTACCAACGGACTGGGAAGTGCTCCAGGTTCGTTGGGCAGTACACGCATAGGGGCTGGATCCCCCTCTCACGAACTAGGCACTCGCCTGTATTCGAAACGGTAAGCTATGTCTCAGTTGCATTAACACTACTTCAGCAACATACTAATATGATTTCTGACAAATAGAGCACGTGAGATTCAAGCTCAGGAAGGTGTTTCGACAAGCATTTGGGGTCCTCCAACGAGCGGCCACTCAACCCCTTTACGTGAAAATATTCCTGAATCTCCTAGTCAAGATGGATTTCCCGACTTGATCCCATCTGAGCCTATAATGAATAGCCCTGCACGAAGGGCAAGAGCTGGCACGGTACCATCACGGTTCCCGCCTGTTGGCACACTAAGCGCAACCTCCCAGGCACCGTCCCTAATGTCCAAGACGTCAAGGCCTACGCCATCTACCAGCCCATTCCGTCCGCCGGGCTTATCGGGTATTGATACAAGCGGAAGAACCGCAACTGCAGGTGCCGGACCAAATACAGCTGTCTTGTCTCGCTTGCGAGCAGGTTCGATGCCTCAACGCCCAAATAACTTCCTAGGCGGCTCGAATCCATTTGGTCCCTCTGTATTCTCTACAAGTTGGGCGTCAGGGCGGGATCGCGCTTCGACCTTGGCCAGTATCCGATCCTCGGAAGGCCCGACATCTCCATCTCAATCATCGTTTTCTGGTGGTGGTCTCGCTGATAGCGACGTCAAGACACTCGACTACTTGGGTTTGGCCGAAACTCCACAGCAACACAACTCTTCACTTGCACACTCTTCCGTTGAAGCTTTACTTCAACAACAGCAGCAGCAGCAACAGCAATCTTCCCTACCCCCACTTCTTGCGGAACTTGCTATGATCAAGAGCAACAATAGATTCAGGTCTTACTCAGTCAATGCAAAGGAGAAATACGCCGAAGACGATGAGGAATACGGTTCTCCTTATCCACAAGTTCCGTCAGGTACCTTGACCCCATCTGCTGCCGCGACTGCCGCTCAGCTCGCCGCTACCCAGGCTCAGATCCATCAACACAATCTTGCTGTTCAGGCATTTGCCAACCATGCTTCCGCAAGCCGTCCTCGCGCTCGCACCGCCGGTATTCTCGACACCCCGCCACAACGCTCGTCTATTCGCAATTACCTTGCAACTCCCTCTAGACTGGAGAATAGTATAAGCGCTGCAGACCTTGGTATCGCAGAGGGCAGTGAGTACGATGAATTGTCCGAAGCAGTTCAAATGATGCAATTGGGTGGAGCGAACGGTGCAAATTCGAATGTTCGTGCTCTGGCAGAAGTTGCAGACGAGGGCAGTATTGAAGGCCCTACTAGAGCCTTGTGGATCGGAAGCATTCCGGTCTCTACGACAGTCACTTCCTTGGATGCTATATTTAGCATGTACGGAAAGATCGAATCGACGCGAGTTCTCACTCACAAAAATTGTGGATTTGTCAATTTTGAGCGTCTCGAGAGCGCTGTTCAGGCAAAGAATCTGCTCAATGGTAAAGAGATTTTCCCAGGTGCTGGACCTGTAAGGATAGGTTATGCCAAAGTTCCAGGTACCTCTGCTAGTGGTACTCCTGGAGCTAATGGTACACATCTCTCGCCAACTCCGGATCCACACACTGCTCTGGGAGAGCACGGTGCCATCGACGCATCCAAACCAGACCGCTCTGGTACCGATACTCCACGAGTTCCTCCTTTGTCAGACTTGAGAATGGAAATGGCCGATATTGTGAAGGAATTTGGGGCCAGTGACGCAGATGTTCAAGCGATTACTGCCAGTGTACAGAGATCGATAGCCTTCCAGGCATTTAATGACGAAATCCCCGCCGTCCCTGAACCAAGCACCACCAGAATGCATGATGCGCCGAAACTTCGCGACATCCGCAAGCGAATTGATAACGGTCTCTGCTCCGTGCAAGAAATTGAGGAGACCGCAAACGGAATGTTACCGGAAATTGCGGAGCTTTCGTCAGACTATCTTGGAAATACCGTTGTCCAGAAATTGTTCGAGTTTTGTTCCGAACAGACGAAAGAGCAGATGCTGCTTCAGATTGCGCCACATCTCGCCGAGATTGGAGTCCATAAGAATGGCACATGGGCCGCTCAGAAGATTATCGATGTTGCAAAAGCGCCTAGCCAGATGCAAATGATCGTAGATAGTCTGCGACCTTACACGGTTCCTCTTTTCCTCGATCAGTATGGCAATTATGTTCTCCAGTGCTGTTTAAGATTCGGCAGTCCATACAACGACTTTATCTTCGAAACCATGCTCAGCAGGATGTGGGAGATCTCCCAAGGACGCTTCGGTGCCCGTGCCATGCGTGCATGTCTGGAAAGCCACCATGCCACAAAAGATCAACAGCGCATGCTTGCTGCCGCGATTGCATTGCACAGTGTTCAGCTCGCGACCAACGCCAATGGTGCCCTGCTGCTAACCTGGTTCCTCGATACATGCACCTTCCCTCGCCGACGGACTGTACTGGCTCCTCGCCTCGTCCCTCACCTAGTACATCTGTGCACACACAAAGTTGCTTATTTGACCGTTTTGAAAGTTATAAATCAGCGCAACGAACCTGAGGCGCGCGAGATCGTTTTGAAGGCGCTCTTCTTCAGTCCAAACGATGAAGCTCTTGAGCGAATTCTCAGTGACCCTAGCTCTGGAGCTACCTTGATCTTCAAAGTCCTCACTACGCCTTTCTTTGACGAATCGATGCGCTCCGAGGTTGTCAAGAATGTGTCCAAGGTCTTGACTAAGCTAAAGGCGACCCCAAGCCAAGGCTATAAACGGCTAATGGATGAAGTTGGTTTGTCTTCTCGAGCAAGTTCTCGTGACCATCACTCTGGAAGGGACGCAAGTATTGGTCAGGGGACAAATGGCGAGAAACAGCACCGCCCGACGTCACGTCAAGCCGGTTCCAGTTACCAGAACCAGCAGCAGGCGGACAGGCAGTTTGGTGCACAGTATCCGGGTTCTGGTATTGAGAATGGGGTCTCGATAGGGCGACCAGGCGAGCAGCATTACGACTTTGCTGCCAATGGAATGGGTGCTGCCAATGGCATGAATGGTCTTGGTAGCATGAATGCCGGACCAGGCTTTGGCCAGGAAAGTGTCCTTTCCTTGCCACAACAACAAATGCAATATCAAGCGTATCTTCAATCACGTGGTGTACCCCAAAGCGGAATGTATCCCGGCACTATAGGTGGAAACGTCTATCCGGGCTATGCTGCTGGCATGGACAATATGAGGAGTCTTCCAGGTGCTAATGCAATGCCTGCACCGCCTCAGGTCAATTCAAATGCAATTATGGGACAGCCTACCTTTGCACCCCCTCAGTTCAGCCCTGTTTTGAATCCGGCTCAGATGTATCAGTATTCACCTCAATACTACCCCCAGACACAGGCTATTCCCAACCAGGCCGGGGCTGGTCGACGTGGACGCGTAAGTTTTTATTCATACTAACTAACATATGTTGCGTTACTAACATCTGCGATTAGCACTGATTCATTATGTCTCGAGACGTAACATGCCTTTTATCCCCTTCGATATAGACTTTGTTTTGTAAAAACATTCTCATTCTTCTCATCTTCCATCATCAAAAAGCGACCCATTGTCCATGTATGCAAAATTTGTTACTTTTTTTTTCGTATTACTTACGACCTTGACTTCTAACCGGCGCTGGCTCGTATGGTGGGAGGCAAGGATATGATGAGTTGTTAACGGTCATTCATTTGGAAAGTCATTTATCCTTTTGATGTTCTTTTTTTGGTTATTACTTTTTTTCGTGTTGATGAGGGACGTGATGCCGATTGTTCGGGTTTATTCGCTTCTCTTCATGAATTTGTGTTTTTCTTGTGTATCAAAATTAAACCTTTTTAACGTCATTTTTCTTGCTATGAGTTATACAAGCATATAATCCGAGTTTCAGCTAGGAGATGCGAATTGTCATGATGTTGCATTCTATAAAATGTCTTGCTATGAACCAATCACCGCTTCAATCCACATGATGAAATACTCGGGTCTCTAGGTACATTAAACTGGACTTATCATTTTCTCATATTATAACATAGAAATACAAACGTTGACCAGTAGGATACTGATCAGCCATCTAACTAGCCAACCAATCTATAAACTTGGTCAATGCCTTCGACCGATCCGAGACTTGATTCTGTGCCATCATCGGCCCCAGGTTAGCTAACATTTCACGGAGAAATTACTTGGTATCAAAGAAAAGAAGAGCTGTATACCTTAACCTCAGGCTGGAGTTCCGAATACGTCTTTCCTTCATATTCGAAGATTGGATCATATGCTAATAACCATGAGCATGATACTCCCCGTCAATACGCAGATAGGAGGAAATACGAACCGAATCCAAAATCCCCCCTTTCGGGAACTACTTTTCCTTCATTCCGTGCTTGGAAAAGGAATACTTCTGGCTCACTGCTGCTGCCATCGCCGCCATCACTATCACTATCCTCGTTTGTTGGAGCGGGTCGAGGACCCCATGAGAATGCGAATGTGCACACTGCGGCGGCGGACTTGTCCTCGTGATCGGCTAGGATGCGGTTAAGTCCCTGGAGGCCGAGGGAATGGTAGAACCATTTTCTGTTTGTCGTAGTGGTGGTTAGGGATGTGAAATAGGCAAGGATAGGTTGGTAGATGGGAGCGTACATATAAGGGCCTGGCAAACCATTCAAAGCGTGGAATATAAGTGCACTATCTTCTATCAAGACTGGGCCGTTTACCTACTCCATCAACAACTCAACTGTCAGCAAACTAGCCCGTACAAAAGAAAAGAGAATGGTAAGCATACAGCCAAAGCAGCCTGACGACACTTTTCCCTTGCCACCTCTTCAATCGATCCTTGTAACTCTGGGAGATCAATACCCATTACACTGACGCTTATACCATACCGTTTGCAGATTGAGGTGACTTCGCGAATCTTGTCAGCGTTGGAAGTTACGAAGGTCAGGGTTGAGAGTTTGAGTTTGTTGCTTGTAATGCTTGGGGATGGTGGGAGAAGGAGAGGCATTTTGATAAATAGTAAAATTTTTTCTCAGAGAGGACAGTTAAAAGAAGGGTGTGGATGAAATAGAGCTGTGGTGAAGCGTTCAGATTTCAGTGCGAACGTTCGCTGGGATTATTACTGAGTTAGGTAATTTTCTCGTCGTGGTTGAAAAGGGATGTCAATGAGTATCAAGGACCATCATAGCTTGAGGAAAATACACGAATTTATATCCGCTACTCTCATTCTATATCTCCGATGAGGTTGATTTTGATATATTAGACCTTCGCTGGTTTCGTGCAGAGCCTCCACCACTATGGGACGTCAGCCGCGAGGTATCCGAGTTAGGGTTTGGGGTACAGGAAACTGACAAACATGCCAGGAACCCCTCATACGACTCTGAACATATCACCTTCTAGAATAATTTTCCAAAGACTAGTTGAAAAATCTGATAAACCTTGATCTCGATATTGAGGCAGAACCCAAGGTGGCGGTATCCTATCACATGTGCTACTAGCACTGCCCCCCTTTTCGGAATACTGCCTTGAGGACAAAACCTTACTACGGTCACGGCTGAGTGAATACGATATTACTAGAATCTAGATATCCCTTGACGTTGCTGAAACTAATGATGTGGATCTAATTCTCGAATTTCTCACATCCTATGAGAAAATTGTCGGGTGCACAGGCATTAATTTAACATTTTTGTGTCCACTGGAAATGTCCCTAGATGTAAGAGGGACAGTCGTGACTGGTATAACCCTGAACGAATGCATAACCCACATATACATGCTCAATCCCACAAACACTCTTTAACTCTCTACAGACAGTGCCGTCCAGTATAGTCAGAGCTATATATATAATAAATCTAGGAAGTATTATATATAGTAGATACAAGTTACTTAACTAGTGAACTAACTAGTTGTAGAGCGCTTTGTCCAGAAAATCTGGTGAGAGGAAAGTGTATGAAGCTGGATTGAAACTTTTTCTACAGCAACCTAGATACCCCTGCACTGGCTGGGGCTCAACTATAAATCTCTCAATCAACTCGGACGCAAGAATTTTCAGTGCATTTAATGGATCATGTCTGATTGGTAAGACACCGCATATAAATAGTATTAAAGTTGTTGAAAGTACCTTCCTAATTGGACTAGTCATTAATTTATAGCATATTATCATTATGATGATAATGGGTAATACCTTTAAGCTTGAAATGACTACTATAACCAACGTGCTTATAGATCCTACCTAAGTCTTGGTGGTACATGATGTTACATTGAGGTACAGTGTTAGACTATGCTAGTCAAATTAGAGTCAATATAAATGTACTAGAAAATGAAATAGATCAGTGTTGAATTGATTTATGCTGATTGCATCCCTTTCTCCACTACGGCAGAGGTCAACCCTGAGCTGAATACTATCTATACTGCCTATGCCGAGAATAAAAAAGAAATCATGGCTGTTCTACATGCCACGCTAAATACATTTAAAGCACTAGAAAAAGCTGCCACATAGTACATTATATTGAAAGAAATTTTCTTAGGCCTAGACACGCTGAACAAGCAAGACAATGCTGGGCCTTCCTTTTCGGAGTACGCGGATATTTCCGTATAACCATGGTGCGAGGAAGTGACCCATTCAAAGAACCCTCCGATTGTATAAGATGAAAACATCGCCAGCGGCTGGGGCATGTATCTCTAGACCTGGGGTATCCAGATACCTTTATATAGGGGCGTGGTAGCCTACGAAATACTCAGTATCTCTGTTGGTATACTAAGTTTTTGCTGAGTCATACTTTAGTTGAATCCCATTCGAGATTCAAGTTGATGCAACCATGAATCTCTTCTACCGGATTGCATGTGCTCTAATAAGCATCGAGCTGGTAAGTGCGTACTTGGTGACACTGGCGGGAACTGCTGCTATGAGAACAACGTCTTCTTGCTCGGAATGGGTACAAATATCAATTTCTCTGACATGCGACATCATTGAGTCGTACTTTGGGTTGACAGATGCCGAATTAGAAGAATGACTGAGTGTTGATTGCCTTTTTTTCTGCTGGGATCCATGCGTATCTAACATTGGAGCAGAACCCAAGCGTCATCGAACTCGGGCCCAGCTGCAAGCTCATCCAAGGCCTTAACTATTGCGTACAAATCGACTTTGTCGCCATGTCCACTGGATTTCCTACTCTGACGCATCTCACGGGTATATACATATCTTCAACTTCTGGACCGACTACGATGACTACCACGACCATGACCGGTGATGGTATCTGTAGACTGTTGGTTTACTTGGTTTACCTTCATTAGATCGCAAAATCTAATGAGAACAGCCTGGACAGCTAATCCAGCAAGCTGACTGAGCCAGTAATACTGAATCCCTAATCTTGTGTCTCGTGTGTCTCTCTCCAAGAACTAGGGGGGCAGCGGATAGAACTATGATAATATCCGGTGCTGAACGGTTGATATTCACGTTCCGACACCCTCCCTCTTCCTCTAGCGTGGAGCGTCTACCAAATATGCCAGAGACATTACAAAGAAACCCTAGTAAATTCTAGCCTGTACAATCTGCAGACCATCCATCATTCTCTTCTCTCTCTTTGGGGCAGAAACGCATTCGATTTCTCGTAATCGCGGCTGTCATTTTATTCTTCATTCTTTATGGCTTCCATAGCCACAAAAGCGAGAGCAGTGTCGGTCGATACCGAATACAAGCCTCCTTCCGACCCGAGTCCAAAATCGTAGAGTCTGTGCGATTACAACGACGTACTCGAATAAAGGCCGCTTTTCAGCATGCTTGGATAGGATACAAAAAGAAGGCATGGTTACACGATGAAGTTTTGCCAGTCTCTGGCGGGTACAAAGATCCCTTTGTTGGCTGGGCAGCGACATTAGTGGATAGTTTAGACACATTATGGATAATGGGATTAAAGGATGAGTTTGACAGTGCTCTTAAAGCGTTAGAGCAGATCGATTTTTCAAAGCCGAATGCACAGCGGGTCCCTGTTTTCGAAGTCACGATCCGATACTTGGGTGGACTACTCGGCGCATGGGATATTAGCGGGCACAAGTACCCAATACTCCTCCGGAAAGCGCAGCAGTTGGGGGATTTCCTTTATGGGGCGTTCAACACTGAAAATGGGATTCCCACTCCATACTATTGGTGGGAGAACGTCGGCACTGGAAAAATAGAAAGCGAAAATGGGGTGGTGGTCGCGCAGATTGGAAGTTTAAGCCTGGAGTTTATTCGGCTTAGCCAGGTTACTGGAGACGCGAAGTACGCAGATGCGATCCAGAAGATCACAGACCAATTAGCGCAAACGCAAAATAGCAATGCCTTGCCGGGTATTTGGCCGTCGTATGCAGACTGTAAGGGAGAGAGCTTGTCATTCTCGAATCGTGATTTTACACTCGGTGCTTTTGCTGGCAAGTCCCACTCTTTGGACAAGCACCTCATCACTTGACTAATACTTCACAGACTCTCTTTACGAATACTTGCCGAAGACACATCTTCTTCTACCTTCGTCTTCTTCTGTCGCGCAGCAGTACCTCGAAATGTACCGCATCGCTCTCCACTCTTTCAGCAGACATCTTTTCTTCCGTCCTTCCCTTCCAGGAGAACCGGATATTCTGTACTCTGGTAATGCCAATGCTAATACTGGCGTTGCAAATCTCGACACACAAATCCAACATCTTAGTTGCTTCGTTGGTGGGATGGTAGGATTGGGAGCTAAGATAAACAACTCTCCAACAGAACTAGAAACCGCTACAAAACTGACAAATGGCTGTGTCTGGGCCTATGAAAATACACCGTCAGGAATCATGCCCGAAATCTTCCACGTCGACCAATGCGCTGACCTTAACCCTTGCACTTGGAATGGTCAGGGTGACGGGTTTACGCGTGTCGATGATCCATCTTATCAACTCCGTCCGGAGGCTATTGAATCTGTATTTATAATGTACCGTCTCACCGGTGATCCGTCATGGCAGGAAAAAGGATGGAGAATGTTTGAGTCTATAGAGAGATACTCAAGAACAGATATTGCACATGCAAGGCTGGAAAATGTGATGGATCCGAATCCAGGCAAGGCAGATTCAATGGAGAGCTTTTGGCTGGCGGAGACGCTGAAGTATTTCTACCTGCTATTCAGTGAGCCCGAGTTGGTCAGTTTAGACCATTACGTCTTGAATACAGAAGCACATCCGTTCAGGAGGGAAGGATGATCCACTATTCTAAGCATAATGCTTGAAATCCAGGTGTGGGCTAGCTTACTGGAAATTATGATGAGGCTCTAGAAGATGTCATGTGTGCTCTCGCTAAGTGGTGAGGTCGAGGGTTGATATCAACACCTCGCCTAGAACGGGCTAGTTCCAATATGGCACAGAGGCAGGCGTCTACGTGAGTCAGGTGATATCCTGTCCATGCAGCCGCTGCCATGCGTGGACATTCATCTATATGACCTCTCCACCATGTGTGAATTAAATTTCTCTTCTTCTCGTCAAATTTCACAACATCAGAATTGAGATATCGTGCAATATCGGAGGATTTTTCTGCAGACTTTTGCGACTTTGCCTTGATCTTACTCATCATCTCTGATACTATGGTCTTATGCGGGTTTTGAAATGCGGCTGATGGTTCTGGTTCTTCTGAAGTTGTAGTAAGTTCAGTCTTATAAATTATAGGATACTGGATCTCAAGCTGCTCTTGCATAGTAGTAATAATACCCTTAGCTTCATCCTGTAACTTATGCTCAAGAACAAATTTTTTAAATCGAGGATCCAAAAGCATTGTAATATAGAGAATATTGCATGAATTATCTATAAGCGTATAATACTTACCGTATTTTGCCATGGCACTTTTGGCTGCGTTAGCGATATCTATGTGAAAGTCCTTGAACCTTTTCTTCCTATCCTGAACTTCTTATAGAAGATCGAAGAGCTGATAGTAGATAGCCAAAGACTGACTGATTTGTGGAATATCAGTAGAGAGCTCCAGTGTATATATCTATCAAACTCTGCAAGGACTATCCGGATTTGTCCAAGCTGATTCCAGTCTTGGTCAGTAAAAGGAGGTAAGATATAATTCATCTTAAGATATTCCTGAATCTGAGGAGCAGCCAATTAAAAGTTAGCTATATTGTTTTTTCAACATTATTAAGCTCATACATTCCAAGCATCATTAAGCATGCGATAAAAGGAATTCCAGCGAGTAGTAACATCATACAGTATACTAAATAAGCTTTGAATTCATCCCTTTTATCCAGCATAGATTCTGCAACTCCCTCTTTCGCTCTGTGGTCGAGGAGATGTATAAATTCAAAATGCGTATGCGAGAGAAAGCACCTTTGGGATTGTACAAGAGACAGATTATTCTCCAAATCTTCAATGATCTGAAAGTCTCCTATAACATCACTAGCTTTCAAAACAGTAGGAAATTCCTTAACAATAAGATTTAGAATATGTGCAAGACAACGAATAAAGCTAGCAGTGGGCTTGGGAACTCGACTTGAATCCGCTAGACTGACGTGGCAGCAGTATGATGATGCCCAAGACAGGGTACGCAAGCTAAAGCTCGGAAAAAGCTGAAAATGTTTGGAGTGGCAGAGCTGTCCTCAGAAAAGGTTATCAGATGTCTACATATTCCCACTTTACCCCATTATTCTGTCTTCTTCAGGAAAGCGAGTCTGTGGAGAAAACAGTAGTCTCCATTTTGGATTCGTCGTGGATCAAAAAAATTAGGGTTATTGTTAGTCTTCCTTTTCGGGCTAGCGCAATGTGCGCCTTTCCAGTTTCGGAAAGGAGGCTTTGCAGGATGTTTCAGCATAGCTAGCGCGGTTTCCTATCATCTTATCTCTTATCGATAACTCTTTCTTCACTTTTCAAATCAACACCTGTCGCACAATGGAAGACAAGTCCGCGGCAGAATCACTCATCTCTCGATTCCAGATTGAAAGACTGCTCAATCAAGACCAGAGCGACCGTCGCATTGCACTACTTGGCCATATCGATGGTAAGCAGGGCATTCTCATCGCCGAACGTGCCGCATTCGCAACAGATTCACTTGAAGTACTACGAGCATTTCACTCGAGTATATCTCGAGTGCGCAATTTAGGCGACAATGACATTTACAAATGGTATATGGCGAATGCTTCATCACCAGTAAACGGTGATTACGGCAGCAGTCCACCGGACCTCAAACTGAACCTCATTTGGCCCTGCACAGCACAACATATCAGAAAATACTCCGCTCAACCTGTACGAATGGTCACGGAAACACCGCAGATCTACAGAGAGTATATTCGCCCATACATGCAGCAGAAGCGCGAGGAAGGGAGACTAAACTGGATATTCAACATCCTCGAGGGCCGCACAGAGCAAGACGACGTCCTACTGCGAGACAAGGGTGACAGCCCTGATGAAGATGGATTCTTGATGCTACCAGACCTCAATTGGGATAGAAAGACAATCAGTTCGTTGCATTTGCTTGTCCTAGTCGAAAGACGGGATATATGGTCACTGCGTGATCTGAAACGGAGACATATCCCATGGCTCAAATATTTACGGCAAAGACTCATTGATGCTACGGTCAAGACTTATGAAGGTCGTATCGAGGAAGATCAGTTGAAGATGTATGTCCACTATCAGCCGACCTACTACCATTTCCATGTCCATGTTGTCAATGTCATGCTGGAAGCGGGTCAGACGCAAGCTGTCGGGAAAGCGTTCGGCTTGGAAAATATTATTGGACAACTTGAGGCTATAGCTGGAGATGATGAAGCTGGTATGGCTGATGTGAGTTTGTCTTATTTCTTGGGGGAGGCGAGTGAGCTGTGGAGTACCGTCTATGAGCCGCTGAAGAAAGGCGAAAAACTTTAAGTTTTGAGCAAATAATAGATTCCTAGGCTAGATTAATGACACTAAACCTCACCATAACTGATATCAAAAGCCTTGTAGAAATAAAAAGTTGATATCCGTGTTGTGAAAATTGTCAAAGTTCGTAGCACTTGCACTTTATAGCGAGGGTAGGGACTCGTGCCTTTTTCACTGATTTGGCTGGAATCAAAGGAGAACCAATACCCATAATCTTCTCTGGTGGCAGGTTCTTCTTTTTCTGAAATCCAGTTTTTCAACTGCCTATTCTATGTTTACAAGTACTGTACTTATTCCACCATGTCAGAACTATCCAATACCTTTTCCGGTCGCCATTCTGGGAACGCCTCGCTTTCGTCTGGCATGCAACTTCAGTCATTGAATTCCCAAGCAGCTATGCAAAAGAAGTCCGATAGCTCTCCGAAGCACCTCGAATGTGCTCTTCACAGACTCCGCGGCAATATTGTACCTGAACAAAGTGATGTCAAAACCTCAAACTTCAACGACTTCTATCTGGAGTTTAATCAATCCGAGCATAGTGATCATTGTGTCAACGACTATCATCAGAGATACAGATGCCTCCCATATCTCGATCTTCACCCCGATGCTAGCGTTAGATACAGGGTAGAATTTGATGTGAACCTTGGTTCTCATGTTCGTGTCCCTCGAGTCAGTCAAGAGGGGGCGGTCTGTCTAGTTATTTCTCAGTTCGAACGACTAAAAAAGATCAAAGTTCCGAAGAAGCTCAGAAAGAAGTCTGGGATGTTATCAAGAACTGCCGCTACTCAACGTGGGCTATGGCTGTGTTCGCACCTCAGTCTATCTATTGAAGGGAGATTCTACTGAGGCCAGAGAATCTTTCCTAAACACGCTCTCCGGAACTGCAGATACTGTCACACTCTTTTGTAAGTACGTGGAGTTTCTCCACTCATGAGTCATGTCAATTAAACATGTCATAGGCCTAGTCTGTACGTTGAAGGAGGGTTTACAGCTTATCAGTTCGCAGCAAATGCACGCATCGTTATAGCGGCTGGAGTAATACAGGGTACACTGGACACTATGATAGATAAAGCGAAGCAAAATCCTACTACTGGAAAGACCAAATTTGAGTGGAAGGATGCACCGGGTGTTAATATTCTCGTTGATGCAACTGTGGACAACACCAGTTCTAATGATCTACCAGATCACTGCTCATAACAGCTACTTGGCTTGTGTAAGTTTTATGCAACATGGATAGGTAGCTTATCCCTAACCTATTCCTTTATTAGACCATGCCGACCGACTTTCCTGGCTCGAGAAATTGTTCAGCTACACTACGGAGAATGGCATTTTGGCGGCGGAGATATTTTAGTACAGGGTGGGATGAACATCGTCGAATCCCGGCTTCCTGAACAGTATCCTGACAAAAGTTCGATCTGACGACTCCAATCAACGGCAGTAGTATTTCTGAGGCCGATATTAGCGGTTCAGACATCATGGTTAGGCGTACAGATATGGACATCTATTGGAGGCTTTCACCTCAGTATCTCCCACTCAGCCATGATAGAGCCGCTAAAGAAGTAAATACCTTCACATTCAACCGGAACGCCCTATCACGCTATGACCTATATCCGGGGCTGCAGATTACAGAGAAATTCACCGACAGTACTAGGAGTGGATTCCAGTCTCATACAAGTTTTGAAAGAAAAGAAAAAGCGCGCCTGAATTTCTCTAATAGAGACAGCTGCTCATATAACTATGAAGACGAACCTGAAAAAAGCGTGTCTCTAAAGTCAGATCACCTATTGCCCCGGGGCTCAACTGCATTATACGGCATACTCTTCTGGGTTTGGGTCCAGGTATGCATCAAATTCTTCGTGAACAGCACCTTCATTCAAGACTCATACGAATCGTTTCAATCTAACACCAAGATGAAGGCTTCTGTAGTTAACGACGGCAACGGACAGACAGCCTCCAACTACGTCTTCGGAGCCGGAGCCGCGGCTTTCGCAGGATCCTCATCATGGGCAATCGTGATGAATGGAGTGACCATCGTTCCAAAGCTCTGTATGGTCATGACGAGTTCCGGTAGTTCAGCACTCTCTTTAGGAGCAGCAATAACAGCTCCCAATCTCGCTGGCTGTCTTATCGTTGGCAGTGTCGCAGCAGTAGGGGGCTGTGGCCATGATAGGAACCTCCATTTGGCAGTCTTACAACCGAGATGAAAGCTCCTGTATTGTCAGTTTTCATGCAGCAATATCTACGATATTCTGTGTGAACGATCAAACAAATATAGGGTGCAACAATTCACTTACCTGTATCCGGAGAACTTGCTCGAGCTGGAAGGTGGCTGTGCGGTACTCATTAAGGATGTAGATATTGCAACTCACTTGAGCTAACTTTTCGAATTTTGTTCAATTTGTCGATGGCAATGAAAGAGGCCGGAAAGCCCAGAAGTCACCTTCATTGATGATTAATCCCAACATGTGCGTTGGTGTAGGGACATTTTTGATGGACAGTGGATATTATTGCCCTGATTGAAACGACAAATCAACCGAGTTGATAAGAGCCTGACAATCTGACTTATATAGGTATTATTGGTAAAAAAGACATCAAAGCGGTGGCTTCGTGCTAGAAGTTATGGGTGGAAACAATGTGGTAAGAGGCCCTGAGAACTGATAGATAGCGATTATTGAGTTCATAGACAGCTTCCCCGCATCTTATCGTTTATCGCTGTTCCTGAGCAAGCATTTTCTTACAAATCTCACAACCACCACCAAAAGAATCCAAGATGGCAGAAAATCCTGATGTTCCCAACGAGAAAAAGGCCTTTGTGCCGCTAGGTAAGACATCTACCCATGATACAAGAATATGGACTAAGCACTATCCCTAATGAAAAAGAAAATAACCCCGAGGTGATGTCACATCTTGTCCACCAACTCGGTCTCCCAACAACATTTGGCTTCACAGACGTCTACTCCATCGATGAACCCGATCTCCTCGCCTTTGTACCGCGCCCCGCCCACGCTTTACTCCTTGTGTTCCCCGTCTCCAAAACATATGAAGACTCGCGCATCGCTGAAGATACTCCGCTACCCGAATACGACGGCACTGGACCGGGCGAGCCTGTTCTCTGGTTCAAGCAAACCATCCGCAACGCATGCGGTCTTATCGGTTTGTTACATGCAGTCAGTAACGGCGAAGTACGAAACAATGTTCTTCCAGGCTCCGATCTAGATAATCTGCTACGTGAAGCCGAGCCGTTGAAACCGCTTGAACGGGCGGATTTGTTGTATTATAGTAAAGCTCTGGAAGCCGCGCATGCCGATGCCGCAAAGTTAGGTGATACCACTGCACCAGATGCTGAGGATCAAGTTGATTTACACTTCGTTGCGTTTGTGAAGGGGAGGGATGGTGACCTTTGGGAGATGGATGGACGTCGAAAGGGACCTTTGAAGAGGGGACATCTTGGGCCGGATGAGGATGTGCTTAGTGAGACTGCTTTGGAACTGGGTCCGAAACGGTTCTTGAAGAAGGAAGCGGAGGGTGGGAAGGGTGATTTGAGGTTTAGCCTGGTCAGCTTGGGGCCTGTTTTTGATTGATTCTGTCCTTATCTGCTGTCGGAATGTTATAAAACTATCATTTGCTACGTGCGGCGTTGAGGATACATCAATCGATCGATACTGTTAGTTAGGTACGCTATATACTGTAATCATGGCTGATACCACCATTGATCAGCATTAAATTTGAGGACGTCATTTCCACAAGCACACCACCCAGCCGTCAGATTTCTAGCAAAGACTTCCAAGGCAGCGTCTTGCTTTGTATTTGTCTCTCGTGCCTCATTTCCATCATCTTTGAAAAACAGGAGTTCAAGCAGTTCTTTGAGATTAGGTTTCCTCGAATGCTCATCCGGCACAGCAGCAATGATCCGTTTGATAGGTTCTTCTTCCCCGTCCACCTTTTTCGTGTTCGTCCTTGGTTTTCCCAAGAACATAACTTCATAAGGCTTGCGCCACAGCCCATCCAATGGCGATACAAGCTCGCCATTCTCAGTAGTCTTAATCCATATCCAAATCTCAAAGATCCCGAGACCTGTGCCCGCAAAAGCGTCATATGCAGCTTGGCGAGATTTTGCATTGTTGGTAGTCCATATACCCACAATTGACCTTTCAGTGCTCCTATCGTCTCCGAACCTGAGATGTGAGAGGATGGTTTGCTGCATTAGAGATACCAATGAGTCCATCTCTAAGTATACATGAGTAGGATACTGCGACGACCGCCGCACAGAGCGGTTAGGCCATGGAGGGTCGAAGAGGATTATGTCGAATTTTTCAGCGGATGGTAGTCCGGGAATGGGAGAGATGTTGGATGTTGAGTATGTTTGACTGACTGCTAGATTGTGTAAGACAAAGGATGAGGCTGGTGGAATAGTGTATTTTGTCGTAATATTGGTGCCGGGCTCATTGACTTGTATTGTGGCTGCTTTTAAAGGTGATGGATTCTTGACTTGAATGCCATGTAGATCTGATAAATCGGTAAAATAATTGACACTTGATGGTGAGAGAATCAATGGTGGTTGTTTCCTGTTGCTGTATGCATATTTCACTAGAATTTCTGGGCGTAATCTCTTCCTTGATGGTTCAGATATTGCGTTCTGTTCAGTCCCTGTCCTGTTATTGACAGTGGCACCGTCCTTGATCTTGTCGCCTTGTACGGCAGCACCGATCACCTTCCTGGGGAGAAACCATTTTCTACTTCCAAGGCCCTGCTGTACCTCATCGACACCGCTCCGAATAAATGAAGCAATGCTATCGTGAAATAGGATCTCCGATTCCGGGATCCGAGACAACAATCTAGCACGAGCAGCTTCACTCTTCGGCTCCGGCGCAGATGGATAGGGGTGTTCTAGCGGCTTTGAAGAATATATGTGTCTGTAATGATGTTGTTGTGCTGGTAGATTTGATCTATTATTCTCATCATCATCATCAACTGCAGAAGAGCTAAAAGAAGCGCTCTGGACTATTTCGATCGATGTCGGGATGTCGACGAGAAATACCGATTTTTGGGGATTTTCATAGAGTATTGCTGATCTGCCGGGCATAATATCTTCCTTATATAAGCTTCTGCTAATATTGCTTTGGATATTTCTGCTTATTATGCATTGAAATGGGGAGGAATGTCGTCAAAAAAGTGGGAAGTCAGTTGAAGTGAGATCTATCCGTCAATGACCCTAACCCTAGAGAGTATCTGTTTCGTTTCAGGGATTCATACGTCTTCTCAAAAGTTATTAGCTAGTGAAACTCTAGTCTCAGACGTGTGAAAATGAAGTTTACAGTTCAATATTATGTCAAGTTATATGATCGCCAGATATGTTCCTACAGAGTTCTGGATCCAGTCAGGAGATACATTAAGCAACCTAGAAGTAACCACTCCATAGATCCATTATAATGACAGAAAAGCTGAACGACACTTGAAGCACCTTGTTGAAGTAGCAGCGAACTCCTCCGTAAACTGTACCGTGACAAAAGCTCTATCTGAGCCAGTACAAAGGAAAGGACCGGTGGTTATAAGCCGAAGAATGCGGAACTGTAGCAACTCCCAGCTGGAGTCTATGTCGAAAAAGTGAAACAAGTCATGGATACAAGACATCCCGCAACGATAGGCCGTTCTCGAGGCATCCAAGCAAACGACCAAGGTGACTGAGCTCGAACCCATACCAGCATCATTGAACCTCATGCGGACTACCAAAACCAGAGTCTGGAGTGAGGACAACTTGGTTGGTATTGCGGCCATTGAGTAGTGGTTGGATCCATTGCGATGATGGTTGACTTGGACTTTTCCAGATTTTCCATAAACTTGTCAAAGGCTGCTGCTTCAAGAGGACCGCGATGCATTGTTTAGAGCATTGCCATTTTCTTGATACAGCGTGAAGACAAGCATAGCAATCGCTCAGTAATTTATCGTATGGTGGTGCTGTATGTCATGGCTCAGCATCTGTATTGTCTGACTTGTCAGAGCCTGCAATAGCCTCAGCGAAACTCATTGCGTGATCGTCTCCGGTTCCCGAGAGTCCCCATGCATCTGTAGAACGTTAGGATATTCATAAAACTCTCGAGATCGTCGACTCATACTGCTTCTGCAAGTTTTATCCATTCATTCACCCCTTTCACAAACGTATCATCGGCGGCAGGCAGATTCTCATGGCCCCAAACAACAAATTGATCAAACGTAGCCTGAGATTCGAGAATTTTAACGGGTTCTTCGGGCACGGCGCCCTCTCTGTTGGCCGCTGGAACCATACGATCCGTTGGAAATGCGACTACTCCTACAAACGGACAATATTGTATTAGATTGGGGAAACTAGGAATTTCTAGAAAATGGAATACCTTGATAGGCCTCCGGCAGCTGTACCGTCCGACCTTGCAATTTGCGGCCACGAAAGTAAGCAGTCTGTTTGTCCTCTGCATCACACCATCAGCATTTCTGTGACAGTCTCCAATTGCGGCACTTGATCATACCCTTCTCATCATTGATAGCATGCCAGTGACGCTTGGAGGTGTCAATGGGTCCGTCGTAGTGAATGCGACATGGGAGTATATTGGGGGTACAGTTCCCTGTCAATGCCTCCTTGGAGTTGGAAGATTTTGGAGCCGAACGAAGCGCGAGCATTTTATGATTCTTGTTGGGAAATGAATTTTACGAGGCAGCAGTCGATATCGTGGCAGACTTTTGAGTTGCAATCAATGGTTTAATGATTGATGAGAAAGTTGAATAGCAATGAAGTTAGATTAAGCACTCAACGCGGGACGCTGACGCAGGACGCGAATGCGTGTGTCTATTGGTGCCTAAATTTTGAGGCAGCAATACCAAATCCCCGTTTATGCAAGACTCAGTTGGGCTAAAAGGCTAGTCAAATAATTTTCTCAAATTCATACTATTTTGAAGGTCACTTTTTGATATCCGCATAGTCAGATATTCTTACTAGAAGCAGTTTGTGAGAGATATGACACGTATCACTCAGGCGTTTTTCCTCTTCGCGAAACGACATCAACGAAACGACGAGAAATCGATATCGAGCTTCGCATATAAACATGTTAACAAGGTCTTGAGGGATAGGGGCCGCTGTCCTGAAGTCAAGAGGTATCTCGATCAGCGGCAATACATGACAGGATAGATAGATCAGAGGGTCTTACCCTTTATCTTTCTTACTGCTACCGCGGCCTCTAGGGCAGCCCTAACCTCGACGTACACGGCCCCTGATACCGGCAGACAGATGTGACCCGGTATGGACCACCAAAAGGGTTCAGACCAGACCGCATGCTTAAGACTGATATCTGTGCCGGCATCGAGGAGCAATTGGACAACCTCAGAATAACCCATCTCCATCTCTATCTCTATGACTCTTCCGCAGGAATTTTGATGGCCGTTTAGGTCGTGGTACGTGATTTAGGGGTCAGCACCGTGCTCAAGGAGCAGCTTGAGCAGGGCCACATTGCCTAGTCTAGCAGCCCGGGCGAGAGGAGGCGTCATGTCCTTCGCTTCTAGACTCTTTATATGCGCCGAATCAGAGAGGCCGCAGCTCCATTCATAATGATGTGGCGGCAGTGGCCGATCTGATTCCTCAAAGTCGCAGCGCACATTATCGTGTGCAAGGAGGATAGTAGTGGTTGTGATGTCCTGCTGCTCCACCACGAGAGCGAGGGCTCTGGTACAGGAGACGCGACTTGTTTTCTGCACGAGAATTTCGACTAATTTCCGGGACTTTCTTTTCGCTGCCTTGAACACCGCCGGGCCGTCTGCTGAGGAGACGGTGAAGTTCGCGTCAGCGCCGTTATCCAGGAAGAGATTAACAAGATCGAGCCTTTCATGCTCCATAGCCCATTCAAGTGGCGTAACGGGTACCATGTCCCGACCATGCGGTATAATCTCTATATCATCAGGTGTTTGATCGTACTCAAGGATCTGGACATTCAGATTCATACTGTATCTCAGAATTTGAGAGACCACTTGCTTGCTGTATCCGGCTTGCAGGGCCGCTACGAGTGCTTCATCCTTCTGACGCTCACTAGGGTGTTCAACCTCTGGCAAATACCTTCTGCCTTGAAGTGCAACTTTGGGGCTGGCTGTGCGCCTCTTGCCAGTGGAATGATTCTTGAAATAGAATTCCTGGTCTGTAGGACCCCATATTAACTCCCACCCATCGTCATCTTCAGAGTCTGCCAAGACTGAAGTTTTCTTCTCTGCAGAGCGGTCTCGTTTACTTTCGTCATTGACAGAGCCTATTGGTACCCAAAAAGGAACCTCAGTATTGGATATATTCTCATATATCTCTCCTTTATGTTCTCATCGCTCTCTCACCGGGCGTTTGTAAGGCTAGTATGTATAAAGTTCACGCCAGAAGACCGATGCGGCATCGTGAGGTTTAAATGGAGTTGCATATTTCCGCTGGATACATTCATCCCAATTCACACTGTGGAAGGGCGTGCTTTCACCTCAGCAGCTCCATTTGCCCCTAACCGCTGCGTGGGGTCTTTATTGGAAAGCTTGATTAAAATATCCCTTCCAATTAATGGCAGATTCTCGGGAAGCTGTAGGATCCTCTTGATTGAGAATGTTGTTATGCCGCTCGCCGCTGTCTTTGTGGTAGAAATGTGGTATGCCAGTCAACATCTCATAGTGAATGGTTCTCAAAGCCCACCAATCCACTGCACCAGAAACCTCTTGGTTGTCAAAAAGGGCTTCAGGGGCTGGGTATGCGGTAGTACTGGGAGAAATGCAGTCGTCCCTCGCTCCTAATTTCAATCCAAAAATGCCAGGCTCGCATAGACTGGCATGACCAGAGGAATCTAGGAGAATATTCTGCAGCTCCAGTGAACCAAGGGTAATATTTTGGTTATGCAGGTATTCCAAAGTGCAGACCAGCTCCGCAGCGTAATATCTAGCCTTATTGATATCAAACTGCCGCTCCATTTGTAAATGATCAAGAAAGATATCCACTACTGGCTAGTGGTGAAAGGAGGTTTAGTGCTCCCTCAGACGTCCTGAAAGAAAATTTGAGCGGTGCGATGAAAAGGGTGTTGGATGGCGCAGCGGAGAGTAAGCCGGGGTGCCATGTTGATGTCAATGTTAGTATCCATGTCAGATAACCCAGAAGCTGCAAGGTCATTATGAACAATAGTATGAATATCAATGGCCTTCATGCCATAGCTTTGACCTGTCTCTTTCTTTTCGACATAGATGAGATCCAGATTACCAGGGTTATTCTCCCTGCGGACGCTCCATATTTCCGACGTCTCCAAGGGCAGAGCCTCCTTCCGTATGTAGGAAATCTCGGCCTCGAGTCTCCCTGTGCCATTCTGGATGTCCACCTTTTGCAGACCCGAACCCATCAGGAATGGATTCAATCTGACCATTTCAAGAAAGATGACTTGGTTTTCGTAATCTCCCCAGGAGATCAGCATTGACGTATCAAAGCCGCTATTTCTGGCAAAAAGGGATATCTTCAACTCGGAGGATGGAGACGCAGAGACCTCAAACTTGAATGGTCGTTGCCATGCTCCCCATAAAACCGCTCCCTTGGCGGCCATAGTGGCCGTCACCTCTGTGGATGTCTGGAACCCTTCATATTCTCCAATTGCGTACAGTCGCCATCGCTTGCTCAATTCCGGGTTCGAGTCGTCTAAGTCATCTGGTAAGCTCAGGCGATAAGCCCACCCGAGCTTAACAGTCAGGATTCCAGACCTGGGCGAGGTGAGTTGCTGCAAGTGAATATTCCCGGCCTCGAGTTTCTGGTCACCGGTGTGATCCTTGCTCTCACGATTGTCGGGAGGCTCAAGCATTGATATTGTATTATTTTATCTCGGGTAGATTTGCAGAAAGGTTGACAATCGCAAGAACGGAGTGGAGTTGGTTTATATGAATTCTCAGTAGCACCTACCTAACACATGATGTACCTGTTAGACCTGCCCGAGGGTTTATCACACCTGTAACCCCCCAGACTTGCATATGTGTCGCAGAAATTTTCTTATGATGACGAGCTAAGAATTGATTAGAAGATACTATGTTTGCAGGAAGATAAAATTTTCGGTCTGACCATAATTAACAATATAACGTAACAGTAGAACACGCTATGCATATAGTGAAATATCAGATGGTATCACTGAGTATAAACTAGTATAATCATGAGATCAATCACCTCTTACGGCTCTTTTTCTTAGGCTTTCTTTTCTTCTTCGTTTTGACCATTTGTTCCTCCTCGGTGACAACCGTTGTTACACGTACAGGCCATTTCTTTGCATGCTCCTTCTCAAACCCTTCCTTATCTCTCCGGAACAGAAGCATTGTAGCTCTTGCATCCTCCACACTAGAATGAGCTCCTTCCTGAATCTTCAGACCAAGCAATTCAGAGGCGAGTAGTTTCAGCCGTGGCGAACTTCCACCCGCAATCTTTCGATAAGGAGGATACTTGCTTGTGTCACGAATGTCACGCTTGGGATGACTCAACATCAAAGCTTCCAAATCGTTTCGGATCGAATGACCAACTAATACCGTATCTTCTAATATATGCGCAACATCCTTTTGAACCTCTTCGAAAGAGCGGGCTTCGAGCATATGTTTGGGTGCTATGCCGCTCACATGAGTCCTCCAGTCGGTCACTTTTTCTTTAGGTCGTACAAAAGAGTCGTAAACTTGATCGCCATTCCAATTCACAATACTGACTCGAGCGAGCGCGGACTCTTTATCGGGGTCGGGACCGACTCCAACCATTTCACAGTCCATTGCGACGTATTTTCCTATTTCGGCACTGTACCTAGTCGTTAGAACAGTACTTAATATTCAAGACGCGAGAATACTATTAACTCACGTCTCATTGAGACCTTCATTGACTTTTCCCTCCCGTGCTTGTTTCTTTTCTGTAATCTCAGGTGCTGGTTGTTCCGTAGTTCCTAAAGATCGATGTCCCTCCTCTCCCATGCTTTTGGCACCATTCGAATCGATCATGCTTTTGACTTTCGAGAATTTCCTTGGTCTGCTCGCTGTCTTTTCGGTTACCATTTCGACTCTTTTGCGCTTAAGACCATTCTGTGGCTGTGTGTCTTTCTTTTCCTTCGAGACGGTGGGCCCCTTGAGAGAAGCTTGCAGTTTCTTCCAATTGGAAGAAAGACTTTTGACGTCCATTCTTGTCAATTACCGCCTGTTCGTAGTTGCGTCATGTTGGAAACGGCGCTGGTATTGATCGATCAACATAGGAACGAGATTCGGCGGAGGTGAAACTTTTCAGTTGATAAGAGATGCAAACCATGCAAACACTCTTATCTTCGCCCGAATATAACCCTAATCCTGATTGCTCGACTCGATAAAATTGAACAGGATTCTACGTAGGAGACTGATGTTATGTGATCAGATGAGATTTTAATCCGGCTTGCAGGTCATGAAGAATATCAGTGTGGATTTGAACCATTTTAATGGCCAAATACCCATGTACTTTCTATATACAGAATGCAAACAACGCCGAAATCCGAAGACAAATGTGGAGGGAAATCATTAGTGAGCAATCGCCCGCTATATCTATATCACAGCCCAGGGATTTCAAAATCTTTATAAGCCCATTTCTCCGTGGCCTTCCTTTTGGGTTTCTTTGACTGCGTAACAGGCTTGCGAGATTCAAGTTTTCCTTGGACGATAAGAGTTCGGAACCGTTCATCGAGGAGATTTCCCTCTGGTTTTAAAAGTCGTAATGACTCCTGCAATTCATCAGGAAGAACCAACTCAAGTGGCTTTTCTGGGACACTATCGAATGCATTAGTCTCCATTATCAAGATAATAATATGCTCCCAAAACTTACGGATTTTTGCCCAAAGGTCTCTTGCGTAAAACTGTATCATCACCTTCTTCCGAAGAGCTATCTTGCTGTAATTGCTTACGTAATGCCTCCTTCTCTTCCAGGCTTTGGGTGATACTCTGAATATTCTTTGCTTGTTCCTCTCGTTGTTTCATCTTCGCCTCCCATTTCGCATTCCTTTCTGCTTCCTTGCGGCGTCTGATTTTGTTCCGTTGGGCCTGTGTTTTCCGTTCCGGTCTTTTCTTGTTCAACCACTCCGGTTTCTCGTATTCGCTTTCAAATCCTTCCCAAGCACTTTCGTCATCTGATCTGACTTCGCCGTCATCATTCTGGGCATCGGCAATCAAGCGTTGTCGTTCGGCTTCCTTCTTTGCCTCTTCAATTCGCTTCTTTTCAGCTTCAATTTCTTTAGTACCTTCCTTGACGAGGAGACTGTCCCATTCCTCGAAGGATGGGTTATAGCTGGTGCCACCAGTAGGTGCCTTCACTGCAGGTATCGGTTTCCCGTTGGCAGCAAGGGAAATTGGAGCTTCTTTCAGAGTTACTGGAGCAACTTTTTGTTTCTTCTTGGGGATGTATTCGAATTTTTCGTCTTGGGGTTCAGCAGCCTCGACTGAATCTACCCAAGGGTCATAGTTCACGCCATCCTCTGGCTTGGCAGCTGGTTTATTCTCCTGAGCAACCCGCTTCAGCCTGAGCCACTCTTTATTGCTGACCCAATCGCTCTTCTGCTTCTTCGTCTTTGGCTCAATTATGCCATCTGTGACTTTGGAATTTGGTCGCTTGCGACTATCTACCGCCGGGATTGCCGAACGCTGTGCGAGTATTTCGTCTGATTTAAGAACTTTGCGTCCCTTTCTGTGTGCTTTTGCCAGTTCCTGGTCGCCTGTTGTGTCGAGGGTGAAAAGCTCTTCAGAAGGTTTCTCTGCTATAACACCACTACATGGTGTGAGTAGTGAAACAACCTGGAACGACCAGAAAGACTTACCCTTTGATTTCTTCTTCGCGAACTAGTCTGAGTCCTTCCTGAACTTCGGTGACGTCGACATTTTTGCGCCAGGCCTTCTTGCCTTTTCTAGAGGGCTGTTTGAATTGTTGGGGAGCCTCTACTGCTTTTGAATCGGTAGCAACCATGTTGCTTTGTTGCTTTGTTGTATTCGTTGTTACTGATCGTTATCGAACGTAGGTGAAATTCTTTTTTTTATCGATAATCCGCCAAGCGCCAAGCTAGCGCGGGGACACTAGTACTATTCAGGCCTAAGGCAACAGCGCCTAGTCGCGGCTGCTAAACCAGCGACGGCTATTTTCACTTGAATCAAGCTTCGGCGAGAACAACTTCAGCTTAGCATCATACTCACATCTCGCCTCGATCGTTGCGGGTCGCCATCCACATCTGTATCCAGCGGTCACCAGAGGATAAGGCTAGCAACATTGAAGGAGGCTGCGTTGAGACTGACGGATAGTCTCGAAACGGCGCGAGATGCCTGTCGTCAAAGGCGGCGTTTGGTGAGTTTTTCTGGGGATGACTTCTCTTACAGTATACTAATGCCTCTATAGGACTAATATAGAGGATGAAGTGCTTCGTGCAGCAGTAAGTAATTGACTTCAAGTTGAGAGATTCTCGCATTTGCTAACTCCTTGCAGGTATCGAAGTATGGACTCAACCAGTGGGCGCGTGTCTCATCGCTGCTTGCGCGAAAAACCCCGAAACAGTGTAAAGCGAGATGGGTGGAATGGCTAGATCCCGGTATTCGCAAGATCGAGTGGTCGAGAGAGGAGGACGAAAAGCTGTTGCATTTGGCGAAATTGATGCCAACGCAGTGGCGCACGATCGCGCCGATCGTGGGTAGAACGGCAACACAGTGCTTGGAGAGATACCAAAAGCTTCTTGATGAGGCCGAAGCGCGTGAAAATGATGAATTAGGCTTAGGTGGTCCTGGCGGAGAGGCGCAGGCTCCCAGCGCAGATGATGTCAGACGTTTAAGGTATAATTATACCCCCATTCACCGTCCTATGTCGAATTGCTAACAGTCGTAGACCTGGTGAACTTGATCCCGATCCCGAATCGAAACCTGCTCGGCCGGACACGATCGATCTTGATGAAGATGAAAAGGAGATGCTCAGCGAGGCCCGTGCTCGTTTGGCGAACACTCAGGGTAAAAAAGCGAAGCGCAAAGCTCGAGAGCGCCAACTTGAAGAATCTCGACGACTGGCCGTTTTGCAAAAGCGTCGTGAACTCAAGAATGCTGGCATAAACATCAAGGTTGTCACTACAAAAAAGGGTCAAATGGATTATAACGCCGATATCCCCTTTGAGAAAGCACCGGCTCCAGGTTTCTATGATACAATGGAAGAGCAAGCTCGAAATGAACGACAGCGGGAATTGTTTGATCCACGGAAACAACAATTAGCAAACAAGCGTAAGGGTGATCAGGAAGACGACGTTGAGCGCAAGAAGAGGAAAAACGATAAGCAGTCAACGTCGGCAGCGGCTGCTCAAGCTGGTCGTATGCAGAAGATCCGGGAAGCCGAGCAACTCAGCAAACGTCGCGCTTTGAATCTGCCTGCCCCTCAAGTGAGCGAGGGTGAGTTGGAAGATATTATCAAGATGGGTATGGCCGGCGACAAGGCGGCGAAGCTCGCCGGTGAAGAAGAGGGCACTAGAAGTTTGATTGGGAACTACTCTGCTATGACCGGAGCAACGCCTATTCGGACTCCGCGGGCACCTCCCCAGGAAGATCATATCGCAAATGAGATTCGCAACATCCGAGCACTGACTGAAACTCAATCGTCACTTTTGGGCGGCGAAAACACCCCACTTGTTGAAGGAGGAGCGTCCACTGGTTTCGATGGCATCGCTCCTCGTCGACAGGAGATCGTCACACCGAACCCGATGGCCACACCTTTTCGGCAAGGTGTAAATGGAGTCGGTGTTACACCCATGCGAGGTGGTATCGGCCCAGGAGCAACACCGTTGCGCACACCGAGAGATCAGTTTGCACTCAATAACGAGAATGGAAGTCAGATTATTGGAAGTACTCCCCGGGAAGTAAGGATGCGCGATAACTTTATGCGTCAACAGCTTCGTGGAAAGCTTGCTTCTCTTCCAAAGCCCAAGGAAACGGAATGGGAACTTGAAGAGCTTCCATCAGAGTCACAGGAACCGACAGCTGATGGCTATGATGGTGAAGAGGATTCTACAGTGCGTGATCAACGTGAAGCAGAGATCCGCAAGAAAGCAGCAGAAACAGAGTTCCGGCGGCAGACACAGGTTTATCAACGATCATTGCCACGACCTAGCGTGGTTGATGTCACCGCACTTCTCGAACGTGTCTCGCATACTACCGACCCTATTGAGAATTTGATTGCCAAAGAGGCTGCGAAGCTTATTGCTAATGATGCAAAAAAACATCCACTTCCCGGTAGCAAGATCAATGGCAAGCCACCAAGTCTCGACAAAATTGACGACAAGTGGCTCGAATCCGCACAAGCCGAAATCTCAAAATATATATCTTCTAAAGACATTAAGTCACAATGGCAAGCTGATTTTGACGCATCGTGGAGCTCAACGCATGAAAGCGCACTTCCTGGACTTGCCATCTATGACGATGACGAGGATGCTTTACGACAAGAGCAGAATATGATCAGTGCATTCGATAATGTCCAGAACGCACTGATGGCGACTGCAGAGGAAGATAACAAGATAGAGAAGAAGCTTTCATTGCATTTCGGTGGTTACCAAGCGCGTGCGAAGACTCTCCGCAACAAGATAGTAGAAGCAGCATCGGCACTCGAACAGGCCAGGTTCGATCTTGACACATTCCGCACACTGCAAATTGGAGAAGATGCAGCACTTCGCAGCCGTCTCGAGCAGTTGCGTGATGGAGTTACATTGGTGGTCCGTCGAGAACGCGAGGCTCAGGACCTTTATAAGGCTAGAAAGGAAGAGCTTGATGCACTGCTAGACGGTAATGTGAATGGATGGTATTGAGGGTTTGGCCAGTGCCTATAGTGGAGTATCATTTGGTAATTCATGTTGTATATTATCTAGTGCTCCGTTTATCCTTTGGCGCAACCTGAGGGCAAATTAACATCTGTACAATTTTTCTTGAATAATTCTGGAATCCGAAGAGTAGCACAACAACCGCATTCTCTGAAATAGAATCTGAAATTGGATAAATCACCAACAGTCATTTCAAGATTGTTTTTGAGGCCAACAGTTGCTAGATTAGATTAAGCGTTGAAGCGACTGAATGCGGTTTCTCAAAATTCTGCCCTATCCGTAAGGCATCCAAGGCTGACAATTATCGCCTTCCCGCAAACTTTCATACTCACGCAACGACAAGTATCCAAAGCCATCAAATACTATCCACTAGTAGCTCAATCTCATCAAGCTGATGACTTATTTTTGAGAACCAGCGACTTTGGCATCGAAAAGACAATTCAAGGAGCAATATGGCGGGACGCGACGATGCTCCAACGCCCGATCCAGCGGAGAAAGGGTTCGCCACTCTTGCTACACTCAGGTATGGCAGATTAATTCCATTTTCATGTTCAACATACATGAAAAGTACCTTTTATACGGTCGCATATACTTACTATGTCTCTAGAATCGGTGTGAAGGCTATGGTCGAGAAGGTAATACTCATCTGCCATCACCGCGATATTATCATGTGATAGTATCAAAAATTTATATGAGCACTGACATGCTCGATTGCAGGATGGTAGTCATAGAAAAGCTGAGATTCTGTCTATGAGACAAAGAAAAGACACTCTTTATGTCTAGTAAGTCTGCTGCTTTGCGTCGAAAGGGAGTAACAGTCACTCATACCCTTCAGTGTACACTATGTCGACTTCAACAAGCGTCTAGATGGTGAGTCTCCACATATCTTTCGTTTCCTTTGTTGAAGATGCTGACTGTATCTGCTCAGAATGGATTCCGGCGACTCGTATTGATCTGTCGCAAGAGGTAGAATGGCCCGCGCCAGAGAAACCAGAGAAGAAAAAGGCTCCAAGCAAAAGCGCAAGTCAGAAGCGTGCGCGAGCAGGTAGTCGCGATGTCTCTTCGACGCCAGACCTACTCACTGGCAAGAATTTGAATATTGGCAAGGCTGCTCGCCCTTCGAAGGCTGGAGGCAAAGAGAACCGTTCGGAAGAAACGCCGTTGAACCTGTCACTTACAGGTTCTGAAGCCGTATCCATAGATGGCACGCCCAAGGGGGATTCTGAAGATGTCGACATGGCCGATGCTGTCGATACAAAACTCGAACCTCAAGAAAAAATGCTAGGCGATATGACCCGTGAAGAAGAAATTGAAAAACTCCGAACCAGTGGAAGTATGACTCAAAACCCGACGGAGATCCATCGTGTTCGAAATTTGACTCGTCTCCAAATGGGAAAACATGAAATGGAGCCGTGGTATTTCTCACCATATCCAGAATCCTTTCAAGACGCGGATATTGTCTATATTGATGAGTTCTGTTTGAGCTACTTTGACAATAAGCGGCAGTTTGAACGGCATAGATCAAAATGCACCCTTGTTCACCCTCCTGGAAATGAGATATATCGTGACGATCACATCTCATTCTTTGAAGTCGATGGCCGTCGGCAGCGTACATGGTGCCGAAACCTCTGCTTGCTGAGCAAGCTCTTCCTCGACCATAAGACTCTCTACTACGACGTTGATCCCTTCTTATTCTATTGCATGTGTACGCGCGACGAAACGGGTTGCCATCTCACCGGCTACTTTTCCAAAGAGAAAGATTGTGCCGAAGGTTACAATCTAGCTTGTATCTTGACTCTACCGCAATATCAGCGTCGGGGCTTCGGTCGTCTCCTCATCCAGTTCAGCTACGAGCTCAGCAAGCGAGAAGGCAAGCTCGGATCTCCGGAGAAACCACTCAGTGATCTTGGTCTCTTGAGTTATCGTCAGTACTGGAGAGAGGTACTGGTGGAACTATTGTTAGAATCGGGTCGCGAGGCAATCAGTGAGTTTGAGCTGGCGACTCTAACTTCGATGACGGAGAAGGATGTGCATGAGACGCTACTCGTGCTTAATATGCTGCGGTATCATGTAAGCATCAACATACACGCTTACTTTCCCTTTTCAAGCTTCTGGACTAACTCTTCAATCACAGAAAGGAAACTGGATCATAGTCATCCCCGACGCCATCGTCGAACAACATAATAAAAGGTTAGAAAAGGAAAAAATCAAAGGTGTCAAGAAAATCGATCCTGCGAAGTTACAATGGAAACCGCCCGTATTCACTGCTTCCAGCCGGACCTGGAATTGGTAATTGTTTTTATTTTGTCATCTATCTTTAATATTCACTTATGGTTATGATTGGTACGGGTACTAGGGATGAACCTCCGGAGTTAACATGCGTGATTTGTTTACGTCTGTTTGGCCAGTTTTGGAAAAATGGGTCGGTGTGGTTTTGTTACTTTGATTTTAGCTTTTCTTGCCTGTTACTGCTCTCGAATGAGTTAATCGTGTATACATAGATTACGATACCATCAAACACAGTTCTCAAACAGTAACAGATACTTATTACATGCGTTACGTACTATTGATAATTCAAGTAGGTTCGTAAAGTCCTCAGAACATGAAAATCCATGAGTCAATGTTTTCAATCCATTTCCGAGTGAATCATCCATTAGCATGCGTCATTCCACTTAAGGTACATAATATGAACAGAGCGTACAATATTGCTGTAGCACTGGAAGGGGAGGGAAGGCAGTGTTATTGTATGCCGAGCCTTGAAACAAAAATAAAAATCACAAGCCAGGTATGAAAGAAGAAAGTTAAGACATGGAGGGTAAAAGGTAATAAAAAGTTAAGGATGATGAGCTTTAGGCCCAGTGAGCTCCTCACAATACTGTATACTATGCTTGTCAAAGCTGATATTGTTGAGAAAACCCTCACTGGAGTCCTTAGCACGGGAAATCGTTGTTCAGGGAGGGAGATGGGAGAAAGGTACGGGATAAATTGAGCGTCAATAGAAGGAAATTTGAGCGTCCGAAGCGAGTTTCAAAAGACGACGCTATTGCACAACACACAAGACCAGTACAACATCACAAAAGATGGTCTGACTTCTTCACAATAAAGCCAGTGCTGTCGACAGTGTCTTGCTTGAGGAGACGATAGATTTGTGTCAGTTAGTTGCCCGAAGCATGGGAATTCCCTTCGCCACTTCTGGTTGTGTCAGAAGACGAGCCCTGTCGTTTGTTGTTATGTGAGCCATTGTACTTTGCCCCCGGTTCCCTTGGTTTGGCGCTTTTGCGAGTACGAAAAGTGGTGTTTCCTTTCGGTCGCGAAGAAGTAAGAAAAAGCTTTTTCAATAAAGCGACAGAAGCTACATTATCGCACCCCGGAATATGGACGACGATTTGCCAATTCCCAGACACATCCTTTTTGGGGAATTCTAAAGCGAATGGTTCAACGCTGTGAACCTGCATCGGTCTAAGAACCTTGGGCCGAAGACGTGCTGGCGGCGGGAGGGCTGCGTGCCATGCATTAGGCGGTGCCATAACGGGTACACGAACAACTGGCAGAGAACCTGCTTCCCGGTCTTCAAAAATAGCTTCTTCTTCCTCAACTTCTTTAGAGGTTACCAATTCGGCATTTTTAGCACCGACTCCTCTAGTTTGAGGAAACGAAACAGCTGCTGGATGTAAATGCGACTGAACGTCTAGTGGCTCCTTGGTTGCAGAAGCAACTGCCAGAATATGCTTCTTCTCTGGAGTTGCCTTGCCAAAGAGCCCATTGATACGATCCTGCCAAGAAGTTGCGCTCATCACGGGCTGCGGCGGTCGCAACTGCGTCGCCGCCATAGAAGCAAACGTCGGTGGCTTCGGAGGTAGCTGGCTAATCTTTGGCGGTAAGCGAACTATTGGTTTGGGGATAGGTAAATTAACCAGAGGTCGATGAGCATCACCACTATATGCAGGGTGCGTCGAATATGCCTCAGGAGGAGGTGGTGATGGGCTCCGAGGTCGTCCATCATCCACAGCAACACTGACTCGGTACGGCTCCGTAATCGTAGGGAAAAAGCGAGATCCGCGGTTGGGGACACCGCTAAACGGCCGGGGATGAGCCTCTGGGAATGGTAGACTGTCTATAGGAGCATCAAATCCATGGAGAGCTTGTAAAGGACCTGTGGCTTTAGTAGCTTTCACCACGTCAATCACCTCCCTTTGGCCTACTTGGTCTCCAGACCGCACCTGACGCCAAGTCTCAGAGAAGGTGACGTTGAGGGAGGCGGGGGGCTCGTCGCGCATGGCTTCAAATTCTCGGTGAAATTTAGCATTTGCTTCAGCCTCCTGCTTCGATGCGACCGAGTGGAAGTTACCCCAAGCTGAGGTCGCTGCCTGAACAGTCCGACGCGCATCAGCTTGCCAGGGGCTATGCTGGGAATTAGGAGGACCAATGGGCCGCGGGCGACCAATAGGTTGGAAAGGTTCATATGGTGCATGAGTGCTATCGGACTGGGCTAGTGACTGCTTGTGCTCTGGTGCAAGTCTCGCACCGACAAATGGCTGCGACCCAGCATTTTTATCCATGTTTGGTAATGAACCAATAGGGGGAGGCTCAGTTAAACCAACAGGTCCACGGAGAGAGAGATCATGTGAGAACGCAGCCAGATTGCGGTCAAAAGTGCCATTGCCAAGGGTCTTATCGCTGCTGAGCGGCTTCCACATATTAGAACTAGGAGAAGAGTGGGCACTAAGTTTAGTCCCGGCTCCCCAAGGAGTGTATGAAGTTTGATTGCCTCTCCATTGTGAGTCTTTTTCTTCCAATGTGGGCATATCAATGTTTTGATCTTTGGACAATAACGATTCGTCCTGCAAAACTCCGTTGGTCTTGACCGTCTCATGTTTCACGTCACGCGATGGGGAAATGCTGCGTTGGCTCATCATTGAAGTGGTCGACGGCTTCTCAGTGGCTCGCTCATTGGCTGCGACTAATTTTTTAACTGATTCAGGATGATGAACCCTCATCATTCCATATTGTTTCGGCTCTCCGCTAGGTTCAGGAACAGGAGGTTTCGGTGGAGATTGTACGGTATTTTGTGCACCGGTCGTTGCAAGCTGATCTTTGGGAAATCCCTTACTTAGTGCTGTCGTTGCTTCCGGCCGCTCTTCGACCTTTGGGGTCTCCTTCTCTTTCCCAGGAGCAGGTCCTAAAGCTTCGAGCTTCAGGCGAATACGTTCTCGGCGTGCAGCTTCCTCCTTCTGTTCTTGCTCTAATCTCCGCTGACGAGCTTCCAAACGCTTCTCTTTCATAATTCGCTGTTGCATAAGAATAACATCTTCAGCAGAAGCTTGGTTAGAGTCCCGGTTGACTTCGTCCGAAGTCATAGGTTTGCCTCCTGGCTGCGTACCAGGAGGAGTATAAGTGCTCATTTTTGGTTGCCATGTCTGATTTGAGGATGGTTGGTGTGCGGAGTGTTCAGGTGGCATGAAATCTTTCGAATGAATTGTTTCGCTTGGTGAGACCGAGTTCTCTACAACTCCATTGACCTGGGAACCCCGTCTTCCTTCATTAAATTTTACTTGACTATCTGGTCGCCCAATTGACATACGGCGCCCATAGCTCCCGCTACCGCCACTAACATTTGACGAAGCACGTCGACGACCCCAATGGCCAGGCTCTTGGTGGCTCGATCTGTATGTCTGAAAGGCAGCAGATGGCTCTGGATGGCTCCCCACTTCGTGATTACCAGGCCGCTGTAGGACAGTCGCCGGGCGCATATGAGCATCGCGCACGGAACCCTTACGCGTATCTGGCACTGGTTCATATCTGCCAGACTGGGAGTTAAAAAGTTCTCGCGGAACATTCGATTGACCCTCCCTCCACGACCGATTGAAGTCATCAGCTGCTATTTCGCGCGCAGGTATGTTCTTGTCAGGAATTGCCTGTTCTCTAGCCTGAAAACGAGGGGCATGGTGGCTTTGCACGGTTTGAACTGGAGGGTTTACCGGAGAGACCTTTTCAACAGGGGGTAAAGGAGCCCATGGAGACTTCATTGGAACAGGTGCTGGGGATTTCGTTGTCAAAGTAGGCTTATCAGATCCTGACTTTGAGGCAATCACTGCCTTCGCCTGTTGTTGCTGCCTTTCCGCGTTCGCTCCCAAACGGAGGACTGTTGCGTTCGGTCCAACGGTAGTGGACGTTTTGGGGTAAAGAACTTTTGTACTATCCTGAGCAGGTAGCTGTGCTGGTATTGCTGCTTCCTTTGCATCAGTGCGATCTCGAATCTCTTGTGGTGAGGACTGGGAATTTTCGGTATGCGTAAGTTTGATCTTCGTTCCGTCGTTCCATTCAATGGTTTCTGGCGCCCAATCGTCCTCGTCATCATCGATATCCGCCCACTTGGATTCCGTCCCATTTCCATCTTCTTGAATTCGAGACGTCATGTGAATGCCGTACTGTTGCTTTAGTTCTTCATCTGTTAGATGCTTCGTAGGCGGCGGTTGAGCGGCTGTACTCAGACTTAGCATATTTCGCAAACCATAAAGGTCTTACTTACGCCTGTTTTTATTCCAGACTTGGCTCGCATCTGGTCCACTTGAAGGTCCTTTTAAACCAGCTGCCGTATGTTTCGATGACGATCCCAATCCACTCGTCGTCTTCGCTACCAAACGGGGTCGTGTAGAAGGCTGTGGTGAGGCACTTAACGGTGTCACCGAGAGAGTCGCTAAGGTAGCGTCAGCATCTTTTTTAAGGAGTTAGATCATGACAAGACATACGTTTCTCACCGAGTTTCGGGGCCGCCGAGGTTCCAGGCGCCTTGGGCACTGAAAATTTCGCAAACGACACGGGTTTGAAAGCGGTTGGTTTCTTCATCGAACTGGTACGGAGATGTTGTCGGCCATCATTACGACTGGTATCTGTATCCGAACCGCCGAGAGAGCCACCATCCTCACCACCATCCGACATAGATGCTACTCCGTTCAATTCCAACGCTCTCGTCGCCACAGCGGCTGACCCATTTCTACCAGTATCCTGTCAAGTATGAGAACTCTTTCATTCATGCTGTAATTCGCTTTTGTGTCTCACCTTGCTTCCTTCACCAGAAGAATTCTCCGCCTCGCTTGTATCCGTCGTTCTTGTGTTACGCTGGGATTGTTCCATATTGGATGATTTGCCTTCAAAGTTGAATTCGATTTTGGTAATCCTCCCCTCGCCCCCTTCAGCAGTGTACTTGTCTTTTTTGCTCGCAGGAACGTCGGAAGACGAAGGCTCGCCGCCCGACCGGGTTTGGTTTACCACATCGTGACTGGTCTGCTCTGCCATACCAATATGCAATGCTAGATTTTCAGAATAAAATAGTCAGTATCAAGGTAGCGAATAAGTCCAAAAAGCATGTCGATTAAATAGAAATATAACAATAATATGTAAAAGAAGGTCGTTTAGCGCGAAAGAGGAACGCTAACCGTCAAATAATGGAGGCTGCCACGGTGTTGTGATGAGAAACTGAGCGGGTGCCCTTCCAAAGGTGCACTGTTATCCTTCGTAGTATACCGGAACAACAGATTTAAAATCCAGGTAATGTCTGTTCAGTCGGAATCAAGCACCACCAAATATTGCTGCTCCTGGGTGATAGCCTTCAAGCTGGATCCCCTTGGTGCGATACCTTGTTGTGTCTGAAGACAGATGATGTTAGAGGGTTACCGGAGAGCAGCATGTAATCGGGGTTGAAGGCTGCTGTGGCCGCTTTGGGTTAGCCGGGCGACGACATGGCAAGTGCCCACTGGCAAGCCTCAGGCTAATTCGCCAGCAAGGCTGAAAGGCGGTCCACCGCGGCATAATCGGTTGTCCTTTTTAACAGTTGAATACAGAGTAACATTGGTTCACCATCACAATGCCCAGCACGGTCTTGTTTCACACATTAATCCTTTCCTTCGAGCGATGGTTACAAGCAAGACACATTGAATTGAATTTCTTCCAGTACGTTTACTACTATAGGGCGCAACGAATAATGTCCGAGGGTTTCTCTTGGAAGACATATGTGAGACGGTTGGAGAATTGAATAATAAAACACTTTGTTGAGACACTATGACAAATGAAACGAGGAAAAGTTCCATGCATAAGCCGCGTCACTCTAGTTTACACTGGCAGAGGCATTTTCTTTCTGTAGGTCGACATCTTGAATTCTTGTTTCACAAATATATGTACAGCTTCCTCCGCGCCCACTATTTTCCTTTTAGGAAATCGGACTAGTGAGGGTGGTTCTTGTGGTGGCCTGACCGCAAAGTCAGATTCCAAGAGGACGGAAGTAAGGAATTGAAGCAAACTTACGCAAGTGGAAGTAGTACTCCATGCTGTAGCCGACAACCAACATGGTTCCAATGACGTGAACGAGGGCTAAGTTGAACCTATCAGTATATATTCCTTTTCAAACATGATGTAATTCGACTTACGCATGCCGGAAGCGTTCTTTCCGTTGAAGTAACGAGCCTGGTAGCGCTCAAGGAATCCGGAGGGCTTGGGAGCAGGAGCGGGACCACGGGGCAGACCAGCATAGAAGCCAACTACACGCTCCATGCGAGCAGCATCCTGGGCGGCACCAATAGCCTGTATAATCGTCAATATTTACGAACATTCCAGAGTCGCAAAATCCATAGTAAAGCGTCGGGATGGTGGCTATTTGATACGCAATTCGTAACGGGCCAGTCAAGGACTTTGGACGAGGAAGAGGAAAGAGTGGTGTATGTTCAACTCACATTTGGCGATGCAATCTAACAGTTCAGAGTCAGCAATAAGTTTCAATTGACTTTAGAAGAACGCTGGCGGTTGACATACCTTGGGAGGGATGAGGGTGGACAGAGCCCGGCGAGTGATGTAGCTCATGTTTGCTAGTCTAAGACTCAGTCAGCTATGCGTAATTGACTAAGTGCGATGGTTGAATTGTGTCCGGCACGATTGCATACCTCGAATGTGACGATAATCCTACACTTGATGACGGTGAGGAACGGTTAAGGAAGAAAGCGAAGTTCTACCCGACATCCCGGCGAGTTAGCGTTCCGGGCATCACTAGCCACACTTATGTAATCACGGCTGCACCAGCCACTTGCCGCCGGGAAAGTTGAACATCATCTTGTAGAGAGCACAAACCAACTTCCTTCACACCAGCGTACCGCTTCGCGATTCACCATGTCGTTCATTAGAGCTCGCAGTGTCGCTCAGCTTCGGGCTGTGCGAATTGCTCAACCCGTCAATGCTCGTTTCTTCTCATCACCCACCGACGGTTCAGTAAAAACCAGCCCTGCCGATGCTCCGACTACACCACCCAAGGATAGCTCCTTGATCAGAAAGGAAGGTCCCGGAGAAGCAATGGCTCATCATCAGCCAGATTACGATGCGACTATTGATCATGCTACCTCGTATGTGCTACCGATCTGTTCCAGTGAGGATCCGTGCTAATTGTACGTCAGGACTTTCTCTCCAGTTCCGAGGCGGGTCATGGATGGTAGTGAGCCAGGCGATGCTGTAGCTGCTGCTGTTCTGTCCGGCGCACCAACCGATTTGCAAGCACGAACTGTCAGGTAAATTCCCTAGAAGCGCTGATTGTTAAGAAAGGCAGGAAGCTTATACCAATCTCTCAGAATCTATAAACCTTCGAAGCCCGCGACCCAGTCTGGAACTTGGCACAGTCACCATTGGCGAATGGATTGGGATGTTCTAGGAAAGGGCCACAGATGGGAGAATCCGCTCATGGGCTGGCAATCCTCCGGTGATTTCATGCAGGGTACTCACATCAACTTCAAGTCCAAGGAAGACGCCATTCTGTTTGCGCAGAAGCAAGGATACGAATACTTTGTTCAGGAGCCCAATGAGCGCAAGTTCGTTCCCAAGGCATACGCCAATAATTTCATGCACGAGCCCAAGAAGCTCAAGCACATCCGAACCAAATAGAGGGTCTTGTTGTATTGTATATATCGAGCAGTTTCATCAATCCAGTTCTTTCTGTTTACTTGGATATTGCAGATCTATGTCAATAATAAGATTGCAGATCTCTTCTTTGTAACACTATGGAAAATTTTAGCCAGGATTTCCTAGGGATTCATCGTAATAGCCTCGAGATACGGACTAATCAACCAAGTCCAAAGGCCCATAGCGGTCAAAAGAATCCGGCATCATTGATTATCGTGGAAACAATTCAAGCCTGCCTTTTAAGGACAAAAGTCCAATACTAGGGCAGTTTCACCGTTTCTAATTTCTCGCTGTACATAGTCGCAAGGCTTCCAAGGCTGCTCGCCGCAACATGACTACAGGTAGCCTCTATTCCTGAGGCTTAAGCAACCAGCAACATCAATGGGAAGACGGATGAGCTCATATAGTGTATATTTGGAAATTTTTCTCAGAGGGCACAACTGATCGCGCATCGCTTGCTTATCTCGACTGGCTCTGATATTATTGCTGTCGTTGAGGGGGGGTGATTCGCCTGGCATGCTGCTGAGCGCTCCAGTCACCTTGTCGACATTTACTCGCCTAGGAATGACAGATGGAGAGGTACAACTGATAAGGATACGATATCCTTGGAAGGTCAACGGATCATGGATGGTTAGGTAGGCATGTCGGTTTCCACTGTTATGTCTTGCGGGCGAAAGCCTTCATTGGTATTGAAGGTGACTTGAGAAATGAAGTTTTTGGTTATTACTATTTTCCCAGATGAATGGATATCAATTCCGGGCGAGTTATATAGTCTCTTGGTTCAGCAAGTATCTTCATACATCCAAGTTGATTGACCAAAGAGTCACATCTGCCGCATTTGAAATTGCGGTTATATATTCGTAGCAAGGGTTGAGACTCAAGGTCTAAAGCTCATATATTGAAATCCCACGTATGCTTCAACCGTTTGGCAAAGAAGTGGAACGTGCAGTAAGGATCGAGGCCTGTAAAATTGACTACAAAAGGTTCAATGAATTGACTGTTGAAAGATGTCAGTTAAAGGAGGGTCACAAACAGTTAGAGACAAAGACCCCGCCACGCCTGTTGATACCCGCCACTATCAATCGCTGATAAGATCTAAAAAAATTTTGAGCATTGATCGTTCCTGCAACGACGTCTCATTTTATTGGTTCCTTCATTTCACATTTGGTTTACTTCGTTACGAGTCTGCTCCTAGGAATCCAGGCTACTCATTGAAAATTCAACCTGAGATTCTACCACCTCGTAAACACTAATATGGCCGAAGTTTCTCACGCCACTGTCGCCGCCTTGCGCAAGACATTAACCTCCGAAACAGAGCCTCTCGCTCGCAGATTTCGCGCTCTATTCTCACTCAAATATGTCGCCTGTCTGAACCCTCCAACCGAGCAAACCGTTCCCGCTATCGAAGCCATAGCGGCGGCATTCACATCCCCATCGGCCCTCTTGAAGCACGAGCTAGCCTATTGCCTGGGACAATCCAAGAAAGCCGATGCAGTCCCTCATTTGCTTCATGTTCTAAAAGATAAGGGAGAGGATACCATGTGTCGACATGAAGCGGCAGAGGCACTAGGTGCGTTGGGATTTGAGGATAGTTTGGCGCTATTGAAAGAATTGAGGGATGATAAGAATGAGCCGGAAGTGGTGCGGGAAACATGCGATATTGCGGTTGATAGGATTTTGTGGGAGATATCAGAAGAGAAGAAGAATGAGAAGATTAGACCCAGGTTTGTACTTTTTTTATTTATGGATCTGTGCCCAGGATGGGGGTTGATTAACATGGATATAGTGACTTTGCATCAATCGATCCTGCACCGCCGCTCCCGCAAGCTGCGAAGGAGCCATCTATCCCTGAACTGGAGAGTACATTGCTAGACACCAAACTTCCTCTCTTCAAAAGATACCGAGCCATGTTCGCCTTACGAGACCTTGCCTCACCACCCGACCTACCCACCGCTGTTCCCGCGATCAATGTTCTATCCAAAGGTTTAAAAGACCCGTCCGCCCTATTCCGTCACGAAATTGCATTTGTTTTCGGCCAATTGTGCCATCCTGCTTCCATACCGAGTCTTACATCGACATTAAGCGACTTGAATGAGATGGGTATGGTACGCCATGAGGCTGCAGAGGCCCTTGGAAGTCTTGGTGACGAAGAAGGCGTTGAAGAGACGCTGAAGCAATTTTTGAACGACCCCGAGCAGGTTGTGAGGGACAGCATTATTGTGGCGCTTGACATGGCGGAGTATGAGAAAAATGGAGACAAGGAGTATGCCTTGCTTCCCGAGACTACTGTAGCTTGATGTTGTCCTTCCTTCCAAATTATCTCATCGATGACTTTCTTGAAACGGCGTTGGTTTGCTATTCGAAACGATCCTGGAGCTTGATATTTTATGCTTCCGCGAAAAGAGCATATGGTTTGAGAAAGGAAAAAGTTGTATATATACTAATTGTTGACGGTTTCCCTAAAAGCACATGGAAGTTAGATAGGCTCAAAAATCTCAAGCTGAGGCATACATACTTGTAGCCACAAACGCATCGATAGAACACAGTGGTTCCCTCGTCAGCACTACGCAATTGCGCAGTAGTAAAGAACATCTCTTTTCGTCCACACTCGGCACATGTGTATTGGGTGACAGCTTCCATAGTTCGGTCTGCGGCAGTCAATGTCTGCAGAGCAGACCTTTTCGCTCGTAGGGCTGAAGGGAAGGCATTTGGTTTGGACTCGGAGACGATGGTCTGAGGAAGGATGTCTAGAGTAAGGGTAGATATTTAGAACCGTGTATGTAAACCCCCCTTTTCTAACAGTCTTTTTACCTTTGTTCTTTGCACCGCATGCTTCGCAAACTAGAATAGCATCTGGAGACCCGGTACTCTCTTGCAGGAGGTTTCCACAGTCAGTGCAGAAGATGAGTGAGCCAATCGCTGACATGATGATATAAGTGCTATGTGCTATCTCAAGAAAAGTATGGTAATAATGGCAAGGCGATGCAACCCGAGAAAGAAAATGAAGCTGGGTGAAGCGCAACGAAGACAAAAAATGTTTCTCTTTGGGCTTGAGAAATTTAGAGCCCATGCTCTCAATACGGCTTAGCGGCGGGTCTCTTAGTGTGCTAGCCTGGAGTGGAGCCAATATAATCTGGCGGGCAAATCGCATCGCGAACAGACTGGGAGATCCAAAAGAGAAACTGAACGCTTCGTCGACATCCCTGTCATGGACTTAATCCGAACGACTTTCCTTTGATTCCTAAAGAGTGCTCGCCAGATGCCATCACTGTATGGTTGAACCAATTTTCCGATCAGGAATCCCGCCCTGGGAAGCAGCAAAGCGTCATGGATCAGGGTCGTTTTCCAGCAGTCCAGGTGGTCATCGGTGGGCTGGGGCAGCCTCAGAATCACTTCCATGATGGTACCTCCAACGGCGTCCCTAATGGGATGCGCCAGCCTGTAACGCGCCCGCTACTGGTAGATGAAGCCTTGCAATTTTCTCCTATGAGCACTGCGCCCGTGTTCGGTCTAGGTAAGTCCTCCCGTCTCATTACTCTCTCGCTCTACTCTTACTTATGGATGAAAGATTCAATAACTCGCCCCGATGTCACCGGACAATCTTCGACCACCCTCCCTGCATATTCGCGATCGGTCGCTCGTAAATTGATACAGGACTTGGACACGGAAGTACAGGCAGGAACCGAAAAGTCTCCTCGATTCACGGCAGTATATGGAAAGCTTCTGAATGAACATTTAAGCTCGGATAGACGGTCAGAGTTGTACGTATACGTCAAGAAGCGAATAGCCGCTGTCTCGTTACTGATAAGTGCTTCTCTCGGTGTAGCAAATTCCGGTTTGCATCGGGCTTGGATCAGGTCAAGAAACAATCTCAACGTGATGGCCGATCAGTACTTACTAGCGGTCTAAGCCCGTTTGCCAAAATGGTACTGGACGGAAGCGATATAGCGTTTGATTGTGAGCTTCTCTGATGTTCTGATCGAAGTGAGAGTAAGCTGACTGGTGCAGACCCGGAAACCAAGTTGCCGCCATCAGGTTTACAAACTCCAGGTAGCTCCTTCCTTCCCTGTCATCCATTCCCCCCTTCCACCTTCCCCCGTTGAGCAGCAAGCAGCCATACTAATGCTATAATGACACCAGGAAAAATTCTTCAACCTGCTGTTGTCATCCCACCCTTCGGTTCTCCAGGGACCTCCCGTTCAGTGGTCGACCAAGGTGCTGCTAAAAAGCGAAAACTGAATGCTGAGGTGGAGAACTATGCTACGAGTCTGAGGCTCAAGGACCAAAAGGAAGAAGCGGATGCCGCTCTGTTGAAGCTGCAGGATTTCATGCAAGAGATATTCGAAGCGGAAGACCAGCTCGAACCAGATACCTCATCCGCTGCCCTCGGCCAAAATTCAGGTTCCATGTTCAGGGTCGCCAATGTCTTGGAGGTCCGCGGAACTATCCTTGGTCCTGAGAGTCATGGTAAACTCCAAAAGTCTTTACAGAAAGTTGCAAGCTTTGGACGATTGCACGACATCCCTTCTGAATACCTTAACCGGCTCCAGAAAATCTGCGAGAACCCCATAGTGGCCGCGCAAGTCCTGGATTTACGCTTAGACGACTCTTTGAACGATGCAGACACTCATCTTTGGATCCAGAAATTGGAGGACCTACACAACACACTTCTCGCCATTGGTACACTTCTTCAAACCATGTCTTGCCGACGCTCAGAGCGAGATCTTTGTCCCGAGGACATATTGCAAGCTATACCGAATGTCTTGACGATATTGTTTGATCAATGTATCATCCCTGCAGTGGAGGTCCGCCCTGTCGATGAAGGGAAGAGGCTTTTCGAACTTGTCTCTCGAGAGAAGAAGATCTTCAGTGCTCTACTTCATCAAACCAGCAAGGTGATGAACCTCCTGGCGAACTTCCTTTCATTAATAGACGTTTCTGAAAGCGTCATTACGTCCACTGAATTCTTAGCAACTAAGCTGATTTTCGTCGAGAATGCGCACAATGACAAAGACTCTGCTGTTGGATTCCAGAAATTTGAATCCGTGCGCCGCGCAGCAATGGACGTTCTCGCTAAAATCTTTTCACGCTATCCCGCTCAACGCCCTTTCATCCTCGACGAGATCTTGGTGTCATTGGAGAAGCTGCCGTCGACTCGCCAAAACGCTCGGCAATTCAAACTGATAGATGGTAAAGCCATTCAGCTGCTAACGGCTCTTGTCATACAGTTAGTGCAAACGACCGCTCTGGACATCCCCAAATCCAAAAAATCCAGAGCTAGACGTCATCATCTTGCAAGTAATGGTGCCGATGAGGACAAAGATGATATCGATGTCAAGGATGAAGACGAAGAAAGCGATTCTGAAGATGAAGATTCTTTCAAATTGTCCTTGGAACGGCTCACAAGCCGAGTAAACGAGCTCTACGACAATGCGGTCCGGAGCGCTCAGTACATCATCAAATTTATCGTACAACGGGCAATGACCTCAACAAAAAACGGCGATCAACCTTATCGAAATATACTGGATCTTTTCACAGAGGACTTGATCAGTATCCTGGGTTCGACCGATTGGCCAGCTGCCGAATTACTGCTTCGTATTCTCGCGTCTCATATGATAAGTATTGCTGAGCTTGACAAGAGTTCATCGACTGCCAAAAATATGGCCCTTGAATTGCTCGGTTGGATGGGTTCCGGTATCTCCGATCTCACAACTGCTGCTCAACATCTGATTCGTTCGATGGAAGATGCAGACAACAAAATAACCCAGTATCTCCGCCAACTCTATGAAGACCACATAAGTCACGCTCTACATATTCAGGATTTAATTTCCGCAGATGGTCCCTACCGCATCACATTGGAGTACCTTCAGGACAGAGACCTTGATAACTGGCAACTTACCAGTGCTCGGGGGTATTACATAGTCCAGTGGGCTAAGACTGTCTCGTCCACATACTACGACTCGGAAGATAGAAGCGTGGTTGTTCAACAAGATAGGAGTGTTGACGAGTTGCTGTCTATTTTCCCCAAACTGTTATCGGACCCGAAGTGGTTGGAGACAAACACGTAAGTTGCTCGAGTATACCGTTGATGTGTAACATGACTGATTGAATTACAGCCACTATGGCAAGATCCCAGCAGCTCACGGAAAGTTTGCATACATTCTGACAGTTTTAAACATGGGCTTTTCGAAAGCATTCGATACGATCTTCAAGGTCCTGCTGAACTCGATTACCAGTGACCAGGCCAAAGTCCGAAGCCGTAGCTTGAAGAGTGTTATTACTATGCTCGAAAAAGACCCAAGTCTACTAGATCGTGACTCATCAGTCATGCGTGTTGTGCTTAGATGTGCCGCTGATGCTTCGCCCATGGTTCGCGACTCGGCGCTCTCCCTAATCGCAAAATGTATCGGACTTAAACCGGCACTCGAAGAAGAAGGCTGCCGGGCTATTCTCGCTTGTGCTGCCGATGCTACAGCTGGAGTGCGGAAACGTTGCATAACGTTACTGAAAGACATTTATTTCAAAACCATGCGCAAGGACCTGAAACTTGCTATACTCGATAGCCTACTTCAAAGGACGAGTGATTTTGAGGAGGCTGTGGTCGTTCAGGCTCAGCAGACCATTGAAGAGATCTGGTTCACACCATTTGTCACATCGATTGACAACCTGCAGGATGCTCCCAAATCCAAAGTTGCACTAGCGGAACAGACTTCTCTTATAATCAGCTTAGTACAACGCAGTGAGACTGCGGCAGAGGGGTTAGGCTCATTTGTGAAAAAAGTTATTTCTGAAAACTCCAAAGCAACTAGTCAAACTTTCAAGGTGTGCAAAGCGATGGTGGCGAACATGTTTGAGCGACTTATTGACGACCCTGGTTCATTGGAAAAGCAAGATCATCAAGCGCTTCTGCAGACGATTACAGTTTTTGCAAAATCCAGTGCTAAGCTGTTCAACCCGGAGCAGCTTCAAGCCCTCCATCCATATATCGGACACCTTATCACAGCGGACGACCTGTTCATTTTCCGTTCTGTGGTCGTGATTTATCGTTGCGTTCTTCCTTATATCTCCTCTGCTCATAACACCTTTCTGAAAGAAGTGCAAAATGATCTGTTCAAAAGTGTGGCAAAGCTTGCCAGGTCTGAGTTGAACGAAGTTATGGCGTGTCTCTGGACCATTAACGGAGTTCTTCAAAATACAGACAGACTGGTTAAGCTTACGATCTCCGTGTTGAAGGGTATCAGTCAAGCGAAAGGCGTTGATCTTTCCGATAGCAGTAAGGCCGATTTACTGAATCGAGCTCGGAGCTACATACGTATTGCCGGTTGTGTAGGACGGCATTGTGACCTTGAAAAGTTTGAACCTCATTTCAAGAAGGCTTTTCCTACGTGGAAGGGAGGTTCTGTCGCCGGTCTTCTTGTTGATTTTATCTTGCCGTTTGTGCACCAAGATCAACCACTCGAATTGAGAACAATGGCACTTGAGAGCTTAGGCTCAATTTGTCAATCTTGGCCGGCGCAGTTTAGTAGGGAAGCGCCTAGGACGGTGATATCATCTATTTTCAAAGAGGATAACGCTGGTCTTCATAACATCATTCTTCGAGCCTTTTCCGAGTTCTTTGCAATCCACGAAGGCAAGCAAGAAAAGCTTGTTCAACCGCAGGCCGAAAATACCGACCCGGAGGCGACAACAAGACTGGGTGGATCGCTGAAGGCTAGTGACAATGATGGCGCAGCAGCACTTATAGCCCAGCATTTTTTGCACGATATGCTTCGTATCGCTCACTCTAGCCAGGACGCGTACGCACTGACCGCTATTGAACTGATATCGAGTATCAATCGTCAGGGTCTTGTGCATCCCAAGGAGTGTGCTGGCGTATTGGTCTCGCTAGAGACATCGACTATTCCTGCCATTGCGAAGATAGCGTATGATACACATAAAATGCTGCACCAACAGTACGAATCGATGTTCGAGCGGGAATATATGCGAGCTATTCAAGATGCCTTTTTCTATCAACGGGACATTGTTGGCGATTCGAATGGAGCATTGCCTCGGCCATACACCGCAAAACTCGCTCCTCTTTTCGACATTATCAAGATTAGCAACAGCAAGTACCAGAAGAAGTTCCTTGCTAATCTTTGCTCGAGAGTCAAATTTGAATTAAAGACTTTGGATGTTACAGGCAGCCCCCCTGAGCATCTTCTCCTGGCAAGGTTTATCTGCCAAAATCTTGCTTTCTTTGATTACGCCCAGTTGGCCGAATTGGTACCAACGATTACTTGCATGGAGAGAATTGTTTCAGCCACTGGTACCATCGTTGCACATGCTATCGAGACGGAAGTATTTCCTCCTCAATTGGACGTTCCCACTGCGCAGCCTATGGAGCAGCCTATAATGCAGGGATTGCCAGATCAAGTTATGACTGGCACAGTGGTACGACCTCCCCAACATACGGTTAAACCCTATCTCTTGCGACAACTTGCGACCGCAGCCGCCATCTTATGTATACTCTGGGAAACAAGGACCCATCTGCGCAGACAGTATGGTATCACGTATGGTATGAAACACAGTGAGAATAAAGCCAACATCAAAGAGCTTAACAAGGCCCCGACAAAAGTTCATGGTATTACAGGAGACCGCTACTGGGAAGCTATATCCAACACCATGGCATGCCTTGACAGCGAGGAGAATATGTTGCAGCAATGTCGATCCTTTGCTACTCTACTCTCCATTGACGACGAACTAAAGGTTCCCAACGGCGAAGACGAAGACGCGGAGCTAGATGATCTGGATGCACCTGCAGATGATGATCCCAGAGAAGTTAATGGCAGCAAACCGATGAAACGAAAGAGTTCTGTCAATGGCGGCACGCCTGCAAAACGGCCTAGAGGTCGGCCGGTTGGCAGCAAGAAACGGCAGAGTTCTGAGACGGTGGATTCTTTTATTTTCTGAATCAGTACTTTTAGAGCTTGGCGGTTACTTTTATCTCTATATGACTTGGCTGGCTACCTTTCATGAGGCGTTCTAAGGCTGGGTAAAAACGGATACTCCTGGACTCTGATCTTTTCCATCATTTTTCTTTTCGAGCCTGTATATTTTTTGAGCTCTATTTATTGGTCCCAATATTTTCCTTGAGGATATCTTCTCTATTTGATCCTTTTTACTGTGTATTATAGGTATTTTCACCAGCATAGATGCCCCAATTGGGTCTGCATAGCCCTAATCTTACAACAACTTGAATGAAGTCTCCTGACAGAGTAAGCTCACGGATTGATCGGAAGCCATTGATAAAGGCTAACTAGATTCACGTGCCGAAGTGCCGTTTCGACGGGACAATGACGTCGCCTCAGGCCACCCGTGCCTGCGATTGGCTGACGCAGAGTATACCAAAATAGCTACATCATCATTCCGTGCCTTTTTCCCTGTCCCTTGACCTAGACGATGTTTTCCTGTACCTACACATAAAGCAAAGACTTCCTCTTCTTCACAATTGCTCTATTATGGTTTTATTGAGTTATTATGTTTGTATTCTGAGCGTCTTACTCGCATAGTCTCCTCACCGCGCAGATGCAGACTGCCCTGATGAGGCACCTGGCTCAGGGCGCTGGTGCATCGTTGTTTTCGCGTCCATCCACCAGACTCCAACGCCATCAGATCTTAAGAAGTATTCCACGCCGACCCATATCATTCCGTCATCTTCAACCTTCATCAATATTACAGAAGTCAACCAAGCACATATCTACCCCGCTCATCCGCTATGCGCATACCATATCAGTATCGGGATTGAAAGCTTTTATATGGCGCCATCCCGTGCTTCGGTTCATATACCATGGCTTTACATACTTGGGATTCTTGATAATTGGTGGTGGAGCGGTGGTTGCCGGTATTTTCCTCTATGATTACACCACTTATACCGAAGATCCTAGTATGGAGGATGTACCAGTGTCGGAATTGGCGCTTAATCCGAAACGAGGAGGGCCAAAGAATTTACCTATAGCGGAGGTCCTGGTTGATGATGAAGATAGTGAAGCTATGCAGGCGCAGCGCGATAAGCCCAAGTTGGTTGTCTTGGGTACTGGTTGGGGAAGTATCGCACTGCTCAAGACCTTGAACCCGGGAGATTATCACGTTACTGTTGTATCCCCGGTGAACTATTTCTTGTTTACGCCTATGTTACCGTCAGCAACTGTGGGAACATTGAGTTTGAAGTCACTTGTGGAACCGGTGCGACGTATCGTTCATCGTCTTCGCGGCCATTTCTTGAAGGCGGAAGCTGAGGATGTTGATTTCTCTTCCAAGTTGGTAGAGGTTTCCCAAGTGGATGCCAATGGCGTTAAAAAACATTTTTATCTTCCATACGACAAACTTGTCATTGCTGTTGGTACGTTTTGCTCAGATTGAGAAACTGTTTCGACATCAGCTAACTCTGCGATGTATCTAGGCTCAACAACGAACCCGCATGGTGTCAAAGGTTTGGAGAACTGTCACATGCTCAAATCCATCGACGATGCACGGAAAATCAAGAACAAGGTCACAGATAACTTGGAACTCGCATGCCTACCGACAACATCGGATGAAGAGCGCAAAAGGCTGCTTTCATTCGTTGTCTGCGGTGGTGGACCAACTGGTGTAGAGTTTGCCGCGGAGCTCTACGATTTGCTCAATGAAGATCTGAGAAAGAACTTCCCCAAAATTCTGCGAAACGAAATATCCGTTCATGTTATTCAGAGCCGAAGCCACATTTTGAATACATATGATGAGGCTCTTTCAAAATATGCCGAAGTATGTATGCCGAAACCCATTTGATGATTCTTGCTCTAACTTCTGCGGTAGTCACGATTTGCACATGACTCTGTTGAGGTCTTGACAAACTCCCGAGTCAAGGAGGTTCATCCTGATAAGATTCTCTTCACACAACAGGAGGATGGCAAGACTGTAACAAAGGAGATACCCATGGGTTTTTGTTTGTGGTCGACTGGAGTGTGTAAGTTTACACCACGTTCTTTGAAATCATACAGCGGCTGACCTGATAATTACACAGCGCAAACCGGCTTCGCTCAAAAGCTTGCTAAGAAACTTGAACAACAAAACAACAAGCATGCCTTGGAAACCGACACTCATCTTCGATTGATCGGAGCCCCCCTAGGTGATGTATACGCTATTGGCGACTGCGCAACAGTCCAAAACAACATTGCCGACCACATGGTCACCTTCCTTCGCACAATCGCATGGGAAAAGGGCAAAGACCCCGAAAAAGTTCACCTCACTTTCAGCGAATGGCGTAGTGTAGCAGACCGAGTCAAGAAGCGATTCCCGCAAGCCGCAAACCATCTCCGACGTCTTGATCGACTATTCCAAGAATACGACCGTGACCATTCCGGTACCCTCGACTTTGACGAATTACACGAACTATTGATGCAAATCGACTCGAAACTAACATCGTTACCCGCCACAGCTCAGCGTGCCAATCAACAAGGTGAATACCTGGGACGGAAATTCAACCACATCGCCAAAGCCCTACCCGGCATGCGGGCTAACGAAATCGACTACGGCGATCTCGATGAGGCAGTATACAAAGCATTCAGCTACAAACATCTGGGTAGCTTGGCATATATCGGAAACGCAGCGATCTTTGATTTCAATGGATTGAATTTCGGCGGTGGTCTGTTGGCGGTGTATTTATGGCGAAGTATCTATTTCTCGCAGAGTGTTAGTTTGAGGACTCGCGCGCTGTTGGCGATGGACTGGACGAAGAGGGCATTTTTTGGTAGAGGTATGTTTCCTTTTTTTCATCTTACCCTCGATGACCTTTATGATGAATATATCTGATGTTGTTTCTTGTAATAGATATCATGAGCTTTTAGACGATTGTATGACTTGCTTTCCTTTTTCATCTTGTGGCTATTTTCTTTTGTTCGAATGTCGTTGCTGAATATTACTCGGAAAGGTGTTTGTAGATAACCCGGAACGATACATAATTTTCTTTTCTTTCATGCTTTGTACCCTATCTTTACAGAATATCTTCAACCATAGATTTTCGTATGGATTGATGGGTTACGATACAAGTCAAGGCAATAACCAAAGTAAGAAAATATTGTGCCATTCCAAATCTAATGTTGAGAATGCTAAAATGTGTATCAAATAAATCAATCCCCAACGCCACGCTAATCACTATAGAACAAATTCGTTTACATTATATAAGAATAAGAGAGTCCTGAGCCGTAGGATGCCCAGCCCCTAGGACGACATCAGGCAATCATGGGATCAATGTCTCCATTGTTGGTCATGATAGCATCGTCGGGATTACCATTGGCGTGGTCATTTCCGCCTTGCTGTTTATCATGGCAAAGGCCAATATTGATATGGTCCGGAAGTCCAGTGACTTTGGTCTCTCTGGCTTTTTGCTCTGCCCAAGCGCGAAGCTTGACCAGGTTGCGTAAGCGAGCTTGTTTACGAGCACCCTGGTTCTTTAGGATGGCTTCGTTGACCTGTGTAGCGATGTCTTTACGCAAGCTTGGTTGTAGGAGAGTGGCCAACGAGGGATTCAAGTTCTCCGATGGGAAAATCAAGAGTGCTAATGTGCGTTCGAGATCTTCAAGAAATTGAGGATTCGTAGGCGCACGTGGAGCAAGCTGAGATGTTGCGAACTCCAGTGCAGGTGTGATATCTGCATCGGGTGTCGAGGTGCATCTGCGGATTAGTTCTACAAGCTGCAAACGAAGCAGCGAAAAATGAAGAGAAGGATCCTCGTCTAGTATCTGTCAAGATGAAGATCAGCACGAGATCAATGTAAGATATGAGGTGGGAATAATAATGATGAAATGTCCGTAAGGATACATTCTATGTTGCTCATACTGAGGACTGAAGATGAGTTTTTATCATCAACACCCCGAAGGGTATATGAGTGGTGCATGAAACTGGTATAATCATAGCAAAATAGAAGGTACGGAATGGTGTAGAAATACGCCAGCTTGTCTTACCTGAGGGCTTAATTCATTGATTTTCTCAATGGCTGTCTGAATGTCTCCCGAGTGGATTGCACTGCGAATCTCTACTCGTTCTTGTATAGACTCGATATCAACTCTCAGTTGGATATTGGCCTCAACAGCAAAGCGCTTTGCTGCTGCTGGATAGCCATTTGTGACGAGATAGTCCATGACGAGGTAGTTAATCTCACTATTCAAGCAAGTCAGTCAAATGTTCTTTCAATATTCATGAAAAATGCGTTTGAATGAGCTTATGAGATCAGTAACACAAGTTAATATGTTTTCTACAAGGGGTTTTCGGAGAGATTCCCAACTTGATTTTTGACACATCATATGAACAGCAATAGTGTGAAAGGGACAGCGGAAAAAACTCACGCCTTTGATGGTCTGACCTCGTCAACCTTTCGCTCAAAACGATGCCATGATAGCGTACTGCTTGGAGGTGTTGAAGACATCTGCAAGATGTCAGAAACTTCGGTTCAGACGTCATTCAGAACAGCGAAGGAACCTACTATGTTAGCGGAGGTCATGACTTGCACAACGTGTTTGGGAGAGTATAAGATATCATTGACGGGAGAAAAATAACTGTGACGCTTGTATTAACGTCGAACCAGAAGCCATGTGGCTACCAAAACGACGTTGACGCGTGAATGGTGGAAGGGAAAATTAAGATGAGGAAAAAGAGAGAAGACGGACAAGCGAGAGGTTGGAAAAAGGCAACTGTTGAGGCCGGCACGAGAGTCGGCCCGAGTACCTGGCCGGAGCTTTTCCAAGATCGTGATTGGCTGGCTAGTGCTGCCTTGCGGGACTAGCCTCATGGCCTAGGTGCCTTGGTGCCTCACAGAAAGACGCTGGAGCTTGCCGGTTTTGGTAAAGTGTCAGAGGGTCTCTTCTGTATCTGTGCTCCACCAGATTTTGAAGACTTCAGATTCTCAAGCTTCTATATCATGGGCGTGCTCGAAAAAGCTTTATTGGGCTAACGGCAATGCATGATCTGTGTATAGGATCATTGTCTCACTAGCCTGGCCCTGATTTTCACGCCAGAACGTCTCTCGACAAGCTCAAAGTTACTTATCATTGCTCGACGCCATGGAGTCTCGTCCGCCCATCTACTCAACAGCGACCAACCTCAAGCAGGGTTATTCCCCACCATGGGAGGACCTGAGTATTATAGGAATTGCTGGTAGCTCTGGCTCTGGCAAGACTTCCGTTGCAATGGAGATCATAAGATCCCTTAATCTCCCATGGGTGGTTCTTTTAGTGATGGTAAAGTGTCACGTGTCTAAGTTTCGTCACTGACAGTTGCTAACCAAGAAATGTTTCAGGACTCTTTTTATAAGTCTTTGAGTCCGGAGGACCATGCGAGAGCACATCGGAACGAGTATGACTTTGATTGTCCCGAGTCACTTGATTTTGATGCACTGGTTCAGACTCTGAGAGATCTAAAGCAGGGGTAAGTCTAAACAATTACTTACTTTCAACTTCACGTAGTCGATGTAGGCTTACTGGAGGGTACCAATAGCAAGAGGGCAAATATACCGGTTTACTCATTCAAGGAACATCAACGTCAAAAGGAGACAACTCCGTTGTATTCTCCTCATGTGCTTATCCTTGAAGGTATTCTGGCGTTGCATGATCCTAGAATCAACGAGCTTCTCGACGCCAAGGTATGATTCTAGTTCCATATATCAGTAACTTCTGTCATGGCTTCAGAAATTGTGGTGAGATTATTGGCAATGTCCGGCTAATATTGCTCAAGATCTTCGTCGAGGCTGATATGGACGTATGTCTCGGTCGGAGAAGTATGTTGATCTCTCCTCATCGACTTCATTTGTTCTTACTAACACTCAGCGCATAGTCCTACGCGACGTTAAAGAACGCGGAAGAGACATTGAAGGCATCATCAAGCAATGGTTTGCATTTGTCAAGCCTTCTTACACAAAATACGTTGAGCCGCAACGACAAATATCTGGTTCGTCCTACGTGAAGGGGAGAGACTTGTTGAACATCTTAGACTGAAGCTCTCCAGATATCATTATTCCAAGAGGGATAGAGAACAAAACGGCTATCGGTAATCACTCAATTCAAGAAACGCGCTCGGTTGATGTACACCAACTAATTCGTTGCAGGAATGGTGGTTGAGCATATCAGAAGACGACTCGATGAGAAATCCGAGAAGCACAGCTCTGATCTAAAAAAGCTGCGAGCACTAGCGGCTGACGAGGAGCTTTCACCGAATGTGTTTATCGTAAAACCCACTCCCCAACTCGTGGGGATGCATACCATTCTACAGGACCCGGCCACCGAACAAGTTGATTTCGTATTCTATTTCGATCGACTAGCGTCATTACTGATTGAAAGGTAATGGAATTACACTATAATCATATCCCAATACTGACTAGACGTGTGTAGGGCTCTTGATTGTATGGACTATGCCTCTGCCATTGTCAAAACACCAAAAAACGAGATATATCACGGTGTACAACCTGCCGGCACGGTCTCTGCAGTAGCCATTTTGAGGGGTGGTTCATGTTTAGAAACAGCCCTGAAACGTACCATACCTGACTGCATTACTGGAAGAGTTCTCATTCAGATGAACAAGCAAATGTCAGCCCCCGAGCTTCATTATCTCAAGCTGCCTCCTAAGATCGAGACGCACTCTACTGTGCTCCTCCTTGACCCTCAGATGGCTACTGGTGGTGCCGCATTGATGGCAGTACGAGTGTTAATTGATCATGGCGTTGAGGAGCACAGAATAGTGTTTGTTACGTGTGCTGCAGGTAAATGGGGTTTGCAACGACTCACAGCTGTATACCCCGAGATCAAGGTTGTGGTTGGACGAATTGAAGAAGAAGAGGAGCCACGATGGATGGAGCAGAGGTACTTTGGGTGTTGATTCCCGTACCTCAACGAAGGAGTGATTGTAGATAAGACATACATTTCATGCGATTAACGGTTTATAGAGTATATAGCATAGCATTTGAATCTCATTTATATCTCACTTCGTTCCCAAGTACGGAGTACTTTTTCTTGCTATGTTGTAGAGCATTTTCTCTGATTGGCCAGCGCGGCGCGCCGGCGCATCAGCGATAAGTGCACGAGCCACATTCAAAAAAATATCCTCGACCTTTGAACATTTGATAGAAGAGTTCCCAACTATTTCCTAACTAAACTAAGAATTGTCCGATTGCACATTTACTTTAGAAGGGCTATTTCTTCGATTTTTTTTTTTTAAAAAAAAACTACTCTTTTTGTTTTCTTTTCTGGGGCCGCACAGGCGAGACTTTTTCTCTATCCTCTTTATCGCTCGTCAAGACCGGTCAAAATGGCCGATTCTTCTAGCAAAAAAGCAAAGCGCGGCAGTCAAACTAATGCTGATGCGATAATCAGTAAGTATTGACCTCGTTACACTTTTTTACGCGGAACGTCAATTAACCCCGAGTCTTCCACAGCCGACAAGCGTTTTGCAAACATCCAAAATGATCCTCGATATCGCTTACCCAGCAAACGTCACACCCATGTCAAACTCGACAAACGTTTCTCGCACATGCTGCGAGACAAGGATTTCTCCAGGAACGCCGCAGTAGATCGATATGGTCGCAAACTGAAGCGAGACGATACCAAAAAGCAGCTCGAGAAATTTTACCAGTTCGAAGATGAGGACGCCGGCAACGCATCTCAGGTTAGCGTTGACGATGACGAAGAGATCATGAAAGAATTAGAAAAGGCGAATCAGAGAGACTATGATCCAGCACGTGATGGCGGATTCTCCGAATCTTCATCTTCTGAAGAATCTTCGAGCGACGAGGAGGATGAAGAGGAGGCGGATTATACAGCAGCAGAGGTCGAATTTCCTGATAAACAGCAATCAGATGTTCCATTGGGAGAGGTGACGAATCGAATCGCGGTTGTCAACCTTGATTGGGACAATATCCGGGCTGAAGACTTAATGGCGGTCTTCTCGAGTTTCACAACCGGCGGTCGTATAAAGAGGGTTACAATTTATCCAAGTGAATTCGGTAAAGAGAGGATGGAAAGAGAAGAATTGGAAGGTCCACCTAAGGAAATTTTCGCATCCAAGTCTGAATCAGAGGACGATGAGGACTATGAAGAACCCGAAGACTCTGAAGAGGAGGAAGAAGCCATTAAAAAGTCGATCTTGAAGGAGGATGAAGGTGCAGAATTTAACACTACACAACTACGACAGTATCAGCTGGAGAGGTTACGTTATTTCTACGCGATTATTGAGTTCTCTTCGAAGGAAACCGCCAAACAAGTTTATGATGCCGTTGATGGCACGGAATATCTTTCTAGCGCCAATTTCTTTGACCTACGGTTTGTGCCTGATGATACAGACTTCAGCGACGACAAACCGCGAGAACAGTGTGATCGTATACCTGACGGTTATAAACCCACCGACTTCGTGACAGACGCACTTCAGCATAGTAGAGTCAAGCTCACGTGGGACGCCGATGATAAAGCTCGAAAGGATGCTCAAGCTAAAGCTTTCAAGGGTGGACGAAAAGAGATTGAAGAGAATGATCTAAAGGCTTACCTGGCAAGTGATACCTCCGATGATGAAGGTGAAGAACAAGTAGAAGTTGTCGACGCCACTACTGCTAGCAAATCATCGAGTATATCAAAGAAAGAAGCAGAACGACAACGAATGCGGACACTTCTTGGATTAGGTGACGAGCCTGCCGCTCCATCTAAATCAAAAGGACCCGTTGGGGATATGGAGATCACTTTCACATCGGGCCTAGCTGGTGAGCCAGCTCGGGAGTCTGTCTTTGAGAACGAACCGGAAATCGAGGAGACCACAGTGGAGAAGTATATTCGCAAACAGAGAGAGCGCAAGAAACAGAGAAAGGAAAAGTTGAAGAAGAAGGCAGAAGCAACTGGAGATGCTAAAGCTGAAGGAGCTGAAAATAAAGCTGCCGAAGAAGACCTTGGGTTCAATGATCCATTCTTTGATGAACCTGAGAGCAAGGCCAAGAACTCCCAACGCAAAGAAGAAAGACGCAGGAAGCGCGAAGAAAAGGCAGCTGAAGAAGCAGCTGCCGCTGCAAAGCGTGCTGAGCTCGAACTTCTCATGGTTGATGACCAATCGGCGGGGATGTCTCATTTCGACATGAACGAGATAGAAAAAGCAGAGAAGAAAGCCCGTAAGAAGGGCAAGAAGGGAAAATCCAAGCAAGAGCAGGAGCACGTTGCGGGTGATGATTTCCAAGTGGATGTTGCAGATCCTCGTTTTGCCAGCCTTTATGAAAGCCACGAATTTGCCATTGACCCTACGAACCCCAAGTTCAAACCTACCTCAGGAATGAAGGCGCTCCTGGAAGAAGGCCGAAAACGTCGGCGAGTACGTGGCGCGGATGACGATGTACCGACCGAGACGACGAAAAAGCAAAAGAAGGCTTCGAAGTCCGGCGACGCAGCGGATGACATAGATTTGAAGAAACTGGTTGCGCGGGTTAAGAGCAAAACAAAGAAGACGTGATGATTGATAGCGTCCATCGGATTGTCCACTTGTTTTTGTATGGATATATGTCACTCAACATGGTTAGGTGCAAGCAGCTTGTTAGTATCGGTTCGATTTGTGTATATATAAAAAGTCATTTTTAGGGTTAATGCCCTTCTGGTAGTGGCCCAAATACCTAGGCATGTTTCTATGGTGATGATAAATGCTACTTTCGGCCACGGGGCGGACTTGAAATCGTTGTACAATATCCCGGAGGTCCGCAAGCTCGGTGCTCCCCGTCCAGTCGGACCAGGACGTCCATAGAACACGAATACGTATGTCCTACGGATTGGTCCGGCATACTATAGTGTCAGCTCTACCTTTTACCGGGGAGCCATAGAGAATAAACGGTTATGTATTTCCGAGTTGGGTATGTCTGCGGTCAAAAGGATGGCGGAGGGTAACCAGTCTAAAGCGAATGGCTGTTTACGTCTTGTGTCCATCTGCATGAGGCTTGCTTACGCATTACGTGCATGAGCATGTGCCGCAGTCAACAGCCTATCCAGAGACCCATCTTCTTGTATGTTCTGCTGCGAACTTGCTTGTCGCTTTGCTGTCAGGCCTGTTAGATTTTAGGGCAATACAAGAGGACGGCTTTGCTGGGCCAATCAGCCGGGCCGCTTAGTCAGAAAGCCCAGCAATTGGAGCTCTCCGACTCGCCGAGACGCGTGGGGAAACCTTCCCAATTAGTAAAGTCCTTCACCGCCCTTCCATCATTATTTCATTACCAAGAACCTCTCCTCCTCCTCCGCTTGGCTCCGACCATTGAATGAATTGATTCTCATTCTCACTTCACATTTCATACTTGAGCGCATCGAATTGTTTGCAGTCGGCGCATTCGCATTGTCTCGTCTTGCTAAGAGTTTCACCGTCACTGGCAATCCAATTCTCATCCGTTGCTCGCCTGGATCCCACCAATAGTTATACACGGCTCGTCCGGGATTGCCATAACTTCGAGATCTACGCGACCACATTGTCGACTTGAAGATCGCAAGATTGCTGCGGTGAATGAGGAGGGTCCTGTACCTCTTTGTTTCCAATCCCATGTTCACCATGGAGAATCAACGATAGAAGACTCGAGCATCGTCATTGCCTAATTCTACCCTACCCCTCGATTTCTCGGCATCCCCATCGATACTATCGTCCTCGGGATTGCCATTGTCACAATGCTTGGCCGGTTGCTGAGTACTTTTAGTGCTGGCTCTTACGGTTCACGGAATCCTGCTGTTCTCGAGTCCGTCACCGAAGAGGAACACACATCCGGACTCCTATTCCCTGATCCTCGTTCTCTGCACCGATCCTCCAATTCCGCACATGCTTTCCAGACAAGTTTCAACTCCCCCAATGCTTCAGGCGCTGGCGGGTATGATGACCGTGGTGGACTCGATCTCGATGCAATCAAGGATTTTCGGATCATAATCGCGCAGAATGCTATTGGGGATCGAGATGAACCGTGTATTTTACTCGACTCGAGGGGTGTCCATGCTTCTTCCTCTAACCAGGGCTTGGGAATGGATCCGCAGGTGTTTGACTCACTTGGTGGTCGACATTCTCGAACGTCGAGCTTGTCACAGGCTTCTCTTTCCCGGAGAGGGTCCATACAGACAAATCAGCCTTCACTTGTCGAAGGAGGCTCACTCTCACAAGCCGCTAGCGCCAGGAAAATTACGTCACCTTTGACCGGGGGAGCATTCAGTCGTGCTCGGGGCCGTAGCTCTATCAGCTCAGTTGTCACTCCCGGTGAAGGCATTCTCGAACCATATCACAATCGGGTAGCCCCAGAGAACAGTGACACGGGTTTGCTCAATTGCATATTCGGAAGCAGCGCCTTTAGTTACAGAGGATCCTCAACCAAAATGCACATACTCTCGACAGACTCAGGGTCTGAGGGGACTTTAGCGTCTTCTCCTGCTCCCCGTGAGGTCGATACGCTGGCTAGTCGACATGGACCCCGCAATCCACTTGCACGGACGTATTCCTCGGGAACCCAGCCGCAACTGGGCTACATCATGCCTCAGGACAATAAGTCGTCGTCTCGAGTTACTATCCTCATCACCAGGATGTTTAGCGTCAACCTGCCAGAATCTCGTGACCCGTCGGTAGAGTCTTCTGAACTACCTAGCTCGCTGCCTGTGGATGGGGCGTCAGAGTCTGGGTACCCCTTTCCTGATCTCACTCGGCGCCGTAAAGTGAAAGAGAAGAAGACCCCCATGTACGCAGTGGCCATGACTATTCAAATACCGTTGGCTGCGCGAAACAACGGTCGACCAATGTCCCGACTTAGCACTCATGTCCCCGAAGGCCAGAAACAGATGTCTTTCTCCCTAGACTCAGATCCACATTGGAGCAGCGCTTTTCTTGACGATAATTCGTCACAGAATACCAATCTAGACGATAGGATTGACCTCTTGGTGGACCGTTGGGATGTGATTACTCGAACTTTGACTTATTTGGAGAAGCTAGCCAGGCAGGAGATACTGATTCTGCTAAAGAAAGTTGAAGCTCAAGTGGCCGTTGCGCCAAAACCTCTCAAGCCGCCAAATATGCAAAGAACTAATCAAACAATTATCCAACTCCGACCAAATGTTCTTGCACACAACAGCAAGCTTAAAGAAGAATTATTATTGAATGCTCAGAGAATCTCAGCGGCTCTGCGTATACCACGTGTGATTCTCGGTCAGAGCCGATGGGGTGTATGGCGTGAGGAGGCTCGCTGGATAGCTCGACTAATGGCCGACAAGGAACATGGACTATTCTTTCTCGTTCTCATTACTGCTTTTCTGGGTAATCACACCGAATGGCTAAACACTTTAGGGCCTGAATGGTATCGAAGGCGTCATCAGATGCAGCAGAAAGCGCAGACAGATTCTGAACCAACAATTGCAAATCGTACAGTGATCATATCGGACAACAAGATGGTTGCTAGACGTTTGATCTTTATTCTTTCTGCCTTTTTACCTGCTAAGCATCGTGTCGACTTCATAAACTCGCCCCTGCGTCCGGGAACATCAACCTCTACCCGACCACTTTCTCAAAGCCCGCCGGCTTTTCCTCTACTGCGACAGGAATCTCTACGTCGCAGAATCAACCGGAGGGCACAAGCTCAGAGATTCAATGCGGAAGAATCTACTCACCAAAGATCCGTGAGCGTTTCATCAAGTGAGACTACACACAAGGCGTCCGATGAACCGGAAAGTGCCTTACCGAGTGAGCCGGTGTATACGCATAATAGAAGAGGCTCAGACGTTCGATCTATTAGAACGGTTGGTTTACCAATCAGTGCAAATGAGGCTCGCACACGAGCTACAACATCGACAACAACCAATGACACGGCAGTTCCTGTTGCTTATTTTGCATCTCGCCAGCATCCTCCACGCAGCCATGCCAATACAGTTGGTGATGAAACCGACAGTTATGCTTCGGCGAAACTACTACAAAACTTACGTAGGAGCGAAACTTCGAGCACCAATTCTAACGGCAGCAATCCTACGGCTGGTGGCAAGTGGGTTGGCAGCATTCTTTCCGGATTCTGGTCTGGAAGGTCAGATTCCGTTGGAGAAACCGACAGAGCAAATTCGTGCCGTCGAACCTCTATAGCCCAGCATGCATCAGCCCGCCGTCGCTCGCAAGTATTGGTTGATGACGATGATGACGATGACAACAACCAAGAGCATTTGCAGTCTGAGACATCGGTGACGGGCGTAACGCCGAAAGCTTCTTCAGCGACCGAAACAATCACCATTCCACACTCTTCAGCTAATGCTAGACTTTCACTGGATCAAAATGAATCAGAATTCGCCCCGACGGAACAGATCAAGGAGTCGCCGCTGAAACTTTCAGTTCAAGGAAACGACGGAGTGGTTGATGTCGATCTTCCCTTGCGCGGTTTTCTGTCATTGTCTTCGTCAAATGACTCCACTATTGCGTCTCCAAAGAAGGCGCGGACCTCCATCACAAGCATGGATGCTTCATGCTCAATACATAGTAGCTTCTCCAATATCAATTCGGGATTTCGGGACAGTGAAGGTTCTAACTTGAATGTTGCTGGGTGGCTAAAGAATTTCCATGAAGATTTCCTTCTTCAGGCCGTCAGACCGTACCACGGAATTGAAGCTGATGTCAAGCGTGCCATGCTAGGTGAATCATATTCACATGTCACAGCCGCTGGTATAGACGTAGAGAACGTGAATATCACCGATCGATGGGTGGAGGTTGCCAGCACTCTTATTGCCGACACGCGGACTTTTACAGTCAAGCGACTACGTCTTCTACGCCGAGGTACCCCTAACTGTGCTTCTAGCGTTGCTAGCACTGGTACGAGTACTCCCCCGCTTCCTACGCCTCGGCAGACATCTGAAAATGTGCCTTCTACATCCCACCTGACCGGCTTCTTCAACGGACGATCACAAAAGAATTCCGCCGCTGCGCTTACCGACCTTGTTGACCCTAATGATACCGAGTACAAATTCATCGAAGAACCTGTCGTGGACGTTGACGGAACACTGGTGGACGCAGTTGAAAGAGTCCTCATCCAAAGCGGCCAATCATCATTGGCACACTCAAGGTCAACCTCGCCTCATAGGAACGGGCGATCGGACGACCGTCCTTCTGATGAGACTCCGCATGTCCATGTCGTGGAGGTACCACGGAACGAGTGCCGTAAGACAGTCCTCGGAGCTCTTGAAGAAGTCGCTCGTAGCGTCACCGAGATACACTGTCGCGAAGAAGGCGATGCCGAGTTCATGGGTGGCGATGATTCAACTGACAAGGATGGGAAACGCCGCTCAACTGTCATTCAGGACAACACTCTCCGTGAAGGAGTTCGTAAATGGCTCCTTGATATTGAAGAAGCCCTCTGAGAATGACGCCCCTGAACCCTATCGGTACTCATGACATATTTTTTTTCCGACTCTAATTTCCCCATCTTTCTCGCCTCGTTTTCTACATGCCTATTGACTTTCATAACGGCCGTCATCTTATTGATACCCATCTGCTGTTTATGTTTATGTTTTTATTTCCATTTTTACCTTCTTGGTGTATTTATATCTTCTATTACCCCTTTTATTATTACTCATGTCTCGTTTGAATATGTCTTGTTCTTTACTCTAGCGTCAACCTTAGTCTAGCTAATTCTATTGCTAAATGTCTACTATTGTGGGTATAATGATTCTTCATCGTAGTGACCTTTTAATATTCGAAGGCAAGTGTCCTAGACATAGTAGTATCAAATGTGATTGAGAGGGTATCAAATTTCCAATACTACCTAATCCAACATCACTTTTTAGAAAGATACACTTTTATACATCATTTTCATTAGATACAGATACAATACACGGCCAAACAGTATTGCTTTTACGTCGGACTGGTATTACCATCCCCACCACCGGTCTTTGTCTGAGGTTCTTCTCGCTCTTCCTCTCCTTTCCCTTTGTCATTCTCTTTCTTGTCTTCCGTAGCAACACTATTCGCATCCTGCGCCGTTTTAAGCGGCGACCCCATAAAATCAAAACTTCCCAGTGCCTTACTCCTCGAAAACGATTGCGTCTCCAACTGCGCAGGTGGTGAAATGTGATGTCCCAAAACACTAGCCGGTAGTTCCAGGGACGGTATAGAAGCCTCCAACGCTGAATGCGTGACCGACGACGGCGGCACGGTCGTTGGCCCAATACGTGTTGATGCAGAACGGATATGTTCCTCGGCGTAGAATTGTTGGAGACGAATGGGATCGTTGCAGAATTCTTCGATTTGAGTTTTGAGATTTTCAGGTGTTTTGTATAGATTGGCGGAGTCGATTGAGGCTGTTGAGAAGCTAGATGGGGAAGAGGTTGGTGGATTTAATGTCAAGGAGGGGATGTTGTTTGTTGCCGTTGACGAAGAAGGATCTGCAGCAGCGCGAACAAGTGGTGATAAACGTGGGGAAAACATGGGATCGTAGGTATAGGTATTTGTACGAGGGCGGTGGAACTCACTGCCGCTGCGGTGTTCGAATTTATGGTGCGTGGCGTCTCGACCAGCTGCACTTTTTGTGCTGAATAGTCGATTTGCAAGGAACAGGAATTCCCCTTTGTCAGATATCTGAGCAAGTAGGCATCCTGACCGATGGATGTACTGCGTATGTTGGTAATCGGGTTTGCCCCAAGAATACAGCACTTCGACATCCGGTGAAAATGCAGATGCGGCTTCGAAGTCCAGAACGAAGTCGAACTTTCGTAGAAGTGCTTTGTGGTAGAAATGTTTATCCGGTCTGCCTTGCTGTGAGAAGTTCGTCGCACCATATGAAAGGGATCTCGCAGGGGGAGGTGGCGGCTCAACACTCAGCTTTACGTGGTAAAGCTTTCTGAACGTTTGAGTTTTGACGATAGCTGCCGCTTCAGCAATTGGTACTTGCACAAGCTTTAGTCCGTATTTATCTGCCGTTGAGGCCCATGAAGCGACTGCATCATCGATCAACTTGGCAGTCGCACTCATCCAGCTCAACTCAATATGGAAGCAGTTCTCCGGGTTATGTAGTCTGTCGTAATGTAGGTCCACAACTTCTGGTCGGCCTGAACGCTTGCGAGGATCGACATCATACTTCATGGACTTGGAAAGCATAACAGTCATTTTATTCTTGGCCTTTGACGGGGTGTTCATTCTCGACGTAACCGTCTCGCTTGAGTTCTCCGACTTCGAAGCATCGGCTGAAGGAGAGTCTCTTGGAACCTCACCAGATGGCGTAGGAGGAAGTGAATAATCCGATTTTCCAGAGAGAGCTGGGAACCAACCACTTTTTGACTCCGGTCGCGAGGCGCGATATGGTGTAGCAATCTGGTAAAAATAATTACCGTCTCGGAAATTGTGCCTTTTCTCCACGTGGACAAATAGCCCTAATTTCATAAGCTCGTTTCCGAATTTGACGGCCTCGTCACGGCTGTCTATATCTCTGAATGTTTGTACAAGCCACGTCGTAAATTCAGAGCCTATGAAGCAGCTATAGTGAAGCCGGAAATGCCATCTTCGGTCCATCAAACGTACGCCTGTCTCGCCTTGCATGATTTGGGCAAGCTCCATAAGGGATCCTGGACCAAAGTCGGACCGATCAAGTAGCTCCGACTCCGGTAGAAGCTGAGCGGGTGCATTGTCAAGCCCAGGATCAGTGAGCAACAGTCTCTCAAGCTCGGCCCCTACCATGTCCGAAGGGTCTTGAGTCTGGTAGAGAATGTTTAGTGGATTTGGGTCCTTTTGTGTTCGCCCATGTGATTGAAACCGCTTGTCGTCTGCTGGTATGTACTTATTACGCTGCCATAATGAAGTCAACTGACTGATGCCGAGTAGATGGATTTCTTCCTCATTATCCTCGCTAAAGGATTGTATGTGGCGTCTAGCATTAGGAGGTAGATGTAAGGGAATGAGTACGAATCGGATTCGCCAAAATCTTAACTGCCTCGCTGGGTCCGTCAAATGATCCCTATGACCGGCAATGTAGTTGTCGGCATAGTTCCAATTGTATTCGTTAGTCGATGTCATGAGCTTTACGTCGGTCAACTCGTACTTTTTGGCCAATATTGTGCGGATTGCATGAGTATAAGTATAAGAATCGCCTTTGTCATGGTTTGACGAATTGGAAAGGCGTGTGAATCTTGTAACCTCAATTTCGCCGCCAGTGACGCTTGAAAGTCTATGAATAACGTTGCCTTTGGAGAGAACAACGGTTGCATCTTCTTGTCCTAGGCGTTTTGGGTCAAAGACATTAAGTGCTTCTAGGGAGGATTCGCCAAATGCCTCCGCTACAGCACTTCCAATGACAATTTGAAAGCCATGGGAGAGGCGCAGAGCTACCATATCTCGCAATATCTCTTCATGTGATCTTGAAGTTTCACTGGTATCGTGGTCGTCATTGGGAAATACTCGATATGGTGTTTCGAGGTAATTGGCTGTTAGTTCCTTGGAAGTAGGAAATTCTTCTGTAGTTAAAGGGAGTATCGCAGGGGTTTTCAAACTCTTCCATTTGACTACAGCAACATGTGGTGGTCGGGGATAAGCATGCTGCCAGCGGCCGAACCAGCTCGCATCTCTCAATGAGGCTCTCGGAGTATTTGAAGGATTTATTGACCTGACCCAGGGATTTAGGGTCCGAATCGGAGATACGCCAGTAGGAGGGTCCTGCGACCTTGTGATCTCAAATCTTGGCCCAGGTCTTTGAGGGCCAGTTCTTTTCATGGGAAATGGCCCTTGACTTGCTCCATGCGCACCAGTTTCCATAGGCATCTCTACAGTCGTGGGTAGTGGGGCCTCAGTACGGGCACGATCATCGTGAGATCCTTCAATTGATTTTCTGCTAATGCTTTTGATAGATATCGGTCGAGCCTGAGAAATTGGTAGAGGCTGGGGAAGATCGACGGTTTCCATGGACTTCCTGGGAGTAAGGGAATGAGGAGGTAATTCCATGCTTGCTATCGAAGAAGTGTCGTCCAAAGTCGAAGAAAGAGGCCTTGGTGAGCCCTCAATATCCGACATGCTGGCAGAGGATGTACTCTTTGCTGGGGTAGCGCGACCCACAGCGTGTTCTGCGTTGACACCTGTACTAGCCTGAGCTCGCGGAACTCCAACACCGAGCCCGCGCAGAGCAAAGCTGATTGTTCGCGAAATTCTAGGAGTCTTTTGCGTTTTTATTGCCGGTTTCATCGGCTGCTGATCCTTTGGTCGAGAAGGAGGAGGAGCAGCAGCAAGTTGAGGTGATATTGCTACGTCTCGACCGTGTGGACTTAATTGTGCCGAAGGTGAACGTTCCAAATCGAGAGACTCGCGGTCTCTTGGACTTGTTATGGACCGTACAGATGAGCGCTCTGTACGAGAAACAAGGTTCTTAGACTCAAGCAGTCGCCGCGGGTTTGTCTTGCGGCTGTGATATTTCTTGGGAGTTGGCCGAAGGACGTTTTCATCATATTCATCCATCCAGTTTGCCACTTTCTTCTGTTGTCTTGCTGGACTGTTAATCATCAACATCCTAGAGTTTGTAAAACTTGGTAGAAATGCTTCCGGCCTCAAACTGTCACTCAACTGAGCTTTGAATGAGGAGCTAGGGGACTGTGCTTGTTTGCCAGATTTGGGCGTCAGTGCATCTGGAAATATGTCTGAGAAGCTTGTCTCGCCCCTTTGAAAGCCGAAATTCTTCTCCGAGAGGTAAGGAATCGATATATTGGACTGCTCGCTTTCCATGATACCCATCATTTGGATTTCATACAACCTTACCCGTGGCACGAACGTCTTGGTCCTTTTGTTGACAGTAAAAGGAATTGGAGCATTCAAATCGTTTTTAGTGATACGCCGACCTTCTTTGTAGGTTGTTGGATTCCAGAAAGAGATATCCAACCAATGTGGTATTCCATAATTCCATTCCTTGGAGTGCGCTGGGGGGTTATCCTGTGATGACAAAGGCCTGCCGGTTGAACCCAGATCTGTGTCTTTGAAAGAAGCAGGTGGCGATCTACTGCTGAAACCCGGAATCGAGGCATCTGTTTCCAAATGATTGATGCTCCGAAATCTCTTCGAGTGGGAATCATGTGATCTCTCGTTTGGAGTTTTGTATTTGAACAGAGGTACAGAGTGAAGCGGCATAGGACTCAAACTAACCAGATCAATTGCTATTCCCATGTTTGTTACGGCCTCAGTGGTAGCGGCCAAAGCTTCATAGGAAACTTCAAACAGTCCAGTACCTGGAGTGATCACGACAATCGAGTGACCGGTGCGAGCTAAGTCACGATCAATATTCTCATTGGACAGGTATGATGTAGCTAAGTGAATAGCTTCCAGCGTGTTTCCCTTGATGGCTGATGCAGGATGACCAGAAATAGAAAGTCGCTGTCCTTCATCATTGGCGTTATCGGTTCCGGAAAAATTTTGGATCATGACATCCCTTAAAAATGTTCTAAAGTTTGCTTTAAGTTCGTCCAGAATTGTTGTCCAATGACCACTTGCGATGTCGTTCACAACGACTCGATAGAAATCCCTGGTAGAAACGTGATTTCTAGACTTCAAGCTCTCCAAAGGTTTGATTCCACTTTCCAAAGGAGTGTCATATTCTACTCGGGTGAATAGAACAATGGTCACCAAGTGTTTGGCATCAATATTTGCCCAACGTTTGAAAAGCTCAGGCAGGAAACCGTTGATAACCCTGCTAAACAGGATATCTCCGGTGCCTTCAGCATCAAAGTCCCACATTTCTCTTGCCATTTGGATAAAAACGACATATCTTGATGCTTCGCTTCGGAAAACAGGAATCGTGTTGGGTGCAAAATATCCTGAAAGCACTTTCTTTCCCCCAATGAAGATATTCTTTACTGTTGCCCTAATGGTGCCCATGAAGACTATTTTTTGTCCTTTATAAACAGTCTTGTTGACCAATTCGGAAGTGACTAATCTCCACATATCAGCGCGCACTAGATATTGGTCCCGAAAAGAGATGTCAATGTGAGATGCTGAGCATTGAGAGCGCTCGATATGAGAGATAAACACGTGACAGCCATTTTTGAAGCCAAAGATATTGGCAACAGAACGATTGATGGAAAGCTCCAGCTTTGGACTTCGTTGTTTGACATCCTGTGGCATCGGTTTCACAATGAAGAGACATCTGTGCTGAGCGGGCGACGAGAACTTCGAGCGAGCATTGGAGTTCAAGTTACCGTCGCTTTCGAAGCCGCTATCAGTGAGCTTTCTTGAAGCCAGATCCGAGTTTGCGTCTATACCAATGACTTCAAGGATATCACCTGGGCTGATCCCAGAGTCACCGAAGGCCGAGTTGTTGAATAAGAACTCATCCTTGGAAAAAGATTCGTCATGAATCCAAAGTGTACATATTTGCCGCCATGGTCCACCAGAGAAAGAATTATCAATTCTTAAATTGGCAGTTGACGCGCCTTGTGGTGGTGGAGATGCAATGGATGAGTTGCTCCCTAGGCTAGCGGCACTGACTTGACGGAGGTGAGAGCCTCTGGAGGGCGCACGCCGCGGTATCATTATTCAAACTTGTTATACCATTAGATGACATGTCACATAACTGGTTCTTTATTTGTTCTTAGCTCAAGTTGAAGATATGAGATGCATGTCGTTGGTTAATGTGAAGAAGAAACGATCTACACGCTTATCTGCTGCGATAAGAGTCACATGACAATTTAAACTTGATATGGACTAGTGCCATGGCATTCTTTGTGACAGATCATTCATTGGTTCATACTAGGCCCACCTCAAAGGTACCCCACTTCCTTACTGTTGTCTACTACGTAGTAGTAGACATCAACTCCTTTGACGTCGTTGATATACAGTCAACCTCAGATAACAATCAAGAGATGGATGAAGTCACAGATAGATAAGTGTAGTATGACCTTAGAACCCCTTCATTTTCTGAAACAAAGAAAGCTGACACAGTTCTTGATCATAGTTAATTATTGGCCTATCATAGATATCAGCAGAAGGGGCGTCCAGCTTTCTTCTAGACACTTACTGTTCTACACATGACGGCGATCATTATTGTGGAGCGCCACCGAAAGTCCAGCGTCTTAAGATGCCAAGGGATCAACCAATTTTCAAAAAAAAAAAGAAGACGACTTCTGTTCATGCAATCGCAGATAGAAAGAAAGAAGATCTGCAGATTGGTTGAAGCATATCTTGACCCAAAGAGGTACCTGTGTCCATAAATTGTATGTCGACATCTTTCACGAATTTAAGTCTATGAACAGTCCAGCCTATGTCGGAAATACGAGTTCAGATCGTGGATATTTCCAAATGAAAGAGGATGACCTCGTTATGGAAGCTCTCTTTGAACCAAGAAGAAGACACCAAGTTCTAACAGAACTCTTCCTGTGAACATTGCATTACCTCCTCATAACTTCCGGTATTGCAACTTCGATGACAGTCGGTGTAGAAAGAAAGATAGAATCAGACTGATTCTTCTAGTTACGGACGTCATTGCCATCCATGAGCTATCGATCTAGGCACCGAAGTGATGGATTTGGAAAGAGTCAATTTGCTCTCGACCAACCAAGATGTATAGCGGCGTCTGTTTCAGGATTGAGGTATGTCAGCGCTGCTACCAATCTGAATTGTCCAATTTCATGTCATGGTAAGTCTGACACGCCGTTCCGAGGCATCAATCGACCCTGTGTATCTACCTATCACAATCTAGCCTTGATTCAGTCCTTTGTTCCTGTAGAAAATCTCTTTGTCTTCAGAATTTACGGAAACTCCCTTCTGTCATTATTTCAGAGTGTTCAGTGTTTGCCTGAGCTAGTATAAAGTTCTTGAGACTCCTCTATCCTCCAAATTTTCTTCCTCCTCCACAAATTCTCCCTCTCAAGTGTTATTTTCATCTGTCTTCAGAAATAGCTTCCTTCATCTGAAACACGGACTTTTCATTCACTTGTCATTGTGATTCCATTGCATGCAACTATGGCATCTCAGGAGACTAATATTTCACCCGGTGCAGCCACGTACTTAGTCCACCATATATTTCTTCCGCCAAAGCTTCCAGGAAGTGATGACTACAATGCGGCACATGAAGTGTGGCTTGTCGAAATGCTCTATGGAGCTCTGTCTAGGTTTAAGTCTCACTTTTCAGACAATCAACGACTTACCCTCGCTTCAGTGGCTTTTATGCTTGAAAAAGTGAAACAAACTCATGACTCTCATGGACATGTCGATGAACCAAAACTTAAGCGAGCTCTCCAAGAACTCTGCGAAAAAGGTCAGCTCTGAAAAAAGTCATACCTTAGCTCCATCCATTAACAGTTCTCAGGAGGAGCATTCCCTGTCCATGTACAGGCGCAGAACGCTGGTGTGATATTCTCCAAGACGGGAGATTTTATCACCGTGGAAGTTCTGGAGCTTGCGCCCCACAGCCGAAGCGCATGAGTTTAGACACCAGAAGCGCCAAGAACTAGGAAAGAAAAAAGAAGAGTATTCGAGATTGATGGGTCTCTATGATAGAAGTGAGTGTGACTATGTGGAAGGCTATAGTCGGAGAGGTCGTCCTTATCGCAGTCACAGCAATTGCTGTGGAAAATGTAGATATGAAAGGAATGCCGATGCCATATCCATTGATTTACACGAATGGCCACTTCCAGATTCCGATCTACAAGCCAAGAACGCTGTCTTCGAACTTCGACTACCCTATTCCTTCGGGTTTTGGCGTCAGACGACCTTTTTTGTTTTCATTGACGTGTTTGGTGCCAAATATAAGAGCGGAAATGGCGTATCTAAATTGTATCATCTTCGAAGTTACGCCGGGCTCGTGAAATATTTTGTTCCTTTTGGAGGGGAAGGTAACGTTGGTCTCTCCTCCTCAGTGAAGCCGCATACCAACACCCACTACCGGAACAAAAAGATCAATGTTGTAGGAGAGCAAGACATTTTTGTGAAAAATGGTATGCAATGCCGTTAGTTCGATTCGAAGAAGCAGGTGTTTGTGGGCCAGTTCGAGTTTACCGATAAAATTGTTAAACTATGCACCTATACGCTGCCTACTCCGTCTTCGTCGTTGCAAAAGTTCATGTCTAGACCGTCGCTAAATCGAGTGATTGCATCACAATCTGACTGCCCTACTCATTTCACTTTGGAAGAATACAAAGCTTTGGCAAGCATTCCCCTCGGGTTCCGAGTCCAATGGCAGAACATCCTTGTGCAGCTGGCAATGCCAGCGGTGGACTTCAGGAAGCAAGAAACAGCGCTTGTAATCGCTCAGGCGATCTACCAAGCCGGTCCAGCTTCAGCTGAGCAAGCCTTAAGACGCGGTCATGTATTGGTTGAAGATCTTGCATTTATGGGCACTCTGTTGATACACATACGAAAAGCCACTGAGCGGATCAAAGGAAACTGGGAATCCTATAATGGTGTATGGCTTTTTATTGCCTTAACCACCAGAGTCCTGTCACTGTCATCATCTGAAGCCATACAGCATGAGTGTTTAGCCATACTGGATAGTCTTCGGAGTATCTCTTTTGAGTGGGTCTCATATCTCAAAAACCAGATTAATGAAACGGACGATCACGACCAGAAAAGGAGCCTGGTCGACAAGGCTCTCACGGTTGCTTTGATTTGTGCTGGGTCGTTCGACTGTGATGAGCACTTTCTTACACTTTTGCTAGGAAATCAAGACAATGGTTCAGTATTCCTTCAGTGCTCTCTGTTCATTCAGGAGAAGTTGAGCAGTGATGAGCACTCTTCGAATGATCCGCTTTTCTGCATACTTCAGCATCGCTGGAAACGGCTATGTCAACGGAGCTGCGCTATCTTACAAAAGAATGTTGTGCGTGAACGTTGCGCTTCTTTGGACCATGCAATCAAAAATCATTGGTCAGCATACCAGGCAGGCCTTGCTTGGGCAATCTCGGAGTGCGCACACCACTGGTTGCAAAATGAAAGCCCAGACGGCAGTATGGTGAATTTTAACCTTCTGACAGGGGAACTTTTGGTGGATGGCATTCCTGTGGGTTACTTGCCAAATGAATACAGGTCGCACGCGACTTATCAAACTCTATTTGGACGCACTTCCCTAGAAGTCATGCCTAGTTCAGTTGTAGGCATGCAGTTTGCTGGAAAGTTGCAATATTCTAACCATCAGGTGGACTTGGGATTTAATTCAGCAAATCAGACTTCTAATTTCTCGTGCGAGCTCGTAATGAACACGGCTCTTTCGAACTCATACCTCATCGCGCTTTAGTCCAATATTTCCCAGTACACTACGTTGAGAACTTCGTACATTGGTACCACATTGACAGGGGCTGCATTATATTCTGTCCAAAGGATACTCCCTGGGCGTCTCTGGCAAATCCCTGGAAAATGGAGAAGCTCCGCGGGGGATGGGTATTGTCCAATGATTCCTACTCCTTATTGAGTTTCCACAGTGAATCCAACCAAGCGATATCGAATGTGCTCTCGCCTTTGGAAGACGCTCGTTATATAAACTGCACTGTTAGCCGCGATCTAACCACCCTGGAAATTGATTTACCGTCGCCCAACCTCCAATTCTACGCTAAGATAGGCGAGCTAGAAATACATGCGCGCCAGTATCCTGGTATGGTCATTGACGATAACCAGTTATTGGGAACCTTGGTGGGACTCCACAGCAAGCTTATTCTCAGACCCAAAGAGGGAAACCGTCTTGTTGTCGTTCCAGAGGGCAAGCTAAAATGAGAAGCCTCTGAAGGTCACACCATCGTCCAAGTTTGCCAAACGTACGATGACCCGAGTACATTCGTACACGGTTGACGAGCAGCTATCCAGACTAGTTGACAACGGTAGCTTGCATAGTAAGCTCTTCCTATGTTACCTTCATGCTTTGACGTCGTTTTGCTTGGTTGATCCCTTGACCATGAGAACAGGAACGGAGCAAGCACTGTCAATTTTACAATCTGCAGCCGTCAAATCTTTCGATAGACTAACCAAAGAGGACATCGATCTTTTGGCACACATTGCCAAGTTAAGCCCAGGAAGGGAATATTATCCTAGATATCTGCACGTCATACAGGTAGTCACCTGGGACTCAGTGTTAAGCTATCTATCGCAACATGGCCACTTTTTGAAACATGTCCAGGCTATGTTTGAACACTATGACAAGATGAAGATCTTTCATGAAGGCCAATATGTAAAGCCTTGGGGTGTGGATCATGCCGAGGAAGCCCTTTTAAATCGTGACTTGATCCGATCTTCCATGCTGCGTATTTCAGGGTTCGGTGCTGAGGATCATACTCTTTCCATGGATGCAAAATACACCCCTAGAGATAGAGGTATCTTATCAGCACCTTTCCAACGGGCTTTCAGATTGTCAAGTTTTATCTACAACGGTCGAACCGACATTGAGTATGCATTGCCGGAGAGCACTTTTGAAGATATCTGGAAATTTTTACGTGAAACTTCCGGCACGATCCCTGGTCCAATGACGCCACTTGACATTTCTCACTTGAGATACGATGCAAAGTTGATCTTGAGTCCTTCAGAGCAGGATATCAAACCCCTGGTGTAGCATTCATCGGATACTTAGGCGGGGTCGCTCGGAGCTGAACAAGTACCATGTGATGATGTGGCTAGCCACGATGGCCTTCTCTGAGTCTTCTCAAATGACTTTCCTTCAGATCCCGGGCACCTTTTCGTCCCATAATTTTCCGGATGCACCTGCCAAATCATCATTTAATCTTTTGGTGGGATCTGAGGTGGTTACGGAACAACTGCGTCTCGCTTTGGAGCCGTTTGTGCGTCCCATAGGAAGTTGTCCCGAGTCACGGCTTACACAGCAAACGCATGAATCTGTGTATGATTTTTGGGAGCGCAAGCAATCCTTGTACCAAAGCAATTGCACTGTTGCTGTACAAGCAGCTATGGATGCTCTGTGTTCTCAATGGCCCTGTGAGACGCCTACAATTCCTCCAAGTCATTCTGATATAGAAATCCTCCAATATGTTAACGTACAGACTGCTAACACCAGAGTTCGAGAGATCTTCAACCATTGGTACTCCAACTTTTTGCTCCGCAGTTTCCTGAAGGACGTTTGCAATATATTGAAATGTGTACCTGTGGCTCATACTGCTGTGCCTTCGATACCTGAGATCAAAGCTGAACGCATTCCGCAGCGCAAACTAGGATACGTACCTGTGGACAGTGTCTTTGAGGCCACAGAGATGCAAACCGTCGGCTCACTGTCGTCACCACTAAGTAATTTGCCACTGATACCCAGAGCTGATGAAGGAAAACCATTGCAACTTCTGCATAAATTGATTCATAACATGAGTGCTGGGTGCGCCTCTGAATACGAAAGATTATATCTAAAAAGACTACAAGAGAGTCTAGTTTCACTTCAAGACAAATCATTCAAGTGGAACATTGAAGTCGAGGAATCCGAGCAGGAACAGCTTCTTCGGGATAACCTTGACTTCTGTCGAAAAAGAGTTGGAGATGTCTACCGGATTATGGTTGCATGCGTGTCACCTTCAATCGTCACCCGTCCAACACACTTGAGTCAAGACAGTCATGCCCATGCAGTAGCATTTGCTGCTGGTCAGTGGCCAAGGATCGCACCAATACTTTTTCTGGAGCAGCTCGCGCGACAGAAGTGGTGCCGATTGAGCAATGATTGGAAAGACTGTATTGTTTCATATGGAGTGGCACTGACTCAACTGCATCGTGCAGCGCGACTTTGCGGCCTCGCAGGGAGAAAAGATGACCTGATCAAGCAGCTCCAAAATCATGGCCATCAGAATTGGGATCCTCGACAGTATCCCGAATCATTGCTTCTAGAAGTCGAGAATGGAATAATGATCCGAGAGGTACAACAGGAAATAGTCATAGAGATTGTCAACCAAACGGGGGGCACCAATCACGTTATGCAACTGAATATGGGAGAAAAAAAATCTTCCGTGATTGTACCCATACTAGCTTCAGTGCTCGCTAACCCTTCTTGTCTGATTCGAATTATTGTTGCAAAACCTCAATCTCGTCAAATGCTACATGTCTTGACTTCCAAGCTGGGCGGTCTGATTAATAGACGAGTTTACCACCTACCATTCTTTCGGGGCATTCGTCCATCAGAGTCTGACGCAGTTAAGATTGAAGAAATGTGTCGGGAGTGTATGACAAACGGAGGAGTCCTTCTAGTACAGCCTGAGCAACTGTTGTCGTTTGAACTTATGTGCAGTGAATCATTGATTGAGGGCAACGAACCGCTGGGTCGAGCTTTGCTAAAGACGCAGCAGTTTTTTGATGAATCCACTCGCGACATCGTCGATGAAAGTGATGAGAACTTTAGCACAAAATTCGAGCTCGTCTATGCCATGGGAACACAGAAATCAATCGAGCTCAGTCCTGATCGGTGGTTATTCATACAAACATTGCTCAGCCTTGTTGGCGAGTTTGCCACTCAAGTGCAAAACAAGTATCCTCTATCAATTGAGGTGAATCCATCTTGTCCCGGAAGCTTCCCGAGAACTAGACTGTTAAGGTCAGATGCTCAGATTGACCTTATTGACCGACTCGCTCGAAAGATCTGTGATACCGGCATGAAAAATCTACCCATATACAGACAATCAAAAGAGACTCGACAGGCAATCTTCAACTACATCGTTGAACGTCATCCTAGTGAACAATGCACATCCCTGATTCAAGATGACCGCGAATTCTTTACGGGTACGACCCGAAGTCTCCTACTTCTCCTACGTGGTCTTTTGGCTGGCGGCGTACTTGCATCTGCATTACAACGATGCTGGAGGGTCGCTTATGGGCTGGATCCGCATAGAAGTCCTGCTACGAAACTTGCCGTTCCTTATAGAGGCAAGGACAATCCAACAGCACGATCTGAATTCAGTGACCCTGACACAGTGATTATGTTAACATGCTTGAGCTACTACTATGAGGGACTCTCTGATAAGGATCTCTATAATTCTTTCACTCATGTCACCAAGTCCGATCAAGGGCCCATTGAATATGAAGTCTGGGTGAAGGATGCTCCAGCACTGGCCCATCAATTCCGCCAGTTGGAAGGTGTAAGTCTTCAAGACCGTAACTATTGCGTTGAGCACATTTTTCCAGCACTTCGATATTCGAAGGGTGCGATCGACTACTTCTTGGCGCACATAGTTTTTCCTAAAGAAATGAAGGAATTTCCTTTGAAGCTTTCTGCATCAGGTTGGGATATTGGAAGGATCAAGACTCATCCCACGAGTGGCTTCAGTGGGACAAATGATTCGAGGGATATTCTTCCTCTTTCTGTTAGACAGCTAGATCTCACTAAGCAGAAGCATACAAACGCCTTGGTTCTTGGGTATCTTCTGCAACCAGAGAACTCTGTCGAAATTGTGAACCCGACTGAGACAGACATAACAAATGTTTGCAGTGTCCTCCAGATGGTAACCAACATGACACCGCCAACGCAGGTGATCTTGGACGTCGGCGCACAGATTCTTGAGTCGAATCAAGAAGTTGCTAAGGAATGGCTGAAGTTGTTGCCAGAAGCTCGGTGCCAAGCCATCGTTTTCATCGACGATAATGATGAATTAAATGTTCTTGACCGCAAAGGAATTGTCGAACCATTACTTATATCTCCCTTTGCAAAACAGATGGAAAATTTTGTCATGTTTACCTTGACGAGTCCCATACTAGAGGCACTGACTTACGATTGCCACAACACTATCGTGCTGCAGTCACATTGGGTGCTAACCTCACTAAAGACAAATTGGTTCAAGGTAAGTGATTCCTGGCTGTATCATCAGAAACAGAAACTGATGGAGCTTCCCAGCTTGTATGAGAATGAGAAAACTAGGCCATGGCCAGTCTGTCGTGTTCCTAGTCTCCGAAGAAGTCCAGACCAAAATTCGTTCCTGCGTGTCAAAGACGGAAGACGCGGTTCTTAATGTTTCGAACGTTTTACGATGGGCTATATCGGAGACAATGATTGATACGTGTCGTAATATAGCGCTGTGGGCTGTGCAAGGTTCGAGATACCATCGCCAACGTTGCATCTGGGAAGAGCAAGGGGGTCGGACTGGTCTGACCAGTGACGGGGCAAAGCAGCTTCTAGAACCCGATGCCCAGACAATTGAGAAGCGCTACAATGCTCGCACCAGAGGAGGGCTAGCGTTCCTGGAGGCGCAACTTCTCGAAGATCCGAGTGTTGAGCCGATCATTGAGCGATGCCGTCAGTTTGCTGACTTGGATATTGGTTCAAGCAGTCTTTACGAAGAGCAAGAGCGAGAATTAGCGCCGGAGATAGAGCAGGAGCGTGAGATTAAGAGACCCGAATCTTACGAGCCTGCAAAGCATATGATTCATGAAGACCTTCGACTCTTTATACGCACAGGATCACTGGACACCGATTCCAGCGCTTTTATGCCGGCTTTCAAGTCATTGAGTGATACGACAGCGGCTCGCCATTTGGGACTCAGCAACTACCCACAAAATGACATAATCGTCACAAAAGACTTTGTACGAACCGTCGAGGCAGCCAAACGGGGATCTAAATTTGTGTCCGACTCCTACCAGCGTCAAATTCAATGGATCTTAACAAGTGTTGACAACAGCAACACTGTGCAACACCTGGCTATCATCAGCCCCTACGAGGCAGATGTGCTTCTTCCCGATGTCCTCAAGTCATCCAAGGTTACCCTACATCTTTACCCGCCTCGTAGTTCATTGGCCTATCAACCATTGGATCACTTGATGTTGTACACCACACCAACCCGCTCGCCCTCTGCAACAATTCCTCGTCAGTTGATTACCCAACTCAACCTCTTAGCGGGACAGCTCTATCTGTCTTCCTATGACGAATACCTTGAAATCTGCAAATTTCTCAATCTTGCATCAGGAATGACTCCCGATGGTTGGACGGTGGCAGCCGATGGCTTTATCCTCAACCGTGGTGACGAAAACACGCATCCCACAGCAACGACCTTTCAAACTAGTCCGGTGCAATTTTTCAAAATTCTTATTGCTCAGATTCGTCGAAACTGCGAAGATATCGACAAGACGCATATTGGGCGGATATTGAATGGGGGTTTGCTGGAATTTGGTGGCTTTTTGGATTAGACCAAGCTTGGCTTTCTTTTTTGTATTATTATGATAGGCTTTTTCGTATCAAACGAAGAACAATCTTCGAAGATGTATGATACGATTATTAGTTTCAACTTGATTCTGTCTTGACATCTCAAACACTCGGTTATGATCTCAATGTAGGTAATATGCAGTCATCCGCGTAACGTGGAACAATGCAACCACATCAAGAAATATGATCCGTACGGAAATGGTCCTCAAGGGCCCTATACTTTGGAAAATAAAGGAATACCTATGGTTGATGGTACATCTGCAGTAGTAGCCTATCAATCCGGTATATGAGGCCGTTAGGTTTAACCAAACAGCAGAACAGCCTGGCTAGCTGAACCTCCTTCCCTGCATGTACCCCGCCAACAATGCAGCTTCGCTTTCAAGATCTAGAGCCTTAGGAAAAACGATGTGCATGCATATCTGCCTTACCTCGTAGCCTGAAGCGAAACTTGATTTCGAGAGGTTCCGAGGTTCATGATAGGCGCCACTTGGCTGTGGTCTACATGGGCTTTGAAGAAGACAGCTGACTATTGAGCAGGGTGGCTTTTCCGGACTACGCTAGTACTGACGTCCATGGGTAAGCACTTGCAGACTGAAATTTCGAAATTGACTGGAGATCATATGCATGGGGGAGTCGCCTTGTGACTCCGAGCTCCGATGTGAGTCTAATAGTGCCACGCAGCCACAGCGTATGATGTGTAATCAAGGTGATCTCGGCTGCCTGAAATACAAAGAAAAAAGTTGAGAGGTGTTCGATTCATGAAGATTCAAAAGAAAGCTAATTGAGATTATTGTGGCTATGAAGAAAGATGAAGGCGTTTAAGCCACACTCGTATCCGAAACGAGACCCTAACGAGCCTGAGGCATTACAATTTGACGAAAAAGTATGGGAGAGCACGGACCTATCCAAGCTTAGCGTGATCCGATATGGTAACTAGTGGAGCCTATAGATCGACGCTAAAAGCGAGAAATTATCTGATTGATCACTGGAATAAATGAGCCACAGCCAATGACACCCACACACATATTCTGTTACTTCTTGTGATTCTTCTCGATGTCTCTGGAGTGAAGTACGCTGATTATCAGATGCTACATCGTCCCGTCGATACTTTTGGATTTCCAATCTAAGAAGCAAATGCGTCTCTGCGCTTTCCCATTCGAGCGTGGAATGATCCTCCAGGAATCTAGCAACCTACACGAGATACCCAACCGGGATAATCGATACAGCAGCTGAGAGATCAGTACGCTACCCGGGTATCTAGCAAAGATGCGATTGAATTGAAGACAAGGCAACTCCGGCCCAACAGCAAAGAGGCGAATCTCGAGTCAAGGAATGATTTTCTTCGGCATACAATGAAATCGCTGACGACTCAATCTCAGCCCATTTTGGGGGTCGAATTGCAGCCACGTTACGCCGTTAATGCTTCTGAGCGACGGTACGGAGTATCGTTCAGTTGCTGACGACTTTCCGAAGCAACAATGAATACGGTTAACCAGATGGAGTATTCTCTGCGTTCGGGTCGAATCCCTCCGGCTATCTTAAACGCCGATACGCTGTTAAGACTTGTTGAGAGTTCAATAGTAGATCAGTTCAGCCACAATCGTCACGTAATTGACTTTGTCGGTGTGTTATGAATTGCATGGCCGAGGTCAAACTAGACGAGGAACAAGCTTTGAAAAAGTACTTGGCTGCAAAAACAAGCGAAATACCAATACACAAATACACAATTCGTAATTGGCTGTGCGTAAATAACGATTATCTGCGTGGATCCACACAGCAGGGGCCCGGACCCATTATAGGGCTTGGCGTCGGGAAGCATCAGCCAATAATCTGCTCAGTTACCCGCTGTGGCTGTGCATAATGACGGAGAAAGAACAACTTGAAACTACTGTGTACGATCAAGAATCCCCTTTTCGGCTTTAGGCGTTATCCCAACATTCGTCACTCTTTTTTCATCCACTAACCTGTCATTTTTTTACTCATATACCAACTCATATGAACAATCAACAGTCATAAGTCACTCATCGCTCACTATTACTCCTATCCGTGACTCTCATTTCGACTATATTTACGGAGTAGTGAAACATTTCTACTGCGCCTTTTTTCCTGGAGACAAGATCCCAGGTTATCTGTGATATGCGTAAGCATACTCATCCACCCTACCAATAACATCAAGAAAATTGCATGTAGGTGTGTACGAGACAAGGCTGACTCTTACTCTCCGGTCTAGACAAAATACGTTCTTACGCTCGCAGGGCTGCATGGTACGACGACGAAGGAGAATCCACTCACAATCCTTTCAAAAAGATCCGTGTCAATAGACGGCGCAAGCGAACCAGAGATATAGAACGCGATCTCGCTCTCGAAGGTAATATTCAACCCTAAATGGCGAGACGACAACGGGAAATGCTTGACGAGGTCGAATTGAGAGAATATGCTGACAACTGGCCGCTCACATCAGCGAGAGGACCTCCGCACTTTGCCGATCCTGAATCCCAAGAAAAAGACTCTCCTCCAACTTTAGCCGGTAGCGAAGATGCAATCAATGTCTCGCGTGATATCGATGGTGAAGATGATGGACCGAGACGTAGAAAAACGACGACTTCAGATGCGCCAACCGTAGCCGATGATGCAGCATCGGGGGAGTCTGGAAATGGGAAACCCAAATTTACTGTAGCCAGCCAGCTACGTGCGACTGTCTTCAACTCGTGGATCAACCTGCTACTGTTCCTCGTTCCTGTCGGAAGTATGTTCCCACTCTTTCTTACATGTCTTCGCGAATCAACTAATTATGTATAGTCGCTTTGAACTATACCAGTGTCAGTCGGACGGCGGTCTTTGTTGTTAACTTTTTAGCTATCGTGTAAGTCTACTTCGTCACGCACCGAACCCCTCAAAAAAGTCTAACATGAGTTTGATAGCCCACTGGCAGCGATGTTGAGTTATGCGACGGAAGAAATTGCCCTTCGGTAAGTATTAATCTTAGCACCTTCCTCAAGATTGATCCACTAACAATGTATTATAGAACTGGAGAAACTCTTGGGGGTCTTTTGAACGCTAGTTTTGGCAACGCAGTCGAACTCATTGTCGCTATCATCGCTTTGGTTCATAACGAATTCACCATTGTCCAGACGTCTCTGATTGGAAGTATGCTTTCCAATTTACTTCTGGTCATGGGAATGTGCTTCTTTTTTGGTGGTATCAACCGCATCGAGCAAAAGTTCAACGAAGTTGTTGCACAGACTGCAGCTAGTCTTTTGGCTCTTGCTGTTGCTAGCTTGATTATCCCGACGGCATTCCACAAATGGGCCAGCGGTAAGTCCTGAATGATTGCAAAAGTTGAAACTGTTATACTGACGCTTCTATCAATATAGGCGGTGCTACTCATACTGATGAGCTTTCACGCGGTAAGTAATACTTGATGTCTGTTGATTGAGAAGCTTGGAAGCTAACGGGATTACTCTACAGGCACTAGTGTGATCTTGCTGGTAGTTTACGGCGCCTATCTGTTCTTCCAGCTCAAATCGCATGCAGAAATCTACAATGCCCCCAGTGAGAAAACAGAAAAGAGAAATAAGTCTCGTGCCAAAGGTGACACCCAAAAGGGAATCATTGCGATGAGTGCTCTTGGAGCCGGTATGAGCAGTCAGACAGCTCAACGCGACCTTGAGAGCCGAGGCAGCCAAGAAGAGGAAGAGGAGAAGGAGGTTCCACAGCTTCACTTCTATGTGGCGATTCTCACCCTTGTCATCTCTACAGTGCTAGTTGCTCTTTGCGCGGAGTACATGGTTGACGCGATCAGTGCGGTCACATCGGGAAGCAATTCCATTTCGCAGACGTTTGTCGGATTGATCTTGTTGCCTATTGTCGGTAATGCTGCCGAGCACGCTACTGCCGTTACTGTTGCAGTGAAGGATAAGATGGATCTTGCCATTGGTGTGGCCGTGGGGTCGAGTATGCAAATTGCACTCTTGGTTCTTCCCTTGATTGTCGTCATTGGGTGGATTATGGGTAAAGATGAAATGGTATTTCCCCTTTGGCGCCATACTATCCCTCTTTTTCCAGACTAACTCATAAATTAGACCCTCGACTTTGGTGACGGCTTCCAAGTTGTCGTTCTGTTCGTCGCCGTTCTACTGGTGAGTCTTCTTTGATCCTTCCATCCTGAATATGTCCTAACTTTACTGTGAAGGTGAACTACCTAATCGCCGATGGAAAATCTCATTGGCTAGAAGGCGTTCTACTGATGACACTCTACATTATCATCGCCGTTGCTGCATGGTTCTACGACTCTTAAAATTCGTTCATTTCAAATTTTCATATTTCAAAAGGCATCCTTATATGGATGATCTCATCTACTTTACTCTCAAATAATCCATCAATTTTCTTTGGATTCTAAAGATATCGACTCGGAGTTTGGTTTTGGATTTGCTTACTTCTTTCGTCTGCCAGTAGCGGTTAATACCCTGTGATTTACTGGAAGATTGTTATCTTCACTCTTGTCTGGAGTCTTTTTGCTTTGAGATACCTTCGTGTATTATTATCATTATTCTTATTATTATTCTTACTAGCTTGACAGCAAAATTTTTCGATTGTTTGCGTGCAGCTGTTTTGAGTACGCTGTTATATACTGTGCAAAGGTATGTATATAGAACGAATGAGAGACCCGAAGGGCTTGGAAACAGAGTGTGAATTTGGCTCCTCCTACAGTGCACTATGTTACTTCGGGGGTTTTCACTGGTTTCCTTCAAGTTTTCCTTCAAGTGGTTGCATTAGCGTGGTAGGAGAAAAAGACTGAATTCAGACTACCTAGGTAAGTATCTGTTGGAACCGCGGTGAATCCCAATGACGATTGTTGGCATGACGCCCCATGGAGATTTGACGGAGAGCAACGTCGAATTAAGCTCAATTGGGGAGACTCAGCAAACGGTTTGACGGCATGTTCCGGGCCTTGTTTGGCGTAAGGTTTTGAGCCTCATAGTATTTAGATAGTTATTTTCACCCCTTAGAGTCTTCCTCGGGACAACGATTTTGAACCCATTTTTTGACTCCATATTAGTGCTCCCTTCGTGCAGAGCAGGCCTCTTCGTGAGACCACGGTTTGGGGATTGGTCTTCGTGTTCCTTCCCTATAAACCAATAGTATCGATGACTGGAATGGAAAGCTCCATTCTAACAACCTTTCATGCATATACAGAGTCTCAAAAATTCCCGCGTAACTCCAATAATTTGTGAAATGACTGAAAATGAATACAGAATCGATGGCAGATTCGGGCTATTCAACTTTACAGCATCCATTGGCACCTCGGACAAAAGGAATCGGGGTAGAAAGCTGAAGATCCCCACTTGTCATCTAATCTTCGAATTGCGATTAGTTTGAGGTTGGTAAGCAGGAATCCGTATCGTGCATGATGCAGAATCATGTACCAAGTCTGACTCAACGCTTGGGGATTCGTTGCGTTGGGTAGCCCGTGCGTCATACGCCATGGCTGTATTCCACTTCCATGACGGCTTTATATCCCCTGGGGCACGGTTTGGACTAGAACCCTCTGGAAGACTTAGGTCTGGAAGGGCCACATCAGGTCTAAAACCCCTGGTAATACGTGCAAATTCTCCGCTACCAATTGAGACTGCAGTCATGTTGTTCATCCCCTGCGGAACCGCAGCTAAATGGGCAAACGCGGCTCGAAGAGCACGGTGTATTCTTGGAAACACATAGAACGACACGTCGTCTCGGAGGAGGGTTTGTGCTACTATAGCAGCCGCTGGGGAGTTGGGCAATGGGTCTGGTGGGAGATGAGCCTGTACGAGGACATTCTGATATCTTTGGAGGATTGTATTCAGGTTGAAATCATGCCATGGGGTGATGTTCTGAATATCATCAGCGTCGTATGCCGTGTTCGAAGCGTTAGGTGTTGAACCGGGTGGTGGATTGATAGGAATCGCTGGTAGAGGGCTTTGTAGATACGTTATGAGAGGGACCAGAATTCCTATTGTGGCTATGCAGGAGGAGAACCTTGAAAGAGAAGAAAAGGTGTATATTCAAATCACAAAGCACTGGTAGCAGTCGGTTAGGATGCCGTTCTTGTAAAACTTGGTTCTGTATGGCTTGTCAAAATGTCTCAATCATCTTAGCTCAAAAAGACAGAGCTATGAGCTCATCTTATATGTTAGGAAGGTTGCCTTGCCGATGCCTAGGTAGCCCAAGATATTTCTAAGTAGGACTTTAAGCACAATGGCTTTCACCACTATCATAGTACACTATTGTGATAAGGAAAAAAGCCTAGTTACCAATACTTTCCAATAGAAAGAGAAAGCATGAAACTAGAGGTTAAATAGGTAGCTTAATCATAGTGCCCTAACCAATTAGGTAGTTGATTTGACCAGCACCCCGGAAGAGGGCCGCCAGAATACTTCAAGCGCAAGGATCGCGAGCTGGACATTCATATTCTGGAATCGGGGGCATATCGTCAACTAAAGGAGCGAGGGCTATGCGACGGCGGCATTGTCCCTCGCTTTTTCGGCACTATGGACAAGTTTCACCCCCGACAATGCCTGCCTTATCTCAAGGCATTTGTTAATGACGAGTACTTTCCAAGTGCAATCTTCTTAGATTACACTCCGAATATGGAAATGATCCAGCTGCATAACTATACCAGGGAGAGGACAGATGATTTAATCCGAGGCATTCAAGAAATACCCAAAGTGTTACTAAGATACCACAAGGATCCCAAATCCCAGAAATCTGATGGTTGTAAAGAACGACCCGAGAAAGAAGAGAGTTATCTGGATAGGCTTCAACCGCGTAGAGACTTACGACCCAGAACTCATTACGGAGAAACAAAAGCATTGCATTGACGAGGGGATGATGGTAACTGAATTGAGAGATGCTCTTGTACGTTTTACAGTCTTTACTTTTTTTTTCTTCGTTGAAAGCCTGGGAGACTAATTGCGCATATATATTAGGAATTTGATCTCCCCAAAGGAAAGCTTGACGAGGCCTATCTTTGGTATTGTACCTGATTCGCTAGGTTGGTGAATATTCCTCCGTTCTCGACGTTTGTTGTTCATTCTTACCCTGCTGTTTCATTGTACGGAGTGAGATTCTACTTGCGATTGTCTTTATGGTATCATCGAGAAGAAAGTTGAGTTTTTGATGGGTGTCGGATTTACATGGTATATTAGTATATGTTTTATATACCGTTGTTCGATTAGAAAAAAGCTGACCTACGAGACAAAACCAACTTGAATTAACTATTATTTACTTAAAATCCGGAGCAACTCTTTAAAAAAAGCGAACGCAATCTTCTCGCTAATCCAATTGCTAGGACAAGGCACTTGATTCCCTGAATAAGTATATACATATGGCTTCTTCGTATTGTACCGGCCCGTTGTAGGTCTTCAACATAGAGACTAACGACCTATTCTGCCGAGGGGTCATCTTTCCAGAAGATACGTCCCTCAAATAACCTTCGAGCAGTTCGGAAAACCGTTGCAGATTCCAAGCCGCCATCTTCACTGAAATTGGCACCCACCAGTAGTTTGCCACTTGCATGACCTAGCGTTACACCTGCTTTATCAACGGGGTTCACACCAACGACATCTGAGACGGTACTACCGCGAACCTTGGAAGCCGTTGCAACAGCTAGAGCCACAGTGATGGGAACAGCCTTGTGCGGCTGACCGACAGATATAGCTCGTACCAAAAGATCCACATCACTCGGAGTCTGCTGAGCCTTGATATCTCTCGGGGTAGAAGTCGGTGTTGCTACAAGACAGATTTTGGGGACACTTCCTGGTACGGTGTCTAATGTCTTTGCAAGGCTCATCTTTACACCGGCCTGACGCCGAATGGAGTCCAACCACTGAAGTAGATCTGGATGAGTATCGATTTCGTCGGGTGTTAGGTTACCGTCGACACCGAGATCTGTAGCCTTGACCAGAGCACAAGGATTAGCTGCATCCAAACATGTAACTGGCACCCCGTCAATATCGTCGGTGACGTTTCCGGTGGGAAGTAAATGTCCAGTGCGAGATCCAGCGGGCTCAATAAAGTCCAGACGAATTGGAGATGCTGCTCCAGCGACTCCATCAATGGAAAAGTCTCCGCTAGCGGCCGCTTCTCCCTCGACCACGGGAAAGACAGCATGGATTATCTTCCCTGTATTAGTGTTATGTATTCGGACTGTAGCAGACTGCTGATTGATACTGGTAGGGAAAAGACCAGAGTCCACAGCGAACGGGCCAACAGCACTGATCATATTTCCACAATTACTAGAGTAGTCCACTTCGTTGGTCTTAACACCCAACGCCACAAATGTATAATCGACATCAGCGTCGGAATGTGTTGATTTGCCAACTACACATATCTTCGATAGACTGGATATGCCTCCGCCCATACCGTCAAGTTGTCGGCCGTAAGGGTCGGGACTTCCGATGACGCTGCGGAAGATGTGGTCCCAGCTTTTCTTGTTTTGTGGAAGGTCATTTGTTTTGAAAAAGACTGCTCTTGATGTACCGCCGCGGTAGTATGCGGCTGGAAGTGAGTTTTGTTTGGATATTGTTGAAGCATATCTCCGCATTATGAGCGCCGTATATGTACTTGGCGCGCGCAACGCATTTGCGCATGATATGGCAGATCGAAACATCCCTAGCTCAGTTATTCGAGTTTCTCTTGTAGTATGGAAGGAAGTGTGTAAATTATTAAACAAGTTGAAGGCAAGCTCATTGAAGCAAACTCGTTTTGATGCGAATCAATAGGAGAGTAAATACGATTCGTTACCGAGATGTCTCTTCTCCATCGGATGTCTCCGAAATCTTATCCGCTCGTCCAATTCAGACCAGCACTCGCAAAGTACGAAATATGACTTTTCCGTGCAACCTTGGTGTCTTCGAGTCTGAATAATGTCCTAGGGTACGTATTCGCATTGACCTAACACTTGTTACAGGCCTGAGGGATCGTCCCCGGTTAGGGCTGTGCAATCGGCACATATGCAAGAATCAATGCAGCTTTATATTAACCTTAAATTACATACAGCTCACTTGCATACGACACTTCTTTGACCTCATATTCAGGACTCAGTCTATGGATCAAGTGAAAGGCCGTCACTGCTTCTAATCTTAACCCTTGCTTGGTAATAGCGCCGAATCTATAAATTGCATAGTACAATGATAGTTGACAATGAAATCTAGAGAAAGGGTGTCGAAGATAATGAAAGAAAGAACATGTAAAATACTTCCTTTGTTCTTATTCAAAGAGAGAAATTATATATATAGTTCTCCTATTCAAATGTTGTCTCTATCTTTGAACTAGAAGACCTTGGAAAACAATAAAAGAACGCATCTGATTGGCCCAGAGCGGGACGGACGGCTCCGGAGTTGAATCAGAGTATTGCAAACCTTTCTAAAAGTAATTGAAAGAGCCAACCACCATGCAGACAATTCAAAATTCAAGGAATTGTTGAACGAATGAATGATCATATGAGGTTATGGAAGCTCGGAACAGTTTCATGCCGCATTCTAGGCACTGGGCCCACCGCTAGATAATGATCCGACCACTTGGATAAATCTTAAACCCCTTAATAGCCTCTACTTTCTCAAAAATTGTTTCTGTCACCCTGCGTTCGGCAGAGGTTATCAGTCGATCTGCTGTCTCCAGCAATTGAATGATCAATCCATCATCGCATCTGTTGGCTCTGGGCACGTCCCATTACTATGCAGTTTTAGTGTGAAAATCATCTACACCAGGATTGGGCAGCGACTAGTCTTTTGCTTTCCACGAGCTTTGTTGCAACACACACAATGCCATTTTCAACAGGGGAATTGGTTGCTGCCTTTGCACTCGGCACAGCTGTGTACGTGCTGTTTTTCAATCGCGGCGAACACCATCTCCATCCAGAGCGCTATCTCATCGCTTTCGGCGCCGCGGTGTCTGCAACGATAGCTCTACTACATTTCCATCATCATCTCCCGATATTCGAGGTCTTGCGCATAACGATCAATCTGTCGTTGTCGTTTCTGGCCGGTCTTTACTCAAGTGTGCTCTTCTACCGCCAATTTCTTCATCCCTTGAATAAATTTCCCGGTCCTTTTGGCACTCGGATTTCTGCATTGTTCTTGTCTGTAAAGTTTTCCAAGGCCGACAGTTCGCGCCAGTATCTGCAATTGCACAAGAAATATGGCGACTTTGTCCGCACTGGCTCTTCAGATCTGTCCATCGTCCACCCAAAGGCTGTCCAAGCCATCTACGGTCCTGGTACGGCATGTACCAAAGGTGATGCTTACGATGTAACTCACCCCGTGGTATCCCTACACAGCTTCCGGGATAGACAACTGCACGACAATCGTCGTCGAATCTGGAGCGCCGCCTTTGGCGACACTGCCTTGCGTGGGTACGAAAAGCGTATCCGGAAGTATCGGGACATGCTAATGGCAACCTTCGCCGCATCAGAAGGGAAACCAGTCAATGTCGTGCAGTGGTTCAACAACTATTCCTTTGATATCGTGGGTGACTTGGCGTTTGGTCAGTCATTTGATATGCTCAAGAAGGATGAGTTGCATTGGTCTGTTCGACTTCTAGCGGAAGGGTTTGAGCCGTTGGCGTATGGTCTTCCGACTTGGGTCTTCCGACTTGGACAGGTTATTCCCGGTGCGACCAAGGATTGGTTCAGGTTTTTGGATTTTTGCCGTGAGCGGATGCTCACGAGAATGCAGGTCAGTTTTTTTTTTCTTGCTTTTGCTTTTGCCTTGTACGCATTTGTGCTGTAAGTGCATGACTGATTCTTGTAGAATACCCCTGACATTCCGGATATTACTTCTACGCTTTTGGCACCTCTAGAAGGAAAGAAGGTGTCCAAGGAAGATTTGAATTTGTTGGTCGGTGATTCTCAGCTCATGATGGCTGCTGGAGGGTGAGTCTACTACACACATATCGGAGGCACAAACCCTAACGCACTGCAGTGACACGACAGCCACGACACTGTCCAGCATTATCTACGAACTTTGTTTACATCCCGAGCAGATTGACACACTGCGCGAATTGGTTGCGCCGTACATGACCGATCCATCCGGAGACGTCTTGAACGAGAAAATTTCACATATCGAGCACCTCAACGGAGTGATCTATGAAGCACTCCGACTTCATCCTCCTGTTCCAGGAATTATTCAACGCAAGACACCACCGGAAGGAATCTGGATTGACGATATCCATGTTCCGGGGAATATGTTTGTTTTTTGTCCACAATACGTTCTGGGGCGAAGTACGTCACCATTTTTTACAAGCATTACATGATCTAAACTAATAGATAGTTGATAATAGGTGAGGCAATCTACGAGAAACCAGAAGAATTCATCCCAGAGCGCTGGTACTCCCGCCCAGAACTCGTCAAGGAGAAAAGCGCCTTTGCGCCCTTCTTAGCCGGTAAGTCCTACACCTCCTGTATACCTCACTTCAGGACTGATAGTTTGGCAGGAACATACGGTTGTATCGGACGACCGCTTGCAATGATGAATCTGCGAAGCACGCTGGCACGACTTCTTACCACGTTTGATATCAAGTTCGCCGAAGGTGAGGACGGTAGCACTTTCGATGGGAAGTCGACGAATCACTTTTTGTGGGTTCCGGGAGATTTGTATATTTCTTTTACCAAGCGTGTTTAGTTAATATGTACTATTCTAATGTTTATTCAAAATCTTCTGTATACTGCAGGACTGTCGTAGTAGATCTTAAATGTAGAGTAACATAGTTAATTGATTGGCTGATGACATAGATATTGATCTAGCCTGAATAGGATGCCAAGCCAGGTCCCAGCTCCGTCTCCGACGAAAATCGAAGCTTCACAGCTTTCAAGCTGGGCTTTACTGGCCAATAATTCATCAACTATATCTCATCAGAGAATATAACAATGGCATCCAAATTATCATGGAGACTCCTTACACAGCGAGCGACGACCCGTCGCAGCGCAATTGCACTTCCAGACCAGTACCGCTGCTTCTCCTGTTCGATACGTGCCAGTCAACAATCACCGTCCACCCAGAAATCCGAGGCGGAATCTCGAATGACACATTTCGGATTTGAGAATATTCCAGAGGCTGAAAAGGAGCAACGCGGTACGTCATCCATACGAACCATGTGAATATTTGAGCTAACTTCAATGTAGTCGGTGCCGTGTTTAGTTCCGTCGCAAGTTCCTACGATACCATGAACGATCTCATGTCCCTGGGCATTCACCGACTATGGAAAGACCATTTCGTGCGTTCACTGAATCCCGGCTCACCTTCAATGCTCTCTCGATCTGCCGACGACAAGGAAAAGGGCTGGAATATTCTCGACGTCGCCGGCGGTTCAGGCGACATTGCATTCCGCATGCTGGATCATGCAACCAACATCAACAACGACCGGGACACCCGCGTCACTGTCGCCGACATCAACGCCGACATGTTAGCAGAAGGCCGCAAACGAAGCCTCGATACGCCGTACTACAACACGAAACGATTATCATTCATGGTCGCGAATGCAGAACACATGCCCCAAGTCCCTGACAACTCGGTCGATCTATATACCGTCTCGTTCGGCATTCGCAACTTCACCGATAAACAAGCCGCGCTCAACGAAGCGTACCGAGTGCTCAAACCCGGCGGCGTCTTTGCATGCATGGAGTTTAGCAAAGTGCAAAACTTTGATCTGTTTAATGAGGTGTATAAGAGGTGGAGCTTCAGCGCTATTCCGTTGATTGGACATCTCGTGGCTGGCGATAGGGCGAGTTATCAGTATCTGGTGGAGAGTATTGAGAGATTTCCGAGCCAGGAGGAGTTTAGGGCTATGATTGCAAAGGCGGGATTTGTGATTCCGGGGAGGGGGTATGAGAATTTGTCGTTTGGGATAGCGGCGATTCACAGGGGGGTCAAGCCTCTGCCTAACACTGTATAACACAGTCAATCAGCTTTCAAGGGTTGTAACTATTAAGTTAGTGAGTGTATATTAGATAATGCGGGGCAGTCACACCGGGGAACTCGAGTTTGCGCTGACACATGCATGCCATTTCTTACATACAGCTGCTAGTGAAACACCGGTCTGTCCCGAGCTAGAGTAATCCTACATAGCACGGCCGATGTCGTGATCGTGGCGCCCGTTTAGGTGCAACGAGCAGGGAGTATTCAGTGATATTCATGGGAATGTCCATCGTGATGATGCAGACAACTAATGAATATACTCGGGTCTTTTTGAGACCGTCAAGATCAGATAGATCAAATAGATCATTTCAGATCTGAGGATTCAAACTGGCTGAAGCAGAACTAGTGCAGAGATCGAGATTACGCGATCATCCAATCCCGTTGCAGCCTGATATCGGCTTTTCCAGAACGGAAAAAAAAGGATTAGCTTCGTTCTTTGATTTATAACCTGAACCTGAACCTGGACATTTCTATTCATTTCTCTCTTCAATCCAATGATCGCATGCACCTGAGACTATTAATCTCTGCATTAAAGTATGCTGAATATTGCTCAATCATTATGGGTCGGGATGCTTCTTATCGCGGGGATATGCTAACGAACCCCTCCTGATAATATCAGTCCGTCCGTCCATACATACATACATATAAGATCGGGCCTGGTCGGACTATATTCTGTTTCTGTTCTTCTCTTTTCCTCGTCTATTCTGATACCCTATACATACATAACTCGAATCCGCGAGACTCGAGACTGAGAACATGTCACTCACCTACGATAACGACGGAGACGCCCTCTCCACCGCGCTCCATGTCATAACCACCGAGCGCGACGCTCTCACGCACCTCGAATGCCTCTACCGGACCAACGACCTGGCCCAAAAAAATGTAGAGCGCGCAGTCTCGCAGCTCGTGCACACAATAAACCGGGGCGGGAAACTGGTGGTGTGCGGCGTTGGGAAGAGTGGCAAGATAGGTCGCAAGTTGGAGGCGACTATGAATAGTGTTGGGATTCATAGTGTGTTTTTGCATCCTACCGAAGCTTTACATGGTGATTTGGGTGTTATTCGATCTGTACGTCCTGTCCCCAATCTCTCTGGCCATCTGTCTAACAATCCTCCTAGATTGACACACTCCTCCTGATATCCTTCTCCGGACGCACGGCAGAATTACTCCTAATGCTCCCTCACATCCCACCCACCGTGCCCATAATAGCAATAACATCCCACACCCACCCATCAACCTGTCCCCTCCTATCCTTCAATTCCCCCGACATGACCATCCTCCTCCCGGCCCCATTACACATCGACGAAGAATCCAGCTTCGGTCTCTCGGCGCCTACGAGCTCTACTACTGTCGCACTCGCCTTAGGAGATGCGCTCGCTCTCGCCGCAGCTCACAAACTACACACGCTACCTGGCCAGGGACCCGCAGAAGTATTCAAGGGGTATCATCCCGGCGGCGCCATAGGCGCTGCCGCCGCGACTGCTGCGGCAATCAATTCTGCGATATCCACCCCGTCAACGTCAATGACTACATCACCGAGTTTGAGGTCGTTGGAAGACGCGGGCATAAAATTGTCTTTGGACGATAGTATCACTCATACCGGTCTGAAATCAGATACGACCATCTGTTCGTCCGAACACTTTGTGTCGATGGAGTGTATACCAACCGTCTCTCCAAGCCAACAACAACAACAAACAGAAAAGAAAGACTCAATCCGCGTCATCGACGTCCTATTAACAGCAATTCAAAACCCCAACTCAAAGTCCTGGGTGAAATTATCAGATACCCAAATCATTCCACCACGCTTACTCCGCGCAATGACCGATCCATCAACAACAACCTTCAAAATCGACACTCCAATCACAGAGATATCTTCTGCGACATTCCCCTCTACATCAATACACGCGTCGAGATGGTTACCAATACGCTCGTCAACCACCATCGAAAAAGTGAAATGCATTCTCGAAGAGACCACGGGGATAACCGATATGATGCTCTCTGACAACCAGAAACAAAACAATGAAGATGCCGAGAATAAATACATCGTCATCAGTGTCGTGGATGATATGGATTCCAACAAAATCCTGGGTTTTGTCGCGGGGGAGGATGTTCATCCTTCTATTTTATCTTCTGCATCATGACCAAGCCTCTTATCAACGTTATTATCTCTTTTTTTCTTTCTTTTCTCTATATATACCATCTCCAATTCGAAAAATTCGAGTCTCGTTTTAGCATTGGTGGATTTGTGGTTTTATTGTTTGGTTCGCATTTCGCGTTCGTTGATATACCTACGTCTTTTGAACATATTTGTCGGTATATCTATAGATAGTAGTCTTATACTCGTCTAATGGCATGATCTATCGAGGCGTTGCAGAGCAGCTTGCCTTCTTTATTCTGCTGTTAACTGGCTCACCCTGTAGCAATGGTCCTGTGTTCAATTCCCAATCGATAAACTACTCTATAGACATACAGCATAATCAACATAATGTTATCCCGAACTCCCGCCAATAATCCATCGCCATGACACTATCAAACCACCCAACGAAAAAAGAAAAAAAGGACAACGCATCACTCGCCTGATTAAGAATAACGACTCCATACAAAACGTCATTAACTGAGCTTCTGTCCCCCCTTTCCGGCAGTACGAGAACATAGCATCGTACAGATTGATCTGGCCAACCAGACCATGGATAACCTGAAGCATCTAGATATAGTAAGACACGAGACAGCCTACTATCATTGCCAACAAGAAGCCGTTTGTCAGACTCACTGCGTGAGATGATGCCCCCGAATTGGTGGCCTGGGCAGATTGGCTGGGTGACTTTGTATTCGAGCCGCTGGGTACACCGACGTACTTGGAACCATCGCGCGCAGTTGTCGCAGTAGCTGTTTTGGTTGCGGAGACCACATGATGAGAAGAGGATGCTCGTACGGTTGGTGTACTAGGCCTTGAAGTAGTCTCTTCGTGCTCATCGGCGTCTTCTGTAGCACCGGTTGGCGTAGTACTAGGAGCAGAAGTCACAGGCGCTTCAACCGCTTCCTCTTTATTATCAACCTTCTTCGGCGGAGCAGTTGGTGCAGGTGTGCAGAAATTGTTGGTCGTTCCACAAATGTATCCAACTTGACAACAACCGCCTTGGGGACAGGTGGGCCCTCCTTTGCATGATTCCTCGCATACGGGAATGCTGCGGGAATAAGTGCACGCGACACCTTTGGGACAGCAACCGAGTTTGTCGGGACAGAGAGTCTGGGTTGATGCTGGACAGTCACCGAAAAGTTGTCGGGGAGCGAGACCATCCCAGCGTGCTAGAGCAGTCACGGGGGCGAACGCGAGCATTTGTTCGGCTTGGATTGTACCGAATAGGGTCAAGAAGACGAGACTGAATCGGATGAGAGTAGTCATCGTGTCTATCGAGTGCTGACAAACGACAGCGTTTTATATTCGATAGGTGGCGTGCGAGCTGAAAGAAGTATATACTTCTGGCAATATTGAGACAATGTAAAATGAAGAGTTGAGATGCACTTGAAGGCTGAGAGTATATACTGTGTATACAGTCGATGATTTTGAGAATGCAAAGAGGAGAGAAAAGGTGAAGAGGAGGAGAAGAGGAAGAAGAAGAAGGGAAGAAGATGCTTACAGATCGAAAAGGAAAGAACGAGGCTTTTTGTCTCTTTCTCTTCGGGGAGCCATCTGCGCCTTCCTTCCAGACACAGACCTATATCATTAAAAGGAAAGCAGCGCCTCAAAATGGCTTCTCTATTTATCTTTGTTGAGCAGACGGAACAAAATATTTCTGGTCTATTTTGACGTCTCAGATGTATACTCATCTCCTGTGGATGATGCACAACTCCCTTGGATTCTTCTACCGCTTGACTCTGCGTCGAATCTAACGCTGACGAGAGATTTCATACTCCAGCAAGTGATGCAGCAATCCCTAGATTTTGGACAGAAAAAGCTTGTATGGGGAGTGTTCTTCCATTCCAGACAGGACAAAGGAGTATTCGTCAGTAAAAGAAGGAGACAACGTTAAAGCAAATGCGGGTAGCAACGGGGAATCAATGTATGTACAGGATGCGCTCGTTTCATGACCTCAAAGGACATGCTATGCAGAGGACCTTGAATCGTTTTCTCGATGCGAGCCAGGTATGAACAAATCCGCCTAACTCCATGCTTGTGCTGAGAGTTGCGATCCTTGAAAGGAGTCTCACTCTATTCGAAATGTTCAACCACTCGAGTGGGAAGGATGCGCGCTCAACAATCTATCAATGTCTATGACACGGCGCGAGCCGAAGGGTATCTTAGGGGTATGACGAATTGAGGTTTCTAGGCCGCAGTAGCCACCGCCTGTTCCTTTCCTTTGCCCTTATCGATTGAAGTCGTGCTGCCGGCACCATCGTCTTCATAGAGGCGGTGTTGCTCGATATAGCGTATCACAGGGATTGGGATCAAGTAGCGAACGCTCATTTCACGCCTGAGGAAGAGACGGATCTTGGTGCTACTAACGTCGTTTTGAATAAGTTGTTGAATGACGTGAATATTATCCCGCCATGGTTGTAAAGCGGCCAATGCCTCGTCAATATCAGTACCACTTCGTTCAACAATAAAGGCCTAATATCAAATTTAGTACCGTACCAGACAATTTTCGATTGCTGACAAGTAACTTACACCGTAGCGACCCAAAATATGATCCAAATCTTTATCGCTCCATACTCCTGGTGTAGACATAGTGTGAATCAAGTCCGCGCCAGCTAATAGAGCCACTCGGACCTGTTTCCGAGTGCCATTGCCGGAATCAACACCCTGGCGCACCACGTTTATCTCATGGTCGATGTGATCAAGGACCACAGCAGTCGGCTGATATTCCTTATGTAATGCCTCCCAGGGATCAATCATTAGCCAATCGGACGATTCGTCAACCGCTAACTGGCACATAGCGAGACTGTCAAGAAGCATCAGCTAGTCTGTCCTTTGGAAATCTCATTGAACATACCGGTGCTCGGCACTCGCTAAGCCTGCCTTCCTATAAGCATCTGATACTGGCGATAAATACCCTCCCAGCAATTCGTAATTTGTGCTGAACTTCACGTAGTCGGCAGCCATTTCTCTATAGCGTTATCAGTATCGGCTCAAGTGCATTAAAATCAACTGACATACTGCATGCGAAGATGAAGATAAGTAGGCGGACTGAAACTTCCAGCAGCGACTAATACTAAAGGCGTCTTGCTTGGATCATCCATCACCCGCTTCAAACGGTGCGTGGGGAACTCATATGTATCAAGGCTTCCGGTGTATGGAGCCAGCTCCTGGCTGCTCGTGGAGGATGGAGTCGACATGGCTGTGGTCGCTGTATTGGAGACGAGGGAATTCCCGAAAGGTTGATGTTGTTGGTAACTATTCTGTTCCCTGCTGTGTAGGTGCTGCCGGTGGCGATCGGAGATAAGTGGCTAGGGTATCGCAATGACGCCTGCGCAAGAATTTTCCAGATCTGCGACCACGAGGTACAACGTGACAGTGTCCTTTCTCCACGGCGATGAAGGAAGACGGCAGGGCGATAGAATATTTTGAACCGGTCGTAAGAATTGACGAGAAATATGGAGTTGGGGTTTCAGGTGGCTCACAAAGAGTCCAGGTTGATAAATTCTCGGCAGAGAGACCGACCGTCGGCGGGGTTGCGGGATGGCTTTAATAGTCAAAATATGCACAGCTTTTGACCAGTTACTGATTTTGAAGAGAGGAGAAAGCACGCAATCGCAGAAGAAGGAGACCGGATAGAAGGAATAAAAGGACGACGGGGTGAGTCAAATGGAGTTGGGTTAAGTTAGAGTTGGTGGGTTAATAAGCAGGCTGTCACTTCTAGCGGAGCTTACGCCGTGTCAGTCATCAACGGTGTCTCAAAAGGGAAGCCACCTGGGAACTACATATACTGGAGTCTGCCTCTAGACAGTCTCATCTAGATGGACAGCTACGGTCTTGACTCTTAAGAGTTTGCGAGAGATAATGCTGCAGTCCGCCCACTTGCTTACTGCCTCAGAAAACTGGCACCCCGCCGGAAGCGGATGGCCGACATTGAGGATGACTCTTTTCGATGTCAATATGATCGTCTGATGTGAATATGAAGAAGCCTAATACGTCTCTCAGACTAGTAAAGAAATACTCCTAGACGATAGATAGATATATCCTATAAATATGAAGACCGTTGTACTATTGTGAGAGACATTGCACATTGCATCACGGTAAGCTGCCTACTCCACAGGTCCGCCTGGAATGCCAGGCATCAGAGAGAGGATCGCCTTCATAGACAACCTTCTTATCAACATACCCTCATATACTTCTCGGCAGATAAACTTCAACGGACATAGGAAGAAGAAGAAGAAGAAGAAAAGACATCGTGTGCAGGGTTAGTTCAAGGCGATAATTCCCCCGTTGGTTGCAACTACCCCTCGGTTGGTGCAGGTGTTGCACTTCGGCAGTCTGACGTTCTCCGAAGAAATAAATCTCCAAGCATTTGGCAGCCCGACCATCATCCCTCCTCTTTCTTCCACCCATCCATCCAACACAGGCCGACCATCGCTACATCGCTTCAATACCAATCCGATATACTGGTATTCGATCCCGTCTCGTAATCGACAGTATATAATCCAATCATTCGGCTAGTGTCCCTTCTCGAAATCGTCGAACCACACCTCGCCCATCTCACACCATCCTCCTCTTTCTCCATCATCAACCGAACGTTCGTCGCTCTGTCTGTTCTTCCCCCGGCCCGCTCTGAAGAGCTGCGGATGGCGGGTTAACAGCGATCACGACGAGCATTTCGATCCAGCTCTCAGCTACTTATGGCCAGACGAACGACTGCTGCCGACTACCAGGACTCCCGAGAGCCACATCCTCTGTCGTCCTTCTCCGCATTTTCCGCTCCGTCATCGTCTGCGGGATCTATACAAACCAACCCCTCTGGTCCAAATTTAAGGTATGTGATTGTGTGGTTTTGTTGTATTGCCCGCAAATACATTTGATTTGGTTTTCCCCCCTTCATATGTCCCCGCCAGAGCTCTGGTCTTCTGGATTTGCTTGGAGTTGAGACGACAACCTCCGGCTGGATCCATCTTTTCTGAGAGGGACCTCCCTTGTGCCCGGTCAATTGCTTTGCTCGGACACTCTCCGCTCGTTTATTATCTTTCCTCTTTAACTTGCCCAGCTGTTCAAACGGCTCTGCTCTGTTTGACACCGCTTGGCATTTGACACTCGCAGTCTCAAGTATCATCGTCCGTTTGCTTTCCTCTTTGATTTTCTAAGCCTCTCGTTACATCATCACGGGCACTCCTACTTCTCGCTCTCTTATCTATGTCATCGACCACCGTTTTCCAGTTTTGAGCACTGTCATCTAACGTCGCTTCCATGCCTCCCAGAACTCGATCTGCTGCACGTGCTGAGAACGTTTCCAGTGGTGCGGACACGACAGGTATATCCTCGACTGGGGGCACTGCTTCGAGGAAGCGTAAGGCCACTACGCGACGAGGTAAACCTCGCGACGAACCTGAGCCTCCTTCCCAACCCAGTTCACCACCGAGGAAGGTAAAGAGACAACGTACAGCAGCTGCCACCACTTCGAGCACCGCTCCTTCAGCTCCTGCTCCCCCGTCCTCTGCTACTCCTCGATCACGCCAACTTTCTCGAAATCGTCCGGCCATGTCACAGCCTGGGTTAGTACTTTTACATTATTTTACCTCACCTTTACTTTGACAGCCTGTTGAAAGATACGCTAACTCTTTTCCTGATTTTCCAGCCCCTCATCACAACCATCTGATGAAACTTCCAGAGTTCGAGCTTCCTCTTCTAATTCTAGAAGGAAATCTGGGCGAAATGGCAAATCATCTCGTCGAGACAAGGATGTCCTTCCCACTAGCATAGAAAATCATACCAGCCAGTCGCCGCACCGACGATCGAAAAAGCGTTCTCCTAAACATAGTGCAGACGTGCCAATGAGGGATACTGACAGTCAAGGGAGCGAGGCTGATCCTCCGAAGGAAGACGCGGACGACCAATCTTCACAACCGAGTGAGAGTAATGACGACAACCATACAGCGGGGCTAATGGATGAAGATGATGGAGACCCGTTTCGCAACGTGTTTGGGTCTCGCACTCCGTTGGGCCTGCAAAATACTCTTCGAGCTCTTACAGGCATGATGACCAGCATGTCCTCTCGGTTGCGTGAGATTTTGGGTCAATTAAGGATGAAAGAAGATCCATCCATACAGCTAATCGCTTTACAAGAACTCTCTGATCTGCTGCTCGTTTCGAACGAAGACAATCTTTCCGGTCAATTCTCGCCAGATTCATTTGTTAAAGAGCTAGTCAAACTTATGCAGCCAAGTGAAACTGGTGAAGAAAACCCCGAGATTATGCTTCTGGCCTGTAGATGCCTTGCCAATATGATGGAAGCTCTCCGAGGATCGGTTACGAATGTTGTCTACGGCGGAGCAGTTCCAGTGCTATGCCAGAAACTGCTCGACATCCAATTCATTGATCTGGCTGAACAAGCCCTTAGTGTACGTTTCTCTCCCCCCCTTTCCTTATATATATATAGAGATAGAGAGAGATTAATGCTGACTGAGGATGAAGACTTTGGCAAAAATTTCCGAGGATTTCCCTGCATCTATCGTTCGTGAAGGCGGACTCACTGCTTGCTTGACCTATCTAGATTTTTTCCCAACGAGCACTCAACGCACAGCTGTTACCACGGCAGCGAACTGCTGTCGAAGTCTCCCTGGAGATTCGTTTCCTGTTATTCGGGATGTAATGCCGACACTGTTGAATGTCTTATCGAGCAACGATCAGCGGGTGGTTGAACAGGCCTGCCTATGTGTGTCTCGAATTGTTGAGAGTTTCCGGAATAAACCCGAAAAGCTAGAAGAGCTCATTGAACCGGCTATGCTGAAGGCGATCCTTCGACTTCTTGTACCTGGGACGACAAACTTGATTGGACCACATATTCATACTCAATTTTTGCGAGTTCTCGGCATCGTCGCTCAAGCTAGCCCCCGGTTATCTGTCGAATTACTCCGAATGGATGTTGTGGACACTCTCTACCAAATACTTACCGGGGTTTCTGCACCGCGCGACGATGACGATACCGGTGTCAAGGTCGACAATGTTGTTATCATGCAGGCATTAGTTCACCGTCCCCGCGAGCAAGTCTTTGAGACTCTTGGCGTGATATGTGAATTGCTTCCTGGGTCCCAGAGCCTGCAAGGTCCTCTGTCACGCTTTGACAACGCCTTAACCATCAATCTACAATCACGATTTGCTCCTATACGTTCCTCGTCCAAACTGCAAGAATCAGCCGATAAGCGGCGTGAGTTGCTTGCGGGCTGTAAACCTGAACTGAAACGATTTGCTATGGTGCTCCTGCCGACTCTAACCGACGCGTACTCCAGTACTGTCAACCTAGGTGTTCGGCAGAAAGTCCTTTTGGCACAGCTCAAGATCATTCAGGAAATTGACGCACATGTACTAGAAGATGCTCTTCGAGCAGTCCCATATGCATCTTTCCTGGCGGCAATTCTCTCGCAGCAAGATCATCCACTATTAGTGTCATATGCTCTGCAATGTGCCGAGTTGCTCTTTGAACGATTACCAGACATCTATCGGTACCAATTCCATCGAGAAGGCGTCATAGCTGAAATTGCCGAGCTGGCTGCGAAACAATTATCCACCGAGAAGGCATCATCCGAAGTCAAATCGTCAACCGAAATTACTGTTCCAATCCATGCTACAGAACAATCTGATTCACGAGCCACAAGTGAAGCTCCAAGCGCATCACAAAACGATAGTGAAGACGAAGACAATGATGACGACGATGAAGACGACGAAGACCAAGATGAGGATGACGAGGAAGACGATGACGAAGATCAGGATCGTGACAACGACGATGCTTCGGAATCAGAGAGCGAATCATCTTTCAATGCTCCTCGACCAGTGAATCAGAGCATGGATGATATGATGCAAGACCATGTTATCACGACTGCCCGAAACTTCGTTCGCCTCTATGAGCAAGCGCAAAGCACAGATACAATGGCGGAGAAAGCGAATAAGATCCTCAAAGATCTGCAGGCCTTAGCCTCCAAGATTAAATCTACACATGAGGCTGGGAGGGGAAGAGATTTCACTCCCGTATTTGAGTCTCTGGCGTCTTACTTTGATGGTGACGCTGTAGAGAGCATCACCAGCACCGAGCTTCTTAGATCTGGTATTATCGATGTGCTAGTAGAAAGCTTCACATCGTCCAAATCCACATCCGCCGCCCGTGTCAGCTTCCTTAAGGCATTTATGGGCACTATAGTTTCTCAAAAATCCCTGCAAGGGTCCGTCTCCACGCCGTTCAGCAAATTAATTCACAAACTGCATGATCTTCTCAGCAGGACCGAGCATTTTGAGGTGATTACTGTCGGCCACAACTCTCTTGAACTTACAAGGAGCAATGCAACATATATGCTTGGCAAACAAGTTCGCCTTAGGTTGGTTGCTGATGAGGGATCAAATATCCCCAGACCATACAAAAATATTATGGTCTCAATTCATGCAATTGCTACCTTCAAATCGCTGGATGACTTTTTGCGACCTCGGATCAGTCTGTCTGAGCGCCCTAGGCCGTCACGTAATCTCGACTTTTTGTCACAACTTGCCAACGCTGACCGGCTGCGTGAATCCCTTAATTCCAGCCAGAGCTCGACAGAAAACAACCCTTCTTCGCGAGCAGATACTACATCACATCCAGGCCGTCGTCAGGGCATTCCTAAGGAAATACTTTCAGCGCTACGAGGTGAACTCGATGGACGAGATGGGACCCACCGATTTAGTAGAACCCAACCATCGCATCCAGCTGATGAGGAATCGGGCGATGATCGTCCTCTGGAGTGCGCCGATGAGAAACAATTAAGTGAGGAAGACGATGATGAAGACGAAGGCGAGGACCATGACGAAGAATTGAACGCCATTGTGGATGATCTTGATGATGAACTCTCGGATGCTCCTGGCCCAGAACCCACCGCAGTCAATATGGAAATTGCGTCTAGTGGAAAGGTTACCGCGCGCAAGGAAGATGGAACCCGCGTTGCCACGCCGTCTCAATCCCAAGATCTTGGTCGTGGCTCTTCCTCCGCAGTGAATAACGATCTCCCTGCTATGGGAGGCGATTCTCTGGCTATGGCAGGACGGCCTTTCTCTTCATATGCTGCTGCTGTAGCGTCGGTTCCACAAGATTGGCACATCCAGTTTAGCATCGATGGAGAACCAATCACAAACGATACGACAATCTATCGTGCTATTCACCATAGCCGAGCACACAACGAGGATGGCGGTCGGAATGTTTGGACTTCCGAACATACCGTGCAGTTCAAACGGATGCCCGGTCCTCCACCGCCAGAGGCATCGTCCCTTCCCTCTGTGTTCCGTAACACAGGTGCTAAGGATGAACAGACTGGTCTGCCCCTATCCCTGAGCAAGGAACACACTACCGGATCAATCTTACAGCTATTGCGAGTCCTTCACGAGATGAATGCTCATCTTGACGACCTTCGTGCCGAGAACCAGGAATTGACTGCTATCAAAGCAGAGCCAGTGGCACAATTCATCAATAACAAACTGACCGCTAAACTGAATCGACAACTAGAGGAACCGTTGATCGTGGCTAGTAGCTGTCTGCCCAATTGGAGCGAAGATCTTGCTCGTGAATTTCCATTCTTGTTCCCATTCGAGACGCGCCATCTTTTCCTCCAATCAACCGCCTTTGGTTACTCACGATCAATGATGCGTTGGCAGAATTCCCAACCGGAGGACAGCCGACGTGACCTCCGTCGTGATGACCGCCCATTCCTCGGCCGTCTGCAGCGCCAAAAGGTGCGAATCTCTCGCTCTCGTATTCTTGATTCTGCGATGAAAGTGATGGAGCTATACGGATCCTCTGCCAGCATTCTAGAAGTTGAATACTTTGAGGAAGTTGGCACCGGTCTCGGACCGACTCTAGAGTTTTACTCGACAGTCTCTAAAGAGTTCTCAAAGAAGAAACTCAAGATCTGGCGGGAAAATGAATCTGCGGACAAGAACGAGTATGCTTTTGGCAAGCATGGGTTGTTCCCAGCGCCTATGAGCGTCCAACAAGCGGAATCCGACCCTGGCAAGAAGCAACTTCATTTGTTCAAGTCTCTCGGAAAATTCGTAGCACGATCTATGCTTGATTCACGAATTATCGACATCAACTTCAACCCTACTTTTTTCCGTGTAGGCACCAACGGTTTTGTTCCATCTTTGGGTGCCGTCAAGACAGTGGATGAGTCCCTCGCAAACTCGTTGCAGCTTGTCAAGCGATTCGCAAAAGTCAAGTCCGAGATAACACAAGATGCGTCCCTTACAGCGGGTCAGAAAATTATGGCCATTGAAGAATTAGAGATTGATGGGGTTCGAGTCGAAGACTTGGGGTTAGACTTTACACTACCAGGTTACCCAACAATTGAGCTTATCGAAAATGGTTCCAATATCAATGTGGACCTTGACAATGTCGAGTTGTATCTAGATCGTGTGATCGACTTTACGTTAGGAAAGGGGGTAGAACGTCAAATCGAGGCATTCCGTGCTGGGTTTTCGCAGGTGTTCCCATATTCGGCACTACGGGCTTTCACGCCAAATGAGCTAGTGATGCTCTTTGGGCGAATTGAGGAAGACTGGTCCATGGAGAGTAAGTTTGGTGAATGGCCCTCTTGATTAAATTTATACTAACTTTTCTTCTCTCTTAGCACTGATGGATTCCATCAAAGCGGATCACGGCTTCAACATGGATAGCAAGAGCGTACGAAACTTGCTACAGACAATGAGTGAACTAGACCCTCAGCAGCGGCGAGACTTTTTACAATTTGTTACTGGTAGCCCGAAGCTTCCAATCGGAGGTATGTTTCATGCATTTGGTTCCAAACGGAAAACGTTGTAATATCTAATGTCACAACAGGCTTCAAGAGTCTCACCCCAATGTTCACAGTTGTGTGCCGTCCCAGCGAACCCCCATATACACCAGACGATTACTTGCCAAGTGTCATGACCTGCGTGAACTACCTTAAACTACCCGACTACAGCAGCCTAGAAGTACTCCGTCAGCGCCTCCTTATAGCCACCAAAGAAGGACAAGGAGCATTCCACCTGTCATGAAATGAACGATGAGATTTTTTCTTACACATATATCATGTTTCAGACCCTTTTCCTCCTCTCCCCCCCCCCCCCGCCTGATATCTCATCTTGCCTAGCTTACCTATCTAGTTTTGATTGCGCTTTTTTCAAGGTTCGGTCTTCTTAATTCTGATGACTTAAAGGGCAGGCATATCATATTTTTTTCGTTTTTTCTACATACCCCCATCAGAATGGAATGACATGTTGCATGCATGGCGGCATTACTTAACGGCAGTTCATCTATTTTTTTCTACGTCTCTATTGTTGCTAGTTTCTTGAGTTTTGATTAATAGTTGCAAGAACTGTGCTGATTAGTAAGGGTCGCAAGGGATTTTTGTCTTCTCGTTAATGGTTGCTGAATGTGAGGAATTAGATAGCAATGAATCGGGTTTTCTTTCCTATCGTATATGTCTAAAATAACAACTGAGTCCACCTGGAGAAAGAGTACCTTGCTAGGCCCAGTAGTTCGTCTCACGGGCTCTCCCAATTCCGTTTTCACAACTTTCCTCTCGATCAATAAATGATGGTTATATTCAGAGGTGTTGGCGTATCAGAGCATCGTAGCGTGCGGGGAGACATATCACGCAATCGAGGGCTGGCATCACATATTGCATACCTTCACCTACTGATTTCTAATAGAAGCCAAGTATCAATTTCACGGTATCCAGGTTAGACATCGATGGCACAGACATCAAAGAGAATATTCTTCGTTTAGAGTATGACGATCAAATCGGTAGCCATCATCGGAGCCGGTGCAGCAGGTATGATATGAAACCGACAACTCGGCAGAGGTGCAACTGTGAGATGTAACATACACTAAAAGTACATGGGTGATGGCATATAGGTGCTGCAACAGCATCGGCATTTGCTGCTGAACAATATTTCGAGAGAATTCGCATCTTTGAGCGCAAGGGGAGTGCTGGAGGGACATGGTTCGTTTTTTACCGTGAAAGCTCTTTAGCCTCTTATAAAACAAGAATGCATGCTAATTGGAATGGACAGGATATACGATCCCGATCCAAGTCCGGTAGCAAGACCTCAACCAGGCAAACTACCGCCTGACATTGACCGTCCGTTGAGAATTCCAGAGGACTTGCCGCGTACTACGGAGCCTTCCTCGCAAGAGCGATGGGATAAGACTCCTATATATGATGAATTAACGTGAGTTCTGGGCAAAATATACATTAGTCATATATTAACGATGGTCAATCAGAACAAATGTCCCCGCCATAGCAATGTCCCTTTCCGAAATCCCATTCCCATACGGCCCATTTGTGCCTCATCATGTGCCAAAACAATACATTGAAAATTATATTACACAATTCAAACTAGATAAGTATTTGGAGCTCAATACGACTGTTGAGGATGTCTCTCGTCTCCCGTCAAAAAGCGGAACGAAGGGCCATAATCGATGGAGTTTGACTCTGAGAAGATATGATGCTGTAGAGCATCTGGATCATTGGTGGAAAGAGGAGTTTGATGCGGTTGTGTTTGCGAATGGACATTATAGCGTTCCATATGTATGTTCTCGATAATCGGCGTGAAAGTCAATACAACGCCATGAGCAGGTAAAGAACTGACATGAACTCCCCAGATCCCCACCGTCAAAGGTCTAGAAACTTATATCAAGATCTTCCCCAATCGAGTAGTTCACTCCAAATCCTACCGATCAGCAGAGCACTATCGCAATAAGAAGGTCCTTGTAATCGGAAACTCAGCCTCAGGGCACGACGTAACTGTCGGCATCGTCAAAACCGCTCGATTACCAGTCTATCAATCGCGACGCTCTGCATCGCATTGGGATGGAAATGAGCCTCCGCCCGGTATAGAATGGAAACCTATCGTCAAAGAATATGTCCCTACGGGAGAGATCATCTTTGAGGATGGAAGTGTTCTCCGTGACCTCGATCTAGTGGTTTACTGTACGGGATATAAAGCCTCGTTCCCATTCTGGAATACCAAAGTCAACGGCACAGAGATCTACGACTATAAACATGAATACGTAGTGGGGAATTATCAACACGTCTTCCTGACGGACTTTCCTACTATAGGTATAATCGGTATTCCGCGAACGCTCACATTCCGAAGCTTCAATTACCAAGCCATAGCACTCGCACGAGTCTTCACAGGCCGAAATGAGCGTCCCTTACCATCTCTCGATAAACAACGAGAATGGCATGCCCGACGATGGGAACTTGTTACTAGGCAACATCGTAAGTTTCACGATGTACCCTGGGATGATGGAGAGGCTTTGAACTATTTTCGTGAGTTATATGACCTTGCTGGCTTGCCGAGGATTGAAGGGTTGGGTCAGGTTCCGCCAGTATTGGATAGTGATACGAGATGGGCGATTGAGAATATTAGGAAGTATCCTGTTCCTGGAGATGGTCGGTTAAAGAAGGAGAGTGGTGGTGGTGGTGATGACGAGGAGTGGACTGTTGTTGGAAGAGGGCAGTGGCGAGATAGTCTTCATTTTATATAGTATCAGCCTGGATGATTGAGTGAAATTTGATACAGATACAATCGAAAGAAGCATTGATTGAATATACACCACGACAAAGTCTTCCAAAGTTGGTTCCAAAATATTACTGAATCGGGCAATACGGTTCAAATTAGGGTTAAAGTTGCTTATCAACACGTCTTTTAGGCGCAACGTACTAGCAGACTGATCCCTCCACGTACGTTATACCGTTTCGTATATTTCCAAATAAAGAAATCTTCATTCAGTGAATGTTAGGGTTCTCTACTGACGAACAACGTAAAGCCAATGTGGGATATCAACTGGTGCGAAAGGCAAAAATAAAACACAGCCAAGAACGAATTGCGTAACACAAAAAGTAGAATAAAAAAAAATATACGTCAGGAAACATATGTACAGGATGTAAAATGATGCAAAGAGTAATGAAAGTAATTGTTCATCAGAATGATTGGTGGAAAAATCAATATATTGGGCGCCCTTCATCCCACTTGCGCGATTCTCTAGGGCTTCGCAAAGTGCTCATGTCCTCATTGCCAGCCGGCGAGGTTTCGTCTCCAGGAGATACGGAAAATCTCACCCTTCCACTCTCCCGGCGAACGCTATCCAGATGACTGCCCAAGCTGCTGCCAACCCACTCCCACGCCCGGGCTACATCTCCACTACGGCTTTCGCGGACTGCTGCTCGCACGTTGGCATTGCCCTCGACCACTGCCTGCACACGCTTCCAGAGCCTCTCTCGACGATTGCCCCGCAGTTCAGACCGTAGGACATCATCTCGTAGCTGACCAATGGCAATCCAGGGCTCCGGTGCCTCTCCGCGCCTATGTAGAGCAGCCTGGGTCGAAAGACGGTCGAGTGTCGTCCCCACGAGCTCAGGGACACGGGCAATGTCTGCTCGTCGAGCAATGAACTCAGCTCTTATATACGCTAGGCCGGCGATAGTAAGGACTAGAAGGAGAATAGGGAGTCGATACGCGATGAGAGAGAGTCTGAGGTGGCGGCGGAATGCGCAGATGATGGGAAGTTTGGCGAGTGAGTTACTTGCGAATGCACGGGAGGAAGCTCTGTCAACGCGAGGCGATCACTGTTAGTGTTCAGGCCATTGTCAGAATCCGGATATAATAATACACGATCCATAGTCTGGAATATGTGGGGAAAGGGAAGATATATGGAGAGATCTTCAACTCACCCTTCGCTCGTGGTAATTTCTTCTCTTGAAACTAGTTCACCCATGGCCGATGCCCACAGGTCATCAAACTCGGCGTCGCTCATTTTCACGCGACTTTTTCCGTGACGTTGATGTTCGACAGCTTTCTTCAGATCTACCTCGGAAACGAATGGAGTCTTGGCTCCATCAGCATCTCCGCACTCATATTTGGCTCGCTGGCCACGGAGCTCTTGAACCGCCTTGTTGGCAACGGCAATTATGCGATCAGATTTCGCGTTATCAACTTCGCATTGCGGTGGAATTGGTAACCAGCCGTTGATTGAGAGTGGATGATATTGCCGTACAAAGCCGTTTTCACATTCGATCTTCAAGTTATCGAAACAAAAGGCATGTGGAGGACACGGTTCACACTGAGGTTCTAGCACATTTGCCCATTCAGGCACGTTGGTATCGGCAAGAGACCATCTAGGCTTGCCAACTCCACAGAAGCCAATCTCGAACTTTTCTTGACGCCACCAGGCTCCAAATCCGGATAGAAGCAAAGCAAGTACAAGTGTTGGCAATCTCCAGGAGATCTCGCTCTGGCGATGCCTGGCCACTGATCGAGACTGAGCGTTGGCAGTCTCGAGAGCTAGCTGCTCGTCTGGCGTGAACTCCTCCCCTGCTTCAGATTCAGACTCATCCTCCGACTGTGGTGTTGCTGTTCTAAGTCGTGAGACTGAGAACTCAAAAGTCGACTTTCTAGGTGTAATAGCATCTTCCTCTTGCTTAATCTTAATCGGACGAGTTGAATCACGTTTACCCCGGTGTTCTGCTAACAAAGTACTATCGCCTGAGACACGAGGTGTGCTCTTGCGTTTACGCTCCCGGCTAATTGTGCGAGTCCGTGGAGTTTGCTCATGAGAAGTAGGAGAGCTGCCGCTTTGGAAGGGGTTTTCGTCGCTGAAAACGCTACCCGCTCGGCTATCAGTCTTGACGCTTGGTGTGTGTTCGACATGTCCGTCATATGACGGAAGTGCCTCGCTCCTGCGGGTTTTGCGAGCGGTAGATCGAGGTTGAGGTGTTTCTTGAGTTATAACAGGAGTCGCAAGATTCTCATCCGCAGTATCCGCTTCCGACGCTCGAGTGCTTCTGCTAGGACGGCCTCGGCGCCTTGGGGTAGCTTGTAGTAAAGTACTGTCTTCAGTATCAGCGGTTGACGCTCGCGTGCTCGGTCGTGAGCGTCCGCGTCGACTTCCGACAGTGGACGGCGTCGGCGGCGGGGGCATCGATTCCCTGTCATCAATTTCATCTTCATCCCCGTTTGCTTCGAAATTAGATTGGCTACTCATATCAGTAATTCCAGCGCTTGTACGGCGAACAAGATCTCTATCACGAAGGAGCTTTTTCGCCTTCGGTAAGACCTCTTTCTCAAAGATGCTAATAAGTTGAGCTTTCTTAGCTGAGGATGGATAGGAGATGTCATGTCTGACAAGGATCGCCCGTAAGCGAGGTACGGTTAAGGATGATAGATCAAAATCTGGTGAGAGGTATTCCAAGTCATCCAAGCCTGACGCCATGTTTCCGTTATTGCCAGGTGTCGGCCCGGGTGTTGAGTCTGTTGAACGAAGTCGTATCCAAACAAGCTATTGCAAAATAACGGAGCCTAGTGTCTACTCCGGCTTTTTTGATGATAGACAAAAGTTCAGAAAAGTTTAGCTTGTGAAGCAAATAAGAGGGGTTCGATATGCAGATTGGAAACGGTTTGATCAAATTGGATCAGAAAAAAAACACGAGTTTCTTTTTAGTTGGTATCCCGGGCAACAAGGTCGTGCTGATTGAATCGGCGGGTGGCCGCCCACTTAGTCGCAATTAACGGTTTCTTCTGTCCTAGATCTATGACAAATAAGTTCGCAGGTTTTTATAATCTCTCTCTGAGGATGAAAAACGGACGAAAATGGAGGGAATGATGCAGGAGATGGCGATGGACTGGGATCAGGATGGTTGCAAGGGAACGACGTCAGTAAACAACTGCTGCACGTGATGAGATGTCACGGAGTGCGCTAGGCCACATACGGAACATTGATATAAAAATGATCTCGGCTCTAAATCTATTCTAACGTTGGATTTATAGGTATTTTGGTTTGCATGGAGCAATGATTTCTTGATTCAGCGATAAAAAGTATCCTCCGAGAACTTGGCAGCAGACATAACCAGAGTTCCAACTTCGTCTACGCGAGCTAGCCACCGATCCAACATCAACCCGGTTACAGTCGAGCTGCTGTCTATGTTCGATTCATATTCAATGCCGTTGTTTTGATGCGCTAGCAGATCGCTAAACGTGAGAACTTGATTCGGTTTCCCGTCAAAGTCAGACTGCACCGGACTGCCCATATACTCCTGCTCCCATTCGGTCCCTGTGCGAGAATTCCACATGCCCTTGGTGCTGGGAAGAGCGAGGCTGGATAGATATTCCGCGCATCCGCAAGCTTTATAGTCCAAACCGGCAGAAGCATCGAACAGAGACATGACTATGAATATGATAAACATCGTTCTATACCAGTACGAGCATCAGCATAGCAAAGAAAAAGCCGCAGGGTATCATACATACCGACGTATAGACTCATCTAGAATCCAGCTTTCCCAGCGTGAGATAGGGTTCTCTATTGAAGACGGCATACAATGTCGGGTGTCTAGTTCCCCGACGCGTCTCCCGACTCTCTGCTTACATATTTAGTCTCAAAGCCTGTGAGAGCAAGGAAGAAGGGAAGGTCCCCATACCAACACCGTATGGATTAACGGAATATCAAAATCAATGATATCCTCGTCTTTTTCCAAGACTCTCAGAATAACATAGACGCACATCGCCTGGAGAGCGGCCAACGCGTCCCAGTCATTGTATACGGAAGACTATAGAAAACCCATTTAGACTCGCCTTTGTAAATGCTGCACGATGGAGTTGGATGATCATACTTCTTGTAAGAGTCGTTCCTGCTCGGACCGGATTGCTTTCCAGATGTGCATACTATTATGCTTCGACTTGACCGACCACATAGCCACAATACCGGCGCAGCGGGCTAGCGGCTCAGGAAGAGATGTATTGTCTGCGCAGTCGTAACTCAGGTGATATGAATGCACGAATGGTGGCATGCCATTTCTGCTAGCTGAGAGCATCATACGTGGATAACTTCTCAGGTTGACAAGGACATACTTTCGATTGAGCGATAGCTCTTGGGGGTATGCTTCTTTAGGCCAAAACAATCGAGGCGACCGCAAAGCGGGTTGATAGATATTTAGAATCCCGGTCAACCTTTGATCAAGATCATCCGTGAATAATGATCTAGTTGTCCCAAAGTCAAATTCTTCTGTATAATGAGGGTAGCATAGAAGTGAATCATCAATGAACAACTCTGGGCACGAGGTCGAAGAGGAAGATGGTGTGAGTGCTGGGAGATTAGCAGGCGCCTGTGACTGGTATTGTGGCTGATTGTGACTGGTCATTGGAGTCTGATATCGGCAAGAAATATTCTTGTCCAAGCATCTTGAGCACGCAGGAAATCCAGTGTCGCAATGCGTTTTAGCCTTAGAACAGTCAAGGCAGGCCTTCCTTCTAGATCTTGGAGGATTCCGGGACTTCCTTCGGCAGTAACTGACATGTCGAATACATGATCTGTCTAGTACAGTTTACTCAGCAAAGTCACTGTCTCGTTAGAAGTAATGACAAAGAATAGACCTACGGTTGTCAAAGCTCTTGTGACAGATACTGCATTTGAAATCCGTTGTCATCTCGCCTGTACGTGATTCAAGTTGACGTTCAGGCATGATTGTTACGGCACGCAATACCGTGCGTTATAAGATCCCGACAAGATGTCCTGGTGCTTAAAATTTTCGTTTCTCAACTAATCGACTCATGAGTTTCAGTTGGAACCTTCGAGAGAGGTTGCGTGAGGTTCTGATGCCTGAGAGACTAGTTCACGGAGCTCCGTGAAACTCCCTCCCTCTAATTGGTCCGGCTTTTCCCTAAGCCATAACCCTATCTGGATATTACACTTGGCTTATTAGTTTCTACGAACCTAAACACTGATTTTACGGTATCCCGTAGATTATGAGAGGGAACATACATATATATAGATCATCAGGGATATGATATTCCACGAATTTGACCAGAGTCTTCCCCATCACTTCTTACTACCTTGTTGAAATCCATCAATCTTCAACACACTCATCATGGCACCAATCCTGGATAATGAAGCTGCATGGCTTGAGTCCCTTGGACATCCTCTAAAAGTTGGCCCTGGACCACAACCGGACCCTGCAGATGATGAAGTTGTGATCATAGTTGCATACGCCGCCGTTAATCCACTTGACTGGAAGGCGAGTGCCCTAGTTTTTTCACCATCTGCTTTCCTTCTCACCCACCTTATCCCGCCTTCTCCGGGCTTGATCGGTTCTGTAATAACATGCAAAAATGTGTATAGCTACAAGACGGTGCGCATCCTGTTGACACGCCTCATATTCTGGGTGCCGACGTTTCCGGAACGGTGGTTCAACTCGGACGCAAAGTAACTCGATTCCAAATAGGGCAGAGAGTGATTGGGTATGAACTCCGTTTCTATATCAATGGATGAGCGAGACTGCTAATCTTCGCTTTCCGTTCAATCTTTCCAGTTTTTGCGACGGTCTAATCATAAACAATAAAGCAAAGACCGGATACCAACGATACAGTACATTGTCCGAAATCATGATAACGGCCATACCGGACTCCTTACCTCTAGCAAATGCTGTCGTGTTGCCTCTGTCAATATCCACAGCAGCCATGGGTCTCTTCGTTAAATTAGGACTTCCACTTCCATCATTCAACCCAGAACCTACTGGGAAATCCATCCTGATCTGGGGTGGGAGCTCATCAATGGGCTGTACGGCTATCCAATTCGCCGTCGCTGCCGGTTACGAGGTCATCACAACCGCGAGCCCTGCCAATTTCGACCTTGTTAAGAGTCTTGGTGCCGCCCACGTCTTCAACCATAAAGATTCCGACATTGTCGAGAAGGTTGCAAAAGTCCTGACCCCCCGCGTCTCGAATGCCTTTGACTGCATTGCCAGTGCAGAAACACAGAAAGTGACCAGTGAAATCCTCAGCAAAATCGGAGGAGGGAAACTCGCTCTTCTGAACCCGCTAGAATGTCCATTCCCGGATAATGTCGAGCCGATTTCTGGTATGTTCCGACTTCAACCCATTTTTTATGTGCGATGTATACAGTGGCTAAAATATATGACTTAGTCTTTGCCTACGAGCCCGGTCTGATGGACTCATATATAGGTGAATTCATATGGCAGACATATGTTCCTGAAGGGTTGGCAAATGGCAAGCTTAAAGCGAAGCCAGAACCAATGGTCATTGAAGGGGGACTCGCAAAAGTTCAAGAGGGAATTGACTTACTCAGAAAGGGGGTGTCGGGCAAAAAGATTGTCATTGAGATTCAGAAATGAAGAAGATATGGATGGCTTCAAGTACCGGCGTCGAGCATTACCAGTATTAGCCGAAAATTTTTTGCAATTTATGACCCTAAGGCAGCGTGACTGAGTGGTTAAAGTGATTGACTAGAAATCAATTGGGTTCGCCCGCGCATGTTCGAATCATGCCGCTGTCGGTTTTTGTGCTTTCTTGTGCGCAAAATCCTCTTCTTGTGGGTGTCATTTTACTTTTTTTTTATGGGATGCGTGAGAAAATGTTACGCTAAGTTATCCACTAGTAAACTCCACTCCTGAGGTGGGTACTGGTAAGGTATTGATTGTTGCGTTCCCGGCCATGTTTAAATACATAACACCAGTTGACGTTTTGTTACCCAGCAGTTTCGAGAAATGGTGTTGAATTATAAGTCCAAAAGTGTGACTCCCAAAGTCCATGAAAGGCAGGGCCATCTAGGTATATCACCTTGGCTTTATCAACTTTCGCGTAGATAGACAGATGATTATGCAGTTCTGAAGATTCCACAATCATTATTTAAATGAAATCTTAATAGAGTAATATAGATAATAATAATAATAATAATAGGTACAAGTCATAAACTGCCATCCGATGCAACTCGCCCAAAGAACCGATATACCTCAAATGGCTAAAAAGCTGTTATCAAACAAAGATTTCACTCTCTCAGTATCGAGAGAACCAGACAACCGACCCCTTGAAATGTCCATATATGTAAGCCGTAAATTGTCATAATCGCAAAAGCGACTCTATGTATAACATGAGCGTAATAACATCTCTCGATGAAAAAGCAAGAGATAGAGGAAGAAAGTCCCGCCAAACCAAATAGATAACCAATCTATTGAGCAAAGCTGACTCGGCCACCCAATGAAAGCCAAAAAGGTATGCGTGTCGAAAGTAACAGTCCGGACTCCGCCCCAATGAAGGTAGAAAGAAAGTTATAAAATTAACACAAATGTGTATATATATGTAGTGTGAGGGTCGTATAGTTGAGTCGGCACCATATTACAGCACCATAGAAAAATTCATTAACATCAGCGGTCGGGTGAGGGAGGTGATAATAGGAGACGTATGTGCGACGAAGAGTTCGAATTGACTCTACTGCTGTCAGAACTGGGTGATTTCAGATCGCGGCCTACGATAGCTGCCGGGTCAGGAGCGCCAGTTGCAGCTGTATTGAGATAGTCCTTGAGGGCTTGGAATTCTGCAAGTTGGCTTTGGAGCTGCGAGATAACTTCCGCCATGGTCATCGCGTGGTCACGTAACGAACCTCCCTGTTTGAATGGATGCATCATGTGACGGATGGCAAGAGTATTGATGCAATTCTCAATTCGAGTGACTTGCGATTCAACGATGCTCAGGATTGTGGCATCTGCTAGTTCACCACCTGCTCTTTGAATTGCCCCCATCAACTGGCGATTGGGCAGGGTGGTCTCACTCGTCTCAGGTGCCTCTAGAGAGCTACAGAGGCGCTCTAGACGGAGAGTAATTTCCCAGAGTTGCCAAATCTCATCCGTACGAATATCCAGTTGAGAGCCTTTCTTGATAGTTGCAGGCGCCAAATCTTCATCTGGGGAAACACCTTCCTGGGCTGCAAGTCTTCCTGAAAGAGAGTGTGGCAGAATGAGATAGACCGATTCCGGGTTCTCGAGACCTTTCAGTTTCTTCTCGCCCTGATCTTTGACAATGAATCCTTGACTGTTGAGTTGTTGTAGTTCTCTACGGATGTTTTGTAGAGGATCTCCGTAGTCGCTTTCCGAGCTTACAGAGAGCGACCGCTCGCTTTCTGCATAGACTTCACTAGTTCGTTGAAGCTCGCTCATGAAATCAGAGGACACAAAGATTTGTCCTCCATCGGCAACAGCTGAGATACGGGACGCTCGGTTGACCATAGGGCCGAAGTAGTCCATACGATTCGTTACCGGATCTTTCTCACAAACTGGTTCGCCCCAGTGAGTGCCCATTCTGACTGAAAGGCCTCTGAATATGAGATTTCCATCTTTATCGTACCGTTCTTTGCACTGCGGTTGTTCCAATATCTCTTTAGGCCACTCGGCTTCTAGTAATTGGGTCTGACAATTGAAACACCAAAGGAGGGCAGCACTAGTTGTTGAAAATGCTACCATAAACGCATCCCCTTCAGTCTTGACTTCATAACCGCCGACTATACCCAGTTGCCGACGCAAGATATCATTGTGGATTTGGATGGCAGACCTCATAGCCTCCGGGCAAGTCTCCCAAAGAGAGGTGGACTTTTTGATATCCGTGAAAATGATAGCCAGATCTCCAACGGGTGCATCGACAAAGTTGAAGCGGGCGAGTCTGGAGTCACCAACAGCATCTCGAGCCCTCCGGGCACGCTTGGGTGGAAGAACCTCTTCGGGGAACGACGATGGACCAACAGAAAGACTAGCGTTTCGAAGCTTTCTGTACCTCTCACGTTTCTTCAGTTCGCTCACCCCAACAATCATCACCATTAGCTTGTTGGATGCTCCGAATGCGATTGCAAGATCACGGATTTTCTGACTTGCGATCATAAGGTCTCTACGTTCAGCGCGTGCGACGTCAACAACTAGATCGAAAGTAATATAATCCCAGACCTCCCGAGATGCCATAATGATCATCTCATCTTGCTCGGTCAATGTAAAGTGAGCAGTGTGCGGCGCTGCGACCACAGAAGGAATCAGAGGAAAGTAACCGAACGCTCGGGAGACAGGAAGCACGTCGTTAAGCTTCCCATTGCGCGAAACAAAGCCACCAGCCTCTCGTATACGATTTCGTTCGCCAGTTTCAGCTGGATCATGGTTGAAAGTAAGGGGTCTGATTGTTCCATCTGACTTGACTAGGACCGCTTGCGCATCACCCACGTTTGCAACATACAAGTCCATGTTTCTCAAGTAGAGTACCGTGGCAACTCCTCCTGAGTGAATATCGTCCTTACTGAGCAATTTCGCAGCAGTAGAACCACGAGTAAATTGACGGACTTCCTTGTCATCTATAGACTTATATGCTGCCCCCGCCATATCCTTGTTCAATGTAAGGAAAGTCCTTCTCAGTGCGTCTAGCGGAGTGTCCGTATCAGGCGACAGCTTTTTCAGCTCATCGACAAAGCAGTGCGTGAAGTTTTCGTGAAGAAATTTCGCAATCTTGGAACCACCAATGGACTGGGACTGGCCGTCAAACATGCCAACCAACGTGTCCATGTTATCAGAACGCAGACGAGGAACCATCATATCAATGATAGATAAATGCTCGTCTTTTCCAAGGAAATCAGCCATTCCGTATGCCAATGATCCTGCAAGCGACGCCGAAGTACGGACACGTCGATCCTCCGTTTCCTCGGGAACCGTTTTAATTGTCAAGGTCACGTCCATTAGACCCAAGATACGCAGGTGCGTCAGTGAGTTAAATCCGGTCAAATCGGTTCCATTGACAGAGTTTGACCCCAAAGAAGCAATGTTCGGTTTGATCTCTAGCCGTTTGTTCCCGGAAAAGTTGAGGTATTTGAGATTACGGTTCCAATTCCAATTCCAATCGTAAGGCCAGTTGGAGACATTATACTTGAGCAGATTGCTGCCCACGTCCAGTATAGCCAATTTGCTGACCTTACAGAGCTCCGCTGGCAAGACCTGGAACCGATTCCCATTCAAATGAATAGTCTTGAGATTGCTCGTTTCCTCCAAGTCATCAGAAGGTAATGATGCGAGTTCATTGCCAGAAAGAAAGATATCGGTCAGATTTTGCCACCTCTTGAGATAACCTTGAGGTACCTCAGTCAAAGCATTGTATGAGAGATTGAGGACACGTAATTCAGGGAGGAAGGCCAACTCTCTGAAAACATCATCTTCCAGGCGATTATCTGCTAGGTACAGATTTCGAAGGGATCCAGAGAACGTTGTGGCAAGTCTTTGTGCAAAGTTTGAATCTTTTCTAGTGGAACCAGATCCATCTGTGTACGCTCGTGATGCCGTCGAAGCTTTGCGGCTACCAGGAACATAATTCGACTGTAACGAGTTGTTGCGACCGATACTAGGCGAGCCCCCGGCAAGACTCAATAGACCCCCTGAATTCTGACTTGGACGCCGTGATTGAACTTCATCAAGAGAAGCCATATTCTCGTAGCTTGGAGAATTAGACAAGCCAGGTGTTGTCGCTTGTGAAGGCGATATATACTCCCCGGGTGGTACTGGGGGTTGGCCGGTGTGCTTTGGAAACCCATCAAGTATATTTGAAGAAACATTCAAGTGTTCGAGCTTCAAACAAAACCAGATCTCAGACGGTAGCCGTTCCAAATTACATTCTCTCAGATTCAAATGTTTGAGTTCTGACAGACAACCGATTGTCGGTGGCAATGATTTCAAAGGATTTTTGATGATGCTGAAATGCTCGAGACGGCGCAACTTGCCAATATAAGTCGAAAGTGACGAAAAGAAATTCTTGTCTAGAATCAGCTTTGTGAGGTTGGGAAGATTCTCAAAAGTCGAATCTTTCAGTTGCACTAATTTCCCTGAGGCGATATTCAAAGAAGTAAGCGTCTGTATAGGAGCATCCAACTCAAACTGCGTAATTGGACAATGGTCAAGTACCAGTGTTCGTAGTTTGGGAAAACTGCCCCTAAATCTCGTCACGGCATTGTGTCCCAGCAACAACTGCTCCAGTCGAGGCAATTGCATAATGCTGTCAACATTTTCAATGTCATTAAACCGAGCATCTATTTCTTTTATGCTTTTTAGACCTTGAAACGACTTATCAAGAGGCCCGGACAACTTGTTATTCGTCACCCATAGGCGCTCCAGCTGTGTGAGGCGGCCTATGTGTGGTAGTTCACGAATGCTGTTGAAGCTAATATCAAGATCGACCAAGTTTGGAAGATCGCAGAGAAAGTCCGGGAAAATCTTGAAGTTGTTTGAAGAGAGTGTCAGACTTCGCAATGAAGAGTAATCCCTGAAATAGTTTGGCAAAGATGACAATTTGTTATTCGCCAATTTGATACTGACAAGACCATGTAGCTCAGATAGATCGGTATGGTCCAGCGTGTCAAGCCTGTTATTAGAGGCATCGAGGTATGTAAGTCGAGTAGCCAGTCGGAAACTGGCTGGTAGGCGCCAGGCTTCATTGCTCATGAATTTGATTTCACGTAAGTTGATACAGCTCGTTATGAAGTCTGACGGCACGTCCATGTCTAGGTTGCGTGATAGGTTCAAAGAAATGATCTCAGGCGCTCTCTTGTAGAGACTTATTGGTATCGTAGCAAGACTGCGTCCTTGAAGATCAACGTGACTGAACTTCTGACTCTTGTTGAATCCAGGGTCAGCATCCAAAGTGACATAGCTGTTAAGTTTGGTGGGCAGGAATATAAATCGACATATATAACTATGATCTTCACGGCCGACATCCTCAATTCTATCCTTCGGCAGGTAGCCCACTTGTTCAAGGAGCCTCTTTTGTAGTAGAATAGGACGTTCCCCATGTTCAAGTTGCCTTGACAGATCGTTCTTGCGCATGACAATTTCATAGTTTTTCAAGTCATCCTGAAGAAAAGACTTCTTCCCAAGCAATTCCAGAATATCTGAGACTGTTGCATGCAGAGGAGCTGACAGTGTTGCAAACGTTGAGTCAATGCGAAAGACACGAATGAAATAACTAGAACTGTCATGTATGGCGGCAGCTTCGAGCTCGTCATCTATCTCGGGAAGACCACGCACAACATCGTCGCCTCGCTCTATAACTCGCCAACTATCAGGAGCATTCCAATCGCCAACCTGATTTTCTTGCGGCGGTCGGTCCTCCCCCAGAGTACCGTCGAAGATCGCTGGTTGGTTGTTAGGCGAAAGTGGTCTGGGTCCGCTGACTATGCCTTCCATATTATCAAGATTAGTGTCAAGTGGAAAATAATTCTCCTCTCGCCGTGTTGGCGACTTGTTTGCAGTGTGTTTTCGGACTTTCTTGACCCCGTGAGAACGAATGCCTAGGCCTCTCCCATCTTTCTTGCGGTCATACTCGAGGCTTTCACCATGTCTTCCCACGCCATCATCAAGGCTACCCTGGCGATGCCGATAAGGCGAGGTGTCGCGTTTGGGCCCCTTGGCAGCACTTCGTATGGCATCATGCAAGTTTTTTTCTGAACCTGGTAGGCTTTTCAAATTAGAAGACTTGCTGCCCCCAAGTATCCAATGCCTAATAAAACCACGCTTAGGACCTGGAGAGTCATGGCCCGAGCCAGTATCTCTCTGAACTATGGAGCTTTGAGCACTAGGGGTGGGACTTGTAGGACGTCCGGCCAAAGTACTCGTTGAACTCATTGCGGTAGATGCCAATAAACCCCCGGCGTCTCGAATATGGGAGCCTGCATCGGCATCTTGAGGGTTGGCAGAACCAGTCGACCGAAAGGTAGACTCGTAAGACCCAGCAGATGTGGGTTTTCCTTCCTTGCTTCGAGAATGGCGTCGTCCCGGAAAAGGAAGTTTATGTGAGGATTTGTGGTCGGAATTGATAGACGCGGCTTTGCCATTGGTAAAACGTTGACTGTCAGGGCCAGTGGGCTCCTTCCGTATGGGTGCCTCACCATAGTGGGGGATATCCTGTACGAAGTGATATTAGAGTGAATTGGGCTTGAGGAGTATTGAGGGGCAAGTACTTACGTTGTATTGTTGGAAAATCCACGGGGTGACTTCACTAGAGGGTGCTGGTGTCAGTGGTCTTGAGGGCCGTGGTGATATGGTTCGAGCTTTAGAGCTCTCCGATAAAGGTTTTGACGCCGTTGAATCATTTCGATGTCGTGACACGGGAGTCTCACGGTTTCGAGTATTAGGTTCGGAATGTTCACGCCTACTGCTCTCCGCAGAAGCATTTTCGTCTCCGGTGCCGTTCCCAAAGAACCCATGAAGCCGCTTACGGAAATGTCCGTTCTGGCTCGACTTGGAGTTACTGCTTGTTGCACTTGCAGCAGACTCTCGTCTAAATTCCTTGTAACCGAAATCGTGGACATCGGAATCTGAGGTGGCCTCACTACCGGGACGGAACGAGGGAGTAATCGGCGAGACCTCGTGCTCGGACGCATCTTGAAGGAAAGTGCCAGAGTTACGGTGGAAAGGTTCGGTTTTGTCTTGCGGTACTGGTGACGCTGGTGACGCTGGTGCCGCCCATGATGCGCGAAAAGGGTCGTGGGCTATCGGATTGAGGGTGATTTGATAAGATCCGGACGCAGGAGGAGGTGGTGGCGGTGGCGCCGAGTTTAGAGAGAAGTAATCATCAGCACCTAAGATTGCCAATGCTTTGCGATGATTTGGCACACCAGGGCCGGGCCTGCGTAGATCAGTCGGGGATATGGAGGGGGAGTGAGAAAACATCGATGTATATAGCTCGGGAGGTGTGGGTGCATCACCTTGTCGGCCAGAGGGGTACCTAGAATCAAAATATTAGAAACTATACGTTTCGCAAACGGCAAGTGAAGAATGAGCCCAAAGAGTAGTTGACCGGAGTCGAAATATCCAATGGGGACCAATCCGGTGTAAAACATATGGCATGGAGCCAACTGCTAGAATCTCAGTTCAGAGCGAGCATACCTTTTCAGACCTGACTGCGACGGTGTCTGGCGGCCATTACCATTCCCATTTCGCAACCCGTTCGCAGCAGTGTCATCTCTCACTGTTGACTGCGAACGATAGCTGCTAGTGGAGCTTTCCGAGCCATGTCGTTCGTTCAGGGACATGAGGTCCCCGTTTCGCCTGGCCATGAAGCGGGGTTGTTGACAAGTCTCTCACAATTGCAGTAGAAGGAAAGTGTAAACGCGCAACAAAAGCCTCTCTCCAACCCTAGCTCATTTGATACTGCACGGGTAGCTCGAAAAGTCACGAGTTTGATCGCCGACCATGGACCGAAGAATAGGAGCGGAATTGCGGTTGCGGTGACGTCTGCAGCTCAGCTGGAGAAGTAGCAGTGTGGAATTGAGATTGAGCAAGTCGCGTAGTAGATGCTCAATGCGGCGATATATCAAAGGGAGAGAATGCGTAGGCGATGCGACGTCAAAGATACAAGATGGATTTTGTATATTCACGATTAGCGCAACAATGCGACGGCATCGCTACATGACTCGACCGAGTTGCAGCAGGTAGAGCATGGAGAGGTAGTATATATAAAGACCCTGTTTGGTAATGCTTAAAAGTTGTCGTGAGTAATCGAAGATATATTTTAGTGATAAAACAAATGACTCAAACCACGAGTCGAGTCATGGAGAAGATGGCCGGGGTTGTAGGTTGAAGGTTGAAGGTTACAGAGAGGTAAGTTCAATCGTTTAGTTCAGTTTTGGCGGGAGCGAACGGTCAATCTGGACTGGCGGTCTTGGCACTCGAACCGGGGTCGACGAGAGCCTAAAAGGGTTAGCCCTCAACGAGCACGAATTCCGTTGTCGAGATCTTTTCACCTTCGTACACCTACGAATCTGACCTGGATGCATTGCTCGGCGGCTTATTCGTTTAAATGATGTGACTACTATACGTAGCAGACGTTGGATCTGCCCCTGGACACTCTGGTCAATGCGTCATAAAGTGCATAGAGTAAGTACATGGAGTCACTAGTAACTACTGGGAACACGACGCTGAATGTTCAGCTTCATACAAAATCATCAGAACTATGAGGCCATGAAGCAGGTCATATTTTTTTTCACACTCATCGAAGCGCTCACTCATCATAGCCTTTCATCCCGTCTTGCAGTCTGGATAATCTGCCCAGTTTTCAGGCCGCCCGCTTTGTCTCAAAGACGTGTATTAATATCTTTGTATGGCCCGACTCATACAGAAATTTGTCATAAATGCTTATGCGGTGACATCATGTATAATTGTAACGTATGAGTGTTCTCGACGTTTCTGCAGCGTGACATTAGAGACTCCTAACACTTATAGACTCAGTATATAAAGACTACTGACGGAGTACTCCGTGGAACAGAGGAAAGTCTCCCACAATCCACATATCAACCAAGTACTAATCCCACTGCGGCATGTATTTCGTTATGTCAGCTTCTCTTCATGCATCCTCCTGCTTGATTTGAGACTGGTCATGCACTCGTCGCGAATCTAGCCACTTTGAGGAAGAATGGGGGATGGTGGAATCTGAGTCTAAACGGACAAGCTGAAGATGAAACACCAAGGGTACTAAAATAGCCCTTCCTGCATGGATCGTTGCCAATCTTGAGGCTGAAATGCAGCTTGCGTCTAGGAATAATGTGATCATGCATTTTTCTACTCTTGATCGCTTTAATAAATCGTGAAGATTCCGACTCGAACACAGGAATTAATTTTGTTTGACTGAACTGAAGGTCCCGATAGGGCTTCGGACAGTATCAAGTTAACTACAGAAACATTTCTGAATGCGATCTACATAAAAGATATCTCTTTTGAGGACCAAATATGACAGTGGAAGACCCATACACAGTATCTCATGGCTATGCCCGATTTTAAGCAGAACCTCATTCCCACCATTAAATAGACACGTCAAGTAAATGAAGGTGTGAGAAACAGGGTGCTACCAAAAGTGATCAGACAAGCTCTAGATCAATTGAAGACTGATAATGCTCTATACTAGAAGCTCTGGGACCTTAGAAGCCATTTACTAATCCCTCAATCGAACTTCATATGTTACAGCTCGAACGTCAGCCTTAAACGCAACACAAATACTCCGTACCCACAATATCATTCAAACGTCTTCTTGCCCGGAAGATGCATAATAATCGCGTAGAACCTCTTTGCAGATTCTGGGTCTGACAGTAATATTGATTTCATACGGAGTCGATGTAGCATAAATCCTGAACACTCTGAACAGACTCCATACATAGTACGTACAAAAAGAGGCTGGACGGTGGGCCAACCCCACGTGGTCCAAGTGCCGCTTCCCGCCTCTTTATTTTCTGACCAATCAAATGCATCAAAAGGAGTACACAACAAAACCATCAGCAAATGATGATGTCTTGTCGATACAAGTAGAGGACCCCATAATTTGCAATTATCATTGATGTGCCATGACGGTGTACACGTCAGCGGGCTGTGGCTGTTGAACTTTTTCGAAACCTTGCAATGTCTGGAACTCGATGCTGTCAAGTTTGCTCCATATGGAACTCCGCAATATCCTCCATAGTCAGCCAGAGCCATATCTCAATGTCCCTTTATCAACACAATGCTCATTGCAATTGTCTGTAAGAAATTGTCATCGTCTACTGGATCTCATCATAACAACTGGTCAATGATCGTTGTCCAGTTGTGGTTTAGCGCCCGACATGGCTGGGCAGAGTTTTCTTTCATTGGCCAATGCACTGATTAGGCTCAGATGTCTAGAAAATCGCCCCACCGTGCCAAACAGGAAAACAGAAGAGGCTGGTAAACAGTAGAGGTATACGTTACGCTATATCAATAACAATCTCTTGAAAGCCTGAAGAGTTTTCTGCTTTCCTTCCAACTTGTGTGAAGTGACTTGTGTGATTACCCAAGCATCCTCTTTTGTTCGAGTCAGTCAGTCAGCTTCTTGTGTGATCGGTTCTTGCAGACAGACTTTCCGAATTGCTCAGGCTAGATAGCCAAAGAGCTTTTCCTTTCCTTTTATCGATCGGATTGAGTCTTTCATCGCGACAACATGAAGTTCTCCGGGTTGGCTGCAGCAACTGCTGCACTGATCCTATCAACACAAGTGTCTGCACAAACTTATACTAATTGCGACCCCCGAGAACAAAGTGGTAATCACCCCAAAATAACTCTATCAAGTTACAGTATGTCTAACTCTTTATCCAGGCTGCCCACCTGACCCAGCACTCGGCGGTTCCGCGAACTTCGATTTCACCAAAGGGGCTCAGAAAAGCTGGACGGCATCCGGCAAAGTAGAATACAGCAGCAGCACAGGCGCAGCTTTCACAGTTGCCAACTCGGGCGATTCACCCTTAATCACCTCCGACTTCTACATCATGTGGGGCCATCTCGAAGTTGTTCTTCAAGCAGCCCCCGGCACCGGCATTGTCAGCAGTATAGTGATGCAATCAGATACCCTAGACGAGATCGATTTCGAGTTTCTTGGAGGCCAAGACTCGAATGTACAAACAAACTACTTTGGTCACGGTGACACATCGCAATACAATCGTGAGCAGACGATTGCAATGTCGAACAACCAGAACAGTTTTCATACGTACACAGTCGATTGGACGGCCAATATGATTGTGTGGCAGGTTGACGGCAAGACTGTTCGCAGCATGACTCCAGCATCCGCCAACGCAGGCCAATACCCTCAGACCCCGATGATGATCAAGATTGGTATCTGGGCTGGCGGTGACCCCAGCAACCCATCAGGCACAATCAACTGGGCCGGCGGAACGACGGATTATAGCAAGGGCCCTTTTACCATGTACTGCAAATCGGTTTCGGTGATTGATTATTCGACCGGAAAGCAATATGTCTATACCAGTCAGAGTGGAACATCAGACTCCATCTCGGCTGTAGGAGGCAGTGTTGATGGTAATATGGCTGCGACCGCATCGGTGGCTACAGATGCCTCTGCGGCAACAGTCACTTCATCTGGGGGTGATGCCCCTATCCCATGGGCTGGCACTCATCGCGAAACCTCGTCTTGGACTACTCCAAACATTTGGCCCTGGGTAGCAACCGCCACTGCGTCAATTACGAATGATAATCCTTCATCTGCGCATACTACTTCCGGTAGTGACAAGTTGACTGTGTTTACAATGTTCTTTCCAGTCTATTTCATTTCAACCTCCCTTGTCTTTGGGTTCCTCTTCCCTCTGTGGCGTTAAGTGTACGACCAACAACGAACATGGTCGCACTCTACTGGCATCACATCGACACCATGAGACCCGTTAGAGCGGTCTTATGATACACTTCTCTCTTATCGACACTGATGCCGACATCTCCTTCATCATTCCCCGCCACCACTAAGATGTGGTTGAGAGTATTATCTTCATCTCAACCACTTCGACTACACATCTATCATCTCCAACTTGAGAAGCCAGCTCACCATTCTCAAAATTACGCTTCTCATCTTCACTACAGTGAAACACCCGCATCAGATAGGCTCACCTATCTTGTAAATTTCCCGCGTCATTCCTCATGGTTACATCATTAGCGGTTTATACACCTCATCAGTCATTTTTTCCGGCGTTTTCATCCTATTCACGACTGGGGTGCTCTTCATTCATGCATTATGATTCATGGCAAGTACAACATAGCTCTTGCTTTCCGCAAATAGATTACCACATACATCCACCAAGACAACGGGTGGATTCGGCGTTTTGTTTTTACGAGGATGAGGCTTTTTTCCATGGACATGCATTTTCGAAGATTCTAATGTGTATAGTAACGAGTTAACAGACAACAATATTTACCAATAGCAGTTCGAGGCCATTGATATATTCACACTTCTCCACGTTTCTCTACATAAAGATGAGATCTAAAACTTTTTAAACCCATCCATGGAGTATTCACTGGGCTTTCACCTATGTATAGAAACATATCATAAAGCCAACCCCCGAAAGCAGTACCACAGAATGGCGCAACCATGGGAACCTATCATCTCGTATCAGGATATGCTGCATCCAACACTGTCGGCGAAGGCATATAACTTACCCAAAAGTAATAATTTCCAGCGGCCCAGACATTATGACCATAACCAATCATATAACTCACAAGCCTTGGGCCAAAATCGCGCGCAAGATTAATCGCATACCCCGTCTCCCATCCAAAACAGGCACCGATCCCAAAGATGAGAAAGAATAAAACCAGCGGAGCCAGTGGGCCAGCACCGATGTTGTTATCATCATTAATTGCAAAGATGGTAAACATCAGTATTGAACTGGCAATGAACTCGGAAAAGAATTGGCCGGTTTTGGTCATGAATGGTGCAGGGTATGTACAGAATATCCCTGCTGTGGCATTCTGTGAATATCCAGGCACTGTACGAATATTGGGACCGCCTTCATAAACGTCAATTGCTGATTTGTAGTTTGCGTAGACGATGGCGGCTCCAGTCATGGCTCCCAAGATTTGAGCGAGCATGTAGATGGGGAACTTGCGCCAGGGGAATTTGCGGTATAGACAGTTTGCGAATGTTACGGCTGGGTTGATGTGGCCGCCGGATATGCCGCTGGTATATACGCCTAGCATGACAGCAATTCTAGGAATTCAAGTCAATTACTTCTCGACAGTTGCAGGTAAAAGATGGAAATTTATCATGAGGATCATCTCACCCCCAGCCCCATGATATAGACTGATAGTCACCTCTCTGATTTTTACTCAGAGTGACTTGCGCAACGACTCCATCACCAAATAAGATCAAAATCATGGTTCCGAAGAATTCTGAGAACGGTTCCCTTGAGGCTTTTCGAAGTCGAGTCCAGAGGAGCTGCTTCTGATTGTAGCCCTCCGATTCGATGACTGAGAGAGGAACAAGAGTTCCATTCCCGATAACATTTGCCCTATTAGGCCCGCTCATTGTTTCGGCCAGGCCTTCGTCAGTAACCATACTACCCTCTCTGGAACAGCTTCACATGAGAATACAGGTATACGACCAAGTGGGTGACTAAATCAGAGCTGTCCACAGTGGGCGCTCGATTATAGCGTTCTTATCTGGCTCTTCTTGAAGTCCTCCCAAAAGGACCCAACACTGTGATCATCTATCGTACGACGATAGTTCTGCCACTGAGTTACTGTGCCATGAGACAAAAGTCAAGTCCACGCATTTTGTGCTACAGCCAGCTTATTAACACCGTTACAATAAGACTTGTACTTGAAACCAATTTGCTAGAGGGTCTCACGGGTCTAAATCAGCGTCAGTTTACTGAATAACAAAAGCTAAATCACCGAAACGTCTCTAAACGAGCTGGTAGATGTCGTACAGAGACACTGATATGCACCGAGTTCCTCGTTTGAAGACCATGATTTCGATGACAGTTGCATTGTTGTACGCCCCCGGATGATTAAGACATGGCGACGGCTTATCGAGGTGGAACACATCATGTAGTATTGGCTGGACAAGTATCGCCAAATCGAGACAAATCTTGCATTCCGCTCGGTTTTCACCAGTATCATCCTTGTACTAAGCGCAGTGCAACACTCGTTTATCAGGTGCGAGAAAATTTGACAGAATTTGTTTATCATGTTCAGAAAGATTCCAACTTCACGTTGTCATCGAGTATGGTATAATTGTCGCCGGATTATGTACCCCGGATTATCCATTATCGTTGTTGGGATCGTCCTTCCCCGGACCCGGTTTTTCTCATCTGTCGCATGGGAATGCCATAGCGATGGGGTCTAGAATCCGTCTTGCATTCCAGAGAACTAAGAATGGAGAGGGAATCCACTCTCGCACATGAGTTGGTACATGTCCTTATGCTGATCGTATCAAATACTCCTAACCCCGCATTTTCATGATGGCGCAGCAATGTAGCATCCTTTCATAATCCCGACGGTTTCATCAATGTTCAGGCTTTGTATAGAAAGATAAGTATTGTCACAGTGGCTGCGCCGTTAGGTAGGTCATCCTCGCACAGGGGGCGAGTTTCCTGAACGTGGTTGCACTAATGACTCGGTGTGTGATGATGATGATGATGGAACGAGCGTCTTCTGGCACGTTGGACAATGTGTAGGGATTTGTCTGATGCTGTGCGACAAAGGTATCACTGAAGCACAACCGAAGGAGTGCAGAACCAGTTAAATACGCCCCACGGAGACCCCAGACTCGTATTCATCTTAGTGCAGATTCTGGAGAAGCGCGGGTTGCTTATCAATCCCCGGCCTCGTCCGATTCATCCAACATTCGAAATACAGCCCGGTAGTTCTCAATTTAGAGCGCACAGACAACGATTCGTCCGATCCAACAAAGCCGGCAGCCTCGGTGCCTCAAACTTTCTGACAGGATTGGCACTAACGAAGACACAACAGCCGGCGAAAGATCCGGGATTCTATTTCTCCCCCAGTCACATGGAGCTATTCGGGTGGGGGCAAGCAATCAAGATGCCCCCAATCCGATTATTTGCTGTTCAGATGAAATATATTGGCGCCGTCCCCAAACAGAATGGTTGAACACTCAATGCACTCTTGCTTGGCTACCGGTTGCTGTTGACTGCTATCGCCTTTTTACCTTCCATCAACGACAACCCCTGTGAGGTTGTCATAATGCCGGGTTTAACTGAGTCTTTCGTTGGCTCAATAGATCAGGGAACAACAAGCACCCGGTTTCTGATCTTCAACAGAGACGGTGAGCCTGTTGCATCACATCAAGTGGAATTTGAACAAATATACCCAAACCCAGGGTATATTCAACTCATGAGCCTTGCTTTGTCAGTCCTATATGCTAAGTATTTGTAGATGGCACGAACACGATCCCCTCGAGCTCGTTTCGTCAGTCGAGACATGCATTGAAGAAGCAGTTAAAAAATTCGAAGAGATCGGGCACACTCGAGAGTCCATAAAGGCAATCGGAATAACCAACCAGAGGGAAACAACGGTGCTATGGGACTCCGAGACTGGAGAGCCTCTGCACAATGCAATTGTGTGGACAGACACTCGGTCACAAACTATTGTGAGGGAGCTAAGATCCAGGAAGGGTGCCGAAGATTTGCAACAAATCTGTGGTTTACCTCTCTCGACATATCCATCTTCGACGAAACTGCTATGGATGGTCAAGAATGTACCGAAGGTCAAAGAGGCATATGATAAGGGGCGGCTTGCGTTCGGTACTGTCGACTCATGGCTGGTATATAAGTTGAATGGCGGACCAGCAGCTAATGTATTTGTTTCCGATCCAACGAACGCATCGAGAACGATGTTTATGAATTTAGCAACTCTCGAATACGATGATCGCCTTCTAGACTTCTTTGGGGTCAAAGGAAAGATACATCTACCTCGAATCGTGCCTTCGTCAGACAGAAAATCGTACGGAAATATTTCTTCCGGTATCCTTGAAGGAGTCCCAATCATGGGATGCCTAGGAGATCAATCTTCCGCCTTGGTAGGTCAAAAGGGGTTTTATCCCGGTTTGGCAAAGAACACATATGGAACAGGCTGCTTTCTCCTATACAACGTCGGGGAGAAGCCCGTGATATCAAAGCACGGCTTGCTGGCAACCGTCGCATTCCAGTTCGACGGCAAACCTGTCTATGCTCTGGAAGGTAGCATTGCCGTAGGGGGTTCAGGGGTCAGATTCCTGCAGAATAACCTCAGCCTGTTCAAAGAATCCAAGGATATCAATGAATTGGCAGCAACTGTGGAAGACAACGGTGGCTGCATCTTTGTGACGGCTTTTAGTGGTCTGTTCGCTCCATACTGGATAGACGACGCTAAGGGGACGATCTGTAAGCACTCATATATCCAGAGGCGTCGAGATTTGACTGATGAAATATTAGTTGGCATCACACAATACACACAAAAAGGCCACATTGCTAGAGCGACGTTGGAAGCAACTTGCTACCAAACTAAAGCAATATTAGATGCTATGGAGAAAGATAGTGGACATGCGCTTTCAGAGCTTGCTGTTGACGGAGGCATGAGTAACTCAGATCTCGCGATGCAGGTACGCATTTGAAGTACTGACCCTGATTGACGTCTTGATTAATTGTCCTGGCCTAGATTCAAGCAGATCTAGTATCAATCCCAGTATACCGTCCCAAAATGCGGGAAACCACTGCTCTTGGAGCCGCTATTGCCGCTGGCTTAGCCCTAGGCCTTTGGCGCAACTTCACCGAGTTGAGAGACATTAATCGCGCTGGTGGTGCAGTCTTTGAACCTAGTGTACCTCCTGAGAAAAGCGCCGAGATGTTTGCTCTCTGGGAAAAGGCAGTTCAAATGTCGAAAGGATGGGTGAAAAAGGATAATGAAAACATAAATGGAGTACACCAAATTCGCAGACCGTCAGTCATTGCTAATGGCAAGCCTAATGAACCAGTATTCATCACACAATCCGTCTATGATGACTTGGATGGAGCAGATGAAGAAGATCTGCTACTGGAACTACGCAAGATTGAGATTCAACAGCGTTTGAAGCGTTTGAGAAAAGAATCGAAGTCATAACTACCTAGTAGTATGATATTGGTTGGTCTCATTTGGAGGCTGCAAAGAGTGAACGTTCAACTGATAATGAAAATGAATGAATGATCGCTAGAGAGTCTAAGCAATGTTTTTGTAGGTCATGGTACATAGGAATGGTCAGGTGATCTACCTGGGTGCTGTTTCAAATAAGGAAAGGATGGCGCAGGCCGACATCTCACATACACCATCATGAGCATAATCGTTATTTCATGTCATAATAACACATCTTGGAAGTCGTCTCATGTCGAAAATGAATCATGGGCCTCATGGCTTCTGGCCGTAAACGGTGTAACTGTGAGGTTGTTAGATCGGGAGGCGTTGATTGATAGGTATCTCGCTGGGGGTACTTACAGGTCTATCGAGATAGGTGAGGCATGTGCATCATCATTCATTAGGGTGTCACTGCAGGTGTACATTTGCTGCTTTCGTGAGTTAAGTATTTGCGCCTCCATTAGGCCTCGACGAAATCTTACCAGCTTCGAACTCACAGCACTCGACATCATGGGTTGATTTTTTTTGACAACGTGCACATTTATGAACCCAGCTTCGTGCATCCATTGCGCGAGAAATGGTCCTGGATAGATAACCTGTCCTTGGAAGGCCGCAGATTGATGTATATGCTCATGACGGTGACTGTACAATGGATCTATATCCTGAAATTCTACCCATCCACCAGAATTGCAATTTCTAATATCCAGTTAGACCGGAATTTATGATGGGGACCAACAAACCTTACTCAAAACATCGTCGCATCAGCCGATGCCAGTCGAGGATTCTGCCAGCCAGGAGGCGAGCATGAATAAGATCAAATGAGCGGGAATACGTCCACTCTTGCTCAAACCCATCAATCTCAAACGACAAATTTGGAGGTACAAGGATCGGTTGAGAAGGACTGAGCTCGACTCCAATGACCTCGGCGCTTTGATATGAATCTGCCATTTCAATGCACCATGTCCCCGTTCCACAGCCGATATCTAATATGCGTTGCGGATATGGGTTGATAGGGGCAAGATGCAGATACCCATCCGAAGTTGTCGTGAAAATAAGATGCATTAGTTCCAATCGTTCCACTTCCTCCTCATCGTACGGGGAAGAGATGCTGTCGAGGTCTACTGAAGAGTCACACCATCCATCATCTGACCAACCATAAGCTAAGACACCGAGTCAGCTCTGCCGTGTTGTGAAAAAACAGATTGAGGTAAGTTACCATCATCTTTCTGGACATACAATTGTCCATCTTGAAAGGAATAGTCTACAGAATCCAGGTCCAACGACATTGTGGACTCGTTGTCTCTATCAAAGGTATCAGTTATCAGGCAACGTAGGCGGAGAAGTAGATAGGAACAGGAAAGGTTCACTGACATTTCCGAATACCCCTCATCTATGAAATGTGTAGGTCTGACAGAAAAGACATCTCTCATGTTGAGGGTTCTTCAGGTTGAAAGACTCGCCAGGGTAGAATCAACACGAACACCTAAAGGTGAGAAAGTGTGAGATAGGTAACTTCCAATCCTAAAATTTATTATCGCCAGCTTATCATATATACAGTCTCCAATAATCTGATAGCTACATGTCGCCTACATTGTTTGACTGTCTTTGAATCAGGCCCTCGAAGGCAGTTCGGACCTCACACGTCTATTAATCAATAGAAAGAAAGCTTCATCACTTAACAAGTTAACATTGAGGTAATATCAACATTGAGGGCACACATACAACATTAGAGTTTTTTTTTCGGAGAGAAATTCCCTTTGACCTTTCCATATTTCTTTTGTTCGGCTTTTTGTTCTGGCTACCTGGTTCATCTTTGTTGTAGCCATCCATCGCTCGCTTAAAACATCAATAACCCATGGATCTAAGCCAGGAATATGGAGTATGGGTTGAGAAAAAACAACACAAAAGAAAATTCCCAAATAGTAAGTACCTTTAATATCGCTCACGACTATGATTAGCCATTTGATATTGCATATTATCCATGGATACTTGCCTGTGGAACGAATGTGTTACTTTGTGACTTGTAAGCGCCCATTTTCGCTTTGTTAGATTCCTGGATGTCAGGGTACGCATATTGGATGGGCCCCCCTATGGAAATAACCCGACAACACAAAGAGAAAGAAGAGATATACTGTCCTGTTTATGTCTATATTCTGGGTTGTTGAGTATGTCCATTTGTCATCTCATATGTGGGAGTCAAACAATAAACAACAAATGACCGAAGATGTCCGTCTGTACTGGAAGAGCAAAGAAAATGTCATGTTCTTACCTAACTAAACTCTCAATTATGTGTTTATCTCGGATTTTTCGGTATAAGCCTAAAAGACCGATTCACCTTTGGGGACATATCGACTATTTAGGTAGGTATTCTTTATCCTCTCTGGAAGCAGACATCCTTCCTTGCCCTACATACGATAGAAGGGTCGACTGAACTCTGTATGGTGATTCGTGACTCTGGGATTCCTTTTGTTTGAGTCTTGTGCAATGTGAGAGAGGAGATAAGTGGTAGAGAGGATCTCATGACAAGAAAGACACACGGTGTCTGCTCAACCCCGGGCCTGCAATGAGTTCGAGGTAGATGTTGCTCAATTGCCTAGGTAGGCAAAAAATGCGAGCAGTTCATGCGATCTCCAAAAAAGGAGAGGAAACGAAACATCCACATAACCAACTCATCTCGCCGATATTGAGGACAAGGCACGGCCATGTGCTGTCATGGTCACCGCAGCAGATATACACTCTTTCATCGAATAGGCTTGCTACGTCTGTACATATCTTTCTTTTTGTTTGATTCCAACCTGTCAAAGAGGTTCGGACCGAGGAATCGCCAATTCAAATCGTATCTTCATTCATAGAGGCCGGATGCATACTTCTCGGTAGCTCCGGTGGCCAAATTGATGCTTTTAGAAGTACTGGATGATGCGACGTAGACAGTATGTCAAGAGATACCAGAAGTTTGAGGTGATTCGGAGGAAGAAACTGACATCACCGATATGGATGACTAATATGGACCATGGTCACGTGACTGCGTATTGTATTTGTTTTTTCGACTGTAACTAGCTCTACCTGTAGCTTACGAGAGACTTCACTAATTATTGGAGTGATTCTTTGGAGATCCCTTGGAATATTAGGACTCGCGCAGAATTTACTCAAGGCGAGCATCTTATAAAGTAGGTGTGAAAAGGCTTCGAATCACCAAAGAAGAAAGGAGAAAGGCGAAAGACTCCATGACAAAATAGCCACCCTGTCTCCAAAGCCTTCACCAGCACCAGGAGCCACAACATGGCGCCAACAGACGACCTCAAAGCCCATGCGGCATCATCACAAGACTTTTACGCACTGCTAGAAATATCCCCCGCTGCAGCAGATAACGAGATTCGACGCGCATATCGACGAGCAGCCTTAAAATACCATCCCGATAAAGTCGCAAACCCAACACAAGCAGATATCGACAAGTTCCATTTACTCCAAATCGCATACGATGTACTCTCCGACGAGGCTGTGCGGCAGCTCTACGACAATGCGCGTGAGGCAAGGGAGCGGAAAAGGAGGGAGGTGGAGATGATGGATGCGGCGAAGAGGAAGATGAAAGAAGATTTGGAGGCTAGGGAACGGGCAGGTGATGCGGGGGCTGCAGCGGCGCAGCGAGGGTTGAAGAGGACGTGGATGATGTCTTCTGCAGCGGATAACGAGGCGGAAGAGAGGCTGGAGAGGGAGATTCAACGGATTGCGGAAAATTCGCAGCGCAGACGGCGAGAGGCTGAGGAGAAGTTGATGAGGGAGACGGAAGAGGAAGAGAGGCAGGAGAGGCAGGAGCGTTTGGCAGCAGAACAAGAACGTGAAGAACGGGATCGAAGCAGTGCGCGAGTAGATAGATCTAAAGAAGGTGGTACGAATGTCCCGGAACTCGAGAGGGCTGTGAAAGTGCACTGGATTCGAGAAGGGCCGGGTGAAGCGTTTGATAAGGACAGGTTAAAAGAGCTCTTTGCGACGTTTGGGAAGGTGGAGAATACATTTCTACTCAAGGACAAACGACAACGAGTAGGCGAGAAGAAGGAAAAGAAAACTGTGGCGACTGGGGTGGTGGTTTTCACATCGATAGTCAGTGCTCACTCGGCTATTCTCGATAGCGCAAAAAAGATAAAGTCTGGAGCTGAAGGCGACTGGGCCATTCTTGACTCTGTAGTATGGGCTTCAGGTACTGGACCTGATCTTAAGTCGAGACCGGATAGCCGCTCACCAGCGACCACGCCAATAGCGTCGCCGAGATCTACATCGTCCTCTACATCAACGCCATCGATTCCTGCTTCTGCTGGTGGCAGCACCAAGAACAAGCCAGCACTTGACTTTGCCAGTCTAAAGAACGGCCCAGCTACACCGTCAATGAAGACAGGCGGGAAACCGTCATTTGCTTCTTTCTCAGCGCGCCCTACCCACACAACACCGTCTGACAGCTCGACCACCAAGAATCCGACATTGACTACACCGAGTTTGGAGGAGGTTACACTAATGAGACTGAAAACGGCCCAGAGAGAGAAAGAACGCAAGGCTTTAGAAGAGCAGTTGCGAAGGGAAGATGAAGCCGCTGATGCGGCTGGTTTAGATGTCTAGGAGTTTGCGATACTATCGTTCCCAAGACAAAGCACCGTGTATATAGAATACTGCTAATGGTCATAGTATGAATGTTAGGATACCCAATGATAATCGTCCATCCACCGACTCCTGGGTTGCTCGACCATCAGGCCACAGAGGTTCAATCCATACAAGATACGTAAGTCAAATCCCCCGGGGCCGCCCTTTCGCAGTAGAGATATTAGGAAGTCGGCACTTGAATGAGGACTCGGCTCCCTATTCTGCGACATTGAACAGCCTGTGCACCAGTAGTATTAGGCAAGACAGGACTGAACTTATGATAGACAGCCCTATCGCAAGCACTTGCCAAAGTCGGGTTGGTGCCGCCCCGCTTCCCCACATATATCGCATTTCTTCATGCTTCGAGCCTACTAAGTGGCTTAACTATTTACTTGCAACACTTCCATGAGCTGAGGTGTTCTGTCAGCAAACTTTGAGTAACCCTCTCTCAGTGTGTACTGTCGTGGTACGTACAGTACTGCGAATACAAGTCGGATTCAGGAGTGTTCTAGATGGGGGGTCGGTGGATTTCGAAGAAATTCTCCGCCAGGAAACCCACCCATTTATTGCTATGGGGCGGTATCGGAAGTCGCCGAGTACCTACAGTATCGTATGATCGGAGGTAAACATGTATTGATAGATCAATTGGAGACATCTAGATCAAGAAAGTACTATAGTAAGATAGCTTGTTAGGGTAAGAGATACTTAAGAAAATCCTCTTCAACCGTCTGCTCTGCCAGAGCTTCATCTTTCCACTGCATCACAAAGCCGTGATTATCTGCTACATGTCCATATGATTCTGACCAGTGGATCATCATTAACGTCTCCCTGAATGTCTTTAGCCATACAAGTAGCCATACAAGGGCCTACAGTCACACCGGCCGGTATGAAAGTCCTACCGGCGCGGGTCTTTGAAGAGCCAGGGAGGTAACTATCTATTGAGATGTGAATCCAAGTGGTTTTCTTTCCACAGACCTGGATTGTATCGGATCTAGCAATAGGGCTTTCACCAATGCAGTCGATTCTATCGCCGGTTTTAATGGAGAGACCCGACCTGCAAATCACAAACGAGCACGAAACACCTCAAGTCCACCACGATGAAAGTCAACTCGGAAGATCCTTCGCAAGTGAATGAGGAAAGAAGAAGATGGATGGTATATCCAAATACTCCATTTAGGGTCTCGATTGAATTGATTGAAAGAGTCTTCTGGTTTTCAGAGTGGCTTGGAATGGTACGAACCATGCACGCGACCTACGTGTTTGAAGACAAATTGACCGCACAAGGATGGAAGCCATTCAAGAACGCGTATGTGGACAACGAGGCCGGCAAAGAGCAGAAAATGACTACGTCCACGAGAGGCTCTTCTCTTGACGAGCAACTCCAGGGATGACAAGGACGATGCTTCCAGCATATCCATAAACACCAAAAGAGTTTCAGCAAACTCTCATACAGGCTTACTACCGCATCGAAATTGATCTCGCCAAAGTTATACGGGACACGACACACCTCATTTGGGGGAGGGGGGGCAGTGATGCAGAACACGATTCCAAGAGGACTATGAGATGGGAACAGATTGATCAACGTCTGCAGGAGATACGAGATAGTGTTCTTCACAGATTTAACTTTTATACGAGATCTAAGCTTAGTTCGTCGGTGAATAAACACGAGTTGGGCCCCTGCCAAGAAGAAGTAGAACTGCTCTAGAAAAGGCGGACACGGTCAGACGAAGAAGAAGAATAATTATAATACGTACCTCACCAGAAAGCCAGTCATTCTGAGACTGTAGAGCACATCGCAAGCAGTTGCTTCTTGTGGTCGCCCCTTTACCCCCTGACATTGACAATGAAAGGAGTCAACTCGACGGAGCGTTACTCCTTCTTGAATAGTAAGGTCCAGCCCGAGTGGCACTCTCCCCCTTCTTACGTACTGCAACTACTCCACCACAAGTAGCTGTCAATATAATACATGTAAACAATTTTGTAAGGTTACTTACTGACTGATCTTAGTGGAATGCGAAGTATTTCCGAGGAAAACTAATCATCCATCACATGTACTTGACTTAGCATTGCCATTTGCCATTCGGTCCCCCGAGTCTCTTACATAGTACAGAGGCTTAGGGCTAAGCCGCCGACAAAGTTTTGGGTGCCGATACCCGCGTGATTGAGTGGCTGCCGCATCGCCCTGCCTTTTGCAGGTAGTCTGTGCTTTATTTTGACATCTGGACTTAGCTTCGTCTCGAACTTGCATACTGTTATGTAATAGCGAGTCCCTATTGTCCAATGTCTGCAGCACGCTGTTCGACTGAGCGGATTCTAGACCGTTTGGGATATTTGTTTACTATTTTAGTATATAAAAGTTGAGATCTTATTTTTTTTTTTTTTTTTTTTTTTTTCGGTCTGTCATCAAATCTCACAATGCTCGATTCTGCCAATCTAGCAACGTGATAGAAGAGAGAGTCGAGAAGTATGACAAGGAGGCTTGCAGTTCACCGCTTAGCTCGAGGCACATGATGCGGGGTACAGCAGAAAAGAAGGAAAAGAAGGAAAAGAAACGAAAAAGCATACAGGGTCATTACACTCAAACAGGCAGAATGATGTGCGGGCTAGCCGTATCAGGAAGCAGGGACGAGAAAAATTACGGCTAGTACGAGTATCCGGTACTAGGATCGACGATGGATCGAAATCACGTCACCTGCTGGGAAAATTTTTCGTTTGGCGTCATCCTTAGTCAGTCATCTAGCCAGAATTTAGCAAAATTACCATAGATTATTACATAGTACATAGTACATAGTACATATTACTGTCAATAATGGTACCATCGTACGATGAATTGACGACGACAAGGTCCTCACTCCGTACGGAGTAGATGATCCATCGACCTTATTCCGACTCCGTGCTACTAGTACTAGTATTACTAGTACTACTACTCCGTAGTAGATGAGCACTTCATTATGAATCAGACGCTTCATCAGCTCCTAACTGCGTGCTCTCGCGTCTTATGGTCAATTCCTTGTTCGTATTTGTCCACTGTCTCGATTCACCACCATCACCATCGCCATCAATAATCAAGATTATCAATCGATGTTGATGTGACTCACCTGTTCTCAAAGGGCGCTTAATTAATAAGCTCTCCAGTCTGTTGTCTGATTGGCTATATAATTAGCTCGTATTGTAATTACCCGTAAGTTTACTAAGTTCGGCCCACTCAGTCTTTTTTTCTCTTTGCTTCCCCACCGGCGAGACTCGTCTTGTATACAAAAATTTGAGAAGGTACTGGAACCAAGGTACTCTTTTCCACGGGCCGAGTCAAGGTCTGAAAGTAAGAGAGGGGGGAACCAAAGAAAATTTTCAAAACATTGAATTGAAACACGTATTGCCTTTTTTTTTTGCGTTAGATGGATCATGTGGATCGGGAGTGGTTGTCAAGGTTTTTTCTCTCTGTTGGACGACTACAAAGGGCTGCCTCCTTCCTGTTTTCCCTCTACTTTACCTTTGTAACTTTTCTCTCTCCTCTCAGTCAGACTCTCCTCTGAACTACCTCAATACATCACCCAGCATCCGAGGGACTGCTGCAATCAATCACTTCTAGACTAGCTGCAATTCAACCATCCAAGATTTATCACTACATCATCGTCATATAGAAAGAAGGAAGAAGAGTCGCAGACATGCCCGGCCGTCTACTGTCGAGCCTGGTCCGCTCGTCCTCACCACATGCCATCACTTCAGCCTCGCGCTCTTCATCGACTACGTCCGTGAATGACGAACAATCCTCTTCCAACACGTCCTCAAAGAGAAATTCCTGGACTTTCCCCGAAGGTCATGACATCAACACCATCGAGAACCGCATTTCAGCCGCCATGGAACACATTATTCATCCTCACAAAGAAAAGCGCATAAGCCTGGGAAGATCATCGCGTTCAAAGGAGCGCGGCAAGGGTACCAAGGAACTTCCACGTGCTGCTGCCGGCCCAAAACTCGACGTGGTGATCGAATCTCCGCCACTTGTCTTCTACGGCACCCCGGCCAACTCGACTGGGGCTTTATTTTCCGGACGTATGCGTGTCACGGTCTCTGAGCAAATGGGGTCTGCAACATTGAAAGCGTTCAAAGTCGATCTTACAAAGACCTTCACAACCAAGAAACCCATCTCCAGGGATTGCCCCGGCTGCGCTTCTCGTACAGAAATACTGAAGAAGTGGGACTTTTTGACGGAACCCGTGACGTTGAAAAAGGGAGACCATGACTTCCCCTTCAGCTACTTGTTCCCAGGCGACCTACCTGCCAGCGCTCAAGGAAACCTCGGCGTCATCGAATACTGGATCACTGCTCGTGCCGTTACCACCACCGGAGCCGAGATTGTCAAGAAGGTTCCCCTCACCGTTCACCGTGCCATTTTACCCGGAAACGACCGCGCCTCTGTTCGTATCTTTCCTCCCACCAATCTGACCGGTCGAGTTATCTTGCCTTCTGTCGTGCACCCAATCGGTGCATTCCCCGTCCAGATGAGCCTCAGCGGTGTCGTGGAGAAAGGAGAAGAAACTCAGACCCGGTGGAGACTCCGAAAGATGATGTGGCGTATTGAAGAACATCAGAAGGTGGTTTCCAGTTCTTGCGCAAAACATGCTCATAAGATTGGCGGTGAAGGAAAAGGCGTTCTGCATCAGGAGACTCGGATCATCGGTCACAACGAGGAAAAGACTGGCTGGAAGACAGATTTCGACACTGCCGGTGGTGAGATCAACATGGAATTCTTGGCCAACATCAAGCCCGGAAGCAAGCCCGTCTGCGATCTCGACGTCAAGGGCCACATGGAAGTCAAGCACAACCTCGTCATTGAACTCATTGTCGCCGAAGAGTTTTGCCCGAACAGAAACCCCAAGCTTATTACTCCTACCGGCGCTGCTCGCGTCCTACGCATGCAATTCAATTTGCTGGTTACTGACCGCAGCGGTCTGGGAATCAGCTGGGACGAGGAAATGCCTCCCGTCTACAACGACGTTCCTGCCAGTCCTCCCGGATACTCTACCGTTAACGGCAGCTGTGAAATGGAAGACTATATCGGCTCCCCACTACCCGAACTACCTGATTATGAAGATCTTGAACGACTAGATCGGTCTGACCGTTCGTCTGTCTCTGGACTATCGCGTGAGATGTCTCGATTGACCGCAGACGATTTAATTGCCGAGCCTGAAGTAGCAGCACCTCGCAGCCACGCCGAGGCAGAGACGCCAGACGCCGTCGAAGCGGGAAACATCGAAGCAAGCCAAACTGCTTGAGTTTGATGATATTTCCCTCGACCTTAATGACTTTTATGACTTGAATTCAGAAACAAAAGATTAGGGAAACACGGTACCAAGATACCCCGGGTTTTGTTATTACATTCATCATTCATCCATTTTTTTTAACTTCTCCATTGTCGTTATCTGCGAGAAGTCTTTTAAGGCGATATGATTTACGGGTGGTATGGGAGGCTGTTTGGTGTCGATTCCGTTTTGTTCTTTTTGTTTTTTTCTTTTTTTAAATCCTACAAACGGCCCTACAATTCGGCCATGAGTACGCGAACAGATACCCCTATTATCGCGATATCAATAATACCTTTTTTTTTACTCCTCGGAAGAAGAGAAACTTTCTAAATTCAATAAATATTATACCCCATAACACCCGTCCCCCATGCCAAAGGAACCAATAAAGCCACCAACGCCGCCAAAGGCGACGATATCTCCAACACACACCAAACCCACATTGTACCTATACTCGGCGCCCGTTTCATAACAGCATAGTATCCCGACTGATTCGTGGTATGGATTAGGTATCCACCCAGCACGACGGCGAGGGGGAGAAAGAAGAATAGCGTTCTGGGAGTGAAGAAGTCGCCAATCAGCGCATCTGATGGCGATGGAATTTTCGGCTTTTTCGGTTTCGGTTTTCGTTTTGGCGACGAGAAGGAGATTATATGTCCGTGCGCGAGATGAATGCAGAACGTCAAGACGGGAAAAGCAATGAAGATGGATTCTTGGATTATGTCTTTCCATATTATTTCTTGGATGTATTGGTGCGCTGCGAGGAAGGCGAGTGTGAAGTGTACGGCTGTTAGTGGGATGGAGGTGAGTAGTGTGTTCATTAAAGGCGGTATTCCCTCCTCCTCCTCCTCTTCCTCTTCTTCTCTGATCTGCTTGTTCAATTGGGATGGTTTTGTTTGCAGCTCGTCTGGATTGAGGTTTGAGATTTGGCCGGAGGAGGAGATTTCGAGAAATTGTGTCTCTGTTGCGTCGAGGTCGATGAATTGCCCGTTTATCTTTGCGGTGTTTCTGCTATTCTTTCCTTTATTGTTATTGCCGAGACGTTGCTTTAGTTCTTGTTGTCGTTCGGCCGCTATTTCGAGGAGAGTTTTTGCTTGTCGTGTGCTCTTGGTGTTGCTGTCGGAAAATTCGGGTGGACGTGAAAGAGGAATTGAGGATGAATCGAAGTTGTTGTCGTCTGCCGCTGCCGCGGCGGCGGCGGCGGCAGCTCGACGCTGTTTGCGATTTTGAGGCATTCTCCTTGTGCTTGGATGTCTACTCTGTATACGTAGTTGTTATGTAGGTGTCATGGAAATAAAGTATTTATTGTCTGTCTTACCTCCGCGGTGGATCGAGGCGATCGCTCGATATGGATTAGTCAGGATGTCTCTACATTGTCCAATCACGCAACGCATATGGAGGGCATATCATGAGATCCGGATATTGTCTCCTATAAACACCTGGCCATATTAATTGGCTATAGAGGAAGTATTTAGCTATTCAGATATTGCACTTGAACTTGTTTCATTCGTTCCATATGATCTTGCGGCTCCTAATGAAAAAGTACTATCAACTCCGGTTCGTAGCGTGTTACCAAATCAGGCTGACCTGTCTAGGAATGTCTACCATGTATCAATTCGATGGTGAAGTTCCATCGCGGCTTCAATAGCCATAGCGTACGGTTTGTTTAGCATAAAAGGTACAGTAGAATAAACACATAAGTCACATTATCCGCTCATTGATACTGTTTGTAGCGAGGATGATCGAGAGGATACCTTCACCATCGCGGGGCTCCTGATTACTGACCACTCCTAGGATTAGTAACACAGCACACTCTTGGGCAAAGCTTGTTTATCATGTTTCGATGCTCTTAATAGGTCAGTGACCGACTCGAATGTGCCCACCAGCCCTTGGCCCTTATCTATGCAGAACATATTGCGAGGTACTGAGTGCAGGCCTGCGAGGAATTTCGACAGTTCTTATGGCTCGTTCAGGCGTCCAGTGTAGCGCCTGCAGACTGCTTGGAATCTTAGTAGTACACAGTAGTACTCGAAGAAAGACAAACTGTAAATCAAGTTTGATAGCTCGCTAATGTACACGCTTTTAAGAAATTATTAAGGAGTAGACGGATATAACGGACTAAGTAAGCTAGATCCAGGCTGGCCGTTGATGTCACTTTCCTTTCATACAACCGTATCTTCCTTTTTTGCCCGCTCAGTCCTGTGACAGACTCTTTTTCCCTCTCCTTTTTCTTCTTCTCGTCCCTCCTTTTTTTCTTCTTGTATCTGCTTAAATCATCTTATGTATTTTTATTGTACTTATTTCATCATTAATCACCCGTCAATTGCTATGTACACCGGCCGTCACCATTTCCGAGTCGCTCATCATGACCGCGGCTTCGACCAGCACCAACGAAATTGATCCTAGGAGGAAGGCTGTTCGAAACAACAGCAGCAACAGTCAAATATCATCACCGAGATTATCGGAAAGAGCATTTGGAGGAGGACGGCGAAGTGCGCGTAACGGTATGTCGTCGCTGTCGAAATCGTCGCGCGGCCGGATGACCCGGCTGGCTTATCTTTGTCATAACCGCATGCATGCGCATACTTGGATTCTTGTTATCTTGGGCTATTACTGACTGTTGCGACTCGATTCTAGGGACTGAAAACTCAGGAAGCGCCGATAGGCTGCATGACAATGATCAGGGTAGCAAAAACACAGAAAACCGCGCTGACAACGCGCCGTCGAATGCGCCATCATTACAAACCAGATCTCGGACAGTGGCCGGAGAACTTCTCGATTCTTCGGAAAATGCCGCAATTGATCCCCTCTCGCAGGTACGCAACATTCCCGAACGAAAGGATTTGACAATACAAAGTTCACGCACAGTCTTGTACTTACACTATCCCCAGCATATCCTAAAACGGACGCAGACGGAGAAATCCATTCCTTACAAACTGAAATCGCAGACACCATACGGTCAGGAATCGGGCGGAGACGGAAACAAGCCTAGCCCAACGGATCAAGTTGGTCACCGCAGCGAAACATTTCCACTAGGTCCTAGAAAGGAGAAAAAGTGAGATAGGATTATTTGGTCTCTGGAAGGCGATAACTAATGGTGTTTTGTGCGATGCAGAAAAGGGGTATCTTTCCTCAGTCGCATTATAGGCACAAAGAAAAATCAAATCCCCGCAGAAACGAACGATTCCAATGCCTCGGTTTCCCAGGCAGACGATGTTAACGGCAGGAATGATATATTTGCGCACCCAGTGGGCTTTATCCCACGATTTCCACCTCCTCCGAAGTACATCAAAGTAAGGCACTACAAAAGACAGAAATCATTCGATCGCGTATTCCTAGCCCAAGAGCTCGATGGCGAGCCCGACGAGTCGACTCAGGATGAGAAAAAGACGGGAAATCCAAAGAACAAGGCTATATGGGCCATGGTATTTTCCAAGGACGGCAGGTACCTGGCCGCAGCCGGTCAAGACAAGGTTGTTCGTGTATGGGCTGTCATCACCAACGTGGAGGACCGCGAGGCTCATGAACAGGAAGAAGATGAAATCAAAGGCAACGATGGTATGCGCTTAACTGCGCCGGTTTTCAAAACCAAACCAATCCGTGAGTACACTGGGCATACGGGCAGTGTATTGGATCTTAGCTGGAGCAAGGTAGGGCGGTTTTAAAAAAAAAGAAAGATCTTGTTGATGTGAGCGAGCTTAACAAGTAAACTAGAACAATTTCCTCCTTTCGTCATCCATGGATCGCACTGTTCGGCTGTGGCATGTGAGCCGAGCGGAATGTCTATGTTGTTTTAAGCACAGTGACTTTGTCACTTCGATTCAGTTTCACCCGCGCGATGACCGTTTCTTCCTTGCTGGCTCACTGGATTCGAAGCTGCGACTTTGGAGTATTCCAGATAAGAGCGTAGCATTCTGGGCGACGGTCCGGGATATGATCACGTCGGTTGCATTCACACCAGACGGGAAGTACTCGATTGCGGGCTGTCTTAATGGGTTATGCATTGTCTATGAGACAGATGGACTAAAACCTAATGCGCAAGTGCATGTGCGCTCGGCTCGAGGGCGGAATGCGAAGGGCAGTAAAATAACTGGCATCGATACGATTGTGTACCCTCCCAACGATCCAAATGGAGATATCAAGTTGCTCGTCACTAGCAACGATTCCCGAATACGACTGTACAATTTCAAGGACCGTAGTCTAGAAGCAAAATATCGGGGAAACGAGAATTCCACGAGTCAGATTCGAGCATCATTCAGTGAGGATGGCAAGTACATCATATGCGGCAGCGAAGACGGACATACTTATATCTGGCCAACGACATCTACCGAAAAGGACTCGGAAAAGCGTGCACTCGAGGAATTGGATATGCGAACTGATATTGTTACATGTGCAATCATGGCGCCAATTGCTACGAAACAGTTATTGGGGTTTTCAGGCGATCCCTTATACGATCTGTGCAATCCACCGCCGATAACCCTGGTCGGTAAGATGGACTCGAATCTATCATCTAAACAAGCAGATGATCAATTGGGTCAACCGAAACGTGGGAAAGATGAAGATGCCACACCGACAACAGCAAAGGTGAACAGTTCTCCAGCATATCTTGCTCGATCCACCCATCCAGATGGTAATATCATCTTGGCTGCAGATTGCTGGGGCCGGATAAAAGTATATCGGCAAGACTGTGCTCACAACAAACGACCAAGTGATTGGGACACGATGTCTTTTTCGAAGAAGCTTCTCGGAAGATCGAACTCAGCCCGTCATAGTATTGCGTCGTCTATTGGGCGTGAATCCAAGACTCCATCTGAGCGAATATTGGCATGGAGAAGTTCCGTGACTGGTACTGAACTCGCTAGTATTGACTCGAATGGCAGTAGAATTCGTACTCCATCTCCGCGCAAGTCTGGGTTGGGACGTCGTTCGCGGTATTCCAGTCCTGTCAATAGCCCTGATGCGAAGACGGAGTCAGGCTATGCGACTCCCCTGACGCATTCAGTAGTTGACCACGAAGAATCCGTGGCAGTCGATAGACACAGGGGCGTTGAAACAGTGAATAACGAGGAGGAGAATACCAACTCGGCTTCGGAAACTGGATCCGGATCTAGCTATGCGTCAGAAGAGTCAGAAGTGGATGAAAAAGAAGGTGCGGGCAATGGAGCAACACCGGAGTTGCCTGAAATACCTCAATTCAACGAAAACAGTCAGAGCAACGCCTTTTGGAGACGGAGCGCCGAATTCGTGCGTAGCATTAGAGCCCAAGGACTCTTGAGTCCAACCTATGGGACTCGTACCGACGATACGGAAGCAATGCGTCGAAAATCCAGTGCAATAAGCGCTTTGAGCAGTGACATGGGTTCTTCTTACGACGGTTCTAACGATGTGACACCCAGTCATGAAGCGGACGAAAGTGAAGTGTTGCGGTGTTCGCGATGTCGTGGGACGAATTTCCGTGCGACAAAGACCAAGAGCGGTATGCAAAAGCTGGTTTGCGTCAGGTGCAATACTGCTCTTGGGTAGATATTGGACATATGCTGTCTATATTTCTCTTCTGGAGATTTTGATTCTGTGTAAATACTTGCCTCATCTGACCTATAGAACACAGGCGTGGGTCGTATAGGAAGATGCATATATGTACGTTATGTAATTGATGAACTAGAAATACACTCCTAAACTTTTTCAGAGATACATCTGAATCTATCCTTTTTCAATCTAAAGTGACTTGATAACTACATAGTGAAGGTGACTACCAGAGCACGGTGCACAATCTGATTGGTCCGTTCAGTAGCTGCAGTATTTCTCCCCGCACATTCCATTTTCCAGCATCTGTCTTTATGTCACGATCCTCGAATCAATTTATCACAACACGCATACACAACTTTTCTACTGAGAGGACTCCATATTTTCAGTCGGAAATTTACTCCCGATATTATCTGTCAGACTGGAATTTCGCTAAGCACCATTGGAGACATAAGGCATCAACCAAACGGAGCAGCGCACATTCATTCGCGCTTTCGAAGTCAAGTGCACGAGACCTCCTTAGTGGTGAGGACTGGATTCAATCATTGCGAACAAAAGCACAATATCCTCAAAATGCCATACTTACCCACACCAAACGCATTTCTGGAGCAATCCTCGCTCTTATTAGAAGCATATCCCGACGATGTACGTTGGCTTTCCCATTAACACCCTCAGAAGACGTAAGGTTATGTGGGACTAACTTGCAAGCAAAATCTAGACAAGAATAACAACCAAATACTCCTATCCCAACCCATCGAATAAAAATAACACTCACAAAATCTCAAAACGACAATCCTCAAAAACTACACCCAATACCGAAGAATCAATCATACCAAAGTCTACGACGACGACATGCGCAACCCTTACACTCAAAACATATAATCCTGTAACGGGGATATGCTTGAAATATAAGACGAATAAAGCCGCGGAAGTTGGGAGATTGATTTCTGGATTGGGGAAATTGGGTGCTGGGGTGAAGATTACTTCTGCTACGGAGGAGCCTGTTGCTACTACTGCGGCCGCGGCGACGGAGGGAGAGAGTAGTGAGGTGCCGGTTCAGATTCAGGCTGCTCCTGCTGTTGCTGCTCCCTCGTCAGGAGGTGGAGGTGGTGGTGGGAAAAAGAAGAAAGGAAAGGGGAAGAAATGATTCTTCTACTGCATATTTTTGTTTTGATTACGGTATCAACTGGTTGAACAAATAGAGTTAGAGTGCATCTTCATTGTCTCTGTTTTTAATGGGGTGAGTAAGATGGTTATATTCAATATCATATATACAAGCGAAGGTAGTAATAAGAAAGTAAACGAGTGTCCGAGATGCAACCCTTAACCATGCAAGGTATTTCCAATAACATCCATATCCCAATGTCTAAATAATCACCGCCAATCTCTTCTCATAGATGACTGTACAAAAATCGGATGAACGAATGAACTGATCCAATCCATAACTGACTGGACTGTCGCCTACTTCAAAACAACTGGTCCAGAATGCAGATTGATATTATGTGCTCCTGGAACAACCACAGGCGGAGTCATCATAATCATCATATGCATCATCTGCGTCATCTCTTTCTCGCCGGAATCAGCGGCGATATGCATTGGATTTACGCCGTTGATATCTGCGATGGTGGTGGTTGCGCCTCGTTCAACTAGCAGTTTCACGATGTGCGTGTGTCTATTTGTTACGGCGTAGTGTAGTGGTGTACGGCCGTACTCATCGATTGCATCTATATCTGCGCCGTATCCTAACAGCAGATTGGCGGCGTGCGTGTTGCCTTGTTCGGCGCAGATGTGGAGGCCTGTCTTGTTGGGTGTGGTGGTGAGATTGCTCTTCATATTGATAGAACTAGAACCGGCGTGAGGACTGGTGTCGATACTCGTGTTGAATAAGTTGAGACCATTGGTCCTCATATTCATATTTTTGGTGTGGCTGCTGGGGGGATATTGCATAATGTTTGGTGTCGGAGGTACTCGTGGCGTTGATAAAGATGGAACCGATCTTGGAGGTGTAGTAAACGGGGTAGGAAGGGAAGTCGATCGATTCCTGTCTCCCTGCAAGACCGGTGATGATACTGGCTGTAATGGCATGAGACCAAATGCATCCCAGGGGTGCTGCGTCTTCGCACTCGGAGATACAACTCCAGCCTGTGAGCTCAGATATAAGCTAGGGTCAAGATCTATGTTGCTGTTGCTGCTGCTGTTTATATTGTTGGACAAGTCTTCGTCGATAAGGCTGGGTGTATATAGACTTAATGTCGGCGTTGATGGTGCGTGTGATGATGATGGTGAGGGGTATCCATTGACAAGGAAGGTTGGGTCGGTCTCAAATGGTGGTATAGGTGTACGTGGAAAGTATGGAGAAGACGAGAAGACATCTTCGAACTGTAGCGGTGTATAATCAAAGTAATTATTCACGACTGGTGGGAGAATCTTTTGCTGCCCAGCATGACAGACCGGCGGTTGATTGAGAGAAAGACGATAACCGTCGTTGATAAAAGTAAGCTGGGATGCTGCTTGGGCTGCTTGGAGACGCTGTTGTCTCTCTTTTTCTTCTCTTGCCATCTGAGCGCGTTTCAATCCTGCCAGGAGTCAGAATGACGGTCACTATATTTACTCTATCTGCGAATACTCACGTCTTTTGCGTTGTGCTAGACGATTCTGCATCCGCCTGCGCTCAATGGCTTCTGGATCAGTCCGCGGGCCCGCCTTGTTACCTGATGATGCTTTCACCATTGTGTATACCCGCTATGTAGAATATGCAGATATGGTATGCAAGTATACTTGTCCAAGATGGAGAGACAAGAGGCGCGGTACAGTTGGGGTGTAGTGAACTTATGAACTATTCCGCATAATCAATCCTACGGAGTTTGATGGGTTTATACGGTAACCGTATTATGAACATATGCCAGCCTCGACGAATACGATTCCAGCCCCATAAAACCCCGCTCAAAGGTACAGGGCCAATGAAGTCGAAGCCCCGAATCAGAGAAAGGACCTGGCTTGAGCGTAGTAGTAGACCTGCTTGGGAGTCTTCAAGGCTTAACCAGATGTTGGTGTCGTATCGAGTTACATCAAGCCACCAGAACCCATTTGCAGTTTCTGAGCGTTTCATGTTCTTTTAAAAATAGGTGAGCAGGGTCATTGAGACGATTTCCCAGATAGGCGTAGTACGTGGTACCTAGATATTCATATAATACCCGACATGGCGTATCCAATGGGGCGAACCAAAACGACAGGTGATCCTAGGGCACAAGCGGTAACAGAAAAGAAAGTAAGGACCCTAGTCAGAGAGAATGCTCCAGAAGTGCAGGGTTATTCAGCGTAGTTTCAATCTTGCCAGGTGAAGAGTGCCTGTTACGGAGTAAGTGTCTTGTATTCTGTACATAAGTGCTTGCACGAAGGATTTGTGGCTTGCTCTAAGATCTGCATTACTGGAGCACATATTTAGCTTGAATTTGATTGAAGCTGATTGCCCGGTGGGTGAGCTGATCTACTAATCTACTAATCTACTAATCGTCGAGTTGTTAGTCTGTTAGTAACCACTGACAAGTTAATTGACCAGACAAGGGAGCGGGTTTTTTGGGGGCCTGGCGAAAAGAAAAGTCACGATGGTACGTCAATACCACTAACTTGATTAGATAGAGTGGAAAACTTCTGCCGCTCAATCACCGATGCTACCATGAGCATAGTGCGTAGCCACGTACTAGACCTGTTGAGTTGGATTATTAGACTCAATACTAGCACCTCGATTTCAAGGTTAGTCCATACGAAGTTATCCATCAACTTCAGCCAGTCATGGATTGGCCACATCGGGAGATAATACTGTGCTAAACGGTGCTAAATGCTTTATTCACATTGGCCCCGAAACGGCGAGGGGGCTGAAAAGCAAGCCCATGCTGCACGCCAAAAAGGACGGGAGATTTTTCCCTTCTGCTCCAAGCTGATAAGCAAGCATTTGCTAAAAGCATCCACCTGATTGACCGGAAGATCTGTGCGGTTGAAGAGAGACGAGACCATTTTGATAGGTATCTTGTAGACAGGGAGTTGGTGAAGTCTTTGAGGATGTCGTCGAAACTGGGGTCGGCACGGACGGACAAACAATCATCCGCCATCCGTCCTATCTCATCTTCTGCGATGATACTACGTACCTGCTACCTAGATAGTAACTTGGCTACGTACTACTCTACGAAGTAGCATACTACATGCCTGCATAAGTCTGGGGAAGCCGAGCACCACGTTTGCGATAAGTAATCCGGTCACGCTGCAAGTACGGAGATTTAAATAGCCGGAGCACCCGGCACCTTAGTCAACGAGCAAGTTTTTAATATGAGTACCTAGGTGGTGTATCTCCAAGTTACTACATGCGTACGTTGGTGGTTTGGCAAGCAGCGTTGCAGTCTGCAGTTCGTTCCGTACCTGCGTCGGCATTGCGACCAATCGCCCGGTGACGACTCTCGTCCTAAGTTTTGAGAGTACGTATGAGGTAGTATTTGAGCCAGAGTGAAGATATTGACTGCCGATTTAAGATGTACCGGCGGGTGTTACGGGACCTTTGAATGTTGATACCCACGGTGCCCACAACAGAGATAATGAATAAAGAGATCACGATCTCAGTCTCGCATGTTCGGCATACGTCCTTGCCGATCAGGTTCAGAATAACCAATGACAGGAAGGACGGTGCGCACAGGGTTCGCATACAATCGTTGGTAAACAGTGGATATCTAAAAGATTCTTGCAGTGCTGATCGACGTGGAAAAGTTCTAGAAATTCAGCTCGGAGGACTAACAGTCACCGACATCAAATGGCTAGGAATATTACTAACATTGTCTAATTTCATCGCATTCACGGAAAATTACAAGTTTGTGATCAGGTACGTATTCATATCGGCCGGCATTAGGGCTACTTCACCCATATCCGAATTCGTAAGTTAAGTTTTTTCGTGGTGTTTACTTGACTCAACCTGACTTAAATCTAATTAACATTGAAGCGGACCCGAATCCTTGCTCCATAAGAATTAATCATATGGCGCACGTTAAGACTTCACGGAAAAGCCACTAGGTGAAGCATGCTTGAAGGATCAAGAGTTAAAATGCTACTGAGGGGGGTCTTGCCAGGGAATGCCGGAATAGATGGGCATTACGTGGGCCGAAGGATCGGATTTGAAGCCAAAGTCGGCTACTAATTAATGAGGAGCAGATGGTACCCCAGTCTCGTCTCGATCAATTCGATCATGAATAGGTCGTTTATCAGAGTTTTCGTGTGGCGACTGCCGGGGGATTTTTATTCATATGTCTACACTTAGTGCTGTCTGGACACATCTAAGCAATTAATCTCCAACCAGCAGGGACTCGAATCACTGAAGGGTCTTCAAGTTTACCTCTCTTTCTAAGACTCCCGAGGTCTTTATGGGACCAAGTAGCAACGGCGAATTACGGCTTCAGAAACGTTAAGAAAGAGGAGAGAATCTGTACCCCGTTCATCTCTAAAATGATTTGATTATTCAGGACCGGGGGAGATAGATTGTCGCTTTAGAGGTACTGAGCATTACTGCGTAGTTAGTAGTTACAAATTACTGTTCCTCATTGGGATTAGAATTTAATAATAATCCTTGTAGCCCATGTGTTTGTCCTATTATTTCGTACTATGCGAGCAGGTGCTTTCAACCAACACAATCAGGGTTCCTGAGGGCCAACATGTCTGTCGAGGTAACACTCAATCTGAGATTCGGATTTGGCCGATTGCATCGATCTAAACCAAAAGAGACTCGAGCTTGTTCGGATTGCATGTTGGCGTTTGTCTCTACTCTGTAATGATTCAGGTTTGAGCGTGGTTGCTACTTGTACTGAGTAAGTCGGTTAGGTTACCAGTGTGTGAACGCCTGAAACTGTTTATGCGCGAAGATCTGATGGTTTATTTTTAGACTTTAATTGACATTCTATGCTATAAAGATAAATCTGGACTAGGCACATTATTTACGTGGTACAGCTGTCTATTGCTGAGTGGTTAGCAGATTTCGGTTGGTTAGATACTGCACAATTATCGACAAGGCTTATTCAGGCATATGTCTACTAGACTCCAGTTCTTCTCCGGCTTGCATGATCATTTTACTCTGAAGGCTAAGCATCAGTCAGTGCTGTTGTTGTAATAGTCGGGAAGCATTCATCAGTACGTAAAAGGTATACAACGTGATCGGATGTTTCCCATCCAGAGGCTAGAGTCTCTGCTCTGCGCCTTTATTTCGGTCTTTCTCTTTTCAGCTTATGGTTTCTTTTTTCCGTCGCTTCTGGCTTTGGTAAGTATCCCAATATAGCAAATCCGCCAGCGGTTTTACATAAAATTACGGCCCCAACGATCTCAGACCTTGGACCCTGGCATTACCTGCTGTACTATTGATGTTATAGTTGTCAATATATATCGAGCCGGGATTGTGGTGTGAAAGGCGCGAGATATCCATGCCTGGGACAACTCTTATGCTAGTAATCAATATTCTAAAGAATCGCATGAGAATTCATTCTAATTATTTCGAATTTCAGTAGCGATGATAGGCACTCTTGGACGTATTCGTACCTCATGAAATCAAACAATTCCATTGAATTAGGGCTACGATTAGCAGCAAATTCAACAAATCATATGATGTCAAAATTTGGTCACACATACATCGCGGGCTTGTGGTTTAGTGGTATAATACTCCCTTAGCATGGGAGTGGTCCGGGGTTCGATTCCCCGCAAGTCCAATCTTTTTGCTCCTATCACTACTTAATCTAGTTTAAGGATTGCTTTTTTTTTTCTCGGTTCGCGTTTGTGCTGGACAATATCGTCTTGATCAGCAAAGTTATTGTGTTAGTGTTTGTCTTTTTTTCTTCTTCTTAGCATCACTACGGAAGCATCCAGATGGACAGCTCTGATTTGAAGATTAAAAGAATGCGCTCATGATAATCCCGTCATATATGTACGACTGGTGTATGTATGTCCTTCGATCACGGTCAGCACAACACAGCTGTAATCCTAGATAGAGTAAGACAGGTCATAACTGACTCGAAGTGTTCTGGAAACTGAACAGCCAAGTGAGGGAGTCTTCTACATATAAACTTAACTGGCGAGTGTATCCTTGGCAGCTTCCACAGCTTAGGGCCTGTCGCATGTGATACTCGGTACAAAGAGAAGGGGAAAAAAAGATTCTACAATCACCCCACCTCTAGTTAGATGAAGACTTGCGGAGAGTAGGAGTAGAAGAGCAAAAAGATTGGACTTGCGGGGAATCGAACCCCGGACCACTCCCATGCTAAGGGAGTATTATACCACTAAACCACAAGCCCGCGATGTAAGTTGCACAAAAATATTGCCTCATAAAGATAATCTATATTCCCAGTCTAGTCCCATGATCATCACTGATAAGCCACCTATGCAGGGGGCTTGCCTAGACACCGTCCTCCCTAAACGTCAGCCTGCACTCATGGAGGGTCATCCTTGTGATACGCTATGTCATGTTACGTGCACCGAATGCAGGGACTTGAAGATTTTCTACAGGGTCTTTGTGGTTTCTTTCCTCCAATTTGTATTGGATGTGTGTTAATCTAAAAGGTTGGTGCTATTTTTCCCTGAAACAGACGTCGGGGTTTATCGATTCAGGGGGTTTCGCAGCTCTCTTGTGTTATAGTTAGTTACATGCAGGTCGTTTTAGGATTATCTCTTGCATATATCGTTTTTGTGATTGGTACGTACTACTGCATGCCCTCATAGTACTTGTTCTGAACCTTGGGATGGTACCCCAAGACGAAACCATATATTTCCCAGAAGCCTCATTAGTATTTGAACTGATTTGCATGCCTGTGTGACACACAAGTCAGGGGCTCTGTTCTTGTCCAACACACACACTCTGACTTCATGTCAAGCCATGAAATCCACATGGTCACCTTGTATCAATCACACCCAACGAGAAATTCGCCGAGCATCTATACCCAGGGATCTAGGTATATTATTTCATGATGAACCATGCATGAGCGAACCTCGGTCAGTAAAGAATCACCCTTCCCCCCACCAGCTCCTCTCAGCATCGTACGTAATGCGACAAACTTCCCCGGCTCGGATTCTCCTTCGTTCATGCAGGTACCCTCTCCTCTCGCGCAAGATGAAACAAGCTAGGGAATATATGCTTGCGCATGTGAGAGATATTCTGCAGTCATCATTTTTACTTTGATGTCGCGAGGTATGGCACGGACTGCGTTCATGGGTCCTAAGGGATAAAAATAGGAGCGATATACTGATATCGGGGTGTATACTGAATCATGTAGATCCATAAGTGATTGCAATTGATTCTACCTGAGTACTTGCGCTAATTTCTCCAACCAATATTAGACGAGGATGAGAGAAGGCTGCACATACATGAGTTTCTATGAATGTCATGGATGTCATCTCATCACTTCTGTTTTGAAGTTTCACATACATAAAGTGAGGTAGAGTAGACATACATCCATGTAATTAATAGACTTCACTCCATCGTCAAAGCCCTGACAACATCAGACATGACTAGAACGATGTAAGGTGATATTCCATAACCAACAGTATGACTACATCAGATGACTTTGGTCATGAGCGCCAAAAGAGGATATCAACTTGATTTTCATTGTCATAATAATGGTAAATACAGGGAAGAAAACGCCGATAAGCTCAGAACCATACATACATACAAAATTGACTTCGTGAGGAAACCGCTATTGGGCTGACCCGATCCTGAAACATGAGACATCAATCACATCATATCAATTCGTATCAACAAATCATCTCATCGTAACTTATTTCGATGCCTTTGGCGAATGATTGCCGAGGTGAAGCTTGCTCTTCACCTTCTCCAGTTTACTAGTCTTGCTCTTCGGACTCTGTCCCTGTCCTTGTGTCTTGTCCTGTCCGCGATTATCGACAACACCAGATGAGAAATCTGAGGATGAAGAATGACTGTCTTCTTTATCTTCTTTGGGGTGTACGGCCTGATTTGGCCTGCTTACAGCAACTCCTCCTGTTACTGTGTGGACTTTGGGCTTGTCGTCATTCACATTGATATCTTCCAGACTATGTCAACATGCGTCCAATATCTGCTATGGGAGTGACTCAACCATACTCTGTAGATCTTTGGCAAGTTTCTGACTCTCCTCCTCAAACGGCTTACTAGTATGCTTCAATGTCTGACCTGGTCCACCATCCGGGACAGCCCTTGAGGTGAAATCAGCTGCATTTCCAGGCTGAGCAGGATCGGGTCTCAGTCCAGTTGCGCTCGGCTTCAAGTCTTTAGCAGCTTCTGTACCAGCAACTGCAGTACCAGAGCTACTTCCCATGTTGGGGGTGTTCAAGCTGGTATCTGTTGTCTCGATATTGCGCTGCTCACTGGTTGGAATGGAAGTCGGTAGACCACCAGCTTCGACGGGGGGAGCGTCATATTGTTCTATAGACTGTAAGTGACTATTCACGGCAAAAGTGGAAGAAACATACCATCTCGATTCCCAGCATCGTACGGATCCGTCGCAGTGCCCAGACCCCTCTTACCGGCCACAGGTTCTTCACCGTGTGATGTCGATGTTTGTTGCTGACTGTCTGTTGTGCTCTCACCCCAGATTGCTTTCTTGCCCGCCTCGACGACCTTGTCGACGGATTGGATACCAGTCACCCCCGTTGATGTCGTGGGTTGACTGTTGCTCGCAGTGGTCTGCTCATTCGTATTCTGTTCGCCCCAGATGGCTTTGTAGCCTGCATCGACGACCTTGTTGACGGTTTCCATGGTGTGTATGTACTCAAAGATAGATGCAAAGAAGAGAGATAGTTAGCTGTCAATTGAATGTTGTTATGTATAGTGAAAGAGAATACAGAACATGGAGAGAGGTGGTAATAAGCTATCTGAAAGACAGAAAGAGCATACGTCAGGGCTTGGGCGGTCACGTTGTTCATTGGCCGCCTCCATGTAAATTCATGACGTCATCACCAGGTCTTTCCCGATGCGGAAGTCTCCTATCAGCCACAGAAAATCCTCCCATTGGAGGCTACGTAGCACTCATAACAACCAAAAAAAATATTATAAACTAATAAAACAAATAGCAAAACATTGATAAAAAAATCCAACTCCAATGAACACAACGACTCTTCATATACGGATACCATGCCATGCAATCAATCACAATCCGCACGCAATGCTGCCATTCCCGATGGATAACAGTAGAAACGACGAAAGCAAACTCCCTTCCTGCAAGTAAAGATCTAAAAGAATCATGTACTTTTAGCAGCCACACTTTTACCTTTCTCTTGAGCGTCCTTGGCAGGAGCAGTAGCGGTAGTACCAGTAGCCGCATCAGATATAGAAGCAGCCGCACTCAATGGATGGGCAGGATCGTAGCCAACACTCTTGACTATACCGAGACCCTTGGTGCGGCCCTCACGGAACAATACTCTATCGCCAACGGACAAAAACTCTGGACGCTGGATGAAGCGGAATGCGACAAGTGCTCGATCTCCAGTTCGGATAAAGGCGCGGTCAATGTCGATGATTGCGCATGTCTGACTGACTGCTCCGACATGGAGCATGGCCTGGTACTTGGGGCGGATAGTGGTGGCATGAGAAAGAATGAGTACTGTTGTACGAAGTTAGTATTTCGCATGGTCACGTTGTATATCATAAAAGAAATAAAACCTACCTTCCGCAACAAATTCTCGATATACTTTAGGAGGCTCATTCTCCGCCTTGGCCATTACGACCATACCTTTCCGGACTTCTCGTCTCCGAACACGCTTCAAAGCAAACGAGGCGGATTGTCCCGCAGAGCATACATTCACGGGTATCCGCTTACGCTCAATAGACTTGATGACTGTTGAAGTGAATTGGCCCAGAGAGTCTGGTCCGATTTGCACCGCGTCGCCTGCATGCACGACTCCTGACTTGACCACACCAGATACCACTGTGCCAACGAAAGGGACAGAAAAGTGGTCATTGACGAGAAACTCAAATGGCGCTTGTGCATTGTAATGGCCATAATGAGGAAGTATATTAAGGAACGTTCGAACAAAATCAAGGCCCTCACCGGTGACATTAGACACCTGGAAGATGGGACAGATGCGCTGACTGACGAATTGAGTTGCTGTGTTGACGGTCTCATCCATATCCTTGATGAAGATGGGAATCTTCCTAGCACCTGGAGACTTAAGGATCCGTGTAAGTTGCGTTATCGTTTGCTGGAGAATCTGAGGTGGACAGATATCGATCTTGGTAATGACCACCATAACGGGAACATTCAGTGCAAGCGCAATCCCCAAATGCTCTTTACTCATGCCCACCAAACCGTTATTCGCTGCGACCATCAGTAAGCAGTAATTTGGGCTGCTACTCAACATTCCAAAGACAGTGGTTCGTAAGTACCGCTCGTGACCGGCAAGATCAGAGAAGGAAATAATTTTGGCTGATTTCTTGCCGATTTCTTCCCAAGACAATTTACGCCCCTTGTCGCTTCCGATGATTTCTCCTCGCGCGTCGAATCCCATGATCTCCATGCCGACAGAACTAGTTCGACCGCTCTCGATCTCGTGCTTGTGCCGGAACAAGTTGACTCGCGCCTTACCACGACCATCATCAAGATGCCCCTTCACCAAAACACCAAGTAGAGTACTTTTCCCAGCATCGACATTGCCCACAACAGCAATCCTCGTCTCAATCACCTCCTCAGGCCGATCCGGAATCTGACGGATCAACACTTTTCCGCAGCATCCCTTCATCCTCTCGATGCGTGTTTGAGCCTCTTCAGGACCGCCGACATTGTAAGTCAACAGTACACGGCACATAGCAGGGATTGTATTTGCGGCTTCTTGGAGACGTCCAAGCGCCGTGTCCCATTGAGCCCGTTCAAGGTTCATTGAGTCCCCGTTATCTTCGAGACCGAGGTCAAATAATGTCTCTCCATGACCTTCATCAATGCGTCTTTGAATAATCCCTGCAAGAATCTGAAGGCTGTTCTCGTCTTCTGTCGGTGCCGTCCCCAGAAGGACATCCTTAAGTTTCGTGGGACTCGGCACATCGCTCAAGCCAAGCTGATCGAGAATATCGAGTTCCGCATGTTCCTCGGTCACCGCTGATGGGCTGGTAGTGCCGTACCCGCTGTCGCTAGGAGCACCCGCGGTATTTAGAGAGGAAAGTTCGGCGCGACGCTTTTGCTCCTTCTCCACGTAATCGGCGAACTCGCTGAGCGCCTGAGCATTATGAGTCAGAACCAATAAGGAGCATATTATGCCGGCACTGAACTCACCAATTCACCCCTGCGCCGCTCCTCTGGGGTCTGCTTTGAAACTATCTGAGGCATAGTGCAAGCGGATCCTGTCAGGTGGTTCAGATCACGGCTGGTGTGCTGAGTGCTGTTAGTAGTTCGATCGCCGTAGGCGCGTTCAGTAGTGTATTCGTAATATCATTCTTTATGAGATGTGATGATCAAGTCGCACAAGCAAAGCTGTCAAGTCAATAATTCATGTTTGACGATTGATAGCGTTCTGGGTAATTATCTGTAGCAATAATGAATGAATGTTGCAGTGAGATTGGGTGTGGTGCTGAAGGTTGAACTACTCTAGGTGGATCGCGGGGCATTGCTCCGCTTTTATTGATAAATGGCAGTACACAAGGCAGACTTGAGCTCTTCACTTTAATTAGTTAGATATTACTTGACTATTGGAGAAAACAGTGAGTCACAATTCCAGGCAGAACATTCTTCGCGCATAATGGCCCATTTGCGTCACAGAGATGACTCATCCACGATTCCAAACTGAGGCGCCATCTTCAATATCTAGTCACTTATCTACATAACCGCATACATGTATGACACCACTCCATTCATGAGGCTGTGATATATTCGTCGCATCCCTAAAGATAGAAGCATAACGGTGAGACTGTGTTCTATTGCTTCTAAAACATAGGCATGGTCACCGGTCATCGATAGTTTTGTATGAGTCACGGCGATGCTCGAGGTTGGAACTCCGGTCATCATCAGCATCATCAACATTGCGCGACCGTCGGTAATCCACTTCGTCATTCAGCAGCTGTATATCTCATATTGGCTTGTGCTCAATGCGCGGATAGAAAAGCTGTTACGACGCCTGAGGGGATATAAGAACGACTGAGTCACCTATATCAAAAATCCATTAGGTCTATAGTCGTACGGTCAATTGATGCGCAAACCTACCGCGAACAAACAGCATCTCTTCTTGTTTCCTTATCGTCTATTATGGCACAATCCATTAGCGTCATACTCTTAGGCGATTGTCGCAGATAGCAAAGTACACACCTTGACAGTCTCTTCTTCATTCTCATCCTCCTCAACCACATAGATTGTCTCCTCCACATCGCCGAGTACCAGGTTGCAGTGACTATCGTAAGCCTAGAACATAAAAGGGAAACAGTTAATTAATGAATAAACGTCGGACTGAAGAACTTCTCATGGAAAGAAACTCACGTGAAGCCGTCCTTTCAGTTCGCGATCTCCTCGCAACTTGACAAAGACAATCTCATCCAACGACAGGCGGACCAAGTCCAGGGGTTCCGACACGGAAGCATCGCCAGCTTCTACATCTGCCATTTTGATGCCTCGACTAGCTGTTGAGTAGGTATTGAGTGGGAGGAAAGATGAGGAAGTGGTGATTTGCTTATCCTCGGGACTGTTAAGGCAGGAATACCAAGACTTGCGTCGTGAGAAATCGGTAATAATACGAGACATGGTATATTACATACAGAAGCTAAACTAAATCTGGCTAGAATGTTACATATACAGACTATTCTATTTACGTAGTACATAGTAGTATTAATTAGCCTCAAAGCTGTTTACTTATCTTCAATTACTCTGTATCTCAAAACTAATTACACGATGACATATGTACATGCTCGAAAGACCATCATGCTAAACGGCATTCTGTACATTCAACTGGGTATCAAACTGACAATCATAAGGGAATACTAAACAAAGGCACCATAGTGACATACCAGGCATGCGGCGATAGTTTCTCCTCAAACTCTTCGGACACTCCTGCAGCAAGTGCGGCAAGACGATGATTAGATTCTAGATCCAATCTTTTATTCAAAATCCAATGGAGCGGTGGAAGATCAGCTAGTTCTCCAAGATGAGCTTTGGCGCGCGCCCACAAAACGTCATGGCTGACTTGAATCTGCTCATCTTTTATAGCAAGGAACTCGCCACAACCCGACCATCGCACAGGCTCGTTGTCATGCACTCGGAAATTTGCATGATCTATAGACGTCCTTCCAACAAACTCGATCTCGCTCTGAGTAGTAGGAAGTCGAATTCGAAAACATTCGGGAATGAAATCTTTCCACTCGGCAATGAATCTTGGAAAGCCTCGATGAGTCCAGTCCAAGTCCGTTGGAGTTGTCCATCTATCTTTGTGCACCGCGACCCAAACAAGCTTCTCCAATATAATTCGTTGTTGATCGACTAAAGAGCGAAGTATCTCATATTTTTGGAGAGCTCTCCAGACATGCGGTTCTTTGCAATTCTTCTGGATGTGAGAGGCTTTGACTAGAGGAGAGAGAGAATGAATTTTGAGTGACATGCCAAGGTAGTTTTCCAAAACTCTGAGCGCATGATCGCGCTCCCTTCGAGTTTTTCGCAGTAATTCATACGCTTCCTCCATCACGTTCTGGAAGCAGCGATACCGTTGATGAACACATCTCGTTTTTGCGAGCACGCGATACATATTCATGTCGAAGAGTATACCATGCGGCTCCAGCTTCTTTTTGAGGCTAAAAAGTATCTCAGGATGGATTTTGCCCCGACGGAATGCCCGACCCCATTCCCCGTTACGGTTTCGAGAAAGAACAAACGCTCTTTCGAACAATTCGGCCCAAATATCATCTGTCACTTCAATTCCATACTGATTCGAGATATACTCAACCGTCAAAACTGCCCAGTTGAAACTATTGTTACACCCATATGCGTGTGCAACTGCCCATAGCAACTTTCGAGTCGGATATAATGGCGATGATTCCACGAGCGGCCTGGCGGAGCCAATTTCATCGGACTTGGTCGCAATTGCCTCCACATCCACCATCCATATCTCTTTCAAAATACTGTTCATCTTCTGCTGAGATCCAACTCTAGCGCCTGCAAGAAATAGGTTGATGTACACGTCTTCGTCGAAAGCCAAACCAGCATTTTGCATCTCCGAAGCAACGGCATTCACATCTTTCAGAACGCTTCTAGCTCCCGTTCCGAATCCTCTAAAACCGCGTTGCTCGCCATAGTTTCGCTTTTGTAAATAGTACGGTGTTACGCGTAAATGATATCTTTCAGGTCCATAAACTGAATGGTACCATACCATGGCATGCAAAAGGAAATTGTAGCATTGCAGATCTGGCTCGACCCCTTCTCTTTTCATCCGCCTCCAAATATTGGAAACGGAAGTAAGATTACCAAGCGAGGATGAAATTCGAAGGAGATGTTTATATTCGACGAGACCCAATTTGTTGCCTCCACTGCACCATGCCGATATGAACCGGTTCATTGATGGAAGGAAATCCTGCAGAATGTCTCTAATAGGTCTGATACCCCTGGCTAACACCGTTTCCTCGCGTACATGTCTCAATGTATCTAGGAAAGGTTCTATGAAATACTCGGGGGTGAGGCGGAGGAGAGCTGAGACAAAGACACTATCGGGCAATGACGCGACGACGTCGTAGTTGATAGGATCCGCGAGCGTTGTAAGAATTTGTCTCGGCTCGCCATTGCGAAGGATGCGATAGACTTCTTTGGTTCGTTCGTGAAGGGACGACACGGTAGATTCTTGTGTTTCTGGCGTGACATCGACCGATTGTGACGCCTGATGTTTTAGAAAAGTAGTAGAAAACGATCTGATTGAGCGAAGAACACGTGAAGATTTGACTTGTCGAGAATCTGTATTTGCAATTGAAAATCCGTAAAAATTTCTATTATGCCCTCTCACGAAGCTGCTCTCGTGTCGAAAGCGCTGGGCCGCAACGAGAGGAAAGCGAAACTGGCGCCCCCGCCAACGGAGAGCATTCATCCCGCCGATCAGAACGCGGAAAAGCTATTAGATAATTAACACCCTTCGGATTTCAGCTGATGATCATCGAAGAAATATGTATCTGAAGCGATTGACAAGATTCAAAGAATGCGGGGACGATGGTGGATCGCGGGAAGCTTGTGGAGCGATTCCCCGGATTTTCGACTGTTTTGACTTTTGGCTGTGACAAGTCTCTGTGAGTCAGCATCTAGTGTGTATCCATACACTCCGCCAATCACATTGTTACTTCAGACACTTGATATTTCATGAAGATGGACCACATTTAGCAGATAATACTAGACAACATACGCGCTGTCAGGCACTGATCATTTATTTGGAGTTTGAGTAGGTGGATGAAGTCAAGAAGAGATATATTCATTTACATAATTACTGTTACAGTAATATAGACATATAATACAGTATCATCAGTATAGTCCGCCTTGCCTATCTTCACATCGCTAGATCACGGCAATAGTCAAATCTTCTCTTTCTTCAAATCATTGACAAACATATATCGCCCGATAGTAATCCAACCCCAACGAAACCACAACATTTGACTCTTGTGACCATCCGTCATCGCAGTACGAGCCTGTACCCAGTCATGGAACGAGCTGATATACAACAGACGACTGGCGTTACCGTCATTCTTTGCAGTCGGCTTCTTAGCGGCTGATACTAGGGAATCCCCAAAGGTCGTGAATGCGCCAAGAAACATCGTCAAAAATGAATCAAGAATACCGGAATACTTCCGAATAATGTTTGTGGTTGTTAAAGTGTACAATGACACGGGGCATCCGTACCCGCTTTTGCCGTCCATTAACGTTTTCAAAAATGCGACCGCGCCGTGATATAGAGATCGATGATTCGGGTGGTTGCTAACACCGTGCTCGTCGAATGTTAAAAGGACATCGATGGTAGCTTTGGGAGCAACGTCGTTACGAGCGGCTCGTCCAGAGGCAAGCTCGGGAGCAAAGGCAGACGCGAGAAGGGATGAGATATCATTAGCTGACCAGGTTGCAGTCATGCTGTCGGGAAATCGGGATGGGTCGTCGATCACGAAAACATCGGATTCGTCTCGAAGGCCTAGATGGACGGCGCTTTGTTGGAGCTCTTTTCTGCGGACTTCGCCTAATCCATCTGCGTTGCCTGTTTGTTTCGTCAGATTAGCCATTGTTGACGGCAATTGGCGGCAACGGAGTCTGCCTCACCAGTACTCAAACACAATATCTTCACATGATTCCCTAATTCAGGTTTTGTAAGCGCCAACACTGTAGGCGCAAAAAACATTGCCTCGTCATCGGGATGTGCAATAAGCAGGCATATGCGCTTGTTGTACAGGGTAGGGAAAGAGCTGAAGCCAGAGGATGTTGAGGAAAGCGTCCAAAAGACAGTCACCACAAGTGGAGCGAGGAGTGCGGTAACAATCCAGGAGAAGTTGAATGTCATGATGGTCACGTTCTTGTGTTCTGAAAGCGACTGGTCCAAGGGATAGTTCACGTTCCAAGTCGCATGCCACGCGACCTCGGCTATTCCAATTGTCCTTCCCCAACAACTGTTCGGCTGTCAATTGATCGATATACTATTCGAATTAGCGATATCGGAGCGACAACGGGAATTATCGAAGATGGAAGAAAAGGCCGGCAGTGGTGAGTTTCGAGCAGTCAACGGTAACTACCAAGGAGCATCCCTCCCCCATGTTCCTCCCACGGCAGAGATCGATCGACGCACGAGCTAGTAGTCACAAACAAGCTCTTCAAAGCAGTCGTCTGGTCGCATGAGCAAAAAGTTCCACCAATATGCGACTGAAACGTGGCTTTAAGGGTCGTTCTGGGTGGAAATAGGGGGAGGGGCAACTAACTTCGAGCTTCTCAAGTTAAACCAGTTGGATGACGATCGTCAACATCACGAGGGTATGCTTAAAACTGGAATATGAACTGTTGTTTGTATGTTTCTAACATCAAATGGGCTTGTGGTTTAGGGGTATAATGTCCGCTTTGCATGCGGAAGGTCCGGGGTTCGATTCCCTGCGAGTCCATTCTTTTTCTTTTTTTCTCAGGCATGTATAAAAAGACACAACAGTTCTTTTTTAGTCTCGCGATCATTGGAATTGGTTTTGATAAACTACGATAATTTGAAAGGTACCTGTCGGAGCAAGACACGGGATGATATACGGATTTTTTATCAATCTGCGGCAGGAACTGGCTCGCAGAACCATTCCATGATAGTGCCCGTTGGAATATACATACCGTATACGGAGTATACACAATTATATCCAGATCACCGCAAATGTTTAACAACGACCGGGTACTCCGCTATACACTGTATGAAGTTCGAGTTAGACATGAACTACGTACTTTCAGTGAGTGAGCGGGTATATATTTCTCCTGAAATGAGAAATACGTTCCTCGCCGACCCAAATCCCACTTGATGCGGATGGAACGAACTGACTGTTTATGAGGGTTGATGGAAAGAAACTGGAAATGAGAGCGCTGTATCATTCACCCGCGCATCGACCGGCTATCCTTCAACTTCTGGGTGCCATCTTCAAGGCGATAATCACAGAGCCAGAGATATTAAAAAGGCGTCCTCGAGACGATGTGGATTCTTAACATGTTCCAACCAAAAGGTCAACCGGACCATATTATTTCTCTCATCATGATCAAGGCCTATACAGTGATAGGCCTACATGAACTCAGGCTCACTCTCGACCTCATGTTTTCCTATCAGTCCCCCCCTGTGTCCACGAGTCTTCTCTGGGCCACTCTCGATGGTGTAATCTGGCATTCAGTGAATGAGCGGGAATGTCTTTATTCCTGAGATGAGAATACGTTCCTTGCTAAACTTAATTTCTCTTTCTGTGGATCGAGCTTGATGGTCACATCGAAGCCTGATATTTTACGCCCATTGCGTTGCGTCTTTAACGAGACTGGATCGGTGCGGTGGAGTGTAACAACTTCTGCTGTTTTGACTAGATAATCGAGGAATTCAATTTTACCAACAGGCTTGAAGTGAATGTATTTAAAGGTGGTAGATTTGTCGGGGTTGACGCACGTGCTCACCTGACATCAGAGGAAAGTAGCCACCTGCCGTCCATTCGGGGTCAAGTATCTCCTTGTAACTACCAACATACCCTCAGTCGCAATAACATAATGGAGCAGAACGGGAAGGGATTAATGTCAAAACAGTGTCCAGTGCCTTCTCAGGCTCAGTTAGCGCTTGCAATAGCCATTGTCAACTCGAAGCCTGCAAATATCTCCGTGATAGGTAGGCAAACAGCCGTGCCTGTGTATTTTACATCAGATGGCATATTCTGAACTATCCACAGATCATCTCCAGCAAATTCGTCTCCATATCAAAGCATCTAGAAATCATTCTCCTCCTTCAACCAACTCAAGTGACAAGTATTTTGACAGTGTCGCTTTCTGGAAACAGGCATATACCAAGGCTGAGGCTACACAGAGCGTACTGAATGATCGCATCTATGAGTTGGAGCAGCGCATAGAGACATTGAAGCTTAAATTAAAGCAAGATGACAGTGTCTGTGATACACCAGAACGAGGCAAGCGCAAAGGGAGCAGGGAGCCGACTGTACCAGATTCGCAAAGGAAACGAAAGAAGACGAGTAATGTCTCGTCAGGAGTGGTTACTACTGGTGAAGCTGAGCTGGAACAGTTGAATGAACTGATTAGTCAAGACGACTCGACTGGAGCAAGTAAGTAAGGGCTTCACGAAGGACTAGTCAATTGCTAATACAGGTCAAACTGGTATAGGGGTCAACTCGGTAATGAGACATTTATTTGTCTTGCAACAGAACCTGCAGAAAAGACCCAACTGGGCCGTTATTTATGCGAGTGCAATCAATCTTTGCACAGCCACCAACTCTGTTGTTCCATTCCTCTACGACAACTCCGGTGCCGAAGCAAGGCAGTTAAACAGCACCGACAGCAACATTCGAGTTCCGAACCCACTGCTCAATCTAGCAATCATCGAGGCATCTCATTCACTTCTGTGTCGTACGTTAAACAAGATCATGAATTCTTCCGAAAGGCAGAAGTACGAAGGCCAGATCGTATATCATATGAGCTCACTCTTCGAAACAGCACTCTATGCATTAGAGAAGATATGTGACTACCAAACTAGTAGCAAAGAATTACCAAAGGTCAAACAGAACTCCAAGAGTCCATCAGCAAAGAATACAAAACATCAGTCCTCGTCAGAGTCTTCCAATGTTACACGTTATGAAGTGCCTACGGATGAAGTCTTGCAGACACTGAGACGTGTACTTGCTGGCATGATGTTGAAGGCAACCTCTTTGATTACTACTAACCCGAACACTCTATTTGAAGGCTACCTCTATGTGTTTCTCACTCACGTGGGTACTGTTCTTTCGACTCTGGAGTTCAAAGATATCCTTACCAGTCCTAACCTACAAGCCAGCCCAGACAAACTACCTTTGCCAGATGGACTCCGCCGAGCAATCATGAATGCAAAAGGTGAAGCTATTGGAACGATTGTAATGGCACGGGAACTCGAAACCTGCCACATGATATGGCTTCTAGAGAAAGCTATTGCGCTGGCGCATTCTATGTCGATGAAATCGTCACTATCTCAGGGTACGATTACACCTAGTGACCGAAAAGACTCGAATGCCGGAATTCTTCTCGGACTGTCTAAGAAGAGATTACAAAACACACTACTCAAGGCAGTGTTTGACGAAGAAGAACCATTGTTCCTGGAGTCATTGATAAAGCCTGAGTCTTTGGCAGGGGGTGAGATGACGAGTCCAATCAACAAAGAATCCGAAACAGCATCGGAGTGGTTCTCGAGAGAAGTCTGGAGGTTGTTAGGATGGGATATACTTGAATCGATCTGGAAGAATGGAAAAGAGAATCATATACAATGATAGGATGTTCCGAATTTGTCACATTTGAGAATCTAGGTATGCTATATCTTAATTAAGATTGAGAATACGAATGGCGTTACCACCGAGGACTGCTCTAATGGCCTCTTTATCGGTACTCAGAGTTCCTTCGATTGCCTTGTAGTTTGTTGTAACACTGGGCCAGGCAACGTCCCCTTCGGAAAGTGGTGGGAAGAATGGATTGTCGGTACCTATGTCAAATGTTGTGAGAAATGATTAACCCGGGGTTAAAGATTCAGGTCAACACACCAAACAAAAGCCTCTCATGGCCACCAGCTGCATGTATAGCTGCTTTCAAACCCGCTTCACCATACACCACCGCATCAAGGTAAATATTCGTGTTCAATACCGTCCAAACATCCCTAACAGGGCCCTGCGTACTCCCCCCATTCGCAACAAACTTTCTCTCATGAGCAATACAACTCTCAATCCTCCCCGCCAAAAACGGCAAAGTACCACCCGAATGCGCCAAAAGAACCTTGAGATTGGAAAACCGATCAAAAACCCCCGATAAAAGCATTCTAGTCACCGCAATAGTAGTCTCAAGCGGGAAACCAAGCGCCAATGGAAGGACATGACCGTATCGTTGTGTTACTTCCGGACCACCGAATGCCTCATCTGGAAGACCGTAGTGGGGGTGAAGGAAGAGTAAGGTTTGAGTTTCTTCTAGAGCAGCCCAGACGGGATCTAGAGCTGGATCGTCGAGACCCTTTCCGAGACCTGATGTACCCATAATCACGCCACGCATGTGTGGCAGGGTTTTGAGACGATTGATTTCGTTGACGATTATGGATGGATCTGGTGCGGAGAGCGGTAAGGCACCGAATGCGTAGAGTGTTTTCACATTGCTGGTAGTTCCTGTATCCTTGTTGACTTTTGCGCAGGTATTTTCGAGATCATTGTTTATTCTTTCTGACCAGACCTGCGCATCGTCTACCTCTAGGAAATCTAGCCAGGGGTTTGCTAGCGATATGACGCTTGTAGTGATACCATGCCGTCTCATAAAGGCGAGTTTGACCTCAATATCGGAATAAGATGCATCAACAGGACGACCGCGCTGGTCAAGAGGTGTGCTACTATCGTCATCAGATGCGAGGATGATTAAGCGAGAGTCTGCTCCGTTGGCAGGATCGTGGACATAGGGCACTTTTTTGCGTGCTCGGAGCATGGCCAGGTATGCTGGTGTGTAGACGTGGGTGTGGATGTCGACGATTGGGTCTGACATTTTGAGGTAAGCTAAGATGTTTGAGAAACCGAGAAACGTTCCTGATTTAATGGTATTGCGTTGATATCAATATTTTGTTGATGCTGGCGAGATGAGGGGGTTATGCGGGGAAGAGAGATAAGCTCGTTGCTTATCTAGATCTACGAGATAAGATAAGATAACCAATGCCCTGCAGTTTTCCACATCAATTGTAAGCACTTTCTTTTAAGAGGGGATGGAAACACTCAATGCTGTTGAGCAAGCGATAACCGATTCCTCAAATATGTAGCCAGGATTTAGATTTCTTCCGTCTTTGAGACCTCAGGCATACATTCCTCTAGATCACTCCCGAGGTCAGCTACAATCAAGCCGCATTCGCTGGGATTCGACATTCTGCTCCTTGGAGCGATACTGATTCTCCAGAGAGAATTTGCAGACTAATAATTAGCAGAGCGTAAGCTCTGCTAGATTACCGCGTTCACTCGGGAGTTCCCACTTTTCTATGTTTGGTTCATTAATGTACTAATCAATTCCCTTACTCCGCTCTCAGCCTGATGCTCCCGCCTGAGCCACTAGGGAGACGCTCTATTCCATGGCGGTTACTCTCTTCCAGCTTGAAAAAATAAGTTCATTTACATGACTTCTTCTTCATGAGTGTCTTCGAGTTGAAAAAAGCAAGAGTCATGCGAAGATGCCCCCACGGTCTCGTGAGGAATTCACTGTCGCAATAATCTGTGCCCTTCCGCTAGAGGCTGACGCGGTGGAGGCGTTATTCGATGAGCACTACGATGAACTGGGCCATATATATGGCAAGCACGTGGGCGATGCCAACAGTTATATAACTGGAAGAATCAACAATCACGATGTAGTGTTGGCTTGTATGCCAGGTATGGGAAATCGAAGATCCGCTGGTGTTGCTCGTGGCTTGCTCGTTAATTTCACAGGAATCAAGCTTACCTTACTTGTCGGAATCTGCGGTGGAGTACCATATGTATCTGATGGTACGGAGATCGTCTTGGGCGACATCATTATCAGTGATAGTGTGATTGAATATGATTTTGGCAGACAGTACCCGCACGGATTTGAGCGGAAAAGCGGTGTCAAGGAGGCGCTTACATCACCTAGTCAAGAGATCCAATCCTTCCTAAACCGTTTACGAACTCGCCGAATGAAAGATCAAGTACAAAGACAAACCGCGCAGTTCTTGAGAATCCTTCAAGAAATGGAAGGGAATGAGTGGAATTATCCCGGCGTTTTGCAGGATACGCTATTCGAAGCCTCTTATCGCCACAAGCACTATAAACAGCAATCTACAGCTGAATGCATCTGTGCGGACTGCCACTCTAGCTTCAATCCAGTGTGTCAGCAAGCGTTGAACGGTGAGTGCAAGAATATTGGATGTACAGGAGATTTGGTGCAGCGACACCGACTAAATACTGACAGCCCACAACCAATTATTCACATTGGCACGATTGCGTCAGCAAATTCTGTCATGAAATCTGGCGAGCATCGTGATCAACTGGCTGAAAACGAGGGTGTGATTGGATTTGAGATGGAAGGTGCTGGAGTGTGGGATAGCCTGCCTTGTGTTATCATCAAAGGTGTTTGCGATTACGCAGACAGTCATAAGAATAAGATATGGCAGAACTATGCTGCAGCAACTGCGGCATCCTGTGCAAAAGCTGTCTTGGCGTACTGGGTTAATGGCCTTCAGCAACAGCCACGTAAGTTGATTTCCGTCCATTGAAGAGCGACCTATGATTATCATTTGTAGCTTTGTTATATCAGTTCTTCTGATGAGAATCGATTTCTAGCAGAAGCAACAAGTCATCCTAAGCCATCTTCAACGGTCCCCTTTGAGAGAGACGAAATGTTCGTGGGTCGAGAAGATATTATCATGAGTATTAAGAACGCTGTTCAAGAAGGTAGTGGGTGGACTTCTAAGCGTGCCGCACTCGTGGGCCTTGGAGGTGTAGGGTGAATATTGTGCGAGAGAATGACGTCCAAAAGCTTAATATGTCCTAGAAAATCTCAGATAGCGATCGAGTATACATACCGTGTTCGAGAATTTGCGCCTAATACATGGACATTCTGGGTTCACGCGAGTAATACAACGAGATTTGAGCAAGGGTACCGGGATATTGCAACAGTAGCGAAGGTTCCTGGACGGGATGATCCAAAAGCTGACATCCTCCAGCTGGTCAATAAGTGGCTATGTCATGAGACGAACTGCAGACGGTTGATGGTTCTGGATAACGCAGACGATAATGATACATTTTTTAACACCTCTGGTGAACGTCTGCCTTTCGTGGATTACTTGCCTCATGTTTCTCATGGATCAATTTTGGTTATATCACGAAATCAGACGGTAGCACGGAACATAGTAGGCCCTCGCGGTCAGCTGTTACAAGTGAAGCCAATGAGTACTAACGATGCCATTACCCTATTGCGAACTCGCATTCAGGTGGACCAATCAAATGAAACGGAAGCAAAACTGCTTGTCAAGGCACTGGAATGCATTCCTTTAGCAATTGCACAGGCTGGTGCATACATTTCGAATCGCTCACCTCGAATGAGCATACCGACTTACCTGGAGCTTTTTCAACAAAGTGAGTCCAACCAGGAACATCTAAATTATGACGATGCTCATGATCTTCGACGAGACCGAAGCATCCGACATCCGGTCATCACTACATGGTAGATCTCATTTGATCAGATCCGTCACATGTGTATGAAAGCCGCGAACCTGCTGGCCTTAATGAGTATGTTTGACCGACAGGAATTCCAGAACAGTTGGTCAGCGAAGGGATCGATTACATTTCGAGGATACACTGGCTCTATTAATAAGTTTCTCTCTTATTCAGGTTGAGGTTGGCGGACGGCTTTTCGAATTGCACCGACCGGTCCAACTATCAGTTCGACAGTGGCTGAAGAAACAAGGCCAGTTTCGTCAGTTGACCAAACAAAGCCTACGAGTGATGGAAGCAGTATTTCCCAGTGGAGATTATGAAACGTCAGCATCTTGCCAAATGCTCCTTCCACATTTGAAAGAGACAATTCGTATCACTGAAAGTTTAGATAAGAATGACCACTTAAACGTGTCGATTATTATCATTCGATGTGGCTGGTATCTTTTGCTTATGGGAAAAGATGAGGAGGCGGAGGCCGTGCATCGACGAGGTCTTGCTGGCAGAGAGAGAGTGCTAGGCACTGAACATCCTGACACACTGACCAGTGTCAGTTATCTAAGCTCGGTGCTTCGGAGTCAGGGGAAATATGAGGAGGCAGAGGTGATGCATCGACGAGCACTCGCTGGCTATGAGAAAGTACTAGGCGCTGAACATCCTCACACACTGACCAGTGTCAGTCATCTAGGCTCGGTGCTTGAAAGGCAGGGGAAGTATGAGGAGGCAGAGGCGATGCATCGACGAGCACTCGCTGGCAGAGAGAGAGTACTAGGTGCTGAACATCCTCACACACTGGCCAGTGTCAGTAATCTAGGCTCGGTGCTTGAAAGGCAGGGAAAATATGAGGAGGCGGTGGCGATGCATCGACAAGCACTAGTGGGAAAGCGTAGGCTTAGTCCTGAAAGTTAAGGGAAATATGATGCTTGGGCACTCTATCCTACACTTATGATACTCCTCACGCCGCAATATACAACAATTTACCTGTGACGGTTGTGGCTCACCGGTGCGGCTAAGCAGTGGCTGACGGCCGGTAGGGCTTTCCCGTCACGAAGCCCTATCATAAGGGGCAAAGCTTTCATACACGCCAGTGCTGGATTTTGATATCAGCAGGCGATGCCCACAATATCCTCATGGCATATAAATTTGTACCAGACAGTGATAGCCGGGGTATAGGAGGTAGGAGTCACGTGGGACCCTATATACATAGTGGCTCTGAGCCCACGGCTTGACTCCTAGTTTTCTCTCCTCTCCCCATACACAATATTCTCGTCGATAGGCTACCCTGGATCAGCAGATTGTTAAGATTGAGCAAGTGCCACATTACCTCCCATTTTGTCACTAGTTTTTGGGGTATGGTGGAGAGAAGTCCAGAAATGCCTTTAGTTCTATAGGCCAGACTAAATACGCATTGCTATTTACTTAAACTATTATTACTAAATGTCAGACATGGACAAGAAAGTAAAAGTAAAAGATTTTTCTACAGAAATTCGTTGCTTTTAAACAAGCTTTGGATAATTTGCCCACTGGAAATGATATGTCGGGTCAATGTCGGACCGGCCACTCGTGGGGATTGAAAGAGTATGTACTAAACGTACGCTCCTAATAAGTATAATACAAGAGGAAGACTTTTTTTTCACGCTAGGATTATTGAGTCTCTGCGGTGGGGCAGAATTAAACATACAGAGTGTAAAAACATGAAGGAGGTTTCGAATCCCTCTGTAAAAAAGCAATTTTAATACAGTGAAACGCCTATAAGTGACAATCCAGTATCGTCATATGCTCAATAATTACCTTACATATAATAGACTGATATATACAGAAATTTATATGTGCTGAAGAGCTAGATTGTTCGGCCCCACTTTTCAACGAACGTCATGACTACTTACTTCTTCCAGCGTCAACTCTCCAGCTCGATCTTCAGCAACAGCCAGTATGCTATATGGTGGGTATACTCTCGGAGCAGACGGAACGCAAATTGGTCTTGGGATCGGGCATGCACTCATAATCGTGATATTTGTCGATCTGGTTCACCCAGAAATTCGACCTGGTGAAACTGCGCATACGACTTGGTCTTCAACTCCACAACAGCTACCTGTCCACATCTACACATCCTATGGGAATCGCACGCTCCGGAACTTGTGGCCACCAAGGGCTACTGCTGACGTGCCTCGATGCGACCATGAGCTTTCTGCTTTCAGACTCTCGGAAATCTCTTTCGGCAGATCAGCCACGTTATACTTACCTCATGTTTCCCCTTCAGCAAGCTGTCTTTTGGGGTCTTAATGTTGCCAAATATGAGCTGCTTTCCTAATGCAGTTCTTGATCTCCTTCTCTTCTTGCTAGCAGACAGGTTTCGCTCTATAACGGTTGCATTATGGAGTAGTGGCGTCATGTTTACCAAGAGCAATTGACCTCAAAAAGACTTTGCCGTATAAAACTTCTCCGTGATTCTTCAGAACAGAGTTTTTCTCTTTTGTCGATATCCATCTCACGGTCTGGTCATCGTCGTCAAGATGCTGCCCAGGAAATCAATTGTTGCGTTATTGGCATCGCTGTCCTTGACAAGTGCCATTCCGCAACAAGCCACTACAACAACGACTTCCACATCGACGGCTTCATCTGGTAGCTCTACTAGTACTTCCAGCACCACCACTACGACTACTCAAGCTGCGGCATCATCAAGCGCACCGGCTACTCGACCGGGTCTGTCGTCCGTTTCTCACGGCGCATACAGCGGCTCTGCGTCCGTGACTGGCGCAGTGACAGCCAGCTCTGTTGGTACTGGGATTGTGGTTGGAGGCGTGCCTCCAGCTGCGACGACATATCCTGCCGATGGACAATTGCACGATCCCGAACCTGCCCCATATGTTCCTGCAGGAGGTGTCGGCCTGAATACGACTCCTGTTTATAATGTCAAGAGTGATTTTGACTTTGAATCTTTGGTATGTTGTATCATGACCCACAACTCTTTCTTCTCCTCACTTTTTAACACTCTACAGGCGCTTGCTCTATATCAAGAATGGATTGAGTTGGATCTTTTCCAGTACGGTCTTGAGGCGTTCAGTGTATCTGATTTCGAGGATGCTGGATTGACTGCCGAAGATCGTGCCCTGATCGAGTTCATGGCCATCCAAGAAATCGGACACGCCACTGTCATTAGCAACATGCTCGGTCCACAGGCACCAGTTCAGTGTAACTACAACTACCCGTTCACGAACGTGCGCGAGTTTGTAGACTTTTGTCAGAAGCTCACACGATTCGGCGAGGCTGGCGTGTACGGCTACTTGTCTCACCTAGATAGTCGTGAAGCTTCACAGCTACTCTTGCAAAGTATCACCACCGAAGCTCGACAGCAGTTGATCTTCAGACAGTTTGAAGGCTTGTTCCCCATGCCCGTCTGGTTCCAAGTCGGAGTTCCTCAGTCTTGGGCTTGGACACTACTTGCTCCATATATCAGTTCCTGTCCCACGAACCAGACACGTCTGGCCTGGCAAAACTTCCCGGCCTTGTGGATCTTGAACCAACCCAATCCTGTCCGAAGAAACGCCACTCAGGGCTTTAACGAGACCCTCGGTGCGGGGACCAATACGTTGAACAGCACCGGTATCTCCGGCTCAGACGCTTGCTTCAACAACACCGATAAGAGCAACGACTGCAACCCCGCAATCAGCAACAACCGCAGCATCCCGCTCTCATACCCAAGGCGCGTGGTCAATCTCACCTGGGAATATCCCGGAAAACCCGTTGGACCCAATAGCAGTTACGTCACCTCGTCTACAGCCGGTTCTCCGGCGTTTGTGGCATGGGTGTCGCAGTTGAATGTGACTTACTCCCCCTTGAATTTGACCAGCAATACTTCTGGAACAACCATTCAACCAAGCGTCGAGACCTATGAGGGCGATCCTGCTGTTAACGGGACATTGTTTATTGCCATTACGGACTCGGATCTGTATTTGACGCCGTTTAACTTGACTTTGATTAATGAGCATGTTGTTGCTGGTCCTGCTTTGTACCAGGCTGGCTAAGATGTTTTGAGCGGATGTATCGTGGATTGGAAGGTGGTGTGAGTGATGAGATTTGTGGTATAGGTATATTGATATGTAATGTAATATATGTGTAAGCGCGGGGGGTGAGAATACAAGTAACTAGATGTGAGTGAATATACTGAATGACTTGATGAAGGATGTGATTGCGTCTAGATAATATGAGCCTTTATTTTTTATTTATTTTTTTTTTGAGCTAGAGATGATCGCTAGAGTCGTGCGGCATCAATTCTAGGTGCACCATGCGCGAGAAGGTACATCTGAGCATAGAGCTGCAAAGATATTCGATGTATGTACCCAAACCACTACACAACACTATAGATTGGATTGTAATTTCTTAGCGCGATCTTTGGCAATATCACACATAGCCTAGAGACTTATTAGCATTCTGGTGCTGGTTACTATTCAGAGAGTATTGCATTGCATACCTCAATATTATCTCTAACTTCCTGCTCAAATTCTCCACGGTCAATTCTCCGTCTCATATCGACCATGATAACGTCTCGACCTCGACCATTCACGAACGTCCTAAACAACATTAACATGAGAAGGTGAAATCGAAGTGGGAAAGCGGGACATACACATATCTCAAACCCGGATACGTCTCCTCATACTCTTTATTCAACGCACTCAACCGCGCAGCCTGATCCGCGGCAGCTTCCTGATCAGTCGACTTATTAATATTCGCCTGCTCTCTTCTACTCAATTCACTCAACCCCGCCTGCGCAGTAGGGGACGCTGCTCCGAGGCGGGGATGGGAGCCCAGAATGCCATATAAGAGTTGCTTTTGCTGTGGGTCGCTTGTTGCGGATAATGCTGTTAGTTGGCTGTAGATAGCGTCGATGAGGCTGTTATATGATGTGAATGTTTGGTCCTTGTTGTTGGAGAGAATCGGTTGGAGGAGATTGTGTAGTTCGGAGGAGGGTTCGAAGAGTGTGTCGAGCACTTTGAGTTGGTCGGTGAGGGGGAGGGCGGATAGTGATATTATTGGGGGGAGGGTAGCTGCCATTTCTTCCTAGTTGGTGATTTATATCCTGTGTAGTTTACTGATGCAATACAATCCGGACAAGGTCGGTTTATATGGTAGTTGGGATTGTCGGAAGCTGCCGATAAGAGGCCGGAAAGCGCCTTGGTCACGGTCCATGGTTCATTCGATGCACTTGGGCAGCTTCACTGTGTCAACGACATGGAAACATTGAGCAATCTCATATACGACAATCTACCTTGTAAATTGTCTCGGTCTCCAGCCATATGCTACTCCATACGTAGTTCTGTAGTTAAGCCATGTAACGAATGGTTCGCCAAGACAATATTTTCAATCCGATTAGCTCGATCACAAAATCCTTCAAATCGGCTGAATCATTACTCTGAACAAATCAACATGTAACAAAAGATCGACAGTCTCGTTCGTTCCTTAATTTTGTTGAATAGTTTGGAGATGTTCTTCTCGGCGCTAATATGGAGTTATCGCGTGGCGCTATTTATCTGCTCGGCTTCATACATATTACATAGTATGCGCCGGTTCTTCAACTTGACTCAATCTTGCCACTTGGTGTAGTAGTCAATTGACCCAATCGTACGGGTTGTATAGCTGTAATGGTACTCGTCAAGTCAGAATCGTATCAATCGCATATGGGAGAACTCCTTGCATCCAGATCGTATGGTAAAAAGAGTGTATGGTCGTCAATCGGAGCTAGTCCCGAACAGGCTAGTATTCTCCACAACACCCAATAACCTAAAAAGAGGCCAGAGCCCCATACAGAACGCAGTGAATGGGCCAAATACTCAGAATAAATGACCTGGATATATTCCTTGTCGGGGTCGATGTTGTTTAAGAAATTATACGTACATGGAGCGGGTAAAAACCGGGTGTCTACACTGTCTAGGGGTCAAGGAGGGCGTATCCGAAAAAGTGTGGTACCCCTGAGGGCGTGCATCAGTGGCACAGATACACATGTTTCTTGATCGTTCCTGGAGAGGACTCCACACGTGGATTTGTATTCACTGTACGGACTGGAATACGGATAGTAGTAATGAACGATAGCTGGTACGGAGTACGTGGTGACAATTGACATCTTCTAGGAATGAATCACAGGAATTCTCATCCTCGAACGTATTATGATTCATCCTTAACTCAACTCAAAAAAGTACGACGTATGGTAGGCCCGGCAGCTGGTACACCAAAACGGACTAGCTGCCCAACTAGAAACCTCCCCTCCCGCAAGTCTTAAGTCCTCCTAATTATTATTCCACTCTTCCCCCAGAAGGGATTGGATTACAAAACATTGAATTATTTCTACGACTTTTGACTCCAGTGCGCCGACTACATTGCGCTTCTCAAACAAGGACGGCTCCCAGTCTTTTCCAATGCGGCAACCGCCATGTCGCTCAATGGGTTAGATGGTCCCGCTGTCATCGATGCCTATCAAGCCGCCTTGACGGAGGCAGGAGGATGGTGAGTGTGTTCTTCGATGTCGATTCGCGCCAATCCGTTCTTGCGCATCGCTCGCTCGAATCAAGCGAATTTAGTACACTGGCGGACGACAATACTCTGCGAACATAGCTGACAATTCGGTTGATAGGCTCCTCCTCAAATATGCGTCTAGAGACGAGGTCACCTTGCTCGGCCGCGGGACAGGCGGTGTACCAGATGTGCGGGCCACGGTGGAAACTTATGAAGAGAAATCACCTTTGTACGGCTTTTTACAATATCGGAGGAGGAAAGTAGTGCTCAAATACGTCCCTGAGGGAATGTCCCGACTGGTACAAGGTAATTGCACAACGCCCTTATTTTCCCATCCCAACAGCAACCAACTGATATCTACCTGCCGACAGCTCGTACAACGGTCCAGTTCCAGTCGATCCTTGACAGATTCTCCCCGCAAGACACAACATTCGAATTCAAAGCGCCCGGCGATCTGACTGAAAGTGCCCTTTCGTCGGCTTGTCTGTTACATGCAGTGTCCGGATCGATAACGTCGTCTTCGAGTTCTCTGCGCCGTCGCCGGTTGATGGAAATCGCTGAAGATGCCGAGGAAGGACCTCCAACTACTAGGGCACCGCCTAGAGTGCTTCAAACGCCAGAGGAAACAGACGATAAAAGACTCAGTCAGGCGTCAGATGCGACAGCGGTCCCGCCGAAAGAGAAAGGTGACGACTCGCCGAGCATTCCTCCCGCCCCTGAAAGTGAAGTAGATGCCCGGTCAGAAACAGCCTCCGTTCGATCCGTTACGCGCAGGAGATTTCTCGATCAGTTCCAGCAAGATTCGTTCGAACGCAGGAGCTCCACCCAGTCGATGCGGCCGTCGCTACAAGAACTGCACTACGCAGCCCCTTACCGACAAAAAGTGAAGATGGAAACCCGTCCGTCAGCAGATATCAATGGCCGTCCCCGAACCGCTGGCTCAATGACGCGCGGTCAAGAGCATCGTCCCACTGCTGCCTTGCCTGCAGGTGTGCGCTCGCGAAGACCCTCTACCAATTCCAACAGACCAAAATCCACCCCAGACGTACCTCCAGTACCTACTTTGGCTTCTCTCAGAAACGCGCCTCCAGTCCCTTTACTCATTCCCCCACCTACCTTGTCTATTGCGAAACCAAAACTTTCACCGGGCGCAAAGTCGATGAACGCGCTTCCTTCATCTGGGATGTCTCCAGAAAAACAACGACTAATGAAAGCTCTTGAACTTCGCAAGAAGCAAATGGAGAAGAAAACGCAGGATCTACAGAAGAAGCAAGCACAGATTACCACGACAGCGATACCTTCGAGCGAATCCCCCCGGGATAAAGAAAATACAAAACATTCTCCAACAAAGAACGACCCGACGCTGCCCGAGACTGGGAAGACAATGGCTGACGAACCACCTGCTGTCTCCACGAATGGAATCGAAGATAAGAAACCACTATCGGCGGATATTGCGAAAGCCGATTCCGCCGTTGAGATGGTATCGTTAGCCTCAAAAGATACAGAGCCTTCCATTTCAGCCGCTGAGTCAGAGGACACCAGTAGCAACGCAAAAAATACTACAGAAAATCAAAAAGACGAGCAAGAATTACGGCTGGAGCTAAATGACGACCCTTCACAAGATGATGTCAAGAACGGCATGCCAGAGATTACAGAGATCGGAGAAGCCTCAGCGAGTTCTGAGGAAGAAACGTTGACGCCACGAACGACTGATTCGGATAATACTATTAAAGTATCTGGCACTACGGATATCGAAGAAACGCAAGAAGAGAAAACGGAAATCACTGACGAAGCAGGAAATACAACAGGGGAAGTGGTAGATACTGCCGCGGTGGACACAGAGGCAGGCGAACAATCAGAGACATCGCAGGCTGCGGATAATAACGACGATCTCTCTGGATTGATCACTATAGTCGCTTCAATGGACGATTTAAAGGGACCAGAAACGCAGGAAATCGCCTCTGATGCTCCAATCGAAGGATCAAAACCAATTGCGGATGCAAATTCCTGGGCGGAGGATATCCCTTTACCGCTAGGGTCCGGGGACAGTTTAGAGGAACAAGGGCCCGCTAAGTCCGCGCTAGAGACGGGCTCCACCGGCCAGGAACAACCCCTCCCGCGACCCGAAGGAGCAGAAATCGAAAAGTCGGAGAAACAGAGACGACTCGCCCTGTTGGAGCCAATTCGAGTCTCTACGCCTGACTTCTCAGACGATGAGAACTTATTATCTGATGATTCATTGATGGAGGAGCTGAAATCCGCCACCGTCCAGGAGGCCCAGCCCGTTTCAGTGGGTAAGGGCCCCTTATCCCCTAATGGGGAACCGCGGTCACCACTCGAAGCCTGGCAGACACGCGCCGTATCCAACCCAGCTCGACGTCCGAGTGATTTCAGCTCACTGCCGGGAGAATCTCGATCGATATCCGCGACGTTCGTGGATAATAACAATCAGGCGGTGAGGCCTGTGCCGGTGATGGTAGCCAAAAAGGTCAATGTGTCCTCTGGTATCTCGAAGCGTATCAAAGCGTTAGAGATGTTTTCAAACAACCACGACAGCGTTGCGACCCCTGCAGGAAATGCTTCGGCTACAGGTAATCATCTCGCGGCACCGGGATCATCCGCCTTTGAAAAATTTCGCAAGCGCGCATCTGTGTTTTCGAATGGTAATCTTCCTTTAGCGACTGCTGGTACCAGGTCATCTTTCATTTCTACAACCGAGTCCTCACCCCTGAACCGAAGCGATTCGCTGCCCAATGCAAACTCCGTTTCCGTCACTGCACGCATCGTTCGAGACCCCAGTACTCCTCCGACCGAGATGACTGCCGATCCACTCGAAACGAACATCCTCAACCTGCAACGCAGTCCCCTAATCGTGCGACATGACTCTTCCGAAACACAATCGTCGAACCACGTGCTATCGGACAGCGCAACCGATCTTCGCAATAACTACTTCTCGCCGACAGGTCATTCAACAAACTCGTCCATTTCTCGTTCAGAGAGTCGAGCTTCTATGCGTTCACAAGTTGAGGATTGGAGTAGCAGAAACGGCTCCTCCGGAGATATTGGGGCAAACTCCGATGACAAGAAAGATTCTCGTAGGTCTCGATTTATGCGACGCATGTCGGCGTTGAGATCTCCATCACGCAAGGATCTGATTAGTCCTCCACCTGGAATAGACAAGCAACGATTACAATCGCCGAATGCAGAGGGAGCCGCTCAGTCTGCATCAGCACATGCCGTTGATATCGGCGAAGTCAACGTTCAATTCCCCGATACATTACTATGGAAACGACGGTTCTTGCGGATCGACGACCAAGGATATCTGGTCTTGACCCCCGGTAGTACGGACACAGGCGCTCGCAATATCGTCAAACGTTATCACCTCTCCGAGTTCAAGACGCCCTGCCTACCCGATGAAGAAAGACAAGAGCTGCCCAACAGTATCCTGCTTGATTTCCGTGACGGCAGCACATTACAATGCGCTTGCGAGTCCCGGAAAGGGCAGGCTGCTGCACTGCAGAGTAAGTTTATCCATACCCCATTTCAGAAATTGTTAACTGACAATTTGCAGCTCTCGTCGATGCGCACACTGCATATCAACACTAAAAAGCACTCTTCAAAAGGGGGCGTTCATATTCCGTCTTTTTTTTTCCTTTCCTTTTTATTGGTTTTTGCAATACGGGTCGCATGCATTCAGAATTCGTGGTTTATACCCCCCAGCATCATCATCAGAATCATTTTTCCATTCCTCTCTTTCTTCCCTTTCTTCCCTTTCTTCCTTTTGATCTTCATAACTTGGCGGGCTGATCGACTAACCCTGGCATGGTCTTGTCGTCTTGATGAAAATAAGTCACTCCGCTGTACATCCTTTTTCCTTCCTTCTTGTCTCATTACCTACTACACTACACTTGCTTGACGCCTTTATCCTTTCTTTGTCATACTTTGGTTATCACTCCGTGCACCTCTTTCCTCGGAACATGTACTCATTTTTCTATTCCTGTTGATCTTTCTTGACCCCCATTTTTGCCATCGTGGTGCTATCTCTATTCTCATCTTGGTTGGGAGGTTTGTTCCCTACTTCTCACATAGATTCCCTATAGAAAGATTCCCTCTTATCCAGGTCAGGCATGAACAGCCTATTTTTTTTATTTTCCAATCCTATAATTTCCAATAATCGTACATAAACCACCATGGACTAGTACCTGCTATGCATATGTAACTATGTACTTTCAGCAGGCGGATTCTTCTCCTGCCACTCCTCCAAAAACCGAATAACTTTAGGACCCCAAAGCTCTTCCCCAGCCTCTAGGTCGGCGTATTCCAAAATCTTGTCTGAATCGAGCGTATAATCGGCTTGTTTGGAGCGGACTAGTGAACTCATTAGTCCACAGCTTCCTACTGCTTTGCCCAGATCATGTGCGAGGGAGCGGACGTAGAAGCCGGAGGAGACTGTCATGGTGATTTTGGCGGCTGGTGGTTTCTCCCATTTTGCTTCTTTTGCTTCTTCTTGTTTCGTATTATTGGTATCTTCCTCTTTTGTGGTTTTGTCTTCTGTGGAAGGCTGCTCTGGATCAGATTTCAGACGTTTCGTCTCCGCCTCTGTTTCCGAAGTCTTGGTTGCACTATTCTTATCGAGTCCCGGAGATGCCTTTCTCTTATTTTTCTTATCCTCCAATAGAGAGTTTGCCGCTGCTTGCTCGGCTTCCTCTGCCTCCGATGCAAGTGGTATTGCAGCCTCCTTGTCAAGCATCTTTTGCGCAACCTCCTTCTCTTCACCAGTCATTTCCTCTTCCGGCCACTTATAATCATGCGTTCCGGGCTCATACCATTCCAGAATCTGAAGATCATAGACCTCAACTTCTCGAGATTTGATTTCAACGGGAGGCTCTTTCCCCGCTCTCGCATACTCGTATAACCTCACACCCTGTATACTCTTCGCCGAAAAGATAGGTGGACGCTGCATAATTTTACCCCGGAACTTCTTCAGAGCTTCCTCCACAACCTCACGCGTGATATGTTCATAGGGCGCTTTCCGTACAAGTTTACCCGTTCGATCATATGTATCCGTCTCCGCACCAAATAGGACAACCGTTTCGTACGTCTTGCGACATTCCAAGAATTTTATGAGATTTTTCGTGCCGCGGCCGATACCCGTAATCAAGACCCCAGTTGCCATAGGGTCGAGGGTGCCGCCGTGGCCGATCTTCACTTCGGGCCTCTTTTTGCGTCGGTTGCGGAAGTTGGCGTCGTTTTTGCGCCGGGAGATTTCGTTTTCGATCCATGGTCGGAATATGGTGGAGGGGTTGAAGTGTTTTTGGAGTTTGCGGAGAACATCGGCTGATGTTACGCCTTCGGGTTTGTGGACAGCTGATTGCTTTATTAGTATCTTTTGTCTGTAAATATTTGGCGATGGATAGCGCAGGACGTACGGAGAATACCCTCATAGATTTTTCCTCCTGTCATTGTGCTGCGATACAGCTGCGCGCCGCGATTTAAGCTGAGCTTGACGAAGCTCATCAAGAGCGATGCAACTGGTAATAAACAGTGATCAATTGTGTATATCAAGTCGATATTTATTGAATAGAGAAATTCCAAAGAAGCTTATTTTTGGCGGGTGGAACTTTTGCTTACGTAGTTTCGTGCTTACGGCAAGACTCCGAACGCGTGTGCCGTATTGCCTGGAATCTTATCCACTCATCCCATTCCATCTCAACATCCTGTCACACTTTATTGTTTCCTTCAAGTTCTTATTAACTAATCACACATCCAATACAGCATACACAATGCTCATACCAACCCCGTCCAAGTCATGACGTCCCGCGAAGACCAGATCCTCAAACCCCGAGATCCGTTACTCGAAGACGAGAACGAATGGGAAGAGTTCAGCTTGACCGACGTCAAGGTACTGATCCCTGGTAAGTCACGTTATGCCAATTTGCTGGCGACATCGCCGGAAAATCCGGTGAGGGTGATTGGGTGCTTGAATGAGGTCGAGGAGGAGCAGGAACATTTAGGTATGATTTATTGATTTGTCGGAGTATTGGTCTGGGTTATTTTTATTTCCCCGCAGAAGGTCGTTGCAGTACGACAATGTCCTTGCATCCCCCACGCGCGCTGTTATCATCATCACCATCCGTATCTAAACTGACGCTGTACTGTGTACATAGTCATCGATGAAAACTACCTCTCGAAACGTATCGTTATTGAGAACGTGACTCATTACGCCTACGGTCAACATGCCGACGGCGAAATTGGGGTTTGGGTCGCCGGCCAAGCTGGCTGGTTCTCCATTCTACCTGCAAAAGGTTACAAACCAATGTTTAATGATATGGTGGAAGCAGTCGATTTGCTCTACTTTTTAGTTGATCGTCATCGAAATCAGCGACCGAGACGGAAACGCCGAGGTAGGGAGGTTACTTTTGAATACTTGTGTGATGAGGTACATGATCCATTTAGTAGTCTATATGGTCTTGCTGATGGATTCAACTAGTACGTTACACATACAAATGGAATCTGTGAGGATGGCGATGACTCTGCGGAAGTGTTTTATAAACACTCTTCATTTCTGCTTTCGCAAATGATTCAAGGGAGGGAGGAGGTGCAGTGGAATGAAACAGATGTATTCAATCACCTGGTCAAGAAGTTTCCGGTATGTTATTCTCGTTATAATACAATTGTTTCCACTAACAAAGATAGGATGAATATGAACGAATACTAGCACTGCAGCAAAAACCTGATGACGGACCTGCGACGGAAGATCATGACGGATCCACAGATAAGGAGACGGTGAAAGTCGAAGCTATTCCAAACTCTCAGGCAGACACTATATTCGGTATCATCACAGATCTGAAGGAAGCTGGCGCTTTGGCCAAACGCCAATTGAACCTCGATCTTGTTGTTAGTACTCTACGCAACCGAATCGATGTAGACTCGGAGGACTACGCTAGAGATTTGATCGCGGCTAGATCTAAACAAGTCATTGAGCGTATGGACCAGTCAGAGTTCGATTGGCCTAAAAAGGCAATTTATCGAGAATTGAAACAGCTCGCAGAAAATGCTGACATACGCCAAATTGCCATCACTCCACTTCGGCCCCGGACGTCTGTTAACGATGACACGAGCTCCTCCGATCATGAAGACGGAGATGATGAAGACGAGGATGATAGTCCCCGCGCGCGCAGACATCGTATGCGGATGTCCGTTTTACGACCCTCGACTACAAAAGCAGGCAAGAAGACGCGTGGCGGTAAAGCTCCTGCAGCCGTCAGAGATGATGCACATTTATGTGAAGACAGTGATGTCAGTGCCGAAGACTTAGACACGCCCAGCAAATCTCGTGGCCATAACCTTGTCCGCGATCCTCCGCCGTCTGCGACAACTCTTCACATCCGCGCTCGATCTATATTATCAGATGCCGACTCTACTTCGTTGGTTATTCGGAAGACACCATTACAGGAGACACACCAGTCAGCGAATCTATCTGGCCCTGATGCGGCATCTGTCAATCACGAAGACAGTAGCAAAATCGCTGATGGCTTACCTGACGACACATGGATATGTCCAGCCGAAGGATGTGACAAGGTGATATGCAAAGCTAGCTCGAAGAGATCGAAGGAACTCATCAGCGATCATACCCTTACGCACGCCGAGGATACACAAACAAAGCTCGATCTCGTATTTGCCGAACAACGACTCAATATTGGTTTGGGAGTTGATAATTTGCTACGTCGTATCCGTGAATTTGGGACCCTTGATGGAGTTAATGGTGATGGCTCTGATGTTGCTGCTAAAAGAGTTAGGAGATGATCCATTGCACGATATCGATTGATCCCACCTTCACAGACTCTTTTGAAATCTGAAGCAGCATATCCGAGAGGGCTTGCATTTCTCAATCTTCGAGACACGCGATGATGTTAATGTTCTCGACAACACCTAGCAGAGGCGCACCCATTACTCTTGACCACGAAGCACTATTGTGCTATGCATGGGTCGAAAGCACGGAGAGCGATAGAAGTCAATTTACCTGGCTACATTGGACTTCCGAGCTACATGGCCTACGACTATGTCATTCAGCGCATCAAATAATGGATTGGAATTACCGAATAATGGTCGATCTAAATGAAGCGACTACTTTAGCTATAATGAATGATGAAATATCATGGTCAACCGATTTTGGTCATTGTGATCATATACATAAGAATCAATTAATGACTTTTGAAAAAGACACTTTCTGTCTTATAATTTCAATGATGAATCAGCTCCTAACGCCAGGTTCCTTTTCCCAGGTCCCAAAGACTATAATACTATGTTATGGCAGTTGCAATAACAGAAAAAAATCTAGAACAAACGAATAAATACTTTTCATCACTTCATAGCATTTCTCCTACTCTTGCCAGGCCTCTTCTTCGCACCACCAGCACCAGCTTTCATCTTCTTAGCCGAAAACCCACGTAGATCAGCGGAAGACATGGCGTCACCGGACTTTGCGAATCTCTTCTTTCCGCCAAATCCGTATTTTTCGTTCTTCTTTTGTCGTTTTGCTGAGACGCCTGTGTCCTTGCCGCCGCGTTTTCCGAAGGAGGATTTTTTGTTCGTGCTGTCGTTGTCGATGGCGACGTCGAAGAGATCATTGTCATTATCGGTGGGGCCGGTTGGTTCAGTTTTACGTTCTACTCTGTTAGTATTACAGGGAACCGGACAGCAAGAAGAAAGGAAGGGGACGTACTCCGCTTCAAACTGTTAATCTTCTCCAACGTCTCCTTCTTCTCCTTCTGACGCTGCTGCAACTTGGCAACCTGCACCTGTTTACCAAACTTCTTCAAGTCTCTCTGTCGTCGCGCATCCGCCGCCGCTTTCTTTGAAGCCGCCTCATCAAACAACTTCTTCTTAATCTTGCTCATATGCTCATCTGTCTTGACCATTTCCGCGAAATAATCCGTCGGTCTGGTGAATGGCACACCTTCCTTTTTCAGTAAACGACGAGCGTCAACAGCAGCTGACTGGCAGACTTTGTAAAAGGCTAATTCGCGAGTGAGATCGTCGTTGGGATCGGGTACGTCCACAGGTTCGGTGGACACTAAGGAATTGTGTTCAGAAAAGGGTGTTTGTGCGGTAATGAATGATATACGCTTGATGGAGGTGTTGATGGCGGCTGAGTTGTTGATGGTGAGACGTTGGTGAGGAATGACATCTGCGCGTTCGTCTTCGGAGAGATCTGATAGTGGTATATCCTCCTCTTCTTCGCCTTCACTTTCTTCTTCCTCCTCGTTTTGATTCTCTTCTTGATCCTCCTCTGTGAGCTTAACTCCACCCGTGTCCTCATTCTCTTTAGGTTCTTCTTCGCCGTTGGTTTCAGGCTTCTCGACACCATTCACATTTTCCTGCAATTCCATACATTAGTGAAATTCTATCGAATTGCGTAATTGATACGGAAAGCTTACCTCTTCGATCTCCTCCTTTGATTCTTCCTTCTTAGCCTTTTTCTTCTTCTCCGCGGCCTTTGCTAATTTCTTCTGGCGCTCCTTCTCATAATCTCTGCCTTTATGGGCGTCGAGTGCCGCGAACAACTTGCTCTTCTTCACCATTTTGCTTCGTTTCTAAATGAACTGGTTGTAGATACTGACGACAATTTCTCTATTCTGTTCTCAGAGGAATAAGAGTTCTGCACAAGTATCAGTGCAAATAAACAGAATCAAACTGTTGATAAAGCGGGAGCTTGAGTTGGAGCAAATAATTTTTTTAAGATTCGGAAAGCAACGGCGCTATACCCGATATGTCCTGGTCCCGATAACAAACTGCCCTAACTAGTTTCAGTCTAGCGCAACTGCTTGATAAATATCTACCAATCAACTCTAAGGTAGATCCATGGATGATTATGCGGGTGAAGAACCACCATTTTGCAAGTAAATAGTTAGTAACCACTTCTGCGTGTTCGATCGAGGTATTTTGCTAAAATATTTACTTGATCCATGAACGCAGAACCTTATTTACGACTGGAGGATACGGTATGAAAGTTGTGTTGATTGAGGACCTGAAGTGAAACATTGGATTAGTCACGAGAACTACGTATACTTTACCTCCATGTCAACAGATATCAAGGACTCCCCGTCCGGGGGTCAACTGCAGGTAAGAATAATTTTGCATTTCTCCCATTGGTCTAAGGAATTACCTGGGCATCATGGTCTATTAAGAGGAAATGTATTGACAAACAGCAGACACCGACAGATCCCTCTACAGGTGCACCCGAACTCGCAGCCGCCGTGGATGAACTCCTAGACCAACTCCAGCACAAGTTCGATGGTGTTTCTACCGAGATATTTGGTAAACGTATGTTTTCCCCTTTTTCTTTGGATCGCTGCCTATAGTTGGGGGAAACATAACTGACGCAATTTATAGTCGATGATATGACTCGGAGATTAGATGAGCTCGAGGCTTCGTTGAGTGAAGTACAGGAGAATGCTGGAACGTCAAAGGCGTGATCCTCTTTCTCAGATGAATATACATATGACGGTATGGTCAGAATGAGTCTTGTCTAATGCGCTGGCTCTATACATTGAAATTGGTCTCATCTACCTGAGCTATGAGTTGAAAATTTGAGATACCATATTGCAAATAGTTCCTTCTTTATGAAAATCTACAATACATGCATAAGGAAGCTTAATATTGAGGTATCACTATGATTGCCTCTCTTCAACCTTGATCATAATTTATACAACAGCAGTAAACAGCGCAATGTCCGGTCCATCTCAAATGGTTCCAGGAAACATGATATATATATCAGACCGAAGCGTGCCCAAGTCGGGGAACATGCAACTAAAAGAACGGAATTACAATTCATCCTTGGGATTCTCCGTCTCGCCCAAAAATTGACGAAGAATATTGCTACGAGAAATCAGATCATCAATCTTCTCCGGCGCAAGTCCACCCTTAGACAAGATCTTGGTCAATCTTGTGAACTCCTTGTTGACGTATCCCTCGCTCTCCTTCAACTTCTCGGTAACCTTGATATAGTACTGAGCATACTGCTCCTGCACATTCTTAGCGGACTTCTTGATTTCGTCCGAGAGCTTAGCGAAGCTCTTGGTAGGTACGTATTTGGCGACGATCGAGTCAAGAGTGGGGATAGTGCCGGCCTTCTCGTCAAGTCCGCCACCGACGACACGGTGAGTGCCGACTTTTTCGTTGATGTAGTCCACGAAGTTGTTCTCGGATCGACCACCTTCGTATGCAACGGGCTCTGAGGAACCAGCAGGGAAGAATTTGATCGTGGGGAAACCTTGGATCTTGAATTCTGAGGCTAGTGATTTCGAGTTCTCGGCTTCACAGTCAACCTTGGCGATGACTACGTTCTCGTCACGAGCGAAATCCTTGGCAAGTTCTTCCCATGTAGGAGCGAGGCTCTTGCAGTCTAAATAATCCCAGAACATTAGCATCCAAGAACCTCACCGTCAGGGGAAAGGAAAAAGGTTCACATACGTCCACACCATGGAGCAGTAAAAGCAACCAAAACATTCTTATCAGTACCAACAACATCCTTAAAAGACGACTCGGTCAACATCTGCACATTGCTAGGCGGATGATAAGCAGCCTTGGGCCGAATGCCAGTCTTCTCCGTAATAAAAGCCGACAAGCTCTCAAGATCCCGACCACCACTATACTCAATGGGAGTATCACTCTTGCCATCAAAGAATTTCAACGTTGGGAAACCCTGAACACCGAATTGCTTCCCGAGGGAACGATGCTCGTCGGCATCAACTTTTGCGATTTGAACTTTATCGGAGAATGAGAATGTTTGTGCGAGTTCTTCGTATACTGGGGCTAAGTTCTTGCAATGTCCACACCAAGGGGCGAAGAATTCGACTAATGTGGGTTTTCCGGATTTGATGGCGACTTCTTCAAAGTTGGAGGGAAGGAGGTCGAGAACGGCAGATGCGGCGCTGACGATGCTGATGAACAGCGCAAGACTGCTCACGATGAAGCTCAGACGAGCCATCTTGACAAGCTATTGGTCAACAATATAGCAATGAGCAAGTGTCTTGAAACACAAATAAAGATCGTATAATAGAACTTTTGGTCGGGTATCAAAAGAACTCAATGTTGTTGTTGTAGTTCGAAATAATTAAGGACAGCTGGAGTTTCCGCAACATTGCCTGTCCGTATTGCCACATATCCTAGTATGGTAATTACTAATGCTCTCGCCGCTTTAAGGTATTTATCAGCAAGTTTCATATTTCATTTCTCTCGTAGCACCACGAATAAGACTGTCATTTATTGGCTATGGCTTTGATCGTATCTAAATATGCAGCTGCATATATGATAATGATGGTATTCGACATACTCTGGACCAAGCAAGCCTGATCTGGTATATCAATTCTCTCACCTTTCCGTTCCGTCATTCACTATGCGTAATATTACGTTACGTAGCTATCATTGCTGCGATCATATCATGCCATACTAGTATCGAGGTGCCTCATCAAATGATTGGTGTGAAAAATGTTTGACTGCTCGCTCATCGATGACTAGCCAGCCATTTGTTGGCATCATCCCACACTTTAGGCGCCTTGAAGTCTTTGGGTGCGGTTTGGGAAGCCACATAAACCTTTCACATCAATTAGCTGGACATCAATGCATATACAACATACTGGATTCAACATACCGCATCCCATAGAGTAAAAGCGGCATCCAGATTCGCTTCGAAACTTTCACTGTGCTGGAACCATTCTTTGCCTTTAGCCCTAACCTCTTCACGAGTTTTAGGTGACGATGATTCCGGCTGGTAGAGCAGGTCATCAAGATAGGTCCGTACTGCAATACCAAGACCACAATCATTATCGTCGATAAACGGCAACCTAATACGTCAGTCATGAACAACCATGCTATAAAAGACAAACTCACTTGAAACTGATTGATGTCAGTCCTTCGCTGCTGATGCTTCGATCTACCTCGCCACTCAATAGCATCGAGGTGAGTACTACTTCAATCAGCTCCCGCAATGTCCGTCGGACAGCAGAAATCAAAGAGCGGAAAGATAAAAGCTGGCGACTGAGTGGTCCTGAGTAGCCAATAGGTTTGTGCTTTAGCTTTCCAATACATGCGACTCGCGAGATGAGGAGGTTGTAGGACTTGTCCTCGTCTGTAATCATTAGTACGGGTTTCGGAGGTCGAGATGTTTATAGCATACCTGAGCCTCGCATTGGACCACCCGAGTGGTGTGGGAACCAATTGCTGGTACCCAAAACTCCCATGCGCAGCATTTCAACAGCAGTAAGGACGTTTTCATAAGACTGAGAATCGACTGGTCCTTTAGCAGAGTCGAGTACCTTGATCGCTTCAGTAAAGCACTTTCCCCATTCTGTGAGCTCGTGCTTGCTATTCACGTAGCCCCGGAGCTGCAGGAACGCTAACAGAGTCTGATGGAGGATCTCGTCTTCCGATGATAGTGTCTTTTGAAATGAGCCAGTAAACGCAAAAAGTAGGTTGAGCAGCACTTACGACAGCTTCTTTAGTATAAAATGTCTTTGACACGAATTCCGAGTTCTTCAAGCTCCCGGCAGCAAATTTCAGCGATCCACGAGGGGTCTACACAAGTCAGCGTCATACCCAGAGAATATCATATCGATTGCCAAAATACTAACCTCAAGGGTGGCCAATTCACTGGGCAACTCTTTATGACTAATTCTCCAGCTTCTAATAGAATCTCTGACTGAGGGTAATGTTTTGAGGTTGATTGTTCGGGTGGAGTTCTCCTCATGCCAAAGTCGGACGTTGATGACCTTGGTCTGATAGAATCGATGAAGGCAGTTAGAGAGCAAGCCAACAGCTTGTTCGCGAATTGGCATGAGTGAATCACCGGCGAGACGACGATAAACTTCGGAGTCCTCAACGCCAAAGGGTAATGGTACAGTAAGCTGACCGGTGGTTAGATAGTTGGGAATGTTGGGACCCAAGACACCTCTAGAAATGTAATAGTAAAGTTCCTCCGGTAGACGCTGCCCAATTAGTTCATGTACGTCTGATGGAGCTGTTTCCGGATCCAAGGGACCGACTCGACCTTCGTTATCGGCAATCACATGATGCTTGATTGACATATAGGCTCGTTTATAGCGGTCAAGATACTGAAGATCCTGCACGCGGCGGTCCTCCTCGAACTGTGAACATAATGTAGTGGCATGGCGATTTGCGCCGTTGAAAATAGTCAATGCGTTAGAAACATTCCATGGCTTGCTGGGAAAAGTAGAATTCTCGAATGGAGGGAACGTGCGAAGATAGCGAGAGCCTAGCAGCAAGGCAAAGTCAAGGAATTGCTCGTTGGTGAGTCGACCGAGTTCCTCCTTGCAGTGTTCCTTGGATATCCAGAGGAATTGGCCAGCTTCGAGATCGAGTTTGAGGATGACTTTCTCAATGTCGAATAGAAGGACATCTGTGGATCCCCAGACAAAGTCAATGAAAGGTTTCGGAGTGCTCTCGAAATACTTGAGCTGCAATTGTAACGATCAGTCAGCCGAGACTCTTTCCATCAATTGGTAGCATAGTGGGTATACCTGGGCGGCAGCGCTATAAGGGGCTACGAAGAAATCGACACTATTTTCGAAGAGAATTCGTTGCAGGAATCGGTAGAACTCGACTGGTTCGGGGTTGCCTAATTCACGAAAGGTTCAGCTTTCCAATATGCATGGCCCGGTTGACAGTCAATCACTCACCAGCATTGCTAAACGCATCGACCACCTGATCAGCCTGCTGCTGATCATACAGTTCCCACGCTTGTTCAAAGGCACGCGCAGAATCGGCTCGTCTCGAATCGTTCCGTACACGGTTCTGCGAATCTTCGACACCGAATTGGAGACCGTCAAAGACGAAAAGAAGTCCAATCCCCAACTCCTTGAGCTCCATGAGCTCTCGCTCAATATTCGCTCTAAGCGCAAAGGGGAAACCGCCGAGGGCAATTAGGAGGGGTTCACGAGTGGATGGGTGGTGAAGGTGTTGGTGGAGGTAGTAGGTGGCATCAATGCCTATCACGGTTCCTTTCAGGCTGGATAGAGCGAGGGTGTATGCATGGCTGGTAGCCCAGTCATCTAGCGCACGAATGGCTGGTAATTGTTAGATATGATAGAGAACACTGTAAACTGGAGGAAATTGAATCTGGGACGTACGGGGCATGGCGACAATAGCTAGCGGCTGTCAAGTGCGTAATTTTCTAGAATGCGGGCGCCGCAGAGACGAGAGCTGCCCCCTTAGGTTTGAATGTGCACTGATCAGACGAGCTTGTCAAATAACCTGCCGAGCTGGGAGCAATGTATTCGCTCAGAGTAGGATGTAAGCGCGAATACGTGAGCTAAAATATTGTCGTTCTAGTCTTGATTGTTGATGAAGGAGCTAGGGACTTTAGGGTGAGACTTTATTGCAGTTGGACTGTTTGGGTAGGTGTAGGCCCACTCTTTGGAAAGGACGCTGTTGCGCTAGTCTGAACGAGGTTAGACAGATTTTCTATATTCAGACAGATCTTTATCTCCAACTTCACGTGATCTGATACTGTTCTTATTGAGTCTTTGAAGAATGGAATACTCCAAAATCAATTCACTGTTCTTAAGAGTCTTGCCCAGCTTGAGGGAGAACCGATGGTGTAGAGTATCCATTGACTCAGACCACAACTACCCACTCTCTCTCTCTCTCTCACTCAATCAATCAATGAGTCATCCCGATGACAATGGTAATCGGCACTGGTAGCCACTCATCTACTTAAGACGATAAGCGAGAAAAACAGATGAATACGGAGAGCTCCGAAGGACCCAGTAATCAGGTACATATGCCGCCAAGATTTTGAGAGACCGTTCTACCATCTGATCGAAATCAAAATTCCGTATCACTGATAGTCCCACTCTAATCTTCCCGGTTCCCCGCATACCTAGATACATAAGAGTCTTCTTCGTCTTTTGTTTTTCTCTTCTATAAAGTCTGCAGGAAATCATCCTAGAACTTGTATTACAGCATTGAGCCGGTGAATAACACAATGGCATCCCCGATCCAGCTCCCCATTATCGACATCTCGGATCCCCTCAATCCCGCCGTTGGGAAGGATATGCTCGATGCCGCAATCAAATATGGCTTTTTCTATGTCCATGGAAAGGGAAGTGACTTTTCGGCAGCTGAGGTTGATTCTACCTTTGATTTGGTAAGTGCCATACCGCCACAACATTGTACTTCTAGCTGATTAGGGCTACAGTCCAAGAAATTCTTTGCGCTGCCCAATGAGGAGAAAGAAAAGTGCCGTATTAGGACGGATGTATGTATAAGCTATATATTTTAGTCTGTACACCTGCTCACGTCATACAGAATCGAGGCTGGTCAGGAATGCACTCCGAAATTCTAGATCCGGAGCATCAAAGGGTATGTATTCGCCAAACACCTCACTTGAGCCATGCTAACAGACGAGCAGACTGGCGATTTCAAAGAGTATGAACCACCATGAGTTTATAATGATAGAACCAACTAAACGAAGAAAAAAGGGCTCTCAATTTCGGTGAATTCAAGAATGGAAAACTCCAACAACCACTTCCCCCAGCCCTTGAACCACACGAAGGTGATATCAAGCATTTCACAAACCTGTGCAACAAAACTGCTGCACGTGTGATGAGACTGCTCGCGCTTGGATTGGAGGTACGTTTCCCACCTTCACCTAGAGAAAAACAAATATGTAATCGTCACGACAGATCGATCCCGAATTCTTCGTAACCCGACACGACGCCTCTCGGGGCTCAACAGGCTGCATCCTACGCTTCCTCTACTACCCTTCCATCAACTCCCCGGCCTCGTCTAGCTACCAACACGACATTGACGTCCGCGCAGGCGCCCATTCAGACTACGGGACAATCACACTCCTATTCCAGCGTCCCGGACAGCCAGGTCTCGAAATCCTCACCGCAGACGGCAGCTGGGCTCCCGTCCCCGTATGGCCCGAAGCCGCAGCGGGGGGCATCAAAGACGATTTCCCACCTATACTGATTAATATAGGTGACATGCTCAGTTTCTGGACAAACGGATTACTCAAATCGACTATTCATCGAGTCGTATTCCCACTTGCGGAGCGTTCACCTGCAGGAACAGAAGCAGACACAAAACCGCAGGATAGGTATAGTGTTGTGTTTTTCTGTCATCCGCTTAATGATTGTAATCTTGTACCTCCTGTGCCGAGTCCATTGGTTGCTGCGGCCGGTGTGGAAGCTAGTCGAGTTGGATTTGGGGGTGGTGCTGGCTCGTTGAAGGAGAGAAGTTCGATGACTGCGAAGGAGTATTTGGATTTGAGATTGTCGGCGACGTATGGGGAGCGTGAGAAGGTTTAGTTTGTTTACACAGCGTTAAGAAAGGTTTCCGATGACTTAAATATAGCCCAGAAGATAAGAGAAAATAACCATTGTTCTAGAATAGCGCATCAAGGATATAGAACAAGAAGAATAGAAGATCACCACTATGAGACTCTGACAAGGTCATTCCAACCAGACAGCCAGGTTATTCCTTCCTGGCCGCCTGTCTGGCCGCCTATCCTGCTGCTCTAACCACTTCTTCCATCATCATCATCATCCTCCTCTCTTCCCAGACACACCTCTTATACTCTCAAAAAATCAATCAAATCAACATCTTGTTTTCCTCAATCACATACACCACACAAAATACAGTCCATCAGTTTCCTTGGAAACATATAAAAAAACTAAGAGAAAAAGATTTGCAAAGAACCAAAAAGAAAAAGAGAAATCAAGCAAGTCAGATCTTGCTTTTTTTTACATCCTTGAGATCGTTGCCAGAAAATAAAAGGGGTACGCTCAATTTCTCTCATTCGAGCAAATTGACCCGGGGAAAAAAAAAGTAAGCAATAGTAAAAAATAAAAATAAAAAAAATAAGAGGGGAATAGAATAGTCAACGTGGAGGCAAAAAAAAGATGAAGTATTTCGGAAATTGAGTATAACAGAAGAAAAGAAAAAAGCACCCATGTCTCGCTGCCAGGAGAAAAGCTGTCAAAAATCAAACATACACACAACACGCACAAAATAATACCATCGTAGCCGGATCTGGAAGCGTATGTTCGGCCATTCCACCTTCCCAAAAAGGGCATAGTATATAAATAAGAAGAGAAAAACACACAAGATCAAGGAAACGAGAAGGCAGAAAACGGCCAATGAGAGATGTCGCTGAAGGTAGGGGGACCATTAACGTTCAAAGTAGCATAAAATAAGGAATATGAGAAGAAAAAAAACACTCGGTCAACCCAGTGATAGCCCAACTGCAGTAGATCGTTTTGTATGGTAGCCAAGATATCCAAATTCAAGAGTATCCAATGCACACTTGTTTCGAACTTAACGGGTAGTGGATTTTCTTCATTATGCATGTGTCGCGGTAAAACGTATAAACTGTTGGCGGTCGAGGCGAGGTCCGAGGTCGAGAAAGGTATCGTACAGAAGACAGGCACACTGCTTTTGGCTCAAGTCATAACTATCGACGGGATCCTTCGATTTCAAAGTTGGACGGTTCAATTACCGGTTTACCAGGCCCAAACCTTGAGCTAGGAGAGTATTAGCAGGAGAGCATGATTGCCCGAACCCAAATATAACAACGCACCAGAGAATCCCATGATCCAGTGCACAAGCTGATACCGTCATTGCTAACGCCCAAGCAGCTGACGCGGTTTTCATGACCACTCAAAGACCCGACCTTGTCTCCACGAAGAACATCCCAAACCTAGAATTGATCAGCTACGCTGTATGTGAAATAAGACTTGAGTAAATACCTTGCACTCGAAATCATCATAACCAGCAAACAGAAGCCGTCCAGACACGGAAAAGGCGACCGATGTGATGCCGCAAAGGACTTGGTCGCTCTGTAGAAGCGATTAGCATTGGAAATGTCTCATCCAACAAAGGCTATATTACCTGATAGGTGTTGAGTTCGCGATCCGCGCGAATATCGAACAAGCGACAAGAAGTATCGTCGGAACCGGTACCAAAAGCATTTCCGTCTGGGAAGAATTGAATAGCGTTGATATCGGATTCGTGGCCGGCAAAAGTTTGCACAGCCTTGCCAGTACGGATATCCCACAATTTTGCAAACGCATCGCAAGCACCAGACACGAAAACGTTCTGGTTAGTAGGGTTGATGCTGATAGACATGACGTCGCCGAGGTGGTCGGCGAATTCGGTCACCTTAGACCCCGACTCGATATCCCACAACATACAGGTCATATCTCCAGACGAGGTGATAATGCGTCGGTCGTTAATGAAGCGGCAGCATGAGAGATAGCCCGAGTGACCGGACAATTCACGTGCGACACGGGTCGGACCTTCACGGGCGGAAAGGTTATAAATAGAGCAAATGTTGTCCAAACCACCGCAAGCGACGTAATTCCCGCTGGGAGCATACGCGCAGGTCATGACCCATGACGACCGTAGGGGGATGGCGTGCACCTTATTTGTTGTATAAGCGTCCCAAATAATAAGTTTTCCATCTTGCGAAGCCGATACGAGATGTCGTCGATCGGTAGACCAGTGCATGGCGTAAATCTTGGCCAGATGACCCTTGAGCGTTCGACGGGGTCTCATACCGATGCGCGGGAGAGGGTCGGTGTTATTCATTGCAACTTGTTGCACTAGATAGGCGATGAACGTTAGCATTGATCATTATACATACTGCTAGAATAGCGACGCATAAATGACAAGTCGTCGGACGGCGACAGCATGGTTGGAAAAAAAAAACCATCGTCCTTTCTTTCTGCAATGAATACAGAGGGTGAATCTCTTACATGTCGTGTCGGCAAGCTCATCCTTTCTGCGTTTGATCTTATCCTTCAAGCCCTCTGCTTCGCGTCTGGCCGCTGTTATTTTAGCCTGCATCTGCTCGCCGCTCATATCGGCCGCCATTGTGTCCAGTCAATAAAGCCCGAGGGCGATAGGAGGAGGGGGGGTGTGTGTTTCGTGAGGTGAAGAAAGAAAACAGAAGGGGGGAGCGAGAGAACGGAGAACGCAATTGACCACCACAAGGAAAACACGAATGGAACAGACGATGACAGCGATCCCCTATGGGTATGGACGTAAACGCAGCAGCAGACGTTCAAGGGACGAATGAGTGGAGGTGTGGTGTGGGATTTGATGGAGTGCGACGGAACGAGAGACAACAGGAGCAAAGAGCCAGTTGCCAGGATCAGTCAATCGAGCAATCAAATCAGTCAGCACTTGAAGAGCAGCGAAGACAGGAATTTGGGGGGGTGGGCGGCAGTGTCAGGGTGGAAATCGGGATGGGAGGAAGCAGTGACCCAGCAGGAGACTAGTAAGACTAGGGTCGCTTAGTGAGCGTGATCTGACCAATCACGGGCCGACGGCTGCTGGCGCCGACCGCGACTGGTTGGTTGAGGAGCCACTCAGCGCTCAGTATTCCTCGAAGAATGTACCATGTATTGTAATTACCATACGTGGATACGAGCTGTGTTTACCTCGCAAGTGTTTTAGTTGAGCGTGAAAAGCTAAATACCATACGGTATGTGTCAAGACAGCGCCTCGTGTAACTCGACTATCTACAATTCTACATCGATCGGTTTCGAGGATACGATATGACAACAGTGAAGAATATTTATATCAATTGACTATTGAATCTTTTATACAAGTCGATGTTCGCTTCTAGACTGTAAGCAGCTAAGAAAGGGGCCTGCCCGACGTTGGGATATTGGGTTTGGGGGTGGGCTCGACTAGTGATATTATTCTCCCTGATGGGGCGCAAATCTATCCATACGGAGTTGCACTCCGTTACCGTGGGTTGGTCAATATCAATAGGGGTCAACCTTGGAAACATGAATAGACCGTCATGAAACATACGACTCAGTATCTGCTTGATCGCGGTGTATTGCAGAATGATAAAAAGAGGTGACCATCTCGATAACCAAGTTCGCGATTTTAGCCATTGGCCCCATTGGTGAATAACAAAAGAAACAATGGACAGAATCTCTGAAAGATAAAATACAATATGTCACAATACAGACTAGTGCACATAATAAGAATAGCAATATCTTGCATAGATGGTCTGTGCAATAGAGACCACGACTAGTCTGTTTGCGGTTTAGTGTCCCCCAAATATCCCCACTAGCTACACGTCTATTGGTGCAGACTCCGGCCACTAGTAAAGTCTGGTTCAGGCCACCATTCCTGATCGGGAAATATTTGGCAGTCATTTTGTTCTAACTTCTTTGGCTGCATCTCACGATCCTACGCTGCCAATAGTCTTTGCCAATCGCCAAACCCTGGAAAAGTTGAATCCGGAGTACATGACGAACCGATACAATAGAAGACCTTCATTACGGCATTCTAGAATATTGCAGAAGGGGCAAGGAACATACAGTCTGTTATTGATATGTTAATGTCTTATGATTATTAATTACAGGGCAGTGGATATATCACGGACGGTTACATGATCCGATTGACTCGTCATCTTTGTTGCTCGTTACATTTAGTACTTGGCGCTGTTTTGCAACCTAATCATCAGCTTTACGTACTCCGTACTCGGTAATTTTCTCAAGATACTAGTTCTTCACTAACTAACTTGACGAATGCTCCAAGTGGCTTGCACCGTATCAGACCGAGAAACCTGATTCTAGAATCTGGAACGTTTCTAGAGTTAAGTTACCAACATCAGCCTCTTACATGAATCGCCTCACTTTGATACGTCCTTGCCAAGCCGGCAGGACGCCGTGGATCCTAGTTAGTGGCATGATCATATGTGTATCTCTGATTTACTTGCCCCAGGGTATTTCTCACGGCTCCAACACAATGATTCCCATGCCCATTGATTGCATCGTCTTCGCCGTCTGCGAACATGGTGAAACATCAGATTATTGTCCTCTTACGGACAATTCTCCGGCATTCTGGTACCATTGATCCCGGAGCACGATGTGACCCAGGCGGGCCTTTACGTGGTTATATATTAATTAAGTTAACTTAATTGTATTGTGGCCAATTATTAAGCATAACGGCTATGACGGAAGCACGCACATTTCTGAAGGATCAAAGATTGATTTTCAGGGACTCAGGGGTATTTTCTACAGGATCCTGTATCCGTGCAGACTTGCGGAAGTATGGAGACTTGACTGCATCGAATGTACTCCGTATATAGACCTAAAAGTTAGAATTGTCATTGACGGGACATGTCAATCCTCAGAATTACGATCTGCGACTGTTGTCTTTTGATTTGCCCTTTTCTCCGTAGTACATGTTAGTTGGTTTTATGATAGGACCTGTCGGATTAACGCCGTTGAAAAAAATTCCCCTTTTCAGCAGACTTTGAGAGAGTATAGCACCTGCATTATAGGGCGTAATATCGCGCGGCATATCTCATGTTCCGGTGTTCGTACGGAGTAGTTCGTACACTTCATGCTGCGGAGTAGTAGTGTCAAGAGATCTCAAATGACTATAAATATAGTTAAGTCGGTTCCAATGTTATGCAGAGGTAGAGTCCAGCCAACAACGTTATCGTTGTGAGTGCTTGTATTGACTACCATTGCTATACATTTTGCTGCAATGGAGTCAACTGTAGTATCTTACTTGGGACTATCAATAACAGATGCGAGTGACCTCAAGGTGTATTCAGTCACTGTGAATCGATGCGCTTGTTATAATTAGACCAACCCAGTAGTCCGGTACAGGTACATGCAGATTCCAGAGTAAACAGACTCCATTGTATTAATAGCCCAGGCAATCTTCACATGCAGCGCAGGTCCTAATAATAACACCTCAAACAAGATAACCAACCAATAACCTCCTCCACAGCGCCAGTCTCAGGTTGCGTCTATGCAGTCGAATGTCAGTCGAGGAGATGAAACAAAACAAAAATAAAACAAGCCAACATTGAAGGGGTCCGGAAGATCTGTTTATAGGCGAACGTATGTCAAGCATCTCGGGAGCCAGCCAGATCTAAAGGATAGCCGCCCGTTTCTAATCTTAGACACCACTAGACCAACCCTAATCACTGTACAGCCAGTCACATTGAAGATCTGGCTGCACCAAGAAGTGCTAGAGTAGATGGAAGATGGATTATATCCGAGAGGCGGGCTGGTTGTGTTTCCAGGGTTTGTTTTACGGAGTCCCACCCACCTATGATCTTGATCTGTGCATTGTTTTAGTTTTGGTTGGAGTCGATCTGCCGATATCTTACTTCTGTCATTTCAGACCATGTGTTTTGTTGCATTCATTGTAGGTCGGTGCTGTTAGAGTCATATTGCTTTTGTGGAATCCCATGTGAAACACTCCCGAAGTCGATATACGATGGTTGTAACTTCCCATAGCCATAAAGACCCTCATCCGATAGAGTAAACTGATCTCGTGGTCTCACCTTCCAAGGTGCTCATTTCATTATCTAAGATCGTCGTCCAGACTTGCCAACCAAGTACTTGCTGCAGGACTTGAGATGACTCGGAGTATGTGCTGATCTCACCCTGTCAGGTGAGATCCCACTGTAACGCATATCCATCCGCCATAGTCAAGGTATTGACCACCCGGAAAATGACATCAAGAAACCATTGACTTTAATGAATTTATCCCAGGTGACTCTGCAATATGCCTAAAGAGGAGAAGCCGTTGTTGTAGACAGATGAATTGAGGGGTATCTGTGCGGAGTAGTCGTACGTATTGTCGCGGATGGATGCACAAGATGTTTTGTGGTTGGTCAGTAGACGGCGGATTACAGTACCAAAACGATATCTGCTGACTCGTACTCTCAGACTCTCTGCTTTTGACGAGTTCTTGGTAGACGTGAATGGATAAAAATGCTGATATGGGAAGAATGTCAATTCAGCTTATTCAAGTAGCAGAGTACTCTATTTAGTATATATGGATATCTCTCCTTACTAGGTACAAAGGACTCTCGCTTTTTTTTTTTTTTTTGGCAAGCATCTAACAGCAGTGGTGTCCTATGATAGACCAAATAGAATAGTATACCTCCTATCCCATCAGCTAGATCACTCTAGACCCATTTACCTAGGTATAATTGTCTCTTTCATCCCTCAAGCGCAGCGAATCCAGACAACTTGTATGTGGTTATTGACTAGTCTGAAGATTCTATTATTAAAATGTGGCGACTCTAGGCCTGAGGCTACAGCCGACGGATTGGGCCATTCACAGTCTGTATCTGTATTGTGATCAGAATTAAAAAAGAAAGTGCATGGAAACTAGTTGTAGAGAGAATGGCCAACAGTAAATAGCAGACTGCATATAGATTAAATAAACTAGTTAAGTGACTGTGCTGGGCAGATTACTAAGGCACTCTCCTCCTGGTTTCATCGTGGCGGCCCGACTGTCGATTTCTATGCTCATTTACTTTCCTTCTCCTTTCCATAACCCTCTGCAAGACATCGCGAACAATCTCATTATTATTGACAAAAATTTTCTGCTCCCTTTTCTACTGTCTTATCAGCTGTGGAGGTGAAGCCACAGCGTAAGACAGCCGCCACCGAAGAACTCTCTGGTCGGTCCTGATCCGAAATTTGTTAATGTTACCCGTCCGAACCCCCTCCAACCACTTTCTTTAGTCGCCTTCGCCGACTCCGGTGCCAGTCAGTCAGTCCTTCTTCTCCTCTCTTTCATCCCATTTTCCTTCGTCCTCATCGACTTCCACAACCCCCATCAACCCAACAGATACTATCGACGTATCTCTAATGACTCATCTGCTTTTATTTGTTTCTTTTCCATAATAGCGCGTGTTTGACTTTCGGGTTCGCCTTTCTTCATCCCCTTGTTCATACCGTCTGGCATCTCATCGCAAATACCTCAGGGGCGGTGTGAATCATCTTGCAACACAACATTAAACGCTTTCTTCATCGGGTCGAGGTTCGAGCTATTAAATATCTGGCGCTATCGATCCAACCCATCCCTCATCATTCTTATCTCCTTGTCAATAATTCGGTTAAGCAATTTCGCTGGAGTAATCCTCGGCAACCCTCGCCACGATGAGGGAGGTCAACTTTAGCATCCCCAATGTCAATAAGGCATCCGTCAATATCACAACCACCTTATACGACCGACGAGCCTTGGATTGCACATCGACGCTGCCTCTGATCAATTCGCTAAACCACCTGGCGTATTTAACGACGTCCTCCGGTCGAATTCGAGATATACTCACCGTCGACGGCGGTATCGAGCGATTAGTATGCATACTCAAGGAGGGCCGCAGTGGTGATTTGATGGAAATGTGGAAATGGAGTCTTGCTTTTCAGTGTGTGGTGAATATTGGCGTACGAGGATCCGAAGCCGTGCGCACACGTGTTGTCGAAGCCGATGTCGTGCCTGTGATTGCTACTATCCTCGACAATTACATTCGAGTCGTGGACAAAGTACGCGCTCGTGCTGATGCTGATCGATCATCTTCATCGAGAATCGTGGGTTCGTCATCAAACTCTCATTATACTCGAGATCAGTCTTCATCCACAGCCACTGTCTTTGAACGTTCGGCAGCCATCGAACAACGGCCTTCGCGTCGACAAGCACCTCCACCTTCCATTCAGATTCCCCAGCCATTTAATCAAGACAATACCCATCCTCCTCATCATCATCACCATCACCGACATCATCACCATCACAATAATAGTAATAATAATGAACATCAAGCCTCCAACGCCGAGCTCACCCCATTCCACCAGCCTGCTTTGACATCTCCACCTGAACGAACCACCTTTGGCCGTGACGTTCTTAATCCTCGATCTCATGATCTTCGATACCAACAGAGTCAACAAGATATTCGACAGATGCAACCCCTAGCTACAGCTGTTCCTACAATGGACACTACTGATGGAGTCCACCATCGGCCCGTTCAGCATACCCTCCGTCTTCCCAGCATGCATCTGTCGAGCCCGCGTACTGCTGGTCTCGTTTCTCAACCCGATTCACCTACAACGCCCAGCGGTCCAGTGCAAGCTCGCAGCGTACCACAGCCTGCTGTTCAGATCGTGCGACCGACGCTCCGCCATCTTCAGTCTGCCTCTGGTGACTCGGACGATGCCAATGGAGAGGATTCACCAATGGCTGATGAGGGCCCGGCCGGCGTTGTCTCAGAGCCCATTGTCGGTGTCCAAAATTCGATGGAGATTGACAATGTTGACGGCGATGAGTCAATGCTGGAAAACAACGAGTCTCGTGGCCTCACTATGGCTGATCCATCACGGAATCAAGATACCGAAACGTTCAATATTACTCATCGGTCTGCTGTAGATGGCAGTCTCGTTAACAATACAAACACACAGACCGCCGGTGCGCTAGGCTTCTCTCCGACAGCCGGGCCAGCGAACGCAAATTCTCCCGTTATGAACGTCCTCAACCACAGTCCTTACTCTACGTTTCTTCGCAACCACAATTCTCCATTGGGTGTTCTGAAGGGCATGCCCCGGGACGAAGACGTTCTCATGGCCTTGCAACTCCTTGCTTACGTTTCCAAATATTGCAACCTCCGAAGCTATTTCCAAAATACTCATCTGGTTCCTAAGCTCAAGATTGGCCGGGAATTGGACCTGTTGGACGAGCCGAACAAGACATTCTTAACTGGCGATCGAGCAGACGATGAATTAATGTCCGATGTCAAGAACGACGAAGGCAAAACCCGTGCTGACGATGAGGAAGAAGAGGAGTATTTACTTCCTGACAATCTCAATATCTTTCCGTTAGTAGAGAAGTTCACCGTGCGACATCACTCGAAGGATATGCAATACTGGGCGTGTGTTGTCATGAGAAATTTGTGTCGCAAGGATGAGTCTCGCGGAGGAATTCGTCAATGTGCTCATTTTGAATGTGGAAAATGGGAAGACTACCAGCGACAATTTGCAAAATGTCGACGTTGTCGTCGGACCAAGTACTGCAGCAAAGAATGTCAAAAAGCCGCCTGGATCTGGCATCGGCATTGGTGTCACACCTCACCATAGTCCCGGTACTGCCCATTTGCTTGACTTTAATGATTCTCCGCATGTCCCGTCAAATTGCATCTAATTCTGATCTCCTGGCTCAGTCCAGGTTTGCATAGCGACATATTCCCATGACCTGAATCATTTGGTTTGTTACTTTGTTTTCTTTCTGGCAAGGAGGGTGGATGCGTGCGGTAGTTATGAGGCATAACGGATTACCATTACAGGTTTTGGTTGCGGCTATCTTCTTTTTCTTCCTCTCTCCTCAACCTGCTGGGTTCATGGGATCCTAAACGGCGTTTGTATTTCGAAATATCAGATACCTCATCTGTTTCTATTTATGGTTTTTCTGTTTCCATCATTTCTCTTGCTGAGTTTTTTATTCCTCGCATTACCATGATCGATCACAGTCACTGATACTGATACCAATTTGGTTTTTGTTTTTGGTGTGTCTGCACCATTCATTGCCTTGCAAAGTTTCTAGATATCATGTCATACATTCATCCCATAGCACGAAATTTGTCTGTGTCGTTTATACATATTCTCGTGTGTTTTATATGTTTATTCAGTTAGTTCATAGTCCGTCGCAGCGACGGACTAAATGCTATCGAGTTTTCCACATAATTGCTTCCCCGTAAGAGAAATATCAGCTCCCTAGAAGAATGTGGGTGGAGCAAGAAGTAACGAATCAAATGACTCGAGTAAGCTTTTACCCCAGAGTCTACCTGACATCATCTGTACCTTCTTCACTCCTCAGATATAAACATATACACCAGACAGAGCAGAATGAATTGGGATACACTATGGTTCAACATCGCTACATTTATCTGCGGCGTATTCATCCTCGACTACGGCGCCGACAAGTTCATTGACCACACTGTCATTGTCGGTCGTCGGTTGGGTATTTCCCAAACACTAATTGCTCTATTAACGATTGGCGCCGAATATGAGGAGGTACGCTATTCCCCTAAGCTCATGCACCAATCTTTATGTGTGTCTGAATATACTAACTCAGAACGAAAGCTCGCGGTAGTCATCGCCGCAATTCTACAACATCGCTCTCCCCTAGCACTCGGCAACATAATAGGATCAAGCATTTCCAACATCCTCGGCGCATTTTCGCTTGGACTGCTGTTCCATTCTGGACCGGTAATAGAAGTCTCGAGATTCGATGCTGCGGCCAAGATATACACGGCGTTGTTATTTGCCATTACGACTGGTGTGGTTGGAGTCATCTATTTTCATCTTTTGACATGGGTTACGGGGGTTGTTTTGATTGTGGTGTTTGGGGTGTATATTGTATCCATTGCATATGCTATATATCGTGGCATCAGTGTTTTGGCGCCGGACAGTAATGATGAGAGCGAGAGTGATAGCGACAGTGGCATCGGCGACGCCACCATACCATCAGAAATCTCACCTCTTCTCTCTCCTACCAGCAACAGTGCAGCCCATGAAATAGTCCAAGAACCAACCACAAGGCCAAAACGCCCCCGATCTCTCACCTACCACATCACTCACCTCCTAATCGGACTCATCTCACTGTCTTTATCAGGCTACATCCTCTCGCACAGCGCCAGCTCAATCGCCGACTCACTAAACCTCTCTGGCACACTCGTCGGTATTACCATTCTCTCCTTCGCGACTACACTACCCGAGAAATTGATCGCGGTACTTAGTGGGACGCGCGGTCATGGATCTATTATGGTCGCAAGTACGGCGGGGAGTAATATCTTTTTACTTACTTTGTGTCTTGGCGTTGTTGCCATCACCGCTGATATGTCTTCAAATAAGATTGATGGTGGGAATAGAGTGGCCATGTTTGAGTTGGGGGTTGCTTGGGTTTCTTCGGCGGTGCTTTTGTTGATTGTCGGGTTGGGACTTGGGAGAGTGGCTGGTGTTGGGTTGCTTGCGGCTTATGTGGGGTTTTTGGTGCTGGAGTTTACTATCTATAGGAGATGATTTGTTTCATGGTTGGATTAAATTTGGATAATTGATGTTGTGTCTGCGACGGAGAGCTTCAGTTTCTCCTGACGTGTTTCGAACTTGAAACTGTAGGATGAGTGTGAGTGGTACGTCACTGCTGATGTTGGAGGTTGTGAGTATGAGAATCCATATAAGCCTTTGCATGCCTCGTGAGCTGATAAACTCCACCTGCAACATCTTCAGAAACATACATGGATTTGGATATATAGCTCCCATAAGGCTAGGTCGAATACACGTCATTCGGGAACAGCTAAGGTTGAATGAAACATTATAGATTCAACAGAGACATGCCGATGTTGATGAATGGTCTCTTGTAACTACTCAGAAAAAAGGATCTTCTGAATTTCTCATTAAGGCAAATAAAGATATACTCAAGGATGGAGGCGGCATGGATTTGGCATGAAATATTGAGAAAGCAGGACATCCACGAGGCTTAGCAATAACATTGAAAGTATAATTATCGCGACAACAAAGCAATACAATCCATTTCTCATACTCCGGACTCAGCCGAGATGGCGCTGCATGGAATTTCCAGAACGCAGCATGAACCATGGACGCAGCAGAGCCATGTGTTCTAACCGAGGCTAGAAGCTTTCAAATGTTCTTCGCGTCTTCTAGCGTGGGGGTGATGACAGCGAATCAGATTGTGCAATCAGAATCCTTGTGTGAGATCTGCAGGCCTGAAACGCGCCAAAATAGCCTTACGACCAGCCAGTTTGACTACGTACTTCTACGTTCTCATTTAGAGAATACACTCCGTACTCCGCGCACAGTACAGGAACGGAATTTTCTTTTCTTTTTCTGTTGTTTCTCATCCCTAGAATACATCATGCAATCCCCCATATCATTGGCCTCTTCGCATTATACTTACGATCCAATGATTCCCATTAATAAAGCGCCAACTCTCCATCCGAAGCTTCTCGTGACGAAATTGGGCCTTAAGGCTTATGCTGACAATAGTCAAAGCAAGTCGCATAAATGAAACAATCGATGCAGCACGTGTTGTTTTCATGCTGCCACGTAGATAGTCTTATATTTATCTGATCTATAGCTACTCCTTACGGAGGAGTATATCGAGAGATTCGATGCGGAAAATTTCACATCTACGTTTTACGTAGTTCCACTATGAAGTGATTAATCGATTGGAAAGTAATCACATGCAGAGACGGTCTTCATTCCTAATCTCATAACCAAGTACGCTCTCGCTACATAACTCTGAACACATCGAGTTCACCGTAATATATGATCGACTAGCCCAAGTATCTTATTCGTAGCTCAAGCCGGGGTTTGACCTTGAATTCCGCCGATCGACTCTGCCTTTGACTCAGATAAACTCTATATTCATTGATTCAGGCTAGCGTGGCGAACGTATCTGTCTTTTCGATGATTTGATACGCACTAATTTCCTGGGCCTTGTTTGATGCTAACTCACGTGGCTCAAGTCTGTTGAGCTGGGTTAATGAGGAACCTGAGGATTGACTGAAAGTGGAAAACATGTTATTTATGGTCTTGTTTAGGATGATTCTGAAACAATCCATCTTAAACCAGGGATCCCTGGAGGGCAGAGTCAAGCTGATCCGCAAACTCATAGCCACGTTTCGGATCCTTGTCAAAGTACGTATCTTCAAGGCTGATTATTCTTGATGTAACCAATTGAGAAAAAAGAAAAGAAAAAGAAAGAGGAAAACTTTCTAAAAAAGTCTAAACGTATGAACCTCATTTGTCAATTGTGAAGAAAAAAGGAACGTAAAGTCGGTTCATCCAACCGCAGGGCATCCCGCAATTCGTTGGCTGACCCGTAACTCGTGACTGTGACTCTCCCGAATCACGGAGTAAACTCGTTCTCATCCTTTTCCCACCCCAATCATCAGTTCATACACACTAGTCACTCTTACAAAAAGGCTTGCCCCCGTCCTCGTTGATCTTCTCCCTTCTTTTTCCCTCTTTCAATATGTCCTCTGCACAAGACGAATTCGATCGCCTTATCCAGGCTAATAGAGATTCATCCCGCACTCACCCCGAAGACCGTGATCAGTCTGACAACGATTCTTCCCCCGCCGAAGAACACAACCACTCCGCAGTAGCAGACGATCACTACGAACTATCAGACGCCGATTCCGACTACGGCGATCACGTAAAGAGAGATAACGACGCAATGGTCTCTCGAACAGCTACGTATACCGTCCCCACGACGGTGTTTGAAGCCAACACCGGGCCCAAGGGTGTCATTGCAGATGCGCAATCATTTGAGCGGGCACGGAAAAAGTCCTTTCGCAGGACACTGCTTAGTGCCGCGGGTCTAGAGTCGCATTCGAGATTGTTCGGAGTGAGCAATAATATTACCTCGCAACAACAACAACAACCTATTCAAACGGCGTCGAGTAGTCCCCCGAGTGACGAGGATGAGGAGTTTATGCGTCGCTGGCGTGAATCGCGGCTTCAGGAATTGCAGGAACGGAGTCAGCGGAGACCTAGTCCCTCGAAGCGGGTTTATGGGAGGGTTGATACGGTGGATGCGGAGGGGTATTTGAATGCCATTGAGCGAGTCGCATCGGATACTGTGGTTGTGGTCTGCATTTATGATCCTGAGGTATGTGTCTCTCAATCTTTATGATAGGGATATGTCCTAAGAATGAATATAGTCATCCGTCAGTAGCCAGGTCGAAGACGCCATTGAAGTTGTCGCGCGCAAACAGAGCACTACGCGCTTCGTTAAACTTCACCATGAAATTGCTGAAATGAGCCATATTGAAGCCCCGGCTTTACTAGCTTACAAGGCCGGTGATGTCATTTGCACGCTGGTCGATATTCCGCGACAGATTCCCCGTGGAGGCGAGATCAGCGCGAATAGCATTGAAGATTTATTCAAACAGTACGTTACCTCCTTCTGTTAACATACACAAGACAGAAGACTAATGAGCGATTCCACAGGAACCGGATTTTTTAAACTGTTCAAACTTCATTCCTGTTTATTACCAAGACGTAACCAAAATGCCCTCACGAACCCTCTAATACCATATCACGCCATATAAAATCGCAGTTGATGCCAGTTCATCTCGAAAATACGACCCCTTTTTGTTGACAGATTACAGCTGGCCTGTCAATCTCACTATTGCATCTTTTCATTTCTTTTGCGCTATATTCCATTTTACCATTAACCTTTTTAATCCTTGCTGGACCCTGTCATGCCCTTTTGACTTGTTGAGATATCCCATCTTTTCTTTTTCTTTTCCTTGGATTTGGTTGCTTGGGGCTTAAAACAAGGAATGCATACATATTGATGGTTTGGTGTTCTTGTTGCTCAATGTACGATAGGTTTATATGTAATTCTAGTAGTCATGCTACATGCCAAAAGTATCATTGCCCTCTACCTTTCTCTATATCTATCAATAGCTTCGGAAAGAAACTGCACTTACTAGCTAATTACGCGAATTTTATACACATACAGGCCACCTCATGAATCGAGTGGAGTCAAACTGTCTTTGAGAAAAGAGCAAATGTAAAGAAAAGAAAAAAGTTCATCCATTGATCTCATTGCGCTAAAACCGTTGCATCCATTATCTGGAGAGGGAATAAAGTATTCGGAGTGGGAATGTTTTTGGGGAAAAGGAATGGGAGAGATACTGAGAGACACATGCAACACCTGGAATAAGCAAATAGGAAAGCAAAGAAAATTGAAGATTAAGCCATTCGTTCGTATTGTCTAGTCTTTAGCAAGTAAAGAGACGAGACAAGATGTTGAAATCTAGGTTTTCTAGACAACACCACGCTGCTGCACAAAGTCCCAGAGCATTTTGATGAGGGCATCTGGCAATGTGTACAGATCCACTTGGAATTCGCCCTCTGTTGTTGTCAAAGTATACTGTTAGTTTAACACATTTATATAAGGATAAGAAAAAATATTGAGAAGAGACGTACGCTCGACATCGTTGACTATATACGAGTTCAGCGCTTTGTTGTCGTGGACCATCTGGACAACTTGCAAGAGATCGTCTTCCCCAAGTTTCTGAAGCCCGTCTGCGAGTTTGTCCATGTCGACCTGTACACCAGCAGTTAGTAAATGAATCAGTCGTATAGATTAGATGCTCGAAACGAACAGTCTTTTCAGTCTTCTTCTTTTTCTTCACGCTCTCCTCGCCAGTTGCGCCGCGCTTCCCCTTGACGCCATTCTCATCACCAGGTACGGGACCGGATTCGCGTAATTTCTCAAGCAAAGCTGCCTTGGGATGTTTGAAAGTCTAACCTCGTCAGAAAGAAACGTTCTCTGTCCTCTGTCTATTTCAAAACATACGATTGTGTGCTTCGACTCGTATCGAGACTGCTGAAAGTTGAGATCGTGGTTTATCGTATGCTCCTTATCGGCGTATAGACCAATCTGCATATCGAATTCACCCCATCCTTCTTCCTGGATACGAAATGGGGGATTTTTGACAGCTTTTGCCAGAGCGTTAGCCTGGGACAAAGAAGAAAGAAAGATAAAGTCGCACTCTGATTTGCGCGGTCACCAAAACTGGGATGGAGACGGTAGATCACTTTGTCAAATAAGGTCGCAGGTAGTTCCTCGCCATGTTCACCCAAGAGATAAATCTCAATGGACCATGATCGGAGAGGGAATCCTTCCACACCGGAATCTCGACCCTGGCTGTATTATTCGATCGAATTAGCTTTTTCGATAGGAGGGAGGCGTGTTTGATAGAGGAGAAAACGGCGACGAGTATGAAAGGAATCCCTGAGGACATACATAACGCTCTGTTCCGTCACGAGCTTGACTGTACGCTTGACCTGCATGTGTTGAACGAGGAATTAGCTTCAGGCATGTTGAAAGTGAAATGGACATAAAGAAAGATCCAGGGACACATGATAAAGAGTAAAATCAACTGATAGGACAAGTCTCATGGTATATGAAGAGTTACCAATGTGAGTCAAATAAAGTGCTGGCCCGGACCCTGTATGACAGCAAGGACCATAGGCTATTGGGGTGCGCAGATGTATATGCAGCTTATTGAAGCTTAAGCCTTTCATGATCAAATAGAATCACTTACATCAGGCATCTTGGAAAGCAGTCAGAGCAGTTGCTCAAGTGTGGATTGCGGGAAAGATGTCAAGCTATTGCAATTTGCAGCTTCGTGGAGAGAAGAATAAATGTGCTTTAATGCTGCTGGTTCCACTGAATTTTCACAGGGACCACAGTAGGAAAGGAAATTCAAGAAGGAATTTGTTAATGCTCTCCATGCAAAAAGCAATACAGAGCAGATTGAGAGAGTGAGTGAATCAAAGATGAATCTGTTTTGTGACAGACGCGCGCAAGATGTCGGAGATGGAGATGAAGCCGACCCAGGTCAAAAATAGCTTAGCTTGAGAATCGTTTGGTGGGGTTGGATGCCTCCAATCAGCGCCTGGCTTTCCCCTCAGTTTGTTTCTTAAATTTGATAGCTCAGGCACTGCAGGTAGAAATATAGAGATTCAAGGTTTTACTATTCAATTACACTGCTCAAGCAATCTAAGCAAGAATATGTGCATTGTGCATTGCGTTTCTGCGTGTTTGTTGTGTATATCATGATATCCTGAAGCTTGATGCTCTAACCTATTCTACCACAGCCATCACGATGCCACCAACAGTCAAGATCCCTTGCCGTCGGTTATATCCTATGTCATCGTCACCATCATTAGTGTCGTCCACGGTATCATTCATTCGCACCGAAGCATTGGTGTGTATAACGTAAACAAGAAAAGGGGAGGGAAAGGAAGGTGAATCGATAATCGGGGAGGGTGAAGAAAAGTCAATCGCGAGTGTGTTTGGGAAGATAGGGGAATTCGGGGGTTGGGGCGCAGACAAAGGACAGAGAATATCAGAAATATTCGAGTGTCGACTGCGTATTATCGATGGCCAAATTGCTGATTGTAATTTAAGCCTCTGCAGAGAACAGCTTCTCGTTCTCTTGCTGAGCCTTGATGAAGGCATCCTTAAAGAGATTGGCATCTGTAATCAAGTGTTAGTTCCGCATCTTGAATGCAATACGAGTTTAACTTACTCTCGCTGTTGGCAAAACGGATAGCAAGGGTCTGAGCCTCGGGCTCACCCTCACTGACATCAGCAGCGGCGTTCCAAACCCAGCTACGATCACTGCCAACGTTGGGAGACAATTTCATATCGGGGACAACTAAAACAACTAGTCAGCGCTGTCACGAATAAAAAACTGGCTTGAGGGCGAAACATACTGTAGTGGTTTGCGCAGACCTTCAGCGTCTTATCTCGGCGCATGACCAAGCGAGTCTTATGGTTCTCCTTGTGCTTCAAAAGTCGAACATCGCCGGTACCACGTTCCTTCCACTCACGAGACTCGCGGTCGAACTTGAAAAGCTTTGCACGCATCTTAAAGACTTGTTCCTCCAACTCTTCGTTTGTCTTGGTCTCGACTTTTTCGGTGAGGTGAATGACGGGCTCGAAGTGGACTTCGGGAGATTCAACCTCCTCTTCCTACACAGCAGAATGTTAGACGGCCATATCAAGAAAAATTAAAAACGATACCCCGCACTCAGCCCTAAATCTTCAGGGCATGCCGTGGACGGAAACATAAATGACAGAGCCGTATCGAGCTCGTAGGAATATCTTGCTTACCTCCTCGCCTTCGGCCTTTTGAGCCTTTGATGATCCAGATGGCTCATCGACATCGTCGGCCTCTTCCTTCTTCTCCTTTTTGGGGCCGCCACCGAACATGGAGAAAACACTATCAGTAGTCTTGGAGGCAGCGTTAACGGAAGCATCGGTAGCCTTCTCAGTAACCGACTTCTCTTCTCCCTCGGTCTTTTCGACGGCAGGAGCAGGTGTGGTTTCCTCCGTCGAGGTGGTGGTGGTGGGGTCGGGTTTGGTCTCGGTGGTGTCAGCCATTTTGTTGTTTTGTAAGTAATTCGTGTATTGGTCTATTATATGAACGATAAAAAAAGAGTGGTATCCTTGTTCTGGTTGAATAACAAGAATAAGATAGGATATGTGATGGAAGTTGTCGTTAAGGAAATTTTTTGTGAAAAGGAGTTTGGTTGTTTTGGTTGTTTTCCCCCGCCGCATGGACACCGCCCGCATTTTTTGCCGCTTGTATGCTTAAATACGTCTATGTATTATAAACCTGGATCTCAGTGGTCAAAACGTTTGATATGTGTATCAATAAATAATATTACCTGTAAAACTCGTAACAGGTAGCGGATTCTCCCCCTTTTTTACTTACTCTTCTCATTCTCTTGTGTGAAGGGATGTGAACTCATAATAGGAAATCCATGTCTTATCATAGATATATAATTTGTACGGCCTTAACGTCAAAATTGCAACTGGTGTGATTGAATACTGGCTCAGATCACCTATATTTTGATCAATGAAACTTGCCTGCCATCGAAGTCATCTTTATATCAATATCCAAATTACCAAGCCATACGACATGCATGAGCACTTAGATAGCATATTTCGAAGTTCAGATGACCCATGTCAAATCCCAATGTCCGATGGATCGATCTAAGAATGCTGAGTGACTGTTTCGAATTTAACAGGTGCGAATTACAAATCTTTTCTCGACATCTTATACAATGAATTCGTGTAAAGACCCTGAGAACGGACGATCATTCGGAAACTCGGCAGCAGGATAGACTGACCATAACCTTGGAAGCTTCAGACACACTTCCACAAAACCTGCAGATTGTAGGGTTATTGATGCCGATTAATCCACCCGGTGGATGCTGAAAGCGGGTGGGTAGGGGTGCTGTAGCCGTAACCCTAACTGCTGTATGCGGTGTGCCTCCAATCAGTGCACTCTCCGACTGCTCCCCCGCCTTTTGAGCTTTATTTGGGTATGCTGACCTCTATACCTTCACTAATACTGGAGAAATTTCCTGTACATGACGTCGGTGCGCCGACCACGGTTGAGGGGACAACATGGGAGAGTTTGGGACATATAAGGACATCGAATGTCCCTCGTTGACTCTACAGATCAATACCACAGAACAAGGGTAGAGAGAAAAGTAAGTTGCTCAAAGTCTCAAAATGGTTAGCAACGAAATGAGCAAGAACTTTGAGATCGCCATCATCGGAGCCGGCATTTCTGGCACCACTCTGGCCATTGCCCTACACCATCGCGGCCTTAATGTAACAGTCTACGAAGCAGCACATGCCTTTGGTGAGATTGGCGCTGGGGTCTCGTTCAGCCCTAATGCCGTTCAGGCCATGAAAATCTGCCATGACGGTGTCTATGAAGCCTTTGAGGAAGTATGTACGCGAAACAAGTGGTCATCCAAACAGAAAGTCTGGTTCAACTACGTGGATGGATACAACAAGACCAAAAGCGATGGAAGTGAGTTGAAAGCCGATGAACAGCCAGATATTGCTTTCACAATCCACAACAGTCTAGGGCAAACCGCTGTGCATCGGGCGCGTTTCCTAGATGAAATGGTCCACCTTCTCCCCAAGGGAATCGCTCATTTCGGGAAACGGTTATGTGGTATCACGGAACCTGCGAACGATGAGGGAAAGCTAGTCATGCATTTTACCGACGGTACATCCGCCGAAACAGATGCAGTTATTGGTTGCGATGGTATCAAGTCTGCTGTGCGACGCTGTTTGTTTGGTGAAGATAGTCCCTCGGCTTGGCCTAGTTATACGCATAAGTATGCCTATCGCGGACTGATTTCGACGAGAGATGCAGTTGCAGCCATTGGAAGCGAGGTGGCAGAGAATTCGTTTATGCATGTATGCTCTCATCTCCATGACCAGTCTGGTAGACATTGACATGATTAGATGGGGCCGAATGGACATATTTTGACATTCCCAGTTGACAAGGGCGAGACATTGAATCTAGTCGCGTTCCGTACCACTTCTGCCAACTGGGAAGATCCATCTCGACTGACCAAGCCAGCTCATCAGGATGATCTCCTACGAGATTTTGAAGGCTGGGCGCCATACATTCAGAAACTTTTGAAACTTACCAAGCCTGACCTGGACATTGTACGTTGACCACTATCTTACCCCTTTATAATATCCTGACCGAGAACAAAACAGTGGGCAATTTTCGACCTGGGCAACAACCCAGTCCCTACTTTCTGCAAAGGACGAGTCTGCATCATCGGCGACGCAGCACACGCAACATCCCCTCACCACGGTTCCGGCGCCGGCTTTTGCATTGAAAGTAGCGCAATCCTCGCCTCTCTGCTCGCCTCAGACAAAGTCCAAACCGTCTCGGATATCCGCGCCGTCTTTGAGACCTTTGACGCCGTTCGTCGTGAACGGTGCCAGTGGCTTGTGCAAAGTAGTCGGTTTATAGGTGATTGCTATGAGTGGCGCGCTGATGGGGTTGGCAAGGATTTTGAGATTATTGAGCGGGAAATCAATGTGAGATATGGTATTATTGCCAATGTGGATGTGGAGAAGATGTGTAGGGAGGCCGTGGAAGATTTCAATAAAAGGGTATCTGCCTAACCTTGGAAGTCTCTTGAGAATCACTGAAAGTGCCAAATAGATGTAATTTCTCTGCATACTGAGTCTGATGTAGCTTAATTTGTCCCCGAATGAAGCGAGGGCAGATAGCTTAGAGTAATATAGAAGATAGGTAGAAAACGAAAGGAAAATCGTCAGTCATGAGTTTGGAAAACTAACAGCTTCTCTAAGACGTCCGAAAGATACCAAGCGTAACAAAATCAGTGAGAAGGGAGAAAACAGCCTCCAAAGCTCAGGAAATATCATAGTCACATGCTGATATTTCGAGCAACGATATCTAAACCAGCATCGTTTTCCGCCTCTTGCAGTGCCCTTTCAAGAGCTGCCCTCCGATCTTCTTCTCTAGTACGTGCGACTTCCTCCTGTGACGGTGGGAATCTTTCATTCCGCAAATCAATCTTTCGAACATCCTCGAATTCGTGTATAGCCTGCCTGATTCCCTCAGCACCCAGCATCAGCGTCCCGGCAGGAAGTCGTCCGCCAGCTGCATTCTTGAGCTCAGTGATCCCCTCTGCTTCCTCGCGTAATACGTGATAGACTCGAGACAAACGACCGATAGCCAAGATCTTCTCCTTGAGGGTCCGTAGTCTGAGTTCAGTTTGTTCGTCCTGTTCAATGATAGGAGGAGGCGGCAGAGCAGGTACACCCGGCGAGACTGACGGAGGAGTTCCAGCATTCGTTCCTTCTTCGAGCTCTTCCTTTGAGCAGACATTCAAGATTGCGATCAGCATGTCTGTAATCTTTTCCCCGACAAAAGGGAGGGACCATGCAAACACGTTCATAAAGTTGTGCAACCAGAAAGGGTGTGGTGAGCAATTAAACTGGCGAATATTCATAACATTGTTTTCATATTTGAGCACAGCGGCTTTGTTATTGTATTCGTCCACATAGTTAGGGGCGCTGAAGAGGGTCATAAGGCTGGGAAATCCGGTTGTGCGGCCTTTGCGATACATTCGATATCCAGATTCCTGAGCTTCGTGCGCACGGATAATAGAAAAGAGGTTATTCTTTTCCAAGAAGTTGCATGCTGCGGAATAGGAGAAGGAGTATGAGCAGCCTCGGATATGATTATTTACAAAGTATTCGCCTGTTTTCTCCTGACCGAAATTCTCCAGGGGGTCGGCCCATAGAAGATCACACATTAAGCCATGACTAGGGGGTTCCCTAAATCGATCAATAGCTTGAATATCCTGGAGAGTATATAACTCTGGGCTGAGCCCTCCATGGACACAAAAGAACTGTTTATTGAGAACAGCGGCTAACGGCAGCGCACAGAATGAGTCCATGCAGGCGTCGTATACTCGTTCCGAGTATTTGTGTATACATTCCATTTTGAATGTGAAATATTCTGTCAGGTGTCGACATTCGTGATTGCCTCGTAGGAGCCAGAATGTGTTGGGATACCATATCTTGAGACACCACAAGTAGAGCACGCACTTTGTGCAGTTTCTGTTAGCAACTAGCTCATCAGACTGATGAGTCGCGAATTTGAGAAGTTGCTACTAACCTCAATACTAAAGTAGCCTCGATCGACATAGTCACCTAAGAAGAGATACTTTGTCTCTGCTGGGTCACCCCCAACCTCGAATAACTTCATCAAGTCGTAGTACTGGCCATGGATATCGCCGCATACAGTGATAGGAGCATCCATTTCGAGTAAATTGGGCTCTGTCCGCAACAACTCGGAGCCCGTTTGAATGATCCATAATGCTTGTGACTCTGTAAGACGGCCCTCTCGATAGAAATGTTGCTTCAGATACTGCAAATTGGGTTTGGTACGGTCTTGAGGTGAGTAAAATGTCTCGTCTGTGGGGGGATAGAGGGCTGGCGCTTGTACTTCTGTGATTTGAAGGTTAGTAGAGAGTTTGTGAATGTCTAGAAGTGGTACCTTTGCAAACTCGATCTATTGTCGAGACCTGGGTGCCATCTGGCATCACATGCCATGTAGGTGAGGTTGGCTGGGTCATTGGTCGCCCCGCGCCGTCTCAGTATTTGCCTAGTCAACTGTCTTGGGGAAAGGTCGAAGAAAGATAACGTACGGACCTTAAAGATTAAAAAAAGGAGTAGTATGTAAATATAGGAATATACAACCTAAGTAAATAGAAAATATAAGCGAGTAAGTTAGATGGCCAGTCTGAGCCTGAAAGGAGAATATCTCCTCCTGCATCAAGTGCTAAGCCCCACATGAGTAACCCAGTGTGGAAGCCAATCATCAATGGCTTCAGTCTCCTTTACCGACAAGGCTGAAAGGGTACCTAATCTGAATGCTCATCTGCTCTAATACTCTATCTGTCCTGTTTACGAGCGATACACAAGCACAATCTGCGAGCGTATAATCGATAAACTATATAGTCAAGAGAAGAGAGTAATGAATAAACACCTGATATAATGTCTCTGCACTCTGATATCGGAAAAAAAGAATACAATAACCCTTCCCAATCCCATGCGCTTGCCATCGATCCCATAACCCATAACTAAACCATTAACTGACCCACAGAAGCAGAAGCAGAAGCAAAAGCAATTAAAGAGAAAAAAAACCAAACCAACCAAATTTCGCCTTATCAGTCATAGATCATTGATCTCTCAATCATCTTCTCGTTCTCGTGTATAGTCTCATGGTCGACGTGGAGGCCACAACTTCTCTGCTGTGAGTTTCTTCGCAGACTTTTGAGCTCGCGACAAGATACCTGTCGGAATAGCTTCTTGTAGCTGGGTCTGAAGACCCTCCAAATCTTTCAGTCGGGTGCCCAGAAAGTTACAAGTTTCGTCAAAGACGTCGTGTGCTACTTTGTTCATAGCGACGCTATGCTTATGAACCTTCTCCAAGGCCGCGGAAGCTGCATCGATCTGACGCGAGGCGCCACGCGTGACTAAATCACTTAATTCCTTCGACTGTTCCATGATCTTGTGCAGGTTGGCCTTGAGCTGTCCACTGTCGTAACGAAGAGACTCTGCTTCCTTTCGTATACTGTGTGATTTCTTTACCGCGTCATCCACCCACAACTGAACGTCTGTGGACAGACGAGTATAGATATCTGAGAGACCCGTCTGAGCACTGTCGAAATCCTTTTTGATTTGTGATGATACTGCTTGTGCTGCTCGTTTCCAGTTCTCAATCTTCAACCACGGTGTACCAAAGTCGACCTCAAGAGTCTCCTCTCGTGGTTGCTTGGATCGCGATGATACAGTAACATTGACAAGTCCATATGCATCCTCACGATTCAGTCGAAGAGTGTAAACGCCATCAAAGAGCTTCGCTAGTTCGTAAGGTAACGAGATATTGCCCCGTGTCACTCTGATATCAAATCTATGGTTCTTTGCTGCGGCGGGTTGTTTGATGATAACATGACAATCTCCAATAACCTGAAACTGGATTGCATCATTCTGGCTGGGTTGATCCTTGAGCAGTTTCGAGATATCAGAGAAGTCGCTTACAGGACCAACGGATAGCGTTTCGAACCTCTCACTCAAATCAGTAGAACGGGATTTTAACGCGAGTGAAGCCAGTCCAGCTGTGTTGGCAGCCGGAAATATCGTTGTTGTTGTGGTAATCGTGGTTGGAACGACACTTGCGGCCGAGGAAGATACGGCCGCTCCTCCAATGATTGATACGATAAAGGTAGCTACGGCACGGAGAGCACTATATCCTAGGGATAACGACGTTGCGAGGACAATCGATAGCATTAATACGCGCAGGAAAGGTGCAAGCTCATGAGCACGCCCGTTACAAGCGGAGAAAATGCTCGATGAAGGATACTTCTCAGCATCATAGAACAGATTTGGCTCGACTGGTTTTTGTGGTAGCGACGTAGTAGAGCTCGTAGACACCTTTCGAGGACGCAACTCTGAGAGTGATGCGAGATGCCGATTTAGTTGACTAGGGGTTATTGACTCGAAAGTCTTCACATCAATCGGATAGCGTTCCACAACAACAGTCTCTCCGGTGAGAGAACGACGAGATTCCAGGCAGAGGTGTAGGCTCTGATGATCGAAGGGGAAGAGGTGCTGGCCGGGCTTCCTCCAGAGAGGTTCCTCCGATATGATTAATACGGGAATGCCGTGTATTTTCATGAAGTTCTGAGCAAGGTGCCTCGCACGCATGCTAGCTTCACCATCACGATCTGAAACAAGGAAGATAGATAGATCCGGAATAGACCACTCGGTATCTGAGAGGATCTGATGCTCCGATCCAGTCCAGACGGACGAACAAGATGGACGGTTCTTAAAGTTGAGCGTAATATCGGTGCCACTAGGCGTTCGGTGGGATTCCGAGACGGCACCGATGCATTCATCGACGACTAGCTGCACATGAATAGGGAGAAGCTCTGCATAATTCGGAGTAGCCCCGATTCCAAAAGAAGTAGGAACTACATGATATCTAGAAGACTCAGTTGAGCTGCTTCCCAGACTGCGGGTGGAGCTGGACACGAGCACGTCGCCGATCTTGTCGAGAATGATGTTGCGGAACTCAGGGTTGCCCATATAGAGCACACGAAAAGGCTTATCTAGGTCCAGTCCCTGCTTGGTCATGGTCTGCTGCACGGTGATGGCTAGCTGACAGTCGTCAAGGTTCATAGGAAGCTGATCCTTCAGAGCAGCAGTCTCCTCATCATTTAGAATATCGATTGTGTGTTTGAGCTGAACCCGTTGTACCTCAGGCCAATCTTCGGGCTCTGAGAATTCGATAGAGTCAGATGAGTGCGACATGAAGGGTTTGGTTGTGAGGTTGCTATCCTCCACGGGTGGCAGGTCACGAGCAAATAGAGGTAGTGGAAGCTCTCGCGAATCCTCTATAACACTCTCTTCATCCTCGTTGTCCGCATCCTCTTCCTCACTTTGAGAGTTGTTGACATCGTCATCGTCGTAACCGCTGCTCTCTCGGTCATCGAGGCTGGCTACATCATCAGGACCATTTTGGTCAATGAGAGAAGCCATATCCGTCTGCTCCGATCGAGTGCCATCTTCAGAGTGTATATCCGAAGTGCTGAGGGTGGCCCAGCTCTCGCTGAGGGCACTAGACGGGCGTTCGTGGTGCGGGTTGTTGGTCGACATGGTCGGTCGTGATTGAGACAACCACTCTTCGACCGAGCGACTTAAGGGGGGGAATGTCGGGTATTGAAGCCGAGGGGTTGCAGCGGGATCGAAGTTACTGTTGCGTTCCTGATTATTAGCCATGATGCTGACAATATGACGAGAGCAGCAGCTGGCTGCTCTGGAAAGCGTGGGTTGCAGTCAGTCAAAATATATGGATGGAAGCAGGCAACGATGGCTATGGAGGTGGGTCTGATAGCTGTGCGGGCCCGTGATAGCCACCAGATCAAACATAGAAGGAGAGCAGTAGCCGAAGCGAAGGAGAGTAGCTCAGAAGAGAACGAGAATACTGTGTTGATGGAAACACGAAGAGCAACTGGTGGAATGAAAAAAAGTAACTGTCCGGAGGTCCAAACAGGTTGGATCTCTGCCTGGACGAGTTACTTTATCGGTGATTATCGATAACGGAAGAGGGGTCGGTACTAACTGACTAGACTGGAATCAGCCCGGTGCCCAATACGTAGTTATACTCTAACTCGATCGGATAGATGGAGGTATGTAGTGGGCGATTTCTAGTTGGCAAAGTGATTATTAGTCTCGTTGTCGTCGGTTCTATTGGGTTAAAATACAACACAATATCGAGTTAGCAGGATGACAAGTTTCAGGAATCAGCCGGGGCGAGTGTGGAGACTTCACTTTCTGGAGGTCCTTGAGTTGACGGGCGGTGATTTCCGGCGATTCACTGGCCATGAAAACAAGTATTGTGTGCAGTGGAGCTGCGCTTTATACTTGTTTGGATGATTTTCGCGTCGGCATAGTTGTAGCAGAACAGAAGGTCTGGAGGGTGTTTATAGAAGTAATCGGAAGCTGGCGGGGCGCATGACGAGGATAACACTAAACCGCTTTGGTCGATTACGTCGATGCACTACGAACTCGAAGAATGCAGCTGTGTAGTATGTATGTATGCTATACTGGATTTACTGAAATGTAATTAATATACATACATAGTATTTACAGTATTACTTTGAGGAGTTCTTCTATTCCTCATTGTAGTTCAAGTCATGGAACGTTGAAGATGGAGATAGTGGATATAGGCTAGTCCGTAAGAGGCATAGGGCAGAATCATGTGAGCTTAACGCGGATCACGAGACAGCTTCTTTATCTTGACTCTACTATGGAGAACGTACTTGTTTAAGGCTATATAATAAATAAGAGACAAGGAGCCGGCAATATATCTACTGGATTAGATATGTATTATACATAATATATGTCGAAGACACTGGTGGTCAAGCAGAAAATTGTCGGAGTCGACACGGGGCCAATCAGCCTTACGGATTGGGTTAAATCAAAACAATACGTCATCGGGACAATAATTGAATGAAAACTCCAGAAACAATGCACTGAAAGCAAGTGAAGAGTGAAGACAATCGAATACTCTATTCTTCTATGTTCCGGGATACAAAACTATAAACAAGCGTTGAGTGTGTACAACGACACCTGACTCAGACTAGGGTCTCTGTCTCCAAGGCAGGAACCGTGCGTCAGTTGAAGTTACCCGCACAGTGCAACTCCCATGTCTTCGATCTCCAACTTTTTCTACCCTTCCGTTTCCAACGCTCCCAGTCAAACGTTGGCAATTTTTCAGCCCCAATCTTTGAACGCACCATATCAATGTGCTATCCACTGAGGGTGAATGGCGGAAAGGGGCCACGAGAGCCTAGCTGAGAACGGCCCGACGCTAACCAATGGTGTCGCTTTATCCAGCGCCCGTTCAGCTGATCGCGTGTTTTTGTTCTTGAAATTGATTCCATCCAACCACTCCATTTTCACTATTCTAGATTCAATCGCCCACATTGGCCAATTTGGAGCTAGATTGGTCTTCCCGTTCCTGCACCATTCAGCTAGGTGGAGATTTTGTGTCTGTTCACCTTTTAGACTCTTGGAAACATGGTGACGGGCGCGAATACGGGCTGGAGTGCAGTTGGGAGGTTCGTCTTTTCTATAACCTCAACTCGAATCCCTTGACCTATCTTTACTCTTGAGTCCCGGCCATCACCATCTCCTATTATTCGACTACCGTATCGTCCGCACACGCTCTGTTCAGTTCTGTCGCATATGAATTCCATATACTAGCACACTCAATTGGGTCGCCGCGAACCAAGTACAGAAAGCCCAAAATCCAATACGAATTCCTCAACATGGATCGCGAAGACGAAGTCGAAATGCTCCGGGCATACTCGCAATCTCCGCGATCAGGCAGCCGAACTCCCCGTAACACCACTCAGAACCAAGCACCTCAAGAGACAATCAAGCAGTTCTGGGATCAGTTCAATACCAGGTACCCAGGAAAGATTTTCACTATCTTGCCCGACAATCCTTACGCTCGCAGTAAAGCTGCACAACAACCGACTGGCGTCATCCAGAGCTCGGAGGCCGTTGGATCCTATGAGCAGGCCAGGAAGGAATGCGAGATAGCTGTCGAGCGCATTGTCAGAGAATGCGAACGTATCAATCAGAAGTATAGTGATCCGCATTTCGATATCGAATTCGATCTGAAAACTGGAAAGAGGAATTGCCTAGATGGCCTGGCTGAGGAGAATATGGAAATGCGACCCAGAGGTGTCAAGAGGGTGACGGTATGTTCATCTGGCATTACACCAAGAGATGTATAGCTGATTGGTTCTTCTTCGCGATACTTAGGATATCTTCGAGCATCCTCAATTCTATATCAACGGCCCGACAGCAGGTGACGTGCGCCAGGGGCGCGACGGGGACTGTTGGCTTATGGCTGCATTGTGTACTCTGGGAAATAAAGAAGGGTTGATTGACCGGTTATGCGTTGCTCAGAACGAGAAAGTTGGTGTATACGGCTTTGTGTTTTATCGAGGTTTGTGTTCCATCGCTCTTCGATAATCCCAGCTAATCATTACTCCTGAAAAGATGGCGAATGGCAACAATGTATAATTGATGATAAACTCTACCTCCGCGCAGCCGATTACGATGAATCAATCGAAGAAAGACCGATATGGGACGATATCAATCGGAAGGATACAGAGGAGGAATATCGCAAGGTGTGGCAAACGGGCTCCCGAGCATTGTATTTCGCACAGTGCTCGGACGAAAATGAGACATGGCTTCCATTGCTGGAGAAAGCATACGCCAAAGCCCATGGAGACTATACCGCTATTGAGGGTGGTTTCGTCGGGTATGTTGTACAATGCTGCCAAAACGCACTTTGTTTGCTAACCCAGCCTGTTATAGAGAAGCAATAGAGGATCTTACTGGCGGAGTAACTTCAGAGATCTTATCGACTAATATTCTGGACAAAGATAAGTTCTGGAAGGAAGAGTTGATGAATGTTAACAAGCAATTCCTTTTCGGCTGCGCTACTGGTATATTTTCAAATTGGTTAGACCCGAAGTACCGTGGACCACCGAGAGAGCGAAAAGGTATATCTGAAGGACACTCGTACTCTATCATGGAGGCAAAGGAAATCAATGGAGTAAGGCTACTTCGCCTGAGGTGAGTGCTTGCTGTTTTGGAACTGTTTGAGAGATTCAACTAAAAATCTGCGTAGAAATCCCTGGGGAAAGAAAGAATGGAGCGGCGCATGGAGTGACGGTTCTGAGGAGTGGACTCCAGAGTGGATGAATTTACTTAATCACAAGTTTGGCAACGATGGAGTATGTTATAACCACTCCCATCAAGAGAACTTACATACTGACGTTTCAGGTATTCTGGATCTCCTACGACGACCTTCTCAAGAAGTACCAGCACTTGGACCGGACACGCCTTTTTGGACCCGAATGGACAGTTACCCAGCAATGGATGAGTCTGAACGTGCCGTGGTCAGCAGACTATCACCACGAGAAGTTTGTGATTGAAATCTCACGTACCAGCCCAGTAGTCGTTGTGCTGTCTCAGCTTGATACCCGGTACTTTAGAGGGCTCGAAGGCGAATACGACTTTACGCTGCAGTTTCGATTGCAAAAGGAAGGCGAGGAAGACTACATTGTTCGCAGCAGCACCAACTACATGATGTCTCGATCAGTGAACACAGATATCACTCTAGACGCTGGCAAATACTGCGTGTTAGTGAAAGTTACGGCTTATCGACGCAAAAACGTGGCCAGTCCTGAAGAGGTTGTGCGGGTTACTGCATCGCGTCGACGGGAAAAATTGGTTCAGATAGGTCTTTCATACGACCTGGCTCATACAAAAGGCCTTACATTAGAAACAGAAGCTGAAAAAAGAGAACGTGAGGAACGTGAGGAACGACAACGGTTTCTTGATCGACAGAAGCTTCGTGAGCAGATCATGAAGAAATTACAGCAACAGCATATTCGAGAGAAGAAGATACGAGCAAGAAGAGAGAGGATGATGAGACGTGAACGACTACGGGAAGCTTTGGAAGAGGAGAGAGCCTTGCACGCTGAGTCCGCGGACGACGCAGAAGAGGATTTTATTCCCGAGATTCGAAACGGACATGAAGATCTTTACCAGCCTAATTGGACACATCATGAGAACGAACTACAATCCGCGCCAACAACGAGAAAAGCCCGCGTATCAAGCCGACCTCCCCGCCCAAATCTCAAAACAAGCTTCCCCAAATCAAATGCTGCTCGCTACCAAGAGACAATGGAATTACTACAAGACTTTGAATTTGATTCTGACCTCGACATGCCACCCGAAAACTCCCCTACGCATTCATCTGCATCCTTTCCAGGACCTCCACCTAGAGCCGGAGGAGGCGGAGGAGATGGAAGCATCGACCCATGGAATGCAGTCTGTATCGTTGGTTTGAAGGTATTCTCCAAAGACCCCGAGTTGAAATTACAAGTTGTGCGACCGGGGTGTAATGATGGTGAAGCGCCGTTGGATCGTGATGATCCGGCTGTCTCTGCGACGTTTGAGAAGAGAACTTCGTGGCTTACCTAGGTATCATACTTTCGTTTTGCGTATGCAATGTGTATACGATGTATTAAGATAAACGATCGCGGCACTTTTCGGGTGTATATTATTGTCTCTTGGTGTATATAAATCATGCTCTTCGTACGCAATTTTATCTATATTCCAATCATATAACATGTTCAGTTGGGTCTGTCCATCAGTCATCAACATAACATAGATACAGTATGCTCAACACGACTCTTGCAAAGGATGAGCCATCACACCCTCGGTCGTAATCTCAACCGGCTTTATCACCGCCTTGCCATTGCCATGATCATCAAACTCCATCCGATCAATACAAACATATCGATGATTAGCAGCATAATCACCAAGTGGTCGACGATGATACACAATGTACCATTCATCCGTACCCGGAATGTGCAGTACACCATTACTACCGGTACCCTGCGCAACTTCATGGTCGGGGGAAAGAATGTGAGAGGGTGTTTTCGTGAATGGGCCCAGTGGGGAGGTTGTGGATGTTACGTATTCGACGCCGTAGGAGTTGTCGCCCCATCTTGATATATCATTAGTTCATTGGGAAAACCAGAGAAAGGAAAAAAAATTTACCCTCCTACGCTGTACATATAGTAATACACCCCCTCTCGTTTGATCATGTACGGCGCTTCGACATAATTCGGCGGCGTGAGTTCAACAACCTCAGATTTGAATGAGATCATGTCATCATTCAACTCCGCCCCAAGACCATGCGACCAACCACCCCAGAGAAGATATGCACGTCCATCATCATCGATAAAGACGGCGGGATCAATCGGTTGTCCACCAAACAAGACATCCGCAATTAACGGTTTACCTAGTACATCCTTATACGGTCCCTGCGGCTGCCCAGTCGTCGACTTCGCGACTCCAATCCCCGCCCCGTCACCGGCAGAGAAATACATGTAATAATCACCGTTTTTGTATGCGGCTGTCGGCGCCCAGGCGGCTCGATTCGTGGACCAGGGGATATCTGCAAAGTCGAGGATGCGTTCGTGTTTGGTCCATTGAATCAAGTCCGGGGAAGAGAAGCAGTCAAAGTACGTTTGTTGGCCGTAGTCGAGGGATAGAGAGGGGAAGATCCAGTATTGGTTTTCGAAGATGTGGCCGTCGGGGTCGGCGTACCAGCCTGGGATGATGGGGTTGCCGGAGTAGGTGTTTTTGTCAGTTGTTGGGCTGATCTTGAGTTGCCGTGGTGATGGCCAGTTACTACCACCACCCATGTTGGATTAATTGCATTGAGATCGTGTAGAGAGACGCAATAGGTTGTGTAGGTTCAGATGCAAGGTGCGGAGAATGTCAGAATGCGGAGAAGTGGGGATGCGATAAGATACCGATTGACGACTAGGGATATCGAGATTTATACATCATCTCTTTAAACCAGTTTGCACTTTCGTGGACAGTCTCCAGATAATTTGGGTCCGTGAGTTGAAGTTGCTCGTTATGATCGGCCGTTGTGGTACGAGTCACGTTACGCAATGTCACTCTCTCCTCGCCATTCCCAGCGTCTTCTCCCCAGAAACATGCACGACGCATAACAGACACCATATCTTTAGCTTGGGTCGCCAAAACAGAATTGTTCTCAGTTGCTGATCTTCTTGAAGTTCTGTGTTTCGGCGAAGGACCATCATTTTCATTTGAATTGGTGACTGACTCTAGACTTTGAAAAGGCATAGGAACATCTTTATTAGATCCCAGTCGCGCGAAGAATTTCATCCAAGGCAAATTAATTTGAAGCCGCGTGGATTTGGTGAATCCCCTACCACCACCGTCATTGCCAGTATCCAGGCCGTACGGAGGCCATCGCGAGAGAGCTTTGCGACGCCGTGATGGTCGCTCCTCAACTTCCACCGGCGTCGCGTTCTCATTTTCACTAACTCTTGGCTCATCCTCTGTATGTATATGAATATCCCACAAGTCAATCAACTCTTCTTCATCAATTGGCGTCTTTAACAAAGGGATTGGGTACTCCGTTCCCGTAAAATATTCGGGTATGACCTTTGGAACATCTTTACCAGCAGAGCGTAGGAAAAGCATGGGTGAGGCAAAGGGATCAAAGTATTTGGAAGGGGAATCAAATAGATACCTTCTCGTATTGAGTAGAGGTACGAGATCAGATGGTGCAGCTTTTCTTCTGTGCTTTGATGGTTGCTTTGTCTGGGTCGGTTGTGCAGAGGATTTTTGCATTTCATCACCCTCTGCGACTATCACCAGTTTATTCCCGCCAATAGTGTGGCCAGATCCAGTAAATATCTGGGGATCAATGGTACAATAGTCGTCAAGACCAGTCCAGTCACAGACGGGCTCATGAGCTGCAACGACGTGTATATGTTGGGATTCTGTTAATGAAAGCATAGTAGCTAGGGACCCTCCAATATTTGATCCAAAGACAAATAACAGCCCAGGACGAAGAGTCTGTAAGACCCAATCCAGTCCAGCAAGCGTGTCGTGAACTGGAGTAGGGTATCTGTAGAATGGGCGAATCCGGCCATTATCTGAATTTGATAACTTTGTGTTTGTATCTGTATATCCTAGCCGGTAGTTGACCGTGACGACATTCGCCCCCGTGATTGCAGCCATCAGTTCTTGCGGCGTGGAGAGACTACCTCTTAACAGACTGCTTGAGATCATGGTGTCATGATCATCATCATGGGACGAGTAATCTAGAGTCCTATGATCTTTGACGCCGACCACTGATTCATTTTGAAAAATGGGACCCCGAGGCAAATACAAGATCACCTTTGGGTTTGCTTGCGCATTATCCGTCAATGGCCGTAGTATCCTTTAATTGTATGTTAAAACCGACAAGCCCCAAAGGAGATGCAGGTACTCACGTCAGCGTAATCGAACCAGCGCCACCGACTGGCACTTCAACCACATCCTCAACCAGTGGAGGTGGTGCAATTGATGCGAATGTTCGATGTACGGAAGATCTCGAATCTTGGAGAAAGACGCGACGCGCTGTCAGCCTACCGTGTTTGAACAGTAGGGGGCTAACTGAGCTGCCCTGTCGAGTCAATACATTGCGATATTGAAAGAGAAAGCACATGGCACATTTTATGGTTTTCCAGCTTTGAACGAAATTATTGATTACCGCTCAATCTGTGGTTAAGTGATGGAGTCATTGGCTGTGGTTTATTTTCGCGGAAAATTAGCTGCGATAAGATAGACTTTGGTGCCTTGCAGCTGGGATGATACTTTTCAGGGTTAGGGTTTATTGACATGCAAGAGCTCTCCCTACAATTGATACTCACAAATTATCACTGAGTCCTCTAACCAACTGACTGAATGAATGATTCAATCGATAAAATTTTTGCACAGCTGGCATGTACTATGGTAGATTTTGATGGCTTTGATGTTACTAGCAATTCATGAAAGAGCCTGTCGAGATCGAGACTCAATAATCAATATAGCTTCAAGTAGAAAACTTAGCTAGCTAAATTAGACAAAGGAATAAACAGATGCATAAATAAGTAATGATAAGCTATTATACTGTATGGGGGCCGGTTGTCATCAACACAATATGAAAGATACTAGATCATATGACATGCCATCCAATACTGACCAGAGCTTGTATGGGTGAAAGCGATATTACTTCCGATGTGGCTTCGGTGCCTTGATAAAGAATTAGCATATGGTAATAAGCATATATTAGAGAAAATTACTTACCTGTGGTGCAGAAACCCAGTCAAAGTGTCCGAATCGCTTGGTCGACCAGACATCGGCAGGCTTTGTTGCACCCCCTGGCCCACCAAGAATCGTCTGCGGGTAACCGAAATCAAAAGATAGGGCATTCTCTATCTTTGCCATCTCCTCTGAAGTCAGTACTATACCCAAAGCATTGACACTTGCTTTCAAGTGTTCGAGTTTCCTGCCTCCGATGACTGGAAAGACCCAAGGCTGTTTGAGTCTGGCCCAGGCCAATGCAATGCTCGTGATATTGGTGCCTCTAGCTTTAGCTATATCTTCCAGAGTATCTGCCATGATGGTTTTTTGAGGTTTATCAATCATAGCAATATTACGACCTTCTCGTTTAGTTCCCGGATTCTGTTTCTCGGCAGCTCGCTGGGCCGAGGTTCGAAAGTATCCGGATCCTAGAACTCCGTAAGGGATGAAAGCCATGCCTTCGTCGTTGCACATTGGTATAATGTCGCGCTCAACATCACGTTCTGCGGCAGACCATTGACCTTGGTAAACTGAGAAGGGGCTCAACCCCTGCTGCCGCGCATATTCGTTCGCTTTTGAAACGATCCAAGCCGGAGTATTTGAGATACCAAGGTAGAGAGCCTTTCCAGACGATACGAGTTCGTGTAGGGTATGCATTAGCTCTGGGATGCTGGTAGTAAAGTCCCAAATATGGACATAAAACTAGAAATCAATTGTATTAGCTAAATATTATCCATGCATACGGTTAGAGTTCTAGGAACTGACGATATCCACGTAATTTGTTTGTAGCCTCGCCAGGCTCGAATCAAAAGCTGTAAGCATGCTCTTCTTGTTGTTACCGCCAAAGTTCGACTGAATTTTGATCTTGGGGTTCGCCAGTTGCCAGGCAGAGCTGTATTTAGTTGCTAGAACTATCTCGTCTCGATTCTCTCGTATCTTCATCCACTCGCCAATGATGGCTTCGGACTCGCCATATTGATATACGTTTGCGCTATTTGACTGTCAACTAGTCATAAAAAGCAGATTTAAGGAAGTTTTCCGTACGTATCAATGAAGTTACCACCGTTCTCGTAGAAAAAGTCCAGGAGCTTGAATGAAGCATCCTTGTCACATTCTCCCATTAAGTCTTTCATGCTGTTCCCAAACCCCATAGACCCTAGACAGAGAGGGCTAACTTTGACAGCAGCATTGGGAGCAAGCTGACGGTGGTAGCCGAGCAGGCTCTTAGGCTCAGGGGCGACGATCATGATGTTAGCCATTTCGATAGAAGGGGTGGGAATTTTATGTGAGAGCTGAAGATAGTAATAACTTCAGCATATGAAGGGAACTTGACTGGCTTAAGTATCTTAACCCATTTGTACGTCTAACTACCTTCGTTGTACGAAACCATTCTTACTGAAAGTAGTCTACGAGGTGATAATGACGCAGTCTAATACTTCCAGCGGAGTTTATTGGCGAGAATTGCAACCCATCTCAGATGCAAAGAGAGGTACATGTGGGTTTCTGTTGTATGGAGTGCTCTAGGTCGAGAAAATCCTAAGGTCATGTTCATTTCTCAAAAGGGAAGCTTCCCAAAACGTTATACGAGCAGCCCACTTTGAGGCTATGACCAATCATGAATCGGTTAGTTTCACCCTGAAATGCTTATTACTAAGCCAACTCGTGAGGGGGAAAGGCCTTGCAATAAATTTTCACTTCACTTCAAACGTGCAACCTACTGGAATATTGACATTGAAAGTAATTTAATAAATGGCTGGAAGAGGATTCGGGGTTTTCTCCGTTGTTTCGCCGGAAACTCCGTTGCTGGAAAGCCCAGGCGTTGATAACGCTGGCAGGATTATTCGACAGCGTCAATATCACCATAAGTCTCGAAATGGATGCATGAAGTGCAAGTCGAGAAAGGTCAAGGTACGTCTCTTTCCCAGTTATCCGTCTCTATCCCCATTTTCGGTATAAACTCCTCCAAATTACAGGCTTAGATTCTCTATAGTGTGACGAGAGTAGGCCTACGTGTCAGAAGTGCTTCATACGAGGAGAAGAATGCGTATTTGAGCCATGCCCCGCTGCACGCGAGACAAACATGCGCCAAAGCAATCAAACTGCTCCATCGAAACCTGTTTCAAGTTCTTCCAAGACGTCTATGGGTCTCGTATACCAAACTGGGACTCACAGGCATCCACCTCACGAGATCTGTCATGTCGGAACGCCAAATGAAGAGCTATTGTCTCTACGGCTTATGTATCACTTTGAGCACTTTACATCCGATACGCTAATCTTTGGGAAGCTATTTTGGCGGGACCAGATTCTTCCTCTTGCATTGCATGTTGGTGATCCATACCCTTGGTTTTGAAAGTTGTATTAACTGGTCATACAGCACGATTACTTAATGCATGCTGTGCTTACTATCAGCGCCTCACACTTGAATTACCTTCTGCCGCAGCAGGCCGAGAATAAAAGAGCTATGAATATCTATCTCAGCCGCACTCTCCCTGGTTTTAGAAGTGGAGTTGGTACAATTGCATCGTTACAAGACACCGACGCAGTCATTGCATGCGGGTTCCTCTTGCTATACTACGCATGGTACGTTCCTTTTTTTAATGCTGAAAGGGACGACTCAAACCAGAGCATTGATTCTGATGGTTTGCTCTGGTTTGCCACCGGTTTGAGCGAGGTTATTACAGCCGCATACACAATACAATCCCAGGACGGTACAAATAATGGCATCTTCCATAATTACGCCATCCCCCAATATGCGCAGATGCTATTAGACATCCGCACACGGACTGCAAGCGCTGCCAGCTATCTTTCGTATGACTTTGATGGAAACTTTCTTGGTCGCCACAAATTGTCAGATCAGGTACAAGACAGTGTATCCCAAGGAGGGGGTTGCCGAGAAATTAGACTTGAGAACCGGCTTGGGCCGATCTTTTATACCGTCGATTCATTTACTCTTGGGCTAGATTTGACCGGTTTCTTGCCCTCGTTCATGGCATACTCATTGACCTGGCCAACAAAGGCTCCCAAAGATTTCGTGAATCAAATAAACGCGGGAGAATCCCATGCCCTTCTCGTTCTGCTTAGTTTCTATTCGAGTGTCTGGCTGACGTTATCCAACGAAGTTTGGTGGGCCCATCGTCGATGCCGGATGATGTGCGAACTTATCCTATCTCAACTTACCTACCAGAAGGAAAGCTTTTGGAGCGAAAATATCACACGCATTGCTGAGTACTTCAACTTCAATCAGAAGACAAATGGAACCTGGGAAGTTGGGTGCCCCTCGCCGACACGAATATGAAATACTGAGATCAAGCTCTACTCATACCCATTCACTTTAACTAATGCCTACGAAATGGAAATTTCCATACCGCACAAGTACTAATATCGAATGTATGGCGTCATGTAGTCCGTTGAAAGCTCAAAGCATAAGCAGGACGTCAAGGACGGCATATACTCGACAACTATAGACTATGAATCAACTTGTGTTTTCAACAATTACCGTAATCGAGGCCATTTAGGACGGTATTCAATACCTATTACAGTACAGTGTTGCGAACGATTCATGTAATACGCTAACCTGATTCAGTATACGAATCTAGTATCAAAGTTTATCTGATCTTGTATCCACTCTCCAGATCTGTTATGGTTAGTACGTACGAGTCAAACCTAATCTGGTTCAGAGCTAAAATATACGACGACATTTCGAGGTTTCAGTTCACTTCGATTATTAACCTACCTGCTCTGGGATCTGACGGCCGTAATTCCAAGGCTGATAGACTTGCCATGATTGTGAGATATAAAGCATGCTATGAGCCTTCTATGATGCCTCATAATGCAGGAAAAGCCACCCCTCCACTTACCACATCTCCATTTGCAGTTCTTAACAAGAATAAGTATACCTAGGTCATTGTCACAGATAAGTCAACTATTACTTCTCTAGATATTCCAACACCCACGCCAAGCCCAAGGGTTCCGGGGACAACCGACCAACTGCACTTCGGATTATCAAGGATGAGCCTAGGGAAGGCGATCTTAACGACAAGATGGTGTTCATCACTGGTTGTTCCTCTGGTCTTGGAGTAGAGACTGTAAGAGCAATGAAAGCCACGGGAGCCACACTGTTCGTGACAGCGAGGAATCTCGAGAAAGCATGGTTGGCATTAGGCGACATTCTTTATGGAGGGCACATTCACCTCCTCCAACTCGACCTTGAGTCGTTCGAGAGCATCCGTGCCTGTGTTGCAGATTTCAAGCCAAGAGCGGTGGCAACCTCAACGTATTGATCGAGAACGCAGGAATTCGCAATGTACCCGCCGGGAAGACCAGTAATGGGCTTGAGCTCCACTGGGGTACCAATCATCTCTCACATTTTCTTCTCTTCAGGCTTCTCTTGCCAGTACTTCTAGAGTCTTTGACTCCAGGGTTCCAATCGCGCGTCGTCATTGTATCATCGACGGCGCATCGGAATGCGCCAATGGATTTTACCAATCTTAATTGGGAGACGCGCAAGTACCATGGCATTCGGGCATATGGCCAGAGCAAACTCGCTAACTGTACACGGCTTCCAAGATCGAGAGACGCTTCGGCATCAATGATCTCCATGCCTGGAGCGCTCGTCCAGGCGGTATTCGGGCAGGGCTTCAAAGACCTAGTCTGTCAGACTACACCACGGTTTTTATATCGGGTATCATGGTCACCTTTAATATCATGATGAGCACCGAGCAGGGTACATCCACGTCTATTTGGGCTGCTGTAAGCAGAGATTTAGAAGGTCAGGGAGGGAAGTACCTGGAACGGAACCAGATCAGTGAACCAGTAAAAAAGGAGTTTAAACCTATTGATCCTGGACACGCCGAATGGGCATATTATGAGGATAAGGCAAAAAGACTCTATGACGAGTCTCTAAAACTTGTTGGGCTGTGAAGTGCATTCATCTAGCAGACCAGCAGTGTATGCAGGCCTATGGTTTATGGAAAGAAGATTAATCTATTAACCGAAGAGCTGAACAAACATACAGACAATTATACCTAAGTATAGAGGGCATGGACAGTTTGACTTAGGGTTTAGTGAACGGGGTGTCATTTATGAGTAATATGTTATATCAACAAAGGCTCAAAAGAGCCAATCACATCCAGCCTAAAGAGCACTTAGGTATCACCTGGGTAATTGCCTCTCATTGTCTGTCGTGTGGATTCTTCCTTTACTATGTGTGTCTGCATCTTCATATACTTTCCCCTTGCACTGCTGAGATCACACAACAACCAAGTGACAAACTTCAGGATGGAGTATACCACAATGCAGTCCGCCAGGTTGGTAGAAATTCTGCATGTATACCTATGCAGATCAGAAACCACAGTATCAATCACCTGTCAAACATCTGTCTTCCTACAACTGGATCGAAGCACCTCAGCCCACGATCGCCGTCCCAGGTAGCCCTGAACTATGGTTTCCTTCCAGCGCTCCACAACAAGTACCAAAGGATTCTGGTCTTATATATTCAGCTCAGAATACTGCTCGTCATCCTGACAGTCCACTTAAGTCGCTGTTCCGATCTCTGCACATTACTCATCCCTCCTTTGACATTCGTTCGGTTGATCTCGTGACCGATCGAAGGAACATTCGCAAACTTTTATCATACATCAATCCCAACCTTGGCAGAAACGGGCGCGAATCGCTCACTATCAATGTTGAGATAATAAGGAGCGCTGCAGTTTTCTGTCGTTCAGAGACTGAGCCGTCGCCATCCATTGGAGCCCATGAATTCATTGGGTTTCGCCATGAGTTTGAGAAGGCGTACACTAGTAATCAGGTCACTGGTAGTACTGGGCATCACAGAATCTCTCATACAAATTGAGCAACTTGCAACTCGTCATCCGGTACGAAACAAACGGCTACATTGACGATGCCCTAACAAGGCGTACGGGGGTGAACAACGACAACCTCGCGGCTTCCGTGAAGGACATGCTTCTTGCCCCAACTCCTCCTCCTGCTGCTGCTCACGCCGCCGCTGGATCCAAGTTAATGATCAAGAAAGAAGCGAAAGAAGCGAAAGAAGTGCCAATCGAGTCCTATCGAAATCAAAACACACGTGATGTGGAAGCCTATCGACATACAAAGGATTCTCCCGCAACTATGGATATCTCAAACTCCCAAACTTGTCCGTGCTTAGCATAGACAAGGGTTGTTTGAGGTACCAAAATTCGAGATTGTCGCACTTGAAATTCAGAGCTGGGAAAAGAACCATCGAGCCGATCTGAACAAGTTGGTCGCGTCGATCAAGAGTATCATCCAAGCTGTAATGGAGAATGGTGGGAAAGTAGATGTCATATATGATGACCAGCACGGAGACGAATTGGTGATTTGAAAATCTGGGGGGAAATGTTGCCAGATGATCTCTATGTCAGATTGAATAGTGAGTCAAAAGAGAGATTTTCGTAACCTAGAGGCTTGAGCAATCTTCAGGTATTGACGTCTGATGGAAAACGCTCGTAATCACGAGTCGTCGATCGGACTAGAGTCCAAGTACTTACAACTATCAATTCCATGGCAAAGTCTGCTATATGTCCAGCGTCTCCAGAATAGTGTAGAGCGCATTAGAAGGAGGCGATGATAGAAGTGAATCAATCGGAATGGCGAAGTCTATTGCAAGTATGTCAAGAACAAACAAAGGGTATGAATTCAGGGGATAATGCCATCAGTCAATAAAATAAAAAAATTTCATCAGTGTTCCATCACCTATCCGTTGCTCATGCCACATAAAATACCCCTATACGGTACCACACATGAATCAACCACAAGAGAAATAGACGCCAGATACACAAGGAAGAATATAGGGTAGAAGAAAGTGTTGGGAGGGGTTGCGTAGAACGTAACGTGGGACGTAGCTCTTGGTGCCGTCCGAGTATGAAAACCACGTAATCAATGGTCATATACATGTGTGTCTGTTCATCTGAGGCAAGAATCAATTATCAGATAATCATAAGACGAGACATGAAGCTGACGTCTCGGTTCTAACGAACACGAGTACGGCCAGAATAGTATGCGCTGCCCTGTGCGAAGTAGGGATGTGCGCAGGCTTGCTTGGCTGAGATACGGCGTGCTGGATCATATTCAAGGAGCATCTCAAGCAGTTCTAGACCTGCGGGTTCCAGTCCGGACACCAGAGGGGTATCGTAGTTACGCCTCCATTTGGGGAATGAAGACTTGAAGTCCGGGAAGGAGGAAACACCAGGCCATGTGTTCTCATCGGGAGTTCCAAGTAATCTATTATGTCACGGGAGTCAGACTAGAAGAGACAGAGCAAAGGCATGGTCAATATCTACCGGAAGATTTTGAAAATCTCATCGATCTCGGAGTCACCTGGGAAAAGTGGTTTGCGAGTGCACATCTCGGCGAAAATGGTTCCAACAGACCACATATCGACGCCAGTGGAGTACTGACGTCCACCGAGAAGAATTTCTGGGGAGCGGTACCATAATGTCACAACCTAAGACATTAGCCTAGATCGGGAGATATAAATCGACGAAAACTCACCTCGTGCGTATAGGTACGGAGAGGAACACCAAAAGCACGCGCAAGACCGAAATCAGCTAATTTAAGGTTGCCTTCTCGATCAATAAGCAGATTCTGTGGTTTCAGATCACGGTGCAAGATTCGATGGCTATGGCAGTAACGGACACCTTCCACTAGTTGTGCCATGAATTTCTTGACCATGGCTTCTCCTAGACCTAGCTGGTTCATATTGATGGCGGATCCATTCGGTAGAGCCTTTCCACGACCACCCTCGCTAACGGGGAGGGCCTCCATGTACTTTTTGAGATCGAGATCGAGGAACTCAAAGACGAGGTAGAGTTTGTGACCGTCTGCATGAACGATGTCAAACAGGCGGACAATGTTGGGGTCGTTCATTTCCTTAAGTAGCGAGATCTCTCGGATAGCGGTACTAGGGACGCCCTCATCTTCGGCTTCGAGGCGGATTTTTTTCAGGGCAACGATGCGGTTATTATGGTTGAGGTCTCGTGCCTTGTAGACGACACCGTAGGTACCTAGTTGAACAATTAGCATACTATTCCAAGAGCCTTCCTGAAAGAACAGGCAATAGTATCAAGGAAGGGTCATACCCTCTCCAATCTTTTCGATCTTTTCGTAATTCTCCATTTTGGTTGTCGAATGTAGCAGCTGGATCTAGAGTACCGAAGAATTCTTGACAGAATACCAAGCCAGAAATAGATGTTGAAACGAAGGAAGACTTCCGGTAGGTACACGGTACGAACTGCTCAATTCGCTTGGTTGTTATGGGTTGCTGTGGGTTAGTATGCGTGTAAAAAGGGGACAGTCTCAGCAGTACATCATGTGAGAACGAAATAGAAACCACGACAATACAATAGAGCCAACGGAACTGTCCGTCACCTAATATGGATGTCGGAGTGGGGTGATCGCTGAGAGTTGAAGCCTTTGAGAGTCCGAGCTAAGCTAAGCCCAAGCCGGAGTTGGCGTTGTGTACACAAACAAAAAAACAAAAAAAGGAAGGCGTCTCCGCGTCGAAGGCGGTGAGCGTCGGACTACGTCACGTGGCAATGTGTCGCGCTAAAGGCGCTAAAGGGCTTCTAGAATGCGCTTCTCTATAAAAATCCGTCCATATCCGGCATTCTGTGTATTTCCCCTGAGATCGCAGTCATAATGATCTGAAAGGTTTCAGGACCGGTTGAGAAGAATAGACATAGACTACTCTCCCTCACATCTTGCCCAGCTGCTACATCATCATGAACTGGTGGCGTTCCTACAATGGCAACAATCAAAGGTCTCAACGCCCATGATCGCCCTCCGGAAAAAGTTCGCGAGGTCTATAAGAAATACCTGCGCATCAAGATGCCGGAAATTGATCAGGATCCAGAAATAATTGATTTGGAGAAATTGGACGTGGATAATCTGCCCAGTCCATATGCCATATCCGGGTCCTTAGACAGTGCAGACCTTCGGCTGTCATTCGACGAGTTTGTGGGCGTGCACAAGAACTCATCGGGTGGAAAAGATCACCATGGGGGAGGTCTTATTGAGGATATCCCAATTTTGACACACAGCAAAGTAACGGGTCTTCATATGATTCCCGCTTTGTATCCACCAACGGTGCAAAGCAAGTTACTCGATTTGATGCTTCACCGGGATCTTTCAAACCCCGAACATCAAACAAATTTACATCTACATTATGACATTGAATATCCTCATGCAACCGGTCAATCAGCGGATAAACAGAATGAATCACCAATCTCATTCTTTGGTGCCGATCCTACGACTACATTTGCACCCAAAGATCCTCACGTCCACAAACCCATGACAATACAAAATATGCTCGACAAAAAGCTCCGCTGGATCACATTTGGTGGTCAATACAACTGGACGACAAAAGTATACCCTGAGGGACAACCGCCTCCCTTCCCCGAGGATATTGCGCATTTACTACGCGCCTCATTCCCAGAGACAGAAGCTCAAGCAGCAATTGTCAACTTCTACTCTGCCAATGACACATTGTCTATGCACCGTGATGTGAGTGAACAATGCGATATTGGCTTAATTAGTGTTAGTATTGGTTGCGATGCGCTTTTCATGATCAGCCATGATGACGGAGAAGGGTGCGAGGTTATTCGACTTCGCTCCGGGGACGCGGTATACATGTCTGGTCAGTCGAGGTTTGCATGGCATGGTGTACCCAAGATTATACCCGATACGTGTCCGAAGTGGTTGTGCGATTGGCCTGGACCAGGGTACCCTTATTGGCAGGGGTGGATGGGTCGGAAGAGGGTGAATTTGAATGTTCGACAGATGATGGAGTCGAATTAATTGTATGAGATGAGAATGCGCATCTGACCGTCTTCAACTATGGTTATGTCTCAGAAACCCTCGCCATCATGGCTGAATAAATAGATGAATAGATTATGCCTCATGGCTTTGATTATGTTTTAAGAATATACATTAATTCCACGATTAATTCCCTCCAATGCAAATGAGTTCCGTGAATGCAGCAGATCATCAAGTTCAACATCGCTCGAATAAGATATTGCACTGCATCCGCACGGTGGATGGCGATTCAATGAACAATAAAGCAACAGTCAGAAACAAAACGCTGAATAATCTCATTGATATCATCACAGGTTTGACCTTTAAGGAGGTCCATATCGATTAGTATTTGCAGGAACTGAACTGGAAGGCGGATTGCTCGAGGCCAAAAGTGACTGCACAGAAGCCGGACTCCATCCCGTGCCATTCCCATTCGCGAGTTGTGGACTGGTTTTGTAATGATTATCCCCTGAAGCGGTACCGACATCTTTGCTTGTGCCATTCATTAGTCGTTGCCGTTTTAGTGGTTGGTGAGTACTGTATGTGCTTTGATGCGGAGCAGCGTCGTAAGGGGATGTCTGTTGACCGGAATTATTGGCTGAACTAGTCGCTGTTGCCACATATCCAAATGAGGGAAATTCGGCGTGACTTTCAGAGTTTGGGGGATTCAGTTTTGGGCGTATGGTAGATTCTGGGGGTGGATCCTCAAGGCCTCTATAAGCGGGTGCTCCTACTCGTCCCATACTTTTGTCGTGCATAACCACACGCTTCCATTTCGCGACTAGCTGGTCATAATCCCACCGAGAAGAGTCGGGGCTAGTATAGCTCTTATCCATAGCGTGAAGTTCACGAGCTGCTTCTCGCGGTAATGGTAGTGTATCTGGTGGAAACAGCGCAAACTCTCGCGGCCATTGGCAGGAAGCCAGCCTTTCATTCTGCTCTCGAAATTTTTCTGCTTCTTGTTGTACTCTGTTGAGTTGTGCTTCGAGATCTTTCCGTTTCTCTGACTCGCGCACAAATGCTCGTGTAAGTTCCAACTGCCATGTGTGCTTTTTATTTTCGGGAGATAGTACCATCCAGTTTTGATACGCCAAGTCGACATGACGCGAACTGATCTCGTCGTGTTGCTGAGCTGCTGCATTGATCATTTGGGGATCATTGGCATGATTGTTCTTCGTTCGACTACCGGTCTGTTTCGCGTTTGACAGCGCCAGTTGTTCATTGTGCCATTTCTCAATATGCGCTTTGAGAGCATGACGGACTAGATCGAGTTGACCCGCATTAGGAGGCTCTAGCGGAAATGACGTGCCAGTCGAAAAGGGTTGAGATGAAAAGAGCGTTGGAGGAGGAGGGAGTAGCTTGAGAATGAGTGCGGGAAATGTCTCGGCCTGGACATCGAAATCAAAAGGTGACAGTCGAGGTCGGGTTGTGGCTCTGGAAATTACAATTAGCTACTACTCGTATTTCACGCTATCAAGCAACCAGACAACTTACGTTGCAGCTTTGATATTGTCTAGAACTTCCTGCAAGGCCAATTCCAGAGCTCGGACAGTATCTGCATCTTTAGTTTTCGAGTTGCGACTCGCATAGTCCAACGAACCAGGCGAATGAGACACGGGAGCGCGCGAAGAATGGGCTACGTCTTGCGAAGTACTTTCAGGAAGGTTGTTAATTACGCCTGTAGCATGCCATGAAGGTGTATTGAAAAGAAATCGTGGGCCTTCTCGTGGACGTGCTGGAGGGTCATGAGTGGTGGCACTTGGAGACTCGTTCTGACTTTTGTGCGAGCCCACATCCGGGCTATCGTGTTTGGTTGAGGTACGCGCCTGTCGCCGGGTTATACTACTGCGAATTCGACGAATTTCCTCGACGTCATGGATCCCATCGGGTTTCTTTTTGAAAAGGTATTGATCGAGATGTCGTCCGAGCGAGGATGATGTGAAAGCTTGATGACAATATTGACACTCCTTATCCTTCACCGCGGCACCTTTAGCTGCGCCTGAATGACCGGCATCATCACCTGCAGCTGACTCGGCGGGGCTTTTTGTATGATCTTCAGTGTCGACCATCTCGCGCGCCTTTGCTGATGGAAACAGGGTAACAAAGGAGTGTGGTAAGTAACAAATCAAGGAACGGAGCGAATATATGTGTTTCCCTTAATGCATAGTCAGTCAGTATTGCTTCAGAGCAGCAATTCAAAGAGACTCGTCAGGTCACGTCGCTGCGATATCCAGCATACTTTATGCAAGCAAATGGCGGTTGATCTCTCGGCGTCCCTCATGGCTCGACATCACGTGATCGATCGAATCAATTGATGAACTCGGAGCCTCTTCCGTAATCAGCCCTACAGAAAACTTGGAAGCCTTCAAGACTACTCTTGTGCGGATGGGTTTTATATTCAACATTTGAATCAATAACTCCTAGGAAGATGCAATACCTTCTCACTAATATAGTTCAGAATCATCTCGCGGCTGACAGGTGCAATGCGAGGTACAAAACATTCCCTCAACCATCGCTCGACATCATACTCCACCGCATAGCCCATGCCACCGTGGGTCATAACAGCGCGTTCGCAGGCTGTATAAGCGGCCTCAGCAGCCAGGTATTTGGCACTATTGCAAGCCGTCCCCACGGACTGCAATGAAATCGAGCTGTCGGTCTTGGAAGCATCGTATATCCGAGCTGCGTGGTATGTAGCCAGTTTAGCTGCTTCGAGTCTCATGTATGCGTCCGCCAGAGGATGAGCGATGGCCTGGTTTTTACCAATCGGGCGTCCAAACACTTGGCGCTCGTTGGCGTAATGCGAGGCTTTTTCCAGAGCAGCATATCCAAGTCCCAGAGCCTCGCCAGCTAGCAGACACCGTTCGGCGTTCATGCCGTGAAGGATGATTCTGAATCCGTCATTTTCCTTGCCGATCAAAGTATCGGCGAGTATCTCATATTTATCGAAGAAAACCTCATTGGCATCGACAGCTCTTCCACCCATTTTCTTGATCTTTTTCAATTCTAAACCAGGGTTCGTGCGATCTAGATTGATAGCAAACATGGACAAACCTTCAGTCGGCTTCTGAGTTTCTTCCAGTGGCGTCGTGCGCGCAAGAAGAATCATTACGGATGCAACCTGTGCACATGTAATCCAGATCTTCTGACCGGAGACAAGGTACGTATTGTCCGATTTTTTCGTTGCCGTTGTCTTGAGTCTTAGCGTGTCAAGTCCCGTATTGGGCTCCGTTACACCAAAGCATGTGCGCCAGGAGCCATTGATGATATCTGGAATCAGCTTTTCGACCTGCTCTTTTGTGCCGAACTTCGCTAGTGGCTGAGTTGCGTAGACATTGGCATGTATTGACTGTGCCCCTGCCATGCCTGCACCGGACTGAGTGATGGTCTGCATCATTATTGTAGCCTCGGAAATTCCTTCAAAAGTCAATACCAAACCGTAACACAATTCATATAATCATACCTAATCCTGACCCACCAAGCTCTTCAGGCAAGGCAATACCCAGCCAACCATCCTTTGCAAGCGCAGCATGGAATTCCTTGGGATCTTTTTCTTCCTGATCGCATTCCTGCCAGTAACTAGACGGGAATTGAGAGCAGACGTGCGAGACTGCTTCGCGGACAGTGAGCTGTTCTTCAGTGAATCCAGTCAAATCCATCAATTCTTGGTGTGCTCCTGAGGTTGAGAAGGGGCGTGGATAGTTTTTATTAAAGGCATGTTTTTTTGGATCACTCGTTACCCCAGTTCGATGGTGCTGTAGAGAGCGAGATGCTATTGACAGCATGCGCCTAGAGAGAATGCTTGTGCTCGAAGATGAAATCATGTTAGAGCGAGCAGATTACAGCCGTTACTAGTGCATGGGAACAGAGAATCCGCAGCACGGCAAGAAAATCTTGAGATCCTCTAGTGATATCTTTCATCAATGATCAAGATATTATAGTCAGGACAGAGAGTCTAATAGTGTAAAAATTGATCAGGACATGTAGTCGATGACCCCATTTCCCCGCATTCATCCTGCTTGATCTTGGTTACTCTCGGCTTTATCAAACTCAATCTCAGTACCTGGGTATAGAAGCAATGAAAATTCTAATTTATCAATCAATATGGGTATCAAACATAATCCATGGGTATACACCGAAATCCATTCAACCGAAAAAAGACTGCCACCATCCTTTCTTCCATGACCCGCTAAATCTATGATTTACACATGCACGCGGACTATCAAAGCCCTCTGAGCCACTGTGTCTCTGTCCGTTTCCCCATGCATTGACCGGCAATACACAAATACCTCCCATCGATCCCTTTTGTCTCGCTTCACTGTCGGCGATGCAGAGTGGTTCACTCAATCCATGGAAAGGAGCCCACGTTACTCTTCTCAAAGTCTCTCCTGTATCAGTTGAGATGGGGAGGGGATCGATTCCTGCATCCTTGTTCATGGATATATTCATCAGTTTGTGCATGGTTGGTAAGGTTGACGAGAGTACATCCAGAACCGCGTCGGTAACCACGTCAGGTCCTGTGATGCCCAGAATAGTGCTCTGGCCATACCCAGTAAAATGACTCGCGAAGCGTTCGTTATGCTGCTTGGTATGCGCCATAACCCGAGTAATAATCTCTCGAAGCACAGGACTGAACCGTCGTGGAGCGAACATGGTATACTGCAAGAATCCATATCTTCTCGTCCAATGCCACTCCCGCATTCCACGAGGAGAGACATAAGGCTCATCAAGCTCGACGCCAACCACGAGAGAAATATTCGTCGACTTTTGATCCGTGAATAAAACTGGTTTCAGGTCTGGACACCCCTTGATAGGCCGCGCGGGGAAGACATCGATATCAGCGTAGAAACCGCCGTAGTACCAAAGTAAGAGATAGCGAAGAAGATCTGTACGTAGTACGTAGTATGGGTATGAATTGTATACTTGTGCAATCTCTGGCACGGCGGATAGAATGTTATTAACGAAATCCTCCGCTTTCTCGTCCGTCATCAACTTTCTAAAATTAGCCATATTCATAGAATGTCGAGTTGAAAGAAACTTACAGAGTACTCCCAAAGCCTATTCTGCCCCTGCAAAGCCTTCGAATCCGATCCTCGTTGACCTTCATCCTTTGCGATCTGCCAGATCCTTTCTTCGGCCAGCGTATCCCCGCCGTTCTCTGCTAATACCGTCCCCTCAATTCCCTGCAGCGCATCTGATATTCTCCTTTCGTACTCGAGATCAGGATTGTCGCGAAAAGACGAGCGATACAAAAATCGAGGTCTTGTATCGTTATCGTCTGTGTGGGGGCCGTTTCTGTTGTTGTGGATAGAGAAAACATAGTGGAAGATGAATAGGATGAGGACGATCGGAATCCAGAGTAGGAATCGACGGGACTTTTTTAAGAGGAACATCGTTCCTATTCAGGATACGTTGCAAGTTGCAACATTTGATGTGAGAATGAAACCATTACAAAGTCATGGAGAGAATCCTGAAAAATGCAGTGGTTATGACTTGTAACACAGACATGGCTTAGTCCTGCAGATCATGATATCAGATAACTCCTGTGCTCTTGATTAGCCCAATCGCCCCCAATAGCAGAATTGCCTAATCTAGCAAATCTTCATTGTCCGCGCCAAGATTCTCAGCCTCAATCATCTTCTTGCTGGTGTCTCAGCTTCGCGTCCAATTATGTATTTACACAAGAACTCTGGGCGTTGAACAAGCGTTGCCATTCCCCTGGTCAATGCTTGTTATTGTGGGGAGATTGTGGATTGCCTGTGGAATGCCCAGGTGGAAAATGGGTCTCTTCGTATGTATATGGTAACGAGAATCAAATTTTGGACGACATTTTTCTGCCACAGCACAATCCAAATACAAGATATACTCTGATGGATCTCTCAATATTCAATTTGGTGAACAAAGACTAATTCATGACTCGTCTCGGAAGAAAATGCAAGGTTTCACTCCTGAAACCAAGCCCTAATTTAGGTAAATAGCCTAAACGGGAAATTGCTGAATCCACAGACAACCCGAGACAGGATTGTCAGGCACATCTTACAGCCAGTTGAATTCATCTAGTGAAATATACACATTCGTACACACATAGTACAAAGTGAAACCAGTCACAGCGTGTACATAGGCATACCCTCCATATTTCTCGCGGCATAAACTCCTTAGTGTACGTACTACAAACCCAACAATGCCGCAATACATCTAATCTAAAATGCCTCGATCCCAATCATCGATTATTCCCCAGAAGAAGTCGAGCCGGAACGATTCTTCTCACTGGTCCTGCCGGAATTCTGTTTCGTTTTGCTGCTGCTCTTCGACTTTCGTATACTTAGCACCTTCTTTATACCCTGGATGCCGTGTAGGTATAACCATGACAGAGCGAATATCACGAAGAAGTTGAACAGAATAAATGCCCAGAATATGCCCTATGAGAATAATTAGCTAGACGTCTTTTGTAGATTGAAATATACCCACAAAATCACGCCATTTATTAGAATAAAACACGTTGAAGCTGGCGGCCTGTATCACGATGTCAGTTAGGAGATACAAAATAGAGTGTTCGGGAACGTACAAACTGGTCACCATTGGAATATGCGCAAAAAGCACACATGCCATTCCCCAAATCGTCCACGTATCCTCCAGCTTGAGAAGTAAAAGCACTAGTATAATTCTGACATGTTGATCCTGGCGGAGGAGTAAATCTAGCTTCCTCACGAGCCACACATTTCACCGGCTGATTATGCACCAATACACCCAGGAATGCTTCCAGTAGATAATGGAACGGCGTAAGCCAGTACATCCATGCTTTCCAGAAGCTGGGGAGTCCCGAATAAGGTACCACTACGCCACAAAATGAAACCACAAATGTGAAGAAAGCTGGCACGATGAGAGATGCGAATAGTTCGTTGGGGGATAGAGCTGCGATGAATTGTCCGAAGCCGACGTAATACAACTCAAAGAGGAGGATCATGATGTAGGTGAATCCGGAGGTGAAGGAGTCGTGGGAGAATCGGATGCCCCAGTACCAACAGTTGTAGTAGATGGAGCCTGCGACGAGAGAATATGGTAACTCTGGTAGAATGGCGCTGACAACAAAGGCTGGCCACGAGTATATCTTTGCCTTGGCTTCACGAGATTCGTATAGATTTCGAAAATGAAGGAATCGTGGTTGGAGCTGCTGGATCAGTGGGGGTGAGATTGTCAATGTCATGAAGACGGAGAATAGTCTTGACTGCATGTCAATGTAACTGTGTCCGAGCTTCCAGAATGTAAATGTATTGAAAAGACCGGTGAATATATGCAGCATGAATTTTCCCTGATTGAGTCAGCAAATACTCAGAAAAGCGCATGGACAACGTACAAGAAGATACTCGGGGGACCGCCAATATGCCACGAACGAACGCTTCGTTGTGGTCGATATCTGCGTCCATATCGGCATAGCATATTCTCTATTGTCTTTGGTCTCTTGGCTGGTTTGTCCCTCTCGCCTCGAGCTAACGATTTCATCAATCTCTCTTGTGCGAGCCTCATGTTCTTCCGAATTCGCCCAGACGTCTCCCCAGTCTTTGCCCTTGTAATCTGGATTACCAGCTCCAATGACTTCTAACATATACTATAACCTATGAGGAAGCTGGTCCAAAAATGTTCGAATTTATAACATACCTCTGCAGGATTCGCATCCCGTGGACATTTCTTCCCGCCATTGCGTTCAAAGTAATCTATCAAAGTACGAGAATCTGAACCCAATTCCCCATGATAGACCACTCGACCTCCACTCTTCAGCAACAATAGATCATCAAACTGCTCAAAGAGCACTGCTGATGGTTGATGAATAGTGCACAACACAGCCTGTCCTGCGTCGGCGAGGCGACGAAGGAATCGCACAATATTAAACGCTGCAAGCGAGTCCAGACCGGAAGTTGGCTCATCAAGGAACAGAAGGAGTTCTGGTTTACTTGCCAACTCAACTGCAATTGTGAGACGCTTCCGTTGCTCTTGGTTTAAGCCTGATCCCCCTGAGCCAACAGTAGCGCCTGCCATTGGGCGCATTTCCAGTAGATCAATAATCTTCTCGCAGTAATCGTACTTTTCTTTCAAAGGGACCTCGCGCGGTTGTCGTAGTCTGGCGGAGAATCTCAGTGACTCACGAACAGTAGCGGTAGGCTCGTGAACGTCCATTTGCTCTGCGAATCCTGTTGCTCTCTGGAAACTTCTGGGCAATGGTCTAACGTTGTCAGAATGTAGACCTATTCATAATTCAAAGCGAACATACCGGCCATTGATCAGAAAGTCGCCTGTCACGACCCCTGTATTAACCCTCTGTGCAAGGACATTGAGTAGAGTGGTTTTCCTACATTTCGTCAGAAATTGTTATTTCGTAAGGGATACTAAATCACTCACCCAGCACCAGAAGCACCCATCATTGCAGTCAGTCGACCTGGTCTAACATAACCTTGAACATCGTCCAGTAGCCTCTTCTGACTCCCTTTTACCGGAATGTCATAATTCACATGCTGCCATGTAAATATAGCCGTGTTCTTTGCAATGCCTTCAACATTCTTCTCTCCATCGGCCTCCTGCTCTGTATTGTTGACATTCGTTTGGGCTGCATCTCCATTTTCCTCGTCCCCGGGACTGATTTTATTCTTCAGAGCATCATCAACATCCTTTGGGGCCTGTCCTCTTTTGAATACAGTCACAGAACTACCTCCTTTATTCGGCTTCTGCAACTCCATTCCAATCATGGTCAGCACGACAAAGAAGATTAGCCAGGCAATTATGATGCCGAAATTGCGCCACAAGTGAGATCGCGAATATGTGTATGCCGTCTTGATATAGTCACTACCTCTGACAGTTGTTTGATCCGGCTGGCTGCCTTGAAGGAAACAACTTTGATGTTGAGGAGATGCGCCTGGCCCTTCAGGAATGAGAAGCGGTGGGATACATTGAATGCTTAAATTGTAGAATTCATTGGCCATCAAAGCCTCGAAGGCGTACTGAACTGGATTGATCCAAATAAGCCATTTGAGCCAGGGATGCATTTTCCATGGGGGAATGAGGTAGCCTACATCAGTTAGTACTTTCAGTAATAGTCACGCACGAGTGCGTACCTGTATAGACAATCAAAGCTTGCAGTGCAACTCCAGTTATCCGAGTGGCTGTAATCTATTAGTTTATTTGCTAATGAAATCATGCAATGTTAACATACCAACATCAAGAGAGGAGCATAGAGCACCCACGGCCCGGAAAAGAGAGTATATAGTCATGGTCAACACGAACAGGATCAGCAGATTGATAAAGAACTGAGAGGCCGTTCGTGATAAATCCGACATACTGCACCAGTTTAGTCCAGTGATCGAGTTAGGGGCAGTAAAATACTGACAAGTACACAATAAGATCGAAAATTGTAACTTGGACTGCAACAAGTGGCATATCGACAACCACTTGAGCCAACGCATATGCCGATGGTCGATAGAAGGAGCTGCCAATGTCAGTAAGCTGAGGAAATTTTAGAGTTCCGTTCATTCACTTACAAAGCTTTATGTTTTAACAGAATAGGCCGGCTGGAGAAGGTCGCAGTGAGTTCTGCCAGGGCAAGAAGAGCGTTGAAAAGAAGGATGTAAAACATGACACCACCACGGGGAAATACGCCAGCACTGTATCAATCAGTGTACTGTACCGTTACCGTTTTGAATGACACCTGAATCTCACCTTGTAGGCTGAAGATTATAGAAAAGGCTCCCAACGATCAAAGCCTGGAACAGAATCATACCCCATTTTCCATACAGCGATTGCGGATCTCCTATCATAACAAGAAACTGTCTCCGAGTGAGTGCCAGTACCTGCTGATGGAATGATAGCGTAAAATTCCTCTGCTTTGTGACGTTCCGAGCAGCTTCGCGCTCTTCCTTTTGCTTCTCCAGATCTTGCTCAAAATCTCTGATATCTTCCAGAGCAGCCTTGTGCAGATCACTATTCAGATAGATACTTTCGAATTCTTCAGCAGTCCGCGGAATGCGATCCTCCCAACCAGACTTGACACGTCTAGCATGTGGATCGCTAATAGATGTCAAAAAGTCTGGAGTCGTCCAGCGCGGAGGACACTCGAAGCCGAGATTCTCAAAGTACGCTTTTGCCTTGTCGATTGGGCCATAATACGCACATCGGCCTTCTTCTATCAGCACCACTTTATCAAACAGATGATATAAACTCTCGGCTGCTTGATATAGAGCGACCAGAGTGGAGACTTGAGCCATGTTCGTCAGACTACGCAAACTCTGGACATACTCCAGGGCAGTGCTAGCATCAAGCCCCTTGGTGGAGTTATCCCAACACTGCGTACTTGCTTTTGTGATCATTGCTTCGGCAATAGAGACTCGTTTCTTCTCTCCGCCAGAAATGCCATGAATAAGCTCGTTGCCCACTTTAGTATCCATGGTGTGCTCTATCCAGAATAACTTGGTGATGGCGCTAAGAAATGTCTTTTGGTAGTCCTTTCGACTTTCGCCTTGGTTTCGTGATTCCTTGCCCGGAGTCCTCGTCTGGAGTGCAAAGGAGAGGGTTTGTTTGACCGTGAGAGTAGCATAATGCAGGTCATCCTCGGGATTATACGACACTAGTATTACATATTAGAATCTATCTGTCACTGGGATAGGTGGTAGACAACCCTCTGAACGATAGTTCTTGGCCATAGCCTGCGGATCTGTCCCTCCATATGTCACTTCCCCATCGATGCTTTCGTATCCAGCCCGCTGGTTCCCAATTACTTTCAAGAAGGTTGAACATCCTGACCCCGGTCTTCCAAGGACGAGTAGTAATTCGCCAGGTCGTACACAGCCCTGCGACGTTAGACGCAAACCAGACATGCCCGGTCTTGAGGATAACTTACAGTAAAATCATTCAAGATTGTCTTCACAGGCACATTCTTCCCTGCACCTTTCCTCCCTCTCGCAAGCAACCCCCTGACGAGCCTAGGCAGTCCCAGAAATAAATCTCCCACAGTCGGTTGCAGCGCCGCACCCAAACCAGCACCTTTAACATTCAAATTCTTCCATATCACGCCGGAATGTCTTGTCTTTTCTTCCTCGGAGTTTTCCTGCCTCTCGCGGCCAAACATGCGCGACATTAAGCGCTGGATTTCCGCCCAGTCTTCATTTGTTTGTTGTTTCCCGCTTGAGTTTGTGGTATACCGTCTTGCCAGGGTACTATCTTCGTCCCCGTCCTTCTGGTCGCGTCCATCTCGTTTCCTCTGGTGAGACGACCCGGATCGAACGGGCACAACTTCGGTTTCTTCTGAACTGGAGTCATTGTAGTTCGTACTTTCGGATGGTGTCGCGTGGTTGCCGCGCAGGTCTGCGTTGGAGGAGGCAGCCATATTCGATGACGGTTCTGGCGTGTGGTGTTTGCCTACAGGTTGTGAAAGGCCATTATATCTGTGCAAGTAAATAGTATACCTTGTTAGTTATTATTATATGGATGTTCAAACCGAAGTTTGGATGGAGCCATGGAAGTGACGTAATTGCTCGACAACGGAGATAACGATAAATCAACCAACTACTCTGTCAAATGAAGGGCAAACCATCGATGATTTCTACATAGTATTTACTCGACGGACGAAAACCACAAGAAATAGCATCAGTCTATTGCGCGTCTGGTTTGCTCGATCGCTCGATGCGCAGTCCATTACGGTCTGTTTGGGCCGGACGGTCGACACTACGATCCTTGCTTCATTGTGTTACTTGGATATCACCTATACTGATTTTTGCCGAGAATTAAGTGATTCAATGATCGATAGAGAATAACCTGAATTCCATGATCGTCCTACCCCAAATGCTGTGTTCATGGTGATATCATTCCATCCATTTATCGTTGTTCTACCAGACATCCGGAAACTTCGGATCGTTGAGCTTACGAATACATGTTCTAGATTCAGCTCTATCTCTACGCAAGATGTCATTAACTAATGGGCATAGGAGAGTTCATAAGTTGACTTGGTTGATGTTGGGTTGATTACCCTACCTATCTGCATGCAGCCAATCAGAATGCGTATTTACATATTGAAGACCTCAGGCGCTTTATGTTCTATTTGGAGTTCAAGACAGTTCCAACCACACCATCCAAGTATCGCCAATTGTCCTTCCAAAATCCATTGGTCAAGGCTTGAGAACCTCCTTCCGGAAATGCAGCGTCTCAACTCGCTCAAGACTACTACCATGAAGCTGCGCCGCCTCCTGGTTGATATTCCGCTGCATAGCTCCCATCTCCAAATCCAAATCTATCAACGCTTGCGCAATATTACCCGACCGCTCACGAAAGCCGTGCATCACCGTTTTGATGTGCTCCTCGGTCGGCTCGACATGGTGCGGGATTTGCATCCCTTCCAAAAACTGGTAGAGCTCCGATAGCTGATCGACCTGTTTCTCGTACTCCTTCAACATGATGGAAATGAACTGCATATTATCCAGAGCGATCCCGTCGTACATCTTCAACCGTCCGATCACGGGCCAGAAATCGGTAGGACCAGATTCAACCAGAACATGAGAGAGTCGTCCCAAACCAGTAAACTCCCAATACCCACGAAAGTATATGGTAGTGTCTTGGTTACCTGGTTTGCGAAGTGACTCTCCCATTCCTGCGCCAGCATACAATTTCCGAATCTCAGCAGCGTGCGTGGATTCTTTTGCCCCCTCGACTTGGTACAGGCCAAACCAAACTTTCTTCCATTGACCCTTGACGCGGTTCTCGAAGTGGAGCGCCAGTTCGGCGTATTCTTCCTTGGTGTACTGGCGTGGGTTTGGAATGTATATCGTCGGATAGGGACAGGGAGTGGGCAGTTTGGCTTTTGGTATCAAAGCACTGCTGTCAGGTTGTCCCTGCAAGACTGACTTTTGACAGGTGTAGCCATTGCCTGGAGACAGCTTCACAGGAGGGGCTTGGGCTGCATGAAGGTTTGGCAGACTATGAGCCCTGGAATGCTTGTCAGTTTTTACCACTCAATACCAGTACACGAGAGAGAGAGTTATTTTTACTTCGGAAAAGCCATAGAGACTTGAGCAGCCCGGAGAGACGGCATCACAGCTTTTGAGATGCTCTTGAAGGGATACATCCTGGCAAATCTGCAATTTCAGAGTGCAAAGTGATAAAAATCACAGCCAGATTGGGATAATAAAAGGAAGAAGAAAGTTGAATCGTGTTGTGGATACGCCATAAACTATTTATCAGTGTGAACACAACAATACGTCAACTCTTTGACGACAAAGACTGAACGGGACTTTCCATTAAGGACAGAATAAATTGGGATATACCGATATGGCTGACAGCAACTAGACACCTGGTACCCAGAAAGCGGAAGTAACTCAACGCAATTTACCGTCGGTTAAGAACAGACGAATTTCTTTGAGTACAGAACGCTCTATACATGTGTCATTGAGAATCGGCCGTATATCGTAATATTGCATCGTAAATACATGGTAATCATACATTCAAAAATATAAACAGACATGATCATTATCAACATATCTCGTTCCGTCAAGACAGCGCATATATTCAGAACCAACCTCCAGTATATCCACAAGGCAGAAAATAAGTTCAAAAATAGTAAATCAGACCCCAAACTCCAAACTCCATCAGCACAGCCATCATTTTTGCGTAAAATTGGCCACATGCATATGCTCAACCAGTCAGTCGGCGGTAAGAACTAAGAACCGGAGGGGCTTTTTGATCCAATGTCGAAGGGGGGTATATAAATCAGCCATTTGCGCAGGCCGTAGATAAAATAAATATATCGAAAGTCGTAAGGTCTATAACGTGGAAAATCATAAGATAGGAGAAGAGAAGAATCTACTATCCCTCCTCTTCATCAACCACTCGGCTCCTCGAGAAGAAGAGGATGTGGTTCTGCATGGCGTAGATGATGAACCCGACAATGGCCAGGAGGACAAAGAGGAGGATGACGATCAGAGCGATAACGTCGTTTTGTTGCATTTTGTCGTTTTCTTCTTTGCAAACTATCTTTGGTTAGTCTGTGGATGATGTGTAATTTTCTGGAATGTAGACATACCAACTGATAAGATTGCTTATCTTAGCTTATCGTGCGGAATGCGGATAGCCGTTGTGGAACAATAACCCGACTTTCGAGTTCGACGACTTTTGTGTATATATATGACGATTAAGACAATGTTACTCAACTGAACGGAATTGTATATAGGTAGGATATTTGAAGAGAATAAAATAATCATGGCCACACAATGAAGAAATAGATGTATATATTCTGCAGCCACACCAGCCCAGCCATTTCTTTCCTTCCACGCTTGGAGAGGCTGGGCTGCCCGACCGCCGTTTCCCATGTTGATTGGCTGCTAGTGCACCACTAGAGACAGAAATGGTTCAGTGCGCGGGAGCTAGTTGGCAGACCCACATCCATGCCAGCCATCTTGTATCGACCAATCAGAGTGCCGCTTTGGAGATGTTCCTGTTTTCCTGTTTGGGTAATTTTCATCGTTGGCCTGAGTAGAGTCGATGGATGAGACTGCTTCAGTGCCATCTTGACTCGATCTATCTATATATTTAACTACAGCTCAAGATCTATTCATTGTCATCATCCAAGAATGAAACAGATGACCCATAAAGACCACAGCAGACGAGGATCACCTAAGATCCATCTCTCTTTATAAGATGACTTGAGTCAGACAGGCCATATTGCCACAGTCTAGAGCTTTGTTTCTTTTTTTTGTAATGAATCACTACACGAACACTCTCTTTATTGTAGTGGCATGAATGTATGTTTTCATAGCTATGACTCTTTGGGTGCATTTCTACCTACTTGATAAAGTGAATACGCCACAACAATAGGCTTGTCATAAAGACCACAGAATAGAATACCCATACTTGGTATAAAATATTGGTTTGTCTCTGAGTCTATCTGTTCTTCTTTCTCACTGACTCAGTCAAAGCAGGCTCAGTCATCTATCATCACCTCGAACAGTCAGACGCTTCGAACACGCTCATCTTCTCAATGTTCCTGAGAAAGCCACTGAAGCACAAAAAGGCGGAAATCGAAGATGCTATTTGGGAAGCGAGGATTCCTGCACAAGCCTAACAGTAGCCTTTGGAATCCATTACCACCTTCGCCTTCGCCTTCGCCTTCCTCATCTCCTTCGACACCCTCGCCGCTATCCCCACCGATATTTACATCGTCATCCTCATCGACACCGTCACTATCGTCATACCCCTCATCCCCACGCTCACCAATACGTTACTACAACATTCATCCACCACCAAAACCGCCTCTCGTCTGGACATGGCAGTGCCATCTATGCAACCGCAACTGGCCCGTAGGCACAACCCAACGCTGCCTCTACTGCGGTCATCGCATGTGTCTACCCGAGCAGGAACAGAACCGCAACAGATCATCACGCAAAAGAAAAATCATCTGTGATTCTCACTCCCGTCAACAGCCGTTGCTGCTATCGTCTCTTTTGTCCGCTAATAGTTCCGATGGTATCCGCCTTCCTATGGCTTCACGTAACAGCAGCGAACCGGTTCGACAGCGGTACAAACAGCGACTCAGGTGTCATTATCGAAAGAGCAGAGCTAGACAGGAGAAGAAGAAGAAGAAGTTTCACTGCAAGTCGGAATTTGATTATGCTGGTTGGGAGAATCGGAATAAGTGGCGGAGGGATGTTAAAGAGCTCAATGAGTTGAAAAATAAGGGTATGCTTGAGGAGTTGACTGATGAGGAGGAGGAGAGTGACAGTGAAGATACCGATAGTACGCTTGACGAGGATGAAGGAAGAAAACGCGAGATGTTCAAGCTGCTCCCTGGTACGGGTCGATTGCATGTTGTGGCTATCTCAAGCCCTCCAACTGATAATAAGACCCCACAGCGAAGTTGTTGGGAGGATTGCGATTATCCGACTCATTGCATTCAGGACCGTTACGAAAAAGCAAAACGGGAGGCTTCGCTTAATCCAGTGTTTTCGTGATCAATGCCCCCTTTTTCAGCATCTCGGTTTAAATTTCGGTTTGGTATTGATTGGCCTTACATGCTCGTGGTACAGTTATATACCCTTTGAAGACAAGACATGGACAAAGTTCTAAAAGTAAAGATTAAGTCTGGATTAATCCACTAAGTATGTATATAGTACACTTACTCAGCCTAAAATCTTCAATCCACCTCTGGTATAACCCTGCTTCTTCACACCATCGCCCTTGTGCTTCCCACCACCCACTGTACCATGTGGAGAGTTCTTATTTCCTCCCCCTCCTCCATGCCCATTCTTCTTCCCCTTCTTATCTCTCTTATCCTGCACAGGGCGCACTTCTGTCATGGCCCGTCGCAGAAGAACAGGATGCGAGCCGATGTATTTACCCTGCATCTCTCGCGCTGCTTTGAAATAATCATCGCCGTCGCTGAAACTGACAAACCCGTATCCTTTGCTTTTTTCGGTGCGTTTGTCGCGAATCACGCGCGCCTTTTGAATCGATGGGTATCTGGAAAATGCCTTTTTCAAGGAGTCGTCTGTAACCTCGCCCGCAAGGTTACCAACAAATAGTCGGAAATGCGCAGGGTCCCATTCCAGTAATGTAGGATCTGACCAAGTCTGGCCGCCTCCCGAACGAATGACTGTCTTGGATTCGGACTCACCCCCAGCTCTAGGAACAGGTGTATGTGAGGCAGACGCGCTGTATGTAGGTGTACCAGAATTTGTCGAGCTGGGAGCAGACGCTCCAGGGCGGCCCGCAGCTTTGGCCTGTGTTATAGTCGCCGGACTATCTTCATTTGGATTCGTCATGTATGCACTCTGCCATTGCGCAATTTGGGCTTCCATTTCCGGATCCATGCCGCTATCCCGTCCATAGCCCTTGCGCTCCTGACCCGGTACCGGAAACGGGTTTGCGATTTGGGGAATGGGAGAGGCGCCATATTGACTATCACCGTATCCCGGTTGTTGCCCGTAGTATGACTGCGCACCGGCTTGATAAGATTGTTGTGGGTTCTGGTACGTCGGCGCTGAATAGCCAGGTACTGCGGGGCCTTGATATGCTGTTGTAGGTTGTGAAACGGCCGCAACAGCAGGACTATTGCTTCGATATGGCTGAGCCGAAGCTACTGCGCGAGGTGCAAAGGCAGTGAAAGCACTATAACCTGTCGTCGCTGGCGATGCTCTCGCTCCATGGCTCGGAGTGGCAGTCGTAGTAGTGCCAGGTGATGAATAGGAAGGAGCGGATGAATAAGCTGGCTTGAACGACGACGGCGGACGTGGTGGTAGTGAAGAAGGTTTGCTTAGACCTGGAGGTGGTGGCAAGGACATGATGAACGACTTGTTCAATCAAGCGGTATTGCTTGTGCCAAAGTTGCAAGCTTATGCGAGCAACTGATAGATAGTAACGTACCTTCAGCGGGTGGCCACCCTACACCAGAAGACGCAACTATTTGAATGTTTGTCGCTGGAGATGGATAGGCGAACGCGTCGTCGTGACAGTAATTACCACCTGCTTGGTCAATATAAAAAAGACAAAAATGTGACGTGATTCGATCTGACAGTTTTCATCCGAATTGTTATGCCTGAATCAAAATGCTAGCTTGTTTGATGTCTTATCTGAGGTTATCGTGGTGCTTGCCTTGCCAGCATGATTGAATCTGGAAAGCCACAGAAATTCGCGGAAAAAAGATTTTGCAGGCGGCCAAGAAAGTCTTGGCGTCGGCCATACTGGATGACTCAGCTCGCGCTGATTGGCCAATTTCAAGACATGATTCGGGCATGGCCTCACTTTTCCTTTGGTGTGGGCTCTCTTTATGTTTAATTATTCTTTACGTAGCATCACGATCCGGCTATTGCTTTACTAAAAATGGAGCATGATAGAAGCAGAGATCGGATAAATTGGGACGGTACTTGTACGTAAACGGACTCACCGAGAATGCGCCCGTGCAGCCGTGCTTGGGTCTTAGTGTGGTGGTGGTGATATTACGAGTAAGCAGTAGTCATCATCGCCAGAGCTACCCCTCCATAACAGTGATATATCCGCGGCGGCAATGGGGCAGCTTTCTCCGGACAACTGTGTCCCGGTGTGATGTCTCTGTCGGCAATTGGAGTCTACTTCTTTTGATCAATCCATTCAACTGTTTTCTTGTGATGCTGCAATATTCATCTTACTGTGGACGTTCAGTATAGAGTGGTGATACTGACATACGTCATGCGGGCAAACCTCATCCGTACATCTCGCCATGCGGAATAAGCACTCACTGTATCCGTACGTAGCAAGTTACTACTTATCTAAACTTATATAATATAACAGCTGTCATAGTCAGGCTCTGTCAGAATGCACAATGCACAGCGTGTATAGACATCCCACTTATATTACATCAGTAAGGACCTCGACTGCCCCGCCGCGAAAAAAACGGTCCCACCAAAAGACAATCCAGGACTACACGTTTGCTGACGCTTCCGCTTCCTCCGTGCCCGGTCCGTGGCGTATGAGACTCTGATCAGTCATCGGTGCGAATAGGCAAAAGGGTGATTACATGAGACTGACTGTGTCCGGGAATGCGAAGGAATAGGCTTAGTGTAGGGTGAGTGTAGGAGTCTGTAAGAGTATGTAAGAAGCCTTGTAGTCTGGAGAAACCAAACCTCAGACAGTGCTCCTTCCCTGTTCCAGCTTCTCCAGCTGATTAATATTATTACGCCTTTCCCTCCCGACAACTCTCTGCCTCTCTTTTTCTCTCTCTATTTTCCTCTCTCTTCCTCAACATCCTCTCAACTATCCCATTCCTCTCCCCACTATACCACGATTCACCTGTGGATTCACTCTACAGTGCCATCGATTGATTATCTTCTTCTCTATAAACACCCATCGTTATAACTGTCGTCATGGCCGACCAAGCTGTGTAAGTTACCCCTCCTCCATCGCCATCCAGCTTCCCCGCCATCAACACCCTCCCCCAATGCGACTACGAGCTATGATAGTTTCAATCGTGGTTAGTCGCTGGAATACAAGAAGATGGAAAATTGTCGCTTCTGCACGCTTTTCACGTTTGCAATGCGTCACGGCCAGCTCATTCCCGGGACACGATATTTATTTCCCTATTGCATCCAGCTTATCTTTGTCATTACACCTGAAAAGACAAATTGACTGACTTCAGCGCTCGCCTCGCCGGCATTAATGTCGGCGCTCCGGCGCGGCCTGTTCCTAGTGGTGATTTCGGCCTCATCGGTCTGGCCGTTATGGGTCAGAACCTGATCTTGAACGCTGCTGACCACGGTTTCACCGTTGTTGCTTACAACCGCACTGTTGCCAAGGTCGACCGCTTCCTTGCAAATGAGGCCAAGGGTATATTCACCATTCAATTCGATGCTGTGGTTTGCAGCTAACATAAAAAATCCAGGCAAGAGCATCGTCGGTGCTCACTCCATCGAGGAATTCGTCGCTAAGTTGAAGAGGCCTCGTCGCATTATGCTCCTTGTCATGGCTGGTAAGCCTGTGGATGACTTCATCGAGACCCTCCTTCCACACCTTGAACAGGGAGACATCGTCATCGACGGTGGTAACTCTCACTTCCCCGACTCCAACCGCCGCACCAAGTACCTCGCTTCCAAGGGTATCCGTTTCGTCGGTAGCGGTGTTTCCGGTGGTGAGGAGGGTGCCCGTTACGGTCCCTCTCTCATGCCCGGTGGTAACGAGGAGGCTTGGCCATACATCAAGGACGTCTTCCAGAGCATCGCCGCCAAGAGCGACGGCGAGCCCTGCTGTGACTGGGTCGGTGATGAGGGTGCCGGTCACTACGTCAAGATGGTTCACAACGGTATTGAGTACGGTGACATGCAATTGATTACTGAGGTAGGCTTCCCTTCTCCCCAATATTAATCATTCGATGGTTATTGATTAGATCTCGACAACAGGCCTACGATATCTTGAAGCGCGGTGTTGGTCTTACTCCAAACGAGATCGGCGAGGTCTTTGACAAGTGGAACAAGGGTGTTTTGGACTCTTTCTTGATTGAAATCACTCGTGACATTCTCAAGTACAACGATGACGACGGCACAGCTCTCGTTGAGAAAATCCTTGATAAGGCCGGTCAGAAGGGTACCGGAAAGTGGACTGCCATCAACGCCCTTGACCTCGGCATGCCTGTCACCCTCATTGGAGAAGCTGTCTTCTCTCGTTGTCTCAGTGCCATCAAGGACGAGCGTGTCCGCGCCAGCAAGGTTCTTGGCGGTCCCACTCCCAAGTTCGAAGGCGACAAGCAGGCTTTCATTGACAACCTTGAGCAAGCTTTGTACGCTTCCAAGATCATTTCTTATGCCCAGGGTTTCATGCTTATCCAGAATGTAAGTCTCGTCAAATCTCTTATTGTACCTGAGCAGACTACTGACTGCAGTAAAAAGGCCGCCAAGGAATACGGCTGGAAACTCAACAAGCCATCCATTGCCCTCATGTGGCGTGGTGGTTGCATTATCCGCTCCGTCTTCTTGAAGGACATCACCAACGCTTACCGCAAGAACCCCGACCTTGAAAACCTTTTGTTCGATGACTTCTTCAACAAGGCCATTCACAACGCTCAAGCTGGCTGGAGAGACGTCGTCAGCAAGGGTGCTCTCTGGGGTATCCCCACTCCTGCTTTCAGCACTGCCCTCGGGTTCTACGACGGCTACCGCACCAAGGAGCTTCCTGCCAACCTTCTCCAGGCCCAGCGTGACTACTTCGGTGCCCACACTTTCCGTATCAAGCCCGAGTATGCCAGCGATAACTTCCCTGTGGGCAAGGATATCCACGTCAACTGGACCGGCCGCGGAGGTAATGTTTCCGCATCTACCTATATCGCTTAAGAAGTTGATTGCACATGACTATAGCAAGTCCCCCCAAAAGACTGTCATTTCCCGGGTGGAAATCATATCTAGAAATGTTTTTGAGGAAACGAACGTGTTTATCGTGTAATTAGAGGTTTATCCATGTGCACACGTTCATTACGAACAAATGAATCCGTATAGCTAATGAATTGATGTGTTGGTGTCTTTGATCTTTTGAGTCGTCCTTGGTAGAAGTAATCGAGCTTGGCTGTGCGATCCATGCACTAGACCCGATCTGGCCGAGAAGGGCCCACACCTGCCCGAATTGACAAAGTAAGGAATGACTCTCTCTTGCTTCTCGCGCCAACGTCGCATGTCGTCTCCTCCTCGCCCACCACCAGAGGAGCTTGATTCTTCCCCATTGCTGTACCTCAAACACCCCGTGTTTGTTGTGTTTCTTCTTTTCTCTTAGTTCATTATTGCAAAGTTCTGATTTAGCAGCTCTTTTTTTTTTTTTTAATTCCCTCAACCCCCCTTTTATCCCGCGGAGCATTTCTTCGTTTCTAGTCGCTCATTTCTTGACACCGTTTTGTTTCTGCCTTGACGGACTTTTCGCATCCGCATCGTTTCATATCAGGTCGCCCTCCGATACCATAGGCGGAGGATTTTGTCGCTTGGTCGTGGGCAGCTCTGTCTTTCGCCCGACGAAGCAAGTTGATCTGTGGACATCGATCGAAGTGCCGGACATCCGTCACAGTGTGCTCAGCAGCTTGAAAAATTACTCCAACCAGCTACAAATCAATGGCTGACACTAAGCGCCAAAGCACAGGCGCCAAAGCCCAGAATCAACAGGCTACGGGCTCTGGTGCAGCCACTCCTCCGTCAGAGGAAACATTAAGCAAAGCTATCGGTGCACGGTAAGTCTGTACGAATAAATACCGATACTTGCGAGAAGCATCTAACTCCTGGTCTTCTAGCATCCGCATTACGACAGCAACTCCAAACACATCCACCATTGAAGGTACTTTATTCACGGCCTGCCCAATAACGAACCTCGTTGCTATCAACACCTCAAACCAAGCATCACCGAACCCCACAAGCTCAATCCAGTCCGGCGATTACCATATCATACCCACATCTCGCATCCAATCCTTCCAGGTCATTTCCCCAGCTCCAGCTGTCGTTGATGGAGCCCCGTCACTCCAAACTCTAGAGACTCGTGCATTGAAAGCGCGGGAAGCCAATGCCATATTTAAGTTACAAGAAGCTGAGGCTAGGCGTGGTAAAGGTGTGACGCGAGAGGCACAAGATATTTTTGATGCTTTTAGCCGAACCATGCCTGCAAGATGGGACGCTACCAGTATTGTCGTTGCGGATGCTGTGGTTATCGCCAAACCATATCGAGTGGATGATTGTCGGGCTTTGGTTGCGGGTGATTCCGCCGCATTGACTCGTGTCCGCAAAGTGGTTCGTACAGCCATACTGTTGTGTTTTTGATGTCGTGCTAATCTATGTCATAGTTGGAAATGGAGCGCAAGAAGATCGAACTTCGCAACGCAAGCGCTGCAATCGGAAATAGCAATCAATTCATGCGACAGAATAGAGACCGAGTTGTAGTGCCTAGTCGCTTTGATAATTCGCCCGCCCCTGCACCAAGGAAAGGTGGTTAGATGATATACACCAACAAATTAGGGCTTTATAAACCAGCATGTTTCGTCCATACTGTTTGTTCTGCCACCTCGCTTCGATCGAAGCTCTTACAGAAGTATAGCTGATATATTCTACCACCGAGTCACTCGAGCCATGATCGGGGGAAGTCTAACATCATATTTCACCTATATTCGATTGATGGGTGTATCCAACAGAGTGAACACGAACCGGTACAGTATAGGGTGATTGTCCGATGGGAAATTGGTCTGTGATATGTGTCGGTTCTTGATTGCTGAACACAGTTGTATAAGCTAGGCTGTGTAGTGTCATGTATTTTACGTATGATACCGAGCCATGGAGATGAGAAAGGGAAACAAAACAGAAAAGAGTCTTTGCTAAGACCAGCAATATACCTGGGGAGCATAGGAGAAAATGAGAAACAATATAAGACGTTTCAATATTTTCCTCTTGCACATGTGGAATTGACCAGAGCCTTAGCTAGGTACTTCCAAGACGTAGAGGAGAGGATCCAAAACTATAAATTATCATTTCAAATTATTATCTATCTCTTTGAATATTGTATCAATCTAGTATCACATATAGACCCAATCTTTTCGTTTCCCAATTTCCCAATCTATTCCCCTCCAGCAACATTCATTCGTCAAATCAATGATTTCTACCCTTCCATGCCTGTGCTCCCTCAAATATCCAGAGAGAAAAAAAGGATGAATCAACGACGAATATCAGGCAAATTCATTGCAGCACTAATACACGACAAATGACTAAAAGCCTGCGGCACATTACCCATCGCCTCGCCACTGATTGCCACTTCCTCGGAAAAGATTCCCAAATGATTGGCAAAGGAGAGGCAGTTGTCGAAACTGGCGATTGCTTTGCGACGGATGTCGTCACCGTTGGGGAGGGTGTCGGTGTATTTTGATGCCTTTTTCTCAAGGTCAGATATGGGGGTGGAGTGAGGGGTTGGGAAGAAAAGGGGGGAATAGCGTACCCGGAACATGGCTTCTATGGCCCAGAATGTAATCATGATAAAGGCGCCTTCACGGCCGCCGACACCTGGATAGAGATCAGTAATCAATCGGGGAAAGGGAAGGGGTAAGGATATACCGTCTTGGGCCTTTTCATGGTCATATCTAAACACCATACTAGCACTAGTCAATCCAGATTTCTCGGGCGGTTCCAAAACTTTATCCAATGTGCTCAGAAACCGACGATCATTAGGTTCAACAAAGAGTACCAAAGGAGCAATCATGAGGGCAGCATCGACGACTTCAGTATTCTCATAACTCTGACAGAAGAATCCCTTCTCCTCGTTGAATCCTTTATCCATGATTTCGTCGTAAAGATCGTCACGGACACGGATCCATTGTTGTTTGTCGGGACATGGTAGAGTAGAATGCTTATCGGCTAGACGCACCCCACGATCGAGAGCGACCCAGAGGAGCATCTTGGAGTAGAGGAAGTGTTGCGGTTTACCACGGACTTCCCAGATGGACATATCAGGTTCGTCACGGACTTGAATCACATAGTTAACCATGCGACGAATACCGAGCCATTGATCGTACTGAATTGGTTTGGCGTGGCTGTTGTACATGTAGATACTGTCCATCAATTCGCCGTAAATGTCCAGCTGTGTATGGAAGGCGGCCGCATTGCCAATACGAACTGGTTTACTGCCACGGTATCCGTCCATGTGATTCAGCTCAAACTCGGGTATTTCCGAGTCTCCTCTGATCGTGAACATGATCGGCAAGAAGGGCCGGTGTTGCTCCTTGGTATACTGTTTCTGAGTTAGAGGTGGGAAAACACGGTCGAAGATGAACGTGATGTACGCCTCGGCTTCTTCGTCGTAGCCATTCTTGAGAAAGGCGTACAATGTGAAAGATGTGTCTCGGACCCAGGAGTATCTGTAATCCCAATTGCGAGTACCGCCAATGTTCTCTGGTAGAGAGAATGTTGGCGCCGCTATAACGGCTCCCGTAGGTTTGTACGTCAACAATTTGAGAATGAGTAGACTCCTCTCGACAGTCTCACGATAGTGGCCACGGAATGTGCATTTGTGGCTCCAGTCAGTCCAGAAGTGGAAGGTTTCCGACTCAAGTCGTGAGAGATAGGACGCGAGCTGAGTAGGTCCCGGAAGAGTTTTCTCAGGGCTATGGAGGACAAAGATCATTGACTGTCCCTCAGAAATCTCTACGTCGACGACAAGACCTTGACCCAGATGGCCCGGTCGATTCTCAAGGCGGTAAATAGCCTTGGGAGGACCCTGTCCTTCTTTCTTGTTGTCGATCCAAATATCCAACTGGAGCCGTTCCTGAGGAGACTCAAAGTACACACACTGCAGTTTGTTGCCTGGTTCGTCAGCTTTCGGGCTGAGACGAGTAGTGTGACCATCCTGGGCGTAATTGAAGGCAGGAAATACTTCCACCGTGACCCCCATAGTGCCTCGGCTGCATTCCAGTCGACGAATGATGCCCGAGTGCTTGGCACCAGACTTCCAACGGTTGCCGCCTGGCTCAGTACAGGCACAATAACCAGACAAGTGTCTATCAGACTGGGGGGATTTGTGGTTGGAAACAGGGAAGAAGTCAATCAGACTTAGAACTCCAATCTCATGAATCCAACGAGTCTCCAAGATATTTGTATAAGGCAGATATCTCTGCTTGCTCAGAGGGATCCCGTCGTGTGCGACATTCGCATGAATACTGAAATGGCCGCCTTTGTCCTTATCTAGGAGTCGACAAAAGACTGATGGGGAGTCGAAGACGGGCCAACATAGGAAGTCCATACTTCCATCCTTGCTGACGAGAGCAGCCGTGTGCATATCCCCGATGATGCCATAATCTTCGATTGCCTTGTACGGTGGAGCAGACATATTGGATACAAGATTTTGAAGATCTAGATAAGTTTGAATGACGGGATTCACATTGATATGCTACAGCGAACCACAATAGCTTCGTGTATGTTGGCAACTTTGTACGTTGTTGAGATATGGATAGAAATTTGGGTATTTCTCAAGATATACTGTCCAGTATCGCACACTGGGTGACCGGAAATTCCGGCCAACGACGAGAATATGGCATCATTATAGCAACACAGCTCAGGCTGAGGAATAGGGTATGTTGTAGGGGGTTCTCCACCGGATCATTTATAAGCTGGCGTGTTCTCTGCAAGTTCCGTACGAGTGGAAATTTATGGGTGCAAGCACGCATTGTTACGGGACAACCATCGTTTGCAATTTCCTATCAAGAAGCGTTCCAGGATGAGGGTTGACTTTCAGATCGGATGTCAATTCCTTGTCATTGGTTTTGCCGGATACAAACACGATATGAACAGCAGGCGGTGACTTGGACGGAAAGCTTGGCGCCAAGGGATAAAGGCATCAAGGCATCAAGGCACCAAGGCATCAATCGAGTCTGTCAGCGCTAATCTTGTTTGGGCTGTCTGAGCTCTCTGTCGTTATCCAATCAGCATACTCTATGACACCAGCCAAGCCCACACCTGCCTAAGGCCAAAGGGGGCGCCAGGATACCGGGGTGTTATTGTCCTGCTTTTCATCTACCACTACGGAGTACCCATCAACAACTACTACGATCTCGAGTCATCGTGCTTCCATTGTAGGTGATTGCATGTGTCTTTAGTTGCACGGTGGGCAGCATTCACTCCCTTGAAAAATTCTTTTTTTATATTCCCTGTTCTTTCTTTCTCTCTCCCCTCGTCTAGAAACTCTCGTGCGCGACCGCCTCTTTGTTTTCATAATCTATATTTTCCTATCCATCGACGGCCAGACTTCGGCATATATTTTTCACTTTTGTGCGACACGAATCAGCTTCCTGCATCCGCGCAGCAAGAAACATCTACTTGCCTGGCGATCAGTCAAGCACAGCAAAGCATTTATATTTCTATCGCCTCTCTTCGACAACGGATATCTTGGATTACACTTGATCATCACCTCCTGCCGTCAAACGTCAGATGAGTAACCGGTGCCTTTGAAAGTACCTCCGCCGAACTATAAAACAACATGGCGGTTGGGGCATCGAGAAATATCACAGGTCATCATAGACGACGCAGTTCGGTTCTGACGGCGGCAGGTTCGTCTCAGCTTCATCCAGTGTCGACGGACAACTACATAGACCGAGAGGGTCGTCTGAGTCCCAAGGAAGATGGACCAAAAGGCGAAGAGCAACAAGCTCTCATCCATGGAGACACTGATTCGTCGGATTTGTCATCCATTGCAGAATCAGATGAGGATGACTCTGACGACGGAATTCACGATGACGAGGAAACTGGATTAACTGCGAAACAGAGGAATGAGCGGCGGCGACGGCGCAAGCGACAGCGTCGACGATTGGATGCAAAGATTGCTGGAGTTAAAGGTAAAACGAGCAATGTGGTCGCGGACAAGAATGTAGCGACGGCGCTTGCGATCAATTGTTGTCTAATAGGCTTATGGTATTTATTCTCATTATCAATCTCTATTGTAGGTTCAAACAACGACACGGAAATTGCAATGCAGGTTGGCTAATTCAGCGCACAGTATAACAAGTGGATGTTCTCAGAAGATGACGTCGTCTTTCCATTTCCGCTCTTCACGACCAGTTTACATATGCTTGTTCAACTCTTACTCGCCGGCCTAATACTCTACTTCGTACCATCTCTTCGTCCCAAACACCCGCCTAGTTCCTCTTCCAAATCCGAACCGATCATGACAAAATCTTTCTATCTCACCCGCCTAGTGCCATGTGGCACCGCTACTTCGTTGGATATCGGACTGGGCAACATGTCCTTGAAATATATCTCGCTCACATTTCTTACCATGTGCAAGTCGTCAGCACTTGCTTTCGTGCTCATTTTCGCATTTATTTTTCGCCTAGAGACCCCCTCAGTGAAGCTCATTGTCGTTATCGCCGCCATGACCCTTGGTGTTGTCATGATGGTAGCTGGTGAAACTGCTTTTGATGCTCGCGGCTTCACTCTGGTTATTGCTTCAGCGTTCTTCTCAGGCTTTCGATGGGGCCTTACTCAAATTCTCCTGCTACGACATCCGGCAACCTCCAATCCGTTTTCGACAATGCTTTTTCTCACTCCAGTGATGTTTATCGCATTGATTGCGATTGCACTCGGCATTGAGGGACCAAATGAAATTATTGCCGGTGTCAAAGCATTAGCAGAAGCGCGCGGGCAATTCACTGGAATTGCGCTTTTGATTTTCCCTGGAATTCTAGCATTTTGCATGATAGCCTCGGAATTCGCTCTCTTGAAACGTTCCTCTGTGGTTACTCTAAGCATATGCGGAATCTTCAAAGAAGTTGTCACTATCAGTGCTGCAGGTGTCATCTTCCATGATAAATTGACACCAGTCAATGTCTCTGGTCTCTTCGTCACGATTACTAGTATTGCAGCGTACAACTACATGAAGATCAGCAAAATGCGACGTGATGCACGGCAGGAGCTAGAGCGAAAGACGGATGTTGAAGACTATAGCGTGTCTCCCGCTTTAGGAGACTCGACCGATGAGCGTATCCCAATGAGCCAAGCACCGAATCATGAAACATTCAATAACCACCACACCGCCAGCAATTGGAACACCTATGAAGCTGATATCGATGACCAAAGCGCATCTAGCAGCGGAGAAGGCGATGAAAATGTGAATATCACACCACGAAATGATGTTCGTCGTGGCCGCTATTCATTCCCTGTAAAGGTTAGCGGAACATATACAGCTCCTGGAACCGGACAGCCACTACAATCTGTCCCTCACACGCCCATGAATATACCCGACTCTGCATAAAACCAGCCTTTTATTCCTGGGTCAAATAACAACCCCATGTTTCGCAGCAATCGGCGTATCGAGATACCATTTTTTCTCTTTTCTCCTGTTATGACGGTGTTTGATGTACGTCTGCTGTATCATGCAATTCTATACCCTGATATATGTATTACAGATTTTTCTTGTTTTCCATTTACTAACATTGACTCTCATTCTTGGTGCATGGCTATGCACGCCTACGTTTCAGTATGACAATTCTCATTTCTTTAATTCCAGTTTCTTACATCTGACGTCTTCCGATATAAATTATGGCCATGATGGATGTATTTGATGTTACCTTTTTGTTATCTGGGGCCAACATGTCCTCACTATAGGTGTTGTCGGCCAGATTTGTCTAGACATGGTGTGTGATACTTGAATTACGGTGTACAAGAAGGTTAACTAGAAAGCTACCTAGATTTGGATGATACTTCAAACTTACTCTATTTGCTTCTTCAGAGTCATTTCCTCATTGAGTTTGTAAGTAAACATGGGGTGCACGATTCCATGGTCACGGAGACTACATTCTAGTCTGACCCTTCCCCGAGGTGGGTTATCAACGGGTAATGTATGATTTTCAGCCTAATTTGAGTTTCTTAAAGCTACTCCTTTTTCTTGAACATACCATCCAAACCCTTCTGCCCCTTCTCAAGTTGTTTTTGCTTCTTTTTAGCTTCGGTCTCAAGCTTTCGCTCGTACTGTTCCTGATGCCTTTTTCTCTCTGCTCGTCCCTCTCCGGATAGCTGAGTCTCCAAAGCACGGAATTCTGAGCTTTCAGGGTCCATGCCAATCAATGACTCGAGTAATTTGATTTCTCGGGCCCATACGCTCTTATCCTCGACGAGTTTGTTTTGTGTTGAAGGAGCCTTTCGTGCCTTTTTGGCTTTGGGGGAGTCTATTTCATGATCACTATCGCACAGGCCATCGTCTGTATCTTCTTCCTTTTTCGGTTTGCGGGAGCTTATGCTCTTGTTTGATTTGCCAGAATCTGGGACAGGCCGATCTATAGGAGTCTCAAGAATCATGGGAAGTCCCTGAAAGCGTTTCTCATTCATGACATTGTGGAAAGCACGGAGACCTAGAAAGCCCGTGCCGATGTTTGCGTGGAGATCACGTTTGCTACCTTTTGGAGCCTTTGAGTCATTAAGATGTAATGCTCTCAGAAATTTCAGACCAATCTTGTCGTCAAATTCTTGCATGAAGGACCTGAATCCTTCTGGAGATGCCAAGTCATAACCATATGAGAAGCTATGGCATGTATCAACGCATACTCCAATACGTGAATGGTACTTTTCCGGGATTTGCGAGATCACGGCTCCAAGCTCGGAAAGTGGACCACCGAGAGTCGTTCCATGACCGCACATCGTCTCTAATACCGGAGTGACCGTTTCAGTTGCGGCAAGGGCTTTCGTTAAGGATTGGGCAAGCCTTGAAATAGCCGACTCTACCGTTGTCTGGCCTGCTGCTCCTGGACTTTATGGCGTTAATGCGGTCATGTGTACACTGTTTTCATAGAGTGAACCCACTGGAAATTATAGAGTCTGATACCAAGCTTTTCGCATCTTTGTAAATCATCCAGGAAGGAGTCATAGGCCTGCTTCGCCTTAGCTTCGTCCTCTTGTGCCAAGTTCACAAGGTAGGAGCCATGTGGGAGGATATATCTGGCTGAGTCAATCGAATGCGGCAAAAGATTGCAGAGGAGAACTCACTTTGCTGCGTCATATTCATGGTCAAGGCAGAATTTCAAGAATTGTTCCTTATTTTCATCTTGTAGTGGTGGGTTCTCCCATTTCCTCTGAGATTTCAAGAACAGGGCGAAGGCATTCCCACTATCGAGAGAACTCAATCACTCCGACTTTCTTCAAATATTGAATTAAGGAAAGAATGAACATACCCTATATGCACACTATTCACGACAGAATTCTGGACCCCTGTTTTATCTCTCAGCGTATTGAAATATTCATGAAAACACATGACCAACCCTTTGCGGCACTAACATGTGCCCCTACAAACATCTGTAGTCCCTTGGTCCTAGCAGCGAGAGGTAACATCTCGGCATCTTTCTCGGCTTTTGTCTTTCGCTTTTTCGTAGATTTTTTTGCGATTATTTCTTCTTCTTCTTCTTCCTCCTCCTCGATTTCGACTTCCTTCTTGACTCCTGTATCAGATTCTTGCGCTGCTATAGACAGCTTTTGTTTCTTAATACGTATAGCAGCTTTCAAATCATCAGCTTCGATTGCCTCTTCCTCTTTGATTTCTACAGCTGTTCCCCTCTTCTTGCTGTTCGCACTGACCAGTCTACTTGGTTTTCTGGGTGCCTGGTTCGCGAGTGCGGGGAATGGCTTCGCCGTAACGTTCTCGGTGGTGGATCTCGTTCGCCTGGGCCTTCTCGGTGACAACGAATTTTCTTCTGTCTCATCGAAAGGTCGTTTCTTGGTATCTGGAGCTGGCGAGGCGACGGCACCGGGTTTTGGACGCGAATTTCGTGCAGGCATTGCTGAGATCTTAGATAAGCAAGCAAACCAGAACAGTGTCAGTGACAACTGTTGCCAATCTAGTCGGCTTGCTGTACAATCGGATCATTGAAATTGAAGGTAGTGTTGACCGAACAGCTGGCTGATAGTTCACGGAGAAAACTAGCCTAAGAGCTCAGCCTTCTAGATCGATAAGCTGACCTTCAGAGTGGAGACGAGACTCCGCAATTCATTGGCCCATATTGTGTATTGAGCACAAAGAGATTCGATGATTCGCTACTTACATGTGATGAACTATCACGATGAGATGGTTACTTAGATAGTAATGATAAAGGAAATTGCGAAGATGATAGAAATATAATTGATGGTTAGCTGTGCTGTAGGTTTAGTGGGTTTGTTGAGTGACTGCACGTGATCTGTTACCGCGGCAACGCCGCGGCGATTGTGTTTGGGTTGCACCTTCCTTCTTCTAACCAAGAAATAATTCTCATCCGTGTGTCAACGCGCGACTTCGACTTCATCTTCAACCACGACACTCGACTCGACACCGCTAGACGCCGACAACGACCCATAATAGAGAGGAAACTAGGATATAAGTATACATTGGACAGTTGATAATTCGATTCTTCTGGGAAACTCCGTGACCAACGGCCGCTATCATGCAGGTCTCCGAAGACCTGATCAACTTCGACGTGATTGAGGCGCAGAAGGAGAACGTTCAGTCTCTTCCAGGCGGAAGATCTGCGAAAGCTTTGGCACAAATATTCTCTTCTGGCAGCAATGGAGATAAATACAACACACCCTCACCAAACGACACTAGAACATTGAACGACGCGATCCGTCAAGAATACGAGGCTGAATTGCAAGCAAGCGCCGACTCGGATGATCCACTTGATGCTTATGATCGATATGTTAAATGGACAATAAATGCCTATCCATCGGCACAAGCCACAGCTGAATCTGGTCTTTTGCCTTTACTGGAGCGAGCGACCAAGGCTTTTCTTAACTCTACACACTACAGAAACGACCCGAGATATCTGCGGTTATGGCTTCATTATATCAGACTGTTCTCAGATGCACCACGCGAAACATTTTCATTTCTGGCCCGTCACCATGTTGGGGAAGGCCTGGCGCTGTTTTACGAAGAATTTGCTAGTTGGCTTGAAAGTGCCGGACGATGGACTCAAGCGGAGGAGGTCTATAAACTTGGTATAGAGCGCGAAGCACGCCCTCAGGAGCGCTTGCTTCGAAGATACAATGAATTTCAGTCACGATTAGCACAACAACCCCAAGACAGCGACGGACCATCCTCCCCCGCTCTTCCGACTGTGCGGCCCGCACTGGCAGCAAAGGTTGACCCATTTGCAACCGCTCGTGTTCCGGTCGACCCTCAAGCACCTCAACCCAGGGCCACTAGCGGCCGCACAACTACCAAGTCCGGCAAACAGAAACTGGCAGTGTTTTCCGATTCCGATAATCCAGAATCCAATCAACCACCAGTAAGCAGTTTATCGAAAGGGTGGGATAGTATTGGATCAATTCGAGATAGACGCAAGGAGAATGAGATGGAAGCCAAACCTTGGACTGGTGAAACATTGAAGCAGGAGAAGAAGCAGGTACCGGTCCAGAAAATGGCCGTTTTCAGGGATGAGGTAAGTCACGAGAGATTCTCTTACCCTCTGGATTCCATATATTTACGATCATAGGACTAATTGCTGGCATGACTTTGACTTTTCGTCTTGTATGTATCCAGTCGAAATCAAATGTGCAAGCTGAATCAAATATTCAACCCTTACGAAAGGAGACACCCCAACATCACGTAAAAGAGGCCATAAACCCCCGGACTGGTAGGAGAGAACGCGTTTTTGTGAATTTAGAAGCCGTCTACCCGGACTACAAGAATCCCAATCATGAGATTTGTTTTGAAGAGCTTCGGGCCGCCAGCCGTGGATGGTTGAAGAAAGACTGGTCAAAGCCGAAGAAACCGCTTAAGGAGATTCAGACTAACGCTGCTGGACGAAGCTCTGGCCTTCCAGGTGGTATGGATGATATGACAGATCGATCGCTCGCCCAAGATGTAAAGCAGAAGCTTGCTATTGGGGAAGGATCATCACAAGGAGATCACCGGGAGAGGCGGCTATCTAAAGTCAAGAAGATAAAGGTTAAGGAGGTTGGAGAAACACAAACTAGTAAGTGCTCGAAACAGAACTTCCCGTGTGTGGTATTCTAAGCACGAACAGTCAAAACGAATCTGGATTCCCCAACCGGGCCGAGGATAAAGAAGAAGAATAACTCGGAGCCAACCATGACATTCCATACCCGGGCTGCCACGGATGAGATCTATAGTATATTCAATCAACCCTTGAAAACTGAAACAGAGCATGCAGATCACGGCGATAGCTTCTTGGATAGTGAATACGAGGACGATGATTATACAAGTGGCGCAGAAAGTACTGGCACTGGGAGGATATCCGCAGGGCAGAGCGAATTCGACGATGATGAGACTAGAGGGGTCAATGACGAAGAAGAGGATGAAGGAGGTAGCGAACATGACGGCGAATGGACAGAGTTCACTGCCAGCAAGCATCTTCCCAATGTCTCTTCTGCAGAACACGGTTTTGAAGAGAACGTTGACGAACAAGACCTGAGGACCAAATACATCCCTGAAATACCAGACGACTATAATCCACCTGTCGGTCCATACCGGGATGCCGCGATTATGGCTCAGAATCGACTTCCTTTCATGACGCCTATCATTGAGAAAACGGAGTCTTCTTTGCCTTCCTTTACGGCTGGACGGAACCGACACTACGAGACCAAGACGCCATGCAAGACCGTTCCTGAAGTTGATTTTACACCATCTGGAGCTGCAACTGAAAATTTGTTGCTTGCTACTCCAGACCCAGATGCAGTGACCGTTAATGTCGGAGATGCTCAGTCACCCAGCCTTGGGGTGAAGACATTACGACGGACCCCTGTCAAGAAAGTTGCGCCATTTACAATCACCAACACTGATTGCATAATCAAGGATGCTCAATGCGATCCAAGTGATAGGGCAATCCGCAGCAAAATCCTCAAGATGACCGAACCACCTCTCACTTCTTTTTCTGGGTACTATGATCATTCCTCGACCTTCGGGGCACACGCAGCAGATATCATGAAATATTCTAAATCTATGAAAAAGCCGGCAAAGGGTGGTGAGAGACTACTATCCACTCCTCCAGTACTAAGTTTCCCAGGTAGCAGGAGAACTTATGCGATCAGGCGCGAACTTGGCGCCGGTGCATATGCCCCAGTTTATCTTGCCGAAAGCATGGAAGATATCAATTCGTACCTGTTTGACAGTGAAACCGAGAGAAACAGCAAGGTTGCTCTCAAAACAATGCGGGATCAGAAAGTACAGCGACATGGCCTTGAAGCCATCAAACTCGAAACGGATCCTCCAAGTGCATGGGAATTTTATATGATCAAATTAACGCACGATCGTATTCGTGCTTCCTCAGACCACCGTCGCGCATCAGAAAGTATTGTGAGAGCTCATGAGCTTCATCTATTCAGGGACGAGTCCTTCTTGGTAGAAGATTACCAGGGACAGGGCACACTGTTAGATTTAGTCAATATCATAAGGACGGAGGCTATTACGAATACTGGGAATTCAGAGGCTGGCATGGACGAGGCACTTGCTATGTTTTTCTCTGTGGAATTGTTCCGTACAGTCGAAGCTCTCCATACTTGTGGCATACTTCATGGAGACATCAAGCCGGATAATTGTCTAGTTCGCTTCGAAGACAAGAAGAGCAGGTCGTCATTCCCTTCGCCTCCAAGTGAATCTCTGCTTGATCTTGCAGATGAAGATGCCATAGCCGATCCCAGTGAGGTCCACTACTCGGCACGGGGACTTTGTGGCTGGAGAGAGAAAGGTCTAACGCTCATTGATTTCGGTCGAGGAGTTGATATGAAAGCTTTCCGTCCAGACGTTCAGTTCATAGCGGAGTGGGAAATGAGCCAGCATGACTGCAATGAAGTGCGCGAAATGCGACCCTGGACATACCAGATCGATCTGTATGGAGTTGCATGCACGATTCATGCTATGCTTTTCGGCAAATACCTTGAATCAGTCCCAATCAATAATACACGAAATTCTGGTGGACGTGATTCATTGAACAGTGGAGCTGCCAACGCCGAGGGAGATTCAGGGGTTAAGCGCTATCGTATCCGAGAATCCCTGAAGCGATACTGGGACCGAGAAATATGGACCGACGTTTTCGATCTGTTGCTCAATCCATGTACAGAACGGTGGGCACGCATGGAGCGAGAAGATCCCTCCGGAGCAGAATCTGCGACATCTTTACCTGTCCTGAAATCCTTGAAATACGTCCGCGAGAAAATGGAAGCCTGGCTCGCAATCAATGCAGAGAAAAAGAACCTATCGCTGCAAATTCGAAAATTGGAGGCACATTTATCGCGAAGGAGGGAGAGGCTGGAAAAAGAGCGGTAGATATTTTCCCCGGTCTCTCTAATGATTCGTTTCTTCCCCGATCCATTCTATACATCATGCCTTGTATGATGCTCGCGACTTGATTATCTTACTTTCCCCCCTATCTTTCATTGACCGCAAAAGCTACGAAATATCATGACCTCATACCCAGACGCACATCTGTCTTCATTACTTCGCCTTTCGATTCCATCACAATTTGATGCTACTTCCACAGTACATAGCATATCCCGATATACCCCATCTCATGCATGTTTTACGGCTTTTTTTTGGCTTGTTTCTTATGTTACTTTAGGAGAAAGATCGATCTGCTTCTATGTTAATAGTTCTAATTCTATGTAATTGTGGTACATTAGGTTTACTGTTAAAATATGAGGCTGCTGAAGAGACCTGATTGCTTGTGTGCGCACACACCTTCCTAACAGTTTTCTCTTCACGGGCCCAACAGAACCCCAGAAGATCCTATAGAAAATGAGTAGTAAGATCGCAAAGTAATAAGTAATCTGTATTCTCTAAACTGAAATACAAGAGGGAGAAGAGAAAGTTAAGAATAAAGATCCAAAACTCGAATGAAGATTTGAAAATAGAAACAAAAAAACATAAAGAATCCATCACTTCATCATCATGATTCATCATCTATAATCTTTTGATGCAGAAAGAGAAATAAAAAAGAGCAACTGGCGCAGCATTCTCGTATGATGAATCACACGGAATGATATTGATTGCTCTCGAACTTTTTTTGAGTCGTTTCATCATGAATTCGTCCGTATCAATCAATGGCTTGCCTGCTGTGGCGAGGCTGCGGCAAGGTAAGAAAGGAATCGGTTAAATGATCGACGCGGTGCAAGGACTAAACACTAAGTGAAGGAGTGAATGTGTTCATACGTGGGCAAAAAGTTCGGAATGAGTTGAATATCTGACGAAACAAACGGGGAAATAGAGAAGAGAAAAAGAAATTGTTAAAGATAGTGGGTGTCAAAATGACTGAAAATAATATGTTCTGAGTGGGAGATTGGAGGTAACAGGTTTTCCAATAGGCAGATCATCGATTCTTCAATTAGCGTTGAGAGCGACATGATCATCCAAGGAATACCTCGTGGAGTGAAATGAGTCAAAATGAAAAAAGAAAATTGGAATGACCGTCTTAAATGTCGGCAATTAACTGCTCTGGAATTGACCAAGTCATGCATTCTTCGATCATAGCATGAGATTGAGAGGCTCCATCTTGCCAACAAGTTTAGTGCAATATACGTCACGTTTGATCAGGGGCAAGCGAGAATGGAAATTGTCGTAGAAATCAACAGGCGAACTAGGCCATAGCCGACGTGAGTATCGTAAAAGCTTGTAACAAACATCACCAAACGCTTCAAATGTGGAGTCGATAGTAATGTCAATCGAATTGTGCCGTTCATCCGCGTACCGTGTCAGAGTTGAGAAGAATCGACTCATCGAAAATTAAGACAAACATTCCGACTATTAACCAAAAATCGCAAAATCTTCATGGTTCCGTGCGAACTCGTGTCACATGATCACGTCATCAGTCGTTAAAGTAAGTCGTACTTCGTTCTGTTGCATATCCGAAGTCATAATGCGTCTGAAAGAAACTGAAAAAAGAGTGCTATACATAAATGAGAATGGAAAATAGCTGGCCACTCCAGCTTGGTGTGGTCTCGAAACGAAACTGAGTTGTATGCGGTTACTATCTCAAGGTTAGTAAATTGTCAGAGCACGGAACTCTCGAATATAGGTTTGTAACGTACCATCGAATTCTTGGTAAATGGTAAATTCAAGATTTGGCGCCGGATCCTTTCCGCATCAGAAATTCCTTCCTCAGTAGGATCGTACGGAAGTCTGCCTGGGGCCACACGGGATTCAGAAGGAGCATTTTCACCGTGATGCTGAAGGTGTATTTGTGACTTCATGGAAGAATTCATGAAAGGATCGGACATTGACGGGGCGTGTCTTGGAGATCGAGGATGTTGAAAATGAGGACCGGATTCAGGTTGGAAAGGTGAGCCAAGACGGCGAATAGTCTCAGCGCGAGGACGAAGGAGATCCTGAGACACTTGTGGAGAGCTGGGTTGATTGCCAGGGAAGGTAAAAGGGGAGGTCGGTGAGAAGAGTTGTTCGATGCGTTCTTTGGAACTGAAGCCACCACTAGTCGTGTTGCCACGATTGCGAAGCCGTACGCGTCGCTGGCCGTCCTTGAGTTTTCCATCCCGAACTAGGTCCCGAATGCCGCGCTGAATGTCACTGGGATTGGGACTGGATTCCAGACGATGGTGTGCTCGGCGTTTGTGAACATTTGAAGGCACGTCCATTCGAGGAGGTGACCTTAATCTTGATCCAGTAACATGAATGGTGTCTCTTCTTAGGCCACGAGCAGCTGCACCATGAGCTTCGCGACGCGAGGTTTCAGGACCCCATGTGTTATACATGAAAGGGGATCCAAGACGGGGGAATGGCTCCTGAGCAGCAGAAAGATGGCTGGAAATAACGGAGACCGGAGTGTTAGAGTCTTGTTGGGGAGACTGCAAGGTCTTAGCCTGATGAGGAAGCGGCTGGTGAGTAGTCAGTTCAGCGGTGCCGAAACTCGCAAAATCAGTTGGCAAAGAGCTCGAGACTAAAGAGACGCCGAGATCGCGTGTCATGAAGGCGGCTGAGGAACTGTGGTCAATTGCTAAGTCGATCGGTCTTCGAGGAGGCGCTGAGAACACATCCAAGAACGGTGAAGGGCTACGAGACTGGAGTAATCGCTGATAGTGTGGAGCAATTGAGAGCTTGCGTTTGCAGAGATACTTGAGTCGTCGTCGTGTAGCTGCTTCGGATCTTGGCCAACGAGACATAGTGGGCTTCTTAGCGGTAGGTGTGCAACTTCCGCTCCTGTCTCCGGCAGGGTTGATTGACTGTTCATTATCGACAGAAACCGATCCTGGGCCAACTGCAACTGTTTCCTGTGCTTTCCTTGACTTCACGCGAGCCCATGTCTTCTTTGCTTCACGAGCAACTCGATGAGACACCCCAAGGGGGGGAAGGCTCCCAGGAAGAGTCTTGAACGGAGTATTTGTGGGATCTTGCAGATACATCTGATAAGTATTCCACAGATGGTTATCCATGTCCGCATTCCATCTTGTCTTTCTTTTGGGCAGGTCAAGCGATTTTCCGCGATTCGGGTTACTAGTAGGAGGCGTCTCAGGAACGTGTTTGCTCGTATCAGCAAGCTGAAAGCTGAAGGGGTCGTAAATCTCGCTTTCCGGGCTTGTGCAGCTACCACCAAGAGAGGGCTGGGTAGTGTACGTCTCAATGGAAGAGACGGAGGAGTCAGATGCCCTCGAGCTTGGTCTCTCAATTGGATCCTCTTGAGCATTCTCAGAAGGGTCGGGAGTGGCGCGAGGAAAGTTGAAAGGCTCTGTGCGTATCTGAGCTGGGGGTGTTTTGAATTCCATACGTCTTAACGTTGGTACCTGTAAGAACTCCGATGAGACGGACTCAGAGCTTGTGATTTCGGGTTCAGACATAGTATCTGAGGCTGGGAATTCAATAGAAGGCACAGGAACATCGGGGCGACTGAGGTCAAATATGTTGGGTTCGCCAGACATGGTTGAAAATATGCTCGCATGGCTATCGAAGCGAGGCCGTCTGACCCGGTAACTTGAATGACGAGGGGGAGGAGGAATCTGAGGTTCGATACGAGGGTGTTCTGGAGTTCTTGGGTAAGTTGTATCGAGGGAAGAGAATGTGAAGCTCTTGGGAAGAGTTCGAGATAAGCCTTGGCGTTCTTGCGCCATGGCAGCGACAATGATGTATTTTCCGATAGCAATTGGAATGCACGATCAAGATTCAAGCTGTGACCAACCCCAATACGATCGCTGTGCACTTGGTCGACTCAAAACTGACAAAGGTAGCATAACATATCGATTGAAGGCGCGTCCTTTGTTGCTGTTCCGTAATGACAATTTTATTATGCCGTATGTTTGTTCTTACGTTTCCTTTATTATGTATTCGTTATTCGAACGTCCAATGTTCAGTCACTTCCAGTTGCCAACAAGTCGGGTTCCGCGATCGAGGTGCCGTCTATCCCGACACAAGGTTTCTTAAAGCGCAGCTAAAAGAGGGGGAAAAAAAAGGGGGGGATAAGGAAACAAAAGAGAATGATGTTATCGCGAAGGGGATATGACCAGTAATGAAATAACTGAGGCCGGAATTGGTCGTTATCGTGGAGGGCGCTGGTGGTTGATGAGTTGAATTCCACCCAGCCTCCCCGGATCGCATGCGCTTATCGATTACCAAGTGATCCACGCGAACACGATAACCTTGACAAGACAGTCCCAAAACTGGCGATCCACCAACACACAAACACACAAAGGAAATAATAGACTGACCGTCAAGGGGGAAAAGGGGGAAAGGATAGGGGGCAAGGGGGGACGAGGTTGTTGATAGAGAAAAGAAGAGAGGAAGAGAAGAAAGAGTTGAGGTTGAGTCGCTGGCAGGACGGGAAGGAACGAATATCGCGCGAGGGAAAGCGCGGCCGGACAGGGGAACAGACGCCAAGGGGGCAGCAGCACCCGGCCCACTCACCGCCCGAGTCTCAGCAATCTCTCTACGCTTTTAGTGCTAACTCACTAAACCTTCTAGCGAGCCCGCCAACTGGCCTAGTTTTACCACCGTTCTGTGTGCTACGTACTCACTGGTTGTGCGGTGGATCCCACAGCGTTTTGTCCAATGTCGTTCGAATGAATAATGAAGAAATGTTGTCACGTCCAGTCTATACACGTCTACGCTCACGTCAAGTCAACTACGTGATCCCGTCTACTCCGTACCGCCAGGCCGAGCGGGGGATAGACAGCCAGACAGTTGACACTAACAACAAGGAAAGAATCCAGACAAAGGAAAAAGGAAAGAAAGAAAAGAGAGAGAGAGAGGTACAACGCTAGTAAGGTACATCGAGATCGCCTGGCAATCCGCTGGTAGCGCTAACGCGGTACTACTAATGTACAGTGTACGCCGTACGGAGCTGTGCGTAGTACATACTGCGCAATGCAGATGGCAGAGCGAAAAACCGTCGAATGAGAATTGCTCATTCTGACAGTAGACCATGACCGTCGTAATATTGAGACGGGTGTACCTGGTGTCGGCACAACGGTCGTGCCTAAGGCCCCAAGGCACTAACCCTGCGAACAATGGTGACAAAAAAGACGGACTACTAACTCAAGCTACAGTGAATTTTAACCTTCCAAGTCAGTTTCTACCATTTACAGTTCTACACCGTCTTCTCGCTCTACACCGTATAGCGGCACCGGTACCTCAACTCGGGGGCTTTAGGGACTTGTTCGAGTCGTGCTGCGCCTATGTACTCCGTGCTTTATATTCCGTATTTAGTACCGAATCACATGCGATGGAACACCCCAACAGGTGAGGGCATCACGCATGTGCGTACGCCATACGGCGTTTGTACGGTGATGATAATTGAGGGGGCTGGGAAGGATGATTTTGGAGTGATCCGCTTGGCCTTAGATTATCGTAAATTACAAGCTCAACGAATCAGGTACCACTTGATGGAGCAGTTGTAACAATACTGTCATACCGATGAATCTGTCGCGAGAACAGACCGGCCTGAAACTAATCTATACCAGGCGATGCTAAGTCGCAAGCGCGAAAAGTGGAGTGGTATGCAGCGGTTCACCTAATGGGGAGTCTCTTCGATAATGGACTTGATCTGGTTGCCAGAATCAAAAATAAATAGAGGTGACTGGTCACTGATACATAGTGATCTTATCAATGCTTTCGTCTCTCAATGTTGGGCTAGCCGCTCGTATCAATGCGCCGTTGACACGCGGTCGAAGCGCTCCAGCCCAACGGAACAACTCATGGATTCAAATCAAGCGATAAACAGACAATGATTGTCAATCCGTTCGTGTCATCTCAGCTATGAGTGCATCATAACGGCGGTTTAATTAAGATAACCTTCATCGGCACGGGCCGTAGGAGAAAATTGTGATAGGAAGAGAGGAAAAGATTAAAGAGACCGAAGTGGCTCGAAGTGGCCGAAAAAGGAAAGAGCGCGGTTGGGCAGGGATACGCGCTCATAACCCCGCAAACGCGTCCGACGCGCGTCAAGTAATGTTACCGTATCGATAACCGCGTCTGCGTATTTTATTCTGGGCCCTAGCCCTAACTGCGCAACTTGCCCACAGGTAGTTAACTAATGCATCGGCTCCCAAGTCAAGTTCCAGCTTGGGTTCAAACTTCAAAGTGAAGCGTTAAATCAGTTAGGACTTGTGTGATTCGAGCCTATCACAAGCTGACTTGTCATTGTTCCGTTGTGCGTATGGAGACTTTGTGGATCAGTTCACAGGCTGAGTGTTCAATCATCGATGTGTGGGATTCCGGACTTCTGGGTCCGTTTCAGATAACTTCACGATATGGATTCGAGCAAGTGATAATCGATAGTTAATGCTTTCTTTTCTACGTTCTATGTTTTCATGTGGAGATGGGACAACAAATGTCGTACGACATGGATATCGAACTTGAGTCATCTATGTATGCTTCCAAGCTTCGACTTGTTGACATTCAGGCTTGGTTCCTCTCTTCGAGGTCGAGTACGCTCTGTACAATGCCATAACCCCCACATATTTCACGGTGGACCGCATCCGCTTGCAGTCAAGCAGTTTGATATCTTGGGTGTATATTTTGACCCTTACCTAACGCCAAACCATACAAAACAGAGAGCGGAATACGCGCAGGCCGGGCATGATTTGCGAGCAATGTACAAACAGGGCAGTATTTGCGTACCGCCTGATTTAACTCTACTCTCCCCCGGATCAAGCTTGGAACTACACATAAATTACAGTGAAAGCGTCAAGAATTGAAAGACCCTCCTGATGGCTCTAAGGATACTATTATCGAAGACGAAACCTAAATTTTGGGGAATGCGGGGTTTGACTGAACCAGAATACCCTTGGTCGAATTTAACCCTAGAAGATCTCTGCACTCCCCAATTGGCAACTACAGTCAATTCTTGAGCTAGTGACTCTGGAGATAGAGCCAACACATGATTGTCACTTGATGCAGCAACTATGCACCATCCATCCAATCCTCATTGGCCACTACCCAATATTAGATACTGTAATCAGCCGTATTTCCAAGCTGGCACATCCGTAGCTCAAAAGTCCGCGCTCCGCATTGATTGATCATCACAACAAACAAGATTTGAGGTGTTTGCTGGATGGACTCGCATGCTGCAGTATCTTTAAAAGTTGTTCCTGCTGGACCAATAAGGATTATGGGCGTGTTCCTATTTTTCTGATTTGTGGAAAACGGTTTGGCTAGTTGTGGATTTTTGGGGCTAGATTATATGCACTGATGCAGTCGGGATTTGTGGAGTTCACGGAGTCTGACTCTCACAGTCATCCAGGGTCCAGCGGTGCAGGTGTGTGCATATTCTGCAAAGCGAGGATATTTCCTTTCCGAACGGAAAGATGTCGAGTCGAAAATCGAGTCATCTTTTCAGATCGGATATCGTGAGGTCACGTGCTTCAACATGAGCTAATCTTGTGGGGATCATCCATCGCTATCAGATCAGATCTCGAACTTTCCTCTCTTCCATCGCATCACATCGAGCTTGTATATATAGGGAAATAGAGCAGCATAACGATTGCATCTCCTCTGTATCTTTGACCGCTACATTATCCCCAAACTTATCAAGAGAATTAATTCATCAGCGCCATGGGTGACGTCGGCATCGTGGTGGACCCTGCAATCAGCCCAGCATCACCGCCAATATCACAATCGATAAACGTCCTCGTGACGGGCTTCGGAGTACGTATACAAACTCACATACTCCTTGCCTTGTCTACTCCCTTGTTTCTCTTCTTTCTGTTTACTTGATTTATCGCAGGCGTCTTCCGACTCATTGAGGGAATTCTTCTAACTATTTCGCATCAATGTGCAGCCATTTAGAAGCTTTGATGTCAATGCGTCATTCTTGATCGCACAGTCGCTTCCATCTGCATTCACGTTACCACCCAAGGAGCCTGTATCAGTACCTGGAACGGCGATTCCTGCTCCGCGCGAAGTGCGCATATATGTTCACCCAGAGCCGATCAAAGTCTCCTATGCCACCATTCGCTCGCAGATGCCCGATATCCTAGATGGATTTTCCCGAACACATAATGGCTTACGACCCGATCTGATCGTGCATATTGGGATTGCGTCGACGCGCAGATATTATTCTGTAGAGTCGCAAGCGCATCGAGATAATTATCGAATACCGGACGTAGATGGAAGATCAGGATATCATGATGGCGAGAAGATATGGAGAGAAAAGGGACTCTCCCCAATATTAGTGCCCGGTCCTGCAGAGTTATCAGGCGGTGGCAATCGTCACAATACATCTACTGTTCAGACATCAGGGCTGAAAATCACCCCGTACCCGACCAACGATCATTTTCTGCAAGTTTGGAAGTCTTTTTCACCGGCAAACACGGATCTGCGTGTTTCAAATGATGCCGGGCACTATGCATGCGATTTTATATTCTATACAAGTCTGGCCCTGGCTCTCGAGGAGGGTCGGGACCGATCGATAGTGTTTTATCACGTCCCTGTTGCGACAGACCTTGAAAGTCTAGATCTGGGGACGAAGGTGGCTGTTGCTTTAATCAAGTCCGTGGTCAAATGTTGGGTCGATGGTGAATGATCTGAGACATTGAATACTTACCTCACTTTTTCAAGTTGGTCAAAGAAGTGATCACTTTTCTGTTTTGAGCTTGCTTTATTCTGTCTATATACATCTCGAGTGAGTAAGCATGTGGGTAGTGACCATACATTCTGTATATGACTAAAAACAATATCTTTGTATATACAATCGACATTCTGAATGATCATTGACATTCCTCATAAGGTTTCTGCTCATTGTATCTTTCATAGATATATCCTTCAAAGCTGATACCCTAGGGCATTAACAAAGCAACGGCTGAAGTCCAACAGTAATATATGAATTCTGATACCCAGATCCTTTGACAGAAAATGCCAAATGAAACACAATCCTTCCAGCAAAGCTCCTCGTTATACTTGAAGCAAGGACAAGCTGTGATTGGTCAATGGTATCTGTCAACGATAAGGCGCGATCCATGCGGGTCTCGGCTGTATTAATCATTTCTCTTTGCTTCTTTTTCCTTTTACCTCGTTTCCTTTGACTCATATTTCAGATTGAGTATGAGTTAATACCGATAACTTATATGCCGAGTCAGAGGTGAAGTTGAGCATTTGCTTCCGAAAATATATTCTCTCCTGATTCTGCAGGTCACATTCCTGACAAATCAGAACAACCAACATCAACATATATGAAGCATCATCTTCATCGACATATATACGCCGTAGAAGCATTTGAAACATCATGGCTGGATTTGAAGATATATCTAACAAGGGGATGGGACTGCCTTCATCCTTCATTCTCCTCGCCACTGCCGTCGTCATCCTAGCAACTTTTGCGGCGACGCAGCTGGGAGGGCTTATCAAGACCAAATTCTCAGGAGAACGCAAGGTATACGACATCATTGAACTACGAGTATACCCCGTCAAATCATGTCGTGGCATCAGTCTCCGCAAAACCCACATGCAAATGCATGGTCTAGACCTTGATCGACAGTGGATGTTCGTCGATGGCCAAACGCATCAATTCGTGACCATCCGACAAAATCCACGAATGACTCTAATCAATACCAAGATTAGCGAGGATGGGAAGAACCTCATTCTCAGCGTGGGTGATGAACAGGTCAGCGTCGCAGCGTATCCTACCCTGGAATGGTTGGCTGCCAATACCACACTTGAGCATGTCAAGATCTGGTCTGACGATACAGATGGGTATATGTACGGCCCGGAAGTCAACGAGCACTTTTCCCGGTTTTTGGACCAGGATGTGCGTCTTGTATACAAAGGTCCGAGTGATCGTATCCTCTCCACCAATGCCAAACCGGAGCTTCTCGGACGTTCTCAATCTACCTATTTCCCGGATCAGATGCCTCTACTCATCGCTTCGGACGCATCCGTAACCGAGCTCAATGAACGATTAGCAGGGAAGGGTGAGCGTGCTATTACTATTGAACGTTTTCGACCCAATATCATCATTCGGGGTAATCAAGCCTGGTCCGAAGATAGGTGGCAAACAGTACAAATAATCCCTCCTTCATCTCATACAAGCAACAATAGTGATAGGAAGAAAGAGCAAAAACCTATCATCATAGATGTTGTCGCTCGCTGTGCACGCTGCCAAGTCCCTAATGTCGAACCAACTACCGCTGAGAAACACAAACGGGAGCCTTGGGATACGCTCATGTCTTATCGTAGAGTTGACAAGGGATCAAAATATAAGCCGTGTTTTGGGATGCATAGTGTCCCGCGGAACGAGGGTGAGATTGAGATTGGTATGCAGTTGGAGGTGTTGAAGGAGACGGATAAACATCGCATTGTGCACTAACGCCCTGAAACGAAGACGAATTGGCAAGGACAGAATGAAAGGTTACCATAGAGGTCTTGTTGTACAGCGTTACGAGTTTGGAAATAAGTAGGGGTATCACCTGTACCAATATGTATTGACTCTGACATTTTACCATAACAACAGAAAATAAATGAAAAATTCTAGCAATTAAACTAATTCTTCATACTCTTCCCAGCATTCACACACCAGTTATTCCAATCCGTAAAGAATCCCGGCTGCACATGACATTTATTACTCAACATCTGCGCCTTTCTCGTCTCCGCATAAATGTCAACGATCTGTGAGATGTTCTGTTTGTTCTGCGCCACTAGAACCTTGACGAGGAATATACTAGCTTGACTGGCTGCGGTAGAATGTGCTGCTAGTCCGGATATCATTGCTTCTTTGTGGACGGCGCGGAGGAGGTCCCAGACCGGCTCGATGGGGTCTTCTTCTTCGTCTTCTTCGTCTCCGACGGTGGACAATGATGGAATAGCGTTCCCTTTACAGAGACGAGTATATTCGCGCAAAACATCGCTCGCCCTCTGCGAGATTTGCTTCACAGTCGATTTCCGGACTAGTCGCAGAAGCGGCAGAATCAAATCGAGTGCTAAAACGCTGGTATGGCACTTCTTGACATAAATCTCGAGAATATCCAAAACCCGATTTTTGAAGTTAGTCATTGTCTCCTTTGCGTCTTGTTTGTCCTTCTTTTTGCTGGTTGCTTGTTGACGTGCCTTGAAGACTTTGACGAGCATCTCATCGACGGCTTCCATTTCGTCATCGTTCATGTCTGCTTCTGAGAGGTCGCTGTTGTCGTCGTCAGGGCGATGGGTACCTAGGGCTTCGGCGAGTTTGGCGTCGAAGGCGGCTAATTCTTCTTCGTCTTCCTCTCCTTCATCTTCATCACCAGAGTCTTCGTCGCTGTTCTCTTCGTCGGCGTCATCCACGTCAATTACCTCCACGTCAGAGTCGAGACTATCGACATCTTCCATCTCCTCGTCTTCATCATCATCTTGTTGGTCAAACATTTCTTGTTGACCAGCCAAATTCTCCTTGACCTCGATCACCTGGCGAAAGCATTAGCATCAACAATTAGATTGCATAAAACGAAGAAACTTACCGAAATCAAAGATTGCAAACCATCAGCAGTTATTTGATCCGCAAAGACACCAAAAACCTGCTCACTCATCCGACGGAATAGCTTGGAGGGTTTGGAGGCAAAGCTTAACAAGATTTCCACCAAGGCATTGGATGCGTCAGATCTATCTTCTTTCTTTGACTTTTTATCGCCCCAAAATTTGGAATAGCAGAATGCAAGTTCGTCGAGCATCGATACGGCATCTGCATCGCCATTGTAGACCTGGAGAATAGTCAACGAGTAGACGAGTCGGAATGCTTGAATGCTGGCATCCTTGACGTCTTTGTCGTCCTGTTTCACCTGTAAATTATCGGCTCTGGTGATTAAAAGTACGAGGAATAGAAAATAGGTGGCACTAACCTTGCTTGAAAGCTTCTTGAGAGACTTGAAAGCTGCATCAAGAGACTCCGCAATAGCTCCATCAATCTCAATGATGAACTTCCCGTACTCTTTCGACTTTTGGTAATCACGAATTTGACGAACAACGACATATGCAACTTCGGCCGGGTCTTTGATATTGCTGATCAGACTATTCAAACAACTGTTGATTCTGTTTCGGAACAGTTCTTGAGTAGCTGGAGAGATGGGTGGATTGGCAGTCAATTGCTTTTGTTCTCCCTGCTCGCCTCCAAAATAGGCGTAACGGACAAATAATGAGAGGATATGCTGCAATACAGGCGTGTAGTCTTCACCAGCTGAGCTTCGAGTTCTGACAATCGATACAAACAAATCCGCAAAATACTGACGGCTCGAAGCAGCTACTTTGGGCTCGTCCGTACCCGGAACCGCAATCAGGCGCTCTAATCGCTGAATTATTTCTTTCAACGACTCCGGATCAGCTTCAAGAACAATCTTTTCCACGGTCTTCACTTTTGTAATCTGATCGAATTGCAACGACCCAGAGTGACCAAGGAGGCCTTTTACTGCGACTGAGGCAAAAGCTGCTTCTTTTGATACCCGCTTCTGGATCGTCTTGACTGCTTTTACGGCCATGCGATGAAGATATCTGTCTTCAACGGCAAGCTGGTTCATGAGACATCTGACAACATTCTTCGTGAAGATGGCTTCTGTGCGATGAAGAGTGCCTTCTTCGATGATTTTCATGAACAACAGGAAACCCCAGTATTTTCGTTCATCGGAGGAAGCAGCAGCGAAAAGACCGTCTGTTTATAGACCGTTAGAGAGACGCAATATTAATTTTCATGTAGAGGTAACATACCATCAACAACCTCTGTCCAGAATTCTTCAAAAGTGATACGTGACGACTCCTTCTCAGCCTTTTTGTCCTTCTTCTCCTTCTTGCTGTCTGCGGGTTTGGAGTCTGCGAGTCTACTCAGAACAGCATCCCAGGCAAAATTTAACCTTGAATTCCAAACGCCTGATGCAGCTGACTGGTCCTCTGCCTCGGAGACTTGCTTCATAATCTTAGCAAGAGTGCGCCTATCATGGCGATCGAGTGGATCGTTATTGTACTTCCAAACGTCCTGGGGCAGCTTTGCGTTAGGAAAGGCGTCCTGAACCAGAAGCCACATGGCAACTCCCTCTGGCGATTTCACAAAGCCGTTCGACCTGATGGTTTCAATCATCTTTTCGCAATATCTAACATGGGCTTCCTGGTTTGCCAATTCGTGGAGCGCTCGATAAAGAACCCAGCCGGACTCTTCTCGCAACCAGGGTTTCGCATTGCCAATCTCAATGATTATACCTACGACAGTGTTCCATTCTTCAAACGGCACTCCAGGCTGGAATAGAATGGAAGATTTGATGATAGCCTCAGCTCCGAAAAGCCTGCCAAGGTAGTAATCCTTCCGCTCCTGTAGCCACGATGATTAGTATTGTTTGAAATCGATCTCTCAAGAAAATATACATACTTGACCTGGTTCACTGCCCGAAGGATCTGTCGCAGTTGAAAAAATCCTAATTGCTTCAGAAACACCTATTCCCGACACTGACTGTTTAGACGCAAACACCTGCGACAGTACCTCTGTCAAGGCAACTGAAAACCCAATACGAGCCGCTTTTCGACCACTGCAGAGACCACGAAATAATCTTTGAAGCGCTTTTCGGACTTGATCTTCAGTAGGCTTGCTCTCCGGAGTGAAGCGCGAAACTAACTCTTGGGCAGCTTTCAATCGGACCTCATCTTTCATGCTGGCAAGGTCCTCATAAATCTCGACTTGTTTGACGTCGACATTGTAGGATTCGCGACGGCGCTTTTTGGGGTTTGTCTCTGTCGACATATTGAACACAACCAAGACGCAGAGATCAAAATTGATCTCTTTTGTCTATATGAGAGATCTGTCGAATATGTTTGATATTTTGGCAGGGGTTGTCGGAGCAAAGAAATTTTGAAAATTTTAAGTTTCCTGTCGACAGCTTTCGAATCGGGCTTAGCGCCTAAGCCCATCCTTATCGATAAGACCGATAACAAACACCATTTTCCCTACTATAAAGGGATTCTATTTTTTTGAACCTATAATTGCGAAAGTAGAAGCTATCTTGTATGTCTGCTTCGGTGTGGTAACGGGAGTCTTGATTTGGCATTGTACTCGTGATAGCAGCGATATTTTAGGCATCGATGTATATGACCGCTAAATGTAATCAAATTGTTCAAGGATCTAAAAAGAACGTCTGCCATTTGGTGTCTTCTTTAACTTCTACCGCCTCGGTCTTTAGTATGGATGTCTAGACTTTATCATACCGCAGTCCTTTTCTAAAAATGAGCAAAGAATAGTTTTGATTCAAACTGCAAATAACTTCCACTTTTCAATGTTGTGTTATTAAATGGTACTGTGTGGCATGAGTAGATTCCATAACGCATATGGAACCTTGGAAGACCCTTACTCCATCCATAGATGACATAATGACACTTTGACCTGCTTCATATAAGGAATACATAAATCTGACTATAATGTTGAGATATGAAATTTTCACATGTTCAGTCTCCTGTTTGATATCTGTGAAATATCTTTGTAAGGTCTCCATGAAAGATCTTTATCTTAGTTTGTTACATTTACATGTATTACAGCAAGGATCCTAAGCATAAATAGCTTGGGAATCCTCCCAGAAGTATCTCCTGTTCTACTAAGCAAGCACTCCAACATTTCTTCTTCCTCTCTTTCCATTTCTCGGTATTCTTCATATAAGTCATAACTCCAGCAAATTGTTCGCGATTTTGTATTGTTTTACCCGCTCTCTCTGTAAATATTCGTTTATCTTTCTTGTAATGGTTGCAAAAAAGAAGAGCTATGGCACTTGAAACGCGTATTGCAAACGCAGAACGGGCCATAATTGTTGACAAAAGCCAAAGGACCGCATAGGTTGAGGAATTTTCACACCACATTCACTTCCGCAAGCCATTTCCTAGGTTCTTTGAGAAGGTCCCGGGTAGCATAAGGTAGTATGTACTGAATTCCACCACCTGGCTGACCATACTAGGGAGCAATAGTGCCGTTTTCAACTTCAATCTCCGTAAGGGTTAGAATCCTGCCATATACGGTACCATTCGCACTACGCCTCACGAGATTGGATGGTGGAATGGCGCGGTGCTCGTATGGTGTTCCAGCAGGTGATACATATGTACAGTTAGGGTCACCGAAGCGGACAATATATATGTTGTTTGGAATGGTCACCCTTGACATTATCTGAGTACCGTTGGGGAACATTTTGAAACCGTGAAGAGGAGGAGACGTCGCTATGCCTGTATAGTTGATCCAGGCGTCCCTATAGCCTTGTGGACACTCCATTCCCGAGGGATGATAGTTTACCAACATGGAGTTGATAAGTGTATGACTTGGCAGAGCAGTTGGGCCCAGTCGTTGGTCACCACAGAGAGCTGTAGACACTGCATAATGGCTGCTGGGAGTTTGCTGGGAGTTTGCGTTGAGCATGGTGACGTCCAACTATAACATACATTTTGCTAACGTGAAAGCTTATGTCAATATCTTAATTGAGGCCTTGAAGTACTTACCGTGGTAGTTGGTGAAGGCATAGTAATAGGGTTTTCAATTTGTGAGAGTGCCAATCTCACGAAAAGCGTGAGGTGAGTAGCTAGTGTAAAGATCATGACTGATTAATTGGCTCGCAAGACCGGATCAAGACAGGCTCCGAAATTTGTGAATATCTTGCAAGATAGTTCGATAACTGATAATGAATGCTTAACGCCGAGAGAGGAACGTATGGCATATCTATCGTATTTATAACCTGTACGCAACATAACTGCTCTGGGTTTTAATCCTTAAAAGCCTTAAAGACCTAGGGGTGAAGATCTGATGTCTTATCAGGCAAATTTCTCTGTCGGGCTTTCTGCATGACTTAGAAGAGATCAACATTTGGTACCTTATATGATTTCTTCAGCATATCGATGTATATCGTGCATGTTACCCCTTTGTCTGTATTACTCCCAATAAATCAATAGGCGAGGTAATTATCCTTGGATGTACATGGTCACTTCACTTGGCTAAATCAACACCGGACCGGGATGGACAAGCAACCCTATGAAGGCGGACGAGCAAATGGGCTTTGGATCACTTCTAATATTAATATCCTGCATCTGTCTCGAGTAATGTTTGGCTTGTGCATAAACTGACTGAAACTGACTACTATTACTGACTGGGAAGTATGCTTTCCACGGTGGAGAAGGGCTTCTTGAACAGATGAAGCCACCAGGAGGATGTGTTCATTTACCTAGGTAGGTTGCGCGAAGTTATTGTTGGTTGCGATGACAGAGATAGAATACTAAATCCTGGTCTATATACCCTCAGCAATGTGGTTGGCGATACTGTCATCTACCAACATGCAAACGCAGCCACTGCTTACGTTGTATACAGCCTTGGAATAGGGATGTGTGAGTCGCACAGCCATTCACGAGTAAGACTCGGTCAAAATTCTTCTTGGCACTCAATTAGTTCTGTTCTTCTTGAATACATCTAATATATATGTAGGGCGTCGGCGTCTTACATAGGTACACGGATCCTCAAACACTTACTTGATATGGTGCTCTAACATTCCGGAAATGCAAGGCACATGCGAATGACGAGACTTACAGATGTAATACAAACAACTATTGAGAGCGCTGAGCTGTTTTTGAAAAGTTAGGAAATAATCAAACGAGTTTTGGCCATTCAGAATTAGAGACATTTTCATCTCTACTCTGCGAATCTGGAATCGAGAGTTGTGCCCTTGCTGTAGGGATCAGACACGTCTTATACAACCCCAATTCTGATAGACTCTATGCTCCTTGATGTATAGATATTAGGTGTGTCTGACTAGAGGATACTCGCTCTATCTAATAATATATTGATATTTGACTACAGAGTGAGTGAACTCGAATCATACATTTGACAGGGTGGAGAATAAGGCTTACATAGTGGATCCGGGATCTACCCGAACGACCCACCAGTAGTTCATCAACGTTTAACCCTAATTGTACACAACGGCCCATCCCTTCTAGCTACGTATTCCCTTTCCCAAAAAATGATATATTATGGTTTAGTACTCAAGGGATAACTAGAAACTTAATATCCGAAAATATATTCTCACAGATATCAGTAACATGTAGATGAATAAGAAACCCACCTCCGCATTTCTACTTGACATGCCTTTTAATCCCGTTTTTGCGCTATCTACGCAACTGAAGGTATTATATGACAAGAGTAAATAACATTACAAGAAAACCGGCTATTGTAAAAGCCCCTCCAACATTTCTTGCGCAAACCGAGTAAATAACTGCCAATAGCTCGCTTAAAATAGATATAAGGATTAACATCCACACGAGGTCAATCAGACTTAGGCCCTCCACGACTTGGACTCCCCAAGCAACGGTGATCTTTCCTGACTCATATACTAGGCCGTTATGGAGCTTCTTTGGAAATAGCTCCAACCACGTGTTATCTAGAAACGCCTGACCGGGTTTAAGAAGGTGGACCACGAGAGCCTCACTGAGGCGAATGTCTTCAAACTCCTGGGGACAGGAGTGATAATCCCAGCTTTGATGCAACCTAACCTCAATCTCGGGAGGAAGAGAGGACTTCCGATATTGACAGGGCTTGGAAGTTGGAACTGTCCAGAGCGGTAATAGACTAAATTGTGTTTTGAGTCAGATACACACTTATAGCATATGGGACGACTGAGGAAAAGCTCCTGGGTACGCTGTGAGGTAGAGCTATAAGATATTGAAGTCCAGACTTACTGATACAAACTTTATTTGTTTGGGTGTATGGAAGTGCAGGAAGTGCAGGTCTCCTAGCAAGTGCCGTTTGGTAGAAGTAATGATTTTAGGAAGGGTACTCTCGAATACCGGCATTCTTCTTTTCTGATATCGTGATAGATGCCATGTATGCGACTTATCAAGAACCGATTATTAGTTAGGCCTGTGACATTGCTCTGCCTGAGAACCTCTGATTTGTGCGTAGGAAGCACAATAACAGATACCGCCTTTCATCGGAAGGTAGAGTTGTATCACGGTCAGTAACGTCTGTCATGGCAGAAGGATTTCTCTCGTAATTCATGATCGATGATTTGACAGTGTCAAGAGATGCGCAGGTTGTGGTATTGTAATGACATCGAGACAGACAGAGGTACTGGATGATCGTTTGAAGATGAAGTAGTGTCTTTTACTGCAGACCGTCTGAATCGTTCTTGTAGCCTTTCTACCGCACCCTGCTCTAATTCCTTTACATCAATGCAAAAAGGTCTTCCTAGTGCGCTTGGCCATGTGATCCGTGTATAACCCTTTAGAGGTTTGGTCCACAACAGTGGCATGATCTTGTATACTATGTTCTGCATGATGATCTTGCTCAAGGCCCTGGGTGTTGGGTATAACATGTCTCTTCCCCAATGACGCTTTGGCCTGCCTTCTCTACCCGCAAGGCTAGCTTTACGTTGCTGTTCTTGAACAGACACGGCAAGGTCGCGTGTGAGGGTTTGCTGTTTTTGGATTCTGCGAGCGTGTTGGTTTCCACTTGATAACAAATTTTGGAACTCGTCTTGAAGGATCCCGAATGATTTTGTAGGAAGAGTCTGTAAACTGAAGTCATAATCTACATCCTCTTCGTCTGAATCTATTCCTGGAGATAATTCTTGATCCCGGCTATCAGCCTCCGTTTCTTGATAAGGCGCCTTTTCCATTTTGTAATAACTCTAACCAATCATTGACTTCTGTTGTTTTCGACAGTTGATCGATACGGACCTCCAATACCAGAGCACGTTTAATATGTATCGCTATCTTGTGCGCGGAATGTTAAACATATTTTGCTGCCTGTTTGTGCAGTCCTTCGCTCGTCTCTCCCTCGAGGTTTCTTCCAAAGCGCACTATCAAGCGCTTAACGTTTCTTGCAAGCTTCTCCACATTTACTTTAGTAAGAGAACACTGAAAGAGGAATATCCAAGCTAGTTGGCTGTCTACTGCTTCGATTCCCGACAGAGACTTAGATAAATCCCTAGTACTTTCTGAGGAATGGCTCAAAACTTTGCTTTCATCGCTCTCTGAAGGAGTAGAATTGTTTTTGGTGAGTTTCCTGTCGGTTGAAGCTAGGAGCGGGATTTCCATCGTCTTTTCTAACAACATTCCATCCTTATATTCACTCATATAACCACCAGAAAATGTATCTAGGGTGTTTTTAGTCTGACTTTGCTTCAACTGCGTGCCATCTACATCTTGTAACAGATCCGGTGGGAGTTTTTCGTGTTCATCGATGCGATACAGCTTCGCTGGTAGTTGGCCATTGTTTCTAGCCAATTCATCCATCAATTTCTGATGTAGAGCCTTGTTTTGGACGGCACTCCTGTTTGGACCGACATCAACGTTCAAAGTTTTGGCTAGTTTTATTCGAAATTCTATACCAGCATCGAGATTGAGGAATTTGAATAAGTCAACTATGGAATTTCTCCAATTGAGACCTAGCGTATCAGCACGTTTATCCAAAATCGTCCTGATTTCGTGGATACCTCAGCTCTTGAGCATTTTGGTGATTTGATTCGGGCTTCATGACAGATCAACATTAAACACCAAAGCCGGGTCAGAAGTACTTAGCATACGTAGCACGAAATCCATATTTTTCTTTTATCTGCTCCATGAGTTCGGAGATACTTGCGCCCTGGTATAGGTAGAGAGAATAAATACCCTTCCGATGTTTCTCCCACTGGTTGTGAGAACTTTCTGGCGCGTTTTGTGATATGGCAAATGAATAAATTGAAGATACAAAAGCAAACGATGAGTGTCGGTCCTATTCACATGCAGGATTGTGGATTTAGAGTTATCAAAGATATCCCCTTGGAGAAAAATAGGTCAAAGGTGAAATCATGGCTTTGCTGTCAAAGCAGACAGTTGGCACCCTGCAAACTCCGTAATTCTACAGCCTTGCCTCGTCCGACAGGCTGATCGGAGTAATGCATCAATCAAACTTAGTCAACTATTCTCGCAGCCAATAGTTCCACGAATCTTATCCATTGGCTGAAATTGGCCGTAGACGGATCTAGCAAATAGGGATGGCTTTGGTGTTTAGGTTGAAGAAGGCATAGCTTCCAAGGTTCCATGTAATATTCGACTCCTTGCCCTATGCAATGCATGCATAAACACTGTAAAGGCAAAAGTGGGGAATTGATAGAAGAGAGAATATGAAGAAGGTATCAATTACAGGTATTAGTGAAGGCAACCGTTTCCTGAAGAGGATGTCCTCATCACAGCTCTCTAGATGACTAGGTATACATACCTCCAGCTGGTGATCCAGAAATATCCGCTCTACATTGGCCCTTTCTCACCAGTACTTAAAGTTAATGCAAATTACTGTTTAAGAGCGGCATGATTTATGGAACATGATTGTTGATATGACTGGGTAGGTGTAGAATTCCCAAAAATCAGCACACGGTCAAAATCCTGTGGCTCATACGACACCACTAAAAGCCTGACAGAAATTGAAACTGTCCAATGTAGTATAGCAAGGCTTTATATCTTAATCAAACCCCTAATAATCATTCGAGTTAATAAGATGAATGTTTAAGCATATGATAATCTGCTGGTATCGTTCTTCATCTACTCAAACAAAAATTCCACCATTCCGCGGGAAGAGCACTGTTCACTATGACTTCTGGTATCCCCAGTATAGCACCTATTTGCACAGTAAAATAATTTGTCCGCGAAGCTATCCAGTTTAGTCCGAGATCTTTCCCCTCTGTCAAAAAGTGTGCGAGCCGTGGTCGACTCACGAATACACTTAGCTAATGCTTTATCTAAGCAGGTCCTCGAAGTTTTCCCAACAGGCCGGCGGACAAGAAATGCTCGCATCCCGCGAATCGAAGAGTTCGATGGTTTAAGAGCATTGGAAGCTTTGTCGGCATTGTCAGACCCATCTTGCCTATCAGTCTTGTCCAAGGTATCGGGGTCATGATTCTCAATATGCACGAATCTAATTGCCTGAGAAATTTTGTTCATTGACTCTCGAGGTAGAAAGCGTGGAGCCCAGTTTTTTGAGATGTTGAGAAATGGCTCAGATCGTTCCCGTCGCCCAACCTTAATCATATTGATCAATCGCTCGACAAGAGAGCAAACTGTTCGAGTAGTTTTAGTATCTAAAAGCTGCTGATGAACGTATATTGAAGATCTTACTTGGGGGTTTATATCTTTCTGTTAGACTAGCACTAATGAGGGCCTGTGTAAGCTCATGCTCAACAGACATCTTTGGCTGTCTTATGTCGGGTATATCCTTCATTATCGGTAGAGATGTTACTTTGATGAAACCGTTGAGTGATGCGCTACATATAGCCTCCTCGCACAGCTGATCCAGCATAGTTTCGGACAAGGCAATGTAGTAGTGTGTTTTGACAATCTCCCACTTTGTTGAAAGGGAGTAAACAAGTTTAGTCGACATTATCAATGGCAGATTCGCAGGTGTAAATCGGGGATTAATGACTCTTGGATTTTCGTCCCATTGAGAATTTATTTCCTCGAGTTGAAGCTCTGATAATCTCACCACATGATCCGACGCGGACACATTGGCTAGAATCTCCCCCAAGAAACAGCGAGCGTGATCATCGTCTTCAAATGACAAACGGAAATAATCATAGGTATCGTGTGTGATAAGGATTCCTCTTCGCCTATGAAGCACTGTGTCAATTCGGACAACCCCGGGCGTCTGAGTAAGTAAGGCAGCGTCAACTTCTCCGTAACGGCGGTAGTTGTGTCTTAATTGTCCTTGTTCTTCTTGCAGTCCGAATGGGGTAATGCTAATGTTTTCGGAGCTATTCGTGATATCTTCGACTACCTCCATCTTCAATGATAAGTTTGGGAAGCTTTAAGCTGACTACTAGTAGTTTTCGAATTTCTACGGCATCCTCTCACGCTTAAATACACCTGCATAAATTCCATGCTGCCGCTGACTCAACCCCTACTTAGGTGCCGAGCTGTCTCGAGCGCGGGATTGCAAGTATGAAGGTGAAGCACATTCAGTATTCTTTTTCTGTAAGAAAGTTTCATATATGCCTAGGTGATGGAGAGCTATTGGTGCTTGCAGTGTGTATTTTTAACATTTACTCTGAACGTTGGCGCGGTCATGATCCATTGGCCGAAAGGTTCGACTGCGCCGCATCCTTGGGCCTATAGACACAGATGGAATGATAGCTACCCAGCCTACCTCTACACTCAGCGCTAGTCTTGTGTTAGTTGTTTGAAAAAACATATATAAATAGATGGTGCGAACTGTCCAAGGCAGAGGAACGGAGATCCTGTATCACTTTGGGGATACTTGTTGTACACTGCTACTAGCTTGTGGTTATCTGCATTGCCTCTCAAGTCGTGAAAATCTGCCATTTGACATGCAGTGGCTTCCCAGAAACATTGTATCATAGCCTATCAATTTGTATATAGAGTGCGAACTCGTGGCTAGGCCATGGTTCTATGTCTACTGTTACGATGAAGCGCAATCTCTGGGGAGAGACATCACCGCCTAGACGTATTCCTTCAGGTCACAGCTTGAGTAGTCAATCATTTCAGATGTTTAAAAGTTGAAGAGCTATTTCTAATTCCTTTTATTTAGAAAATCTGCTAATATTATCTCGCGGTCAATGTAACCTGACTATGATCACTCGTTCTGGGGGCTTGGCTCATGACCTTGGAAAAGGTACACCTGGTCAATTCACTAACCAACTAAGACGGAAGACTAGCTCTGCTAATAAAATGGACACGACCACGACATATTCTTTTCGCAGACTTTACATCCATTTCAAAGTCGAATCTCGGAGACGATAAACTCCACCATAACCCAAACAAACAATTATCACGCAAAGCTTCTTCAGTCGTATCCACTTGTAGACAAATGTCTCGCCACTGATATCTGGGGCAGAGATCAATATATTCTCTTCAGTAATATCTTGATGAAGCCGTCTTCCTTAGCTTCTTCCCTTGGAAAAGCCCTGCCCCTCTTCCTGGTATACTTTCGAAGGGCATCCAAAGACGGAAACAAAAGAGGTTTTTCGCCAGTCGTGCGGCAGTCTATCAGATTCACGAGGTTCACATTGACCTTGGATAGTGCCTGGATAAGAAACAATTCTTGCTGTTAGTACAGACCTATTCTATCTTCCAAAGGGGGCTATAATCTGACCTTCTTACACTTGGTGACTGACGAAAGGGGCTCAATGCCCACTTCAGTGCAGATATTCTGCCAAGATTCCAATTTGGTGTATTCTTTTCCATAGAAATTATCAAATTCCATTCTGATGCATTTGCTCCAGTTGCGTTCGTAGGTCTTCGATCTGGCTCCCTTTTTCCATTGTCTGTGGGCTGCTAGACGAGCAAATTCCGCGCTGATCGGGGCAGAAGGGTCCTGAACGAAGTCTGGAAAATCGTCAAAGAAGGACCTGACATTATTAGAAGAATAATGCAATTCATGTGACATTGTCACTGGTCTCTGTTTCTTTGGTCGGGAACGGATGGACTAAAAATTGATGGCGGCTGCAGCAGCAAAAAAAAGAGATGTTTGGAAGATAGATAGAGATGCTACCTTTCGCTAGTCATCTGGGCAATCTGGAGGAGGGATTGATCCCAATTTATATCTAGAAAAATCGATTTTACCAAGCTTTTTTATCTGCTGACCTATTCTGGCACGGCGTAGTCACCGGCACTTTCCATCAATTCTGCTTGTTTCTAGCCCTAACTATCTAGTGCAACAATCATTATCTTTCTTTGAGTGAATAGATTTCTGTTTGCTTAAAAGTGTTTGCTGTTTTATTGCGTGAGGCTCATTTATCAAGAAGAGAACCAATCATGGAAGCCTTTTATGTGAGTGCAGTTGTATATCCTTACGGCACATTAGGTGGCTGATAGAGTAATTCATGCAAAGATCAGTAGTGATACACTACCTAATTGGCCTTGAATACTTGAGAGTATCCTTAGGCGCTTCAGCCTGATGGCGCACGCATAGGGGATTGTCTCTCGGACGGCACAGTGGGCTAGACTCAGCCAGGTCTCAGCCTCCCAGGAACCGGTGCAGACAGCGTTTGACTGAAGGAGGATCCTAGTGCAAGAAAGTAACACAAATACATACAACCAACGCATTATTTATGTTGTTGAAGGCGGTGCATATGTCCAGCCACCAAGGCTTTTCCTGTCCACCAGAAACCATGCCGCATCACAGCCACTCTCTATGTACCTAGGTATTTGATGCTCTGTGGTTTGATGTATTAAAAAAACCTAGTCTGTAGGAGGAGCTAAATACGAAAGACGGGGTTCTATTTTATATCGTATGATCCAATTGAATGACATGACCTATCGTTATGCTTACTGGAATTGTTGATGTACCACAGTACCAACGGCCCAACCAAATGAATGATTCGACTAATCAAGAGACAAGACACAATAAAGGAGTCATGAACATCCCAGACTGAAGTAAAAAAGGAACTTCTCCCACCAGTGTGCTGAAATTCATATTCGATTCGCACCCAGTCTCATATTCTAGTACTGGATGGAATCCAGAGATTCCGTTATCTGACATAGTCTCATGGTCCAGTCTGACTCTTCTTCCATCCCAGTCACCACGTTTTATCTCTTTCCTAGATTGCCAGCCGAGCTGCAACTCGAGATTTGGCGCTTATGCTTACCACAACGTGTTTGTGAAATAGACAGGCCCTATTATGAGATTGTATTTGAACTCCCGGGTAGGCATGTCCCATCACCGTGCTTCCTCTATCAAACGAGCGAAATGAATGGTCAGCCACCTGTCATCACTCGCGTATGTCGCGAGTCACACGCAATTGCTTTGGAGACTGGGGGCTACCATGCCGTTTCTGCTCTGGGAGAATAACGATACCCCTACACCTGATCCTTGGTGGCCTTGGCGGTTCACCCCGAATTGCATCCACGAGGCGTGGTTCGATCGAACGCGAGATGTAATGCCCCTCAATTGGGTGCGTGATTACGAGGACTAAGACTTTCCAACTGAAGGTTCTCCGCTCCGAAGCCTTGCATGGGAAGCATCCCAGGCGATCAGGGGTGGATCTTTAATGATCAGACATTTCCAACGTAATTACCTCAATCCGGAGCTGTTTAATATCACCAAGCAGTTGGCCAGTTGGATGGTTGTTTTGCGTGTGATCGTTATCCATGCTGAATTTACCACTGCTGCTGGTACAGGATTGTTTGGACTTCTGGGCGATGCACCTGTATAGCTAGTTGGCGTGTCTGACGAAGGGAGACTTGACGCTTTCTGGAAATTAGCTGTGGAAGGTGAACCCAGAGGCCTGGTCACTATCTCCCAGGATCTCCAGCGAGGAATTGTAGGGGTGTACCATTATTTATTGAGATATTGTCTTACAGAAGAACACAACTACGAGGATCTTTATTACCGACCGCGTCCGGTAATCATGTTTCGACTATGTACTGAGATGTGCAATCGTGTCGGCTCTACTGCGAGACTCGAAGTCGAAGGCGTGTACCCGTTCAAGGAGGGGATGAGGGCTAGTGCAAGCGCAAAGGCTAGCCAGGGAGAGATCTTAAGCGTGAAGCTCGCTATGTTCCTGCTACTTCATGACTTTTACAGGGCATTAACAATGCAGGTGCTTTTTGATTTGCTTGATTCGGCTTATACTCTGTATTGACGTCGATAACGGTTATGATGCGATGTTTGGCTGCTGTGTCACGAGTATTGAGGATCTCGTTCCAGAAATACGAATGGATCTTTGATAGACCCGGCTCAGGCGTATAGCATCTCTGTGTTTATGCTTATGCAAGCTGTCGAAGACATGGCAGAGGCGAGGCAATTAGGTTAGAAAAAAGAGCAGAAGAAAGAAGAGTTATATTTTCCTTCTTTTGCTACCACGTCTGAAGGGAAGAAAACGACAATAATTGGAAGCAGATCATGCCTGTCGTTGGAGCTGACGATCATAAGTTGCCGAGCATCATGAACGCTGACCTGAATACTCCTGTGTCTTCAACGCTTCTAGTTGCACTTAGCCCTCGACTACTGTTTATCGCATCAAGTAAATGGAGGATATCTAAGCTTGCTGACATGCATGGTTGCAGTTGTTCTTGTTTGGACGTTTTCCTTGTTTGAACAACTGAATACCTAGGTAGACGGATCTGTTACTAATGAGCTGAAAACAATTAGGGCTACGTGCCATTGCTTATATTAAATTGCGTAAACTACTACTACATTTCCCACTGACAATACATGCCACAGTCACTCCTCGTCATCTTGTTCGCCCTGCAGGTTGTCTTCACTGCATTCCAAACAACAACGTCGGCCATCCATACGAAATTGTTCCGGACATCTGGGCTCCTGAATATAGTTGCTACGTTCGCAGCGGCTGTCCTGTCTTTTGCAGAAGACCAGCGTACTGTGCGACCATCAGATGTTCTTGTGGTCTACTTTTCGGCTGCAAGCATTGTCTACATGCCCCGGTTGCGTACGCTATGGCTCATTCCATCTATCACAGCCTGCCAAAGTCTATGGACTGCCGTCTATGTCTTCACCATAGCAATTTTAATTGCAGAGTCCGCGAGGAGGACAAGGTTCCTACGGCGACTGTATCAGAGCGTGACCCCGGAACAAGGTGGTGGGTTTTGGAGCCGGAGTCTTTTTATCTGGGTACTCCCCTTCTTCCATCAGGGTTACTCCAAACGCCTTCAGCTTGAGGACATGCCCGGAGTTGATGACAGCCTCGCTGGACAAACCGCAGAGCAAAGCTTCAAGTAGCATGGGACATAACCACCACTGGCTGACGACGACGTCTGCTCTACGCTACGTTTCGCGCGTACGGGTGGGCCTTTCTGTCCGCCATTCCGCCTCGTCTGGCCTTGACGGCACTCATTTTTGCGCAGCCATTTCTCATCACGGCGCTCGTGAATTGGATGGAGACAGCTGCAGCACCAGCCAACTATGGTCCGGCGCTTACAGGAGCTGTTGTGCTCGTATATTCTGGTTTGGCGGTGTGTCTGTATTCGTTGCACGAAAGTTGGTTTCAAGCATACTAATCATTTAAGGATAGGTCTCAAAAGCAATATACTGGCGTCAAACGTATCGTTTTATCACAGCCATTCGTGCAAGGCTTGTCTCTATTATCTACACCGCAACGACGGCGTTCAAATCAAAGACATGGCAGCCATCACTTTGATGGACACTGACGTAGAGCGGATAGCCTCAGATTTCAAATTCATCCACAGGTTTGGGCATCGGCCCTGGAAGTTGGAATTGCGCTCTGGTTGTTAGAGCGGCAGGTCTCTGTCGCGTGTTTGATTCCAGCCGTCATATGCCTGGTGTCAGTACTAGCTACTATCCCGGTGTCGCGGAAATCAGGGAACGCTCAACGCAAATGGATTGAGAGGATACAGAAACGATTGGCGGCTACCTCGCACATGCTGGGTGACATGAAAGCCGTGAAAATGCTCGGGCTTACGGATGTTATGTTCACAGTGGTTTCAAGACTGCGAGAGGTCGAGATCAAAACTTTAGAACGGTTCCGGAAACTTCTTTTATGGCAGATTTCTCTTTGTAAGAGGTCCGGTTTTAAATTTGATTGAGTGGCTCATGGGCTAACGTTAGATAGCTAATATTCCTACGGGTTTTGCCCCCTTTGCAACCTTTACTACATATGCTATTATCTCGGTTGTAAAAGCAGGCGATTCACTAAACCTGGCACAGGCATTCACTTCTCTTTTTCTGATTTCCCTTCTCACGAGCCCTTTACTTACCTTCTGTCAAGCCTTGCCATCCATCGTCCAAACGATCGCCTGCTTCGGACGCATTCAGGAATACATCCTGGATAAACATGTGCTAGCTCCTCTGGAAACTTCTGCCGAAGGCTTCTCAGGGGGTGCGATGGAACTGCAAGAGTATGGATCAATCCACTGCATCTAACGCCCCTTTGGTATCATTCGTCAATGCGGACATTTCCTGGTCCCCGGATACTCAGGTTGTGCTGCATGATCTGAATCTGAACATCACCCAAGGAATCACCGTGCTTATAGGCCCCGTCGGGTCGGGGAAATCAACCGTGCTAGAAAGCATTCTCGGGCAAACATCCGTCAAGCGCGGTTCATTGAATTCAACACTGACGAAAGTCGCATATTGCTGCCAGACGCCATGGATTATAGATGGCACCATCCAGGATAATATCACGGGAGGAGCTGAATTTGACGACAGTTGGTATCAATTTACTATTTCTGCTTGTGGTTTGGAAGCAGACATGAAGGCGCTTACGAAAAGTGATATGCCCAGTAGGACCGGGAGCAAAGGGGTGTTGCTCAGCGGAGGGCAAAAACAACGGATTGTGAGTTCCTTGTTCTAGTCGCTGATGTGAGTGTATTGCCTACATACGGAGATTTATTGATGATCATCTGCTTGCAGGCTCTTGCCCGTGCTGTGTATTCCAAGAACCAGGTCTTAGTTTTGGACGATATTTTTAGCGGACTGGACTCGAAGACGATCAGTGTGTTATCTCGTCGTCTCTTTGGCAGAGAAGGCTATTTCAAGACCACTGGACGATCCTTGATTCTGGCCACACATACGCGTAAGTAAATTGATTCGTGCTGCTAAATAGAGTACTAATGATCATAAGAGCAAATCTTTTCCTATGCAGACAATATCATCGTTCTCGACGACGGTAGGATAGTCGACCATGGACCGTACACGGAGATTCTGGCGCGAAGGTCAGATATCATTGCGGAATCCCTCATGCCCGTGCAGAATTCGCCCACGTTATCACCTGTAGATGAATCCCTGGCTTGCGAGAAAGCGGACGAAACCCAAGTCTTCGTCAGTGACGCAGACAGTATACATTCCAACGCTACCTCTACAGCACAAAGGGGCGGTACCTGGTCTGTGTACATGTACTACTATCAAAGTGCGGGATTTGTCCCCGTCATCCTTCTCGCGTTTTTCTCTGGGCTTGAAGCATTTGGGTCCAAATTTGCAAGTAAGTGACATCCCCTGCTAATCCAATTACAAAAGATCTAAAGACCTGCTTCTAGCTGTATGGCTTCAATGGTGGACAGAAACAAACTCGCAGCAGCCAAATAAGGAGCTGTGGAAGTACTTAGGGGTCTATGCCTTGCTCTTTGGCTTATCTTTTCTGGGCATCGTGGCAGGTCGTTGGTGAGTTAGATGAGTCGTTTTGTTACGATGGCAGAGAGCTGACAGATGCTAGGATTTTCCTTGTCAATATCATTAGGACCACCGGATTGAGTCTGCATCGCAATCTTTTGCAGACGACTCTCGAGTAAACCCCCCCTTCCCCCCCGGACATTTGGAATACTGTGCTGACAATTCACAGGTCACTATTCTCTTTCTTCCACAGGATAAGCTCGGGGTCGATGACGAATAGGTAGGAGTCTCACATAAATGCCCTCCATCTTTCAGGTCTAACCAAGATTTTAGATTCAGTCAAGATATGCAGCTGGTCGATATGGAGCTCCCTATGAACGGAGCCCAGTTTGTCACAGGTAGAGTCCACGTCCAGTGTGTACTCAGGAATTTGTCCACTGACCTCTCAGCAATAAACAGGCTCCTTCTCGTGTGTTGCCAAGTTGATCATTCTATGTATCCTTGGGAAGTATCTTGCAGTATCCGTTCCATTTGTGCTGGGGATCCTATTCTTCATGCAGCGGTATTATCTGCGGACATCCAGCCAAGTTCGACTCGTAGACATCGAAGCCAAGGCCCCTCTGTACAACCATTTCATCGAGAGTATCCACGGTCTCTCGACCATCCACGCGTTCAAATGGGAGTCCCGATTTCGGGACCAGGGCAAAGCATACCTGAATGATTCTCAGAAGCCGTTTTACATGCTCTTCTGCATTCACATATGGTTGCAATTGGTCCTGGACTTGATTGTGGGTGCGATTACAGTCGTCATCGTCGCTACTATGACATCCATGAGAGACCGCTTTGCTTCTGGGTCCATCGGTGTTGCGTTGAATCTTGTTCTCACACTCAATCAGTCCCTTGCCCAGATGATACAGTCCTAAACGACGTAAGAAACGTCCATTGGCGCCGTATCGCGCGTTCGGGATTTTGTCAGGGATACGCCTTCAGAGTCAGGCCTTTTAATTACATCGTTTCGCGTACGACCTGAATGGCCTTTTCATGGTGCCATTGAATTTATAGGTGTTTTGGCTTGTTACAAGTATGTTGATTATACTGAACCAGACCATTAAAAATAAAAAAAAAATAAAACTCACCCATCATTCAGTTCTACAAGCATACCTGTACTTCAAAATCTCCCTCTGCAAATCCGAGCAGGAGAAAAAATCGCCATCTGCGGGCCTTCCGGCAGTGGGAAAACGTCGTTCATCCTAGCTCTTCTCCAGATGATCGACGTCCAACAAGGCCGCATCACAATAGACGGCGTGGACCTGTCAACCGTGTCGCGAAACACGCTTCGCACACGGCTAAATACTGTCCCTTCAGACCCCTTATTCATGCCTGGCACGGTCCGATTTAACCTGGATCCGCACGGAGGTGCGACGGATGAAAGTATAGAGTCGGCTATCAAGAAGGTCGGCCTGTGGAAGCGCATCAGTAGTGAAGGAGGACTGGATGCCGAATTTTCCGCGTCGGACTGGTCCATTAGAGATAGACAGTTGCTAGCACTCGCGCGAGCACTCAATGTGTGCAGCCGTGTCTTGATTCTAGACGAAGCCACCAGCAGGTAGGCCTTTACCAGTCGTTCACGACGGGTTTTTTTATATATAAATCTGACGTTTAATAGCGTCGACTGGAAAACCGAGGCCATCATGCAAGACGTCATTGACACAGAATTCGCGTTCTCGCAAATAGTAATCTCTATTCTACATCGTTTACGACACATCGATCGATTCGACCGAGTTGTTCTGCTGAAGAGCGGGCAGATTGTGGAATGTGATAGTTCACGAGTTTTGCTTGCGCGGAACTCCAAGTTCCGGAAACTGTTCATGTCGTTGGAAAGCAGTGAAACTTGAGTTCTTGTTAGGCAGGAGAGAGAATTCAAGTCTTTAAAAAAACGTCTCATTTCATGATAGGAGAGAAACAGATTAGATTGTGTATACCTAGTCCTAGTTCTTCCCCCCTCCTAGATCTTCTCCAGCAGCAATGGTAACTACCGAGTCTTCGCTGCTACTACCGCAGTATCAACGAGCTGCAGCAGCAAATATGCTCCTCTAGTTACTTCGTCACCACATCGGACTGTTAAGTTCAACCGGCTCACCACCATCAGCACACACAACAAGGGCAGGTCGCAGCCAAGCTCTAGTTTTGAGCTGCGGCAAATATACTCCCTGCCCGTCCGCTACACAGTGCTGAGCCCTGTGGCGGTGCTGAATAGTAAGCTGCGATAGAGCAACAGTGCTGGCGCGCTAGTGACGATATCTAGTGCTAGGTATACCTAGGTGGCGCAGTAGTCCGCGAACATACAATTCCACTATTCGTGGTACAGGAATATCCTCCATGTATTCTGTGTTATATACTCTAGGGCTTAGCATTGCTTTACATTGTAGGGGGTTTCTTCAGCTTCGAGTCCGACTCCTCAACTGGCTGCTACGGAAGTGTGAGCCCTAATTTCCCGCATTGAGTCATCAAGGAAATAGCTTTTTCTCAGTCATAGATCGAACTATCACGTATGTGGTTTAGCGATAGTGACAATTAGTATTGGCTCGTTGAACACTTACACGGACTCTATTCTGAGTTCTAGCCGAATGCCGGGGGGGTTTGAAGTCATCTGATACTGCCTGCGAGTATGAAAAGACTTCTTATGTAGTGCTGGGTGAGAGGAAAACAACATACAGATGTGCCAAATGCAATACTTTACGTTTACTCATGTCAGTGTGGACTTTCGATTAACGTCTTCGTGAATTCTCCCACCCTACTGGCAATCCTCTTGTCGCTATATCCAGAAAGCCTCCGACATAACTGGTATTCTACAATCGTAGGAATAACCGTCTTAAAGCCAGCTCCAGATAACAATCCCATATATCATTTCATGACTTGCGCATATATGGTTCAACTTGCCGACTATGGCGATGTTGATACATCCGACTTTGGTATGTAGACAACATCTCCTTGAGGTTTACCCTAATGGTTCCAGGCTCACCTCCTTAAAACTATCAAACTATAACCTGTAAATCTTTTCTTCGCTTTGTATATCAACAAATACCGTCCATATAGAAGTCAGTATTTACAGGCATTACCCCGACATTTGAATACATTGAAGCATTGAAACACATTGAAACTTCAGTTAAGCAAAAACAACTTCCATACATGCACATATGTACCACTAGTTAATAGATCTATCTTACATAAAATAAACTTATATTTCAATCTTCTCTTCATGCACGTCAACATTTCCCCATGATTTACTGACTCCTTACTAAGTACATGCCTATGCAGTATGCACTATCTATCCCTACACAGGCACGAACCCGTAAATCGAACTAGAGCACTAGAAGGGGGGATAAATAATACATCTAATAGATCCTTTATCTATAGCCTTGGCATTAGAGTTTCCAAGTTTTATACTAAGTATAGCGTGCCGATTCACCGTGGATTGAGATGTGGTGCTCATGGATATGTAGCAAGGAGGTAACGTTTAGACATAAGATCTAGCTGAGACTGTCCTTGTAGATCAAGTTTAGAACAGTTTATTTTTTTTTTTTTAGCTAATTTGCCGAGAGCAAAATATCTACCTATTAAAAGAACCGGTATGTTCAAAGGCTACGTTGTAAATTAAAGAATGACAAAAAGGAACCAAAGACCATCGGTCCGTCTGTCTGTCAATTCGACAAGGCGAGAAAATTCCCCGAACATACCGTACCAATCTGCAGTCCAGAAGTAACCAAAAATATATGTATCTAGTATTGGCAAATGCAAGATTCAAGGAAGATCTACCACCCGTCCCCCCTTCAAGAAAAAGCAAAGATTTCAAAATGCGGAGAAAACTTGTACGATTCGGGAAAAATCTCTCATGCATTGACAGATCAGTACGGATTATGCTATGCATGTCTATTCCAGATAGGTGAATACCGATGCAAGTAATAGATTATGTGTCCCCTTGCTCGTGGTGGATGGAATCCATCCCTTGGTTAACCGATATTTTAGGTGCGTGGACTGAAATGGATTCCTTGATTAGGGAATTTGGCCAAGACAGGATTCAATGTAATTTCTTTCTCGTGGGTATTTTGGCCTTTAGCAGGGGCATTTACTTCTTACATATACTTCAACGCCCTTGTGAGTTCCTCGTTCCAGAGTACGGATTCAATGGTGTGCGACTTTATGTCAATTGTAGGGCTGGGGGTGGCTCTCCTTGCTCATGGTCTAGTCGTTTGTATGGATCTTTTGTCTATAGACTCTACCTGTATTGGATCATGGGCTGTTAGGTCCATCTTCACGTAGAACCTACTAGTAGTAGCAATCCAGGGTTGAGAAATATTGAAGGCTAAAGGGTTGGGTTTGAAGTGTGGAACTCTGACTTGCATGAATATATCAATAAAACTGATACAGTACCTAGGTAATGACATTCAAAATATGCTCTTCCTTGAGTCTGAATGGGCGACATATAGCTATGCATTCTCCTCTCCCTGGCACATTGACCACAGCCCACTACGTCTGTTATAGCTCTCAGTACATGGCTATGCATAACCTGGATCTATACCCGAATAGCCTGTAAAATATTGAGTGTAGCTCGAAGTGAACACTACCCAGTTACATCCACACCTCGATCATCATCGCCCTAGTTTGTAAACACCGGACAGAATTAGTAAGTAACCGAGATGGACACATATTTAAAAGGTTCTTCTTGGTCTATTTGTTTTAAATCTGTAATAGGTATCCCTGTATTGTACCTCGATGGTTGATCCTATTGATGTTTCTGTAGATACCAGTCTTGCAATGTTGATAGCGTCATGGATGAGTATAGTTGACCGTGAAAGCGGCAGTTCAGAAATTCAATTGCTTCAAACTACCTAGGTAGAATGGCACTGTCAAATTGTAGCCACTGTCAATTTTACATACCCAGAATCATCTCATCTGGATATGCATTGTCCGTTGTACGAAGTTCGGACTGCGTGATCAGATAAGCCCTAATTTACTCTGACGTTAACAGGGTTAGGGTTATGATATATATGCGAAACACCACCTGCAAGATATTTACATCCTGGAACACGATTAGTCTGCTACTTTTTACTGCCAAACATAGAACATAAATATCCATGGATCTTCAACCGCTCCATACACCCTTCCAATATGGCACGAAGCATGGCATCCGTCCATGGCGAGATCATGGCATACATAGGTCATACCATCTGACTGCCCACTACGTACGTAGTATTTGCATTTAGAACATAGTAATATAACACACACCTATATCGACAACAATGTTTGTTTACATTTTACTAGGTATAGAACTGAAACCGCGTTCTATAGAACCGTCAATAAAATGCTCATGATGTCAGACAATCGGTGTATCTGGTCTATAATTTCATGTTTTGCATTAGTTTCAACTTCACAATTCGATTGATCCGATTGTTCCTTCGATTACGTAGTTTACTCGTCAATCAATTAAGGTAGTTCAATTAGTAGTGGCTTTTATGTTGGATCTCAAGGTTTTGTTGTGATTGACTTTCGAGTTAGGGTTTGGGCTGTCCCGGGATTGTTGTGTTGCTCCGGAGTCTACGCTTACACTGTAGTGAGAAATGCGTCTTGCAATCATCTCTGAGTGTATATCGTCATGGCCGACTGAGCGAGAGAAACAACAAGATTTGAGGATAGAGACGAGAACATCGGATACGTCACAGATGGTCCAGCCTTTTAGGAAAAATGGGCCTGCTAGGTTAGTGTGTTGACGGTTCAACGACAGGTCTGTGCTGGAGAACGCGTTGCACTCGTCTTCGGCAGTTTTTTAATAGATTTCTAACCGTTGATCCTGGACAAGAGATAGAGGACCCAAGTGCTATGTAGGATAACGTAGGATATATGAAGAGTCAAGTAGATAGAGGGGGGCTGTCTCATGTTGGCTTACACATCGCGTATCTGCCGGTGTTTGTTTTGACAACCAATTGTGATGGAAGTGCATAACCGCGGGCGATCTCGCGAGTCGAGACACAGGATGAGGGGCAATCTGGGCTTGGATTGACGTCAATTGGATCATCGCTCCCAAACGATGCGAATCAGAAGAGCCTGAAAGTGAAGAGAAAAAGATAGAGGGATGAGGGGTGCCTCAAGGCTAAGGCACATGGTAGTATCCCATCGTGTAGCGGATCAGCCAATCAGACTGCGGTACACGAGGCAGAAGTCACGGGACTTGGCATCCTGGTCGCGTTTTGGCCTTTGTTTACATCTTGGCACGACGCGGGTCTCCTTTTCAGCTTCTTTTCGTCCTCTCGACAAGGATAACCGTTTCAGCTGGCTATGGTCAATGTCATGAGGGGTACAGGAAATACTCTTTACGACAACCGAACGGAACCCGCGGAATAGGTTGTGTTGGAATTTCAGCTTCGAAACACCGGAGTCGATGTCTACGACAGCCCAGTTAGTGGGGAACAATGATTTAATTTATTCACTATGAGCATATCAGGTGGTAATTGGCTAATGCAGTGATCGAATTTGTCGAATGCAGTCCGATACGATAATCCTGTGTGACTTGAGATTGTGATTGGCTCATCTGCGTGATAGTCGAGACACTTATCAGGCCAAAGAGTGAAAGACCGAGGTCCTGCTTACGTTCTAAAGATATAAACTCCCTAGCACGAACAAACTCCAAACACATGGCGCAAGATCCCCGTCGTTGACCAATCAATCAACGCGGTAACAAGTCCCATAAGGCTTAACCGCTGTGAGTCAGCTGGCGTGATGGGTCAATCAGAGTTTGAGGAGGCTGAGCTGAATGGACTGCGGCCGCTGGGCTCTTCGGTTCCTATGCCTATACTGCTGCAGTGAGCAGTCTGCGACGGCAGGGAATACCCTGTTATATATGTGTTCTAAACATGTCTATTCATTCACAGTGTCACACCGCAGTTCTGCGGATAATCATCGCACGGCTGTCAAACATATGCGCTCCGGTTCTTCAAATCGCAACGAAACATAGAGAGTACTGCTATATCATGATCCACGATATCCGGACTACTAAATTGATGATTACTGTTAGTGCGGGGTTATCAGGTACGTACAAGCCACTCCCCAGCGCGTCGGCGGAGTCACCGATGCTCGCCATTTCCATCGCCGATGTCATGGCTTGCTTTTGCTCTTGCATCTATGATCTCACGCCATGCCGTACTCATGAGCTGCTGGGCTGATGGATCCGATCGTCTACTCTCATGCAGATGCGATGCGACTTTCTGTGATTCATCATCCAATCAAGGTATCTAAACGTGTTTTCTTGTCTTCCTTCTCGGCTAAACATGATAAACACTGGCTCGAGGTGATGTCCGAGTAGCATAGGATGGATACAAGGTAGCATCCAGACATACTACTTCACATAGTTAACAACAGGTGAAGACGTATGCGATCTATTATCATTCTTTCGATCGAAGACTCCAACTCCAAGGCACGGGAATCGCGTGTGGAGACGGCAGACGACGAGAAGCAGGAAAGAAAATTTTTTAGCTCGGCTACTCCGTAAACAAGTACGGATCGGAGAGGATGGACGAGTGGGTACGACTATGTAGTAATCGTCGATTTGGGCAGATTAGTCTTGTGGGATTCCTCATGATCAGATAAGGGAGATGGATTTCGAGGTGAGCCTCAAGTACATACCCTAACGAGCAGGAAGTCACAACCTACGTACTATGTATGTAGCTACAAGCGAGAGTAGTACTTAGTTAGAATGAAGATCGTTAAAAGCCCACATGTTTGAACTCTAAAAGTAATTGCTGAATCCAACATTGATCTCCATACATTTCTCCCAGCACGAAGCCATCCTCTCCGACCCTTAAGTACCGTACCCTAAGAAAGTAGTCCAACAAACAAGCGAAAAAACATGTCGCAAAATTGTCGCAGCAAAACGGACACTTGTCTAGGTATTTATATCCTGTCATAAAGAAATCCAATTTAAATTAAAGAAGCCGGAAAGAAAAATCCCCAAAAGAAAGAAAGAAAAGAAAAATTTTCGACTGAACCAAAGTTTCGCTGTTCTGTTGCCGGGTTGACCAAGCCGCCTCATTCTGTACGGAGTACAATAGTACGGAGAACTCCGTATGCTGTACGTATTTCGTTGTATGAAAGATTCTGAAAAGAAAGACAAGGTAGAAAGAAATTCTTTGCTTTGATTCTATTCTGCTCTTTTCCGACTATATATAGAGTGAAAGTATGTACTGAATGAATGTCGGGTATTTCCTTCCATGGAACTCATCCTCCTTGATTCAACCAACCACTGCGACAATTACTCCGGAGTCCATACAAGAGGAAACCAAAGCTAAAGCCAATAATCAGCGTAGTAAGCCGCCGAAACTGTGTTAGCCCGTGTAAGTCAGCAAGTCAGTCGGCGGTTGTTGCTCGAGCAGCGCCTATCCGGTCTTGACTGAGTTGGTTCTAGCCTCGCTCCCTCTGCCCTATCGCTCGGTGGTTGGCTGGCTGGCGTTTGACTAGTTTTCATTAATCTGACTAGCTGGCTATCGTTACTACAGTGATAGTCTGTTTGATAGTACGCTTGTACTCCATCCAAGGCTGTATGTACAGTGAGTGTACAACGACTGTACAACGACTGTACGTACAGATTATGGGGTTAGGGTTGGAAGACAGGGATTCTTCAGTGCAAGGAGAATACTTTAATACTTTAAACCGGTACAAGGGAGTAGCTAACTATTTATCAGTAAAGGTTAAACTCTGAGAGAAACAGGATAATGCCTTACATGCTTGATCCTTGCCTGAGCCCAGCTATGTAGATGACGTGGGATGGGCCCAATAGGCGCCGAGGACTGCAGCTGGGAACGTGTTAGACTATTAGGACTTGGAGTTAGCTAGCTAGCTGCTAGTTAAGCAGTCTCTAAGCAATAAAAGATTGTGACCTGTTGCCAGCCTGTGCTATGTAAATCAATGAATCTGCCGACTCCTAACTTTACTTTACTTTATACTCTGTACTGGCGATAGAGAGAAGATACAGTATCTCTACATGTAACTACATATGACTCCATTAACTAGACAGTAGAGAGAAATTAGAGCAGCACAATATAGATAATAACCCTAATACTCTGTAACCAAGTACAGTAAAGAAATACGTAAGTTACGAAGTATGCCTGAAGCAGCTGGCAGCGAGTTGGAGATCCTCCCCACTCTGACCTTTCTCTCCGTTGCCCGTTGCAACAACAAGTCTCTTCCTCTTCAGCTTCACCTCTCTCTTTAACTCCTACTTCCCTTTCAAACATTCCTTCTTCCTTTCTCTTCTCTCTCGCTTTCTTCTTCATCCATCTTGGTGTCCATTGTCCGCCACGACTTCTTACATCCTCTCTCTCTCTCTCTTCCTCAATCTCTCTACCTTCTCTTCCTCTGTCGTACTCTTCGTTCCGATCTCTCTCACGACAGATTGACTCTCCACCGTCGATTACAGCATTTATCGTCGAGCTCGCTGCCGAATGATATCTACGATCACTTACGAATTGGGCTACTTCTTCTGCGTTGGAAACAATGTCTCTCTGAACCGGACCCTCGTATCCATCGTACCGTCACCTCGCTTCCTTACGTTTTGGAGAACGTCGTTGGAAGAACTGCGTTGGAAAAAACTCCGTACGGACGTACGGAATCGAAAAGGAAGAAGACACAAAAAATTGAGCTGTTTGGGTACAATTCCTATCCGTCGTCTCTTTGGAGGAAGACAAAAATTCGTCCCACGTCATTTGGATGATCAGTCTGCGGGATAACAAGAACAACCAGTTGAGCTGAACGGATAAATTATTACCTACTCAACATGGAGCATTCGTCGCCTCTAGCTGCAATGCAGCCTCCCTCAGTGATGTTTGGTCATTGCTTTGCAAACGAGGGCTCCAAATTTCGGTCTCTAGGAGGAATTGGCGGATTTGGGCCCAGCAGCTTCAATTTCAAGGACTTGTCCATGAAGAAGGCTCCTACTTCGGACTATTTCAATGTCAAACAGTTCACAGGTCCTTCGCCGGCCGCCAGTTTAGCTGCTGATTTGTCTCAGAATTTCCATATCGACCAGAGGTAAGTGAACCAGAAAATGATTTCTAAGAATTGGATTTAATCCGTGACTTTAATAGCCCACAACTAGCCACCCCTCGTCGATCTTTGTTTTCGGCAAACATATTCGGTGGAAATGGAGGACGCGGTGAGACCATTTGCTGGACGTTGTATGAGTATTCATGCTAAACATTTGCAGATGAAATGATGACTACACCCCCATTACCGGAATCTTCTCCTATGACCGATATCATGGAGACATCGCCTCTTCCTCATAAACTTCCGTACAATCTTCCAACAACAGACCTGGTTCTTCAATCACCAACTCCTGATTCGGAATCAACTGTTAGCACTAGCACAGGGGTCTCCTTGCAGGCTTCACCGATGGAAGATGATCAGCCTGCTGTTCCTCAAGAGTAAGATATGATTTATTTGTTGAGCAGTCATTGTTTACTAAAATTTGATCTAGACGTAGGCGCCCACCACTCCTACGCCCATCTTTCCTTCGCACTAAGGCCTATTCCACACAAACCGCAGTCAAAAAAGTATCACCCGAAAGCCAATGCCCTCCCTTTCAGTTCGGTAACGGAAGTAGTGGCCTGTCGAACTCAATGTCTCTAGCGGACATGTTCAATGAGTCGTCGCCGCCACAGGAACGGGTCGCGGGAAAAGGTTCATCTGCGAATTTGCTTGGTCCTCGCTTAAGACAACCTCTATATGGTCGTAATAGTGGTTCTGCATCGCCAGTGCCCAGTGCAGTCCGTAAGAACGCTAGTGGAAACCCCTTTATGCGTCCGCGCAAGCAATGCAGGAGATCTCTTAGTATGTTTGAACACCCAGAGGACATTGTTCGCCAGAAACAGCCGAATGTGGTCCCTGAGCCTACACTAGCATCAATTATGGATGAAGAGCCTGCTCATACTCTTCAACTTCCACATTTTGTACCTGCGGACCAGCCTGATAGTCTTCCTCGCATTGAAAAGGGTGTATTGGTTGACATCTTGGATGGCAAATACAGCGACCGTTATGACAACCTCATGATTATCGATTGTCGATTTGAATATGAGTACGAAGGCGGGCACATCACTGGAGCGGTCAATTTCAATGACAAGGAGGTTCTGGCCGGCCGGCTCTTTGAAGACCCCAAACCGGGAACAACTCTTATTTTCCACTGCGAATACTCTGCCCATCGGGCTCCGATTATGGCATCGTTTATCCGCCACAAAGACCGAGCTTATAACATTGAACGTTACCCCAACTTGACTTTTCCTGAAATGTACATTCTGGACGGAGGATACAGTGCATTTTTTGCGCAGCACCGCGATCTCTGCCATCCCCAGAACTATGTGGAAATGACATCCAAGGAACACGAATTTGCTTGCGAACGAGGGCTTGGAAGAGTCAAACAACGATCAAAGTTTATCCGCGCTCAGACATTTGCTTTTGGACAACAGTCTCCTCAGATGGAAGACAGCCCGACAGGACGCTGCCGAAGCAGCAACAACGATCGAGTTCGAGGCCTGGATTCGCCTTTTGAAGCGCCTGACGCTGGTCGTATGCCTGGTCGTCGTATGCTTTCATACTAGCCATAGACCAGCGACTAAAAAACGCGATTGTCGCCCTTGATGGGTTGACTACCTTTTACGGTTTTATGCTAATTGTCGAATCGCTTCACGCTATTACTGAAGTGTATCATGCTTGTCATGTCTATCCTTATCTTTTCCTTCTTTTATAGCTTTCTTTCTCTCTACATTTTTCGACCTTTCGGATTTCAAGACCGAATCATCGTCTCGCCTCACCTTTGTCTCATGTATCGATACACCAACCTCGACTCGACCGAAGGAAGAATTTACCTACATTGTATAAGACGATTATTCATACAATGTTTTCGATACCCCAGGCGCAACTCGGTTTTGTACTATTTTGATTTCTTCAGTGCCTAGGCACGATTACTTCTTTTACGACACGACTGATTGTCTTCGAGCCAGCCTATTTTCTTTTCTATTACTTATCTTCTTATGTGAATTTGACCCTGCCATGACAAAACGCGATCAGTTGACATACACCCCTCGGCTCGATCGAATTACATACTCCCTACAACAATGTGCGACTTGCACTCTCTTTTCCTATGTGACGAATTCCTCAAAGATTAGCAAACTATCAGCACAAAACATCCGGTACTGGCTGAAAACATCGGACGATCTCTGCATATAACTACTGGATTGTTCCGCCTTCCTCTTCTGTGCGACCTATTGAAGTCTACTCCTTTAATCGAACTCGAAAAAATCAGCAAATCACTTAAATTCCTTTGTACGCTCTTTCTCGGTACCCGTTTTTCAACCATACAACAAACAAATACCGACAGCACTGTCCGAGCTCTACGACTCCTTCTGACATTTTTGTCCGTGTTTTTGTTCTAATATTGCCTTATTGTGGAGGAAAAAGATTCTGTTCTTTGTTTCATCAAATGTGTAACTCCACGATATGCGCATTCTAATTTTCGTTAATCACTCTTGGACGTGTACGCACACAAAAAAGAAGAATTGTACATATGCATTGCAAACGAAGGAGAGAAGGCGTTGAAAGGAGGGGAAGTTGTTTCTCGAGCTATGATGCTTGAGTATGTATGCAGCAGTGGATGTGTGTATGTAGCTTGAGCCATGATAGTATTTTTACTTCATGTAGTTTTGGACGTAGCAATTTGCCCTGTATCAATCAGTATGGGATCTATGGAATATGGATGAGTGATAGGGCTACTAGTGAGCTCCACACTGAAAAAGGTACATCTCCCCACCAGCCATTACCTACTCCACATTATGCAAAAGCCACGAAACACCACACAGCACAACCACAATGAGTTAAAACACCTGCTCGACCTTGACTAAACCTCACTAATATACCACCGGATCCTGACACAACAATGACAATGGACATAGACGACATCCTCGCCTCCGTCGACCGCGACAATTACACATCCCCCGAATCCGTGACTAGTGACCACCAACACCTCACGCGCCTATGGGTCGCAGAACGCGCGGTCTCAGAATTATTACCTTGGCCGGCACAATTAATGGATAGAATGATGGAGAGGGTCCGGAAGCAGGTCCTCCTCCTTCCCTTAGAACATTAATCTCTACAAGAAAAAAGAGAACTGACAAGAGGGGTTCGCAGTAACAGGTCGAAAATATAGAAGATCTCACAGCATCATCATACGAAAACTCAAATAATCACGTCGATAATATTGGCAATAATAAGAATAATACCCTCAACCTCAAACTATCAATCTTGCAAACCGATCTATCGCGAACTCAGTACTTGATTCGATCATATCTGCGACAACGATTATCCAAAATCACGAAATTCGCGATGCATTATCTCGTTCTTATATCCCCCCCTGCGCCGTCGCCAAGTTCTACGCTACAGAGTGAAACTTCCGAAGTAGGAGGGATTAGGACGGAAGATACCCTACCCAACCCTGCCAACGCAACATCCAACGATACGAGTCCTTTATCAGCCTCAGAAGCGCAATTTCTCTATTCACATCAATATCTACTCGCATCACATTACCGACTTAGCTTTTTGGCTTCGTTTCCACCTCAATTAAGACGATTAGATGATAATGCTGGTGGGACGAGTATGATTCAGGGCCCGGATATGCGGGAAGTTGTTTTGGTGAGATGTTTGGTTCCTGAGGTGCCTATCATGGTACCCGCGGATGAGATATATGATCAGGAGAGGGAAGGGGAGATTATGAGGATGGGGGAGGTTTGGGTGGGAAGGTGGGAGGGTGTTCGGAAAGCTTGGGAGAGGGGCGATGTTGAAGTTTTATAGAATCATCCATGATACTGGGCATTTTGGAATGGAGTTTCGGTATATATATACATTAAAGAATAGGATGGGTTGCATATAGGGCTAAGTATATTGTACTTGGTGCATAGGGCATGATTGATTCAGGGTTGTGGTACATATGTACAGTTTTCAGCTGCGGTATCAAGGTTTAATGAAACTTCCAGACGCCCAGAGAACGCTCCATTTATAGAAGAAAAAAATAAAGCCAACACCACGAGTCATGCATGCGCCTGAATCATGCGTCTAAAGACATACCGTCCAGCCATGTGAAGGAAAACCAGCGCCACCTATTCAAACGCCACGAGAGAAACTACCACGAGAAAGATGAAACTATGCAACATATCCATAAGCCGGCGGCTCAGAATCTGGAATTCGTTCCAGATATTCACGATCAATTAGACTTTCGATTCGTTTCTTGATCATGTTCACATCCGGCACGAAGCGCGAGGCCAGTTGGCCAAGGACTTCAGTGATGAGTTGTGAATGAGCGAGTTTCTTGCGTTGTCTATTCCATCTCAGATTAGTCTGGATACAGTATGAAGAAGGGTGGTAGGGACGTACTTCATGATACGAACAATAGCAGCTTCAATACTGCCACCTCGCTCTTCGTTCATCTTCTTCTCTGTTTCGATACGCTCATTCTGATTCTCGACTTTGTTTCCGCCGCTGCTTACCACACCAATGCGCACTTTCGTGAATTGACTCTTGAAGGAGGGATTGTAGAAAAATCGATCGGTGGGTTTAACGTCTTTGCTCATAGGATCCTTTTTCAGGACGCGGGTCTTGGGCGCTACAGCCAGGGACTGTAGGTTTCGGATGAGGTCGTGGTCGGGTATTCGGGTACGCGCTTGGATCTCTTCATATGTAAGAGACTCATCCACGGGGAGGTCGTTGAAGAGCAACAAGATAACCATCGCATAGGTCGATACGTTCAGATCATGGCGTGCATATTTCCCATCTCCACGGGGAAACGTCGCTCGTATATCTGCCGTTCCCATCGCTGCCTGCCAGGACAGTTTCCTGCCACTATGTTTATCGAGATAGAACTTTTCAAAACTCTGTCGTACTGCATCGACGTCCTTGGGAAATATGCAAGGCAACTGCACATCGCCATCCTTGGAGCTTGACATAATCTCCATCGGCCACATGGTACTTGTCAACACGCTAACTTCCAATTCAAATCTCTTCGAGTCAGCTGCTGCTCGTGACATGTGCGTCTTGTAACTGTTCGTCAAATCCTCTGAGACCGCCATATCCTTGAACATTGATTCGAGTCGTTGCGTAAATTGATTGCCAACTTCCATCTTCATCTTGGAGATCATTTGTCGTTCAACATCCATGCTGACCGATCGTTTCATGAGCAACCGTCGTGAAAGATGTTTCTTATAATATGTCTCGAAGAGATCCTTGTCGCGGATATATCGCAATAGTGTAATACCATTCTCCAAAAGACTATCAACCTCCGCGTCAGTCTTGCCTTTGATTCCCTTCTTCAGATTCTCGTCAAAAAATAATGAAAGATACTCGGAGCTACGATTATTCGAGTTGATGAAATCCGAGAAACTGTTGGTAAACGACGTTTGCATGCCTTGATCCGACGAAAACGCTCGTTCCCATATCGCGTCAAACTTCTTCTTCAGACTAAGAATATCATCAACCCATTTGATTGCTGCTGCTGTCTGTTGATTCACAGGTGGCGCGGCGGGTTTCTCTTTTTCTCCTGATTTCTTCTCGCCATCTGCATATGTGGATTTTGACGGTGCAGGTGCTGTCGCAGAAGCCTTGGCTGCAGCGTTAATCTCGTTACCGAGTTGAACAATGCGGATTTGAATGGATTTTGTTAATGCGCTCTTCTTTGCATCAATTCGAGCATTGAGCTCGTAGACATTGGCAAGGTCTTGGACCCTGTCGTGGTCCAGCATATATCTGACTCCGCTACCTTCAAGATTGATCACGTCGGTGATATTCTTGCTGATTAAGTGTTCATCTATAACACCTTTGACCTTCTGTTCCGAGTATGGCGATAGAGTAGCGTGACAACGCTCTTCCTCCTCCGATATTCTCTCGGAGCTGACACGGCAGAATGTAGCTGCATCAGCTGTCTCAAGTAATCGTCGTCCCTCATTTTGATAAAATGTGGTACTGATTTGTAGAAAGGCCGGTTCAAAGACAGAAAGGTATAGTTTGGCCGATTCTTCTTCCGCTAGCGTTTCGTAGAGTCCTTCTAGCATGTAGATGCAATGCCGTATCAAAGGTCGATCGATCATTTCACCCGTTCGTTCCAACTGAATCATGAAAAGAACGGTAGACTCGAGTATTTTGTATATGCTAAGGTCACTCTCTGGAATGGCCGAACGTAAGACGTGATCCCGGAATAAACACATAGATATCGTGTATATTGAAGGTCTCTGGTCATTGTTCATCGCTTTGTCCTATTGCCGAGGATATCAGTTATGAGTTGCATTCGTCTAAACTCGCAAAACATACCATATACATCAACACGTCCGTGATCATGCCCATACAAAGCTGATGATCTTCCCACGCCCCTCTCATCGCTGCCAGGAATTTCTCACCAGCAGCTCTGCGCTCATTCGCTTGATCCGTAGTATCCGATGGATCAATATTGAGTAGTAACACAGGGGAGATTGAAGATGTAATATTCTGACTGACAAGGGTGCTCAGCCATTCTTGTTCTAGTTGCTTGACCCGTTCGTATAGTTCATCGCCCTTGCCCATTAGCACGATTTTGTATGAGCTGCGATACAGCTCCTCGAACGATAACGAAGAGGCATTTTTGGTGTGTATTTCACGTAAAGCAGAGCCGAGTACACCCCAGACGGCTTCAAAGTTGTCGCTTCTGCTGCCTAGTGCCTGTGCGATGAATGAAATCAGTTTAGTTCTTTTGAGATCGAACTGATGACTGTGTTTCGGGAACATATAACTTACCCTCCTAGGTGCTCTGACTTTTTGTCTCGCCCTCAGCGCCATATTTGCGACAGGGGATATAAGCGTTGAGCAGAGAAATGTGTTCAAAAATGGTAGAGCCTTAAGCTAGCGGGGGTGTAAAGCCGTTGAGGGGTTGTAGTTGGTAAAAGCCTTGAGATTGATACAGATCAATCTCAAAAAGAGGGGTCCATCCGGTGTAAACAGAACTTTAGGGATTGATATAAACACCGGGGACTGCAACGAGAAGAGATGAAAACAAACTGAGGTTGTGCTGGGTTTCCTTTTCCTCAAGTGACGTCTCTCAACCTCGAGCTCCTCCGCGATCCTCTGCGGAAAAAGTGTTGATCCGTCGCAATTTTGACGGAGCTCCAGATTGCCTCCGCCACGGACGGCGCAAAACAATGTCATAAACCTCAATCTAGTCCTAACACTCTCTTCACTTTTACGAGATCTGATAACTAGCCGAGATTCTTATATCAATTATCTCAATATCGCATCCAATATATAAAATGCGCTCTTCAACCACCCTACTTCGTTTTCTCCGCAGCCCAAGCGGACCTCTCCCCCGAAACATCGTCAAAACTCCATCTCCATTCAACGCATATAGACCATCACCACTCTCTTCGAGAGCCGGCTCAATATATGCAAATAATTTTCGCCGATACAATTCCAGCTCCTCCTCAGTTGCCGACCCATCTCTACGACCACTCACCGACCGGGTCCCGAGCGCATCTGTCGATGCAGCAAACGCGGAGCAAAACGCTGCACGGAGAGCTGAGGAACCAGCTTATCGTATTGTATTCACATGCAAACCGTGCGGTGGGAGATCAGATCATCAAATGTCAAAACATGGATATCATAAAGGCACCGTTTTGATTACTTGTCCTTCATGTCACGCCCGCCACGTTATTAGCGACCATCTTGGAATATTTATGGATGCGAAGAGTTCGTTGGAGGATATTCTGGGTACGAAGGGCATGAAGATTACTAAGGGTATTCTTAATGATGATTTGGAGATTTGGGAGGATGGCTCTGTTTACAAGGCTGGGTCGAATAAGGAGGGTGTTGATATCAGCTCGGAGGTCACGGTGGAAACCACTCCTAAAGAAACACCATGATTCGTGTTCACGTGAACATCTCATTTCTGGTGAGAGAAATTCAAGCCGGGTCTCTCTCTGTAATATTTATGTACATATTTGAAAAGTGGTTTCATATTGGATTGGGTTTACGCAGCGCTGCAGGCAGGGCTTTCATGTATAATGGACCATAGATTAGTGACAGTCCTCCATTCTTCTCAATTCACTCTTGGATCATTATATACATAAAAATATTCACACAAGTAACGCCGTAAAATGCATGCATTCTAGAAGCCTCGTCTCCGCTCCCTGAATTCGTGTCCCCTTTCCTTCCTCTTGACATGCTTCCTATCATTCTTACGTCTCTTTTCGCGGCCAAACCTCTCTGGATCCGCAACTGCATCAATACGACGCTTGACTCTTCGTTCCTCACGGCGTGCTCTGATATTTTCCTGAATGCGAGCCATTTGGTCAACATACTCGGTTGTGCCCAATTTCTTCTGCAACAAATCCAGAATTTCCTGAGCATTCGTAACCAAAGATTTCCAGCTTGTTTGGAAGTCAGGGTCCGAGGATCGAGGCGCAGGGATATTTGGATCAATCAAGTGCTGCAAAGGCAGAAGGATGATTGGCAAAAAGCATATAAGCTTGTCGGCGTCCAGATGCCGACAAACTGCCGCCAAAAGAGCCATGATTGCTGACTTGGGTACAAGTGCATTGGCTTTCGATGATACCGTTTCTCGACGTAGAATGCTGGATATCTGCTGGAAGATGTAATGTAATAGGCTCTTTGGCGAAGCGACTTCCGTATTGTCGAACCTTTCTCCTTCTGCAACGCTTTCATCATCATCTGCCCCATCCTCTTTGGCTTCTTCAGCTTCTTTCGAAGAAAACTCAACTGCATTAACAGCAAAGCATCGACTCAAGAAGACAATATTACGGACACTCTGCATGGCAAGCTCCTCAGTGACACCTGGAATTAGTACGGAACGGATACTGCCGCGGGTGATTTTGATCATTCCGTCTTTGTCAAGCTGAAGACCATATTTACCGGCCAACGGGACATGAGCATATCCTTCAGTCGCATTCGTTTTCGCTAGATCTGCAAGCCATAATCCAATCAAGTTTGCTGCACAAGTTTTGACCCAAGCATGCGGATAGAATAGAGATTCTTGGACGTTGGACCATAAACCTTGGCACTTTTCACTGAAGGCAACTGACGGTACGGCCTTGCATACCTTGAGGAATAACTGCCATGAGAAATAAACTGTCTCCCAATCCTCACTTTCCGGGTCTTCGATAATCAGATTGATGAGCTCGGGTAATGTCTCCACGACGAAGCGGCCCTCCTTTTCCTTTTCGGTATCTTCCGTTTCGAAGAAGATCCTCATAGCTTGCAGACCAGTATTCGCGAGTTGTTTGTTCTCTGCTTGCTCAATCCAAGAGTGCAACGGTTTCAACATGATTTGTAAACGTTCCCGATCAGCTCTTCCGAAGAATTCACTAAGAAGCAGCCCGGCTATTTGGCGACATTCCACAGTCTCGTCGTTGGCCATAACGAGCACGACCGGTAAGAAGAAAGTGCTAATGATTTCTTGACCTAGATCTCCACCAGTCTTGTTGAGTAATCGATGAACTGCTTCCATGACGGATTCTCGACCTTCACGGTGCTGATAATCAAAATTTTTCGCAAGGAAAGCCAGCTGTTTCGACCAACGAGACTTGGCTTGTGGATACTCTAATAGGAAGTGAACGTATACACCCCGAGCTAGATCTCGAGCAGCTTTGGTCTGGTTAGTAACCATCATCCTCGCAATATTATCCACTAGCTCGTATAATTCTGGAACAAGAAACTTCCTATCCATCACAGCACGAATAAAGTTGAAGGTTAAGCCCTGGCGATCAGGTTCTTCAATGTCATTCGTAAGACGTTTCAATAAATATGAGAGATGGTTATCCCTTAACTCCACTGTTTTCCGTTCTCGTAACACTGAAGCGATGAATTTCAGAGCAGCTTGTGCTGCTTCGGTGTTGGTGCTTGGAGCTTCCTTGATGACCTTGACAGCTTCAGCAAGATAGGTTGACGCATTCCGGTCGAGCTCAGGAAGAGGTAATTTGATGATGGTCGAGAGGAGACGCATGGCGGAGATCTTCACCTCCTCATAGGACTGGATGACTGCATCTCCAATGATGGGCAAGAAGCCGGCAACATTGTTGGCGGTAAGGAGAAAATTGTACTTATTTAGCACAGATCGGAGAACGTCCAACGAGAACCTCGACAACTTGTAGAGATATGACGAAGTGGTTCCGCGTTTCTCGCCTCTTTTCATACCTTGCATGTTGATGAGGAATCGGCGGTTCCTAGCTGACTCTGTAGATGAGGGCGCCTGTGCATCATTTGCATCCTTATACGATTCCTTGATGACTTCGTAGCAGAAGACAAGGATGTCTCGGCTCTCAGCACCAGGATTTCGTAACAGACCAAGCCCAATTCTTCTGAAGAGCTCATCAATTTTTCTCACCAAAACAGCCGTAAGTTTCTCACGTAGGAGCATCTGCAATGGAGCTATAAGTGCTCCCAGCCGCGTAACAGAGCTGTTCTTAGCAAGCAACTCCATGGAGTCATAACTCTTGCTGCTCTTGACTTCTTTCATCTGACTGACATAGTCCTCGGCATCTTTCTCCTGGCCAACGACTCCAAAGATATCATCCATCACGATTGCGACAGCTTGCTCAAGACAATGATCCAAGGAGCCCTGCTCGAACTCGTCGGTAGTGGAAACAAGTATTGAATGCACAGTGAAAGAGAGAACGTGAAGCTGATAACCCCTAGCTAGAGCAGTTCTGAGCTCTTTCAAAATATAGCCAAAGTACGATGGGCCGAGAATAATGGCAATATCCGCGAGAGTTTTCCTGGCATTGTCTCGCGAGTCTTGTGCCTTACTTCGCAGAACGTAGCAAACGTCCAACAAAACTGCCGGCAGCCGAATAGCCATATCTTCTTCCGGTAAGAGTTTGAGCAACTTGATGCTGGTAACAGCAACAGGGAGACGAAGACTCATCTGCGCTTCGTCCTTATGATGGACAAACTCCGTTAAGAAGGGTAGGAAGTGAGTAGTCAGCTCCGTCGCAATTTTTGCTGGTGCAGGTAGTGTCAAGGCTAGGCGGCATTTACTAGGTTGATCTGACATAGAATCGTCGATCTCCATTGCACCCTCAAAGCTTGATTTGGGATATCGCTGAATGAAGGCAGCTGACAAAGCATCAGTCATACGGCCAAGCAACCTAATCATGTTCTTTTCGACCTCTGGTTTGCTTGTCATATTTGCTCGATACCTACGGAATATGGCTCGGAATTGATTCCACTCCAGCCACTCAGCTAATCCACCTAGCGTTGCAACAGCCTCAGCCGCTAAGTTATGAGCGGTCTCGTCCTCTGCTATATGGAATACAAAGTGTTCCACCAGAGGGAAGAAGACCGAGCTTATATTGGAAGAGTCGATCTTCCCGCTCGCGGCCTCAGTTGCAAGTCTGCGCAAAGCACGCATACGTCGATGCTGCTGGATGTGGAGAATGTTGTTGAAAAATGAAGCTTCCTCGTCTCCCGCAACCAACAGCACATGCAGGTCTTGAACACTTGCTAGAGTGGGATTGAGCTTGACTAAGTGGCCCAAAGCTGTCACAAATTCTGACCGCACTTGTTCGGAGCGTTGACGTACACCATTCTGGAGAGCAGGTAGAAGCACACTATCTCTGAGAGCAGCAAAGCTCGATTGGTTTGCCTCGCCGTCTGCAGCCCTCTCAATGAATCGTTTAATCCCATGTGAAGCGCTTGATCTTATGGAAAGCTCGTGTTCATCCTTGACATGATAAAGCATATTGAACAGAAGAGGACGCCATTGTTTAGGGCTTAGACTTTCCCATAAATCTTCGTTAATCTTTCTGAAAGCAGCAAGTCGACGATCATAGTCAATGCTGTCAAGCTTGGATGTGTCAACAGCATTGAGGTCAGCACAGAGAATGCTAACTTCCTTCAGGTCAGCGTCATGTTTAGCAAATTCATGCAGAACAGCAGACAAAACGTTTCGGTTCTGTTCATCTTTGAAATAGTCAAACAGAGATGACACCGTGAAGAATACTTCTTCAGCGAACGAAGGGTCCTCTTCTACCGACGCCAAAGGTATGAAATGCTTTAAAGAATACAGTAATCCCGACTTAGTCTTGGGCGAAATCTTGTCCTGTGGTTGTCGTAGAAGATATGTCGATATACGCACGAGGCTAGCAATCTCAGCCGACGTCTCCACACATGGTGCTATCAAAGATAGGGTTTCCACAGCAGAAACCAGAACTGGACGGGTAGGGTTTGATTGCAAGAGCTTGCCGACATGGGCTAGAATGCGGTCCACATATGGTGCGAGTATCTCTTCACGTATCGTCCTGGGGGAAATATCGCTCATTCCTCCAGATTCCTCAATCGTACGACCAGTAGAGTGATTGATAATAGGCTGTATAATTTGCTCTAGAATATAAACCTTGACATCATCTCGGGCAGATGGCACAGTCAATGTGTCGATGACGGCGGGTATCACATCTCTACTGAAACGCGTCAAGTAGAAAATAGACTTTGGAGCAGAAACCCATTCATGGAAAAGTCGATGGAAGACAGAGACTCCTTGCGCGTTTTCGATGGCGAAATTCTCTAGCCTGGGATTGATGACTTCGGTGAATAGCAAGCCCACGTACGGTGTCCAGTCGATATCTGGAGCAATAGAGAAAATCATACTAGCGCAGCGAATACCCACGCTACGAACCTCTCGCAGTACTGCGGCTTTACTTTCCAGATCCGGTGAATCCAGGGCCAGTAGGCGAGAGGCTCGCACGAGACAGTAGGTCACCGCATCCATCGACTTAACGGCATATGCATGCATGCGGCTCTGAAGAGTCTCTAGCATTGTTTCGACCATCTTGAGAAAACCAACCTGCTTCCGCTCGCTTGCTAACTCCAAGTTGAAAGATTTATTATCAATGTAGCCTGCCTTTGATAGGTTCAAGTCATACAGAACGCCAAATGCAATCTGCACAAAAAGTTCAAAGTCTAGCTCAGACATTTGGGCAAGGATACGAAGAATGGCCTTCCTCCTTCCGGTTTGTCCGCCAGAACCTGAACTAGAAGCAGCCCTAGAAATCATACGACCGTAGAGCAGCCGTAGAAGAATAGGAAGAATCTCTGGTTTGTGACCCTTTTCAATCTTGCTATCTTCATCATCAATATGAACGAAAACTGAGAGCTCTTCGCGAAATCGTGATTCGTCCAAAATGTTAATTAGGTTCTCCTCGTATGGACGTACACCAGGTGATTTCCAGGTAAATAGACCTTTGAGTGCAGACTTTTGCACCGCAGAATCTCCATGTGCGGTAAGACTAAGAAGTGCATCGTAGACTTGCGAAGATTTGAAAAGAGAACGTGGATTAATGAACTTTTCGAACAACCCAAGTAGTGCTAGGCGATCCTTATAAGCCCACTTCGGAGCGGCCTCCTCGACGCCGACAGCCTCGGAGGGGTTTGAATCAACGGTCCCGCTATCCGTTTCAGTAGAAGCCCACCTAAGGAAAAGGGGAACAATCTGTCGGGAACGCTTTTCAGCCAATTCGGGAATAACATGTAGGACTTGTAACGAGCGAGCTCTGGCGGTCACGGGGATCAGGTCGGAGGCTTTATGGTTGGTATTGAAGCTTTCTATGAGAGCTTCCTTGGAGACTTGAACTCTTTCGAATCTAGCTTCGAGTATCCTTTCAATCTTCAAAGCATTGTCGCATCTGAAGTCAGACCAAATCTTCCCAGGCTCCTCCTCTGTAGGCTCATCATTGGTATCATCAGCGTGATGCTGCAACCAGAGCATACACAACTCGGTGACGACAGCTTCTCCAGCGGCATGTTGGCTAATGTTTTTCAGGGTTTCCGCAGCATCAGTCCACAGTTGTCCCAATTTCTTGGAGAAAAGACCAAAGCAGAATTTGGGCACTAATTTGCTAAGCCAACTATGAGAGACGATTTGCGGGTATAGTAAGCCAAGCTTGCGGACCTGCATTGATAAGAATCGAGAGGTTTGCAAGGACAACTCGCTTTCTTCTATTTCGATTGTAATGCCTATAGTGTTTTGTGCATCCCCAGTTGTCGCTTTGATTAATTCCTGTAGTATTTTCAATGAAAGCAATCTCAAAGGCTGAGAGGGTGATGTAAGATTGTCAATGAGGCCGCTGGCAAGAGAATCCAAATCCTCTTTGCTCTCGGTGATCAGGTCGGGTAGGCGTGTTATGTAGTTCAGTGTGGCCTCTAGAAAAGGTATTTGACGAATAAACCGGGGCCCTGCCTTCGATATCGACTGCCAAAGCGATCTATCCAGGGAATCGCATTGATCCGCAAGAAAGACGTATGTCTGAAACCCTTGTCCACTTGAGAATATATCAAGTGGCCGAGCGTCAGAAGCCGATTCATCTAATGATTTTGTCACCAGCTTATGCAGCGCCTGCACTATCTGCGGAAGAACAGTAGCATCATTAGAAAGTGAAATTGCCGCACCAAGTTTGGTATAAGCATTGAGCATTGCCGCTTCATCTACCAACGGGCCAGGCTTGTTTAGCTTTTCGAGGATCTGACTTCTCCACTCAGTCGGACAAGCAACGAACCCTGGTCGTGAAGGTTGGGAAGTAACACAGCCGACTTCCTCCAGCTGAATGAGTGATAAGCATAAATCTTCCTCTTTAGTCTTCCAGAAGGAATTCAGGAACCTAGATCTTGTAGGTTAGCGAAAGTCTGGGATGTCAAATTGAAGCCAAATGCTCTTACCGTTGAAAATATTGCAGGACAACGATCTGAAATCTCTCAGACCCAAACTGGGAGAAAGTTGAGCAAAAAGACAAGAAGTAAGGTGCCAAACGTTCGTCAGATATAACTTCCATGATTGGTCGCATAAAAGGCATCATTTCGTCCATAGGTGAGAGTTGCAAAGCATAAGCAGCTGAAGTAAGAATTCGAGGGAGAGTATCACGATGAGCGTCCAATCCTTTCAGAGCCCTCTGTAACAAAGTCAACAAGCTTTGATGAACATCTTTCCAGTTTATGACTCGTGTTGCCTTTCGAGTAGTTACACAGACAAATATCAAATGTGAAGACAACTTGAAATGAGGCACGTTATTGGCCGAATTGCCTACTTCAACGTACGCGCACACAACTTTCAAGAGCTCTGAAAATGTCTCAGACGTCGTGGCGTGAACGATGCTTGTGAGAACACCGCAGACCACTTCTTCAGCTAACGAGAACTGGACCTCGTCATTGACGGTGGCGTTTTCTATCAGACATTTTAGAATGTCCGAGGCATTTGAATAGAGGCCCCCTTTAATCCCCTTGATGGCCTCTGAGAACATAACCATCAAGCCCTCCTTATAGGTCTGGAGACTGCGGGACTCCGTCGAGTTGCGTAAATCTTGGAATAAGAATGATATGGCACGGTTCAAGGGTGCTTTATTCTTATGGTACACAAGTCCTGCTTTGCGAATCAAGAAGGACATGGACTCGGCCGCAAATCGAGCAACGAATGGCTTTTGGCGTTCTTTTCCGAGGTAGGGAGTCATTATGCCCAAAAGCTGGCGAAGGTCCGGCACAAGAAGGCGAGAGAGAAATTTGAATATCCAAGCGAGGCACGTAAAGCTCCATTCTATGACTTCGACATCTGCATGAGTGGCCGCGACGGATGCGACCAGAGTGACACTAGTCGCGAAGTGTTTCTCAAACCGCACACCTAAATCCCTGGCGAACTGTGACAACAAACTCAACAGTGGCTCGATCGATAATTTGTCTCTCTTATCGATGAACTCAACCAATAGAGCCATAATCTTCTCTTCATGGTATAGCACCTGCGGGAGGTTTTCCGATAGAGGATTGACACGACGGACAAAATCTGTAAAGAATTCCGACAGATTCATCTCGCTCCAGTGATCCAAAGAGGATCGGAAGTGAGAGAATGTTTCATCATCCTCGCCATCCTCCTCGCCAAAACCGGTTCTTCGTACACGGTGAATCGGGTCGATCTTTAATTTCGACACTCGCTGCGAGAATGTCTCGAAGCGATGAGACTTTGTTGTTTCGGTGCCCTTCTTCAGAAACTTCGCAGGCTTTCCCCGCAAGCTTAATGAAGGTGCCACCATTGTTGGGAAATAGAGAGGCGACCGCGAGTAGCAGCGGGCGTATGTCCTATGGCATGTTGATATTCACTTGAGGCAGTCGCTATCAATAAAAAAATGTTGTCGGATCAGGAGAAATGTTTTACCGCTTATCGTGCTGCGCTAGTCCTCTTTGGTGAAAAAGGGCCGCGGAGAATCACGTGATAATTTCGTATTCTCCAATAACGGCATCCGCTCCTTTCGCTCACCAAAAAACATCAAAAGAAGTCTGATATTTGCGAGGTCTGGTTATATAGCGCTTCAATCACATATATCGGTTGCTATCAGATACGATATGACTGACAGGGCTTTGATCTACCGTGCTTCTTGCCATTAAAAGCGTATGATCGATATTCACTTTGAATTCCTAACAGCAAACAAATTGAAAATCATGGCTTCAAAAATGTATGATTTCCTCTTCCGGTTTATACAATGGTTATATGAGCTGACTTCATTGACTAGTTTGGTCCTGGGCACTGTAAATTGCGCCTTTCAACAAGTATTTACCAAGCTCGCCAAACTTCAGGCCAAGCAGAACTTTGCTTTCGCCATTGTAGTTGGCGATCTCTTTGGTGAAGGGACAAGTGAGGAGGAGCTGAATCAAATCTCAGCTCTACTTGCGGGAAACATTGTTGTACCCCTACCCACATACTTCAGTGTCGGCAAAAATCCAATTCCGACGAGGGTAGTTGAGAAAATACAGGCAGATGACGAAGTGTGTCCTAACCTGTATTTCCTTGGAAGAAGAGGCACATTGAAGACATCGGAGGGCATTAGAATTGCTGCTCTTGGAGGTGAAGTTCTCACAGATGGCCAATCTGACCCAAATGTGAATAAAAGATACCACTCTCGCTACACGGAATCCGACGCTCGTTCTCTTTACGGTGTACATGATACTGACATTCTGATTACATATGAATGGCCTAAAGGCGTGACAGGGCGGTCTAATGTTCCTCTTACAGATAAAGTCGCGCCAGAGGGTGTTCAATGTGTAGCCGATGTTTGCTCGACGTTAAAGCCGCGTTATCATTTCTCTTCCAAGGCCGACTTCTTCTATGAACGAGAACCATTCTTCCACATACCAACAGAGGAGAATCCGGATACGAAATTCGTCACCCGTTTCATCAATATAGCCTCATACGGCAATCCATCAGGGCAAAAATGGATGTATGCATTTACATATGATCCAAAGGCCCCAATACCGGAGACTATACCCACGGGTACAACCGTGTCTCCTCTTGCCAATGTTGCTAGAAAGAGACCTGCTTTGGAGAGCCAAAATCAGGGTTTCCAACGATTTTCAAGAGGCAATAATGAGCGGCCCCAGAAACGTGCGCGACGGCCCCCGCCTGGTCCCGGAGAGTGCTTTTTCTGTCTTTCCAACCCCAACATCGCCACGCACATTATTGCCTCAATCGGTAACGATGCATATCTCACTACAGCCAAAGGTCCGCTTACGAAGTCGGACATGTATCCTCTTCTAGGGTTTCCCGGCCACATGTTAATTATCCCTCTCATACACTCCCCTACTTTTTCATCCATAGCGGACCCCGAAGCGCGAAGGAGTACATACGATGAGATGCAGCGATATCGTGTTGCATTGAATGATATGGTCCGTGAGAAGAGCAAAAGCAGTCTGGGATCGGTTACTTGGGAAGTCAGTCGTGGTAATGGTATCCACGTACATTGGCAATACCTCCCTGTTGCCTCAGACCTGATATCAAAGGGTCTGGTAGAAGCAGCATTCAAAGTCGAAGCAGAGAATTTACAATACCCGAAATTCAAGTCCTCTGCAAATGACGATGGCGCAAATGAAGTTGGAGATTACTTCCGAGTCTGGATTTCGCAGCCTGCAACCGACGGAGACTCGAAGGATCAAACGGAGTCATCAAAGAGCGGATCCGACAAGATTCTGATTCTGGCCTTGACTCCGGACTTCAGGTTTGATTTGCAGTTTGGCCGCCGGGTGATGGCAAAGCTGTTACAGCTCGAAAAGCGAATGGATTGGAGGGAGTGTGAACAGACGACAGAGGAGGAGGTTACGGATGTCGAGGCTTTCAAAGACGCTTTCAAGAAACATGATTTCTCACTCGAAGAAGAATAGACGACTAGTCATAATTGTGAGGGAATACAAAATTTTTGAACGGGGTAACCGAGATGACTGTATCTTAAAAGGGAAGGAGCCATTTGCCAGGGCTGCCTCAGTCACCCATCTCTTTCCATAAAAGACTCCTGAAACCTCCTCCCGACAAAAATCATCCAATCTATCCATTTCTCACATTTTCTCGTGCCTCTTAACTAATCATATCATATCGTTATATGCTTAGACCAAGACCAGTCGAGTCCCAGTACTCATCCCACACTCAACATAGACTCGCCGGCGTTTTCCTATTGTATCAGCGTATCATACGCAGTGATTCATCAACAAGTATCGATACTAGCCGGCAATCACCCGCATGAGATATAAGTTGTTTGGAATACAGGAGGAGTCTGATCCTATCGGAGAGCCGGTTCTGTTTCCCAGGATACAGCTGTGTTTCTTTTCTTGGCTCTATGAAGTATAAAAGCCTGACATTTTCTGAATTGAGGAAAAGGTCGCGTGAATAATTCATTGCTCATCTCACATTCTTCTCTGTGTCCTTTAGAACCCGAATACTCACGGTCTGAGCACCTCGACACAACATGTCAGCTCCAAATCGAACCGAGACCTCTAAGACTACTGCTACCTCCACCTATTTTTCCTTCGCGCCTTTCAATCGCCCACAATTCACTCGTTCATCATCCTCCAAGTCTGGGAGAATCCCAATCTCTGAAACGGCAGCATATTCCTGGCTAAAAGTCCAAAAAATCATGGAACACTCTGTTCAGGTACGTCTACTTCAAGGCGATAAGCGTGCATGCTATTATGGCACACATACATGCCGCTAGCTCATGTTATGTGTCCAAGTCATACCGGGGATTCTAACAATCATACTTCCGCAGCAGCCTGAATTAGAATCTCTCGAGCATCCGACATCCCCCGATATTCAGGCCAATGCTCTGACTCGGATCAATTCATCTGCCTCATCATCCACTTCCTCGATTGCGACAAATGACAGCAGAAATGTCATGCATGACTTGAATAAGGATCAGGTCCTCATCTGCTGTACAGATCCGTTATCTCGTGGGAAGTCGGTGCCGTCAGTAACGACGCGTGTGGACCGAGTCGAGAAGTAACGTGAACCGAGAGAGGTATGTCTGTGTGGTCTAAGTCGAAGATAACTACCGATTTCCACCAATGACTGACTTAAGATCTAGTGCTCTGACAATATGTTTTTTGGATTGTCGTCACCATACCCCCTCTTCACCAAACTGCTTGTCTGCTTGTTTCTTGTTCGTTCTTTTCTTTTTTGTTTATCACAATGCTTCTTCGAGAACCGAAACCGATTACTCAGTTAACCCACAAGTATAGCAAACCTGCAAGAGAAATTGTATGCTTATCCATGTTTACATCAATGATGATACCACATGTAAGCCTCGTTTAGAATTTGTTAATATGGCAAAATAATATAGAGATACGTAGAGATACTGAATTTATCGAAAACTAGGAATTGGAAGAATAATCTCCTCTATCTAAGGAGACAGGGGTGTCAATCCAGAAATTCTACAGTTAACTCTTAAATGCTCATTATGGGAATTGAGTAATTTCAATCAAGTTGACTGGTAGATAAAATCTCATCAACGATATTTATATCACCTGACACATTACCAACTTCATTGGTGATGGAACAGCCGACTTTCATGCCCCTGGTTTCTCTGACGTGAAGAGGACAAAATACTCATCGAAGTGCCCTCCTCGACTTCGGCATGAAAGCTTATTGCAATCATCGCCGGCCTGTACAGTCTTTTCAGAAAAAAGCATGCAATCTTCCCTATCGTCAACGACTATCCAGGTGACCTGTTTCGCCAGAAGGCATATCGTGAGTTGAGTATACCAGGAATGCTAGGAAACTTATTACCGACTGTTTCGACAAGTATCATGGTTCCATAAGTCTTCTTGTTCATAGTGGCATGAAAATTGTGCTACCTTCTACGCTTAGCGATTAGGTCACGACGAACAGGGACCTCGATCACCAAGAGCTGGTTAGAGAAGAATACTTTGCAGGATGGCCGGGTTTGAGGTTCAATATGCGGCTCACGAACCCAATCAGATGTTGATTGACGTGATTCGAACGAACTTGTCGCAGAATGAGATATATTACCGACAGTTGATCAGCATATCGCAACAGCTTTACAGCGGCACTAGGGCAACAGCGAAACTTAGCATCAGATCGACTGGAAGAAAGATACCACTAGGATTATTTCGGGAGCGGCAGGATCGGTTTTTATCGGTCCAGAAAAACCTGTTGACCCTGAGTGCAGGATTTTGTTCAGACATATGTGCGCGAGATGCTCCCTTGCGGCCCATCGTGCAACGGTTTTTGCCGCACACCTCGGCGTGCAGGTCTCTTGTTCCACGGGCCCGTACAATAATAGACGATGTTGTAAGGAAGCGGGAGCAAGAAGCAAAGGTTGCCAGAGACCAAAGTCTAGAGGCGCCTCAATACGAAGATGTCATTGCTTAGACCCAAAGTGATCCCAAAACTAATCTTCCAGCAGGCGATATTCAGCTCGAATTGGCCATGACGGCACTTTCACTACCACCGAGACTCTCAGGCAGGTTCTATCGACATAGCCCAACACCCCGAACTTGTTGCAACCCTCCGCGAGGAAATCAAGGTGTCATTATCCGGTAACAAACTTGGACTAAATGCCTTGTCAAAGATGGAATTGCTCAATAGCATATTAAAGAATTACAGCGACGGTTTCCTTTGATGAGTAAGTTGATAACATTTTTAGACTCATATTAGACTAATTATGCGTTATTATAGTGGGCTTAGAACGCAAAGTCATCCCGTGATACCACCCTTGCAGAAAGCGCTATATTACCCAAGGGTTCGCACCTCATGGTCGACTCAAGAGGGCATCTGTCGCCCAGACGACTATGATGGGTATCGTTTCCTGAAGCGACGTGGAGAGGGAGATAAAATGAGCATAACATCTTCGGGGGTGGGAGACAGATCTGTCCTGGTCGATTCTTTGCTGGCAACGAGTTGAAGTATGACTTTCGGTTCAAAGATGGTTACTCCTCGAAGCCTTTACAGTTCGGAGTTTATGCGATGGTTGACCCTGCGGTCCAGCTCGAAGTTCGACGGAGGGAAGAGTTTGAGGATCCTCTGCTGTTAGTTGTTTAGGTATGCAGGTCGAATGAAGCCCCGGGTTGCGTCAAACACACAAAGATTCACCATAGCCAGGGAAGCATCTGTCAACAGAAAGCACGAAATTGAAGGAAGGAGGACAGCAATTTTCTGGAAAGTTACGACTTTCCCTAATTGGTCCTCAGTCGTCGACATAGATAGGGGATCTTACAACTCGAAGACGTAAAGCTGTTGACCGTTGTTAAAAAGTACGAGAGGTGTTTGGTGGAAGCTATTTTATATAACCATCAAGCAGGGGCGACGTACCCCTTTTCAGTGCAATGGAGCACTGCGACTTTTGATGCAGTAACTGTTTGGACATGAAGGTAACCCTGTCTATTACAGAAAAGAGAAGGGGATGTAGACTATTTTCGAACCAGTGTATAACTAGCCTAATATTCGTCATTGCTTTCAAGTAGAGACAAATGATTTGCGTCGGGCACTCTCCATGCGTATTTGGTAATCGATTGAATCGAACCCTGGAAGGAACTACTAGCATCATACCATCTCCACGAAGCCATGCCAGAATCAAGGACTGAGACATAATAACATAATATATACAAGAAATTCCGCCAATTCTCATCCATTCCATTTCCCCAACTTTGTCGTTCCACATTTGTTCTTCCAGGCATACCATACACACGATTTCGTAGAAATCTACTATATTTGAGGAAAAGAAGAGTTGAAGATGACGCCAGAACGCCGCTTGTAAACCCGATATAACGCCGTTGAAGTAACCAAACAGAGGACAGTCGTAGAATAGCGGTGTCGTATACAGTACTCTGCGATATTGAGGTATAACATATTATACGGCTCGGAAAGTATTCGGCGCAGGCCGTCGTCCAGCCATCAATAAACTAGGTGGTCGATCCTCGCCGTCTGGTGACTGATGTCCGGGATCTTCCAGGAACGACGTAGCATGTTGCTGCTGGAGAGGAGGCGAAGCGATTCGTGGTGAGAATGCGGTGTACTGGCCTTGTGGAGCTCGATGGCCCTGTTGTGGCGGTGGGCTTTGAGTCGGTGGATGGTAAAAGTCGGATTGGTGTTGTTGATTATGTTGATTATGAAGGTCATAAGGGGAGTATCCCGAGGTTGCTGGCGGTGGGCTGCGGGCTTCTGGATATGGAGGAAATCCGCCTCCCATGGCTGGTGGTGATCTAGGAGATGGCGTCTGATTGTATGCGCGGGGTCCGCTAAAGTTGGGAACTTGTACCCTAGGAGCATGTTGGTTTTCGAACCCTCGATACGCTGCCGGGGACTCCTGTGGTGATGCCCGAGGCGGATATCCCGCAGCAGCTGGAGGTCCGTATCCAGGAGACTGAGGTCCTGGGGAATGAGGTTTCTGGTTAAAATAATGGGTTTCCGCTGCATTACCGCCGTAATGTCCTTGACCACCGTGATTGAGATATGCATCATGTTCACTGAGTCCGCCCACGGCCCCGCCGTTGTGTCCACCACCATAACTGCCCCCATGTCCGTTCGGAGAGTATCCATCGTCATACAATGGTTGAGGACTTGGGTGAGGACTGGCATATGTACCTCGAACTTCATTATATCCACCTCGAGACATTCCGCGTGACAACCCTCCAGCTACCGGCGCGGGTGAAACTCGCTGATCGTGCTGTAAAGGACTCTTAGCATGATCTCTGATTCCCTCCAGATTATCCATCTCCACCGCCTCATGCTGCGCACTGTGATCCTCTACGTGACGAGTTTGCGCATCTGCCCAAGTCGGCATTGGCGGGAGCTCATCTTCATTCACATGTACATGCGCCGCTTTGCTCGGTTGATCGAACGAAGCAGTAGTGGGACCACGATATGCCGGTGGTGGCCCAGCGGATAGTGATGATGCGGCGGCAATAGGTTGTCTATATCCGAAATTCATGGGATCTGGCGGCGGAGGTTGCTGATAATACGGTTGCTGGGGAGGACCCGCGTATTTGCTACCACCTCGATTATGGCGAGAGCCACCACAATCGCAGCAACTGTAGCAGCAGCCGCAGCAGCCTTTGCAGCATTGATAACCGCAACAAAGGCAGCTAACTAAACAGCCTACTATACCTAATATAATAATGGATCCGACAATGATACCGGCGATAACAGGCCATCTTTTAGTCAAACAATTGTCAGTTTCTTACCAGAATACCAAATCGTGTAGATGAAAATTCACGCACTTGCAATAAGTCTTGGCCATACAACTATCCCAACTGGAAAAGGTCGACTTGACCGAATTGGCCTCATCAGCGACGCTCCGCTCCAGGAGCGACATGATCATTCGGTTGTGAATTGTTGAGCCCATGATAGCGAGACCGATGAGAAGTCTCACAAATATTTGCAGACCGGCTAAATGTCCGGTACGAAAGCCAAGCGATGAAACGAAATTCGAATGAGAACGAAGAAAAAAAAATTTATATATATCGCGCGACTCGTCCCAGGTTGTTAAAGCGATTGGCGCATATGTTTCACATAAGGAGGCTGTGTTTGTAAGAGTACTCGAATCAGGACGTGAGGGACAGAACGAGCGATGCGATAGATTCCTCGTTCAGTTTCGGGGTATATTTGATAAAGATCGTGAGCGTTAAAATCGTAGAATGACAGGTGCGAACGGATTACGGCAACGTTCGAGTCAGTAGTGGATGATTTGAAGAAATGAGCGAATGTCGGAGTCGAATATTAGAACAATGGACGAGATGAATGAGTTTTCGTCCACTCTCTGTCACGACGGTGTCTCAACAGCGAAAGACGCAAAAGAGAGAGGAAAAGTGAAGGAACAGCCCCTTCGTGATATCTGCTCGGGGACTGAAAGAGGGATCGCTTACTATGTATATTTTATGGCCCTTCGTTGGGGCTGAGTCTAATGCGGAGTTCGTGATTGCTCCATAAAAAATGGATTTAGCGTGGTGCGTAGTGGGCTCCCATTCCATATTCTATCATCCATGTTCGGTACATCAGACGGTATGCTCATACATTTTTAAATTCTCATCAACATCTTTATTTGGACATATAGAAGGTCTTCCCTGTCCTATAATTCAGCCATTGTGTCATTCTATCCTGTGAATTGCACTCCGTATACAGCTCCTGAAAAGTCTTACGGAGTAATTGAGATCGCCAACTAAAGAACGTCTGATCTCCACTATTCTGTGATCAACTTCTCTGCTAGACGAGATACAGTAGTACCGGAGTAGGTTTGCTATTAGGAGACGAGGTGAGTAAATGAATCTCTAGGTGAAGATGCTATTATGAATGTGTCGAGTAATATGTACAATGTAATCGCGGCCGTCTTGAGTCCCATCACTTTCAGAGCTCAACGCTGAACAGATCACAAGCGGGAAAAGCCAGGGGGATGCATTAACAAATTCAAAAAACCAAAGTGTATCGATATAAACACCATAACACCAGACAACCCCTGAGAGTAACAGTCAATGCTCAGAATGCCTCAACGTTCAAATGCCCGCAAGCAATTATCCATCACGAGATCCTTCGTCCTATATTCGGTCTTAAAAGTATCGGTGAAGCAAACTAGTTCTTGGCTGGTGGTGGTCCCGGAGGTGGCGCATAAACTGGCTCTCCGCCGTGATAAGCAGTCGGAGGTTGTTGCAGCTCGATTCCATTCTCTTGTTGTCCGCCGTAAGGGCCTTGTGGACGCGGCGGATATTGTTGCTGAGGTGGAGCATAGTACCCTTGGTTCGGATCTTGTCGTTGATATTGAGGAGGTGCTTGTTGATAGTCGCCCTGTCTATAAGGTGGTGGTGCCATCCAATGTGTTCCGTAAATTGGGGTTTGACCGCGAGCACGGCGACGTCGAGCATTAAAGCAGCTGAAATTCATATATTAGCATCATGACTGATTTTTCGATTTTGTCTTGAAGAACTTACGCAAAGAGAAAGAAAAATACGAGACCAGTTCCTACGATGACTGCAAAAGCCACCCAACGACCCCAATTATTCCATGTCGAGTAGCAGTTTCTGCAGTTGTCAAAGCCGTCGCAACTAGAGAGGCGTCAGTACATGGCTTTTTGAGCCGTTGCTTGTTCGGACTCACCAAAGATCACGATGGTAAATGATACCCATTGTTGAAAGCCACCAAAGCGTGACTCAATGTCTGTCTAGTAGTTGCGATGACGAATTCTATCAGCCGATTCAAAGTCCTGTACTAATAGATAATAGATAAATAGAGATTCAGACAGTCTATAGATCAAATAGCGAATAGATGATTAATAGCGTTGCAAGGATAGAGGGAAAGAGAAATGTCATGAGAGGGAGAGGAGTGAGATCATGGTCTTCTTTAAGGCTGAGAGATTGAGCAAAAAAGAGTGGCTGAGCTCCTCCGCTGTACAGCTTGACGTCTTGCCTAACTTGGACAGCTGTGTCACTGCCAGCCAATCATTGTCTGCATTTGCCATTCCTTATACCAGAAATGGAATAGTGTATGACTAATCCTGGTGGTCTGACGCTTCTGTCGGATCAAGATTAACCAATCACATCCTTTTACTAAGATAGTATGAATGGCCCTGATTGGCTTATTCTTGGCCACTATCCCTTTTTGAGTTTTAAGCTCTTCACTTTTTCCTTCCTATTTGGTAAACGAGCCCTAATTGACGGAGACTGGCTCATTATGTAGAAAGAAGCATACATTATTTAAGCAGCAAACAGTCAACAAGTTGAGATCTTCATTTAATGTGATACTATCTATGTTGCGTGTATGGATGCACACTGTGTTTCCCGAGAAGTTGAGACACGTTGACGTTTCACGAGTCAGTGGCGCCTCCACCGATGATCCAGTGGACTGGATTGAACTAAGTTGAATATATAATGAGAATCCTCGGTCATGATCAAGACTCTGGCTCGTACATTTCAGTTCAAGCTGAAATGAACATAACCCTTGTCCTTCACGAACGTAGCATGCCATGGCACATTCTCTTCGTGGTTGGCCAACTGCCAGTAAAATTCGCCATGTGCATCACCGTCAACTCCCGAACCCTTTAACTTGCCATCTTGATGACGCTCATCAGCATAAAAGAAACTGGTAAATGCATTGTCAGTACCCTTCTATAGTTATCTTCTTATCTTGAAGCACTCACCGATAACCTTGAGCCAAATACAAAGTATCAGCAAGGCCTATCCAAGATGCCGAAGCAGACTTGCCAATGCCTATACTCAACATGAGTGGCATAGGCACAATGGAGACGTTCGTCATATTGCCAGTGTAGATAAACGTCTTCTTAGTCCCCATGGGCAGTGTTGCCCATCCACTAACAGCCTGCTGCGCTGCGACATAGGGGCTGATGGTGTTGATATTCAAATCCAACGCAACATTTTCCGCTGGAACTGAGAACATAGAGTCCTTATCTAGGGGGTTTGTAAATCCTCCTGCGTTGTAGACCACTACGCTAGGAGGCGTGTAGAACTCGGTCTTTACTGCATCAAACAGTGCTGGGATCGAATCGGGCTTGTAAAGGTCTGCCTTGAGAGAAAGAAAGCCTTTGGCAGTCTTTGTGCCGCTTCCACTCCTAGACACAATAGCAACCTTGTAGCCATTGTTGGCGAATTTCTCAGCTACAGAAGCGCCGATTCTGGGCCCAGCTCCGAGAATAAGTACGACAGGGCTGGCTGCCATAGTGCTCCGTGGTCAATAAAGAAGAGAGGTTACTTGTTATGAAGGAACTCGAAGTATAGGATAGACAGAATCTGATATGGAATGAATTGGGAGAATCATGTTGAAGACCGAGATGCCTTCTATTTATAGCGCGTAGAGTCAACACCCTTGTTTTCAATGATTGTATTTACATTCGCTCTCCTCGGACGCGACTCTAGAAGCAATAGCCACCTGTTCCTAGGATATTCCTGACGCTGAATCCCAAGTTGGGATTCTAGTTGGGAAGGATAACTACTGTATGAGCATATTACTCAGCAAGGTCAAAGAAGCGTGTTCGCAAATTCCGAGAATCCGAGTCGCGAATAATTACTAATCAGCGAAGTAAAAGTGCTGCAATCTGTGCGAACTAATACGGATTAAACAGTATTATGTGCCCTTTAGACTTTTACCTTGCTCCTAAGTGTTAAAATACCTCCTTCTACGTCCTCTGTTCGTTGGTCCAATCGCGAGTCGTTCGACTGCTAACAAATTGATGGAGTCTCCATCTTCCCATATGTTTCTATATACACTTGGTGACCGGTCTATTCCACTGGAGTTACCCGATTCCACGCGGAAAGAGTATATTTCAACAACACCTCATCTTTTTTAGCATCAGCCCAGATCGTCAGCTTCCTACGCCGCCGAGGTGAGAGCTTTGTCGAAAAAAATCAGTGCACATCCCCAACCCGCGCCAGTACGGTTTGAAAATCTCGACCTGATTGTGGAATTTGGCCCTCTTGTCACAACCATTAAGGCAGTGAACCTTTGGATGACTTCAAAAGTTTTTGGTACCGAACTGACGTCCCTGTGCCTGAGATCTTTGGCTGGCGAGTTGATAGCGAAGGGCATGTTTTCATTTATATGGGACTGATAAGAGGACCAACTCTCGAGAGATGCTGGGATCGTTTGAGCAGCAATGAGGGAGGAACCATCAATGGTCTTTTATCATAGACTATGGAAATTTTGCGTAAACTTGAACAGGATCTCTCTGATCAGTTTACCGGTATAGTTGAAGGTACCAGATAAATTCTTTAGAAGCTAATAACTTATACGAATTTAGGATCAATCAACCACCAGCATCTATTAGATTATGTGTTCTACGCCAGCCGAAAAATAGTCCGTTTCCCAGCATAAAGAATTTCAATGATTGGTTTGCTCTATCACACCACTTACGCTTTGAGCACAGATACGATGACCCAAATCGACGTTTACTGCCGGATGCTGGTGAGGTCAAGTTTAGCCATGGGATCTACATCGCCGTAACATTATCGTTTCCTCCGCCAGTCCAGCTCGGATAGTTATTATAGACTGGCAACACTCGGGATGGTACCCCGATTATTAGGAGTATTGCAAAGCCCTTTATACATGTCGGTACGAGGACGAGTGGCGCAAGGATTATATTGATAAGTTTTTACATCCACGGACTGAGGGATTCTTTATATTTTCTGAGTATTGTATGGCCATGGGTGCGGTCTAATCCCCTACAAGCCCAACGTTATCTATACGACGTAGTGGCTTCCAGCACTATTTAGTCAAACACCGATATTGAGTAGTTGTCACATTCCCTGTCAACTCCTCGGCAGGGTGATTCATGATGGCGGCCGAATAGACCTTGCAATTACACACAATGAATGAGAAATAACCTAACCACGTTCGAATTAATTCAGTCTGTCCACTATTGGAATTTAGGCATGGTCTGCTCTATGAAGGCGCTGCTTTAAGCTTCTGGTTTCCTTCTCGTTGCTTACATTAGTCCTTAGCAAGTGTCATGTTATCCTTCAGATTTGGTCAAATGGCACTGACGTACCACCTATCCCGATCTCCAGAAAGTATCATGTTATGTGCAGGTCCAGGCTAAGAAAATGTATACCAACCCAATCGTCCAACAACGCCACCAATTCATCCGGCTTCTCACCCGGAATCCAGTGACTACAAGCAAACCGTTCAATCCGAATATTCTTCAGGTGTTTCTCTGCAGCTTGTGTTTGGAAAGCTGCATGACACACGTAGTCATATACTCTGCTGTGACCACTAACGCAGGAATGTCGAGGTCTTTGCTCTCGTGGGTAGTTAATTTGGAGTAGAATGGTTCGTCGATTCCACGGATGAATGTTTTGTTTCTTTTGAGAGAATCAAGTCGCCGCCGCCTACAAGTTTAGACATAGTATATAGCGCAAATAGAGAAAGGTACCAGAGGCCCCGTATACCCTCCTTTCTTGAGAATTCGTATATGTGTCTCAACTTCCTCGGGAGTCATCCAAGCCGGCGGTGGTACGACTATGCGGTTATTCAACCATTCTTTTGCAGCACCTTCGGGTCCCATATGGACTTTCCAGTCTTCGAGCATTGTGGGGTATAGCAGCGACATTAGCTATAGTCCACTGGCGTCTACCACTGCTGCCGCACCGTCTTCATTGAAGTATCTCATGTATCCAAAGGATGCATGTCCGTAGTATTGCTTGGAGAGTGAATCAAAAAATCGATTCTAAATGGCCCAGGAGGAACGTATCTGACTGCCGTAAACGCAATACCAGAGAAATAAGTCAGATGAACCACAGCGCCCATGGAGAGCAATGCAGAATCCCTTCGCACTCAGTCCATCAATCAATGACCACAGCATAGATATTGGATAGAAAAAGACTAACCAACCATGTCCAACTCCAGTTACCTTCTTCAATCCCTCAACATCCAAAATCTCAATGATATGAACTGCCATATGTCTATGCGAATACGCGTCTACTTCCGTCGGTTTATCTGTATCACCATATCTCAGTAAATCAGGCGCCATAATGCCGTATCCTTTCTCTTTTAATTTTGGAACGATATGTCGTCATTCAAAGGTTGAGTTTGGGAAGCCACGAAGGAGGAACGTTGGCTTAGCTGCTGTTGCTGCAGGTATACGAATGTAGGCGTATGTGGTGCCATCGGAAGTGGTTGCCGGTCCGGATACAGTTGAAGGGCCATTCTTTTTGCTTCTATCTCATCTAATTGAGTCCTCATTTATTCTATCTGACAGATCTTTCGAGATTGTTATAGGTAATTTGACGATAAATAATTAAACAACGAACGGAAATTTCCGTCTCAGGGTCTAGGATGTTATTAACACGACCATCTGGTCCTGCAGGATGCCGTCAGGGATTATGTCCGTCCTCCCGAATTCGTAAGCTGATATATGTATGTCTTGATAAGGGTATATAGAAATTGATGTAAATAGTTCATGTACGCATTACCAAGGTTCCTCGCTAGGCGCCGACGGTACTTTGCTCTAGTGCCGAGATGCGATGTCTATAAACTGAAGGAGCATACGTACACATGTTTTGATGATGGTTGATCGCAACCGGGAGCATCCTCTCAATCGGGTCAAATATGTCTCAGCAGGAGTATTCACACGATTGCAATCTCCCTGATTGAGAAAACGTCAAGGACCTTCAAAAACCACGGGTATGGCATAGATCTCCTGACCCCATCGTCACTAGACATGGTTCCAAAGATCTAGAACTTCTCTACGAAGGGAACGAAATTCGACGGATCCACGAATGCAGATAATTGTAAGACTCATATCAATCTCTTTAGAATGGGAAGCTTTCAAACGAACCAGTCCGATGCATTTCCAAGAAAAGTAACCGGTTTCCTAATCAGGAAATTAGGGCTTGTTTCAATTAATGCCTGAGGCATTAAGATCCTTTATCAGAGCACAGGATAAAACGACCCTGGAGCTTCAGTTTCAGCTAATCAATGTGAATTCATTTGATTTTATGTCTAAACCCGAATCATAGCCATCAATAACATGGAGTTCGGTGGCTTTGTATCTATATGATTGGAGAATGAGCGCCTACTTGGTTGCCTCACCTCGATGACTGGATTACCAAAGCCACTTTGCATCTTCATAATCGACAGTTAAATGGCAAATGGTATGCGTGAGCTGTTTTCAAGTACACAAGTGATTTCTGAGGTCCCCTCCTTTTCAAGTGAAATTAATAAGAGATTTGCCCTGTAACTTACAGGCCTAGATAGTTAGTGTCACACACCTAGGAGGTGTGTGGATAGCAGTACAAATGTTTTGGCTACTCGAGCATGGTCAAGTAAGAAATCTATGATTAGGTCATCACATACTATCGAGTTAGGCATTACATGCATGCACCCATGCAAAACATGCTGGAGGTACAATTGATAGGTAACCAACACTGCCAACACATCACTTGGCCCGTGTGTCTAAACATTTGTGTAGATGTATGTACGTATCTACTAACACATCAACCACTATCTACGTAAGATCTAGCTAGAGAATTATTACCATAATTAATGCATGCGTGCGTAAAATATTTGTGGTGGATCTTGCTAATCAAGCTATGTATATGTATGATGAGTTGGCAGTCGGGTGTTGTACCTTATGATAGTATCACATTGCATGGTGGAAGAGTTCATATACGAGAAGATGGTGGGACTGGCAAATTTCAAATGTTTCTCTTTCCTGTTTCCTTTCTCTCCTTTCAAAAATGTTTCTTTCTAAACTTCTCTTCGGAAACTGAGGGATTGTTTCTACGTCGAAAATGAGGTATATCTTATGTCGTCATCCTCGGGATGATCGAGTCTCCTTTGCTATTCATACAATTCCTTACTCTTTATTGACTATAATCAGGAACAAGCGCTAGTACTGTGCAATCGCTGCATAAACAATTCCTTATATTAACACCAAACAAAAGAGACCAACAAATCGAATCAGGAGATGAATAGAACAAATGTCATGAAGGAGAGAAAAGAAACCGCCATCGCTGGCGCGCAGGTATTCCCTGCATGCGTCTTGACATGAAAAAAGAGAGATACAAATCGTTATTCATTAAGTCGTTGAACAGATACTCCCTACCATCCCTCTTACGATCGATTATCGATTCGCCCGTGCAATTAACCAATGCAGCACGGCATCCAAGTTTGTCTCTTCCTTCGCACTGATTCCGTAACAACTTACCTCACGGCGAACAATGGATTTGAGATCCATCTCTTCAATCAACTCGTCAACGGACAGTTTATTGGGAAGATCGGACTTGTTCCCCAACACCAACAAGGGGATGCCGTCTAGACTCGGCTTGTCTAATAAGTCGTGCAGCTCTTCCGTTGCAACGGGCAATGCTGCATGGTCAGCAGCATCGACAATATATCTAGTGAAATGATATTAGTCGAGAGACCTCCCTGGTTTGTTGTTGTTATATGCACTTACACTATAGCGTTTACCCCACGACAGTATCGTTCCCACATCGGTCGGAATCGTGGTTGACCTCCCAAATCCCAGCTATCAAGATATCAGAAATACTCGGAAAAAGCGGTATTAAGGGAACAAACCATTTCAACGTCACATGGCCCTTCTGGACCTTTTTGGTGTTAAAGCCGATGGTGGGTATGGAGCTGCAGGAGACCGACAGGTTAGTTGTGAGGGGTTCTGTTCCCTTGTGACCAGCCTCCTTATCACTCTCACGGTCACACGTGGATCGGTTGGAATGAGCTTACTCGATGGTGAATTCCCCTCCCTGGTTGCAGACGGGTGAGCAGAATTTCAATAGGAAGAAACGGAACGGAAAGAAACGAGAAAACACATACAGCTAAAACACGAAGCAACGAAGACTTGCCGGCGTTCTGGAGACCAATCATGGTGACGTCCATTTCGGTAGCCCTACAATAGAAGAGCACACGAACGGTCATTATTAGCCCGGTTGATCGATATAGCAAGTTGACGCTTGCTGGTTCGTGCGGAGATATGGGCCGACCCGTATCCAGCTGAAGCGCCATTTCCGCGACTGGATGGATCCATTTTATTCTGGATATACGAGAGAGCTTGACGTGATAGAGCAACAAAGCTTACCAAAACATCCGCAACAACCAGTCATAGATGATTCGAAAAATGCCGGCCATGGCGTCTTTTCAAGATGGGAATATCGACCGCGTAAATAGGTAGTAAAAAGGAAAGGAAAAGAAGAAGGGGAAAAAAAGGTATGATGAACGGGAAAGGAACGACTAGTAAAGAATAATGAAGATATATCCCAGTATTATTGCTGATAGTTATTGTCGATATTTCACTTGGTTTCGAGATTCGGCAAAAATCACAATCTTTGATGCAACCAACTTCCTTTTCCCCCATTCATCGGCTGACCAGCAGGTCCGAGTTGAGTCGGTCGAGAGTGAATGAATGAACCGATTAAAAAATTTTTATCGATTATTGAATTAACGATTAAGAATTGCTGTAGTCCTAATAAAGTGGCCGAGGAAGTGGATGGGATATCTTTCTGGGAGGCGCTGGAAGTGAAGGATTCAATGAAATCAGCCAAGTGGGGTGGTTGCCTTCACTTTTAGGCAGTCAACGCCCATTTTGTTTCTTTCTTTTCCATTGCTTGCTCCCACTCGAATAATCACCGTACTATGTACATACGGTATTACTAGATTACTATATTAGTACACTATTCAAAAAGAAAAAAAAGTGGCACATTCTTTTCTCTCTCTCTCAAATCAGGAAAAATCCCAAGGGTGCACATGACCGATCGGAGAACAGCCTGGGAGCCTTGATTAGTCCTACTCTACTTAGCCAAATTCGATAATCATTTATTCGAAAAGGCGATTGATTTGATCAAAAATTGGGTCATATCAATACATTATTGTACGCCGATTGGCTGTGTTACTATAGTTCTGTTGCCTGCCTTGGTCTATTGAGATACCATATCCAGAGACTACGGACTACGGACTAATAGCATATGCAATACATCACGTTGACTTTAGTAGGCTCGCACAGACTATATATTTACCGTGCAGTATACATAGTGTATGTAGGCAATCAAAAACATTGAAAGTGATTCTGCCTTGTAGCCTAGAGTTAGCTCTTCCTCGCTACCTATGAGAGATGACTTGATTTTGTGCAGGTACACCGGGACGAAATAAGAACGCCTTGATTGCCGAGTTTCGAGGCTGCAAGGAAAAGGTTTCTTATACGATATCATTCATTTATATATATGTATGTTATTGATATCTACTATCTCCCTATTTCCCTCGCATTCCATCCTACCGTTTCGCACAGCATGCTCAGTTCGTCAGCTCATACCAGACTGGTCATTGGGACTTGTCGACTTTAACCAGAGTAGGTAACAACAACCTCGGAAGAACTTGGGGTCGAAGCGGTGGTCAAAACCTGACCATTCTGCTCGATATCAATCAAATCAGCACCGTCAGTGCCGACAGATTCGCCGTTGGAAAGACCAGCTGAGGCAGATGTGAAAGTAACTGTTCCGAAGTTGTCAAGGGTAACCAAGCTACCACCAGACTCAAAATCCTCAACAATCCATTCGGCATTCTGACCACCCAAAGCAGAGGAAGAGTCAGGGGCGGTGAGGTCCTGGTTGACGGTCTGGCCATTGCTCAAATTCTGGATGGTGGCTGTTCCAGAGGTGCTGGAGCTGGACACAACCGAAACAGCAATAACGTCTCCAGCACTGATGTCAATGCCCGAAAAGTCGTAGGCATAATCCGGGAACCATTCATACCAGGCGTCAAAGGAGACGGCACCGCTGGCATCAACACTGAAGTCAACGCCGGTCTGCAGAATGGCGGCGCTGTAGGTGTCACCGTCAATACCAACCCAGGCGGAGGATGAGCCTGCTTGGCCGTTGACGGGCTGAGGGGTTGGGACAGTAAACTGAGCGGACACGGAAGTAAAGGTGGTGCCTGATGGAGGCGAGGTCAACACGGCGCCGGACCAGTTGGAGGAATAGTCAACATTGGTATTGTTGGTTTGCTTGGGGTGCGATAGACGGTTGCGTCCAGCAACACGGGCAGCAAGGCCGTGGCCTAAGGGGCTAGCAAATGCACTTGCTGCAAAGAGGGCAAAGGTAGTAGCAGTGAACTTCATTGTCACGGAGGACGATCTGATGGTGATACTGAAGAGAGTCTGAAAGGCAGATAAGAAAGAGTTGAGGTTGTGATCGATGAGGACAAAGTCAAAGAGGACGGCTTCGACCACTCATTATATACTTCACCTGATCGCTCCAACTCGACAACATGCCGGGATGGGATTTGCAATTCAACGCTAGAAGTGCGAATGGTTACATCGACAGAGGTTTGCCAGCACGTCTTGCAGCCGCTGAATGTGGTAACTTCCAGGCGACTAAGTCATGATGAGGAGTCGTATTGGCTGCCATCTTAGGATTCTCATCACCAATCTTGAACCAGACGCAATTCTCATATCAACACGCCATTTAGATTGATTCTCGAGCCACCTTTTGCGAGTTCATGCACAAACAACCATGAACCTCATCTCATCCAGGTGCGTTGGACAACGGGATAAGATGTCGCATCAGATAGCAGATAACAATGAGGTGACGAATCTGGGGTTGCTTACAACTCAATGCGTACCTCGTAATCTCGACACAAACTCTTATGATAGGTTGTAGTTGTGTGGACAATGTAGAATTCAATATCAGGCGCCAGCCGCGCCACCAATTTCGAGCAGACACCGTCAGATTTCTCGTCAAATCGAGCATTTTATTGGAGAGTCACGATACCATGTATCAATCACCCATCATTTCCACTGATATGTCTAGTCTCGACAAGGAAGGTGATCGGCTAAGAAACAAGCTTAAGCATTGTCAGCACAGGCAGACTATGGTAAATTAGACACTGCTAGGATGGCGCCATTAGTGTTAGTTTCAATCTAGATGTAAGGCTTTTCAGGAGACAATAAAACGATCGACATAAGAAGATGTGCTGGATGTAACGCTTGGTGCAATCATCTGGATATGTTCACGGATGCATGCGGGATTCAGGTCATTCGACCAGAATGTGATATCCAAATCCAAACTGAAGAAAGAGTCATGTGTAGATGAGGGATGTACATAGTCCGTGAGAGCCTTCGATGGAGGTGGCGCCGACTAGCCGGTAGTCGAGGGCGAAGTTAAGCATTTTCAAGAACGCCATACTGTCCGGCAGTCCGGATAATGAAGATTCGAATTCCGAGTCCATGCCATGAAAGACATCAATATGGTTTCAAAAGAAAAGTGGTGAAGGTAGTTAAACAAGAGAAATGCTTGGCTGACAAATCATATCAGAACTCACGTGATTTACACACATTGATTGGACGGTGGCTAGCTCTATCAGCACGTGATGATAACACACCGATCCACTCTAAAAATTTCCAGAAGGAAAAAGTCGAGATGGCTTCGTCCAACAACCTCGAAGGAGACACTCAACCAAGAAACTGAGTGCTGTCAAGCCATCGTTCTTCTAAATTCTAGAGCAGACATGGTTTCTCGCATGACTGGCTAATTTCACTTTTTCCTCCTCTTTTTTACTCATTGATAACCATAGAAGAAGATATTTTACGACTGATATAATCGCCAATATGGCTCCTGAGCCAACCAACACAGACTGGACCGTAGGGTTCGACACTCTCCGGCGAGAAAAGCTCTTCCGAAACCCTCCCAAAGACCGATCGGCTTATCCTATGCTACAGGCGGCCATTCGACCTCATATCGACTCATTCAATGCGCTCTTTGGAGAAAGCAAGATCATGGAGCACGCATTGGAAGACATGGGAATCAAAGTCTTCCTCGATGGAGATGCGGAAACGCCAGAACAACGAAGTGCTCGAAAGGCTAGAGGCGAAGCACCGCCCGTACGCAATCGTCTTAGTTTGCGCATCACGGAGCTTTTCTTAGACAAGGCCGTTCTACCGCCCACCAATAAATTCGTCCCTCGTCAGACTACTGCCAACGCTGATTATCGTAATATATATCCTGCAGAATGCAGAGAACGACATGCCACTTACCGAGGACGATTGCGTGCAAGACTTCAGTATCAAGTCAATAATGGAGAATGGCATGAGTCTGTACGAGAATTGGGTCAGGTACCCTTGATGTTAAGGTCCAACAGATGTCATTTAGAATCATTCAGCCCTCAGCAATTGGTGGATCACAAGGAAGAATCTGAGGAATTGGGTGGTTATTTCATCGTCAACGGAAATGAAAAACTGATTCGAATGTTGATCATGCCCAAACGCAACTTTCCCATGGCTATTAACCGACCGTCATTCCAGAAACGTGGTGCCGGCTTTACCACTTTTGGTGTTCAAATTCGATCCGCTCGACCAGATCAAACCACACAAACAAACGTTCTTCATTACCTATCTGATGGAAACGTCACATTCCGATTCTCATGGCGAAAGCAAGAATATCTTGTGCCTGTCATGATGATACTTAAGGCGCTCGTTGAGACTAATGACAGAGAGATCTTTGAAGGCATTGTTGGCAATGCGTCAACAAAGGGACCCGCCAACACTTTCGTCACGGACCGTGTAGAACTGCTTCTCAGAACATTTAAGGGCTACAAGATCTATTCTAGGTCCGATGCCAGAGCGTACCTAGGAAAGAAGTTCCGTCCCGTCTTATTTGCGCCTGCGACCTGGACCCATGAAGAATGCGGTGCTGAATTTCTGCGCAAGATCGTCCTTCCACACCTCGGCAACCAGAATGTCACGACCACACAAGATTACGATAAATTCAAACTGATGCTGTTTATGATCCGGAAGCTTTATGCCTTTGTCGCCGGCGACTGCGCCGCTGATAATCCTGACGCTATCTCCAACCAGGAAGTGATGCTAGGTGGCTACGTTTACGGCATGCTGTTGAAGGAAAGGCTTGAAGAATGGTTGTTAAGTTTTGGGAGACTTGTTCGGGACTGGTCATACAGAGGCGGCAATCTCAAATTTACAGATCCCTCGTTTGAGAAGGATTTTATAGGGAAGGTCATCAAACGCACCAACGAGAACATTGGTGGAGCGTTGGAGTATTTCTTGTCAACGGGTAATTTGGTCAGCCCAACTGGATTGGATATGCAACAAGCTTCTGGTTTCACTGTCGTCGCTGAAAAGATTAATTTCTATCGATTTATTGCTCATTTCCGCATGGTTCACAGAGGTACTTTCTTCGCTCAGCTCAAGACCACGGCGGTGCGTAAATTGTTACCCGAAAGTTGGGGTTTCATGTGTCCTGTCCATACGCCTGATGGTTCTCCCTGTGGATTGCTTAACCATTTGGCTCATAAATGTCTGATTGCTACGAGCGACTTGGACGTCTCACATATTCCTCGTGTCTTGGCGCAACTTGGTATCAAGTCTGAGGCTTCGGCCGAAGTCACCGAGTCTGTTTGTGTGCAGCTGAACGGACGAGTCGTGGGATACTGTTCACCGAAGCAAGCCAAGATGATTCATGACACTTTGCGGTTCTGGAAAGTTGAAGGCAGTCATGACATTCCCAAAGAACTCGAAATAGGCTATGTCCCCACCAGCAACGGTGGCCAATATCCTGGTATCTACATGTCCTCACAGCCAGCACGAATGTACCGTCCCGTTAAGTATTTGGCACTTGATAAACTCGACTACGTGGGTCCATTTGAGCAACCATTTATGGAAATCGCATGCTTGGAAGAGGACATTCGGTCCGGTCTCTCAACACACATCGAGTTTACTCCAACCAACATTCTCTCTATTATTGCCAACATGACGCCATTCTCAGACAACAACCAGTCTCCTCGTAACATGTACCAGTGCCAGATGAGCAAACAGACGATGGGTACTCCGGGAACGTCCTTCGCCTACCGCACAGACAACAAGCTGTACCGATTACAAACCGGTCAGACCCCGATTGTCCGACCACCATTGTACAATGCATATGGCTTGGACAACTTCCCCAACGGTGCAAATGCGGTTGTCGCAATTTTGGCGTACACTGGATATGATATGGACGACGCCATGGTTATCAACAAGTCTTCGCATGAGCGCGGTTTCGGACACGGTACTATCTACAAAACCAAATTCTATAACCTCGACGACAAGGATTCGCGACGAAACAAGTCCAAACGCGAGATCAGCAAGCTTTTCGGATTCGCTCCTGGCTCTGAAATCAAGGCTGAATATCGCGCGACTCTAGATGAGGATGGTCTCCCTCATCCCGGTGCCAAGATCAAAGAAGGTAGCTACGTAGCAGCCTGGTATACCGTCCGATACGATGCTGGTAGTGACTCGTATATCAATGTTGACGGAATCACGCATTTCCTCAAGTACAAAGATGCGGAAGAAGGCTACATTGACACTGTCCGCCTGGTGGGTAACGAGAATGGAAACGAGCCACTACAAGCCATTAGTGTCAAATTCCGTGTTCCGCGTCGTCCTATTATCGGTGACAAGTTTTCGTCTCGACACGGACAAAAGGGTGTGTGTTCGCAGTTGTGGCCTCAGATTGATATGCCATTTTCTGAGAGTGGTATTCAGCCTGATCTCATTATCAATCCTCACGCTTTCCCATCTCGTATGTTCTTTCCTTCCTTCTTGAACAGATTCAAACCATCATGCTAACATAAAATAGGTATGACAATCGCCCAAATCATCGAATCCATGGCCGGAAAAGCCGGCGCTCTCCACGGCCACCCGCAGGACTCAACACCCTTCCAATTCAGCGAGGAAAACACCGCAGCCGACTACTTCGGCCACCAACTACGCAAAGCAGGCTACAACTACCACGGCAACGAGCCCATGTACAGCGGTATCACAGGCAAAGAATTCGCAGCGGACATCTATCTCGGTGTAGTCCACTACCAACGTCTCCGACACATGGTCAACGATAAATTCCAAGTCCGTACCACAGGTCCCGTGAACAGCGTTACCGGTCAACCGGTCAAGGGCCGATCAAAGGGTGGTGGTATCCGTGTCGGAGAGATGGAACGTGACTCTTTACTTGCGCACGGTTGCGCGTTCTTGTTACAGGATCGATTGATGAATTGCTCCGATTCTCAACGGGCATGGATCTGTCGTGACTGCGGCTCTTTTCTTTCCACCCAAGTCGCTGTATCATCAAACTCCTCATCGGGTACTCAGGCCACGGGAGCGTCAGAGGTTAGCAAAGCAGCCCTCGCAGCAGCCGCGAAGGCAACGCCCAACAATCAAACCATTACCGCAAATCTATCACGTATAAGCGCCGTGAATGCCCTCGGTGGCACAAACGGTATTGTGCGTTGTCGTCGTTGCGCGCGTGAAGCCGTCTTTGATGATTCGCGGGCTATGATTTGGGAAGATGGGGATGGTAATCGGTTCGTTGGTGGGGATAATGTTACTGTTGTTGTTGTACCCGGTGTGTTGAGATATTTGGATGTTGAGTTGGCGGCTATGGGGATTAGGTTGAAGTTCAAAGTCGATCATTAGACAGCCCTCCCATCTTAGGTGGTAGACTTGTGAAAAAGTGATTTGTTTGTGGATGCTGCACAATTCTTTTTGAGCAATGGGCGTTTTTATTATTTATCAGTCATTTTTGTGTTGCATACAGCTAGGTGTTTACGCCTTGTATTCAGTCAATTTAAGTCCATGCAGATACATCCTTGAATTAACGTTTAGTTTAGCAGTATCTCAAGTCTCAATTTAGGATATATCTAAAAAGACACTGATAGAAGGAAACCCGAGCACACATGCTCTTGGTAATGAACTGGAAAAATTACACTTCAGCAGTAACATTCGTAAATTCACCCTTCTCCAACTTTGTCTTCCAGAAAATCGGGTCAGTATCACTGAATCCATGGTGAACCCATCCTTCTTCCTTAACGTGGTACAAATTGATGTATCCACCAGAGTATGCGTCACGGTGGGTAGCAGCGAGGATACTTCGTCGACCGAGTTCAAGAGCTTCGTCAGTGGAGAGATCGTATCTGTATTCGGCGTCTAGGACACCGTAGGCGAAAGTCTGACCGGAACCGACACAGAACAGGTTTCCTGCGAGACGGGTGCCGTCTGAATCGATATAATAAAGTGCTGGGCCTTCTTGAGGGGTCATCTAGTGACTATATTAGTATCGATTCTTCTGCTATCTGAGACTTAGGAAACGTACTCCTGCAAGCATAGTACCCATACCCAATCCCATAGACTTGTAAGAGTATGTCAAATTGGCCAAAATCTTTGATGCTGCCGCCACTGTGATTCGTCGCTTATGTCGGAGTTCTGTTCCAAAGTCAGTCAAGATGAATAGCACGGAAAGCACTGATTTGTCATACCATGAAGTGTACATTGCTCGCCCAGATATCTCAACCAGTATTGGCAATCCTATGATCCCATCTTAGTCTCATCACAATAATATAGCGGGAGAGCATCATACAGCTGCAGTACCAGCCATGGTTCCCAACAATCCCGGAACAGGAGCGTCATGATCCTTGTCCAAAGCCAAGTTCAATCGTGACACGGGAATGACCTTCTTAACTGTCTGACTGGCGATCCAGTTACCGGCCGTGGCTCGGGAGTCTGTAGCAACAATCTACCGGCTGAGTTAGTCGTCTATACTGTATGATGGATGAAATGCACACGTACGATTCCGTGCTGAAATCTGAAAGCTAACGTTGTCGTTCCGTGAGCGAGTTTGATAGGTGCACTGGGGTTCGAGTGGTCATCTGTCATAGCACGGAGGAAGGAGGAGGGCTAGATATACATAAAAATTAGCTATCTCTTCCCAATAATCCCAATAAGCAGATGGTAAACAAGAAAATAGATTCGGTGCAGGACTCCTGGCTCATCGGCAGTCGCACCGTCAACCACGCAGAAGAATATTCATTCTTCGATTGAAACACACCTTTGCAACAGGAGGAAGGTCGAATTTCAGTGACAACGGCGGGAGACACTGTGTAAGCTCACGCTGCTCTTCTTCAGAGTACATGGCATCTTGAAACGGCGAGCTGGAGTATTTGGCGACTAGCGTATCCATCTTGAAGTCGTCTAACAAGCGTGGGTCTGTTGAAAATCAACAAATCTAGCAAATTCAAAGTGAACACAGTGAAGAATGAAATAATTATTATACACAAGAGGTACAGTGAACAGATGATGGTTTGCGGTCTTGATGGAAGCTCCTTCTGTAGCTCCGAAGCTTCGCGTCACAGCTGCCTGACTAGTCACGTGAGACCTTACATAATCGCTTCCTATAAAAGTTAGCTAACTACGTTAAGTTAGTGAACATAGCTTACATTACTTAGTTATTTTGAGTCTCGTCCAGAGTTTCAGTTTTCCCAAAAACAATTTTACTGACTTTGACAGCTCTCAAATCATACAGTAAAACACTCTTCATTCGATCAATATAAGCAATAGTGTCATGTCATATCATGTCATGTCATATCATCTGAAAACCACATCAACGCATCACACATCAAGCATTACAAAAAGTAGCCCTATGAACAAACTAAACTATACAGGAATATACAGGAATGAACAAAGAAGCACTACGCTGTTGCAACTGTAGCCGGTTCATTAGCGTCCGTGGCGATAGCCTCCCTGTTTGCGACGCTATCCGACTCACCAACAGCATGAGAAGCGTGGGTTTCCACTGGCTCAACTCCATCTGCAACTGAAGCTGCTTCTTGTGGCTGATTCGCAGTCGCGGCTTCTGGCTTCGGCACCAAACTCTGACCTATTTCATTGGCGTTCGACGTAATGGGGTACATTGAGGGCTCCCACGCGCGCAAATCACCCTCGGCGTCGTTTAGAATATCTCGTGCTGCGGTGCTTTGCTCATAGGGTTTGACGGCGTCTCCAGGGACGATGGGTGTGTCGTCTAGGAGATTGACTAATCGGCGCGCATGTTGAGCGAGGATAATCTGCTTCTCGGCACGCTCGATGACAGCGGCAAGATGGACGTCGAACGCTTCCTTGAGTTTTTGTCGTGTCTATATCATGTCAGTTGACCGAACATCGCAGAATAGGAAACTGGAGAGATGCTTACCACATTCGACAACTGCGCTTCGGCCACCAAATTCTGGGCTTCAGCTCTCACAAGCTCCTGCTCCAACGTAACAATCTTCGTATTCGAAGGATCCTTGTACTTCAGCTTCTGAATCTCGTCGGAAATCTTATTGCGCGAATCTCGCGACGGTTGCACCGAACTCTCTGTGTTACGAATCTGCTTCAAGACACCGCGATACTCTTCCAAATTCTGGGCGAAGATATCCTCTTGCTCTCCAATCTCGGACAACAGCACACCGAGCTTATCCGAAATATCAGAAACACCTTCATCACCTGTCGCCTCGCCCCAGTCGGAGAGCTGGGAAGCAATCGAGACTCGTTCGCGACCGGCGGATTCATAGGCTCCAATGACGGCGTTTTCGTTTTTGATGATTTTGTAGAGTTTCTTGCTGAGTTCGGGCTGCTGATAGCCTCGCAAGGTGGTCATGGAGAAACGATGGCGGTTGGCGGATTTGTCCTGCCTGCCATCTTTTCTGGCGGATCGGATGGAGAGTGAGCGGTTCCTACGGCGGTTGGTTAGTCTCAGCCAATGCTGTGTAGGTGCCAAATGACTTGCATTGCGGTTGTTGTCTGTATATTTTGCTTGGAATATTCGACGGGGGCATAATTATGAACAAAATAGGTTACAGAGGGAATGCAGCAGTTTTAAGAGAAGCCTCGCCGTGACGTTTGCGGCGTGAGGGGCGATCTCGGGTGGAGTTGACGTCACCCGCAGCTTCCTCTTCTTTTTATTTTTACAACTTCACATCAGAAGAACAGTTCGATTTCAAATCTACCAATAACTCCAAATCTGACAAATTCCCAGGGTATCAACCAACTATTCCGTATACCAACCCATCCCGACGCTCAAATGGCAGACAGACAGACGCGAACCCGAGACTCCTCGACCTCTAGCAACACGAAGCGAACTATGCTATGAGCAGAACAAAAAACCCGAACAGATTTCGAAAGCAGGACTCGAAAGAAACACGATCCATCTATGGCCTCCTCTCAATAATTCGCACGCTCGTAGTGCGATATCTATCGCCTCGTCTGCCGCCGTACTCAAGATAATCGGGCACAGATAACCGCACAGATCGCTCGGTCTCATAACGTACAGGTATCACATCGTACGAACGAGTATGGCGCCGTGTTCTAGTGATTGTCGTATATGAAGATCGTGAATTGCGCGATGGAGATGGCGGCGACCGCGTATATACAAAGCAGGATGGTGATCTATATGGATATGAATATGTGGGAGAAGATGAGATTTCCTCGTAGACTCGACGGCGCTGAACGACCCTGATGGATGTTGTTGGCTCGTCGTATTCTTCGTACCAGCACATAGTGACAGATATTTGTTGTGAGAGTATAGAAGTTGTTATATGGGTGGAACAGGGAAGACACTGAGGTAAATGAATCTTATTTATGCTGTTTCCAGGTCGATGAGGGCTATGGTATGTATGGGGCTTCTCCTTCGATTATGCTTGACAAAGAAGTAAATTTGACGTGACTCTCCACCCAAATACAATAGAGAATACATCTCTTTATATACAAGATCACTTTCCCGCGTGATACTTGACTGGATCGGGAGTTTAGCACATGCAAAGAATCTCGCATGACATGCAAGTCGTACCTGACAGTAGAACGACTCAGCCATAATCGAGAACAGCCACACTTTCCCTATAGAAAATGTTGCCGGAGATGTCATAGTCATACTATGATCATGCTGAAAATGGCGTAGTCCGAGTTCGAGGCTGAATTGAGCCAAATCGGGAGGACTGCGCCACGATTCTAGTACCGTGAACTACTTCTAGTCTTTAGGGATTCTTCGTTCAGCCATTATAACGAATAGAACCTATCTAGTCAATCGAATTTAATGAAAACTATCACGATGCAATCGTTATTGACGGAAGTGAGGCCGGAGCCTGCCTCTTGCCTACGAGACAACTCCGCACCACAAGTCTTTCTTTTTCTTCTTCCTTTATTTCCTCAATAACAGATGCCTGTGTGAAAGCAACTACTGGCATTTAATATGGATTCTTTCAGGCAGTCATCGTCTATGGCAACTTCCAGCTGATTTCTGATTGGAATCATCAAGTCTATGCCAAACTTCACCTGTCTCTGAGCCCTCATTAACGCTTCCTCGCGTTTCAACTCGATCTTTATGACGCTGCCTCCACAAGTCTTTCAGGCTGTCTTACAGTCGACGCCGCGCTCCGTCGAGGTTCTCATACGAATCGTACTGGTTGTACGCGTTTCACCAAGTCAGTCCATTGATTTGAACGATGTTACCAGATATATGCTTAGAGAAAACGCTTTTGTTCCTTTACCCTCTGCATTTTCTAATATCGGGCAAGAGTCGAAATTATATCTACTGGTACGCGAGATGGTGGAATTGGGCATAATATCCATGGTCTATCACATGCTTGCTTGGTGTTTCACATCACGGAAAATGTGAAGCCTCCCAGAACACCCTGGGTGGATGACAGTGACCCTGAGGATGATCCTATATTCGACCTCTTACCACATCAGTCACGAGGCGAGCAAGGCCAGCTGCTCCACGAACCTCCCACATTTGCAGAAGATGGAAAGGGATTCGAAGTCCGTACATTTACAGAGGAACAAAAATTGATTAGACTCATGTGGAAACTAGAGGCATACTCTGCACTAAGTACAGCTTCTAGGGTGAGAAAATTGTCTCATTGGCCAGAAATCATCTCGACCATTTGAACGTCTATAAGTGGAAGTGTTTCACAGGGCTTTGGAACGGTAAGGTGCCCACTTGGGATATCTCATGCGAGGAAGCGCGTCGAAGGCGTGCTCTATTATCTCAGGTGGGTTTCCGATGACTTAAAACTGGCAATAGATAAGCTTGTGTTACAGAGAAAGGAAGACCCAGAGGTATTAATGCTCGTCTTTAAAGATATGCCCGTGAGCATACGCAATAGGGGCTGGCATGCACCTTGTCCACCGAAATCAAACCCGTCGCTTGTTTTGGCCAGGAGAACATAGCTGTGGATGAGCTTATCGAAGCACCCCCTGGGGTTGGAGACGTTACAACGAAATCGGGTTCGATCCAAGACGTCGGGGCCCATGTTTGCGATGCGGAGACTTACTTTGGGAGATTGAACGAATGGATAATATAATGTTACACGGATCTCAACTACGTATTTATATCTGTAAGATGCGTGACATTGACACCTGAGTTTTTCACATTTTCTGTGAAGGGGCTAGAGCGAGAAAGCGTGGACATTGAGGATAATTAAGTTGGCGTCCAGTAAGATAAGCTTGGCCATAGAAAGCTTTCTGTATCCGTGAGATATCATTCTTGAGATCAAACTCTGCACTACCTAGAAACTAGGCGCCTATGTAGGTATATATATTATATGCCAGCTAGCTGTGTACCACGGTCTATGCCTAGCTGTGCCGTAGTACACAATCTCCAAAAGACTTAGCCTAGAGCATATACCTGAAATCCTCTCCATAATTCTCCTCCGCCACGACAAAGTCCGCCTTCTGGTTCGCCTGACGCTCCTGTTTAGTACCGTACTGCCTATCCAACTTCTGATTCTCATACGCCAGCAAAGTCCGCAGACACAGACATAGGAACAAATTGAAAAACATGAATGCAGCACAGATCCATAATCCGCGCGCATAACGGGGCGAATCCGTTGAAGGGAAGGAGTTTGTGCCTAGGAACGGACCGCATTGGCCGATGAGGTTGAGCATGACCATTGCCATGCCGCGGCGGGTATCTGAGCCTTGGTTGTCTTACCACTCAATTAGAATCGTATATTAGAAAAAACCGAGGGTTAGAGGGGGGAACTTACTCAAAACCCAAGACAGAATATTACCGATGGCAGGAAAGACTCCACTAGCAGCAAGGAACACGCCGAAATAGCGTACACCAACAGGTTCGGCTGCAGCCACAATCACGTATCCCACTGCACCGATTGTTGACAGGACCGCAATCACGAGACCCCTCTGTTCCAGTCGGTCTGCAACCCAGGTTGAGAAGATGGTGACAAGGAACGCTAGGAAGAATGGTGGGGCTTCGAGACCCTGCGCGTTGACGGACGAGTAGCCCATGTCTTCGAGGATGGTGGGGAGGAAGACAGGTAGAGACGAGTAGCTCACGTTGCAGCTGAAGTACATGAGCTAGACGGCAGTCAGCTTTTTGCTTTGACTCTTCATGAAAGTGTGAGGTAAGGCAGTGGGAAGACCTACAGCTGTAAACCAAGGTTTAGGATCGAGCAAAGTGAGTCCGATATCCTTCCAATCAATCTTATGAGTCGTGACCTCCTCGCCGCTCCGTCTCAAACTTCTCGCTTTGGCAACAGCCCTCTCTTCCTCTGTAAGAAACTTGGCTTCTCCAGGTGAATCCGGTAATAAGAAATACGCAAAAGGCACAAAGAGTATAGTCGGGAGACCTTCAACCAAAAACAAAAGCCTCCAGTTCGCGATATGCGGATGTCCCGATGTAATTCCATACGCCAAAGCACCGGCAAATGTCGCCGCGAGAGGGGCGCAAGAAAGGAAAAGACCGCATCGGAAACCAAGTTCGCGGCGACTGTAGAAAAAGGAAAGTAAATAGGGAATACCAGGCCCAAAGCCGGCTTCTGCTGCTCCTAGGAGGAATCGGCAGGCCATCATTCCGCCCCAACTTGTGGTTGCTGATTGGCATGTTGCGATGACTCCCCTTGTTCCAGTTAGTTTTGTTTCTTTTATAGCCAGGGACTTAGATTATCCATACCATGCGAGCATGGTAAATGCAGCCCATTGGTGCGGTTTGAGGACTTTCCACATCAAAGCTTGAAACTCAAACAGGGTGTAGGAAATATAGAAAATGGTCAGAAGCCACGCGTATTTCCCGCCATCTAGATGTAAATCCTTCTTCATTCCGGCAATTTGGGCATTGCTATTCATTATTCTCGGTTAGCTCTTTCTGGTTCGAGGATCTCGATAGCGAAGTGATTCCATACCCGATATTGCTGCGATCTAAATACGATAGCAAAACTATGCCGTCGTCTTGGTCAGTTGAAATATACAATTAGAAAGCAAGGATATACATACACATAAATCCTGTAAGCACAGGAAGTCGACGATCCAGTTTCCGAACGACACGCTTCTCGATAACTGGGTCAATGGCAGGCGCGATAGGACCGAGTTCCGCATCGTGCTCAATCTGCATGTCCTCAGGTTTCTCAGCGTCCGGGTAAGAAGTAGTCACTTCTTCGATGTTATTGTGTTCTCCAGCGGTCGCCATTGTGTTGTTTTGATCTTTGCTAGAATCCGTGGACAGGTGCAAAAAGAATGCTGATCGGGAAGAATCCGGGGTGCGGAGCCCGGGGTAATAATGAGCCCTTATATACGCCTAAGAAACCCCAAGAATGCTTACCCCAGAACAAGCATCAACTCACCCAACCCACACTCGGGACTTTCAGGAAGATTGTTTCTTTGTCTCCAACCTCGTGGCTTGATCCATGTGGGAACGAAAGCAGAACTAAACATGTCCGGTCCTTATTGTACACGCCGGACCACTCGTTTGACGTCAAGATCACACAAGGAAATAGATGGCACGCTATCTCCGAGCTTGTAATTGGGCCATATTTCGTGGGGGTGCGCAAGAAATGCAGGAAAACTGAGCCGGTGAGTAGGCCGAATTATGTGGAGGAGTCACACGTCTTCTCCATAAGATGCTTCATTCTGCAGATGGATTGGATTCATTGGATTGGAGATGTGAACCCTGTTCCCGGCTTGCATCGATCGTTTGCCGCGTTGAGCGGTGGGCAAAACACTCTTCCATCTCGGCTCAAAGCAATTCAGATTCCAAGCGTCAATTTTGAATTTTTGAATTCATGCTAATCTCTATCCTGGGGAGCTTGGCATCTTCTTATGAACTCTAAACACCCGAGAAATCTGATGCTTTTCCTTGTTTAAGCTAAATCCGACGTCCGGAGGTTACATTCTGTCAGCCTTCATACCCCGCAAAGTCTGGGGAAATTCTCGTGGGATTTGTATGGTCTGATCCCTGTTCGTACACGATCCATTGGACGGATTCATATAAGCGGACGGATTTGAGACTCGTAGGATTTAGCTTATCTACTCGTTGACCAATCGGACCAGGAGAGTCCTTTATCCTGTGTTGGTTATTTCCGAATGCTTCAAATCCGATTACTGGAACGAAGTACATCCGGAAGAAATAACTTGTATACAGACCGCTTTGTTTCTCATCCCTAGCACAAACAGTGAGCGATTGTCGGACAAATTGGATATGAGCTAGAAAACAAATAGAAGTTCATAGGTAAACGTTAATAGGTGGAAAGAGTGGATTACCTTATCTTTGCAGGGACCTAGACTTCTAGCTACATTAGTGGTCTTGTAGCAATGCTGGAACAGAATCCTCACAACAACCTCAACGGCAATCGTTACAATGCGAACACGAATACCCTCTCGCTTTCCTGTGCCCATCATTCAATTCGCGGAACGAAATGATATTCCAGAATTGGTGCGTGTTTGGCTTGCGGCCGAAAGAACCAATCTTCTCATGTTCTACCACTTTCCCACAGAAGAGAGCAGATCCGAATATGCTGAGCAAGCAATCAAAGTATTAGACGAGAACTTTGATGACCCGCACCTTCTCCTCTTGAAAGCTGTGGATCCAGATACAAGCCGGATCACGGCCATGGCTGTTTGGCAAAAGAGGGGTTACGGACAGCCCAGTGCGCAGTCGGAGGATATATTCGCTGGTGCTGGAGGTCTTCTATTCAATAGGATGACAAACAATAGTAGTGGACGTATGACTCTAGATTCCGATCAAATACCCCTGGAACGCTATATCGACACCCAATTCAAGCGATTCCTGGCTTCGTGGGCTCAGAACTCAAAACATCTCTACCTCGCGCTTCTCATGACCGATCCTAACTTCCAACGAAGAGGTATCGGGACGGCGATGCTGGAATGGGGTCATAAGCATGCGGATGAGGCTGGCATACCGGCGTTTCTGATTGCTTCCCCAGTTGGGCACCCCTTATATCAGCATGTGGGCTGGAAGGACGTCGATACACCTCTGCAGATTGACTTGTCACAGTGGGCAGCAGGTGCTCAGGGAGGCGATATGGGCTGGGGAGTGTACAAGTATTACTATATGTTGCGCATGGCAAAAACGGCTGCCATGCCAGAGTGAATTCTTGGAATTGATAGAGGTCGTAGAAATAAGATTGAGTCACCTGAAAGTCAAATTGATACTTTACTGCCTCAGGCATCAACAACTGTTTGCAGCCTGAGGCAGAAGTGCACATGTGGTCTCTGTGCCCTTCCCGGCTCCCGCATATCGACTTTTTGAGCGACTTCCATCTCCGCGTCGCGTCAAGAACATTATCACATGTAGCTTGTCCACTCACTTCATTTACCACTGTCACCTGAATCTCTTCGAAGAATTAATTTGAAAATTATCGCGATTCTTCTTGGCTATTCTCATACCGGAATTGGTCACATCTATTGCTCAACATGCAGGATCCGGCGGGTGGACTCCCGGGCCAGTTGGTGAGCTTTTTGATTCCATCAACATATCAATATATTGCTGATTATTTGACTCAATTATAGGTGCCACATATGCACTTGGTCTCAAGAAACAGATATCCAGCAATGACAGCCTTGCCGACCGAAACTGTCCTTGACTATCTGTTGGCTGCACCCAAGGTCGTGCGCGATATGTACCCTATGGCATGGACCTTTCTGGATGGACCCCAAGATGGAACTACATTACTTACATGGCAGCCCCTTGCCAATTTGGGGACTACTTTTGCTAGTGATGGATATGTTTGGGCCGATGCAGAACAAGCTTTCACTTTCGAAACCCGTGGCTACGTACGTAATATCAACACTCTACATCCGAGTCTAATGCTAATGAGTAGGTTCGATTTAGACGATAGAAATGTGGGTTCAGCGAAGTGGCTATCATCCTCCCCAGGAAACCGTTGCCAGCCACTCACGCCGTCGTTATCGTCTCGTCCCTTCTAAGGTCCCTTCGAATGCGCCAAGTCCCGATCCTTCGCTATGGATCGTCCATTACGCGCGTGCCTCTCAGAACGATATGATTCCAGCTCAACGTATCCCGATCACCCCCCAAGTGCAGACGACGCTTGCCCAGCGACGATTTTTGCAGACCCAGGGCCAGCTAGTTCGCAAGGAGTTCATGTTGCACGATCGCAACAGCTGGCCCACAATCACTTTCCCAGCACAGATGGGCGCACAGGGATTCGCGCAGCCACAAGCCTATTATGCAAATGCTGGCCGCCAACCACCGCCGGGTGCTTATTATCCTCCTCCACAACCTGGTATGCCTGCCGGACAGGTACCGGTAAAAGCCCCTCGCGGTCACCGTACGTCTGCAGGCTCAGTTGCTGGTGCGGCAGCGGAATTCTCGATGGAAGATGAAGACGCTTCTACGGGCGATATACTTGACGTGATCACTCCGCGAGAGATAAGCAAGATGCGTTACCAGCAGCATCATGAATGGATAGAGGAAGTTTTTGCTTCACCTTATACTATCAAACAAATTACACCTGTTGATCTTGGACTTGGCCGCAAAGGAGAACTCGAATCGTTGACGAGTGGTTTTTTTGAGGCTCCTGTGACTTCCACTCACCCTAAAGATGGCCCCAACACCGCTTTAAAGGAGGGTAAAATGGAGCCGGAGAAAGCAGAAGAGTTCGCCGATCGCGTCGCTAAGAAAGTCTCTGATATGACAGCTGAAATTGAGAAATTGAAACGACGCCATGAACGAAGGATGCAGAAGATCGGCCGAGTGTCAGTATTGAAGGACGCTGAACAACGTCTTCGTGAGGCCGGGGCCAATCCTTCCGAGACTGGACGAGAAGTCTGGAGATTAGAAGGCCGTATCGATACCTCCACCGAGGAGGAGGTTCCTACTGAAAGCCCTCTCGAGGATATCTCAGTTCGAGTGCCACAGTATCGAGTAGATGAGGTGGTCAAAGATTTGGAAAAGGCCTACGGTAAAACGATCGTTCCCGATCCGAGCATTACTTGTGTGGAAAAGGGTGGTCTGTTGGAACGCATCGAAGCTTCGCCAGCACCTGAAGATATTACTGGTGCGGATACGGATATGTTGATGGAAACCAGTATTCTAGATCAATTTGTTGCATCGTCTACGTCTCCACCCGGTCAAGGAAGTCAACAGGCGGCGGTCTCTACAGCAGTCCCCGCTACACAACCTACAGGAGATGGTGACGTTGAGATGGGAGGCGCAACGAATGCATTGACACAATCAGGTACTGCTGCCGGCGAAACTGGAGATTGGGTAGTGGTAGAGAACGAGAATAGCGGGAACGTCCCATCAGTTACCGCCGACAAGCCTATCACAAACAATGCACCCACCGGTGGTGAAACTTCAGGTGTGGAAACGAGTAATTTCGATGATGCCGCCAACTTCACAAACCTGGATTCAGCGGGCGATGCGCTCGCCGCGTATGATGATCAGCACGACGGGTTAGACCTTCCGGATCTCGAAAATTCGGCTTTTGGAGACGCTTTCCACGCATCGGATCATGAGATGGGACATCATCCAGATGATGACGAGATGTCATAGGCTGTGTAACATTTCTTTCTTTTCTTCTGACCTGGGTCTGTAGGGATTGTAATTATCGGCGCGAGGATTTAGGGTTTTCTTTCTATTCTTCTGGGTCGGGAGTCGATTGATTTCGATGGTTAGATGATGTGTACTATGCTTAGTATACTAGCTAGGCTAGATGGCTATAATCCTGTTCAAAGACAGAATCTAGTTGTAACATTGTGAGGGTAATGATTGCAGCTGTACTCTAAACATCCCTGTTGTCTCAGTTTTGAACTTGAAGGACTCTCTTATTGAAATGGGTGGGCTTTGACCTCGAGTGCCCTAAACCCTAAATTGGATGACAGCAGAGCAACGTTGGAAACTACCAATTACTCGGAAGATCGCCCAAAGAATTAAGGCATTCATAGGAACAACAAACTCGCATAGGGGATCCGTTATCTGGTCGCTTCACACTTTTGATGCAAGCAATGGAGTTGACTTGCATCACCCCGTCGACGCACTACACCGTACATAGTAATAAGTCCTGCAAACGACGGACTGATCTCTTCGGTGTTCGGAAGCCGGTCGTCTTTTTGCTTTTTCTCCGTGCATGCTGCCAACTAGTTGTAACGGTCGGGTTGTATGAAGAATATGACATGCATAGCATGGCATCCAATGTCCAGTCATGAATGAAGCTTTTCCGGAGACCCTGTTTATTAAAATGCGACCTCTATGAGACCTTTACTTTGTTTGTCTCTAATCCGTTCTTCCTCCGAATATCACCTACCTGCTACCTAGCCAGGACTAATCGCAATTAGCGAATGAGAAGTTGTGAATATGACCAGGAAGCGGAATGATGATAGGAGTGAGAACTAAGAAAAGATTTGTAAACAGTCGTACAGGGTTGGACGGATCTTCGTATTGTCTTTTCTGCATGCATCTCGGTCTTGTCCGACTGGCAGTTACTATCTCGACGAGTTCAAGATGTTTGCGTCAGCTGCTTGTTCGAGTGTGCTGGCCTGACTTTCGCCCTTTTTTTTTGTTGAATGAGCAGGTCACTCTCTCCTGGTAACGGGAGTAGACACTATATTTGAGTCCTGGGTTATCTAGTCTCGAACCTTTGAACCTTGTCAATTAGTGTATGAGCAGCCGAAGAGAACGGATGATCGCACATGGATGGGTGACAGGTTGAAGTAGCACATAATGTCACACGATATCATCACTTGCTGTATGCAGAGCGTATCCGATTCGAATACACGGCCAAATGGTTCGGAAGAATGTAATATATATTCATTCCAATTGGTCAAATTCATTTAGTCTCCGTCTTCTGTAGTAGCCTGAATGAGCTTAGACCCCGGTATTAGACCGTTACGTTTCTTCAGGACCAGTGAGCCAATCAAAATAATCGAATATGTACGAGAGAGACGGACTATATTCTAAAGTAGTCTAGTGCATTACCGGGCGATACAGAGGTATGTAAGAATGATCAGCATCCTTGGTAGTTTGAGCTTCACTCTTTCATCCTCTCTTTTTTCTTTCTTGTTTTTTTTGTTCTTTGGTCTCGTCTTTATCTTTATTATTTGTCTAAATAGAATTATATAACTCACTATCTGCTTCGGCTTCGGACTTTCACGATAATGAGAATGTGAATTATATATTGGATAACAGGAATTCCCGCAAGACATCGAATAATGAACCCTGAGCACAGTGATTCGGACAGCGGCTCGATTTTCACTGTAAAGACCAACACCACAGCTCCGACTGAGTGGACCTCGGAGGAAGGCATTGATCCTCACGATGAAAGCGATGTCATGTCGGTGTTGGAGAGTTTGTATGTCCACCGGCTCGGTTGCAACCTCTTAGTTATGGAAACAAAGAATCAAGTGGTTTATTTACACGATGACACAGATATGGCGGTGACTCGACATATTCCTTATCATCTAGCGTTTTGAATTACCACTTTGAAGTATGCGAGTCAGTTGCCATTTGTTTTTTGATCTTTCTAATTTTTATCTGCAGAATGGTCGACGATATCATGCCTATCACGAAGGAAAATATATCATGGTACGGACAATATAGAGTTCGAATCAGGGGATAATATTGACGAATGCCTCCAGCCAAATGATGACCAGGAACAGAATAAATTGATGCTGGTAAGGTTGAAGCTTTGCGCTTATCTCGGGATGGACCCATTACTAAACTCTAATTTAGATGCATCTGTGCTATGCGCTGGTCTTTGATGGCAGACTGCATTTATCGCCTATATCAACCAATCCGCAGAATGTGTTGGATATTGGTACGGGGAGAGGAGATTGGGCTATTGATTTTGCTGAGTATGTGACGACCTTTTCCTTATTTATCAACCGTAACTCATATATTGTTTATAGAGCGTATCCATCTGCGCGGGTTATTGGCACGGATCTCAGTCCAATTCAGCCTTTATGGTAGGGGTCCACTCATATTGCTCATGCACGAATCTTCGAATAGTGCGCAAACGTGCTGCTAAAGAAATGTCTGTCCACAATAGGGTTCCCCCAAATTGTACTTTCGAAATCGACGATGCAGAAGACGAATGGCTTTACACTCAACAATTTGACTTGATTCATACCCGAACGATATGTGGTGCCATCCGGGATTGGCCACGATTTCACAGACAGGCCTTTGATCATGTCAAACCGGGCGGTTGGTTCGAGATGCAGGAGAATGACGCATGGTTTCAGCGCGACGACGGCTCATGTCCCGAATGGACCCAGATGTTTTTGGAGAAGTTGGACGAAGCTAGTATTTTAAGTGGGAGGCGGCTTAATGTTGCCAGAGATCAGAAACAGTATATGATTGATGCCGGGTTCATTAATGTGCATGACGTGATTTTTAGGGTTGGTTACTCCTTTTATTCGGGTTCTCGTGATATGGTATATGCTGACAGGATGCAGCTACCACTGAGCCCGTGGCATAGCGATCCACGCATGAAAGAAATCGGCCGATTACGTGGGTTGGCGATGAACGAAGGAGTCGAAGGTTACAGTCTCGCATTATATACACGATTCCTGGGCTGGAGTCCAAACGAGGTACGAATCTTGCTGGCCAAGGTGCGCTCTGAATTCAACGATGTACGAAATCAAATGTACATTGCTGTGTAAGTTGCACTTCTACGACGGTTTCAACCTTCCGGCACCTGACTGACCCAATCTTATGAAATAGACATGTCGTATATGGCCAGAAACCGGAAGAAGTGGCCTAACATTGATTTGAAATCGTGTACTTCACCTAGGCTATAGATGTATTCCCAAATCGACCCCGTACCGTGGACCTTGTGGTGTTTTTGGTCTTTGCGTCTTTGCTCTCTTTTGACTGATATGTACATTGGCGTGCTCGATACCCTTCCTTCATAGTTTGATTCTTGCTCCTTGACAAATTCTATATATTTTTTTCCCCTCTGAGCCACTTACGTATCTCATTATAGGATTCATCTCATGATTCTCGGCCAACTCAAGTGGCAGTCGATCTACGAAGCTAAGCTGGATTTCCACATGTCCGTGCTATGTGAGTGGCCAGACCCCGTAAATATCTAGGGTAAGCTTTCTAAATTGAGTGGTACGGGACGGGTGGCGGCATGATCCGGCCGTCAATCATTCGTTTGACGTGGCTATTCTAGCCGAAGCTGCTCAATACAACTGGATACCGAATGTTTGGGGGGAGAAATGAAAATGATTTAGCGTATCCGACAGAAAAAGAAAGAAGATGAGAGAAGAACGATATGCGAGTATCATGTACAGCATGCATGAACCCATAGTTTTGGTAAGTTCCCGCTACCTGCTGTAGGTACATGTACATCTAGAAAGTTACGGCCGGACATGTAGATGTGTGATGGGGAGTCTTGCATGCATACAGAACCAGTACTTGGGTACGTGCAATAGGCAGGCATGCAAGTTTCGAAATGTATGGACCAGAACCTAAGTTGAATGAGATATTGGAGGGGAGAACAAACTCATAATGCTAACTCTTTTTAGTAGTTGCCTGCTTGATGAGTTGGCCACCCCGTAGGACAACGTACAGTAAGTCGATGTGCATAGATGTAGAATGCAAACACTAACCCACTCGGACCTCCACGGATCATGCACTTTTCTGCAGTAGATTTGCATTCCAGAGTTTGTAGTATGCAGGCAGATATTGCTTGCCTTTGACTAGCAATTTTATTGGTATCGGGTATTATTGGCTGGATGGTGCAGGGGTTATTGGCCATGGTGTATGTCCAATAGCATGCTTTACAGCCATTTCCTTTTCTTTTCTTTTGACTCGGGCGGTTCTTCTCTTTCTCAATATCCGACTCCTGGTTTGAATTAAGGATTTCGTGTGTATGGATTATACGAAGGTGATTACGATGAGTTCTTCTTTTTAATATCTGGGTTTCCTACTTGCAAATACAGATTGTATTTTGGACGATCTGCAGCAGACTTCATTCGAACCCACTCTTCGTATGAAGAAGACCCAAAAACAGACTATCGCAGCCCTGAAAATATGATCCATACCAGTCGCCTTCAAATAATTGCAAACCAAGCCAAATTTTAACAGGGTGAATTGCTTTGACAGTTTTGCGTCTCATGACAGTGACACGTGTGCCCTCCGAGCCCCGGAAATCGATTCTGATCTCAGCGCGGTAGCACAAGACATCCTGCGCTTGAGCGATTCTCGGGAATTCCCAATATGATATTCAAAAACTATGTGGGCATGTCTTATCATCATGAAGAAGAGGAGAAGATGGTGGGGCATGCATACTGAAATCCACTGTTTAATGCCCGCAAAAGACTGGGGTTTCAGCACAGACACGTAAATTAAATTAACTACCAACATTCACCCTGGAAGTTGTAATGAAGTATTCAATACTGATCGTGCGGATTGTATTATCGAGATCATGAGGTTCCTGTCAGACAAAACCCTGTTGGTTATGAAATGCTCAACTCGGAATTCCAGGTTAATTTCCGTTCGTCAGGATGCAATCGAACCATTTCTTTATTCCCTGATACACTCGTGAAATTGGCAGCCACGAGTCACTGTTGTCCACATGAGCCCTGTCCCTGCAAACTATACAATTACCCGAGTTCATACCGCTACATAGTTCGGTGTAGGCTGTCGCCGATCTTTAAAGATTCCACCTTTTATACTCGTAGTATTCGTAGGATTAGTGCAGTACATATCGACCTAGGCAAACAACCGTCAGTTCTGAGACGCTCAATCTATATCTTGCGAGCCGAGCCCATGTATGTAGTTGCACGTGGGTCCTTTACAGCCTAGAGGACTTCTTGTCCTCTAATCTTCCCTTTTTGGGTACTATATTAACTGCTAGTAAGTAATAGTACCTATATAAGAGAAAAGTCGCCTTCCTGTAACACTAGCCACTTCCCAATTTCATATCTATCTAGTTCGACTCCTTACGGTACAACCTTCGGACGTTCGGGAATGCCTGTCATTGATATCAGTTGACTCGTCTGATATAACACTATCATTGGAATTAGTTTCTCTTATTGGGAGACATCGTGTGACTCAACAATCTTGACTCGAATGGTATTCGCCTCGACATTCATCGACTATTCCCCAACCCCATTTTACCGTACCTGGTACCTAGGTTGGCACCAAATCAACGTTGAAATCTTAGAACATAAAACATACACATTGCCATGTCCGGCACTCTATCCGCACAAGCCGAGGCTCTTGTCTCCAAGATAAAAGAGCTTGAAACGTCAAGTAACAACATCAGTCGAGCTGATCGTCTTCGATTAGTCCAGTCGTTGGAGAAATTGACGCTGCAATTGAAAGATCCAAAGGATGCAATTTTTGACCATTTGACCAATGTATGATTCCTGTCTCTCTAAAAGATGCCTCTATTAGTCACGGAAGTCATGTTGACCTTTTGGTTTGATGATGTAGGTATTTTCGCTCGTCAATCTGCGAGCTTTGCTGGAGTTGGAGGTGCCCCAAAATATACCTACGACAGGAAGTATCTCGGCTACTGAACTGGCTGAGAAAGTCAAGGCTGATGCATCGCTGATCGGTATGTATGGCCCATGATGGAGCATAAACATGAAGTGCATCACTGAAATATTGATAGTTCGTCTTATGCGAATATTGACCGTCACCGGTATCTTTGCCATGGTTGGTCCAGATGAATATGCTCACACGCCATACTCATTGGCTTATATCGAGGGACACGAAGTTGACTTCCTTAAATTATGGTAAGCATCTATCAATCTTACATTTTTGTACAGCGCACTGACGAAATCACCAGCTGCGATGAGATTCTCGTAGTCACATCTCGTCTCCCTGAATACTTCCGCGCCGTTGGTGCCCGTGATACCACCAGCATGACCGAAAACCCATTCACATGGGGAAATGGAAAGCTAGGATCAAGCTTCTTTGAAATAATTTCTCAAGATCCACGCCGAATTAAACAGTTCGACATCGCAATGTCGACTCAAGACCATACTTTGCCCGTTTTGGGCATGTATCCATTTGGCGAGGAGCTTATTAACTCCCCTGATTTGGGGAATAGGGCTTTGATTGTAGATATTGGCGGTGGTAGGGGTCAGTCATTGTTGCAGATTAAGGAGAAGTGGCCTCAGTTGCGAGGGAGAATGATTCTCCAGGATCGGCCTGTGGTTCTCAATTCTTTTCCTGAATTACCAGGAATCGAGAAGATGCCTCATAATTTCTTCACACAGCAGCCCGTCAGATGTAAGTTTGCTCTTGCCTCAACCTCCAAAAAGCCATATTCTGACCAAAATAGACGCACATGCATACTATATTCGCCGCTGCATACACAACTGGACAGACGAACACTCCATCCAGATCCTGAAAGTAATTGTCCCATCCATGGCCCCTGATTCACGCGTCCTCATTGGTGAAATGGTCGTCCCAGAATACAACAGTATCCGTCCCGGTGGTGTCGAGGACATGGCCCCTTACTGGATGGACCATAATATGTTTGCATTTGGTGGGAGGGAGCGCACAAAGTCGGATTTTGAGAAGCTTTTCGCAGCTTCGGGGTTGAAACTAGTTAAGGTTTGGCAGAGTGAGGCGTCGAGTCAGGCTGTGTTGGAGGCTAGGCTGGCCGATTCATGATTTCTCGGGTTTCCTTTTAATGATTCTATGGTGATGATAGATTTCAAGGTTAATGACTGTTATGCTGTTTGGTAGGTTATGGGCTTGGGTTATACACGGATGTATTTATCGAGCAATAACGTATGGTGAAATGTAGTCATCTATCTCCATTATCTGATATACAAAGCTTTGCATAAAAAGTTACTGGTGACTACTAAGGCATACTAGTTCCTGATGGTTGTCATCATATGTCACTCAGAAATTACCAAAAAAGGAAATAATGTGAAAGTTCAGATTAGCCCTAACCTCCGACGACGAGTTCAACACAAGCTTGTTGAGGACACAAAAATGTACTTTCATGCACAAAAAATATCAGATAAATGACATAAAGAATATTTGACTCATTTGACTCATCTATGACAATAAAAATGTGAGTCGTAGCGAGTTATATGACTCTACTTGCTATGAGTAATAGTGTCGAATTGAGCACGCTCTTCTTTCTATAGAGTGCCAGGTACTCCTCTTCTGTCAATTCTACTTTTTTCTCCCGAATACCCAATTTTTACCATTCATACTCGGAATCTGAATATCATATCTCGAGGTCATTCAACGACTATTTCTCAACACCCCTTTACCATTACGAGTATACGAGTACACTGGATAGGATCCCTGCGACAGCCAAGTAAGAAAGACATAACTATGTCTCGGGAGTTCATCAAAAAAAAGATCTGCTAAATCCTTTTTAGAAGGGGAAGACTTCACAATACGTCTCTTAGACATAGAGACCTGCCTAATTGATGCACATGAAGCCATGAGGAATCAATTGAAGAACATTTTTGCAACAAGTGTGATCAAAAAGTGAATCCGAGAGTGGGTGCATCACGAAGAGGATAATTCGTGGGTTATGAAGATATCCTGTTTGGATGCTTTCAATCATCTCACCTTCGATACCCCTATACTCCTGATCGTTATATTCCTGCGACAACTGGTCTACCACTTCGAAAATAGAAGACCCACAAAGACAGAAAAGTTGGATCGATTCGTGATTGAATCCATCATCTCTGTGAGCGACCGGACTGACTACAAATTAGCCTGGGCTATCTTTCATGATTTTTTGGACAAGATCCTCGAGATTTGCCCTCAGATTACACTGAACTTTATCATCAGTGGTATAACTCGCGATTGCTCACTACTACCCCTCCTGTCCTCTTTCGTGATGAGGATGGGATACATCATAGAGAACTGCCGATCGGAAGATAAAGGAAAGATAAAATGCATTTTGTGTGGAGATTCCTTTCTGTCCACAAAATTATTGTGTAGTTGTGATGAGAGGTTGGGATCGAATGGCAAAAAGGATAATGGATGGGCTTCTGTTCTTACAGTGGTCTGATGAGCAGGAAAAGTTCCAGCATAGAAAAAGTAACAGCCGACTAACCCTAACCCTCGTGCCAACATCAGTGTTTCCTTCAGCATTCATCGATCCGTATCTGGATTGGAGCTCCAAGCCCTAAGACTGTGTCCTGCAACTGACCGCTGTGTCGCATTTATGATTTTATGATTCATCTCTCCAAAATATTATATCTAATCACAATATATGACCTTGCTCATGGAACTAAGCAGGCTGTCTCTCCAGATCTGATATAGTCATTCTGTTGAATCAAAAAATGAGCAGAGGAGAAGAAGAAGAAAAAGAAGAAATATTTAGAATACTTGCTTATGTAGTGGAACAGGATGTACCTAACTCTGGGGGGATTGCCCAGCTATATAGGAAACTTGCGGGACTCATACAAATTTGTTAGCGATTTGTAATTACAAAATGCAAAAAAGTTTTACATACGAGGTGCCGAATTTACAGTAAATTCGCACTTGTGTAATTACAAGGCGCCCTACTTGGGATCTAGCTGCGCATTCACTTGGGGATATTGTATAAAAACATACTAAATCTGTATATAATTTTGATAAATATCAATTGATTTTACATATCATTTATCGCTCTATTCTAATGATTACACGTAGGATAAGAATCTATTGTGGTTCGAAGTTATGGAAATAGAAACAGGGATGTGCGCAATTATATTACCAGCTGAATACGATTTTTGGCTGTACAGTCTTTATAGACTGCCGTCACTCCTCTCCTCCTTCGCTAATCGAACGTTTGCTCGCTTCCTTTCGAGTTCGCTTCGCCAATTTCTACACGCTGCCATGGCCAATTCACCTTCTCGCCCCTTCCACTGGCCAGGCGGCATTTTGCCCGAGGTACGGCTAGATCCCAACGGGGATATCAAACCTGACGAGGTCAAGGAAGAGGCTAAAGGGTGGTTGTTATTTGTTACAGTAGGACTTGGCTCTTGTTTCTTTTCAAGTTCGAGTCTGACATCCAGTCTCATTCATCACGCAGGAAAGATGGGTCTCCCGCGAAGCGCCCAATATTCCCGATCATGATGGTGATTATGAAGTCCGCCAACGACGGACGCTGGTTGAGACATGGGCGAAGGCAGACCAACAATTTCGGGATGTAAGCAAGACTAAAACAAAAGAAGGTCACACGCTGCTTGCAACCCTTTGTATTGATAATCGCCCTATTTAGTCCTACCATCAAAGAGCCCCTCCTGGAGACGCTCTCGCATACCCGGAACCAGCTCTGCGCAACGTTGATAAATCCTTCCCCCCGCACGACCGTTTCATGTGTCTCGCCCCCCTGAGCCGGTCATACCGCTCCAATCGCTCCAAATGGATCAAGCTTTGTATTCTGTCCTATCGCTTGGATGGTGAAATGGAGCATTGTCTCGAGACTGCAGGATCTAGCAATGTCGGAGTTGATCCCAACCCCGCTACATTCCCAGATCCATCCACATTTCAAATCACCGACTTCTTGCCATGGCTAATTCTCGAAATGGCCAATTTCGCCGCTATGACTATGACTAAAAGGGGCACTGTGCTCTTCACGAAGTTTCTCATCCCGTGGTTCCTTGTCGACTAGGACGATTTGAATACGGGCTGCATCACAATCGTGGAGTTTAAGCCAAATGGCCAGATCCAGGAGACGTTTCGTCGGAGACCATACAATATGTATCCAGTCTATCTTCACTTGTGCGTACTCATAAAGCCTTTGAAGGAGGTAAAAGAGAGTAGAACCGGGGGAGTCCGACCCGAGATGAATGCCGAGTAAGTTATAACGCTTCTGGCCTAAGAGAAGAGAAACACATTAATTATTCTTTCTGCAGATTAGATATGACCCTGCCCGTGATTGATATTCTGGAAGGGGCCAAGTTGCGCGGGGAATTCCTCCCCGGTTTCGACGGCGCAAGAGATGTGTGGAGGGAAGATATTGAGATATATGCCCCCGGATACTTGCAAATGGAGGCCGAGGGGAACGAGGCGGACTATGATCATCACATCTCATCGATCCGGATGAAGCATTTGAGATTCGTCAAAGTATGTATCAGGAACAGACGGGTCCAGCGCTGGCGCGGCGGAGTTCCCGTTACGTTTCTTAAATCGTTTAACTGTCGCTTTGGCATCCGCAAAGAGCTTCAGAATCTGGTCCAGAAGTCCTTGGAACACGGCTCAAGAGACAAATGCCGCGATTAAGATCCTAGATGGTGACCGACGTCGCGAGAAAGTAATTGTAAAGCTACCATTTGCAAAGGGCTGCATATTCGACTCTTTTGATGGGCCCCTTGATCAAAGATGCCACCCGGAGACCAGAATCGGCTTGCGCCGTCAAATCAGAGCATGGGCAGGAAAACAAGAAAATTCGATTTTCTGGCTGAAGGGGATGGCTGGTACAGTAAAATCAACAATTTCTCGGACAGTAGCGTAGTCCTTTGACAAGGAAGGAAAATTAGGAGCCAGGTTTCTTCTTCAAACGAGGGGAGGCTGATCGGAGTAGTGTGGGTATGCTATTTACTACAATCTGTGCCCAATTCTTGGTCAATATTCCATCGTTGATCGCTCACGTCGAAATGGCAATTGATATTGATCCTAATATATCTGACAAATCGATGGGAGTGCAATTTGAGAAGTTTATCTATCTACCTCTGTCACAGACGCGGCAGTACCTCCCCTAAGCCCCAAAACTCATCATAGTGATTGATGCCTTAGATGAGTATGCGCAGGATGGAGACACTCTCCTTCGCTTTCTATCGCAAACAAGGAATAAATGGTCATCGAGCCTACAGATTTGCCTATATCCAGGAGAAATATATGAAAGATGGCTGATCGTTTCCTTCTGACTAGCCTGGCCTGGAGGCGATGTCGGCCTTGGTTGAAATGGCTGTTCTGCTCTTCATTTTTGCTGCTACCCTATGCCGGTTCGTGGAAGATCCAGCGTGGTCAGACCCAACAGGCCAGCTGAAAAGAGTTCTTGAATATCGAAAAATAAAGAATGACCCTGAGATTGTCTTCTCGGCCCTGGCTTTACCGAGGTGCTTGAGAATGAGAAGAAGCGACAGGAGAGCGCCGGAGATTAATATGAGAAGGAATAGTCGAACATATGTCCAGAACTATGTTCATGCTGAAATGGTCAGATAGTTCTAATCGGTACGTGGTTGGAATGGGAATAAGGAGAAAAGGGCAGCGAGCCCATACCAAGAACTCCAAATGTCTGGATCTTCAAAAGCTCCAAGGTGTAACTGAGTGTCCGTTGTGACGCCCTGATCTTGATTTGGATTTTATGGTTGATCTAGCAACAGTGGTTAATTGAATGTTGATTCTCAATAACAAGGAGAAAGTGGTGGGACGTCATCAGCCGATAAGATAAGAACTTCTCCCCCGCGCTTTCTTTTTCCTTCCTTTTTCACTCCCATTCTTATTCAGGGACATTGCTATATACCAAGATATATGCACTCTAGCCCTGTCATCGTCTGTTGTATTGATTTGATATAATTCTCCTTCAGGGATTCCATAGCCCTTTCTCAATAAGAAGAGGTCTTCTACTTGTCACTCTCCGTTAAGTTCGCGCCGCCACCCACTAAGCAAGATGACTTCGTTACGAGAACTCAAACCGGAATGTCTCTATGCTGTTGTAGATATGGGGAGGTAAGAGAAAGTTCTCTTGTAAGAGATATGATGTGAAGCTAACAACACTAGCAATGGCATACGTTTCTCCATTTCTAACCTCGAAGCACCGACAACGCGAATCATGCCCACTGTTTTCCAAGATCGGGCAGGTATATCACTGTACGATGCTCAATTCACAACGGCTGATGGTCGACGCGGCCCAATTTCGGCGTCAGTGATTGATGACGTTATTTCAAGACTACTACGCTTCAAGACAACTTGTGAGGACTTCGAAGTGTCGGCGGAAAATATATACGTTTTGGCTACGGAAGCTACGAGGACTGCACCCAATTCGAAGGAATTCATTGATACAATAAAGGAACGCACTGGATGGGATGTACGAATGCTCTCAAAATCAGATGAGGGCCGTATCGGTGCCTTGGGTGTTGCAAGCAGCTTTGCCTCCGTGCAAGGGTTAGTGATGGATCTTGGTGGTGGTAGCACACAACTTACGTGGATGGTTGCGAAAGACGGAAATGTTACAACCAGCCCGCAGGGGTCAATCAGCTTTCCATATGGCGCCGCGGCACTTACGAGGAGACTACAGGACACCAGAAATAAGGGGGCTGGTGCTGAAAGGGAATTGATTGCAGAAATGAAGGAAAATTTTCGAAATGCTTACAAGGACTTGCAGGTACCTGGTAGCCTTGAGCATGCTGCCACCGCGCAGGGGGGATTTGACCTCTACTTGTCAGGTGGAGGCTTTCGGGGATGGGGCTATCTACTCATGAGTCAGTCTAGATTGGATCCTTATCCTATTCCTATTATCAACGGATTCGAGGCAGTGCCCGCCGATTTTCAGGACACATCAAGCATCATGCAAACTGCATCAACATCGGAAGAGAAGAAAATATTTCGTGTGTCCAAACGACGGGCGTCACAAGTTCCGGCTGTGGCTTTGCTTGTTCATGTCCTTACAGAGTGTCTACCTACCATTAGGTCTGTCCAGTTCTGTCAGGGGGGCGTGCGGGAGGGGTTTCTTTTCGACATGCTCGAACCCAACATACGGAAACAAGACCCCATTCTTATTGCTACTATTCCTTATGCCACCTCTTCAGCGGGTGCCATTTACGAACTTTTGCAATCCTCAGTACCAGAAACTCCATCCCCTATACATTCACGACATGTTCCAGAGTCATTCTCTCCCAGTCTCTTACGTGCCATTAGTAATCTTGTCTTTGTCCATGCATCTGTGCCGAGGGAGACTCGACCGGCCGCTGGACTATATAGTACTACAACTGGTATTCTAGCATCGGCAAACAGTCTTGCCCACCGAGACAGGGCGATCATTGCACTGGTGCTTTCTGAGCGATGGCCGGGAGATTTAGCACCGGCCGAAGAGTCTTTTCAGAGACGTCTCCGGCAATTCGTCTCGTCTGAAGAGGCATGGTGGTCCCAGTATCTTGGTCGTGTTGCCTCGCTGATTGGAGACGTATACCCAGCTGGCCGTGTACCTGCTAGGAGACCACGTATACAGTTTAGCACGAAGTGGGAGCAAATATTCAAGAAAAAACAAGGCACCACCGATTGTCTCTGTCTGCAGGTTCAATTCCACGAGCAAACCGAACAGACAATCACAAAGGAAGCTCTACTTAACACCACCAACTTGATTGAAAACTGCGGGAAAATGAAGAACTGGATCAAGGGGGACGATCGACTAGGAAATTATGGAGTAAGCACTGAGGTTAGACTTCACTCGTAGTAGAGTCACCACTATGGAATTTACCAATTTGTACAGTATGTAAAATCACTACTAATACTCACTAATTGCGTTTCACAGTGCGTTCAACTTCATTCTGGCGTCATGTAGGGTGGAACCAAAGGGAAAAGCCGGAATTTAGCGAGCTGTATCTGCTCACCTGAGAACGAATGGAGAAGAAGATAAGAAGAGGGCAATAATATTATTCGATGGTGTTGATAGCTCCGGGTCCTTCGGATAATCATGCTACTGACTGATCTAAACAGTAGAGTGCCAGAAATCTTACGAAAGCTTCCAAGCTTGGGTATAAAAGACCCCGCAACCCCCACCATTGCTGCTCTCGATTTCTCTTCCTGATTTATCCCAACAACACACAACACTTCAGTCAGTTCGAATCAGCTTTTCAAATCAGTCCATCAGATTTGTATTTTTCTCTTATCCCAATCAATATCTAGAACAGTACTAACATATAGCATCTTCCTAGTCTCGTTCAAAACAAACGATGTAATCCACCACCATTCTAGCCTACCCTCAAGGGAGGCAGAAAGCCATTGGAATCTCTTTCGCTCCTAAGCACACTGGGGAAGTGACAAACCCGTGTCTTTCATCAAGGTATCTATGGTACAGGTAGTGGCATGAACCGGTGCTAGAATTCCTTGTCCATGACTTTTTATGTCAATGGCTCCAAGGAATCTGGCTGAAATCAGACGGTCACAACTTGATCTGGATAATACCAGCGAAAGGATCATGCTTTCTGTCCTCCCCCTTTTAATATAATTGGCCTGGGGAATGCTGACTGTCTCTAGAAAACTTACCTCACAATACAAGATGTCTCCTCCAGCAGCTATCTTTGAGTCTTCTCCTGTCTCGACCACTACCACTGGTCTGAAGGACAAGTTGACTCCTGAGATGCTCTCATTCATCACCCAAGGTCAGCAGACTAGGCTCTTGGATGAATTCGCTGGAAAGTGGGACAGCTTCAAGTTTGCTCCTATCCGGGAGAGCCAGGTGTCTCGTGCTATGACTCGTCGCTACTTCAATGACCTCGACAAGTATGCCGAGAGCGACATTGTCATCGTCGGTGCTGGCTCTTGTGGTCTTAGCACTGCTTATGTTCTCGGAAAGGCTCGCCCGGACTTGAAGATTGCTATCGTTGAGGCCAATGTTTCTCCTGGTATGACGATATACCTCTATAATAAAGCGAGTAATGACTGACTTTCAAAGGTGGTGGTGCCTGGCTCGGCGGTCAGCTTTTCTCTGCCATGGTCATGCGTAAGCCCGCAGACGTCTTTCTCAACGACCTCGGCGTCCCCTTCGAGGAAGATGCGACCAACCCCAACTACGTCGTGGTGAAACACGCCGCCCTCTTCACTTCCACCTTGCTATCCAAAGTCCTCTCTTTCCCCAACATCAAACTCTTCAACGCCACCAGTGTCGAGGACCTGATCACCCGTCCCGGCCAAAACGGCATCGAAGATGTCCGCATTGCCGGTGTCGTCACTAACTGGACCTTGGTCACCATGCACCATGACGACCAGTCCTGCATGGACCCGAATACCATCAATGCCCCTCTTGTCATCAGCACAACTGGTCACGACGGCCCATTCGGTGCCTTCTGTGCCAAGCGTCTTGTCTCCATGACCGCTATTGAGAAGCTCGGCGGTATGCGTGGTTTGGACATGAATGCTGCTGAAGATGCGATTGTCAAGAACACTCGTGAAGTCACCAAGGGTCTTATCATTGGTGGTATGGAGCTGTCTGAGATTGATGGATTCAACCGTATGGGTCCTACCTTTGGCGCTATGGTGCTTAGTGGTGTCAAAGCCGCTGAGGAGGCTTTGAAGGTGATTGAGGACCGCAAGCGCGAATGTGCTGAGTAACTGACATATCGTCGTGTTGCTTGATAACTTAAAATGCAAACTACCCGTATAATGGGTCACACTCTTTTAGTGCAAAGCATGTTATAGTGAAACAGTCAAGAGAATGAATCAATCATGCTGCAAACAGGTATCATATCATGGTGCTCAATTAGCTATTAAGTAATTATAAAAAGGTCGGATCTGTAGTAATATTCGTATCGTGATTATTGCCCAAGTCCGACTATAAGTCGTCATCATCATCGGCCCCCTCAGCAGCTTTACTATTCCCAGCAGCAACACTGGCAAGCCGTCTCGCAGTCCGAACCTCCCATTTGAACTCCTTCAATGCCCTCAATTCAGCTGACATGAACAGTCCACCAATCAATCCATCCAGGATACCAGCTCCAAAGCTCAGGGTACTAACAAAGGTCAAGATGAAAGCAACATATATCACATCCGCCGTCCACCACACGCCTATAAAGCAACCAATGGACACGAGAACGGAGAGTAGGAAATGCGCCAAACGCCATCGGCATTGAGACCGTTCGCGGAGCTCATATTTATCGACCATGGCCAGAATCTCGTCGTAAGTTTCTACTGTGAGTGCAGAACTAGGCGCGGATGTTGGGTGAAGCTGAGATGAAGCTGGACGGCGAAGCCGTTATCGTCGGCATCTCGGCTTCTGGTTGACGTTTTTCCGATTGTTCAGCAGTCGCAACCGGATGATTTACATCTCGTGTAATGACCGTTTCGATGCCGAAATGGTCACTTAACGACACCTTGAGCGTAGGATGGCGTTGCATCATAGTAACCCAAGCCGCTTCAATATTCCATCGCGGCGCGGGAAAAGATGGTGGATAACCACCGTCTCCAACGAAGATATAATCCAATCGTCGACCTTTCGGGTCCGGCTGACTACCATCTATAAAGGTATCCTCGCCCTTGAAGAGTCGTTTTTGCTGCTCCTTCGGCCAGCGCCATGTATTAAAAGGACCGTCGCTTGCCGCGCCATTCTCTGCAATATTAAAATCCGCCGATGGAATGGGTTTGCCTCGTTTCTTCTCAGCAGCTGAATCTGCGCTTCCGACAGATGAGTCCGGATGTAGATGTCTCCATACATCTTTGACCGGAGCATGTGCAGTAATCAATCGGTGAGCAAAGGACATGGGCACCATGTTGAAATCTCCCAATCCAATCACTAAGTGACCTCTCTCAGCCGCTCGTCGCATCAATTTTGCGATTTCCCATGCCTGTGCGGTTCGGTGACAGAGATATGAATCGTGTGGCTCCTTTTCGTATGGCGCATGGAGATGTGTACAAAACACTTCTGCAATATCATCCGCTCTCGGCCCCATGCGTATCCGTGCACAAGCAACACCCTTACCGACATACCAATCACCACGGAAGAAAGCTGTCGGACGCCCATTGAGCGGGTAAGCGAACATGCTACTCTCCTCAATAGGCCATTTCGAGAGAATTGCCAATCCGCCTCCGAATACTCCACTATAGTAGAATTTGCCGTACGGAAGGAGATGTTTCGTTTGTCTTCGAATGCTCTTGTAGTCTTGTTGAGTCCAGCATTCTTGCAACCCGACAATTTGGGGAGGGTCTTCGGCTATGGCGATTTGTCGTCCGATTTCTGACATGCGTTCATGACGGAATTTCGAGAGGTACTTGAGACCCCAGCAATTCAGCGTGAGGACGCGAATGCGCGTGGGGGAACTGCCTTCTTCTGCAGTTGTCATTTCGTTTATGAAGGCTGTGGCACTTTTTAGACTCGATCAACAATCAACTGATGAGAAGTAATTCAGGAGAAGAACAGAAGAACGAGTAAACATGAATTCATCGCAGGGGTCCTATCTCTTCACCGCCTTGTCTCTGATTGGCCAAACGCGCATCTTATCACCGCGTCTGGCAGGAATTTGTGCCGCATCAAAAGATGGATGACCCTTGACAGAGAGTAAAAATCGTTCAAAATATCTTCTGTTTAACTCTTTCTGGGATATAAAAGAACGCGATGGTTCGTCAGAGAACAGATACCGGGAACCCGCCACCAAAACGGCGAAGACTTAACAGCGCTACCGACGATCAATCCGATCGAGAATCTACCCATAACGAATCGTCATCCTCCGACGAGCTCGCCGCTACCTCCGATTACGAACTGGAGCGACGCAGAGCAAGTTGGTCAGCTAAAAAAGCAGTACCCAGTCAACGAAAATACAAAAACCAGTCACATAGTCCAAATGGCGCAGATAGTCCAGACGAACTCTCTATGGATGCAGATGGACCATGGAATCGCAATACGCGGGAACAATCGCCTATCAAGGATGAGTCGGCAGAGTCAGATCAACAAACGAGAGAAGAAGAACCCGGCGATTATACTCCGGCAAATGGCGACACGAATAATATAGAGTCTCAGGATGCGCACTCTCCTGAACAATTCGAGCAACCGACGTCTGAGCCTGCACCACCTCCTCCACCCCCGAAGCCAGATCGTGTCAATTATGTACAAAAGCATTTATTAAAGGGTCATATTCGCGGTGTCTCTGCTGTGCGATTCTCTCCTGATCGAACTATGATCGCTAGCGGAGGTATGTTTTGCAGCATGTCTTATTCGTCTGAATGCTCTTACTAACGAGTCACAGGAGCTGATGGCACATTGAAAGTCTGGGACACACTAACAGGAAAACTCATACACTCATTCGAAGGACATTTAGCAGGAATATCGACAGTCGCATGGAGTCCAGATAACGAGACTATCGCTACGGGTTCAGACGACAAGACGATTCGATTGTGGAATGCGTTGACTGGGAAAGCCCACCCGAGGGCGTTCAGTGGCCACCATAATTACGTTTACTCAATTGCGTTTTCTCCTAAGGGGAATATACTTGCTAGTGGATCCTACGACGAGGCTGTTTTCTTATGGGATGTCCGGACGGCTAAGGTTATGCGGTCCTTGCCTGCTCATTCGGACCCTGTGGCCGGTATCGATGTATGCCACGACGGTACGCTTGTCGTCTCCTGTTCGTCAGATGGACTAATTCGAATTTGGGACACGATGACGGGACAATGCCTGCGCACGCTCGTCCACGAAGACAATCCTCCCGTCATGGCAGTTCGCTTCTCGCCCAACAGCAAATACGTCCTTGCCTGGACCTTGGACGACTGTATCCGATTATGGGATTATGTTCAAGGACGATGCATAAAAACATATCAAGGGCACATCAATCGCAAATACAGTCTGTGCGGGAGCTTTGGCACGTACCAAGCCCCTCATGGACCGTCACATGCATTTGCGGTCAGTGGTAGCGAAGACGGTGCATTGGTATGTTGGGATGTTGTTGATAAAAATATCTTACAGCGAATCGAAGGTCATACTGATGTCGTTCTGGGAGTTGATACCGCCGAACTCAATGGGAGAAGACTCCTAGCTAGCTGTGGATTGGATAGAACGATTCGCGTGTGGGAAGAGGTTACCAGTGAAGCTGGTGAGAATGATAAATGGGAATCATCGCAGACGATACTGTACAATGGCGATGAAAAAATGGATTTAACGACCGATGAGCCTATGGCACTGGCATCTGAAAACGTTGCCATGGAGGCTCATGATGAGGCTCAAGATACCGGTTAAAGAGATTCCACATATTCAACTGTCTAGGAGATGCCCACAATCTATGTATAATAATTGCCTTACAGCGAATACACGAGTTCTTACCGAAATATTTCAGTATTTATAATCTTGACTCGGCCAGCTGGGCAGTCTTGGCTTCTAACTTTTTGTTAATGAGTTGTTAGACGAGGGTAATAATAGACTGGGCAAGTTCCTACAGTATTGGTCAAGACACATCTGACTCGAGCCCAAGGACCATCAAGAAATATTGGTAAGTGTCAATAGATAGGGTTCACTATCATGTAGTATTTCCAACTTTGATACAAGATTGAAGTTTTCTGATTAACGAGAAAGCTCCAACAAACGATAACTAGACGCCATTTCCGTCATAAGCAGCAAAGTCAAATCGTCTCCCGGTCACGGCTGAACGGCAATTAGAGGGTACATGTCGGTTTTCCCATGTAGCCAGTTCACAATAGCTGAGTCGTTTATGCTGACATGATAAAAGCCAGAGTCCGTTTCGGCGTCCAAGCATTCCGTAAGTACGATATGTTCCAGGTGATGCATGCACTTGGATGCCTTCCATTGATCCAAAACATCTTTCCAGTATTCGGGTAAACAGAAGTACATCAATATTAGCAATTTCAATGAACGGCAAGTTCGAATAGCTTCACCAAAAGCCATCATCTTCTCAGTTGTCGTCAGTACAGTATTGGAGATCTTCAGTTCTTCCAGCGCAACAAGTTGTGGTAGCGACTCGGTCAGCATGGACATGAAAGTCTCATGTTCTTTGAAAAACCTGTCTTCGTTCACGATGATCAGTTCCAGGGTCCGTAGCGATGACACCGAGCCTTGTATCATTGCCTGGATACCCGCGCTGTAATCTATGCGCTTGCGAAGTTGATCTGCTGGCTCCATCAAGAATAGATTTATATGTTGTAGACCACGCATGGAGTCTCGGAGAAGTCGATATAGTGGTCCCCCGCCCCAGAAAGAGAAGAAATCTGTTGGAATATTGTTCAAAAATAGCCACTTCAGCTTTGGAAAAAAGACATGCATGTCCAATGGCTGATAGTCATGTCCAGTTTCTTTCTCTTCGGGTGATAACAGGTCGCAGAAAACCCGTAGTCCACGTACAGGCGGCTCTCCCCAGAATCGGCTTTTAAAAATTTGATCTGCGAGAAGACCCTCACTCTCGTTATCTTGCTGGCTCATTAGCGGCCTGGGATGGTATCCGATTCCGTCGATACCCTTCTTCCAGTATGTTCCGAGTGGTACATGTTCATATTCGTCAGTGAACATCTGCTCGTATGTAGCTATGGCAGGCGTCCGCACAATCACTCCACCTCCTTGGTAAGACGAGGTAAAGAATACACAGTCAACATTCTGGAGATATGGCAATATTTTCATAAGCAAAGCGACATCCCGATTAGTTTCAAGATTTTCCCGCTGAGCTGAAGCATGAAACCTCCATTTATAGACTCTATGCATTGCCCTCATTCGTCCCAGATAAAAGATAAGGGTCTGTCTATGGTGACATTTTTCGACTTCATTCCTCTCTCCTCCGACAAGAAGACAGGGGCAGAAAAGAGACTCCTCCCAAAAGAGCTTCGACACATGTTTCAACAATTTTTCATTGTCGGATACCACTTCCAGATACTCCAGGTCTGGCACATGTGTGGAAATGCACAGATTTGTGAGGATTGGATACTCCAAGACGACCTCGTTCACTGTGTGAGACACCAATCTCAACTGTTTGAGATCCTCAATTCCCAGTTCATGCCTAAGCAACTGTTGTGCTAGGGAATACGCGCCATTGTGTATATACACTAAGAACTCCTCAAGGTTCATTGTGCTCGGTGAAGGATGGCTTATATGCCTCAAAGGATATTTCACAAGTTTCAGAGGGAGATAGGATGTATTTTTTCAAGGCTGTTCGTCAATGTCGAGTATGAAGAAGAAAGAGTTATCAATAAAGACAGATATTCCTCTCAGTATTGTTGGTCTGAGTCTGGAAGTCAAGTGATGAAACTGAAGACAAAGGTTGTTAGAGACTGTTTGATCAAAAGAAAGAAAAGAGAAACGTAACACGGGCACTTCGACTTATTCCTATTCAAGATTTGAGAGCTGAAAATGATGGCCTCTTCCAGTAAACAAACAGTAACGCCCGGCCATATGTCATTCTTTTTGCAATTTGGTAACTATAAAATCTGAGAATTGGTTGCTGTGACAGCCCAAGATTTTGATAGAGATAGGTCACATGTTCAATGATAGAATGAAAGAGAGTCCTATCAATTATGACATCTGGGTCTTCTAATATTACCCGCTTAGGAAATCATGGCAGACGAACCCTAAACCCGCTAGAGCTGCAAGGCAAGCTAGCCACACTTCATAACTTAGCATCAAACAAATTAATGACTTTTCCAGAGTAAATGGCATCTGCACAAATAGGAAAAAAAAATGAGTAAGAGAGGACATGGTGCATCACTGCACGTCCTGATAGACCGATGGTAAACAGCCAATTCCAAATCGAGACTAGCTTCTCCATTCGATCGAAATTGTTATGGATAAGCCCTAAGCCCTAAGACTAATGCATATCATTTATTTAGTTTCATGGACTAGAAACAGATTACGTTGACATCTGACGCAAGCGTTCACGCCACAAAAATTACTTCTTGTTGGACATATGTATGTCTGTATTCGAGCGTATCCATTCCGTTATACGTAGTGGGAATAAGAACCCGAAGAGAATCTTCATCAGTAAGACTATTTATATAAACACCGACCAATCGTGTATTTAAAATACACGTGCGAATGGAAGACACGCCCCGATCCATGGGATATGTCGTTAAGATAAACCTTACCAGTATTCTTCAGGTACTCGTCTCGGCAACTCCTATGGCTTAGCACGGATCCATGGATATACGAAATGACTACGGCGTATGTACAACGGAACCCTAACTTAGAGACCGCGCACTGACTTGGAAGTCTCGAAAGGTACAGTATATTAATGGACAGTCTAGGCTTGAAGTGTCAAAGTTTAGGTTTGACCTATGGATCCACTGCTATTCCACTTAATCGCATAAAACTGCCTATCTAACGGTCTGAGCATACGTTTAGAAGGTGAAAAGTTTTCTTGTAGTGGGGAGTTTAGTCGCGAGGAAGGCAATTGAATTTGACAAGTACAATACAGAAAAATCAACATGTCAGAAAAAAACAGGCGCAGAATCACATTGCTTGTATATCATAATTGTCATGCACAGGACGAAAAGCGTAGTATCATGCCACGTGTAACGGGTATATAGACTTCAAAAGATCGATGAGCGGGTTCCAGCCGCTTTGAGATGGAGTACCTGACTAAGAGGTAGTCACATACGCCTGACCGACAGTACTCAATGTGCCGTCCGTCAACAAGTACCCATCAGCAGTGAAGAAATAAGCATATCGACCGACGCCGGTATTACTATCGAGCCAGGGAAGAGCCTCTTTAATAAACGTGACTTGTTCGGCTGTACTTCCAGTGTTTTGAAACTCCGTAATCCAGACACTTTCCATACCGTTCTCGCTCGCAAGAGCGGTGGCGTTGTTGATAAAATCGTAGAAATACGAGACGTCGGCATTGGCGTAGTAATGAACAGCCATGACATTGGGCTTGCAGGCACCGTTGCAGGCTTGGAGCCAGCTTCTCATCCAGTTGAGTCCCATGTTTGCGTCGCCACTGTTGGTGACAGCGGGTGAGACTAGAGTAGCCTTGCCGGCCAACGGGGTGATGTAGGTCTGGTAATCGGCGGCGGCTTGTTGGGGGCTCATGTTGGATTGACTCGTCATGTCCGGTTCATTGAATCCCAGGACACAGGTACTTCCGGATGAAAGAGCCTTGTTGACTGAAGAAGTCCAACTGTCGTACATTTTGGAACCCCAGAGCATGGGGCAGTAGTCGACGCCAGTCGGCACGGATCCGCCAGAGTCGTCGTTCCAGTTGTAGGCCCACGAGGCTCCCGAAATGAGCGAGACGAGAGAGACGTCATTGTAAGCAGCGCCGATTTTGCTGGTAGAGGCGGGGGTTGCGCGTTTGTGGAAATCGGCGTGGAGGTTGTGAGGTTTGGCCACGGCAGCGGTTGCCATCATTGTGGCAAGGAAGGCGTTGATGACATACATGGCGAAGGATGGACTGGGACTGTTTCGAACAAGTCAAAAGTATTTCAAATGAAGAAAAGGATTGTTATGTGTCAGGATCAACCCGAGACGAAAGTTCAAGTATATCGAGAAACGGTTAGTTGGGTCGAGAGGACCAAACTTCGCAGTGAATGGCCGAAAGATTGGAGATATCAGAAAGGAATGACAGAAATGTGCTCGGCACAGGTCGAAAGATTTGCGGAAATAAGAAAGGATAGACAAGAACTGAAGAAGTTGAATAAAAAAAAGCGAGGAGAGAAAGAGAGGGGGGGGGTTGCCTCTTTTTAAATAAACTGGTGAGTCCAAACTATGATAAGGCAAGAGTGACCCGGAGTCCAAACCCGGACTGTTCCCACTTTTTCTGGACTCATTGGTCTGTCTGGCTCTTCGTGTGTATCCATCCGTATGAGAGTGTTCCGTGGGTATGACATGGCTAATTTGACTAACTGACACTCTTGGTTGCTTGTCGAAGCGCTGTGGACGCCGTTGCGAGTGGACGGTACTAAGCCATGTTGTGCCCTAATCTTCTCTAATTGGCCGATAACATGCAGATGGGGCTGCGCTTGTGCGACGATTGGACGATAGACCTCACAGATCCAGGGGAATTTTTCAAGATGGGCCAATGGCAATCCTTGATATTGGGATGTGACGCCTCCACTTTTGTCTATTATGGTTAGTTCAAAGTTTCATCTATTTTATCTCCATTCGCATTATCACTGAAAAGAGTAAAAGATTCATCTGTATCATATGATATCTGGATTTGTGGTAGTTTCACGACTAATCAGTGCTACCGGGTACCTGCGATATGTATATATTCCCAGCGGAACACATACCCCAAGGACAATGTGTGACAGGCTTACAAAATTGTTTGTATATGAGATGATTCAAAAATTGAGTAGCCCATGAAATTTGTTCGGAGAGCATATACGGAGTAGATTACACACACAATAATTGCCGTTTCGACGAACAGATCACAATCAGTCTGAAACACTAGTCGATCGCTCGAACTAAGTGGCTTGAGATGACGATACATGGTTACGTGGACACTGATCGATCGAGAAACGAGATTAATTAATAATTAATTATATGAGCGGGGTCATACGATACTTGCCTCAGGCACAGGCACAGATAGATCTGTGCCTGAGGCGTTCGGCTAGGCCAATCGGGCGGGAATACGCTCGGACTCGCCAAGGCGCTCTTGTTCAGGGATGATCGCCGCTAAAAGGCGATGGTTCACAGCCTTATCGATAAGGAAGTTTATATCGAGGTTGCTTGACGACATATCTCGACTATCACTTGTTTGATGAAGTCGAGTATGTGGTATGTTGGCTACGAGTACTTAATAGTCAAGGACTAAAGAATGCGGGTAAATTCTCCGACCGCGGAGAGCGGTGGATCGCCTTGTCCACTAATTGTATATGACAGCTTGTCTGACAGATAACGTACTTTATGATATCATTTTTTGAAATCAACCAGAGCAATTGAAGCAAAATATGAGTCGGTACTGTTAGCTAGGTATGTAGAGTATGATATAAAGTTATTTCTGAATACAATTGACTTTTCGAAGGAAGTTGCCTACAAACTGTTCTCTGACAAAGCGCTCCAACAAACAAATGCTGCTCGTATAATATATCTCTCATTCGACGTTCTTTGACTAGGTCTTTTTTTGCTAATAGCAGCGAGAATCGTCGGAGATTTCCGTCTACTCTGTCGAGTACTCGACGCCCCCAGTCTACATACCAGCACCGATCCGGCCAATGAATCGATAGATAGATGAAGAATAGGCGATATACTTTAAAGTTTAGGCAGCCACGGAGAACAAAGAAACAGACTCTGCAGGGTGGAATGAATTGACTTTCTGCTGAAACTTGCCAAGGACAATCCCTGTACAGAAAGACTGAGAGACTATGAGTATACTATCTTCGAAGAGAGCACTAGGCTGCAGCGCGTAGAAGCAATTCCAAGCGAAGAAGCAGATTCAATTCCTTGGTGGTATGAAGTAGGCAGCAAAAGATCGAACGGAAAAGAGTCCAGGACAAACTGTCGTGTCGGTAGCTGCCCGCACAGATCCATGGTTCGCAAACGGCTGTGCAGATCATCTGCCGCCAAATTCAATTGCTCCTTCCTAAATGAGGTCATGCCAGTCCTTTCAGGGCGCCCTTCTTCTTTTTCAATTGGTCAATTCGAGTTTGGTTTAGGCAACAGTCGAGGCCGGGCAAACTCAATTGGCATGACGTACACTATTCTCGCAGAATGATTGGTTGTTTGCCCGGCTCTTTCCTTCTGTTTGCTCTTTGTCTTTCCCCAGGCACCCCATGGATGCCTGGTCTGTCCTGCCAATTCTGTCTATAAATACCTGCCTTTCCTCCCTTCGACTCCCATCCAAAACTTTCCTCCGTATTTTCCCCAATCTCCCGCTTTTCACTCCATCCTTCCATCCCACCTCCCACTCTCTTTCTTGCTTTTACATCTTCTCTTCTCTCTTTCTCTTCTGACCATCTGCTAAGCTTATTAGCTTCTTCACCCATGATACAGTTGACACTCTGCAGGTGAGACTCCCCTCTTCTCCCAAATCGCTTGGCCAAGCGCGTTGACTGTCCGCGGACATCGCGTGTCTCTCTGGTTCTGTTGCATTACCTCTGTTGTATAGCAATGTGCTGAAGAGGGGTCTAGATGTTCCCTTCTATCTCTCCAATGAATTGACTGACTTATTATATGGTGCTGCTAATTGCTATGCATCGAGGATATTTAGGTGAGACATTTTCTCTCTTTTTTTGGTCAAGTAGTAAACACTATCTAATGGATAGTTGTGTCTTACTGGTTCTGTTGTACTACTTCTGTGATTGTATTACAACGTGTTAAAGGGGGTTCTAGGTTAACTGCTTCTTTAGTCATACTCTTCTTTCTATGCCAGAATTGGATGAATTAACTACTAAGGTGAGTTCTTTTTCCTTCGAGTCGCGTGGCGAAGCGCGTTGATTGTCTGTGGACGTCTCGTGTCTCGTGTCTCGCCGGCTTCGTTGCTCTGCAACATGCTGAGAGGGTTTAGGACCATTACCTCACATTTTCGATGCTTTCGATCCTCGACACTCAGTATCGGATGCACCTTCAATCGTCCATGGATAACCCCCCATCTTACTCACCCTTTTAGCCATACTTCGTTTTAGATCCTTGCCAGGTATCTCTTATTCTTATCGATCTTCATTCTTACTCTTCTCTCTTTTATCACGGTTTTCTCCGTCAGCTTTCTTCTTTAGTTTACTCATCTCGACTCTCACGAATCCCGATCCCCCCTCTCACTACTATTTTTCCTCATCTTGTCCCTATCTTTACTTTCTATTCTTCCTTCTTATCCTTGACCTCTATTCTTTCTACCTTTCTTCCTATCCTTCCTTCTTATTCTTATTCCCCATTCTTTCTGCACTTCTTCCTCACTCCTATCTCCTGTGCTCGTTTTATTCGTACTCCGAGGACGATATCAGACGAAAACGAACGGCCACAAGGCAATCGAGACAGCGGACAACGACGACCATTCCAACCACATCTCCTTCACGACCGTTTCTTACTAGTGCCATCCTATCTTCCGCCATCATACTCACTACACCTTTTTGAACTCGAACGAACGAGAGAACGATCGAACACGACTTCGAACAGGCGTTTCGGCGCGGGGATTCCAGGATCCTCGCCTTCTCTACCTAGACATTCTGTCCAAGTGGGGTTGACACACCAGCATCACTCGATTTCATCTAACCTTTTATACACGTCTCATTTTCCCGTGTCAATCACGGATGCACATGCCATCTATCTTTCTTTTTGCTTTCTGGACTATACCATCTGGAGTTTATTCTCTCTGCCTTCCCTATATCAGTTAGATACATCCCCCGGGGAACAGATCGCTCGTGCTACTCTTACTATTTCATACTTTTCTATCTTCTTTGACTACCATCCAGCTTGGCGACAACCACGCACCATAACAGATCGAACCAACGCCCACCAACTGGATCAAACGAGGCGGATCGAAGGAGCATCTGAAGCGGAACGATCGAACGAACCGGGACAGAAAATGGGCGGCGGGAGGTTCGGACGTCCCGGTAGGTGAGCCCCTAACTTCTGTTTCTCCTTCTCATTGATTCAGGTATTCCACGGCAAAAGTATGAAATGTTCCAGGCTACTCTGCTCGAGGTGTTCGTGCTGGATTGTTAGGGCTGTTGGGTATTGCATGTACTTAGTAACATATTTATTTCAATGTTGAAATGGTTCATCTTTGATATCTTCTCCAAGTGTACACACGTAGATTCCTAGTAGAAAGCGTGAGAACTACCATCGTCGGTAAAGATTAGAATGACTCAAGTCATGTACGATGTCATACCCATATATATGATATGTTCAACTCTATAGAATGATACATATTACTCAAGACTTCTTCCGTCCCTCCATAACACGTAACACATCAGTCGCCGAATCCTTATCACCTTTTCTCTTCTTCGGTCCTCTTTTACGTTTGTTACCACCACGCTGCGGCCCATCACCAAACGTGGGACCTTCTTCATCCTCCTCATCCTCGATCCGACTACTGCCGAATCCATAGTCAAGATCGAGAGCATCAAGAGCATCGCGACGACGCGCTTCTTCAAGGAATTTCTTGCGACGGGCGAGTCGTTCGGGATCATCGTCGTCGTTTGCGAATTCGTTTTCTTCCATGGCCACGGCATGATCGTCATCGTCTTCTTTGCCTTGAGCGGCACTTTGTCGAAGAGCTGCAGCGCGTTTGAATGCGGCGAGGAGAGTGGGATCACTCGTTAATGGGTTCATGCGTGGTACATCTTCGGCGTCTTTGCCTGTCTTGCTATCTTTGAAGTAATTTCTTCGTGGTTGAGTAGATGGTTCTATCGCTGCTGTTGCTGCTTCTTTGATCTCTGCATCGTCCGCCTTCTCTTCCTTCTCCTCGGCGTCAGAATCATCGTCGTCTTCTTCCTCTAGATCGCCAAGAGGATTATAATCCGTCCCAACACCAGCAAAAATATCATCATCCTCCACCGCTTCTGCAGCGGCCTTTTCATCAGCAATCCTTGCCGCAATTACAGCCGGAACTTCCATACCCAACGGCTTGGAGTCTCGACCAGGTCGTAAAAGTCCATTATCATCGATTTTTGGTATGTCGGGTTGTTCCTTGTCTAGCCAACGCACTTTTCGTTTCGAGTTACCTTCTGCATCTGTAATGACGAGAATCTCCTTTCGACGACCGGTGCTGGGATCAGTCTCGATCCAGCGCTTTTTGTCGGATTTATCGATCTTTTTGAATTTGTTGCTTAGTGTTGATTCTGGTGGTGTCGGTTGCTTTGGCTGTTGGGCTGCTGCTGCTGCTCGACTTGCTTTTAGTTGTTTTAGAATCTCGTCTCGAGATAGTTTGCCTGAAGGTGGTGCCGCTGCAAGGTTCCCTTTTTTGACTTTCTTCTCTTTTGGTACTGCTGCGATCCCGGCTTCTTTTTCTTCAAGTACACGATCCAATTCTTCATCGACATCACCTGCATCAATAGTATCTTTCTTTTCTTCCTCTTTCTTCTGTGACAGATCCTCACCGGCTTTCGCTCTCTTCAATAAATCCCAATCCAACCCCTTAACCAAATGTGTACTCTTCAAATCCCCTCCAACACCAATCTCTTTTCTTAGTTTATCGAAAGTCTGCTGATCAATCTGTCCCAGTTTGACCATATCTTCCAACGCTTTAAGTCTTTGCTCAACACTTTCATCTCTACTCCCCTGCTCATCCTCGTCGTCTTTCTGTTGCCTTCTCAAAGCCGTTCGATCCTGGTATCCGCTTGTGAATTTCGTCCCTTTCGGTGCCGCCGAGGCCTTGAATCGTTTAGCGGGTGGCTGTTCTTCGCGACGCTGTTCGGCGAGTTGGCGCGCAAATTCGTTCGTGTTACTAGTTCCACCTCTAACATGGCGTGGTGTCATGGGAATGCTGGATCGCATACGTGAGCCGAGGAGAGCAGATGATGACGGCGGCGATGACTGGTTCGGGGATTTGTTCGTTTGCGCATTTTTGTCCAGGGTGGTTGTCTTTTTGCCTGGTTGGTCCAGGACCAGGCGGCGGAATTGTTCGTTGTTCATTCTTATAGTATTAAATGCTGTTCTTCATATCATTCCATATTAGAATAAATCGAAATAGAGGGAGGAGTTTGTTGGAGGAAAAATCTCACGTTGATAGCAAAGTTGATGTCAAAAAAGGTTGCAGATCATTAATGCGGAAAGCGGTGGTTGTGGAGCTTTCATGGCCCGTGCTTTTTCGATGTCCTAACTCAACTACAAATTATTCAAACCATACGCTGAACGCAGCGATACATTGAGTCAATTCTATTTATTTCACAATAGACAGATACCTTCCCAAAAATATCAAGATACGATCAGAAAAATGAAGGTAAGAGGAGTTATCGGTATCGCTATTTCAAAGGAAATCATATTAACATGCCCCCCGTCAAGTCATCAAGTAAATGCAACCCAGAACAGAACAGAAAACATGAAAGAAGAAACAGGTTTGAATGGATTGTATATAGAAGCCAGAACAAGACACGTGCAGTGTATTAAATAGTCTCCCAACCGCCATTATTGATTTCAGCTTCCAGTTTCCTGCTAATAGTCGCAGGGATGCCGTGAGAGAGCCAAACGTCCCGTAAAAGTTTATCGTATCGCTTCTGATTGAGGATGAGTTGGCGATTACGACGGAGACCGGGGTCGACTTCGCCGTGTTTGTCGAGATAGGGAGCATAATGCCATGATCCGTTGTGATTGTGGAGGTAGAGAACAGTGCATTTCCGGATGTTGATGAATAGGCCGATATTTTTGCCGCATCTGCTTTGTTATTAGCATCAGTCGTTATCGAATAAAATAGAGAGAGGAGGGACTCACTTTTCGACATGCTGGTTACAGCCGCCGTATTTCTTACTATCCATGCAACAAACTGCTTGCGAGCACATAATCTCACCACAAAATAGGCAGATACTGGGATCACTCAACTCCCGGCCCGAGTTGGGACATCGTCTACGATTCGCTTCTTCAATCAGCAGATCGTAGTATTTCGGAAGACCAATCAACTCAAACGGAGCAGGGTGAGATAGACTGGGCCAGAGTCGGTGATCCTCAGATCGACTACCTCGAGAAGCATTCCAATGGAAAATCCAGCCCGAGAATATTCGGTAAAAGGTATTTTCAGGTGCTGGGTTTGAAAACAAGGAGAATATCTCATCGAGTGTTGGGAGGTGAAGGAACTTTGTCAAACGGTCTAGTTCCGAGACATTCTCATCCTGGAAGCCAGTGTTGGGGAATTTGACTCCATGCTGGACGTATAATAGTATGGCGGTCTTCCTCAAGAATGGTAATGCATAGCTGGATATGAGGCGTCGAAGAGCCATGACGAGTCTCGGAGTACTTGAGTCTTCGCCTTGGCCCAAATAACCACTGGTAATAGAAGAACCCGCGGCTCTTCCAATAGTGTTTGCTTTCATCTCAGATACCACCGCATCAAAGAACTTGCGCGTAATCGCATACTTGATCTCCGCCGATTCCGTTTGCAAATAATCATCACTTTCATGTCTGGCGAGTTCTTCTTTGAGGTGATGGTTGCACAGAATGAATGTGACGGCAACCTTGAGAACCTCTGCCATATAACACAATTGGATCAAATGCCTAATTTCAATGTTCAACACTGGTCCCAATGCCACCGAAGCTTCGGCAAGAAAAACAAAAATATCCTGTCCTAGCAAGGGAGGGGTGTTCCTAACTTCGGCAAGTAATGGACTCTGGTAGCTGATAGGGTGACCAACGAAGAGCTGACAGAGTTTGTGGCGATGGATCTGATGAAACTCATCTGTCGTACCATTCTTATCACCATAATAGTAGTTGGTGGCTGCTCCAAGAGCAGCATAAGAATAAGCGGTCTCAGCAAACACACGGAGGTGGGTTAGAGTCAGCTGCGGGATTTTATCAAGCAATGTGGTACCAGGATCGGCTTCCACGCCACGCTGAGAGATCTCCAATGCCGATATGCTGAACCCAAAGCTTCTGAAAAGGGAATCGGTGTATATTAGGTCATCCCACGCACTAGGATTCAGATTGTGGTTAAACTGTGACGATATGTGGTTGGCATGTAGTGTCTTCTTCAGTCTCTGATAGATCTTCATGAGTTCAGATATTGGATCTGTTGATGGCTCTGGTGTTGAGGTTTCCACAGCCGGTGGTGCAGGTGGGCGCATGGGACTGTTTGCGCCGCCTTCATCAGTGTTGGGAAAGTCACCCGGTATGAGAATCCTAGCACCTTGGAAAGACCAAGAATTAGGACGAGATAAAGGCGCGGTAGAAGATGGCCAGAGGTTGCGTTGATCAATGGCGGTGGAAAGTGGTGCAACCATCGATTTGGTGAGATACTTAGTAGCTACGTGGAAATATGGATCATGGGGTATCTTCTCGCTCTCCATGACGAATAATGGGAGATTGGGTGGTTGAGAAAGGTGGGCTCGTAAATCTTCAGAAACGTATTCCTCAAAAGATTTCTCCGTACTTAGTACGCCGGGATACGACTCTTCTTTACCCTTCCAAATGATAGGCAAGAATGCGTTTCCAAGAGCTTTGCAGAGTGGACAAACAAACTCCTTAAGGTTCAGATGCTCCGGATGGTTTCGAGCAACTTGCTGGGAGTGACGTCTCTGGATAGCTGAGCAATAGACTTCGAAGCATGCAAAGTGCATGATATGGCCACATCCAGTAGTCACTGGGCCACGAAGTGTATTTTTGGACGAGAAACCCTTGCTGAGCCCAATCTTTTCCGTAATCACTTCGCCCCCGGAAGAGTCAAGTTTCTTAACCATGACACGGTTCTCTCCCGACACACCAAATGGTCGGATGTGATCAATTGATCTGTCCAGACTTGTAGGAGTCCTTAGCGCCTCTCGTATCCAATCTCTATCTTGTACATCCGTCAAACGCAATATACCACTGTCTTGAATCAAGGCAAACGTTCCAAAGAGCCTAGAATCATTGGTTTCCTCCTGACAGAGAATACAAGTGCCACTAGGATACTTCCAAGTCTTAGTTTCTTCATCACCCGCATTCTCGGATTCCAGATCACTCAATTCTTCATCATCACCCCAGTCGAAAGCACCTTGAGAACTGAGGAAATTTTGCTGTTGCTGCTGGAATTGTGCCATAACGCGTGCTTGACGATCCAACGCCTGCTTCTTTTTTAGCTCCTGCTCGGATTCAGCAGTACTGGCTGGAGAGTTGGTATCAAGTCGTTCGTATGGAAATTTAAGCTTCTCAGTGGCAGTTGCGTACGTTCTCGGTCGTTTATGCCACATGGTTTTAATAATGTGTTTGATTTTCGCAGCGCAGCTCTCATATTCGCTGGCTACAGACACTTTCTCTAAAAGTCCAACAATAGTGATATGAGCATCTGTCTGCGTAGGTTTCGACTTTGAAAGTGCATTCGATACAAAAGACGAAGTAGATTTATCATCTATTTCATCTTCTGACGAATTGTCTTCCACGGTGGCAAGGAGGACAAGGTGAAGAGCTATATGCAGGAAAGCTTCAATCCTTGTGGCCGGGATTTGAGGCGTCTTTTCCTTCGAACACAGCACGTAATCAAGGCAATGGTGTATGATCTGAGCGAACAACGGGGATCTTGTAAATGCCGAGAGATTAGAGTATGCCCCGCTTGTGACAGAGCGGAGTTTTGGCTCAAAGACAATATCAGCAGGCTTTTTGCCTGTCTTTTTAGCCATCCAGTTTCTATAGATACTCTCTGCTTCGTCTCGCTGGTTCTTGTTGTAATGAGCACTGTATGGGTCTATCAGTTCAAGATATTCGGGCTTGAGTTCAAACGTGCCGGTGTCGTTTAATCCTTCTGGAGGACGGAATCTGGCAACGTCATCTAGCACATCTTGGAATATATCTGTTTCCAGTAGCTTATCACTCAACCGAGTGGAGAGGTCAGAGAATGAAAGTGGTTTGAAGCATAGTACGTGAGCAACGTCACGACTGATATTCTCCCGGGTAAGCATCGCGTCATCCTCGTCAACCGTGAGCGAGGTACGGTCTGTAATCAGGATGATGAGCAAGTGGATGAATTCCTCGGCGACATCGATAATCTGAGAATCCTCGTATCCTGGACGAGGCTGATAGTCTCCAGTAAACCATGCAACCACACCAAAACGCTCAGCCATAGAGGCCAGAACTCTGGCCGGGTCGCAAGTAACTAGTGCTGTTTGCAATAGGAAAATGTCCCGGTAGTATGCAAAGTCCCGAGAGGAAACTCCACGGTACTGTGACATTTGATGGCGGAGGCTTAACCCATTGCGTACCCACATGCCAGCCTTCATTTGGGCAAGCCATGCACAGACACGAAGGGGATAGTCGAACATTGCTAATAAGAGATCTTCATTGCTCAAATGCCTGTCGTGGACATGCTTTTCGTTGGCTATTTGAGCAGCCTCAAGCAGGATGTCCCGCATATATTCACGACCCATATCACGGCCACACTCGAGTAACCATGAAAGAGTGTAGTGAAGAGCATGGTGGAAACTAATAGAGCCCTTCTCGACTACGAAATCTACTACCCGGTGGCGCTGAATATGACCGTCCGGAGAAACCTCAAAATCAAAGAGAGGAAGCTGTTTGAACTTGATATACTCCTTGATCTCGGCCTGGTCAAAGCGCTTTCTCTCGACACCAGTTGAATTGACAATGGCATAAACAGCCGCTGCCTTGATTGCCCGCACGAGATTTTGGCCATTTGTGGCTGTCGGTTGGCGGAACGATTCGCAGAATTGACGACATAGACGATTGACCTCTCTCATCAAGATGGATGCACTGATCCAAGCATCTGTTTCGTATTCCACGTGCTCACCGACGGCGCGAACATTAGGACATATGCCTTGAGGTAGCTTGACAAGATCCAAAAATTGTAGGAGATATTGTTCTTCGGTACGGATACGGCTTTGTACATATTCAGATAAAAGGAGATGACGAAGATCAAGGAAGAAATGATATAGTCGGCGATTCGTAACCGAGCCAGCATCAAAGGCCAGGGTTGCATTTGGATTGACCTCCCATGGCTCTCCGACTTGGCGGGTCGTGAGGAAAGTATATAAAATAGCCATCACCTTCGTAAGGAAATCACCTCGGTGGACAATCTCTTCCGTGATGGACGGGGTGGTGAGGAGTTGTAAGGACACATTAACAATGGAGTGATCTGGCTCGCGATCGGCGATCAAATACAACTGAGCCAATGCGGTATAAAGCGCAGCAAGGCGTAGACCCATGACTCGTTTGAACTGAGGAACATTGACAACGGTGCTGATATAAAGATCTCGCAAATCGATCCTGGTTTTCTTCCATAAACGGAGGTCAAACAGGATCATCCAATCAAGTCGAGTACGCTGATTGAGATTCTCATATATCGGTACGTTCCCAGCAGGGCGAACAGGTCGTGATTGCCAATGGCTTGGTGTTTTTGCCGCGGACAGCTTTACTGATGTAGTGGGAGTCCTGGGGATCTCCACATGAAAGCTCTCAGTCGTCTCGTGTCCTGCGCCAGCAGTCTGATTATCCCGAGCTGTTTGAGGCGTCCGATCACCAGCTGCGGGAGTATTTGCGTCAGTCTCTTGTCCTTCGCCATCTGCATTACCCATGTCGACATCTTCGTCAGAGTTGATGCCTAAAATATGGCGAAGACGTGGATTCTCAATGTCCATCATTTCTGAATAATCGTCATCGTCTTCTTCGTTCACTACAAAGTCCTCCTCCCCTTCCATTTCGTCCTCGTCCTGGCCTTGGCCCGCCTCATTTTCGTCAACCTCGTCGTCTTCATCTTCGTCATCGTCTTCTGTTCCAACAATGACACCACCTTGAGGAGATACTGTCAGTGTTATAGCCGTGCGATAGAAAGGCGCGTTTTCATTTCGCTCATGGTCGTCAATACCTTTCATTCCGATGTCAGCATTGTACGCGCCGCTTCCCTGTCGCCATGGACGCAACAGTTCTTCGCAGATGATATTGCGCAAAATTTCATTGTCTTCACCAAAGCTGCAGCCGGCGATATCAGAGAGCCATTCAACAATGGTACCGCACATTCCTTCTCTAAACGTGTCTCGAGCCGAACGAATGGTGACTGTGACCTTGATATGCTCAATTATTTTCGAGACCTGCAGTAGCCTGTTCAAATCCTTGGAGTACTTGATAACGCTGCGTCCTATCTCATTGGTTTCATGTGCCTTCAAATCTCCGAAGCTAGATCGTTCTCGACATGCCCGTGTCACTTGGTGAGATACATCGCGGATAGTATGTTTCTCGTCATTCCACAAAGCAAGGGCAAACTCAGGCTCTTCCTCCTCCTCATCACCCTCGCCATACCATCCTGGATGTAATCGCGATGCCACCTCGTCATGACGGATTCCTTCTTCTGTTTTTGGTAGACGAAGCTGTTCAGGTGAACATGAGATGACATCACAGAAATAGTCCAATGTTCGCGAGATGGTATTTCGGATATCTTCAACCCATTCCGATGGCAGGTCTTTCTTGGTTCGTTCTTTTCCCTTCGACTCGCCAGTATCAGTGTGAATGGCACAGCATAAAGGCACCCGCCATGCTTCCTCGTCGCCACAATCGCAACATCCACAGTTACCTGCCGATAGCGAAATTTGATACTGATGGCCCGTATGGTCGGACGCGTCAAAGCATCGGCTGCATAAAACACACGTATCGTCCGCACCGCACGTCAGACACCGATATGTTCCTTCGCCAGCTTTGAAGATATGACCACATCGCTTACCCTTGGCAGCGGCACTGTACTCCGCGCCTTCTTGTGCGCCTTGAGCTTCCGCTAATTTCCATACTCGATCAGCTGGAGGCCCATCGGGGAAGAGTATTCGTAGCCTCTGAGGATCGTTGCCGCATAGTGATCGAAAGAGAAGCTCTAACAGATCCTCCTCTGCTTTTATATTGTAGTGATAACTGTATTTGGCTGGGAGGCGCAAAAGGCCTTCGCCTAGCAGTTTCTCACATTCCGTGAGCATCTTATGTGGATTCTAAGCAACAAACGCCGCGTAGTAACCCATGTGGCTGCTCAAGTGGTGAGGAACGAATAGATGAGTCGTCGGGATGTGGCAAGGTGAGGGGAAGCGATAAGTAATCGACGCTTCAAAGTAAGCTGTAGATCGGTATCGGCGGTGGTCACTACACGTCTTGACGTGTTGCAGTTCGCAAGGGAATAATAGATAGCCTATATGTATATTAGTAAGAGGAGTTTATAGTCGATTTTGTGGACTGTTCGGTCTTCCGGTGGGTTACCGTATGCACGCAAGTTGTGGGGTGAGAGTCAATAGCTGAAGGAACCACGCAACAAAGCGCTCCTCAGACTGGTGAGTGTACAAATAGGAGCTTGAGAATGGAAATGGACTGATCTGGGACACTTTATTTTGACGTGGCTTCGTAGTTGGGAAAATCAGCTTTGAGGTATAGAGTTGGTTTGTTGTTGATGCTGCTAAGATTGTCATGCTATGACATCTTCCAGCAAATTTCAGTCGATCCGCTCCCGGCTGCCTCAGGCCATCGGAATTGATAATGTCCCACGGCCACCATATCTAATCATAGATGAACGAAAGCTGTTTCTTCTATTGATAGGATAATAATTGAAAGAAATGGTATTCTTGACAAATGAGTGATGCAAACTTTCTATTTATTTCCGCCTCACTGACAGCCATCGTCTAACAAGTACAAGGGGACCTCGATCTACCCCGTCATTTATAAAACATCGGATTCATTTTTGAAAGATGGCCTCCTCTATTCTTCATCTTCCTCCTCAGCCTTCTGGATGTATTGGTGCTTAATGTCCTTCCATTGACGCTATAAAGAATGAAAGTCAGCTCGAAACGAAACGTAGAGAGATCGAATGGGTCGGAGAACATACGCCTCGGTTCATGGAGTCCCAAATCTTGTTGGAAGCGGTATCGAATGCACTGTATTGGTCCAGATTGTCAGCATCCATATACATCCTTTTCTAACCAGACTGAGTGCACGCGGAAAGGTGGGAAACGCGATGCAACGTACACCTCAAAGGCGAAGGCGCCGGCGAAGATGCTGGTCAAGTAGACAGCATTTCGTTGGAAGAAGGTCCTATTGATTGGAAAATTCGCAATTAGTACGACTGCAGACGTGGTGATTGGTATTCCTCGGCGACTTCACTGGGGGTACTTGCTGGTAAAGAGCTTGTGAGATCTGCGGCAGATTGGGGCACGTGTTAGCCATTAAATCCAGTCAATTGAGCCTTAAAGGTGTAATTCTTACTCCGGCCATGATTTCAGATGTTCAGAAAACTGCCAAAAAGGTCCGTGGAGAAAGCGCGATGGTGAGACAGGTTGATGAGTGCTGTCAAGTTAACATTGCGAGGATCGAAGTGGAAGTTCCGTTAGGCCAAACGGCCTCCCGAAAACCCGAGAACTTCCGGCTCGCTTATTGGCCGATGGTTGCAGCTGCCTCATCATTTGATGATTTGACGTTCTGTCGCATTAAATATTTGACACAATTTAACAGAAGAGAAAATGCACCGGGTGTGATTTCTTTAGGCCAGATAGCACGCTTCCTACGACATATACGGGCAAACCTCGATCTCATTATTCAAAATACATACCCGCATCTCCAATCCCAAACAAATTCAAGATGCCAGCAACCGAACCAGTCAGCTCCTCTGGCATCGTAGTCGACCAAGTCACCGGACGACGACATGTCCCCTCATCAACTCGCGCCGACGGCACCAAACGCAAAGAAATCCGCATTCGACCAGGCTATCAGCCGCCGGAGGACGTCAAGAAATACAAGAATCCATCTGCAGAAGCTTGGAAAAACCGTGGGAGTGGTGGAGTACCTGGAGCTGAACCCGTGTCCGGTAGCAATAATAGTGCAAGTGCAGCAAGTAACAAAAACGCCAAACGTCGTGAAGCAAGGAAAAAAGCCAAGGCTGAAGAAGAGGCGGGTGCAAATGGAGGGAAAGACAAAGACACCACTACCGCTGCTGAAAAGAAGGATGTGACCAAGGAAGAAGCTGTTCTCGACCCGGAAGCTGAGAAGGAGAAGAAAGCGCGCAATTTGAAGAAGAAATTGAGACAGGCTCGTGAGCTCAGTGAAAAGAAGGATAAGGGCGAATCGTTACTTCCGGAGCAGTTTGCGAAGGTTATTAAAATTAATGAATTGATTCGCGAGCTTGATGCACTGGGTTTCGATGCGGACGGTGAAAAGAAAAAGGCGGATGTGTGATATGCGACTCAACCCTCTTCGCTTCTAAATAGAATCGAAAGGCGACATATCTACAACTCATTCTTCAGAGACACAGCCGCTTTTCAGCATGAATATCAAGATATGATCATACAGATCATAATCAAATACCAGCATCGTTGCTCATGATGCAAAATACCGCCATCGGATCCCATATGGACCTTGTCGGCAACCACAAGGTTATCATTATTGATCAACAACCACCAAGAGGTTATTGAGGTCAGCGTGGCTGCAGAGATGGCTACGTCACAAGACCGCAGGAAAGGTTTCCAGAGAGTCTACACATGACAGACAAGCATATTCTACTTAGGTAATTAGCTATCAATGTAACTTACACATTACCTGATACTTGGCTCTTTTCCTGTTTTCTTTTTTTTCGCTAAACTTGATAATCTCCGATGGAAAGCCCTAGATTTGTGCCTTCACATATATATAGAATTAATAAATGATCTATAGTACATTTTTTGGCTTAATTAGCCTTGATTTTGTGCGCTTGCTGCATCAAATACCGCATCGACGAAGTCGGAATACCGCCTGCTTGATGCTCCATTAGATCAGGCGGCATACCAGACGAGAATTTAGTAGCACCCTCGATCGAATCCACGCCCCAAGTAGCCGCTAGATATCCCTGAATCACGCAATCATTAACACCCACACCATGCATACCATACCAATTCCCAGCTAAGGTGAGGCGTCTATCAAAGTCCTCCCGAACTGCATCTGAAAGTCCCTGCATTTTCGACAGATGATTCACGGTGTACTGCGGGATAGCGTTTCGCTGAAGTCTCGCCCTAGTCACGACAGGTGTTGCGTCAATACCCAAATGTCGCTTCAGCAACGAGCGGGCCATAAGCGTCGCCTTTTCCGGATCAGGGAAATCCGACTCTGCCCAACCATCCCACCAGTGACCGCCCATCATCACAGTCAGTTTTGTCCCGACTGCTGTATCCTGGTGTTCACTCGTCTCTGAACTGAAAATCACTCCCAACCCACGCTCCGGGTTCTGCTCAAAGGGGATGTTGCGAGGAATGAGATAGCCGAAGCCTCGGTAAGGGATGAGATTGGGTTCGTTGTAGAATAGGTTGACGACCATTACATTTACGGCATAGTTGTGTGCTCGGAGTCGTGATATTGACTCAATGGGTTTTTGACTATCATTTTCTGAACCTGCTGCAATGAGGTTCGCCATTTCAGTAGGTGGTGCGGTGGAGATGACTCTGTTGAAGGTCTGGGACGTAGTCTCGTTTCCTGCGTTCAACGATATCTATGCAGATGTTAGTACTATATCTGAGCGAATGAACATCTACTTTTGGGGTTTGTACGTACCGTTATGTTGTGGTCCTTCTCCCTTTTGATATCGCTGATCCGAGCGTCCGTCACGACTTGGATCTTCTCAGAGTGTTCCTTGAAAACTCTCTCAAATGCGCGCGCTATTTCCGCCATGCCATCTCTAATCGTGAAGACGCTCGCGGGCCTCACCAACTTGCGCAAACGGTCAAAGTGGCCCAGTGGCCGTTGCCCTACTACCGAGGACATCGCCAGTAAATAATCAGCTGGAAGAATTTTCCTCTTTTGTTGACTGTTATCTACCACACCAATGATAACAGACTCGTGTTTGGCTTCAAGAAGCCGTGGTATTCCGATAATAGCGTCGGCGCTTAGCTTATAGATGTCGCCTGCATAAATTCCATGATGAACTGCCGAGACAATGTTGTCGGCCATAGTGGGATTGAAGCGGCGTGAAATAAAGTCCCCAACTGATTCGTCCTTTCTAAGGTCTGAACGTACTTCCACGGCAGGTTCTTTCACGATTCCCATTACAGTCCCTTTAAATAAAGGTTCTGTGAATAGAGTCGTAATGGCTTCCCATATTGTACCTAACGTTCCTCCCTCGGGCTTGGGGCCAGGCACCCGTACTAAATGATCTGGGTAGTAGATATAGCGATTGAGGGAGGCCGGTGACCCCTTGCTTATGAGGACTAATTGCTCTGTCAAATCCAGACCAAAAAGCTGTACACAATCCAGTCAGTTCTTCGGCTCGTCGATATAAAACGAGCATTGATTGAATCTCACCAAATCCAACATCGGCATGACAGCAGGATCAGCTACCCTTATCGTCCTCGGCCCATGTTCAAACACCACATATTTCCCACCCCCAACCTCAATCCTCTCTGACTGGAGCCAACCTCCAACCTGCGGGGACTTTTCGTAGAGTGTAATTTTCTGACATTTTGGGTCTTGGAGTAATTTCCAAGCAGCTGTAAGTCCTGTGAGACCACCTCCGATCACCGCGACATTGTATGGTTTGGTCTCATGGTGGAAGAATCGATGTTTAATAAAGCGGGACGTCGTCGGCGATCTCAAAAGCGTGGGAGGACTCGGTCGAATCGCATGGGCGAGGCAGTATCTTCGCATTGCTGCCGCTGGGAATCTATTCATGCATCGGTTGAAAATATGATCGTATAAACAGCCTTTGCGGCAATGTTGTTTAAGAAGCAATTGAGTCGTTAAATGATGACTGTTGGTCAGTTGATCGACGGCGGAGTTAAAGCACCCATCAGTGGTTGATGTGTGGACCCGGAACTTGGGTACAGTTTCTACATGTCATGCTACTACGGACCTTCTTATGGAGGAACAATACTGCATGTGCTTTTGTTAGAACGACGTATGCAATAAATTGTTAGATGCCTAGGCGAGAATACAAATACCTCGATATACGAGGTAGAGCACTGATTCATTCTTCTACGTGCCTATGAAACAAATTACCATCAAGGTCCTTAGCGCATTCGCAGCTTTAATATCATCCTGCAAAAACATCGAGGGGAATACCTCTAAAAATCTCACATAGTCCTATACTAAAGAAATGTACAACAAACGCCACTTCCCAATTGAATCCGCCCATGCATGGTTTATAATGAGTAGAATACATATTCAGCTTTTCTTCTGATCAGCAAAAAGGTATCAATAGTTCAAGTGATGACTTGCTCCGCTTGAGCTGCATCAGGTTTTATAAGCTCTTCTTCTCCATTCTCATCGTCCACAAATTTCCGCTCGCTAACATGAGGCTTTTCCTGACCTGCAATCCACACTTTGTCCGGGAAGCTTCCCTTCTGACCCTCCACATGCTTGTAAGGGCATGTCCGGTTCATACACGGGTTGAATTTGCATGGTGTGGTGAGATGAGTGAATTTACACCCTTCAGTCGTGCAGTCGGCTCCATTCCGACAGAGAGGCATGCTGGGATGTTTGAAGTGACAATGGGGGTTCGTGCAGTGAGGAAAGAAGCGGCAGACCTCTTCTGCTTGGTGGGATGCCTTGACGGCAGGTGATGGATGTCGCCCGGTACATTTCTTGTTTTTGCATGCTGCGCCGAATGGGCAAGTGTCGGTGACATCAACTGGCGCGCCTTCGGGGGCTGCTGGTGATTGATGGGCAAAGGGGCAATCTTTTCGAGTGCAGCGAAGATTGAACCGACAGACACTGTCTGTGCTTGCTTGCCCGTCGACTGCGGTCTGGTCCTCTGCCGTATCCATGTCACCATCATCACCTTGCTTGGCAGCAATGCCATTTTGAGAAGCCCTTGACTGGAAGTCACCGCCCTGTCGCTGATTTGGACGCTCAACTCGCTCGAACAGTGACCGACCCTGTTGATGCTGTTGGTGTTGATTTTGAAAGTTCGGATTGACAGCCGGTGGCATAAACCCGGGCATGAGCTGAGACATCATTCTCGCTTGTTCTTCGAGAAGAGCCATAAGTTGCATCTGGTTTTCAGGTGTCATTTGCATCATATTTCCGGCCCCTTGTCCTTGCATCTGCCCGAATCCTGGCCTACCTCTACCACCGCGGCCCGGTCCAAATTGTCCTCGTTGGTTCTTTTGGAAATCTCGACCGTGTGTATTTATTCGTCCGCTATTATTCGGTCCGCGCACGCGATGAAGCATTGCATCAGGTCCTCGTTCCAGGTTCTTATTGATCTGGTTCAACAGTCGCCCCCTGCCGCGGTTATTGTTTTCTCGCATCGCTCGAGGACCAGTGGGTCTAAAAGATGAACTGTTAGGATATTGACTTGAACAAAGAAAAGTGAACGGCAGAACACATACATATTGTCACTCGGACCTGATGCTTCGCCCATGGTAGCATCTTGCTGATCTTGGGCGCCGAAGGCGTTCTGTTCGTTGCTCGCCGGTATCGACTGTGCTGCAGCTGGTGCCGCATCAGGAATGGACGACAGCCCGTTGATATTATTGTTGAGCACCTCTACCTGCTCAAACAACCATCGCGAAAAGTCAACAGCCTGCGTATCGCCCTCTCCCAGGTTAAGTAGATCGTTTGAAAGCTCTTCGGCGATTTGATCTTGAGTTTTGCCGTTAACCAACATGAGAATCACGTATTCCGTCAGCGCCGAATCCTCTCCACTATCTGAACTCCATCCCATTTCTACCAGTTTCGGTTGCACTACATTTGCTAGGGCCTCCGCCAGCGGGGTCCCTGGCGCCACTGTTGCTGGCATTTTGCGGCGTTCGGTCGCAAGGTCTGCGTAAGCTGGAGATATTGACGGAAGCAACGACTGAATTCAAATTAGTCCCAAAGGCAGTTTTCGAGATGAGCGCAATCTTTCTGCAGATTCCGGGCCTGGAGAAGTACTGGAGATGACTATGGCAAGTTCGATAAAGAGGTGTTTATGTTGTTGTAAGGTGAAAGATATGATGCGATATCAAAAAGGGACGCCACCAATAGACACGCTAGATCCACTTTTCAGCAGCACATGATTGGTTTATATTGCCAACCTCACGACAGCTCGGGGTCACGTGAATTGAGTCACGTGAACCGATACCAAAACGGATCAGTGACTTTCGTCTTGAGTCGAGATAAGATCAAAAAAGTATAAAATCAGTCATACAAGATTTGCATTTCCTGAGAACATCTACTTTTACACATGAGTTCCATCTAGATGAGTAGAGTGCGCTGTTGTACAAGCAACCCGAGGTTGCGGGAACTTTTCTTCATGTGTAATCCTTCCTCTTTTTGAGAAACAACGCTCAAACCCCGAACGAGGACGACCACTCCCCATCAACAGACCTCGTAAACTCGCAACCTTCTCGCATTTTGAGTTATATTTTTGTCCCCATATTTTCCAGTTCGTGGTTCGTCATTGACTCATTGTGCGTGGGAGCCCTGGTATCTTGGCGATCAAATGTCGGTTGCACGTTCATGTTTTTGCATGCATCATGTCTGTAATACTACAGGTTCGAGGCATGTTCGAGGTATCTTCGAGGCATGCCGTTTACTGAGTTAGACTAAGTGATTGAAACATACGAATAGTTATCATCTTTTATTCTTGAAGAATAATCCCTTCATTCGCAACGTCACATTCTGCTCGGCTCTCGGCAGTCGAGGATAATCATCGCCTTAGTCTCAGACTTAGTGCTTGCTAACCTGTAGCCAATTTACCTCATTTGCGGGGAAGGCCTCCCAAGTTCTGTCCATCTCCTGATTCGACTGTTTGAGAAGTGTTAGAAGTGGTCGATAGGCAGATAGATTATATCTGTGGGCCTTATTTAAGGGCAAAGACCCATCCTTCGTCCCGCTGCTCCGTCATCAATCGATATCTGTATCCGGGACTCGATCAAAAGTCGAGGTTTGCAGACATCATGATTGAAGAAGTCCTATATGATCTCTCCCCCTCAAGGGCAGCCTTATGGCTGGGCCTGGGTCTCTTCGTTCTCTTCTGGATATTGAAACTCCGGAATGCCCGTCAGATCCACCTCTTGGGAGGAAAATCCCCAGAGATTCCGACCTATCTTCCTGTTGGTGAGTTTATTTCCATATTATGAAGTGAAACAACCGCTAATATTAGGTTCTAGCCGCCGATTTCATCTATGGCTCTACAAAAGCAGCTAAACACCACCAGGACCTAGAGTTCTGGAAAGAGAGCATGGTTCGCGCTCAGAAATCAAATAAGCTGCCTTTCGTCCCTTTTACGGCTGAGATCAATCAATTGATTTCAAATCGACTCCTCTTCACTATTGATCCGGAAAATATCAAGGCCATCTTGACCGGTCAATTCAACGACTTTGGCAAGGGAGAGCCCTTCCATCGGGAATGGCGAGAGTTTCTAGGCGATAGTATCTTTGCTACCGATGGAGAGCTGTGGTCTTCATCTCGACATCTGATTAGACCCATGTTCAATCGGGATCGTATTGTCGACACGCAGATCTTCGAGACGCATGTGCAGAAACTCATTCACCTCTTTGGTGGCAGTGGAAATGCAGATGGAAGTAAAATAGTTGATATTGGTGGTCTCTATTTCCGTTTCACTCTGGATGCCTCCACGGATTATCTTCTCGGTCAGGGAACGGATAGTCTAGAGAATCCCGAGACCCGATTTGCCGAAGCTTTCCGCTATGTGCAATCACGGCAGGCCATTTATTTCAGAATGGGGTGAGTTCGCTCTAGTTGTCTTGGAATATTGTAAGGAATATGTGCTAATCAAATGCAGACCACTCAGCCCACTCCTATCTCGGAAGAAGTTCCGTGAAGAACTACAAGTCATGGAAGATTTCCTCCAACCCTATATTCGCACTGTCCTCTCACTCAGTAATGAAGAACTAGAGAAGAATCTCTCTAAACGGGAAACGTTCCTCGACGCTCTAGCAAGATTCACTCGCGACCCTCGTGTCCTCCGCGACCAACTCGTCGCTGTTCTCCTTGCAGGCCGAGACACCACCGCGGGTACACTATCCTTCTGCACATTCGAACTATCTCGCCATCCAGAAGTCGTCGCCAAGCTCCGCCAGGAAATTGCTGAACGCGTCGGTGTCGGTGCAGACGCCAAGATTCCGACATACACCGACTTGAAAGAGATGAAATATCTGAACGCAGTCATCAACGAGACTCTCCGCTTCTACCCCGTTGTCCCTTTCAATGTCCGCTACAGTCTCAAGGATACAACGCTACCTCACGGCGGCGGTCCCGACGGCGGCTCCCCCATTGGTATTCGCGCAGATACGCGCGTCGTCTATTCTACACTCCTAATGCAACGCGAAGAAGCATTCTACGACCACAGTAAAGCCGATAAATACTACGACCCAAACCAATGGATCCCCGAACGATGGACTTCCGGCTGGCAACCAAAACCCTGGCAATTCATCCCTTTCAACGGTGGTCCGCGTATCTGTATCGGTCAGCAATTTGCAATGTTGGAAATGTTGTATACGATCACACGTATCTTGCAGGTTTATGGGAAGATTGTTGCTGTGCCTGTGTCGGGCCATGATAAGGTTGAAGATCCCCTGTTGCAATTTGAGGTTACTTTGTCGCCTGGCTCGGAGATGAATTGTGTCTTTTTGAGGGAAGGGGAAGGTCAGTATTGAGGGCGATTTTTGCCTTGTGAATGACGTTTTATGATTGTGGATATTCGCCTTTTTCTTTCAATATAGTCAAAATACTCATTATTTACGTATATGTATTGCGATGGAATTTAACAAATTAATTCCTTCAGATTGATTCACTATGAATGCGTGGAATACGTGAATTGCAGCGTCGGCAAGCCTGTACCTGGATAACCACAAAAATTGTATGGCATTGATCCATAGAGCCGCTCCCATCACTTTCTCAAATAGATCGAGTTATGTTCGAACCCCACGCCACTGTGAGCTATGTCTGGGGAGAGGGCCGAGACCATAGGACAACATTGGCCAACATGCAAGATCGGGCGGAAATCGGATGGCCTAGCTTATACCACCTACATACTCCTCAAGGCGCTTCGCCAGAGTATCAGTCTCGTGAGCGGCGTATGGATCAGGTATATATGGATTGACTCCTTATGCATCATCCAAGATAGCAGTCACAGTTGGAACCTCAACGCTCGTGCCATGCACTTGATCTATGGCAACCGACGTTGACTATCTGTGCCACAGTTGGGGCTAGCGCGAAGACTGGATTGTTGGCTCTTGATGAGAAGAAAAACACTAATCAAAAGATCGCAAAGTGCGTCAAGGGCGTCCATCTTGTACTGCATCAACCACCCGAGATAAGTATGGAAAGCTCAGCCTGGAATCAACGTGCATGGATCTTTCAAGGGCGCCTCCTTTCTGGACGCTGCCTCATCTTCACTGGCCGCCAAGTTAACTTCCAGTGTCGTTCAACGGGCATGTCAGGAGCCATCTTTGCTGATAAGCTCGACCAAGGATGGCCGTTGGAGAACCCCATCGATGCCATATCATTGACCAGTACGGTGATAAGTGTGGAAGCATTTTAGTCAACTCGCAGTGGTTGAAGAAGAAATGAACGACATCAAAGTTTGAATTCATCGCCATCTCGGAGGCCAAGGCGTTTAAGATGGAGAACATGCCGGATTGGACATACTAGATTCCGAATGAGAGGATTCTGTTTCCGTTCAGAGACTGTTTAGGCTCATTGCTGTACTGACTTTCGAACCGTAGACATTCGGAAGCCAGATGACAATTGATACCTCTATCACTGCTCAACTGAATGAGCAGTTGATCAAGAACAACTCTAGAAGACGTGAGATATTACCTTGGCATGTACTTTATTTCTCTCTGTGAATATCATTCTTCTCAACTAGGCAGGCAGCGGCCGGTTGTACGACATCGGGGGCTATCTAGACAGCGGCAATACCTTTCTTAACCCGTTACAACGAATATCAACGACTGTGAAGCGAGTACTTTCTGAATCTTAGGGTGTAATACATACCTCTCTATACGTAGGTATTGAGCTATCTACCTAGGTATGAGCCATAGTCTGATAACTCAGGTATCAACGCAAGAACATGAGTATATCTTGAGTCGAAATAGGGCTTCATCCGTCCGTCGTTTATGGAAACCACTCCTGTCGCTGAAAGCCGAAAAAGAGCTGTCAGAGAAGTTACAAAGGTTGAATAGGCTCAGCTTAGAGGTAATTCGCGAGCTCGGAGTAGTCGACTTAGAAGTACAAGTCAGTACAAATGGGATCATCCTGGCGGGTAAGGCAGCGTCAAGCCAGGGTTTTCCAATATTGAAGCTACGATGGATTTACTGCGAAATCACTTCTCAATGCACCGAGCGCCCTCCGTTGCGTCCAAAACCTCAAGCTACTTCATCGACCCAGAGGAGCAGAGTTCATCAGTTCAGGATGGCTCGAGCGAGAAGAGCTGGAGCTTGAGAAGCAGGCCAGACCACTATTCGGACAGCATTTCAGGATCAACCTTAGACTCCCAGACGCCACCTGAAGAAGAAAGCCTCTCCCAGCAAAAGGCAGAACAGATACGTCGGTATCTTGCCGGGCGCTTTGAAACCGGTATCAACGAGCAATTCCCAAATGCAAATCTTAAGTTTGTTCTCTTCAGCATCCGCACCTTATATACAGGAGGAGACTTTAATGCATCACCAACCATAACAAAGACCAGGTTCTGGGAAGACACAGACCTCGCCATCTACTTAATGAAGGCTTCAAAGCGGGATAAACGTGGCGCAAGCCGGAACCAGGTTCGAGCATTCCAATTTCTCAAGAAATCGACAGCTGACACAACCTACACGATGAGCCAGGGTACTGCCACCATCCTTATCGAGCTGTTGAGTACATTATCACCCATCAACACCACAGCATGTCCTGAGATCTGAAAGAACCTGATCGTCTATTTGAACGAATTAGCCAGGACTCAGCTACCATGCAACCACTCGATCACGCTCGTACATGACGTGCTCAAAAAAGATTGGTGACAATGACCTCGCCTCTCCGCGCTCACATTCGTCACTGAGCGACTGCGCGCTACATTAGGCCCCATCCACGACCTGACCCAGCTGGTAACGAAGCGTCTATGTGCCCTTCTACGCCACAGTGGTGACTTATCCGAGGCACTTCGAGTGACCCGTGACGGTATCCGCGTCATTCGTGCACTACTAGGTACAGGGTCACTGTAAGAGCGCTGGTTCTCCCGCCAGCTCGAGCACGTGTACACGCGTCAGTGCGATTGGGAAGCTGCACTGAGTGTATGATTCGACATCGTAGGACAGCAGCGTTTGGATACCTCAGAGACCCAGACCCGTTGTACCACGATGAGTGCGCCGTATACACAATGGAGGACATTGTCGAGACGGGCGAGCGCGCTGGAAACTTGGAACAGGCTGTTGCATAGCTCTAACAAGCAAAAATTAGTGGTGGCATGGTCTAGGGTGAAGGGGATGCTCTGGCACACATTCAAGATAAGCTGGATGAGTTTCTGAGGCAGATGGGGAAGGAGGATAATCTGATGTTTTGGGGCGTGTCGTTAGATCCTGTAACGAACGGTGAATATCTGGAAAAACATCGGTCAGATGACTGTTCTAAGGTTGCGGAAGAGAGTTTCTATTCATCCCCAGATGACTGGGCTTGTCCTCGCTCTAACCCTATTTACAGGCCCTGGTCACCTCTGCTTCGTGGATAGTCAGCGTTTTTGCTGTTCCCTGCTGTTATTTCGCTTTGCCTATTCTGATTCCTTGTCAATGTTCCTTGTTTGCACCGGTTCGCATTGTTTCCTAATGCTTTGGGATGCAGATTAGGATCTCCACGATATGCTATTGACATACCCCGGTGTATTGGTCGATACTAAGTCGCTAATGAATGACATCAATCATGAGTAGAGCACACAATATACAAAGGACATCCACGAGCCTCGTAGAATTTCCCCCTGAAGTTCATATATATCACAAGCAGATTATTTCTCTTCAGCTTCCTCCTCACCAAGCCGCTCAACCAAATCCCTCGCTCTAAGCCCCTCATCACCCTCACGGGCCCTAGCAGAAGATACATTTCGCATGGTACTTGCGACAATATACTCCCTTAGCCACGATGGAACTATAGCTTTGATCTTGACTGCGCCTTGTTGACTCACAAGTCCAGCAGCCGAGCCCGCGTCCCAAGAAACCTGGAATTCTTGAGAGGGGTTATACTGGCTGCTTTCGCCCGTAAGCGAGATATCGGTCATCATCTCGAGACGACAGAGAGCGAGACCGACGTTTCCGACGCCACTGATGAATTTGCCCGCGCTACGACCTTTTCTAGTGCCGACTCGAGAGATGTTTGCGCCGGTGGGAGGTTGGGTAGTTTGTGTCTCGAGATCGTATATAGGTGCTGATGACGATGATGAGGTCGTGGTATCTTCATCAACGCCATATAACTGTACAGGTAATATACGTTTCCGCACAACACCGGTATGATGAGTTCGAATCGTAAGTTCCTGTCCTACATAGCAGCCCTTCCGAAAATCAATACCCCGTGCCACATCCATATTACATTCCATAGGCAACGAAGATTCGCGGATAATCTCTCCCTGACCCTCGGCAACACCATACAAATACCGCCGCAATTTATAAGTCTCCAAATCCACTTGTAACCCTTGTAATTTCGTCTCGGCCGGTAAATGAATTTGAAGATCGTCCGGGCCTGGGGTTATGTATCTCGTCCCAAACCCCGGTGCACGGGTATCGATACAACCAACGACAGGCGAATTATCCGCAAGTTGCGATGGGAAATCAGATTCGAGATTATAAGCCGCCCATCGAGGCTCTGTACTCTCATTATTCCACGCTGCCCAGATCGATTGTTCCCCATCCTCGAGGGCGCGAAGTGTCAGTTTAGCGCGCAATTTGTGTTTTTTGAGATGCTTCATTAAATTGCTGACTTCAGCTTTATCAACTTCAATCAACCACGCTGCTTCATCGGGCGATTCATTACTATGTCCGAGATTGCCCTTTGTGATCGGATAAATGAAAACATCATGCAACACTCGACCCTGCGAATTCAGAAATGCACTATAACTCCCCGTTCGACGAGGAGCGCGAACAGGCTCTTTCCCCATAAGCATATTCTGTGTAATCATTCCTTGTAGGAAAGAGGTGCTATCAACACCTGTGATGGCGATTAAAGCGCGATTGGTGAGTCCCGCATATCCTGACGTTGGTGGGATTGGGGGTCGTCCGGATTTGTCATGTTGTTGTTCATGTTGATGCAGTTTGGAGCTTGTTGAAAAGGGTGCTCTGCTGCTGCGGTATGCGCACCTGGTGCAGACAAACTTTTTGGAGGCGCGAGAGGCCATTTTGTGTTGTCGTGAACAATGCTTCCTGCAGAGTTGTTGTTCATTACGAATTCTCGAGTTCTGATAGACGTCAGAAATCCCATTATCTCCGGGCGGAGCTCTGCGGCAAAATAACATATAATCCGAGAAATACCTACGTGTGGTCTTCGGAGCTATTCATCGTTCTACTAATTAGGGGATAATGGAACTCTGATGATGCCAAATGACATGTAGTATTTCAATAAGATACGAGTAACAGTTAGACTCCTAAAAATAACATCATCTCGACAAGGTTATTTCTTCCTTTCAGCTACATTCTGAAGGAATCCCAGCAAAAATGCTTTGTTATCTGGTGATTTCATGCGCTGCGCAGCTCCAGGAGTTCGAGAGCCATAGTCCGATGCGCTATCAATGCTGGGCACGGCGCCAGCTGGAACGGTCGGTTCAGCTCCTGAAAGTGAAGGAGAGGGCGTAGCATTGTTGAATGGGCTGCTTGCAATTGGATGCTCCATAGAGGAAGCCAATAGAGAGGTCTTTGTAGGGGGGGACTTCCCGAAAAGAGAGAGCAAGGTTTCTTTCTGTGCCGCAGTTTGGCTAGGGCGTCGGTCATAGTTTGGCTGAGTAACCTTGTTCCCAGGAGGTACCGCAGATTTCTGTCTAAGTGGAATATCACTCAACTCTTGAGGTAGCTCATGTGTCGTTCGAACAGGTAGAAGTGAGTTAAGGTCCAATTTCTCGGATCGGCGCAAGATTGTCGGTTGGAAGGTCTTGGGTTCCACCAGCACTATCATATGGTCCTTTATTTTTTCATAGAAGTCTTTCGATGGACAGACAGTTAAATCGACCTTCTTACTGAATGCCTTCTCAAGTTCTTCCTTTGCATCTGCTATCTTAGGCCAATCTGGCAGTCTGAGTTTCTCCCCAAATTCTAACGCGATATCGATGCCACTGTCTTCTGTCTGTTCGCCTTTCGCGTAAGAACCAAATAAATACGCGCTAGGTATTCCGATATCAGAGAGTATGATTTTCGATCGTGATATGATCTCTTGGAGAGAGAGCGACGCTGATGTTGAAGTCTGCGCAGGGGGTGTTGACACACCTTTACTCGGTGGGGCCGTCGACATATCTTTCCTCGCCGATGGAGGTCGGGAGAGAATCCTAACTGGAGATGCTTGTTGCTGGGGTCGTTTTCCACGCGCACCAGGGGGCACCCCGCGATTTGATTTTGGGGTTTTGTCAAAGTCTGGCGTTCGCAGAGGTCCAGAAACTGTGGCAGACGTAAGAGCATCTGGGGGTTTCCTTTCTGTTATCTTTGCAGGCGCAGTACTATTACCGAGGGACGTCGGACGCTGAAGAATTTGTTTTGGAGCAGGCTGGACAGGCTGTACAGGCTGCCCAGCAAGTTCTACAGCCTTAGTCGCGGATATGCCTTCTGGCTGGTTTCCCTTCAAGACGTTCAACAAAGCCAGGGAATGACTCGTCAATTTTGGAGGTGGTAACTTGCTTGCGGGAGGTACAATCTGCCCTTGAGTTTGAACTTGACCTGCTCGCTGAGCGAACAGAGGATCTCCCGTTCTCTGGTAAGGTGCCAAACTAGGCTGGAATGGCGCGTTTATCTGATTCCTCATACCGCCGACAGGGTTGAGTACCTGGTTCAGGAGGTTTGGAGCTTTATGAGAAACAGGTGGCTGTTGTGTACTCTGCTGGGGCGTTCCAGAAGCAAGTATAGAGGTACCGCTTGTTCCACTCCTCAACAATGAAAGCAAGGCGTTAGACTTGGATGGATCGGTGGGTGGCGAAGTGGTTGATGGTGAGGCGGCAGGGCCACCAATATTCAGAAGACGCTTCAAATGCGACGAGACATCTAGCGTAGGAGTGACCTTGGGGAGCTCACTAGGGATAGCAGGCTGAATATGAGCTTGAACCGGTGTAAACCCATTATTAGCGGAGACAAAGCCTTCGTCCATCGACGTCTCGCCCTCAGTGTATGCCATAGATGCGAAATTGTTCTTGGCATCCAATTTCCGCTGCTGAGAGATCCATTTCTTTAAAGGATTAAGGAATGGGGCGACCATATAGAATTTGTTTGCATTTACAGCATCGTGTTGCTTGTTTTTCTTGACAGTCGGTAGGTCGGACAAATTCACCCATTCGATCCTACTGATTTCCTTTCTGGTCTGAGGAGCAAATACAGTATCCATAGGAACACCGCGAAAGACGTAGAGCTTCATATGTTGCTCCCGCATGGTAATTTCAATGTGTTTCATGTGCTTCTCATCCTTGACAAGACCGGCAGCCTTCAGGTCATAGCCAGTTTCTTCAAGGACTTCTCGCACAGCACAGTCGAGATCCTTTTCCTCTTTGTTGATTTTTCCACGCGGGAAGCTCCAATTAGCATTCTTCTTCCAACCTTTGACCAGCACAACTTTATCCATATCGTGGTTCAATAAGATAGCTCCACGGACGGGAACACGAGTCTTGTACGCGAGAAACTCCGAAAACGCTGCAGCATGATGGTATTCGGACCATTCCGACATGAGCGGGCAGTGCTGGAATATCCGCATCGCAAACGCCTTGAGCGATAGGGAAGGCAGGGCGGGGTCAAGTGGCCGGACGAAATCCTCGTAAAACCATTGCGCTTCTTCGACCTGAAAGCATATACGCTCCACCGATTCAAGCTCTTCTCGAGGTAAGTTTATGATAAATCGAACACACAGGTCATCTAGCCCTATAGCATTCAGTCCTAGTTAGCTATTGACTCTGGCAATCGCGTGATGGATGCCCAACTCGGCGAAGAGCTCAAAACATACAATCTTCGAGACGTAATTTTGTTTCTGTCATGGTGTCTCTTATATTTGTGCATTTCAGCGCACAGACAAAGAAGCACAATGAACTGTTATCACTGGTGAAAGATCATAGGCTAGCCAGACTGCTTCCACCAGTGGCCGTGGCAAGACACGGTGCAAGGATCACACAGACAAGGTGGAAACGGTTAGCTTAAAAGGGCATGAAAGGTGGTATTTAACAAGGGACTTGGCAAGTGAAACGATTAGAGATCTGAAAGAAAGGGTGAAGAAAGGAGTGTAGTCATAGGGAAGAATAACAGGAGCATAGTTGGATGTTGTGGAGGACAGTTGCAGCTGTTAGTCTACTATGTAGACGCAGACAACCCGGTCGGGAAGGGCACAGCCACAGCCATGACATCCTGCTTGGCCTAGCGCCACACCTATGGCTGGTGAAGAGCATGACGTACTCCGCCGAGTCGGCGCTTGTTTTACGATCAACAACTGCGAATCAAGGGCCTCTGTGAGGTGGCAGTTGAAACTTGAATTTCTATTTTCAACACGGCCTTCCTTTGATCTTGTCGCTCTATCTTCTATTTAAACTGTCTGACAGTTTACTATTTCTCGAAACCTTTTTCTTCCTATATTGTTTTCTCAAATATTTACGATCACTATATAACAGCTCAAAAAACCGAGCTTCTCCATTCACACAAGTCGGTCACAAGTTATGGCTGCTCAACTGGCTGCGTTCGCAAGCAATAGAATCTTGAAGGAGAATGTGAAGAATTCATTTGGCAAGGAGGTGAGTGGTGTTTGTCATTTATTGAATTATCGGGTCTGGCCCCTTGAAGTTGGTAGTACATACTAATCCCACCTTACAGGATCCCTATTTCGAACAGGTTCCTGCGTCACGATTGGGTCGCGCATTTGGCAAAAAGACGCGAAAACAACGAAAAGCTATCCCTCCTGGACTGTCTGCCAATGACGCTAAAATCCTCAACCGAGTGAAGCGCCGCGCATACCGTCTAGATTACAGTCTTTTCAATCTATGCGGAATTCGGTTCGGTTGGGGTGCGGTTATCGGTTTGATTCCTTTGTGAGTATGTCCGGCTTGGTATTCTTGGAAATATGACTAATCGAATCACAAGCGCTGGCGATGGACTCGACGCTGCATTGGCGATGATGGTCGTCAGGGACTGCGACAAGGTCGACGGAGGACTTCCCAACTCCCTACGAAGCCGTATGCTGATGAACGTCGTGCTCGATTTTGTCATCGGTCTCGTTCCCTTCATCGGTGACCTTGCGGATGCCATTTACAAGTGCAATACTCGAAACGCGATTCTTCTGGAGAAACATTTGCGAGACAAAGCGAGCAAGGTCGACAAAGCCCGTGCGAAGAAAGGTCATCCCACCGGGGAAAGTCAGCGGCCAGTGGATCTCAGCATACCGGAAGAGTTTGATAGATATGAGGAAGGACTGCTGCCAGAACCACCGAGCTACACAGAAGCTCCGTTGTCAGAACCTACCTCTATAGAACATGGTGTCGAAACGCGTCGTCCCGCCGAGTCACAACCTGCTGAGCTACAGCCTGCAAATAATCCTCAATCTCGTCGCGACGGCAGCTGGTTCGGCGGACGGAAACAGAAGCGGAGTGATTTGGAAAGTGGCGGTGGCCGCCATTGATAATCTTTGTATGGCACAGTCGGTTTCTTAGGGCGAAATTGGTACGATATGTAGCGGGTATTTTAATATAATCTCCTTTGTGATTTTCAACGACTTGAAGAAGGCTGCAAGACATCGGCTTTCGATCGCAAACACGCATAACATAACGAAGCATGTCCGCCAACTGGAGCAGCGCAAAGAGAACACCTCACATTTTGAGGGATGGTTGCAGGTCGAAGCTTATTCGTGGTACGGACCACATTCGCCATCACGCCGGGGTACTTCTCTCCTTGTGTTTTGACATAAAGATTCATGAGGTTATCAATAGACAGGTTCCGATTCGACTCATTCTCCTGTATCTGCAAATCGGGTATGATGATGCTGGCCAATTCCGGTATTTGTTTGACGTATAATTCCAACTCAAACTTGTAAAGTTCCCGCAAGGGAAAACTGAAGTTTAAGCCCCAGGGAGACGCACCATCACAGACTTGCCAGGTCAAAGAGCCACCACGGCCCTTGGCCACATTTGCTAGGGTTTTCGCGGCTAAGCGACTGTCTGAGTCTCCCCATAAGATACCTTGACAATCGTTACTCTTCGCAAATGCAACAATGAGGCGGACAAGTAGGAGGTTATCGATATCGTCCCTTGCTGTAGATGTAGACATGGATGCCCGAAATGCGTCGAGTCGTTCTTTATCAGAGTCAAAGCCTCCCTCAACGAATCCAAATTCGCAGAGAGTTTCCTTAATTGTTGTGTCGTATTGGAAGATGTTGTGTAGGGGAACCATAGTGTATGTGTGGTTCGGATAACTCTCTCTTGCGCTGTCAAAGTTGGCCTTCACATCGGCATAGCCAGAATGAACGGTTGCCGGGTCGACGACAAGCACATGCAAGTCGAATCCCGCAGTATTCAACGAGCGACTAAGCTGTAGATTCTGTAGTCTATCCACGATATGCAAAAGGCTTGCAGACGATATTCCGAGGGAGAGGGGTAAAAGCACTTTTTTGGGCGGGGAGTTCTTCACGGGACGATAAGATCCCATTACTCGAGCGGCCTTATGGCCGGCGTATTCGATGAAGCAGTCTCTGTAGGACAAATAATCATATCAGTTCAGCCTCTTATCTTACCCAGAAGTTAATTGTCTACATACCGGCATAGTGGGCGACTGCGTATCGTCGCAAGAGCCTCGACTTCTCTGCAGCTAACACAAACCTGTGATATCTCTTTGGCAGGCATCTTTCTGGTTTCTTTCTGGAATTGTCTTTGCAAGGAAGTGTGCGAAAGAGTAAAGGTGAAGATGGAAAGAGTGAAAAAATATTATGGATGGCTAACTGCGGGCGTGGCGTTGATTGGCCGATCTTTGCTGGGCACACTCGGCCTGGCCGGAGTTGGAGATGCCACGATCTTCTAAACATAGCTCAGCTTGTGTCCATCAAAAAATATCAAGATCCGTACTCAGACTTGGCATTAAACGCAATCGATGCTATTCTATAAGTGCAGCGACCTCAAATAATATATCAACTTCATTGATCTCCTCCCGCCTCCCTTTTAGGGGATCACGCCCTCGAACATGAAGGGCTGGTTCCAGACCCTTGTTCTTGCTGCATCGTTAGCAGGCCGAGTCGTCGCAAATGAGTCTGAGATAGTCAGTATTTATCCTTCTGGACACTTGCATTTGATGATAACACAGACTAATTGTATCTCATCCAACTTAGAAACAAGATGATGCTCACCGACAACGATGTTCAGGCATGTACAGCCGGAAAGCCTGGGGCGGTGATATCGATCCATTCATCCTCACCAAATTTCTCAAAGTCGAAGACGACACCACAGATCAGGATATACTCGTTAGCTTGGTGATATTCGAATGGGGTGATGAGGAATTAATAGGTCGACCAATTCCGGGAAACCCTGATGTATGGGATGATAATCTTTCATTGCTCCAAGCACGAGCTGACCAGAAAACAGGAGATAGCTACGATCTGTGACCAAGTGAAAGTCGATGCCGGCCTCTGCTCCCAAGAAGAATTAGGATCTTTCATACTCGCTGAGAACGCTACGGAAGCTTCGAAATTGCCCATCTTGTCCAAAGCCATCAATCTAAAGGACCCTGCCGCTATAAACTATCCAGTGAAGAAGACCGGCTTCTACTGTGTCAGTACATATGCTTTTTCTGGGCACGACTATCAAGGCGTTGTTGAATTTCGAAACGCATATGGTGAACTTCCGGCTGCTCAAATCGCAAAATTGCCATTCTATGGAGGGCTTACCATCGTATATGCGGTGTTTGGAGTGTTAGTCTTCTTTCTCTTAGTGTTGTAGACAAGCTTACTGACCTTTTGTTATAGTTTCTGGGCCTTTCTTTACGTCCAGAACCGACACGATATTCGTATGTTTATTCTCTATTTGACATTGGAAATAACCTAACTGTTTCATAGTACCTGTCCAGAACTATATTACAGCTATTCTCATCTTCCTCGTTGTCGAAGAAGCAATTACCTGGGGATTCTACGGTACGAATCAGTTTTCACCTACATAGTACCCTATCGATATCAGCTAACATGACTCTAGACTATCAAAACAGTCATGGATCCAATGCATTTGCCAAAGTCCTAATGATCATCGTAGCTATTCTTAATGCTGGTCGAAACGCTTTTTCATTCTTCTTGCTTCTCATTGTCTGCATGGGCTATGGAGTCGTCAAACCATCTTTGGGAAGAACAATGATCTGGGTTCGAGTGCTCGCAATCACACACTTCGTCTTTAGTGTGATTTACGGCATTGCAAGTCTTACAATTACCCCCGACAGCGCTGGTCCTCTAGTGCTACTGGTCATTCTTCCACTTGCAGCGACTTTAACAGCTTTCTATGTTTGGACACTCAACTCGCTGAATATGACCATGAAGGATCTGGTTGAACGGAAGCAAAAGACCAAAGCGATGATGTACAAGAAGCTATGGTGGTGTATCCTCGGCAGCATCATTGTGATATTTGCTTTCTTCTTTATCAACTCATTCGCCTTTGCTGGCCGGAGTGCGGCCAACTTCGTCCCGGATCACTGGAAGACGAGATGGTTCGTTTTGGATGGATGGCTAAATCTCGTCTATCTATTTGATATTGCATTCATTTCCTACTTGTGGCGCCCGACTGCTAACAACAGGCGATTTGCAATGAGTGATGAGGTAAGAACTCCTGCCCCTTGATAATGGGTATCATTCTGACTCGTATTTCTTTTCCAGCTCGCCCAAGATGATGATGGCTTCGAGATCCGCTCTCTCGCCAACTCTCTTGACGAAGAAGGTGCTATGCCACTAAACGATGAGTATGAACGTTACTCTCCAGAAAGAGAACTGTCACCTGTACCACCAAAACCCGTCCAGCCTGCTCCTCAGCAACGTGAGTCTCTGGATGGTGAGACCATATTTGCAGTCGGCGAAGAAGATGGTGACAAGTTCAGTGATGACGACGACGATGATGACTTCCGGAAATCTTCCGAGGAAACGAGAAAGCTGACCGGGGGTTCACATTCTTAGACCAGACCAGAGCATGTTTATAAGCCTTAAGGAAAAATGACCGTCCTTTTCATTAAGCCATGCCACTTCTAATAGGCACATCGTTTTTTCCTGTTGGTTGTTGTATTATTATTACTGCAAAGGGGCATTTTCATATACGCCCGCTATTCCTCACCACCATCAAATACCAAATCAAAGCAGCTCTTTTGCTTACGATTTGTCTCTGTACCTTGGTTAATATAATTCGATTTCCGTCGCATTTTTTGCTGGTTTCTGAGCAGGTTTCCAGAAATCTGACGTCTCTTGACTCTGTTTTATGCTGGCGTTTTTCTGTGGATGGATTGGCATTTACGCATACGACATGAAATCAACACTGATATTAATCGTTACTATTATTCGAGGTGTAGTAGAACTACCCTTCCGTTCGAAGCACGTCGAGAAAGATGATGGTACCATAGATTTCGAACGATCCTAACGCGATAGTTCGTAAATAGGCGGCTGACGATGAAAAATACCTTCTCGGTGGTGCAGCAAGCGGAGCATATTCCACCACAACATCTCTATTTTGCATTATAAATTTGGGCCACACTTTAGCTTCGTCTCGCAAAAATTTCTTTATAGGAATATTTTGGTAATCCCCAGCGCGCATGAGTCCTATCTAGTCCATTTCGAATCTGATAAAAAGATTATGGTTAGCGCACTAGTGCCCTAACTTATAGGGTTAGTTCCATGGGCATAGTAATCTTGAATGCATTCATTCATTCATTCATGTATTCCTCTATTAATCTACGGAGTCTTCGTAACTTGCTTTATTGAAATGTTCTGATATGGCAGCTATTTTGACGCTTGCCAGAATTTGAAAGGGAGGATAGGAATTTATACTGTGACAAAACAATTACAGGATTCTGTCTGCAGTGTCCGGTTACAGAATGAGCAAGATAATCTACGTCGGTTCCAAACCGAACGCGTTCTATTCGCCTATTAATTGATGAGATCCTTGAAAATTCTTTTCGTATTCTACTATATCTAGATGACGACGCACTCCACACATTGAACACCCAGCGTTGCTTTTACTATCGATTTTTGCATTGATATAGCTTCATAACCTTTCTGGGAGCAGAACTTCCTTGATATCTAGTTAGAGCTTTCAGGTAGAAAGTGCTCATGATTGGCTGGCAAAATTCGTCGAAGCATTCGGACATCCCTCTTAGGGCTAATTAATAATCCCCGCACTTTATGCCCCTCAACAGGGGCCTTGGTATTAGCCAGAACCAGGATTTGGTTCAACTTCTTCGTATAAATAGAAGCATTTTATATTCCATCCTGAGCTTCGAAACAAACCTTGTAGTCAAGAAAATCATTCACAATGGCCATCGGAGTAGCTCTCATTGGAGGTGGAATCTGGGCAAAGGAGGAGCATCTAGTATGACGATCTAAGGCAGCACAAACATGGCTATTACTGACTTGCGTACAGCCTGCAATCCTCGCTTCGAAAGACTTGGAACTGAAAGCTATTTACTCGCGATCACTCAAATCTGCAAATGATGTCGCAGGGGAAGTCAAAGATACCCAGAAAATTGATCTATATTCGGAAGACTCATCGCAGACTTTTGGGGATATTCTCAAGCGTGATGATATCCAGGCTGTCGTTATCAGGTTAATTGATCTATGTCTTCCGAGAACCTCGAATTAGAGAAAGAAGGAACTAACATATCGAACTAAAGTCTCCCAATCGCCAACCAAGGCACCTTCATCAAAAGAGCACTCCTCGCAAAAAAACATGTCTTATCGGAGAAACCGGTGTCAGAAAATGTACAAGACGGTGTGGTGTTAATATCATGGTACAATGGTGTCAAGGAAGAATTTGACAATGTAACTTGGAGTGTGGCTGAGAATTTTAGATATCTCGAGAGTTTCAAATATGCAAGGCAACAGATTGAGGAATTGGGGAAGATTATAGGGTTTCGAGTGCGGGTTTATGCTAACATCACGGAAGATTTCAAATTCTATCGTAAGGCTTCTGAGGCTCTATGTGGTGAATTCGTTATGCTGACCATGGCCCTTTCATAACTAGATACATCCTGGAGGAAGGAACCCACGCATCAAGGAGGTTACATACTTGATGGTGGCGTTCATTTCACTGCCGGCCTTCGTCTTTTGCTTGGTTCGGATGTATTTGTCGAGCGAGTAGCAGCTTTTACAACCTCACTAAAGGAGCATCTTCCACCTGTTGATACAGTGGATGCCATTCTAAAAACGAACACGGGTATTCAAGGCACTTTCCAATCGTCGGTAGCGACAACCTTGACAGGACCTGAATGGACTATTGCTTGTGAGAACGGTAGTGTTACTGTTTCAAGTTCAACTGTCACCGTTCTATCTGTCGACGGTGAAGAAGTAGTTAAGGAAATCCCAAATGAACGGTCGGGAGTACCACCGGAGGTTCGAGCTTGGGGAGAGGCTCTAGCTGCCGGACGACAGAATCCAGAACAGACTCCTGAAGAAGGTCTGGCAGATCTCGAACTGGTGAGTTTGTTAGGCACAATTCTATTTTGTTTTGCGACATCACAAATGTGGCATTTTCACCGCTAACTTTCGACTTTCCAGATTGAGTTGATGCTTCGTAGTGGTAACCATGATGGAGAACCACAGAAATGTAAATATCAATCCAGCACAGCAGAAGTTTCGAAGTAATCCCATAGCATATGCAATACAATGGCAGTTGTAGGACCTCTTGAAGTGATTTTTAAGTTGTCTACATGATATCGTCCACCGTTGAATTTAGTATGAAGAAGCCAGTAGATAACTACGTATTCGGCTGTCATCAGGACACCAGCGGCTGTGTAGTATTCAGCAAACCAATCCTCTGCATCTCGGTTAATCTCTACTACCACCTGGGCAGCTCAGGCTAAACGGACGTAAATGTACTTCGGAGTCTCTCCGATCTTTGTCGCACATACTACGTTCAACGTAGATCTTATCTCCGCCAGCTGGCTTTCCGACTGGCCAACTTAAAATTTGTGGGGACTTTGTCCGTCGGACCATTCCTGACTTCATATCATAGGGCTAGGGTTAGCTAGGGTAACCACGCTTATGTAATTAGAAAGGTTTCCGAATATGGTTAGTGATGGTAGGGTTGGTGGGGTATTTCATTTGTCTATGTTTGAGTCACATAGTTCTCGTGCTCTTCATTGCTTGTATCAAATTACTTGTCAGATGTCCTGACGAATACAAGATATAGAACGAGGCTCTAGTATTCGAATTACAGTTTGAGAAGGCGCTACACGTTCATTCCCGAGTGATATACGTATATGTTTACATGCGATGTCATGACTTGAACCCACCATGGAAAATAACACTAACGACGAAGCACGAGATGCTTCCTCAACAACCAGAATATCAGCCACAACCCTCTCCTCCCGCCTCATCCACCACTGTCGCTTCCTCCTCGCCGAAATCGACATCTTTCAAAATGCAATTGCATCTCGATTCCGCCGCCATCAACAACAGCAGCATTTAGTCGAAATGCGACTTTTGAGATCAAACGTCGCCTCGGAGCTTAGGACCCTTGAGCGTCTTGCCGCTGATACACAAGCTCTTGTAAATGAGCGCGCGAAGAAAGGAGATAATGACGACGATGCAGATCTCGAAATGAGAGAAGGACGAATAATACATACCCTCCGCTCATCGAATTTATCCTTCCTTACAGCTGTTTGGACAATTGCAAAGGAGCGTTGTTCGGGTGTAGTGGCATTCTCGAAGCGGTTCTATTGGGATAAAGATGAGAATAAGGTTGTTGATGGGAAGGAGGATCGACAGGCTAAACCGCCCAATAAGGATAAGAAGAAAAGTGCTTTTGTGGATATTGTCTATGGGAATGGGGAGGATTGGTTGAAGGTTTCGACTGTTAATCAGAGTCGATTACTGTTTGAGATGGCAGAAAAAGGGTGGGAGATGGATAGTGATGAGGAGGAGGACGAAGCATCATCTACACGAAATGATCAAGGAAAAGAGTTACCGATTAACCAGGATGAGGAGGACGAGGACCAGCTCGAACTGATTACAATGGCCTTAGACATGATCAGAGCATCTCGAGCGACCAGAGTCAGATACAGGAACCCCCGCGTGCACATCATGGCCCCGAAACTCGAAGAGGGTAAAGTCCCAGAGATAGACAGAGTCCTGAATACAATCCGAAGTTATGGAGTAACCATTGAATGCAAAATACAAATACGAGATATCTTTACCGAGGACAAGATATATGAAACCTGCGATCCGAATTCCATTACTGAAAACGATCTACCGCTGTCAACTATGCTTCCAAATCCGTTTGAGAAATTCACCCACGTTATCAATGTTGACTGCACTCTACTGCTTGCACTAGTCTCTGATCTATCGCATGTACAGAACATTGAGCCTTCTCCCAATTTTCATCGTGCTATTATCAGGCAGATTGAAGTTGAAGATGAGTTGCCTTTGCTGACTACAGAGCTTTGGCCTGCCGTAGTCGGTCGACAGCTTGTCTGCACCCAGGAGGCTGCTAAGCGAATGAAGGAAATTGTCTATACAATCGGTACCGAGACTGAGAGGAAGAGGACTGCTATCTTGCTAGGTGAAGGCGATATGGAAGGACTAGACAAGGACACGCTGCTTGGCGAACTACGAAAACTGTCAGATCACTCTGTTCCCGAAAAGTTGATTCTACCTATGAAAGTAGTTGATGCCCACGCAGAAATCGGCGCGGCAATGAAACAAAACAAATTCCCTCCAGTCATCAGCAAGGTCACCGAGATCCTCACCGACATCAACTATAGTGTTTTCCTTTATGGTTGGGCCAGCGATATCGTCACGATTTCGAGTAATAAGACGGTCGTGAGGCAGATCGAAGCCACCATAGAGGATAACCGAGGGTATGATAATACACTGGAGGGCCCGAAAATATGGATTTGTGATACAGCTAGAAGTTTGATTGGAAAGGAAAAGCATCGAAAACCATAGGGTATCATAATGTAGCCTCACTGATAAATATGTCGGCATAAGTAAGCATAATCGTCATAAGACATGTAGGCGAAAGAAATGGGACATGCGTCGTCCATCTAAAGATTCTTGGGCGCGTCGTCCGGCAGCCAGAACAGAATATCTTTGTCTGCGGTGGCCAGCATATTGTATCGAGGGTTGATTTCGATAACTGCAGTGCGGCCTCTGGAAGATAGGCTGGTCATCGGCTGCAAGTACTTGTTAGAATCTGGGTTCTGGTTAGTGTCCCAGACGAGTACTTCATTCTTGTCGCCTGCTCCACCGAGCACAAAGCGGCCGTCCTGACTGAAACATGCGTCTCCTTGGCCTAGAGGTCGTCCCGAACTTGAGACGGGGGCCGCTCTACCACTGGATCCATTCTTGCCGACCAAAAAGGCGTTCAGATGACCTTCAAATGCATCGAGCACAAAATGCCCATGATAATCTGTGCCGACTAGAAGGTTTTTACCATCATTGGAGAATTCGAGTCGTGACCATAGTCGTCCACGGGTAGTGGGGGTGTACCGCTCTTCTAGAGGCGCCAGGTCAAATGTTGCGAAGGGCGCTTTATCGTAGTTACGGAAATCATAAAGTAGCACTGAAGAAGTCGATTGAGATGCAATGGCAATGACTGAAGCTGATGGATCAAATGCAACGAGGTATGGAGTTGCGAGTTCTAGTTTGCCCTGCACATTCCGCGATTTGAGGTCCCAAAGTGAGATCGTATTGTCCCTTGAGCACGAGACAAAGGCATCGTTTGCAGGTGACAACGACAAGCACGTAACTTTGTCCGTATGACCAGTGAAATATCGAAGGTAACTCTCCTGATGTAGGTCGAGTAGACGAAGGGAGTCTTAATGCTCCGTTAGCTTGCTACTGACCAATGGGCGAAGAACTCCACATACTATCCACTTTGGTACTGGCATGAAGTACCTGGCGTTGGTGGTGTGTAAAGCGAGCTAGATGAGCACCGTATTTCTTGCTAGGAACGATCTTGGTATTCTTGCCCTCGATTACATCGTAGATTTGGATTGTTTCATCTTCACATGCTGTAACCACGAATTCACCCTTGTCGTCGAAATCGAGAGAGGTAATATGCGAGTTCTCGTGCTTTGAAAGCTTGAACCTCTTTTCAACGGAATCAGTGAGTGTGATGCCATGAAAGACGGGAGAATTGGTCTTACCTTGGTAGGTCGATATGTACGAATAGCATCTGACACTTTTTGGGAGGTTCGTGGATTTGAGCTACCTTGTGGGAGTGGCACTATAGGAGTGCCAGTATGAGGGGTATTTGATGAAGATGTGAGAGCTTTCTGCTCTTGGTGGTCAGTTTGAGGAGTGTCTGCCATTTTTGGCTTGTGCTTGATCGTGCTATTCTGCTATTTGCTGTCTGCTCTCCTAAGAGAGATAGCAGTTATTATTTGCTGAGCAGCACAATGAATACTTCACAAAGCCAGTGACAGAGATAGAGTCATGTCAATCACGACAATTAGTTTGTAGATTATTGGATGTCACGAACAAAGTGAGAGTTTGTAGCTTAGGCGCTGTTTGCAGGCGGTATATGGCGGCAGAATAAAATTGGCCCCAGTCAAGACAGGAACAGCTAAGCCTGAGGCAGCTAGTTTAATAGCCTGGGGCTGCCCCATTATTAATGCTGACTACGCTGTCACCGCCCCAGGGGCCCCCGGCATCGGTCTGCTGTGCGGCGCTGAGCTTACCAAAAAATAAAAGTTAAATCACGCAGAACCTTCTTCTCTTCTCCGTTTATAATCAGGACAGTATTGCGCCTGGTCTTTATTCGGCTATTCTGATATATCTATTTGAAGCGCCATTGCAGCAGTGCTGTTCTCTGTATGACTTGAAAGCTCGCGTCAATCCCCCCAGCTGAACCGCCCGGTTCCGGAACCGGGCCTTGCCCGACTCTTTAATAATGTCTACAACCACAGGGTGCGTGAGATGCTAATCGGCTATGCCGAGATCTATTACAATTGAATACCTGTCTGACTCGCGATTTTGTCACTTAGAGCATTCATTGCCGGAGGTATTGCAGCTTGCGGCGCTGTTACCGTCACTCATAGTTTCGAAACTGTTAAGATTCGGTCCGTTGAACGTCCCCTGTGGCATATAGCAGACGCTTACAAACCGCCCTAGGCTTCAATTGCAAGGAGAACTACAATCAGATGCTGTCAAAAAATATAGAGGCGTCTTTCACGGCGTCAAAGTGATACTACAAAATGAAGGTCCCCAGGGTCTATTTAGGGGTATCGGTTCCGCTGTATGTTGAGTCGCATCCAATTGACGGAATATCGGCCGACTGATTTTTGATTCCCAATAGTATATATATCAAATATTACTGAACGGTTGCCGTCTCGGCTTCTACGAACCGCTTCGAACAGGCCTCACGACTGCCATCTACGGTGATCCTTCGGTACAATCCCTGGGCATCAATGTCTTCAGTGGAGCGAGTTCCGGTATGTTGGGGGCCGCAGCTGGCTCCCCTTTCTTCCTCGTGAAGACACGATTACAATCCTACTCCCCGTTCTTGCCAGTCGGTACGCAGCACCAATATAAAAATGCATATGATGGAATGCGACAAATCTATACCAACGAGGGAGTCAAGGGTCTTTATCGCGGTGTTGGCGCTGCCATGGTGCGAACTGGTTTTGGCAGTTCTGTCCAACTTCCCACTTATTTCTTCGCAAAACGACGGTTGACACGACACCTGGGAATGGAAGAGGGGCCGGCTCTTCATCTTGCTAGCAGTACTGCATCCGGCTTCGTTGTTTGTTGTGTAATGCATCCTCCAGGTGAGACTTTAACCTATCAGTTTTACAGGGCTCTATAAGCTGACTGTGACAGATACCATCATGTCGCGTATGTACAACCAAACCGGTAACCTATACAAAGGTGTCTTCGACTGTCTGTACAAGACTGTTTCCACCGAAGGGTTGCTTGCCATATATAAGGGCTACTTTGCTCATCTTGCCCGTATTCTACCACACACCGTAAGCCTCACCTTGCCTTGCCACGGTTTTTCATAAAGCTAACTATTATTCAGATCCTCACTCTCAGTCTTGCTGAACAAACCAACAAGTTTGTTCGTAAGATTGAAGATCGCATTCTGTCGGATGACCTTCGGTCAAGATTGTAAAATGGCGTGGAAGCTTTTGAGCTTAAAAGGGATTCGTTTATTATTTTTCTGTCATTTTCTCATACTCCTGCTCTGGGCTTGTCAGGATGTTGTATATAGGGGACCTGTCGTATTATAGAAGGCATCTTTGATTGTTAGGTGAATTGATCATATCGATAAGATAGTCATATTCAATTCCACATTTCATATATATGAGACCGTCAGATATTTTGTAAATTGCTGCTTTAGATAGCTGCATTTGGTTTGTCCAACTATCCATGTACTTGAGTATGCCATGATTTGCTCGCCACAAGGGAAGCGAGATACGGCATTCGAACGCTTTGTCCCCAACAAGCATGCCTTTGGTAGGGCTAGGATACGGATGTATGAGTCGGCCCTATCTAGGGTTTGCAGAATCTTGCATTCTACAGCTGATAATCTTAAATTGTAATCGCCTCCGAGTATGTCCCAGGAGTACATATCGTTATTTGGTCGCCAACTTTCTCCGTGGTGATTATTGTCGGAAATGGAACGTCATGATCGTACTTGGATGCTGTTGCCAAGTAGGGTATGCACTTCATCTACACCAATCATTAGGTAGTATCCATGAATGGATTCTCGCGTGCCCATCGTGAATGCGAGGTCTTCCATCCCATCTCATACGACTCGGGAATCTGTGTACCAGCGTCAGGAGCCAAATCTGGCAATAATCTCCAACGACAGGAGCCCCTCAGTACAAGAATGTAGAATCAGATGTTGTAAAGCAGTCTGAGCGAGGTCTGAGTCATCTAAATCGTAAGCTGTCCGTACATCGGATGATTGCAATAAACATCAATCGACGCGTCGACCCAAAAAGAGGTCAGAACACGATCTGATAACGAAAGAAAAATAGCTCCGTAGTGGGCCATTGGACATCCAGACCAGATGAGGAGCTCTCATAAGGCTTAGATCAGCTGTAGCTGGTGCTGTAAATCCGTAAATCCGCGTTTGTTGTGAGGGAGTAACAGGGAGTTGCTCAGAACACGCATAAAAATGGCTGGACGCGACGCGGGATTTCGCGAATTTATTGGCCGAAAGCGGTAGAGTGGCTCCTGTCCCGAAGTGACGTGAGAAAGGAACGCCAAGTCACGTGAGACGTGACTTAGTGCGGCGCGCTAGCGTGACGCTCTTCTCGGGAACTGCAAGTATTTCTTCGAGCTACATTCCCATCTTGTGCTCATTCTTTTCTCTCACAACCCATTCTCCCTCCCCAGCTTTATTCCAGGACTCAAGTTTATGTTCAATTATCTCTGGCTTACATTATTGCACCTTCTATCAATCCATAATGACCACCCAACTCACTCCTTCCAAGCAGGTAAGCAATTGCCATCCATGTCACTGTCTAGCAGTTGGACGCGTCTGTCGCGAATCAATTGCTAACTTTTCTTTTCACTTAGGCTGCTGCCTCCTTAGAGCAGTTTAAGATGGAGTCGCCAGCCAAGAAGCTGAGCTTTGAATCCGGAAAAGAGAACTCCCCCGCTGTCGTCGACGCGTCCGCCACCACGCTGGTCAAGCCTACAGAGAAACCCGCAGTACAGGAAGCTCCCAAGGTTGCTCCTGGTATTAAGGAGATGGAAGTAAACGAGCCTCTTCTTCAAGAGAACCCTCACCGTTTCGTCCTCTTCCCTATCAAGTATCACGAGGTTAGTTGGCCGTGTTGACGCGTCTCGCGTAAAGTGGTTTACTGTCGCGTAAAGTGGGATCAATTATATCTGACATTACACCCTCTACAATAGATCTGGCAAATGTACAAGAAGGCTGAAGCATCTTTCTGGACCGCCGAGGAGATCGATCTATCGAAAGATTTGCACGACTGGAACAACCGCCTCAATGATGATGAACGTTACTTTGTCTCGCGCGTCCTCGCTTTCTTCGCTGCCTCGGATGGCATTGTCAATGAGAACTTGGTTGAACGTTTCAGTGGCGAAGTTCAGATTCCTGAAGCTCGATGCTTCTACGGTTTCCAGATCATGATGGAGAACATTCACTCCGAGACATATTCTCTTCTTATTGATACCTATATCAACGAACCCAAACAACGTACCTACCTTTTTGATGCCATTGACAACAGTAAGTTCGTCTTGTACACAATTTGAAGCACGGTCTAACTGGCATAGTTCCCTGCATCCGCAAGAAAGCAGACTGGGCTTTGCGATGGATCTCGGATAAAGAGTCCACCTTCGCTCAGCGTCTTGTCGCCTTCGCCGCCGTTGAGGGTATCTTCTTCTCCGGCTCTTTCGCTGCTATCTTCTGGTTGAAGAAGCGTGGCTTGATGCCTGGTTTGACATTCTCCAACGAACTCATCTCTCGTGACGAGGGTCTCCACACCGACTTTGCCTGCCTGCTCTTCTCCCATCTCAACAACCGCCCCAACCCCAAGGTCATTGAAGACATCATTGTTGATGCTGTTGCCATCGAACAAGAGTTCTTGACTGATGCTCTGCCTTGCTCTTTGCTTGGAATGAACTCCAAGTTGATGTGTCAGTACATTGAGTTCGTTGCCGATCGTCTCTTGGTCGCTCTCGGCAATAAGAAGTACTACAACTCCACCAACCCCTTCGACTTCATGGAGAATATCTCCCTTGCTGGCAAAACCAACTTCTTCGAGAAGCGTGTTGGCGACTACCAAAAGGCCGGTGTCATGAACAGCACGAAGAAGGATAAGGACGCCTCTGGTGAGAAGAAAGATGAAAATGCCGGTGGTCTCAGCTTTGATGAAGACTTCTAGATGCATTTCTCTTTTGTCTCATGTAAAGTGCTATATGATTATTGGTGGACTTATTTGTACGGGGCGTTCTCTCTTCTTGACACAGCTCTTCCCCCCTTTTTTTCTTTCCTCTTCCCTCTTCACGTTATACCAGGATGAATTACATAGCCGGGCGGCGTTATCGGGTTATTATGTCTTGTATTTATTTCTATTATACGTGGTGGTTTGTTTGACTCGGTTGTAATTAGTGTTCCGTAGACTTGGATAAAAATAACTTTACGCGATAACAAACGGGCTATATGAACTTCATAGTGTAGGTATTCTATGCGCTGGAGTGTCAATCTGGCGAAGACGCGGATAACTACATAAGGGTATGAGTATCTAATTCACAACCCTAGATGCAACAACTATATACAAAAATATTCACACCAACACCGAAAAAAACTAGACTGCCGCAGTTGAGGAGACTACTCAAACAAAAGCCTCAACTCCTCAATCCGATTTTTCTTCCTATCATCCTCCGTCCCATCACCACCAACCCTCAACCCTAATGAACCTGCAATATTCATCTTTCGTTCCTGCACCCGCAACATACGCACTTCAATCGAATCCTTAACCACAAATCGTGTCACGGAGACTTCACGTAATTGACCCATGCGATGCACGCGGTCGATTGCTTGTGCTTCAACGGCAAAACTCCACCAGGGGTCCATCATGAATACGTTGTTGGCCGCGGTGAGATTGAGGCCCACGCCACCTGCTCGGAGGCTGATTAGGAGGATGCTTGGGGATGGTTGTGGGGGTTTGCTGTGGGTCGCTGATGCACCTCCGTCTTTAGGGGCATCTTCGTCAGATTCGAGTTCTTCGTAGATTTCGGTACGGTTGAATTGCCGGAGGACTTCGGCTCGGGCCTTTTGTGGCATTGAGCCGTCGAGGCGTAGGTGGGTTAGACCGGCTTTTGTGAGTTGTGGACCGATCAGGTCCAGGAATGATGTGAATTGGGAGAAGACGACGGATTTGGAGTTTGGTGGTAATTTTAGAAGATGGGTGATGAGAGCGTGGATTTTGGCTGAGGTATGAGCTGATGGAGATAGAGGATATATACGCCGCAAGGATATTCTTGGTGCTGGCTGTGACGAGGTTGGCGGTGTTGAAGTATCGATTTCATCCGGTGTGCTGCTGGGTGACTGATATCGAATGACTTCAAAAATATCGTGTCGTGTTACAGGAGCGCGACATGAAAAGCATCGTGGCAGTTCTCCTTTATCAGTCTGGTGCCGGATATAGTTCTCAAGACATTTTTTGCAGGCACTATGCCAGCATCCCGTAACTGCAGGCTCAATCAATGGTTCCTCTGAACAGATAGGACATTCGGCACTGGTATCATTCTGGATTTGTCGCAAAGCATGTGTCGTGAATCGAGACGCCGTATCCTGCGATTGGGCTGTACTCGATGATTCCGTGGATTTGGTAAAGCGGTCAATGAGCTCTTGCAAGTCCATATCATCCTTCATCTCATTCACCGCGTCAGCGGCTAATGCCGCATCCTCCTCATCGGCAACGATAGCTTTATTTCGCGTCAGAATTGGATGACAGCATGTTTGACGGAGACGTAAGATTTGCGCAAAGATAGTCGAGTAAGATTTCATTAGCGTTCCGGCCTCGACATTATCATTAAATGTTCTCTTTGCACGGTAATAAACGAGGTCATAGATTGCTCGCTCGTCTTCGGAGAGTTCAACCTCCTCAATTGTAACTGTTCGTGGAGGAAGAGGGACCAATGCTTCGCCTTCCGGAGTTTGCATCGTCTTCGTTCTACGAAGTACAAGCGGCTCAAGAACACTTTGGACCACGTTCAATGCGCGGACGTAGTCCTTAGACTCAAATGGAACCGTAATGAATGTCTTCCAGAAGGAGAAATTACTCCATGGTTCAACCTTCAAGAAGCGTACCAAACTGAAAAGATCTTCTAGTCGATTCACGATTGGCGTACCGGTCAACACCCATCGATGGATAGCGTTAAGCTCATAGCATGCGCGAGCAGATTTAGAGAGTCGATTCTTGATGAGGTGCGCTTCGTCAAGAATAACTCTGAAGAATTCAAGCGAGAAAAGCCCAATATGTGCAGCAGGATTGTGTTGTCCTTGTGTCACAAAGCTGCGGAACTCTGATAATACGACACCATAGCTAGTCACAATGACATTCGGTGCATTGATACCGTTTGCCCTAGAGCAGAGAGTTTTCAAGTTCGTTGATCGATCTGATCCGTAGTATATGAGAGTCTTCATTGTTCCTGGCGCCGAAGCCTTTTGGGCCTCGCTCTCCCATTGCGCCAGGAGTGACGTTGGTGCAACGACCAGAGTAGTGTAAGGCGCTGCAACTATGCCGGTAGCAGACATGGACTGTCTATGCAGTTCATCCATCGAAGACGGAGCAGCTGGTGTTTCCCTATTTGTGTGGACCAAGCTCATCATTTCAATTGTCTTGCCCAATCCCATTTCGTCTGCCAAAATCCCACCTAAACAGTGTTGTTCCTGAACAGGGAAATCTAGACTTAACTCGCCAGAGTAAGGATTCACATAAAAGGCATCCTGTCGCTCAACACATGGCAAGATCTTGTCATCTGCATCCTTCACTGGCCACTTGTACTCTTCCCACAAAGGGTGCATTGATTCCCCCCTATTCGATTTGGTATCTCTTTCTTTGGCGAGCATCCAATGCAACGCTTGCTTCTGGTACTTGCGAAGATCAAGGGCAAATGTTTCTGCAGGTTGTGCTTCGGGGGTATTGAAATCAAACGATTGAGCTTTCTGGTATAAAGTGTCAAGATGGTCCTCCTCCAATTCAGCTGTCTCCTCATCAGGGCCCGAGTCTTCCAGATCGGTGGCTTCCTTGGGTCTATCCTTATTTTTATCGTACTGCTCGGCCATTTCAGCTGCACGAAGCAAGCCCTCTTTTTTATGCTTGGCGGTAGTCTCATTGGTCGAAGTCGGTAGAAGACCAATCTCGTCGAAAAGACGAACGAGTGCAATCTGCCGTATCCTCAAATCCTTCTCCTCTGTACTCTCCTTTTGTTCGAATAGCTGAACCGTCCTGTTGTCGTCTATATTATAAAACGCATTTTTAACGAACGCATCACTTTTGAGATAACAGTGCAACTGGAGGTATACTGTGTCATTCACTCGCATCCAATCAGGAGCAAAAACACAGTATCCTTCAAAATCGCAGATCTTCTGATCAATCAGTGTCGAGACCCATTCTGCTGTTTCCTGCGGTAATCGTCCTATCTCTTCTCCTTCTATATTCGTAAAGCGAGTAATAACATCTGCCTTTTGGTTAGGTATAACCCTTCCCTTTCGGCCTATTTTTGTCGTGCGCATTTTCGTTCTTTCAATCTTGACTTTGTCTCCGTGTCGAAGCACGTTTAAGCCACTTCTGGTAGCCCAAGCCGCTACACCGAAAGCTCCAATGTACCGATGTGAAGGCATGTACTGGAGAACCTCTGCACCCTCCGGTGGAGTCCATTCGGAAGTATTCCTCGTAGTCTTTCTGGTCGTATCGGTTTGCACTTCGAGAGCGGTTGGTAAGGTTCCTCGCTGTCGTTCGGGGAGAGGTGCAGGCCTGGTGGTTATTCTTTCGTATGATCCGTCTAAAAATATATTGATAGCTCTTTCTATATTTCCTCCGGCGGCTTGTCGAATCTTTGTGATGATAGATTCTGGGACATCCTGACCGACAATGCTCGTGAAGAGTTGAGCGTCGAACCCATTAGCATCTTGGATCTGTTGGCATGGAGCAGTGCTCTCTGTGACCTGCTGAAATGTTTCGCAAGTAGTATCGTTTCCTTCATTGACAGGACTGTCTACCTGTGACGAGGCGTTTTGCTGAGAAACGTTCTGTACGTCGTGACCGTTGCGTGAAGCTTGGTTCTCGTCCTCGACGAAAAAACGACGTTTCTTCGCAGGACGTTCGGCGTCGTGGTCATCGCCGTTATAAGTGTAAAATGCTGTATCACTCATGTTGGCGGATATATTCGACGAAAGGAGGTTGTAAGTAAGAAAAGAACAGAATCAATTTGTCTCGGTTGGGAAGACGCGCTCTGGCGCGACGCACGGAAAGAACGCGGGTAAGCGCCGATCCAACCAACGTCATTCGTCGTAAAATTATCAATATTTCTCAGACGAACATCGACACAAGATCAGGATGGCAGCAATTGAATAACCCAGATAGAATGCAAATGGTCTAGAGACAAAATATTAATTCGACCATGTCAGCAACAAAACCAGCTCTACGCATTCGAGCCCTCAAAGCTCCAAGACAGCTCTGCTCGCAAAGACGCACATTCTCCAAGTCTTCACAATGGCAAGCTCCAGTAACTGGCGCAGCAGACGCAGAGACAGAATCAGCTCGAAGATACTGCACAAATCTCGTACAGTAAGTCCTCTTCCCAGTACATACGGACCAATCTAATACTACATAGAAACTATGACCGTCCATCCTACATCCTCAGCACATTCATCCCCCCACAAGCTCAAACATTATACCTCGCCCTCCGCGCGCTGAACATCTCACTGTCAATGATTCCTGACACCACATCCTCGCACACAATCGGTCTCATGCGTCTACAATTCTGGCGCGATACCATCACTCGCACATTATCCGGTTCACCACCCAAGGAACCCGTCGCCATTCTCCTGGCAAACGCAATCGAGGACCTCAGCTTTCGCACCAATGGTCGCGCACGACTAAGTAAAGGCTGGTTTCTGCGCATGATCAATGCGCGCGAACAATCTCTCTCAAACACTCCATTCGCAGATCTCTCCGCTCTAGAATCTTATGCCGAAAACACGTATTCAACATTACTCTACTTGACTCTCTCCTCCGTACCCCTGACCTCCATCACAGTGGACCATATAGCATCTCACATCGGAAAGGCAACTGGTATCTCAGCCGTGTTACGAGGATTACCCCTCGTCGCGTTTCCGGCACCCGCAAAGCATCATACCAATCAGTCTTCACTTATAAGTTCTACTAGTGGATCAGAAGCCAGACAAGGCGCCATCACGCTACCGTTAGATATAATGGCTCAATCGGGAGTTATAGAAGAAGAAGTTTTTCGTAAAGGCGCGGAGGCTCCGGGTTTGAAAGATGCGGTTTTCACTGTCGCAACGCGCGCTTCGGATCATTTGATTACAGCAAGACAAATGTTGAAAAATCTTCGCGCAGGTCAGGGTGTTGGTCATGAGTTTGAGCATGAAGGTGAGGAGGGTCATCAATACACCAACTCTACAGACGACCAAACCTTATCGCCGTACGAAAAACAGCTTAATGAAGTCGAGAGAGGGTTTGGAGTATTGATGCCCGCCGTATCAACGCAGTTATGGCTCGATAGACTACAATCCTTTGATTTTGATATTTTCAATCCCAAATTGCTAAGATCGGATTGGAGGTTGCCTTGGAAGGCTTATCTTGCTCATCGGAGCAAGTCTTTTTGATTCAGTCATGTATTGATAGCGGTATGGGTGTATCATGTGTGTACAATAAGATAGAATATGAACGGTACGCTGCACATTTTACAGCAGCCATAAACAAAGCTATCGATTCCGTCTCTCGCGTTTTCGTTCCTGGCGATGCTTTCTCGAGCTGAAGAATAGTCTTCTCTGAGCAAGTTTTAGGAAGTATCGACCGATCATGTCTCGCCTATACATTATTAGCGTCATGTCACGGAAAACCTGAAAGTTGAATAAGCTCACATGAGCACTAGCGTGAGTACAAAAACGAATGGAACAGCTATCTCCCAGAAATAACTGCAAGTAGACAGGTCAGTCTTTGATACTAGGAGCTTGTCAGGGTAGTATGGCTTACGCGTCGCTGTGTTCTTGTACGCCAGCAAAGTTTACAAAGTTCATTCCAAAGTATCCCTATCTCTCGTTAGTGTTATACCCCTCCTTAATTGGCGGTGCATTGCAGGAGTGACGTACAGACAGAAACGTCAACGGAAGGAACAAAGCTGTAATGAAGCTGAGCTGTCTCATGCTCTCGTTTTGATAGGCACCTAATGCATCACACAATCAGCAAAAACGGCTATAACCTCCAGGGGTATCTGACTGACCGATGGTGTTAAAAATAAGATCAATCATATTATCCGCAGACCGTCTCATTTGATCATATCCTTCAACGATGGTTATACAGTGATCCAGCACGTCACCTAGGTAGGTATGACACATGGCGCTGATAGTAATAGTCGAAGCGCCAACACTCTTCAAGTTCGGAGTTCCAGTTCCTATAAACGGAAAACTAGGCAGACTTCCGTCTGTGGTTGTATTCGTATTAGTCTTGCTCAGAGATCCGATATTGATACTTCCTACGCCTGGTGTTTGGACAGGTTGTGAGCGGTGATCCCGAAGTGCATTTATGACTGCCACCATTGGCTGCATGGCGTTACGCAGCACGGAAATCTCAGAAGTAAGAATATACAAGAGTTTAGACTGGTCGATGTTGGGATCTGTCAGTACGGCTACTTCAAGATCACCGATTGCATCCTGATAAGCGAGTGTAACTGGGATGGCAAGATCGATGATAGCGTCCAGAATAGCCTGAACAAGCATGCTCGCATCACAAGATTTGCGTAGAATGGTCTCCGGTGAACTGAGTCGTTTGACAATAGGAGACTCAATGTCACCCGCACTAGCATCGAAGAAAGACAGAACCGTGTTATCAGCATTCAAGAAAATCGAAACTTGCTCCAAGGTCACGCGCAAACCCTGAGATGCGAGCACTGCATGGCGTTCCATGAATTCTATTCTTTCTTCGTTCGGCCCACCCCTATACCGCTGTAATGTGCGAGGCATGGGCGACATCCTCAGGAAATCTCCAGTGTTGGCACCATTCGATACTTTCCCACCATTGAAACTGGGCTCAGGTCCTGCAAACTTGACCTTCTTGCGGTCTCGTTTTCGGCTCCATTTGGGGAACAACAGATCCTGAAGAGCAGCCTTAATAACATTCCATTTCCTTCTCCGTATAACTACCGGAGGTAAGCTACTTTCACTCGAATCCGTATCGCTACCACCATCCGAAGGCTTATGATCATCGTAGTCATCAGAATCGGTATTATCATTCTCATGATGACGCAGCTTCTCAAGTCGTTGCAACGACATGACAATATACGCATGATCCGAATACCAATCCACCTTGGTCCGATTATGTGGATGCATCAGATCCTCAATCGCCAGTCTGTGTAGATTCTTGTGTCTGCCCAATATGCGAATCACATCCCAACTCAATCCATTCACATTTATCCATCGACACTGTACCCAAGACTCCCGTTCCCGCGCCAGAAATTGTTCAATTGAGCTATTATCCAACACGTACTGCCGCATATCCTCCTGTGAAAAATCGACAACGGTGATTTCGCAAATGCGATGTAGGTCTATGGGGAGCTGAGTCCATTCTGATTCGGAGAGTGGTGAGGCCCTGTTTGGATCTATGCCAGGTTCATTCCCGGCATTCCAGTGTCGCTCGGGACTGGAGCCTCCTTCGCGGTGATAGGAATGTAGAGTATTTGTCCTCTTTGAGCGTCGTCTAATCGTGGAAATTGAGTCGACACGCGCTGATGCTGAGAATGCGCCGGGGGATACAGGGTCATCGTTGTGAGAGGATCGGCCACGAGGAGATTGAGCTTCGATGTCGATGGGATCAGGCGCTGAGTCGGGCGATAATCCTGCCTGTGCATGCTGAGATGCGTAATCGTGAGCGTCGACTGCCATGGTGGGATGTGTTGTTCTTTGCGACGGTAAATCAAGGTCGTAGTGTCAACATTGGCATTCAGTGGTTGCGACGCGGCAGCGATGCCAGCTACTCAGCCAGACGGTAATCGCGCATTGATCTGGTTTTGTTTTTTGATGGTCATTGTTTATATTCGGACGTAGATGTTTCTTGTTGTGGTGGTGGTTAAGAGCCAGGTCTTTTTCTGACATCACGGCTGGAACAAGGAAACTCCACCTTGAAGATCTTCCCCACTTCCACATACTAAGCTTAATTACTTTAAGATATTCAATATCATTGTCAACTTATTAGGTATCACAATTCATTTAACAGAATACACTTAAATACATGCCCCTCGGTGCCCAGGACAATTAACATCTAACCCAGCCGTACACTCAGCTCAACGCCGACCAATGCACCGGACGAAGATAATGACACGAGGATAGAGAGAAGACGTCAACTGTACATACATGGTGATACATGGCGGGCATGATGCAATAGGAGAGAAGCGTAAAATATACAGATACTATATACAAAACGAAACGAAAGATGAAAGTCCAGCGCTGACCTCAATAGATCATGCGCGAGCAGTTGGACGTTGCTTGAATGGATATTTGGAGAATGGGAATGCATTCTGTTTCGAAGCATGAGGATACTGTTGGTGACCGTAATTGTTCCAGTCTTCCATGAGCAAGGCTCGCTGTGGTTCACTTGCAGGTTTTGGTGCGGAGGAGGTTGTCCGTTGGCCGGTCGATACTCTGGATTTTGCTATGGTCGTCGATTTCTCCTTGATGATGTCTCGTAGCTCCTTGTCATCATTGGTAATTTGAGCGCGGATAAACACAATGTCATTGGAAGTCTGGAGAGCTGACATGACTGATTTTCTAGGTGTGTATGAATAATTTTCGGGTGTAGGCGGTGTGATGGGTTTTATTGAAGGGTCGAGGTATGCGCTCTCCCCTTTTTCCATTAGCTGATGAATATCAAGACTTTCCCCGTGCGGGATTTTAGTAGGATGAGACGGAGTCACGCAGTCCATGTTGACTTCTTTTCGGAGAACATGGTCGATATCGACTGCCGAGAAAAATGCACATGATTGAGGAAGATCGTCAATGCCAACTTGCTGTGAGAACATTGCACGGGTCCAGACGTTGGCGATTTGTAAAGCCATGGCTGAACGGTATTTGTCTTCTTCTTTAACCAGGTAACGAATCTCGTCGTGCACGGTAATAGCCAGCCTGGCATCGATGTTGAAGCGTCGAATAAGAAAGTCCATGGCCGTAATCAAAAGATGCAAATAATCAACACCTGAAGACTGAATAGCCCAGTTAATGCGGGATGTCATAAAGCTACCCTTGTTAATAAATCGACGCATGAGGGCTTCGGTAATGCCCGCTCCCAATGCTGGAGTTCGTGGCCGTTCCTGCTCAGCAAATTCTTCCAACTTGTTAAAGACAAACGACTCAGTACCGCCACGCCAGAAAGGTCCGTCATTCAGAATCTTGCGTGTCGTACGAGTGCCTTTAGTCTCCTTGTACAGCTTAGACGCAATTTGACTCGTCTCCTTTTCAGTCAGCGTGGGATTGAACTGACGAAGTAAAGTGGAAGCAAACTTCAACCCAGCACCGTAGATACGCCCATAATTAAAGACTTTGGCATCATTTCTAGAAATGCCAAGGATAGACGCAGTGCGCGAATGCAAATCGGTTCCGGCTGCTTTGGAGCCTTCCAGCGTCATGAATCCAATAGCATTGCCTCCATGGAGCTGGAATTGCGCATCACCGACCAAACTGGCAATCCACAACTCCTGAGAGTCAACATCGGCACCGACAAATACATATCCTGGCGGGGCCTTGATCATTGCTTTGAGTTCAGATCCCACGCGATTGGCTTTAGCATTGCTGGCAGTAAGCCATGTGTTTTCCACGGCACGACGAGTAATGGTGCCCATTGGGATGACTTGTGGCAAGATAAAACCAAGTTGCTTTTTTGCAGCCTTCTTTTGACGTTTCAACTCATCTTCATAAACAACCAGTTGACTCATAATTCTATCGCGAGCACTGATCCAATACGAACAGGAGGCGTTCATTTCCAATGCCTCTTTGGCAAGAGCGAACTTTGATGATAGCGTACCGCGCTCGAAATATGTGAGATAGCCTTTAGCCAAAGGATTGATGCACCGAGCCTGCGGTCCATCCTTATGCGGTAGCTTATAGTAAACATGTTTTCTGTCATCCCGAAGCTCTGCGTTGGTTTCTTCATTCATATCGCATTGAGTGACCGGTTGATTTTGATAGTTGTGCGCCTCGTTCAACGAGACTCTGAAGGTCCAACCATATTTATCGGACCATATAAGTGGATGGCTATCCCATGATAACTTCAAAAGAATTGGCGCAATGCGGGTTCTGACCGTGAGATTTATGTCGGCATTACTAGTCGGAAAGAGATCTTTATACCACTTTGGCATGCCGGGTTTTTTCTGTCTCGCCGCTGGGCGAGGGGGATCCCCTTTCTTTCTACCCTTGACCATTTTTATTTCTTGGCCAGACCAGTCTAACTGACGTAGCCAGGGATCGCTCTCGTACTGGGTAGGGTCGTCTTTGATCTTCAGGGCTTCTTCGCAAAGCTCCAGTAACCGTTTTTGGACGTCATCAAGTCGTTTGTGATATGTATTCTCGGCATTTTGAAGGTATTGCTCCCAGGTTTCGTTTACGGGTAGGATGACTGACGACAGATGGCGCAAGGCTCCAAAGCTGACAGGATGAGGGCAGACCTCGAGAAAATTGGGAAAGACTTTCTTGTAAACCCGGTGGGTGATTGCAACATCAGCAGCACAGTAGTCCAAAAGCTCGTCTAGTCGGCTCAATATTCCATCCTTGTCCAATTCTCCAAAGTAGTCTCTCTGCGATTTGTCAATCGTCACATCGCAATGAAATTTAGCGACATCGCGTAGCGAGTTGACCGAGCTTCTCCCGACCCATAACTCCTCTTCCTCTTCACTGAGCATTTTGCTCTCGAGCAACGCCGATAACTCGACGGCGTTATTATCATTCGCAACCTTATCTCTCAAATCTCTGTTCTTCTTGTGTCGCATCCAAGTTGGTCGTTGCTGAGAACACATTCCATTCACAGCCACATGAAGAGACATGGTATCCACAAAGAAATTGCGCGACTGTTTAATGTTGTATTCTTCCTGTACCCGAGCCCGATCGTATCCAATGTTGTGCCCGATAATAACCCTCGGCTTTGACATATCACCCAGAGGCACCAAATGGCGATCATTCTCTGATTCACCGAGTAACCACGGTGAAATCCAAGCATACCAAGCAGTTGGGCTCACTGCACACGCCATAACAGCGAATGGGCTTTCTTTATACAAAACTTCGGTATCAAAAGTCAAGGCAGATTCGTCCGGCGCATCAACCGCTTCCCACGAGCCATCACTGTTATATTTCGTCCATCCGCATCTTCTTGCCCATTTTCGTGGCATCTGTGGGACATTTATTGTTGAGTAAGATTTGGCAATGCTTAAGTACGGCTCCGACGCATCCATGGCCAGTTTGTGAAAGTGTTCATCCAGTGTCTGTCCGACTAATGGCGGAAAGTCGAATGCGATAGGCTTCGCAGCCTCCTGTGATTTTCCCAGTAAGTCATGGCGAGATAGGTGATCCTTTGATAAGGCGACAAGCTTTTCGTCCGGCGGGTTCGGCTTATTCAAGAATATTTGAGAGTGTACATAGTCACTGAGCTGTTGTACGCCGATTTCGTTGAATCTTGCGGTAGAGTGTACTACTTCATATTAGCCAAAAGCGGTCGTGAAGTAGCTCTAAAAACGTACCGGAGAGCGACTTTATACCCTTCCGTTCACTATGCACTGTTGTGTAAAGCCGCGATGTAAAAATCGGTGTCAGGGAAGAGGTTCTGATATAAGATAGTTGAATTCCATATCGGGATGTTATCGCGACGCAAGACCGCGCCACTCCCCAGGAGGGGGCATGCGCAGACCGTCGCAGCATTGAAAGATGAAGCACACACAAAGACGGAACTAGCCCATTGTCGTACAGGGGCACGGTGCGCAGCGAAGCGCAAAGATTTAAGATGAAAGCCCGACTTCTCTCTGATTAGAGGGGGTTGAGCTGAATAGTCTTGATGGGATAATGAAGGAGGTAAAAGGATGAATCGGATGAATAATCCATGATTTCATTAGTGCCGATTGGGCTGAGTGGGTCACTTGGTCTAGCTTAATCATCCGCTAGACTCAAATCGGCTAGATTAGATGCTAGCTGCATTTCCGCCTCAGGCAGATAATCTTCCGATAAGGTCGCCTTCATTCATCACTTCAACCTCTCTATTTGCTCGACTTTGGTGACTATTCCTCTTACATTCTCCATTTTGGAGTCATTTATATCGGATTTTGGTTTCTTATCAACGGAAACTTAGTTTCCATGCTTTTTTTGAGGCATTATACGTATTCACGCGACTGGCAATTTTTATTTCACCTTCAAACGAGCCTTGTTGGGACACATTTGGGGTCTACGGGCAAGGTTCCTGAAATTCTTCTTACAGCCAACACGCAGGCCCAATAAACAAGCAAATAACGCAAGAAGCATGTCGCGGAGATCATCTTCGGGTGTAATAGACCTGACATCGAGCTCAAGATCACATCGTTACGTCGACCCGAGCTCACAACAAGGCTTAGCCCCTCACATTGACACCTCCAACGAACCACGAGGCACGAAACGAAGAAGATTATATGGAGACGATATACCTGGCTCCGAATTTGCATCGTCGTCCAATGACCCTCACCAAACAAGCTCGCTTGAAGAAGACGAAAATATTGAATCCGTAGACCTCACAGAAGTCAACGATGATACTGCGCTAGCCAGGACGCTCGCAAAACAGCGAGAAGATGCGATCAAAGCCCAGACAGCTACAGGGGATAGAGAAGGGCGTACTACTTTAACGGCGACGAAATGCGCGATCTGTATGGATACTCCTACGGACGCTACCACTACAGTTTGCGGTATGTTCTATTCCCACTCAGTTTTAAGAAGTTAGTATACTAATTCTAATACAGGTCACATGTTCTGTCACAAATGCATAATAGATTCCCTACGATACGAGGAAGGACGTTCTGAAAGTACGACAGGGAAATCTGCTCGAGGGAAATGTCCTGCGTGTCGTAAACTTCTTTCAAGGAGAGAAACCGCAGGGGGGAAGCGAGACCTCATTCCGCTACAGTTTAAGCTCAGAACACCATCATGAGGGAACTGGTTTTTGCTTGAAAGGAACCACATCTACATACCTGGATATTGAGGGTTAGCTGGACCCTAAAAGCAGTTGATTTCCCATCACGACTTCTCCGGTTGAGATAAGTCGTCATGCGCCCGCCGTCACATCTGAAGAAGAATTTTAGGATATAAGGTTAGGAAGTCACAATGTTGTAAGGATATCGAAGCATCTGCTTCATGTCATGCTCCTGACATCACTATTTGGCGATACCGTGTCTCTCACGTTGTTGCGGTTGTCTCCTCCATACGATCACCTAGCGCAGACAGCACATAAATATCCTCTATTCAGCGTTCCTGCTTCATTACATCTTGATACCCGACTGGCATTGCTTTTCTAATGGCTTAATGCATTATGAGCTGTACTCTAGTAAAGCTTGAGCTACGCATATAATACATGCATCATTGTGGATATGACTGCACGGATTATCGTTCTTTATACCCTCCTTCCAAAGTATTCCGTCTACTAACACCACCGCCCAGTTTCCCTCGAAGCATAGCATCACCTTTCTTTCCCAACACTACCTCCAACGCTTGGACTAAAGCAGTAGGATCATACCTCATTCCCAGGACGGTCTTCCCGTCATCTGACATTATCTTTGGTCCATAAAGACGCAGTGTCTCAATTCCCATGGCAGAAAGTCGTTCGCGATCAACGGACGGCGTGCCTGGGCCCTCCAGATGTAGGATATGCGTGACGTATGATGTGTACGGAAGTAGCTTTTTTGCTCCTAGAGATGAAGGAGCAGGTGATAATGGCTCAATGATACTTGGCACAGAGGACTCCGGAGTGACGAGAGAATTAGTAGCAGTGGTAGAACCCGGTAGATTATCCATGATAGCGTCCATGCTACGATGGCGGCCGTTTGGAAGGCCGCTTCCTCCACCCTTTCCACGACTTTCCTCTCCCGCTTTGACGATGGCTTCCACGAAATCGACAGCTGTGAATGGTTTGCTCGATGGTCCTGTTTCTCGATCAAGCGATCCATTCAAAATCAGAATCTTGTGTCGCGCTGGACTCATGGCGATTGCCTTTCCAACGCCGCGTAGGATGAGCGAAGGTATAATAGATGTATATAAAGACCCAATGCTGTATATAATCGCTTGGCTGTCATTAATCGCCTCCAGCACTCGCGGATTAGCCGGTGGTCGAATTTCCTGACCGTACGGATTGATATACCATATCCGCGATATGCGACAAGGCAATTCCTCTGTATCGGCTTTGTTAAATGTGATGTTCTTATATCGCAAACTGGGTAATGAGCCCGGTATATGATCATGCTGATATGAAGTGGCATCGTCCATGTCAAGATAATCAGAATCATCGGCATCTCCGTCCGCTAAGAGCAAGCTAGCCCTTCTCCTACCCAGTTTTGGGGAGCCGGGGGCATTGCTGGGATGCGAAATACTATTTTGTCCGACAATAACAGAGCCATCTTCGAGAGATGCAGAGATATGATGCGAGAAGTTTGAGTTGATGGCGGGGATAACGCGGACCAAATCAGATGAAACACCGCCTATACTTCCCAAAAGATGTATGGCGCTCTCGAAACTACCGGTGAAAAGGCGAGCGCCTGTCAGGAATAGATTTCCGACACTGGCAGAACTAAAATCAAATGTAGATGTAGGTGGACGTGCTCTTTTCAAAATCTCAAGGTTGAGGTAGTTGAAAAATGATCGTATCAATTCCTTTTTGGCTGGTGTGATGCGCGACCATAACGATGATGTGCCATCAACAATAGACTGCCAATTCTCTCTAGCTGCTGCAGCATCGGCATTCAGTCTATGATTGAAGAGGGCCTTTACTGCAGCCCTTTCAGAGGCTGGTGCCGAATCCGGTATTAATCGTACCAATCTACCTGTAATGCCCTGTTAGTGGAATGATTTCCAGCTTATGGATAGTAAAACTCTCACTTCGAACATCTCCAATCCCAGGTCCACCAAATACTCGAATCAATTCCGACGTCGAACCACCGTTGTCCGATATGGGGATAACGTAGTTGAGAAGACATTGTTTATTGGCTCTCACTGTATTGAACGCATCTACCAGGCTGTTGGCTGCACTTCCACCTGAGAAGACGACAATTCCACGGTTAATGATTGAGTCGTCTATGTTTGGGTCCGTTGCCATGTCGAAGAGAAGTATTAATGAGTGAGTCAGTCTTCTGATGTTCCCGTCTTTTATATGTCTGCCTCAAATAGGTGACGATCAGACTTGTACATCGACAGATGAATACAAATGAACAAACAAGTCAACAAAAGACCGAAGATGGTGCTGTTTTAGAAGGTATGTATAGTGAGGTGAGGGCAAAGTTGAGAGACATAGTTGGAAGGTGGAAGTTTAACTTGGACAAAACGGCTAGATTTCAATAATACCAAAATTACGCATTGCCACAATTAAAATTACCGTACATATGTCGAAACATTGGAACGTGATAATGCAGTTCGATAAAAGGAAAAGAATCATCGAATCGAGGAGATAAGTACTGCATTCTGGTATTAAAATATTGGAAATCTCTTATTTTTGTCTAGGAACATTCTTTCACTAACTGGACAACTCGTTTCGCTAGGGTTTCGATATCAGGAGGGAATCGACCACTGACATAGTTTGTATACTTCATCTTCAACGATGAATCTAATGCAAGCAGCAAATGATAATTAGTTTTTTCCCTTCTTTATCGAGATCAATGCTCATTGATATGATATTGACATCTTTAGCTGCCGCCCAACTTATCGCCTGTGATTCTCAGCAAAAAGATGATTTAGGGAAATAGGGGCATTCATGTCCAGGAATACATGACTTGGCAACACCATCAACGCTGATGTCGTCCTTGTAGTCACCAACTTTTGCAATGTACGGTTGGCAACCTGGGTCAATAGAGTTTATTATCTTGGCCGTTTGAGTTCTGTGAGCATCAGATGAAAACCACCAGTGACTTGGCATGTCATCCCTTCGTACGAACGACTCGCCTTTGAATCCATCCTTGTGTATATTTGTGTTGAAATCACTCTCGTCAAATCCCGTGTCAATTATGGCAACTTTCACGGGCTCGAATAGACTCTTCTTCTGCAAGTTGCACCATTTAGTCCGATAATGACTCAGAAAATTATCCAATTTAGTGACGTGGCTTGGACTAAAGTTGCATTATATTAGCAGCAGCCTTCTACGTAGTATTTGATCATGCTACTTAATATCGAGAAATATACAGGTAGTCTATGATCAGGTTTCTTGGGGCCTACTCATTTCCATTTGATACACTTTACGCTTGATATGTTACATGGATCAGCGGTTTGATCTCCCTCACTTAGTAGGAAAGGCCTGTAGTCTCTGAGCCAATTCTCCATTATAGTTTGTTGGTCTTCAGCCCTTTTCGAGGTGATATTGTCCCTGGAGTGAGCGTCAGTATTGCAACTGAAATATAAAAAGGGTGAACTGACTTCAATGATTGATCTATGAGCAGTCCGGAGGTTTGAGGTCTTGCTTGAGGTCAGTTTAATCATGCAGAAGTCGATTCCGGTCTACATACCTTTGTAAGTGAGAGAAGACCTTCTTCCCCCATCTAATAACACACAGATACCCAGCTTCTCTCAAACCTCTTGTCAACAAGTTGATTGTCTTCCAATTCAGATCATCGACGCCGAGCTCAACGGCCGCATTTTCAATCGTCTCTTTCGCTGAAAGGCTCATTATCTAGAATTAGGTACTCACAGTTCGATCATTTTATCAACACCTTTGACCACTCGCAGTCAATCCAGTACGATCTTGACTTCTCTATCTACCAGTCCATCCAGTTTGCCAGGATTGCTTTGGCGAATGTCATCCAGGTCAGGGAATGCAACATACTTCAATATTGGGTAAAATTCAGCTCTGAACCTGCGTATAGAGTTCTGGAGGCTTCAGCGTCCGTGTTCGTAGCTTCCTACAAAGTTTTCGTGATTTTAATACATACGGAGAAGCGATACTGCCCATCACGATAACCAGAATGCTTACTTTACTTTGAGCCCCTGCAATTTGAGCTAAACTCACAATCTTTCCATCCGGCTGTAGCTTAGATAATTGATGAACTTCTCGCCTTGCTGTGTTAATAAACTTGATAAATGGCTCATTTTGGCTGTTCGGAAGATTCAAGTCCAGGCGTACTTCCTTTGCTTTGGGCATATCAATAATTTCCCATTGCTTACTAAGAGCTTAGAGTTATCTTACTTTTGCCTGCACATTGATCAGTCTTGCACTTAGAGCTATTTTAAGGCGGAAACCTTACCGTCATCCTTTGGCCACAGTAACTTGATACGGTGTACGCTAAGGATCCTGATCGTCTTCTCGAGTATCATGTCTTGAATGGCCTTTGGTGCATCATCTAGATTCTAGATGCCTTCGGATTTTTGCCTTCTCGACTTCAAGGAACTGTTTCTTAACTTCTGCTGCTGTCTCTTACTCTGCCTTTTAGTTATGGCTTTTGCTTGCTGACGATATCCTTCCTTATCGACTCGCTGACCCCTTGAGAAGCAATGTGAGCGGCTGAACTTTCAACTTTCTCGTTAACTAATTCATCAAGAAGCAGGATAATCATTGAGGATTAGACGAGCGATTTCCACCTGGCAGTGTTCTATGGCAACGGTGAGAAGCCAAATATCCCGGTTCAGATCAGGCATTTTCTGAGTAATGTATTCCCACACCTCTTCCACCCTCCTAACTTTTTGCAACCGCCTCTAGTACTTTGGAAGCCAGCAGATCATGTAGACGATTTTGGCCCCTTAGAAGCACCTTGAGTAGCTCAAGCCTTCCCTGTCTTGCTGCTTTTAATACGTGATCTGCACATCTGTCATGTTGGAATTCAGCTAACCAGTAATTCCGCCCGTGGGATATCGTTCCCCATTGAAGCAATCTCAAGAGGAGTTTGGCCTTTGATATTCCATCCTCTCACAAGTTCCCTGAGATGGTCTGGCCTTTTTAATCCGATGGACTCCAGGATTGCTCTCAAATACTGGGCGTACTGCTAGACACGGCGAGATGCAGAATATTATTCTCTTTCGCATCAAGAGTACTGCGGAGTTCTTCATCGAACTTATCCACGACATGTCCGGCAATCATACTGTTGGTTCCCCTGTGCTCTACAGTGAAGACCAATCAAGCAATTATTGCCCTCAAAATAGGTAATATTCGCTTAATAGCTCTAGTCGCCTCCTATCGTCGCCCAAACTTATTATACTCTCCCAGAATGGTGCAGTTACATTCATACAGCGGTATTAGAGAAGTCTTTCGTAACATGTCGGAAGACTCTATGTCTAGTGGAACCGCAAAGACGTTTTTCGATCCAAAGATTCTGAGGCGAGAGATAATTTTATGGCACTTGTCAAGTCCAGGGATATTTTTATTAGCTTCGGACACACCCAAGGGTGATTCGGCTACCCAGGTGGTGAAGAACTTGGGAGTTCTTAGACACCCTAAGGCCTATCTATACCTATACATACCTCTACTATCAAATGATACCTAGGTACTCTAAGAAATGAGCCCCACTGATATTGACGGGAGACATCCTTCCTGCTTGTGCGCGTGGTTGTCCATCAACACACTTACACACTCCCTCTGGGTTGAATATGAATCAACTCTTCTGATATTGAAACCCCTGCGAACCGGGTCTCTGAGTTGATGAAAGAGGTTTTGCACAAAACAATGTTCGGGGTTTCACTATTCTGATTCCTGTTTAATCGACTGACGGTTGCTCAGGCGATGGATAACCTTTCAAGGTTGGAAGTTACATTGATACAGCTGTTGATGGAGCCGATTCCAGGGGTCGTCTTGTGCAGTCCTAACAGTTTTCCAGATATATTTGGCAATCGAAAACTATACAGCCAACAAAAAATTCCGTTTAGGAATTTGGCAGGTTGTGTGGTTTTCGTAGCTTTCCGGGCTGACAATAATGCTTGAATGGGTCTACCCTTGGAGACCTGTAAAAGGTCAAATATGTGCGAGAGGTACCAACACTATCTAGGTATATCACATAACCCTATCACATCCACTGTATTTTCCCTGCTGCATTCAATTAACGGTCTCCCTACATCCTAATCAACTTTTATTCATCTCCGCATAGGCATATATTCCAATTAACTGTAGCTAACATGCAAGGCTACGCCCACCCAGATCCAAGGGAGGTTACCGGTAGAGTTAGGGCTTTGCCTCACATAACCCTAACCAGGCTTGCTCATTGCCCTAGGACTCCATTCGCACTCTGACTCGATAGTGGAGGCATTTCAGGCAATCGTGGGATATATGCGTAGCATGAGATATGAGAGTTCATAACTGCTTATGGCCTCTTTTAAATATGGCTCCTTCCCGTAATGTACCTATTCGTCCAATGCCTACACCTTCATAGGCATTCGCATATCCACCTGGCCAGCTGGGAGATGCTTTCCGCATCGCCAGATGATGCCAATGCCATCTACAGTCTGATCTCGATGAAATGAGGTTCAAAGTTACCTCAGACCATCAGTTTGTTTCGCAACGCAAAAGTTCAGTAGACTAACTGCCAACACCCGAAGTCTCAGCCCTGGCGGCCTTTGCGACGCCTTTTGTTTTGTCCCGCGATTGTTTTCGCAGTATGGAGAGCTGGTCCGGGCTGGAAGTAAATCTGTCAAGTTTAGTTTGCAGGTGTATCATAATGGAGTTGCTACTGTAAGAATGGCTATTTGGAAGAGCGTTAGGGTTTAGGGTTCACTCTCACTCCAACCTTACCTACTGATGGCATGATTCGTACTATGGGAGCTGGAAAAGGAAAACTAGAACTCTTGATGTCAAAATCAGCAAGGCAGTTGCCAAAAATCGTAGAGAACAAACAATTCTGCCGGTACAGAGATGCAAGCGAGAAACAATCTTTGGAAGTATCGCGATGTCGTCACGGTAATGTAAATACGACGTTAAATTACATCTTGTATTATACATACCAGCCCGTCTTTTAACAGATATGATTGGCCAATGGTTATAGATGTTAGCTGTTGTGGAGCCTCCCCCACCATTCAATGCGATATGAATCATCCCGATCAGTTGCTCCTCAGACAATGCCAGGTCTATCACAAAATGCAAAAGTCTCATGATGAGGTTTTCCTAGCTCCTTTCTGAGGATCATATTACATTACAACTATATTTAATTCTGAGTTCTGCACTTGGTTCCAGCAGATGCCTTTGCGTTCTTTACCTTACCGTGCCATCCCACTTACCAGATCGATTCCATCTCATTGTTTAGTATCCAGGACCGTCACTCGTGGTATCGCCATGACGTCCGAAGGGGTAAACTGCGTTCTTCCTTTTATTATGAGCTAAATACTGACTTGTATAGAGCTCATCCGGATCGCAGCATCCAAAAAGACTTGTCTGTAAGCGACGATGACCTCTACCAGGAAAACGATCATATTAACAAATCTCAAAGTTGCGCCAGGTGATATTTCAGGCCCCAACGATGCCGGACAAGACATACACAACATCAAGTCAGCAGCCGCTCACCTGGCCGAAGACATTGCTCGATCCGACACATCCACGCCGACCTCGGTAATGCAACAAGAGCTCGTTTCGCATCCCGCTCGCGCACACCAATTCGTCATAAACCCGCCCTTGACTGTTGCGCAGCTACACCCTACCAACCCTCTGCATCAGTTTCATCGATGGTTCCAAGATCCCCGCCTACCGAGGTCATCGGCGCCGGAGACGTGCACGTTGGCTACGGCGTCTTTACCATCTGGTCGCGTGAGTGCGCGTACGCTTTACTTCAAGGAGTTGGATGAGCGGGGGTGGGTTATATACAGTAACTGGGGTAGTAAGGAAGGTAAAGGTCAGCAGATCTTCGGAAACGGATTTGCTTCTTCCGCAGATGGACGTACGCCGGGCGACATCCACGAAACCGCCTCTCTCAACGAGGGGAATCGCTGGGCAGCCCTGACGTTCCTCTGGTCATTAGTCGAGCGTCAAGTCAGAATCGAAGGCTTGATCGAGCCACTCTCCAAAGAAGAAAGTGAATTATACTGGCGCACTAGAGAAAGAGGAAGTCAAATCGGTGCCTGGGCCAGTTGGCAAAGTAAAGTAATGTGGTCCGCGAATCCGGATACACTCCCACTACCAGAGGAATTGCAACGCGCGGACTTCGACGATGGCAGAATTGAGCTTGAGCAACGCGTCAAGGAGATGGAAGCGAGGTTTGCGGATGTAAAGGATATTCCTTTACCGCCGTTCTGGGGTGGCATTCGAGTTGTTCCTGAGTCGGTGGAGTTTTGGCAGGGGCGCGCGAGTAGACTTCATGATCGATTTCGGTATGTTCGCGTTGGACAGACGGATCATGCTGCGGCAAATTTTAAGTGGAGGATAGAACGGTTGTCTCCTTGATATCAGTAGATTATGACAATAGAAGCATGAATACTCTCCGGTCTGGGACTCTTCGGTTGCGGTAACTAGTTTATATCTCCGTATGGCAGCCTGAGGAATCAGGCATCGACAGCAGTTATCGCAAGCTTATCACAACTTCATCCTAAACAACGTACATCATCCAGGCATTTCACTTCAAGTCCCAATTAGCGACGAGTATATACAACAATTGGAGACCTGCCTGGACATTCTCCATAAACCGGAATTGCGCCATTGATCTCTTCCAAGTATTTCCCAATGTCAACACCATCCCCATCCCTCAGAGGATCTCCTCTCAAAACAAGCTCATCATTCACAATAACACGATGGGTAACACTGGCAATTGCCAGCGGCGCATTCGCAGCTCTCAACGGATTATTCGCTAAATTGTTCATCCTACCCCGTCCTTCCTCTCGAGAAGCATAATATAACTAATAGCTTACCGGTACAGAACAACGACTGAATCCACCGGATCCGCCGCATCCAAAATCGCACATGCATTTAACCTCCCCGAAGGAATGGTTGAAATCATTGTTCGAGCTGTACGTACCCCTGCCACTTCGCATTTAAAGAATAAAATCTAACTCCTGACTTGAATAGATATGCTTCGGCCTCAACCTCCTCAGCAACTTCATAATGTGGGCTTTATTCACCCGCGCCCTAACCGCCGCCCCTTCCACAACAAAAGTATCAATTACAAATACTTCTGCGAATTTCCTTGTTACTGCGGTATTGGGTATGATTGTTTTTAGGGAGAGGGTTGGTGGGTTGTGGTGGCTTGGAGCTGTTATGATGGGTGCTGGGTGTATACTTGTGGGCATGAGGGATGATAGTACTAGTCATAAAGAGGTGAGTGAAGGGGAGGGTGTCGTTCCGAGTGTGGATGGGGATGATGAGGTGGAGACGATTACGTTGAGAGAGGATGGGTTTGATGATGAGATAGAGCCTGAACCGTATCGGGACGAGGTTGAACGGTGATTATCTGAAGATATCGTGAGATGGATGTATATATTCGTTCTGTCGTGATCATAATTCTATTAATATATAAAATCACCTAACACGATCCTCCAACTCGACCGGACCGCTTTCCTCGGTCCCTTCAAGAATACCATATTGATACTCATCTGTATTCTCAGCCATCCGATCCCTTCGTCCATGTCTCGCTCCCGCGGATCCATCAAGTCTAATACTCCGGTTCCGAATAAGTCGTAATGTATGGCCTACTTTTTGAAAGAAAGACCACGCTCTGTCTTCAAGCGTAGCAACACCCCCTTCGTTCTCGTCGTGACTATCCGCATTTGCGCCGTTGGTGGTAGTCGCGTTCTCCTGCGCTTCGACTTTGAATTGATACTTGAGGCAGTCTTTCACAGTGACTAGACCCATTAAACGGCTCGTTGCTCGACGAGATACACGCGGGCCCATTTTCTTGATATTCCATCACAGTCTCAGAGGAGTCGAGGGTGTACGGAGATCGGGGTATGATCGACATACGGCGTAAAATCGACCGTCTTTAATCCAGCTGTATTCTCCAACTCGTCAAATGTCTGCGGGGCATCTAGATACGGTCCCGACGCTGTGGGTGCTGGACTATGTATCCTGGTAGATGAAGCAGGGGCCTCGTGCGTAAATACGCATTTCGCGTTGGGAGATAGCGGCTGCATTCGCCTTGCTTTGTTTATCGCGTAATGCAGTTCTGTACGGCCAATGTATCCGATTAGAATTTTGCTGGCTCTGTCCTCGACGATGGGGAAGCCTTGGAATTTGTTGTCGTTTAACAAGTGTTCCGCTTCACGGACAGGTAGGTCAGATGCCGGTAGAGAGAGTGGACTGCTCGTCATGACGCGAGAAACGGGGACGTTGAAGACGTGGTCTTCTTTATTGTCCAGGAATGGGAAGCCGTTGACCCAGATCATTCGGTCTGCGATACCGCCGTTGCCGAAGCGTTCACTAACGGCTTTGGTGACACCAACAACAATCTAGATGTATTAGTCAGGAATGAGCATATCATAGGCGAATGGCACATACCATAGTAGGAAGAATATAAACCAAAGCTCCCGTAAGTTCAAACATGATAACAACAATAGACACCGTGAGATGCATAATCCCACTCAACGCTGCAGCGGCACCGAGGAAAGCATACGTCCCCGGCGTAATACAAGGTACATCCGGTTCGCAGGCCGCAAAGAAACCAGAATCTGGAAAGGATTCATGCAGAGCTTGCACGAGAATACCGACCAGTCTTCCAAACGATGCGCCTATTGCCATTGACGGGACAAAAATACCGGCGGGGACTTTGCATCCGTAGGAAATGATGACCAGGAAAACGCGAAGGATTGTAGCAATAAGAAGCGAAAACACCATCGACCAGCGGTTTTGTTTTCTTTCAGATATCAGCACAATGCATAGTATGCGAGCCTTGGGCTATACTTACTCGCAAATACCTTCATAGTTATTATCGCCTTCACATTCTCGAAATAGCACCTCCATGGCTTGTGTCATGTTGATTCTGAGAAAGATGTTTGGATAGCAAAGCAATGCGGTCAAGCCAGCAAGAACCACAGCTTCCGTAACAGGGTAAGGCCCCAGATACTTTTTCCGGAAAGCTGCCACTCGTAAGTTCCACTTGATGACCAGCGCTCCGTACAAACCACCAAAGACACCGAGAATGACGAAGAAGATTAACTCGAAAAAGTGCCATGTACGGTCATATTTGACCTGAAACATAACCAATTGACCGGTTCTAAAGGGATTCATAGCCTGAGATGATCAGTCTGGCACTTTCGAAAACAAATGAGAGGCTTACCGCTAGTACGCCAGTTGCTATCAAAGCACAAAAGTAACTTCGCCAGAGAGTCTTGAGGGGAAAGTAAGTAGACATTTCCTACTGAAAGTCAGTACAGCACCACCTTGATATCCGAGTAAACCAACCTCTAGAGAAAACAATACTCCACCAATTGGACTACCAAAGGCAACCGCAACACCTGTACCAGCCGAAGCGGTCAAAATTTCCCTTGTTTTGGCCGCATTTCTCCTGTATTTGTTGAAGAATCGCGAAATCACGTTTCCCGTACACACGGCATAATGAACACTAGGCCCCTCCTTCCCAACAGACAGTCCAGAGGCGATCGAAAGAGGTAGGCCTATCGATTTGATGAAGAGAGTGGTTGCGCTGAGGAATCCCTTCATCACGAACCCAGCTATTATACATTTGATCTCTGAGATTCCAGAGCCTGCTGCGTACGGCGCAAAGGACTTAACAAGGAACGCAGACATAAAAGCGAACGTTATCTGAGGATGTCAGTTGACAATCAAGCGTTTAGTCCCAAAAAAACACATACCGCAAAAAGGAAATATACTATATAGTTGAATAAACCATTCCCGCCCCATCGATGCCACTCTGGACAACCTAGATAAAGTCAGTATGAGAATAACACAGCTATTAAGCTGTACGGACCATTATCTGCGCCCCAGCAGCAAAACTGCTCATTCAAGTAAAATGCGGTGGTACAATACCCCAGTTTGATATCCGACAACCACTCCGTCACAATATTAAGCAAAGCAGCGTTCAATCCAATCGCCGCGCCAACAATGGTAACCACAAGCCACGCTTGACCTGCATCGTAGGACTCCCATAACTTCCGTCTCCAACCAAACGTCCCCTCCTGATCCCAAAACCCGTGCCCTTCTCTTCTCCGTGCGCGACGACGAATCTGCTCTTGTACCTCATCTTGCACCCAGTCGATTGTGGTAAAGTCTTCATAACGCTTGATTTCATTGATCTCTTCTGCTACCGCGGGATTCGGATGGTTTGTGCTGGCAGCTCCGTCTCCAGCCCCATTGTCGCTCTGATCTGAGACCGAGAATCCAGAAAGCCGTCGCGATAGTCGGCTTGATGGTTCGATGGGGGAGAGGAACCCATGAGGCTGTGCGGAGCTGGATGATGCGCGAGGGAGGGTCATATGTATGTTGGTGGAGAGGACAGTCGCAATCGCATGTCGAGGCTGTAGCCTAGGCCAACCTAGCAGGGGATGTATGTTTGGAGATTCGTGCGGATGTGGTAGCCCGAATGTGGTCAAAATGTCTGCTAATTATTGTCTCTAAGCTTGTGATTGGAGTTGATCACAAGTGAATCGATGCTGTGATGTCAATTGCTGATGTTGTTGTGCACATGAAGGTTGGTCGCAGCCGCGTTAACGGCAGCCTTAGATGGAACTCCGATAAGATAAGCATCTCGACTTGTTCAGAACAAGCCCAAGATTCAACTCGGATGTTTCAGTTTACAACCCGATTCTCTATACAGAATAACTTTCATATTATCTGTCATTCACTCTGAAAAATCCGAGAAAAGAAGTTTTACTATTGCCCAGATCATACTGGCTTTGATCCTGGTCTTAATATCCGAGAGCGCGTCTCAACGACACTCAGTACAGACGAGTATAATCTATATCAACTCGACGAATTTCGTTACAAAACATATTCAGGCCCTTGGCCTCTCCAACACGGATCGGACCAGCCACGACCAGAAATCAGCGCGTTAACGCGTCGACGACGCCCAATATCAATCTCGCGATGCCTTCAAATACACAAACAGACGAATCAGAAGCTTCAGGCCAGAGTGTTCTTCCACGTATGTACTTAATCTCGCACTCTTTAATATTACGAACCGAACTGATCATAGTCTCGAGCAGTCGCGCGGATAAAAAAGATCATTCAACTAGACGAAGATATTGCACAGTGCTCTCACAATGCGACTTTTCTTATTGCGATAGCTACCGTAAGCTTACCACCACTGTCCTTGCGGAACAAAGACTAACGACTATACAGGAACTATTTATTCAATATCTCGCCGAGCAAGGATACAATGTCGTCAAGTCGGAGCGCAAGCCGCGAAAGATGATTCAATACAAAGACCTCGGTATGCCACTCTAGCGACCTGTTTCTCCATTTACTTGTATACTGACTTAGACAGCCACCGCAGTCTCACGAATCGATAACCTCGAATTCCTCGCTGACGTAATCCCCAAGACGACGACGTATCGACAATATAAAGAGAAACGCGCTCGCGAAGGCGCACAGGACGTGCCGAAGACAGAAATGGGACAACCAAGCAATGCAGCGACAGGACAAAATGGCGTCGCTCGTTTGCCGGGAGGACAGACAACGCTTTTTGCAGCGACGAATGGAAGTAGAGCTAATATGGTGACTGAGAATCCTATACCGACAGTATCGATGATGATTGATCCAACGGGTAATGAAGCTGCGAACGGGGATGTTGAAATGACTGGATAAATTGCATAAGAGGTTAGAATTGGATAATGAGGAGTCTGGTTCTGTTTATCGTTTGCATTATATTGAAGTTAGCAGCATGAATTATAAAGAATTATAAAAGAGAGAATACGTAGTATTGAAGAGGTCATAATGTTAGGAAGCAGTCAACCAATCAGAAGCGGTCTAATTGGTCCCGGGTGCTTTTCGGGAAGGAAGGAACCTCACCTCACTCCAAAATCCTCCAACTTCCGAAGACAACATCCTCTCTTCGCTCTCCCCTCAAGCAACGCCAACGCAGTTCAATTGCCATCCTCAATTGCGTGTACTACACCACACGTCTCTTGACGACAACTTCGCAATGTCTCAACAACTCTCCTCCGCGCTCCTGCGCACCTGCGCCCGTCAACAACTGCCCACCACCGTCGTCGCCCGCTCTGCCATCGCCGCTTCGACTGCTAATGCTCAACAACAGCGAGGTGTAGCTAATGCCAGCAAATTTGAGAGTCCCTTTGCCAGCTCTGATGATCCCACGGCCACCCTGAAGATCCCCAATTTCAAGAAGTACATGTCCAAGAGCTCCCCGACGACGAACAAGGTGTTTTCGTACTTTGTCGCTGGAACGATGGGATTGGGATCTGCTGTTGGTGCAAAGGCTACTGTTCAGGGTATTTACCCTATGAATTGGTGACAAATGGTGCATCGTGGTGACGGTAAGCTAACAACTACAGATTTCCTCGTCAACATGTCCGCCTCCGCCGATGTCCTGGCCCAGGCCAAGGTCGAAATCGCTCTCGGCTCCATTCCCGAGGGCAAGAACGTACGTCCCCTCCTCTCCTCTTATACCTTTCTACAAACTAATGGGTATAGGTCATTATCAAATGGCGCGGAAAACCCGTCTTCATCCGTCACCGTACCGCCGATGAAATCAAGGAAGCCAACGAAATCGACTGGAAGACCCTCCGTGATCCTCAACCAGATGAGGATCGTGTCCAGAAGCCTGAATGGCTTGTTATGCTTGGTAACCACCCCCCCTCTATACCTCTTTCTTTTTTTTTTTTTTCAAGTTTTTTACTGATGATGGTAGGCGTCTGCACTCACCTCGGTTGTGTCCCCATCGGCGAAGCAGGTGATTTCGGCGGCTGGTTCTGTCCCTGCCACGGTTCTCACTACGATATTTCCGGTCGTATTCGCAAGGGTCCTGCTCCTTTGAACCTTGAGGTTCCTGCTTACCAATTCCCTGATGACGATACTCTTGTTATCGGTTAATCTGCTAGAAAAAAGAAAAAATATAGAATCCCCCCCCCCCAAACAAAGACCGTCCATGTTTCAATAATCAATCTCAATTACAGTGTTTATCTATGCGGTTGTTTGTTGTTGAAACTCAATTCATTTCCTTTGTTATATTACTAGCGCCTCGATTCTACCTTTTGGATTTGATGTCAATCATGTTATAGAGAAAAGAGGAAAGCGCTAAATGTACTATTTTTGATATACATATTCTTTCTCTTACTTCCTTCGTTCTAGTAGGCAGATAGGGTGTATCGGTAACGTCTTGACATTCTTTAACTTGGAAAGATGATTTCGATATTAAGTATATATTCATATTTTTATTCACTAGTTAAGTATCCATGTAGATGAAACCTATTTATGTCTGACCATCATGACCGAAGCAAAACACTTCCGTCAAACGTCATGCCTGATAATCATAGAGTTGAGATGTGTCTATCGAAAAAAATCTTTGAACAAATGAAATGGGAAAAAAAAAAAAGATTCCGCCACCTGGCTTTTGTTGTGATCATGATTCATGTCAATCAAATGAGAAATCCAGGCTTGCATGTCTTTAGCACCGGGGAATCTTTGGCAATTTTTCGTTTTGTTGTTGCCATGATGCAATGCAGAAAAACGCCGAATACGCCTTGCTCTGAGTATCGCCAAACACATAACCAGTCCCAAGTATGATACATGCTGAAATCAAATTCATATGTCGAAATCGAAGAAGCCGACGCCTACTAGGCTGGTCGAGAGCTGAAGGTATGAAAGATGTGGGAGGTGCCAGCCCTCGTCGCCAGCCACGTAGGTCAATCATTAGAACGGTATATAGGAGTTAAAAGGTATGCAGTTCAGAGAAAAGATTAAAAGTGTGCGATCGGAGCTGATACAGAACTACCGACCATATCGACAATCTTGCCGGCGACGGCAGCTGGGTATCCGCGAGAAAGCATCTCTTGCACAACGGCAGCGGCACTGGGGCGTTCTTCGGCTGCAACGAATGCACGAGTCATTGCTTCGTAGGTACTTGGTTCGCGTTTATCGATTCCCACGCTGTTGTAAATCTCGTAGGCTTTGGATATGTTACCCTCCGCAGCCCAGCCCTGGATCAATGTGTTGGCAATATAAGGTGTCATCTCGATACCGTGACGGCCCATGCTGCTGACGAGATCAGTGGTAGAGGAGACTTGACCGTTGGCGACCATGGCTTCGAAGAGGGCTTGGTACAGACAGGGTTGCACGCGGATGTCGCGGTTGGAGATGACGCTGTCGAATAGAGCGCGAGCTCCGTCCATGTCGTGGAGTACACAGCCCTTGGCGTGGATCAGAGAGGCGTAATGGACTGCCTCTGGTCGTTGGCCAGACGCTTTGATAGTCTCGAGAACCTGTTCGGCGGCTTCCATGTTGACCGGCTCCAAGGATGCGTGAGCGTCAATGAGAAGTTTATAGGTATGCATAGTAGGCTCAATGTTGCGTGAGCGCATCCGTTCATAGTAAGCAAGGATCTTGCTGCGGTCACGCTTGGTGTTGAGGAAATACTGAATCATAGAGTTGTAAGGAGCAGGACGAGGCTTGTAGTTTGGCATCGACTCCATTTCGTCAAACATCTCCTCGGCAAACCGTTCATCACTAACCCGGCAAAGAGCGTTGACAATGGTACCGTATGTGACGCTGGTTGGTCGGACACCGTTGGATCGCATCTCGGCAAAGTACAAAAGACAGTCATCAATACGACGAGCCTTACCAAGCTTGCCAATAAGCGCATTGTACAAGAATGAAGTAGGCTCGACACCTTCGGCGATAGCACGATGGAATATTTTGACAGCTTCGGTAGCTTCGTCGAAGGTCTTGGTAGACTCCTTCAAGGTGGTGATGTACAACCCAAAAGTATTTGCAGATGGAGCAGAACCGATTTGCAACAACTCTTGATGATACTGAGCGGCCAGATCGCGTTCGCCTACGGTCAGACAAGCAGCAACCATGGCATCCAGGATCGAACTCCAGCCATAGCGAACAGCACTGTATTGAGGAAGAAGGGGAACATCATGTCGGGCCATGGCAAGGATATCGTTGGCAATATTCATACGCCCGCATTTGGCAGCAGCGTTGATGAGCTTGGCATAGGTAATATACCGAGGATGGCGACCGAGACGACGAATGTTGCGCAACTTTGTCAGTGCTTCATTGAGATGACTATCGATTCGCTTGGACGTGGCTTCCAGTTCATCGGAGATGATCGAAGAACCACGGTAGTCTGTCGAGTAAGCATAAGGATCGTAGCTATCCTCAGAGGTGACAGAAGAGTTGATTTGCGACGAAGTTTCCGAGACAGGGGTGTACCGACTAGAACCAACAGACTGCTGTCTAGCAACAGGCACAAACTGGTCCTGCCATCTCCTCACGAGGTCAGGCCGGCTATCAGAAAACTTCAGAATAGCCTGGTCGACCAGACGTGAGGTGTACACATCCAGAGGTACACCGGTAGATAGAGCGACGTCAACCATGTGGGCAAAGCGAACAAGATGAGGAGCGTTAAAGGTAAATTCGTGGTTGATGATCATTCCCGCTTGAACTTGAAGAGCAAGAGTCAAATCGTCGACACTGAGTTCTGAAATACCCATGGGACCTAGGCTTGAAATAGCATGCTCGGCAATTGGCGAGACTAGGCCACCATTTTCCACCATGCATCGGACTAGAGTCATGGCAGCAGGAGCCGAAATCACCATACCGGACTCCATCATGAGAACCCGACCGAGAAGCTCGATAGCCTCATCAATCTCTTCCCGAATAGGCAATTGGACCATCTGTTGCGCAGCAGTATCTTTGCGAATACGTCCGAACATCTTACGAGCTTCCATCAACCCTTCCTCGATGTGACCGCTCTTGAGCAAGGCGACAGCATACATGGTGGTGGGTTGAATCAAATCCGAAGTTGTCTGATCGAGGTTGCTCAAGATGGCCCAGAATGTACGAGCAGCGAGCACATTGCCTTGTCGAACATGCAACGCTAGCATGGGCACCGCCGAGCCAATAGCATGCACGGATTCAGCGGCAAGCCGATCATACGATTCCACGGCCACTGCAACGCTTCCTGCGTCAGCGGCAGCGACGCAGATCTTGGCCATGGCCTGCTGCAGAGCGGCGGCTTGAAGATTAGATGTTGCCTGTTTCACAGCTTCTTCGAAATTCCCAGCATCGAGAGATGATTGAACGAGAGCGTCGCGGATGATGGTCGACTCGACAGCCTCCAGGCGAGATGCTTTGTCTTCCTGCACGTTGTCATACGACGAGCGAATGCGTTCAAAGAAGCGCATTCCACCCTCGCTTTTTCCGCATGAGAAGTAGGCTCCAACTAGAGCGGCATAGACCTGACCGTCTCGGCGTTCCACGATACTGAACACACCGTTATCGTCGGCCATTGCGAGTTCCCGGTATTCGTTGTAACATTCGACAGCGCTCTTCAAGTCGCCAATCTTAGCAAACGCGCGAATCATCGAGGGGAAAATGGCTGCATGAGGAACGAGTTTTTGCGTTTCCATGTGAGCATAGATCCGGATCATGTCTTCGACGCGGCCTTCTTCAGCACAAGTAATGATCAACGACTTGTAAACTTCCAAGGGAAAGACCATTTCGCTGTGTCGACTGGTTGCGGCATCGAAAAGCTTGAGGGCGATGGTGAGTGAGTGATCTTCTGAGACGAGTTCCTTCTCGATTTCGCTAGACCGGAACAGGAATTTACCGGGTTCCTCTAGACCGCCAAAACGAATGCGCTGCTTCTCAAGAGCGGCCCCTGAAGCGGAGATCTCGACGGCGCGTGAAACCAAAACTGCAATAAGCGTCTTGTATGTTTCCTGATTTGGGATGACACGGCGGCGTAGCATGTCGGAATATACGTCGAGTGCCTTGGGAACGGCATGATACGAATCGGAATGCAACTTGATAGCAGCTTGAAGCAAGGAGTTGTACGCTTCGACGGTAGGCGTAACGCCGTCTCTGAGGATCGCTTCGAAAGCAGCTGGGATATCGGCATACTTTTCCTCCACTGCCAACTGCACAACTCTGCCTGATGCAACGATGGATTTCGTCGCAGTTGCATCGATTGGCACCTCGTGGGCAGTCTCCGAGTCCACTGCATGTTCATCAGCAGCGGCGACAACCGTCGCTGCGTCATCCTCGGCTTCGGCATTTTCCTCCTGGATCTGGATTTCACGAGCAACGGCTTCTTCAACCTTGGCGCTGACATCGACGTTGACGGCAGCCTTTTTCAAGTCCCGCGGAGTTTTGTCCTCTGGTACGTTCTGACCCTTATCTGCGACTTCATCCTTTGGCTTCCATCCTATCCGCCTCTTGAACTGGAACTGTCTCCAATCGCTATCGTCACCTGTTTGCTGAGCATGTTGCCAGGCAGCATAGTACGCGGCTAGCCCCGAATCCCCCGAATTGGATGTGGCTTGGCCAGCCTTGGCACCGGAACCGGATGAACTGGATGCGTTCTGGAAGGTACTCTGGAGTTGGGATGTGCGGTGGAATTTGAGAGAGCTGGCGGTGGTGGCTAGCGGATTAAGGGTTGTCGATGACGAGGCGTATGTGGACTGCGATGCAGCAACTACCGACTGAGCGTAGCCATGCGTGAAGGCTTTGGCAAAGTTTTGTCGCGCGAGGTGAGTAAACGGCTTAAAAACCATTTATCTGGTGTGGTCCTCTTCAGGAGAAGAGGAGACTCTGATCAATCAGTACGAGAAGCTTCCTACAATGAAAATTGTCTGCACATACCTTCGGACCCAATTAAAATATCCCGTGCAGGTTCATTTGACGACCGATTGCCGTCAAAGGAACGCGCAAAATATTCCAGGTCGACACGATGAGAAATAAAAAGAAACGACGTGTAGTGTCACGCGAGACGTCTGTAGAAATTGAAACGTTGAAACTCAAGGGATTATGATGAGATGCGATGGTCCCTTTGTGTATTCCCTACTCCGGATGAAGAGTGGAGAGGTCGATTAATTGATGCAGATGATGAGATCAAAGAAAGGAAAAGGAGGGAGGACACGATAGTGATATACGGAGTAAGCAGTCACATCGATCGAGAGGAAAGAAAATAAGCGGATGCAGATGGATGCCTGGAAAGAGGGGCCGCAATCTCGGGGTCTGTGATTGGCCGACTGGACGGAGTTAAGAGTTGGCTGGAATTCTAGCCTTGCCCTAAGGACTTCGATGTGCTTCTACTATTTCTCCTACTACAAGCATAACTAGAGTAAGTATTCTAAGAGTATGGACTCGAAGCATGGATAGATCTGAACAAGATGAAGAAATTCGATCTGTCAGATGACCAGAGTTGGCGGGGATCGGAAGCACAGCTCCAATAACAGCGAGAACCAAGGAAGAAATAGGGAGCAAAGCAAGACATAGGGGCCAACAGCCGGACTGTGTCCTTGTCTCCGAGTGGCCGTTGCCGACAGCTGTCCCGAGTCTTTTTCTTGTGCCAGCTTTGACGTGACACATTAATTGAGGCATAAATTGGCGCTCATCGGGATTGTCAGAGTTTTTATTGTATGACGTCGTCGAGATGTCTGGGGATGTCTGGGATTATGTTAGCTAGCTGATATATGCAGCTCAATAATCTACATACCTCTAATTCATACAGAACACACTCAACAGAGTAAAAGAAGGGTTGTCCCGAACGGGCTAAATGGATCTCGGGGTTCATCTCGGCCAATCACAGGTCGCTCTCTCCCGCGATGCCCCTCGATAAGACCGAGGAGAGAGAAGAAACAACAAAACAAAACAAAACAAAACATCCAGATGAACAACAGCCCCCGATCTGACTGGTCATCGGCGTTACTGCATTGATAAAGACCGTTGCCAGCTATATAGTTTCAACACCATCACGCCCCATGATCCTCGATTGAATATCAACGCATTGCATTGATCGTCCCGCGAACGATGCCCGTCCATCCTTCCACAACCACCGCCGTGTCAGCACCAGGCAAGGTGCTCCTCACGGGAGGCTACCTGGTGCTCGACCGGCAATACACCGGCACGGTATTTGCGCTCGATGCTCGCATCCACGCTGTCGTGCAGCAGCTCCAGCGCGACCGAAACCGAAGCTCCAATCAGCTTACTGATAGCACCGAAACCCCGCAAAACACAGATGAAGCCGTTGACCCTCAACCCGAGAGCGTTGTTGTGCGCTCACCACAGTTCATAGACGCTGTTTGGGAGTACGGTGTAGAGAGGTGTGAGCAAGGTGGAGGGGTAAAAGTGACTCAAAAGAATGAGGGGTGAGTCGAATGAGTTTCTGTTTGGGGAGAACAGATCGCTGACGAGTAAGACCGAAAAACCCATTTGTCGAGACGTCCTTAAACTACGCTTTGACGTATATCAGCTACGTAGCCGACTCCAAGGATCTCGGCTCCCTCTCCGTTACAATACTGGCAGATAACGACTACTACTCTGACGCCAACCAACCAGGAAATAGCAGCCAACGAAACCGCGGCGCATTCCGTGATTTCGGTGTCAAACTGCAAGATGCTCATAAAACCGGACTGGGTTCCTCGGCTGCTCTTGTTACGGCATTAGTTTCGGCTCTGGTGGTCCATCGAACCATGCATCCGGAAGATTTGATTGTTGCAAGAGATAAACTACACAATCTAGCCCAGGCGGCGCATTGTGCTGCGCAGGGGAAAGTCGGGTCTGGATTTGATGTGGGTGCAGCTGTCTTTGGATCGTGTTCCTATCGGCGCTTTTCGCCTTCTATTTTGGAAGAGTTGGGTGATGTCGGCTCACCTGGGTTCGAAGAGAGGCTGTTTTCGACCGTGGAAGATTTAGATGCTAAACATCCATGGGACACTGAATTTATGGATGTTGGTATGAAACTGCCGCCCGGGTTGCAAATGGTTCTTTGCGACGTCGACTGCGGATCCCAGACCCCGTCAATGGTTAGAAAGGTTCTCGAATGGCGTAACCAGAATCAAGAGGAAGCAGATTCGCTTTGGGACAGTTTACAGGCAAACAACGAGAAACTCCGTCAAGAACTTCGCCGCAACGCTGGAAATCGGGCAGACCCAGAAACCGAGGCCGCGCTCGCTGACGAAGTCTCCAAACACGCAAGTATACTGATTCAACAATCACGAACCCTTTTGAAAACCATGACTGAAAAGTCCGGCGTCCCTATTGAGCCACGGGTCCAGACAGAACTTCTCGATGCTGTTTCAGCTGTCGATGGAGTGATTGGAGGCGTTGTACCTGGTGCTGGCGGATATGATGCGGTAGTTTTGCTGATTCGAGACGACATGGAAGTTATTCAACGACTAAATCAGTTATTTGAGTCTTATCAAAGCCAGGTCGAGGATGATTTTGGAGGGAAGATAGATCGGGTGAGGATGTTGGGTGTACGACATGGGTCGGAGGGCATTAGAGATGAGCAAGCTAATTTGGGGAATTATCTTGCATGGCTGTGATGACTTATGATAGATATGAATTATGCTTGGATGATATTCTGTTCGAGGATGATTGTGAAGATTCAGCTTCAGCCCTCGGTTACCTCGATAGACAGGAAATAATGAGGTATGGTAAGAGTCACGAATCATTAACATCACATATTTCAAGTGTATCAATATTGTGCTGTCTGGTCGCTTAGACAATTCGGCGCATCTAGACCTGTCCATATCTAAGCATTGGTCGACAAGATGTGTGAAGACATCATAGAAAATGAAGTTACCATACCGATACATTCCGCAGACTAACAATCTAATAAATTACACTCGGTCTTTTACTAGCGCATACACAACCGCCTCCCTAATCTCCCCCCGGACGGACGACCCGCCATCCTAAACAACCATCTTGGCATCTAACCAACTTCACTCTCCTCTCCAACGTCGATCTTTTCATCTGACTATCTTTGATTATACCTTTTTCGCAGCTAGCGAATTTTCTGGTTCATTGTGTTTTTGTCGATTGTCAATCGCTTCGTTTAACGGTTTCAGAGGATGGCGTCCAATGATGGGAACGTGGCTGCTTTGGAGGCCAAGGTCGATAAGAATAACCATGATAACGTCGAGACGAGTGTGGCTACGTCGAGTGCAGCAGCTGTTTTTGAGCCTAATACCAGTGAAAATGCTCCATCATCGTCAATAGACCCCGTCGCTGAGACGGCGACTGCTCAAAAGGATACTCAAGTGGACTCCGTCGCAGATACGGAGAACCAGGCAAAGGAAAAGAAAGATACAGAAATCGAGAATAATTCGTCTTCTTCCGCTACTACTGCTGCTCCTGCAGTTGAATCGACCGAAGAAATCCCCGCAGCCACCGTGATAGCCACCGCGTCCGCACCTACCCAACCACTCGCTTCTTCGTCCAAACCAGAAGTTCCCGAGACAGTCAAAACGACTGAAGAAGGCGAATCATCAGATCCGGCACAACCACCTAAAGAGACCACCGAAGCCGAAGAAACAGGACCAGAACTCGTCATTACTCTATTACTCACAACGGGGGCACGGCATCCATTCAGAATTGATAGGAAATATCTGAAACGACGGAGTGTTAAGGTCGAGAATGACGATCCATTTAATATGAGTGTGTATACATTGAAGGAGTTGATATGGAGGGAATGGCGGTCTGGTATATACACCCTAACACACACTGTCAGTATTCGGAGATTTTGACTAACGAGGATAGAATGGGAACCACAACCGTCGTCACCTAGTTCAATTCGACTTATATCCTTTGGGAAATTGTTGGATGATAAAGCTCCTCTTTCAGGTTTGTCTCCCCTTCCACCATCAGGACTATCGTCAATGCTGATAGGTTGTGTAGAATCAAGTCTGACCCACGACGCCCCCAATGTAATCCACATGACCGTCAAACCGCAAGAAGTCGTCGACGAAGAAGACGCCAAAGGTGGAAAATCATATTCTGCGCGCGATCGAGAAGCGACGGACCGCAGTCCTGGTTGTCGATGCATTATTCTGTGACTTCTGCTCTGCGTTTTAAATGAATTGCGGCTGGACTTCGACGAATACGCATCTTTTATATTTTCATATTCGCGATACCCTTTCTTTCTTTCTTTTCTTTTCCTTTTTCATATTTCCTGAACTTTATGGGGTTGTATCAGTTATATGCGACCCTCCTTCAATAATATTCTTCAGGAATAAGATATCATCATCCTCTTGTTTGCCATTCGTTCCTCTCTTTCCCTTTCTTTGCTGTCATATAGGTGTCCTGGTATTGAATTCGGTGTTAAGAGAAAATCCACTTCCATCCTTTCATTTCCTATGTTCTGTTTCATTTAGCATGCTTTATCCCTGTTGTTTCTCCCAATGTATGTAATTAATCGGTCGATATATGTATTTATTTCTGTGTGTTTGGGCATGTCCGATCTTCTGATTGAGGATTGCTGTCTTGCGTCTAATTAATGATTTGACTGTTGCGATGATACAGCTTGCTTCGAGACGGATAGATGTGATACTCTTCTTATCTAACTGTTTATCATTCTGAGAAGACTGATTGGAAACTCTCGAATAATGGACAACAATGTATTCATCTATCACCTAGCATCCATAACCCTATCTGACTAACCACCCTACCAATCCATCTTAAGCCTCTTCTCCATCTCATCATGAATACTAGGCGGTTCACGGAACTCATCACCTATATCAAAACAGTCAGCCCCATCCCCCCCATAACACCATATACAAAAGAAAGAAAAAAAATAACATACCATGAAAAACATCCTCCCACCCAATCTCTGTATCTCTCCCCCCCAAAACCAAAATATCCTCATGCAAATCACCGCCCATCCTGCGCGCCCCTCCCAAAGCCATAGGCACAAATTTACTATCCCTCACAATCTTGAGCTCCATACCACGACGGATCGGTTCTGCCATGCCGTATACTCGTCTCAATCCTTCCATTTTCATTGCATCTTGGGTTTCGCGCCAGGCTAGAAGGCGGGCTTCGAGGGGGTGAGTTGATGTTGGGGTTTGATTGTTGGAGATAGAGGAAGGTGAGCCTCGGGGGGGTTGCAGGGTGATGTTGTTGCGTAGAGTGTCGGGGAGACCTGGCGCGGAAGGGGCACCTTTGCTGGGATGGGGGAGGGAGGCGTAGTTTCGGCCTGTAGTGTTGGTGGTGTGGGAGGCGTGGGTTGTTGAGGGTGTGAAGCGGAGGGACTGTTAATAGTGAAGTAAGCATTGAGTCTGATAATGAGGATGCAGGTTATATTCAGTTGGGAGGTGGACATACCATTTTGACTGTTATTATGCTTGTCGGATGATGTAGTGATAAGTTGATTATAAGATTCGATGATGGTGATCAATCAAACTGGTAGAGAGGCAGATTGTTGCAGTTGACAGAGCTTATGTGGAGCTGTGAGTATAACCAGCGGCAACTTAACCCAGGCAGACGTTCCGCGCGTTGTCTAGTGACCGGCATCACGTGACGTATCCTCTAGAATAATTTCATCGCGGCCGCCGCTCTACAACATGGAACATCAAAATCTCACAATCAGCTCTCAACCATGGCGACAACTCTGTGCTCGCGGACTCTCATCCGCCATCGAACGATAATCCCCAAACCAACAATCAGAGTCCGACAACCCTACCAACGACAATTCGCCTCTTTCACCCGATCAAACAACTCCATCTCAACATCTCCATCTCTATACCGCTCCTCAATCCTCTCCAAACTCCCCACCACCCCCTTCACACCCACCCGAACCTTCACCTCAACCTATTTACGACAAGCAACATACAACCAAGTCCGCCGCGGCTGCCGCAAAGAACAACGCGCCCGCCGCGGCCGTTCCCCCGCCCTCGCAAACAGGCCCGAAATGAAGGGCGTATGCCTCAAAACCGGAATCACAAAGCCCAAAAAACCCAATTCCGGCGAACGGAAAACTGCTAGAATTCGATTGAGCTCGGGGAGAGTTGTGACGGCTTATATCCCTGGGGAAGGACATAATGTGCAACAGCATAGTGTTGTTATGGTTCGAGGCGGGAGAGCGCAGGATTGTCCGGGAGTAAAGTATCATCTTGTTAGGGGGGCGTTAGATTTGGTATGTTTTCCCTCTCCTTACTGTTTAAGGTGGGTAGGTGCTGACTTTGTAGGGTGGTGTTGCGAATCGATTGACGAGTCGGTCCAAGTATGGTACCAAGAAGCCAAAGGCTGATTAGGTGGATAAAGTTTTGTACTTGTATTATATTTGTTTCTTTACTTGTTGCGTATTAAGATCAATTGAATGGATGATATCCTGATCAACGGTCATAGCGAAGTACTTTGATAATAGCATATCCATATGATACGTGTATTCAACTAACAACCTAACAAAACTCCAGGGAATAAAATGATCAAATCCATACATCAGCCACTCTCCTTATTAGAAGTAAATGCCCCTCGAATACGCAAATCCACCAGTGAAAATATCCTACTAGAAGTAGTATGAGCCGAAAGTCGTTGTTTCCGTACACGGTTTCCGTAGTATGCTGCTAATATCACCATAACCACGATGACCAAATAGCCAATTGCTTTCAAAAGGTCGGCTAGTCAGTTGGTCTCCTTTTCGTAGCCTTCTGGTTTGGGGATGTCGTTTATGTGGAAGTAGCGTGATGTGCCTACTAAAAGTCAGTACTCTCTTTTCAAAGTTAAAGAAGGGAGACATACAAGAATAGCCCTTCCAGTCAAAGTTATCAGCAGGATTGCAGTGGCATTTCAAGTCCAGACGGGTTTGTTCACCGGTGGGACAGTGAGTAAAAGGAACGTGGTAATATGCGATTTCGTTGAAAAAGTGGATTTCTTCCTTGTTCAGTAAAAGGCCGGCTGCGATGGAATGCACTGGTGCATCTCCCCATCGCTCGTAGAAGAAGCCACCATCGTGGTCGAGAGAGGTGAAAAAGTCAATGTATGCGTCTGATCGCAGCCATTCCAAGCTACCAATTTCGAAATTGGACCACTACGACAATTAGTTTTATGCATTGATAGAAGAGTAGAAGGGGAACTTACGAAATGACACTTATTATAAGTCTCTCCACCATCATCACTCAAAAACCCCATCGAATTATCCTCCGCAATATGCTGAGGATTCGCTGCCATGAATTTCTTCGTACTATCCCACAGCGTCGGGATAGTCTCGTAATACTCATACAAACTCAGCACAAAGCTATACTTTTTCTTATTCTCCATCATATACCGAAACGGGTCAAACGAGATATCGCAAAAGAGCTGAATACTGGGTTCAACACGCCAGTAGTATTCGTAATTGAGCATGAGTTCATGCCGGAAAAAGAAACCCGATTCGTAACGGCACATGTGTCGATAACTCTCTGAATCACCGTAGATGATCTTGCGCTCTTTCATGTCTTCGCGGACTGCGCGGGCTTTGTCCTGGTCTATCCATTCCGGGTATGACCAGTGTTCCTTGGGGATCAGACCGTAATGAGTCTTTCCAGATGCCAAGACACTGGTAAGTTTTTTGAATTCCTCGTCGAATGGTTTGTCATTCAGAAACACCCAGTCGTAGTGGTAGTTGCGATTAAAGCGGTCTTCGACTTCGCGAATCGATTTTGCAATTTCCCATAGATCGTTGTTGCGTGCCAGCGTCACGAATGTAGCGTTGATCCGGTCGCCGGACGGGGTTAGCGGTGGAGGACCGGTGTTGGCGGGTGTTTGAGATGTAGGATCAATCGCGGCGGCTTCATTATTTGGTTTATCGTTGGTCTCGCTTTGTTGCGTCTCAGGGAGGAGACTAAATGCGTAGTCTGAGGGCAAGGGTAAGGATGATTTTGTGATGAAAGCTAGAATTGCCAGTCCCTGTCGCGGAGTCAGTATACGTTCAATGGATTATGCAGGTGACTCACGAAAACTGCAAACAGCACATAGCGAATATATTTGCCCGAATTTGAAGACATTATGAAGATAAAGGGATTAAGCAGTGGATATATGGCAATGGCAGTAGGGCAAGGGCTAGAATCCCCGGAACGACGATCATCAATGATTTGGTCAAATGCCGATTCCCTCTTCGCTGCGCAGCCAGTGATCAGCGAGGATGGCTATATTGAACGGAGTCGAAATAATAATTGAATAAACGAATGTAAGAATGGTAGAAGGAGGCAGGCTATGTGTTGGTGTTCGCCGGAAAGAACCTGAATGTCTTGCGGAGTTGCGGAGCGAGTGACTTGCCACACAGGTCAGGCCGAATCTAGAGTTGTACGGCACCACTCGAAAAAATAAAGCAGAAAACAAGAAAAGTTCATGAGATGAGTTGCACAAAAGGAGTGCGTACGTTGTTGTCGTAATGAATATATATCTGGCTGGGGGGCTAGACTGGTTAAGTACTAGGACTAGCTTCAAACCTGACGAATCTGCTGCTGTACGGAGAGTATGTGAAACGAAACATTTATTTACTCATCCAATCCACTCTTATTTCAGGGTTAATTCAAGGAACTCCACGAATCTGGATGCTGAATTGCTTCCGGCGTACATGTATTCCGTTTTCGTCGCTTGTATGCCAAAGTAATTTACATGCCGATAATCAAATAGCTGATTCAGAGTGGCATTCATAATAATTTCAAGATTTGTACGGAGTAACTGAGCAGAAAAAGTAGAATTAAAGGCGGAGTGGTGAGCGTCAGGTTAATTGTTTATGCCTGAAATACCAGGCACCCAGGCATCAGCACAGACCACGCAGCAAAATCTAAAGACATCATCGGCCAACTCCAACTGCGATAACTTACCCCTCCACCACGGCGCTGGCCCTTTGGTGCTCTTCTGGCACCCTTTCTGTTTCTACATTTCTGTCACAGAAAGGCATCATCCGCCATGTCTTTCTTCGGCTTCGACACCAACCTGCCGAGAGATCGCCAGGCTGGTCAGCAGTCTAGAGGCATATTCGAAAATCCAGATCCGTTTGCTGAAGTCGCTCGCGCTCAAGCCCAGGGCTTGACTATTGACGATGATGAGTGAGTCACGTTGCGAAAAAAAATTTGGATACGATTAATACTGAACCTGGTAGAATTGATTTCGAAGATACGTACGATGGCCTCGGCGACCAGCTTGACGACGACCAGGATGCGTTCAACGACGATACCTTTGGAGGTGGAGAAGGCGTTGGGAAGGACTTTGATTTCTTCGGTAGCACTGCCCAGATCTCTGATGTGATCAATGAGGAACAAGTTCGTTACAATCTGCAGCACTCCAAAAAGTCGGCGCCATTGGCCACCAAGGAAGCTCCTGTACCTGCTCCTACCTCTGGACAGGCGCCGTCAATCCCTCGCCTGCCGAAGAAGACTGGTTACGAAAGATATCAGGATCCTGGCTTCATTCCAGAGATTACAGCCAAGTCAAGTGTCTGGGGAACGACGACCCAAACTACAAAACCTGCCGAGCATGCACCGCAGCCAGCTGCGGCCGCACCTTCGCGCAAGATGATGAGTTTGGAGGAAGTTGAAGCTCAACTGCGACAACAACCCCAGCATTTCCCGCAACCCCAGCAGCCAATGCCGTACCATGAGTTGCCTCAGGCAATGCCGCGCGGCCCTCAAATGCCATTTTTGCCAGAGGCCGAGTTGATTGCTATTGAACAGCAGGCTTTAGCTATGGGAATTCCTCCAGCACAGCTTCTACAGCGATTACAGCAGATGCCACCTCCTGGTTTTATGCCGGGACCGCCGGGACCCCCTGCTCCATTACCAAGACAACCCCCAGTGCAGCCTCAGCCTCCGCCTCAGCCTCAACCCCAGCAGCAACCTCAACCGCCACGTCAGCCAGCTGCACCCGCTCAACGACTGCCTCAACAGCCGCCAACCGGTGCTCCTGGTCTCCCAGTCATTACCGATCCTCAGCAATTGATGAACCTCACAGAGGACCAGCGTGTTGCTTACTTGATGGAAGATGCCAAGCGTGCTAAACGTAACCACAAGATATTCATCCTTTCTCGCGGCAACGGGTTGATGACACCACAAGATAAGAACTTCATCACCCGAATCCAGCTCCAACAGCTTGTTGCCGCTACCGGAAATGTGGCAGAAGCAGATACAGAGTCTCTCCTGTCCGAAGACTTTTATTACCAAGTGTTTAGCCAGATCCGTGGTGCCCCGCGTCAACATCCTCGTCAACCGTTGGGCCATTTTGCTCAAACATACCTTTTCCAGACGGGAAACCGCAGTGGTGGTCATGGTCGACGACAGTATCAAAACGCGGATAATCATATGCAACGTATGCAACAGCAAGTGCAGCGTGCCGTTGAGGCAGCCAAGGCGAAACCTAAAAACCAACAACTCATTATTGAAGGTAGTTTGGGAAAAATCTCGTTCAGCAATGCCAAGGCTCCGAAAACTTCATTAAACATTAAGAGGCCCGAAGGAGCGGACTTGAAGCCGAAGCGAGCGACTGCGGACCTCAGTGCTAGTGATCGGAAATCAGTGCTGAGCAATATCGAAAATGTCTACACTATATTAATGAAAATGGAAGATCTAGAACGGACAATGCCACCACCACCGGATGAGAATGATCCGAACTCGGTTGAACATCATATGGAATGGAGGCAGAAGATGCAAACACTGAACTCGAAGCTGTGGCAAAGTATGAAGGTCCTCGAACCTATCGTCCCCGGCTCAACTGTGGCGCATCCCTTCATTGCTTTCCTGTCTTATCCCAAGGGCAAGAAGGCTATTCCTCGCCTTTTCCGTCAAATCGATCAGGAACAGCGGGTTACTGTTTTGACCATGATTGTCGTCAATCTAGACACTCTTGATGTCGTTCGTAAGGGTCTCCTTAATCCAGGCGAAACCCAACTCCCAGCGGCATCTCGTGAAGATATCGAATTATTTTCTCAGGCTGTAATGCCAAGTCTACTTGGTTATGTCAACGAGGCATCTTTTAACATCATCATTGGTCTCCTCGGCGTTCTACTCGCCCAGACACATGTTCAATTCGTTGCTCGAACACGGGTTGGACTAGGAATCATGACTATGCTGCTCAGCCGTGCAGCCATTATCAAAGAAGCCGGTCAAGCCGACGAACACGAATGGCAGCAGTGGATAGAAAAGTTCAATCAGTTGTTCGATGCTCTGGAGCCTGGTTTGGCTGACATATTCCCTGGATCTATCAACACCGGCGATGATATGTACGTCTGGCAATTCCTAGCAGCCATTGGTATTGGAGCTAGCCAAGAACAACAGCAGCGGCTAGTCATTGCTGTCAAGTAAGTATTCCTATATATACCTTCTGAAACACTCTCTAATGCTTGACTCAGGGATCGCGTTATGGAGACCGTTGCCCAGAGCAAGACTCTTCCACCTGACATGGCAAGCCAGCGTCTCAACAACGTCAACCTATTCATGCGCGCCATCGGGCTCGACGTTGAGCTACTCGGTTAGACTTTACTCTGATATACCTATACTTGACTTGAGAATTACTATCATACAATGTACTGATGGCATGGTGTTCGAGAGAGGCTCTATGCGCTGTGTTGTTTTTTCAACGCCCTGGCTTTACTTCTAGCTTTGAGGACCAAGACCATGGCGTTTGTGGTTCGTCTTCATCGTCGATTGTACAACACCAGAACAGTCCGAGTTCTAGCCCTGTTTATTTTTTCAAAGGGTCTTGTAGTCTATTTTTTCTAGGCTACATTATATGTTGTGATATCCAGCTTTGATGGCATCAGTGACTACTAGTTTATACACATTGCAGGCTGATTATGCTGCTTCTTGATCGAATACAAACGTTACCTACTCTTGTTCTCTTTTATCTAGGTATTTTACAAGTAAATCAGTAAGATTTGTATCCTTGACCTACCTAGATATTTGTCAAGATGTTGCTTTTGCGGTCAGTCGCTAGCAATGATCATAGGAAGCCTTAGACCGCCCAGCAACGGCACAAACACAAACATAAAACAACACCAAATACCCACTGGGTAGAGCAACGTATAAGCAAGCTGGTCTCTATTTATTCAATATTCTCTCTTTATTCTTGTTGCATACTCATCATGTCTCCTCCAGAGCATCCAGAACGCCGCAAACGTCGAGAGGCGCTTCATGCACTGAAAAATCATGTTTCGAGCCTGGACGACGCTCAACATGAATTCGATTCATATGAGGCACAGAAGCATAATTTGCAGATTCTTCCTATGGATTTAGACAGCAATTCACCTACATCTTTTACTCCAGCTCCTGTCTCTGTACTACTCAACCCTGATGCCGACGACTATTACGACTTTGACTAAAATGTCTGACAAAAGGATGAGGCCGTTCTCAAGACTTTTGCTCAGTGGTACTTTGGAGGTGAAGAGTTAGTTAGGGTTTTACCGGAATGGGGGGAACCATCAACAGAGCCCTCACCAATTTTGATCTCCAATAGAACTGCCTTTGAAATGGAAGAGAAAGGAATTCATTATTCACTGTGTTGACTGAAATTGGGATTCAGATTTCGTTTCCTCGTCTTTCAAAAGGAGTGATATCACGTTGTTGTCACATCAGATGAAATTGTGCTCCAGCAGGGCGGTGCTTGCTCAACATATAGGTATAAGTATAGGGTTCAACCCTTGGCTTGAATGCTGTGATGTAAAAGAGCCCTAAAGCAAAAAAGAAAACTCGTGTCTTGTATTGACAACTTTTTTTTCAAGGCTCTACATAACCCTCCTGGATAACGATAGCGGACCCTACCGTGTGCCTTACTGTGACAAACAGGCTGCCCGAGACCTTATATTGCTACATATATGAAGAAGACAAAGACCATCCATGCGTCTGTCGGAACGTGAATATCAAACCCTACACGTTTTGGCACCGGATATAGTTAGTCTGACGCGGCACGTGCGTGCCGCGTATATCTAGCTAGCTATCCCCGTCCCCCTCATTCTTGGGGACAAGTCACAATATTAGGAATCAAGATATCTTCATATTGTCAGGCTCATTAGGCCGCTTCGTGTTCGCGCCTTACTACCGTCTATGCTTCGTGATACGGACCGTAGTTAAACCAACAGCGTCTTTTCTAAAAAAAAATGATGGCCGGACTCGCTACATACCGGATACTCCGCAGCTGCCAGGCGACTGCTGTATAAAGATTGAAAGTAGCCACCCAAATTTTGCATTCTATGTTCCACGCTTGACATCAGGGAGAGTCTATTTCTCCCGGGATAATCAATTACCATTTAATTTCACATTCGACGATCAGAGAGTTCTGACATTGTATGGGCCGGATATCTTGGACGATCGGCTGCGTGGTACTCAGTTCCACTTCGTCGAATTCACCTGTACCGACGCAGACCATGGTTATGCATCTTTCTTCATGAACCTTACCCTATGTCGATTTTGTGAGCTTGCCGGACTAGCTAGTGATTACCAACCGAAGAACGCGCAGTACTCAGGTTGATCAAGGATTGCCCAATAATGGCTTGCAGCAGATATGGCAGAGCTTGAAGGATCAGGAAGACAAAGATCGCATGGAGTGGATTCGATATCTTGGTGTCTACTCTGACAACAGCAAGGACGTCAACAAGCTCACACGAATCATAAGTCCCAAGCAGGCAATTTGGAAATATGGTTCACAACTGCCTGATTTGTGGACTAAGTACTATGATGACTATATCCAAAAAGTCTGGACTTGCTATAGCGGCGATCGGCGGTCTATGATTGATAGTCAAGATCCTGACCGTAAAATGGGAATTGTTGCATGTGGGATTGATGCCGACGGTCTGCTGTGTGTCTCTGATAGTAATAACCAGGAAATCTGGAGGATAGGAGGGAAACCCACGACTGAGGATATTTTCAAGGACGACAGTGGTCCCTTTAAACGATACGATACTTGTCCAACGTGGAAAAATAACGTGTGTCATAACCTGGTAGCAGCATTCGTTCGATCACGTTCAACTGTGATTTTCAGCCAGCGACCTATGACAAGTACTATGGCAATGAAATCACCAATTACTGCCAAATTTTTTCATAGGTGGAATATGGATAATAAAAGGTATACTTTGATTCTGATGACTCGCATCCAACAGGTCAAGAGGACAAGGCTTCTGGCTCTTTATCAATTAACACGGAGACAGCAGACAAATTTTCCCTAGTATTGTTGTTGGTAGACCATAATGTCGATCAGGGATATCACGAACAGAAGCATCGAAAGTATCTGCCCAGGTGGTCAAGGAATCGGCTTATTAGGGAGGGTTTGGGTGATCTTGGCCTATTTGCCTTTGAACCTTTTGAATTGGTTGATAGAAAATTGATTATTCTGTATGTTCTTAACTGAATGCGTTGATTCTATCTTTAGCAAACTTGTGACATTTCTAATAGAGAATTGTCCTTTATAATAAATAATTCAAACCTCTTACTTTAATATGGGTTTCTTCCTGATCTGTAGTTGTTCAGGTTTGCTTTGGGATTGTCGCATTCTTCGATTAGCATGAAAGCGTTTATGAGCCATGAAGCAGTTTTCTTGAGACCATTCCACGTAACTGCACTGAGATGCATTCTCGAAATCAGCGTCCTGCTCGATCCGACTGGCACAAGGACCGAGTTTCAGGGGTCTGTTGGATGTGGAGGGTTCGAAGGGATTGAATGCTCTTCAGAGAGGTGCGCAGAGGTATATTGCTACTCTACTGTGAGTCGCTGGCTACCAAGGGATTGGTGGTGTTAATGGGCCTTTAAGATGGATGAGTTTCAGGCGCCTGATTTTAATGCGGTATATGGTAAGTGTATTTCCGTACTATCATAAGGAGTGTAGATTACTAATCTCACCATAAGAGAACGAAATACCTTCAACATATGGATCTCTCAGTTACATTCAAGGTAGCTCTACATGAGTTATTTGGACATGGAACGGGGAAGCTGCTCTCCGAATTGAGCCCTGACGAGTACAACTTTGATATCAAATGTCCACCGGTGAATCCCCTTACGGGCAAACCAATCGATACCCGGCGTAGGGGAGGATAACGGACAAGCTCCGTCTTTAATGATATGGATATGAGTATAGAAGAATGTCGTGCGGAGGCAGTTGTGGCATACCTTGCTTTTGATCAAGTGATATTATCGACAATGGGATATTCTGATACTCACCACCTTCACCTTTGGCATCTACTTCTCATCTACCCCTGAATAATCCCAGCAATGTATTAGCCTGCAAAAAAATCACGAGGAGCCTGATTCTCCACCCTATCAACAACCACGTCTCAAATGCCCAGCCAGAAATTGTCTACTGGCCATAAAATGCAGTTGCTGCAGTGCCGTCTGCAGTACAGGGGCCAGATATGCAGCTTCGTCATAAGACCGGCGATTGCAAGTCGTGCTGTACTCATCAAGCGTGTCCGGTCAATGCTTACACTGACTGGGGGTGTGGATTTGTGATCAAAGATAATTTTCATGAAATCGTCCGCAGCCATCAATGTACGTAGGGTTCCGAAGTGGGCGCGGTCATGGGGCAGAGGTTCATTTCTATGCAACCAACAGTGTTGTCAGTACATGCAATGTCATGCATGACCGACATTCTTTTGGTGAATTGAATACTACCTTACTTTCCTGTTCTGATACTACAGTTGAAAAAGTCATCCAGAGCTGGTGTGAAAGAGATGTCTGAACTGTATAAGCAGATGTACTACACCCCTTGCAATCTTTTTGATAGAGGGCAATTCTAATCCATCTCGATTTCCCAAAACGGTAGGATGACAGATTGGACGTTTTCCTATTACTTCGACCGCTTGGCGTATGCTTATTGGAGCTAACTGCTCGTATATTAGTTATTTTAATATTTCTGGCACAAAGAAATACTCTAAAGACCGAGTTGAACATATCTACTCATAACAAGAAGAAGCTGGATAGGCTTGGTGCGTTAGGGCAACATAGGCTCCTCAAGCAACTGGCCAATGTATAATATAACAAGACATTTCTCGGAGATATTCTCATTCATCTTTGTCACAGAAGAATTTCTTTCACTCCAGTGGTTATCAAAGCTATTCTTTGGCGCCCCAGATGTGTCATAACTGTCATAACCGGTTCTCTTTGCTGCACACCAGTGTATCAACAACGATGGGATATTTCCATTGGTAATTAGTGAACAAAACCATAGTCTCTGTGTCCTCTCAGTTGGCAGCCAAATGAAGGTTTCCTTTATAGGTAGAGTCCACCAGCCTATGGTCAGGCGTTGATGCCGGCAATCCCCTTCCTCAGCTCTATCATATTGCGACTGCTTCGATCTTTTTATTTTACGGCGCCCTTTGGTGGAACTTACCGTCAAAGAATGATCTGGCATTTGTCTACATATAATTTCTTGCTTGGGCACGGGGCGTTGGGTCTTAGTCATGGGCCTTCCTGCCCATAAATACTCCCTCCTTTCCCCCTAGAATTCTTCTTCTTCTTCTATCATTGGAGTGGAAAATGGTGAGACATGCATAGTATCGATGCTTCTACCAGCTCATCTTTGTCTCTATTATATTGAGATACTATCGATCTCTCATCGGACCTGCTGTCATATATATTATCGATCTCCTGAGCTATGGTCAGCATGATATGCTTTGTTAAGAACAAATACCGGGGTGGAGAGGTTTGTCATACCGTTATTCTTGCCATAATTATAACATTGACTAACCAGCATCTGATCTCTGTTTAGGACGAATTTCTCATCATACCATGTCCTTCCCCTGTGACAAGCTTGGAAACTGATATGACAAACTGTTCAGGGCCTAGGGCGTATGAACAGTTATACGACGCAACACCTTTGGGAGTCCGAAAGACGCTTCTCATGCTCATTATATTGAAATACTTTTATCAAGGAGATATGTTTCGACTCGCGAGAGAACAGTGATGATGGATCAATGAACCTCCTCCCAAACGACGTCGAGACATAAACTGTTCTTCACTGATTTGAAAAGTGTCATCACCAACAAGCCCTATAAACCCAGGAGCAAAGACGACCAGTTCCTACGTCCTATACATCCGGAGCGCTGCCACCCCCGAAGATGAAAGACAACAATCAACAATCCTGGCATGGCAGATTTGATTGGTTATGGTCATCGTACACTTTATCTGGCCTTCTGGAGTTCGGGGACAGAGTCCCCACTCATATTCTTTCTACGAAAAGAGGTTGATTATCCCTGACTGTTGGATGCGAGGGTGCAGTCGAGATCTGGATAGTTGACGTCACGTGATGTTATCACGTGACGAAGGCTACACAAGGAATCCCTTACCGCGTCGGTGTCAGATATCTCGAAGGAAAAGAGAACTTAGACTACTCAAATGAACCCATATTCCGTGTTAGGAAGCTTGTCGTACTAGTACTAGTGCAAATGCACCCACACCGACCCTATAAATTGCTATAACGACGAAAATCAGTTTTTACTCACTCCTCACGATTTGACCTGCTGATAGCCGCGGAACTCAAACAAAACCGTGGCGGCGGTCCAGACGATCTCTTTAGGAGAACAGAGGCTATCACATATGACGAGATAAACGCAGTCTGTAGCAGAATGTGCTATCGAATATCCCATCTAAATCAAAACAAGGACCTTCCCTGCGAATGCTCAAGAGATTATTTTCCCACCTCGAAGCTTTCTTGGGGTGCCATAGATACGAGCAATCAACTATGGTTACGGATGGAAAGAAAACTCAGGTCCATTCTTCCACGGAATATCTCGATTAAAATATGGCAGGCCAGCTGAAGGATTCTTTCTGTTGCATCCTGTGGCAATTGAGCAACTCCAGATGCAGATCCAAAGTCTACCCCAGCCCTATGACGATATTGACAGGGAGACCGCCTTTCTTATTCTCCTGCACGGAGCTCCTACGATGAGACAGATGCTCAGGGTTATAATTACCAAGGTCTGTCTCGTGGACGAACGCGCTGTCATGTGAACGGTGATCCAGGCCAGCAGTGGTATGTGGTTGCGGTTCTTAAGCTTCTGAATCTCAGCGTCGACCTTATCTACTCCAAAATCAACCCATGGTGAGCGGCATAAGAAGCTCAGGGCCTTCGACCAGCCAGGCCTAGAGAGTTCTGGTCCTTCAGTACATTATCAATTCAGAGGGCACCAACTTACAGGGTAGCAGGGGGACTGTCGGAGCGTCCATATTTTTGGGTTGTCACCCCACAATGCCCATGTCACCCAGGCCATTAGTCGTCTGGTCGCTTTAGCTAAAGGCAGATCGTCAAGGCCTATCACTACCATAATACCGGCGTATTCAACCATCAGCTATTCACCAAGATCATGGAAAAGCCCTATAAGACGACACTTACGAACTGTGACGGCTGGACATGGCTCTGCGTTCCCGTCTCAGTTCACAGATAGGGCTCTGTGTATACGGGAATCCCCAGGTGTTGAGTATCAGCACCGGAATACCGTATTAGTTATTCCGTTTCACCTACCTGGGGATATCTCCTTTACTTGCATATAATTATCCTTCTCCTCCCTTTTTGAGAACCAGTCATAATATTTGAATAACATCAATATTATCAGGTTCACGGGCTCTTTGGAATAGCCTTACTGCGTAATCCTGTGCTTCATGTTATCAGGACGTAGTTAAACCAACAGGCTCGGAGCCGTATAACCCTATCCGCGCCGTATGGGAAGCCATATCAACATCAGATGTCGGAGCTGGATAGGGAAAGGCGCCTCGCACAGAGATTTATATGAGAAGCGAGAGCTAGAGCTTTTGCTTCATTTCTTCCTTTCCCCCCCTTATCTCAATATTACCTGTCGACAGGCACCTCTGGTACGAGATAGCTAGCTAGGATAGCGTACTCAAATCAAGCAGATTGGCAACGCCACACGGACTGCAAAAACATCAATGCAGACATGGCTCGCCCCAAAGCCGCTTATAAGGCCAACACATTTATGGATTAGATCTCTGGTGATCTAGTGGAGGTATTCTTGTTACGGCCATGAAGACCTGAGAGGAGTGTGAGGAAATTGATCTGGATGCAGAACCATTGTTTCCACTCAGGTACCTGACATCGTTGCTCGATTCGAAAAGGAGAGAACCACGCTGGAAACGGGCGGGAAACCAGGCGCGACGAGGAGCTCAGATTCCACACCATACTTACAATACAGCCTTCACTGCGGAAGGGAAGCTCTCTGGGCCGGTAAAGTAATTGACCACAGCTCCGGTAGTCCGTCAGATCGTTCTACGGGAAGGTTATAAACGGCCTATGCTGGACATGATCGCAAATCGGGAAGCGATTCAGGCCCAGGCTGTTGGTGCAGAGCAATCCCCTGCTTGTTATCACTGTAGTAAAGGCGAAGGAGCCTGTACAACTTGGGTTATCTTTGTAATTGATAACAAACGTTTGCTGAAAGGCAGCTGCGCGGGCTGCTATATGAATAGCACTTGGGACCGCTGCTCATTCCGTCGTAAATATTCATGACGGTCCTGATACAGTTAGAAAGAGCATACTGACGATGGATTACAGCCGAAAAATCTCGCTTCAAGCGCGCTCGGTCGGTTACGGTACGTGAAGCAGCCAGATCACTACAGTCCAGCGACAAGCAATGAGCTTTCTATCCACCCCTGTTAACTCATAAGGTCTTGGTTCCGAAGAGGCTTTGCCGACAGATCCGCGCCCTTAAACGTACTTCAAGGGCGCCATTAAGTCTGGCAGTTCGCCGATCTGTCAAGGAAAATACCAGAAGGTTTGTCGACTGGGCTTATCTAGACGATCAGCTCGAGAGCCACCGCCACGATGAATGATGAGTTTCTCGGTACTGCGGACATTCAGGAGGTGGAGCAAATGAAACACCTACAGTCGTATGTACTACGACCCCAACTGCCGAAATCTCTTTTGAGGACTCTAAGGACGAGGTTCAAGACACATATATCTTTGGTCCATTCGACCTAGGGGGATATACGCCCTGGAGCTTCAAAGAGGCTTGAAGCTCATGAGGGTAGGAAAAGGAGTTTCAACATTTCTCTTTTAAAAATTTGAGGTCGATCTTCTTGTCTAGATTCTTCGGACATGTCTTGCACTAAGAATGGTAGACACGAAAGAAAAATACCTGCAATTCCAGATATCGCAAGTATATGGAGTGACATTCGAAGAAGAAACCCGTTACGGGCCATGCATTCAAAGTCCCTGCTGCCGACGATGTGGTCGGTGAAGTATGAGAGTCGTATGATTCAGATACAAAGCTCAGTGAACGAGCCATGTGTCGTTTTGTATCGTGGACATAGGGTTTTATAAGGTCGCACTCATGGGTTAATTCTCGAGAAAATGCCATATAAGGTACTACTAGTTGTGACGGTTGTGGCTCACCGGTGCAGCTAAGCAGTGGCTGACGGCCCTGACCAAGCGGTAGGGCTTTCCCGTCACGTAGCCCTAAGGGACAAAGCTTTCCTTTGTATGAGCTACACGGCGGTGCTGGATTTGGATATCAGCACAGCAGGCGATGCCCACGACATCCTCATGACATACAAATTTGTATTAGATAGTGATAGCCGGGGTATAGGAAGTAGGAGTCACGTGGGAGACCCTATATATATAGTGGCTCTGAGCCCACGACTTGACTCCCAGTTTTCTCCCTCTCCCCATACACAATATTCTCGTCGATAGGCTACCCTATATCAATAGATGATTAGGATTGAGCAAGCGTCACACTAGTCTCCGGACGTGACTTTTACATACAGCTCATTTGAACGCGATGAACTTGAAGGGCATAATGGCTTGAAGATGTCGCTTCCATTAGAGTTGGACAATACTGGCAACCTTCAGGTCTCCGAACCGATCCCGCTAGCTTAGGAGTTTGGTGATTTATGTGGTTTTTGTCCACCTGAGAGTGGATGAGGATGTGCGATGCTTGCGCTGTGGTGCTTTAAGGGCTAAGGAGTGATCTGAGTCATGTAATTGAACATTCAATCTGAGAACTACCTACAATGTAGCATAGAAATGGACAAGGGAGTGTGAGACATGGAGGCGACGGCTGTTAGTATTTTGAGACAGTCAGACAGGGTTAGGGTTAGTAAACAAGTGAAACATGCTAGAAAGACATATGATGCACCGGCTAACACCACAGCCTAGATCTGCGTCTGCAAGCAAATCCCAAAATATTCCGATCATCAGACGATTCATTCGGTGTTGTCCAATCAGTAGAGCGTGATGTTTCACCGATATTTTTGTTAGTTTTCATTTATCCAAGCTAATTACCCCTGGGCCCTCCGCCCCGCGCGGCTCGCCATGTTCTCTGCCCCGCCGCTATTCTTCTTCTCTCTGTATATCTGTTCGATTTGGAACTCAACCTGCAATTATTCTTCTTTTTCTTGCGAGAGAATATCAATTGGTTAATCGCGTGTGTTAAAATTCTATCACATTCAGCACAATGTCTCTGGGTTCTGTTCTCGTTACTGGGTAAGATCTCTTTCTGCTTATCTCGCGTATACTTCTTAACAGCTTGTCGAACAGAGGAACGGGCTACATCGGGTCCTTCACGGCCCTTGCCCTTCTCGAGGCTGGCTACAAGGTCGTCATTACTGATAACTTGTACAACTCGTCTGCCGAAGTCGTCAATCGCATTGAACTGATCTGCGGCAAGAAGCCCGAGTTCGTGCAAGCTGATATCACCGACCCGACAGCTTTCGACAAGGTGTTTACTGCATACCCAGATATTGACAGCGTCATTCACTTTGCCGCTCTCAAGGTATTCTCCTCTGCAATTGCCTATTATCTTCATATCATCTGACTGGAACAGGCCGTCGGTGAATCAGGCGAAAAGCCCCTCGATTACTACCTCGTCAACGTCTACGGCACAATCAACCTCCTCCGCTCCATGCAAAAACACAATGTCACCAACATTGTCTTTTCTAGTTCTGCCACCGTCTACGGCGATGCCACTCGTTTCCCCAATATGATCCCCATCCCTGAAGAATGCCCACTGGGTCCCACAAACCCTTACGGAAACACCAAGTTTGCTGTCGAGACTGCCATTACGGACTTTATCAATGCTCAGCGAAACAATCTCACCAAGGCCGGTAAGCCCGAGGAGGCTGAGAAGTGGAATGCCGCTTTGTTGCGTTATTTCAATCCCGCTGGCGCTCATCCAAGCGGTATCATGGGTGAAGATCCTCAGGGTGTTCCTTATAACTTGCTCCCCCTTTTGGCGCAGGTTGCTACTGGAAAGCGCGAGAAGCTTCTCGTCTTTGGCGATGGTTCGTCCTCCACCACGCTTCTGGTTGAAAGATTAGACTAACTGTATAGACTACGCCTCTCGCGACGGCACCGCTATCCGCGATTACATCCACATCCTCGACCTCTCCAACGGCCACTTACTCGCCCTCAACTACCTCCGCTCCAACCACCCCGGCGTCCGCGCCTGGAACCTGGGTACCGGCCGCGGCAGCACCGTCTACGAAATGATCAAGGCCTTCTCCCACGCCGTTGGCCGCGACCTACCTTACGAAGTTGCGCCTCGTCGTGCCGGTGATGTCCTCGATTTGACCTCGAACCCTACCCGCGCCAACAAGGAGCTTGGCTGGAAGACTGAGCGTACACTTGAGCAGGCTTGCGAGGATTTGTGGCGTTGGACTAAGAATAATCCTCAGGGTTATCGTCAGCAGCCACCTGCTGAGTTGCTTGAGGCTTTGAAGAAGAAATGATTCTGTTGAAAAGATGATATACAAATGAGATTAGCGATGGTTATCTCAATGTTTTTCTTTTGTCAATGATTTAGATATATCAAATGCTACTTTACGAGTATAGATTGAATTGCTCTTTCCTGAAGCAGACATTTATGAAACAGTAACACCATCAAATGCTGAATGCTAAATAATATATATAGAGAATATGACACATATCCCTCATTTCCGGCTTTTTTTCGTTCCAGCCGCACGGGCTTTATTGTTACCACTATTCGTAGCAGTCGACGTCGCCGTCGAACCGCCTTTCTTCTCTTCCTCCTCCTTCGCCTTCTCCAACGCCCTCCTCTTCGCAGACTCCTTCTCCTTAACCTGAATCTGCTCCTCACTAAACTCCCACAGCTGTTTCGCAACCTCCTCATCATCCACTTCTTTCCTCAGAGTCTCCATCTCTCGACACTCCTTTATATACCACCCGCCATTACTACCATTCTCTCCACCGCGTCCGTATCGAGCTTCCATAGCAGCATAAAGAAAACTCTGAGCGCCTTGTTCGGGCGCTTTGAGTATTAGCCACCATACAGGCCAGGTAAGGAGATAGAGTAATAAACCCCATAGACTTCCGCCTGTGATCCAGCGACGTGTGCCCGGTGTGCGAGTATATCCCGGATCAACGATGAGGACTCGCGCGTTCATGGGTCGATCGTCGGGACGTTTGTAGGATGAAAGATGTTTCTGGAATGATTTTGCGAATATCATTAGAGCGAGTTTGGTTATGCCGTACATACTTGCTGCGTTTTGTTTTTGTTTTGGTTTCTTCTTCGCTCCTGCTTTCGATTTTGCGTGTGTCGTTGTCGTACTTTTAGTATTAGTTGTGGTGATAACACCCTCAGACCTCTTCAGATCAATCGTAGCGCCAATATAACTCGAACACGAAGCAAATATAATCCTCACATCCCTATCCGGCGGCTGCGCTCTGATAGCCGGACTCAGGATACTCAATAAATGAAAATTAGCCAAATAATTAACCTGCCACTCCTCATCCAACCCATCGCCCGTTAATTTCGGTGCTCCGAACCGACTCGGTTTTAGAGTGTTGGCGCATAGAATAATCATATCCAATCTTCGCGGCGGAGCGTTGTCGACCCATTTCGTTGCGAATTTGCGGACGGAGTGAAGAGATCGCAAATCTACTTGTTCGGCGTAGATGAGTTGGTTGTTTGTGGTTTGGCGGAGGTCTTCGATGTAGTCTACTAGAAACAGATCGGACGGTGCGTGTTGGGTGAGGAGGATGATTTGGGCGCCGCGTGAGGCGAGGTCGTGTACGATTGAGGAGCCGATGCCTGATGTGCCGCCCTATTTCTGTCAGTATCCATTGAGGGAAGATGCCGGAGAGGAGATGTACTGTAATCATCACGACTTTTGAATGCATCAATCGCTCGGAGGTGTTGCGGGCTCCGCCAAAGTAGTACTTTAGCAAGGCCACCACGGCCACCACGGCGGCCCATTTGATGGCTGTGTATGCATGGGGAATGGCAGAGAGTCCCTCTGTTATTCCGTGGGATATTAATGGGATAGGCATGGTGGTGGATGCCAGGTGAGGTCTGGCGTGTGCATGTTTGGTTGATGTTGTCTGCCTGGAATTTATCACAAGCCGAGCCGGCCAGCAACCCTAACATCCGGGCTAGCGGCGAACATCCAGCATACCTAGTTTATGCAGAAGGAAAGTACCTTGAATCATGAGATCTATGAGTATCGTATATTACATCTATAATACATAATTATCACAATCGAAATATTTTACATCAATTATAGGCCGTCGCAGTCTTATCGTTCGACTGCTCGTCAAGCGTACCCTGTACTCCGGCATGAACATGTTCTGTCGACGAAGCATCTTCTTCCATAGGAACATCAAAAGAATCTTCCTCACCTCCGACAGACTGCTCGCCGCTCACCTCAGACATAGCCAGCAATTGCTCCTCATGCATATTCTGTTTCGATAAAAGAATCTGTCGACGCCGTGAAGCATCCTTGCGTAGTTTAGCATTAGCCGAGAACTCCGTCAAGGCTCGCATCATGCGCTCTTCCACCATTCCCTTGACATGCGTGGCAAGAGTTCGGTCTGTGAATATGCCTCCCATGCGGTAGCTGAGCCACAGATACAGAATGAGCGACTTGTGCAGGCTTTCGAGTTCGTTGAGATAATCCCTGCTACCGGAGACAGGTGCTTCGAGAATCTCCAAATTCAATTCTGGAATGTCGAGTAAACGACCACTGGTATTACGGGCGACGCATTGGATGAATCCTTTAGCGGAAGCGAGCAATGCCGGGTCACGTTTACCAAGTGGCGATGCCATAAACACAAGTTGGTCCTCGATACTCATTCGGTCGCAACGGTCAAGGATCTCTGCAGCCTCCAACTGACTGCGGGCTTTGCACATGAAAAAGAGCGGATGAACTCTACTTACTGAGCAAACCCGATTGACCAAAAACTTGAAGGAAACGTCAGGCGGGAAATAGCTGGCAACGCGGTAGAACATTGCATCGGTAGGTATAACCCCTGCCGCCGTCAAAGGAGGAGGATCAAATTCCAAGGCTTGCTTGATAAAAGGTAAATCAACATCCTCAAGCGACGTTACTAATCCCACATTTTCCTCTTCCGAGTCTCTTGGATCTGTCTCGTTTGCAGCACGATACCGACCTGCACGTCCACCGATTTGTTTTATTTCAGGAATGCTAATCCTTGAGAGACCGTTCTTGCCGCCTTTTACTAAGGTCTGGAAGATGATTCGTTTGCATTTCCTGCAAAATTAGCTCTTGAATCGCATACACCTGGGATAATTAACTTACAGATTGAGACCCATACCAATGGCATCACTCGCCACCAGGAAGTCGTAATTATTATGGGGATCGTTGAACAAATTTGCCTGTTGCGTTCGAATCTCTGCCGGAAGGCCACCGTACACAATAGCAGCTCGTTTCCCTGTCGATTTCTCGATTTCATTCTTCAAAGCATGGATGTTTATCCTGGAGAAAGTAACAATGCAATCTCCCTTTCGGAGCTTACGGAGGTCACCATTGAGACTTTTCTCTTCGGCCTGCAATGGATTGAGTCTCTGGTACCGATGGATCTCTAAATTATCACCCATCAACGTTGTCAATTCTTTGATCAACGGCACTGCCCGCTCTTCACCACAAACATGTAACTCTTTTGCCCTTGCTCCCAGGAAAGCTCTCGTCCAAGCCCAGCCGCGATCCGGATCGGCAATCATTTGTATCTCGTCAATTACTCCCACATCGTAGTCTTTGTAAATGCTGACCATTTCGACGGTATTACTGATAATACGTGGTGTAGCGTCTGAAATACGGACTTCGTCGCCCGTGACTAAACTGCATGGTACTCCCTGAGTACTGAAACGAGTGTAGACTTCCTGCGCAAGTAATCTCAGCGGACCCGCATAGAAGCCAAGCTTCGCTTGTTCAAGTCTCTTCAGGGCTCTGTACGTCTTTCCGGAGTTGGTAGGACCGACGTGTAGATGGATCGTCCGTTGTTTCGAGCGTGTAAATGGATACCATTCAGCCGGATACCGAAGGTCGGTCGCCCTGGCCTGCTCTTCAGCGTGCGGATTGCCATACTTTTCCGCGAAATACATGTCATTTTTCATGGACTTCAATTCTTGCCTTATAGCTTTCAGACCACCTCTTCTGTATGCATCGAAAAGTTGTAGCCTTAAATCCACCAAACTGCCTGAGTGCGGCTTCGGCTTTTCCAATCCTTGTCGTCGTAACCGGGAAGCCTGAGTGATTCGACGGTAGAACGAGTCCCATTTCTCGAGCAACGGGTCTGAGGGAGAGAGGTCGTTTTTGAAATGTCTTAATGCTGTTTCGACCGCCGCGTCAAATTTGGCATCTACTGCCATTCGAAATCCACCGGAGAAGCCGCCGCTGGGTTTTTGAGACGTAGGCTTTAATTTGGGTCTTTCTAGTAGTGGAGTCGATGTGAATGGTCTCGTAAATGTGACGGCCGATGCATATCTAGAGCGGAATGAGCAGAATAGGCATTCGCCTGCTCGCAGTGTCCATGGCTGCTTCATGGTCGATCCATCAGTAAGTGCAAAGCAGCAAGACCTCAAAGTAGTAGAACAGGGATGAGACAGAGTAGTCTTAAAGTGTGCACTGTATTCGAGTGGATGATATTGTGAGCGCAACGATAGCAAGCTCAAATTCTTTCAAGATCAAAAAGTAAGAGCTAGGCCCGGAGCTGAGTTTATCCTGACGCTTGCCGCAGCCACTATGACAGGCGGGGCCAATCGCTGTGGGGTCTCTCACACTTCGAGTATCAACTACACTTCTCCGTGTCTTCACTTTGTACTCCTCCATGAAAGGTTGTGCAATTTGTTTCTACACTGAACTCACTACCAGCTGCAGAGAGCTGACTGCAGAAAAGTCCGCCTGTTGAGCGAGCCGGCTATTGGCCAGTTCTGTTCTATTATATACACTTGCCAACATGGCATCCTTGATTCACATTCAACGCGATAGTATGCAGCCTGACCTCACTTTGCTGTTTCAGCAGCTAATCACGTATTTATAATAGTCATATTGGGTGCGATCCGCCATGCTGCAGGAAACGATGTACGTCTTGGTTTCCCCGTTGTCTCGGCTTGCAGCTGATCTCCTCTCGCGCAGTGGAAAGTCCTCGTCGTGGACGAGAAATCGAAGAAGCTTCTTGATAATACAGTGAAGGAAGACGATATTCTGAATCAAAATGTCACAAGTGAGTAGTCTTGATCTGACTACTACGAATTACCGCTGAGTCATCGTCATGAAGATATTGAGCAGATTGAACACCGCCGGCCGCCCAACAAGGATATGGATGCGCTATATTTATTGTCCCCTCAACCGCATATCATCGATTGTCTTATGGCAGACCTAGAACGACTGCGTTATCGGAAGTACTTTGTGGTTTGGACAGCGAGTTGGTGCCCAGGAGAAGCAGATCGGATGATGCGGGATGCTGAAGCTAACTTGCATATAGTTTTGGATTCCCAACAACGCGCCAGGATGGACCGATCTCAAATGGTTCGCGATATGATTGTTTCTATGCATACCCTGAACGTCGATTTTTACCCCCGCGAATCGAGAGTCGCTATTTTCCGGGATCCGTACAGCTTTCCTATCCTCTTTCATCCTGCCTGCAACAACCTGGTACGAGAGCATTTGGGGGACCTAGCTCGAAAGGTGCGTAACCCTGTTGAACCTGGTCAAAGTTCTTGGTTGCTCAGTGGTTGCTCACAATGAACAGATAGTATCCATCTGTGTGGTTTTAGGCGAATATCCTGTTATCCGGTACTACCGACCCCAAACGCCTACTCACGAGGCCAGCGTTTTGTGCTCGCATCTAGCACGTTTCGTTCAGGACGAGATCGATAGCTATGCAAGCTCCAATCGAAATTTTCCACCGCAAAGCCCTAGGCCGCGAGGTGTGCTTTTAATAGTCGACCGGTCCATGGATCTGTTCTCTCCGTTGCTCCATGAATTCACATATCAAGCCATGGCACATGATTTATTACCAATTAAAGAAGGTGACAAGGTTACCTACAAAACAGTGATCAACGAAGGCAGCTCGAAAGAGGAGGTAACAGACATGGAGATTGGCGACCACGATCGTGTATGGATGGATTATAGACATCTTCATATGAAAGATGTGCTGGAGAAATTGGCTGAAGACTTTGCTAGATTTCGAGCGGCAAATCCACAGTTTGCAGAAGAGTGAGTCCAATCAAATGAAATGGGTAGGCAGTCTGCTGACGCATATACAGGAATGATAAAGTCACGGTCAATACTATCAAAGACATGCTAGCAGGTCTCTCTGACTTTCAAGAAGGGAAAAACGCATACACACTTCACTTGAATATGGCGCAAGAATGCATGAACTTTTTCCAAGAGCGTAACTTACTGGAGCTCAGCTCAGTCGAACAGGTTTGTCTTTCCCGAATAAAAGTGATGTCTACTTTGCTAACAGAAGGATAGAGCTTAGCTACCGGTGTGGATGAAGATTATAAGAAACCCAAGAACCTTGCTATCCAACTCGTTCGCCTTCTCGATGAACAATCAGTGGTCCCGCCTGACCGTCTGCGGCTGATTTTGATGTATCTGCTCTACCGAGATGGCTTGCTCAAAGGTGACATTCGGAAGTTGCTAGCTCATGCGAAACTCCCACCTCAAGACGGTGAAATTATCTATAATATGGACCTTTTAGGGGCCAGAGTCGAAAGGCCTTTGAAAGATACGAAACTCCCACCTCAGCCACTATTTCCGCTTAAGCAACTTGCAGCCACTGAAGAACAAGACATTAGCCTGTCGAGATTTGAACCAAATGTGAAGCGGATGCTTGAAGAACAAATAAAGGGCACTTTGGATTCTACGATATTCCCCTACACTCGCCCTCAAACAGACGCCGACAACAGCGCGCGCGATCAAATCTCTCAGTCGTCTTTGAGAAGCGCGAAGCCTACTTGGGCTCGAGCCAGAGGTTCTGGGGATCTGCCGCGCCAACGGATTCTAGTCTTCATGGCTGGCGGAGCGACATATTCCGAAGCGCGAGCATGTTATGAAGTGTCCCAGAATTCGAATAAGGATGTTTTCCTAGCCACCTCTCATATGCTGAATCCAGGATTATTTCTTCGTCAAATTGGTGACCTCAGCGTGGACAAAAGACGACTTGATATTCCAGCGGAGCGGCCCAAGCCAACCGCGCCCGCGCATCTTTTCGAAAAGGAACCACCCCCAGTACCAAAACAACCGTTACCACCTGCTAAACAACCTTCAGCTGCTGCTCACGCAGCCGCTACCACAGCCTTTGCAAATATGAATCTCAACGGACAGGCGCCACCGTCAAATGGTGGCCCTACTCCCCAACCCCCGACAGGGAAGATCAAGAAGGAGAAAAAGAAGCATCGCTTTTTCTGATGAGGATGCATGCATCTCGGTATCCAAGTTTGTTACATTATGTTTGGCTCCACTTGAACATTGCGTGCCTGGTCCCTTTAAGTTATTTTGCTCGGTGGTTGGTGGTTGTTCCTCTGGTCTACTTTTCTGATACCATTTCTCTGATGCGATTTAAGACTATCCAGCAATTCTGTGTTATAAACGAGCATATAACCGGCGTAGAAAACGGTGTTTCTTTGATTTCTATGAGAATCGTAATTGTCATAAAGATGCACATCATGAACCATAAGTAAGATTCTATAGGAAACCTGAAGACTGTTCTATATATATGTTTGTTGGTCAATTCATCCACCACCCAAATATCGCTGAATATCATCACTAGCATAAAACAACTCCCGTAACTTCTCCCCTTTCTTCTTATCCACCAACTGGCCCTGGCGAACCTGTTTTGCATTAAGTCTCTGCCGCTGTTCCTGTTGCTGTTTTCGTAAATTATTCCTTGTTGCGATAGCGTTTTCGTCTTCGGCCGTGAGCCCCAAGCCGGAAGTGTTTGCTTTCGCTTTGGGTTTGATAGGTTGGAGGATACCGGTTCGACCTTCTACGCCTAGTCCGGTACGACTATCGGGATCCCAGCCGTAGGATGTGAGATATCGGAGGCCGTGGCGGGTACGGTCGAGATGGGATGGTGGATGGGAGTGTTGAAGACAGATTTGGTGGACCATTGAAGCTTCGTGGGGTTTTATGCTTGTCGCCTCAACTGCATCGGAGTCATTATTGTTCTCTGTCGTTTGTGTAACTGGCAGATTGCATATTTCGCACATATACCCCTTAGCGATTGTGAGAGTGTCTTGCTGTGTTTCAGTTGTTTGTTGACTGTTGATCGTAGTCTTCGATGTCGTCGCAATGGGCGCAGTGGGAACATCGTCCTCCGACTCTGCTACAGGAGTCTTTTCCTGTATATTCTCATTATTTGTATCCTTTTTGTGCTTCTTAGACAGCACAATTGCCGAATATATGTCTGCAACACTGCGTGCTGATTTATTATTCAAAGGAGCAGTCGTTGTTGTCGCATGGAGATCGTCAGATGCTCGAACGAAAGGGACACGCTTTCTTTTTATTCCCGCTCCGAATATGCGTTGGTCTTCAAGCGGTACAAAGTAGTCCTCATCATCGTAATTTGGCTGCGCCATCGTTATTCCTCGCCATAAGTAATATGAATGAAAAGTGAAGGTAGTTGAAGGTTCGCGATGGTAATGCGGCTTATCTTATCGCTGTGGCGCAGGAAGCTCAGATTGCCGCCAATGATTTTTCCGCCACGCCTTCCACGGACTTGGCTTGTCAGAACTGTCAGAACAGCAAACACGTTCTTTTAAGGTCTTCACATTTACGACCTCATCCCACCATTCCGGTGGATGTGCGATCAACCATTCAACCAGACAAAATGGATGATCTCGAATCCTTGGAACTATTCTCGCTGGTCTCGCGAGTGACCACCGAACTCCAGAACCATCTCGGAATCAATGACAAAACACTAGCCGAATTCATTATCGACCAGCACCTCAAATGCAAGTCGTTTGCGGATTTTAAGAATGAACTCGACGCACTCGGGGCGGAGTTTCCGCCTAGTTTGATTGAGAGTATTGATCGGCTGGTTGTGACGATGCATCCCAAGTACAAGTCGAAGAAAGGAATGGATTCGGGCAACCGTGAAGTTGACAATGATATGGAGGCGTTAAATGCTATGGAGAAAAAAGCGCGGATTTTCAAGGGATTGGCGATTCCGGATAAAGTTCAGACTTGGGATGACGAGGAGCCGACGACTGCTGCAAAAAATGGCACTGTTACGGAGAACGATGCGCGCGCAGGTGCTATGGATGATACGTTTGCGATGTTGGAAGGTCTTGCTGGGAAGTCGAGGGAAGACCGTCATGAGTCGTCGCAAGCTACTAAGCCAAGCAGGAAACGCAGCAGAAGTCCGGATTACGGAGATTACGATTCTACCACGTATCGACGAAATAGAGATAGACGTAAGTCGACCTCTCGATCACGCAGCCCTGAACCGCGCGAGAGACACAGAAAAGATACGGATGATAGGGAGCGATATGACAGAAAGGAGAGACGGAACGGATACAAAAACGGATATGAACGCCGATCGAGGCGAGATCAAGATGATGACTATTTCCGTCGACCCCCAACCCCTGAAATAGACGATCAACCTGTTCTTCATAAGATTTATGATGGTCGCGTCACAGGCATCAAAGACTTTGGAGCATTCGTGAATCTACAAGGTGTCAGAGGAAAAGTGGATGGACTCGTGCATGTTTCGGCAATGCAAGAAGGTGCCCGTGTCAACCATCCTTCTGACCTTGTGTCCAGGGGTCAACCAGTTAAGGTCAAGGTTATTAGCATACAGGGTACGAGGATTGGACTTTCAATGAAAGAAGTCGACCAGGTTACCGGACGGGACCTGATTCCTGAAAAGCGGCTTGCTTCAGGGGCCAATATGGAGAGATTGTCTGGCTCTGATGGCAAGGATCGCTATGGAAACCTCAGTTCTGACGTCCCAGTCATCGAAGGAGATTACGACAGAAAACAGTTTAGGAACAAGAAGAGACTGACCTCTCCGGAACGATGGGAGATCAAGCAGCTCATTGCCTCGGGAGCTGTATCGGCAGCAGACTACCCCGATATTGACGAGGAATATCACGCTACTTTGGCCGGTGAAGGCGAGTTTGAGGAGGAAGAAGATATCGATATCGAGGTTCGTGACGAGGAACCGCCTTTCCTTGCTGGTCAGACGAAACAGTCATTGGAACTCTCACCCATTAGGGTTGTTAAGGCACCCGATGGATCCTTGAATCGCGCAGCCATGGCCGGTACAAACCTGGCCAAAGAACGTCGAGAACTACGACAACAAGAAGCAGCTGAAAAAGCAGCAGAGCAAGCAGCTGATATCGATCTCAATGCACAATGGGAGGATCCTATGGCTGATCCAGAACAAAGAAGATTCGCAGCTGATCTCCGCAAGGCGCCCGATGTCAAATCTGATGCCGCTGTCCCCGAATGGAAGGCGGTCACCCAGGGCAAAAACGTCTCCATGGGCAAAAGGACAAACCTCAGCATCAAAGAGCAACGAGAGAGCCTGCCTGTCTTCCAATTTAGACAGCAACTACTCGATGCTGTGCGAGATAACCAGTTCTTGATTGTTGTGGGCGAGACTGGGTCTGGAAAGACGACTCAAATGACGCAGTATCTTGCGGAGGCTGGTTATGCGAATAATGGTATCATAGGATGCACACAACCACGTCGTGTAGCTGCAATGTCTGTTGCAAAACGTGTTGCAGAAGAAGTTAATTGCAAGTTAGGTGAGGAGGTTGGGTATACCATACGTTTCGAAGATTGCACAAGCCCCAAAACGAGGATCAAATACATGACGGACGGAATGTTAGAGAGAGAGATTCTGGTTGACCCAGATCTCAAGCGATATAGCGTTTGTATTTTGGATGAGGCTCACGAGAGAACGATCTCAACAGATATCCTTTTTGGCCTGTTGAAGAAGACTGTGAAACGGCGTCCGGACTTGAAGGTCATCGTGACTTCTGCCACGCTTGATGCAGACAAGTTTTCGGAGTACTTTTTCGGATGTCCCATATTTTCGATCCCGGGTCGTACTTACCCGGTCGAGATTTTGTATAGTCGAGAGCCGGAAAGCGACTATCTGGATGCTGCTCTCGTTTCAGTCATGCAGATCCATCTTACGGAACCCCCTGGTGATATTCTGCTCTTTTTGACAGGACAGGAAGAAATCGACACAAGTTGCGAGATCCTGTATGAGCGAATGAAAGCCCTAGGTCCTAGCGTTCCTGAACTTGTTATCCTACCCGTCTATTCGGCTTTGCCCAGTGAAATGCAAAGTAGAATCTTCGAGCCGGCGCCTCCGGGTGGGCGGAAAGTGGTTATTGCTACGAATATTGCGGAAACCTCTATTACGATTGATGGTATTTATTATGTCATTGATCCTGGATTCGTCAAAGAGAGTGTCTATGATCCATCAAAGGGAATGGATGCATTAGTTGTGACGCCTATTTCTCAAGCTCAAGCGAAGCAACGAGCTGGACGAGCTGGGAGAACAGGACCTGGTAAGTGCTTTAGGTTGTATACCGAGGCAGCCTACCAATCAGAAATGCTACCGACCTCTGTTCCTGAGATTCAACGTAAAAACTTGGCACACACGATTCTCATGCTCAAGGCTATGGGAATCAACGACATATTGGGCTTCGATTTCTTCTCACCGCCTTCAGTTAACACTACACTCACGGCTCTTGAGGAATTGTACGCATTGTCAGCTTTGGATGATGAAGGTCTCTTGACCCGTTTAGGCCGGAAAATGGCAGATTTTCCTATGGAGCCTAGTTTGGCAAAAGTCCTTCTTGCCTCTGTTGATATGGGATGTTCTGAAGAGATATTGACTATTGTTGCGATGCTTTCGGTTACATCGGTTTTTTACAGACCTAAGGAGAAACAGCAGCAAGCGGACCAAAAGAAGGCCAAGTTCCATGATCCCCACGGTGATCATCTCACATTGTTGAATGTCTACAATGCTTGGAAGCAATCCAATTTCAATAATGCATGGTGCTTTGAGAACTTCATACAGGCTCGGCAAATGCGTCGTGCGCAAGATGTTAGAAAGCAGCTTGTGGGCATCATGGAACGATATCGTCATAAAATCGTTTCTTGCGGTAGGGATACCACCAAAGTACGCTTGGCCTTGTGCACAGGATTCTTTCGAAACGCAGCCCGCAAAGACCCTCAGGAAGGTTACAAAACTCTTATTGAGGGTACACCTGTGTATCTTCATCCGAATTCGGCATTGTTCGGTAAACCAGCCGAGCACGTTATCTACAATGAGTTGGTTCTTACGACTCGAGAATACATGACGACAGTCACAGCCATAGAGCCGAAATGGCTCGTGGAAGCAGCACCGACATTCTTCAAAGTGGCACCGACAGATCGTCTCTCGAAACGGAAGAAAGCTGAGCGAATTCAGCCTTTACACAACAAATTTGCTGGTCAAGACGACTGGCGACTCTCTGCACAACGGAGACAGGGTCGTGGTGGAGGTGGAGGTACTTGGGGTTAGACTTTTACTTGTATTTTAGTCATCTTGCGAATATATACCAGAAGAGTTATTGTTTTCGATTATCAGATATGAACGAGTTGTAGCAATTCCAAGCAAACTAAAGCAAACTGAGGGTTAGGGTTAAGAAACCCGAGCCTTCAAAGTGGAGCTGATAGGTACTTCACAGCCAATCATATTATCCCGAAGTTTGATAGCGCAATCAGTCCAAAATATTTTTGATGCTTCTTGATCTTTGAACATGTCTGATCCAACAACTCCCCAACCTGAACAAGCGTCTTTAGACAATCATCATGGCACCAGGATTCTCACCAGAGCATAGGAACAAGAGACGGAAAATATCTACAGATGGGAATCAGCCTCCCACTAATGGGGCGCTTGAAATCGCATCTCATAAACAGCTTCATGATTTGCTCTTTTTTCGACAGGATGCTAAATTGGATGCTCTTCGAGGTGAACTCTATTTTATCGTACTATTTGATTCGATTGCTGACGACTGCAGGCTTGAATGCATTCAAAGACTTTTTATCATCCATCCATCAAGCGGAGGTAGAAGCTGACAAGGAAAAAAAGTACCAAATTCTGAAAACATACTGCGATTCGCAGATCCCTAAACTCGAAGATGGAGTGTGTCTCAGAGATCTTCTCCAAACATGGAATTTTGCAGAAAGCTCTAATCACGAGAATATCCTTGTGATTGCCCCCTCGGTGCTCGCTCAACTCTTAAAAATCATTTCGACCAGACTTGAGTTTCGTGAATTCGGCGTCAGTCTGTGCAAGGCCTTAATGCAAAAGGAGCAATTGCGCTTGATTAACCGCAGTCTATCAGCACCGAAAATGAAGGAACATTTGATTAGTCCTTGTATACGTTTACTCACTGAGATTGTGAGTTTTGATGGTGGTGCGATTGCTCGATTGGTTTATTTGAATCGGGATATTACATACAAACGACTGGAGCATTTCCTCACTCCCAGCAGGAGTCAAGTTGAGACGATCTCGAGTACTAGCAAGAAATCGACGCTTCGCAGGAATGCGCAGCGATATGTTTTGGCGAATATACTTTTCCTTCAGGGCCCGGCAAAGGTCGACTTTATCGAGCAGCATAAAGTTATAAGAGCTCTTTTGGAGTTTATTCGACGTGATCCACGTGAGCTTGTCGTTGATATTCTCAAGACGATTGACCGAAATGTCGCTCACGACAGCTCAATTCCTCGAATCACCAAATCGAGATTCTTTAATAAATGGAACTTGGAGCGGCTAGTCACTTTATATGGATATGATAAGGATAATGAGGAGGAAGAGGAGTCAGATATTTCAATCTCAACTGAGATACATAGGATGCTGATGCAGATTTGCACTGTTTCTGAAATGGGTGTCCTCTTGCCACAGAATGGGTGGTATCCGCCGTCGAGCGATACCAGTCTTGAGATCACTCAGGATGAGAATTATATCGATCTCGGCCTAGATGCACCTTTTTATCAGGATAAATACAAGGAGACTGTCCCCGTACGAAACGGCGCATTATCCACCCTTGTTCAGGTCCTCCGTCCAGAATCCGACACACTTCAGACGGAACTTTTGCTGGAGATATTCAAAGCTGCGCCTGAACTTGTGGCTGATTTCTTCACCAAACGATTTATGTTCATGGCTGAACCAAAATCTAATCCTACCTGGCTTGGCGAGTCTGCATTCTTGTTCTCTACGGTTCAACTTCCTGTTCCGAAAAATTTTTGTGGAAAGGAAGAGAACTTTGAACTTCCTCCCCCTGTTTCGATTGCCATTGAAAACGTAATGCCTCGTCCACTCAACGCCAAGGTTTTGACAAGATGCTTTAACCAAACCAGTGACCCGATTGTGACATTATTCGCTGTTCGAATTCTCACAGCCGCCCTTCGCAAGCTCCAGGTCGTCTTGAAGGGCTTCGAAAGAAACCATGGTCGTTACCAGCCGCTTTGGGAACAAGCTGCGTCAAAGCTCACTATGGAATTCATCGAGCGCTGTTCGCCTATCAGAGATGCCATACTCACGTTCAGACGGACGGCATCCGAAGACATTCAGCAACAGGCAGCTGTGATGGAGTTGATCGCTGCGTATCATGATGTGGTTCCCTCAATCGCTACAGAAGAGAATTTCGATGTGACGCTCGTCATGGTCAAGGTTCTGGAACAGTTGGATGATTCTAACCTTTCAGAAGACGATTCGGAACCCGCGTTGAGTCTACTACAGAATACGTTACATATTGCTCATTGTTCTGCGTCGATGCGCTGGTGGCACCAACCAGGTAAGTGTTGTGTCGTACTACTTGTCAAATCTGAATGTACTGACGAGTTCCAAGCATCTTTTCCCTATTCTGCTTTCACTTGTATCTTGAAAGTGGCACTTAAGACAGGTGACGAGCCATCCACCAAGGAATTGCAGAATCTATTAGGCACTGTTTTAGTTGAGCAAGCGATTCTATCAAGCTCGACCGGGTCCTTTGATGCTTTAGTGGCTAGTTTCAAGGAATCTGACCCGGCAGAGTTGGCCGCCCCGTTACAGTTCTTGGACAACTGCCTTTGCCGCATTGCGAAAAAGCCAGTTCATTATCAGGACCTTGCTACCAACCTGCTGCAGGACAACAGCGCGCCATTGAGTCTCTTGGTTGTTGCCGTTCTGGAGCAATGGCCATTCATTCTCAAAGGTAACGACGCCGAAAGAGAACAGTCGGTAGCTAAGTGGATAGCTTTTTTGATCAAGCGATTGAAAGCGGCGGGAGAGGACAAGAAGGCTCTTAAGAATGTACGAGACGGTCTGTGTGAGCTCTCGGAGACGAAAAAGACAAAGTCCATATTCAAGAAGGCGCTTAAGGGCGGCGACGAAAAGGAAGACGCTGGTGACGACCATGATATGGAGGATGTTCAATCCCGTGAGCAACTAAAACAAAACACCACTTCTGATGCTGGACTCGAACTTCTAGACATTTTCGGTCATCTTCCGAAGGAAAGTAAAGATCACATGGGGCTGTATAAGTGGGAAAAGGAAGAAATCGATGCTGCGATCGAGCAGGGCCGTGTTAGCGATCTCTTGTTGTGTTTGCATTCTGAGCATGAGGAGATTCGACGTCAGGCATTTGCTGCCATTTCTCGTCTCATGATTAAGCTGAAGGTAAGCCGCGGCGAATTTGTTACGGCTATATCTGGTTACTAATGGAACATGCTAGGACTCGAATTATACTGAGTGGAGAGCGGTCTACCTTCTTCTAGGAGAGATACGAGAAACGGTAAATCAACTAGGCTTCGAGACTAGTCTACCTACTGTCGCTGGACAATGCGGTGTTGCTTGTCTGATGGTTCTCAACGACCCCTTGCACAAAATGTATGGCAAGGTCAATCGGTATCTTCAAAGACGGCCCTGGTGGGAGGTAGAAAAGATCCCATCATATTGGATCGACCAGATCCTGCTACATCAACCTGAAGATGACGAAGGACACTCCGATGAGGTGAATTGGCTATTGGACATGCTAGTAAATGGCCTTCAAACACCACAGGTGAGTTTTACCGACTTCCGTCAAAGATATGTCTAACGTAGTACTACAGGACCTCAACATTTACCGCCGCGCAAACGTATTCGAGCATATCCTGTCACTTTACAATGCGCCGTCCACCAATACGGCAATGAAGAAGAAAGTGCTCCATCTCCTATTCCGAGCCACACAGGTCGGTGGTGGTACGACACTGATAACCCGCGCTGCAGCTCTCAGCTGGATCCAGAGCTGCGTGGCCAGTTCCGATGCGTATGCGACTCTGTTGAAAGAATTGGCACAGGCGATTTATGAATCTAGTGATCATGAGAGAGTGGGTAATTGGAGCGGTCGGGCGATATCTGCGATAGTCGGGGGGATGAGTTGAAACTGTAATATAGTCTTACAGGAGTGAAGAGGTTTGAAAGTGACCAGTACATGACATGCATTTCTAAATGTTCGGAGGGTTCAGATATCATCCCATGGATATTTTGTTCGAGCACACACTGAACGGACAATAGCCACAGAACAATAGTCAAATTGTCAAGAACTTATGCTTCATTCCATATTTATAAGTATGAAGATAATAAATTAAAATAAATAAATAGAATAATTTCACCTGCGTGCAAATAATGAATAGTTCTTAGGTATGTGCACCCAACCGTCTTAGTCTGCCCGCCCAATCTTTCGCTCTCTCTTGCCTCTTTCTTTATTCTACCACTCCTCACCTCTTCCTCGACAGAAAACTACAACCACATCTATTCTCACTACCTATCCTTGAAATACTGCGCGCCTCGTTGTAGTGACCCCCTTTTCCCCGCTGTCGCCCGTTGCCACCTCATTCAATCTTTTGCCGAGTGGAAAAAGACCCTGCATCGATCTGACCGCCTACATCGACATATTCACATTTGGACCATCGCTTCTGAACCGACCACACCTGACACCTCGCCACGAATCTTGCGCTATTTATACAAGTTTCTCACATTCTTGACTCCTTCTTGGAGCAGTATTGCTCCAAGGATTTCGCACGAATTAGTTGCATGATTCAATCGCACCGTTGGATGAATGAATGAACGACCGAACGAAGGAACTTGATATCAAAAATCCTGCTACGCTAAACGACCACACTATTACCATGACAGTGTCTTAAAAATACTTCACCCACTGAATTTCCTATACTGATTTCATTTCGCTGGCGATCTCCTATGGCGCGCCGCTATGAAATCGAGGAGCTGTTATGGCTTCGCGATTCTCCGCTAGTCACGAAGCCTGATAAATTACCACCAATTGAAGAATGGATGGGGTAGGACAAATAGTTTATGTTTTCTGAAGCAGCAGCTGACCATGATGATATGTAGGCCAATCTCCGATCCGGCGACTCGAAAGCCGAATCATCGTGAGAATCAGACTGATAGCACAACTACACAGCGAAGACCGAGTTTATTTGGAGAGTCTCGGCATATTTCAAGGAACTCGAATTCAGGTATACTTCTTCAGAGCCACTTGAATGTTACGAGACAGTATTGATTTTATTTTAGAGGATATTGTTTTAGGACCTCCGAAGACAGCATTTGCGTCCGCTTCGCGAATTCATGGCAAAAGCAGTTATGACAATACCGAGCGTACTACAAGATACAATGACACTGAAGAAGGTAAAGGCGATCGCTTCACCTTTCGAGACAAACTCTCAAAAGAAAGAGAAGGAGTAGATCTAGACAAGCGCGACGGTAGGTTTGGAGGTCCCAATGGTCGTCGAAATGATCGCGAGGACTGGAACGCCGGCCGACCTCGTCGCACATTTGGTCAAGAAGAAGGTGATCAACGACCGAGGCGCAACGGAGATACGAACAGATGGGAAGCGCGGGATAAACAAGACGAGAATGGCCTGAGCAGAAACCCGAAAGATAAGGATGGTCGATTTGAGAAGGAAGGGCGTTTCGAGAAGGATGGACGTTATATCAAAAAGGATGCACCTCGAGGAAGACACGAGCAAAGCTGGTTCCGAGATGAGGGAGCAGGTGGTGATGGCGTACCACTTGATGAAGAAAAGCCTTTTATGCGAGAGCGGGAATGGAGACGTGACAGACAACTGCCTGATCGTGACTGGAACCGGGGGACTAGAGTAGAACAAGATCCTGAGTGGATGGACTCTACAGACCGGGATGAACCAAAGCAGGCTCATACCCAAGAGGATTTCCAGCGGTGGAAGGAGAGAATGAAAGCAGGCTCGTCCAACCCAGCGCAGACCGAGGAGAAAAGAGATGCTACGCCAGAGCAGGCCAGTCCGGATGTTCGAAAGACAGAGGCGAACCGCTTGGATGGAGAGCTGTTTGCAACCAGTAAGGGTCATTTACCAGTTGATGCGGGCTTTGGGAAGTTCTTTGGAATACTCGGCGAGAATAAACAATCTGCGCCTGAAGCCGTAGCTTCGCCGAATCCTCTTGAATTTGCTAGGAAAGAATCTGCTGCCGCCAAGACAGCAAAATCGTCCAGATTTGCAGGATTGTTCAGTCCGCCGCCAGACACGTTGGCTAAGGCACCGGATCCAGTTCAAGCTATTGCCCATCCTGATCGTCCGGCGTCCACTGATGCTGACCAGGAAGGCTTTCAGCGTATTCTTCAGATGCTTGGAGGCAGCAAGTCACGCAACACAACTCCTCAAGTGGACAGCTCTCAACAGCCTCGTCCACCGTCGTATGTAATGCGTGACCAAGGCCGACCGACACCCCCTCCTGGTTTACCATCCCCGACTAGGAACGCAGTGAATCGACCGGATGAGCTGCTAGCTGGACAAGAAACTACTACTCCTCGGTCTATGCATCCTCCTCCAGGAATGGAAGGTATGCTACCTCGGGACCCGCAGGCACATTTTCAAGATCGCGAGAATCTACTCCGGCTCATGCAGCAGGTGAATGTGTCTTCTCCGACAATGTCGCATGGAAACGCACCGCCACCATCGCATTTGGGTCAGAGCGGTCATCACACTCCTGGTATTTTGAATGTACCCGATCTTCTATCGCGGCCACAGGGTATGCAGAAAGGACCAAGTAATCAGCCATTTTTGGATGATCCTGCAATTGCCAACATGCAGCGACCGGACAAAGAACAGCAAGTGAGAAAACATCCAGTGAATGGTCCCCCGCAGATGCAATACTTTGATGACATTCCTTTCGCTGGTGGTTCGCAAGGTGCGCAAGGACCTACTCCTGGCGCCGGACGAGACCCTCAACTACCTCCTTCTCACATGGGCATTCCACGACCTCCAGGGTTTGGACAAATGCCTCCTGGCCCTCTTCCAGGATGGGCAGGACAAATGCCGCCTCAACAAGGAGCCTTAGGGCCACCACCAGGTATCCCCAACCCGAACAAGGGTATCAATCCAAACTTTATGGGAGGTCCAATGTCAATGCACGGAGGAAACATGCCCCCTCCACCTCTTTCAAATGACAGTCCGCCATTTATTCGCGGCGGCTCTGGAGCAAATTTTGGCCTTCCGCCAGGCATGATGCCTCCACCCGGATACATGAGCATGAACGGCCCTCCTCCTCCACCACCTCCATCCGGTGGATTCATGCCTGGACCACACAATCATGAAGTAATACTCAATAACGGTGGAACTGGCTTTAACGGTGGATCCTCTGGTGGACCACCACCATCTTCCAGACATCTTTTGGAGATGCTTGCTCATGCCAATGGCGGTGATGGACGCGGGGCGATGCTCGGTGGAGGACCAGGACAGTTCCGTTAAATCGGTCGAATTCCTGGTTTACGTATTTATGTATTGACAGAAAGAAGGCATCTCTTATTTATGAGCTGTATGTCGCTTATTCATTACCACCGGCTACGCCTACTCGACCTTTGAACTAGGCAAGGCTTTCATTCATGTATCAATCAGTCTTAACGATGACAATTACAATCCAGTCACTCTTTTATTTGCTGATCCGCTTCTCTGATATTATATTATTTTTACATTTCTTCATTACGTTGTATTGTCATACGGATGAAACCTTCCAAGGTTGCTTTGGACTTGCCTTCTCTTTCTCTATTCAACCTGTTTAACCCCTTTTCTTGTTTCTTCTTCTCTTCTTGAAATATTTCTCATTACTCAAGATATCCACATTTCCTGAACTGCTTTCTTCTTTCTGATTTCTATTCAAACACCGATCAGAAAGCGTAAACAGCGTTCGTTCCTGGCTTGAACTCTGAACCCAACACGTTTCAATTTGATACCATGGATTGGATTGGATTGGACTGATTTATGCTCATCATATTGATACGTTTGTATTGCCATTTATGTATGTAGCAGATATCATTTATTTTCCTGGGTCGTATGTCGGTAGCTAGTCAGTTAGCTAATGGATGAAAGGACGGTTACAAATACGATCATGATTTTGATGCCATTCCTTCTCCTTAATAAATGTATATAAATATACCAATGTAGTTTATCTAGACAAGATGTATAAGTAGGTAGTCCAAGGAAAGAAATCCCTAACACCAGCCGGTCAAAAGCAGAATATAAGTAGAATCGTATAAATACGTAGAATTCCTTCCATAGATACCGCCAACTCATAAGCTTAAGAGAAAATAACACACGCCGATCCCTGGCTTAAACAGACAAATAAAAATCATAGATCATCATGACAAGGAGAAACGTACCACCGGACTCATAGATGGTGGTGGAGGATGTCAAGGTGTGACATGTACAAAATCAGAAAACACATAGGGCAAGGAACAACTTTTTGATACAATCCCAATCCCAATTCCATCCAACCGTTCCAATCCAATTCGATAAAGGGAAGAAGAAGTTGATCGGAAATATGTCAAAAGAGGTATCAAAGAATATCCACCGGGAAAAAAATTGGACATGTATAATCAAAAAAACATACCATATCATGCCATGTGCGTCAAACCATCCAACCAAGCGTAACATACAAAATCAAGCAAAAAGAAAGAAAAGGCATATTGTCATGCCGTCTAATAATACATATGAGAGAGACTCCAGGAGGGAGGATTAAGTGAAATCATTCCAAATCGCATTTAACCATCCAGACGGAGAACCAACTTCAGAATTTGTGATTATGTGCCCTTGCTCGAGTGTGCCGTCGGAGAGAAAAGAGAGTACGTCGTCGCCGCCGAGACTACTGGACCATATAGCCGGGTAGTAATAATCTAGGATTGAGTCTAACATTCCACTGCCGTTGGCTGTTGAGACTGGTGTCGGTGCGTAGCCTAGTGATGTTGATGTTGAGGGTTGTTGTTGAGGAACAGCCGAAGAGCCTGGTGGTGGGAGCATGGGTGGATAAGGTGAATGATTGTTTTGGGTTGCGGCGTTAATTGGCGGTAAGTTTTGAGAGTATGGAGGAGGTGGAGGGCCCTGTTGGTGAGTAGGGAGCCATGGATTGAGCGGTTGTAAGCGATGGGATGTGGATGATGGCTGTTGGTTGGCTTGACCTGCACCGGTCGAATTGAATGCAGTCGGCGATGTTATGGAAGGTAAACTGGGTGAGGCAGTTGAGACGATTGGATGTTGTTGAATTGGTGGGAAGGCATACGATGAAGAAGAGGATTGAGACGGCATTGGTCGAGACGGTAGAGGGAGACTTGGGCGACGATCCATCTCGTTTCTGGAGAGGTCTGCATCGGATGCAGCAGGTGTAAGAGGTAGAGGTGGAAGATTCTTGGAACTGTTGACAGTAACCCAGGAATCGCGTTTTTGCTGTACAATGCCATCCATCGTAGAATCGCCTGATTCACTCTTCACAGCATTGCTGGCTGTCTCACCTCCACGATCTGATACTGCAGTGATTGTTCCTGTACCGTCATCGTCCAAACAGTTTGTGTCTGGTATTTGATCGTCGATGTTTCCAAACTCGAGGAATATCTTTTCCAGGAGCTTAAACTCTTCTAATCCACCTCCTGGACCGCCCTCACGAACTGGTCTCAAGCCCATGGGACTATGAATACTATCACCACTGCGGGACCGTGACTTGAAATCCCTCTTGACCTTCACAAAGTAACTATGCAACCGGTTCAGCGTACGGAACCAGCCAATCGCCAGTCTTAAACGAGGTCGCATATCACGTAGGATATCAAGCGATTTACGTGTCGGTAGCTGAGGCTGGATAGATATTCCGGTAGCGGTAGGTGATAACGCTTGCCTAGGAGACAAGTAACCATCGACATCCATATGGCTGAAATGGGCTGCATAGATTCCCATAAAAGCTGCATTGTAAATCGCAAACCCGACAAGTGGGGTTTCGACTAGAACACCTCGTTCCTGGCAAGCAATAACCAAATCCATCATATTCCTCGCTGCTCGGAATAGTTCTCTGGTACTTTCCCGCCAGAATCCGTCTGGCACAGCGTACTGCTCACGAGGAAATGTGGGCTCATCTAACGGGCCGACCGGCTCATTGCAACGAAGAGGCAGAAACGGCAGATAAGCTCGATGCAAGACGATCAAAGACAAAAAGTAGACCACGTGCATGACCATATAAGCGGATAAAGAATTCTCATTCTGACTATGTCCGTCTGTACTTCGCTGCGAGTACTGCAATTTTCGTGGCAGGTTCTCCTGAAATTCGGCGAGTTTGCTTCTTAGCTTGGAAAAGCTGGATTCCGGTTGCCATGGACCGTATGTTTCATTCTGTCGACCTCCAGCACACGACCATTTGGCAATACTGCCCCATATCCGAATGACTCGAATAACACGACTTAAAAGAGACTCTTGCGCACCGACTTCCCAGCGATCGATATCGTGATCACCATCGATTCGTTTAGAAACTGGCGACCAAGCTTTGGAGTCTGTCGAGCCGTTCCGCAAATTATCTTCACCATACGGTACACTCTGTCGCAAACTCGGAATTTGTGCACCGGGACCGTCAAAACTCGAAGCTCGTCGATCCGGGCTATCAGACAACTTGGACGTGCGTACCCGTTCGCCAAAAGCAAAAGCGTCGTCGCTCGGTAGCTGGATATCTAGATCCCGCACTTTTACCATTCGAGGTCGATGCTTGCCGCTGCTGAGACATCGATCCATAATAAAACAAGCCCAAAAGGTCCTTCGTTTTGTTTCTTGCACAATCACGTCGTCGGAACTTTGTTCCAGCTGTTCTTTTTGGCGTACAATTCCAAAATGGTCGGCTTCTACTTTGAGAGCTGCGTAGCGGTTTGCTTCACCGCGGTTGGTGGAAGATAAGGAATCGTTTTCCAGTTCGTAGGACAGGCCCATGGCCTGTGCGAGTCGAATTGCGATACCGACATAGAGCCAGGCGCTCTTGCCTCGGCACATTCCCCATTCGTGTAGAGCCAGCATCAGTAACGCCTGTACATGGACTAAATCTGCGGTCATCAAACCCATACCATCCGGGCCGGCGAGACGGGATCGCAGGGCTGATGCGTAGAACTCCGAGGCGGCGGAAGGGTTGGACGGGTTGCCGGATGATGCCGGAGAATGGTAGGCCACCAGTTGGGGGTGAAAGCGAGCGGTTAAGGTCAAGACGCCCAACAAGATCAAAGGGGGCAGTTGCGTCCTTGGAGGCGGACTGTGCGGATGGTGGTCGGAATGGTTTGATTGAGCATCTGATTGAGATGCCGAATACTGGCCAGTCTGATTCTTCAAAATAGTCGAATCAATGAACGGCAGGATGGTGGCGAACTGCGTCTGAAACGATTTGGACAAGGCCTCCCATACTTTGGGAGAGAGGATTGACGAGTCGAGGACGTCGACCAGATTCTTACCGGCGTCTTTACCCGCGGCACCAGAAGCACCTCCCGCGACTTTCCTCGACCGATGACGCTTTGGATTATCCCAGTCAGCGCCGTTTCGCTCATCACCGTCAATGGTCGCGGCAATGTCACGTTTTGCACCTCCTCCACCGACGGCGGGGGTGGGATAGACGCATTCCCGGTGAGAGGCTTCGCAAGCACGACATGTGGTGTCGATTCCGGCATTGACGCACTTGATCTTACTTCGGCGGCACCGAGAGCAGGCGATGCTGGAGCGCATTTCAGGAAGTTCTGGGGTGTTGGTGCCTTCGTTTCCTAGTAATGAAAGACATTCACGATGTTAATTAGAAGTTATGTTGAGTGAATGTTATCAGTGTCAACTACTTGTCGCCTGAGATGGATCCGGGGAAGGTACACCCAGTGACGCCCCAGTGTCATACACACTAGCGAAAAGCGACGAGATAAGCTGAGTCAATAATATGATACGTAGATCATTGATCAAAGTCGTCAAGTCAGCAGTGAAGACTGAGAGGCAAAAGAGCGAAAAGGAACTAAAAGCGCCCAAGTTGGGATTCTGTGGAGGAATGCTTGGGTTTTTGTTTAGTCCACGGGGCAGAGTGGGTTCCCCGGTTTTTCCTTGAATTATTTCGCGGAGATACGCCCGACGTAATTTACACTAAGTGCCTGTATTTTGACTGCGTATCTTCCGTATTTTCGGGCTGTCTCTGCACCCGGGATTCGGCGGAATATTACCTACCATACCGACAGCCGATTACTTACTTAGAGCCTGCCAGGATTATTGCAATACATAATAAATAAATAAATGCAAGGGAGTCATCGATCGACAGCCCTCAGAACGTGCACGTCGCCAACTCGTATTCTCTTTTCTTTTTCGCTGATGTGTTGGCTGAACAAAAAAGAAAAAAAACTTCCTCTTCCCGGTGGCACTCTTGGCTTAATCTAAGGCAGGTCGTACGACGGGTACGTGTGCTAGTATGCGACCGGGCGAGTGCAGACTCTGTCAATAACCGAGAAGTCTTCTCTACAGGACGCTGCACTGGTTAGGCAGTTAGCCGAAGGCATCCCGCGGTGGCTTGGACGTTGGAACTCAGAACAGGGTATCGTTCGACTTTATAACATGTTGTCTCCTTTGCTCCGACTTTTCAAACGCCTTCATGATTATCAGGAATAAGTCGGACCAGAATGAATCTGCCTGCCTGATGGATCGGCACCGTCCCGAACAAAAAAAGAAACCGAGAAGAGCACACGAGTCATTCTATACGTAACCCTTCGATAAGTTAGCGGCCATGCTAACACAATGCTAGGAGTATGTCAGATGACTTGATGTAATAATAGCTGACTGGCATTAAGCTGACTCCGTACATGTGCCCCAGAATCCGAGAACGCAAGTCCGAGGGCCGGGGAAGACAGCCTAACGAGCAAGGCTAGCCCCATTGCCGGGCTGGTCTCCGGGATCTGTGCTCTCTGCCTGTCTGTCTTGATTCGGGTCGTGGCAAATACAGAGAGTATTGTACTACGACCAAGCGAATGAGCCTGACCCATAAGGTTCTCGGGGAGAGTACTCCGATGGAGAAGGTGTGGAACTGTGAACATGTGAATTCGGAGAGAAAAGACAAATGACAGTGTAACTCTTGCATACTGCCATACAGTCAGTCATAAACACCATCCCGATAATGCGCCGACCCATCCACTTTGATATAAACTGGGTGTAACTCCATCTTCTTTCTATAGAGGAAGAAGAAGAAGACACCCCACAGATTCTCCAGCCAACCAGACACACACCGGCTAAACCCATCAATTTCCGTAAATTACCTAGATTCTTTTTCTTACGGAGTTCTCCGCCATGTGAGGATAAATACCTGGGATATCCAAATTAGCCAACCAATAGAGTCGGCCATTGTTTTACCCGAGAATTTATTAACATGGGCTTAACCGATCCCGATGTTCTGACAGATGATAATGGGTTGATTACTAATTACATACTCGGTACACCATGTGTGAATACATCCATGTCAAGAGTCGAAAAAGAATAGAAGAGTACAGAGCCAAAAAAAAAATAGTCTCTCCGTGGAGTTTTTCTTGCATTTGACTTGCGTTTTTGGGTACCGAACGTCGCCGATGGGCTAGCCGACGGACCGACTGGGACAAAGCCGGCTCGATTTTACCATTATTACACTCATTACATTCCCAATACGCTCTACAATAGACATTAGTATGGAATAGTATGGTGTATGTATTGTAATATTGTATTACAAATACTCCAAATACGTAAAAACACATTCGAGGAACCTTTCAAACCCCGCAATTCTGGATTCCTATTACGTATCGTAATACTTCGGTGGAGGACAAATCTTTCTTCATCATCGGAAAGGGAAGGTAGAATTGAAGAATGTGATTTAGAGTCAGATAAGGGAGGTTTAGGGAAGTCTAGAGTCGACATGCATGTACACTGACAAGGATTCGAAAAAAGTCGGGGTAATGTATCTAGTTTACCCCGCAAATTTATTGTGCATGGCCTATCTGGTTCGGTTGGGATAGGGATTGATTTGTTGAGTACTACTCACTGCTGATTACTGAAATGAGTGTTGATCAGCGCTGAATGTCTTATATTCTGTGATGTATCGAACTGTATCGAAATGCTTGGGTTTAGGTAGGGGAATGGCGGTCTGGGGTCATTCACGAGGGTTGTGTATTCGGCAGTGTGTCACGTGTCACTCATGCCCTAGTTTACATCCAGACTTACTATTCCCTGCCGCTGTATCTTGTTGATAATGGTTCTTAGATGACATCCTCGATATTATTTATTGATCCATGTTATATCATCAAGTTCTGGCGCACGACAAGGGTCCTATTACCAGGATGTCACGCTACAAGGCTGAGATACGTATCAGGTTGTGATCTTTGACCATGTAAGTTGATGGAGATTATGACAATAAGCTCGGGGTTTCCAAGCCTAAGCTATCCAGTCATAGGTTTAAAGGAAAATAGATTCCAGTGTAATAATAGAACTCATCTCTTCGACTGCACAACAACTATACTTGTATACACTCGACCTAACTATATATACATGACATCGTCCGGATTGTGAGAGATGACTTCCACCCTGGACGTCCGGGAATGCAATTAAAAACTACCAACCCAGGTATTATAGTTGGTACACCCATTCGCCAACGAAGTCGACGCTGTAATCTCCGCCCCAGTATTACTCTTGACCGTCGCACCATTCCTCACAACACTAAACTTAACCACACCAGTCTGGCCGTTAAAATCCTGATTCCAATGATTTATTCCCGCTACACCATCATATGACACCGCCGGATTATTGCCAATCTGCACTTGAACCGTAGCAGGGGAGGTCAACAAAGCGCTGAAAAAGACCTTGTCCTGCACGACGGAGTTAACATCGACGACTGTTTGACCCTGATCAGGATTGTTGCCGAGAACACCGCATTCGCTACCTCCTGCGGCGGGCGCGAGACGGTACCAGTATTGCATTTGGTCGCGAGAGATGTCGAACTTGTCACCTTTGAAAGTCGCGATGTAGTAAGGGAGGAAGTCACGGAAACTTTCGTGCGGCATGTTGTCGACGTATACGGATGAACCGCTGGGGACTTCGTTGTCGGTTACAAAGGGTCCGATGTACGATGCTTCACCCCAGTCGTTCCATGTAACGACCCTGTTTTGCGCCTATCAGTAATATTCAACAACTTTGCGAGGAAGAGGAAGACGTACTGGACGAATTGAGGGTCAACTGTCATGACTTGATTCCACCGATCGGCCCAGAGATCATCACCACGCCAGACCCAGTCGGTGCCTCCGCTTGCACTGTGGAAGAACCATGGAGAAACACCCATCATGTACGTCTTTTCTGAACCGATGGCGTTGACCCATGCAAGGTCGTGGTCGGCAGTCATATCAGAGGCACCGTTGGGCCACATGTCCCAGCTGACTATCACCTGTTAGCTGACCTCACCACCTTTTCGGCAGAAAGGACATACAGAATCCATCAATATTATCGAGATGCGCCCCGATCCCCGTAGGCCCCAAACTAGTCCAATCCGGCACAAAATAAACATCAACCGCCCCCCGAACCGCACCCCCAGGAGCCCAATCATCAATATTCCCGGTCCCCTCAAAAGTAGACACAAACGGCCTATTGGAATAATGCAAATAACAATCTGAACTCGAATAATTCTGCAAAATCGATACAACCTCCGAAGCAGGCCAGGGCTGACCACCGCCTAGATAATCAAATGCAACGAATAGTTTGAATCCATTGGCGAGTGATTCGCAGGCTGCGAATGCGTTTGCGATTTGTTTAGGGACATTGCTGTCGGGAAACCCGCCGTTGAGAGCGAAGGCGTCTAAACCAGCGGCGTGGGCGAGTTTGATGTCGTTTTCCCAGGTTGATTGAGTATGGGCTGCGGTATCGCCGACGACGACGTGCGCAAAGGCGAGCTTTTGGGCGGTAGTTAGGCGCGTGAAGCTGCTTGTCGCAGCGACTGCTGATAGGAAAAGGGATGTGGTTCGCTTCATTTTGGGCCACTATTATAGGGGTGTAGTTGAGTCTGATACCGTGAGTTGAGGCAGATTGGATGGTCAGGATATAAACCACGTTTTATACGTCTACCAGCACTATCTAACTAATTATAACCAACCGGCTGAAGCAACTGTTGGTTTAATAAACATTGCACTTTAGTAAGTGGGTAGTATACGAAAGTCAGCAACACGAGAAACAAGTCTCCAACACCAGACCTTATTTCCACCTATATTAAACGCCATTACCAAATCCTTGTCGGAAACGGGGTAGCAGGGTGGTATTACTGTATATCCAATGCTTTTGTTCTTGGTCAAATCTGGCACACCATTAATAATTTCAAAGTGGCATCGAACAAAGGGTCCTTTTATGAGCATGTCATACGGGCCGTGTTAGAGATCCTAGCTAGTAGGCATACTCTAACTCTAAAGAGAGGAAAAATATATCTTGCCAGTTGGCATTGGCTGATATTATCATGTTTTATTAGTCGAGGCTCGACACTTGAGTCCAGGGTATGATCATTGATATCCACAAAGTTAGCCTCAATAAGAAATCCGCTCTTCGACAACTTGGTCATCGATATCCACATGTTGGTTGTTAACTTGTTAAAGGTCACAATTAAGTGTGTTTCAGTCCAGGGCCACAATTCATCAACAATCCATATCCACTTGTTGGTTTAAGCGACGTCAATGTTTCAGTGAAGGACAAGCCCGAACAGTTTGGCGTTGGTGTGTTCTCGCTCTTGTGTGATTTTCTTCTCTCTGAATGTCTGTTTTACTCGTTCTAAGAAGAAAAGTCTATAAACCCAGCCCAAATATTATATTAGAATTCGTCAAACATACAATTCCGAAACATGAGGTTCGGAAACTCGGCATGAACATGTATCATCTACAGTACTTTGGCCCCAATCTCCAGTTGATCCTTAAACTAAACTATTCCGCTTCAGTGATACACCAGATAGAAATACTGTACTAATTCGCAATGTCTGTACAGATTTGGCAGCGACTCTTGAAAGTTAGTTGACACTAACAATCGTCAAACAAGCCCTAATCCGAGTCGAGACTCGAAACGCCGGGAAAAAAAGTTGAAGACACTATAAATAGAGTGGAACTAAAGTTAGCAGAAGCTCAGTATCTGAGATTGGTTAGATACGTATCATTATTCGGCGATATTTGCAGCGCTATATAGCTTGTAATCATACTGTCGACACAGTGTAGGATTCCAAAGTTTTGATGGGCCAAATGTGTTTATTCAAACCGACACTGGTGCAATGCAACCTTGTCACTACCATCCGAGTAAAATCAGTATGAAAATTGATTAGACTTCTTCGCGCTCTGTATGGTTAGCTGTTCACTATATACTTCTCCCCGTTTTTAGTTAATTGCATGCATGCTTGTGTAAGCATATACGCAGCGTCGGAGGCTCATGTGGACATGATCAGTCAACGAATTTTTCGAGAAATTCTAAAATCAGAATGTGTTAAGAATGGCCCCTATCAACATGACTGCGCATGTCATGCTAGATCTCCATTTCCAAATTGAGAACTTATAGTCTACTCAGGTATGCTTAAAAAGATAAGGTTATTTGTCAGAACTATCAGCTTAGGGTTAGTTCTATTTATGGGTCTGCAGTATGCAACCAGTGAGTACCATGCATGCAGCGCTTATGTCGATAGGGTGTTCATCAAATATTACCACATACTACTGTACCGAGACCCGGACCATGCCATGCCATTCGATTTACAATTCCGGCTTCGTTAATACTGACGATTACATATATGGTCCGAAATCAACCTCGAGAATCCATAGATAGTATTCATATCTTCTAGCTTTACACTTCGTCCACTCATATCAGCTTAATTCTCATTTCTCAGCCAGCTTTGCTTCATCTTTAGCATTGAAGCCGGCGTTTGTGAGTAACTTCCCTCCTAGGCTGACTGGTTTGGCTGCTACATAGATAATCAGCATATTGGTTACGATAGCTACGAGGAAATATTTACCTGTCAAGACAAAGTAGATTCGAGCGGGTTTATCGCTCTTGTTCTCCCATCCATGCATTGTGCCGCGTTGGACGCAGACATCACCTCTTCTCATGGTGAGTTCGACTCCGTTGTCGAGATAGCTGCGACTAGTTAATAGGTATGTTCTTCTGAGTACTTTCTCAACCGCTAGTAATATTTCCAGCTTAAAATGCCACTATCGAGAATGGCTCAGATAGGAACAGTTTCTTACCAACTCATTTCCCCCTCAAATATAATCCCAAAATCTAACGACACCGTCCGATGAAATCGCTACTCAAACCCCATCTGTCAGTTACCTTTCCATTCAGCCATTTACTCGTGCCTACCAAGTAGGTAAACTTTGAATGTAACGCACAGTCTTAGTCTTTGGCGGAAAATCAACCACTCTCACTACAACCCCGTTCTCATTTGACAACGACCGTTGAGGCTGCAGAATCGGATCCTCCCATTCCCCGTTAAGATCTGCGGGAAATTCGTACGTCTGATACAAAAACCCAAAGTCGCAGTCAAATGGTGTCGGGACCATGGGGATCTGTTTGTCGTCGACGTAGATTGAGTTGCCTTGGGAGTCGTGGCCGGTGACCACGCGTCGGGGGTTGGGGAACATTGGAGCCATTTTGTATCTGTTTTGTGAGAGGTGTGAACTGGGTATGTTGATTTACGGTTTTTGGAGGGCTGGATTATTTATAATGTTTTCCAAGGTGGGTAATTGATTTCAGCTGAGATGGATACTCTTCTTTCCTAGGCTCAGCGGCCCAATAGAATCAGTGCCTTGCCTGATTTCAAACATGCGGGTAGAATTAAAGCATGTCACAATGCACGATCAGTAATCGTCTTGTTGAACGTCGTACAGACGAGCGGGCCGGGGAAGGGTAAAGTACGTACGTATAATGCTGTGCCTCACTCGCCCAGTTCCTGAATCACTCCGCTTTTTGCTTGAAGCTGCTTCCTAACTGGAGATCGGAAAAATGGTTTGCATTGGGCATTATCCATGTTAAAGTTCCAAGAATTCCGAAAACCAAATCTATGTGGTTCTGGGTAGATATGCTCTTGAGGTTCATCTATAAAATCGACGCCATGCACGATGGCAGGATTTCACGCTAGGGAAAATGATGGCAGTACATAAATGTCATATCTCTAATCCGCCCGTGCATCTTACTGATAACTAAAACATCTCTTGAAATTGGAAAGAAATCGATCTCGCGGGGCATTTTTCTTCAGCTTTCCGTTTCACGTAAAACAACCCGGGATGCCCCAACCTCGCGTCTCCGAAAGCCTGAACAGATTCAAACCCTGAATGAACCCACATAAGCATGGATATACATGTCAAGCTTCTTCATTCCTCGGCGTCAGATAGACCTTCAACGGCGGTTTTTTCCACGTCAGATAGTTCCTCTGCTGGATCCAATCATGACTCTCATCTGCAAGCGTCATATCAAAGTTGAATATGATAAGGGCCAGGATCAGCCGTATTTCACTATATGCGAGACTATTAAACTATAAGTGTTTGATTTAGATTTCTCATATTCTCATCAGGGCGCATACTTCCTTCCAAGACAATTTCTCGGACCAAGATGGAAAGGTTGAAAAGCCTCTCGCTGATCATTTGAGAATCGTGAATCCCCTAAAAATCGTTCGGGATGATATGTATCCGGATCTGTAAAGTACTCTTCACGTCGATACATTGCCCAATGATGGATAGAGGCATAGGTCTATATCATGCCACATCAACAATAAGTATTTCAGCCGCGCGATGCGACTATCAAACTTACATTTTCTGGAATATACTCTCCCAGGATCCTAGCTCCACCCTTTGGACAAACTCGTGGGGGCCCGTTTGCAACTGGAGGATACATGCGCAGGGCTTCGTCGAGACAGGCTAGCATATAAGGAAGGCTGTTGACACTGATCAAGTTGATGTCTTCTCGACTGTGGAATGTTGAACGGACTTCGTCTTTCAGCTTCTCGTAGGCTTTCGCGTCTTGCAATATTAGATATGTTACGCCACTCAGTAAAGTCGCTGTTGTCTCCGAGCCTCCGATGATTAAGATCTCGGCGTTGGAGACGAGGTGTTCTATATCGAGATTCTATGGTAGGTATTAGATGGAACGCGAATGGCGTCTGAGTACTTACCAGTTCATCTTTCTTCTTCAATAATCCTTCAATAAGATCTGGCCGCTCCTCAGTAACAGCCATTCGACGACGCATCTTGGCCTCGGTGAGTTTCTTGTGCTTCTCGTAAGCGTCTCGAGCAGATCTGGGAACAAGCGCTAAAAGACCCCTTTTCAGCCACGGATAAAACGAGAGAGCCTGTAATATGGAGCCTATATATGCTAGATCAAAGATAGATTCGATCCAATTATCATAATGTGAACCTTGTAAACATCCGAAAGGCTCTCCAAATGCCAGATCCCCGATAATATCAAAAGTGGTGAAATTGTACCAATCCGAAAGAACGATAGGACTGCCCTCCAAACTATTACTCTGTTGGCGTAACTTGTCAACTAGTAGATCGACATATTTCCGAATGATGGGCTCTTGATCTCTCATGCTCTTCTCCGAAAACCCATGGGCCATTTGTCGACGTAAACTCCTATGTCGCTCTTGTTCCTCGTTGACGATGTGAGGAGGCTCTTCAATGGGACGATAGTACCAGCTAGCTTTACTCATTTCTGCTTCACCGTTCTTGTGGCCCATGATATCCTTCCAGGCGTCAGGGTGAGAGAAGGCAAGTTCATCGGGGGCAATGCGGACAATGTCCCCGTAACGTTGATGAAGTGTTAGCATGTCAAAGACGAGAGTCCCGTTTATCTGACAATAGAAATATGGAAGTCGGGAAATGGCGTGTGAGATTGGGCCGGGGAATCGGCTCAATGGGTGAAAGTAGACATTATAGATAGCTTGAGCGATGGGATAAAGTATTGCCTGTCTTTTGTTAGCAGAACTGCTACACTGCACAATAGAGGGACTTACCATGGATATCGCGAGAAGAAATGCGAGTTTTGCATCTAGCAAATTGATTTGGTCAAGCATTGCGTGTTGTTCCTTTTGCTTTATATCACTTGGTCTTGTAAGGCAAACAGGTAGTCAATGAGGATTCCAGAAACTTTTACATGTACACTGTGTGCGACCTCGAGGTCACTATTCTATCGATATCGAGGAATCAGATTAGCACGGCCCCGCATTGTAGCAACAAGGACTGAATCTGATTTTCTGTTCTCGTTGTGACTGATATCCGGCGTACAAAGAAGCAAGTCCGAACACGGACAGGGAGCTTAAGCTCTAATTCGCAACCAACTCTGCAAGCTGAGACCAGCAATGAACAAACAAAGAATTCAGTATAAGGAGTATAGTCGAGAAGATTTGATGGGTAAATTTATTCAGAAAATCGTGAGCAAGGTAGAAGATGTTGACGTGTAACCTTATAATCTTCCGACCTCCTGTTTCATATGTGGTGGTTTGTTACATGTGAAGCAGATTTCGGAATTTCCATAGTGAGCTGTGTGTAGTACACATCTAATACTCCCTCCGCGATTATGACAATTTTTCTCTTTTCAAGTTTGATGTCTATTTACGCCATGTGCTTGATTTTGGCCGAGACATGGGGTGGTATCTTCTTTGTTCTTGGGTATTAGACAAGTAAGAGTATCCATTGTCAATTCATTGTTCTAAATCGTTATTACAGGGAGCATGAATCTCAATCATGCAGATGATATGACTCATGTCCCCCCACCCAAGTTGTATGTAGTCGCGCTGCTTATGACACACTAGCGACCTTGATCATGTTCTCCGTCAACCAGACTCAGTCCGAATCTGCGCATATAATGCATGCAGAACAACTCTCTTGGGAAAACATGATACTGCTACAAATAATTGACTCCGCTGTGATGCAACTTTACCAGGACTTCGGAGCTAAACTTCAGAGAAAAGTGTGTGGTTCTATAGCTGATTAGAGTTGAGTATACATTCAGACAAGACAAGTAACTATATAGTTATAGTACAGTACTGAAAAGGTATGCACCGAATTAGGTATCTACCCAGGTAGACAAGCGTTATTCATTTGACCATAAAACCGTATGCCTGATGAACATCCTTTAGAAACGCAATAGCATCGCTAAACGCTTTCGTTCGAGTATTGGCATCAATAGCAAAAGACGGCACTACATTGATCAACTGTCAGCAGACTTCTCATAAGAAAAAGAATAGGGAGTAATCGTACTTTCCAACCACCCGTGAATCTGTCCTTCATATACATCAGTCCGTACGAAAATAGCCGATCCATTTGGTCTATCAGCCGTCTCAGATAGCTGTTTAAAGCGATTGATTGCTTTAGCCTCTGTCTGCAGTCTTCCTGTCATAGTCATCGTCTCGTTATGCAAGATATCAAGCTCCCCGACGATAAATAGCGTTTTGAGGCAAGGTATCGATATCCGCCAATGTTGGATGTAGAAGCGGATTCTTAATATCCCGCACCCGGTTTGGTCCAGCATATGCATCGAAAAGAGGCTGCAGAAAAGCCAACAGGTCTTTCTCTGGATATCCAGGTGGCTTTGGCTTTTCCCAAGGTGGGAGGCGGAAATCAACCTGTTTGAATATTAGCTATGCTTCATAATGATATAGGGTCTACCTACCACACCATAAAATGTCGTCGATCCCCTAATCGCATACTCCGTCCCAGCCAATCCCTGCGCAACAGCAAGAGCCAGATTCCCACCAACAGAGAAGCCACTGACAGTGAAAATACGAGCATCTGCATTCCATAATCTCTCGGCATTCTGCGTCAGATACTCCGCGACATCCTGGCCATCCTCATGCGCATTCGGAAAGGTGTGTACTGGCGCATACCGGTACGATGTTGATACTACAACCGCGCCGGTTCTTTCTGCTAATTCAGCGCAGAAGCGCGCATTACCCTCCGGTAAGCCGCCCAGGAATGCGCCGCCATGGATATTAAGGTGTAAAGGAGCCTTCCGAGTTCGCGTCAAGGCGGACTTGGGGAAGTAGATGACTGCTCGAACGGAGTGGCCTGGGGCTCTTTTTAAGGGGATTTGGATTTCTTGAGAGTGAGGGAATTTGCGTGATATGGTTCATTCGATGGTATATGTGAGGAGGGTGATGGGTCGTAGGAGGAGGAGGTGGAGGCGGGTGCGTAGGGGAAGGTTGGGAGCGAAGAGGGCATCTTTCAGAATACGAAGGGCTTTGAAGAGAAACATCATTCACCTCAGACTATTCACAATTCAAATACATGGAAGAGGGGGAGAGATTCTTTCAATTAACTATGATGTTCAGTGAAGGTTGTTACCTGGTCAATTGCCAAGCAACTCTCGTATTCGTCTTAAACTAATTGTAAGAAGGACATAGAGGGTTAGGACTATGGAACGTCACATCTTACATCGATAGCTTCAAATGTTAACAGTCCAAGAGTTACGCCCAAGGTCTAGCTGCTATATATGAGACGGCAGAGGAGCGTACTTCCAACCCTTGAACTTTTCTCCAACTTTCTTAAAGAGAATATCGGTTTAAGTAACAAAAAGTGTTTATCTCAACTCAAGTAAAAGTATAAAAAGTACTAACCCATAGGATATCATTCAGTTCAGTAGTTCTAAAATACAAATCTAAAATACATTTTAATAACTATCCAGTATCACCACCTCAGCTTCCGCTTCTCCTATACTTTCCACACTAATCTCATCCCCAACATTAACCCCCTTCACAAACGCTCCATCACCTTCATTCAAAACCGCCTCATCTCTTCCATCCAACCTGATCTTCGCATGCCCATTCTTGGTCATTGGTAAGTGCACATAGACTTTACGATCAGATTTATTCTCTACAGCGGTTTCGCCGCTCTCTATCTCTCCGCCGACTTTCCATTTGAATCGTCGATCAACAGGAATAATACCCGCACCCATGACAAGATCTGCATGGATGGGGATAGTCCCAGGGATAGTGGGTTTGGCTTCTTTCTCTTGGGCGACAGTGGCGTTGATACCTGCTGCTAGTGGAGAGAGAATGGGCAAAAAGGCCTTGCGTTTGGCTTCTTCGTCGAATGACGCGGTGTGGTATTGCGGCATGAGACCGCGGCGCCAGGGAGTTGCCCAGATTTGGAGAAAGTGGACTGTTTCTGATGTATGTTCGTTTTGCTCAGAGTGTGCAATGCCTGTTGAATCTTCGTCAGTATCAATTCATGTCTCTGGAAGATCGGACTTACCAGTTCCACCAGTGGTGAATTGTACATCACCCCTCTTCATCCTATAAAAGTCTTTTCCTTGCTTGCCCTCGGCACCTTTCTTAATCATACTATCTCTATGCGTCAATTCGCCGCTGAGAATATAACTAAAAATCTCCGCATCCCGATGCGGATGCGTAGGGAACCCGGTCTGGGGCGTCACACGGTCCTCATTGAGAACACGCAGAGCGCCAAAATTCATAAATGATGGATCATAGTAACCGGCAAAGCTAAATGTATGATAGGTATTGAGCCAGCCGTGATCTGCGTGGCCGCGAGCCGCTGAACGACGCGGGACGATCTTTGCATGTGATAGTTTTGACATTGCGGTTTTGACGGCTGTGGTTGTTGCGCTTGAGGCTGAGGGAACTGGCATGGATGGATGTGCTGAAGTGTAGGTTATCTCTTTTTGGAGCCGGTTGATCAGGGTTGTTATTGAGTTTGATAGTCCAGAAGGTCCGAACAGTGCTGGAATGATGATTGCAATTGCTAAGATGATTATGTTCCTGGGAGAAAGCATTGACAGACTGGCAGGAGATATGAGGATGATTTATAGTATTTTTACAGAGGAAGTCGCACCTTCGTGAAGCATCTTTGATATAAACTTCTTCTGCTGAATAAGGTCTTACACATAACGACTCTCTGATTGTTCAGACGGATATATAAGCATGATGTAATCGGCTTTATCAACAGCCTGAGGCATGACGGATATGCGGATATACGGATATACGGATGTCCATCTAGGCCTCAGGCAACGCGTCTCTCTTTCGGACGGACTGACAAAACATCAAACAGTGGTTCAGGGATATTGCTCCGCTACTGAATATCATTTCGATGAAGAGCAAGCAGACGCAATTGTCCGAACTGCTTTCTACCATTGCAAAGACGACTGTCTCTCCGTGATCTGGTTTCCATCAAGTGAACATGCTGCCATCCGTTCGTCAATAGCAACACCCTTCGCGCAGACTTCAAGCACCGGACTCGGGTTTCTTATATGCTGCCCCTTGAGCACTTGTATGAAACCTTGCCTCGGCTGGAAACAAACTCTCTATTCAAGTTTCCAAAGATTAAACCCTGGCCGAGACATGTAGTAGACTCGCTCAAGTAGTATCGGACAGTGGTGGCACGTGGAGTGAACCATCTTTGCGCCTTCTTAAGAACACGACATGCTAGGGAGGTCTTTTTTTGTGGACTTCTATAACGCGCTACGTACGAAAATTTGCACAATCTGCGGTGAATTTGGCGGCACTATGTCCCTGCTAGCCCGGAAGCGATGTCGTTTCCAATGCATTCAAGAGGCTCCGGAAACATAAATGCAACTCTGGCCTCTGCCCGAAAGAAACTGCACTTGGCTAAAGCTGAAGTGATGCGGTTGAAGTCATTTAAGACTCTCACTGGAACCTATTCGATGGATGAGATTGCACAGAAGTCCCGCATTGCCATTGTTTCTGTTACGCAGGCTATTTTGGTTTGCGATCGTCAGCCGTCCGGATCCACGCAAGCACAGCCAGAGAACGCAGGGCGAAATCAAAAGTATAACTTTATGGGAGCCTATGCACTTCCTTATTCTGATAAGCAGACTGGCACTGTCGAACACGGAATTTCGTGTGGCGGATGTCAACTCGCCCTTGAAAAGCGCATCATCGGCGGTAGAGGCGAGAATTGGGCACTCGAGGCTCGAGACAGTTTATGCACGAGATTGCTGTTTAGCACATTCTAGATGGTGCGAACAGGTATAAGTGTTGTGGAAGTCGAGTGACGAAGGTCGTCGCCTGCCAATCGAACTACCTGAGACTGTTCGGAGTAGAGGCTACTTTAGCTCAAGAGAGCAACAGTGTTGCGCTTTAATCACCGTATAAACTAATGATCTCGGCAAGGTCATAGATTTCCAACATCCCATGATCCAGTCCACGGTATGTCATGATCCTGAAACCGAAGAAAGGGGTCCTGGCTCACATTTATCATTGATGCGCTCATCCACATATCGTCAGCTGGCCAAGTTATCATAGCAGATGTGTCCTGTTGTTCCTCTTGCTGGTTCTGATTGACAACAACCCGCTCGGTGGCTGGTGCAGAATGGGTGCTTCTCTCTACGTTCGGAGTCACATGTTGATTGACATTGCTCTGACTACGGATGCGGCGTGCAGAGGCACCAGAGTAAGGAGGAAATTCTTGGCCTCCATTCGAAGTGTCAATATCAGTCGCAGGATTGGGATGATGAAAGATCTGCGTCTCGACAACGTCGTCGGTATCGCTACCGTCAGATTGTTGGTCTTGACCATCCCGCTTCGTTCTCTTCTCAAGTCTTACTCTTGAAGGGGACTTGTCTTGAACAAAACTGGGATCAAAAAGCCCTCGTCCGCTTGACCCAGGAGTAGACTTTCCACAGGCGTGGTCAAGAATATCCCACATCAGCCCGGTGTTGATGGAAACTGTCCGCTGTACGGAGCTTTCGTTGTCTTTTTGTGATTCTGAATTGAGTGCTGACTGCACAAGAGAATCAAGTTTATCATACTGTTGGTACTCAGCGCCTATGTCATTTCAGGGGAACGAGGAACTTACCATCGCCTGGCAGACCGGCCACACCGTGCCCAATTCATCAACGAATCGCATGCATTTGCCGAGTTTTGATTGTGCAGAAGTTCTCACGCGGATATCCGATGCTCGACAGTAGTATATATGTGTTGTTGCAGCAACAGCAGCACAATACCCCAAAAATGGATCGGAAACTCGGTAGTCTTTCTCCCAGACCATATCTATCAGCCGAACAGTCCATGTGGAATGTAATAATGCTTGCTCGGATGACGTTTTCCAGAATGTATTCGGCACAGACATTTGCACCGATTGATGAGGACGCGAAGAATACAAAAATGGGTGGTTGAGCATGCTGTGAATAGCGTGATAGACAAATTGAATCCGTAACCACGGACTCCAGTAATCGCGATTCTGCTGCAGCTCTGTTGTGGATCGATCAAGGAATTTCACTGCATCATATCGATGATGCGTCGGGAAACTAGTTTCAAGATTCATCAAATGTGCCCCAATCACTGTGTATCCAGATTCTGGTGACCATGGTGGCTTCGGATGGCCATCCGCACATTGCGCGACATACCCTCGAACCTCGCGCCATAGAGAGGCCTGCTGGACTACATATGTCCATATACCTGCACGCCCATTTTCATCGGTCTGTGTTATGCTGATGGAGTCTTTGGGATTTAAGGGTGGTACCTGTCCCGACTCCTGGCTAATATCTCGTTTCGGTTCGACATATTTTGGATTCTCGATGTCATCGAGCATGTTGAGTAGCATGGACCGCGGGGCATAAGTCTGGTTGAGGATGTATATACTGTAGAACAATCTTCTTCGTGATTCCTCTGATGAGCTGGAAGACTCCTTGTGCGTCTCGATGTTCATGTCGGCCATGTTCGCTAGTGATGTTGCCATATAGATATGAAACCATGCTAAATGAGTTTCCATTGCTATCGAAAATCAGCTATTGACTGGCGGCTCAGGAGACACGGAAGAAAAGTATATCAATATCCGCGAGGGAATCGCTTACTGGTAAAGTTCGCAAAGGCCAACAAGCATAGGCTTTGTATAGTGGACATTTGTACCGCGCCCTGAGCAATCCGAAACATGGTAAGTCCTCGAGCGACTTCTCCGTATCTCTGAGCGAGTTGTTGGTGTGAACGACTTGCAAAATAGGTTGTCGTAGAAAATCGTACTGTGAGTGCCAACAAAGAGAAGACCAACTCTTCAGCTATGTCTTCAGGAGAGGAGAGCTCTTCACGCTCAAATAACCACAGAGGTTGACGATGACAGAACCGGAAATATAGTTCAACTATTTCCAATATCACATTTCGAGGTGGCAGAGGCCTACTGAATGGTCAATATCATCCTCAGCATGTCTTTTCTGGAACTTACTCTGACTCAGAGGATGAAGACACTTCCATCGACTGTGATTCCTGGTTTCTAGGCAATATATGTTGGGGATGAGAAGAAGGTAGTAAGTCGGGCCTAGTTTCAGGCTGATCCGACGTATATGTATGATCTGAATTCGACTGACTTCTGATACTGACTTCAGTACGCTATTCCCACATCGCTCAATAACTTCATATGACTGAAGTTGCTTATACATACGCCGATTTCTCAAGCATTAATTGCATCTTCTCCTCCAGTTGCGCCAGACGCTCTTCCTGTTTGAATACTATCAGCCTCGTTTCGCAGTATGTTTTAGATGGAACCACATACCAGAGTTCTGGTGGGGTGTTGACCCGATGAACGTGTCGATATAACCCCAGCATCATTGTAACGACAAGTTTGATGAAGTCTCGTACATGTAGAGCACGCAGGTTTCTCTCCTGGGCAGCGAATTTTCTTTCTTCTGTGAGATATTATTACTCAGATGCAATCTTCCCATCTCCTTTTGCTAATGTACTCACCGGCAATTATCACAGGAATATTGCACTCTTTTCACAACTCGAGAGCGATTATCTGGCATGGCATCAACCTGTCTGGTGCTACTTCGATGTGATGTTGACAGTTGCAAGTGAGGAAAACCAGAAGAGATGCGAAGTGTGCAAAGGGAAGAGCTAGGGTGGCTGCTGGGCAAGCGGGGTGGGGGTCCGTCTTGCACCTATCAATCCTGAACTCTTAAAACTTTTCATATCATTAAATTTTTCTGCTTCTTCTACCACATTTCTCGAGAGTCACTGTCGGAGTTCAAATAGGTACCAAATCTATGGCGGTGCACTTAACCAAGCAAAAGTGTCTCTGCAACAGAACCGTGAAGTGTAAAGGCGATGGGCACTGAGGCTTTACATCAGAGCCAGTTGGGAAGGCTTTGCTCTACTTTGGGTAACTATTCCCCAGCAAAATCTGCTTCATCACTGGGCCTGGTGATAAGAATGCCAATGGAAATCGTTGATAACTAACCAATAAGGTCCTGTTTCAGGAATTCCGAAGTAAATCTGGATTGCTCCCAGCAGCAAAGGGTTAATAGCGTCAAGGCTCAGCACTTTTGATGCGCCACTAGCTTGAAGCTTCAGACAACCTTGTGAGGCTTATTGGATACGTACACAGGTTCAAACAGTATTTAGGCAGAAGTTGGAGATATAAAAAAGGCAATTTCAGACATCCAGTGAAATGTGCCTGGTCTTTACCTACGAAACTCATCAGATCTTCAGGCTAGGAACCCTCCGTACTGTCAATTGCCATGGCAAATGCACTCCACTTTCTGGGGGTCGTTGGAACATGGACTGCCGCCTTGCTACCGCTCATCACATTAGCAGGTATCATCCCAGCTTATATCTTGTATCGTGAATCTCAAGAATCTCAAACGGACTGCTACGAAGCGCTCAGCCTCGTTAATGATAGAAATCATGAATACGTCTCTAAGTGATCATATGTTTCTACCAGGGAAACGTTTCTTCCGTTCTGTCAAAGTACCAAATCTGAGAAGGCCACCACGTTCTGTATTTGGGAAAGCAACGGGTTCGGCACAACTTATGGTCAAGAGAGACTGCGACCTCTTCACCCGCGACGAATCATTCCTTGACGGAATGGGTAAACCTTTCAAATGTTTTCAGAGCTTACAATATCTACCCACCACCAGATGGCAAGCTCAAAATCTCGGCTACGGAGGCACTACTCCCTGTCCACAGAATATAGTTGCTCTTCATAGGTCTAGTGGATCACTACTATCATCGTGAAGACTATATCCTTTTCATCAACGAACTCTCTAATCCAGACTGGAGGAACACTCTCGAAAGTAAAGTTCTCTACGGGTTGAGCGGTATAGTGCAGCGTACTCAACGAAATCGGGTCTCCTTTAGAATGTACGATTGTCACCCATATGAAAAGAATGCCAGAATACACATTTTAGCAGAAGAAATTCCAGTGGTTGTCGGAATTTGTATCTGGGGCTATGCCACCAAAGGACGCACATTACAAGTTGAGGGAAGTCCAGAAAAACTAGATCTCAGTTCGTCACAGGCGACTGGTGAAGGAAATGGGATTTCAGCTACCAAGAATCCGTAAAGTATGCAAGGAGAGAAAGGATCATGAAAGGAACGTGCGGATGCTCACAGCATTTTTTCGTCATATCGACCATAAAAAGGGTGGTCCATGTTCCGGCAATACTGAAATTCCCTAAGGCTGAATTCGATTTCGATTTTGCGACAGTATTCGACGTGACACTTATTGGAAATAGCAAGGATAGTCTGGTAGAGTTGATTATACCGCTCTGGAAAGCTATGCTAGCATGTTTATATGCATCTCTCAGAAGGCAAATGTGGTACACGGTCCTTCCAGCGCGAGATTTATCAGCATCTTACGCCCAATTAGATCATGTCGTATATATTCCCTCGCAGGACCTACCATACGATGGCAGAAGTCCCATTGAAGAGATGAGAGAATTAGCGGACAGATTCCGTGAGTCTATCGTTCCTTGAAGAGGCCAGGAATCGTCTCAGAGATAGTGAAGAAGAGTCCGATTCCGATTCTTCCATATATCAAGACGAGCGAATTCGAGCGATCATCCTCGGATCGGACCGCAGCACGTAGTCTACGGTTGGGTAGAGACTCAAAGGAGTCATTGTGTTTGAAACATCTCTCGGAGAAGTTAATTCTGAGGAGTTGTCTATGCAAGAAAGACCTGATATGTGTCTCGACAATCATTGAACAGCTATTGCGGTCGGTTTCGACGCTTTCCAAGTTCAAGGCTCCAACTCTTCTCGACTGATGCTGCTATAGTTAGGTGACCGCGTGTTTATTACTGGAGACTATCAAGACCTACCAGGGGTTGTTGTACTGCGGGCTTGCTAGCTACGTGCCATCCTCGGGTTCTTGATCTGTCAACACCAAGTCCATTTCTATCTTACTATTTTTTCTATACGTTCGCCCTTATTGTAATACGTGACGGGTTAGCTATCGCCAAAAGTTGTTATCCAGATCATATCACTCCGGCACGAATTTACTCCTCCTTCTGATAGCTGGCCCATATCGATAGAATGCATATGGAATAATGACCAAGACTCCGCTCAAACTGCCGAGAATAGTCAACGTATGAGCGACACCCATGTTCTCATAGAATGGAATCGAAATCGCGACAAATGCGCCGGAAGTAGTGTATCGAATGAGGGTGACACTTGCCAACGCACTAGCCGCATAGATCTCGTACGTATCCATTAGATACTGGTACGTGGTCATGAAAACACACAGAATGCCAAAACCGAAAAACACCGATGCCAGCAGAGGAGACCAGATGGAAATATCCGGACGAGCAGTCCAGCCCATCCAGAACAGACTGACTGGTACTGCTGGACCACCAATCATCGCCCAATATAGACGCGATTCAGGGGCTACCTTGATATCTGGGCCGAGAGCTCTCGCACGTGCAATGTCTCTTTTACGGAGATGCATGTTTAATGGAATAAAAAGGGCGCAAGAAAGAATACCAACTATCTGGCCAACGAAACAAACTCCCGTCAACCCCTGCGAGAGCCCATATATCTCGGTGAAGATGTAAGTGTATCCGGTCAGGAAAGTGAAAAGCACAATGTATACCATTGTCAAGTATAATCCAAAGAGAACGAGAATTGGTTCTTGGATAAACATCAAGAAAGGGCGGTACATGGCTCTTCCAAGACGGACAATTAGCGGCGTTTTGCGAATCTCAATGGCTCCGCGGTAGCGTTTGTCGCCAGTTATTTGACGAAGCTGCTTTGCTTTCCATCCAAGAAGTATAGGAGCATAGGTCTCAGGCTGAACGAGGACAACAATAATGAGAACAACACCAGAAGCAATCAAAGTCACCCACTCGGCCCATCGCCAACTGACACTCGAGCTTTGGCCAATCCAATCTCCAACAAGGGGAGCCAGCAATGGTCCCAGGAATGCAGAACAAGCAAAGAGTGGAAACGCAAAGACTCGTTCCTCTGGCGTCCAGATATCCGATAGGGAACCACCAGCACAAACCAGAGGCGTGGCACCAAATAAACCGGCAAAGAATCGACAGGTAAGTTGAGAACCAATATTGGGGGATGCTCCTGCACCAACCAAAAAGCCCATGTACAAAGCCATTGTGACAATGTATACAGGATTCCGCCCCAAGGTTTCTGAGAATGGACCGGCCACGAGGGCTCCGAACCCGAACCCAATCATGAAAAGACCTGTTGCGAGCGCTTCTATAATCTCACTGACACCGAATTCAGCAGCGGCCTGCGGGATAATTGCCGAGTCGATTGCAGAGGCGAATCCAACAATACCTCCAATCAAGGATATAATGAAGGTACATACAATCCGTTTGGTAACTCCCCAGTTGTATGGGTTTATAGGGTCTGTATCCGACTCCCAAGAAACGACAAACACCTTGCCAAACTCTGGACCACCTTCTATCGTCGTCCGTGGACGGATTTCGATACCGGTTATTGCGCGTCCAAGTGTTGTTCCGACTGTAGTGTGCGTAGGCACGACGCGAAGGTCATTTAGGTCCATATCATCTGGCAAAGCTGCACGCTCAATGTTATCTTTGGTGATACGATCGGCAGCATCTGTGCTCTCGTGCTCTGATCTCGGGGGAGAGGAATATATCGAGCCAGGGGTCTCAGTTTCTTCCCGTTGGTTGGCTCGAGACTCGGCGTTGTAAACGTGGGAGACGGCTTCTTCACTGCCTCCTCGACCTCTTTCCAGGTCCTTCTCTTCCGTGTCGAACCTTTCTCCAGTTTCAATCACGTCCAGTCGCTGCGGGTGTAAGTGTGAAATCTTATCTCTGCTGCGACCCAGTTGTGCCTCGAGAGCCTTCCCGAAACGGCGATATTGCAATAGCGATTGCATCGTGGCGTGGTATATTGACAGCCGAACAAAGGTACCTGCCTGAACCCAGACAAATAATGTCGCTTGCTACCTTATTCCAACAATGCCAGCCTTATCCAGGCAATTCCGCAAGCATCGGAACAGAAAGTTCACACCAAACCTGGGTAGATCCCAAATTTATGCGGAAGTACGCAGCGGATATAGAGTGCCCGAAACAAGGTAAACGAGGCAAGAAAAACTGAAAAAAAAAAAGGCGAAGCTGACTGATATATCTATGCAGCTATTACAACTAAGTGGACCTTATCTGGGTAACTATCCACCTACCTAGTTCCTAGTTAGGGCATAGAAGCTGCGTTCCGGACTGTGGACAGAACTCCGAGATATTATCAATCAATGTTAAGGGTATCGGCCACAATACCGAACACATCATCCGGGCTGTAAAATACTTATCTGGGTGAGTAATCGTTGCATAGCCGAGGGTAGAGCTTCTCATATTGAGGAGATACTTAAATCGTAGTGGCCATGATTGTCACATACGGTAGACGATTCGCAGGAGAGATGTGATCAAGATCTTGTGATTGGATTCGGCGATTACAGCCGGTGGGGCGTATGCCTGAATAAAAACGTCGACTCCATAGCTCCTGAACAGAGATTTTTAGACAATTCGAGAAATTTTTGACAAAATAAACTGGGTCAATCCTGTCCTGGTTCCAGTTGGGTCCTGGCTGAGTAAGCGGACTATGAGAAATCCCTAACGTAATTCACCACCGAAGCGGCACCACTACCGAGCCGGCATTTTTTCCCGAGCGCGTACGCGATATTGATTTCAAATCCCAATTTTCAAAGCCACATACAAATTATATACAAAAATCTAACTACTAATACGACTAGGGCATTGGTTAATTCTATGCCCCATAACGTTACAACCACTGCAGCGATATTGGCGGCGTACGACTGCTTGAGAAGCTGGGAGCTCCGGCTCAGCCGGAGTAGTAGTAGTAACAGCATGGGATGCCTCAACCTGACCTTGTACGAGCGCTTGCACTTCTTCTTTAGTAACCCCTTGCTCAATAGATATTTGCTTTTTAGATTTTTGGCGCTTTTGCTTCTCTTTCTCATGTGCAGCTCGTAAATCGTAGTTCTCTTTCCGTACGAGTAAAACATCATTCGCTATCATTTCGTAGGCTTTTGACAACCGTACAACTGCCTGATTGATTTCTTGATTTTGGTTGCTTTCTGTACGCTCATTTATACGTTTATTGATTGTAGTCGACTGGCGTATAAATTGGCGTATATTTTGAGGTGTTTGTAAGCAGGATGATGCTGTATTGCTTGATCGACTTGGAGGGGGGGTTGGTGTCTTCAATCGAATATTAAGCTGTTGTATAACTCGATCTGGATTGAAAGGCACTAATCCAGTGGCTGCGAAGCTATTCCGAATAGTTTGAGCTTTATATGCCACTGTACGAGCCTGTGGAAATGCTGTTAAGAAGTCCATTTTATCAATATGATTGAAACCAAGCCTCATTCGTTGCTCAACAAGCTGCCCATAATGTCGCTTTAAAACAGCAAAACAGCCAACATCAAGAGGCTGTAAGAGATGCGAAGAATGAGGTGGCATACAGACTGGAATAATATTATTCTCAGTACATATATGGTCAAATTCTGGTGTCAAATGGCTTCCATGGCCATCAAGAATCAACATTCGATATTTTCCAACCGTACGACCATTAATATAGGGAATAAAATGGGTTTTAAGCCATTCTAATCCTATCTGATCTGTAGTCCAGCCATTATCGCTAATATTGATTCGCCAATCATCTGGAAGATCATCAAACCAGCCTTCTCGTACGTTTTTCTTTGCTTTGAAAACCACGTACGAAGGCACAGCCCATCCAGTTGAATTTGTTGCCTCAATTGCAGTCACCCATTCTCGATTTCCAGGCTGTAAAAGCTTCGGCTGAGCATATCGATCGCTTCCAGTAATAACCTTTGCAGTTGCACAGAGTCCCATAGCAAAGCCAGTCTCATCAAAGTTGAATATATCTTCCGGTAAGATGCCGTACTCAGATATAGCAGCTTGTACGCGATCAAAATGTTCTTGTATTATCTTTGGATCTTCGCATTTAGCACGTTCGTAGTTGTATTTCCTTGCGAATTTGGAATCGATCTCTGGACGGCGTTTAATCAGTTTAGTTATCCAATTTTTTCCAACTTGTGGTTTGCCATGTTGTGAAAGTATATAATTAGCCATTTCTCGTACAAGAGAATGCCGGGGGGGTAATCCACGTCGATCTAAATCAAGCACCCATTTGACAAGCGATTCCTCTTCATATTGAGTCAATTTATGGCTGTTGGCGCGTACGAGAGATCTTTGTTGAATACCATTGAGTCTATCTTGTAAAGTTGTCCGGGGGATCTCGTAAATCCTTGCAGCTTGAGCTACACGTTGAATTCGGCCATTCTGTAAATCGGAAATTGCTAATAAGATTCGTCCCTCTTGCTCATCTAAATTTTTCCGGTTTTTATTGCGAATTGGTGGCATATTGACGTGTTGAATAATATAAAATCAATATCGTGTACGCGCTCGGGAAAAAATGCCGGCTCGGTAGTGGTGCCGCTTCGGTGGTGAATTACGTTATTGTGTCACAGCCCTAGCCCCGAATAGGGGTTCGAGTTCCGACTGGGATATATCTGAACGCCTTTCTGTCTAGTTCAAGTCATTGTAATGTGCACTGAAATATCTGCGATCCCCTCGTACTTTTCTGGTGTAAACAAATAGGGTGACTGTATACAACCTGCTATTCAAGGGTCTTGTTGGTATCCCTCTTTCTTATGCTGATCACGCGCTGGAGATTGATATCGACAAGCGGGGAGATGTAAAACTGGGGGACCCCGTCGGGTGAAGAAGTAGTTGCTATAACTGGCCAAAATAAACCAAGTAAGATTGAATGGGCAAAGAAACCAAATTAAAATTAGGCTAAGTGATAACATCCATATTTATGCGGGGAAGTTGATCTCTTTATGCACAGTTTTAGGGTTAGATGCATGTGAACGCTCAATCTAGCAGGAAATATCATCGATTAGCCAGCAGTATGAGATAAAAAAGTGTAAGGAAGAATCTATCCAGGCACTTGATGCACTGGGTACTACCGTCAACTAAGAAATAGCGAGGTGTAGTCGGTATCCCGAATAGGAATATTGCAATGTGTAACCCTAAATGCCCGGTGAAAAATACCCGCAAATGCGCCTCGGTCACACCCGTCACAATGAGGGCGTTTCTAAGGATTATCAACACCTCTGAAATGAAATGGATTCTCCCGAGTGGTGGAATTACTATACTCTGTAGTACAGCTTGGAGCAATTTTCGGAAGGGCGGGCATCGAGGATCGGGTACGATAATTGATGAAAACTACTTCTGCGCTAAACCGAGGAAGGAATCGTGAAAGTGCAGACATAACACACTAGGGATTTGTCATGTCAAGTCGGTCTGTCGACGCGACGGTAGTTTGATCACTTTGATTTATAAATATTTTCATTCCTGACTAAACTTATTTGCGGGTGAATCGTGAAACTAAGAATCTGTTATGAGCTGACCTCATATGGTTCGGGCGAAGCCCTCACCAGAGAATCTGTAGCGTTTTCATCTGCGTCTGCACCCAGGACGCTGGAGGCAGCCTGGCAGTTCGAGGTTATTCCCAGGAGTCGAAGGTTCATTCTGATTGGCTGATTTGCCTTCTAACGGGAATTCTATTGCCCAATCAGAATGCACGATACATGACTTCGTGTCTTGGCACTTGCGTGGTGTCTAATCCTCGAACAGCCAGGAAAGAAACTCCATGGCCTAATTCTATCAAATATGTCGGTCACAAAATGCCTAAGGCGAATAACTCTCCACAGCTCGCCGGGATGGAAGAGAATACTGCCTACGACTTGGTGAGAAGGTAGTATTTCGATCGGCCTCATCATTTGGAGTCCCGAGACGCGCGAATCAGCGTCGCTCCCGCAAATGGTGATATTACCTTTTAGATATCGAATCCTGGCAAAATATCCGGGATTATTATTACCTGTGGTAATCCCCTCTCCTGGAGTGATCTACTAGAACCGGATTGGCTGGTATATGCGTTAAGCTATTCCAAAAGGTCTCTAGGAAAGATAATAAGCTCTCTGTATACGTAGGTATCGACGAGACAAAATGATCTTCCGAATCCGTGTACATTTTGTGGCTAGGTATGTATGAAGAACTATTGTGGGTTTTTTAATGGGTGGGGGAATCCATGGATCTGAATGCTGAGGCATGTTGAGACTTTTATTACTTATACCCTTGATCACTCAGGGAAGTCGCGACAGCATCCGTTGCTTCTCGATTCACATTCTCTCTCACGTTGCGTGTACATACACTAAGCATCAATTTACTACTTTGATTTTATTACGAGGGAGTAGCTTAAGAATGCAGTTTCGAGCAACTTTACCATTATTATGGGCTATTTGCCTATCATTCTTGAGCCTAAATGTTGTGCTCGCCCACTCTCCGCACAAAAATCCGTTTCCAACAGGTTGTTTACCGGACCCGTCAGACCCCTTGAAGGTCGATCTGGGCTATGCTGGATATAATGGAGTGCATAATGCATCTTCCGGTTTGAATCAGTGGTATGGGTATGTATGCTCTACACATTAACGAAGTGTTCTGTTTGTTGATTAGGGCATTTTCTCAATTGCTTGAAGAATACGTTATGCGCAGGCACCCATCGGGAAGAGGCGATGGCAGGTTTCGAAGCCTCCTAACACCAAGTTTAATGGCACATTCATGGACGCAAGTACGTACGGACCGATATGTCCACAGGTATTTGATCATATCAAGTGCGTCTACATTTATTTTCTCAAGTGAGACGGTGAAGATGTCTAATCTCATTATGGTATAGTACTCCTCCGTCTCCATGGTCAGCAAGCGCGTCCCAGAGTGAAGACTGTCTGGTTTTGAACGTGTGGGCCCCAGAAAATGCCACTGACCTACCTGTTTTTGTTTGGATCCGTGAGTTCCATAGTCTGCAAGCCTTTAGTAACCCAGCTAATCGCGTACTACTTAGACGGTGGTGGCTACGGCGCTGGATCTGCCGATACCGACATGACATGGATGGTTGAGACTTCTGTGACCAAATTCGTCACTGTGGCTATACAGTACCGCGTATGTGAGGAACGCTTTTGGGACATCAATATACCGGTGATGCTGACTGATGTTTAATTTGCTCTAGCTTGGGGCATTTGGATTCTTAGCGAGTAGTGATGTTCAGAAACATGGAACAGCGAATGCCGGTCTCCATGATCAGTTTCTAGCACTGCAGTGGGTACAGAGATATATCTCGTTGTTTGGTGGAGATCCAGATCGTGTTACGATTGGGGGCGAATCAGCTGGTAATTATTATCTGAAGGCCAATTTGATTTCAGCAAAATTGACATGATGATAGGAGGTGGCTCGGTAATGTTGCAAGCGATGGCTTACGGAGGAAACCTAGGCGACGAACTTTTCAGCGGCGTATGTTTGGTTCTTAACAGATACTAAACAATAGCTGATAGAGAGTAGGTTTTCCCGTCTAGTCCTTATCTTCCTCAACAATATAATTATTATGATGAGGTTCCGACTACATTCTACGAGAGATTTGCTGCCGAGGTAGGTTGCGCTAACTCCGCCACTAAGAGAGTATTTGACTGTCTCGTGGCGGCAGACACCAAGGCACTTCAAAACGCTTCTTGGACAGCTACTGCACAAGCCAAATACGGACAATGGGCATTTACACCTGTGACGGATGGAGAATTTGTTCAACAGCGACCGAGTGTACAGCTTGCCACTGGCGTAGTGAATGGCAAGAGAGGATTGATTGGAGTATGTTAACTGGGCTGTTTGTCAGTATGTATTGACTGCTGACCAGCTGATAGAATAATGCCAATGAGGGGGTGTCTTTTACTCCTCAGAACATCACCACTGAGGATGCATTTGTTGAATTTGTGAAATACTTGATCCCAGAACTCACTGATCATCAGACGCAGCAAGTATTATCTCACTACCCTTTGCCGAGCAGTCTTCCCAATGTTAGATTTGCTACGGATGGGTTGAGTAAGGATGCGACTGCTGTGTTTGTGAGCCCATTTGCTGTTGGGCAAGAGCAGAGAGCTATAGTAAGTCTTTGATTGTTGTTAATCTCATACTGCAGGGATATTGTTCACTGACATTCTTTTACAGAACCTCTACTCTGAAATAACATTCGTCTGCCCAGCTTACTGGCTCGCGGATGCGTACGGTAAAAAAGGTGGACAAAGCTACAAGTACCAATTCTCCCTGATAAACTCATGCCACGGAGAGGACTTGCCGGGATACTTTGGCAATGCACCTCCCACTATGTCTCAGGCGTTTCAGGACTCTTTTCTCTGTAAGTCTGTTGTAGCTTGCAGAAGAAGTATATGGCTGACGAATGAATAGCCTTTCTCGACAGTTTCGTCACACATGGAACTCCCAGTAACACCAGCTCTTATACAGCTGACGTTCCGACTGATACAGCTAAACTCCTAGCGTCATGGCCGTCGTGGAGCATAAACAACCGACTACAGATGAACCTAAACCAGACAGGAGGGATTTCCACCATTGTCACAGATTCAAATGATCCGTATGGGACGGTTATCAACACGTACGTGAATCCAGGATTGGTCCCTGACTTCACTATAGTAGATGGCTATGCCTGGGAAGGGGAACGAGGAGTGCGATGTGATTTTTGGAAGTCGATTGGAGCCGCCGTACCTGAGAAGTAGGAATTGTAACTAGTTCATAGTCATACATTAGTTACAGGTCAGCATGCTACAACTAGAATATGATAGAATGTTGTGGGTCTCTGGCATAGATCGATCGACCGGTATCCCCTTGCCGGTAGCCAATCAGACACGCGGTCCAGCCGGGCCGATGCATGCATTGATCCGGTCGCTTATCGCCGCTTCTAGCCGGTTCATATTTGAATAGCATCAATCCTGAATCGCGCCTTGGGAGGAAAATTGCAGTGCCCTTAATTATTGTCAATGTGTTGCTAGTGATAAGAAAAGTCTCGATTGGATGCTAGTAACAGTGCAAGTAGATGATATCTATAGGCTAAACAGTCAGCGTTCAATTAGAGTGTTCTTATCGATAAGCCGGCTGTGGCGATGACGATAAGGCCCGGCAACCCACCTTCCCTTTTGGGACTTTGATGATGACCGCACCGGTTTGCAGGCGGGTTGTGTCACCATTTCCTCTTATGTATATAGTTAGTCTACAACTTCCTTCTCTTTCTTCTCCTTGTTCTATCCATACTGAACTCGTAATAACACTCCTTATTACTGCTCACGATGAGCCGGACTCGCGCTCTGTGCGCATTCAGTACAGCTATACCGCCTCCTTCGCCACGCGTCGTTATCTCGTCCCTGGTCCATCATTCGAGACATGTTAGCACAACACAGAATGCAAAGGCATCCGCTATAGGATTGGGCTCTACGCCTGAGCCTACCACCACAGCTTCCATTCTACAGTCCACCTTCCCTTCATCAACGACACATCCACCCCCGCCGCCTTCATCGACAGCTACATCAACAATAGTACCTACACCTAGACCGCCGACCAAGTCGCCGCTCGCAAAACTCCCCCTCTCTGCCATTATAAGATCAGCATTGATTCTCTCCATCTCATCATCACCATTACTACTAAAACCTTGCATATGGGCTCTCTCAGCTCTCGCAAGCCCCAAAATCGCTCTTACCGATGTCGACCGCAACCCTATACTGAACTGGTTGGTCAAGACTACCATTTACAAACAGTTCAATGCCGGAGAGAACAAGGACGAGGTACAACGGTCCATCGTGGAGACGAAAGCTCTAGGTTGTCGCGGTGTGCTATTGGGTTATGCTCGTGAGGTTTTAGTGGCGGATAGCGAGACTAGTCCACATGATGAGACCTTGGCACGACAGGAAGTGGATGCATGGTTGAAGGGCACATTACAGGGTGTCGATATGGCAACTGCGGGTGACTTTGTTGCTTTGAAGTATACTTTCTATATCTCACGGCTTCCTCGACTCGGTAACTGACTTGTCTGTTTAGGCTTACTGGAATGGGAACTCAAGCTGTACACCTGTTGAAGAACCGTCTACCACCTTCGGAATATATGGGTGCTGCTATTACAAAAGCCTGTGACGCTGCTCTCGCCAAGTCTGCACGTCTATTGGTCGATGCAGAGGAGCAAGCCGTGCAGCCTGGCATTGAAGACTGGGTCATGAAGTATCAGAAATACTGTAACTCTCAATCACCCGGCTATGCAACCATGTACTGCACCTACCAAGCATATTTGAAATCCACGCCGGCCACCATCGCAAAGCATCTCGCCATGGCTGAGAAGGACGGATATACTCTTGGCGTGAAACTTGTTCGCGGCGCATACATGAAAATCGAGTCCAGGAATATTATTTGGGATACTAAAGAAGAAACTGACGCTTGCTACGATGGTGTTGTTGAAGCGCTTCTGACTCGTCGCTACAATTTCATGCTCCGTCCTGCACCGGAAAGCCAGTCCAGAGACCAGGTGCCATCCGTCAACATGATCATTGCCACTCACAACCGCGACTCTGTGCTGAAAGCACATCAGATTCGTCTTCGACAAGCAGAGAACAACGACCCTAGAGTTGAACTTGCGTATGCCCAACTTCAGGGTATGGCAGATGAGATCAGCTGTGAGTTGATCAGTGGTTTCTCTACTAGTACAGAGAAAACCTCTTTTATAGAGCAGCCGAATGTTTATAAGCTGCTTACCTGGGGTTCGGTGCAGGAATGTATGGGATTCTTGTACAGAAGGGCACTTGAGAATACGGAAGCAGTGACTCGGACGAAGGATTCGAGGTCGGCTATGTATGCGGAATTGTGGAGGAGAATCACGCGGCAAGCTTAATGAGCGTGTTATTGATGGCTATAATTTTGTTTTGGTTCAGGCGTTGGTTGATTAGCGAGGCATAGCGTTGCATAGTTGATTGCTAGAAATGTCAATGCATTTGAAATAAGTGTATGCCATATATGAATTTGTGTAATGGTTGCATGAACCTAGCCTTGCTACCAGTAACATGCTAGGAAGGAATTACAACCTTGGAAGTTCATATTATAAATGATGTACGTCCACGGGTAGAGCACATCCATCAGCGTTGGGGTCATACCTACAAACTCAAAAACGTTTCCAACAACTCATCAGGCTGATCAAAAAAGTCAAACATAACAATCCCCAATCTTTTACCCTTCTGCTGCTTTAAAAATGGCACAAGCAAATCATTAACTCCACCTTTAGGCGTATACTCTGTCCCATTACCCAAAGCCTGGATTACGGGCCATATATAAGGCACATTATCCGTGTTTTCACTCGAGGCCCATGTCCAGAATAGACTGTCAGCATAGTCGTTGCTGGTCGCCCTTTGGAGATTGGCAATGGTCGCGTTGTACTTCCATTGGATATTTTCTGCGGCGGTTGAGCGGAATGGTGTCTGGGGCTCGTAATAATCCTCGATATAAGCGGTTAGGTTCTTTGCGGTGTTGTAGACTAATCTAATATCAGGGCTATTATCTGTCCAGAGAGTAGGCGAGAAGTGTAATCCCGGTAGATTGTCTGTATAAGAAGCCGGTAACTGGTCCAGGTCAAATCGGCGCATCAGCGTGATTTTACCTCGCGCCTGTCCCAGGGTTCCAAGCTCGTCTTTGGTTTGCACGAAGTATGCCCTGGCAGCAGGCATAGTTAGGGCTTCGTAGAGCTGTAATTGCACCGCGGCATTGTTGGAGGCGTGTAGAGCAGTAGACCCTTCGTACTGGAAAGACAGAAACAAAGTCTCGGAAGGATGATCGTCGAGCCATTTGTAGAATCCGAAAAGAATATCGTTGACTGTGGCTTTCTCTGATAGTAGAGCCTGTGAATGGTAGAATATGAGTGTGGTGTTTGTAGGATCAAAGGCATATCGCATGTCAAATGCTCGTATACCCATGTTCAGCATGTCGATAAGCGACAGTTGTTGGCATCGGAAAGCAAGCGGCGTAGGAACAGTGACTTGGTTTAAGTCTGTGATGCCTAACAGAAAATTTTGTGTGGCTTGCGTATAGTTCCATGTTGCGCTGTCGTGAGTGCCCGGAATGTTCATGTGTACGAGCAGAGTGTCGTCCGCGTAGTACTTCATCCATTCAGCGGTGCGACTGGTGTTTTTGATATATTTGCCAAATATGGGCGATGCTTCGTCGAGGACTTTGTCCAAGGCGAATTTGGCTAGTGAAGTTGATTGAACTGACATGGGGTACATGGCGGCCGCTGCCGTCAGGGTCAATATTTGCTTCCACATCATGTAATACTTAGTCAGTGGGAGACTCAAAAATATAAAAAACTGGTTGAATTGGAGCTGCACCATAAACCAGCTCCTCACTGGGATATGAATTATTTATAGGAGAACGTGGTATCAATAGAGCTGAATCGTGGATTTCCTGAGACTTGTGATTAAGTCACCTTATTTGGCCGTGAGAAGGAAGATAATGGGTTGTGTACGTATAGTAATATCACATACTTTGCTCGAATCAAGACGGAAGGGAATAATCAGCTGGACAAATCCATGAGAAGGTGACTGATTTCCACGTGCATTAGTCGGGGCGATTCAATTGGCCTTGGCGAGATTAATTCAATGTTGTTTTAATGACACTTAATCTCTAGTTTATTGCCATTGTTTATAGTGGCCCACATAAGCTTGAATCTAATAAATTAGTTTAAACGTAGATTTGGAGCTTGAGAGAAACAATTCCTTGACAAGACACACGTATATAAGCGGGGTGTACTCTCCGATTTGATTCAGACTCAAATTTCAAATTTCAACATTTAGACAGGTAGAGCCTGCATATCTAGGTAGTTACAATGTCTCGTTTTAGTGTTGGAATTGCTATTGGTCTCGCCAGCCTTAGTCCTGTGCTAGGATTGACCCCGGAAGAAACGTTCTACCCACCTACCCTGAACGACACGGCCTACATCAGCAACAGTTCAATTGGCACGTATGGCGGTACCTACCAAGCTCCCACCACCGGACCAACTGGAGGAACTCCGTATGGAGCGTATGATTATTGTTCCATGCCTCATCCTCGTCCACAAGAGTATGAGCTCCCCGATGCCCTAAAACAGGGTCATGTTTGGGGCAAGCTTGTCTACCTCGAGTATTTGCAGCGTCATCAGAGACGTTCTCCATACAATATCTTGCCTGGTGGGGAGGTAAGATATTTCTAGAATTGTCAGGTGGAGTTTAGGTGCTAATCCTTATAGAACCAAGCCTATGAATGCGACAACGTCAGGCCGTATCTCTATGCAGGTGTAAATTCTTTCTCTGGAATCCAGCCAATTCCCATGTATGCCCAGACCTATCAAGATCCAACAAACCCCTTCACCCCTGGAGTCAACGGTACATGCCAATACCCTCAAATCACCATTGGAGGAATCCAGGACGGCTTCCAGCACGGCAAAGATCTCTGGGCCGTCTACGGTGAGAGACTCGGCCTGATCCCCAGACAGCCCAACGAGCGCGTCTGGTTCCGCTCCAGTGAATCAGCCCTGACTCAGGGAAGTGCCGGAGCGGTTTTGCGTGGTGTCTGGCCTTGGTACCAGGGAACACTACCTCTACACCAGATGGTATCTAGCGTTGATACAGTAAACGCTGGTTATTCTTGCTCGGCGGTTGGCAACATGCTCAACGCTATAAAGTCAACACCCGAGTGGAATGAGCATATTACTGTCACAGCTGAATTGCGCTCCACTCTGGGCTCGATGTTGGGTGCCGAAAGTGGCTCCTGGCAGTCCACTTTTGACCATTTCTCGGATAATTTTCAGGCCCGTCTGTGCAACGGTTACATGCTTCCTTGCAGCCTGACTAATTCGTCTAACTGCGTGACCATGGAGATGGCCGAGGAGGTCTTCCGTGCTGGAGACTGGGAGTGGAACTACTACTGGCGCACGAATCCGGATGTCGCCAAGTATATCCAAGTAGTTGAAGGCTTGTTCATTGGAGAGATAGTTACTCATCTTCAAGCTGTTCTGAATGGTACTTCATCTCTCGATTATACACATATTTTCGTACACGATGGTGATATCGGTCCTGTGTTGGGAGCGCTGGGTATTGATGCACTTCGATGGCCTGCCATGGCATCTAATATCGCCTTTGAAGTTTGGTACGCATCTTGATTTCCTTGTTGTGTGATACCTTTTCCACTGACCATATACAGGGAAACAAATGATAACCAGAGCCGTTACTACGCAAGGGTACTGTACAGTGGTTGGCCACTCAAGACTATCCATGGTACCCTTGACTGGGTTCCTCTTGCTGATCTCATCAACATCATGAAACCATATATACCTAAAGATATCGTCTCTCTATGTGCATAGATTGATAGATTTTTTATTTAATAACCTATGAACCTTGGAAATGGCCGGGAACGGTCCGTTTCTGCAAAATTCTGAATTCAGATTACCTCGGGAATCATATGGGGATACCTTTGTCTTCTGTCCTCCTGCATGGTTGAGCCATATTAGCTGTAGTCGGGTAGCCGCTGCACATGCAAGCAGTCAATAAATGATTACTAAATAACCTACCTATCCTTTTAAGCCGCTTTTGACTGGCTGCTGGACTATCTTTGTTGGTTCGATACCCGCATGGAGGGATTTGTCAGCTAACTGAAAAGTCTCCAGATCAATCACTCGGAACTGTAATGTGGGGAAACAGGTATAAGAGACTCGGTAGCTCAAGTTCATTCGCATCACAATGGACTTACCCAAGAAGAAGTCCAGAGGGAAATAAACGTCAAACTCAATTCAGCCATTACATCTATTTCAAGACACATAATCAACATCATAATACTTAGGTGCAACAAACCACTATGGCCGCCACAGCCGACAAATCCAAGCCCTACATCCCCCTATCCAGCTGCGCCAACGATGGCTGGTCAAAAGAAGAATCAGCGACAGCAACTTGCTTCTGCGGCGCGGTTCAACTCTCATTCCCAACTCAGGGACCCGGTCTAGTCGGCACATTTGTCTGTCACTGCACCGACTGTCGCAAGATCACCGCGTCCATGTTCGCATCCAACTTCACCGTCGACGACGCATATCTGACCCATATTCGTGGTCACGACAATCTGACATCTTACGGCCAGTCACATACCATTGCCTCGGGTAAGAAGATGACGAATTATTTCTGCTCTACCTGCGGTACCCTCATGTACCGTGTTGGGGAAGCTTTTCCAGGGAAAAGTATCCTCCGGATTGGCACAGTAGATGATTTTAATCTGCATGAGACGAAACTCAGGCCCCAGCGAGAGATTTTTGTCAAGGATCGTGTTTCTTGGGCTACTTCTATTGAGGGTGTCCAGCAGATTCAAGCACAGAGTTCAAAGATCTAATCATACAGACTCACTATGACATGGACAATTGGAATATGAGTAATAAGTCAATGAATGAATTAGTATGAGATATAACCTAAGAATATCCATGAATAATAGAGAGTAGGACCTGGCTATAGCAAACAGAAGCACCCTCAGGATGTAAATCAATAATCTCAAAACCACAATTCACTTAATAAGAGAACACCCTAGTGTCTAGCTTCACATCTCAAATCTTTGACGTTGTATATCTCAATCAATTTTTTCCCATTTACATCTCGATTGACTCTTTTTGAGAAAAAAGTGGTCGTTATACAACTTGTTGAAAGTCTTGAATGGCGTGTGGTAGGACCTTTAGAAAAATGAGAGTCAGTATCAAACAGAGCAATATAATTATCCAGCTCTATGCTGTGAATCTTTTATATCACGTTAAAACTTAAAAGTACCAAAGAATGTCTTTGTGTAAAATCACATCATCCAAAAGAGTCCCATATAAGTAAAAAATGAACTTGAAGCGTACACTTCTCTCAGTAATCATCAAAGTCGGGAATAAAGAATGATATCCTTTCTTGCCATTTCAATGGAGAAACCCAATCCCATTAGTCCTCATCGAGTTTGAAATAATAACTCGGTATGTAAGTCAAGCCCTTACACGAATAAAGATAGGCCTGGAAAGAGGAGAAGAAGCTTGCATTAGATAAGTAAAGATCTCAAACCCCATTATTCCTACTTCTAACAAAGTAAAGGAAAATAAGGAATAGTCCGCAAGTCCTATAAAAACATACCGCTTACCCTCCCTCATCAGCTTCAACCGGACCCTACAAATAAGGACGAGCTTGAAGAATTCCTCAAGACAGAATTCCCAGTATATCAAGTACGATGGAGCCGGAGTCAATACGAATCAGAAGTCGTAAAGGGTATAATCTCATTAAACATCTATATCTACAGGACTTCCGAGAACAGCTGAGGAATTTTGAGGAGAATCTGACGAATAAGGAAAAGTTGTTGAAGAATACCACGGAGAAACCAAAGAATTCCAATGGAGAACAAATGAAACGATGAAGAAAGCGGAGACAGTGGAAAAAGCTCGAGCAACATGACAGGATCAAGCAAAACGAGTACTTCCTACTGGCGGCTTATGCAAATGAGCTGGAATGGACAGCTGAAAAGGGCGATCCGAAAACTTATTATATAAGAAATCCTGGTGGGACTACAATCGAATATGCTATTAGGGCAATTGAAGATCTTGAAGAGCTTGATGACACTACGCGAAAGCAAAATGCATCTGAAGGATTTAAGATGATCTATGGGGTCTCTTTAGAGCAGCTACAACCTAGAACTGCTCCGGAAGAAATAGTAGGTGTCTTAATAAAAGAGCTGTATAGAAAAAATTTGATATATGGAAAGGAAAATAAACTTCTCTGTTGAGAGGAAGAAATGGATTGAAGCATGTGACCAAGTTATGAAAAATTGGTTAGATGCAGGTGAATCATGTCTCGAGGAAGGCGTCAAGGAAGAATACATCACACTGAGTCAATGGATGAATGATTGTGTCGAAGATGTCTAAAAGCGTAACTAGAATCAAATGGATATGTTCTTCTGTTTTATTCCCTCCGCTCGAAGCTGGGAGGGTATTGCTGTTTATTATGGGACAATCACTCACTTCCTCCGCAATATCACTTCACACCACGTGAACCTCGCTCCTAGCTATATATTACCATACGAGGTTCTGTTTCCACACCCCGAGACAAAAAAACTGGCCTTCCTTGCCGGCGATAATAGTCCATCAACAGAAGTGAGAGCGTTGTCTTTCCACTTGACGGTATACCGCATACATTGACAATCGCTTGAGAATCCACAATTTCTGCAAGCTTCAACGCTGTTTCGTGTCAGATGCGTAGGATTTGTCGTGGATCAAGTTGTGGAAAGATTTTACTGGTATTATTGTCAACTATAAATGTGATGATATTTCCTCTGGGCTCTTGGGACCTTACCTGTTTGGTATAATAATTATATCACTATTCGGATCGCTGAATTGAGGGAGGTTGGATGAGATTTGTCGGCGTGGATTTAAATGCACAAGCGAGTGAGAATACCTCCTTCGATCCAAAGATACAGAACAGAAGTAAAAGTGGGAGTAAAATGGAATAAATAAAGAAGGCGTGTTGCATGCTTCAGCTCAAAGGATGGCGAGCAATTCATCAGTCACCACCGTGTCGGGCATGAGCAGTAGTGTAAGGGGAGAAGAAATATGTGCGGGCTAAGGTGAAGAAAGAACTTAATATTGAGATTCAAATTGAGATTGCCTCGTTTGGGTGCTCTTAAACTCTGCAACAATCCGGGGGGCTTGTGCTGCGACGACCGCAACTGGTTGCCAAGTTGGTTCAGTAATATCTTTTAGTTTTACTAGGTATTGCAAAATCTTGCGTTTTGAACCTGGTTGAATGCGCACCAACTTTCTGTCGATGACTCCTTCAATACCGAAGGTAGTTGGAGTTGATGGATGTCCCGTGGTACCGTAGTAGTGACTTGTCAATTCCACTCGTCCTCTTGGCCTTGTTCAAGGTGGACAACGGAGATGACTCCTTTGTGAGGCTGCTTTTGAGTGAGCTGACAGGGCTGTAGATATCAAACATCCGGTATGCAATCTGAGCAAACTGGGATAGGCTGTCATTATAATAACACACGATTGATGAAGTACTATCATTGTCTCGATCTGGGTAGGTAATACCGAAACTATTCAGAGCAGCTGTGTATTTTTGACCTCCAGTCTTCTCAGAGAAAAGATATTCGATTGCATCTCCCCATAGGCTTCCTCTCTTGTCAATTCTCGCTTTTTGGGTGCGCTTTCGCTCTCTGTCTTTCCTCTCATCTCTATAAGGTCCTCCCCTGACTGTTTGTAGGCGGTATTCTCCAGCCAAGACCCTCTTTCAGGCGTGGGAATTCTTTTCTGCCTTCTCGAGAAAATTTGACACAACTTGTCAAATTCTTCACTTTGTTCCGGAGCCGTAACACATTGGCCCCGATGGCGGCGAAAGCAGCTGACAACTCATCCCCCGCTAAATACGTTGCAATTCGATCCACGTAGACGAAGAATTCCTCTCTGTTCTCAAACGGGTCTCCCTGATGACAATTCTTTGTTGATCGTTGTTTGAAAGATGCTTATACGGTGGAATAACACCGATAAGTGAAGTGCGGCCGCATGTTATATGGTAAACCCTCTGGGGGCTACCAGATGAGGCGAAGGCAAATCTGCATCCGGTATCCTAGTTTACCCCGAATGTCTTTAATGATTCCACCCATAACTCATCGTCTCCGTATGATCATTGTGCTTCATCCAGAATAATCACATTTCCATTAGAGAAAAAAACCCTTGCATTCTTCTACGCCTGGGTACTTGCTTGTAAGAATCTGGGCGAATCTTGTCCAAGGATCTCCCTCACCCAGCTCATCAAGATTCTTCACCCTGCCGCATAGATCATATAGTATACGCGCAGCTTTGTGGTCTAGCTGCTAACAGCCCATGTTGACATGATAAAATGAAAAGTATGTGTATTGTAGGAGGAAAGGGTGCTCAGGTGAAATTATATACCCTCGCTCGCATGGCGCTAGACCTATTTGGGCTCCGACATGTCAGGCGGAAATTCCCGTCAAAGCAGTAACCCTGAATAACCCTACTACGTAAGCTGTGTTTCGGGTGAAATTTAACCTCGGCTCATAGGGCTTCCCTTATCAGATGCATTAGACACCTCCTTCTCGATCAATCTACAATAGCCCGGTCGCAACCACTATGTCATTCATCTGAACAACGATATACAGATTTTTACTGTATAGAAGCTCTCAAATTTGCATAATGTCGAAAAGGGTCACCATCTTCGAGCCCCCTCCAATCGATAACAGCAAGGCTGCCATCGAGAATGTCCTCGATCTAACTCCGATCAGCGACATTGGACCTGTACGTTCCATTCAAGAAATAACCCATCCGGCAGTAGTCCTAATCCTAACCCTTTGTGTATTTTTAGGACGTCTTCACGAATACTCGACCGCTATGGCATCCACCCGGTGCGCGCGGTATCTACGGCGGCGCGGTGATCGCGCAATGTCTATCTGCCGCCCAACGAACCGTCCCTGATAATTTCTTCGTTCACAGTATGCACTGCTACTTTGTTCTTGCCGGCGACTCTGAGATCCCACTCGTATATCATGTTGAGCGTGTCCGCACTGGCCGAAGCTTCGCCACGAGAACCGTACAAGCGCGACAGCGCGGTCGACCTATTTTCACAACAACGCTAAGTTTCAATGCTGTCAATAGTGGAGGGAAAAAGCGACTGGAACATGACTCGAAGATGCCCGATGTGCCGCCTCCGAAGGATGTTAAAACTCCAGTTGATGCGAAGAGTCCGTTTGAATCTCAGAGGCTAGATGACAGTCCTCGCTTGACATGTACGTTTATTGCAACAATCTGGGCTGAAGGGGACTAGCGAACTGACTAAGTAATATAACAGCCGACGATATGAAGATAGAAGATAGAAAATTTCGCCAATGGATACGTATCCGTGGCAAAATCTCCGAAGAAGGCGGCCACCAAGCCCATCTCTCAGCATTCGCATACATGTCGGATAGTTATTTCATTGGAACTGTTGCACGGTTACACAAGATTCCCAGATTCTCTTCGCCGACAGCTCTCCAACGCGCTCTTCAGGCACTCAAGAACCCATCCGACCTTGACAGCGAGGCTATATCCCGCTATTTCGAAGAACTAGCCGAAGAAGAAGCAGCAGAAATCCGAGCGGGATCACTAAATGGGACGTTGACCGTAAATAAATTGTCGTCTATTATCAAGAGAAAAGATAGTAGGGAGATTGGAATGATGGTTAGCCTCGATCATACGATTTATTTCCATAATCCGCAGGCGCTCAAGGCGGATGACTGGCTGCTGGCTAGTATGGATAGTCCATGGGCAGGTGATGGGAGAGGTCTTGTTACGCAAAAAGTCTGGAATAGGGATGGTGTACATGTGGCGACTTGTGTGCAAGAGGTTAGTTTTGCCCATACATGCTTTCTTCCGACAAGATCTAATTGACTAATTATCTACTTTATAGGGTGTTGTCCGACTAAGGCAAGATGAAGAACGAGCGCCAGAAGCGAAATTGTGAGTTATCGCGCTGGCTGCGTTACTATAATTATAATGGAAAGACAGCGTCTTAGGTAGGATAAGTTTGTTGTCATTGTGTACATCACTTCTTTCATTCTTGGATTTATTTAGATTAATACAATTGTGACATGCTTCAAGAACTTCCATTGCTATACAAGGATTCACTTGAATCACTTCCCCACTAAGTAGCCAACGACTCTTGAATATTCATTGACCGACCAGACGGACAAAATACGATTTCAAATCCTGCACCTTGCTTGACGGTGAACGTCGATGTATGATCATCATAAGGCGCGAACAATTGATCAGCATAACCGAGTCATATAACCCCAAGCATCGAACTTATTATAGCTATATGCATCCGGACACACCTTCTTTGCAGCCTTACTATACATATTCGGCCTACATTTATCTGCTGTGTCGTGTTTACCCGTACAGCAATAGTTGGATTTTCCATATCTTGAACACATGAATAAGCACGGATCAAAATCTGGACGCCGAATTCCATCGTCCGGGTATGGGTATACACCAGCGCTAGGTTTCCGGGGTGGTTGTATTAGGGGCGGCCAGTGGCACCATATTGAGACCGTGTGGGTTCCTCATGTCATCTCCAATGGCGGAGTTGGATGGTACCGTGGTACTATTTTCGAGCTGGTCTGCAGCTCGTAAGAAATTCTGACTCCTGATGCAAACAGGGTTTGTTGTATTTGATGGAATATTCTTCAGCTCGGGGTCGCTCGATTCGTTGTGCAGTGAGATTATCCCCATAGGAAGGTTATAAGCATCAACTAGAGAGATGTCGTAGTACGATAGATTCATGCTTCCCAACATTGTGAATTCTGCGAGTGCAGCTGGTTTTCCCTAGATCATCGCGCCGACGAAGTCTTTCAGTCTCAGATCGCACATGAGGTCCACTCTGCTCAGGTCATGCCCAGAACCCTACCTGATGAGCTCGTCAAGTTTAGTGAGGTCATTCAGGAGCTTCAAGCTTGCATAGAGGAAGGAGTTCATATGAATACAGAGTCGAACGATATCTACAAGTTTCTTAAGATCCCGAGGCTTCGTTGTGATGACTGACATATTGAAAAAGACATGGCTTCGCTATGTGTTACGAAATAACCTGCATGACACTAAAAGGTACTATCTAGGACAGGAATAAATAATTCATAAAAAGAGTCAACGAGTCAACCAAAGTCGTCCCTCCTTAAAAAATTTAATACCCTTCCTAAAACTCAACACCCGTCCCATCAAATGCTATTCAATATTATGGAGGGTTCCGCTTGCCTGCTATTGGGATAACCTTAGCCCTTTTACTATGGTATGCGGTATAGGCTAGAGGAGAAAGGTTTTTCGAAAGGCCAAAGGTGCTGCAGATTGTCTTGAAATAAGTAACAATCTGCGTTGTGAAGTGCATCCCTACGAATCTCAGATAAGACCAGGCGCGAGTGTGATATCATTGCAATCTACGTGACAAGGTACAGTTCTCCAAGAGCTATGCTGGATTAATTGTCTACAGTATTAAGGTAGACCGTAATCATAGCTAGGCCCCGCTTTGAGGCGGGGAAAAGCCAACCATACATAGTCAGACTATCAAAAGTCTTAAATGCCGTAAGGGACTTTAGTCCCAAAAGGATTCTCTTAATGCTCGCAGCCTACTTGATACCTATTTACGCATATTAGCCCCGTAGTAACGTTACGTACCTACTGTATTCACTAGTCGGACTTAACGGCGTTTACTTAGGCCTAGCTTCATTATACAACACTGGCAGGGGTCCGATATTTGGGCATGTACCTCCCTACATTGCCTCCGTACATTACCTCCGTACATTTTAACAGCCCTATCTATATAAGCTAAGCCCACACTAACTGGTTCGAGCTCGCGTTCCCAAAGCACACAGAGTCTCATATCAAGCCGAAGCAATGAGCCATACGACAAACACACATGTCTCTATCAACACCTCCACCTCCCTTGCCAGAGGACGGCAGGCTCGAAGCGATCGGAGAGAAAACACATCAGGTCGAGCCTGAAAAGCAAAAGCAAAAGCAGACGGAGACCGTCGAGTCGAACGAACCGTCCATTGTGGCATCCTCCTCGACGGTCAATGGCAGAGAGAAACCAGGAATGCTGGAGGACGATGGTACTGCTACTCAAGAAAAAGGCGTGGATGAGCCGCAGCCGCCAAAATCTGTTGCATTCCCGAAGGGTGTCGAAGCCTTCGTCATCGTACTTGCGCTCGTGCTCAGTATGGGCCTCATGTCTCTGGATCAGGTGAGTTCTACCGCTCCAGGTTGCTCGCAGAGTCGTCGTCTTTTGCCAATGCATTGCATCACACGCCGGTAAGCTAATGCTCTCGATTCAGACTATTGTTGCAACCGCTATTCCAAAGATTACTGACCAGTTCAACAAAATTAATGATGTCGCGTGGTATGGTTCGGTTTATTTCCTGACGATCGGAGCGTTCCAGTCACAGTGGGGCAAAGTATATAATTACTTTCCTCTCAAACCAGTTTCGTGGTGTCAATCTTCATCTTTGAACTTGGGAGTTTGATCTGCGCTGTCGCCCCAAACTCAACGACTTTGATTGTTGGACGTGCTATCACCGATCTCGGTGCCTCGGGTATCGCGTCTGGAGTATACACGATTGCTGCCTTTGCTGCTGAGCCGAGGAAGAGAGCTACCTGGATGGGGATCATTGGTGCGGCATATGGTGTCACCGCTGTCCTTGGACCACTCATTGGTGGAGGCTTGCGGATGGGGTGTCCTGGAGGTGGTGAGTCAAAAATGTTGTACTGCTTTGTCTTTGTTGCAAAACACGGGATTATTTCTAGTCATCGACTCCTACTATGACCGGACCTGACCTGATCTGACAACTTTAGGTGCTTCTATATCAATCTTCCAATCGGTGGTCTGGCCGCTTTTGTCATTCTGCTCACCTTCAAGACCCCTGCAACCGCTAAGCGGGTCGATGCTACGCTCAAGGAGAAGCTTCTACACATGGACTTTCCAGGGACGGTGCTTATAATGGGTGCATCCATCGCCTTGCTTCTAGCTCTTCAGTATGGTGGTGTAACCCATGCGTGGAATTCCAGCGTGGTTATCGGGTTACTCGTCGGCTTCGTTGTCATGGTTCTTGCTCTCATGATGGTAGAAATATGACAAGGCGAACGCGCCATGCTGACACCACGCGTTATGCGCCAAAGGACCGTCTGGGTCAACGGCGTATGGGGCTTCTTCTTCGCTGGCTCATATTTCGTCACGCTCTATTATCTGCCCATCTATTTCCAAAGCATCGACAACAGCAATCCGATTGGCTCGGGTGTGCGCAACATTCCTCTCATTATCATGTTCAGCATTACCACCCTTGTCACAGGCAGAATCATCACGAAGACGGGTATTGCAGTTCCGCATTTGACAGCTGGCTCTATGGTCGTAACCATTTGCCGCTGGTCTACTGTATACTCTCGACATTGGGACCCCGACAGGCAAATGGGTTGGGTATCAGATCTTGGCGGGCTTCGGATACGGCCTCGCCCTCCAAGTCCCGATCGTCATTGCGCAGGCTTATGCTGAGCCAAGCGACATAGCTCCTACGACCGCGATTCAGATATGTGAGTTCTCCTTCTCCCTGTCCTAGGACGTCGTCAGTTTTCTTTGTCCCCTTGTATCCCTAAGCTAAGTGTGTCCCTCGGGCATAGGGTATCGATCTATCGGCAGCACATTTTTGCTCGCAGCCGCGCAATCCGGCTTCGCCAACCAGCTCGCGCACAAGCTTGCCAACACCGCACCGAGCGTCAGTCTCGCCCTCGTCACGGCTACCGGTGCTACTGAGCTGCGCCAGGTATTTTCCGGGGCCGAGCTGGACGGTGTTGTGCGTGCGTACGCATGGGGTATCAAGGTTGCTTTCGCAATTACTATCGCGACCTGCGGCGTCACTGTCTTTGTGAGCTTGTGCAACAAGTGGCACAATATTAACGCGTTAGAACCCAAGGATGGCGGTACTTGAAACAGCTGTTCAGACGGTCATGCCAACGGAGTTCTTTCCGTTTTCTCGTTATGGAAATTATCCATTTTGTACGATGAACGGAATGGAGGAATGCATCGAAGGAGGAAATTGGACGGTATTCAAGGTTGGCTACCTAAAATGTATTGAAGTCAAGGCATTCAAATTCAAAACTGCAAAGTGCAAGAAGTCAGGCGATCAGGGAACGTGTAATACTCTAATAATGTAATATATAAGTCACAAGACATATACAGTAAAACTATCACCTATAACTTGCCCCCCTTGCGCAACACAGTCGATACAAACACTTCACTCCCAGTCCAGGTAGCCTCGACACCCTTCCGCATGCCCAAATCCTTGGCCTTCCGCATCCACTCGGGTACTGGTAGGACGTCCATCTCAGTGCCGAGCTTCTCCTTGTACATGCCCACGAGGTCCGACAGCAAGTATCTGATTTCGCTGCAGTAATTGTGCACGGCAAACGGATTGCCGGGATCATCAACATACCCCTTAGCCAGAAATTCGGGCACCACGTCGCCGACGTCGATGATGTCCAGCTCTCCGACCCATTGCTTGGGGTCCAGCGCCGGTACGGCCCTCATCTTCATGCAGTATCGATCTAGCTGTTACGGGTCAGTCCCGCCTTATGAATTACACTATAGATTCATTCTCGAGTAGATAACATACATGAGGAAAAGAAGGAAGGGAAGAGAATAAGCACTTCCGCTCAACGTACAAATTTATATGCAAAGGGTGAATGGGACTGTTCCAACTCGCTTAGCTCAAGCACGGAATTGTGGATAGCTTCATTTAAAGATAATGTTGATCGTACAAGCTTAGAGGTTACCTTATTCAGCTGTATAACGGACCTGTCGACTGGAGAGCTACAAAACAAAGATATATAACAACCTCTACCACTGAAGCAGAACTGAGAGTAGCAACTGAAGCTGCAAAGTAATCATATATCTGGAAACGTGTTTTTGAAGCAATTAGCTTCAAGCTAGAGCATGAACTATCTATCTAGTGTAACAATGTCTAAACTGTATGTCTATTGGTGAGCCTAGTACCTAATTTTCACACAAGCCTATGTTATATTGATATTTATCACCACTAGCTCTGCCAAGAGATACAGAACAAGCGCCTCTATATTCAATGGGTTGCAGATGGCCTCACAAAACTACTCAAGGGCCAGATCTTTGTGAATTGGATAAAACACTAGGGATTAGTGGATATAGCATATTTACTGAAGGAACAAAAGCTTCAAGCTTTCCTGGGGGGTCGTGTACGCAATACACTATCCCTAATTGGGAATGAGTCAAGGAATCCATTACAATACTAACATAAAGAAATTTTGAGAACTGGATTCACATACTGACGAGATATAGGCATATCCAATCAGCTTTATGGCGGGAGAGATATACTGGGAATCTGACGCTTCTCTATGAATGGAGAATTCTTAGGATCTTATTAAGACTGAAAGACGCTGCACGCTGGAAGTATGAATAGTTTTTATAGGCTTGTTATTGGCGTATTTGGAGTTGCTACATTACGCCCTAATTCAACATGTAGCTCTGAATATCAAGTTCTGAATCATAAAATATAACCCTTTTATATACAGATTCAATTGATTCAGGGGTCATTTTCATGAATTTGAGGCTTTTTTCTAGGATTGGAGGTCTCCAAAAGCCTGTTTTCGTAAGAAAGCCCGGTGTTTAGTTCGCGAACCTGTTCAAAATTCGCGAATTTTGACGAATTGAATTACCCGTAGATCCGAAGTTCGAAAATCAAGGTTCGAATTCGATTCGATGTTGATTGATTGGACAGTGGGCTTCCATGAGGGTTGCACTGTAGGCTGAGACGAAGATGCTTATACTGTAATTTAATGACGAAGATCAATGACTCTATTGTAGCTGCGGGTATTGTTGATCAAAACAGAGAAACAATGGATGAAATTGGTGGCTGGCAGGGAAGAATAGGCATTGATTCCAGCCCAATCAAGCTATAGTAGTTCAGATGATATCTAACGTTAGGCATAATACCCTCTATTTTAAGCTCTTACTGGAGCTTCTTCCGGGGGCTGAGTGGCTAACGGACAGGGGTTATAATTGGATACTTGAGAGACTGGATGAGAGATTACGGTGCGACAATCAAGACTGTATAGCTTTAACCGGTAATATTAATGCAATATACAATAACTGAAGTGATTTTGACATGTTGAATATAACTACTAGGGACGGAGACCCTAGAATTCCATCTACGGAGGGACTTGGGGTATTATTGTTTAAGCCTTAGGCTAAGGATATGCTTTCCAAGATTCTCGATCAAGTCAGTGAAGCATTGGTTGGATGTATTGCATTGCACAATATCTTCGAAGATACAGAACTCTTTTTTCTACTTAGGTAACACTAACTATTCGAGAAAAGTGCAAATTGTGAAATTTAAATGACCGTGAGCGCCATAAAACTCGCTAGACGACCTTACCCATGATCACCAGCATGGTTAGAAGCAGAGCAATACAAGACATTTTTGTTCTATCTAGACATCCACCCATTGTCTTGAGTTGGCTGATTTATAATATGCATCGACCACTTTCAAAATTTTGACGTTGGTCCGCAAATCACAGCAGCCATCCACAGGCTCCTTCCCTCTTACACGATCGAATAGTGACCGGAACTGCTTGCGGTAGCAAGAAGGTATATTCGATGTACCGTGAGGAAACTCTGTCGACAATTTTGTCTCGCCAGCCGCAAAGCTCCCTCGAGCTTTACGTAGGTACAGAGTCCCTACAGGGAAATCGGGAATAACATGAAGTGAACCATTTGTTCCGTATATATCGATTGCCCATTCGTTACACCACTCTGTTGGCTCCCAGGCTGTCATATCCAATACGATTGTCTTATCCGGGTATTCCATTATACCAGAGCAGACATCCTCATATAATAAAGTGCCCACACCAAACTCGCCTGTCGTAACGGTCCCCGTAAACAAATCCGGAATCCAGCCGACGACGGGGTGTGGTGGACGTTCCGGTAGCTTACGAATTGAGGAGACTACTCTTTCAGGAGCACCAAAGATGTCGATTATATTCTCCAAAGTATGGCATCCCTCTGTCTGCAAAATGCCTCCTAAATCCTCGGGGATAGACTGCCACAGATCCATGCCGGCGCCAGATGGGCAACCGCCGTGAAACCGAGCGGTTGTGATATCACCTAGGACATCCTCACGAATGACTTTTCGCGCAAATTCCAATGCTTCAGAATAATGAAGCTCATATCCCAGCTCCACTGCAAGCCCAGGTCTTTTAGCCTCAATTTCTTCTGCCAGCTTATAAAAGTCTGTCGGATCTGCGGCACCGGGCTTTTCCAAAAACATACCCTTAAAGGGAGCCGGATGATTAATAGCAAAGCGAGCCCAACGCGGCACATCCGGGTCTAGAGAATGGATCATTACCACATCCGGGTTTGTGTTGAGTAATTCTTCTGCGGTGTTGAAGCGGGGTAGACGTGGTAATCTTTTCGCCAATTCACTAGCAATCTCTTCGACTTCTTCATAGAAGCCGCAGAATTCGAAGCCGCCCATTTTGTCTAGTACGGCGAAACGATATTTGACATGCGGGTGCCGTGTACCTAGAAATGCTATCTTGATAGGGGCTTGTTTGTCATCGTGTGTTTCGTCTTGGAAGCTGAATTTTGAGTGTAGGATATCCATAATGAGGATGAACTAGAAATCTTGGCTATGTATCTGGATTGTTCAATATAATTCGCTTGCATCGATTGGAAGGGATGTACCTATTACATAGCAAGCCCTTATGAAGGCAATATGCTGTGTGGCTAGAGCAAGATGCTCTAACAAGTCGCCGTTAATCGGTTCCTGACTGACTGCTCCATTGCATGTCCCACATGCCACATGCCACATGGATATCCCACGTAGTTGACTGTGTTAGCCCTAACACGGGAACAACGCTCATTATCATCCCACGTAAATAGGTCTTTATCAATCAATATCCCACGCAATTCATATGGAAATATGCTTAATCGGCGCCATTAGCCTTCAACTATGACCTGAGCGCTCCGTGGTGGAATTCCACTCACATGTATTGAGCCAGTCTTACCTGGATACTCATCGAAATACAAACTAGATGTATCCCACGCAAGATAATCTAGCCATCTACCTCAACTTGGGCTAGTCTTCCCCAGACTCTCAAGATACGGTGATCAGACACCAAAACTCCCCATTCGGGAATTATCTGTATCAATTGAGTTCTGAAATCCGACGGCTCTTATCAACGCATCTTCTGACTCCGGTTTCAGGGATGTAGATAACTTAAGATAGTATGCCACCGATTTATATCAATGCTCTCTGCCTTGCTCAGGATTGATTGATCTTGGAGGCTCACGCAGTTAAATGTGGAATGCCTTGACCTGACCTACTAGCATTAAAACCGACAATGACTTCAACCCTCACAGCTCCAACGTCTAACTCAGAGGTCAAAGATCCCGTCCTCATCAACGACAACACAGAAAAGACCAGCGATACAGCATCAGCCACAATTACGCCCACCACCGGCGAAGAAATAGTCTACACCACTCCTCCCAAAGGATACCGCCTCTTCGGCAATATCGTCATACCAGCCTACCGCTCCCCAATCGTGCAATGCATCATCATAGCCTTTGTTCACCTCCTAGTGGTCGGCATGTTCAATGTCCTATCCGCCCTTGGCGGTGGTGGACAGGTCGATCCGACGACAAGTAACAATGCAAACACCATCTTATACAGTCTTTTCGCCTTCTTTGCTCTTACTGCTGGGTCTGTGGTGAACTTTTTAGGCCCCAAGGTCACCCTTGCCATGGGTGGGGTGGGTTATTCGTTGTTATCTGCGTCATTTTGGAGTTATAATCATAATAAGAATGATGGGTTTGTTTATTTTGGTGGTGCTACGTGTGGTGTTGCTGCGGCTTTTCTCTGGTACGTCCTGGCTCTCCAATAGAAAAAAAGGGAAATACGTTGCTAATATCAGTTCATAAATATAGGACCGCAGAAGGCGCTCTCATCATGTCTCTGCCCATGGAGAAAGACAAGGGCAAATACATCAGCATCTTCTACGGCCTATCCTTCTTCGGCACCGTCATCGGCGCCATCATCCCTACAGTCGAGAACTGGGGCGTAACAACCGCAGGCAGTGCCAACGATGGCACATATATTGCTCTATTCATTCTCATGCTTCTCGGAAGTGTAGTGGCCTGCTTCATCTCCGACCCATCTCGCGTTGTGCGCAATGACGGAAGTCGAGTCTTCGTACCTCGCAACACAACTTTTGTGCAGGAACTGAAAAACGTCGTCCTTGCCGTTAAGCGTGAACCCTGGATCATACTCTTCTTCCCATATAGCTTTGCCGGGTTATGGTACATCCCTTACCAAAGCAATGACTATAACGGATATTATTTTGACCTGCGAACCCGCGCTTTCGGTTCTCTGTGGTTTGATTTTGGTCAGTTCGTCATGGCCGTCGTTATGGGCATGATGCTTGATTGGAAGGCCGTCGGAACCCGTCGTCGACGTGCCTTTGTAGGCTGGACCGTGCTATTTGTCCTGTTAAATGCAGTCTTTATTGGTGGCGTTTTCCCGGCTCGTCGATCTCATCGCGGTGTGCCTCCTCCGGGCGGTCTAATTGATGTCGATGACTCCAGGGCTGCGGGATATATTATCCTCTACGTCTTTTATGGTTTTGTCGATGGTGCTTGGCAGACATTTGCATGGTGGGTTGCGGGTTGTCTATCGAATGACCCCTTGGTGCTCTCTATTTATTCCGCTTTCTACAAAGTCTTTGGCGCGATGGGTGCTGCTATTGTGTTTAATCTTGATGTTCGTAAAATTAGTTATCAGGCCATGTTTGGGAGTTATTGGGGTTTGCTGGCTGGCTCAATGTTGTTTATCCTTGTGTTAATCTTTAAGAGGGTTGAAGATTCGACTGGGGTGGTGGCTGAGGCTGAAGTCCCAGTTGAAAAGATGATACAGGGCGATGAGTGATTATCTATCCATTAATCGAACTGGAGTGGGTGTCAAGGAATAGACAAACTGTGCTTGGAAGCTGACAGATAAATGCAGTATGTAAAAGCTATCTAAGCCGCAATGACAATTATATCATTCATTTCGTTGCATTTGGTACATGGTGAGCATCTGCGAGCACATCTCGCTTAAGGACAAAATATGGTCTCTATTGTAAGGCCGCTTGCAAGTCGACAGTAGGCATGTCCTCAACAACAAAACGGAAAAATTACTGAGAATAAAGCTCATGGTAACCAACCGCCCCCATTAGATGCACTATTATCAATATTATCCACACTTCCTCCTGATGCGACTGCACTTTGTGCCAAAAAGTCACTATCAAAACATGATATTGCTGTAAACTCGTCCAATTCTTGAGGAAAATTGGAGATAAAGCCCTCAAATCCAAAATGAGGCATCGGCGGTAATCCGGCAGAATTTGCTGAGTGTGCAATGTCCAGCTGGTGAAATAATGATGCTTCGTCTGGTGTCTGGGTATCGGCATTCTCTAAATTGGTAAACTTCTTGCCATCTGGATTATTGTTGACCAGTTCAGTAGTGGTTCCAGGTGACACGTCGACCGCCATGCCATTCATATCTCCGGGGTCAACGGGCTTCGCCGTATTAGGTATTGTCGTATGGTGTAACATGGGCGTTTTGGATGTACGGTAAAAGTCCATTTCGGTTGTATCTCGTCTCCTCTTCTGGACGGGTGGAGGTTTCTCACTGTTTGATGCTGAAGTGCCAGTCGCTGGCGAAATGGGTCCGGTTTTCCATAACATCTCCCAATTCTTGAAACGTTCATATCCAGAGTCTAGTGAATCTTGGGGCCCTTTTGTTGGGCCTTGGATCTCACTCCAATCTTCTAACCGACGAATGGCACGTTCCAGCGCTTCAATGACGCTTACGGCTGATCTAGCCGAACCAATGCCCATTGACATGATCTTGATTAGCCCCATCCCCTGAGTCAGTGCATTGCGCAACCTGTCTGTTCGCCTTGTCAGGCTTTGGGCCAGAATAACAAGAAGCGCTGCACGGCATGAGCTAAATTCTGTATACGAGGCTCGTGCGAGGCCTATCTCGTCACGCAAGAGACGACACAAGTCAATGATTTCCAGTGCTGCTTCAACGCAGTCGCTTACCAAAATACTTCTCATTTTGGATCGACTGACGGATGTCTTCTGCGATGATATTTGACTACCGCTCCGTTCATTGCTGAAAAGAAATGGACGGCCCATAAAGATTCTGGTCAAGCAATAGTCCAGTTTGAGATGCACATTGCAGCGGAATAGTGGGCTGGTGGGATTTAGGTCACGGCATGATGTCTCCTTTGGAAGACTCGACCACCAGTCAATCAATTCTCGACGCTGTGTAAGTAGATTCTCCAAAGGATTGGGTTGTTGCCATTTATGAAATTTTCGCAATGATGATCTTATACCATTGTGAGCCCATTCGTTCTTGTAAGAAAAACACATGAATAAATATACTTACATTTCTTCGGCAATTTTGCCTAGTTTCAACGTCAACTTGATGAGCGCCACCATGTTCGTATGGTTATTGGTAGTGGTGCGAGAGTGTAGACTAGGTAGATCCACAGGCAAATCCGCATCAACATCCGTGTCTGTAATCGAAGCTGGCCTACCATGCAGAATACTGATTCGTCTGCTCGCTCAGTCAATAACAGTTTCAAAGCCAACTGATTCGAGATCACATACTTCTCAATAGTAAAAGCAGTCCAGAAGACACGATTCCGTACTTCCTGCATGTGCAAGTCTAAGCCCTCGCCAGTGTACTTGCGGTGCATTCCATTTTGGATTGCCAATTTGATTGCTAGTCCAAAGTACGTGTACGATAAACCGGATGTATCAAGTGGCAATAGATAAGTTCCAATCAACAAGCACGCCTGGACACTTCTCACGGACGCAGTAGCAATGATATCAGGAAGCAATTTAGAGGCGAAATGATAAAACGTTAACCCGACTTCATCTTCCGAGAATCTGTGATCGTCCGCTGACGACTCCTCGCGACTGATTTTGTTGACCGGCGTCGGTGAATCCATGTGCGCGAATTGGGTGCCTATTGCCAGAAGCATCAAGATGGCGCAAACAGAGGCGGCATCAACTGAGGTGAGACTGTCTGGGTCGTTATAGCATATGGCTAGCTTATCGCGAAGCCAGTCTTCTTCCACGTAAAAATTGTTGGTCTGTGCGTATTTGTTGGCCACATTTATGAGGAACTCTGCGACATAACGAGGAGGTAAACATGCTATGGCAGCAGAAACCGAAGATGGCCCAGATTCCAGATGTGTAGACCTCCATCTTTCTTCAAACGGAAGCGTTTCTTCCCTTTCCTAAGATACGTCAGCTATAAGACTCCCACTGATAACCAGAATAGACAAAGCGAACATACTCCAGGTACGCTGGACTGCATCCACTCATCAATTTTCTTTCGGATCTTCATAGAGAAATTCAGATAGGAAAACTCGCCTGAGTACTCTATAGTACAAATGATAGTTAGCATATACGATCTATTGCGATTATCAGGCAGAACATATGATAGATACAGGGACTCACGAGTAGTGTTATCAGGAAACGCTCGAATACTAAAAACCTCTTCATCGATAGCCAAGTCATCCAAGTCATCTGCCTCTGCTTGAGTTAGCGGGCCCTCGGATTCTGACTGTTCACGATGGTCCCTTTTCAGATCCTCGGCCACTTTACGCAGCGAAGGAGTATCGAAGGTCATATTAGGCAGATAATGCGCCAGTATACGCTCCATGTAGCGCACACGTTCGGCTTCCGTCTCATCATCACGCGTGAAACTTCCTGTTCGCTGACGGTGTCTATTCAGCATTAGGCATCTGCTCTGTTGAAAATGTAGTTCTTCAGATTTTATACTCACCTATTTGACTTTTCTATTGGTTCAGATGGTGCGTTGAATATACATTGTCGGTGATAGCGCGTACATCTGCGACAGGGCATTCCCCCTTCGCATTTCTCCTTTACTCTGCGACATCCATCGCATCTAAGCGTTCTGTCAGCACATGATTTTTACCATTAATGTTAGTAACATAGTTTGGTCCGGCCTTACGCTCGTACAGCTCTTTTGCGATTTTCTTCCGCAACCCGCGGTCTTTTGGCCTTGTTTAAAGGCGGGTATTGAGGAGGAGGCAATTCCATTTCTTCAGTGAATATGATATGTCGACTATTCCGGCTATTCCGACTCTGAAATAGTATAGTCCAGGGCTGTCTTTAAAGCGGGATCCATTGATTGACAAAGTTCGAGGCGGCCAGAAACTCGGTTGATTGGCCTGAATGCTGGTCAGCGATGTGTGGTTCAGGAACCTAATGACTCGTAGTCAAACTTGATACAGTCGAGACCAGGGTGATCATAGCAAGTCATTGATAGGACCTCGACTGAGTCAACATTGACATTGTAGCTGACTTCGACATGTGAGCGAGCACAACAATTCGACGAGCAAAAGAACAAGGCAAAGCGTGTGGGGAAGGAGGCTGATAAGGAAGCAGGTGACTGATAGCCACTCTGCTAGTCCAGCTTAGGTTAGCGTGTACTTTTATGATTGGCTTGAATTCTACTATTTCTGATTGGACTGTTTTAATATTATCAACCCTAACCCTAATACACCAGCATCGTAAGTGTATTTCTGAACTGAACTTCAGCTATGACATTATCACGATTCTACCGTCAAAGACTGCCTTAGGCAGCTATTCTTGCACCCGGGTGCAGGAGTGGGTAAAGGCAGCGAAATTTCACAGCACTAAGGATATCCCTGGGGAGCCTTGTTCTATGACTTTCACAACGTGAGAAGAGCTTCATCTTTGAGGATTTGTTGTAGGCTGTGTCTGGAGACTCTGAAATGATTTTATAGGCATGCTCTGGCATGGAGCATGCCATGAGCACGCCCTGCTCAGATATAAATATGGACTAGCTCCCCTGTAGTTAGTTTTTAGTTCCCAGCTCACGCCTTGTTAGTTTTCTATGCCATACATTTTACCCAGATCTCCTAGCTCCGTTACAGACATCTATGATCTGTCCCCTTGACAGATTTTAATGCCATGTTCCGGAATATGCTCAAGTTTAAAGTGGCATGTTTTGGGCACACCAACAAATATATCATAATGATTACTAATCAAAAATCCAATGAACTGGCCCTTTTGGGAAATGGCTTGGGAGTGGATTGATGACTAAGTATCTTGACGTAACTTAACTAGTTAACTTAACTAAGTTAGGTTATCGAAAGGCAACGCCAAGAATTTCGTTTCTTCAGCTTACAAATATTCCCATCCAATCATTTCTTCTTCCCGATTTCAGTCGCTGAATCATCACGATAAATCAGACAAGGTAGGATATCTAGTGGCTAAGATGAGAAATCACAAAATTCACCTTCTGGAATTTTACTCTTGGGATTTCTAACCCGTATGTCGTGTGGGTTCAACTCGTCGGGTATAAAGGTAGGGGGTAGGACAGGACAGTATGGCAATCCAATATTTCACACTACTCAGTCTCAAGTTGAATACTCTACAAACTAAAGCCCTCGGAACAATTCTCATTTCCTCCATATATTGACACTTTTGAAGCCTAACTATGGCTCCCAAGAACCTAAAAATCATAATCATCGGCGCCACTGGCTCTATCGGCTCTGTCGTCCTTGAAGCCTTCCTCAAGGAGCCTTCCTTCACCATTAGCGCTCTCCAACGCGCCTCATCCAAGTCTAAACTCAGCTCAGATGTCAATGTGATCTCCATTGATGAGTCGTACCCATTAAACGCTCTTGTCTCGGCATTCAGCGGTCAGGACGTTGTGGTCAACTGCATGACATCGTCGGCCGTGGGTGACCAGAAACGCTTTATTGACGCCGCCGTTGAGGCCAATGTCAAGCGTTATGTTGCTTCTGAGTTCGGTTTAAATAATAACCGCCCTGATGCCCGAGCTCTCAATTCTGTTTTCCGCGAAAAAGGCGAGATCCAGGACTATCTCCGCTCCAAGGTCGATGCCGGCCTCGAGTGGATGTCTATTGCCTGCGGAATGTGGCTCAAATGGAGCACCACGCACGATTTCCTCGGCATGCACGTCAAAGAAAGACGTATGGTCATTTGGGACGAGGGCAATGGTTATATCAGCACCTCAACTCAGGATAACACCGTCCTGGCTATTATTAAGGCATTGACCGAAAAATGGGAGGAGACCAAGAACAGGATCGTCTTCTTGAGCGAGTACGCCATCACACAGAACGAACTACTCGCCTTTCTTGAGCGCTTCAGTGGTGAGAAGTTCACTGTTGAGCGCATCAACTCAGAAGAATTCATTAAACAAAAGAAGGCTGCAGTCGAGGCTGGCGATCCATATGCTGTGTACGATCTCATTGATGTTGGCTTCGCAAGTGGTCGCTTCGGTGGCCATTTAGAAAAGGAGGGCAAGATTGATAATGATCTTCTCGGATTACCCAAGAGATCTCTTGAGGACATTATGCGAGAGGCCTATGAAGCAGTCAATTAAGCCATTTAAGGTTGAAAATCATTTATGAGAACTCTCAGTGTGACCTAGAGCTATTAATAACTTGTTATGTGGCAGTACTCGTGTAGGACCACCATGAATGTGCCAGTTAGGTAGTACTTTTATCGAACTTATGATTCACCTGGCACTTGGCCTCTATCAATACCTATAACCTTTAATCCACTGGGTGCAAACTCCACCAATACATACTTTAATTACTGTCCGGGGTATATGCCTTTAGCAACAGGGTTTTGTTTTTTTCCAGGGGCCATTGCATTTTTACACTTTTCAAAGCTATTCTACTAATTTCCTTGAGTACATGGCCCTGATGAGACGGTTCACTCCCCTCGAAACCCTCGTATATGCAAACCGAGAAGGGTTGTCAGGGACGGCAAAAATGTGTGAAACTTCAGACTCGAAAGAAATGAACTACGTAATCGCTCCGATAAAACCAACACTGAAAGTCTTAGGTGCAACACTTCGTTCCGGGGTAGACCTAGAAGCTACAACCAGCTATTGCCGATCTGTTGGAGAATCGTTGATGATCTTCGGGCTCGGGGCCACATGTAAGTAACCACCTATCCCAGATAGGGTTTACTATACGAACGCTGATAACCTCAATTCTTTGACCAAAATAAAAATAGATCCATTTGATACTTTTGAGGTGCCCGAGTCTATCATTATTAATTTTATCCTTGGAGGTTATGTGCGTAAGAAGACTGGAGATGTAAAGCATATGGACAATTGGCCCGCTACTTCAACATGATAAACCTTTCAAGTATGATTTTCGCCACACAGAGTACTTTGGACTACTACTTCGTATTAATATACATCAACAATTTATGCCTGACGTAGATGACAGTATTCAATTTCCAAAGTTCCATTGCAAGCCGTACAGATCGTTTGGTGTGAGGGCATATAAAGGACGACCAAGCCCCTTTCAAGTAGCAAAGTATATCTTCCAGTTCATCCAAATAGCAAATCATCACTCTCAAGTAATTGTCCTATCAAACCTCTCCTTACCAAAAAAATCCATCATGTATCGTCAGGTCTTCACTCTTGCTGCAGTCACAGCCATGCTCGGCCATGTTTCTGCCAATTGCCAACACTGCTTACATCATTTATGATAATGCTTGCATTCCACGAGGTCAGGCAATGACTGCGGCACTCCTTATGTTTTGACTGAGAAGAGCATTAACACCAATCTGGGTGGAGGTTATTTTCAATTTGCTTATGCTAATGGTTTGTATTCCGTCGGGAATAAGAGATGCACTTGTGGAGACCTTCGAGTGCTCTGCAAAGTGAACAAGGATGTAAATGCGCGTTTTCCCTGGAAGGTGAACCATGAAGCACTCGCTCTAGAGAAGGTCACACCGCGCATGGCTAGACTACTCAAATCCGCTGGGTCGTTTATTGGTGTACGCTATACTCTTCTGTTATTTTTATTGAAGTTCGAGCTCTAGCAATATCCTATCAACTATGTACCTAGGTAGAAATGACGACTATACAAAATCAAGCACTTCCTATACCGAAGCATGGAAGCTACTCTTCACTGCGATTGAATATGAAACCCGATACTTTCAGCTTTTGTTCTTACATTTCACAGTAGCAAGCTTACTTCTGACTTTCACTTGCTTCATATTTTTAGGCCGATCCTTCCAGTCGTCTGGAAGCGAGAATTGCACATCCAGCTCAGGCCGAAGGATCATGCAAAACGAAGATCCCCCAAAATGGAACTTGCCAAGCTCTTCACCCTTCTCAAAGTGCTTACCCACGGGCATAGTGACTTCAATAGAGGATACTTCTGCCATACCAATAAACACCAGGCATATAAGTCCAGCTGGGCCGTCAGCTTGGATCCAAATAACCGCACGAGCTGCAACGGATGATATGTACCCCTGAGAAGCGGAGTCAGCGCCAGGGTCTGGATCGGGATCTCCCAAGTCAGGACTGAATCCTGTCGACAACGGTTCCGAATAGTAGGTTCCGTCAATCATTCGATAATCCAGAATGGTTCCGCTAACAGGAGTATGCCACTTGTGGTAGCTGTCGGCGCTCAGGAATGCTTGGTAGACTGTTCCTCCAGTCAGAAGACCTGCACGAGAGTCGTGGTCAAGCATATGCTTCAAGGAGTATGGCTGGCCCTTTATCCAGAACTTGTCATGTGCCTGAACCCCAGTCTGCACGGCAAATGGCGTTGATTCAGCGGCACTGACAATGACGCCAGTATTTCCTGCTTCAGCTACTGCACGAATCGAATCAATTTCATTGAAGTCACGAGTGAAAAACGCATCCCATGACTTAAAGCCCCAATGCTTCAGCTTAGGATCACAACGGAAAGTCTTCGCAAAATCTTTCATGTGATCACTTTCCAGTGCCTCTACAGAGAACCAGCCACCCGTATCCGTGGTGAGGGTTGAGCAAGAGTATTCTGTACTCAAGAAGTCACCCCAGGATTGTAACATGCTCTTAAAATGAGCGTTCACATCATCTCGAAGGAAAGCGGCAAACCCAGCTTTTGTGCCCATAGGCCAATCGAGAACAGCGTTGACGGGAGTCCCAATCTGTGGAGAGGGATCCCAGGACGGTGGTTGTCGTAATATCTCGTCAAAGAATGTGAATAATGTATCTAGATCTCTGACCTCGGGTCGCTTCCCTGACGGGTCCTTTACATATTTAGCTGGGACCTCATCGAGCATTTCAGTGAAAAGCATGTAGAGAGTAGGGTCATTCTGAACGTGTATCTTGAAGTCTTTAACAGATTGCAGAAGACGCTGAGTAGGTTTGGGTTCCAGCGATTCGACTTTTTTATTGATCCAGTCCCACAGTCTGTGAGGGTTACTTGGTAGCCAAGCTCCAGGCCGAGGAATATTGGGAACGCTAGAAGCTGAACAAGGACAAGACATTTCGAAGTTATGTTTAGTGCTTGGTAGAACAGTTAAATGAGGATATGATAGCTCGGAGTGAATGAGCCCTTATTGCTGTTATACCAACGCCTATTTGCCATCACCACAACTACCTGTCAAGCAAACGTCATCCGTGGACTTCCAGTCCATACAGATGTACTCTCTCAAATAAAGACCTTAGGATGCTCTGAAGCGCCTCAAGTTCAGGAAAGCCTTGGTATTAAATTCCGAGGTATGTTTTCACAGTTCTCGCCTCAGCTCAATCCCCCCGAGATACCCTACATAAACCAACTTGACCCCTATATCATGCTAAATTTCAAAATCACTTATACGAAGGTCGCAGTACATGCATATGATATATTCCCGAACGAACTCGTTTATGGAAAATACTTCCCAATCATGGAAGTATATATGAAGGAAGCGCCAAATCGAATGCCGGCTTGTTCGAGTTTCCTCTGACAGAGGATGCGTACTGACCAGGGCTCTCCCCGTTCAATTGTCCTTCTGGTACTTTGAGTACCATTTTACTTCAGAAACTACACCACTATTCATCAAGATAATACTGGTCACGAAGGTTGAGCGTGTCTTCACGGAGAGTGGTCCCCGGGCAATTCGCCTAATTCCGGACTTTGACTGCAAGAGATGAGTCCGGAACTAAGTACGCTTATATTCTATATGCTGATGTGCAGCTGGGTTCAGCTGCTATGAGGCAATCAAGGACCGTTTATCTTGGAAAACAGAAATGTCATGTATGCCACTGCAAAAGCTCATCAGACGCGCTACTTACTCCGGGAAAGTTTGCAACGAGAATCAAGCTTAAAAAAAAATCAAGACCAACAGTGAATGAGGTCCGGCACCTTTGATAATTTGCTGGGACCTGGACAGGAATTTGGATTCTATTGAAATCAGTCAAAGAAAAGCCCAACTATCATCTGGGCGAAACGATACGGAGGACATTACGGCCTGGTCGTTGTCGCATACGTCCACAAGCAAAACAAATCAATGGTACAGGCCAGGCAACAAGAATACTACCCGTGTATGCATGATAATCAATAAGGAACTGTTGCTACAAGAAGGGCGCAGTACTTGGCCGCGCGAGCCTGGAACAAAACGTCAGGATCGCGGGAGCAGACCCTGGAATGCCGGGTCAAATATCAAAGCATGACTCTGGTATGTATGGAAGTGGTACTGTAGTCAACTGGTGATCAACGAAAAACACAGGGCAAATTCGTCGTCCGAATTTGATCACAAGAGCAGAGATAGGCAATATCTTGACCCTGATCTTCCAGGCCCGTCAATTACGTGGCTAACTCACCAGGTGCGAGCAAGCACTTCAATAAGCCTGCTAACATATCCGGAACAACTTCATTGACCGTTGACGATGTCGACGGGATCCTACTACCAAAGTAGTCTAGCCAGCACCTTAGGATATAATATATGGTTGAGTAACACCTTTTGCGGCTTCCTGCCCCGATGCTTGATTTGCTGGTCAGCTTATCCGGAGCAACAACAAAAAAAAAGCCTCTGAGCTCATTGTTATGGGGTCAGACTGTTATGACATCAAATCTTAGTTGAAGAACTTGGCACTCAACGCATTGTCATGGGAAGGATACGTAGTATTCAGGGAATAAAGTTTGACATGAAAATTTGAAGCTAAATGTTTTTTAGAAGCTTTTTGTATGATAACCACCAATAAAGGTGACCAACCTGAGGTGAAGAAGCGAGGATGGAGACTGCTAATGTACGTGATGTTCCAAGTTTGGTTTGCCACCACAAGCCACTTAGTAGAATACCTAAGACAATTGCCGTGATCCCTACCGATAAGATTGACGGGATGAGTTATGGGAGGTTGAATTCAAAAATCATGTAAAAAAGACTTTGAAAGCAAGGCGACATAAGTGCATGGAACTATGACTGAGGCCCAGCAAGCCCTAGACTCTATGCCTGCCTACCCTGGAAGGTCCGGCTTGCGATGACATGCATCCAAGACCTCGGGAATAATAGACACGAATATATATATATACTCCGTGGTGCAACTGATAGATTGAGTGCGTGAAGGTGAATACCACTTGCTCAAAAAGGTAATGAACAAGAGAGAGAGATACGGCAGAAAGTTTGCAAGTCAACTAACTCCGTACCGTATCCTCATTCCAGGAACGGACCACTGTGGTGCTCAGATCGCACAGTAATCATTATTATTCAAGCAACCTTGGAAGTGGTCCCTAGCTTGCTTGTCTAAAGACTAAACGTAACCGAGGAAGCCATAATCGTCGGATAAACGAGGTGGGTCGAGGGTAACAAGATCGCTTTGGACCAGACCCTGAGCCGAAGCACACACCTCTTTGTCTGTTTCTTCTACCCCGTGCTTTCATTGCTTTGTAACGAGATAATGTAAGCTGGGCATGTTATTCTACATTTAGCCACCGGGAAAATTATTATGAGTTACGAAACAGGAAGGTGATAAGAAGCTCATTGAGAAATCAGAAAAACGATCGGCGCACTGCCACCTGACTTGTTGAGATAGTGGGCAATAACGCCAAGACAGTAACAAGCATAGGTAGGCCTACCTACTTACATATGCATGTTCCCTCGACGGGATGCATTGTCTCACAAATCGCGGTACGCGTATGTTGTTGTCCTTTCGGTATCGAGTACAATCAGTTTGAAACTGAGCATTACTCAGCAGTGTCAGCACCTGCTAAGGTACGTAACCGTCTTTGTCTCGGTAAAGAAGACTCCGAAAATTTGGGGCCGAGTGGAGCCCTCCGTAACGGCGTGACAGTCTGGCAGATCTATTTATACGCGTCGTAACTCGTAAGATAAGTTTCTGGATCTTGGGAATACTCCATACAGGGTTGTTGCTGCACAGAAGAAATGATTCGCGCAAAAAAAAAATATCAAGGAAAAAATCTCTCCGTTGCTGTTGCACGGAGGATATGTGAGATTCCTAATCTGACCCAAACTTTAAGCATTCGGATCTCAACAAACGAAGCATTCCTATTGGCCATCGGCACTGCGCCCGAACCACGAGGCGCATCTGAAGTAACTCATCTAGGCATGTATCTGCCGAATACGTGCCTGTAACCGTGTAATTGTGTAACTGTGTAACTTGTGTAACACTGTAACAGAACTTGCGATCTGAGCCCCGGACGTTACATGGATTCGACACTGGCTGAAGTTTCTTTTTGAGGATGTGTCTGACCATTAGAACTTTTGTAACAGAGAGAACGACAGGATGGACCGAGCAACGTACAAACTTAAATTTCCGGCAGCAAGCGGCGACTATGCCTGTAAGAAGTTAGCGTCTAAGTTGGATCTCATAAGGCGGACTGACAACCAATGGTGCGCTAGCGAATGGGTCCGTTATTACCAGGCCATAATACGGTCTGCGTATTACCGTATCTGTAAACAAGTAATTCAGCTATGTTACATACCGTTTCTTGGACTGGACAGATATTATCAAATTCAGAGAATGAAACCTAGAATATTGTGAGCTTAAAGACTACGGGGCAGATATAATATCTGTCAAAAAGAGAACTGGGAGATAAGAAAATTGAACAGTGACACGGGAAAAAGCAACGAAAAAGCGGCTCATCGCCACATGCATCATCAGACAACGAGTCGTGTAGCAATCCTCTCATGTGCATTATGAACCGAGTCAACTGACTTTCACTGAAATTGCTAACCCGAATCATTCGAGCATCAATTAGTCGAGTCCAGTCTCCTTTCAGGATCACGACTAGGACGCCGCACGATCTCCGCGGTATCTGCCGTTCGGTCTACCACTTCCGTCGTGCGTATCGGACAACATCCCTGTTGGTGCGTGTAAGGGTAGAATGGGGCGGCTGACTGCGTGCAAAGGGACTAGGTTATTTATGACTCGGAGTCTGATAGATCAGATGGTAGATTGCGCTTATCTCTACACTTCGGTTATCGACATTCTTGGATAGATGAATTTACAAATTCAAGAGTTTTTCTTCAGGTACAGAGATCAATTCATTCTGGCACTGCAATCAGCACCGTTGCGATAGATACGGTTTGCTCTGTTTAGGGCAAGTTCAGACGCCACCCGGCTGAACGCTCCATGTCGGGGATTGGCGATAAGTGGCTCCCAATCTTCCACGAGTCACGACCGTTGATAGATACGGATACGCTATTATAGTTGTGTAGCACGACATGCGGCAGGTTCTTTCGGCAAGAGGATTGATACCTTAGGTATCCAGGGTTTGCACTTTGCAGAGAGAGCCCTGGTAAATCGGGTAATTGATACAGTACTTTTACCTATTCTTGTAAATACGTAGGCGCACCTGAACATGCGGAATCAAGGAGCCTGAACGCAACACACTGTCAACTATTTACTCCATACTCAGACATCCTATGGAGTTGTATTATAGTACGAAGTGCGGATACATAAGTTCAATGTTGTAAGACTAAGCCCTTCATAATGATCGGCAGACCAGAACCGGAGGAATTGTCCAATGGGAATAAAAACAAGAACAGTCTGTGAACAACGAAACGGGAACAGACTGGATTGATGTCGGAATGCTTACCGTGTTGTCCATTGCGATCTACCATTGAAATTTCCCATCTGACCTGTTTCCCCGAGTGTACCTGCGTGATGGGTTTAATACGGACTCTACGGAGGGATAAAATACTCGTATTAGGGCGATTGCATTCCGTCCTTCATTCCATGAGTGGTATATGGTTGTTCTAATTGAGCTTCCTCTTTGATTGGATACTATCCGATGTACACAAACAAGTTCATCCACTGATCGAAGTTACACAACGTCCGTATCCCGCAGATTAGATCGTACATGTATGTACCCGGTAACGTAGTTATCATTGGCTAAAGTCTCGATATGCAAATCCCGAATTGCCCCAACCCTGGATGCTAGGCCATACCGGAAGCACAAACATACATACTATAGTATGTACTAAGGTACGTATGCGAAACGGGGCGGTGAGCGATTGAACGAAGCAGTAATCCTTTATGCCACATGACATGGCATGAATCGTCATAGATGATACTGGGGCCAACTAATTAAGCTAGTGTCTATTTTTCTAGGATCTTCGGCTGGCTAGATGCGTGTTCTAGTCAACCGAAACCTAGTTAGTATACTCCGAGCATTACGACATGGCGTTTAGCCCTTCAGCCCGAAAGACACGGACGGAGTACTCCGTGCTCAGTGAGAATGTGACTGCATCAGGTTAATTTGTAGCGTAAACACGGAATAGTAGATGCGTGTATTCAATGTTGTACTACATACTCTCACAGTGTTGTAGCGTCGGTACGCGCGCGAGGATTTAAGCAGATGAAAGTGGACCCACAGTCCACGCGCGGAGCACTCGGCAAGGGAAATAGAATCTAATCAGCTGCATAGTACTGTACTACATTGACACAACTGACACAGCTATCTCATTAATGCAAGCAATTCTTTTCGAGAATTGAGACATTAAAACCAATTCATATCGATCTACTGAGCTAGTCGTAGAAAGTAGCAATAGATTAACCCTAAAGAGAGTTACTCCGTACTCCGTATGACAGGATATCGTTATCTACCAGTCGCCTGCTTCGAATCGAAGGTCTATGAGTATAAAGAGCGACAGGTGCTAGGATTGCCGAATATTTGGTCCGGCCTGACGAGAGCCTGTACATATGTACAGCGTACATCGATATCTATGTAGATACAAATGAAGACTCGATCACACTTACAAATACAGATATCTCAGCGGGAACCAGCAACCGAAGGCAGGGATCAAAGAGTCAAGACAAATGAAAAAAAAGCAAATAATGCAGCGCTAATTCGGTAAATTTCCCGTTGTTGCAGAAGAAATATATTATCATGTTCGGATTACAGACGACTGAGACGAGGATATACGTACACTTTGATCCACTGGTGTGGCAGTGTTGAAGCCGTGATGCTATTGGTGTAAATGTATCATCGTTCGCGTTGTTAAGACTCCATAATCCATATTAGGGTATGTACTACATAGTAATCCTGGACGGCTCGGGAGATCTGAATTGACTAAAAATACGAGGTGTGCTAGTCAACGGACGAACTCGCTGATAAGTTATGCTTGGCGGGATCTTAATTTAATCTACCTACAATCATGTCCGTCTCTTTCGTCGGTGGACTTCTCGTACATGACGGATGTGTCCTTTGCTAGAATCCGCTCTTGCACTAGACTGATTCTGCTGGCAGGGACAGAGAGAGCCAAAAGTGAAGATGGATTTCTAGGTCTAAGGAACACCCCGCGATCATCCCATTTACGTCTCCGCTCATGCTCGCTCGCCTCCGGCCTGAAAGGCCTGAAACGAAGCTAGACGGGCTCGGCATTGGGGGATTTGCTTTTCTTTTTATTTTTTTCCGCTGGCTTTCATATGGAATCTTCGCTCTGTAGTCTGTACGGACTACGGAGTACAAATTATTGGCCGATTGAGAGAGTTTGGATTTTCTAGAATAACTCGGGACCTTCCAGGACAATGCTGTATTGTATTGTAATTTACGCCAGATACGCATGTAAATTACAGCCCGGTCATATATATTACAGTGAAGTTTAAACGGCATTCAAAGTTCGCGTCATTCCGAGCTTTGGGCTTTTTTTATGCTCCTTAGCTTAACCTGTTGGGATCCATGGGCTTGCCCGGGTTTCACCCATGAATCCACTGCTTTTGAAATTGTCTTTCCCCTTCGAGACTGCCCGAAATGTGATTTGCATAGACCTAGTCTAAAAACATGACCGAAGAGGCTAGCCGTACTTTCGGTATCGTTTGGCGATACCGGAACATACAAGTTGTTAATTACCAGGGCCCGATTTCCGAAAAGAAACACCAAAATCGATCAACTAGAGACCGGTACAATAGGACGATCATGAAGATATTGACATAGTCAAAGTCTACATGCAGAATGTATTCTCATACGTACAGAGATGGATCTTTAGTCGACAAGCCGGTGGTCCGTATTTTCGGGATTTCAAGCCGGGCTAGAGTCAGCAAAGAGCTCAAACCAGGTAAAGCAAGAGTCGCTACCCTCAAGGCAGATTGGATACTAGACAACGGAATCCACTAAAAAAGTTGCCACCAGTCTTTCCGAGAGGCTGGAAAGTCGCAAACTCTGAAACTGAAAAAGACCAGACGTCAGCCCACCAGATTTTACACTAGAAGGTGGAAAGGGTAGAATTAAGCAACAGACACTAGACTTGATTGGATGTTCAGCTCGTTTGAATTCCGAACCAAAAGTTCCTGTGCAGACAAGCCCTGGGTCGCCAGTCAGGACGTAACTAAATAATTAAGGACGTAACTAAGTTATACTTTACATACAATCTAGTGTTAAGGGTGAAATAGCAACCTCAGGCTGCCCCGGCTAGGCGGGTTAAGGGAATGTCCCGCTCCTTCCTCTTCTGATCTGACTTCACTTCTTTCTCACTTCACTCGCTCTCAGCAGATTCATTCGCTTCTTACACTATCGTTGTCGATATCCGGTAGATTATTAGAGTCAGGTCAGAGCTTTTTCACCTCTGCCCCTGACTGTATGCGCTTTTAGTTCTTTGTTTCCCCCTCCTAATCCTGAGCTTACGAGCGACGACAAGGGATTGTCGTTCACCTTGAATTATACGACATTTGGAGACTAGAGAGTGGACAAGAAAGAGGAACTGGAGGAAGTTAAAGGTAAATGCTGAGGACCAGCGCCTGATCTTGCGGATCGCATCTTCCGCCGCTGAGCCGCATCCTGTCGCATCGCATGCCACCATCAATGATTGCGACAACAATGAATCCATACCCTTCCGCAGCCTCCCATCAAAATCATTCGTATGATTCCGGGTCATCAATGGCGTCTTCCCTATCTCCTCAGGCCTCGTTGCCCCCTCCATCTGCTCTGACATCTGCTCCTCCGAGCAGACCAAGCAGTGGATTACAGATGGCTTACTTGTTACATCCACCTACTCAACAAGGCCCTACGCTACCTATGCCGACTTCCTCACCCTATACTCACTCTTACGACTCAGCATCCGGATCTCCGGCGGATCGCGCATCTGTTTTGACGGATGGGAACGGCTCTCTTCCCGATGCCCCAAGTCTTGCGCCTCATATGGGAGGTGCTGCAGGACAACCCCAACAGAAGAGAGCTTATCGGCAAAGAAGAAAGGATCCTAGCTGTGACGCTTGTCGGGAACGTAAAGTAAAGGTAAGATTGGCCACAACACCGCAAAAGGTAGGATTGTCGTTAGTTAAGTGACGAGTTTACAGTGCGACGCCTCCGAATCATCAAGCTGTACAGAGTGTTCGAATCGAAAGGTTCGATGTCAGTTCACCAAGGAAACAAACAGGCGCATGTCTTCTATAAAGTTCGTTATCCCCACTCAACCTTTGCGCCTTGGTTTTGCTGACCATCCGAAGACAAGTCCAAGATCTGGAAAAACAGCTCAGTAGCACTAAACAGCAACTACAGCAACTTCGGTCAGGTGTTTTAAAAGCAGACAATGTGATGGATATTGAGTTTGATGTCAGCGGTCAACCAGTGCTAAAACTTCCAGATGTCGGCGGTCGACCCGTGCGACAGAATCGACCTCCAGTATCTCAGGATTACTCTAGAGTGCGTGCGAATGTGCGCACCTTTGGATCTGGCATTGTCAAAGTACCTCCACCATATCGACAGGTGCTCTCGTCTTCCTTTATTACGGACAACGGACCTGCGCTCCCTTCGAAAGCCCTCGCGGATCGATTACTAGCTCAGTATCATGCATATGTGCACTCGGTTTTGCCAATTATCCACTGGCCGAGCTTCACAGCCGAGTATGATAAAGTGTATCAGCAGGGAAACTTGCGTGGAATTCCTCGAGAGTGGGCGGCTGTTCTCTTTGGTGTTTTCGCATGCGGTGTGATGCATTCTCTAGAATCAAACAAACGACATGACGCTCAAGCATACCTTTTGGTATCACAAACAATAGTTGATATCTGGTTGGACGATTTCACTCTTGACCAGGCCCGTGTCTCGCTTCTCGCCAGTATTGCTCTATATGAAATGAACTCAAGGTCTTCTAGCTGGGTTTGGCTCGGTTCGGCTGTGCGAATCGCGCAGGATATTGGACTTCATATCGAATCCGGTCCATGGTCAACTGTTGAGCGAGAAATGAGAAGGCGGCTTTGGTGGGGAATTTACGCATGGGATAGGTATAAACTGATTTTTTTTTTTTTTTTTTTTTTGTTGTTGACGCCCGAGAGCCAGGTTACTGACGATGATGCTGCTATCGACAGGCTATTATCTCTTGAGTTAGGCAAGCCGATTTCAATCAATGATCAAGACTGTGATGTCGATCTACCATGTCCGGTTGATGAGCAATTCATTGTCGAGGGAGCTCGACTACCAGAAGGCTCGAACACGAACTCTTTGTTAGCTACGATCCATGTGGTGCGCTCAATTGGACAGCTCACCAAGACGTTGAGGTCTCCTGTCGTCAGTCCTGCAACACTCGAGATATTTGATCGTCATTTTAATGCTTGTCTGGCGACATTTCCTATTCATTTTCATCCAAAGTCGGATAACTTACTTGACCCGAGCTCCTTGGCACCAATCGTCTATCTTCAGAATGCACGTTTCATTCTACATCGCCATAATATATCGCCGTATTGCCCCCCTGACGTCCGGTTTCCCGCCTTGGCTCAGTGTCTCTTGATTGCCCAGGACACCGCCCGTGTACTCTCGAGATGCATGCATTCACCACCACCAGCCGCTCCAACCTCGGCCTATGGAGGAGCGCGTAATGATTGGCAAACTTCACTTACCTCTTCCGCGTCGACCATGCTGTGCACACATATCTGGCGCTGCTTGTTGATTTTAATTTTCAAAGAAGACTTTCCAGCAGCCTTAATATGTGTCCAAGTCTGTAAAGTCATTGGCGACCATCATATTGCCATGGTGTCATGTGGTCGATACGTTACTTTCTTCCTCAGGATCCTTTTGGATCGACTACGACGCAATGAAACGGCACCAATTGACCGAGACGAAGAGATGCTTGCCTATGTTTCAGGAGACATGCAGAGCACCGCGACTGGCAGTTGGATATGGCAAGGAAGCGAGACAGGGACACAACTTGAAAACGTGCCACCGCAATCATCGCCGTACTCATCATCGACCCCCGGCGGTGCAGCCAAGGTTTCTAATGACATGGAATGGGAGGGCTGGGACTGGATTGACGGAACATTGCAGTACCTGGCCAGCGAACTACGTCAGCGCGGCTATGACCGACGAGATATCCCGCAAGTCAGGGTTCCGGCTCCTGCTTTTCATAAGATCGAAGAGTCACCAGGCAGCACTCCTCGATCGAGTGCGCCTAATTCGCGCATGACTATCGCGAACATTATTTAGCTTTTTTTTTCTGTCAAATCTATTGTCGCATTAGCGAGGGAAGGGATCTGCGTCTGATTTCGTCGATTTGCGGAGGCGTTTTGAGTTGATGAGGACGGTGGAATCCGTGGAGATCATGTGGGATTATTCGTTCCATTATGTTATAAAATGAGCAACGATTCTTTCTTTAGTAGAACTTGTACGACTATACTCATATAGAAGAGGCGCGAAATGCATAATTTATTTGAGGATTTGACATGACATAGTATTTGGCTGTTCCGCTTGGGGTCATAGGATACAGGGTTGTGATTCATTTCCAGCATCGCCTAGATAAATTCACATAAGTCTACTCAACTACTCACTAAACAGTCTACCTTCCGAACCAATGCAAAGAATCAAACATCCAAATTAATAGCCTTTCCAAACCGCGCATAAAGCGCAGCTTTCAGACCGCTCAACTCCTCGCGTATTTCGCCCAATTGATCCTCTAAACGAGAGACTTCATTGTCGATTTCGTCTGTGGATGTGGACAAAAGGGACTGTGCTTGCTCGAGGGGGAGATGCACGAATGAGTCTCCTATTTTGTATCTATCATATTTATTAGTCCCACGATCAATAACACACCGACGAGAAGAGGATAACGCACGGAACTAATTCGTCTTCATCCGCTAGTTCTAATTCAGTCGAGACTTCTTCGAGGTCTTCTTTATCTTTCTATACGCGATATTAGCATCCCTGTCAAGCTTTTTGATAGTCAATCGAGGAGAGGAATTCACGAACTTGCTTCGCTTTCAACCTCTCCTCAAGCACGGTCTCTCGTTGATGCAGTCTACTAAACCGATTGATTCTGTCCTGATCTTCGCGACGGACTTCTGTATCCTCAGAGCCGGTTGCGGCTTCTTCGTCTTTTGATAACTGTCTATGGTCAGTTCTTGTCCATGCATTTCGTGTATGGATTTAGGATTAGGGATAAGTGGGATGTCGATATTGCCGATGTTTTCATGATCCACGTACCATTCGATGTTGTAGCATTTTGACTGTTGATTCTATGCGGATTTTGATGTGGTTTATCTCTCCGTGATGTTTCCCCCTTAATGGCTTAATTGTTCTTTTATGTACGTAGTAGTAGTGGTGGAATTAAAATCGGTATAAAGTTGATCACTTTATTCATCCCGCATGTGGCCCGTGCACACTAGTCGATGTATGTGTAATTTTTACGGTATTGCGGTTTACAATGATGAGTGATTTGTATGTAGATGTTTCAGCACGATAGAGTAAATATTCGTATTGGTATGTAAACTGTACTTTATATTCTAACAGGTGTTGACTACACAGACAAATTCCAGTTGCTATTTTGAGAGAAAGGTTTGTTTATAATTCTTCAATGCTGAATTCAATATAATGATAGTCATATGAACATTGAGGTTCTGTCCAGGATTAATGTCAGCTGTCGAGCTGTCCAGATTGTCGCGTGACATCATCTACAGTTCTTCCTAAGATTCAGTCGGGCAGATACAATCAACCCTTACTCTACTTTGAATACATTTAGACTCAGGGCATCTTTCCAGTTCCCATATCTCACCTAAAGTGTCAACAGTATCTGTATCTGGTTGATCCCTGCTGACCAATCAGAACCTGTGTTCATGGCCTAATGCTTAGCAGCCTTGGCTTCGAGCCGTCATCATCATCTTTTCTAATAATCAATCTCCGTACCCAAAACCGCACCAACACCTTTCCCAACAACGAATCCATACAGGTCGTCCTTTCGTTCAACATATCAATGTTTCTGATTTAATCGTCACTCTTTTATAATCATTTCATCAGCGAACAATCTCGCCGCCATGCGAACTCATACACAACGCTCCACACTGGCTGGGTTGGCATCATCACTCCTCCTCCTTCTCCCGTCATTCACATACGCCATCAGCCTCGACTGCGCAAACATTATTGCTGATAAAGTAAAATTCGACCTAAGTCCGCTGGGTGGTGTACACGAGATCACCGAGTTCCAGGAAATCGACGATATCTCAGTAAACACGACCTATGTCTTGAATATTTGCAATACGCTCAAAGGAGCTGCGACTCGCGAAGGACAGAAATGCGGGACGTCGAGAAACAGTAAATTCTCTTTTCTTTCGTCGCTAGTATGTGTATTGTCTTTCAGTGACTAATATACAAACTGTACAGTTTGCGGATTTGAGCGAACCATCTATCTAGACGGCCGAACAGACACCTTAAAAGTCCTCCCCATCGCAGGCTACGAAAACTCCCTCGGTGGCGGATCAAAGGATATCGAAACAACATTATTAAAATCCATCGACCCTGCGACAGAAGGAATCCGCGTTAAGATATCCGGAGGCACAATACCAGAACCAGAGCTGAAAAAGAAGTATCCCGCATCAGCCATAATTGATTTTCAATGTGATCCGGGTCGCACGGGGTTGGAGGGACTTAAGAATGATGATGATTTGGATCAGGCGACGGATGCGAAGCTTCGTCGTCGTGATGATGGGGAGAAAGGTGATGATGGTAATAACAAAGATGGCGATGAGAACAATAAACCCCAAACCCCGAGTTTGACGTTCCAGAGTTTCAGCCTAGAGAACGAAAACTTCATATTGCGCCTGGATTGGAAGACGAAATACGCCTGTGAAGATTACAAACGCGATAATCCTGGATCTGGCAGTGGTAATAGCAGTAGTGGTCATTGGGGATTCTTCACATGGTTGATTATAATGTGAGTAACCTCCCCCCATCTCTATCCTTCAATGTCGCATTTAAGACTGACACAGTCTCATCAGCCTCTTCCTCTGCATCGCATCTTACCTCATCTTCGGCTCCTGGCTCAATTACAACCGCTACGGCGCCCGTGGCTGGGACCTCCTCCCACACTCTGACACGATTCGTGATATTCCCTACATTTTCAATGACTGGATGCGTCGAGTCATTAATACCTTACAAGGTTCTGGGGGCTCGAGGGGAGGTTATGCCGCTGTATAAAATCATAGATATTTGATTATTGTAAACTCATGTGTTGGTTTGATGTTGTGTACATTTATGATTGCTGGTTTCATTTCGTTTTCTTTTTCTGGTTGCTGTTTTCTGTTCGGTTGACATTGTCTAGATCAGCCTGAGATATATAATTGCTTGATATTTTTTGTTGGTCTGGACTGGTGTATTGGGATACATGTACACCCATCAAGGTATGCACTTTGAGAATGAGATATACGTCTGATATCTTACAAATATGATGTTGTTTACTGTAGACCTACATTTACATTTCTTTGTTGAAGCAATTGATTCAGCAAGCTAAAAAACCAGCAAAGCAACGCATCGTAATGGGATATGGATAAGCGATCTGATAGATAAGAATTCCGCAGTGACCGAAATCAATCATGAGGCCGTCAATAATCGTGTAATAGCAATATCATCTCCTGCATTGAACAATATGAACCGTTGTACTATCCTCACCAGCCATGCAAGTCTTTCGTGACAATCAAACCTTTAGTGCGAAGTGCTTCATGTAATGATAATCCGCCATGTTGCGATTGACAGTCTCTCGGATGATCTTCGCCCCTTTCTCGCCGAATTTCTCGCGCCATTCGGCATCGAACTCTTCCTCGGATTTGAATGACTTGCTCTATGTGATGTCAGTTTTCATCCAACGTATAACACGCTATGAAGCGAACTTACATGAGTGCGAGCTTTGAGTTCCTTCGACGCAATAGCGTCCTCGTGGAAGCCCTTCCACTTCTCAAATGCGGCACGGGCATACGCATGGTCTTCCTCTGTATCCCAACGGAGCATCTCAGGTTCGAATGGAATACCAACGCTCTTACAATATGATTCAATCATAAGAGACGGATTGTCCAAAAGGTCATCTGCGTCGATGACACATATTTCGACACCCATGCTACCGTTATCATGACGGTGAGTGGTTCCATTGGTCTGCTTATTAGCTGTATCCTCTGCATGCGTCGTCGTCGCCACACGAGGTCCGATTAAACCAACGCTGCGCAAGTAATCAAAGACTCGACGCACTTCGTCGTATCCAGCCTCAGACGGAGAAAATTCATGGAAGCCGGTCACGTCGTCCAACGGCGGAATTGTGCATCGAAAGTAAGACGGGATACTGTAGTGCGGATCACGAATGAGAAAAGTGAAATGGAATTTGGACAGAAGCTCCAGAGGTACCACTGTTGGGTTTCCTGGCTCGGCTTCAGTCGGATAGGGGTATGGGGGAACTTCAGCTTTCACTGGAGTCCCTCCATTCGTAGTCACGCCATTGACCTCGGCGTGACCGTTGGTGAGGCCGTTGATTTCGCCATTGGTGCCGATACCACGCTTCACCTTGAACAGAGATGGAGCGATACTGGCTGGTTTTCCGTCGGGAGGGACCAAATAGTGGATGATGTCTTTGATGAAGATTCGTTTGCCCTGGATTCACAAGGTAAGTTTGGGCACAATTGATTCTTCAGCAAAGTGCTAATAGATGCGTTATGGCCAAATGCGACCATGCAGATGGAAGACATCGCCCTCTGGAGCCAAGAATTCCTCAGCGTGGCCAGACAGAACAAATGGATGAAACGAGAAAGACGTAAGGTAAACGTACCTCAGTGGTTTCGCTCTCAATGCGATCGAAGATTGTTTTATAGGTGGAGGTACTGAAACCGCTGTCCAGACGAGCCTTTTCATCATTTTCATACCTCGCACTCAGCCTTTCCGGGCCGAAGTAAAAAGCATCCCCGAATGGCTCGTGGATGCATTGCAGAGAGTCCCTGCGAGTCATGAAGACCTGAATTTGCGCTAGTCAGATTCATCATCTTGGCTCAAAAAGCTACACAGCAAGGGATGTGCATACCCGTTCAAAAGCCGTTGAGCATGCCCTCGGATGGGTAGCGACGAAGATGGGTTTAGCCGACATGATCGAATCGATCATTAAATATCGAACAAGTCTCCACTAAAAGCTGGTCGAATAAGCGAGCAGAATCAGATATTTGGACGGGAGCTTGCGAGAGCACGCAAAAGTTGCAGCAATCACGCAAGATTCAGCCTGTAAGCCTGCGATTCCTGTCAGTCAACTGCCAAAACACGTGCATCCAGTTAAATTGGATGACTAAGTTGCTTTGTCTTGGGTGGAAGGGACTCACCACGTATTTGGGAAATCGCATGCACCAGAATGATGCTGAAGGGACGATGAGAAAGAAAAAAGTAGAAAAATCTCTGCTCTCTGTAGTATGCATGGTATTAATAGTGGTTGCCATCGGTACTGTCCAGTGACCAGTCCATCTCACCACTGTAATCTAATCGCTCCAATCAGTCGACTTGCCTGGACATGCCTTTGGGGTGATGCAAGGGCGGGGGCACTGGGAAACCCTGACTCCAGCCAAAAATACGAAACAGTCTGGACTCTGGAGTAAATCGATGGAGCCAGTAAATGTCGCCAGGGACCAACCACAAGGCCAGAGATCCTAGGTTGTCAGAAGGCCACCAACCATGGAGATGGGGTGGGTTCGGACGGGATAGCCAAGTTTGCCAACTCCATCGATTCCCATTATTGTTTGAGTAATAGATTTGTTGCTCAGCGTGAGATCTACTCGACTCGGTGTCTGGCCATGTCTGTGCCACCATGCGTCTATTCCACTATTGGTAAGCAGAATCTGATTCCATGCTAGATACGGTAGGCAAATATCAGACTCGGCTTGCGGTCAGGTTTTTGTTGCTTCCGCTGTTACCGTGGATAATCGAGAGGTACCTAGATTATAGGTAAGAAGTCGGCGAATAGAAGAATTGGGCAGGTTGTGTTTGAGTAACCTGACCATAGTTGCATACACCTTCATGATTCATTGACTAGATGGCGGTTGCATGCGCATTGCGTGGTGTTGGCCCTGTCTGTATTATGATTTTTGTCGAAAGTTCAGCAGGGTCATATTGATTGAGACTGCAACTGTAATATCTTGTACGCAAAAGGATAGTGTACACACGATCAGCAGAGTAGAGAGATGGATGTAGGAGGATAGGCAGGATGAATACTATCAAGGATGATTTCATATCTTAAGCTCACATGACTTCCATCAATGGCTTTGGGGAAGGTGCTATTGGCCTGGGTATTCTCTCGTAACTATTCAGGGAAGGTGCCTGCCCAGTAGGGAATCGGTGCCTGAGGTTGCAGGTTCGCGATTGCGCCATCGTGACTGCCAAATCTGGAATGAAGCCTTTTACTCGGTTCTTTCGCACCTTTGCACTCTCAACCCTACGGCTTCATTGTCTTCATGACGTTGAGACTGTCGATATAGTGACATAATCGAGTTATCGTGAGAGATATAATAAATCTTCAAGGGCCAGACGACCGTCTTGATACTATCTCTACGCAATGGTAGGACAACGTTCATCCAGTTTACTTCCATCAAGATCGCAGCACTGTATCATGAATTCAGGGATAACATCACCAAAAGAACAGAACTTACACAACCCTGCCGTTACATGCCCCTATCACCACTTTCGAGAAACCCTCCTCGTCCAGACGGAGATTATGGGATAGATCATGAGAGACTCATACCATATCGTTCCCTGAAATCGCTCAACTATCGTAACCTATGCTACCCGTCTTCAGAGAAATACGATGAAAGTCTTCTCTGGTATCAGCCCTGCAATTAAGAGCCCGGACGTGAAGACGGAATTAACAACTGCGGCCAGAATCGGAAACCAGAGGACCTCGATAGCGAATACGATCAAAATTAGAGGTCTCATCGCCGGAGGCTGGCATATATAACCTAGCAAGAACTACTTCTGTTAACGACTTGGCCGGCTGATAGCAAGATATCGATATGACATGACCAATTTGAATGACGGTTCATCAACAAGACTGTCATCGACTCTATAACTTTTCCGAATATCAAAGAACACCCTTCGTCGCGAGAAGTTGTCTTTCTTGTACAGCATGAACTCCAAACGAGTTGTCAGCAACAGCTCCACAATATGAGCACTAACCTTCCAAGAGCTTTGGCGTTTTGCACTGAGCGACAATGAAATTATGTGGATTGATATGACACATACTCGAGATTAGGAACATCTTCGCTTGTCGAGTCTTGGTATATACGCGCGATGGTGAACCTTCATGATGGCGAACTTGAGAAAACGTATCTCACAAATAGAAATATTCATCAAGCATTGAAGAGTTTCAATCGGCATCGAGCCATTGAAGGTCAGTAAACCAAGGTGTCGGGTTGTGTTTGTGGCAGTGACGACCGCTAGCAATGAATTTATATTCCCTGCTAACCTTGACAATAAATCGATAATCCACAACTCAGCTTCTAACAGGTATGGGAATCATATTGATTTATTCGCCTAGTAGTCCCGATCGACCTTGGAGGTAAAATCTCGGGAGATTTGATTGTTAGGGCTATAGTGAGCACCTGACCACACTTGTAGAAATCATTTCATTCACTTGTTTATCTACACGCTACAATATAAGGACACAGTTGAAGAGTGTTTATTTCTGAACTTTGTATATTAGAGTACTATGTACATTGATCGAAGCAAAAGACATGTCCTTGTAAAACCAAAAAGCTCAGACGCCTAGCCATGCAACTCATACAGAAATATTCTTTTCATCACAATTCATCCAAAGTCAGATCATCTAATTGTTTATTCGTAGAGATCCATATCACCACCACTCTCTTCTATTTCAGCCAATGCATCATCTGAGTCTACCATCTCCGCATCGTCAATCTCACTATCAGTGTGATTTGGCAAAACATCCAACCGGCCGTCCTTCATAACAACCTGGGCGGTTTCCCCATCTTTGATACTGCCACGCAGAATCAAAACAGCAAGACGGTTGAGTACCTCGCGCTCAATGAGACGAGACAATGGACGAGCGCCGTAAGCAGGTGAGTAGCCCGCATCGCCGAGATAATCCTTAACTTCTTCCGTACATTCGATCTTGATGTCCTTGCCGTTTTGTTCAAGACGGCGTTGGATTTCGTTGAGACGGATGTCGACGATAGAGCGAATCTCGCGCTTGGTGAGACGGTTGAAGATGACGATGCTGGAGATACGGTTCAAGAATTCAGGGAGGAAGTAGTCGCGTAGTGCACCCATGACTAGTTCACGAGTGGATGGATCGATCCGGCCGTCTTTGCCTGCTGGGCGAGCTAGGAACTCTGCACCGAGATTGGAAGTCATGACGACGATACAGTTCTTGGCGTCGACAATGCGGCCTTGTCCGTCTGTAATGCGGCCGTCGTCCATAAGTTGGAGCAGGACTGTAAGAACTTCTTTGGCGGCTTTCTCAACTTCGTCGAATAGGAGAATTGAAAATGGGCGACGGCGGAGGTTCTCCGTTAGTTGACCGCCAGCATCGTGGCCGACGTAGCCGGGAGGCGCTCCAATCATTCGGCTGAGTGAATGACGTTCCTGATACTCTGACATATCGAACCGGATCATGGCCTTTGGGTCGTCGAAGAGGAATTCCGCAAGAGCCTTGGTCAAGAGCGTCTTACCGGTACCAGAAGGACCACAGAAGAGGAAGCTGGGAGGCTGGTTGGGATTGGCAAGACCAGAACGCTGCAAACGGATTGCATTGGAGACAGATTGGACAGCTTCTTTCTGGCCAACAACGATCTTGCTCAAATGCTTCTCCATTTGCAACAGCTTGTCCTTCTCAGTGGTCTTCAATCGGGTCACAGGAATACCAGTCCAGCGAGCAACAATCTCGTTGATTTGGTCTGGGCCAACGGCATCAGGCATAAGAGCGACATCTTCTTCGTTTCCTGATCGAGCACGATCCTCGGCATCAGATTTGGCTCGCTCAGCTTCGAGTCGGGAAATAAGAGCCTGGGTTTCTGGGATAGCGTAGTATTCGAGATCGGCGGCTGTGGCGGTGTCTCCGGAACGCATAGACTCGTCTCGCTTGACTTTCAAGGAATCAAGCTTCATCTTTGCGTCTTGGATTTCCTTGCTTCGCCTCTTCTCTTGTTCGTATTTTTCGCGGAGAGGTCGTAATTCTTCGGAGACATTAGCGGCTTCCTGTTTGGCGAGTTCAAGACGAGTCTTGGAGGCGGCATCCTGTTCACGCTCCAAGGCATGGATTTCGATCTGAAGCTGGCGCAATCTCCGCTCCAAGTTGTCGAGAGCTTCTGGTTCTGATTCACGTGTGACACGAACTGCTGCGGCAGCTTCATCGATCAGATCAACCGCAGAATCTGGGAGTCGACGAGCCGTGAGATACCGAGCTGCGAGAGTTGCCGCCGAGACAATAGCTCCATCGAGAATGTTGACACCGTGGTGGACCTCATACTTTTCCTTGAGACCACGAAGAATTGAGATGGTTTCCGAAACAGATGGCTCCTTCACCAGGACTTGCTGGAATCGTCGCTCGAATGCTTGGTCCTTTTCGATATACTTGCGGTATTCTCCAAGCGTTGTGGCACCGATACAGTGGAGTTGACCACGAGCCAACATGGGCTTGAGCAAGTTGGCTGCATCCATACCACCTTCGCCGCTTGATCCAGCACCCATCAAGAGATGAATCTCATCCACGAATAGGACGATCATCTCGCGAGAATCTTCAATCTCCTTGAGGACACCCTTCATCCGCTCTTCGAATTCACCACGGTACTTGCTACCGGCGACCAAAGAACCGACATCAAGCGATAGGAGTTTGCAGTGGGCGAGATTTGCAGGTACATCGGCATTGACAATTCGGCGAGCAAGACCTTCAACCACGGTGGTCTTACCAACACCAGGCTCACCGATGAGGACAGGATTATTCTTGGTGCGTCGAGTGAGAATGCGAATCACTCGGCGGATTTCTTCTTCTCGTCCAATAACGGGGTCGATCTTTCCTTCCCTGGCGAGAGCCGTCATGTCAATGGTGAATTTCTTCAAGTTTTCATGTTCCTCTTCGGCATCAGCGGTTTTCGAGTCTACACGCTTGGTACCACGGATTTGTGAGACAGCGTTGTCGATAAGTTTTGTGTTTGGTATGTTGGCGTCAGCTAAAGCCTTCTGAACTTGACCATCTTGAGCAACAGAGACGATCAGATGATCAATAGCGACGAAACTGTCCTTTTGAGTTTTGGACAGCTCTGTGGCTGATCGGATGACTTTGGCGAGGGCGGGAGAGACAGCGACTCGCTCTGGGGGAGGATCTTGGGTGGGTTGTCGAACAAGTAGTTTCATCAGTGATCGTTCGAGTAGTTGAGGGTCTCCATGTGCCCGCTCAACTACTTGCTTGAATAGGGGCGCAGCTGTCGAGTCTCCAGAAACTCCAGCAGGTTGTCCTTCCTCGTCCACACCACCAGCTGGAGGATTGAGAAGAGACACGGCAAGATGCAGTGGGAGGATCTGACTATGGCCGTATTGTTCGGCGAGGCCATTTGCGTCGAGAAGGGCCTTGTTCGCCCTGTCTGTAAATTGTACGTTATTCATGGTGTATGTTGTGTGTGTATGTAGCGCTTAATCCAGTCAAGCGAAGATTGAGGTTGTGCACCTCTGGCACTTGATATTAGCGTATCAGTGAGATTATTCGTATGTGACTATCGATATCGAGAAAGAAAAATTGCAAGCAGCAGAGGTCGAGACAAAGTTAATATAGTCGTCGTTGGGCCATCATACGATAATGAACTGGCAGCTTGTAGAGACGACCTGTTGCTGCCCGTTTGTTCGCCCGGCTTCCACCGCATTCTCGAATCATCGACGTCACATCACGTGGTTTCCCCCGCGATGACTTCATGATTGTCTATCGCACGCTAGTCCTAATACGGATAGATTCTAGAGTCTTGTCAGCCTGTACTCCGTAAGGTTAGGCGTTAGGCATCAAGGCACCAAGATTGTTTCCCTCTGTTCTCTTTACGCTCATCTACACAATCGCTTTTAGTCAACAAAATCAGATATCTACCTATTCTTCTCATTTTCAGCAAGCCACCATCTTGCCATCTCTCCAGCTTGCATAAACTCCACCTCGTCCCCATAACTTTGCAGCCACCGGATCATTCTCTCCACCATACCAATAACATGAGCCATACCGGATGTATCGGGATGCATGATGATCGTGAATATTGGGCTTTCCTCATGTTCCCGTATCCATAGGAATCGATCTTTCCACATCTGCTCAATTGATCGTACATCGACATATCCGTGCGAATTGTGTACGTGTGGTAGGAATTGCATTGGGGTCATATCTTCCATGTAGTAGTTGCAAGGTATTTCGACGAGCGGACGACGATCCGAGGATCTCCTATCGCCTAATGAGGATGTTGGAATAGGATGCATCCAGCTCGAAGCGGGTTTACTGTAATCAATCGGCTGAAGGGGTGGACGGCGAGGAGCAAAAAAGGGCCGACAGTCATGATCGGTCAAAGACGAGTCTATTTTTGTACTTGTCAGACTGCTTTATCCCTCGGAGAGATGATAATACAACTCAAGACATACCATATTCAAACCCGTACTCCTCCAAAAGGTCCAGTGTGGACTCCCGGACTTGGTACAAGGGCGCTCGGTAGCCTACTGGCCTCTTACCAGTGAGCTTTTTCGTGATTTGAATACATTTCTCGAGAATGTCACGCTCTTGCTGTACGGTAAGCGAGTAGGCACCTTCATGCGCGTATCCATGCAGAGCAATCTCGCAGCCAGTATCAACAACTTGCTGGACCTCCTCCGTGAAGCTCTCTGCTGAATGACCAGGTATAAACCAAGTCACTTTGTCGGCTATATCCACTCTTTGAAGCATTTTGACTAACCGCGGTACTCCAACTCGTGCCGCAAAGAATCCAGCTGAATAATCGGCTAGCACATTTTCTGGGGAGTATCCTGTTCTCATATCAGCTCAAGACCCGTTGTCAGATATACAAGATGGCTGTACCCGTTCCTAGCCATCCAGAGACAGCATCCAAATCTATCGTTACAGCAACGCGAATCTTATTGCCAGATGATGGAAGCAACAACCGAGGTACCGCCTGGATTGTTAAAGATCGGCTTGTCGAACTCTTGCTGAAACTAATCGTCTCTTTGCCCCGCCATGCAAGCCGACCTTCAGTTTCATTATTTGCAATGATGCATTCGCCCGACAAGTGACCAGCTTCACGGTCCGAAGCTACGAAAGCTGTTGCTCGTGCCAACGCTTCGAGATGAGGGGCTATATAGTCCCTATATATCGGCATCAGCAGCTACTACCTTCCGTGGTAAATCATTCCAGACTTACTCAGCCATCAGAGGATTGATTGGCCCAACAGGAACCACGGCATTTATCCGAGCCTTGCGATTCAATTGAGGTAACTCATTCTTCACTCTTTGAATAAGGTCAAATGGTACGGCATGTTCCCCAGGCTTGCTATTACCTATGACCACAATAGAGAGGTTATCAATTTCTCTACCGCTTTGAGCATCCTGAGAAGACTTCGCTGATCGAAGAAACTGTTTGATGGTTACAAACGTTTTGCGCGCAGCGCCTTGATATGCTTCCTCCCATGTATCCAATGGTAGATCCCACACTCGGTACTCATTGATCTTGTCATCATAGCTAGCAGTGAGTATAAGAATGTTTATAGGCCCGAACTTGTTCCTAGCCTCTTGCATTGAACGGTTCAAACTTCGCTCGGTTACTTCGCCATAGTAAGAATTGAGGCGGTCTAGACCTATTTGAGGCGGCAGCTCATACGGCTTTGAATCATGCGATGTGACATAACAGCCTAGTGCTATAAGCATTCAATTCTGTTAGCGTGTCTGGCAAACCCTGCATACTATCTGATAAATACTCTGAAATCTAGTTCACTACCATGATCCACAATACATTCCTATATACTCGTCAAATGTGACTGGATGGTAGAAACTTACCTAGAAATTCTTGAATTATGAAGCTTCCCACAACCCCCGCAGCACCGGTAATGAAAGCATGGAAACCTTCCAATTCTGAGGACGGCATGGCAGCCATTTGCAGTGAGTTAGTGTGGATAAAGCGCTTGGATGCACACTATTCAATCAGCAAGTACTTCGCAGAAACTATTGTATGGCAACACCTGGTTCAAGCGTTCAATTGGAGAGGACTGTAGTCACAGCTTGATGTGGCTTCCTCGATAGGTTGTGCTCCACTTGCTTAGCTGGCGTAAATTATCGTTCGTTGTACGGTAACATAATCGGTAAGCGACCCGGCCATGTAAGCGATCCGCCCATCTCTCCCCGAAAACGCGTTTCTATATCGACCTTATAACTTCAGCGCGACATTATGCCACCAATTCGCAAGATAGATCCCTTAGAATCGACTCAGATAGAGGGAAAGATCTAATTAGCTAATTCCGATTTAAAAGATGGAAGAATTTCCAATGTTCGTGAAGCTATAGGGATCTATGCAATCCCTCGTACAACTCTCCGAGACCGACTAGAAGGAGTATAATATCAACGTACAACACGCACCAACGGTCATAAATGGACTCAATCTGAGGAGGAATTGCTTGCTAAATGAAACTTAGATCTAGATAAACGTGAGTCACCTCCTCGAAACTCTCTTGTTCGAGAGGTGGCTACTTACCTTCTTTCACAACGCGGAAATCAACGGGTTGGAGAGAAAGGGGTATATAATCTTATCCAAAGTTGCCCAGAGATTAAATTACGGTCACACGGAAATATCACTACGAGAGTGCCAAATGCGAGAATCCGAAGAATAATCCAAGAGTATTTTGATCGCGTACGGGACGTTATATCAGAGTATGGGATCTTGCCAGAAGATATCTATTCTACAATTTTGATAAGACTGGCTTTGCCATGGGACTTTGTGCAACTGCTAAGGTTATTACTGGAAGCTATCGATATAAACATCCAAATCTATTACAGCCTGATGATTGAGAATGGGTGACTGCAATCGAAGCAGTTAATTCAACCGGATGGGCCTTGCCGTCGTACGTTATCTTCAAGGCAAAGAGACATACTCGACTAGGCTGGTTCACGATCTTCTACATGACTGGAGAATCAATATCAGCGATAATGGATGGACGACAGATAAGATTGGATTAGAATGGCTTGGAATCCATTTTATCCCTCTTCCTAATGGCCGTACGATGGTATGTAAAGCTCAACTTGAACTACATCGGTGATGGAGAAACTGTGATAGATCTATTTAGGCAATTGCATGGTAGGCCACTAGAGTCACAAAGATACCCAGAAGAATATCCTAGTGGAAGAAGTTTTAGCCTTCTTCCTGCCTAGGTAGGGACCGGAGGTCAGTCCTTCACTTTCGGCCCCTTTATATCAAGATAATTGCCTTCGAGCTAAAACTAAACAAATGAAGGATGATCATGTGGTGACATGTGAAAGGTAGTTTCTCCCTCATGGTTCTCACCTGAACCGGATATTGCCGTTAGTTTCAACTTTCTCGGGATTGCGATGTTACATCAACCTCACCAGAAACAACTAAGACTATGCCAACTGTAAATCACCTAATCACAATTCTAGACTCTCAATGTCATGTTATTCTGCAAAGAAAAATTGGTGACAGGTAACAAGTTAAGACATTGCGATGTCCGGCCCACAAAGTATCAAGATGATCTGCTGACCATCGGGCCTCAGCAAAACGACCACGGTCCATTTCTAGCTTCGTAGACATGGGTAGATCATTAATTAGGGTCCCAACTCTGATTAACGATGTTCGGATATGCCAGTTACAAAAAATTCTTGGCGAAGCATGGGGACCAATCCTGGGGTAGTCACTTTTCCGAAAAAGGAAAATGGGATGCTTTTTAAATTAACGAGATGAAACGCTGCAGATTCAAGATGGCCCAATCACCGAGAAAGAACTTTCTCTTATGTTTCCATACCTACCGTTGCGACCCTGAAATAAACTGAGCCGCAGATTATGTTTGAGAATCCAATCCCGATTGGTATACGAGAGCATCTAGATGATGCATATTTGGTTGAAACAGGCATGGGCACGGGTCATCCCGAACTTCATTACTCGAGCCACACTCCGGCAAACATTCTCAAATGCCGTTGATCACCGATTATCATACAGCAAGCAATGATTTCAAAATACCGTTGTTCACCGATTGTCATCCAGGTGCAGGATTCAGCAGGTAGAACCTTGGAAGTACGTCTATAAATAAGATGTTCTCACATCCATCATCTCAACTCTTTTCTTCACCTTCATCAGTCAGACTCAGGAATTCAGAAGATTCGTCACAATGAAGACTTCAGTCTACGCTGGTCTTGCCCTTGCTGCTCTCGCGGCGCCAGCCTTTGCCTACGATATCCCGGATAACGTCCAAGCTTTCTACGACAAAGTGAAAAATGGCGGATCTTGCACTGGCAAGGACCTGCTCAAAGGTGGCTTTTACGCCGTGGAAGACGGATCCAAAAACTTTGGATATTGTCAAAAGTATTTCACCGGCAAGGGCTTGTATCTAAAAGGTCCTGGGTCCCAGCTTGCCGATATGGACATTGATTGCGATGGCAGTCAAAAGGGTATTGACCACCGCTGCAAATCGTCCGACGATACACAAGACGAGACTGCATTTAAGGACCAAGTCTCGAAATACGGTATCTCCGACCTCAGGGCCGATATTCACCCATACGTTGTGCTGGGCAACTATGGAGATTACAGCCCGACATTCGACCCTGAACAACATGGTATCAAACCACTTAGTTTGGTGGCGGTTGTTTGCAACAACAAGCTCATTTACGGCATCTGGGGTGATACCAACGGTGATGACGGTCCACCATTGGTTGGAGAAAGCTCACTCGCCGTGGGCACGGCTTGTTTCGGTCAAAGCATGAACGGAAATAACGGCCATGACGGCACTGATGTATTGTACATCGCTTTCTCGGGAGACCAGGCTGTTCCTGGCTCCTCGGCTGACTGGAAGGCATCTTCCTATGCGGATTTCGCGGCCAGTATCAAGGACTTGGGTGATCAATTGGTTGCCCAGCTTTAATCTGGTTGTGGTCTCATGTTGTCCAATACTCCAGAAGGAATCGGTTGGTAGTGTGAGGACCAGGAAACAGTCTTGTCTCGTGTCTCGAGAGGATTGCTCAATTTGACAGAAATTTAGCTAGAACCATGTACTAAGTATGTTCTTCAGGAATGGTAGTGCTTGATTTATTTCTTCAAATTTGCAGCAACGTAACAAGCCCTAATTCTTAAGATTTTAACCCAAAAAGGCAATATGTAATGCTAATCAGAAACGGCGTTCGGCATCCGAACCCTTGCTCAACTAATCTTGGAACCTCCGAAACACAACCACATCCAAGTCGCCGCACAACGAACAAGCACCATATACACAAGGGAACTAAGTGATTGTGATTATTGAGGGGATATTGAGCTCATCGATACATACGGCTGTATCACTACACGCAAGGACCCAACACGTGTATGGCATCACAATATAAACGTCTTGGACGCCAGATACGAAACATCTTGGTCTTTCTGGGACTACCACTCCCAACATGTCGCTTCCACACAACAGGAAGCGCCCCAACAACAGCACGGATGAGCAATCATCGAGAGCTTGCGATCAGTGCAGGAGTCGGAAGGTGAGGTGCGATCGCCAGCAGCCTGAATGCTCTAATTGCCGCAAAGCCGGGGTGACATGCGACTTCTCTGATATGCTCAGGCGCGTTAACTATGCTAAACGATTGTGAGTTTATCTGGATATCGTGGATAATCAGAGCAATTTGACTCACAGTGTCTAGACACGACGAATTCTCGAGCGTGTCGGCTCGCGTGGATAAACTAGAAGCGAGTGTTGCCAAACTTCCAGAGCAAATTGCACAGATCTTATCGTCACCTTCTTCGGCATCAAACGCGGCCTCATTGACTGGGCCTTCTAGTCCGCGAACTCTTCTGAACAAATCACACGACATGACCCCGCATTCAAGAAACACGGATTCCAAATACGAAGAGACATCGGAGAAATGGCAGCCGCATTTTGAGCGCATTCAGATCGCCCAAGGGGGTGAACGCATCGTGGGTTATCCAGCCGCACTTACCCTTTTTGTTTCGATCAAGAGACATCTCATGAAAGCCTTAACATCAACTACGCGTGATCCTTCACAAGATACGAACATTAACCACTACTTGTCAAAACTCATGTGCAGTAAACCCTTCCTACTGGCGGAGTTCCAGAAGCACTATCAAGCTTTTCCATTCAATGGAATATGTAACGACCCAGCTATCAAGTCTGATGGCTGACCTCTTAGTACACCTCCGCGTACGCTATTGGTGCCAGCCCTGGAGTATTTCCTTGAGCACGTCAACTCATACATCCCTATCTTTGACACGGCCTACCTTCGCGACATAATCGACGAACACTATGCGGATATAAATAAGGACCAAGATGCATCGCGACCCCTGATACTAAACTGCATCATACTTCTTAGTTTGAACAACTCCGCGAGACGAAATGGCATTACGGATTGCCATATGGGCACAATGGGGGAAGATCTCATCCCGACCTTTCGCAGAAATTGCGACAGGGCACTTGCCAATTTGTTTGAGTTTACTCGCCCTGCCCAATGCAACGTCCAGGCGCTCATGATGCTGGCAAGTACTTGAAAATCTAGAGGATTGTGTACAGGAATAACTAATGTGGGTCACAGGCATTGGTTGCGCGCGAATCCTACGGATCTATGGCCTTCGAGAAGATATGTCAGGTAGCAAGTCAAGTTGTCCGTTCCACAGGACTTAACCTAGCAAGAAGACCTCCATCGGCATCCTGGGAGAAGATGATTCAGCCCGAGAAGCTCTTCTGGGCAATGTACATGTTGGACAAGCAACGAGTTTTCTTTAATGGTCACCCGTGTGATCTTTATCTGTTTGATTCTGATCTACAGATTGCTAGCTGTCGTGGCAACGCCACATATTCAGAACGTCTGAATGCGGCTACAGTACACTTAGCAGCAATCTGGGAAGAGATCTTCATCGCCTTGTATTCGTGCCGTGGTTCTCGATCGAGCAACGCTCATCGTACTCGCCAGGTCGAAATGCTGCGAAATCTGGTCAATGAATGGGGATTGCAGCACCATACAGTCATCGATCAGCTATCTTCACTCGAAGTTCCACCCGGCAGTGATCCTCTACAAATTGAATTGAAATACACCTATCACGCAACGCAAATCCTAATCAACCGCTGCGACTCAAACGAGGATAGTCAACAGCAAACCGTCTTTCACGCACGCAGCGCTCTGAAGATTATTAATCTACTCGCAAGTGCACAGCCCTTGACAGTGAGCCATCTCGTGGCTTTGGAGCGAATTTTCCGCAACTATCCAGTCGTTGCTTTTACAGATCTCCTTGGCGTTTGCCTAACTAAAGGTTTACTGGGTAAGGAGGAAGATATACAGTTACTCCGAGCCGCGCGAGATGCTTATCAGCTCATTCACGAGCCGAATATGTACTTTGGTAATACGGAGAAGTCGTACACCGGATTCATCTGGTGTATTGACTTGCTTGATTTGGTTGAAAATGCAGAGAGTGGGAACAACAGACCGGCGACAACGTGTTCACCATATCGACCGATAACCACTGTACAGCAGAATTTTGACGACTCTAAGAACTCTTTCCAGATGCATGTCACTCCTCATGCGAACCTGGCCGCGAACAATCATGTACCTTCAGCACCATGTATGCCTGGTGGGATGCCGAGCGAAGTACCAGTAGTTCCAGCACTCGAAACAGGTTTCTTCGACTTTGATTTTTACCAAGGATTATTCCAGCAAGAATCATGGGATCTTTCCACTTCTCTTTAGCACGAATATGGTTGAAAATAAAATCATTTTTAGTCTAATGTTAGGTAATCTATATGCGGTGGGCTGTTAGGCACGGGCAAGAAACAGGGATGAAGCCTGTGTCTATAACTATTTACTATTATCCATCAGTGCTCTGTCTGTTTTGGCTCTCTCCGGTTCAGTTCTTATTTGACCATGTCCTAATCGTGGCTCCATACTTCCAGAACAGGACCGGAATCGGGATCATTACAATACCAATAAACCCCAGGACGCTCGTCGCCCAAGCCACACCTAGTCGGTGATACATGGCTGGGCCGAAAAGAGGGAAACTTGCTCCAAACAGACTTCTCACCATCGCGTTTCCGCCCAAGGCACTATTTGCCATTGTCATGTAGCAGTCGATAATATAGTTAAAGCATTGCAAGAAAACAATGTACATGCCCATTCCGACGGGGATGCTACCGAGCACCATTCCGGACCAGTGGATAGTAGGGTTTGATGTCCACTGCAAAGACAATAAATAAGCAGCGGCTTGCTTTTGATTTAAGTCAAAGGGGGAGCTCCGATATACATACGGCAAAAATGAATAAACCGATAGGAATCAAACAAGCGCCAAAGATGGCGACAGGGAGTCGATCTTCCGGCACAATGATCGGTTTTCCATCAGCATCCAATTGAGGAGGTTTAGTTTCCCGCTGAATCGTGAAGATGACAACGGCACACCCGATGAGAACACCGATTACTATGCCGAGGAACGGTAGAGAGCTAACTCCCAGATCCCAGTGTCTAGCCTCTTGAAACTCGATAGGATACGACACGAAGAAGAGATAGGATACTCCGTATATGAATCCCTGGTAAAGCGTGACAGCTTGCAGAATGGGCTGGGTACCGAGAAGCACTGGACCAAGCATCATATTATTAAAATCACATTAAAAAAGAATTGGTGACCTCTCAAAGTCGAATACTCACCAAAACCACGGATTAAATATATCCTCAAGACGTCATGAAACGACGAAACCTGACCGTCAAATTGTGATTTCGCTTTAGGGTTTCCTTCCTTGCGTGCTCTAGCAGCCTTTTGACGTAATAGCAACGGGGCGTACGTCTCTGGAAAGAAGAAAAGCAAAAGAATCGTACAGACACCGCCCATAATACAACTCAACCATTGATTCCATCGCCAGCTAATATTTTCCGTCATGAAATTCCCCATGACAGGCGCCAGACTTGGTGACCAGAACAACGTGCCAACAGCGCCAGTCACTGCCATTGCTCGTTGATGAGGGTTCCAGATATCCACTAGACCTCCCCCGATCAAAGCTAGGGGTACCGCGCCGAAAGCCCCCTGAAAGAATCGACCCACGAGTATTGTAGCTATATTTTTGGCCACGGCAACTGGGATGCTGAAAATTGTGAATAAAGTCATACCAATGACCAATGGTGTTTTGCGTCCATAGTGCTCGGACAATGGTCCGTACAGGGGTGGACCGACTGTGTAGCCCTGATAGCAGATACTATTGATTATCGCTCCTACCTGGGGGTATGTAGTTGTGAATTGACTTACCACCAGGAACAGACTAACACCAAGAGTCACAATTGTAGTTCCAACATCGTACTCAGCAGCAATAACTTCGGTACCGCTGCTGAAGATACTACTCGCGACGGTTGTCACGAAACATGAATAGACCCAAGCAGCCGTAATCCATAGTTTGTATTTGAAAGACCAGTTTTGAGGGTTATCCAAGTCGACAGGGCCGGACCAAGTAATCAAATCAGCATCACTCTGTTCACTGGGTGCTTCTGATCGAGGGATTTGTTTCTCGATGTCATTGTCGATCTTGTTGTTGGAAGCTGATGGGGGTACCTGGACGGATTGTGGCGCCTGTTCATGCAGAGCACTCCATGTACCTCCATCAGATATCGAAGCAGGCGGTGATATGTCTTCAGAGGCCATATTTCAATGTTGCTGTACCTACGTATCGGACAGGGCTGCTGAGCGTTCTTGAATAAGGATCCCTTCAAGTGTATTCCAAGGATTTCAATTACCCAGGTCCATTGCCGAAATTTGAACAGTGCTTGCGCTTTACGTACAAATCTTTATATACCACTTACTACATATGCATGTTCACTATATGTTCATAATTATGACAAATTCAGCACTTAATTATTAAGTTAAGAAGGATTGAACCCATCAGAGCGACAAGGCCGAAAGCCGGTTCGGTTCATGGCACACGACTCGTATCAGATATCTAGTGGGTATCAAAGGATGTCGGCGGCCGAGCGCCGATGCCATCCTGACCAGCTACATAGGTGCTGGAAGGATGATGTTAGATAACCCTAATAGTCCGCACAAGTGCAGTGTCTACTTGCTTGATCGATGTGGCTGGGTTTAGGTATTTACCGTTCTTTTCATATTCAGTTGTTACCTAGTATTTGGTCGCCGTCGTTCAGGTCACCGAAACATTCCCCCTACCATAAAGAAATCCGGTCCTTTTGATACATCTCATTGACTAGAGCACTCTATACCCATCCATACTTGGTCCGAGTTCTCCCCTTCTGTATCTAGAGCTAAGCGAGAGAAGGGAGTTTAATATAGACAGAATTGTTGGGTCACCATGCCAGGCCGTTAGGCAAATGTCGCTTTTAAACACGACCACGAACAGAGCACTACCTAGTAACATCCACAGATCAAGCACTTCGTACTTCTCCCTAGGTATATTTGATCTTACATTCGAACAGTGGATAGGAACCTGGGGCTAATAACTTTCTGATATTTATACTAGTATCTATTCTGCCACCGCTGGACTTCCATCAAGATAGGATATTGTCCCATGAAGTCTACCGATTCTACACATAACGGTTCCAAGAAATCTCCCGAGCTCAAAGTTAACCTCATGGTAAAGGCTGCTTAACATCAGCCTCCTCCTTCTCTTCGACGTCGGCAACAGTTTCCTCCTCAGTCACATTTGTTGAGGTAATAGCCCAAACGGTAGGGATCACAACCATTAGGGAACCGATGCAAAGACCCCAATCCATGGCAAACTGGGTCATGGGCTTCTTGTGTAGAGCATTAATTCTCCATGCCATAGCTCCTCCAGTAGCCTGGAAGGTCTTATAAGCACCGACCAAGATAGCAGTTCTGGCGGGGTTGTTGGACTGAGCACCGATCAACCAGTAACAGAAAGATTGCCAGAGGGCGTCATATGCTCCGTAGCAGATATACAAAATCATGGGGCCGGCCGAGAGTCTTCCATTCGTATAGTCGATGTCTTGTTTCAATCCATGTGCCAGGCGACGATCAGCCCAGAGCTGGAAAGCGTAGCCACCTCCCCAGATAGCCATTCCAGTTACGAAGAGAGTGATCCAGCCAGCCACAGCACGCCAGCGACGAGTCAACCACGGCATATCGAGCAAACAACCCATGATCAAGCCACCGAGCATCTGGGCGATCCAGTAAAGGGAACCATTTAGAGATCGAGTTCGGATGTTGAATGTCAAACCATTGACATCGTTTTGCTGATATGAATAGAAAACGTTGGCGGAGAAGAACAAGGGAATCATGCAAATAACTCTCCAGTCAGACATGGTACTGACTGCGAGACGTGCTGTCTGTCGCCAGTTGTGCTTCTCCTCATCTGCTATCTTTCGTAGGCCCTTCACTCTGACAGACAACGGGTTACAAATCAGAACGCCCAAAATCCAGCCGAAGAGCATAATCACAAGCAAAGCGATGTACGTGGAGTCCGAGACAGTTCCAGTCTTTGAGTGGAAATTAAGGCCGAAACTAGCGAGAGAGCCAACACCACCACCGAGGTTGAAAATAATCCAGAACACAGCGATAGCTCGTCCCTTCTGAGCCTCGGGAACATAGGTTGTCATGATGGCACCCTGAGTAACCCACAGGAACGAGGCGCCGATACCTAAAAGGGCACCGGAAGCAATGACGAATGATCCATTCTTGGTATCTAATTAATTGAACCCCAAATTAGTCACGACTTTTTGTTTTGGGCCGCTCAGTAGAACAGTGAACTTACGGTTGAAATTCAACAAACTACCGGAGTACAAGGCATAAGTCCATCCACCAATGAGAAGACAGATACGAGGTCCGACTCGCTCGAAAATCGGTCCCACGACAAAGAGAGCAGTCCCAGCAGTAGCAGCCAAAAGGGCGACTGTAGCATTGGCCGCTACTGTTGGATCGACTTGACCGGACCCTCCCAGACCGGAGAGGGCATTGTACATCTACAGCAAGCAAGTTCATCAGTATATCGGTCAACTTACTCAGACGTAACAAATAGAATAGAATTTCTTACACCAGGACAGCAGAAACAGATGAAGCTGATCAGAAGGATCTGAAACCAAGAGTTGGTATAGACGCGTCGAGGCATCGACTGAGGCGGTTCGACTGCCGACATGGTGAAGAATGTTGAGATACCGTAGTCAATCAGAAAGGTAGATCAATAAATGTCAAGTCTTTACTGTGTGACAAAATCCGATGTTTCAGCCAGCCTAGAACTGGTCGATGCAGGGTCTAATATAGTAGCTCGATCATATCGTGAACCCCAGGTTCCCCCGTTTAGTTTAGTCACATGTAACACGTGGTTGATCCACTCGGAGTGAGGAGAGAGAGATAGGCCAGAGGACCGATTTGCCTGGACCTTAAGAAAGTGTAAGAAGGATGAAAATTTCGTCGGATCACAACTGCAGCGCACGAGATAAGAGCGTTTTAGTGTTGCCAAAAAGAGACGAAGATTTGGAACCTCAGAAACGGGGGCATCGGAGTAGTGTGGGGCACACGCTCAGTGTTCGGGGTAAATGGGTGTTTTGAGTGGCAAAACGCTCTCTTCTCGCCGAGTCGGCATAAACCCCGCAAAAAGTGGCCGGATAAGGGGTCGGCTATCACGGAGTCGGAGTGTTTGAAGTTTCTTATCCCTATCAATCTCAAAATAGCGTCCCCCCACTTGACCGGGGCTGAAGACATCTCGCCGAATGAACACACCGAATGGAAATATGTCTCAAATTCACAATGAAGATCTTAACTGATATAACATCACCCATGTACGACGCTTATCTCTTTTCTTGAGGGTTCGAGATAAGAAACGACACGCTGCTGCCTGTCGATGATAAGCAGACCTCGCAAAGATGGCGCAGGATGTCCTGGATCTTTCCGGCTTGCAGACCGAGGCAATCAATGAGCGCACCACCAATATTGACAGGGTTTCGACTCTGCAGATGTGCACGATAATCAACAATGAAGACAAGACAGTGGCTGACAGTGTGACGCCGTGTTTGGAAGACATTGCGCGTTCAATCGACTTGTTAGTTCCTCGTGTTCGTGCTGGTGGACGAGTGATATATGTCGGAGCAGGGACTAGCGGCAGGTTCGTGTTTAATGCGCATGATGAAATTTAATAATCGAGTCTTAACCAAAAATTCAGACTAGGAGTATTGGACGGTTCCGAAATCCTTCCTACATTTGCAGCACCCCCGACTCAATTCGTCGGCTTGATTGCTGGAGGAGATGCAGCAATCCGAATGGCACAGGAAGGTGCGGAAGACAGCACCGTAGCCGGCAAAGATGATCTAGTCGCTCTTGGCCTGAATGGTGAGCTAGATAGCGTTATCGGAATCGCAGCATCTGGCCGCACGCCTTACGTGCTCGGTGCACTTGAATATGCCAAAGGTCTGGGTTGTCTCACACTTGGTGTCGCATGTGTATCGCCATCAGAGATGGGTCGGTCAGGTAATGTTGATATTATGATGGCACCTTTACCAGGCCCGGAAGTCGTCACTGGCAGTACAAGACTGAAAGCGGGAACCGCGACGAAGCTGGTACTGAACATGCTGAGCACCGGTACTATGATTAGGGCAGGAAAAACTTATGGAAATATGGTAGGAGATGTTCAATAAAGTGTACACGGTGGATATCCAAGCTAACATTGATTTGCATCACAGATGGTCGACCTTATCGCATCAAACCAAAAGCTCAAGCAAAGGTCGCGAAACATTCTCCGAAAAGTTAGCAGACGCTGTTCCTCAATGGTTGATTATGAACTGGATGATCTGCTTGCTCGATGCGATGGTAGAGTGAAACTTGCCATTGTCGTCGCAGAGAAAGGGCTCTCGGTAGAGGAAAGCAGGGAGCAACTTGAAATGGCTCAAGGTGTCCTCGCTAGGGTCATTGCGACTGAGGATGATGTTCAAGTTAAGAAACCTCTGGTGAACGGATTCAAACGACATCGATCAGTTTTGTGTATAGACGGTGGCGGGTCAAAATGTGCTGCCGTGGTAGGATATTCAGGTGGTAAGATAGGGAAAGGCGTCGCTGGACCTTGCAATTTGTAAGTTCATACCCTGCTTTCGGTTGTGAGATAAGTGTTAAAGGTCGTAGGACGGATGGAAATTTCGAAGCTTCGGTAGAGGCAATGGTCACAGCTGCGCGCGAGGCATTTAAGAACATTTCCAAACCAATAAAGGCTGTCGACGGCATCAATAGTTCGATAGAATCGCATCTATCAGACGACGCATATTTCGATTCCATCTGGATAGCCAGCGCCGGAATGGACCGCCCAGGGATGCGAGAACGTGTGCAAGCAGCAGTAACACAGAGTTTGAACCTGGATAAATTGGTTCATATGCAGATCACCAACGACGTTGACCTGCTAGCTGCAGCCATGGCCCGACATCCAGAAATCTCCTCCAGCTTGGTCGTTGTTGCTGGCACTGGTAGCATTGCCATCCGCTATGCTCTTAATAACAATGATATAACCCCCAAACGTGTTGCTCGCGCTGGTGGATGGGGTCATCTTCTTGGAGATGAAGGAGCCGGATATGCAATTGGAAGACAAGCAATCCGAAAGACATTATTTTCATTAGAGGAAATCAATCTCTGCCAGAGAAAAGCCGGACTAAGTCCGTTAGAATTGAAGATACTGAATTTTTTCTCCGACACCACGCTGGGAAGAGCCGACGACGTTCGGAATATCGATCTACTAAGCAACGTCCTGGTGGCCAGCGATGACAAATCCGCCAAATCTCGAATCGCAGGCATCACGCAAACAATTCTGGATTCAGCTGGATCCGGAGACGCAGAAGCAGTGGAAATCATTGCCCAGCAAGTATCAGACTTTGTCGAAAACACTCTCAGTCGCCTGCTTGACCATCAGTCACATGGATATATTGATCCTGCACAATGCGGTCTCATTCTCTCCGGAGGAGTGATGCTCCACAGCGTGTATCAAACCATCTTCCAACTTGCCCTGGCTAAGCGCAACATCCGGTTCAGCTATACTGAAGCTGTTCCCAGTGCAGCACTTGTCGGAGTTGAATATTTATTAGCATCAGATGCTCCTCTGCCACTCCAGAATGGGACATCCTGACTTTAGCGCGTGTGTTCTAGTTGGCCAGCTCTACGACATAATATAGACATAGATACTTGGGCGGCAGGAGTCGGATATTAATGGGAGGGGAGCTTTGAACCTTGTATAACTACTGCATAGCATGAAGGCCATCATAAATGCATAATTCTTACATTCACTAGAATCAATAAAATCTGTCTCTGAAACACCACCACTTATTCAAAGCGTCGTAATCATCCCAGCTTGCAAGAGTGTGTTCTTTTTTCTCCCTGAGCTTCCTCTGTACAAAACTATCAAGAGCATCTCTCTCTTCCGGTATAAGCACGTCTAATCTATCCTGCAAATCACCATCCCCAAAGAATCTACGATCAATCAATCTTTGCCCAATACAACTTATCGAAAGCCCAATTTCTTCTCGCTGCATAGCACACCCAGAAATCGACGCTCTGCTAGCTTTCCAGCACATGCTGAGAAAGACGATTGTCCTCGGCTAGACTTGCTCGTTGGATTAGATCATCCTCTTGTCTTTATAGCTCCTGAAGAAATACTGGAAGACGTCTCGAATACTCTTGTTCCCAGTCATCAAGAGCCTCTCCAGTACTTGGGGCGCCCGAGAAGAAGCCATGACGGCAGACTATATACGGATTCGACTTGGGCAGCATAAGTAAATTCCCAGTCAATTGCCTCTACTACTCTGAAGTCTATTTCGGAATTTGCGAGTATATTTGCTGGCCTGGAATCATCATAGAATAGCTTAAAGGGCCCATTATCGTGAGAACACAGCCAATTCTCTCGTGCCAGTCTCCGAAACAGACATCTGACAATATATTTGCGTCTGCAGTCCTCGGTGGACTCAATAGTGTCATTGCGTTGCATTGATAGATGGATCACATGCATTTCAGCAAGTGCCAAAAAGTATGCAGAAGCTGTCTTGAAAGTGGTCCGCGGTAGCATATGTGGAGGGACATGGCCCATCTGAAGAAGTTCATTCATATTGATAGAAAAATGACGGGTGCGTAGTTTCCCATTTGTCATCAAAATCGTCGTCTTCCTAATTTGCCATGCAACCGATTTCTTTGAATGATTTCCTCGCTAGTTGGAGCAATATATTTGATATGTCACTATATACGGATCAAAGTCGCTGTTCGTTAATATTAGGATAAAGGATACATCGCTCATCATCACGGAGCTCGGAGGGTATTGAGTGCATCAACGAGATCCGAATAATTTTCCATGATAATGAAAGGACCAAGTCCAGCAGGAGTTTGGTCCATCATTCCGTAATGGAGAACATGAGGTACATGCACACTGGTGTGCCGTTCGATAAACCGTATAACAAGAGACCTCTCTCGTTTTACCTTTCCTTCAGGGAACATAGAAACGCCAGGAATGGGAAAGCGAATGATAGCAGAACCGGCATCCAAGAATTTCTTGCGGAACATTGAATTGAAAGATCCTTTCTGTGGATTAAACGGTTCTTCTGCTGGGCCTTTTCCATGTTTGATTATGAATCCTCCAACTTCCCGAAGGACTTTCTTATCGAAGAGCGCATCTCTCCAGGCGTTGGAAATGTTGTCGCTTCTCTCCCATGCGAGATCGTCAAACTTCATGCGCTCCGCCGTAACGACCGGATTGCCATAGTTAGACTGCATTGGCTGCTTATAGAACTGGACGTTGAAATGTCTATCGAACGATCGGTGAGCGTGCTTGACTCTTGGGCAAAAGCTAAACATGGACACCTACCGTACTGCAAAAGTCTAGGACTAGGGTGAACAATCTGGAGCTGTTATCGCGGGATGATCTCGGGGTAAAAGACAGACCCACCAAATAGTACTACCTACTACTCCAATATCCAAGCTTTCTATCAGCGACTGTGCTATTCGGAGTGGTTCGGTCTGGTCATAGTGGAATTCCCGCGGGTAAACAACTTCTTACCTAGACAGCATGTGCACTATATTCCGGTATTTATGATACCTCCATCTTTCCCATCCGGAAAGACACTTAGACCTTAAAACATTCCAATCCAATTCCTTCCTTCGTTAGTGGTTACTACTCGATATATCGTAGAGTCCAACATGAAGGGCCTTGCTATACTCTCCGCTCTCTCGAGCGTAGCATGGGCTAAACATGCAGTCAAGACAGGCCTCGATGTTCTCATCCAGAGCAACTACACCCAGTTAGCTGGGCGTAAGGTCATCGCGTTGACTAATCCTACAGGTGTGACACCTGATTTGGATCTTGGTGTTGATGTTATGTTCAATTCTGGCGCTGTCAACCTTGTCGGCGTCATGGGTCCCGAGCATGGATTCAGAGGTACAGCCCAAGCTGGTGGCTCGGAAGGGACTTTTGTTGACCCAGGCACTGGTCTGACTGTTTATGTTCGTTTTCCAACGAGAATCTTTCTCCAAGCACAATTTTAATGATTTCATTTGTTATAGGATGCGTACAATGTTAACACGAGCACAATTGTTAGCTATATTAAGGAATCTGGAGCGGACACTGTCCTATTTGACATACAAGATGTTGGAGCACGCTTCTATACGTGTAAGTCAATCTTACACAAGCTCAAAACCTACGAGGTAACCAACATTGAACAGATACCTGGGCTTTATATGATACAATGGTGGCCGCAGCCGTTGCAAACGTTAGCTTCGTGGTCGTAGACCGACCGAACCCTATCACAGGTGTGAATGCATTTGGTCCAGTACTCAATGAAAGCTATGCATCTTATGTGGGCCGGCGTCCTATTGCTCAAGCTCACGGCATGACAACCGGAGAATTGGCATCAATGTTCGTTGGGGAGAAGTGGATAAAGCAAGCCGCGAACGGTTCAGATTTGATTTTAGAGGTCATTCCAATGAAAGGATGGAAGAGATCGATGACATGGAAAGATACTGGTCTTCCCTGGGTCATGCCCAGTCCAAGTAAGCAGTCAACTGTCCTATGGGCTATCCAATAGCACCGAGTGCCGTTAACATAACTTATATAGATATGCCTACTCCGGACACGGCGTTGATATACCCCGGCGCCTGCATGTTTGAAGGAACGAGCATTTCCGAGGGACGTGGAACTACTCGACCGTTCGAGGTACGAATCTCATACATCATAACAGCAGACATGAAAGCTGACTAGCCGCAGTTACTCGGAGGTTCTTTCACGAACGGATCGTGGGTCGAAAAAATGCGATCACTCAACATTCCTCACACCAATTTCCGATCTGCATGTTTCAGCCCGACAACATCCAAGTTCCAGTCACAGACCGTATGCGGTCTCCAAAGTTACGTCTTCCTCGATTCCACTCGCGATTATGAGGAGTTCGATTCAGTTTACCTAGGAGTATCTTTGCTCTGGAGTGCCAAACATCTCTACACCGTTGGCAATAACGACACGGGCTTTGGGAACACGACGCAAAGCTTCCACTGGCTATTCAATGGTTCCAACACGAGTCGGTACGATGTGGATGTGTTGGCTGGTGGTCCATTGGTTCGGGAGGGCATTGAAGCTGGACTTTCGCCTGATGAGATTCGCTCACAGTGGGAGGCTGACCTACAGGCTTTCAGAAAGAAACGAGCATCTTACCTATTGTACTGATGACTCGGATATACGAGTCACGGGTTGTGAATTTGTAGCCGCAAGGCATAAGTGTAGATTGAGTCAATTGCAACGTTACAGAGAAAAGATTCAAGAAAAAAGCTGAAGTCTCACGTGCAACTTCCATAAAAGCTACTGACTGCATCCTAATCGGGAAGGTGGCCTCTTCCCCCACAGAATGCGGAGAAATGGCTCCCATTGGCTGTTTCTACCGAGGGTCTTATCTACATGACCAATCAAATTCTGCCACTGTCAGGTTGTTGCGGAGTAGTCTCGGAGTAAAGATTGGCCTCATATCTCCTCCACAAATTATCTTAGAAGAACATCCCAAACGCCTCGAAGTGCTCAAACCATCTGTATATCGCTGAGGTAGGAGAAATGTCTACACAGGCGAATTCTACTAGGCGAGCAGTGGAGAAGAATCGCATTCGGATCCCTTCGTGTGAACCGTGCCGATTGTCGAAGCTCGCCTGCGATCACAAGCGTCCTGCGTGCTCCCGCTGCGTCAACCGTGAGATTACTCCGCAATGCGTCTACAGAAAGAACCCCTTTAAGAGGCATAGGCCGATTGTGGTATCTGAGCATCATCATGTGTAAGTCTATAGTCAAGCTGCTCTTGAATGGAAAGATAAGGAAACTAATCTATTAGCAGACTTCCAGCCGGTACCACAAATGGCACATCCCCTGAGAAACCAGTGGCTACTTTCCAGATGAAGCCGTATCCAAACCCAGGTTATCAAGGATCGTCATCTTTAAAGACCGTCTTGGACAATCTTGGGGACCACCTAGCTGTCAGAATTGATACCTCGCGACCTCACGTTACCGATCAGCAGTCATCCCGAGATGCTGTTCTGCGGGCAGACAGCTCTAAGATGGTTGATGAAGGCGTCCAGCTATTAGACACTTTTCTTAACTATCTTGCTGACGACGCTTTTCGACAACTTTTCTCCGATGCAAAAGGGAATGGTCTACAAACCCATTTGGGGACCTTTTTACTGTTCCCATTCTTCGAGAGTCTCGCAAATGAGATTGATATTATACGACAGTCGCAAAATCGGCAGGCTAGCTTGTTTGCGCTATCCCAACGACTCTTTGAAAAGGCAAATCAGCCTGTGGAAATTCATAGCGCCATGTCCCTTGAAGAGTTCGCAGCTCAGTATACAGGACTGAATCTGCGGTGGGAGACAGTGGGTTTGATTATTACATTGGCCGGGTAGGTCTCTTATAGGTTTGTTGATTTGGTTTAATGCTAACTAGAAAAGAATTGCTTCCACCGAGATACGGGTTCCTCACCCCGCGTGCAAAACGGAAGAGGAGCGTCAATTGTTGAGGACAAATTTGGTTCATTTAACCAATAAGTCTGTTGGATTTTGTGACTCCTTGGACACTCTAAATGACATCACTATGATATTTATATACGAGAGTTTCCTTCTTGCTTCAATATTTTACGGTGATCAAAGTAGGTTATGAAGATTCCCTGTCAAGAGCTCAGCTTGATTAACATACTCTTTAGGTTTCAAGGCATGGAGAAGACTCAATCATGCGTCCAGTGCACTTTTTGCAGATGGACTTCACGAGACTGTCAAGGAGAAAGAATATCTTCCTTTCTTCCTAACTCAACTACGCCAGCAAATCTTTGCTCGAATTTATGGGTCCGATATTAGTTTTGCTGTCTTTTTAGGTCGGCCTCCACGAGTTAGTAAACGTTTTTGCTATACCAGTATGCCTCTCGACATTGAAGAGGATACATATAGCTTAAAGGGTGAGGCTTTGGACCGGGAACTGGCACACCTGGACCGAAGCGGCTGGAACACGCTCGGACAGATCAGGAAAAGTGCTGTCGTACGATGGTCCATGATCACTTCTATGATCCGGGAAGATGCTCTAGAAACTTTGCTTGGACGAAATCTCACAAACGTACCACAGCGAATCAGGTATACTTCGAAGCCCTTCTAAACCTTTCATTTGATACTGAGATTTCATAGCGAGCTTCAAGCGAAGATTGACCATGCATGGAAAGACCTTCCTCCATTTCTCACAATGCCAACCCGCGATCTGTGGATTAAAGGTCGCTCATGCCATGAGGTAGACACATTACATCAGATCCGCCTGCTTTACCTCAATACCACTTTCTTAATCGAATGGGCGGCTTCGCGGCATGGTCTTGAAGATAACGGTGCTTTGTTTGTCAACGCAAGTGAACTGCTTTCGTGGGTTATCGAAGCTTTAGTCAGACGCGAACAACTCTCTGAAATAGGTTTGATCTCTCTGGCATGGAGGGTGCGTAGTAGCGAGATCCCACTCGGTTGATAGCGTTGATTCTAATCCGACTCTTTCACAGGTTGCATCGTGTGCTTTACCCGCTGCTGGCGCTATTGCCTGGTACCTCCTACAGCCATCGTCTCGTGTGGGATTTCATCTTGATTCATCTTCGAGACGACGCAGCATAGAAAATCTCTCAGTGCTCATCGCTCACATGGGTGTCCTACATGATCCTGGCGATGGAAATTATCAGCTTTTCTGTCATGCAAAAAATGCTCTACAATCTGCAATGGACACTATCCTTAGCCCTTCAGATCCTGGTCAGCCTGAAAATTCCTTGGACATGTTGTCCACCGCTGCCCTGTCACCAGATTGGATGTTTTCGGACTACTTGGGACTTGGTGTGGATTCCTGGTACGTTCTCCTTCGTGATGCGTTGTAATCCTCCTTTTGGCTAATTATTTGATAGGATCGGGCTTCCGGATCGAGGTTCTTTTATGAGAATGGATGATAACATGCCTTATTGAATTTTTATGAGTAATGATTTATGTTGCCTTCCAGACTTTGATATCTACATTGATAAGAATTATACATTTAACCATATATATACTAAATATCTGCTATATACATCCTTCATATATTTGACACGAGTTAATGAATCCTACTCTCGAAAGTACGACCGAAAACTCTCCTTGAAAACACATCACTACCGATCCTTAGATTCGAGTAGTGCATCTCAACTAAGACAAGGGAGGAAATGCGACATCCAACCCTAAACTTTTTCCAACCCAATACCCAACAGCCTCTCTCACGATATTATTACTAGACCACGACCGTGACGGATGCACACGGTTACTGAAATGCAGCCAGAAAGCATTATAAGTCCTATCAATCACCAACGTCGTTCCCGTAAATCCGGTATGACTAGCAGTCTGCAAACTCGCCATGGGACCCGCAGTATAATACTGATTCAACTCAAAACCCAAGCCGTGCTCATCGCCAGGGAATCGAGCATTGAAGTTTGTGAAAATGAGGTCGACTGCGTTCTGGGAAAGGATGCGTTGTCCGGCGTATGTGCCGTTGTTGAGAATCATTTGGCAGAATGCGGCTGTGTCGCGGACGGTCGAAAAGAGACCCGCATGACCGGATACGCCGTCTAGGGCCCAGGCGTTTTCGTCGTGGACTGTACCGCGTACTGGCTGGGGACGTTGTGGCTCTGCGGGACCGAGGACTGCGATTTGGAATTCCTGGGTGGCTGTACGATAGTAGTTGGGGGTTTGCCAAGTAGCGCCTTCAATGTTGCCACGGTTGAAATAGGTAGATGTCATTCCGAGTGGTCTGGTATAGTCATAGATGAGTTCATCCAAAGGTCGTCCAGTTACGGTCTGGATAACAAGGGCCAGGGACATGAAGTTGAGATCTGAGTAGAGGTATGTGCTTCCGGGGGTATTGATGATCTTCTGCGTCAGGATAGCATTGATGCGCTCGTCATACGTAGTATAACTGTCCGAGAAAAGTGATGGCGAAGGGTCAGCATCAAAGCCACTTGTATGCGTGAAGAGCTCGAGGATGGTGATGTTTTCCTTTCCGTTCGTCGCAAACTCCGGGATATAAGTCACGACAGTGGCATTTAGCTCAATCCGACCAGCATCCAGTTCCCGTAGAGCAGCTACAGTAGTGAACAGCTTGGTAAGACTGGCCATATCATAAACTGTATCCACAGTGGTATCTTCTTGCAGATGTCGAGGCAACTCGGTACCGTTAACATCAGCATAGAGATTTCTCTTTCCGACAGCGAATTCGCTGACAATGACACCGTTACGAGCAACCAGATTCGCGGATCCGGGTTCAATTGGAAGGACTTTGTAGTGCGAGAACCTTCCATAGTTGGCAGCGTGTGTATATGCAGTGACGTTTTGGACCATTTGGTGCAAAGGCGCTGCCTGCATGCCAACGGATTCGGGAGAGCCGTAGACCAGTTCCCCATTATTGCTCCAGGGAGGCCGGGCAGAGACAAGGCCAATTGAGGCCAATGTCAATGCTAACTGGCTAAAAGACATGGTAGTTTTCATGGTGGATAGTATGGAGTGACACCTCTGACGCGAATCTGTCTTTTCTACTCAGGTTGCTGCGTCTGGGGTATGATCAATGCATGAAAGCTTGAATATACCCCAGTATTTAACTATTCTGATTCGGTGAGTTTAAAATCACGACTTCGGAGTATGCAAGCTTCCCCGCATAATTTTGTTGGGTCGGCGTAAAGAGATACAATCACTCCGAGAGATAAGAAATAGTTACTGCTAGATAGGTACAATTGACTCCGCAATAACGGGCTATCTCTAGAGTTTTATCGTTCATTCCATTATTCTGAATGTAACTCTACTGGTAGTAGATGTTTGCGGGCCTGCTGATTGTTTCCCTCTCAATTAACACCTCTCTATACGGCGAAAAAGCCACCGTTTCTATACTCCGATTGATAGCGGCGTGAACATTTGGGACTGTAGCCCCCATAGCATGACCACCTTCTCCATTTGGAAGTATCACGAATATCACGTGGACTTTTAGTAATTCAGCACTCATATGACTTTCCAGTTCTTGCCAAACACTGTATAGCTCCCTGGCTGAAAGTACTCTGTCAGGGTAGCACTGGCAATGTACCGAAATTCGAAGAGTAGGTAGCAAAGGAAAAGTTTCAGGTGTACATAGTGCGCATAGTATATGATGATGCCCTTTATGCAGGGGCTGATAGTATAAAATCAATATATTGATCGCCAAAGTAAGGGAGTATGATCTTAGGGTGAGTCTAGCTGGATGGCGGGAGGCTTAGGGCATAACCCTGCATAAACGACTGATGTATATGATGGTTAACGACCGCCTCCAAAGTAACTTACGTTCGATTCGAGACAGGAAGGTATCATCTGTGGCTGCCTGAGTGTAATTGCGCCACTTCTATAAGTAGGGTGTTCAACTTCGTTCCTTGCGTTTCGATTGATCGATCACCCAGGGCGAATCGAGGGAGTAATTTGGAATTATGATGTTGCCTGGCGTTGCAAGACCTATAGTAACCTGGAATTGATGACATAGATGCTCCTCGGAGCTTTTCCTGTAGACTATATAATCATCAGATAGTCCGGGACTCGAGGTTAAAGGAAAATATTACAATCAACCAGATTCCTTTATCCCAATACCTTCCGAGACGTGAAACGCCGAAGACGAAGATTGAAACATCTCACCTCATTTCTATCCTTTTTAAGCAATGGCTAGTTTCTGCGACAAGGTTGATACCTACCAGGCAGCTCTCCTGAGCGTCTTCACCGGCAAACCCGAGGACACGGAAGCGGACTTGTCTAAGCTCCTCCATCCATCCTTTACGCAACGCAACGACACCACAACTCGCAACTTTGCCGACTTCGTTGCCCACATTAGTCACATTCGCCAAGTCTTGAGCGCCGGCAGCGTCGATTTGACTGTTACTCAATTCTTGCGTGATGGCAATCAGATTGCTGAAAGACATACTTCGACCATGAAGATGCCCGATGGAACCGTTCGAAAGGCGGAGAGTTTCCAGTTTGGCGAGATTGCGGAGGATGGACGCATTGTTTCGATCATCGAGTTGGTTCAGACTATTTGAGCCATTGGCCAGGCATTATTATCGCCAGCACTATGCTCCGATGGTTTACCTGTGCTGGGTGAGGTATAACTATGGCAATGGTACTCCGTAGCTAACAAGAGCTTCCGGAACTTGACCGATGAACTTGAGACGGGGGACATGATTGATATTCTCCCGCGGATCATTTGAACACAAGCGGCTGGAGAGTGGGTATCAACCCCGAGTTTGGAATCTTTTATTCCGTTCAGTAGGAGGTTCTCATCAGAATGAATCCCATTACTGTGAGGGCCAAAAAAAAAAATCTCTTTTAAGCCTAAATACTACGGTAGATTGTAAGTTATTGCCTTAGGGATCCAACCAGTGGATGCTTGACCCCAACGAATATCCTTCCATGCTCATCACAATGCTAGAAAGGGGTGGAACCTGGCAGCGAAGTCAGTACCCACACTCTAATGTCCTAAATAGGCAAGAAAGTCCCTTAAAAGCACAGAACCAGTTCGCCAAGCATCGCTTTGAGCATGAGTTAAGCTTTTTTTTTGTTAGATCTGATCTTTAACAACAAACTCGTGGTGGATAGAATCAGAGGATAGTAACAATTGTGTGCCTAATGATGTATCAAAAACATGATGCATCTACAAGTCGATCACAATAAGATGAACCATGATTGCCATCGAAAATTACGTTTCAATTGATACACACGTATTACCTAGTACGGTAATGAAACAATACATAATACGCTAAGCATAGTGCTACGACTAAAAGAGACTAATGCAGGGTCTAACTACGGAAATTTCAAGGATTCCTGGATTGTATGGAGCGAGAAGTGACTCTAAATTCAATAGTCTGCCATGAAAAGACACAATTCTTGGCTGCTACGTACGTACTAAGTCTAGAAGAAGTTGAAGAACAAGTCTCACTATCATAATAATATCGTACGATGGAGCTCATGCCAAGCGGATCAGACCCCGCGAATATGCTCGATTAACATGTGGTGATGCACTGCGACAATTGAGCAAATCCTTTTCCGAGCATTTTTTCCCTTCTTCAAGACAGATTGATCGATTGATCAAATACCGTAAATCATGCTCCTTTGAAATTCGCAGAAAAGCAGAAAACCTTCCAAATTGAGAATTGCCTTTGAAGCCATGATAGGCAAAACTTCACAACAATTCCCGATCCGGAAAAAGAGCAGCCCATTTTCGTCGAGATTTCCAGGGCCGGGAGGAGATTGGTGGCTTACGATTTTATGGAGCAAGATAATAAAGATAGGGGAATTTGATTGACAGAAACAATTCAGTCATAGTCAGCGTCTCCACCTCGTCCGGCTTATATTTTCGCTCCGGCTTCAGTCTCCTGGGTCCACTATCCAGGCCTTTACTATGTACAAGGTCAATCAAATCGGCTAGCCTACTTGTTGAGTAACTAAATTAGCGTGCAAAGTGCTGAGTAAATAAGCTCAAATTTTTTAGTCAAGTTAGTATGTACGTACAGAATAGAAGGATTCATAAACTTTGCAGGAGTGGGTTTTGTAGAACAGTAGAAGATGTCTTCGTATCCGGCATCTGTCTCATGATTGTTCGAACCTTCAGCTGAGCGTCCGAGGTTATGTCCAAGTCTAGAACTCGTCTATTGAAGTCTTATCTATACTCGTATGTCTTAATAAAAAAACTATCATATCATATATATACAAAGGAAAACCTTAAGATGGTGGCGCCTCGGCACGTTTCACCTCCCACCCGTGAGGCTGTGATATAGCTGCTCCAATAGGTTCCTGTCTTGGTCCAGCTTCGACAGTCACCGTGATATCTTGCCGGATTCGCAGGGCACGGTCGGAACCGTCGTCGCTGTTCAAATCTGCGCTGTCCGAATCTGCGTGGGTAACACTCATCGTGCTGTTGTTTTTCTGTGTCTTTGATGTGAATTCCTCCAGGTCGTAGTGTGCGGGATTCGTCGATTGCACCTGGCTGTTCATGCCGTAAGTGCGGGTTCCCTTGGATCGGGTCGTGGAACTGAAAGGCATAGATGGGTAGTATCGGTCTGCTCCTTTCCTTGAACCACCAGTCCAGCTGTTGAGTAGATTGGGGAAGATGTCACGCAACAGAGACCAGATGAGCGGTAAGTTGGTGACGAGCATTGAGACGGTAGCTTCACGGAAGTACCAGTTCATGTAGATATAGGATATCAGACTCGGTACCAAGCAGTAGATTTTGGTCAAAATAGCGGCCACAATCTCGAATACACCCATGCCGAAGAGCAAGACCAGAATAAATTTTTGTCTGAGGGGTAACTGAATTTTGACCAGTAGTGGAATTGCGACTAGTAGCATGAAGATATCGGCAGTGATTGAGAAGCAGGCCTGAACGATTTCGTAGTGCTGGTAACTTGAGCATTGTGCTATACATAATCATCATCATATTAATGTTAGTAAATCTGGATTATTTCAATCTCTCAAAACGAGATTCACGTACGGTTTGGCGTAGGCACTGCCCAATAATTCTGCAGGGGGATACAGCTCAGGAAGAGAGCCAATTCCACTGCCACAAAGCCCAAACCGACGTAGATGGCGCAATAGTTAATAAGTCGTTTCTGAGCCAATCCGTCTCTGCAGAAGAAGAAGAGAAATGTCAGTATCCACCCCAGATATCACAGCGATTGACGAAAGGACTTTGCGTACGTGAGACGAGCATATATGACCAACATGCATGACTTGCAGCTCCACACACAGAGAATGAAAGCATGCTCAGAGACAAACACCCATTTGCTTCCTCGTACTCTTTCTGCATAACTGCTAGGCGTCAAGTTTTGTATGTCCTCTTCCGTCATTAAATTGGAACCTCCTCCAGATGCGACTTTATTAAGGGCAACACATAATATAGTGTACCATATCACTCCAAACACCATGAGATAGTCATCGATTTGAAGATGTCGAATTCCAAGACGTCGAATACGAGCAATACTATTAGGATCCAATGTCAATCAGTATAATTGTCGACATTTTGATCCGTTTCCGGGGTAATGTGAAGAGGCATCCCGACTCACAATCGTAGAACGGTGCCAAAGACAGCGACTCCATACAAAGCCCATGTTTCATTCCGAAAATGTTCTGCAAAGCCGCTTGAGGTCGACATTGCGAATAACTCTTAGAGACAATCCTTGTCAATTTCGTCTTGTTGCCTTGTGGTCGGATCGAATGTTGATCTGGTGTTTCAGTCAATGCAAGTCGAATCAGACTAGGCCATGGGTCCCTCGCAAGGATTGATGGCGACGATGGTCCGAGATGTCAGATATATCGTGGCATTTGCTTCGGCAAGGATTTAGGATCTTTATCTCGAGAAGCCCGGCGTAATACTTCTACGAGGGCAACCTCAAAGGTTCGATAGATCAAAATTTCAAACCCTGGGACAAAGTGTAAATCGTCCTTCGACATGCATCGCACTGCGTAGTATTAGTACCCACAGAGACGATCAGGTTCTCCAGTTCCAGACCTCATGGGTGGTGGGCTTACCTGCTTCAGATCAATCGCATCAGAGAGATACACAATAGCCGACTTGTACGAGAATGGGTCCCCTATCAAGAGCACCAATTGCTACTTGCACATACGATGCAATCAGGTCGGCTAGTCTCTAATCAGAAATGCGTGGTGAGCGAATTTCAGCAATTGGCTCCTGGTCCAAGCGAGCAGCTCCGCTTTTTGTTCCTTGTATCTACATGAGGAACGTTGTATCAGGCAGTTAATTCTCGCATTTTTGACTTTTCTCAAAATTTTATTTGATTGTACGTATGTCGTATGAAGAATGAGGTGTACGTACTGTAACGTAACAATACATAGTACATACGTATCGTGAGGCATCAATACGCTCGGATGGACGGTTGGCTAAACCTTAAATCTGAGATCTTGCCGTATATGCACTAGCGGGGTATAGCCTGTAATGGCTAGACCGATCTGCAGATGTAGGTAATGCTAACCCTTGTCTGAATTTTAAACATAGACTCGAAAAAAGGATCCCGTATTTGCTTGAATTTGCCATCTACGAATCTCTACAGACAGCTTCAGCATCAATCTTTGGGTACGTTATCAATAGTCAATCTGATAACCGAGGTACAGGAGTAACTTTATGGTCAGTGCTCGGGAAAGATATACCCATTGTACGTAAAGTCTGGGTGGCGGGCGGCGGGCCGCGGTGACTGGAAGGGCGATTGCCACAGAGATAGGAGGTCCTTGGCATTTTCGGTGGTAGACATTTAAAGCATGGTCACTCCGGTTTTGTTTCGTTAAACGAGTCTGAAATGAGACAATAGATTGTTCATGCACCGCTTCAATGGAAAAATCATTCCACGGTCGAAGGTCTGGCACGACTCCCACATAGTTAGGGCTGGAAGCTCACGTGATTTTTTGCAGCATTCGATTCCAAGGTGTATGTACGGAGTAGGACGTATTCTTATTGAACAATTCTTCTTAGGAAGAAAAGAAAAGAAAAAAAGAAATTCACTTGATATTCTAGTCTTAACTAGCCTGCATGGCCTCGTGTTAGGAATTACTAGCATATGTACTAATAATACTACGTGCATACGTACATGGCTAGACAGGGGTTGCTTTCGCCCACTCAGAGCAATAGCCAAATGAACTAACTACACGGAGATCTTTCCATGTTAGTATGGGGGAGAGCAGGGATGTTAACATGTGGCAAAGGAAATCTCTACATCTCTACAAATGAGACACAATGAAGGGAGTTGACGAGCTTTCTGGGAGAACTGCGAATATACAGACAACGAGTCAACTCTAGCATTTCATGACTATTAGATATGACAGATCTGATGTCTGTCGCTTCGTATCTAGCACTCTATCAGACTCTATCTGTCTCACCAGCCAGAGAGGAAACATCTGTTGAAACTTCTCCTTCCGTACTAGTGCAACACCGACTCCCCACCAGATTGGGCCAATCATAGACGAAATAGGGATTGGCCACCTTCGACCTTGCGCCAATTTTCATACTCAGCTATACACACTGCACCCTCCATACCGGCCTTCCTCAAGCCTAGAAGGCTCCATAGAACCCCATGCAACTCCAATGAAACTGTGGTTCTTGTGCTGTGGTCGTATTTTCTATCTCTAAAAGTGATACTATTGGCTGAAGTCTACCCACTTTAAGCTTTCCTCTTTTCCCCATACAGACTCCGTTGCCAGAAGACCCAGTCGGGTCCGGATACGGGAGCTCCAGTCTCCAGATCTCGATGTTTATATTTTAGCAAGTCCATCACCTTCCCAGGAACTCCTCCAGGGTTTTTCAAAAAATAAAAGCCTTCACGAACTTTGAGGACCTCCTGGCCTGTGCTACGGTCATCCCGGCCTAGTGCTTTCTCAACTACGTCGACATATACGAACCTGTCATACCTAATATCCACGGTTCTACAACATGTCGGCTGATATAATCCCCAAGAACTTCGAAGCCGAGGAGTCTCCGGTTGATGATAAGGCCGTCGGAGATGTCGTCAATGCATCCGGCCACAAGCAGGAACTCCAACGGAACTTTGGTCTCTTGAGTATTTGCGCCATCGCAGTGACCACGGGTAACACTTGGATTGCTCAAGGTGGTAGTGTCGTGAGTAATTGATCTTTGTTATCACGACTAGGTTCTAATGACACAATAGACTGTCAACATCGCTAACGGAGGACCTGCCGGTATCATTTATGAGTTGTATGTTTGTCACTTTATTCTCACAGATTAAGCTTCTCGTTATCTGGTCTAACTCTTGATTCAGCATCGCGGTTTCTATCTGTTACTGGCTAGTGGCCGCTTCGATCGCTGAATTGGCATCTGCTATGCCCTCAGCAAGTGGAGGTATGGTCATGATTTACATAGTGAGGATTTTGAACTAAGCTTGGATTTATACAGTTTACCATTGGGCATCGGTAACTGCTGGTAAATATGGTCGACCTTGTGGATGGTTTGCTGGCTGGTGGAATACACTGGCCTGGGTCTTTGGAGCTGCATCCATGTCCTCCATTCTCGGCAATCAGACAGTTTCGATGTACGCCTTGTTTCATCCGGAATTTGAGCCCAAAGCATGGCACGTCTTTGTCAGCATGCTCATCTGCACTTGGATCTGCTGCTTGACCGTTATGTTCGCCAACAAGGTTCTTCCTCAAATCGGCAACCTCGGCATGTTTCTCATCCTTGGTGGTGTCTTTGTCACTATAATTGTCTGTGCTGTCATGCCACATATCAACGGACTACCATATGCTTCGAATGAATTCGTCTGGGCTAGTTGGACTAGCAGCACGGGTTATTCGAGCCAGGGATTTGTTTTCGTTGCCGGTATGCTTAACGGTGCATACAGTGTCGGCACGCCTGATGTAACATCCCATTTAGCGGAAGAAATCCCTCAGTGAGTAATTCACATTTCAACTCTTATCGTGTGTCATGCTGACTATTCGTCCTATCATAGTCCTAGTAGGAATATCCCGAAAGCCATGTTGGCCCAAATGTCCATTGGATTCATCACCGGATTTCTCTACATGATTGCGATGTTCTATTCCATTCAATCCCTCGATGATGTCCTAAACAGTGTTTTCGGCTTCCCTTTGGCCGAAATCTATCGTCAAGCTACTGGAAGCAGAGGCGGTGCTCTCGGGTTGCTAATTGTCGCATTCTTGCCTACCTTAATTACCTGCATTGGTTGCTACATCACCGCCGGTCGTACCCTTTGGACATTGGCTCGAGACAATGCGACACCCTTCCCTAGCTTCGTTGGACACATCAACACACGCTTCCACAACCCATTGAATGCTACTTTTGTCTGTGGCTGCATGATCACAGTCCTTGCTTGCATTTATGTCGGTTCAACTACCGCCTTCAACGCCTTTATTGGATCATATATTCAGCTTTCTACGCTGTCATATTTTACCGCCATCTTCCCTCATGTCTTGACTCGCCGATCTTTGATCACTCCAGGATATTTCCACATGAAGAACTCCGTCGGTTACGTCGTCAACATCCTCAGCTGTATCTATATCGTCGCCTTCATCATCATTTTCTGCTTCCCATACGCCATCCCTACTAATGCCAAGTCGATGAATTACGCCAGTCTGATCACTGGCGGTCTTACCATTTTTATTGCTATCTGGTGGTTCATTCGTCAGCGTGACTATGTTGGACCGCAGGCTATTCCGCTCGCTGATCGGAAAGTTGCGGAGGATGCGAAATAATCAATATGGAGCAAGTTATTCCTTGATCTTGGATGATTTGGCTAATTGCGATGTATTATGATGCGCCCGGTATAATGGTCAAGTTTTATGTATGAGCTACGAAATTATTTGTATAATCTCTTATATATGGACGCAATATGAACTTCCTTGTTATTCTTAGCTTTCCCAGGCCGCTTCCGAGTTGAGACTACCTAGGTACCTAGGTAGCTTGCGTGAAATATCATATCTGTTCCAAATGATTCACTACATACATCCGTGGATCCGCCCAATCAGTAAGGTTCTACATAGGCAACCTCACGCAGTCTCCTCTTTAGTGTCCTTGAAAAGAAATGATGCAAACTAAGGAGGAAGAGTACCACCAGCAATAGTGGCAGACTCAAGGAACGTATCGATCTCAGCTTCCTCCTCATCCGACAGAGAAATACCTTGAGCAGCCCAATTCTCTTCAAGATACTTGATCTTAGTTCCCGGAATCGGAAAAATATCATCGCCTCGCTTCAGCAACCATGCAAGAGCAAGTTGAGCGACTGTGCAACCCTTTCTGTCCGCAAACGCCTTGAACTGGTTGACAGTCACCGTGTTTGTGGGTGCATTCTCTGCTGAGAATCGCGGCAGGTAGCCAGAAGATTCGTGCCGGCTGTGCTTTCAATTTCGCGGGAGAATACTGAGCATTCAGTTTGTACGGCAGCGACTGGTGTAATCTTGTATGCTCGGCGTAGGGTGGTTGAGGATATCATGGATGGGCCAATGTGCTTTATTTTGCCTTCACTATACAGAACTTATTAATAGTGACATTCTATAGATAGTCCAATACAAACTTACGCTTGTAACTCTACCATGGCGCGCATAGTCTCAATTGGTGTCTCAGGGTTTGCACTGTGTAGGTAGTCTGCAAGATGTTATCAGCCAGAAGTCCTCCGCATGAGTGAAGGGAGTGATATTCGGTCCGCTCTGTCAAACATAAGAGAGTTTCAAGAAGGGGGAACCTACGCAAGTCAATTGTGCCTACACCAAGTTTCTGAAGACTCTTCGCGCAAGCTTCCTTGCAATACGCGGCGGAACTATCAGTTTCGTATGTTACGCTATGTTCAACAAATCCGAAATTCGTTGCTAGAAAAATCTGGTCTCTCTTTCCTGTGCGTCGAAACCATTTACCCAGCAGTGCTTCGCTGTCACAATATTGACTTGAAATGAGCACATTGTTAGAGCTTGCATGTCAAACGAGAATGTGAATATTACGGTGGCATTACTCCACGGTATCCCAGAAGGTTGCACCTATTTCGACCGCTCGATCCAGCAGTGCAAAACACTACTCATTACCGGGAAGTGCTCCGTAGTCAGCTTGGGACATTCCCATCAGTCCGAAGCCTAAAGCTGGCACAAGAGGGCCATTCTTTCCAAGAGGGTGAAGCTTGCTAGGCATGTTTGGTTTAGGTTGATAGACGAAGTTAGATTCTGGGATGATGCTTTTTGATGTTGCGATTGACAGGCCATATGGCTCTCTATATAGACATTTCCTTGCCCGGAACTGAACGAAAAGCTGAGAGGACGAGAAATTACCAAAATTGGACAGAGACGTAAGAGCTACACAGCCAATCAGCGTGTACAGAGTTCGAGAGGCTGACTAAGGACTCTGTCCAATAAAGGCGTGGCTAATCCGAGCGCGCCAATCAATAGTCGCATAGGGATCCACTGGTCATCGACCGAAATGGATGAAATGACGCGGTTGTCTGTTCGCCTTCTTGAACTTCATTTTTCCTGAACCCGAATCTTCATTGCATGTACTTGCAGAAAAATGCTCTCACATGGGAAAGCACAAGGTCAGAACAGGTTGTTGCACTTGCAAGTAAGTCGTATCATGCATCTTGACTGCCTAACGTCTCTCTGCAACGCAAGCCTTATGGAGATTGAGAATCCGCAAGGTGAAATGTGATGAGCGCTATCCTGTTTGTCACCGGTGCTCGCCCACTGGACGCACCTGTGATGAATACGGAGTCTGGGGCGGAGGCAATCAGTCAAACGGGGCCTGTCGGGATCGAGCTATGACAGTATCCAATTCGTCGTCTAACCAGACCTGCAATTTACTTCTTCCTCGATCAAATTACGTTTCCTTTTTTGTTGCTAGCCGGGAAGATAAGGAACGTTTTGATTGGTTTGAGCACCGCACTTCGACTAAACTCAGGGGCTCATTTGACTCAGAATTCTGGACCAGAGTCATATTGCAGACTAGTGTTAACGAGTTAGCAGTCCGGCATGCGGTTCTAGCTGTTAGCTTTGTCCACCGAAGAGGCAGCCTGAACACCAGGGATACTTGTCAAGAAGAAGACGTTATCGATCATGTAAAACAAGTCCCTTTACGATATTTTGCTAAATCTATCGACAATCTTCAACCCCATCTGTTAGCCAATAGCCTGGCATTATTGCGTGTTGTCCTCATCACATGCATCGCCTTTACTACGTTAGACCTCCTTCGAGGTCACTTCGACACAGCACGGATTCATGTCAGAAACGGTGTGAATCTTGTGAGAAAGTTGATACTTCTCTCAAATAGGAATGATAAGCTATACCCGGCATAGATGTCGGAACCCATAGACAATTGAATCGTGGAAGCTTTTATGAGACTACATGGTCAGGCAGAGATTCACCACCTCATGAACCGTGCCGTATGTGAACCTCTTCTTCCGGACCCTGATCCAATACTTTCAACACCCAGTATCCACTCGATCAAAGAAGCGTGGAACCATCTGGACACTATATTACAGAGGATATTTCTTCTGAATAATCGGGCGCTTGAATGCGGGTCCGAGTGCCGAGCGCTTCGTTCACCTCCTCCTGGACTCAGAACAGATCAGCAAAACATTCTGGCCGCACTCTCTTCGTGGTCTGAATCGTATAGATCTTTCAGATCTCCACCACGTATGTGGGGCTCCAAATCACCAGAGGAGATAAGGGGTGCCTGGGTACCTCTGTTCGATCATCAAATGCTTACAATAATGGCATCCGTGTGTTTATTGCCCAGAAACGAGATGATATTTGACGCCCACACTGACAACTTTCTGCGACTAATCGACCATGCTGTAGAATTGTGGAAATATAATCTGAGCACAGATTATTATGACCGGCCTAAATTACTCCCTGGCCAGTTCTACAACATGTCCAGATCAATCACAGACAAAGGATGGATCGCAGCATTATACTACACGGCTCTCAAATGTCGGGTTCACAGGATCAGACTTCAAGCCGTTGGATATCTTGAGTCTTCAACATCGTGAAGGATTCTGGGATACATTGATAATGGGGGTTGTTGCGCGGAAAGTGATGGAGATCGAAGAGAGAGACTACTACGAGGATATCAATCCTCTTGACGATGTCTTTTCACTTTCGAACCTTCCTACCTCTTGGGATCTGTCGTTGCCGACTTTACCAGAGTCATATAGGCTACGAGAAGCCGAAGCAATTATTTCAGGTTGTCCTGTGGATAGGGTATATTTGGCATGCAAGCAAAAGCGACGCAACAGAGATCAGAAAGTTCTGATAGGAGAATATGACGTTCTCAATCGGCAGTGGATATATGCAGGCGATAGATCCCCCGAGGATACTTAATGTTACCGCCGATTCCCTTGCATACATGACTCTTAATAACATGTAGCATCGAATAAATATACTCTCAAATTGGAAAACATCCAAGTCCAGCTGGACTGGTGATGTATTGATAGCCAAATTAACTATCAGAGAACAACCCGCAGGTAGCATAGCTAAGCCATTTGAAAATTTACTCCCTATAAATTATTTTTATTATATTCCTCTTTTTCTACTAGCCTTCCACATACAAGGAGGTGATGCTTTGTGTATGAGACCCTGAATCTTATTAATAACCCTAACCCTTATAAAATACACGTGACTTCGTGACATAGGCGCGTTACCTCCACTTGTTTGATAGCGTCGACACATAGATTCTCCTCGTCATCTCAAAAAGTACATCACGGCTTGTCACGACCATGCCTTTCAAACCCTTCATACCACCTCTTAAACGGAAGGATTTACCGAATAACGTATCACAACAAGTGCCCGATGACTCAAGCGTACCGCACCCATCCAAACGACCGCGTCTCAGTGTCGGTGAACATGAGATCGAGACCGATAAGGCAAAGCCCGTGGTTCTTGATTTGACTTTATCTGATGCTAGGATAGTTAAAAAGGACTCGATAGCAAGGCGTCCCTTACTTAAAGTCAAGAATATGCCGGGTGAGATAGAGACACTGGCGGTGGGCAATGGCAACGCCAGCAATGATATTGAGGCATACTATAATGTTCTCTGGTTGGTTCTCGATCATATACTTGCACATGGCTGCTTCTTACCTAAACAGGCGCAAGTTCACAGCGAAGAAGCACAAAACCTGGGATGGCGACGGAATCCTAGTAATTCAGGGAGGGTATGGCTATCTTCGAGATGTATCTGGCCGCGAAATGGGTCGCATCGTGATCAACAAGCTTCTTGAATGTGGAACAAGCTTGACAATAGGAGGAAAGGATGTTGAGGTTGAGTCCGCAATCTCGAAGAAGGACTATCTTTCAGGCAAGGAATTCTTGAACAACGCTAGGAAGCCTTCCTCTTCAACTCCATCTCGACCGAGAACTGCCTCTAGCGGTGCTACTCAAATTTCTGAGGCGAAGAATGAGCTCTCAAGCAGTGAGGGACTTCTGGATTCTTGTATGAAGCCGAAAACTATGAAGCACGAGGTTGGGCCGCCAAAATTATCAGTGAAACATCTTAACGCCGCGGCCTCGAGAGGCGGTGTTATCGGCACGGCTTTCAAAAATCCCTTGAAAGAGACATCAACCGCGACACTTCAATCGGTGGTCAAACCAATTCCACGTCATGATCCCAATGCCCCTGGAGCTTTGGTTATGAAACGTCCAAAAACTGCTCCGAAGGGGCAGACGATTGTTGACGTCGTTGTCGATCCTTTTCTAACCAAGCATCTCCGCGAACATCAACGAGAGGGCGTCAAGTTCTTGTATGAATGTGTTATGGGCCTGAGGGATTACAATGGTGAGGGTGCCATACTGGCTGATGAAATGGGACTCGGCAAAACTCTCCAGACGATTACCTTGCTATGGACTCTACTAAAACAGAACTTCATCTATGAAGCAGCACCTGTGGTGAAGAAGGCATTGATTGTCTGCCCGGTCACGTTAATCAATAATTGGAGAAAGGAATTTCGCAAATGGCTTGGAAATGAGCGAATTGGAGTCTTCGTCTTCGATGATAAACGCAAGAAGTTGACTGATTTCACAATGGGCAAGGCTTATAATGTCATGATCATTGGATATGAGAAACTTCGTACTGTTCAGGAAGGATTGCTCAAGGGACATGGAATCGATATCGTCATCGCAGATGAAGGTCATCGACTGAAGACTGTGCAGAACAAAAGTGGTCAAGCGATTCAAGCCTTGAATACAGCAAAACGAATCATTCTTTCAGGAACGCCTATACAAAACGATCTCAGCGAGTTTTTTGCGGCAGTTGACCTAGTCAACCCCGGCATCCTTGGTACTTATAAAAATTTCATGAAGGAGTTTGAAGGGCCTATTGTTCGCAGCCAGCAGCCAGAAGCGACAATAAGAGATATCGAGAAAGGCGAAACAAGGGGTGAGGAACTTCGAGAACTCACATCAATGTTTATTCTGCGAAGGACAGCCGATATCCTGTCCAGGTATCTTCCTCCCAAAACGGAATACGTGATACTATGCAATCCTACTTCGGTTCAAGCAAGTATCTACCGCCATGTGCTTGGGTCTCCAATCTTTCAGACTGCATTAGGGAACACAGAAGGGGCATTTAGTCTGCTTACCATTTTAAAAAAGCTCTGCAATAGCCCATCATTGCTCAATGCAAAGACCGACGACGAGCCGCAGAACTCCACTGTGGCAACACTACTATCTACATTATCACCAAGCCTACGTCGCCAATTCTCACCGTCATCGAGTGGGAAAATCAGAGTCTTGGATCAGCTGCTTCATAACCTACGGACAAGCACCTCCGAGAAGATTGTTATTGTTTCCAATTACACCTCTACGCTTAACTTACTCGGCGTACTACTCACCTCTCTCTCCTTACCGTTTCTTCGACTAGATGGCTCCACACCCTCTTCCAAACGACAATCGCTTGTGGATGATTTCAACCGAGCTCCTGCCAGTACTTGCTTTGCATTCCTTCTCTCCGCCAAAGCTGGAGGTACAGGACTGAATCTAACAGGTGCCAGTCGTCTTGTCCTCTATGATGTAGACTGGAACCCGGCCACTGATCTTCAGGCCATGGCTCGAATCCACCGCGACGGTCAGAAACGTCATTGTTACATTTACCGAATTATGTTAAAGGGCGCTTTGGAAGAAAAAATATGGCAGCGTCAAGTCACAAAAATTGGTCTGGCGGACAGTGTCATGGAATCGAAATCCAGCAATATGGCCCAGTTCTCGCGAGAAGAACTTAAGGATTTGTTCCGGCTATACGAAGATAAGAGCTGTCAAACTCATGAATTACTAAATTGCAAATGCGGTGGGAGAGGCAGGCCTCCTCCAACTCCTGTTCCTATATCGCTGTTAGGCGAAGATGATGAGGATAACGAAGTGATCGATCCCACCGAAACAACCCCGGAGAAATCTCGAAGTATCTCCCCATTCTGGAAAGAAGAAGAATTATCCGACAGCGAAGACATAGACCTCCCAGACATCCCCACACTCATGAAAGCATCAGAAGTCAACATCGAAGAACAAGAAGACCAGATCCGTCGCGGTCAACACGCTCTTCATCGAAGAAATGGGCAGAAAGCAGCCAACACCAAGATGGCGAAGCAATCGTCAGCAACACTGTCAAGTCGCAAAAGAAAAGCTAGGAAAGATGAGGACGAGGACGAGATGGGATCTAGTGAACAAAGCAAGATCCAGCGTTTTCTCGCTGAGTACGCGCATATCGATCCTGCTGCGTTCAGGTCTAATGGCCGAGATAATGGAGATGATGATATAAAAAATCACATTGACGACCCCATCTTACAGGCTCTACTTGACGATGAGGACCATGGGATTGGATTCCTGTTTCAGAAGACTGCTTTCCCAACTTCTGGTCCCGAAACGTCTGAAAGTGGTGATAAAGAGGTTTAATCGCGCTTACATTGGTACTTTCCTCGACATATTGTACTTATTTTATGATTCATATCATTTTGTCCCGAATAGTATAGATATAGAGTTTGGCATTTATGGATGGATGGGGCTATTGATTAGTTATTTTCGGGCATCCGGCAGGTCTATATACATTATTAATGATTAGAGATATATGCAAGGAAGAATTGCATTGTATGAACAGTTAGCAATAATCAAACAAACATAAATACACGAAGAACAGGGTCTCATACACTCAAAGGAACAATTCCACCAATGCTTCGATAAAAGAAGAAAAAAGACACTTTCAGAGAGGTGCAAGAATGGATGCCAATGGATTGACTACATATGAAACGCAGGTGGGTGGGTATACGGGTGCAAAGGAACAGACGTCTAGGTAAATAATGGGAAATCGTTTATATGCAAGATTATCAACAAATGACAACGAGGGGGTAAGCAGACGAGATCAAAACTCTTGAAGGAAAATGATGTCAACCAAGAAATGGGAGGTTCAAGAGAGATCAAAAACTTGTAAATCACGGGGATTAAAGAGGTTTGGTCGATAGGAGGGTGGCAGGCGCAAGTTATATGAGAATTGCGCAACTAATAGCGCAGCTTTCCAACCAGTCCAAATGTATATGCAGCCTCAGCCTCGCTCTTCATCTGTATCATGTAGATTCTGAAGGCGCCTCCAGTTACTCCACCCTTTTGCTGGATGGTTCCTCCGGAATGATTCTCCCATACGGAAATGGCAATACCGGTTCGAGCGACCCGTTCAAAGGAGCTTTCACCAAGACAAACGTCCAGTAAGACTTCGCCTGCGGTCTTACCCTGGATGAGGATTCGCTTTTCTTGTGTCATGGTCACTCTTCTAGGCGATGCACCAGGGGTTGGAGTTGTGGCGCCGTCTGCTCTAGGCTCATCCACAAAGTCGTCGGACTCTCTTCCTGCATTTGATAGGTCGTTGCTATTGGCATCTGCGATGTTCGCCTCCACGGTAAACTTCGTACTACCAGCCGTTCCAGGTCGGGATGATTTGGGCGTCACGGGCATAATTGTCAGCCGGGCTGCTCCCATGTCACGCCATCGAGTATTGCTCTCTCGCACATAGAGTCTAATTTTCGCATTCGATAAGCCAATTCCATCTGCTCCCTTGATCGCAGCCGCAATTGCTGCGAGACCAGAGCTTCCACCAGCGCCAGAGTAAACAGTACTTCCATCACGACTTCCTGTGCGCGAAGTAACAGTCGATCTGGCAATACTGAAAAACTTACTTCCTGTACCAAATCTCTTCAAGGCTGAAAATGCGCTGCTCATTGATCCAACGCTACTCTCAGATACCATACCCACAGAAGGTGCATGCTTCGCAGCTCGATAACTATTTTTCCTTCGGGGGAAACCAAACCAGCTGGTTCCTTTATTTGATCCGGTCGAGTTATAGCGCGATAGGGATGCAGGCTGATAAGGGCCACGAGCATTTTGCAAGGCAATGTATGTTGGATTATTGATGCGAGAATGGTTAATGAAGCCATATAGAGTGTCACACTCATCCACATTCTGCGAGCGGAACATGATATTGTTGCTGGTTTTGATTCTGGATCGTTCAGTTGGTGGTGACCGAATGCTAATATCTATTGCTGTACCACGTCTAATCGGGACGAGTGGTGTCAGTTCTAGGGCCACTAGAGGGCGATCCTTGCGTGGTTGCTCGTCTTGATTGTTAGTGCTGTGAGATGTGATCTTATAAGCTTCAATAAGGCCTGGAGTTATCACCAGTTCACATTCGTCAGGGTACAAGCTCTCCCACTTTCCTCTATCCGACCAGGAGAATAATGTGGCAATAGCTTTTGAAGCTTTAGAAGGCTGAGAAGGAACGGACCGATAAGGACCTTGTGATGCCGAGTTGGACGGAGATAAGGTATCGTTATCAAGAGCGGGAATAGAAGCGGGTGGCTGCAGCTTACGCTGATGATGTATCGGAGGTAATTCATCTTCGTCCTCTAGCTCTTCATCAGAAGTGTCAGATGTATCTGAGTCAGAGTAGCCCATGTCATAATGTCGAACTGTAGACGTATCGGATTCGGCGGATGAATCAGAAGCACTTGATGGCTCATACTCGTGCTTCAAGGGGGATGAAGACCTTCGCTTTTGTCGGTTGGTCGATGGACTCAGCACAGGAGTATTCTTAAGAAGCGCTTGGCTAGGGGATCGATGAGGAGGTGGTACAGGTGCTTCGTCTTCCGCGTCGGAGACAGATATCTTAGATAATGAGGACTGAATATCCGGCCAGGTTTCGTCATCATCGGAAGTCGTATCAGCAGATAAGGCACTATTAGTACTGCTGCCACCCTTCCGCACTTTGGGGATCGTGGGCATTTTCATAGTTGGTACAGACGACACACGTGCGCCGTCATGATAATCATCTTTGTCATCTGCAGGTCGCTCTCGTCTGATCTTTGAATTTGTGGATTTAGAGCTTGATTCAACATTCTTTCCAGCATAAAAACGTGCGGCCGCTTTTGGCGTGGTAGTCGAAGAATCGACATCCTGCTCCGGGCCAGGAGACGCTCTTGGGGGTGTATCTGTTTCAGTAAGCTGTTCTGCATGACGTGAGCGTCTCTTTGCTTTGGCTCGTTTCAGCCCAGGCGATGCTTTCCCGTCGATAGTCTTCTTTTTATCACTGAGCTCTTTGGCCGACGGCAATGTTGCTCGAGCATCGGGCGATGTTGGTGTTTGAGGGCTATTGACTAATGCATAATCCGATGCTCTGGTAATGTCTGAAGCTAGAGAGTTACCTGAGGTCGCTTCTGAAAGTGAGCTCAACGTGCTAGGTCCGGAGCTATGTGTGGTCGAGCTCTTTCCAGCATGACTAACGACGCTAGCTTGTTCACCAATTGGTACATCAATCTCACTTGAGCTCGGCAAACGCAGCTTCTGTTTAGTTAAAGCCGACGAATCGATTCTGATCTCACCAGCAGCCTTGGGTCTTCGACTATTTGAACGGTCAACAAATTTCTTAGACTTAGGTAATGCTGGAGGTACTGGATCCAAGCCGAGCATGTTGACCCATTCGAATCCAATATCTTCGTCGTCGATAGTTAAAGATAGCAGCTCCTGCCATTCACCATCGTCGGCTGGGGATTTGCCACGGACCATCACCACAATTTCGCCTTTTAGGTCACCATTTCGTGCAGAGACACAGTTCTTTTCTATTGGGGGAAACAGAAGCCAGCGATCAGTGTCATCAATCTCGCAAATCAGAAGGTCTCCTCCCGGGCCCGCATCAGGAGCGTTGTCTCTAAGCAACAACTCCGCATGACAATCGATCATTTGGCCGCTTGAATGCATTAGTGACAGGTTGAAAAAGTCACGAGCAAGGACCCGGCGAGTCTTATCGATGACGACATTGGAAAGCACCGCCAAAGTATCCAGACTTCGAGCTCTGGTACTATCGATATATGCAGCAGATTCGTCTTCAAGTCGAGCACGTTCTTCGTTTGAGCGGTGTCGCGCTTGCTCAACCAGTTCCTGATACGATTCCGCCACTTGTTCTGTTTTCGCTGAATGTGCCACATAATCGATTCCTTTGAAAGTCTTCGATAAGTACTTCAAACGTACCAGCGGCCTTTTCAGAAGGTAAGCCACATCTACTTTCTCGCCATCTGCATCGATAACATCGCCATTTTCGTCTCGTTCCATGCCTTGGTCGAGACTATGGGTTTCTACTTTGTCCGACTCTTCTTCATCAGCGGGAGCAAGATTCACGACTACATCTTGAAACCCCATACGCCAAGCTTTGAGGTAGTCACGATACACCCTCTGAGCGCCCTGTGCCCATGCCAGGAGAGCTTCGGTTTCATCCAGAGGAATGCGCTTATGGAGCGTCTTGAGGCGTTCTAGAGCGACACCCATGTCGACAATTGGCCTAGTGAAGTTTATGTCATCTTTTGGGTCTGCTGACGGTCGGAAGAGACCTGCTGCGATAGCCGAGTCGGACCGTGAAAGGACGCAGCTTAAGAGAACGGGGATGACGCCGCCGACAAGAGTGCGTAGTTCCCGCATATACTTTGTTTCGTCGGCGGAAAGCTCTAGCATCAGATCCGCCATCGTCGCTGTTTCCAGGCGCGTTCGGTTACTCCTCAGACTTCGAGAAGACCGTACACTACGTCTGGTAGACTTCGGATTAGACAAGATGGAGATCAGGTCTGAATGTTTCGTCAGCCGCCGCTGAAGTCCGCTCTCAAATTTCGGAAGTGAGTCTGGGTCGAAATGATCCCGTTTCTCATCATTTATATCGTAAATTGAATTTGCCTTCTCGGACCTAGACCGATTCGTTTCGCTTCCCATAACCGACCTATCGTTCACAGTGCTACTCAATGTTTCCTCCGATGCGATGGTAGAAAGTTGGTGCATGCCAGTACTTGGGAAAGGTCGTCTTAGCCGCAAAGGGAGAATCACATCTCTATCAGACACCTCCGAGCTTTGATCAGATGGTTCATAGTCCTTATTTTTCATATTACCTCTGACCGGATGTGAGGTTCTGGAGGGCGTGGATGGAGCATTTTCGAAGGATTTTGTCAGATTTTCTACCATCTCTAATTGGCTCTTTCTTGGAGTTGACGTTGTCCCCTCTTTGTGTTTCGAGACAAAGGAGTCCCTTGTTTTGTCAATGCTTAAGCGACGCTGAGTGTCCGTAGCACCACTTGGCTTGTCTTGTGGTGGTTGATCATTAGTCGCAGAAGAGACTTCGCTCAGTTCCTCAGTAATCCTGGATTCTGAACCTCGTGACAAAGGTCTCGCTGTCCTCGACCTTGTTTTGAGTGGAGCAGGAATCTCCACTGGTACATCGTCATGGCCATCCACAAATGGATCAGGCTGGGTTGACAGCCACGCTGCTATTTTGTCACCCTTGTTTGCAACAGGAGGAGGACGAGGAGGCGCTGGCTTTGCAAACATCTTTCTAGACTCATCGAGCACTTGATTTAGAATTCCGCCCTTGGGTTTCCGTGCGTCGCGTAATGTCTCTCGGAGCGCAGGACCGCGCCGTCTTCTTCGAGACAACTCCGAGAAATTAGCTTCACTCGCAGCCCAGTCATCATCGTCTCTCGGTGGCGGTGTACTGCGTCTCATACCTTCCAGCACACTTTGAGCAGGTTCTTCGTCGTGCAACGACGACTCCGACGATTCACGCACGTGCAGAGTCTCCTTGTCGGAGAGCAATCCATCATCTGTGTAAATGTACTTCGTCGTCTTGACTGTGCGTGGTTTCTTTTGAAAAGGCGAGGCACTTGTAGGTGATCGCAAATCCTCAGTGTCAGTCTTTGCGCCACTTCCTAGGTCCGACACATCGTCCTTGCGCTGCGTCTTCTTGCTTGGTAAGGAACTTGACGACGAATTGAAATTTTCGTTTGTTTTGTAGGTTGTAATACGATTGGGCGGTGGTCCTTTGGTTGTCTTGGAGCCTGTTGGCGGACTACGCTGACTTCGCCAGTGCTGGTCGCTCACAACTCTTTTCCTCGGCGTACTTTGGCTTCTTTTCCTGATCCCACCATTGCCGACAGCTGGCGTATTATTGTCCACCGTCTTCACGCGAACTGTAACTTTGCGGGGCTCTGGCGTCTTTGTGGGCTTGTTTCGTCTCGCTGTGGTTTCGCTTTCTACGTCCTCAACGTAGGCCAAGGGATCCTTGACGGTAGTAACACCACCTCCTTTCTGCTGCCACATGCGCACCTTCTCGCGCACAGAATTTGAGTCATGAGAGCCTAAAGCCTTACCGATGTCGAGGGATTTTGATTTGGTCGGACTGGACCTGGTGCCATCGCGCCCAGGACCAGCATTTTGGCGCGGGGTAACAGGAGGGGGCATTTGTATCTAGAATATAGGATATCATCAGAAACATTCTGGAAGTCCGACGGCTGCTCTCAAGCTTGCTGAAATGGAATTCGGAGGAATGCTGGGATGAATGGTTCACTGTTTATTTTCCACCCACGGGAGCCAAATAGAATGACGAAATGGTGGAGAGACACAAACTTACAACAACAATCACCACAGGCAGACACAGTCGCGCATTCTGCTTGAGAAAATTGTTGGAACTGCCATCAATTTGGTATATTCAGTGAAAAAGCTGAAGCAAGTCAGTAAAAGCGCAGCGTGGTTGGGAGATATTCAAGTTGTTCGTTGTTGTCAGCTGCCCATTTCGAGGTGCTGCAGATCGGGAAGGCCCGCATTTGGACCACTCAACAACGGCGGCCATGACTGGCGTGCGGCTGCCCCGGTAACCATCACATCCGCCATTTTCCTCTTTGTCACATTGGACAACTACCTAAACTCTACTCGTGACTTGTCTTATCAGCCTACTAACTATCGCGATATTTACTGGTAGATGACAACCAGCTCAACAACAGCAGTCAATCGCAGTCGCATCAAGTCGCTACATAAGAATACCCTACGTCATCCGAAGCCGTGCCGAGTGGAGATGACTTCGTGGCTGTTTTGGAAGATGTGGATATATTCGAGGCTGTCCCTGATAATATTGCGGTGAGTGAGCAGTCAGATCAAACCAGGTACCTAGGAAACAAGCTGCAGCCCAACTTAAACAGTTCTCTACCCCGGCGTTGAGACGATTTATTGGTCTACACGTATATTATCTGACACGCCACCAGGAAATGTGAGTCTAGCCCGGAAAACAAGGAATAGACATGCAATCAATATTATCGCTTTTTTTTCGACCTAGTCTCGCTCTCGAATTGGTTTAGGGCCTGAGAAACAAGACAGACACTGTTGTAAAGAATATCTGTGGAAAGTATTAGAATCGAAACACCTTTGACAGAGAACAATACTCACAAGCAGGAACGACGATCCAGACGAAATTCATCAAGAAGTAGTACACCCAGTAATAGAGTACCTCGGGCCGACTATGCGATATCCCGTTGACATAGTAGTCAAAAAGGCTTGTGGCATAATACAGGGTGTCTCCATACAGATGAGCCATGCATATAATGATTCGCAAAGGATGGTTGAGCGAATGCTTAATGGTTGTCAAATATGCCACAAGGAGGCATAAGGGCCCCCAAAGTACCTATACAAACAGTGAGATGGGTATGATTGATCCGTTTCCGCGAGCTTATTCCACTTACCACTGTGATTGTCTCGATACTAACAACAAAGGAGTCCGACACTAAATATCGAGAGTCGGATTTGGCATACTCTTTCCAGAGCTGTCCAAAAATATCTTGCGCAGGGCCCATCCGATCGTGATGGGTGACAAAGTAGCCTTCGAAGAAACAGTGAAGAATGCCGGCTACGGCGACACATCAGTCTCCATCTCGCGCTCGATCAATTCTTATGTTGTAGGGTCTGCTTCTTACAAAGTGCGAACCATAGTATGGTGAGTTTATCCGCAGAGGTCATTGAAGTGCGTTTCATTATCGCCAATCCTAGAATCACACATAGTGAAACTGCCAGACCTGTGGAAAATAATCCCACTATATAGAACAAACCGCTCTCATTTGATCTATAGTCTTGGATCTCCAAGCCGAGAGGGAAGTAAGGATGCGAAGTCATTTCCAGAATGCATATATATCACGATCTCTTGAAGGGCGATATATACTTTCTACCTCACTACATAGAAGTATCAGCAAGATATCTCATACACAACATTTCAGAACCTCCGTTTGTTCTCTTACCTGATAAAGATCCTAGTCTGACCTTTAAGCATTGCAATTCACTCGAGTAGAGCTAGGTGAGATGTAAAAACAATCCGATGTAGAAAAGAGTCCCCACACATGCTACCAGAAAAGGCATGGTGGCTCGGCATCTCCAACTTGACCCGCAACGGTCCTCCTCATCGCATCATCTGTCGACGACCTATCAGTCTGCATCCACCCATCCCATGGAGCCCTATGCCTGCACAGTTCTTCGTACCACGGGGGATTGGCAATGGCTCTGAAACCAGGTCGCCGGACTTCTCTGAGGCTCGACTTGTCTCAGGGTGCGCTTTCGGAGTCACCACCGGGCATTGCATCTTTGTTCTTGATCCTCTTCGATATCAAGAAAGGGTACGATTGCCACATTCGATGACGCTTCATGGCAATTACCAATAGCTAATGCACGGTATTTTAGATATGTGATTTCGTGGCAAGAATCGATACCGGGTAGTAAGTCAGCTGTTTTCGACAATTCTTTGTTCAGGGTATTAATTATGCAATCGTCTAGTCGACCTTGAAGGAGCCGTCGAATACAAGTCATTGCCGTCGGGATTACACAATGTTTCTGAGGACCTCATGTGAGCGATGCAGTTAGGAGTTTATCCCTGAATTACAGTTTCTAATTATCTGAAGATACTTTGTTCACGAAGAATATGCTGGAATATGCGCTTTCATAAATCAGCCCGCCGCCGAGACCGAGCGCAATGCTCTAATGCTAGCTGTGGGCGTATTGGTTCCTCTGAGCTTTGGAAGACTTGGGAAGAGCTGGAGGCATGCTGCGGGTCTCAAAAACCTTGCAAAGTGAGTTATACGATTGGCATTCATAGCTTCGTTCTAATGAATTACGTTAGGCAATGCGCGAATAATATATCGGACACCCAACCCCTAGCGGAATATTGGGACAAACACCATGTGCGTGATAACGAGCCTAGATTGGAAGACACTCCACCAGATTCTCCAGCTGTGCTTCGAAGGCCCTTGAAAACAGACCGCCCAGAGACGTTACAGTCGAGAAGTTCCATCAGCGACGCAGCGGGCATAGAAACCACAAAACCTTTTCTAGCGCCTTACCATCCTGCTTTATCACTTCCGGACTTTGTCGAGAAATTCGGGCCTCTTATATTTCCTCTATACAGAGCTTCTCTCCTGCGGAAAAGAATCTTGATTGTGACTGAAGCTCCAGTCCAATCGACCTGTGACTATGGTAGGTCTCACGAGCGCCATATCTGGTTCTCTCGCTAACTGATGGAAAGTATATGCACTCGCACTGTTGTCTTCACTGCCCCAATCGCTATCTCCTTTCTTCGATCAAGATGGCGCGCCACCTCTTCGCCCGCGACCGATATTCAATGTGGGAATCCACGATATACCCTTTCTGTCGACAAACTCCGATACATATTCGAGCTGGATTGCCTGCACAACAGATAACGTGTTGGCAACAAAGACCGAACTTTTCGATATATTAGTTACTTTGCCAACCACACACTCACCACATATTTCGCAAAAGACGTATCCTAAAATAGAGATTATGCACGGATCCAACACACAGCAAAAATCAATCAAACTAGTCACCTTGAAGGCAACACAGCGCGATGCTCGCCGCTTCGTCTTACTTCGAGATGGACTTCGTCGTTTATCTAGTGCCGTATCAGAACAAGATGACAATCCCAACGATAACATAGATGACGCTGCATCGACCTTCTCATCATCCTCAATCGTTGAGCCCTTATCTTGGCCACGATTAGCCTACACATCATTCTTATGGTGGGCATCTGCAGGCGAAAAGCGCACAGGTCTATCCGAAGATGAAGAAGAGCAAGACGAACAAGATACCAGTTTATTGCCGAATACTCATCACGGCCAACTCTCCCACCCGGGCCTCCAGTCGAATGAAATAGATCAGCCGCGTGAAATAGCGTTGATCGCTTATTTCCGCCGATTAACTACGCTCGTATTCACAACACTCGCCGATGCCGTCGCACGGCAAGGTGATATCGACGACGAACCCCCGGCAACAGGCATATATCGCGATGATCCTGACGATGACGAGGAAGCCGAAGAAGTCGCAAATTTCCCCTCAGCCGGTGACAACGACAACGAGCCCCTCCTCCCCGCTAATACTGTCTGCAAAGAAGGACTACCGCCTGTAACAATCACATCATCCGATATATCCGAAATGGGACTCGACATGTGGAGTGCAACGGATAGAATGTTTATAGAGGAATTGGTCCAGGTATGGTGGAAAAGGAGGGCGGACGTGAATGGAACGAGGATTAGATGTTGTGGTATACCGATCTTGTAAATTGACTTTGACCATATATACCTATGTTGGATAAAGCTGTTCCTTGTAATATTTCCTATTTCTTTCTACATATGTATGGCAGTTATCCAGTCCACAGTATATATGTCGATTTATCTCTGTAGGTACGATTTTCCAGAAAGAAAAGCAATAACAAGAGAGCACTGAATCAATGTAGACGCATACAAACAATATACTCAATGTTCCAATTCAATCAACGCCGTCCAAGTGGCGAATGCCTCAATCCAAAAGACGCAGAAAAAAGAAAATCTCATGTAGATATATATACAATAAGTGAGAAAAGAGACCGACAGTCCATATCACGCGGATGAGGAGAAATAGAAGGATGGAGAGACTCAATCGCATGGATTGGTGATGATGAGAGTAACGACGCCGGAAAGAGTACGCTCAGTAGGAAGAAAGAATGAGGTAGGAAACCCTAAAATGCCGAAATAGTGAAATCGCTAAAGCTCGAAAATAAACGCCGAATCATGACAAGATATGAGAGAATCAAATGAGCGTGTGCTTGCACCCGTTCAGTATCGCCGCGAGCCGACAGGTGCTGTATCTCTTCGATCCTTAACATCGGATTCGCTCCTTATATCCGAGTGCTTTACACCAGGTATGCGTCTTGCGGGCGCTACTTTCATTCCACCTGGACCTGAACGAGCCGTAGCCTCATTGGCACTCACGGATCGTTGCGTGCCGCTTTTCGTTCGGCCTCTGCGTGCTCGGATTTGGGCTAATGCTTCTTCTCGAGTCAGAGGCGTCCCGGGTATGACGTCCATTGGGTTGTGTGTATGTCTTGATTCAAGTTGGATTGGTACCGTTCTTGTTATGGTTTCTTCCTTGACGGCAATGATTTGGTCGACGGGTGTGATGGGTTGTCTTTCTGATGATCGCTGAGGTGGTAAGATAGGATTCCGGGCGATAGAGGTAACAATTTCAGTGTTTTTTACAAGTGGATTGACAGTTCGGTGTGGTGGTCCGTTGACAACTTGCTGCTCCTCTGCTTCGATATCGATCTCATACGAGCGCCGATGCGTAATGATGTCTTCAGTCTGAGTCTGCATCTGCATCACTCTTACTGCAGGGCTTACACGCGGAACTGCGGTGTCATCCTCAACCTCAACATCAATATCATCCCCCTCGTCCTCATCAGCGTTTGGGAGAACGAGGGGCTCCTCGCTCGGTCGGTCTTGCATATAAGCGTGCGGTGATGACACCTGGACGAATGTTCCCGTCTCCTCACAAAACGCAACTGACGACTGTCGTGCTGGTCGACGAGCTTTTTGCGCTTCAGTCGTCTCTTGATAATGTGGTGTGGGTGGCGTCATTGCAGTTACCGGGCTCACAAGAGGCGAATGTGCGGCTGACGTGGCTGGCGTTTCCTCACGAGTATTTTGTTCTTGCTCCTCTTCCTCTTGAACATGTTCGTCGTCATGCATATTTTCTTGTAAATCTTCCTCTCGCATGGCATCGTCCCATTCCTTGTCATGGACATACTTTTGTCCCAGGCTTTCCGCGATTCTGCATGAGCAACGTTTGAATTGGCACTCCATTTTCATGAAAAGAACCATGTCCTCAGCCTTTTCTCTTCTTCGTTTTTCTAGTTTTATTTCTGTCTGTAGATCTGCTATAAGATCCCCTTGATCTTCCAATGTTCCTGGTTGTATATTTCCTTTGTCCGAAGCACGTCGTGATAGCCTCATCTTCTTATTAGGAGTCTCGTCTCTGTGAGCCTCGTGTTCTGTGTCAGAGTGCGCAACTTGAAGAATTTCCAATGCATCCGCGCTTCGCTTAGGCCTTCTTGCTGTTGGAGTTGTACATGTTGCCTGGTCAACATAATCGACGATCGGTTTATTTATGCTTCCTTCCACTTCATCAACATGCGACTCCAAGACGCTTTGTTGATTGTTGGACTCCATAGCGCGCAGTTGATCCTTCACCGATTGAAGTTCTTCTGACATTCCAGCCAGCGCATATGCGCGCTCGAATGCTTCTTGTTTGGCCGTTTCTTTGGACTCGCGCTCTGCTCGCACTTCCTCTTTCAGGGTTTTGATTTCCCCTTTTGACAATTTCAGTTCCTCCTGTATTTTGACGAGCATCGATCCAGCACGGAATGCCTCTTTGCGTGCTTTGCGAACCTCCTTTTCAAAAACAGTTCGTTCGTGTGCTTGACGTTCTCGGGTTGTTTGTAATTCTTCTAGTAATGACTCGAGTCTCTCGCTGATGCGTCTTTCTCGAGCTTGTGCTTCTGAAAGCAAGTTATTGGCGTTTGCAAGAGCTGACTCTGCTTCTTCACGCCCCAAGATGGCCCTTTGAAGCGCAGCCGACCCTGATGATGCAGTAGAAGACGAAACATGTTGTGGACTCGCTGCTGGGCTACCCGCTTGCGACAGATTGTTCAAAAAAGCGATCTTTTCCCGGACATCTGACGATTTCTGACTTAAGTCAGAGGGTACAGAGAAGGAACCTGCTAGCTTTTGTTGGTTGATTCGTTCGGGAGATGTGGGAAAGAGAGGCGTCTTGGTCGGAGAGAGGTGGTGTTTGGATGGTGACGGTGACTCCATGGTGGATGGTGATGATCAATCTGGTTGTTGGTTTCTAGAGTATACGCATGGTAGAGTAACAGACTATATTCTCGATCATTAGATAGTGTGGCCGATATAGACCTCGATGTTGCTGATTGTGCCGTTTTGTCTGAAAGTGGAACAGCTTACTGGGCAGTGTGAAGTCTTAAACCCTGTCCGTGTCGAGTGGAGCCAACCGTTTGTGATGTTTGTTGAATATGTCCTTATGGGGACTAGCGTGAGAGAGACCGTTGCTCCAAGCAACCATCCCGTTAGCATCCAAAAATGGAATAGTACCCCTCTCTGATCACGTGAAGATATCGCATTTTCGATAAAATTCATGACATTGTCAAGTCATCCCACTGTTATAGAGCAGAGTGTAGACTGCTCTCGTTGAAATGACTCTTTCTCACCATGCATGAAATTATCACCTTACAGCTAGGTCAGCGGAGCAACTACATTGCAACCCATTTCTGGAATCTGCAGGTCGTTCAACATACATTGTGTCGTTTTTCCATGAATTCATCATATCTGACTGTCTTGTAGGAGTCATATTTCACCTATGGAGAAAATGAAGAACCCTTAGTAGACCATGACGTACATTTCCGACCTGGGCTGGGAGCAGACGGAACGGAGACCTTTACACCGCGGACAATAATCTACGATCTAAAAGGAGGGTTTGGGACGCTTCGTAAATACAACACGCTATATGAAGTAGAGGATCCATCAGGTCATCCTCAAGGACAATGGTAAGTTTACCGTCCTTGAAGAACTGTTGGTGTTCTTAATGTCTGACTGGAATAAATAGGGAAGGTAACGAGGTGGTGCAGAAGCAACCCAGCATCCCTCTAAATGAGTACCAGAAGAGTTTGGAAGCTGGACTTCCGACTCTATCCTTGACCTCTTCATCAGTACGATATTGGTCCGACTTTAACCGGATATACTATCACCCTCGGTCTATAGTTCAACTCAATGAGTATGAGCTCAACTCCTCCTTGATGCCTTTTGAAGACTGGGCAGTGGGGGAAGATCTGTTCCGGGACTTAGATAAGGAGCATGACCTGCTGGATCGAGATGTCCGTCCATTCGCAGAAGAATGTGATCAAATACGCGCACTTCAATTATTCACAGGCTCCGATGACGCTTGGGGAGGGTTTGCTTCTAAATATGTCGACGCTCTCCGAGATGAATATGCCAAGACTGGTATATGGGTATGGGGGGTGGAAGACGGAGCAAGGTTGCCAAGGGTGAGGATATCCGCATTTACCTGATGATATTATGAGTAGCTGACCTCGAGTAGCATAAAAAGATGTCAAAAATGATCAACACCGCCCGGACACTAAACTCCATCGCACCATTGGCAACATTATACTGCCCTATTATTGATGCTCCCCAACATCTTCCGAAATACCTCAATATTGACCTGCAGTCGGAATGGTATAAATCTGCACTAGTTGCTTCCGCCGTGGAAACCGTGACTCTTCCAGCTCGGCTTCGGACCTACCAAGATTTCGAAACGTCATTAATGGGACACCGCGGAAGATCACAGACGATCTTCGAGTTACAATCCTCGATCATTGGCCCAGATGCTGGCGACAATAGAACTCCTTGGGCGACTAAGAAAGGCACGACTCAAAAGCCAGACGACGAAGCGAAGTTAGACTTTGACATCAACTTCACCATCCCTCAGTCAATGGCCGATGACACGGCTATTTTCACTCAGGTACAAGTCTTCCGCGGAGAAGAACAGCAAACACCTGAGAGTGAATCGTCGAAAATTGGCGACATTGGCCTGAAGCGGAAGATTCGTCTTTATGCCTCCAAGCCCGCTGTTGAAAGGTAAGGTGCTCTTATTTCCCTGATGCCACGCACATAGAGCTGACCAAAAAGTAGGTTCTCTTCAAGGTTACGATTCCCTCTTCCTGATAGCTACCCGCGCAATATGTTCTCCAGTTCCGACGAACAGGTAGGAGTAGAGCTGGTGGCCGCTGTGTCTACCACATCTAGGCTCGCCGACAAATTGAAGGACCTGCAGGCCATTGCGCATAGAGGAGTAGCGGTGGAGGAACGAGAGAACTTAACGAATGGTCTTGGGGAACTCGGGGAATTGTATGAAAAGGATTGGATTGGTGAGTCGGACTCGGGCGACGATTGAATAATCTAGAGCTCGATTTATGATTCGTTCTGTTGACTCGAGAGCCATTTGATGTGATCTGCAAGCTGTATTCAATTGTTACGAGACATATGATACACCCGTGCCATGGTGTCGAGGTTCAGGAGTTCTCCAAAATCCATCCTTCTACAACATTAAAGAAGCTGTAAGTGGCACTTCTCGAAATTGGCAGAGTTAGGGTACAGTAGAACCTAGTTATAACGCACAGAAGGCCTCTCAGGGTCCCAGTCAATATATCCAGAAGTGAGTTCGATCTAGGGATGAAGGGCACATTCAACACACTTATCTATTCTAGTGTTCGTAGATCGGATGCTCTTCAGTCCCATATTAAAGTAATCCAAGCAGAGATCAGTGGAAATATTCCTTTCGTTATAGCCAAAGTTCTCTACTGTAGTAACAAAAGACACTGATGATGCAGATGATTTAAGCTTGTTGCGCTATTCCGGATTAGGGCTGCAGTGGGGAAGCTTGGGAAGCTGATGCAAAGTGGCCTCAAAGACTCAACAACTTCCAAGTGTCCAGATCCGAAAAGGCCAGCTTTTGAGTCATCCTCTCCTTACGTGGCTTGAACAGGACACCTGGCACCGATATATCCCATTTTTCTACATTTTATTCAGTTCGTCAACTTTACTGTTGATTGTACATTCAGTCCCTACATGTTTTGAAACCCATCTCAGCACTTGAACTTGTGAGATTCGGCCTCGAGATTATCGCTTACGCTACAAGATCACGAATCCGATTTACTGCGTTGGTGCTTCAGCTCAGGCAGCCCTCTAAGGGCCAGTCTCTCTCATATCCGTGTTGTACCCGTTGAGCTTTGCTACGATATACTCCTACAATGAGCGATACACTACGAAGGAGGAATATGCCTTTGTCGGCATATTCTCCTTTCTTAACCTGCGTTCTCTTCCCGTTCCTTCTATTTCTCCTATGTCTACCATCACCTGCTTCGGCTGCCGGCTCAGCCGTCCTCGGAATCGATCTTGGAACAGAGTATCTAAAAGCCGCTTTGGTGAAACCCGGTATACCTCTCGAGATTGTCCTAACCAAGGACTCGAAACGTAAAGAATATGCAGCGGTTGCCTTCAAGCCTTCCCGAGACGGAAATGCGGCTTTCCCCGAACGATTCTACGGCAGTGACGCCCTCGCTCTCGCCCCTCGCTACCCCGATGACGTCTACTCGAACCTGAAAACACTACTCGGTATACCATTCGCGGAAGATAGCGATGCTGTCAAATTGTACAGCGGGCGATACCCAGCTCTACAACTTGAATCAGCCCAAGATAGAGGTACTATTGCGCTGCGTAGCCAAAGATTCGGCGCTACCGAGGGCAAGGACGCTTTCTTGGTGGAAGAAATTCTTTCTATGCAGCTCAAACAAATCAAAGCGAATGCCGAAACTCTAGCTGGCAAGGGTAGTACCATTCGGGACGCTGTTATCACCTATCCAGCTTACTATACTGCCGAAGAGAAGAGAAGCGTTGAACTAGCCGCCGAGTTGGCAGGATTGCATGTGGAAGCCTTGATCAGCGACGGCCTTGCTGTTGGTTTAAATTACGCCACCAGTCGAACGTTCCCTAGCGTGTCAGACGGCGAACAACCGGAATACCATCTCGTTTATGACATGGGTGCAGGTTCTACCACAGCTACCGTTCTTCGCTTCCAAAGCCGAGCTGTGAAAGATGTCGGCCGTTTCAACAAGACCGTACAGGAAGTTCACGTTTTGGGAGCTGGTTGGGACAGGACAGTAGGAGGAGACGCATTGAACCAGTTGATTGTGGATGACATGGTCAATAAGTTAGTTGAGAGCAAGAAACTCAAGGACGGAACAACAGTCTCCGATGTCAAAGCTCATGGAAAGACTATGGCTAAACTCTGGAAGGATTCTGGACGTGTCAGACAAATTTTGAGTGCAAACACTGAAACCAGTGCCACATTCGAAGGGTTATACGAAGAAGACGTTATCTTCAAGTATAAAATCACCCGCTCAGAATTCGAGAAATTAGCCAAAGATCAGGCCGCCAGAGTTGGAAACCCAATCGAAGATGCTCTGAAATCAGCGGGCTTAAAGCTAAGTGACTTGGAGTCCGTCATTCTCCACGGAGGTACCATCAGGACTCCATTTGTTCAAAAGCAACTAGAAAAGCAGTGTGGAAGTGGTAAGCTCAGAACAAATGTGAACGCTGATGAAGCCGCCGTTTTTGGTGCGGCCTTCAAAGGCGCAGCATTGAGTCCTAGCTTTAGAGTCAAAGACATTCGTGCCGTGGACTCTGCTAGCTATGCCGTGAAGATCAAGTGGACCTCAGATGAAAAGGAAAGACAACAGAAACTCTTTACCCCCACTTCTCAAGTTGGTGTTGAGAAGCAGGTCACCGTGAAGAACCTAGAGGATTTCGAGTTTAGCTTCTACCAACAAATTCCGGCTGGTGAAGATGTGATCGATTCTCCAGTCCTCAATGTGGCCACACAAAACTTGACGGCATCTGTCAGCAAGCTAACCGAGAAATTTGGTTGTGCGCCTGTCAATATCACCACGAAGCTCAATGTCCGTCTCAGTCCAGTTGACGGGCTTCCAGAGGTTACGGGCGCATCTGTAAGTTGTGAAGTTGATGCTTCCAAGAAAGGAAGCGTTGTTGCCGATGTCAAGGGCTTCTTTGGCCTAGGGAAGAAGGATGACCAGAAACCCCTGAAAGAGGAGACCGGCGATGAACCAACGGAGTCTGTCACGCTTGAGGATGAGGCTCCAACTTCATCGGCGGAGGAGATGTCTACTACTACAGTATCTGCTAAGGAGACCCAGAAGGCAGAATCTGCATCCCGAATTGAAAGTATCACTATCAATTTCAAGTCTTCCCCTCTCGGACGCCCGCCGCTTTCAACAACAGAACTCAAGCGGATTAAGCACCGTCTTGCCGCGTTTGATGCATCTGATCGAGAACGCGTGTTGAGGGAAGAGGCTCTGAATGAGCTAGAGGCATTCATCTACAAAGGCCGCGATTTGGTTGATGATTCAGAATTCCTCAAAGCTGTCAAGGGAGATCAGCTCACCATCCTCAAGGAACGTCTTGAAGCAGCAAGTGAATGGCTTTATGGCGACGGCGCGGATGCAAGCACAAAGGAACTGAAAGAGAAACTCGCATCGTTGACTGAGATTGTCAAGCCAGCATTGAAACGAAAGAAGGAAAATTCTGAGCGTGGCGTCAAGGTACAACTTCTACAAGAGATGCTCAACGGGGCCAAGTCCATCCAGAACATTGTAGATATGCAAATTCAAAACGATGAGGAGATATTTTCTTCTTCGCAAGCGGCTGAAAGCGCATCATCTACTTCTGAGACTTCAACTGCGTCTAGCCCTACCACCACTCCTGATGATCTCGAGGAAGACCCTTACTCATCATCAGGTAGCTCGTCTACTAAATCTTCGGCCACCGCCAAACCCACCGCACCTACTTACTCCATCTACACCCCTCAAGATTCCGCCTCCCTGAAGACCACTCTTGACTCAGTGAACACCTGGCTCGAAGTCCAGCTGGAAGTCCAGAAAACCCTCAGCGAATCTGACGACCCAGCCCTCACTGTAGCAGATATTGACTCAAAACTCAAAGAACTTGAGCGTGTGCTACAACGTATATACGCTAAGATGGGAGCGAAAGCCGGTGGCGGCGATTCTTCCTCCAAAAAGAGCGAAGGAAAGAAGAAGGATAACGGCAAGACGAAGTCGAAGAGCGAGAAAACATCTACAAAACCAAAACCATCTGTCAAGGATGAGTTGTAATGCTATTTCTCTTTTTAATTTTTGTGCTCTGATTGACATGTACGTATGTCCATTTGTACATGATAGATCTTGAAAGGCGTACATTGTTATGTTAGATTTATGCGATAAATGATATCTTGATATTACCGGCTTACTGTATCTCTACCTCCATTCATCAGTTCAACGTACACCCAAGTAGTATGGTTCAGCCGTGGAACATAAACTGAAGGTTCTAAGGCTTTCATCGCTGCTCCTTTCAGGTTATCTCCCTTTTTATAGAGACTCCGGCTTGGAAACTTAGCATCTCAAGCAAGCCAATGGGATAAGGACTTAAGCATGGAACATGGGATACTTGGTCTTGCTGAGGGACCCGAAATAAACCCGTTATGTGTTCTTTAGTAAGGCAAACGCTTAAATATCACCACTTAGATATCCTTTCACTTAGAAATTTAATACACTTCGAAAAATTCGGATCGGGCCATTGTAGAAACTTCGTCAGAAATGTCGGTTTGAAAATAAGACCCTAATCTAGCCATTTTCTGTTAGCAAATGCCAAGGTTCAGAGTCTCTATAACCCAACTAGGGGCTGCGTCCAGAGGCAATTGGCATGAAAGGCGTATGGATTCTCTGTGAGTAAGTTCTGAGCACCGTGATAATGGTTCTTCAATTGAAACAGAGGGATACCTAGGTATACCTAGTCTGAACTTTGCCGTCTCTCAAGCGTAGTGAGAACAGATACAGAAAAGCCTTTCTACAGAAACGGCGTGTCTGCAAGTCTGAAGTCAACCTATGTAAATTTCTCATTCGCCTTACAATTCAATTTTATTCTTGGCACACGTACAAAACAGATTAATATCCGTAGTAGCGAAAGCAAAGAAAAGCAATATAATCTAAAGCACATATGCCCTATCATGGGCTTGTTGAAACATTAAAGGATACAGGAAAATATTCACAACGAAGTTAAGTAAAAAAGGAGCTCAGAGCCCTCAGCAGCTAGGCCGTAACAAAAGTCTCAAAGCTATTGGTAGTTCGATTCAATTCACATATACTCAAAGTCGACTTCTTCCCTGCGACGCAGAAACGCTGCTTCGCCAAAGTCGTCAATATCCATGCCATTATTTGACATGGTAGCAGCGGCAAGCGGGTTTGTGTTTTCTTGTTCGGTGTATGTTTTGGATGAAATTGTATTGTTCGATGCGACTATACGTCGTCTATGTTGGCCCAGCCTTGGCGAAAGTATAGTCCGTCGTGACATGGAATTGGATGATGAAGATGTGTAGTTAGAGACAGAAGGAATAGTATCCTGCCAAATGTCTCTAGGAAGATTCCTGCCTTGATGAATAGCCCTATTATAACCCAGCGAAGAATCGTCATCTTCTTCCTCCTCGTCAACATCAGGTTCGAATGTTCTCTTATTGCTAGTCGACGAGAAAGACGCATTCGACTCCTGACTGCTAGACGGCATAGAAATATTCTCCAACTCATCGACATTCATCATCCCCTCACTCCGATACTCCTCATCCGGGCGCGGAAACGTCTGAACAGCATAATTGCCAACTTTATGAATTCCGCAAAACGGCTGTAATTCGCTGTATACCGTCGTTGTCATTATCGGTCGCGATGACGCAGCCACATCTGACTTCGTCGTCACTGGTATCGTATAGGCAGTCAACTTCTTCTGTTCGGTTTTGTATCCCTCTGGAACAGACTTCCGTACTCGAGCTCCTACGCCGAGTAGAGAGGACAGGATATTAGCCGGAAGTGCGGGTGTAGGTGTATTTGTAGGCGCGGAATAGTTTTGATGTGAAAAGTCATTATTTTCAGGTGTAGTGGAGGCCGCAAAGTAGCTGGTAATGGGGGGTTGGAAACGGCGTTTCTTGGATGAAGCGTTTTGCGATGTCGATGCCATTGTGAAGTTGATTTGTATGTATGTACTCAGTCACCCGATGGGATGGTGGTTGTTGGATGATGAAAATGGAATTGAGTTCTTATTGAGGGAAAGCTGGAGCCGTGCTTCAAAAAAGACGCGGCTGGGCGCGCGATGACTTCAAAGCATGATTAGACGCGTTCGTTCAATTAAGCCTTTCCGGGAGTATCACGTGACTTCATCCATATTGAAGGCATCCTTGGACCTTGGATCGATATGAGATGATTATAAAGCTAGAACAAATAAATATTTCTATGTGACAGACTTGAATTTTACTCTTCTGCCTTAGAATAATGCTTTTAGTGCTAGAAGGCGTTTAGTAGGCTGGAGGCAGATCCAATGTTCCGCATCTATTCTATACAACGCCTATATGCCCTAATCATGAAAGACTTAACCAGTATTTCCTCTTCGTCCACCTCTCTTCTTTCGATCATGATGAGCTTTCAGCACTGCTCTTGTTTCCACCAAACTGCGCTTATTCTTGCTTCTAGCCTTGCCTAGTGTCATCAAAAAATTCTTCTTGCGGGCCTTCTCCTTGTTCGTTGTACTCTTTCCATCCGCTACTTTTCTTTCCTTCTTACGAGCAGTCTTGCTCTTGAACTCGTCTCGATCAGTCTTCGATTCCTTGGCGTGAGCAATCTTTTCTTCACGTGTAGCTTTTCCCTTGGAAAGCATGGCAAGTCCCTCAATCTCTGCGGCTGTAAGAGGCTCGTCAATATGTCGGTTGATGGCCTCCTGTACTTTTTGTGCACGTTTGGATCGCGCATTGAGCAAAGAATCGACGGCTGCTTGAGAACGGAGCTCAGCCAATTTTGCAAGATCAGCCGGTGTCAAGATTCGACTAGTAGCAAGTTTGCTCCATTGCTTGTCCGCCTCGGTTTCTTCTGGTTTGTTCTCCTTCTCCTCGGTACCTTGCTTCGCCCTTTTGGAGGGAGGTGTATCGTCGTCCGAATCACTGAGCTCAATCTCAGCGTCGCTCTCGACATTTATCCATCCGCCAGAGTCATCGCTGTCGTCATCTTCAACGTCCCAATTAGCCCAGCCGGCTGCTTCATCTGCTTCAAGATCTTCCTCATCTTCGCCGTCGGATGGAAGACCCTGTTCAATTCGCTTTTTCCTTCTTTCCTCTTCCTTCCATTTCTCAAGCAGCTCGAGACCCTCAATTCCTCCAACGGCTTCTTCGCCGAATCGGATCTCTTTCCTCTCTCCCGCGCTTAGAGCCATGGATGCTTCCTTACCACGGTCACGTCTCTTCAACATCTCCGCGCCGACATCCCGGTATAGACCCAGTAGACCCTTTGCTGCCATCATAACACCTTTGTTCTTACTCTTCTTGTACAAAACCAAATCCTGAAGTAAAGTTTCGTTCATAGCCAGAGGCTGTCTGACACAGATTTCACGGATAGCATTCAGACCTGCCGAAGCGACCTCTGCAGCGGAAGCCTCGGAGACAAACTCGTTTGCAATTTTCTGGATCAAAGGCTCGAGCTCGTCGGGTGGCACAAGATTGTGTGTTGCCTGAGCAAGCGATGCAAGGAATGACGTAACCGAGGGCTGTCGAGGGGTGAGATATTTTTGAAAATAAGAGTAAAAGTGAACGAGTGTAAGTTTATGTAGACCAATCAAACGTGATACCAATTGCAGAACCAAAAGCTTTTGCTCGAGGTTCAGCTTCGACTTGCTGCTCTGCAAATGCTTTGCGAAGAGCTCTTCTGCGAAGCCTTGAGAATCATGCAAGAGATGTAATGCAGAGAAGTTGAGCGGATGAGGCGCTTTCTTCTTGCGTTCCTTCTTTTTAACCATTGTAATAGCCTTTTCAATTTGGCGTGCTTTCTTCTTCGTTTTCTTGTTGATGCCAACTTGATGTTTTAACTTGGCTACATCCACGCCATCATCGTCACTACTCTCATCCTCCATCTCTTCTCTCTCCTTGTCACCACCGAGGAAGAATCGAACACCGCCGACAACAACCTTCTCATTATCAGCTAAGCAGGCTTCCTTCATAACCTCAACTGTCTTTGCGTCGGTCCAGATCTGCCTTCTCCATAGCTCTCTAGTGATTTTCACTGCCCATGAAGCTTTGGGGGACGTACGATCCGACGTCACAAGGTTAAATAAGACCGTTTGCATGGCTCGATTTAGCTTATGATTCGATGATTTGGAGTTTGAAGTTCGCAGATCAGAAAGGATTTTCTGAAAAAGCAACTGGCGTAGGGTTTTACTAGGCGTTGAGACCAGAATGGGAAACAATGTATGCAGGAGTCTATAATAACGTGTCACCAGTCAGAGATAAGCCCTTTAAATGTTGAACAGTTCACATACGTTACCGAATCAATAATATCCTTCTTCCTCAGAAGCACCAGGCTTCCAACGATCTTCTCGCGCAGTTCCGGCTCCAGGTCCACATGATGTTGCATAAGCATATCAATTAATTGTTGCGGAAAATCCTTTGTTATATCGGGATAACAATCCGCGACGTGCGAAATAAAATCTATCAAATCGCGCAAGGATATAATTCCTGCTTCCGTGGAAGTCGGCGTTGCCATGAAAATTTCACGGTGGTTCTCATATTGATAGTATTGTGCTCGAAAATCTTCGACATAAGACCTGGAAAGAATCAGATTAGCCCCCTTTTTTGATAAAACTTCTATTTGTCCTCGTACTTTGAGTCTCGTCGAATTTTCTGCTGAAGATTGGGCCTGCAAAAACTAGATTAGATGGAATACTAGCAAATCATTACGCACTTTCAGTAAGGAAAACTCACAAATCTGCCTCAACCTTCTCCAGCGCGGCTAGCTTTCGCTTAACCATTTTGCCTAATGTAAGCGAAATGTATGGATGTACAATTCTCTGTTGAACAGAGATTAAAATATTCTTGTCGAAGCGGAGAGATAGATATTTTTTTGCCGTATCGATACCGGCACTCGCACGCAGCGACTGGAGGCGGTGAGTCAGCCACAGTCTCGATCAGTCAGGATTTTTACAACAGTCACCTGAAGATTATTCAATTAGATGGGGCTAGATTGAATGTCTCTCATGATGAACTTCTGCTGAACTTCTGTAGTTAATATATAACTCTGCTTACATAGAGTTGTATACGGCTTTCTAAAAAGTCAGGTAGGAGTCTAGATTGACTTATTTTATTAATCGTACTCTGAACAAAAGGATCAAGTTTTTCATAATAACATCTCGACTACATCAAAAAGAAAGCTATCCATTTACTTTTTTATGGGTCCTACTTCCTCTTTCACGGACTGTTCTACAGATCCAGTCTCGGTAGATGATGCATGCGAGTCGACCAAACCCTAATAGAAGATGACACTCCGTCCATACCCTGAACGCGTAAACAAACAGATATAAAGAAACCGTTTACCGATTGCTCTTGGCAACACGCTCGAGTTCGTCCTTCTTCTTGATGGCATAGGAGTTGGAGCTACCCTTGGCAGCGTTGATGAGCTCTTCAGCCAAAACCTCGGCAATAGACTTGACGTTGCGGAAAGCAGCCTCACGAGCACCGATGGTAAGGAGAGCGATGGCCTGGTTAACACGGCGGAGGGGGGAAACATCGACAGCCTGTCGGCGAACAGTACCCTGGGAACCGATACGGGTGGAGTCTTCACGGGGACCGCAGTTGACGATGGCATCGACAGCAACCTGGAGAGGGTTCTGGTCGGTCATGATGTGAATCTGATGATCATTGTTAGAATCAAAGTTGGCCGCATTTTGAAATTCGCTGTTCAGTAAATAGGAGAGGTCTGTCGTATTCATAAACGTACAATCTCGAAAGTGTGAGCAACGATGCGGACAGCCATGATCTTCTTTCCGTTGTTGCGACCGTTCATCATGATAGAGTTGGTCAATCTGCATATTCGTGTTAACCAGATATCTCCTTCATTTGTGCGATTAACCGTAGAGCGCATACCTCTCAATGATGGGGCATTGTGCCTTGCGGAAACGCTTAGCAGCGTATCTGCCAGCGGAGTGAGGGAGATAGACGGGAGAACGGATCTGGATGTAATCGCTGTGTCGAAACCCCTCGAGTTAGCCAATATTCCCCTCTTTTCCATATCACGCGAAACTTTTGGTGGAATTCTTCTTGTTCGCAGAATTGAAATGCAATCGCGGATTCACGTACGTCAAAGAAATGTCCCTGATCTCGACATCGTCCTGTTGATCGTCAGTCCCCCTTCCTCATCATGAGCCCTAACAACACAATTTTTCAGGTCACTCACGTAGCTCCATTTTCCGAACAACTTGACGGAATCGGTTTGGACATCCTTGGGGAGGGCTGGATAGAACCCAGAAGGGTTCTCGACCTCGACTTCACCGTTGTCGGACATGATGGACGCTGTTGTCGTGAGTGTGTTGTTGAGCGTCGAGCGTTGCTGTCGGTCGATGAAATGTTCGCTGGTGCAGAGGGAAATTGGAGGTGTGTCTCGCTTAGCGAAAGCCCCGTGGGGTGGGGCTAGCTGATCCAATGAGAGCTTAGGTGTCAAGTGACTTTTGGTTTTTGCTTGGCACCACTGTATGCTAACCTGAACAAGCTAGTATTTATGTATTGGCACTTGTCAGGCTGCAAGTCACATGCTCAGTCATCTTCAACTGCCAGCAAGTAACTATGCGGTCAACTAGCTAACTGTTAAGTTATCATGAAGACTTGCCTGACTAAGGATTTTGTCTTACTATGTAGATATCGCTTGATTCCAGCGGATGCTCGCATGCGATATGTTCTAGAAGTATGAGTATGTATATTGCTCTGTATATACACTTTCCGGTCAGAAATACCGAGTAACTTGACCGTATCCCTCTTTGCACCTTAGAATGAGCAGTCGAGGGCAGATCAGCATCTGACTGATTCGTCGTATAAAATTCAAAAAATCCACCACGTCAGGTCGCCCCTGGCAGTCAACGTCGGCCGCGCTGTCATTGGTGTAGTTCCCTTAGTGCAGGCGTAGGTGACACTGGCGCTTCCGCTTTCCCCAACTCCCAAGAACCAACCGCCCGCAAATCAGTGAGGGCCAGAACTGAGACCTTTTAGTCCGTGACAACTTAAGGAATAGACTGCCACCTCACATCTTTTTACGTTTCTCCATTTTTTTTGGCTACCATCAATTGCTGTTTGATGGTGCATACCCCATAAGAAGCAGAGCGTGCTTCTATGCGCTTGCAGATGACACTTTCCATTCGCGTTTGAATTACGGCCGCGGCGGATAATGACTGAAGATAATCCAGAACTGCAGCATGCGTTGCAGGAGCTTGACAGGGAACTTGAGGTGCGCTACCCAATCTGGTCCCTCCCGGAGATTATTACTCACTCTTCGCTTTACTACAGGAAGGAGATATTACAGAGAAAGGGTGAGAAATCCGCAGTACTTTCGGAAACTACCTTCGGCTACTCTAAATTTCGCGGCGCGGGGCACGACGAAGCGACCGGATTGGGAGGTTTAGCTAACACATGGACAGGTACCAAAAGCGGCGCACTCTACTATTCTCGCAGTTCCTTGGATCAGGCAACAATGGAGTCCAGCCGCCGAGCGTTACTATTCAAGGCCCCGGTGGTCAGGTCGACAATTACTCCGGAAGATATCCAGATGTAGGGAGTGACAGCTCGTCAGGCATTGCGAGACAGGTGAGTCAGATCCTGCTTAGACATAGCTAGCGTCTACTCACCGATCATATCTTTTGCAGAGAACACCGTCACTTCAACTTCCCGATCGCGCCGCGTCCAGGGCGTCAGTGGATTCTCTTTTCCTCCCCAAAACTAGTCACCACAACACCTTGGACGTCAACCATCACGAAGATTCAAGAACAGGGACATTAATGAGCCAAAACTATGCCTTCAACCCTAATGAACCATACGATCGTATGAGTCAGGTATCCGCCCGTTATGATCCCAACGTCTACGATCCCGGCGCCTACGAGCCTGACGGAGGCCAGACTCGTCAGTCAACACTGCTGGATTCGCAAGCCTACTTTCAAGATTTTGCCGGCCATCAAAATGAAGACTACAGGAATAGTTATGGAGGCGGGTATCATCGCTATTCGCAGTCCGATGCATTTTCGCCGACAGCGAATATGGCACCTCCATTAATGCCGGCTTCGGAAATAGCCCCTGGAAGCATGCTTAATCACCTTCTACCGCTGGAACCACGAGATATTCCTTTCTCGGTTTATGACCCGTACGATCCCAATACCATGATGTCTAAATTTGATAATTTACCTGCGGTTCTCCGACATCGTGCGAAGACGCAATCGAAGCAACCAGCCTACTGGGTTTTGGACCAGAAAGGCAAAGAGATTGCGTCAATCACATGGGACAAATTAGCCAGTCGCGCAGAGAAGGTTGCTCAAATTATACGGGACAAGAGCAGTTTATACCGCGGCGATCGAGTAGCACTAATCTACCGCGATACCGAGATAATTGAATTTGCTGTGGCTTTGATGGGTTGTTTCATTGCCGGTGTGGTTGCTGTTCCCATCAATAATATAGACGACTATGCAAGTCTTAGTGTCATCCTCACGTCGACGCAAGCCCATCTTGCCTTGACCACAGAGAACAATTTGAAGAACTTCCAGCGGGATATCACAACCCAGAAGCTACAATGGCCCAGGGGTGTTGAGTGGTGGAAGACAAACGAGTTCGGGAGTTATCATCCCAAGAAGAAGGATGACGTTCCGCCTCTCGTTGTTCCCGACCTTGCCTATATTGAATTCTCGCGAGCCCCTACAGGAGACTTGCGCGGGGTTGTCATGAGCCATCGAACGATCATGCACCAAATGGCCTGCCTCAGTGCTATCCTTTCTACCGTACCTGGCTCTAAAGGGGTTGCACAAGAACAAAGCAGAGTCTTGAGTGGTAGCCGCACCGAGATATTGTTTAGTTATCTGGACCCAAGACAAAGCATTGGTATGATCTTGGGTATTTTGTTGACTGTTTACGGCGGGCACACAACGGTCTGGTTGGAAGCTCAAGCAGTAGAAACCCCCGGTCTTTACGCCCATCTCATCACAAAGTACAGGGCCACTGTAATGGCTGCCGACTATCCGGGATTGAAGCGCGTCGCATACAATTATCAGCAAGATCCAATGACCACACGGCACTTTAAGAAGAATTCTGAACCGAACTTCTCCAGTGTAAAGCTTTGTTTGATCGACACGCTCACAGTCGATTCGGAGTTCCATGAGATTCTGGCAGATAGATGGCTGCGGCCGATGCGGAATCCCCGTGCGCGAGAGATAGTCGCTCCAATGCTATGTCTGCCCGAGCACGGAGGTATGGTGATTAGCGTCCGAGATTGGTTAGGAGGTGAAGAGAGAATGGGATGTCCCTTAACACATCCTCTTGACCCGCAAGAGCCAGAGCAGCCAGAGCAGCCAGAAACCGAAAAGAAGAAGACAGAGAACAATGACGGCTTCGGCAGCAGTCTAATTGGAGGAACTCCAGTAACTGCCCCTAAAAAGAAGGTTACAAATGATCTAGCAGAAGTACTGTTGGATAAGGAGGCTCTGAAATCCAACGAGGTTGTTGTGTTAGCGATGGGGGAAGAGGCGAGAAAGCTTGCAGAAACCCGCCCGAACAGTGTGCGAGTTGGTGCATTTGGATATCCATTACCGGACGCTACTCTTGCAATCGTTGATCCTGAGACTAATTTATTATGCACGCCCAATGTCATTGGAGAGATCTGGGTTGATTCTCCGTCTTTGTCCGGTGGATTCTGGGCGTTACCGAAACATACAGAGACTATTTTCCACGCCCGGCCATATAAATTCGACCCTGGGAACCCTACTCCTGTGCTGGTAGAACCGGAATTCCTTCGAACTGGTCTTCTAGGTTGTGTTATCGAGGGCAAGATATTTGTCCTCGGTCTGTATGAAGATAGACTCAGGCAGAAGGTTGAATGGGTGGAGCATGGCCAAGAGATTGTTGAACATCGATACTTCTTCGTGCAACATTTGATCATCAGTATCATGAGGAACGTGCCAAAAGTCAACGATTGCTCTGCGTTTGATGTCTTTGTCAACGAGGAACATTTGCCCATTGTTGTGTTGGAGTCGTACACCGCTTCGACCGCGCCGACAACTTCCGGCGGGCCCCCACGACAGCTGGATGTAGCACTTCTCGAATCTTTGGCAGAGCGTTGCATGGAGGTCCTCTACCAGGAACACCATCTTCGTGTCTACTGTGTCATGATCACGGCTCCAAACACTCTTCCTCGCGTCACTAAAAACGGCAGGCAAGAGATTGGAAACATGCTTTGTCGGAAAGAATTTGATAACGGAACCCTTCCCTGTGTGCATGTCAAGTTCGGAGCTGAACGCGCTGTGATGAACCTGCCGCTCGGTGTAGACCCAGTTGGAGGGATGTGGTCGCCGTTGTCGTCAGACTCTAGGCAAGAGATTCTAGCCATGGAAGAGAAACAATACTCGGGAGTAGACTATCGTGACATTGTTATGGACGATAGGACATCGACGCCACTTAATAATTTCACGAATATCGTCGATCTTGTTCAATGGCGTGTTACGCGTCAAGCAGAGGAGCTATGCTACTGCTCCGTCGACGGCCGTGGCAAGGAAAGTAAAGGGGTGACATGGAAGAAATTTGACACAAAAGTAGCTGCTGTGGCTTCATACCTTAAAAACAAGGTTAAAGTCAAGCCAGGCGATCATTTGGTACTTATGTACACACATTCGGAGGAGTATGTCTTTGCAGTTCATGCTTGTCTCTGTCTTGGCGCAATCGCGATTCCCATGGCGCCGATTGATCAGAACCGATTGCCGGAAGATGCGCCCGCTTTCCTCCACGTCATCTCAGACTTCAAAGTCAAAGCAATCATTGTAAACACCGATGTGGATCATGTCATGAAACAGAAGCTTGTTTCTCAACATATCAAGCAGTCTGCTCAAGTTCTCCGTATTGGGGTTCCCGCTATCTACAACACTACTAAACCGCCAAAGCAGTCACATGGCTGCCGCGATCTTGGTTTCACCATGAACAAAGCATGGCTCCAGGCGAACCATCCTGCTGTTATTTGGACTCACTGGACTGCTGATCAGAGACGTATCTCAGTACAGTTGAATCATGACACTTTGATGGCAATGTGTAAAGTACAGAAAGAGACATGCCAAATGACCAGCGCTAGACCAGTTTTGGGAAGTGTACGAAGTACCGTCGGGTTAGGATTCCTGCACACCTGCCTGCTTGGAGTTTATGTTGGTAAGTCATTTGAAATGGTTAGCATGGTATAGGACACTGAAACTGATCTTTTTCAAGGTGCTCCAACGTATTTGGTTTCCCCGGTGGATTTTGCACAAAACCCCGCATCGCTATTTGTCGCATTGGCGAGGTATAAGATCAAGGATACGTATGCTACCGGCCAGATGTTAGAGTATGCAATGAGCTCCATGGCTGGAAAAGGTTTCCAGCTTCAAGAGTTGAAGAATTTGATGATTGCCACAGATGGCCGACCAAAGGTCGATATGTGTAAGTGTGCTCTGTCTATGGCTACCCAGCAGTTGCTAATTTTTGTACAGACCAAAAAGTTCGACTGCATTTTGCAGCAACCGCACTGGATCGAACCGCAATCAATACTATCTACTCCCACGTCCTCAATCCAATGGTTGCTTCCAGATCCTACATGTGCATTGAGCCTATCGAATTATGGCTCGACTTGCGTGCACTTCGACGGGGTATGGTGTATCCTGTGGATCCAGATGTTGACCCAACTGCCCTTCGTCTGCAAGATTCTGGTATGGTCCCAGTCAATACTCAACTCGCAATTGTGAACCCAGAAACCTGCACGTTGTGCCGTGTGGGAGAGTACGGAGAAATTTGGATTCAGTCCGACGCATGCGCAAAGTCCTTCTATGGCAGTAAACAGGAGTTTGACCTTGAGCGTTTCAATGGCAAAGTCCTTGACGGCGACACTTCGGTACAGTATGTGCGCACAGGTGACCTCGGTTTCCTTCATACAGTCACCCGGCCAATTGGTCCAGGTGGTCAGCCTGTTGAGATGCAAGTTCTGTTTGTACTCGGTGGTATTGGAGAGACCTTCGAGATTAATGGGCTGAATCACTTCCCCGTCGATATCGAAGCGTCTGTGGAGAAATGCCATCGCAATATTGTTGCGGGCGGTTGGTAAGTATTCCTCCTATAACTTTCGAGGCTCTCCACTAATATAACATGATACCGGACAGTGCAGTTTTCCAAGCTGGTGGTCTAGTTGTTGTACTTGTTGAAGTAACCAGGAAGTCATACTTGGCCTCTCTAGTCCCAGTCATTGTTAATGCCGTTCTCAATGACCACCAAATCGTTATAGACATTGTGGCTTTTGTCTCTTTAGGCGACTTCCCACGATCTCGCCTTGGAGAAAAGCAGCGCGGAAAGATCCTCGGCTCGTGGGTGACACGAAAGATGCGCACGATAGCTCAGTTCAGCATTCGCGACGCGGAGGGAGCTGACGCTCAAATGCTCCAGACTAGAATGAGCAGAGGATCTAAAACGGGAAGCATGATGGGAGGCAGCAGTCTTCGACGATCAACGCTTGTTCCTGATAGCGATTCTAGTACGCGTGTTGCCACGGCACCGGTACAAGAAAGACGTGAACTCGTGGATGAGCCGTACACGATGCAGGAAGACGAGGAAGAAAAGCACTATCAGGACCTACTCAACGACCCTGGTTATACAACAGGTAATGATGCATCTCGTGGATTCCAAGAACATCACGATGTGTCGACGCCTCAACCTTTAACAATTGAGACCCACCAAGGATATGAGAAGGAGAAAAACACGACACCAGTCTTAAGTCCAGATGACGGCTTTGATTTTGGGGACAGTTTCGGCCAAACAGGTTATGACGACGATCACCAGGATCGTGGAGCCCTTACTACGAGAAATGTACCATCCGTTGCGGTAGCGCCTCCATCGACAGCCGGGTCTCAAGACTCTCGAGTCTCGCACACCAGTCCTCCAAGGCGCCTGAGAAACGATAGAGGTAATTTACCAAGCCAGCAACAGCAGCAACAATATAGCAGAGCTCCACAAGTCTCAAGCCCAACCGAGAGCCAATCGTGGCTCGATACCTCCCAGCGACCGAACTCAACCGAAGACTGGCCGCAGGAGGCGCTTCTTTATCAGTCGCATTTTGATGAGCAGGACGCAAACGGACAATCTGGAAAGCATCCAGGTAACTTTAATGCTTTCTAAATTATTCCACTCTATCGCAATGAAGCAATTCCATCATATATTCACTGCGAGGATATATGTATATATATGCTACAAAGTTCGCCCAGTCCAGTTTTCTCCCTATCACGTTTTTCAAATTCCCTGTATTCAATTATTTATGAAACCTATATCCCCACATCACATGCACGAGAATCAATTTTGTTGATAGTAACGTACAGCATCTGTCTGTTTCTTTTGATTGTTTCTAGTATCCTGCGTAAAAGCATTTATCCAGAGTTCTTCAATTGGAAGTACGTGCTATATGTATGTTTATGATTTGATGTCAATTGCGTCTCCTTTTTCTATCTATATTGGTATTATTTTTCTTATACCGATGACCGCGCCTGTACCTTGGTAAATATTCATTCCTTGCATGGATCACATCGAATAAGAGCATATACGTGGATGTAATTAGGGCTGGCTGCACATGTGACCTGGTCTGGGGAAAGTGGGTGTCATCAAAGGGCCAATTTGAGTAAGTGCCTGCCACAGGGCCGGACTTATCTGTCATCTTCCTGCTGAGTTCAAAGATCTCTCCGAGAAAATTGGGGACCTCGCTGCATACTATCCATCTTTTCTGAAGAAAAACCGGAGAAAGAGTAAATGATGTTCTTCCATTCCAATGCCTCGATTACAAGTACGATTGGGCTATTTGCGCTCGGCTAGACGACCGTTTACCCCTGGACGGCAGTACTCCTCCCAACCACCTCCAAAGCACACAAGCGAAGATATAGCTGCTCTCCTCTCGAAACCAACATGGTCTATCCGAAGTCTCCTCCCCAATACCCACGATCCGACTATTCCATTATCAATAACTCCTCAGAAACTTCACCATCTACTTCGTCTGTCGGCGCTTCCGCAACCGGTCGATAAAGTGGAGGAAACCTCTATGCTCAGAACTCTCGAAGCTCAGATACATTTCGTCAAGTCGATTCAGGATGTAGATATAAAGGACGATTCGCCACTCCGAGCCATTCGAGATGAGAGTCGCGAGGCAATTAAGGAATCTACTATAAGCTTGGAGACATTGAAAGAAGCACTAGCTAAGGAGGAAGTGGTCGGTCGCAGAAAGAAAATAGAGCGCCGGACTACAACTCTTGAAGATGGAGATGCTAGCCATATTGAGAGCGACCAATGGGATGAAAACACTTTGGGATCTGCTTCAAGGACAGCCGGGAGATTTTTTGTCGTTCAAAAGTCGTAGCTGATTGCGATGATGTTGGTTTCCGGTCTTGGCGTACAGCTATCCGGCCCGCACGTGACGTCGACTGAATGTTGTTGCCTTACCCTCGCATCTTTATCTCTTTTGACCCTTCCAACCATCAATCAAGATTTGTACTGTCATGGCATATCGATTCCTTGACCGATTTTTGAATGCTACGGATCGTGCAAGAAAAAGAATAAAAACGAAGATCATGGCTTGTCCGATTTCCTGTCCGACTCCCAGCGAGGGAATCTGATGGTACTTATCTCGGTTGTCTTGGAGCACATGCGGAAAAAATATTGGAAAGCTTCGAAGCGCTCCATGTCTCCAAGGAACTGTCACCAAAGCCAGAAATTCAAGATACGCCCAACTCGAACAAATCTGGCGATGTTTCTCTATCTAATAAGACCGAGGAAATCATACAAAATGCGGTTGGCTTGGACCCTAAGTCGAGATCAGAAGTCCTCGCGTACTTTGACGAATGGCAGAACTCGGTATTACTGCGGGTAGGGCAGGTTGTAGATGGGCGCGAAGAGTCAGAAGATGGTCAGGTTCAAGTCGACAAATTTCCTAAAGAACCCGCGGAACCGGAACGAAAGACGCTAAATCGATTACAGCAAGTATATCCACCACTTGATACACCGCTTCGAGACACACTCAAGGCACAAAGACTACTTATCCTTCGGTCTCTATTACTTCTACTTTTGGGTCTAGAGCATTACAATGCATACTCACGCGTACTTTTATTGCATATCACCTCCTCATTAAACCTACAGCTCAGTGATATAAACGACAATGAAGCCAAGATAGCACGTGGACTTCTCGACGCTGCAGTAGCAATGACAGCAGACGAAAAAACTAAAAGGAAAGCAGCAGAAAACCAGAATCTTCGAAAATGGAAAGTTGGAATTGCCACAGTAGCTGGTGCCGCTCTTATAGGGATTACCGGTGGTCTAGCTGCGCCTTTGGTAGCAGCTGGACTTGTTACTGTAATGGGTGGACTAGGACTCGGTGGAACCATCGCTGCTTCTTACCTTGGAGCACTCACAAGTAGTGGAGTGGTGGTGGGTGGTCTTTTTGGAGCGTACGGCGGAAAAATGACCGGCAAGGTGATAGATAGATATGCTCGTGAGGTCGAGGACTTTGTCTTCATCCCTATACGAGGGAAATCGGCAAAGAAATTAAAAGATGAAAAAGAAGCTGCAAAGGAAGATCATTGCTTGAGGGTCAATATCGCCTCGACCAAGTATCAATCGCTTTGCCCGTTTGTTAATCAAGGAAGCCAGACAAGGCCATCCATCCGGCGTGCTTAGAATATGATTGTGACGTATCGTAGTAAAGTACTCCTGTAACACTGTCGTTCTTGATCTAGTACCATGGTACCACGAATAATTGAGGTTGCTTCGTTCTTCTGCAAGTTCTAAGGGTGTGTATATGAATGAATCAAGAGCATTATTCGATATTTCTCCCAGCAGAAGGGATCCCGAGGGAGTTCGGCACCCGATACTATAGAAGCAGGTTGATCAGGATTGTTCGAGTCCGCCGCCACATGTATGTTGAACACAATATAGAGAAACGTGGAGTCTATATCCGCACTGCTAGACCTAATATAGCTGCGTAGGTCCTCCATAATCGTTGTTAGGTTGAAGGCCTGAGCAAGTATAGTTTCCTAGCTTGTAAGGGGAATCATCCGATGTCGAGTTGGAGGGAATTGAAACAGGACAGAGTAGCCATTGACAATTTGAAGGGGACCAGTAGACATCGATAATAAAACGGCGATATCCCACTGTCAAAAGATCTGGCAAACATAATGACCCTGCGTCTCCAAGATATCGATTATCGCCGAAGCATGCTGCGGGTAAGCGCGATCGAAGGCTACGTCACGTAGTTGATGGGAACTTGAGCCGAGACATCTCGTTGGCTCTGCAATTTCAGTTAGCTCAAATTACCGTTTATCTGAATGTCTATGTTACCAGTAAATCGACCTGTGAAACTAGCGGGATGTGGAAATTCATAGGTCCTCCCTTTACAGAACAGATGGATTATCCGCAGTACATGAAAGTCTTTCAACTTTTTAAGAACATACCTAGGTATCTGGAGCTCAGGTGTGCAGGTGACTAAGAGCACAAAATAGCGATTTCCGCAGACTGTCCATGAGTCTCGTGGGTGAGATGATGTATGCCGTTGCAATTCATTATACTACCAAAGATGACGTCCTCGACATCTCTAGAAAGCGCTGTCAAAGTTTTGCCACCTCAAGCTCGGTATTTGGAGGGTATACCAAAATATGGGGGCATGTCTCGCTCGTATAGACCCTCTTTGAAGCTATAATGTACTCCATACACCATATTTCTGATGTTACGGAGCGGTTGTGAAGAAGCGACATCGGTGAATCATCGACTGAGATCTAATATCGTGATATTTCAGTGATCATGTGCTTCATTTCAGAGTTTATGCCATGAGTAGCGCTTTTCTGCAACTTTGACAGGATGTGACCTGCTTCTTCCCAGACGATTAGGGTTTCCTTAGCACGTGCACTCATGCGGAGTTCTGCGGCTTCTGCCGGACCTCCGCAGCCCCCGCAAAAAAATGCTTCTCTTCTTTGAGTCACCTTGACCACTTCAGCATCCCGAGTTGTGGGACATACCTTGCAGGTTCTAGGTCAATTCTGAAAATAATACGAGTTCCGGATGGTATCTACCTAGATATGCATCACTGTGTGCGATTTCTACATACCCCGGTAGTTTTATATTTAACCGGCGTATGGACAGAGTCCAGAACATGATGAATCTTCAAGAGACTTGCCACCGAAAATTGATCGCCTGAGTCCTTGTACATATCCGAGTCAATGTGAGACAGGTATTAGTCGATTGATTTTCTAACTCAATCGATTGGCAGAGATCAATTCGTAACTGCAATTCTGTCGTGCTTGCAGGGCTTATGCAGATGATCAATATCCTGTAAAGTATTCGCAACCAACGGTTACATGCGGGGAATTTTTCCTCGCCGAGAGACCGTCGTATGTACTATGTAGCACAAGTCACTTCATATGCATGCACAATCTGGACTCTTATTCGTATGTGCCATGCCAATGAAGTAGAGGAAATAAGGCACCAAGGCGTCGATGTAGTGATCCGAAGGCGGTGGCAGAACCCCTGCAGGCGTCAGAAGGCGCGGCGATTGACTGATGGCTCAGCTCGGTGATACGCCCACGCCCTCCCCACTTCCAGCATAGAGAGAATGGCCATCTCCAGGCTCTGAGTCACCGAATCATATAAAATTCTCCTTCTCTGCCCTTCTCATTGTCTCTTCTTCAATCAATCCCATCCCATTCGAATTGTACACTCAATTCACTTTCCCACCACTGACTGAACCCTCGCCGCTCAACGATAACGCTATCAACGACGAGAGGGCCCGCCTTTTTTTATCGTCGTTCATCATCACCCCGCTCCCGCTAAATAAAAATCAGCCACCGTCACAATGCCAATGTACGTTTCTACCTTCGCCTATTGGAACAGTGCGAAGGACTTACTCTAATTGCTCTTTCATTATAGGCTCAAAGATCCTTCCAAAAAATACAAGCGTTTCAAGCCGATCCACCTCCCAGACCGAACATGGCCGAACAAGACCATCGATAAGCCGCCTCGCTGGCTGGCTACTGATTTACGAGATGGTAACCAGAGCTTGGTAGACCCAATGGTATAATTCTCGATATAATTCAGGGAGATACCGGAACTACAGTTGCTAACATCTTAGCAGGATGGTGACCAGAAGTGGAAATATTTCAATATGCTCGTGGAGCTCGGCTACAAAGAAATTGAAGTCTCTTTCCCATCCGCATCGCAAACCGACTTCGACTTTACTCGCAGAATAATCGAAACTCCCGGTACCGTTCCCGATGATGTTTGGATCCAAGTGCTTTCTCCGTGCCGTGAGGATCTCATCCGCCGCACAGTCGATTCCTTGAAGGGAGCAAAGAAGGCCATTCTCCACATGTACTTGGCTACAAGCGAATGCTTCCGTCGCATAGTTTTCAATATGACAAAAGAGCAGAGTTTAGCATTGGCCGTCAAGTGCACTAAATACGCTCGATCCATCACAAAGGATGACCCGTCTACTGCTGGAACGGAATGGCAATATGAATTCTCCCCCGAGACATTCTCCGACACTGACCCGGATTATGTTATTCAAGTGTGTGAAGCCGTGAAAGAAGCTTGGGGCCCAACTGAAGAGCACCCTATGATTTTCAACTTGCCTGCGACTGTTGAAATGTCCACACCAAACGTCTATGCCGATCAGATTGAGTACTTCTGCCGCAATATGACGGAACGCAACAAGTTTGCCGTCTCTCTTCACCCTCACAACGATCGTGGCTGTGCTGTGGCAGCTGCTGAACTTGCCCAGATGGCTGGTGCAGACAGGGTCGAGGGAACTCTCTTCGGTAATGGAGAGCGGACGGGAAATGTCGATTTGGTCACTCTTGCCTTGAACCTTTACACCCAGGGCATTCACCCTGGAATTGACTTTTCAGATCTTAACTCTGTCATCAAAGTCGTCGAAGAAAGCAACAAGATCCCAGTCAATGAACGCTGGCCTTATGGTGGACAGCTGGTGGTGTGTGCTTTCAGTGGTAGTCACCAAGATGCAATCAAGAAGGGTTTCGTGGCCCGCGAAGCTGCAAACAACAGTGTCGAAGACCCTTGGGAGATTCCTTACCTACCTTTGGATCCACAAGATATTGGCCGAACATACGAAGCAGTTATTCGTGTCAACTCCCAAAGTGGCAAAGGTGGTGCTGCATGGATCATTCTCAAGAGTCTAGAACTCGACCTACCACGTGGATTGCAAGTTGAATTCAGTAAAATCGTGCAAAAGGAGACCGAAAGACTCAACCGCGAGCTTCGACCAAGTGAGATTGTAGACTTGTTTGAAACTGCCTACCATCTCAAGACCAACCCCCGCTTTACTCTGGTCGATTATAACATCACCACCGATCGATCGCAGTCACCGGCGTCACTGGAGCCTGGCAAAGCGCTCAACACGCGCAACCTCAACCGTCGGTTTACGGGCATTATCGAGATCGATGGCATCCAACATCCCATCACTGGTGTTGGTCCAGGTGCCATTTCGTCCTTGGCTAACGCTCTTTCAACTTTGGGCATTGATCTCGATGTGCAAGATTACAAGGAACACTCCGTGGGTGTAGGAAGCCACGTTCGCGCTGCTACATATATTCAATGCACGGCTTCCCAGTCGAAAGATGTTGTTTGGGGTGTCGGCCTCCACCAAGATGTTGTCCAGGCCAGTTTGATCGCTCTCTTGAGTGCTGCTAGCTCGGTAAGCACCCTTCTTTTCCTCTAGTAAAGTGTGAATCTAATCCATGAGCTAGTTCCTTACATCCCGCGCTGGATCACCTGCACCCTTCCGTCCTGTGCGTTCCAACACTTTAACCGACGAAGACCTCCAAGCAATTGAGCAGCTTTCATCCAGTATTCGAAACTTGGACGAGGAGCAGGAGAAGAAGAACGCTGCTGAAGGTGTCCAGCAACAAAAAGCTGATATTGAAAAGCTTGAAAAACAAGTTGAGCAATTGTAAAAAGCAAAAGTTGGTAAATTTTGTGTGTATACAATTTATAATCTTTTTATTTCTTGTCTTTTACCTACGTGGAGGCACAAAAATTGTTAATGGAAAAATGATGTGACCTTGGGCTGGAACCGCCTTTTTCGTGCAAGCTGCGTTTAAAAATGAAATGGAAAATGGTGCACGCTGCTGTATTCCACATGTAGTATTAAGAAATAATATGGAAGTTTATGCTTAACCTCAGGGTCAAGCCTTAGGGTGCATTTTGTACTTTCGCAATGACTGCCCACTTTAAAGGCTACTAGCCTGTCCATTGGTCCATGACAACCTGTTTAAAAATAACAATGCGGCTGAGAAGACTAAGCGTATGGAGGAATTTAGCACAATGTCCAGGCATTTGGGGCCATTTTAGCGAGTCAAGCACACCAGCCAAGCCCCGATCTTCAACATTACACATCTTGTAATTTGTTGGAGATAAAACACGCTAACATGGGCTTGTTGTTGGCTTTATGCTTGGCATTGTGGTAGGGGCTTTTGCAGAGAAATGTTGACATGCGTAAATTCTACGTATAAGTAGCGTACAGAGTCCATTCGCAATGGGTTTGGGACTTATAAGTCAACTCAACTCGTAACAATGGGTAGCCAAGGGAGGTATGATGCCCTTATTCCTTTGCGAGATTCTCCTTCTGCAAAGAGTCCAGTCAATACCAATTATAATAAGTATGAGCTGGCCCAATATTCATATTTTCGAGAATATTCCCATGGCTAACTTGCTCTTTCTCAAGAGGGCCAACACTATCAGATGAGGTAGTAGCACCTGAGAGAGTGAGCATTGACTCCAGCGGCAGTATACGGATCAAGCAAGATGGAGACGGAAAGAACAAATCAAAGAGAGAGCGACGGAAAATCGCGATATCGCGGGACAGGTCGACTGCTTTTGGGCATTTTCTCCAATTCCACATGATTCCAGTCGGAGTTGCAGTGGCTCTCATCGTTCTCAATGTCCAATCTCGGTTCCTGGGTTCCAATAGCGAATGGTCCAATCTGTTTCAATTCATTGCCAAGTTGCACGAAATATTGATGCAGATCTCGATCGCGACTGCGATGCTGGGCTATCAACAATACCTGCTCACTCGGTCCAACTCTGCACTGCCGTTTGGTGCCATATTCTCTGCATATAACGCGACACAGGTGGGTTATCTGTGGTCGGCCGAGTTCCGAGCCAGTTTGACGGCTCAGTTCCCACTGCTTCTCAAGACTGGGTTCTTGTTTTTTGTTCCTGCAAGTATCCTACTTGCTTCTGCTGTCGGGCCTGCGAGCGCTATTGCAATGTTGCCTAGACTCGTCAATTTTACCATACCAGACAACCAAATAGGACTGGATCACACTTACAGTGATCTCTTTCCGACGGCTTTTAATCAACCTGGTGGGCTATTAGAAAACAATATTCAGAAACGTAAGATATGTCTACTCGCTTGAAAGAAAAGAGAGTATGGCTCAACGTTATTGACTTGATAAACAAAATAGAAAACGCACAATCCCCTGCCATTGGCTGGGAATATCTTCGAAACCTTCCCAGCGTGGGACAGGATCAGCTCACGTTAGTCGGTTTGCAGATGGCGACTGAGGACTTAGGGAATGGAAATGGCAGATCTTACGACGTGATGCCACCACTATACACCGTCGATGTGTTGAATAATATCTGGTACACTCTTTCATACTATGATAGAATCATAAGAACCTTATCAGTTCAATACGCCCCGAACAGTACCGTGGCTACTGTGCAACAGGTCCCAGTCGCAGCAGGCCTATCCACGGCAGCTTATAATGCCCTCCGAGCAGTACCTGGTGAAGCCGCGAGGGGACAAGCTAGTATTCAAATCGCCCATCCATTTGTGAGCTCTATCTGCATGCTGAATCCGGTTATGAACGAGAGCGACACTCGTGCCATCGAGTTCCCAGCAACTTTTCTCTCAACGAATGCTACAGGGGTTGACACCATACCTTACACTAATATCACTCGACAACAGCTGTGGCACCAAGTGCAGGATCAAGGAGAAGGTCAGATTATCTGGGTGGACAATGTATCCTTTTCAACCGAGCGGACTTTAGGAGCCATCGTTGTACAGCCGGATTTCTGTGACAACGGCCAGAAATATCTCAGCATGTCAGCATGTGCAGTAAGTGGGCTCTGGGCCGACATGACCGCCCAGATCTTCGTTACGACCACGCACGATAAGCGAGCAGAAAGCCTTATATCAAGGGACTATCTGAACACGCTGCCACCGGCAGCATCGTGGCCGGCAGTCTCTATATCGAAAGAATGGGCGAATAGCATCACCTCCCAGATTGCAAATCAGAATCGAACCGTGGCAGATAATCTTCTTAGGTCTCTCTTACTGACGGAGGTTGTGTGCCCAGTAAACGGTAGCTATACCACCAACTCTACGATGTCAGATGCGTACCGGCCTATGATGCACGAAGCTATTATCTCCTCTCTAATAGCAAACGGCATGTCCTATGCCGTAGGCAAGTTCATAACATCAGACACACGTCTCAAGAATGGTGATTTCCAATGGATCAATTCAACCAACTACGGCGACGAGTCGAGGCCAGCCGGATTCATCATGTCATTCCAGTCCAGCGTTGAAGGTTATGCCTGGAATATGGACGGAGTAGCCATCAAAATCGCCATTCCGATTCTTCTCATATACATTCTATATGCAACCGGCTATATTGCATACACTCTAGTCACGGGCCATAGCACACGTGCTTGGGACACGATGTCGAGCATGACGGCTTTGGCGTTTAATTCAAGACCTTCAAAGGTATTGGAGAATACGAGTGTGCGTATTTCGCAGATAGAGACATTCCGGAATTTGGTCAGTGTTCAGGAAGTAGAGTCAGAGCAGCGGTTGGAGCTGGTTTTTCAACAAGATGAACAGGATCGAGCTGGTTTACTTCGACGGGTTAGGGCTGGCAAACCATATTCATAGTTGTCGGAATGTGAATATCAACCTTGCACGTTTCGGCACCGGATATTAGTTAGTCCGATATGGCACGTGCATGCCGGATATTATTGTAAAATTTCCGTACTAGTGCTAACTGGGTTAGGCCAACCAAAGAAGTTTCTTAGAGTAGGGATTTTTCTGATATTTCTGCACACTATCTAAAACTTCACTATCTGACAATCTTGGTCCTTTTATATTCACATTCTCAATACAAATGACATCATTTGAAACCACAATCTGTACTCGATCGAACTTTCTAGATATAAGCTGTAAAGTTGATTTGTAATATCAATCTTATGTTGATGTGTGAATCCAATTTCCCGAAATTTCCTGTTGATCAGTATCTGTACGGTTCTCTGGATCACATCCCAAAGAGGAATAGCGCAGTATAGTTCCAACAGATATATACTAGCTAGCTATCCCCCGGGCCCCCTTGCTCTTGGGGGTCAGTCATCAATATTAAGAATTCCACACCATATTGATCAGGCTCATCAGCTTGTCGGATTAGCTGTTCTACGAATCTAGTGCTAGCGACCTAGGCGTAGATAAACCGACAATAGTATTCGCTCAAATATATAAGAGTATATAACTAGCAGTCACAAAGTATTACCTAATTATGGGAAAAAGGAAGCCGTTTATTCGAGATACAGGTACTAAGATCAAACAAGCAGAGTGAAGAAAGGAGACGGATGTGGTATTCAGTAGGACTTCAAGGCATTATCGAGGAGACAGTCATAAGTCCATAAGTGTTTGCAATAAGTCTCCTGGAAGCCCTCTCGTTGTTCATGTGATCTCAAGCAAACGAAGGCGAGAGCAAACAGCGGGCATCCAACACCATTACTATTCCCTCAATGATTCACCCCCTGCTTCCCCCTTTTCTCTTTTGTTCTCTTTTGTTCTCTATTTTTTTCTTCTTCCTCTGCTTCGTGTTCTCCATATTACTATCATTGCCATCATCACTATCCTACTCTTTTTGATCATCCAAACCATCCATCAAATTATCAAAATGGAGACCATCACCACCACCACCGTCACAGCCACAAACACCACCATGGCAACCCTTGTAGGCCTTTTGTGCGAGAATAACTAAAAAGCTCTGAGGTAACCACACCAACTTTCAAAGTATGCAGCATCCGTTTATGCAGCAGTGATAGGCACCAGTGCCAACGATATGACGACCAGGGCAGTTAGCCTTGTGATCGGGTGGACTTCTCGTGAAGCGGCTGGGTGGTCGTTTTAGCTTACTGTTTGATTGCTGTCTTTGTGGTTTTCGTCGGCTGGTCCCCTGTTGTGGCCATCATGGTCCGCAATTGGTAGGTGTTCTTCCCATTTCACTTGGATTGTTGTTTTGCTAATATGGTCTATATTATACAAAACATAAAGCAAGCCATCTCCACCCAGCCAAGCAAAACCACCTGGGGAGGCAAGCCGACGTTCCAAAGTTGCGGATGAACCAAAGATGACGACCAAATCTGAGGCGGGCACCGGGCCTCAAAGAGTTGTATATACCCAAAGACAAAATATGTGAGCATAACTGATCGTAATCAGATATTGACAGCAATGATTCCAGGGTGCCAGTGTCACCTGTTGAGCATCTTGGGAGGGCTTCACCTCCTTAAAACAGGCATTGTGGCAGGTGGAGGGTCGAGGATGGTTTCATCTGTTTTTTTTTGTCTTTTATTTTGTCTAACTAGTAGTTAACTATACTTGAAACGTATTACATAAACACATGGATTACTGCCTTCCACCTGACTTGAAAGTCTTTCTAGCGTGCGACAATAAGTATAGATCAGACGTCTACATGATACCGTTCTGAGGTGGGCTGACTATCATAACCATCTCCCTTTACTCTTCCTGTTTGTCTTCATGTTTCACGTTGTTCATCTCATCCTTCTTCTTCACCGTTGATTCTTCGTACCCTGTGAGTATATATATACTCGTCAGACTAAACCGAGGAATGCGATATAAAGAAGAAAATTAACATAATATTCTCTGGCTAGCCTCTGGGAAGCAGAGTACCAGCCTATCCACCAGTAGCCATAGGCAAATAGAAATACAGAGTATCGCCTGCCGGATCGATATGGGTGATGTGGGCGTTAGGTAGTCTTGACTGTTCTAGTAATTTTCAGCTGGCGCTTCTTCTGCAATGGTATTATGATAGAAGAGAATATCTGATCTCAACGAAATGAATTGAAGCGCCATCACGAGAATAGAGCAAACCTCTTTGCTGTTTCAGTAAAGAAACAAAGCCGTTGCTCGGGATTTTTTATTTGGACTAGGTCCGAGGAGGCATTTTGGCCAATCATTTTTTACGTCTACAGGGAATTTCTAGGGTTAGGGTCTAGTCGTCAACGTATCTTGAAGTGCTTTAGTAAAAGTGCAATGCTCTTCGCTCTCATGTAAGAACATTTTAGGAAAGTTAGTCGGACATCACATGTAATAGACATGGAAGCCATTATCTCTATGGAACCTAGGACGGTTTACACTTTCTGACAACCCAGCATGAAATTGATTGGGTCTTTATATGACCTTCAGCGCTCAACGAGATACTCATCCACCTTGAAAACAGCATATCTAAGCATGGCTCGGTTGTATATTCTATAATTTCAAACTCCATAATTTGCACTATATACATTGTAGTAAATCAGAAGAAATCTCAGGTGAAATCACCACCCGAGAGGCTCAAGATTGGGCAACATATCCTCAGCCTGGTACTTGTGATATTTCCAGCCAGGATGCAATTTATTCCACCAGACACAACTAGACCCATCGGTATTCATGCATGTGGCATCTTGGTAACCATATTTAGCAGGATTGTCAAGAACATGAGTCATATACTGGAATGAGTTGTAAAACACCACGGTTGCCTATACGAGGGTCAGATCTATATTCTAGTTTGAGGGTAGCAGTCAGTCTACTTACATCCTTGTGATCATTGCTGAACCGAAGCAACATATCATTCAGACCCTTATTGTACGCCGTCACCATCTCGGCATGACGTTGGAACTGTTCTGGTAAATCGTTTTCTTCGTGTACCTGTGGGCTGCGGGTTGATGGTGGGCAATTCAAAAATAGAAACTTTCGCACCCCGTCAGAATAAATTTGCTCGACGAGCGGCCGATATCTACTCATCAATGTTGACACGAAGGTAGAAGGGTCGTCATTATGTGCGAAGCCGTAGTAAACGCTTGGATTATTAGTACTCTATAATATGCTTTAAAGATGAGGACTTACTCGTTAATCCCAATCCAAAACGAAGCAACTGTATTGTCCGCCGTCCAAGGCGCATATGCTGGCCTCGAAGCATAGTATAATTGAAAAGCGTCTACTTGGGAAGTCATATCACCAAATCCCCAGGTAGCTAGTGAATTATCAATTGTTGCGCCAGCGATGGCTAGACTGTATGTTAGGATTAAAGTAGTGTTATATTGCGTGGTCAAGTATCCGATCCAATTATTGCCGCCGCTCTGCGTGCCTGGATCTACGTGAAGTGTTAGAGGTCATCTCCGTCGACTCTTGAATAAAAATAGTGACATACGGGGAGTAGAGTTTCCCATCGGATTTGATGCCGAAGGTTGTGCAGAGCTGATATTGAAGCCTGTCGCGGACCAGGAATCACCACTAAGTAGTCAATGTCATCAATGAGGTTGTTATTAACTGAATATTATGTAAAAGCTGAGACTTACAAAGCAAACCAATACAGTGGTGAGTGTACGGGCTTCGATATTGATATTGCAGGCGACGAGTGGTAGTTGCGAAGCCATACCAAAACGGATGTGACGAACACTGCCAGGGCAGTGTAGGAAATTAAGGATCGGTAATTCATGGTCGATAGTAATCTATCCAATGAATACATCTTCTATCAAGAACCCAGGCACATTATGCCTGTTAACTGCTCGTGGAATAAACAATAAGATGTAGAGTCCTGAAGAAAGAAAATGTTTATCTCATTAGAATCAGTACAGGGTCAAGTCAAGTGCTACTAGCATTATACATCTCCGCCAATCAACCACTGACAGGCGGATCTTGGCTTGCGGCTTGCCAAGACGGGCATGTCCACTTTGCGTGTCCCGATTTCCGGCTAGATCCGCACTCAACCTCCACACTGGCCTTAACTACTATGGTATCTTGGGTCACCGAACTACATAGAAATACTATGGTAGTTAGTATGAACTCTGTTAAAAATAGGGTTGGTTATGAACCGCTAATTGAGCACGTTAGCCGGAAGTGACTAACGGAGGCCGAGATGTTTTCCAACAAGTAGATTCTCTAACAACTACCTATTCCTGGAACACGGCTCTGAGAGATATAGAGTATTCTCCCCTGCGCTAACTGCTTTGGGATAGCGTGTTCCAGTTGGTTACCTAAGCAGCGTCCGATCCCACTGTATGCTATGTACTATTGCTGGGTGCTTTCCAACAAACTCTGTGGCATTATCATTTGGGGATATCTTATCTTATAAGTTAGACTATCAAACATGCTTCTGATATCAATGTGCGAGAAATTACTATTCAGTGCGTGTATATAGACATCTAATTTATCTTTACCTACTAAATGTTATGAGCTGACCTCATGACCATGTTGGGGCGAAGCCCTCACGGATATTGACATATAGAGTTTCGCTAGATTATTGTTCGGCAACCCCGAACATGAAGCTATTCCCAGATTGCGAACGGACACCCAATATCCGGCCGGATATTGACAATAGCGCTCTCTGCCGATCCCCGGCAGCCCCGACAATCTCAGCAACCCCGGGCATGAGGCTATTCCTAGAGAGAAGCCTGTCGGAAGCTCCAATTCCCCTTGCCTATATAAGATTGTATGCGCGTGAAAAACTTGTTGTTTTCTTTCTCTTTCCTTTCCTCATGTTATGTTTTCTACTCGAATATGCCCTTATAGTGAGCATTAGACGGGACTAGCCCGTAACATAAAGGAGTGATATACGGTGGAGCTTACCAACGTTACTCAAGATACCATAGTACATACATACGTACTTTGAAATCTTTTTGCTACATGTTTGGACGTTGCCACTCTTGTATATATATATCAGTTGTAACGAAAGAAAGGCTTTATCGACAAACATGAAAATAAGATGAGAGTCTATCAGCTCCCAAGCCTTAACCATGAATAGAACCTATTTTTATTTCCAAGTACTACCACACTATGTTCTAGTAAGATGCAGCTAAGCGCCGAGGTCGCCATTCAGAGCTTTTAGTTTTGATTGAGCTGGTTGATTTGTGGCACAGCCGTCTTTTTACCAGGGTTGTCTCAATTCTTTGCCCAAGATTAAGAAAAACATATACCGTATAAGGGAATAGCCTAGGAATAAATTTCTCTCCCTTTCCCCTGTTTGATTTTGCCAGCTTTTGTTTAATCTGTTCATTTCTTTCGCTTCTGATTTTTGGCCTTTGACGTGACCATACCACCAGGGCCGAATATATGCCAATGACAGAAGGGGAAAATGTGATGTTTTTCTCGGCGCAGGAAGTCCAACTTATAAGAATGCTGTACATTCTGCTCACCCTCGTTCCCTCCGTGATGGCAGTCTGTTATCGTCTCAATGGCGATAGCGTGTCTGATCCCATTTTTCAACCATGTGGCAATCCTGGTACTACGAGCATGTGCTGCGCTACTAACCGCACAAACCCCTCGGGCGGTAACTACGACAATGGATACACTGCGGACGTATGTCTTGAGAATGGGATTTGTCAGAACAAGATTTTTGTTACTTATGAAGATGGAGATACTACTTTGGTAACCTTGTATTACCGGGATTACTGCACAAGTTCCAACTGGACCAAGGACGGAGGGTGCTTGAATGTGTGTACAGAGCAAACGGTATGTTTCAAGAAAGGAAAGGTACTGTGATATATATTATTTTCAGAAACTGACTACTTTCCGACACTCTCTGGGAGAGTCCATTCTTGTCGTTGTTCAGCAATGGCAAGTCTAATCGCAGTTGATTTGGCTTGATATGGCTGTATCTCTGGTAGACGTTCTAGTCCTGTCGAATTCCGTGCTTCAGCTTTTGATCGTTATTTCAAGATCATGTCTGTGTGCGCTGGGATCCGAATTGTATTGACCGCGTTTCCTCGCTGCTGTAAGATCTGAATCCGTTTATATATCCTCCGTATGGTTTCTTGGCCAGACTGTTGACGGGGTTAGCTGATTGTTGCCAGTGCGGATCTGTTGCTACTCAGGATGGATATCCATCTCTGGCATGTCCCGGGCGGGATACGTTCCAGGGCCACTGCCATCGCTTCTAACTCTGCTGTATAAAGGTTTTGCTCTGTCCTTTTGCCCAAGGTGATAGAGTAACTGGACATATCGTTCCCATTGCTGGCCGCTTGAGTGTCTCTTATGCAACCCCATGTGCCCACAATCCCTGATCTGGTGGAAGCGCTTGTAGCAATTAGGATGTCTACTGCCTTGCTAGCAATATCAATAACTTTATCCCCATCCCTTTCGCATATCGTTAGTATCCGGCCCGCCCACGGTGGTACTGTGAATGCCTGGATAGTTTCTATCCGCTCAGTTTTTGTTGCTAGTGGCTGAGCTATTCTCTGTAAAGGAGATATAAACCTTCGAGTTGTAATAGTTCTCAGTTTCCTCAGCGGGTTCCATTTGGGTAGGGTCTGTATTTCGATCCACAGCTTCGTAGATTTCTCCATGTGTCGGTTCTGGAAAGGTTGAATCCCTGCTTCTGCTTCACTCACTGCTGTTGCGACTGTCCGAAAAGCCCCTATAACTGCAATAGCTCCATGTCTCTGCATTCTGTTTAAATACTGTGTTCCCTTTATCCCACAGGCATGCATCCACACACTCGAAGCATAGTCTGCCACTGGCGCCACTGTAGCCCTAAACAGTTGCCTTACTGTCCGCGGAGATGCCATCTTTAGCCTTCTCAGCGCCATAGCTGCCACAAGTCCGTTAGTGGCAGCATTAGTAATGTGTTCCTTGAAGCATAGCTGGGAATCCATTACTACTCCTAGGATCTTTGCGCTTTCCTTTGGTTCGACTGTTTCGCCTTTGATCATAAATGGTATGCTGCTTGACCGGCTACCGGTCCAGGTGAAGTGCACAATAGTTGTTTTATCACCTTCAAATGTAGCTCCGCTGCACCTTTCCCAGTCTAAGGCTCTGTCGATTACTGTTTGAATGCTAGCACGGTTCGCCCCGACTGATGGACCTGTTACCCAGGTAGTATAGTCATCCACGAAGGCCACTGAGCCTCCTGTTGCGCTGATCTTGCTAAACAAGGTCTGCGTTGAAGAAGAGAAACAGTATTGGGGACAACGGTGATCCTTGTGGTAAGGCTGCTTGAGGTAGCTCCCGTTGTTCACTTGTTAGCCCATTGACCACAATGATGGCAGTACGCCTCGAACAGAAGGCGTTAATCCATTGAACTGTCTTATCAGGTATTCCCCTTGCCTTGAGTCTCTAGAGCAGTCTCTCTTTGAAGACTCCATTGTATGCCCCTTTGACATCAAAGCTGACTAAGCTAAGAACCTTTTTATTTCTCCAGGCCTGATAGATTTCTTTCTGAAGTAGTAAAAGTGCTTGTTCTGCCGAGCGCCTCTTTCTTGCTCCAAAGTGGTTTATAGGCAATAGACTGAACATTTCAACAGCATATGATATCTTTTCTGCAATGACCGCTTCCAGTATTTTGCCCAGTATGGAGAGTAATGATATAGGTCTCCATGCTTTGGCTAGTGAGTAGTTATCTTTTTCTGGCTTCTTAGTGGTATAATCTTAGCATTTCTCCATTAGGAATGGAGGTCACTATCTCGAAGTGATGTCTAAAAGATAAGAAACACTCTTTCTTTGACCACTGGCCAGAGCTATCTCTATATCATTGCTGGAAGGCCATCCTCTCCAGGTGCTTTCCATAGCTTAGCTTCAAAGACTTTCCATTCGATCTCCTCCATAGTTAGCTCCAGCATGTATAACAGTTCCCTTTGTGGCTTGGTTCCCTCATCTTTAATTGTTGCTGGTAGAGGTGGGAAGAACATGGCAAGCAGTTCCTCAGCCTGTTCCATTTTATCTTTTGTAGAAGAGCCATCTAGCTTTATTAATGGTGGTATCTTGTCACTGAATGAGCTGCTCGCTAGTTTTAGATATTTAGTAGCTTGCCATATATTAGTATCATTGATAAGAAAATCCTCCCAGTGAGTTTTCTTCTGTTTTTGGATTACATTATGATATTCTTTTACCGCCTCACGTGTTTATTATTCAAGCTCAGGAATTGCACGTCCTGCTCTATGTCGCGATCTGGCCTGATTTCTCCAGTATATGTATATATGGCGAAGCTGCGTCAGATCTGTTATCCACCATTGTTTAGCATATGGTGAGGGTTTTGCCTTCGGTGTAAGTTTTGGGACTGCTTCTATAACTGCTATCATGAGGCGGTCCGTCTGCAGCTGGACTAAGCCATCTAGAGGAACCACTTGCAAGCTAGTAGTGACTCTAGCTCTGATTTCTGCCTAAGGCGTGTTCTTCCAGAGTAGTCTCTTAGTGGCAGGTCGATCTGGAACTGATATATCAAACTCTGTCTCAATAGCCTGATGATCTGATCCATGGTTTGTATAATATATACTGCATCTAACCATCTCTTCTGCTAGCTCCATCGATACCAAGACTAAGTCAATCATTATTTCTATATCCCCTGAATGCCATGTCTTTGTGCCTCTAGGTAAAAGACTGTAGAGAGAGTGTTTACTCATAAAATTAACTAGTGCATTAGCCTCCCCTTGTCTCGCAGATAATATTTGATCTCCGCCCCAGAGTTAATCATGCCAGTTGAAGTCTCCCATAATTAGAATGTCTGTGCGTATTCCATCTCTACCTCGTATATCTACTACTAGGCTATGTAATAGCCTAGTCGTAGATATCAATGCTTCCTCGTTATTCCCCTCCACATAGACTGAAACCACTAACACTGCCCGGTCCAGCAGTTGTAGTAGCGCGGCTATCAGATCAGGTGATGCCACCAGGATCTGTTCTGCCACAATATCACTCTAAACCTATAGCATGCTCCGGATTGGCTATCTTCCTTCATGTCTTTTTGTAGGTATCAACTTTGTCCAGTAACTGTGTCCCATTAGGCTTGTCACAATCATATTCTCAATCATCTGCGCGTATGGTTCAGATATTACTATTACTCCGTAGCCTCTAACTTCGTCATTATTTATCAAGCTTTGTTGTATCATGTTCCTTTTACCGACATTGAGTTGTAGTACGCAAAGTGATTTATGCATGGGACTACATGAGGCGTTCTCGACAGTTTTTACTAAACGATTTGTGTGGTCCTCTGTAAGGAACACATTTTAGAATTGTACCCTGGTAGGTGCTGTGGTGATGTCCCTTATTTGCACATTTACCGCAGGTCTGAGTCTTTTTTACAAGAGAAGGCCTTGTGCCCTATTTCCTAGCAGTTAAAACATTAAGCCGGTCCTATCCATGGTTCAAAGATTCAAGTGTACGCGGATTCTCCTACTATATCAAAGTAGTTACCTTCTAGCAGGCGTTTGGCATCTATTCCTTTGGTAATATATACTACCATAGATCCATATGCTTTATTTGAGTCCTTCTTGCTAAGCTAGGAGATCTTGGCAATGCTAACATTATTCTCTTTCCCTAGGGCCTCAGCTGCTCCTAGTAGGATATTGTCATCTATATCCAGGATCGCTGTCCGGTTGGCATTGTCGATTTTGACTGGGTAGAGCTGGTCTCATAGCACTCTCCATCCTGGTACATTTAGCTTTTGAGCAGCCTCTTTGACGCATTGGATCTCCTCCTGTCTGCAAATGATTTTGACTTGGTTATCATTTTTTGGATCCTTGATTACTGCTGCACAGCGCCAGGTCCCCATTCCTTCCTTTCCCTGCATCTCTTTTTCGATCATCTGTCTGACATTAGCTATCTGTGCCTTGGCTTTGTCTTCTTCTCCAACACGAGACATGTCAATTGTGCAGAATAGTGTGTTCGCCCATGTAGGGGGCACTACAGGGCCTAGAGGGCCTAGGAGTGTACCCTGCTAGTAACCAGATTGGCTATTGGCTATATTTGTGAATGATGGTTGTGGTTTGGTCTGCATTTGAGCTGCATTGATTGGCGTTTTCGCGATAGTTTCCAATTGCTCCCAGAGTTGCTTGCAATCTTCCGCGGACTGGTTTTGAATTGCTTCTATTTGGGTTTGTAGTCCTTTGATCATGTCATTCTGTTCCTAGATAATTTTCTCTTGTTTGCTAAGCGTTTCTTTCAAACTTTTGACCTCCCGATAGGTTCCCTCTAAGTACTGGCACATCTTTCTAAGCATCACCTAGTTTTCGTCCTGGGCGCACTGCCTCTCCTCAATCTGGTTAGCAGCCTTCCTCACTGCAGTTGGCTTTGCTTTTGGCGTCGTCTTCCTAGTTGCAGTAGTGGAGTCGGTGCTGTCAGCGCCTTCCAGAGCTTCTCGAGCTCTAGTTGACGGTACTACGACGCGTCCTACACGCGTCGTTATGGCCGGATCTTCCTCCATCTCGCCTCCGGCCCTCTTCGTCTTCACCCAACTACCCAAGAATCTATCCTTTAATCACGCGGATCGTATTTTCGATACTTTGGTTCTCAAAATCCCTATTCGAAAAAAACGATTTTCGCTCTTTATATGTGACGGGCGGTCAAGCAGTGATGACCGTACAGTGTATCCGGGAACTAGTCTCAAACAGGTAAAACTAACCGGATACGGGAATTCACAGGTCCGTGTTTTACAAGGTTAAGGTTTTCTTCACATTACATGGATTTGACACAAGTTTCTGTGATTTTCAAATCAGGTTATGATTTTATCAGCATCTATGCAAGAAGCAAAGGATATTTGAAATACTGAAACATAGATAGAATTCACGATGGTTGAGTTACCTAATCGAGGAATATTGTTAGATCATCACTTGTTAGGGCTAGGGCTAAAATTTAGGGCAAGCCACCCGCCGGACTTAATCGTGCCGTCTTAAGCAGAGTAGAAACACAAATGCACATACAGAGTTGAGAATAGAACTATATCTATTTAAAGTACACTATAAATTCTCAAGAAGTTTCGGTAGTACCTCTTCCTTCGAGTATCTCCAGAGATCACTACTATCCTGGCCCCGGAACGCTGCTCCTGTCCAATACGTATTTCTCAGACCTTGCAGCGCATAGAGTTTATCGTAAAAGCCATCTTTGATATCATCGGCGCTGACCTGCAGGTAAAATGGCGTGTGTGAACTAAATACCACAAACTCGGGTTCCGTCTGTTTGAATTTGACGGGATTAGCCTGTTGGAGGGTCTTAATACCCTTGATGATATCAGCTTTTACTTGATCAGTTGGCATTGAGAAGCTCTTGTTCCCTCGAGGCGTGCCGTATATAGCAAGATGCAAGCCTGGTACCGGTGTCGCCTGGATATTATACACTCCAGGGAGAATAGGGAAATTGTACGGGGTGTTTGGATTGTAGTTGAAGATACTCAGATCGTCCGGAAGACCAGTATCATTTACGATACTCGTATAATAACCGACATCAATAAACCTGGAAAAGACCGACTCCTCCTGCGCGCTTAGATCAAGGGGTGCGAGAATATCTAGCTTCGGTGGAATGGTTATGAGCAATCTCTTTGCAAAGATGAGCTTGTAGCCGTTCAGTGTGCGCACAACTAGTGAAATGCCTTCACGGCCGTCTTTGCGTAACGTAGAGATGACTTCGGAGTCTAATAGGAGACTTGAGGCGGAGAGCAGCTCTGTTTGGATTTTGGAATAAATCTCGCTATTGTTGTGATGTGCAGTGGTAAGAAAACCGGTTTCTGTCTGTTGAACGAGGCTAAGGCTCATGGTCCTCATGCGTTCTACAGTGGGAACTGTAGTAAAGTTTCCCACAGCGGGATCCAACTCGTACATAGTATTCAAAGAAGCGCCGATATCGTACCTGTCTGCAAATTCGCCAAAGGGCATGATGAGGTCTTCGGGCACTGGATTTGGTAGAAATAATCCATCGTTAAGTCTGGGGTATTCCTCGAGGAACTCTGCGTATCTGGTAAACGCAGCAGCAGTCTTATTTGCAGATGGAAAGGAAAGATTAAGCTCTGCACCGGTACTGAAATCGTAGTATGCAGACTGCCCCGAATTGTCGTCCTCGCCGTACGGAGTCAACGGGACATCAAATCGATTAAAGTAATCAGTAACAACGGAGATGTTGTGGAAGACCAGAACGCCGATATCAATTGGAGTGCCGGTGGCCGGATCGATATAGGTCTCTGTGTTACCACCGACACGATCTTTCTTTTCGATGACAACGACGCTCTTCCCTTTGTCTTTCAGGCTGATAGCCGAGTAACAGCCTGCAGAGCCACCGCCAATAATAGCAACATCTTTGTCAAGAATGTCATCGGGGCTGAAGCTCGCCACATCGATATCAGCAGTCGACCCTGGTTTCGCAAGGGCTTGTAGCAGCGGAGAGACTGACAGCAATGCCACAAAGTGGACTGGAAAGTACATACTTCTAGGAAAGGGACACGAAATAAAGCAGAGAGATAGCAATTGGTGGATATGCTTGGAGCTGTTCGCTGGTAAGTGGGTTTGTAGGAAACATGGAATTCGAAATATGTCAGCTCAGCATGATCTTGGCCATTTAAGCGGACGACAGAAAAAAACGACCGCTTTCAGCAAAACATTCTCTGCTGAAACTAAGTACATACTTCAGTAGCTGTCCGATGGTTTAGAACTAGAGCTATGGTATTATGCGGAAATTGACGCTTCGGAACGAAGTTGGGGTGTCGGACATACCCACCTTCTGTTGGTACTTCCACGAGGAATTGTTTTGAACTACTATGGTAAGCTTGTACCTTGCTAATTTACAGACCAGGTATATTCGCCCTGGTGGAGTATGTCGCTTTTGATCCGAGACTAACAATGTGAAAGAATTTATCAGCTTACGTTTGTCTGCATAAGAGCCTGTTCACTCGTATTGAGCCTGATTGACGCTGGCTACCTAGATAGTCGAGATTGTATTCTGCTATTGACTTCTACCTAAGTAAACCTTCCCTACAGCATCAGTCGCCGGTCTTATCCAATAAGAGATCATTCAATAACCACTTCACGAATGTTACAGTATGGATCAACATTATTGCTAATAGCACAATGCAATGCAATGCAATCTTCATAACTTGACAGATAAGTCATACCAGATTTGAAAGCTTTCAATCAAAAGACTCCGATGTTGCGCACTTTCAAGTTATCTATAGTACATGTAACGTTCCAACATGCCTAGGTATGCAAAGCCAAGCCTGTATATTATTGACTATGACCGCAACGGTAGCCCAATGCATCTTTACTTTATGCGAAATTTGTTGGGTTAGGTATTTGTGGAGAGGCTTGATTATGACCTATCTAAATATGCATATCTCGAGGTAAACAGCACTGAAGCGGCTTCCCCGTGGATTCCATACTGGACTCCTCGAGAAGCTACTAAGCGTGGGTGTGGGTGACCCTAGTCAGATAAGCTGAAATAACACGTAAGCTTCAATCTATCTTGCACCAAATGGCTGCCTAGAGAATTAGCTCTACATGCTAGTAATACGTACTAACGTTTTCATACTTTAATATAGCAGTGTGGGTATAGTGTTGGCTCCAATGTACACCCCAGCCAGGCGAGCCGGCCAATTGAATTGAAATACTGATTTGATAGTACATTTTTATAAGAACGATCTTTCATAATAACAGAAAGCCTTTCATTCTACTGCAGCGTAGTTCTACAGGGTTCAATGCATTTTATTCGGATGAACTCCCTAAGAGGTACCGTCAATCTCCCGTTGCGGCACAGTTGGCTGGCATGGATATCCCACCTAGGTATATTTCGCGACGTGCATGTATCCAATCTATCTCACGTTGAATATATACGACTGAGGCATATTTTTTGCTAGCGTCCACGGATATTGTCGTTTGGATCCCATCTAATCTTTGTGGGCTAAAAAGGAAGCACGCACATCCATTTCATCCTACTTGACCAACTCGCCCCCAACCCCCTTCTCCCATTCTACAGGCTTTAGAATATGTTACTAGCAGATCAGGAAGAATAAGCTCTCCATAAACTCTCCATATGAATGACATCAAATCTTACAAGATGTGAGACAAGGTTGGGCGCCAGTTGCAGGGGGTTTGAAATTGCAATAGTCGAAAGACCGAGACCATCTCAAAATAGCGGGCTCGAATTACATACGAATGTATTGCAAAACGGTGAAGGATAGAGCATGCAGTAAAGCGCAAGGCCACGATAGGAGTATGAGATACCAATTACCGCAGATATGCATGATCTATCCTGGTCCATCGAAGCTGGGCTCGTTGGTATCTAATTCACTCTTATAGGGTCGATAGTAAGATTCATGCAGGATTATCGGATACTCCAATATTTCAGCTTAAAGGACTAGACTAGGACTCATTATCCCACGAGAATATCTATGTTGACCCCGGCGCCAGCGCAATCAGAGCGCCAACCACTGTACATCAAGTTAGTGAACTACCTGCTGCAAGGAGATACAAGAATGTCATACTAATTGCGGAACATGTTGGCTGGGTTAATATCCTATTTTTGAACGTTGGGCTTTTTGACCACCGAATTAAGCCTTGCTGCTCGTATTATTCTTGTTGACATTGAGCACCAGGGAAGCAACGATATGTAGCTTACCGATGAAAAAGCATAAAGCATAGCTTTGCCGCCGTTTCATGGGTGTATGCTCTTTATTCTTCCATACTCAGCGCAGTTTAAGACTTGTGTTTTCTGTTTAGGTCACATACTTTCCATCTCATATTTGTCAAAATGGACACCACATTACGTGAAGCCCTCCAAGAGTCCATGGGTAGCATCAGTCACTCAATCGCCGTGACCGCCGCCCTCGGGCTGCTCATGATTCTGGGTCTTGTTACATTCAGATCTGTCATGTCGGAGATAGTCCTCCCTGGCATCCCCCAATTCAAAGGCGTTCCCATTCTTGGTGCTATGCCTATCTACTTCAAGCATGGAATGCCTCAGCTTCTCGGGAGTCTCATTGCAATTGGCGAGGATGGAATTTCGTATGCCAACGTTGTTAACAATGTTCTGGTTTCAGTTCACGATCCGGCCATGGTCAAAGAAGTCCTATCATATCCTGAAGAAATAGCTTCTAGGTACTTACTCATTACTAAAAGGATGAATAGGTTACTAATTGTGTTTCAGGGAAGGTGACATCGGACGGATGAGCTGGTCACCATTTTGGACTCTAAGACGCCTTATAGGCGAGTCTCTTTTCAACTATGTCGGCCCCGATACTAGCCACCATCGCAATGTCTTCATCCGTGAATTTAACAGCACCAAGTCCAATGCTGAGAAGTTCAGCACCATTTCTCAAATTGCTCAAGAACACGCCAATATGCTAACAGGTCAAGCCAAGGTTGCCGAGGTGGACAATATTAGATACTCAGCAGATAACTTCGCTATTGCTCTTTGGGGAGAGACTCTCTACGGCAACCCTCACCATTACATTGGCGGCCGAGTCTTGGACTTGTCTGAAACCATCATCACTTTAGCCGGTAATCCTTGGCCTTCGGTTTGGTATTCTATTCAGCTATTCTTCAAAATGGTGACTCCAGGCGAGCCCACTCGGACAGAAGCCAAGCTGCGTGAGAAGGTAGCCAAGGTTATTGAAGCAAATTTTGAGAAACTGGAGGCGTACGAGAAAGCCAACCCAGATGCTCCTTTAAAAACGATCCGTAATTTGTCTGTCATGACCGGTGGTGGTAGAACCGGGCCTCTTTCCAAATTTGCTGCGGAATTTACCAATCTCAATCTGTTTGGTTCGTTCTCACTATCTTCATATTTGTATCATCTACACCCAGCTATAAACGAAAAGCTAACCATATCTCAGGAGGTCATCACAGTATCGGTCTGAATGTTACTTGGTCGTTGATCGAGCTTGACAACAACCCTGAATGCCTGAAAAAGCTCATGGCCGAAATCGACTCGGTTGACACAAACGATTTCACCAGCGTCAACTCCAAGATGCCTTACCTTGATGCCATTATTATGGAGATTAACCGATTGCATCCCACTGTCCACGCCACTCTTCGAGTGATCAACCGCGAAACAAAGCTCACCGCCAGCAAGAAGCCTGTTGTGTTAAAGCCAGGCATGCTGATATATCTTTCCTACCTTCACCTTCACACTTCGCCAGAATTCTGGGGTCCTGACTCTTATAAATTTATGCCGGAGCGCTTCCTCGGTAATTATGATAAGAGCAAACCGTTCATGTCATTTGGATATGGACCGCGTAACTGCGTAAGTTTGACCTGACTGTTCCTTTTTAGTAAACCGAAAAACTATCTAACACTACTTGTTACTAGGTTGGGTACAAATTCGCCACCCTGGCCGCCAAAGTGTATCTTCTTACTCTTCTCAAGACGTATGACTTGCAAGTTAAGGAACATGATCATGAGATGAAGCTTGGTACATTACTTGAGACTACCAAACCAGTTGCTGTGAAGGTCTCTCACAGGTTTTAAACATCGACTAATGGTAAGCTACGTAAAGCAGATGACTTAGCTCGTTTCTCAAGTATTTGATTTGTCAACATGTTACTCGCAAATATGTTTCTCTAAGTTCTCTCATTGTGCACGCACATCTCCCAGTCCTTGTCCAACAGTACGCATATTCCAATATAATTGTGTAGTTTAGGCATGGTTATTCGCTTAAACGTGTATGTCTAAGCAAAAGTGGACCCGCAGTTCTGCGAGTAGTTTCTGAACGTTATTAAAACAGAAATGAGCGTATCACCTGTAATGAGCATATATATCCCCATCGTAATATATCTTCTATCCGGGAGGATCCCGAAAACTGCTTGATTTACTCTACTTTCCGTATATGGCTTGGCGGCTCGTACCAATTCTACACTAAATCATTAAAAAATCTCTTGTGTCTACAATTAGAGCTTTCCTAGACTGCCACAGTGCCACGTACTGCATTTTGCTAGGTTATAATTGGAAGAACAAATCAACAGTGGGATTCAAATAGTAAACCCTTGAATCCTTGCAAGCAGCGGCAGAATACCGGAAACCAACGACGTGCTTCTACCGTACCTAACCAAGATGGGCCTATAATAAAATTCAATAAACGTTATACCACCTAGTATCATGAATGATAGATGCACACGCACCTAATTCAGTTGTTATTAACCTTGACCCCGTACAGAGCTATTACGACCAATAATTAAACAGTTCCCTTGTTATTCGCCAGGTGTAGACAATCTGCAAGATATGACCAAACCTCGAAAATAACAGGGATAATCTTATCTTATGGGTTTTGTGAGTCACTAGTCTCGTTTAACTATTCGGACTTGTTCCTAGAACGCTTCATAGATGTCTATGCACAAAGGAGGGGTATGCAGAGTGCATACCTAGGTACCTAGGTAGTATTACTTGTCTAGGTATTGGATAAAGAGTTCTATATTGGACTCAGAACTTGGTGTAGTTATTCCTAAAAGTTATTGGACCCATGTGCCGGGATCAGTGCATTTATGTTTACAGGATTACGCCAATGCTCGAGTGGTTCTATAGATGCAAATTTATATCGCCATAATTGCTGGGAACGCCCCATTATCAGCTACATATTCCTGCAACTTGTATGCTTTCTGCTCCATATTTAGCATCTAACTCACGAATTGCTATAAACTGGTGATATGATGTTGGCGAAAGCTATTGACCGATTGGTCGATCATCCCAGATAGTTTGCATGTGGCACAGGTGAGCAGGGATAGACAAGAAACGAGAGTTATGAATTTGATTTCCGATTTTCCGATTTGCTGGGAGCTTTCCTCTCCTACGACATCCTTTGTTTGGCATAGTGGCAGCATATTGTCCAACACAATGCTTCAACATCCTTGTTTCGCAGTAACAACAGACCACCTGGGCAAAATCTCCCAAAGATTACCTCCAAAATTTTGGAAAATCTGCACTCTTTCCATGAGTTACAATAGGTTAGAGATCACCGTCTCCTCTTTCTGACACTAAGCCCCTGCTGATAGAACAGGATGGCATGACTTGTTTTGCGTGGCAGCATTGGATGAAGAGACTTTAGTAAAATCATATTGCTCCAGGTTGCTTCCTATATCATCTTGCCAGTGCCCCTCCATTTACCCCTAGCGTAACTGAGCCCGAGCCTCGCAAAATATCTACTGAACTGGCAACATGAGTCAGTTGGAATACATGGAGAAGAAAGAGTCTACCGACAAAGTTACCACGGCCGAGCCAGTGGCTATCGATGACTCCCAGGAAAGCGAGAAGGTGGAATCCTCACCGATGAGCACTCTCCAGAAACGCGAAGATGGTACCGACTATCCTTCGGGTTTAAAGTTATTCTTGATTATACTAGCCCTATGCTTGAGTGTATTCCTTATGGCTCTTGGTAAAATATCTCTTTCCTCATGTATGACTTCTCAATATTAATCTAACGTACTTTGCAGACAATTCTATCATTGCGACAGCTATTCCCAAGATCACAGACCAGTTCAATAGTCTGGATGACGTTGGCTGGTACGGTAGTGGTATGCTCATAAAAAAAGCACTACTATGTGACAGCCAAAATAAACCTTACTGATTTCTCTACAGCCTACATGCTGACTACTGCATCATTGCAGCTGCTGTCTGGCAAGTTTTATAGCTTCTTTAGCATCAAATGGGTGTTTTTAGCATCAATTGCGCTCTTCGAACTGGGTAGTCTAATTTGTGGCGTTGCTCAAAACAGCTTGACGCTGATTATCGGCCGCGCGGTGGCAGGTATGGGCTCTGCAGCCATCTTCTCGGGCGCGCTCATCATCCTGGCACACTCGGTGCCTTTGGAGCACCGTCCGATGTACAGCGGCTTCATTGGCAGTATGTACGGCATCGCATCTGTGGCAGGTCCTCTGCTTGGCGGCGCCTTTACTGATAAGGTCACCTGGCGCTGGTGCTTCTTCATCAACCTGCCCATTGGCGCTGTCACATTGCTCGTGATAACTATCTTCTTTCCCGATCCGCAACTTAAGACTGAGTCTGAGCCTTGGTCAAAACGCTTTAGGCGCTTTGACCCTCTCGGTAATCTTGTCTTTATGCCCGCAATAATCTGCCTGTTGCTGGTCATGCAGTGGGGTGGCACTACCTATGCCTGGAATAGCTGGCGGGTCATTCTACTCTTCTGCTTATTTGGCGTTCTTCTCATCGTCTTCCTTTTTGTACAATACTGGCAGCAGGATTTTGCCACGGTTCCTCCACGTATATTCCTCAAGCGCACCGTTTGGTCTGCGGCCGTTTTCACTTTTTGCCTGGGCGCCGCATTTCTCAGCAGTGTCTACTACCTGCCCATTTGGTTCCAAGCTGTTAAGAACGCCAATGCGGTCAACTCAGGAATCATGAATTTACCACTGTTGATAAGTAATGTGGTTGCATCCATCCTCTCAGGTGTCGCCGTGACCACGATCGGATACTACACTCCCTTCATGCTGCTCGCCTCCATAATCACCCCTATCAGCTACGGCCTAATGACAACTTTTCATCCAGACACACCACATCCAATTTGGATTGGCTACCAGATCCTGGCCGGCTTCGGTATTGGTTTTGGTGTCCAACAGCCGCTCATTGCCGTACAGGTCGTTCTCGACATATCAGACGTCCCTACAGGCACCGCTCTCATGGTATTTATGCAGGTTCTTGGCGGTGCACTTTTTGTGTCGGTTGACGAAAATGTCTTTTCCAACAAACTTGTCCAGTATATCGGCGAGTATGCTCCAAGAGTCAACCCACTTGTGGTTTTGGGTGCTGGAGCCACAGGAATTAAGCAAGTCGTCGACGCGGCAAACCTACCCGGTGTCCTGCTTGCATATAATAATGCCATCACACAGACTTTCGTTGTTGGCGCTGCCATGGCCGGTATAAGTATTGTTGGTGCCATGATTGTCGAGTGGAAAAGTGTCAAAGAGAAGAACATTGGGATGTAATCCGAGCTGTTATTTAACATGCCAGGTGATAGTGATCCGTGGATAACATCATAGTCCGCTTTTCATGGTATCTGTACGATCAAGCACTCAATATCCTCCGAGTAACAAAGCTACCTAAATCCTCAGTCCCAGAATCAGTGAATCGGCCTTTGTCTAGATGAAAGCGTTGACAGACCGATTCGGGCAAACTATCGTTCGCGATCACTGAGGCCTCCACAGTTCCAGCCCGTGCTCAGCACAGCTTCTATGGCTGTTTCGATCACCGGATGACTGTGACCAAAGAGGCTGGAGGTATATTCGCTGCAAAAATCTATGTGGGTGGCATCATCTAGTGAAGTGAGATAGCAGCTGTGAGCGGCCTGGAATGTCGATGGGAAAGGGAGCGAGTGCAGCAAGGTGCGTGTGTTTCCTGCAGGAAAGTAGCGGCTTGCTTCGCTGTATGCAAGTAATGATTTTGGGTTGGAAGTGGTGAACGCTTCGCGAGCGGATCTCAGCGCCGTTACTACCCGCGGATGGGAGGTTTGCCTGAGAAGGCATCCGTCGTTGTCAGAGATGGCATCTTCTGTACGTAGTTTTTGTATGTGATAAGTGTTCGATTTGTATTCAAGATATCGCTACCATGACACGACTGAGACGAGGCAAGTACTCTGACAGAATGATGGACGGCCGGATACAAGAAATATGCATGAGAACTGTACATTCAACTTTTTATAACGGCCGGTGCAACATTGCCCAACGAGCAGCTATCACAAACAAGGACCCCAGGATCAACGACGTTCCTCCCCAAGCGCAGGCATAGGTGTATGAGCCGTCATCGCGTTGAATTAGTGCGCCGGCCAAAGGAGGCCCGGTTAGACATGCAAAAGCCACTATGGAGAGGACCATTCCACTACGGACGCCCATTTTGCTGAGGTCTGTCGTTAACATTGGCAATGATGACAATGCCGTTCCCTGTACGCCTCCTCCAATCAACCCATAGCAGATAACAAAAGCAATCACGCCGCCGTAACTCTTGACAGCCATCCAGCAGTAGAGCAGAACCCCGGCAATAATCCCAAGTACGACATAAGTATTGAGGATGCCACCGAAATAGCGATCTGCTGCCAAAGTGGGGACAATACGTCCGGGAATGCCCATTCCATTGATGATGTAGAGCATGCTGAGTGAGTCAGAGTTGGAAGTTCCAATCACATCAAGAGCATAGGAGTTGATCTGTGTGTGGTGTCAGCTGCTTTGCCTCATACGGGAAGGGCGGAGTCCCGCAAAAAACCCACATAGAAGTAGCTAAAATAGACAGCCCAGAGGGTAAGAAAGATGCCAACCACAAAGAGCGAGTAAGGCAGCTCGCGAAAAGCACTCGGTTCGACGAGCGGACCACTGACCCGTCTGGGCAGACGGGGTCGTGCCAGACTGAGACATACGATAGAGCAGAAAAGCACCACAAAGCCCATACAGCGTACGGTCCACGCAAAGCCTATCTTAGGAAGGAGCTGCTGAACCATGATAGGGAAAATCAAGCCACCGGTACTTGATCCGGACAGTGATAGCCCTAGTGCGATGGCGCGACGTTTAACAAAGTATGTTGCTATCAGGGCTGTAGTCGGACAGAAGAGGAGTCCGTCGCCAATGCCACAGCATAGTCCCTGGGCTAGGAAAACCTGCCAATACTGCTTGCATAAGGAGACCATGAAGATTCCTATAATTTGGAGGATAAAGCCACCAATTAAACAGTAGCGATAGTAGCCTGCATCCATCAGACGACCGGAGAAACTGCCAATGAAGCTAAGCAGGAAAGCTTGAATGGATGCGACCCATGAGATCCGCGAGCCACTGACCCTCATGGTCACCTCGTAGTAGGCTTGAAAGAAGCCAAACGAGTTGATGAAACCCCAAGTGCAGAACAGAATTAGATGGGCCATGGCCACCTGAGTCCAGGCCTGCAACCCCCCATCTGGAGGTGGCGTGACTGCATCCGTCGTTGCTAGGTTCTCGCGCAGCAGAGCAAAGAGCATGAACCGAGGCGGCGCACTGTTCTGGTCATCATCGAGGTTCGCAGTAGTGACCTGCTTCTCGCCGCTCATATGTATGACACTCGATGTCTCTGACCGTTTTGAAGGGAGCAGGCACAGCCTGGCAAGGATGGATAGATTAAAAAAAAACTACGAACAAAAAGAGGAGACGAAGAGATTTGATGAAGTCCAAATTTTGTAAGTATCGTCTCGCTTGTTTTCCTCACTTTTATTTTTCTTCTCTGTTCGACTATCAGTACTGTAGCGATAGCGAGGATGCATATTGATTGCTTCAACATGTCCATTGGTGCACCGTGCCAGCTAACGCCGCGCTAACAAAACCAGGGTCTGCACGGATGCACCATCCCATTACGCCGATTGTTATTGTCGGAACGTGAATATCAAACCTAGCGCGTTTCGGCACTGAATATCAGTTAGTCTAACGCGGCACGTGCGTGCCGCGTATATATGTAGTTAGCTACTCCCCGTCCCCCTTACTCTTGGGGGGCAGTCATCAATATCAGGAATTCTATACCATATTGATCAGGCTCGTCAGCTCGTCGGAATAGCTGTTCTACGTGACTAGTGCTAGCGACCTAGACGTAGATAAACCGACAGTTATCCTTCATCTCTTAACTGCAGCGTTGATGTACTACGGTCTACATAGTACATGCAGGGTCTTTACTCCTTCTGCCGGTTCAGCTAGTGTTTCATTGCAGTGTTCATCGATGATACATAGGTAGATAAAATGAGACGACTCTTAGCGGTACTCAGCTCGCTCTAACTGGCAATGCCTGAAGTCGGCTTCTCAGCTATTGCCATTACGGATTTTCATTATCGCGTACTACGCTGGTCTGACCTGATCTTTAGAAATCATGTCACGACAACCATACAGCCAAGCCAAATGGATAATGAATAGCAAACAAGACAACGATAGCCTTCCTCGGCACGCTCATCCACGCTGTACGGTCCTTGCCTTCACAGCTTCCATCCTACGGTTTAGGACTGAGCCTTACCACCCAACGTCTCGTTCAAGACATTGCTCCTGCAATCTCATGTTCCAGTCTATCGTCAAGATACTTTGGCTTTGTGACTGGAGGAACAACCCCCGCAGCGTAATTCGCAGACTACTTAGTCACAACATTAGACGAGTGCCTTGCTGTGCGTATTCCATTGGATACCATAGCCACCGATGTTGAGAATCGCGCTCTGTCAATGCTTGCCGAGCTACTTAAGCTCGACAACGGCAGCTAGACGGGGGTCTTCACTCCGTGCTCATCGACGAATCGCATGTGGCAGAAAACATTATGCGTCGCGCGCGGGGTACTGCTTACCCTCGGCTGAAGGAATTCAGACAGCGTGTGAAGCGGCAGGTGTACGCCGCGTCCATGTGCTGTGTAACATGGATCATCCATCCATCATGAAGGCTGCCAGCTTGACTGGTCTGGGCCGTGGTGCCGTGAAGCAAAGGGGACTTTTAGATATAGCTCGCGTGCAGAAGGAGCTTGAAGAGTCGGATTGTGCTTCAATAGTGTCTGTATCCGTAGGCGAGGTAAGCACGGGCAAGCTTGGGATTAGCGCTGATGAATTACAGCAGTTAAGGAAGTTGTGATCGCTATAACGCATGGCTGCATATTGATGCTGGTATTGATTGAGCAAAACTTCCTTTCAATGTTCGGCTCTGATTACTATCAATTGCAGCATTTGGAATGTTTGTTAATGTTCTTCCCGACACCCCGGGAAGGACGGAAAACCATTCGCTGTGCCATTGCCAACTGGGCTGCCGATGGTCAGGAAGATCTGGCCATTGTTACGGATGTCTTGGGGTCTGTAGCTAAGCGGTGGGACAAGAAATCCAGATTATAGGGGATTCTCAGCGGTCGCAGCATACAAGTAGTGTGAGCATAGCATTTGATGGCATACGAGAAATTATCTAGCCTCCGTATTGCTCAGGTCGTGATTAACCTGGGCAAGGTACATGAAAACAACTGCCTAACTTGATAAATATAACCCATACAAACAATAAATGAAACAACACTCTGTTTTTTGTCCTACAGTGAGCAAGTGTGAAGATCAAATAACCAAGGCGGATCTCCAATTGAGATAATCAAAGTATTGCACAGGTGAGGTATCGGGCTTCCAAGGTTACACTCGTGGACATGCTCTATCTTGCAGCAAAAAGAGACGCTAGAGCACTGTCCTGGAAAAAAGCACCATCCTTCTGCAATCCCTTTACGATAAAGTCTCTTCCGACAGTCAACCCAGCCAAGATCACCTCCGGAGAGGCCACCCTCGGTCCCTTCTGTGGCCGTCTGTTATAGTAGCTGATTAAATGGACACCCAAATAAATAGCAGTCCGAAACGCCATCTCGTCACTCATCACGCCGTAACCTTCAATGACTCCTTCCATAGCCGACATGGCATTTTCGAGGTTGTTGTAAACCTTTCTTTCGTAGAGGTCACCTACGATTTGGCCGAGATCAGTGGATCGGTGCCCAAACTGAGCAAATTCCCAGTCGATGATGAATATCTCAGTAGTCTTAACTTCTTGTAGGAGCTCCCATCTAGAAGTACCAAGTAGAATGCTGGTTTGGAAGGTATCAGGAGACAAGTCCGAGGGTCAACAACGCTGTTATGACTTACTTTCCGGACCAGAAATCTCCATGTAGGATACCATAATCGTCGGTTTCGTCTGTAAAGGGCCTCTCGAGATCATTGGCTATGACATCTCGTAAGGCCTCCAAAGTGTTTTCGTGGCCATCAGAGAGCCCCGGGTAGATTTCAAATACTTTGGAGATGCTTTCGTAAGTGAGAAGATACTTGGTCTTCCGCACATGGTCATTCTGCCCCATATGCGCGCGGAGAGCAGCTTGCTCTGGTGCCGAAGTCCAGTTATGAAAGGATCGAAGCCAAAACCCTAGGCGATGGCCGATGCTAGCTGCGCTGGGCGAAGGAAGAAAGTTCTCAGTGAGCAAATAGTCTTGAAATCCCTAGTTTTTCGGAAATCCTCCAGAATCTGGATATTAGTATCTTGGTCGTATAGATAGAGACACGGAGTCTTCACGGCAACTGTGTTGATGGTGTGAGGTGGTGAGAAACTAGCGAGGGTCTTGAGCAAAAGCTCCTCAAAGATCCTGGGCACGCTATCCGTAGTGTATTTGATTATGATGCTCTCAACCGTGGTTCCATCTTGGATAGGTTTAGTAAGGGCGCCACGGTAAACAGCATTACCATCCCTGCTACTTAGAGGTGGTGACAGCGAAGAGCAAGCATATGCCGTCTGTGACAGCTGCTGCAATAGCCTCGTGGGAACGGTGTCGTCTTCTTCTATCCTAAGTATAGCCATGGTCGAATATGCTTGTTGGACAAATGAAGGCAGTTGAGATGTCGACAATCGCAGTTTGTAGCTTCTACCTATTTTTGTAGGTAGTATCCATATCTACCTAGGTACTACCAGAGCTAGATAATGCCTAACTTCTTATCGAGGTCGTTCTATGGCGTGATTATCAAGGGTGACTAATGAATTATTCCTATTAATGGCGCCTCTATTAGCGTACTCACTCTATATTAATCCCGCAGTACTACTATCCATTGGATAGGCATTGAAGCCATTTGATTTGTCCTCTGGAACGAGGGAAAATGAGGTTACTCAGGTTTCAGTCCAAGCACTCTTCAACCGCTTGTCTCACTAGGGTTTGTCCAAGCATGAGAACAATACTTCACAATATACCAGAGCATTTCATTATGTATATCATCATGCCTATGTACCAATTGAACACAATCATTTTCTACCCTTCTTGCCCTTCATCTTATTCCCACCTTTCTTCCCAGAGCCCTTCTTCGGCGGAGCTATATTACTCTCTCGCTCCTTCTTTCCTTTCTTCCACATTCTCCCCTCTTTTCGATCCCGGGTATCATCCAACCGCTTCTTTTCCTTGCCGCTCAATTTCCGTTTCTCCTTCTTACTCAACGATGCATCGAGGCCGTTGAGTTCTATCAACCCACGTTTCTGTGCTTCTTGTTTCTCCTTCTCGGTCTCGAACCAAGTACGCTTTGGTCGGGACATGATCTCAGTCTGGTGTTTGAGTAGATTCTCACCCTTGGAGGTCTGCATTTCGACCTGCGCTAGTTCTTTCTCTTCCTTCTCTTCACGTAGGATGGCGTCGACTTCGTCTCTTAGACCTTCGATTTCCTCAGCGAGTTTGTCCTGGATTTCGGAGCCGATGACTCGACTGACGATTTTGGCGCCTTGGGTCTTGCCTGCTTTGACTGCAGCGCGGACAACTTTTCGGTCGGGGTCGGCTGCCAATGTACATGCTCTACCGGATCGGCCGGCACGGGCAGTACGACCGACACGATGCAGGTAGATTTCATGGGTTTGGGGTGCTTCGTAGTTGATAACGGTCTCGACGCCTTTGATATCGAGACCACGAGAAGCGACGTCTGTGGCTAGTAGGAAAGCGACTTTTCCGTCACGGAAGTCTTCAACACTTTTGATACGCTATGCAGAATATCAGTCTAAGTTCAAAGTGAGGAGAGAAGCTCAACGTACCTGTTCCTGGCTCATGCTACCGTGCAATTCGGCTGCTTTTAATCCGAACAGACCGAAAATAACCCTGACGCGATGCGCTTCTTTTTTCTGACGGAAGAAGATAATCACACGAGCTGCATAGACTTGTTGGCACAGGTGTATGAGTGAAGCAAGTCTCTTGTCTTCACGGCCTGGTCGCAGTCTAACAAATTCTTGAACCAGCGTGCCAGCAGTCTGCTTCTTCGCATCCACCATCAGTCGTACCGGACGGTTTAGACCAACACGAATGAGCTTATCAACGGAATCCGTCATCGTAGCAGAGAAAAGCATGGTCTGACGGGACTTGGGGATCGTAGTAAGAATTTCGTTCAACTCGTCGGCGAAACCATCTTCCAACATGCGATCAGCTTCGTCAAGAACAAGAATTTCCAGAGTATCAACTGTGAAGCTGGCAGAGTTCCTCATATGGTCAATGAAACGACCGGGTGTGGCAATAATAATATCAGGCCGTTTCTTTAAAACGTTCTCTTGCTCGCGTAGACTGAAACCGCCGATAAGTTGACAGAAAGTTATATCAGTATACGTCGCAAGTTTCGTGGCCACATTGTAGCACTGCACAGCCAATTCACGAGTGGGCATAAGGATAGCCACACGACTGGTAGGCACTTTGCGTGGTCGATACAAAAGACGCTCTAGAATGGGAATGATAAATGCACCCGTTTTACCGGAACCAGTGACAGCACCACCGACGACATCTTTGCCCAGGAGGGCGACTGGGATAGCCTTTCGCTGAATCGGTGTAGGTTTTGTGAATCCAACAGCTGCCAAGCCTCGAAGAATAGGACGAGAGAGGTTGTAGTTCTGGAACGAGCCATGGGCGGCGTCATCAGCATCTTTGTCTGCTGAGGCAGGTTCCTCGGGAGCAAAGAAAGCTTTTCGTTTAGCTATTTCCTCGGCGTTCTCGCTCTCAGACTCGGACTCTTCGCCGGAAGCTATGTCGTCTGGATGCGCGACGGGGGATGCTACCGAATCATCGGACTCAGCATCGGATTCGTCATCAGAATGAGCATTATCATGGTCGTCTGCTTCTGAATCATCCTCCTCATCGCTGCTTTTTTGTTCCTCATCCCTGTCCTCTTCCGGCTCGGCGCCGTCAACACCCATGCCAAAGCCATCAGCTGCCAATAATTCATCATCATCAAAATTAGGCATTCCAACATCCTCCTCCTCATCATCGTCACCATACTCCTCCTCACTACCGAAACCCTCAAAATCCTGCTCTCCCTTCCTCTCGGCCTTTCTTTTCTTCCTCTCAATTTCTTCTTCCTTCCTCTGCTTGCGACGAGCAATTATATCATCAATATCCACCGCCTTCTTATTCCCACCAGCAGCCTTTTGTTTCCCATCATCCGCACCCCAACCATCAAAATCTTCAATAACATCACGAGTCGCATTCCCACCAATATCAAACTCGAAATCAGGATTCAGGACGCCATCATCTTCCCCTTCGTCTATTTTCTCCTCCTCAGTCACAATCCCAGCATCATAATCTCTTTCTAATTCCACCTTTTCCCCTTTCTTTGATTGCTTCTGTTCTTGTTTCTTCTGCTTTTTTGTCTGCTTCGATGGTTGTGAAGTTGCATTTTGTTCACGCTTTCGCTTCTTCGAAATTTTTGTTTCGGCTGCTGAAGTTTCTTCGCTTATATCTTCGGTCTCGTCAACGTCAATGGCGAAGCCTTCGTCATCAGACAATGTAAATACGAAATCATTGTCGTCTGCTGGTGGTTTCGACTTCTGGCCCATTTTTATGGCAAACGAAAAGAATGGTAAGAAATGAAAATAAAGACTTTCTTCACAATTAACGGAGAATAAACAATTGCTTATGACAAATCTAAAAAGAAAGGGAGAAATGCAGACAAAATATCAGCAAGACATAGAAGTAAAGGTCTGCGCTTGCTGATTTCTTAGCCGTCAAGACCAAGAAGAAAAAAGTTTCTACGAAAAAGTCAGAGCGGTGAGTATAAATCCGGCAAAAAACAATTAGAGCTTTGTAGGGGACATGTGATTGGCTGTTGTGTCTTTCCGACTGCCCATTTAGATGGCCCCGCTCAAATAGGTTCATACGTAGTACTTGAAGCCTGATTATTCAGGTGTCACTGTGTTAGATACACTGTTACTTCATAGAAATGTAGTAAATTAAAAACTTTTGATTTCTTTGATGGCAATCAAGACTTCGCCAATATGAAAACAAAAACAATAAAAAACCGCAGACGTGAAACGGTGGGATATTCTACATCTAACACAAGCAAAAAGACATACCCAAAACCACATAGAAAAACCCCAGACCAATAAAGACAGAAACATATAGCCAAGCAGAGAATAGACTCTATTCAGGACAAAGAGCAAAATGAGAAGAAAGGGAAAAGCCATAAAACATCACATAGTCACGCCGATAATGCTCGTAATCTTTGCTTTGATATGTTCCCTCTATACGAAGGAAATGAACTCGGGCCAGATGGAATAAGCACCATGATCGAACGTTCCGAGACCAGCTAGGAAACGAAGGATTCCTGTTGGATAGATGGTAGAGAACAAAAGTCACTTCTCCACGGAACCCAACAAGCTTTGTCTATCGCGCCGTTAAGGACCACCAGCGATCTATACAAGTAGGTCATTAGAACAACGACATCGACGAAGTATGCACGATAATTAACAGGTTCGAGATCCCTCGTCGGGTTGCTCTCGAAGATTAATGGTCGCTGTTGAATGACGGAGGAGGCACAGAACTCGTCAGATGCCCAAGCGTTCACTGGCAATGCGGCGCTAGAAGAAGATCATCACGAAGCTTGTCGACAACATCAAAATGGCAACCCATTACGTGAATCGTATGTCCAACGTGCCATGCAAATAATCCCAGCGCCTGCAATGCAAACCAGACCTTGAAACGTCGCCCTTCACATCGAGTAGTCACGTCCTCATGAGTTCTGCTCAAACTAGCGACGACCAAAAGCCAAAAATGGCTGAAAGATAGCCAGTGGGCAGCGTAACAATTAAAACCAAGTAGCCAAGAATGATTCGACCCTTGATCGCCAATTACAACAATCCCTCTTCACCAATACCTGGCAATCCGGCACCGGCGACATTGATGTTTTGACCTTGCATAACGCCGCCAACGGCCAAACCGCGACCCGCGAGTTGAAGATCGGGATTGCATGGTGGAGAGTGTGATTTGTGGTACTTGAGCCCGTTAAGGTTCTTGTACCGCTTGCCACACACCTCACACCGATATGGCTTCTCCTTTTCCATTCCCATTGTGCCAGGGTATGGGGCTGATGTCTCTGGGTTGACGATTGAGAAAGTACCGTCGCCGTTCTCGTGAAGTTGTTGATTATTATGACCGTGCTATTTGACTTATCAGTACAAAATGCCATCACGAAACACGAGATAGCAAACCTACCGCTTTGTGATACTTCAACCCATTCTGGTTCTTATAGGCTTTCTCGCAGCCGATGACGGGACATCTGAAAGGCTTAGGCTCTTCGTTGGGGAACATGCTGGCTAAGGAAGTATCCGGCACACCAGCGAGCATTTGTTGTTCTCGGATTCGTCGGGCTATTTCGCTGTTAGGACCGTATTGACTATTGCCTAGTTTGAGATGGGTTTGCGAACTCTGTCCTCCAAACCCTCCGTTGGGACTGAAGAGACGTTTTGCTGGCTCATCAATGCAAAGATCGACCATATCATTACCTCCCCCGAAGCCTCCAAACTGGCCGTTTTGCGGTAGAATGCCACCCTGCATGGACAAATCTCCGAAGCCTCCGATGACGGTTTCGTCGAGCTCGGCGGGAGTACCGGGTCCAGAGGAATCTGGTGTGTTGCGGAACTGCGAGTTTTGTAACGGATTCGACGACAAGGTGGGCGTGTTGACTGAGGATACGGTAGGGTTGTTTTGAAGAAGTGTGTGACTAGGAGCGATAGGTGTGCCGGGCTGTGAGCCACGCAGGCCTTGGCCTTGAAGCATGCTGAGGTTCAGCTGAGGTACCCTCTGGCTAGGATTGTTGAATCCTCCCTGGGCGTTTGGCATCTGTGAAGAGAACAATTGAGAAGATGCATCCGTTACACCCATCGCGTCATCCATTTCCATGTCGTCGATCGTGTCCAGGTCCAAGTGGGGCTGGTTTGATGTGAAAGCATTCGTGTCGATGGAGGGGTTTTGATTAAATTTCACTTGTCCGTTCTGCGAACGATCTTGCTGCACTCCACGGTCCTGACCCATATTTGACTGACCTTGGGATTGTGCCACAGCAGCAGCTCGATTATCACCTTGACTGGGACGTTGTCCACCTGGTGTGGCTTTCTGCGCATGTGCTTCTTCGTAATGTTGGAGCAAATCATGTAGCGACGGAAGAGTGAGCCCGCAGCAGAAAAAGTCGCGCATGAAGTTCGCTTCTAGTTTTGGCAGGTAGGAAGAGGAGTGGAAGGATGGCGACTGGAATGTGAACGGAGATGTGCCGGTCATGATAATACTATTGAGTCATATGTCAGTAGCGACTCGCCTCGAAAGTCTCTAGTCTTGGGTCAAAAGGAAATAGTGTTGGAAATGATAACGGAGGTAAAACTAACTCGTCTCGTATCCAACTACCAACCGAAACTCCGCCCCAGCTCATACCACCAACCAAACTACCGGCTAAAGATTCGCGACGAGGTTTCTCTCTGTTCGAGCCCATCACCGAAATGGGCTTCGTTCCATTTCCCCATTGGGACATACTTGCGCTCAGAGAGTCTTTCCTCGCGGCAGCTGCTTTGTACACGGCGCTTGCGTTGTTAGCGGCGGGCACTGAAGAATTGCCAGCGCGATCATTGTTGGCAGCTTTTTGCAGAGCCGAGGTCAAATTGGAAGCTTGTTGTCCCGGTGGTGAGACTGATGTCTGTCGAGCAGAGAGGTCAAAGGGGGATTGTTGGCCGTTCATTGTGGTGGTCTGTCCGGGTGATGACGACGGGAACAATGGAAAGTTGGAGACGTTGGCGGGATCCTCGCCGTCAGCCTCTATGACAATCGAGTCCAGATAAAGAGGGCGACTGTTAGAATCTCTGGAATTTTTCGAGTCCCAGGCAGAAGAGTCTTTTTTGCGGCTGGATGGTTTGCGTGGGTAGGAGGAAGTTGCGTCAAAGCCCACGGGCGTGCTCACAGGTGTCGACTCACTGGTGGAAAGGTGATCGTGATCGCTAATGGAAGGCGAGTAGTAAAGAGATGGAGGAGTATCTGTGTCTGTCGCGTCGGTCATGGAATCGACCCTGGATGAAAGAAGGTGATATTATTCTTGCTCCGATGGTGAGGATATGAAAGAAGGCTGAAGAGAGAATGAGCAGGCGACTTTTCTGTACTTGAAATCGGAATCGCAGCCGAAACAGTGGCGAGGGATTAATAAGACTGAAAACGATGTTCAGAACAGACAAATGAAAGGAAAGAAATCTCTGTTCCCCTCTCTTCTCTCACTCACATACACCACACGATAGTCCAAGTCAGTTTACTTTGACGGACGATAAGTTCATCCCAAAAAAACAAAAAAAAAAAAAAAAAGTGTGAGAGCGCGGAATAAGGATAAATTACTCTTAGGCAAGAAGAGGGGACTCACGGCTTAATGAGGCCAGTAATACGGGGATCTGGGATCTGGTTCGGGTCAATACACTAAACATACCGCTAAGCTGTTTTCAGTACTAGCGCTATGGTGCGGTTGGAAATAAATACGGGGCACATACAAAGTGGCAGGAAATGGGGAGGGAGACTAGTACCGAAGAGGGTTAGGGCCATTGTAATACTTGGCTAAAACTTGTAACATGGCAATACCTCGAGCACGGTAATTACGGCGTACTAAAACGATGGCTTGCGGTGAAAGTCAAAATGGCCAGTGATTGAGTCATTGACTGCTGGCTGCATACACATCATACAGATAAACCCTTAATTATCATCGTGTTCAATAATAATAGCAGAATGGCTGTTGTACGTGTTACCGAGGAACCGTTGAGGACTCGGCACAATGGAGTCGGCTCTCTCAAAGGAAGACCCGCCAATCCTTCTCAAAGCTTGTGTTACGTTATGCCGTGTTCAGTTCTTACACTCTTTGCCCTTCCCTTATGAATATTCTGTATAATATCATTCACACGATAATCGTTGAGTAATAGGAGGCCTGTCTTGGAGCTAAGGCATCCCCGCATCAGCGTCATCCGTCGTCACTCTTTGCGTGTTTACGGGGCATGATTGGCCGCTGTCTCGATACATCAACACAGCAGATCAAAGACCGAAGTCACTCACCGAGAAAGGTCAACGGATCGTCTGCGTGAGTCGGAGAATAAAAGTCATGGATACGACAGCGTCTATTTTCTGATAGAACAATAATAGTGCCGGTCCGTATTGAAAGTTACATTGTCACATGCGGATCATACACGGCTAATTGAGCTTGGAGTGCTAGTCAGGTGGTAGCCATGCCACCTAGCCATAGCAACAAGGAACGAATGAACCGCCGAAGCTAAGACCAACGTAGACCGGGATGAGGCTGTTAATGTGTCGCAAGGTACGGGGTGCAGTAGTTACCCTTTCAGTACATGGTTTGCTTAGAGGTCACTCGGTCCTCCAGCCCTCTTCGTCTGTGGCGGATTTCATAAGGTATATTAGTAGGCTATTACGGCGCAGGACGCCTCACAGTCTGGTAATCTTACTCACCACTTACGTACATGCGATGGAGGCCGGCTATCCAGTCCCTTCAGTATCTCGGGACGGTAGCTTGAAGTACGGAGTAGATATGATATGTATTGCCTACCGTAGTTTCGGGTCTCAATGTCACTTACTCAGACCCAGTACCGACACAAAGAAGATCTAGACATTGGCATGCTTTTGTTTATTCCCCCGGTAATAATGGCCAATAATTAGCCCTGATTGGTTGCCATTGTGGTTGTACTACAGTACTAGTGGATGGTCTCCTTTTGTTTTTGTCTAATCAGCCACGTGCCATATAGTTAGTTAACTACTCAGATCGCATATCTTAGTCACAAAACGCCCCAAGTTATTTGACAAGGTGCTTGACTTTTCACATAATTCGAGTCCAGATCTGAGATTCGATGCTCCTGTGATCACTTTTCTTACGGGAGAGACGGATCTGTAACTCTACTAGACTTCGCGACTCTCCCGAGGTAGACTTGCCGAGTATTAAGTATTAACTGATAGAGGAAAGTGTCGAGTCCATGCCGGTATGTCCCATGTGACCTTGAATCGTCAGGAACATGCCCCAAATATGGGATCAGCCCCTGACGTGTGCGGTTTCGCTTCTGCATGCAGATCGAGTAATTGGCCAATGTTTGATATGCATTGGAGATTTGACTATGGTCCTAGCACCTTCAATCAGTCAGCCAATATGTACATCGACTTACGGAGTAACACCGTCTCCGAGCTCCATGGATGAAACTATCGTGTGTGATCTGGCCATTTTCGCTTCAGTGCCAGATTTTCTTGGAGCTGTTTGCCACTTGAAGAGGTGTACCTCCGCGTGACTTGCCACCTCAATATCGATACGCGCGTAGCAGTCCTCCCGTAAACAGTGTGTCACTCTATCTGGAAAATACGGCGATACTTGCCATTTCTGTACTTACATAAAGAGCTATTCGCCATCCATGGGTCGGCCGACTGTCGTAAGCCAGACTAAGATCTCTCAAATCCTAGAGACAGCGTTCGGCTCTTTGCAGGGCGTACAGTACCTTACCAAGCTGGAAAGACCTGTATACAGAATGGAAAATTACGGCGCAAAAGACAAGACAAGACAAAAGAGAAAGCTTCGAGAAGATTATTCATCTGCTTCTAGCTCGAAAATGGCCCAGCCAATCATGTCTGAAAGCGGCATAAACTTCCCAATAAATCAAAGAAAGCGGGTCTCTTTTTGCCGATCATCGCCGGAGTGCCAAGATAGTCCCCACTTTGGCGAAACATGCAAACAGTGCAAACAGTGCCGAATGGGTCCAAGTTCCGTCACGACGTGATTGGCTGCTTCGTTATTTTTTTTCCTTCTTACTGTATCGACAGCTTCACCAGGGTAAGAAGCGGGCACGCGACAGTCTCGGATCAGAATAGTGCTGTCGGTAACTGTCTCGTCACTGATACCCAGGTTAGGTCAGCTACTAGGAGTTTTTCCCCAAGAAAGCAAAAATGGCCAACGAGGTAGGAGCTTACCTCCAGATGTGTTGTATCACTGTACGAAAACGCCCGCATGCTGATAATTGCTTGGTCACAGACTTCCAATGTCCGTAGAACCTCACAGGAACCTGCTGATGGACCTCCTGCGAAGAAACAGAGACTCGATGAGGCGGCACCTACTGAAGAAGCTTCCAAAGAAGGTGTACAAGCTGATCAACGAAAGCGGGGTATCGCGCCTATCAAACCAGAGTATGATAACTATTTTCGCTTAAATGATGTGTCAGGAATTACTCGAATTGTTTACTAATAAATATCACTGCGCAGATTCCTAGTTGCATTCAATGGCAACCAAGCCATACCCAAAGCCTCGAATGAAGAAGATGATATCGCCGAAGGGGCAGCCCACGCGGAAAAAGAGCAAGATCAGGATAACAAGAAGCGCAAACAGAAAAACAGAGGCCAGAACGTTGGACGCAAATTCGGAAGGTCGAAAGACGAGAAAGGTCTCTGCGCGTCGCGCGCTACATACCCGGAGTTTTCTCCAGCTGAGTGCCAGTATGGTGAAGGCTGTAAATTCGAGCACAACTTGCGTGTCTATTTGGAGCACAAACGCGAAAATCTACACACCTTTGATGATGTTTGCCCCGTTTGGCAAGTCCGTGGAACATGTTCTTCGGGCTGGAAGTGTCGCTTTGTACATTCGCACATGACCGAAAGAGATACTCCCGACGGCAAACGGGAGCTGGTCCTCGTGGACGATGAAGAGCGCAAACAGAAGTGGCTGTCTACGCCCTTCGCTGAGGACGATGGAATGGCGAATGTTGTTCCCATTGTGCACAAGGATGCTTTGAGAAGAAGGAAGTTTCCCATGCCCAAAGCTGAAGCTTACGTCGCCTGGTTCGATCAGACGGCAAAGGAATTGGACAAGTTCGTTCACGGAAAAAACAAGGAGACTGAAGGCACAGAGACAGAAGCTCAGCAGGAGAAAGAGGATAATAGAGCCCAATATACTGAGCCCCCATTCCTTCCTTCCGAGAAGCGAAGAGTTTATTTCGGTGCAGAAACCCCTGCTTTGGCCCCTTTGACTACTCAGGGAAATACTCCGTTCCGCAGACTTTGCACAGATTTGGGTGCACAATTCACTTACTCTGAGATGGCAATGGGTATGCCCCTGGTTCAAGGACATAAACCGGAATGGGCTCTTTTGAAAGCTCATGCGTCGGAATTGACACCTCCAACAATATCAAGCAAAGCAAACGTGGTCCAGGGATACGATCACTCCCGTGATATGAAATTCGGTGCTCAAATCGCAGCCAACAAGCCACATGTAGCTCTGAAGACGGTCGAGATCTTAGCTGCTCTCACCCCGCATCTTCGTGTGATCGATCTCAACTGCGGATGTCCCATTGACTTGGTTTTCAAAGAAGGATCCGGATCAGCCCTTCTCGACTCTCCTTCGAAACTGGAGAAGATTCTTCGAGGTATGAACGCCGTATCTGGAGAGATACCCATCACGGTCAAAATCCGTATGGGTACCAAAGACAACCAGCCCACTGCCCTCAGACTTGCCGAACGTCTTGTCTTGGGCGGCGCTGACGCTCAAACAATGGGTATCGGACCCCCAGGCATCGCTGCAATCACTCTTCACGGCCGCAGTAGACAGCAGCGCTACACCCGGAGTGCAGATTGGGGTTATATATCTGAATGTGCAGCGCTTGTTAAGAGACTGCGCTCACAGTCAGATGCATTGGCAGACACTGTAAGAGAACCAGAAGAGAGGCTTCAACCCAATGGAAGCAAAATCTACTTCCTTGGCAATGGCGACTGTTACTCTCATGAAGACTACTATGGCCATGTTCAGAACGCAAATGTCGATACCGTCATGATCGGACGTGGTGCGTTGATCAAGCCATGGTTATTCGAAGAGATTCAAGCAGGACAGTACCTGGACAAGTCAGCATCCGAACGTCTAGCCTTGGTTGAGAAATTCGCCAGATACGGAATGGAGAACTGGGGCTCTGATGAACATGGTCTGGGGATGACTCGTCGATTTCTTTTGGAATGGCTCAGCTTCGCTTATCGCTATGTTCCTATCGGGATGTTGGAATATCTGCCGCCCCGTATCCAGGATCGACCTCCAGCATTCAAAGGCCGGAACGAACTTGAGACGCTGCTCGCGAGCGACAATTACAAAGACTGGATTAAAATAACGTAAGTCTTACCCGTAACATTATCGTGCTTATGCTAATACTGTACACAGTGATATGTTCCTTGGACCAGCTCATCCAGACTTCAAGTTTGAGCCTAAACATAAGAGTAACGCATATGATGCGGAGACTCAGGGATAGTTTGAGAATCGTTGTGCATACTTCAAAATATATATCATGATTATGAAATCGTATAGTTGAATAACTAGAAAATCATGACGGGATGTTTACAACTTTTCTTCTAAGCACGTAGTCCAAAACAGTCTCTGATTGGCTAATGTAGCTTTGTCAAAAGCATTCACGTGATATCACCTCTGAACAACATCAAAGAACCTTGATCACAACCAATGTCTCAATTCCGCTGACTCTAAAATCCCTCACGGAATGAACAACCCATAACACGAATGCTATGTCCATAGACCTCAACTGGGAGGCCGCAACCTCCGGGCCCGATGGTGAACAACTCGCTGAACGAATCCGCTCCTTCATCCACGACAAATTCCAACAAGTCCCACTCCCACGATTCATACGTTCCGTAAACGTGCACTCGTTTGAATTCGGTAGTATTGCGCCCGAGTTGGAGATTAAGGATATTTGTGACCCGTTTGTGGATTTTTATGAGGAGAGTGATAGTAGTGAAGATGAGGATGGGGAAGGACATGATGCGGAGTCAGATACGTCTTCAGATCGAGCGGCGGATTCGACGGCGGATAAGCGAGACATGAGATATGGACATGATGATAGAGGAAATAATGGTCATATTCCAAATCATCACGATCATCTACGAACGTCGCAGTGGGTTGCGGGCGGAACTGATGGTCATTCCACGCAGTCACCGCTACGGTCACCAATTGGGTTGGGCGATCATCTGAATGCGCACTTTAGGTCTACGACGCCAAATATACTCCCTGGCGTTACGTCGAATCTGGGTTATCATTTAATGATGGGGAATTTATCAGGGACACAGACTCCGCTTGCTGCTGTCGCAGGTGGCACGCCGTTTGGGCCTGGATGGCCTGATGCTGTGATGAATCAGGGTTCTCGAATGACAGACCATACTACAGGGAGAACACGAAGGGAAGATCATAACAAAAACGAAACTGGCTCGCCATCCCGGCCATCAACTGCACATACCAATCCCACTCAACTATCACACGGACGAAGTGCAGCCAGTTCCTCGAACAACACCAGCAATGACCCGACGGTAATCTACAATGACCACACATCTTCCACAACCGCGACCACGTACGGACTCCATGAAGGAGGCGATCGACCACGAGACAAACACGGACATAGAATAGATCAAGAAGAACCCCCGCCATCACCAACACCGCACATGCGCGAACGTCGCCCGGAAGATTTCCAAGTAATCTGCCGCGTGAAATATGCCGGAGACGTAAAACTCTCCCTAACAGCAGAGATCTTACTCGATTATCCAATGCCCAGCTTTGTGGGCCTACCGTTGAAATTGAATATTACAGGTATCACTTTCGACGGCGTTGCCGTAGTAGCGTATATTCGTCGACGGGCTCATTTGTGTTTTTTGTCGCCTGAAGATGCAGATGCATTGTTGGGTGATGAAGATGATATCCAACATCCATCATACTCTACAGCAAACACCACCACCGCGGCATCAGGCAGTTCAACCGATAATAATAATAATAATAATGAAAGCAACGACCATCCTAACCACCCACCACAACCAAGACGCCGTTTCGGCAGCCTCTTACAACAAATCCGCGTCGATAGCGAAATCGGTCGCAAGGAGAACGGGAAACAGGCCCTGAAAAACGTGGGTAAAGTCGAGCGATTCGTGCTTGATCAGGTTCGACGCATTTTTGAGGATGAGTTCGTCTTTCCTAGTTATTGGACATTTCTTGTGTAGTACTTGCCCATTCATAAGGCATAACAGGACGGACGGACTAGTCACATTGTTCTATTATTTCTCGGGAGTTATAAGCTTGATGATACCCATTTTCATGGATAGGTTATGAACTCATGGATTGTATAATACTACGTTTCACTCTGAGTTTTGTGCTTAACAGAGACAGAAGACAAGAAGAATCAGTTTGATACGTATGGAATAAGATAACCGTACAAACTGAATCACTATCACCCATCCCAAAACACGGACAAGCTAAATAGATGATATATTGATATAATCCTAACTCCCTAAAGGCTTCAGTATAATTACAATAGGCCCCTTTCTCTATCTCTTTTGAGGTAACCTCCTGCGGTATCCGTAAAGCTGCGTTGGTGCCCGTAATGCAACGAGTAAATAATCATGGTCGTCGCGTATTGTTTGAATCAGCCATCCACTGTACTAGACGGCCGTAAAACATATATCCCAACTACTCATAACATCGGCAGAGTAATCCATGGATCAATCTTGTACGTTGCATGATTGGTTTATCGGTCCTTCTTGGGCGCATTGTCAGACTCGGTGAGCTTGTCACCCAAGTTGTGATACTCGCGCTGTAGACCCTCGGCTTGCTTCTTGAGAGTCTCAATGTCACGGTCCTTAGCTTCAAGTTCCTTCTTAAGACGTCCGATTTCACCGACACTGCCAGCTTCTGCGATACGTGCAGCGTCCTTGCCGGCGGCCTTCTTGTCACCTTCGAGAAGCTTGACGCGATCCTCGAGACGGAGCACTTCGACAATCATGATGTAGGTACGGTTGAGGATCAGGGAGAGGAACAGAGTGAATCCGCAAAGGTACATGTTTCGCTGAGAATAGAACTTGCGAGCCTGTACTTCCATACGCTCAGTACCGAGGGCAGCAGCTCTGCTATTGATTGTTAGTGGGGATTCGTCATGATTTTGAAGGGTATAATATTATGCTGACCCTACGCCAGTGGTATCCTTGCTAAAAGCGCTCATCTCAAGCTGCACGCGGTAGACCCGGTTGACGCTGTCAATGAACAGGATGAGGATAAAAATAAACGTGATCTAGGAAAAGTCAGCAACCACAGCCGAGAATAAATAACCATGATAATAATCGGACCCTCAATCCGTATTGTAATTTCGCTACTAGCGGGCTTTCTGATATGAAAGCAAAGAGCTTTCGCTTCACGCTGTATGGGAGCGGTACAATCAGAGCGAGAAAGACGAGCATCTCGAAAACGAGAAGCATGAAGACCTTTTCATCAAAGGATCGTTAATAATCATATCATCCACAAGCAGCAATCTGAAAAAACTTACGAGAGTGTAGTAGAGCGTCATCTTGGCGGTTGAGCTGGAAGCTGGATGAAACGTCAACAAAAGATTCCAAGCGGTGAGACGAAACACCTCTCGCGAATTAACTGAAAATAATAGAATCCCTTACTTTTCTTATCTCAAATTCTGTTATTCAACTGAAATCGAGTAGTCTGTCTGGAAGAGTTGATGTTGAAAAGCGAGGATCTGGGGAGAGGTGAAAGCGAAGTGTGGCTTCTTGCTTCTATTTTTGTGCAGCCTGAACTAAGGGAAAAAGCCAAAGACAATGTTTTCTCTACGTCATTACCCGGTCCCTCCCACGTGAGTTTGCACTGTTTGCTTGTGCACAGCCATTGACGGGTGACCTGATTAAATCTTACCAGCCACATAAGTCTTGAACCAAGACAATCCTATTGTCTTGTCAACGAGACGAGTAGAAATGACTATGTGCTCCTATTTGGATGCTTAAACTAACATTGACTGATCCCCCATACTATAAAGAACTAGGTGCCAAGAAATCAATTTTCGAACCCCTGACTAAGCAGCCGTATCACGTGCATACAGGTTACGCAATATCTAATTGGCTGGAACACTCCCAAGTCTGTACATATCAATATTTGTACGGAGTACTTGATCTTGAATCCCCCCTCTGTCTCTCGAGCGAAGCGAGAGTAGACAGCTTATATGGAATAGAAAGGGTTCCGCAATATGACATGGCCACTCATTCTTGATCAACTCTAAAAGGGAAATGGACTTGACTGTTCGAAGACGAGAACGAAACAAGAAAAATGATACCAGGTATGTTCCACCAAAAGAGTCCGGAAATCAATACAAGTTCTCCTTCAATCATCGCAGCATCCCCAACAGTTTGTGCTTGGGTACAAACACATCATTCATGCAGATCTGAGAACGTTAAATTCTGATTCAAGGACACAAGGGAGACCAGCATCAGACCTCACTTGAGGACAAAAGTATATTGAGTCAGTGCTGCTATTATGGTTAAGCCTTTTTTCCTCGGAGTATACGACATCGAATATCACCATACGGCATACGCCGCTTATAGTTCAAATTAGACGCTCAGATGACCTTCGCAGCATGCACGTCGATTCACACATACGCAGTCTAATAATTGGCCTTCATACTACTAATCAGCCACTGGTCCTGAAAATAGCAATGAGGTTGTTGATTAGGCATATGGAGCAAGGACTTGCGTGGCGCTAACGCCATAATCTTTGAACAATGAAAATGACCCTAATTCGGCCTAAGGGAACCGATTGGACTTGATATCCGTCAATGTCAGGATATTCGGGCTTGGTTCTGTCATTTGGGAGTAGCTGCTTATATTCCATGGATTGATGTGTTGTCACATTGATACATTGACGGTCGTCCCTACAGATCCCGCTGTCCTCTGAGGGTCTCATAGTAGTGCGGATGACAGACGAACTACGTCCATTCGATCTATTACATGACTCAGTTCATCTCTTTTCTTTTTTGATTCTATGCCTAATCAAGGAAATGTTCTTTTCATCCTTCCAAGATCTTCTAGGAACGGTGGGACTCCATGCATTACATCTCTAAGTTCGACATCCGACATTCAGCAAGTGGATTGCAGCCTAGAAAAACTAGCCTGACACTTGTCATTTGCTCATATGAGGGAGAAAAGGGGAGGACGGGAATGTAAAAGCGCGGATCACAAAAAACCAGGCATGAGAGCAGATTGCCACGCCACCCTACGGCTAATAGGCCATACAAATCGAGCAGAGAACGGTCTGTGGTTCTGAGCTGCATGTCCAGTCACATCAATACGCCCGTCCCCCCTTAGCCTTCAAACGTGGATGTGGATAAAATGAAATTAAGCGACGGCTAGATATCATTTCATACGCTGCTTCCTTGTCAGACGCTCCCATGAAAGTGAGCTGCATTGAACGATGAGAAAAGGTGAAGGAGGAGTCATGCAGCCCATATCATGCTCTCGCATGGCCCGCGTATATTAAGTTGTGAAACTAGGGCCTACTGATGTCATTGATAGGGTACTTTAGGCACTACTTCATCGAAAGATTACACACCATCTTTCCAGAAAGGCCGCGTACACGCGCACACAAAGAGAAAAAAAGGAGGATGCATCAAGCAAAGTGACCGAGAGGTCTAGTCTGCAGTGCCGCATGGACAAATGTGGAGTCTCCAAGGTGCAGAACGCATATCAGACACCAACATCTGTCTAGGTGACTATTTCTCATTCGCCGGACAACCTATTGGCAAAAGCTTTGTGGATTTTGAAGCCGTCTCTGGCGAGCTTCTATCCCGATAGCCTCCCGAGCAGGTCTACTATAGGTGAGGGTATAGAAGCGGCGTCTAATTATATTTTTAGTGTCTTTCTACTCGTTTCTTTCTTTGTTACCTCACATCCTTATTCCTCATGGTTTTAATTCTCCGATTGTGGCAATTAGACGCCTCTGTAAGCTCTCCTGAGCCCTTGGCATGGTTAAATATGCCTATATAGACAAGGAACAAGCGTCTGCTACAGCTGATACGCATGAGATAAGAAATTGGAAGCCATTTCTGAGCAAGATATAGTGGATAATCAATAGGGTTAGATTGAATATGAAGTGTTAAACTAGAACAAAGGAGTGGAAATCACAAATTAGAAAAACATATCAAGAAATGAAAGTAATCTCTTGTGGCCAGTCAGATGACTAGACAGACTTAGAGGGAAATAAGAATGGTAAAAAAGAATATATGGTGCCAGAAAGTTAAATCGGGTGTTCTAAAAATGTCTTGACAATGCGCTGGCGAGCCCACAACGAATTGAAAGTATGGAAAAGTCAAAAATCAAAAAATAACATAGAGGGGTAGAAGTAAAACACAAATGGAAAAAAGTGAAAATATAAACGGTGCACAATCTCTGAAATTTGCGATCGCAAGCTCAGTTTCAGGGGCACTGGCTAGAGAAGTGAAATCTTGAGTTGCTGTTGGAATAGAATAACTTTGCTGATAATATCGAATCCGTAGCATAAAGACGGCAAGCTGTTGTCACATTTTGAGGCCAAGTCTGTAAAGAACCAAATCAGGATCAGTTTCATCAGGAACCAGGAAAACTCTTGGGTGTACTTACAGTACGTTGCTGTTCATTCCTCATCTTAACCACCATGGGCAGGGCATTTGAAGCCCTGCCGGCGTGAGACCTTCTTTTCGACAATGTGACCAGGCTCACCAGCTCGGGGACAAGTGACAAGGTCAATCTCCTTGATTTGACAGCCGCAGTCAAATTCGACATACCACACGGAACACATATTGGCTAAGTGGAAGAGCGGATTGGTCTTCACGAAAGAGGATAGAAATAAAGTTTGAGATAAGAGTTATCAGGAGAAAATGTCTGAGTAATGGTGGAGGTTGCACAGACAGCTGAAAGTATTCTTTTCTGCGAATAACTTGCTTCAATGAGATGAGATGTTGTTGGAATGCTATGATAGACTGAACTCAAATGGTGCGCTTCTTCCCTCTTTATATAGTTTTTTCTGATAGAAGACTTCTGTTCAATTCACCGTCAATAGACCGGCAAATGTGACTCCGTGCGGAGAAGGCCACTGCTGGGCCACATCTCAAGGCAAACGTTAAATGATCTAGAGATAGGTAGCGGCGTAGTCTTGATGTCTAGGACGATCTACGCGGCAATGCAGGGCAATCAAACAAGATCTGATTGACCAACAAAAGGACCATGCGCGCGCTAATCAGCGACTATATGCAATGATTGTCACGGTCAACGCAGGATAGACACATGTGTATTAGAACAGGTGATATGTCGACAGTGGCACTAGGCCACATGAACATAGTAGCGTGGCACTGCGTAGTCACCTCGAGGCAGAGACGCCAGGCACAAAGCAAGGTTACCCGGGCTCGAAGGAAACATGGATAGAGAGAGGGAAATGACCGAAGTATGTTGATTCGTGAATGGTATTTCCAAGGAGGGTCATATGTCACAGCAGCGGCAAAAAGGGGTGTATGGCATACCTCTCCAATAGAAAACGGCCAAAGTCATTCTCTACTAGCGCAGCATCACTCAACGATACCAACTAGATGGGCACAAGATCACAGCGAGGCTTCTAGATTAGGAAGACGCCATTTAAGGTTTAATGACACTTGTAGCACAGATCAAATGGCGGTGATTGCGGACATCTGCCAATAACATAACGATGGAATACCGGAGATGACCAGTAGAACGTACTAAAGGGTCCTCCCTTTGTGATGACATCGTAGGAGTCATCTTCGAGGTGCGGGTCTTGACGGATGACATGTCCATTACGAAGACGCAGAGTTCCTTCCCCGTCTAAGGATTGGTGCAGTAACGCCATCCTTTCGAGAAGCTAGCAGACTCGATGCGGTTCATTCCGGGATCTGCGTCGATAAAGGGTCGAGGTAGGTCATCACAATCACATTTTCATTCTTCTGCTTGGCTAGTTTCTTGCATTGAACGACCTTCCAGAATTTGCGCAAACGAATGGGATGAGGCCTGTCTTGGTGTAGCGTTGGTGACATATGCAAATCAAGTACTCCTAAAGGGGAGCCATGTGCCAACTATGATGGCTTTGGCCAATCTTGAAGCCCCAATTGCTGAGATAAACAGGCGATGTGCAAGTCAAGGCACATTTTCAAGGAGAAAATGAGAGCAAACAGCCCATGTAGTGCGGAGATTAGCCTTTTTGTCGGCGCGGACAGCGTAGAAGTGAGTGGGTGCGCATCTTGTTCAACAAGTTGCACAAGAAACAGTGTCTCGAAGCGCAGAGTCTAGAGAATGAAGTCACAGAAAGGGACGCTCTGTGCCTATGAATCTGAGTGGGCGGGCCAAAGTATAAAGACGTAGTAAGCGTTAGGGCTACTGCTATGAAGTTAATCCCAAGCACGGGCGATTCGGCGGTCCATCCGAGTGGACTAGGGCGCCTTGTAGGCCTGCGCCACAAATCGGAGGCCATGGTGGCCGGAGTAGGCCGCCCCAGTAAAGTGCCCCTTGCCGCTGCGGCTGGGCGGCAAGGTACATAGCGTGGACATAGCTTGTGCCGCCGAGAAACCGTCAAAGAAGATTTTCGAAGCGTGAGACCCAATCGTTCTGAGATCGAGGGCAGACCAGGACGAGGAAGAGGACTCAGCGAAGAGAGTGCCACGACAAGGCACATTCATCAATACTGCCTGGCTGGTTGAGGACAGAAAACCTTTGAGGTGATAATGAACATTGGGTAGCGGATTAATTTCCCAACGCGCAACAACGCATATGGAACAAGTCACTGATGAACTAGTTGACTGGCGGTAGAGACATAGACTTGCGAGAAGAGAAGATGTCGAAGAGGAACAACCTCTGTGCCGGGTCATCGCTAATCACGTGGACAAGGTCACGGCCTGCTCATGCCGTTTTCGCCCATGGTTGTCACTTTCTCCTGTAAAAATTCTTCACGATATTTATAAATCATGATGTTCATCTCTTCCACACCCCATAATGTCATAGAGTTCTACAACTTTCATCAATGCCTTCCGCCGGTGATACTAGAACAACGCCAGGACAAGACGACCACTTACCATAGGGAGACGACTCAACCGATAACTACCTGTACGCCTCTGTCTTCACTATCTGTTCTCTATTTCGTATGTACCACCCGAGACTGAAATGTTGTATCAGCCAAGAACGAGGAGTCTACGATATTCTTGCAAAGTCTAATAGTAGTCACATACTACTCATTCCGCTATGATACTATGAACGCCATCATCCTCATCAGGACCGTCAATTCGTCTATGGACTACAAGCCCAGTTCGTGTACCGCACCACTGCAAAAAGCAGAATGCCAAGATGCAATGAATGAGACAGTCTTGTCCTTGCATGAAGATGAAATAAGATAGCTCTGGATGAGATTATCCAGACAGCGTCCGACTTTCCGTTTAAGCATTTACTGCTGAAATTTACACAAAGTCCGGATGGTGTTAATCATCTGAGCTTGGCGGTTACCATTGAAGTCGTCAGCTTGTCGGTGATCTTCGTCTGCCAAGCAAAAGGAGGCCCTAATTTCAAGAAACCGAATGTCAAGATAACTGACTTACATCTTGGCAAACGACAAGATAAGCACGGTGTTGAAAAGAATTTTTGAGACTGAAAGTGAAGAGGACAACAAAGTCATTTCTTCTCTGCAACAATAGTACGTAGCACCATACGAAGCCATAGTTGATACTTCGGTGAAGCTTAGCGCCAGGAGCAACCCTAAATTAGGGGCCTTTCAGTGGGCGCAAGCTACCCTAGTTTGTCCTCGGTGTACCCGGAAATTGGAACATCAGGGCACCCCACGTTTCCCTATGGGCAATCTGGTGTGGCTGGCGAGTTCTCCACCCACACTTTAGATTCCAGATTAAAAATGAGAGATGCATTCATGCCGAGCAAATCAAACGGTTTCGCGGTTTTCGGTGACGGGCGGAAAAAATAGGTCACATGAAGAGGGTGCCTAAGATAGGACGAAGGGCAAACTTGCAGAAATGACTAAGTTTGGCATGAGTTATTCCTTCACAAGTCGATTTGTGAAACATATGACTGACGATCCATAGATTGCTTATCAAGCAGTATCCAAACATATAAAGAGCGCCGTTCGCCCTTGAGTTCCTCTTGACCTTCCTCTTTCTCAACCCAACACTTTGACTCTTACATCCCAGCGACACCAAACATTCCATCAAGAAAACCAGAGAAAATACCACTTGATCTACTTCCCCCTTTACCTACAAGATGTTCCCCAAGCTTCCCAAGCTCAACCAGTTCCTGGTTCTTTCACCTACTGCTGGAACCAAGACCTCCGACAAAATGGCATCTCCTCTAGAGGACGCCGAGAAAACTGGCGCCCCCATTGAGCGTCTATCTTCCACATCTAGCACTGAGTCCACCAAGAGCTTTGCGGGCAGCTTCCTCAAGCTCGGCTATGATCGTTCATGAGCGCCTCTCACAGCTTCTTCGTAGATGCAATCTTCTAAATACGCTTCATGGATCAGTCGACACGATCATGGACACGAAACGATATGACCACCACATCTAGTTACGAAACTACACTACTGAAAATCTATGGAGTGACGCTCTCATCGGTGACAATTACGAAGTCTTGTTTCCTCCAACTGAATCAGCGTGCGACTCGCAAAACAGCGAGACATCCAACTTGATTTTCCTACCCATTTCTCTATTTCACGGCTTCCAACGGCACATTCGAGCTCGAAGAGGGGCATGACGCAACCGACTATGCGCGTCAGTTCAGAAATGCCGTCCCAGTGTTTCGCTATCAGCCAACATCATCATCACATGCCAACACGTTGAATGGATGGTGCTGCACCAGAAAGCCACTTCGGTTGTCCGCGGAGTATCTTTTTTCTCTTGTCTCTATTCTTTTCCCCTATGCATTAGTATTCCAATTCTGCTTAGGCTTATTTTTCCTTTTTTTCCCCCTCACAATATGTTTCTTGGAGGGGTTGTCCGGAAGGTTCCATAGAAAATATGACTAAAACTAAACACCATCTCCTTTCTGACTAATTGCATATGCATCATTCTTTACGTAGTTTAGTCCCAAAAGAAGATAAAACTCGCCGGTTTCCCGATCATATCTAAGCTTTCCTATTGGTGAGAGATATCTACCGATCTACCTTTCATACATCTGCTTGATTACAGGATCAACAAATCCTGGTTTCTATCAGCCTATCATTGAATGTATGTACAGTTAATCAACCACGTCAGACTCGACGAGAGGGTAGAGCCGGTCGTATGTATGCAATAATCGAGGATTATTATTATTATTGAACATCATAAGTCTGCTCACTTCGGGAATGAAACTTTATCTGCAATATCCTCGGTTGTCGTCGGCATAGAATACGATGCCAGGCTCTCGAGTATGAAGGTAGTTACACACTGTGTATACATCCAACAAGATTGAAATTTGTGTATTCAGTCTAATAGCAAGCTCAAGTATCAATTACATATTCTCCTCACTGTAGGTGATATAATTAACACAATAACTCCAGGTAATTGATATCTACATACAATAATGTCACTCTATCCATAGGAAATGGTCAACCGGTCGATCGGATCGGGCCGAGGGAAGAATGGAAAAGCTTAACCGTGTCATGACGTAGGTATATTTCTATACAGAAGTAATTACTTGCTGCGTGGGTATCTATAGAACATGCAATCAGGAATAGACGGGTTGAAGTCCTTCGTTCAAGGTTCGCATGTGCAAATGCATGTATCTATCTCATGTCAAAGGCCTACACCTTCCACTGACTAGACAGCAACTGAATGAGTCTATATAATGAATTGGAAATAGACTACCTTGTAAACAGAACTACTTACATTACACGAGGCCAACAAGTATTTTGGCACCCACAGAAAAGAAGGAAAAAGATACACAAACAGACCAACTTTCTTGTTGTCTAGAATATACTTTCCATTGCCGAACTATTGACAAGAGAAGTAGAAGAGAAAAGAGTCATCTAGAGATATCCCTCTTAAGATGTAAGAAATAGAAGCCTTGGATTGAAAATATGAAGCCTTTTTTGGTAACTTCACCCCCGAGGAATCGAGAAGGAAAAGGTAATGACAACGCGGATTGGAAAATACAATTTGACACGAGACAAAGGAAATAGAGGGAAAAAAAAGAAATATTTATTTTCACAAAGGAAATACAGGATAAAAGGGAAAATGCTCAATATTAATTATGCAGGTATGTGAAGGGTATAAAGTTTATGACAAGGTCGACAAAAGTCACTCGAAACTGCGACATGAATTTCATGGAGGCTTGAGTAATCGGTATCGTGCGGTCGTTGGCATCCAAAGAAGATTATCCTTGAAACCAATCTGCTATGCATGATGCTGGCAGTGCTTGTAGAAACTTACATGCTCAACATCTTGATCGGATTCCTTCTCAGAGGTAGAAAGTCAAAATAGCCTGTTTCAGAAATGACTTCGCTTCAAGAGCACAGATACGCGAACGAGAGCCGACTCCACAAGATTCATGTGCTAGCCTGCAATGAGCAAATAGATTAATAGACATTATGTTTCAGTCGAAGAACCAGCACTTTCATATGTCAAGCTCGTTCGATTGGGTTCACCGATCTTCCCCGGCTCTGGCCTTGCCGCGCCGACGGAAAAAGTCCATCACTTTCCTTGCGGCTCCTGAGCTTCCAGAATGGTGTGAATGGTCCCTTTCATATTCGTACGCATCTGCAAACTTTCGATTATTTTTCTGCAACACTCCCGGTTTCGTTCGAGGAAGTTGTGCAGATGGCCGCGACCTATCATAGCTTCCATTGTATTGCTGCCCACGCTGAGGATAACCGTAGTACTCATTCGTATCTGAGGTACCGTATTCATTGTTGTGCGGTTCCGGCTCCTGGTGCATTTGGTTGCTTTCGTGTAGTTGAGCAAACTGTCTATCGATGTGAGCTTCGTAGCTATCCGAAGGGGCTGCTGGCTCGTCTTGATGAGAGCCAGAGTAGCCGCTAAATCCACTAACGTCGCGTCCCGTAAGTATCCCCGGGCCTGTAGCTGGCCGAGAGTATTCAGCCTCATGAGAATCGCTTTCCGAATTTTGGTCACTGCGCCCTGACGATAATCCTCTGATGGAGTTCATGAGAGAGAACCGTCGCTGTCGTGGCTCTGTACGATTAGCATACGAGTTCGAACGTCGAGAGTCAATCGATGCCCTTGAGTCGTCGGGAGAGTAAGGCTCTTTCATGCTAGTAGGAGGATATCGTTTGCTGGGTTTGGGACGAGAAGTGGGCTGCGTTGATCGGCCACCGAAAAAGGATCCTGAACGGCCAAAAATTCTCTCTCCAATGCTACTGACCGTGCTGGAACGCTTGTGGGTTCTGACCGGTTCTTGTGCAGGAGTCTGGTTAAATATACTTGGGAGTTGATGGGTGCTAGGTCTTCCAATAGACATGTTCGGGTCTTGAGGAATTGGTGATGAGATATTATATTGTTTCGCATTCTTCGGTTGCGCGAGTCGACCCTGGGCGTTCGTTGCAGCCACCGTGGGCGCCACTGGTTGACCATAGGAGCCACGAGAAGGAAGTCTTCCAGCATTGAGGGATATGGCAGAGTGTCCAGTGTTTGGACGCGCGGTTTGCGAGTTTTCGAAAGCATGACCTGTTGTCTCTGACATCGATCGGGAAATGCCAACGTTAGGCCGTAATTCTTGAGTTGATTGAGTGTATGCCGTCCGTTGCGGTTGCTCACCTGGTGGTTCACTTGGTAGCGGTTTGTTCTGGTCAACAACGCCTCGAGATCCGGGTCTAGTCGCGCTTGCTGATTGTGGAGATACACTCGATGTATGGTCGCCACGGGCAGTCTGTGACTGAGGTGCGACATACTCCACCTGTACAGTTCGTCGTTTGGTCTCTCTCGATGTCTTCGTCTTGCTGTTCGAGGGATCTTCTGGAGTAGCAACTTTTCCTTGTTGATGGGTCAAGCCGCCCAGTGTGGACACGCTACCCTGGAAACTCTTTGGCGGTTCGCGCACAGATGCGCTACGAGCAAGAGCTGGGCCCTCTTGTGTCCCTTCTTTAACGTAGGTATAATCAGCACGTGACCATTGAGCATGAACTTTGAAATGATCAACTTACCAGCAGGCACGGTAGTAGTAGCAATGTCTGAAATATTGGTGGTGCTACTCGTGATATGAGATACAACATGCGAGTATTCACTGAGCCAACTGTGACGAGCAACTTCGAAAAGATCAGCGCGTTTGCGAGGATCGGGGACGAGGATACGGCGTAATAGATCGCGAGCATGTGGTGTTACATATTCGGGAAAGGTGAGATGTGTGCTAACAATGTATTTGTACAAGAGGTTGATGTTGTCTCCTTCAGGATTTGCAGGATCATCGTCGAACGGCAGGTAGCCGGCAAGCATAGCATACTAATGAGATGAATGTTAGAATAATGACCGAACGGGAATCCAAGTGATGAAAGACTTACCAAAATCACACCACAGCTCCAAACATCAACCTTGCGACCAGTATAAAGAGAGTCGCTCACAACGAGCTCGGGTGCGGCATAGCATGGACTACCACAGCTAGTTTGCATCAAATCGCCGCGTCGCATCCCGGCAGCATCAGTTTTGTCCAGGTTCATCCTCCTGACAAATTCGCGGTTGGTAAGATTGTACTCGATCTCTTCGCCAAGTTCGTCCGCAGGGTTGAAGGTGTTGGCGAAGCCAAAATCAGTAATGATGAGGTTACGATTCCTGTCAAGTAGCAAATTTTCCAATTTCAGATCGCGATGCACGATTCCCTTCTTGTGCAGATAACCAACGCCGGAAACAAGCTGCGCAAACAAACGTCTCGCCGCATTGTCCTTCAAATAGCGGTTTTTGAGGATATAGTCAAAGAGCTCTCCACCCGAAGCGTACTCCATGATGATGCCAATGTAGCGATCAGTTTCCACCATCTCGTGCAGGCGTACGATGTTTGGATGAGACAGTTCGCGGAGAATTGCAATTTCTCTATAGATCTTTGGTAGTCTGCTGGGATTTGAGCCCAAGCTCTCGCGTCGAATGAGCTTAATGGCAACTTGAACACTGCCATCTCTTTTCCAACCGAGTTTGACTTTGGCAAACTCTCCTTCTCCCAAAGTCTGACCTAAAATGTACCTTCCGAAGGTGGTTTCCTTGCGCTTTCCTGATGTGTTGGAGTAATCTTGGCGAGTGCGTGGGCCACTGCGGGCAGCATCGTCTGCACCTTCGTCTCCGACTAGGCCAAGACCTGCAACTGAATTTGAGGCTCCGCCAGCCGAGGTCTGTGCCTCCATCAGTCGCTCGTGTTCCCGTTCAATGTCCTCCGCTGGATCGGTAATAACAACTTGATTAAGGACGGTACTCGATTCACTTGCAAGAGCAGCAGGCTCGGATGACGAGCCCAATGCGTTGTCTGAACGGCTTTGATACGCGGACGAGTGATTCATATTCGAATTCTCAGGCGACTGTTGACCTTTGCGACGAGACCGACCGCCGTTTGAGTCCTCACCCCGACTTCTCGACTGGCTCTGGTGCCTGCTGGATCCTTGATTCGACGAGGTACGGGGAGGGATCTGCGGTGTCACGCCTAACCCTTCAGGAACGTTGGAGCGAGAATGTGTGCGGTTGGCCGAATCCGAGGGCAGGGAACTCTGTGGGGATTGTTGGACGGAAGCATTCATTGCTGGTGACACTGGTCCGTACTGAGAGTGCTGTGGACCAAGTGCGATGTTGGAGTTTGCACCATTGGCGCTAGGTTGATGATTGGGTCTTTTGGCGCTTGACGGCGAGTTTCGAGATGTTACGTCCACAGACTGGGGGGAGTGTGATGTGGTAACTGTCCTCGGCTGATAAGCATTCTGGGACTGAGGATAAGTCGAAGCAGTGGTTGCGGGGTACAAGGTCGAAGTTGTTGTCGCTGATGTATGCGTAGGAGCTGTCTGCATGGCAGCAGACGACATTTCCTGGAGCCCACGCGCTGTGAGAAGGTCTGGGTTGTTGAAGAAATACGACGGGAGGATCAAAAAAAAATCCCGCTGATTCAATCAAAAACGAACAACGCTCATACAGATGAGAACTAGGCAAGAATATGTAACAAGACGCAAAAGCCTCCCAGAGAATTATTGGACAAGAACGTAGGAGTCGAATCGATACGACGACCGACCGTAGGAGTAATGCTGAAATCGGGGAAAGTGGTAGGAATGTCAGCGGAGGATTTGCACGTGGTTGATGAGGAATGTGGATGCGGGGAGGAGTGGAAAGGGGAGGAAGAAAAATCAAAAGTATGAAATCATGACTAACAGATCTAATGAGCAAGATTGCATCAAAGGATCACCACCGCAATCAGATACACAGCAAGCTGGCGAGCTGTTTGAGACTCAGCGAGCCTGACTTAGGTTGACAGCGCAACGACCCACACCAGAGGGAACGCGTCTCGGCGGTAAGAGCAATGAGGAGCGCAATTAATTGGACGACGAACAGAATTGTACATATGAATAATGTACAAAAGGTTTCCAGAGCCCAATCCGACCTTGGTTGTTATTTTTCGTCAGCGCGATGAAAGCGATGAAGGTACCGGTGGTTGAAAGGGGCTCTTGTTTGATTAACAGGTGGTCGGGGTGACGGGCGCGCGAACAGACTGAAAGCGACGTGAGACAACCTCGGCCGGACGCGATAAGAAGCTCGAGAGAAATCGAAAAAGAAAATAAATAAAATAAAATCGACAAGAAAGGCCGCTGGACAGTTGATAGCAGCAGAGGGGAAAAAACGAATTGATCGATGTTCACGGAGCTGGACAATTGTTGTGCATCGTCGTCAAGAGCGAGCGAACCAGGCACCGAATAGGGATGCTACCAGTAGCGGCAGCGGCAGGAGCGATGCGAAGAGCGCGGCGGGAAATGAGATGACCAGCAAAGCGATTGTACCTTGACAAACGACCTGGAGAAGCCGGCGAACCAGCCTGGTCGAAATCGCGAATCGACGCGGCAATGTAAAGAGGGGTGAAGGGGGATAAAGAGACGAAGAAAGGAGGGGGATAAGAAGAGAGAGGGAAGAAGAAGGGGAGGAGGATAAACAAAAAGGAAGGGACAGCGAGACGGGAAGGAGGTAGCTCAGCGGAGCAGCCACACTAACCCAGGCTTGGGGCCCTCTTAGAGTCTTAGTGGCCGCGACGGGGTCGACAGCGTATTATACATTATTGCATGCCATTAATAAAGAATTCATTTCTTTGGCAATGGATTAGTACTCCATAATATTAATTGGCTTGCAATAGTATTTAATTATTCTTGATTGACCGATACACTGGAAAGTGCATCTAATCGTTGTGATCGTTGTGATCGTTGTGATCTGGACTAATCGGGTGATCACCGACCAGGGTAGAGGCCTAACATTTGCTTACTGTAGCTGCTGGCAGTGTACTCCGTACCGATCTGTTCGTGGCTGATAGTACTCGATAATATGAAGCTCGCTTGGTTCATGGAATACTTAGCGAGATTATGAGATGGATAAAAGGATACCTTATAGGTTTATATTGAATGATCGACTGCGACAGACAATACTGGCCGCTGATTGGCTGAATGAAGAAAGGTACAAAAAGTCTAAGCTGGCCGTTACCAAAGGATATCTCCCGGGCGTTCCTTGGTTGATTCTTCCCACCTCTTCTGATAATCGTCTACAGGCCAACATACTATAATATAGTGTATATATATACTAACTGATCAGTTGCTGTTGCTGTTGTTGTTGTTCTTGTTCAGTCTGCAACTCTGAAACCTGATTTAATGTCAGGGCCACGCTAGTCTGCCGCACTAACCATTCCGGGGGGTGGGTCCCCTTTCCGTTTTCGGCCATTTGACTGAACCTTTCTTGGCCTGTTTCACCTGATGATGTTCGCAGACTTTGCTTATGCTTATCGACATTTGGCATGTGAACTTTTGAAGATTAAAGCTTGCTCTCAGCCTTGTCAGCTTACTCCGTAGTCCGTACTCTCTTACGAAATACCGAAGTATTCGAGTTTCGGACCTGTGGGGCAGCTGTTCCTGTTTTTTCACAAGCTGACATGTCCAAGCTAGAACACTTTTCTCTCAATGTACCTGCATGAAGATAGTACTAGGTAGGACTTGCATCCTAGCGAACTTACTATATATATAACCAAATTTCTCGATTAAGTTGACCCATGGATATCTGTATTAGAAAGATACCCTCCTCTAGATAAATAAATATCTTGGGTATCAGAGCACTCATAAGTTACCTAGGTAACCTGACAACAAACTACAAGCACACATTCAGCAACACGGCTAAGCTGCCCAAGATGGTTATCTTATTCCAAGTCTTGGAGCTCAGGCAGAAAGAATCTCCAATGATTCAATAGGAGTGCAATCATACCGCGAATTCTGTTAATATTGTGCCAGCGCATCAAACTTTCTCTGGCTTGTTGTTACGCCGTAAATAGTATTAAGCGTTCAATTAGGTAACTCTACTGTAACCAACCACTGCTCAGACCCGGGGTTCCATGGCGTATCTAGGTCATTCGTATGCAACCAAAATCAAAAGATAGTGTTCAACCTCGAGGTTGGTTCTCGATAATTTGGTCCTTTTGCATCCAAGGTCTATCCCGTCAGGTTGGGATGTTAGGGCTTTTTGCGTCATTCCGCAATGTTGATTGGTCAAAGTAAGTACGTGCGTGTCTTGACCGCTATTCTATCTTCCCAAGATAGTGAGCCCAATTATAGACAGAGGCACTGAATGAAATATAATGAGATGTGTCGCATTTGATTTGTAAGGATCGATTACAATAATCGGGATGCCTAAGATACCAGATCTACATGTCAATATCTTGAACCCGGCGGAAAATACGTAGTTACCAATTTCCATGCTTCATTTCATCAATATCGTCAGTCGTAACAGAACTTGAATACAAGATATAAAGCCAAGAACATAACATCCAAGCAGGAAATCACAAAATCACGAGTTTAGATCTGAAATAACCACACAAAAGCAAAATATAGAATCCCAAAAATTAACGCTTCCCTGATACAGTTGTAGAGTTACCCCCCGGCAAAGAATACGTCCCTGCCGCACCGTATGCCGGGGGTGGAGACGGAGTACGAGTTAGTCGTCTAGGAGGAGCTGGCAGACGACTTCTGCTGCTGCTGCGAGGGGTATTACTATTACCGAGACCGTTGTTGCTGCCGCCATAATAAGCATATTCGGTCTTTCCAGACGACCCATCGGGCGGAACTTGACCTCCATCACCACTGCCGACGACAACCTGTTGACCATTATGCATGCGTCCGACTATCATGCCCCTCGCCACGGATTTCAAAACTGCTCGGCGACTCACGCCGGTAGCATCAATGTATACCAATCCGACGTTCCTAAATCCTCGCGTGATATCAGATGCAACGTTGCCGGCTTCAGGGCCATAACGATGTTGAATCATAGAGGTAGCGGCAGTAGAACCTGAATTCAGCACTGTTCGCGCACCTTCCTCAATTCCATCCATCAACGTTGTGAATGCTATCAGGGACTTGTTCAAAACACCCGTTTTGATATTGACCGGATTGCCGTTGCTGTCATACCCTTGACGTGAAGAACCCTTGGGCATATCCTTACGTCGCGCTAGATTTGCTCCAAGATTCTGGGCCACCCGTCCAATAGATCCCACCGTGCGGGCAGATAGACCAACCGCAGATTGAGACAAGTTATGCACTTTGCGAATACGTTCTTGCGTTGCAGGCGAGAAATTCAATGGTTCAGGGTTCGGCTTGGTTCTCTGCGCAAAGCTGTCGGCTCCAGTGGTGAGTTTGTTGGCCAGATAGGCGGATCCAGTCACAATAAGACGAGATGCTCGTGCTGAGGTTTGAACTATAGTGGAGTCTTTGTAGGCTGGATGTCGGGCCATGCGGAGGTATTCCTCGGAGACGTTGCTGACGCTGATCTGATGATCCTCGCCAGGAGAGGGAAGTTGAATCTCGACGGGATCTATAGCCACATTAGCAATTACTATAAAGCTTTCGAGAGCGAATTGAGGTGGAAAGACTTACTCTTTGAACCGGGTTTCACATCCGGCTTTTCGACAACCTTGTACCCTTCTGAAAGTTCACCAACAACACTACCGTCCTCCTCATCTACCAAAACAATCTGACCCTTGCCATCAGAGCTCTTCTGGTCTGAAGAGGATATATAGCCTTCTCCCGGTGCGTAATCGGCAGGATTGTACGGCGCATGACTTGATGGGGGAGCAGCCCGTTCGAGGAACGCAGTGCATTGCGCTAAAATAGTCTCGAACGTGTCGACATCTTCCTGGGAGACCTTGCCAGCGCCGGATCCAATGCCAGGAAACTGCAGACGGATAAAAGCGCCAGCATCGGGACCAAGATCCCAGCGGGGAATGAGATAGCTGTTTGGAGGTTGATGATATATCTGGGTAGTTGCTGGTAACGGCATATCCAATTCAGGAGGGAGATGTAAATGTAGATAGAAATCCTCTTCTGGCGCGCTCCCGGTTTCTTGCTGTTGCTGCGCTGGTGATACTGTAGGGACCATCAGCAAGGAGAGGGTTTGCGGCCCGGATGGCGTGAGATCGGTTTCCTCGCCATCTTGTAGGTGATAGGCGCGGATGTTGTTGATGCTGTATAGAACACGAGGATCGCCCTGAGTCGAAGCCATGATTTGAGTAGTGAATCCTGTAAGACACCGAGTGTAAAATGCTCGATGAAGTGGTGAAACTGATTTTAAGTGTGGGTCTTGTATACAATGACGTCGAAAATAATCTCCGCCTCGGTAACGAGCTTTAATGTCCAAGAATCTACCAGCACAATATGGTCGCAGTGTAATCAGGACAAGTGAATAAACAAACGGTGAATAAATATAATAATAATAACAATTTTTAGGATATTCTATCCTTGGGCAGTTTTCTATTTAAGCGCTGAGATATGTGATGCACGCCACCGGCGGCTCCTCTGCGTCAATCAGAACTAGGGCAGCGGGCCAATCAGAGGCCACGCCCAGACTTTATCAATGCTGCATAGCCACAGGGCACGCGGGATTGAAATCAGTATCACGTGGTGCTACATCAGCCACATTAAAGATTGTGGCGCTCTTACTGTACGTCTCTGCATAACCCAAAACGAGATAGGAATTATTGTTGGAGATACGGATTGCTGAGTTTCTCGGTTATCTTGTCGGGGATATGGGTAATAGTATCTCAAAGGTAGCTCCAGTACTTATCGTGCTGGCCTGTAGACATCAATTGGGAATCACATGTCAGCAGTGCTAATGCGTAGCTTTTGTCAGAACCACTGGTCAAGACAACTTGAAGCAGAATCTCACCACATATAGCGAGGGCGAATAGAGGCCTGAATTCTGTATTTGAATATTCTTTCTGCAACTCGTCGAAGAAGAACGACAAAGAGTTCATTCCGATCTCTGCTTACCCGCTCAACCGCGGTTAGCCTCGGCATTATGGATTGCCGACCTGCTCGATAACGCCGAGCTCCAACTTCCACCCTCTTATATCGCGACATTGCTTCTTACACCTCCTCCATTTAACCTTACTAGTTCTTTCGCTAGATCTCAGATCCGTTTTGACCGATTAAGTTGATCATTTTCAAAAATTTCCAGTATGGCCTCTCTATCGCGTACCCTGCGACCCTTGAGTCGTACACTCGCCTCTGGGCTCACAACCTCGACGAGGACCATTCCCACCCGTTCTCTTCAATAGTGTGTTACTCTTTTCCTGTTTCTCGGAGATATCAACAAGTTACTAACCCTTTGAATAGCACCACACGAGCATTCTCTACAACGCCTGGCCGACGAAATGTAGACCTGACCGAACTCACCCCGACACCAATTACCCATCTCTCCGAAACCGAAACCCTCATGGCCGAGACAGTATCCAAATTCGCACAAGAACAGATTGGACCCAAAGTACGAGACATGGATGAGGCGGAAGCAATGGATCCCGCGGTCGTTGAACAACTATTCGAACAGGGATTGATGGGTATCGAGATTCCCGAAGAATACGGCGGCTCCGGCATGAATTTCACATCGGCAATTATCGCCATTGAGGAGCTTGCTCGCGTTGACCCTAGTGTCAGTGTTTTGGTGGATGTCCACAACACGCTGGTAAACACCGCGGTAATGACATACGGCAGCGCAGAGACACAGCGGAGATGGCTACCACAATTAGCCTCGGGTACAGTAGGCTCTTTTTGCTTATCAGAGCCGGCTTCGGGCTCAGACGCATTCGCGCTCCAGACCAAGGCTGAAAAGACAGCCGATGGATATAAAATCAATGGATCGAAAATGTGGATCACGAACTCCATGGAAGCAGGATTCTTCATCGTCTTTGCCAACCTCGACCCTAGCAAAGGCTATAAGGGCATTACTGCATTTATTGTTGAGAAGGATACACCTGGGTTCAGCATTGCTAAGAAAGAGAAGAAGCTCGGAATCCGCGCAAGCAGCACCTGCGTACTCAATTTCGACGACGTCGAGATTCCCAAGGCTAATCTTCTCGGTGAGGAAGGTAAAGGATACAAGATTGCTATTGGTATTCTGAACGAAGGCCGTATTGGAATTGCAGCTCAAATGACTGGTTTGGCTATTGGCGCATGGGAGAATGCTGCAGGGTATGTTTCCGCAATATGTGTTTCTCCTCGTCGAAACTAACAAAAGTAGATATGTCTGGAATGATCGCAAGCAGTTCGGCCAATTGATTGGCAACTTCCAAGGTATGCAGCATCAAATCGCACAGGCATACACTGAAATTGCGGCTGCACGTGCCTTGGTCTACAATGCGGCACGCAAGAAGGAAGCCGGACAAAACTTTGTCATGGACGCTGCCATGGCTAAGCTCTACGCATCTCAGGTTGCTGGACGAGTTGCCGGGTCTGCTGTGGAATGGATGGGTGGTATGGGCTTTGTGCGTGAGGGTATTGCAGAGAAGATGTTCCGGGATAGCAAGATTGGTGCCATTTACGAGGGAACCAGCAATATTCAACTGACGACGATTGCTAAGCAATTACAAGCTCAGTACACAAAGTAGGTTGTACTGTCCGGAATGAGATGTTTTGTCCGATTTTGTGAAGATATGATTGTTATAAATGCCATACAAATAGGTTTCGAGTGCGATAATATTAAAGTATGAAACCTCGTCACCTTGTCTCCCCTACCTACTGCTTCGAATAAGAACCTAAACTGCATCCTTTGCGACTTCAACATGATGCACATTCATCTTTTCCACGGAACCTAACTTCTCTTTCCCACCATCCCCAATCCTAGCAAAGCCATGTGTACTCCACTTGCGAGCCGGTACAGCCTCCGTAAAGAAAGCAGTAATCTCAAGCTGAGTCCGACCCTGCGTCTCTCCAACACAGAAACAGAACCATACCCAAGCCAGCGAGGTCAATGTAAGACCGGCATATACGAAGCATACCATGGGGCCCAATCCAGCTTTATTATAGAGATAAGGAGCGGTAAAAGAGATGAGCCAGAGGAAGAAGTAAAGTGCAATGTTGGAGACGGACATGATCTGATTCTGATTGACGCCCACCGAAAGTTCTCGTGTAATGGCATATGTCAATGGCCCCTGGGCAATATTGTATGCACAGATAACGACGTACGAAAAGACGATACTGTATTTCGAGGTTGTAGAAAGATATTTTTGCCTTCCTATACAGCCGATGACCATGAACGGGACGAAGATCATGCTGGTGCTGACGAGCAGGGTTTTTTGTCGACTCAACTTGTTACCCAATAACACAGATGCAACCACAGCAAAGATCTGTAGGACCATGGTAACCAAAGTGATCGTAAACGGCAGCGAGACACCAAGTTGCTCCGCAAGCACTACGCCGTAATTGTAAAAGAAGATAATACATCATATTTGTTGTGCGTACATTCCACTAGCAGCTCAGAGAATTTTCTTTCGCTCAATCTTGTCGAATAGCAACGACTTCCATGAAGAAGCGCTCGCCTGTTGTTCTTCTTAGTACTCCTTTGCCTGTTCCAAAAATGCAATGTCTGTCGATGGATCGTAACCGGGCTCGCTTCAATTTATCTTGCGTAACGATTTGGCTGCCTCATCAGTCTTGCCGTGGGATACATACCATGTTGGACTTTCAGGGACGAAGGGAAGCCATATGAACATAGCCAGGGGTAAAATGATCAGTCCACCCATGGGTAGTTTGTATCCCAGGGAATTATTAATTGAGTTGCACCTTTAAGTTACCCACGAAGCGACTAGTTGGGAAAATGATTGGAGAAATTGATACATGTATAGAGCGGGACTTTGGATTTCTACTGGGGCTACTTCTCCCATACTTTGGCTAACTGTTAGATCCTTTGATCAGACAGTCACCTAAGGAGAAGACTTACTAGAGGAGAGAAGTAATAGTGAAATTCCCGACACTAAGTCCAATCCGAATCGGTCAAGCACAATAACCCCCTCGTAATGCGTATCAGCAACCTGTACAACACCTCCTGCCAATACGAGGAACGAAGCAATCCACAACACCGTCTTTCGACCAAACGTATCATTCAGCGGGCCTGAGATCAAGGCACCTGCCATGTCGCCAATGTAGATGCTCGAGGTTGTCAGATATGTGAAACTAGTAGACAACGCTTTTTGACAGTTGAAGTATTCACTAGCATGGTCATTTTTGAATTTTTATATGCCTAGGATGCCGCTGTACTAAGTGTTGTCGTATCCGAACACCAGCGCAGAGATGGAGCAGTAGATGATGACCCATCGGTGGCTTTTGAAGTCGACGTTGATACCGAGCATGTTGTTTACTAATGAGTGGTTAAAGGAAGAGGAAAAGTTGGACAATAGAGCTGATCAGTGGTCTACACGTTGACAAATCAATCTCATTCAAGACCTGTGGATCATATGAGCAATGAAGCAATGATCATCAGAAGGCGCGGGATGATCACGGACTAAATACTTCATCCTAAGGCCATTTGTTGGTTGTTTGAGAGTGAGCATGATATACCCGATTTGTGTCTACCCCATACATTGAGAGACCAGAAGCTAATGAGTGACGATGGGAAGTATGTTGTCATCCAATGGACAACTCTTGTACCCTGGTACTATGCATGGCCAAGCTGCTTCAGGTGGATTCGGAGTAATTTGATATTCGTATTTCTCCGTGCTCAATCTCTACGAAAATACAGATACCTCTTCCAGGCATCTGAGATCACCACTCCAAAATTATACAGAATAGCCATAGAAACTCTCCTCACATGACCCGTAAGAGGACCAAGCTCAACTTTATGTGGCAAAATCAACATCTTAGCGTGGAATACAAGCTGTGAGGCTCCAATGAAGATATGTAGACCACTCCGGAAAATCCCCGTAAAGCATGAAGACCCCCCAACGTTGGCATCCCACATTTCCCCACAACCCCGGGTTCTGTCTCCTCGCAAGCTGGGCAAAATTTCACCGCAATAAAATATTGGGAGACGCTAAGACTCACTCAGATTGTAGATTTTGACTTCTCACCCTTGGCAGGTTCTACCGAGACCCTGAACGAGTTTGAGAAAGAAGAAATGCGGAAAAAGTCTTGATATGCGGACGAGAGGGCGGCTTGGAGTTTTATTCTCTTCACGAACCAAACATTGTTTGCACTCTTAAATATCTTTTCAAAATATGAATCAAGTGTCGTTGCAGACATTAAGTCATTAACTGGAAACCAGAATAGGTAGTGTTTGGAGCCTTGGAAAATCCTACTTTTGGCCAACTCGTGGTTAGGGCTAGGGCTAGGGCTAGGAGCTTACACTTATCCACCTATGTACCTAGGTACGGAAGTTCTGGTATATAGATCCTAAACTTGCTATCTACCTAATTTCTGTGCTGGAAAATGCTGCAATGCAACTCGGAAAGAGCTTTTTGATAGTTGTCGCAGTTGCAGGTAGTCGAAGTAAGATATTAAGCATAAACAACTGAGCAATTCTGCCAGACACATTCTAATAAGCATCCTTTTTTTTGGGTAATCGACCGAATATCCTCTTTTCAATCTTATATATATGGAATCAATGATTTGGCGATTAGTCCATTCATTCTATTCGTTCATTCATGTCGATCTAATGGTAAACTGGCGTCTGCTGAATCGACTAACCACTAGCAGTAGTGATCACATACCGAGGCACTACATAAAGTCTAGTCCTAACTCTATCGAACGCTATTTTCCAGGTTTAGCTTTTACAGATGCAAATATCTTTTGCTCAACAGTCGGAATTGACACAAGAAGGTCTTCTTCTTATCGGATAAAAGATGCTAGTATATCTGGGTCCAGGAATAGCCTTACCCGATGGGAAAGTAGCTTAGCTGGACTATTTCGTGCTGGATAGCCCAAAAGCAAGCGACTTTGCCCCTAAAACCAGCATTGGCTTTTGATTTTGAGAGGGAGATGGGTTTACTCTGGTTGAGGAGGATGCTGAATATTCGACAAGGAACTTCCAAGGTTGTCCGTCACTTTGAGTTTGGAGGACTTTAACGAAAGAGAACAATTGAGGAGAAGACCCTTCGTAGTGATTCTACACATACTGAGTTTATGCGCGACGTAGAAGACAGGCAGATGAAGAAAAAATGGTCGACTGTTCTTTGTTCAGTATGCGAAATTGGACTCTTAAATGAACTGACCCTCCAAAGTCGGAACATTAAATCGACTGTTTCCAACCCTAGCATTCTAACACCACATGCATCAAAGAGCAAAACCAGAAGCAAAAACAAAAGAACCCCTCATGCAATAAGTCGCTAATAAAGCCTTCCATAATGTAACCCTTTTATCCCGTACAAATGAAAAAAAAAAAACAACTGCAATAATCTCGTTAAACATCCGCTGTTGTAAGAAGTATCCGCTACTGAGAAACGAACACTCAACCCCTCGAATCCCACTGATATCCCATCTGAGATTGAGCGGGAGGCGAATGCAAGATCTGAGAAGGATATGTATGATGTTGCTGATGAGGTGGTACAGGTAGATGAGCTGCCTGTAGCGACGGGATATTCTGCTCGTATCCCATGGTCGCCACCGGAATATGTTGTGGTCGATGCTGCTGTTGCTGCTGTGGCTGGCCCAAAACTGCTCGAGAGGGATAAGTTAGATTGCGGTTGTATGAGTCCGCGTTGCTGTTGGAATACTGTGCCCCTGTAGTTGTTTGTGGGAGACCATATCCCATATCGTGGTGTGCTTGACCCATGGATGATCCTGCTAGAGGATCCGCGGTCATGGGGTAGGGTGGTTCATGTGATTGCTCTGCTCCGCTCACGGAGATCGACGTCGGTGGCAGTGCCCCAGTTTGTGATGGAGAAACATATGAATGCCATGATCCCTGTGGTAGGGACATTCTATGGGTAAGAGGCGGCATAGGTGGTCCCGGGGCTATTGAGTCTGTCAACGGGGGACTGTTGAATGGTGAAGAAATAACGCTTGGAGGATTTGAGCTGGTTGAAGACCTGCGATCATCTTCGCCTATGCTTCTGTTAGTCGTTGAATCATTGATCGTTCTTGGACTGGTTCACTCACTTTGATACAACTGCCTACTGTTCGTCATCATAGCCAACTGTTGCCTTAAGTGCGCAATTTCCGACTCCAGCGCAGCATTCCGCTCTAAGACACGGTCAACCTGCTGGCCCTTTGCACTTAACTCAGCAACTTGATGCTCCAGGTTCTCAATATGCTCCTTCGTGCGCGCACGAATAGTTCGTTGCGCTTCTCGATCATTTGCGCGTTTCCGTTCTAATTGTTCGGCTGTCAATGAAGTGACTTTGCGCATTCCGGCTCTCGAGTCTCTCTTTTTCCCAGTCTGTTGGGATGATTCCCTTCCTGTGGCGGTCGTAGTGCCAGAGGCATTGCCAGCGACTGTGCGCCGAGGTGCAGTCGATGGACCCATTATAGCTCCTCTCTTTTCTGTCATAATGGGGTATTGAAGAATCAAGTGTCAAATTATCTCCTCCTTCTCTTCTATCAGAAATGAGTAGGGAAGGAGAAAATGTCCGGTTTGAAATGCTATCGATATAAAAGAAGGTCTATCACAGGTCTTGGTTTTGGCGGTAGTGAGAGGGGTAGATTAGATCGGTCCGACGGTTTAAAGGAATTTAGAAGGGAATTTCCAGTAATACTTGAGTGCAAGGCTCATATATTCGGAAATGCAAAGAATAATGCCGGACAGGATACGAAAAGACGGAAGAAATGGATTCAAGTAAATATGTACGCATCCGAGATGGTTGAATTTGTTCGGAAAGAGGAGGCGATGACGACTTCATATATTTAGTAGACATTTAAGCCTGGTTAGGCTGTTAGCGACTACGATAGGCATACTAACTTAACTAAGCATACAGCATGTACTAAGCCATAATCAAATTTATCTGTCTATCAGGATTTAATTTTGCTTCTTAGTGCAGTCGGTAAGAAACAATGAGCCTACGTACAATGAACTATGGAACTCCGAGTTTTAGATTGAACCCACATTCCAACTGAGGAAACCGGTGGTGCCGGTCTAAATTCTTTATGGGCGCAAATGTACATGCAGAGTGTTTAGTTGTTCCATCGCCATTTAGGAGAAGAAAGAGACAGCGCGCCACCGCCGCCTCGAGTAAGAAAGTGACCCGAGGGAAAATAAAGAGAGTCATGGGTTAGAGAAACAGCCGCACTGGCGCTGAATCAAATTAGTGACAGGCTGGGGGCCCTAGAGTACCCAGAGCGTTGGTTCGAGGCCAACTTGGTTGGTCCGTTCAGTATTTTGTTTAGGCTACTCTCTGATTGATAGCATTTGATTTGTCGGTGCATTTGGGTATGGGTCTCTTCATTGTTAGTTTGTTGAAACTTACAGGGTATGAAATGTGTATGGAGTAATTGGGGTGGACGTATTACCGGACCGATGTGTAAACGAGGGATGTGACCCTTGTTAAGATATATCCTAGTCTTGACCGATGAGACTATAAGAATGTATATGAAGTATGTACACTCGAATCCCCTGCACATTTACCCAGTAGGAGGTGGGAGGAGTGTTCTGTACTGGAGTGGGCCGGAGATAGGTACGTAGTTAATCTCTGCCATGTGTGCACAGTGGCTCCACAACCATGTTCCGTACAACCATAACTTTATTCTTGGCACATACAATGTAAGCAAGATAAACTGGAACCAGCCAATTGCTGTGAGTTAATATGGAGGATATAGTTATTACATTTCTCGCAGTTCAATAAAAAAAACTAGTAAACCGAGTAAGAGTGTTCTGATTGGCCCATTCGGTCGCTGCAGTAGACTCTTTCTAGAAAAATGCATGGCAAGCCGAAAGTCGACCAATCGCAGCGGGCCAAGGCTCTCAGATCTCGCTGAACGGAAAGACGGCCCGGTTTTTTTTGGCGCCCATCGATTTCTCGGAATACAAGCTATTTCCTGTTTGGGCCAGCCACGCGAGACCACGAGGATATGCACGACACACCGAGGAGAGGCATGAGCGTCCAGTTGCATTGCCATGTCATGTTGGATTATTCAGCCAAGGATATAGTTCTGACTACATGAAAGAGTATTAAGTGATTTATTTTAACCAAGATGACTTTGCTTGCTCTACTCCGTACCTGTATGCGTATTGCGGATTACCGTAACAATATTTACCCGAGAAATACGTCGTATTACCAAACCACTCCTCCATCTGGCATAAGGCGTTTCCCCATTAGACAACCTAGCAATAAGCACTAGACCATGTAGGCACATTTTGCGAAAAAGCCAACGTCCGATCCAGCCTATGCCAAGCCTCGTACACATTAGCGTTGGTTAGATTAGTGCTTTGACTACTCCGTATTTACCAGTGGAATCTTCTCTTTTGGCGCGACATACTACCAGACTAGGCTACGCTGAGTCTGTTAGCCTCGTGGAATGACAGACAAAGCCTGTAGGAGCCGAGAAAAACTCCACAGTGAATATCTTGGCCATGCAATTTGTCTTACAGACCAGACTTAAGGTTGGCTTGTCTGACGCAAAGAGCAATTCTTTCGGAGAGTCGACATCTTTTAGACTATGTTCAAGTTTAGTACTTAACACTAATCCTAATTGTATCATGGCTTACTATTATCGATAAGCGATTGTATGTTCTTCGAAACTTAAAATTCCGGCTGTTCACCGACAATTGGAAGATGGCTATGATACACAGGAACAGGAGAATAAAGAATGGCAGCCACGCGGCCGAGACATGAATAAAGAAACCGTCCATACCTCAGCCGGCACTGGTGATCGTATTGATCTGGCCAGTTACATGGACAATCCCCGACAGAACTGAAGAAAGAAAAGCCGCTGGACCGGAACTTGGTTCTAACTAGTAACGATGAACCCTAGCCATTGTAGCCAAGTGTTGTCCTCAACGATTTTAACTAAGTCAAATAGGCAAACAGAAACCACGAGATGGAATGCGCTGGATCTAAAAGTTTGATTACTTAGCCGCCCGCAAGTAGACCAGTCAAAAAGCTAAAAAAAACCTAAGGTTGCTCTTTTCTTTTCCCTGCTGAATCGTAAATGCTTGATGATGAACACAGACCGAGGCAGCCAGCCAGCCTTAGACCTAAAATTTCCGCATTTCGTTATAAGCATGGAATCATTGACGCATATGACTGGTCATTAGCGTATTGAGGATATGCACCGACTCTATCGTTCCATGGCGTATGCTACCAGGCGCTTAAACGGAGCCATACAGCGATCCCACAATGGAGCATGACTCATGTCCCGGCCATCAATACCTTATTTCATATTATCTGATAGCAGATCTTCCAGCCTTCGCCCATGAGCTTACCAACAAACTAAGAGTGGAAATTTCTCCGATTGATGTGTGTATAGTACCATGCTGACAGCTCGATAGGCGCTTGCCCCCAATATCTTGGGTATGAATTACTAGCCTGGAGATAGCACTCGCAGTCCAACAAATAGGGACGGGTCACTGTGCTACATTAGGCCCATATGGTTGTATTATCCAAAGCTATTGCCATATTCTCTATTGTGGTAGATATTCTCCGGAGCCTTTCGCTTTAGGGCTAGAATGTGAAACGGCTCGCAACAAAGAAATTCTAGTCCTTCCCCATCTCTAAATGAGCTTCTTCATATTGTTTACAAGTCTATTAATATAACCTCGTGTTAAGGAGATCTTCATGCCTCGGGGCATTTATTTCTCCAGTAGCAACAATCATGTTCTACCGGCTAACGCCTCTAGATGTGGGTTGATGTGGGTTGCAGCAGACCAAAAGAGTGACACTTACAGGGGTACCAAACTTGGAAGATTAGGGTTAAGCAACCAGTGACAAACGGAGTTTTGACATCTCATCTTTCTCTTAACACATGCAGGCAGTCACGATTTCGACAGGGATTGATCAGGTGAGCCGTCTTCGTACAATTCCTTTTTAGTTCACATTGAAGCCACCCTGCACAGCACGCGCTTTACCTGCATGTCGCTATTTTAGTTCGATATGCTACCCCCGACACCACGTAGTCATGCCTCGGATGAGTTGGGGAATCTCGAGGCATCATAGACTTGTTCTATCTGGATGCCAGGTTGTAGATAGCCAACTGGTCATCGTTCGCTGCACCTAACTCATTTTTTGCGGCGCAGGTCATCCCCATGGACGACTTATCTTTTAAAAACCTGAAGTTGGGAATATTAAATGTCTGTTTCCCTGGCACGATAGTCAAGATCGGCGATATGAGTCCAATGTGGCACTGTCAAGTGTTAAGGTGGGTGGGAACCCAGGGGAAGCATGTGTCTAACAATGTGATTTTCGCACTACGTTCGCCCTGCATAGCTCAACTCTCTTTAATTCTCCGTATGTAATATGTTCTCGAAGCCCACTTTCTTTGTCAGATCGGTTTTCTATGCAGTATAGTTTCTTTTTGCCCCACTTCGGTAATTCTACAGAGTACATCTATGGATACGCAAGTTCCAACTTTCTGGGCATGCTATCCGTGATGAAATATTGAAACACGTCTATGGCTGTGCCATTGCCGGCTCCCCCCAATCACCTATTGATTATACCGTGTACTCAATCAAATACTTTAAAGGATATCATATTGCTCAGTCTCGGGAAAAAGAGCCGTTCATCTGGTCCTGGTCGACCCGCATGGCGAAGGGGAAGCAAGGCATTCATGCATGAAACAAAGCAGAGGAGAACCAGAAACATAAAGAGAATAATAGTTAGCTCATCTACATATTGGTTAGGCTGGCTGATTCCTTGGGTTTAACACGGAACTAGTACTAATACCCCTTTTTGTTGGTGACCGGCGAGGCGGAAAGGAAGTGAGATGCTCTGTAAATGGGACATAAATCGGAGGATTATTGATTTATACATGACAGAACCACATGGTGCTGATCATTCTAAACGTTTATGTTGTCCAAACGTGGCGGTCCTTACCACGAGTAGCCCTCCATTCTATCCTTGGACACTCCTTACCAAACCCTATACTTGACCACCGCCAGAGGTAAGCGCACGTCAGGTATCAATCCGGTATTGACACGGAGCATAACGAGACAAGATGTCTTACCAACCTTCTGCGTGTGACAGGTAATCAGTCTTGCTGATTCCAAAGTCATTCGTTATCTGAATCCTCCACATCGAACTTGAGGAGCGCAAGAACGCCCGAGGCTCTTGCAGCGTGCATCTTCGATGTCATAGATGAGCCGGTATGGTTCTGTTGCATGAAACGTCCGACACAGGAGTCCGATAAGTAAATCAACAGACAAACCACTCATACCAGGAACGCTCGTTATAACGTACGAACTTTAACTTGCAGAAACCAGACTGAGCCATGCAAAGCTCTTTAACAAATTCTAAACTCATTTAATTTAGTTAAGCAACTACTTTCATATCAACCGAGTTGTTCTAAGTTTTCCTTGCTCGGGCACTGAACCGCCTCACGTCTTTTCAGGCATGATATGAGATCCCACGTTACCATATCCTGTCGTTTCATGTCATGGCCACTTCTATGCAACCTCCAACTATCCGCGATTGCTTGAACTAAACGGACCTCTCGCAATTCCCATGACTCTGCTTTGTCTGTGTCTGTCGAAGTATCCCTTTTCTCGTCGAAGTTCTCGCTCGGACATACCAACTTGGGGCTATCAATTCTCACACTATTACCCGAAACGATGAGTCGGATAGTGATGTCAATCAGTATAATCTGCGCCCAAAGTAGGTGCTCAGCAGACCATTCTTTTGACACATTGAATCTCTGCTTCCCTGTAAGCCGGTACTTCCATTGATGTGGTCGGAAGTCACCTAGGAGCGTTAGTGCATGGGGCATAAATATGCAACTGGCATGACTATTTGTGGCTGAGGTCTTATCCTGGTCATTGGAGAGATTTTTTTCAGTTGAGCCATTCCCTATATTACAGAGGGAATACTCCAGCATGTCATCCTTGACGTCAGTCGGAAGCTTGTTATAGAGCTCAGCGAGAGAGCATATACCCCAGCTGTATAAACCTCCAGGTGCAGCACCCCCTCCCGTAGCCAAAAAATCCTCCTGTTTATTAACCCATGGAACTCTTTGGGCCCTAAGAGCGCGCTGAAAGTTCGTGCACAGTGCAAATCTTGAAGTAATGTTTTGATGTACCCATTTTGCCTCAAGTTGCCACCAAGGTAGAAAAGGCTCCAATAATTGGCCCGAAGGAAATCCTACTACCAAGCCATGTACTGAACAGAACGTTGCTGCTAATATATGGTTGGAACTTGTAATCTAGTGGTGACTTGCCAGCTGGCAATCTGGCCTTTTAGATGACCCTAATACCGTAAGTCCGGGAGTCGTAGCCTTCTTGGGTTTCAAAACCTACTTGACAGTCGGAATTGTCCACATTCACACATATCTCTAGGGCATCACCCCTCACCTTATCCGAAATTCCGTCATTTCGACCAGGTGTGGAAGATCGCTGCATGCGGTTACAACATCTTTCTCATTAGGTTCCTATGATGATCAAAGCTGAAGGTCTTACTGGGTACTCAGGGGATAAGTCACCACAATTCTGAGACTTCTGCAGCCCTGTCATAAGATCTTGAAAATTATGGGCCTCTTTGAGCAGATTCCCGGCAAATCCGTCTTCCACATCCTCATCTGATTCGATGAATTTTTTGATATCTTCGTCGAATTTAGATATGGATGAATCAAGGCCGATCGCTTCCGCTAAAAGATCAATTGGAAGATGAACCAGATGCCCACACATATATCTTCCGAAAAACATTGCGCCACAGCTTATGTTTGCCATAGTACCCATCCATTCCACACTATTCGCTCGAACCACTGTATAATTGATTGCGAATGTATCGCCATCGAAACGAAGGACTTTCCCAAAGGTTGGAATCTCTTGCGTGGTAATAGTTCTTGATGGTCCAGTTGCATAGAAGTTCCGATCCACAGGGTCGATGATAATGTCTTTGAATCCCATTACTACACAGAGCCTACCCAGCTGAGATAGCTCAACATATTGGAACGGCACGTCCATACTAGCAGGGATAGTATCTGCGTCTATTACTCGCCGCTTCAGTAATTTGGTATTTCTAATACCAAAAGCTGTTATAATTTGCGACCAAGAAGCTCGCGGACGACGCATGAGTTTGAGCGGATGGCGATACCTCCACCACCAAAATCGTAGCCTTTTTCGCCATCTGAGTTCTGAATCTTTGATAAGGGAGTAGTTCTTATAGTTCCCTTGATCCGAGTCTTTGGCCAACGCGGTCAACTCATCACTAGGTCAATTAGCCTCCCACCGCCCTTAAGTCGTTTGTAGGTTATTAGATTCCTTAGAGCAAAGCGTTTCTTACCTTATGTTCCGCCATCCTGGCTCATCATCAGCATGGAGAATGTGCCACCACATCCCCTGCTCATAGGCAAAGTCTTTGATGTTAGAGTAGTCTATTCCATATTCCCAAGCATCTTGCATGGCTTCTAGAATTCTGAAGCACGACATGTCAAGTTCAGGATAGTAAACTTTTAGTTTCCAACTTCTGAATGACCACTTGTGCGTAACATCTTTTTCCGAGAAATTAATGGCTGCCCTGTTGCACTTGTTCTGTGTTTCACTTGAGCTGATATATTGAAGTACGAGCTGTAAGAGAGAGATGACGAAAGCACCTGCTGCTAGGATAGCAGCAGCAAGGAAGGTACGGTCCGATGCTGTTTGCATTGAGTTTGACATTGTTGTTAATTCGGCCTGATAAAGCTGGAAGACTTGGTTGGCTTTTTCATGCGTTTTTGAAAACCACTCACGAGCTTGAGAACTAAGAGCCGTTTTAATCCTGCACCAATCTCTGATATTTCAATGATATGGCGAACTTAATCATGAATCGTGAAGTTTACATAGCCTTGAAATGGCATTTCAAACGTCATTCTGAAGTTTCGTAAATGGCGATAAGACAATTTGATCAAAGACGTCGGAAATTCACTTCCATCACAATGCAATAAGTTGTCGACTCGGAAACAGCATTCCAGGGTCCTATTGTCACGATGGCATATGGTAGGCTTTTATGGTCCATACAATAGCATATTTTGAACCTCAATCAAGAGCCATTGATGCGCGCTTTCTTCTCCGTTACTGGTATTCGAACAAGCTCTGAGTAAAGCAGAACGCGTACGGAGATACTGCGCACCCACCGGAATTCATGATGAACAAACTCTTGACAAGAATTCGCAGTCCAAGAGACATAAGCGCTGTCAACATTGAACGAAGGATGTCAGCAGATGGTAAAGGTATGTTCTTGAGAATGTTCAGAAAGGAGAAATGGATTGTGGAGTAGGCTGTTGAGCAAGAGCCAATCGGCGTGCAGCTTTCTCCGTAGCTGCCTTTGTTTTTTCGGCGGCAAATCAACACCTGGCATCTCTGTCGACACACAGCTTCATGTCTTTTTGAATTAGACCAAAGGGTCTAATCGATATATATCATGGAGAAAGACTACAAAGCTCGCAAAGAGGCATTTGTGTCCAATCTCTCCGGTGGGGATATCAACGAAATCAATACAGTTGCCCTCGTGGCATCGGTGTGTCATGCGTCGAATGTTTTCATCACTGAAAGAAGAACCATAAACTCACACGGTGTCTTGTTCTAGGTATCAGCGCTATTATGGTCTACGCTACAGTCACGCATCTCTTTCTTTTCTCCATATACCCCTAAAGCGCTTGTCGCTGATTTTCTGCTCAATGTTGTCGCCATTCTCTTTTCGACAACAGTATATTCGACCTCTCCTTTGCTCCTGAATATTCTTCTCCTCACGCCTGTCGTATTTATTCTGCTAAGGTTTAAACCGGTTTATTCGCGGCAGAAGCAAGCGAAGCCTTCGCGAGCAAATCAACAGCAGAATGCGGCCGGATCTGACAAGTCGAACGATGCGACCAAGAGCCCAGAATCCTCTCCGGTGCACCCCTTTCTTACTACATATCGAGCTGCGATGATGGTGGTGACATGCAGCTCCATTCTTGCTGTGGACTTTCCGATCTTCCCTCGGCGATTCGCTAAAGTTGAGAACTGGGGTACTTCGCTTATGGATTTGGGAGTGGGTTCTTTCGTCTTCTCAGCTGGTGTCGTGTCAGCTCGTTCTATACTCAAGGCCCGAGCAGCCGGGACATCTCAACAGTCAAATTTACTTTGGAGACTTGCCGCAGCATCTCGACATTCCATACCTTTACTTGTATTGGGCCTGATACGCTTGTATAGTGTCAAGGGTCTCGACTATGCCGAACATGTAACGGAATACGGCGTACACTGGAACTTCTTTTTTACGCTTGGGTTTTTACCCCCTTTTGTGGAGATTTTTCACTCTTTATATTCCATTATTTCATCATACGAGCTCTTAGCCCTTTTTACAATTACGGTTTATCAAGTTGCCCTAGAGTCCACGGACTTGAAAGCTTATATCCTCGTGTCGCCGCGTGGCCCCGACTTGCTTTCGAAAAATCGGGAGGGCGTATTTTCATTCATCGGATATCTCGCTATTTTCCTCTCTGGTCGGGCCACCGGTCTTCGAATTATCCCTCGAGGAACGGCTAACAACAAACCATCCTCGGCACAACAGGCTAGAAAGCGCGTGCTGATTTCTCTAGCAATTATGGCCGTAGGCTGGGCAGTGCTCTTCTTTTTCAATTCTACGCCAGCTTTTGGATACGGCGCCCGGATTCCGGTATCCCGCCGTTTAGCAAATATGCCGTACGTCTTCTGGGTGTCTGCATTTAATAATGCGCAAATATTCCTGTTCTGTCTCATCGAAACACTGCTTTTCCCATCAGTGCACAAAGCCACCGAAAAGGAGACGGAGGCAGAGAAGAGCAATTTCGCAACTAGCCGCATCATGGCCGCATTTAATAAGAATGGGTTGGCTGTCTTCTTAATAGCAAACCTGCTTACCGGAGCTGTGAATTTGTCGTTCAATACGTTGGATGCAAACGCCTGGCAATCATTGGCTATTTTGGTTGCTTACATGGCTTTCGTCACTGCTTTTGCCTTGGGCTTACAGGCTTCCGGGCTGAAACTGAAGATATAGCATGCCTTATTGAATGTATCCTGTAAAATAAAATATCAATTTGAATCTCAACGGTCTAGATTTCCCCGCAAAATAAGAGTTAACGGAAGCCGATTGGCTGAGCTCGGGTGATGTCAGGAAGCATTCGCATGTGATTGCCTCTCCTCTTTCCAACGTCCGCCCTGAACCTTTCTACAACTTCCTCCCCCACGGCTCGTTTATTACAAGTCTCTCATATATGCTAACTTATTCGCTGGAAATGGGCGCTACTCACTTTCGTCACTATCCCGAAGTCCGCAAAGGGCCTGAGAAACCGTACGAGAAGGAGGACATTGCTTTGCCGGTCCTCCGAGGGCCATCATTAAGCATCAGTGCGACTGTGTATGTTGATCATTAACATTTCCTGTCCCAGACCGCTGTTTCTAACTCAAAATTCCTGATCCAGAATACACCATTTGGAATTCCTTCAAAATCATTTATGGCGCAGCAGCGGCTTGACCAATTTCCGCAAAGCAGAGAATATTCTCAACTCATATCAACCAAGGTTTGACCCAACAGTATGGCCTATACTGAGCAATGAGTCGGAGCAATCGTCGACTTCACTTCCGGCTCCTCAAGAACAGCGTGGCTCTAGTTTGTCGGGGTTTTGGACTTCGGCAGATTATCATCAACGGTATCTATCCGGTGATTTGACACCGACTATTGTCGTTGAGACACTACTTCCCATGATCCAGAGAGACGCAAAACCACCTGGTAGATTTTCCATTGGGTTTTTGGAAGCGAAAATAGAGCTGGTTAGAGCTGCGGCTGCGGCGTCAACTAAACGGTATAGAGAGGGGAAACCCTTGGGCCCTTTAGATGGTGTACCTGTCGCTGTTAAGGATGAGGTCCATATGAAAGGTTATAAAAGAACACTAGGTAGCAAGTCTGATTTCTCCCATGGATTTGATGTAACTTCGTGGTGTGTTGAGAAGTGGGAGGAAGCTGGGGCTATTGTGATTGGGAAGACAACTATGCATGAGATTGGAATTGGTGAGTATTATTTTTTTGAGGGACTGCGTTTAAAGATCCCAAGGCTGATGGGATTTAGATACAACAAACAACAACCCCAATACCGGCACTCCTCGCAACCCATATAATCGCAACTATTACTGCGGTGGCTCATCTGGAGGATCAGGTTATGCTCTTGCTACCGGTCTCGTTCCAATTGCTCTTGGTGCAGACGGAGGCGGCTCCATTCGAATTCCATCTTCGTATTGTGGCGTTTACGGCTTGAAACCCACCCACGGCCGCATCTCTGCTGTTCCTACACCGTCACTAGCTCCCAGTGTTGGCGTGTATGGGCCTATGTCTTCTAACATTGATGACCTTGCACTCGCATATAGACTCATGGCTGCGCCGCCTCCTATTGAGGCGGATAGTATAGCTTCGGGGTTTTCGAACCCACTTGCTGAAATACAATTCAACACGAACACCAGGACCATCGGTGTATTCCAAGCATGGATTGACCGCTCCGAGCCAGCTGTTCGGAACATATTCGACCAAATCATAAAGCATCTCAAAACCCAAAAAGGATACAACATTATCGACATAGAGATTCCATATCTCCCCGAAGGCCAACAAGCACACGCACTCACAATTCTCGCCGAACTCGCCGCAGGAATCCCAGCATCAGACGTTACTTCCCTACTCCCACATACCAAAGTCCTCATAACCGTCAGTGGAAGTAAATCCACAGGGACAGACTATATAGCAGCGCAAAAACTGCGAAGTCTACTCATGTCCCATCTATCATATCTGTTCACCACCCACCCAGGACTATTGATTCTCACGCCCACAGCGCCCATAGCAGGATGCGAAATCAAAGGCGGAGAAAAAGATCTATCGCACGGGGTTATGGATACATTTACATCCACGAGGAGTATGGAATATGTTTGGCTAGCGAATTTTACGGGCTGTCCTGCTATTAGTGTCCCCGGAGGATATGATGATAGTACAGGAATTCCAGTCGGGGTGATGGCGATGGGAGAATGGGGTAGTGAAGAGAGTTTACTGGAGTTTGCGAGGGATACAACGGACACAGGGACTTTGGGAGTTGACGGACGATTAATGACACCCGTTGCTGAGCGTGGGAGAGAGGACCCTGCATGGGTGGATGTTATTGGTGAAGCGGAGAGGAAGATGAATGGGTCGAATGCTAGCAAGTTGTGATGACTGTTAATTCCATTCTTCCAAGCTTGGCTTCTTGTTTGCAGGCTCAGTAATAATCATCACGTATAAGGTTGTGGCATTTGGGAATATATTGAATGATTTGATTATGCCAGTACATACAACTAAACAATTTATACCAAACAACCATAGTATAACACCGAACACAACCCTGGAAACGAATCAAACACCTTCCTCTATAAAACATGGACGTTGCCGCCAGATATCTCAACAACTCCATCCCAAGTGAAACATATACGTAAACGATAAAACCAACCTCTATAAAGGATACAGTAGGAAAAAGAGAAGCTCAAATAAAAATACCCTCCCCTTGAAATGGTACATGAAACTCACAACCCAGCCCAGCCTCGTCACTCTGGTCACGCAATTCTTCTAGTATGCGTTCCTTCGGATGTGGGCCATCCGTCAGGGTATCTTTGACATGGATAATGAAAACTTTGAAGCCTGCCAACGGCTGCGGGGATGCGTTTTCGGAGTCTGTCCATTGCGCGTCAGGATAGGTGAAGCCCGCTTCTCCGCTCTTTTCACCTCCTTGTTCGCTGGCAAAGTGAACGCTTTCGTTCGTCTGTCGTGGTTGGTGGTCTATTACAGCGACATCGCCGTTGTCATCAAATTTTCCTCCATCTGGTGTTTGCGTGGATGTACTTGCTCGAGCGCCAGACATTGGTGATTTCTCGCTCATATCTCTATTGTCTCTCGGTCTTGTTGTAATCTGGCGTGTTGAATGGGGACTTACGGGTTGATCGCGCGCATAATCGAGTGTATCGGAATCCTTCCTCTTTCTCTTACTCGAGCGACCTCTTCGCTTTTGACCTTTCTGTTGCTGATGGTCCGGTTTCAATTCATCTACTTTGCTTGCAAGCACTTTCAGTTCTGCGATTAGATGTCGCGGACACAAGTGGCCATAAAGAGTCTCATCGTCAATTGCATCGTTATAAGAACATTCGATGAAAATGGCTCGTAGTGAACCATTAACTATTTTTGGCGCCGCGATTTCCCATACGCGCTTGTTGCGAGGTTCGAGAGATACCGAATCTGGCTCAATGTCGCCAAAGATAATGATTTCTTTGCCGGTGTCCTCGTCGCGAATAAAGTATGCCGAGCTTTCTACAGTTCCCCAGATGGTGGAATCTTTAGAAGGGGTGGCTCCTAAGCTTGATCCAATGTGTGGTGAACGTGCTGGGGAAAACATGCTGACCATTCAAAGCCAATGTTAGCATAATGATAAAACAAACCCGACTGAGAAAAGTTTCCACTTACGCTCCATCGGATTGATCCATTGATAAGGTTCGAGCGTTCACCATTTGATCGGCAGAAAATACTGCACTGCCTATCCGATGATGTCGTCCGGTCTCTGGATCAAATCGCTGCTTGCACCGACCGTGGCTTACACTAAGACATTTGGTGACAAGACCCTCGCATGCTCGCACATATCCCCGGCTCTCTCCTCGTCCAAAACGTGGATTCCCGCCTTCAACAAGTCTCTGATAGGTAATCAAGCCAGCACCCCCATCTTCATCAGACAAGTTTGGCCAGATGATATCATTGAACATGTGATTTTTCATTGCGGAAATGGCAGATGGAAGACCTGCGACTGTCTTTGGGCCGTTACTCGCCTCGACAATGGGTGTGTTGATGGCCAGCCCAGAAAGGTGGTCTAGATGCGGATGTGTAATGAGCACCGACGCAATCACCTCCCGAAAGATGTAAGCAGCATTGGCTTGAGGTGTCCTGTGAGGAGCATGCAGCCCTTTAAAGGGCCCATCCTTCACGACTGCTCTACTTTGGTCATCAGTCGTAAGAGTTTGATCTAGAATCCGGACAATACCCGCAAGAAGAGTACCAGCATCTACTGCAACAACGGAGCTCTTAGACCAATTTGTTGAAGTAGATCTTACCAAAAGTCCTGTAACAGCATCTTCTTTTGGACCACCAGTTGGACCCTACGCGATGAATTAGTTTCGTTTTTGTTTTACTATCGGAAAATTGAAGTAACAGCAAGACCTACCAGAACGATCACCTGAAAAGCCGGATTGTCCATCTCGTCAATTCTGTATCACAAAACCGAAATTCCCCGCTTCGTTATACTCAGGAATTGTGACAATTGTATAGAAAACCCGGGGAAAGGATGTCGCTAAATCCTTCCCGTCCGGGATGACCACCAAATTTTTAGCTGCTTTGAGGCTTGAATGCTGATTGGGGTCTTGAATATTTTTTTTTCTAGAACTGGAGGCAATGTTGCAAAAGGATTGAATGGGCGGGGCCAGAAAAGGGAAATCCAACAATCACCCTGCCCTAGGCAAACTACAGGTATGCATATGGGTTGCTGATTTCCATGCATGCATATGCCAGATGAGACGCTGGTAGTAACAGGATCAGTGATGTTGAACCGGGTACATTTGACCTCTAAGTAACTAGGGTCGAAAGGACGCTGGATGTCTGTGTGGTGGGAGATCGTAGACCGGCTCGTCGCACTTGTCCTGCTCAAGTTCGGAGATTCGCAAGTAGCCACCAGAAAGAGGAAAAGAAGCAGAAGGAAAATCTCTCAAGACCCAAGGAGGTCGCACTAAAGAGTGAATGCCCTTAATGGTTTGCTGTCCCCTGCAGTGACATCGTCCATCCAATCCGATGTATAAGCACGAAGGAGGCTTGACGCTAACAAAGGTCAAGCGAACGCAGCGAAAAAGTAAATAACCTCCGAAAGAGCACAATTGACTAGCGAATTCTTGCGAAAAAAACGCTCGAATCCCAAATGGACGGGTCAAGAAGCAATAATCACATCAGAAGCCAAGAAGAAATTGTCGAGAGAAAGAAAAGAAAGGAAGAAAGGAAGTGGCGAAGTAGAAGGTGAGAGTGATTTGCCAACTCTAAATCTGTGCTCTGCAGGGTAATTTTTCTGGAACAATGAAAGAACTTTCCTCTTTCCGCCAGCTATTCTCCGCCGCAAACAAATAAACAGAATCCTCGAAGTTATATCGGAAGTACGAACTACGTAGTTACGTACTACCATACATCTTCCCCAGACTCAGACTGGAGAATGAAAATTACGTAGTGAACGGCCAATCAGACGGCGGGATGTAGCGTTTGCTGCCTGAGGCTATCCATAGATGGTTTAGTGCGTGCATCATAGATAAGATCTTAGATATTCAGACTGATTCAGTTCAATATGTAACACTATATACGTATATGCCTCTGTTACAGTCTGTGCGCTGAACGAATGCTATCATATTCTTGACCAGCTGCCAAGTAGAAATATAAAAAGATGGGGAATCGTCTAGATAGGACAAAAAAGAAAAACACGTGGAGGAAAATTCCACATGAACCAGACCAAATGTATCCATAATTCATCCTTGCCAACCCAAGCCAAAGCCTAGAAACACAAAGCCAATACACCAAATAGAAACAGGACGCCATCCATGACCGCTAATTTCAGGAATCACAACAATGCCCCGAGGGTATGAGAGAAAGAGGAGACTTAAACCAGTCGCGAGAATGTAAGACACATTGACAGAAAAGTAGGAGACACTGGGATATATATAGATGTGGGGAGAAGTCCATCCCGGCCATCATGGTTCATCGTGATGACTGTGATGCTGTTGGTTCCCTTCATCAGCCGCCACGGCAGTATACCCAGGTGGATGACTAGCATCTCCCCCCTCATGATCCGAGCGAAAGCTATTTCGACTAGACTCTGGACTTGAATATTCCGGGGGCGGACTAGCCGCCGTGATGTATAAGCCATCCTCTGCAGTGTTCACAGTATTACGGCTAGAGCCTTCTCCAAAGTCCTCATGCGAAGGTATATGTGCTAGCTGGGCCAGAGATATGTCGGTTGGTGACCGGATCGGTCCGGGACTAGTCGGCACAGTGGATCGCGAACCTCGATATCCAGCTTCAAGATAACTGGGGGCAACAGGGGCTGTGGTCTCACGACCGGATTCGAGCAGAATGCTTCCTTGTTCACTTCCATACGGAGGCGGTGGTGCAAGGCTACCAGTCATGGGAGCCAAACCCCACTTCTTGACGTTGGCTTCAATAAAAACGAATCCCATCTGCCCGAAATTCACATGGATTGTACACGGTCCATTGGCACCCACTGTTGGGAAAAAATTTGGCGATTTGAGACCATGGACTACATCCTCCAGTTTTTTACCGTTGCGAGTGAAGAAAATTGTGCCGGATCGAGGCCGATAACCCACTCCAATGACATCGCCCTGATTATATTCTGGACCATAGCTTGGAGATTTGAAGGGTTGGTTGTACCTTCGCTCGCCGGTTGACTGATATGCCACTGAAGTTTTGTGGAATCCTAACATCGCAGGTGTTAACCAACGATCTCAAAAGACCTGTAAGAAATGTACATACCTGGCAATCTAAACAATGGATAAGGTTTTGTAGTCATTCCAATACTGATCAGAGTCGACTCCGGTTTATCGTAGATCTTCGCCTCCCAGTAATAAACTTCGTTCTGTTTAGGCACTGGTAGGTTGGTCTGAACGCTGCATTCGGAATCAAAGAATTCGATTTCAGTTCGAGCCTCCACAAAACAGTTGGCTATTTCTAACTCGGGCTCAAATTGCCACGCCGACACTCCCTTTTCTTGTATAGCGAGGAATTGCGATAACGATATATCAGTCTGCATGGTTTCGGGCGGGTTTGCTTGAATGAAAGCTATTGAGAATCAACTGTTAGCTGAGTCTTCCTCAACCGCGATGATGGTGAAACAAACCTTTAGCTCGAAGGTATTCCGTTCGAGAGAGATCGTCCATCGTCTCCAAGGCTTCCGCCTCCTCGCGGGCGAATGCTTCTTCATCGTCAAATTCTCCAGGTCTTCCTATCCTATCAAGCAAGATTCGACCACGTCGAGTATATTTGAAAAACAAAATAATCGTAAGCACAACGATTGCAACCCCAGCAGAGCCCAAAGCCGAGAGAATGCCTATCAGTATACCTTTCCCCGTCGACCCGGAGACGGCGGCAATCTCAGCCATGATATCTGAATTCGATGATACGCCCGTATACATTGGCTGCTGGGTGGACTCTGCTATTTTGAATTCTGTCTGAGAATGTATACGAAGCGATGTCGTGAAGCCAGTCGGTGACGCCATGGCCGGCGTCAACAGGACCGGATCGGGCGGGGGCATTACTGGTGCATTTAAGAGCGGATGGTCGGTCGGGCGAGTGGGACGCGATTTATATTCCGAGTTTGCTTTGGTATTCACACAACCGAAGGGAGATGATAACGAGAGAGGCGCTGCAGTCGTGGATGATTGAATATGGAAATAAGAGGAAGAGAGAAGGCACAAGGCAGAAGGCAAATGGCTGACTTGACAGAATGACTTAGTTTGGTATTCGTCTCAGAGTGGCCTCTCACTGGCCAATCACGGGCCGTATAGATGCCCAGCCTTTCCCTTTCTGGCCGAGTCGTCGCCGCTTTCGTACGATATCACGTGAAGACGTCTGATCTGTTCGTGAATTTTTTTCTGTCTCTTGCCTTGCTTACTTGCCAATCAAGGACTTCATGTCTGGACATCTGAATACGGTCTTTGTGATTGGGGTTGTAATTATGTGATCCCTTTCCACTCCTTTCCATCTCCCTTTACTGCTTTCTGTGGTACGTATCCTTTTATCCTGGCAGCCATGTTATGAAGGTAAAGGAGGGGCTCTATTATGCTAGGAAAGAATGCGCATTACTATGGACTTATAGACATCCATACAGGGCATACGTAGAGACATAGGAAAGTGGTATATGCAATGTGCGTACCCAGCAATCAGGGGGAATCAAAATGGCAGATATTCAAAGCATTTCATGCGCAGGCGGCCAGTCTATCGGCGTCTTTGGCAGTTCTACAGGTTCCCGCTGCCTAGAAACAGTGCTGTACGCCTGTTGATTTGGTATATGTTCGGTCTGAGGGGCGGTGGCATATGCCGATGTCTGAGCGTTTCTCTTCCTTTGGTTCCACCACCAAAGACCTAGTCCGATCGCAGCAACTATAACAACACCACCTACTATAGGGACGGCAATCCAAGCTCTGCTGCTACTGCCATTCGACGACGAAGAGGGCGAAACATCCAACGCATCAGAGGAGGTGGAATTAACGATGGGAGCGTAGTTCATATTTGATGTGTCTAGTACCAAATTCACGGAATTAAGCAATTGGCAGTTTGCGTATCCGTGTCTCATGCTGGGATCGAAAACGACTGCCTCGCAGGAGGGAGATCCGCCATAAGAAGCACAACTATTTACACAAGCCGTGATATTCGGCTGGTACGAGAATGCCAGATTAGTGGCTCTGGTTACATGTTACCCGCAGGAGATCGTGAACGCGGTATCTTTTCCGTTCGCGTTGCTGGTATAATTCTTCTATGTAGGACAATCCGTAGGCAGGAGTTAGGAGATTTATGACAGCCGTGTGGAGAGTATGGCCTTGGGTGTTCATATCAAATTCGACGAGGGGTTGACTTGCGTTTTTCAAGTAACAGTTCTGGTATCCATGAATTATACCGGGATTCCACGAAGCAGATTGACACAACGGATGTGCTGCAGCGCAGTTATTCATGCATTCTTCCAAACCGTCGACGTGGATGGGACAATATTTCGAAGACCAGGGACAGTAGTAACCCATCGAGGGTGCCATTGAGCATTTGATTATGAAATCCACACCAGCTGACGAGGTTTGTACTGAATTATTTGCATAGGGACAAGACGTATCTGCAAGAAACAGCTGGTTCTGACTTGCGAGGGCAACCGCGCGGTCTTGATCGGGGCGAAGATTGTACTCGGCCGATGCGGTTTGGTTGGTTAATTCCCAACATGAGCTGTTGGACGATTGTTAGACGGTACCGTAACATAAATAAGTTTCTTCGGAGCAGCTATTTATGCATTGCGTTAGATTCGCTTTTGTTGTTGGTGCGCTGGTACTGTATGCTAATGTTGCGATGTTTTGACCGCAATACGTGGTGAAGTTGAGTCCGTCTGGAGCTGTATAGCTGCCATTGTTCTGGCAGCCCAGTGGTCTCGGTTGCTGATTCGCGACGCGCAGTCTTTGTTAGACTTCTTATTCAGAGGTTAAAAGAAAGGCTTACACATGACCGGAGGACAACTGAAATATCGAAGTGGCAGACAATGTCAAGGGATGCGGATGAAGCGCGAATTGGGTTGTCAAGCTACTCTTCATAATAATTATTCTTGGCCATCTGTCATGTGCAGATCGGCCACTAAATCTACCTGCGTATTACAGCGTGTTTCAACTTTGCACACTTCTTAGGGCTTCGTGGTAATCTTACGATGCGATACGAGATACGAAGTTGTACTTTTGGCGTTACAAAAATAGAGTAAATCTGACCAATGCTCTTTGTTGTTTGGCCCACAAAGATGTACTATAGTATACTTGTTGGGAAATCATTGCCTTTAATTGGGCCAGTTTGTAATACATCTGCCCCACTTTATCAGTCAGTAAGGTTTGATACTGGGTACCCCAAGTGGGGCGTGATTGTTTTGATGTTCCGGGTCCTCTCCAATCACAATTGAGTACAACGCACTCCGTATAGCATCTATATTTTCCTATATAACAAGAATAAGACACAGCTATGATTATCCAATGGTAGCATAAATGAAAGTGAAGAGACGTATAGTCCTAGTTTTATACGAAGAAGTACGTCGAGGGAATGACTAACTTGTCTCGACAAGGAGGGTGATTGATTTGAAACTGCTTTATCGCACGACGGATCCCCTAGGGAATTTGGCAGCCCTAGTTCCTACTTATAGTCATCTAGATTACTCACTACACTCCTAGGCTTATGGGAGCTTACAGTTCATTGGTCAGTTTTGAAAATGTAGTGATGGGTGCTATTATGTAGAATAATTGAAGCAATTCTAATTGACTTTGATCAGCTACTACTCTTTATCCGATGTAGTGGAATCACTTACTAGACATTCCCATTCCCACATAAAACCTAGAGAACCTTATCAAGAAGTGGAAGTCATGTTTCATGCCGCATAATAGACTACCCATAACATTTCCAGGATATGGACTTTTTGAAAAAGAATGGTATTCAAATTCTTGCAAACCTTGCGGTATCCGAGCTGCAGAGATCTGCTAGTAAATGGGACTTGCCGCACCTGCACGCTTTCAGACTGCTCACACTCCGAGACAAACATTTTCCGGATATTATTAAGAGCGAACATGAAAACTGCCCACTCTGCCATCCTGGCAGGCCGTGTTTACAGAATATCGATAGTGAGTGGGTGGAAGATCTAGCCCGACTTCAAGAAATGCACCGACTCGGAGCTTCTCAAGCAACCTGGTGGATTTTTCTGGGTAACACTTGCACGAGCAGCCCGTACAGACATTGAGCAAGAAAGAGAAGAGCGACCAGAGCGTAAGAGGCGCGAACTGGAGCGATATGGCTACCTTAATACCACATAAGCCATTGTAAGCCCTTCCCTTACCCCTACCCCGACCCCGTCACCTCAACAATCTGAGTCCGAGTATGAACCTGACCCTAATGATATCGACGAAGATAAGCATGACGCACGGCGAAGTAAGCCAGAGGATGTGACACTGCATCTTGTGCAATGCTTTATTCAGTATACCCTGCATCTCTGCCATTTGCAGGACACGGTCGACGGTACTGAGGTGCGCCGCCCGAGTCGAGCGCAGAATATGCATAGTCAAGGTGGCGAACCAGTACGAGTTCAGTGCTGAAGATGATGGTGGACTTTGTGAGATGGTGCGCGAAAATCTTGGCTGGGAGTTGGAACATCCTACTCTAGCCAATTCCCGAGGCAAAGGAGGCTTTCAAACATCTGCAATTTGGTGAGACTGGAAAGCCCAATCCAGTCTTATCAAATGAGACCCTGGCTCAGTACCTCGGTGGAGCTTTGGCCACATGGAAATCAAATCAACAAGCACACTCCTGACTGAGTAGATCTTCTGTTCCTCCCAGTCTTCGTGTGTCACATTCTTTTGATTCACGGGGCTGACAAGGGCTATCCTCAAGTGTCTTTGTCATCGCCGCTGCGAATACTTTTTTACGACTGATCCACTTCAAATTCGAGCCTGGATATGAGAAGTACCTGAACGCGGAACAGGAGCTTAGCCAGAGGGATTTGGTGGAGATAAAACTTTGGACACAATCGCACACACGCACGGGACGAATTGGTTCAACCTTCAGAATTCCACGGAGCGGAAATCTGCCCTATGCAATATATTAGCGCTTTAACGGTGGTATTCGAAGCAGATTGTCGAGGACAGTGTCGAGGACAGAGTGGAAGACAGTGAGGAGGACGATTAAAAGTTCTGTGGAACAACCAGAAAGCCTCTCAGGATCCAATTCGAAATATTCGGAAATAGGGTTGATTTGGAAAAGAAGGGCACTCGAATATATTGATCTGTTTTAAGGATGAATAATTATGATACTCTTCAGTTCCATATAATTTATAAAAGCAATCCAAATTAAGATCAGTACAAATAACAATATGGGATTCGGGAAGGCCTTCCTTTCGTTAGGAGGGCCCTCTACTATCCTATCTACGTCTCTTGCGTGGGACAAACAGTGGAGCCCGCCTCCGCACTCATTCCGCCCAACATCTGGCGACTCTTCCACAACCAAACCGTTGAAGTTTATCGATAGCTTGGACTATATAACTATATACATATGCTCAAGGCTATACAATATCGCTCGAAATGAGTCCCTCTCCAGCACTGCACGCTGCTGCCTTCCAGGGCATTGGTGCACCCGACATTCAACGTTTCCACATCAACCTATCCGTTGGATCCAACGTCAACAGATACCCAGGTGAGTGAAGCGACTCTTCAACTCAACCCTGTTAGTAACTAATCTTGACCGGACAGCGAAACAGCATGCTCGCAAAGTTGCTTCTAAGCTCGGTATTAGCCGAGGCCTTATCTACCTAGTTGGAAAACCCACTGTATTCCTCGATGACTCAGATCAAACCATACCATTCCGGCAGCGACGATACTTTTACTACTTGAGCGGTGCGAACGAACCAGATTGTCATCTTACCTACGATATCGCCAAAGATCACCTTACCTTATACGTGCCCGATTTTGATTTGCGACAGACAGTGTGGATGGGTCCTACTATCTCCATTGGGGAAGCTCTGGATAGGTGAGGCTATGACGAAGATGGTGTCGGGGAGAGCTGGTATTGACCTATGCGCGAGAACAAAAGATACGACATCGATAATGCCCGGTACGCAGGGTCCCTGCAAACCGATATCAGTGGCTGGCTCCGTCTGCGCGGCGATGACTCCCAAATCATTCTTCTTCACCCCGACCATCGACCGCCCATTGAGTACGAACAAGATCTATTCGAGACAAAAAATTTGGTCCCGGCCATGAATGCGGCTCGCGGAGTCAAGGACTCTTACGAAATCGAAATGATCCGAAAAGCAAATATCGTTTCCGGATTGGCGCATACGGCTGTGTTGGAGAAAATCGGACAGATGACGAATGAATCCGATATCGCCGGCCTGTTTTTGGAGACCTGTATGACTCACGGGGCTCCAGACCAAGCTTACGGCATCATAGCCGCTTCGGGCGAGAATGGAGCGACGCTACATTACATGAAGAATAATGAGGATTTTGGTAATCGGCTCTCAGTTTGTCTGGATGCTGGTGCCGAGTATGAATGTTATGCATCAGATGTCACGCGCACATTCCCGATTAGTCGGACGGGTGAATGGCCTACTCCAGAAGTACGAGATATCTATCTTGCGGTCGAAAGGATGCAGGAAGAATGTATACGCTTGATCAAGCCTGGAGTCCGCTTCCGTGATGTGCATCTGCACGCCAGCCGCGTCGCCGTCGAAGAGTTGCTGAAGCTCGGCGTCTTTCAGAAGGACAATTCTGTCGATGCAATCATGGCTTCTGGAGCAGTCTCTGTTTTCTTCCCACATGGTCTAGGTCACCATGTCGGATTAGAGGTCCACGATGTTGCTGAACAGTCCGTGATGGCAGCCACCGATGATTCGTCACCGAGGACGCGGGTTCGAGGATTCCTAATGCAGCCCGCCAGTGCTATGTCAGCAGCACTTCTAGAAGAAAGCATGATCGTGACTGTCGAGCCAGGAATCTATTTCAACCGCTTAGCGCTAAAGAATGCGCGAACATTACCCATTGCCCGATTTATCGACTTTGATGTAGTGGAGAGGTACTACCCTATTGGTGGTGTCCGTATCGAAGACGATATACTTGTCACGGCTACGGGGTACGAGAACCTTACCACGGCTCCTAAAGGTGAGGAAGCATTGGATATAATCCGAAGGAGCTCTGTGAAGAGCTCTAGAGCATGATCTATTCCCCACCATTTTCCCCCGATTTGTTCATAAATGGACATAGTTAAGTGTAGTTACTATGTAGCTACCATGTAGCGACCATGTAGTTAGAATTAGATAATCCTATAACCACAACATCTAACCTAACCTAAGCATAACATACCTATGACATGACCGAGTGGTGTGATCTTAGCAAAAATAACCCGGGATGTCGGCATCAGATGATGTCGGGGCAGATCCGGGCAGCCTCCCGAGTCGCGGCCAGACCCTCGAAAATTTTCATCCCTGAACCACGTCATTTCTGAAGTAATGAGAGGAGTGACTCCTGTTTCAATGATAACGAAAATTTTCTTCAGTGTACGGAGTAAGAGTCACAGAAACGGAATCGGCCTTGCGATCGCGTGATTTCCGGATGATCTACGTTTCAGTCCCTGAGCTGTTCTCCTGGTATGGCATAACGTTGGGTTAGCACCGTTAGGAGGAGAAAAATTGCTCATCAATCACCCAATATAGCGTGAGTCAGGGTAGAGTCAGAGTGGGGCGGAGCCATTTCGTGCTTCCGCCTGGCAATGAGTCACTGTCTGCCCTATGCATGACTCGGCCTGTATATAAGGCTCTGCTTCTCCCAACCCCGTATATATCAAGAGCCTTTTGATGCTCCAGGTCTTCCTCCTTTCATCATCATGATTGGGGGTTGATCATCGCCTACTCTCCTTTCAGTCATGCTCCTCTCTCCTTCTCATATCTGGGCTTTTCTATAACTATACCTTACGGACGGAGTTGGGGAAAATCCAAAAGTGATTTTACGCTCGAAAAGTGGTTTTACGCTCGGAACGAATCCCTCTTCAAAAGAAAAAAAAGAATAAAAATAAAAATAAAGACATCTCAATATGGGTCAACGACATAACAGACGCCGTACTCGTCCACGGTCTCGCAACCGGGCCGCAAGCCTCGATTCTCTACGGAGTTCTTCAAGTTCAATCGATTACCGTCAAGAGCCGGCAGCTAGCTCTCCCGTCCACAAGTTTTCTGAACCTGTTGTTCTTGTACCACTCGCACACACCCGGCACAACTGGCTAGAAGAATGGCAGAGTTCCGAATTTAACGAGTCGTTTGACGCGGAACAGCAGCAATGCCGATATTTTGGTGGTGAACCCGGAGATGACGAAAATTTGTGTTATTATATGCTCGACTATTTCGGTCGACTCGATTATATCGATACCTGATATGTTTTGAATATGGGATTACGGAAGGGATAAAAAGAAATTATTCAACATCGGAGAATGAAAAAGGACAAGACAATAACGACTACCGACAGACGAGAACCCTCAATTGTTTCCGCCTCTTCAGGCCTCTTACTCTTGAGCTGTCTCTCGATCCGGCTGGTCAACGAGTCCACAATCGTCACGAATCAATCATTCAGTGACGTGATCCCGTACAGGAACAGTGCCAACCCGAAACATCTCGTCACCTCCGTTCGCACTATCAGAGCCGTTCGACTTGTAGCAATGAAGCGTGTTGTTTTGCTGAAAGGCAGAACCTATACGTGGATTGGTCTTTTGTAAGGCATATCTGCGAACTGTCGCAATGACGAGATGGTGGCAACCAATGTTCTTGAAGCGAAAGAGGCGAAAGAAGCGAAAGAAGCGAAAGAAACGAAATCACTCGATAACTTGTTCTGATTGTGTCCCGTCTCCGTGGGCGGTGCTCGTATGGACGATACTTGAGCTCCTCGCGAAGTCGGTTGACTGCTGGATAGTCATCGGGGGAATCATTTCGCGATGCTTCTCAGGTTAGATCAGGGCTCGGTCTTTCATCTTCAAAATAAATATTTGTGAAAGCCTGGAAAGGCTTATCATGCGCATGTACATAGTATAAACTATTCAGATGAATGAAAAGAAATCATCAAGAAGGAAGTAGAAGTCGCCAGTCCAAACTTTGTAGTGGCTCAAATAGTCGAACTAGACCGTTTAAGGAATAGCGCATTAACTAAGCAAGGACCGCCACAGCTATGCTAAGACAGAAAAAGTAGGCGGTCTGCGGAATGCGAACAATCAATCGTGTCCTTTAGCAGCAACTGCGACGGAGGGAAGGATACAGATCAACTTCACCAACTTTTACACTCCTTCTGCGTTGTATCGACCTCGCTTCGTCTGCTTCGCGGTTTGATGGAAAGTACACAGTGATCCCGCAATTCTGGCAGTCTTCAACTCGTAGAACCGGGTGCTTACCGCAACGGTCATTCTCGCATTGTTTGTATCAAGATGTCCTCCACGGATTACAATTACGATGAACAGGTACGAACGTTCTCTGTCTAGGAACATGGCATATCCAGCTAACTCAGATGTGCAGGGCCAATTCTTTCCATATTTTATTCTCACCCTAACTGGCCTCATCACTCTCCCCCTCACATACAGTCTTCTCAGTCCTCCGAAAAGTGAATATCCTCGCCTCCGATATGCATGTATGAAAATAACTGACACGACCTCTTACAGAACCCGAAAATACTGCTCCCCGAATAAATACGACCTTTAAGCCCAAAAATGACGACCTCATCCAGGCCCAGAAACGGAAGCGCTTGCGCAAGGAGAGACGAGTCAAACGTTTTATCGCTGTGCTAGTCGGCTGGGCTATCATCGGCTGGATGATTTATCTCATTATAGTCACAGCCCGTACATTGCCCAAGATATACGATCCTTATGAGATTCTCGGCGTGTCTAGGGTAAGTTTCCCGGCGCATCATTGTACTTTCTATAATTGACCTTTTTTTTTGGCTGGATATAGAGCGCCGACGAGAAGGCCATTTCTCGTCACTATAAGAGAATGTCTCTCATCTATCATCCCGATAAAATTCGACCGGACCCGGCAAAGAATGAGACGATTGATGACCTCAATGAACGTTTCGTGGAATTGACCAAGGCCTATAAAGCGTTGACAGACGAGGAAGTCCGAAACAATTACCTACAATATGGGCATCCTGATGGCAAACAAAGCTACAGCATTGGAATTGCCTTACCGAAGCTGATCATTACCGAAGGTATGGGGAAATACGTTCTCTTAGTCTACGGAGGTCTTTTGGGTGTTCTTCTACCGTATATTGTTGGGAAATGGTGGTACGGGTCTCAGCGTTATACCCGGGAAAAGGTTCTCATTGCAAGCGCTGGCAACATGTTCAGAGAATACAAGGAAGATATGATCGGTGGTCGCGTCATCAGCGCTCTTTCAACTGGAGAGGAGTACAAGGAACTGCTGAAGGGCTCGAGGTCGGAAGAAGGTCTGGCCAAAGTTGAAAAGAAAGTGATGGCCATTGATGAGAAAATACTACCCTCAAAAGACCGCGAAGTGATTCGAAAGTTGGATGACACCACAAGAAGGAAGGCGCTATCATTACTATGGGCATATCTCAATCGGATTGACCTCGAAGACACTACACTGGAACAAGGTTTGATTTTTCACTTATTGATTAGTGTTAGACGTCATGCTGATTTGATGATCTGCAGAAAAATACGAAGCAGGAGCTATCGGGCTCGCTTTAAACGAATCTTTTACCGCAATTGCACTTGCCTTTGGCAATCTTCTACCTGTCATTGGCGCATATCGTTCATCTCAAAATATCATTCAAGCTATAGCTCCCGGTTCGTCGCCGCTTCTTCAGCTTCCGCACTTCACTCAAGATGTTGCCAAGTCAGTTGAAGGTAGTGATGTGAAAACCCACCTGAGTGTACAAAAGTACATGGAAATACCAGAAGAGAAAAGGCGAGATTTGACTGTGGGCCCGGCTTTGTTATCAGAGGAACAATACAAGGTCGCTATCAATGTCGCCAAGCAACTCCCGCAGTTTGTTATTGCCAAAGCTTTCTTCAAGGTTGTTGGCGAGCGTTTCATTACACCAAGCAGTCTTGTGCAACTTGTGATCAAAGGGCGCATTATCCCACCGGGCTACACGACATCCGCCCCCGAGGTTAATGAATTGGACCTGGAGGATATTGATCCCGAGGAAGGCGATCTTGACGCTCTCCACAACCGTAACTTGGGAAAGACCAGGAAGGTCAAAAGAGCAGACGGTTCGATAGTGGAAGAAAAGCAAGAAATCGTTCAGCCTCAGCTAACCTATGCCCCATTTCTACCTCGCGACCATTCTCCCAGGTGGCATGCATTCCTTGCGGACCCCAAGCAAGGAAAGATTGCTGTGCCTCCATTCACTTTCAAGACTTTCGACAAGCCTATTTTCGATGACAATGGGAAACCCACGTTCAACGTGCAGACTCTCAAAATGCAATTCCAAGCTCCTCCACAAGTCGGCGATTTCACATTTGCACTACACTTGGTCTCGGACAGTTATATGGGTTTCGATATTAAGAAGGAGATCACTCTTCACATTGACGACCCAGCCAAGGCTGTTGCTGTAGAGGAAGAGGATGACATCAGTGAACCAGATGAAGGTAACGTAGCCCACTTTCATTCCCATATGGTGTGCATCACTAACTTGAAACCAGACTCTATCGCGGGCCAAATGCAGGCCTTGAAGACTGGAGTTCCTCCTCAACCTAAGAAGAGGACAAAAAGACCTTCAGACGAAGATTCAGATGAGGAAGAGAGTGATACGGAGGGGGATGTCGAAGATACGAGCGAAACAGATACCGAGACCGATACTGATGGCGAATAGATACCTTTGTTTTTTGACTTGATTTCTTCTTTATGTAGTAAAGAATTGCATACCAATCGTCCACTTCCCTTTTTCCAATTGATCGTTCAAGGGCTCTGGTGTTCATCGGGATAGGCGATCAGAACATGTGTACTTTAAGCAGGTTTATGCAGCATTGATCAGACTATGATGTTTAAAAACCTGTAACTCTCGAGACAATTGTGCCAAGCCTTTCCTCTGAAATAGATACATCATCTGCCGCCAATTTTACAGCGAGTCCCTGTTTTTTGTATGGATCCGAAGGCATCTTGGTTGTGATTTTGAAGCTCAATTTGGGTCAATTTGTATGCAAAAATCGATTTCGTTGAGCCAGAGCCGGCCCATACTGGGAACGGTGTGAGTAAGGGTGCTGCGACAGGTACCCCAGAAGAATAGTGGAGCAGTCGTAAATAACCCTAATAACCCTAATAACCCTAGTGATGATATCCGAGTATTGGGGGTTCATGATGATGGAAATCATGGAGCCCGATACAACGTGTGTCATTGTTTTGATGAGACCAGAAAGGAAATACGAAACTTCCAGTCTCTTAACTCAAAAGAACGAACATTTATGTGTGAGTTGAATCCAGAAATTACTGGTCAGTGCCGACATTGAAAGAATATTTTCATGGCATACGGGGTCAGCCAGGCTTCATGTTGGCTATTGCTAAAAAAAAGAAAGACTTGAAGGGCATCAAGAGTCCAAGACTGGCTACGTCGAAACGTTGTCAACGTACTATGTAGGTTGGAGCGAAGTCATGATTCATATTGGTGTTGTTGATTGCTGAGCAAGGAGCATCTAAGATAAACACGTGACCTGGTTTCCTCGCCAATCCAACAACTTCATTTGACGCTTGAGTAATGATTATTAACAGCGTCGCATTGAAACAAAGCACCGGAATCGGGGTTTGTTCGCCGTCGCCGTCCCTTGACCATCAAAAATTACACCTTAACACAGCTGTGTTATGGCAGGCCTGTCAAATCATCGCAGAGAACGATTCCGTGTCTTCTCGCAGTCTGGTTACTCTGGTCCCACTGATTCCAAATGATGCCATATTGATCGAGTGATGAACGATGAATAATCCTTTCCTTCACCTCCGACGGTCACTAATCGGGTTGTGTCCGGTGTGGCCTGTTCAATAGATAAGAGCTCCTCTAAACTTTATCGCAGTTTATCTTTTTTATTGTTCCCCTCAGTGTCGCCAAATTTATTCCCATGTTCATATCCCCCTTTTTACACTGAGAGATCTTGTGTCGCGAACGTTGATATCTGATCTGACATTCATCATGCAGTGACAGCACACTTTCCTTTTTTTTCTCTCTTCCTTGATTTCTCTGCTCAAATAAGAACTTGCCCGCAGTCCCGTGATGTCGAACGACCCCGCCGTTGCTCGAGAGCTCTCCCGGCTTGACCCGGCCGTCCCCTTTCGTGCAACTTCCCAGCATCTACACTTTACATGGGCAAAGACCTTTTACTCGCGACCGGAGCTCTATATCCAGCCGCAGAGCATCGAGGAAATCCAAAAGGCTGTGACGGTCGCGCGCCGCTGTCGACGGAGATTGGTAACTGTCGGCAGTGGCCATTCGCCATCCGATTTGACCTGTACCTCCGCTTGGCTGATCAACCTTGACAATTTCAATCGCGTTTTGGACGTTTCGCAGGAAACCGGTCTGGTAACAGTGCAAGCAGGAATTAGACTCCGAGATCTTAGTCGCGAATTGCAGAAGCACGGACTGTCTTTGCCCAATCTCGGCAGTATCGACAGTCAGTCGATCGCGGGCGTGATCGCAACCGGTACCCATGGCAGTTCTTCTCGTCATGGTCTACTTTCCGAATGTATTCGAGGTCTTTCAGTGACTCTTGCCAATGGACAAACAGTGAGATGCAGTGCGACGAACAATCCGGAGCTGTTTCGCGCTGCGCTGGTATCACTGGGCGCGCTTGGCATTGTGACTGAAGTGACTCTGCAGACCGTGCCTGCCTTCCGCATTAATTGGGAGCAGTCACTTCATCCCCTGTCGGAGCTTCTCGATCGATGGGAGGGCGACCTCTGGACATCACACGAGTTTGTGCGCGCGTGGTGGCTTCCTTATATGGACCGTGCTATCATCTGGCACGCAAGCAAGACAGATTTGCCAGTACAACCGCCGCCAAAGTCCTGGTATGGTGGATGGTTAGGCTTCCATGTTTATCACAACTTACTCGCCTTGTCCAATTGGTTCCCCCGTTTCCTTCCATGGGTGGAATGGTTTGTGTTCGGGATGCAATATGGATTCAAGCCTGGTGCTGTGGTGACAAAGGCCGTGGAGCCAGCCCGAGAAGGTTTGCTTATGGATTGTCTTTACTCGCAATTCGTGAATGAGTGGGCAATACCTTTGGAGAAAGGTCCCGAAGCGATTACGCGTCTATCAGCATGGATTCACGGTGATGAGAAAACTGCGCGTATCCCATTCAGTCCCAAGGGTGTCTGGGTGCACTGTCCTGTAGAAGTCCGTGTATCCGACACTACACTGTCCTCGACACCACGCCCTTATCTCGACCCAACCTCTCGCGAGGGACCTACGCTATACTTGAATGCGACTCTTTATCGCCCCTATTTGCGGGATCCCCCATGCAGAGAACGCTATTATGAAGCATTCGAATGGCTCATGCGCGACTTGGGCGGTCGTCCACATTGGGCAAAGAACTTTACCACACTCGCCTCAGCTCAAGACTTGCGTGACATGTATGGAGACGACATGGATCAATGGCTCAAAGTGCGACGAGAAGTCGATCCAGATGGCTTGTTTGTTGGGGAATGGCATCGGCGAAACTTGTTGTTGACATCTGGCGACGAGACCGAGTCAGCGGAACTAGGTGACAGCCACCTGTCTCTAGGAGAACGACAGGAAACTGTACGCAAATTCGGTCGTCGTGGAGCGGGAGATGGTTTAGAGTGGATTGGGGATCGTCGTTGGGAGCGAGCATCCCCCGTGTCCTTGCACAAGGGGACTATTATCACCGACTCGCCAAGTCCGCCTATGACTTCCACGAGCGAAGAGAGTTTTGATCTTTTGGCTCCTGGCGAAGCTAGTATTCTCATTACTGACAAGCACTAGTCTTGTGCTATACTTACATAGGCTTCTTCTACTACAAAGATGGGTTAGGCGTTATCTACGCGGATTCTATTTCTACTTGTGCCCTTCACTAGTACGTATCATAGAAAAGGCTGGCGACAAAAATCTTAGTTCTTCCAATGAACATATTCCACCAAAATACAAGGATATCAATTTATCGTATCTTATTTAGGTACGTAGTTCTCATATATCTCAAAATTGAGTCTGGATGCAGTGGATGGGGATACCTACCTTGCTACTTTCTTTTCTTTTTTTCTTGTAGCCTATAACCAGGCCCCTTTTTTAGCTCTTTCAAGTTTCTTATCCCCCGAAAGAGCGGAGGCCAACGACAAGTACAACGCACTGTTAACTTCGAGTTAGCCTTCTCCTACCTAGCGAATCTCGACTATCCTTTCCACTTGACAGTGCAACTTTTTTTTTTTTTTTTTTTTGTTTTTCGACCGTAATGGGAATCATCACACCGACTCAAAAGTATCATTATCTAATCACATGCATCAAATACATAGCACATAAACTTAGCGCTGCATCAATAATACAAAAAGGAAATACATTCAGACCTTAAAAATCCTCAAATGGGCGGTAAGAAACTGTCAGTTCAGTTGACTATATCCGGTGTCATCGAGATCGATCTGCATGAAATCAAAAGGAGAGTTGTTGGAGAGGCATAATCCAGTTTCCCTCAGAAGCTGTCATTTCCAGTGTATTTTCCTGCTCTAAGTATTCATTCTGTTTGGCAGCTGCACGTCTATACTTTACTTATTGTATGCATGAGCACCTCATATGAAGAGTACGTCGGATCTGCGGATGTATGCATTTCTCGAGGGTGTCAACAGAGACTCGATACGATACTATTCTCTAGTACCTAACAAACAAGCCTTGTCCTTGACTTTACAAAGTTCGACCTTACGTCTGCCCACGGCTTATAGAAGATTTGATTACTATGCGTAGTATCACTTTTCTTTTCTTTTTTCTTTCCTCCTATTTGAATTGATACCCTTTTGAGAAGGGGAGCAAAATCTCGAGACAGTATCTTCAGGACTCGGAAAAAGTTGATGTGGCTCAATAACGTCCATTCTGGAAATTATATCCCATGCCGAATTGGGAACTAAATCTACGTAGGTAACCCTCTGAGTCCAATCTATAGAATGAAAGTATTTATTCCGCTGCCAATCTAAATAGGTAGATGATACGACTTGGGGTAGTACTTTGACATTGAATCGCAATGCCCTGCGTTAGGGTAGACAAGTATGTATGCATTGGGACTACGATTGCCTTCGACTCATGTATACCAAAATAAAGGAATTCGTTGGAAATAACCAAGATACGTACTCGAGACAAAAACAAACTAGGGTTTTCTTCAGGATCAGCGGTACGGGCCGAGATCCATTCTATCGTGGGTCCTTTGAAGTCTACTTTTGAACTTAGAAAAGAGAACTTCTGACATCTGTACGAAGTACATGCGGAATTGCATTTCCTCGACGAATCAATGATTAAAACGATGACCCAAGATATCCTGTCCTTTCTATTAGTCGTTCAAGCTGTCACTTCTGATCATTGCAGGCACTTAGGTACGGAGTACATGCCCCGAATATAGTAACCGGGACTCTTCCCATTGGATGCATTGACCAATGTCACATTTACGAAGTATCCATTCGAATCATTGGTTACTCGACACATCTACGCTAAAACGGCTAGACCTCGAGCCACTCTAAGCCTCAAATATATAGCTAAGAGACTGGGCGAACCGTTTGTAATTGCTTATAACTTCCGAGCTTCTCTCTTTGGGTGAGTTGACCTACGCATACCCTCCATTGGTATTTTTGATTAGAGATACCGTCTGAATATGGAAGTACGTCCTTTGAAAACTTGTTTCTTTTCTTTTTCTGTTACTTTATCAGTGCTTAGGTAACTATGTGCCTTTTCAATCAAAAGCCCGCTGATGGTCACCACTCCACGGACGTTAACCCAATGTCCATACGCAGGTGTCTGACAGGATGAGCATACCAAGCAAGATACTGGCGGACTCATTAATTATTTAGGTTCCGTCGAGATCGATAACCTAATCAACTCCATGGCATACATGCAGGTGACAAATTGACTTCTCACCTTGTCAATTTCTGATTACGTACATACACAGATTACCTATAGTTATGTATGACACAAGCATATTGCTAATCCAGGATAAAAACAATATGTCATAGTCTCTTGATAGAAACGAGCAATCAATATCAAAGAGATACTAAATTCGGCAAAAAGTATGCAATTCGACCACCCCTTTTGAAGAACTCTGATACACGGCCGCATTTGATAAGCTTGGACAGCAATACGAGCTTTATATTAAGGGTTTACATAGATTACAGCTACTGCAAGCGCTCGCTGATTAGCTGGAAATTTTATACATATATCTCCACCTGGGTATTTATATGATTTGATTGCACGCTCAAAAACATCGGATACCTATGTCATTGCCAGCACTACCTCCACTACGCCGGTAATTGGGTATCTCTGGATACCGATGTACTTCACTTAGTCTCAAGGCCTAGAGACAATCGAACAAGCCAAGTCATGGAGGAAAGCGCGGCAATCGACAACATTTTCGACCTGACAGTCATGGAAGGGTCGAATCCAGTAGGCAAACAAAAAGTCCTAAATAAAAAATGTGAGGCGCCTTGGGTATACACACTTCCAACCAATGTATTAGTTCAGTCTCTTTCTCTAGGGTTAGGCAGTGCGTATCATGATATGAAGCGGCCAACGAAGACCTACATGAAGTCAATATACCAAACGAATGAATGCGTGAGGGTCACGATGACAGGCTTTATGGTTCATTTGACTGTACTGGGTTCGATTGAGAGGCATTTTTTTGATGGCCAATAGTAGCTCTCAGCGTACATCGAAGAGATAATCCTCAATACCGCGCTCCGTGGATTCGGGGAAATGTGCTTCATCGACCAAAGCGAAAGAGTTGGAATCTGGGGCTGGGAGAGCGGTATAAATCGATAAAGGGTGCAAATTGTAGATAATCTTGTCATCGTGACCTCCTATCCCACTAACAGACACACTAAGCCCACACTATTTTGGTGATAAATGCATGTCATAAACCAAGTAGTACCGATACTAGTTAGTAGAGAACTTCTGCATGAATGCCGCGCCACCTTCGGACATGGGCCAGTCAGATCTGGAAGCAAGAGACCTGGTGCAAAGAGTTGCAGGGATTGTTTTGACGTGACAAAGTAAAGTACCCAGAAACACTTGCAGAAAAAAGTGTGTAGCCGATAGACCAACTACTCCACGTCACCGAAACCATAATGCGGCATTTTACAATTGGTTACTATCATTACCAAGTCGATACCGATAGTTATAAGGGTGGTCCTCTGCAAAGATATGTAGCGTTTCGCATCTCGAATGTAGATTGATTTAAGGCCGACAATTCGACCTTTCCCATTCCCCGAGTCCTTGCCATTTTCTTTTTGTTAAGACCAGGATATTGTTTGTCCTTTAGCAGTTCACCGCGTCCAGTTCGCCGAACTTTGTCTCTGTTTGCATATTCCCTGGTCATTCTATTTTTCTTTTGGTTGTTTCACAAGATTCAGTTGAGATTTGAGATACTTGCAGATGTCTCGGCAACAGAAGATTCTTTTCCCAAAAATCAACTCTAGCATTCCCGGCTATCGGTATCCAGAATCGATCAATACTTTCAATCGGCGAGGCGACGAGAAACCAACTCATCGTGTGTTTCGTACCAAGAGGAAACATGTACAGAGGGCCTGTGAGAGATGTCGAGTCAAAAAGGCCAAGGTACGTATTCCCATTCATGAGAGTTGGGACACCACCATTCAACTTTCCCTCTTATCACAGTGCGATGGCAACCAGCCGTGTAGTAGGTGCGTGACTTACAACCAGGCGTGCATTTTCCGCGACCGAAAGGCGACCCAAGAGAAAGTCTATTCTCGAGGGTAAGATTTTCCAAGTCAATAAAACAGACGAATCTGCGAGGTGGAATTGACAAGCTGAGTTGGCAGATTCGTGGAGATGCTCATTTCCCAGCATGCAGTGCATATTCAAGCACTGCGCGACTTATACAAGCGTTGCGTGAGACGTGAAGGGTTTCCAGGCTCGCCCCTACAGGAATCGATCCAGGGGTACCCAGGCACGCATGCAATCCTGGACCGTCTAGGACTCATCAAGCATGCAGAAGAAGCCATCGAAGACCCACAGAAAGTTCTCGCAGATATAGTCGAGTATATAAAACGTCTAGACCCAGCTTCTGACTGCTGCCTGGACTCTGTGGAATCAACAACGGATACAAGTGAGACCACTGTTTCGGAAGAGCTGTCACCAGAACCAAATACACCCAGGGAGTCTCCTGACCTATCTGTTCCGTCCAACGCTAGCACCTGGAAGACTGCAACGTCAGAAGAAGCCCGTTTATGCCACGCGTATGGCGATTATAAACCGATGCACTCACAATATGCCGCCGACATTCCCCTAGCAGGGAGCACAGACGATGCCTGCGCTATCAGAACCGATGATTTCACGGAAGTGTCTTGGAACTACTACCCATCCCAAGTGCGATACACACCCGCCGGTACAGATACTGCCTCGTACACCAGAACAGAATCATTTGAATCGTCGTGGCCAGAGATAGCAGACCATCCCTCTGCAACTTTCATGCCAATGACATCGCGAGCAACCGCTTCAGAACCGTTGATTTATACGACTGAACAGTCAGATTTTTCTCATGGGTATGCTTATACGCAAGGGCATGAGCATTTGACTGGTCCCATTCAACGTGAGCATCAGCATCAGCATCAGCATCAGCGACAGCTTCGGCATTCGGTAGACTATGGTCTTATGAACACTGCAGAGCATTATGTTTACCTCTAGCAATTACTCATAATGGAGGTATGCTCACGAGATGACTGTCGCACGAATCTGGAACATTGCTTCAATTCAATCAACATTTTTGCATTCAGGCAGGCGCGCGTGGAAATATTCGTAGCTTGAGGGGAGTATCGGAACTGATGGCCGAGGCACGAAATGAAATACTGCTGAGTCTTTCTGAAATAGTGACAATAAATTATCGGCCATAGCAACAGTCCAACAATTGAACACAATTGACGTTGAAGGTTTTCTTGAGCACCCGTGGTTCCAGTAGGTGTAGTTGACAAGAAGGAAAGAGGACGAGGGTGACTTGACGGTACAAATGCTGGACCCACACAGGGCAGCCATGCCTTAGACTGTAGACAACATTGGAAGTCTATGAAATCCTGAAAATATTAGGCAATACACGTCTCTTCTTAGCTCTCACATTTGTACAATTACATACAGAGAAAGAACATAATTACACCAACAACAGAGACTAAGTAACAGTATGATTCAACTCCGTTTGCAATGGCCACCTCAAATCTTCTATATGATACAAATACTCCTTCCCCCCCTCCCCCCAAAAGCAATGTACATAATGCAATCTAAACACTGAAATCAGCAGACCGCTATTTCACCCAGTCATTGAGAAAAGAGCTCGTCAATGTGGAGACTGGAAATCATGAAAATACCAAATATGCATCGAGTCACAGGCCTCAAGAACGGATAGCTTCAATGGCCGCGTTCAATGGCAAGACGTAGGATGTTGTTGGCCACAGCCTGGGATCCCATTTTCGAAATGCCACTGTGCAAGAGTCGGGCAGACCGCCGATTGAAACATAGCCGACTGGGATAAACGGTCGGTCTTGTAGTGAAGCTGCCAAGATCCCATATTCGTGCGCAAAGACTAGAGCAGATGCAAATTCAGCAGCCCGAGATTTAGCCTCACTTCCTACAATACTATACAATTTCATTTTGTCAGTACTTTCCCCAGCAAATCAATGCACCAGCATAACTTACACATAGATCTCAAAGAAAGCATCGAGAATGTAGATTCCTTGAGGAAGTAAGTCCTTCTGGGAGAAGGGTTCGATCTCCCGTATAGTGTCATTAGGTCGGATAACTGGCGAAGAGGATCCGCGTCGATTCCAAAACCCTCCCTTCTGGCCTAGGACATGATCGATCCGAAGCAATCGATATCGATGCTTTTCATGCTTGGGCTTTAGATGCCAATAGTCCGACGTTGTAGGCGGCTCGACCGTTTCAGATTTAGGGAACACATCAAAGAAGCTTTGGGGCTCATCACCTTCGGAAATTTCCTCCATTTCGCCTGTGAGTCCAAGATCCATGCCAACCAGTCGCGCACTACCAACTTCATCCGCTCCGCTACCTTTTCCTTTCCAAAGATAAAGCTTGCCAAACCTTGCTGAAATAACAAACGTAAAACCCGAGCAAAGATTCTGGTAGCAGAAGTCGACTTCGTCGAATGCAATCTGTCCCAAATGCCGTCTACCACAGAGCATGTAGAGTGCCGACGAGCTCGACCGAGAACTGGAACCACGCCGAGTAATGATTATACCTCCAAGAGCCTCAACAAATTTAGCGGGTTCCTTCCCCTGTCTGATTATTTCAAGCTTGGTTCCATTTTCTCTCGCGACTCTACGTGCGAATAGCTGAGCATCCTGCATGGCCGCTTCGGAAACTTCATCACCCAGCCACAAGTAACACTCGGTCGTGTTTCCTGTTTCACATTCGAAACTATGTACACAGACATACATGCTACCCTCGAAGAGGATGTAATCTTGATTCTTAGGGAGATCTTGTTTCTTGCCGTCTCCTGTGATCTCCCAGATCTGCTTTCGAAGGGTCCTTGTCTTGAACTCGTCCGTCTCCGTGGAGAGAATCAGTTGTGGATCGACGTTAACTCTGTCGCTAGACTTGGGCGGTGTGTCGAAGAATTCGGATATTACACCGACAGACTCAGATGTTCTCGGAATAGGTGACATAAGGGAAGGCCTTCGTACCTCAGTAGGAATTTGAGCAGAAATACTCAAGTTCTTCTTGGGTGGAACAGGAGGGGTCGATGGTGGTTTATTAGCAGGTGAAGGTTTCCGGCTGGTATCAAGCGGTGACCCCGGCCGAGATTGGAAGAATGAGCCTCCTAAGCCCAGTCCAAACTTGGCCTGGATTGGAGAAACGTTGGCAGAGTTGGAAAAGGTCTCTTTCAACCTAGAAGCGAACGAAGGGGACGGCGAAGAGTTCCCTGGAGAAGGGTTCAAGGGCAACGTCGCTAATTTTGGAGGCGGTGTCGGCCGCTCGTTAAGGGAACGCTTCTTGTCACTGAGCGTCGAGGTGTCACGAACTATGCCTGTCTTCGGAGGAACTACAGGAGAGATAGTGCTCTTGGAAGGTAAGTCGTTAGACTTCTCTTTATTGAGACTTGAGGTAGATGTCTTTCGGAGAGTAGGAGAAGTCATAGAAACTCTTCGAACATCTGCTGATTTGGAAGGAACTGGAGGCTTTGACACCTCCTCGGTTGGACTCTCAGGTGATGCAGAACTCTTGACACCAACTTCTTGGTTTTCTTTGTCTGCACTTGGTTCTTCCGCCACAGGTTTCGTTTTGGGAGGGGAAATCAGAGACGATCTTGGTACATCTGGCGATTTGGAAGGTATCAGCGGTTTTTGGCGCTCGATGACTGACTCAGAACGATTGTCTAATGTCTTTGCAGGCACGGACGGCGAACGTACCTCCTCTGATGAATCCTTCCGCTCAGTCACCTTAGAAGCCGATGTAGCTTGTCCAGTTGATTGGCTGTCCTCCTTCATGGCCGTAATGGATTCGGACTTAGTGGAAGCAGGAAGCCTTCTTTTGGGACCTCTTGCTCGGGCTTTTGTCATATGGGTCAGCGGGGCCGTCGAGGTCGGCTGGGGTTCTTGCGTTGGCGTGAAGGTAGAGGTAGTGACAGTAGGCTTTCCCGATTCACCTCCGGCGCGCGGCGGACCACGAGCCAAGATGTCCGCTAACGCAGGGTTTAGCCGGCCTGCTATAGCTCCCTTAGTAGCAAGTCCCTTAGGCTCAGTAGTGATTTTCGTAGAGATATCTACGGTGGCTCTTGATGACAAGGGACGAACCGTTGAGCCAGTTGAGCCAATCTTATTCTCCTGAATTGACTTAGCTGGGACGGAGTTCGGCCCAGGCACTGTTTCCCTTTTCTGCACGTTGATCTTAGAGTATTGAGTCGAGCTTTCGTTGGGTGTAATGGCAATAGTGGTCGATTGCTGTCGTGGTGACGGCTCGACAGGAGATAAATTCAGTTCGGGCTTGTTACTTGACACGCTTAAAGGCCGCTGAGGACTCTCTGTCCCGGTAGAGTTGGTCGGAGATGGAGAAGACAAGACCGACAGATTGCTTCTTGTACTGTCCGTTCGGGCAAGATTATTGCGTTTCGCGAGCGCTTCAGGTACCGGGGATCGTGGCTTTGGTATATTTCGATCTTCGTCGCCTGTTTTTCTGATAGAGCCTCCGCCTGCTTTCATTGCATCTTTCTGCTTCAAAATGCTTTCTCTGAACTCATCCACTCGGTCACTTTTCTTTGGTCCCCCGGTGACAATCAATGCTGCTTTCCCCTTAGTGATGTTATCCTTCAGTACATCAGGCACCTTGTAAGTGGATTTTTCTGCCTTCCTAAGTTTCCCAAAGATATTCTTGAATTCCGGTTCATCTTGTGTGGTCTTGTCATTGGTGACCTCGCGCTTCCGCAGGTTTGCCCTAAAGTCTGTAGTCACTGGCTGTGACCTGGGGTTCGCTGAGCCGACATTAATAGCAGAGACTGTCTTTGGTTTATTCGATGGCACCGGTGGAGAGGTCTTTGGTAAAGAGGAACTTAGTTTTTCTTCAACATCGGGTGAAGCAGATACATCTACTTCTTTTGATACTGCTTCAACGCCATCCTTGGTATCTGACACAGCTGGTTGAGTGTTTTCTTCCTTCTTGGGAGACTGTACTTTTTCAGTTGAAGGGCCATTGAGATCTTGGATAATGGATGAGCTGATTCCGGAGACACTGGGACTCTTGGAATGGCCGCTCAGTGCAGGTGATCTCAAGCTCACAGGAGTCGTCTCTTGAGCCGCCGCCGGTCTTCCAAGATCAATGCTGGCCCTAGACTGTCGTGCTTTGGACAGATCTCTCATCCATGCAGGCTGTTGAGTAACAGGTGTCGCTTTTGTTCTGGGTGATTCGGGGCGATTTAACGCACTTTCGAGCCAGCTTGATTTAGTGGGACTCCATCGCTTCTGATCGAAAGATTTTGAAGGACTGCGGGGAGTTTGCGGCTCATCGCTAGCTTTCGCTTCATCTGCTCCAGTAGCATTTGAGAAGCTGGAGCGAGCGTGAATGGGCAAGGAGGGTCTCACAAAGCCTGTGTCTAGCGGGGGTTTCTCCTGACTGCTGTCTTTATCTTCCGGGCTTTTCGAGTGATGAACGATGGTTGCTTCACTGTGGCTTGAACCGGGTCTTGAGAGTGATAAAGGCGAGCTCTCACGGATTGGCCTAGGCTCGGCAGGACTTGGAAGCAAATCACCAAATGCAGAACGACCGACCCCGCTGCGGTTGCTAATTATAGAGTTGCTACGACTCAAGTTGGCGGGGGATTGCACGGTCCAACGCTTTGATATACTATCACTGCGTTTCAACATGGCACTTTGCACAAAACCTCCTAAGCCCTTGGTAGGAGAACCTGACCGTTCTGGAGATGCACGACCTGGAGATAAAGGAATACGGTCGTCGCCGGGTGGTTGAGCCTCTATTTTACGAGCTTCAAGTCTGGAAGTAACCAAGGGAATGGGGGAGCCAAGGCCACTCGTAGACACCGAGGATATGCTCGAATAACGATTTCCAATGCTGCTGTTAGCAGCAAAAGTTGAGCTTGCTCTCGAGGGTGAGCGTGATCGTTCATCAGCAATCCAATCGCGGAATTTCTCAGCATCTGATGCCGAGTCTCGACTCAGGCCGGGCAACTTGAAGCTTGCCTCGGCTGAAGATGTCTCAGTCGTGCTAGTATCTGCATTCCTTCGTAGCGCTAAAGAACCTCTATCGCGATCTGCTGTTTGTCGAAACCATGCTGGATCTTTCGAAGACAGATTTTTTGAGATCTGAGAGCGCGAAGGCGGGGTGTCTTCGGCTAGTGGCATCGTTTCATTGGTTTGTTCCCCAGTAGCTGTTGGTTCTAACGAGAGAGACGATATCTTCTCAGAGACGATAGCTTGGTCAAGCGTATCTTCTGTCCTGTCACTATCAGACTGCGCAACGTGGTTCGCAACTACGGGGGGAGTCGAAGGGGAATTGTTATCAGAGACGTGATGTTCGTCGAGATGCGTCTTGTTATCTTGCTCGTAGGAAGCACTCGTCGGTCGAAGGACTTGTGGTGGAAACTGTGAGATAGACTTGTGGTCTCTGGGAAGACTCGAGATTGAAGGGGAGGGAAAGTCTTTGGTGGGCGAGATTGAGCGAGCTCGTTCTGGCAGGAAAGCGCGACACAGAATATTAGCAACAGCCAATCAGTTAAAAGCAATAAAGAAACAGCAAAAAAGCATCAATTATTTCAATTTCAATTCCAATATCCCAGTCAAGGACTCGGTCAAAGCCAGAGAGTAGATAGATGGAAGAGGGGCCAGGCCTGCGCTGGACAGACAAATTGTGCAAACGCCCAAACCGCCTAGTGGGATCATTTTTTTTTCTTCGCTTTTGTTCTTTTGTTCTTTCTTTCTTTCTTTCTTCCTTCGCTAGTGGTTGTCTTACCAGCTCGCCGCGCTTGTCTCTCTTTACGACCCTGCAATATCTCCTCTTCCAGCTTCCGAGCCCTATCCTCGTCTTCCTTTACTCTCTTATCGCCCAGCTCCCGGATGCGTAAAAGAAACTCGTTGACATCTTCCGAGCTATCGTCCATGGTGGGTTTCGTGTGAATACAGTAATGACGGTTGGGAGGGGGCTGAATCGGCAAACAGATCGGAACAGAGGACGCTATACGAGACTGGTAGATTGATCCATCCAGGGCTGGGGATTACTGTGATATATATACCCTGTGAATTGGACGGGTAGTGCAATATAATATGAAAGGATAAAGAAAGAGTGTGCTGTATGTGCAATGCATGTGCAATAACCTAGATTGATGGTGGTGTTGTTGTTGTTATTGTGCAACGCGCTCCGGTGGTTCTTCCGGTCTCCACTGCCTCCCTCCATCCAGCTTATTGGTGATGATCCCAAGGACAGTTGTCCCTGAACTAGACTTATACGCTGATAAATAGGAATATTAAGAATATTTCAGATCTTCAATCCTGTCGTTCCAATGCTTTGCCATGTCCGTCTACAGAAACCCGAGTTTGTTTGTTTCCGGATTGCTTTTTGCGGTTGTAGGACCTAGGTACTGGTTCGGCTCCCTGATGTCCATCCCCGGATCGCTTGTCGGATCGAAAATCTAGTTTCTCGGGACTGTTCTCTTCGGTATCGTATATAGTATGCGAATGCTGGCATGCATCAACATAATGAACGACCTATGCACTAATATGATGAGTAATCGCAACCGCATCCGTCCTGGCATTCAGATACCGACATTTTCATAGAGAAACTTCGCACCGTCAGTACAAAAAGAGTCTATCTTTCGCATCTTGGACCACCCATTCCAGGCCCTCATGTAGATTCTTGCCCGTCATGGCACTGCAGGGAAATATAGCCCACTTGTGGGTTTTGATGGCATCTAATCGAAGACCCTATAACCGCAGATTGTTAGACAAAATATCATGCTTTCGGATTATATCGGTTGGAAAGAAGACAACCTCGTGTATATCCTTTTCTGTCATACAGCCTGCAACATCCGTCTTGTTCAGGAAAATAAGTAGGCTTGCACCCATTAAACGCTGTAGACAGGTCAGCAAACATTCACGTGAGTCCAAAGTTAGATTATGTTTATTGCCACGACGAAGCAGCGAGACCGCAGAAAAAAAAATCTTACTTCCTCCAGTAACAGACCAGCCAATTCCTCACGACAATCATCAATTCGAAGCCGATCAGTGGCATCGACCACCCAAATCAACGCATCCGTCTTCTCAAAGTAATTTCTCCAATATGAGCGAAGGGTCTTTTGGCCGCCAACATCCCCTAGTAAAAATTTTCAGAATGGATCCTTGATGGGACGGCGAGAAAACTGCAGTTCGGCTTACAGATATTCAACTTGTATCTACCAACCGCGATTAGTTGATATTTCCGGCCCAATGTAAAAGACCAACTCACCCTTGAAAATCAATAGTTTTGATAATAAATCCCAACGTCGGACTAACAGTCGTAATGTCTTCATTCATAATCTGTTTCACAATTGTGGTTTTGCCAGCATTGTCTAACCCACTGACCGACGATGGATTCAGCATGCCCAGTCAGCAACATCTTCGGCCGCCAGGACTCGAGGATTTTTGGGAACTTACAGCATAAGAATTCTCATTTCTTTATCCTTTAGTCTTGCTTTGCGTAATATTGAGAGCATTTTGAATGTGGGGGCCTGGTCAAGTGAAAATTTTGGAGGAGTTGTCTGGAAGAAATATTGATGTGACATCTGGATCATGGAGATCTTCCCGGCAATGGTTCGTTCATCTAGAGATTTATTCGGCATTACCTTAAATATCTACCAACCGCCACTAACAGATGACAATGATGCTTAATATCTCATTAATAAAAATGTATGATTATACAACTACAGGGTCTGACACCTAATTTTCTTAGAGGGCAACTCATCTCATCCATTTAGCGAATACTACACTGTCCGGGATAGGTCCTTCCTACCCAGCCAGCAATCACCAGAATAACAGGTCGTGAACAGGTTCAGTGCAGTGTCTGCACACGCCATATGGCTGCTTGGTCAGCTGCTTGTCACCTGACAAGTATCTCTATTTATTTTCACTGGGCAACGCTCTTCTTTCAATTTCTTCACCTTCCCTTGTCCCTGCACATTCATCCGGCATCAAGCCCACTGGACGAAGGAACCGCATCATCCTACCTTTTGATCCAATTTGAACAAAGACCAGCCCACATATCAAGTGAGATTTACTCTCAACTTTCTTTTACTGTCAAGAAGGTCAGCCTGGTCTTGTGTGGTGCACTGATTTGGCGGACAAAGCCGCCTATCTCACAGCATGGCTCCAGGTATTATCAACCATCCCATCCATCCAAATTTTATTTTAGAGAAATTGAGCTGACTCCCCTTGACTGACAGAGTCCAGGAAGACCGTCCAGGCGAAAAAAGCGAAGGATATGGAGCTACTCCGCGCTTCTTTCGCCATCTGGACGACTTCTGAGACCAAGATATCGAAGCTAGAGCCCCAGGACGCGGTCCCTACAGCCAAAGACGATGTCAAAAAACCCAACGGTGAAGAAAATAAGACAAAGCCCCAGGACGCGGTCCCAATTGCCAAAGATGATGTCAAAGAACCTGACGGTGAAGGAAAGAAATCATCAAGAGCAGACACCATAGTCACCAAAGTCAATGTTGAAGAGCCCCACGTCGAAGACGAAGAAAGTGTAGGAACGGCCAGCACGGTCAAAGGTGATTCACCTTCCTTTTCTTTCGAGGCTTCTCCGTCAAAGGAGAATCGCAAAAAAAAACTTCCGCTCTCTATGGCGAACCTCATTAGGATTACAGAGAGTGAACAGCAGCAGTTGCTCTCAGACGTCAGAAATTCCTTCAGGCTTTCGAATCAGGAAATGAGAGAAATCATACTTGTCAAGAACGTGAAAGATTGGCTCAGGAAAGCAAACCCTGATGGACGTCAAGAGGATACTGCTTCCGAAAGTTTCCGCAGCGGCGATGGGGAGATCCAGGGGGGTACGGAGATCTCCGTGGAAGAGATCGTACAGCAACAAACTGACGCGGCAAGCTCAAACCCGTATATCATGGAACGGAATTTGCGTGTCGATGCGGCCAAAGAAAGGATCAGTATTCTGCAATGCCGAAACGGTATTGAACCGGGCGTATGTATGTTTCTTCGCCATGCCATGCATACCGATGCCGAGGACATCGCAGCTGTTTTTAACTCCTATGTGAACTGTTCCGCACATACTCTGGAGTCCACGATGATAAACGCCGGCGACGTAATCCAGAGAATAAATGAGTCCAGATATAAGGAGCTTCCATTCATCGTCGCTATCAAAAAGCACGAGGATAGGCTCGATATTCATCGCTCCTGGGGGCGTGTTTTGGGATACGTCCGCTTGACAGATTTCCAAGGAGGTCTGCCTGCATTCGCAGGCACTGCTCAATTGGAGATTACGGTAGCCCACGACAGCAAAGGGGTGAAAGTCGGGAGCTGCCTCCTCGACGCAATGATGACAATGGCCGACCCCCAGTACATTCCCAGAGGAGGATACGCATTTGTGAGCAACATCCCAAACGAGACGATGATCCACTGCGCCTCGTGGAGCTGCCGCCCGTTGACTCGTATCGTGTTGATGATGAGTTACTTGATGTTCGAGCAAGGGGAAAACAGTGTGATTGAAAATTGGCTCACCCGAAGGTACAATTTTCAACGAAGGGGATTTCTGCCAGCAATTGCGATCAAAATGGGCCAGGAGTGAGTATCCCCTAGCTAGAATTGAACTTTTGAGCTTTGTACTAACTGTTCTGATACAGGGCCGGGATCACCATTCTCATCTGCGACATCGCTAGACCCTCATTACCATATGCTGGTAAGGATTCCATTGCATCTGAGTCTTGGTGAAGTACACACAATCTTCATCGCAGTTTACACCTGTCGCGTCCAACAATTCCGTGGTCTGGACGAGTCGGATCTTCTAATCTTTGGTCTTGCTTCTCGTTTTTCCCACGTTGGTGAAAAGACATTTTGGAGCCTTTTGAAATCTGACAAGTTCCATTTTTGGGAAATGTTGGAGAGATGCATAGCATACTTGGTCTCTTTTCTTTTTCTTTGGGTCTTTTTCTTGCATGTAGAGTAGTAAAGTTGGAATGCAAATGATACGTGGATAAGAGCAGAAATCAGGTGATTTTTCCTTAAAGCGGCGACTCTTTCCTGCCAACCTTCACTTCCCACATTAACTCAGTAATGGCCGACAGAGCGCAAATACAAAGAAGAATAAGACAAAGTCAGACATAAATTGGACATAACTTATATCTAGGTGTACATGAACGAAACCGCATTAATCCCCAGTCTGCTGCATGGAGAATGACAAGCGGTGACTCATCGACACCACCCTCTGCTCTGTCTGGCCATATGCGCCAGCGGTCACGATACGCATGTGGCCCCTGTCGACACCGTAAGAGGAAATGCGATGGAAAATTCCCCTGTTCAACATGCACTGGATATGGGTATGAGTGCAATTACAGTAGAGCTGGCGGTGTCCAACCAGAAACCAACACCACGAATATCAGCGGATCTGCCGTTCAGACATCATCACAGACTGGCCCTGTTTCTGCCAAAAGGAGATCATCAGCTACTGGATTAGATGAAGATGAAGCATCCGTCTCATCGGCTACGCGCCGTAAATCGAAACCGGCATTGGGCTCTCGCGGCTTCGGAGATGAGATTGCAAGCCTCAACAAGGACCGTAAACCACCAGCACCAAACACAAATGGCCTGATGTTACCCTCTAAATGCAGATACATCGGCCAACACTCATCAGTCGCATTTCCACAATGGTTGGGAAAAAGTCTACAGTCTAGGAGCCCGCCTAGAGTGCATTCATTCGGATACAACACCGGAATCAGAAACGAGCTTCCATATTCCGTCTCTACCCACATTCAAGAGTTGATCACCTGGACTGAAGCCCATGATTCGCTTGACGTATATGCGACTGTGATTGACCCGGTCTTTGGATTTGTGGATATGGAAGATCTGCGTCGCAAAAGTCATGATCATTGGAACGGTAAGGATCAAGGATCCTACTTTGAAGCTCTGATCAGCGGTGTGATTGGCCTTGCCTCTCTATTTTCGAAAGTTCTATGTGAAGGTAGAGAGTTGAAGGTGATTCGACATGCAAAGGATATCCTAGATGATCCTTTTACAGCCAGATACCCGCGCCTTGCAACTATTCAGGCTTGGGTTCTGCGGGTTATCTATATCCGTTCAACGAGTCGACCCGGAACAGCATGGCTGTATAGTTGTATTATGATGCATTTGTGTGAGGCTATTGGAGTGTATAGAGAGCGTGAAGCCGATGAAGTGACTGACGAGAATTACTCCCTGGCTGGATTCAGGGATATCTGCGCACGAGTCATGATGGTGGCACGCTGTCTCCATATCATCATATCCTATGAACACGGCCGGTCGACAGTTGACGTCGGCCCTGTCCTCGAACATAACATCGTCAAGCGCGGTACAGAAGATTTGACGCTTCAATTGCATGCTCTAGTCAACAATATACCAGCAGACAATACCAGGCAAGACCACCCCACACGACGACAAGAACTTTCCATCGCCCTTACCACTTTGATCTCTATCCCTATATCACACGAATTCTTCAACCTCATCAAAGCCGACTTATGTTTCTGCATATACCGACGTCTCCGCCTCCTCGACCTAGGCATAAAACAGGAACAACTTACCCAAATCATCCAAGCCGGGAAAACAGCATTACCGGCATCCCGAATTCTGATTCTGAGAAATCATCCATGGTGGAATACCCTGGGGACTGTGTTTCAGTTTATTTGTGTCCTGTTGGCGATTGATAGTAGTGAAAGTTTGGCCACGATACCCGAGGCGATGGAGACACTGACGACGATTGCGAAGCACTTGAAGACTCATCTTGCCGATGAGGCGTTGGGGACAGCGAGGCTACTTGTACGATCTATGACGGATAAGAAGAGAAGAGAAGCAGCCATTTTGGACAAAACTACAAACCCGGACTCATACTCTGCTCATTCTACTACTACGAACGGACCCGATGCGGAAGCACGACCATCAGCATCGGTGAATAACAAGCATAGCAATCCTAATATTAACGGCAATGCTGCATCCACAGCAGAAGCAAACGAGACGAATATGGTGTATCCTACAACTGCCGTACAGGAAGGAGTAGAAGACTCCATACCACAACAAGAACTAAACGGACTACTGGATTTCATGGACCCTTTATGGAATTGGGATGAATTTTTTGAGCCTCCCCTCGCAACCATGCAGGGGGCGCCATTCATGGAGTGGAATTTTCTTTGAGCTGCTAGCAACTCATGTTCTATGTATTTATATTACTGGAGGCATTCTATTGGCGGTTATTGTTTTTGATTTTCTGCCTTGTATATCATTCTGTTTGTTAGGGATTTGCGTTCGGATGAAAAGAGTAGGCCGAATCTATGGAATAATAGTAACAAAAAAGACGTGTCATGGCCATTCTGGGGGGATCTTTGAAATAAATCAAGAAGGAATCATTTTCGTAGAGTATAAGGGAAGAAAGAGAAACGTATCATTAAACGCCTGATGCCCGCTGTAAGTGTACATCTTTAGTGGAAATCCCAAAAAGGCATAAAAAACAGACAGATTACCACTCGAATTCACCCTGTCCTTTGTGGAAGACGTACCTAGATACCATGTTAGCAGGCTGTAGATTAGTTTCTGCATATAGAAACGTACTCTTTACCACCGGTAGAGAGTATACCGTCTTTCAAAGTACACTTCCACTTATTCTTGACCCTCTGGACCTTGTCGTAAGTGCAGAGCATCACCTCTCCGAGAGCATCATCGGCGTCAGGATCTTCATCGGCCAGATCATCTGGGTCATCGAGATCAGAGTTGATGGCATCCTCATCGTCCTCGTCATCGCCGGGACCATCGGTCTGTGCGGAAGAGGCGGCTGGGTCTGAAGTCATCCGTTTAGGTAAACCAGACGAAGAATGCTCGTCAAGGGGAAGCATAAGGCCACCACCCTCGAGACGTAGAGCGTCCATCTTCAACTGTGCCATTAACATCCGATCACCTTCACCATTGTTACGTTGTACAAGTTCGCGTCGATTAGCGACTTCTGCTTTCCATTGAGCGAGTGCATCGCTCTCATTAGCACCATCGGTTTGTGGTGGATGATTGTAGGCGACATGCTGAGGTGGAGCTATGCCTGGGTACGGCTGCTGGATAGGTTTGACGTCTTGACCGTTCGGAATATGGCCGTTCTGAGGACGTTGTCCAGGCAAGGAAAGAGCGGCTTGATTCTGGGCTTGCAGCTGATTCACTGAGTTTGCTGCTGCAGCACCATACTTGGACTGCAGGTTACTCATCGCACGTTCGCGAGCTAGTGCATGAGCGTCGAGTGAACCTGACGGACCTCCATGGGCAGGTACTCCGGCATGCTGTCCATTGAGGCCGGGTTCGGTTTTGATAATTGGAGTTGAGTTGCCTGCATTGTGTTCCGCAGGCACCTGAGGTGGGAGTGTCACCGGTGGTTGTGCAGGTAGAGGTGTCGGCCGTGGCGCATTTGACGGTACTGTGGCTGCTGGAGGAAGTATCTGTTGACTTGAAGACTGAGCGGGCGAAGGGCTCTGTTTGAGAGGGGGGTCCCAGGGAAAATGAGCGACACCTAGAGAGGAAAGTTTTTGTTGCCAGCTCTACCAGTTGTCAAAATGTCAGTTAGCTGGTCAAACACATAAGAATCATCGTGGTGCAGGAGGGTAGATGGTGGAGTGTGATTGGCCGTGTTGCAAGTGGGTTAGCGGCGCAGGGATTTCAGGCGGGTATAAAATGACTCAAGAAGCGGCAGTCCCCCTTAAGCAGCTCACATCCCCATCCCTTCCAAAACCCCGCTTTTGCCACCCAGCTGGTGAGATATCACGACTGAACACCGAAGATACAACGAAGAAAGACGATGAAAATGATTCGTTTCAAGTGTGCTTTTGATGCCAAAATGGTGAAAGACAATAAAGAAATATGATGACTCACCCGTCGCATCTCTTCCAGAGTCTGTTGATCGACTCCGCCTTCTTCAAAGTCGACTCGCGATGCCTCGCATACCTCTTGGATGACACGGTCGTATACCGTGCCCTATTCAACAACATAAGAGTGAGCTCATGATTTATCACCGACAGCCATATATGCCATGGAAGGAAAGGATCAGTTGGTGACAGAACTGGTGACGAGCCACGATCGCTGACTGCCCCAGAAACAGACCCGACCGTGATCGTCTGAGCACACTTACCACTTGCTGGTTTGCCATGGCTGTTGACTTTCTCGAGATGATTGTTCTTATTGAGGTAGGTCTTCTGTAAAACGAAAATCAGGTTGTTTCTGGATCTGGGGGTGAGAGTTTGGAGATGGCCAAGATGCGGCTCTTCAAGTCAGGCGTATAAGAGCACTGACTGGTATGAAGAAGACCCTCTTCACCGCGCCAGCCTCAGTACACTCTCGTAACCCCCTCTAAACTAATGTATAAGACCAAATGAAGTAGTTTTTTCGTGAAAGTGACGGAATTAAGCAGACTATTCGACGTGTGGAGCTAGTTATCAGACGGACTCTGCGGTGATGCCGATTGTTGAGTGAGGCAGGTTTGGTATGCCTGGGAGATTTCAATGATAACCACCCGCTTAGTCATCGCCGCCGGCTTGGCGCTCCCATTAATTCTGGGGGAACAATCTTATCGATCAGTTTGTAGCTCTTTTCTGGATGGTTCTGAGTGTAAAAGACCCTTCGCTCGCAGCATCAATTATGCGCTCGGTTTAGATGTGAACATCTCGGTCTCTACGCTCGACTTAAATCGTCGAGTAAGATTCGACAGCGACGGCTTACTATCTTTACCCTCACTCTTACCGCGGCAGATACTCCATAAACTGATTGATGTATTAAACTCCAATAATGACAATATCAAACGACGAAGCGGTAGAAATCCAAACAATACTAGATTTTAGCAAAACCAGCTGTGCCAGACCGAAAATGTATGTGCCGAAAGGACCCAAAAGCAAGCGCCAAAAAACGCCATAACCAAAACCTCGCTTCTTTCAATGCACCTATCGAATAGTCATGGACTTGGTCATTTGAGCTTTGCTGCCTACACCTCCTTCACGAGCAGCAGCGGCACTTGTGCCAGGCTTGCGTTCAAAGATCTTCCAGAACTTCAAGCTCTCATCCGCAGCGGCCGTTGCGAGCATTTGGCCATCCGGGCTCAAACAACTGTGTAGGACACGAGTCTCATGAGCAGGGATTTCAACATTGCGAACCAATGTTGGATAGCTCCAGATGCTCAACGAGTTATCGGGGAATCCACTAGAGCTAACAATCTCTCGGTAGTGGTTGCTCCAGCGGAGACTTGTTACTTGCGATCCGGTATCGATACTGTTAGTGCGGGCGCCAGTTGTAGTGTTCCAGAAGTGGATGTGTCGGTCATAGGAACCGCCTCCAGTTGCGAGTAAGTTGAGTTGCCACGGGCACCAACTCAATGCCTTGACAGCAGCACGGTGGTTGGTCTTGGTGAACTTGGGTGCGCTCAGAGATCGTGCGTCCCAGATGTTGACGAGGTTGTCGTTGCCTCCAGTGGCTAGTTGCGCTCCATCCGATCTCCATTCTAAACCGCAAACTTCGGAGGTATGAGACACAAGCTCTGCGACTTTGTGTTGAGCGATGCGCACATCGTGGTTGAACACAAGACCGCTCCTTGCGCCCGTAGACAGTGTGTGTTTGGACCAGCCCATCACACCGACACGGGTATCGTGCCCGTACATACTACGCAGCTTGGTGCCTTCCTCAACGTCCCAGATCTGTACCTCACCTGTTCCTAGACCAACACCAACATAGGCTCCATCACCACTCCACTTGACACTGCTGATGTATGTATCAGGCGCTGACTCAAGAAGACAGTTTACTGTACCAGTGTCGGCGGACCACACGTAAACGTTTCGCTCCAAGCCAATTGCGACTTGATTGCCAGAGCTCCAGTCGAGGAGGTTGAGGTAGTAGTCATCCAGCAATCCGGGTGCGTCCAAGACACGTTCTGGAGCAGTCTGGACGCGGCGACGGAACTGAGCAGATTGGGCACTGCTGGGTTTGAGCGGACGATTGTACTGAGCACGGAGGTCAATGGGCTTGGAAGACTCTGGTGGAGGAGGCTTGAAGGCTAGGATACGTGTATTGAGTTTCACGCCACAGGCATTCGCCAGTGATGATTCATAAGCCACGGCATCTGGAGCCGGTCGTGCATATGTGCTTGAGGGGTCGTTATCATCGAGTCCAAGATTCTCAAGAGCAGCGGTAAGATCCTCATCGGAGCTACGGCTGCTGATATCAAAGGCACTGGCGGCATTGGCTAGGACTGCCGAACCGTCGCTTGTCTTAGGTCGCTGGTTCTCTTCTGGCTTTGCAGCACCAGCTGTTGTCAAGCCCTCACTCGCCATTCGGTTTGGAATGAATCGATCGCCAGCTGTGTGAGGAATGCGGATGGTTGTTTTCGACGTGGCGCCGGACTTCTTTGCTATGCGAGAGCGGCCGGTGTCCTTACGAACTCGTTCCTTAACTGGAGTATGTGATGGACCAGTTCCAGTCAAAGACCAATCAGAGACTCCGAGTTCCAGATGCTTTGGTGATTTCCGAGAACGGGCAATATTCGATTTTGGTGACTCTCGGTAGGCCCTAGTCTTGGACACTGATTTGGCGAAGTGTGAAGCAAGGTTCCCTCCATAAACAGATGGCTGAGCACCTGGAGCGCCATCATAAGCTTCACGGACTGGGGTGAAGGGCGATGAACTGATCGAGGCATTGCTCGTCGTTCTAGTGCGAGGAGAGGGGGTAAGCGGCAAACGACCGCCAGCAGTCTTTGTCGAAAAGATCCCCCGATGGGTCTTCAAAGGTGTCGATACCTCGGCAGAAGCCATTATATTCTGATTATAACAAACAGTCTTGTGAAGTTTTCAACCCGAGGCAGGCGATCGATAGTAATGATGATTTCGCCCTCAAAAGACGAAGTACAATGTATGTTTTCAGAACGTTATAATGTATGTCATGCACGGAGGCAGATACAAACGAGTATCCAATGCACGTATAAAAGATTAAACGTAGATGAGAGATGTAGAGAGTAGAGGAGAAGCAGAAGAGAGTTCACAAGGAATGATCCAGCACTTATATAAGAAGAAAGAAGTAAATACTGAGCACCATGGCAACCGCCGGAGAGTGTAACTAGTCCCGAAATGGCTAGCTCCCTTTGTAACCACCGGCTTGGCGGGCCTGTCTGCTTTCGGACTAGCACGATGTGTCTGCTCCTTCTCTTTTTGAGCCTCCCATGGATTGCGACTGCTAGCTTTTTTTTCCTTCTTCTCTTTTGGGTCCTAGAAGTATCTCATCCGTCTTCAGATGCTGAACCATCGTCACCACATTGACTTGTACTGCATCAAGTCGTCTTCCTCGTCTGTAGCCACGTTCTGTCTCTTCATTCAAGCCCCTCTCAGGCTCTTATCCACCATCAAATATCCACATCGGACCCGCCCCCGATGGCGCGGCAACCGCCTAGCAACGCTTCCGTCATCTCACCATCCGGCTTCTCCTACGTCCACGAGGGTGGGCCGACTTCCATCTGGGACTTCGTTGCCGCTACGACATCCCACCGACGCTCTCTTCAGTCGACGCCCCCTTCAATGACTGCTCGGGATCCGCATAATACATACCTGATGCCAGCCAGTCCAGCAAAAGGCCGTCGGGGTAGCGCTGACTACCGGCCCAGCATTAAAAAGGCTCTCGGGAATGTCCCCGCATGCCTTGTAAACGCTTCCGTCACTTATTGTGGAAATGATCAGATCTATGCCTTTGGGGGCTTCGACCAGTTCACTGACGAGGGTCAGTCAGACTTCTCTTCTTGCAGTTCCCTCACTACTGCCTTATGCAGATGCGATGCATGGTAAGAATTGATTTTAGTGTAGCGCTAACTTTATACTATTAGTGTATAATCATGTTCTTCGGCTAAACCTGAATACACTCACGTGGGATCTGGTCGACAATTATGGAGACATACCTGGTGTCCGTATGGGTTCGTATGACGTTCCAACAGAACAACAGAAATCAGATTGCTAATAGTTTTTACCATCATTAGGACACACCGCTTCTCTCTATCAAGGAACCAAGTTAATCGTTTTCGGCGGAGAAAATGAGCATCGTGAATATTTGTCTGACATAGTCATCCTTGATATACCAACATCGACATGGACGCAACCAGAGGTTCGCGGCCCTCTTCCTCGCGGCCGAGCCCGCCATGCATCTGTCATATATGAAGACAAATTGTTCGTCATTGGAGGAGTAACTGGAGAAAGCAATTCGATCCTGGATGATTTATGTTATCTCGATCTCAAGACTTGGACCTGGTCTCGAACTTGGAGTTTCACTCCACGTTTTGACCATACTGCTTGGGTCTGGGGAGGTCGGCTGTGGATATTTGGTGGCCTTGGCCCAGATATGGAGCGAACTACTGATCTCTGGTGGCTTGACCTCAAGGGCAGCCCGTCATTGGACATACCCTTATCCCACGGCATCGATGACACACAAGGATCGTTGAATCGTGTGACCCCTAGCCCTGGAGGTTTAGTTAGCTCGCCGCAGCAGCTATCTGGTAGGTCAGGTGGATACGCGGCCAATTCAGCAAGTGTCCAAATTCGGTCTTTCACCCGAAGGAAGCCAACGGCGCCGGGTGCGATATCGTCCCTTCGTTTTCACTCAGGACCACATGTCCCGTCTTTGCTCTCTGGAACTCACTTTCACGTGTATTCCTCTGGCGTTCTCTTGGATTTGATCACGCCATCGGAAACAGTCAGACCCTATGATTGTAACCTATCATCACTCGAGTTGGATTCCTTGAGATGGCAGAGACTTGCTGACGGGCAAGAGGTGTTCCGACCGGGATATCGGTGGCATTACTGCACCATTAATGAAGATGGAACTAAGGCTTGGCTGCTTGGATGCAACATTGAAAACGCTACAACTGCCGGGGATGACAATCAATTAAATGAGGTTCTATGTCTTGATCTGGAGAAATATGGGCTACTTGGCAACGATTTCTTTCCTGAATCATCCGAGCAGAACCGTATTCTTGCATCTGAGCGTCAAGGATCACCCCAGCACGCAGGCCTCGGCGCTGATCTGTTGGCCGTCTTTGATCAGCCCCCAGAAACGGGCAGCGGTACTGACTTTATCATAACTGCCGACTGTGACGATCAGACTATGGAAGATGAGACAAGCCAAATCAGTTCACCCGGCCCCATGCAGACTCAGTCAGATCCTGCATTTCTGTCACCTACAGCGAAGACCTCCGCTCCCATACACGTCCATCGCATAATTTTACAGGCCAGATGGCCTCATTTCAAGCGTCTCTATTCTGCACAAATGGCCGAATTCCATACCAAACGGATGCACATACCCGAACCCTACTCCGTAGTCCGAGCGTTTCTATATTACTTGTATAGCGACAGTATATTAGATCATCCGGACTTCTGCGCAAGCATATTTGATGTTGCCGGTATGCTCGTTATGGCTAACCTATACGACATGCCCAAGCTACGTTTGCTCTGCGTTCACCGACTCAGTCGTGAACTCGACGTCGAGAATGCGGCTATTATTTGGGAAAGAGCAGGCCGGACGAACGAGGATTGGCTTCGGCGTCGTGCAGCACAATTCTGTCTTGCACATTGGGGTCGAATCGTTCGGACAGCTGGCTTCAAGTCGCTCAACCGTCAGAGCCTCATTGAGCTTTGCGAGGTGGTCGACACGGAAGGTAGGATTGTCGCTGGACCGGAATTAGAAATCGTCAGAGCTCTTGGTTCCGGGCCGTTGGTGTCTAAGCGACCTCGGCTTACTGGATCTTCGTTGGTGGAAGATATGGATGAGCTTGAGGGGGAGGAGGAAGACGGTATGGAGCTATGATTCAGATTGTCATAGTTTCGAGCTGCGGACTCTCGTCATATGGCAGTCGCAATTGTTCACGAGATCATTTCATTGTATTAGCGAGCATATTATAGTCGGAAGGCGTTTGGACAGGCATTTTGTTTTGTTTTTGATGTTTCTTTTTTCGCACCACTCCATTCCCCAGATACCTTAGCACGATTGCGGAACGGGGCAGCAATGTGACACAGTATACGTTTACAATAGACTGTCTGGTTCGAGGATATATATCAAAATGACATGTAGACGTGGTCTCAAGTTAGCCTGCTCCATTGGTCGAAAGGTATGTAGCTAGTGGTGAGGATGCATGCACTCGGCGCGGCTGGATGGCGCAAAATCTAGGGCAAACAGCTTGTCTCCGCTAACCCAGATCAGCCATGCCAGGCGCGAAAGATCGGTTTCGGTAGAAGATTACTCCCGAGACATCCTAAACGTGTCTGGGATATCCCTGCTGTGTCTGCGCTGCATGGCACAGATAAACCAACATGTGCGCAGTGGAGATGGTGGGGGAAGGAAAACGACCCCTGAGGCGCTAACTCCGCTTGTCTCCTCTTTGCGCGGAGTATCGCACTTCCCCTCTATCTCTCTATCAACCATTCATACCGCGCTTTGCGGCTTTTTCTGGCGTTACTCAGTTATTGTAACACCACAGCCCTCCAAATTGTTGGAGAAGGACTACGTGCTATCGTGCTATCTGATGTTGTTCAGTCGTCGGTTACTACTTCTCCGCATTGGATTGGAGGGGCTAAATGCCCACTGCCCCAGGTGGGCTCGTGAGCCTTTTGACTAGCTAGTCAGGATTGGAAGCTCTTGAAACATTGACTGGTATTTAAACGTTTGATTCCTCATCTTCTTGAGAAGATGGAAAAACTATCACCTGTTTCTTCCTCTTATCCTATCTCTTGGCCTTATTTCTTCCTTCCGCTTACCAAGTAGCAGAAACCACATTCAACATATTGCAGTGTGCAACATCATGGCTATCACCAACGGCACCAACAGCGTCAACGGCGAGACACACCATTCAAAGCTGCCGGCGGACTTTGTCTGGGGATACGCAACAGCTAGGTGAGAATTTTGCCGTTCAGTGTTTATAGACACTCGCTTACTGGGCTTGCTTTACGACTCTAGCTACCAAATTGAGGGAGCTCATGATGAGGACGGTCGATTACCTTCCATCTGGGATACATTCAGCAAGACACCAGGGAAAGTAGAAGACGGCACCAATGGCGATGTGGCCTGTGATTCCTATCACCGTACACATGAGGATATTGCGATACTGAAGCAATATGGTGCTAAGCTGTATCGCTTCTCATTGTCCTGGTATACCGATTCCTCTTAGCCTTGTCTGCATCGGACTTGACTGACAGTGATGATCGAGGCCCCGAATTATCCCCTTGGGTGGCCGAAATGACCCTGTCAACCAGAAGGGAATAGATTTTTACTCGAGATTCATCGACGATCTACTCGCCGCTGGAATCGAGCCGTTCGTTACCTTGTACCACTGGGATCTCCCCGATGAGCTGTTCAAGAGATACGGCGGCCCCCTCAATAAGGACGAATTCGTGGCTGACTACGCAAACTTTGCGCGCATCGCATTTGAGAATTTTGGACCCAAAGTTAAGCACTGGGTTACCTTCAATGAACCTTGGTGTAGCTCCGTGCTCGGTTTCAATATCGGCAAGCATGCTCCGGGAAGAACGAGCGATCGCAAGAAGAATCCCGTCGGTGATGGTACAACAGAGCCATGGATTGTTGGTCATACGCTTTTGGTGGCTCACGGTACTGCTGTCGATATCTACCGAAGGGAGTTCAAGGCAGCACAGGGAGGAGAAATCGGCATTACACTTAACGGTTAGACCTTTTCTTAAACATTAAACCAAGCTACGGAAACACGTGCTTACAAAACCTAAAGGAGACTGGGCTGAGCCTTGGGACCCGGAAGACCCAGCGGATATTGAAGCTTGCACCCGCAAACTCGAATTTGCAATATCCTGGTTCGCAGACCCAATTTACCATGGTAAATATCCCGACAGCATGGTGAAACAACTGGGCGATCGACTCCCACCATTGAACTCCGACGAAGTCGCCTTAATTAAGGGTAGCAATGACTTTTACGGCATGAACCATTACTGCGCAAATTACATTCGTCACCGAGAAGGCGAAGCAGATCCAGACGATACTGCTGGAAACCTTGATCATCTCTTTGAAGACAAGTTCGGTAACTCGATTGGACCCGAGACGAATTGTGAATGGCTTCGTCCTCACCCACTGGGTTTCAGGAAGTTATTGAAATGGCTCTCTGACCGTTATGGTTACCCCAAGATCTATGTGACAGAGAACGGCACAAGTATCAAGGGCGAGAATGACTTGTCATTAGACGAGCTTCTCAATGATGAGTTCCGCGCCCAATATTATAGAGATTATGTCGGCGCCATGGCCGATGCTTCTGCTATCGATGGTGTCAATGTTAAGAAATATATGGCCTGGAGCTTGATGGAGTAAGTCTACAATATGTTCAACTAAAGAACTCGTGCTAACGCATTGTAGCAACTTTGAGTGGTCTGAAGGCTACCAGTCCAGATTCGGCGTCACTTACGTCGACTACAAGGACAATCAGAAACGAATCCCCAAGAAGAGTGCCCTCGTCATTGGAGAATTGTTCAACAAATACATCTCGAAAGAGTAGACGAGTTTATTTTATTTAGGTCTTATATCGGATACACCATGTATATAGTGATTCATTTTGAATTTGAACTTTCTCTATTACATCTTCAGTAGAGTATAATCTGCGATATATTGCAGTTTTGTCGCAGCCTGCTGAACAGTTGACCAAGGTGAGTGGCTAGTTCAATCACTCTTCCATCGCTTTTCGACAACATCAAAGCCGATAATGTCAGTCTCGATATTCAGACTCTTCAGCATCATGTCCATAGTGAACGTCTACAAGCCAATTAGTACGATATTTGATTGCACAAGCAATGAAAATACTCACCTCCTCCTCGTTGCCATCCTTCTGTTCACACCCACCGTTCTCATCATCAGCATCAATCGTACTCCTCAGTTCTCCCTCGACACCATCGTCTCCACCAGGAACACCACCACCATAAAAATCATCATCTTCCCACATCTGCATCCTCTTCATCCTCTGTCTCTCGCTCTCCTTCCAAGCTCCCACTCCTCCCATCCTTTCAATCTTATCCTTGGCGGTCTCAAACAATTCCTCAGCAGCTTTCTGGCTTATGCTGCGCCATTTAACCTTGAGAGCTCTAAGTTCGTCATCTCTTGAACTAGATTCGATCCTTAGTGCTTGCTGTACTGTATCAAGCTCTGAGCGTAGGGATGTGAGTTGAGATTGGAGGACGAGTCGTTTCCTGCGAAGTGCTATTATATCTGGGTCTGATTCGAAAGCATGTGGTTGTCGTGATTGGCTAGTCTTGATGTTCAAAGAGGGACTGACAGGAGAGTTATGAAATGGTGGTTTGTCTGGATGCTTTGGAGTTTGTTGTGCCTGGCTGTTTGATGCATCTGGTTTTGGAGGCTCCTTTCGTTGCGCGGGCAATGGTGACTTGAATGGACGTGACAGTGCTGATGCTCCGTTGCCTAAACGGCGGCGCTTTGCTTGAGGGTTTGGAGATTGCGACATTTTGCCCTCTATCTCCTGGGATTCGTCTTGATGTTGATAAAGATGAGATGGGAATTGTTGGGATGGGATAAAGTAGGATGATGTAGGTAGTCAGAAGTTGAGACTAAAAGGAGCACATGACCAGACCACGCCCGGCGACTACCTATCTACGGCCATGAGATTTTCGCTGGCCAGTAAATGAAAAATGGAAAGAGAAAGTTTGTAATTTCGACATGAAGTTATAAGACAGAGAAAGTATGTATGTTACTATTCATCAAAACTCATCACACAGATCAATGCCCAACTCCTCCTGCAACCCATTGAGCAAACTCTGGCTGATCCGGTCGAGGGAAAAGCCCTCTGTCATTGCCATTGTTAACGGCGTCGCCATTCTGATTAACGCCAGCTGCTTGTTGCTGTTGCTGTTGTTGTGCGCCATTATTAGCATTCCCATTATCTCTCTGTCTGTTACGCTGTTGTCTGATATATACTAAGATCAACAGCGTTGCTGCAAGCGCAACTATAATTAACGCCTCCAGCACACTCTCATCTATATCAATGTCGAGTTCGTCATAGTAGCCTGTATCGTCGTTGTCTGCACGGTGATGTGATCCGATAAGTTCCGTTTCCTCTTCACGCTCTCGAAGAAGCTGTGAGTATTGCTGGGCTTCTTCTTCATCATTCTCTAGGAATGCAATGATCCACTCTTTGAATGTCCTGGGTGCTTTCGATTCTGGGAGAAAAAACTCAGTTATGTGGTCAGATATGTGACACAGATATAGGGGAAGTACGTACCCTTTTCATCCTGGATGCCGTTGATATTGCCGTTGGTAATGCGATTCCATAGATGACGAATGCGTAGTTTGATCAAACTGAGTTTCACAGGGAAATAAGCTTCCTGATTTGTTGCAAGCGCCAGGTCATAGTAGCGTTTAGCCATATGGAAGTCCTGCTCTACGGCAACACCGTTCTCATGCATCCAACCCAAATTCCAGAATGCTTGTGCGCTATGATGGCCTTCCGCCGCCGTATGATAGCATGTCGAGGCCTTCTCAGGGTCAGCTGGAATACCAAGCCCTCCTAGGTAGTAGTCTCCCATTTTTAGCAAAGAATCGATATTTGATTGTCGCGCTGATCTGGTCCAATAAATGAGAGCAAGTGCTGCGTTTCGAAGCAAGGGTGAGCGGGGTTTCTGAGTTGTCCATGGAAGTATTCTATCCAAAGAAAATACTGATCGCTGTTCGTCCAAGAGGTACGCAACGTTCGCTTGTGCATTTTCATATCCCTGTTCGGCGGCCATCATGACGGCAATCAGTGCCGTCTCACGATCACCATTTTCATACGCATCATTGGCCTCGATAAATGAGGAATGGACTTCTTCAGCCCTCTCCGCAACCATTTTGTAATATGCCGAAGCCATTCCGCAATGCCGTTCTCGACCAACCCCAAAGTTAGCAATCTCCGCGAGGTAGTAGAAAGCTTCCATCCAGCCCCAGCGAGCGGCCAGCTCAAAGTACTTGGTAGCGGTTTGTACATCTCCCTGATCGAGGAACAATGCACCAAATCTTGTCTGCGCAGCTGGAAAATCCTGTTCAGCAGCTGTTTTGAAATATTCTGCGGCTTTGTATGCATCCTTTGGAACTCCATAGCCATGCAAATACATCAACCCAATCTCGTACTGACACAAGGCATCACCGTTTGCAAGACCGCGCTTGAACCATAACATGGCTGTTGTGAAGCTTTGCTCGACGCCTTCTCCGCGTAAGTACATCATCCCAATGTAACCTGCTGCTTTAGCTGCCACCTTGTCAATACCCACGGGGTGGTTGGCAAGGATATCTCCGTCTTTAGTCCAGTACCGTTTTGTAACGCCCCTGAAATATTTCATAGCCCTGCGATAATTACGCGGTAATGTTCTAGCTCCGTCATAGTACATCTTTCCTAGACTCAGTGTTGCCTTGAGCTCACCCTTTTTCGACAAGAGATCTAGATATTCGATAATATCTTCAAGGTTAGCGTCTGCACTAGCATGACTGCCATCTCTATGAGCGTTCGGTCCCGAGCTTGAAAAGCTTGCACCCTCTCCATATATGCCTCCGTCATCATCGGCCCATCGATATGATTCCCGAACCATAACCCGCCCGCCAGGAGGCCCAGACCGTAGATAGGCGATCGCTTTATCGGCGACTTGTTTGTAGTAGTGCACTGCCTGATCACAATCCCGTGCACCGCCAATACCAACATGATGACGGAAAGCAAGAGTCATTTCGGAGCGAGTGTTTCCTTGCTCCGCGGCAAACGTATGATACAACAATGCCTTCCCTTGGTCTCGCTCAACCGCATCACCAATACTAGTTGCATACATGAATCCGACCATGAATTGTGCCGTGCTATTTCCGGTCGCTGAGGCAAGCTCTTGGTACCATCGAAAGGCCTCTTTGAAGTTGCGTGGATGCGAGAAGTTGCCGTAAAAATTCATGTCAGCCAGAAGGAGCATTGCATCCGCATTGCCAGATGTCTCTGCTGCCACCTTCAATTCATGTATGGCTTCCACTAGCTCCGGGAGGAGCTTATTCGACCGACTTGCCAAACGGGATGCTTCGTCATCGAGTGATGGCCCATTCATGAACAAGAAATAAAATGCGCGTTTGGCATAGTGTAAAGCATATCCAATTATTCCCGACTGTCTGTCGTGTGCCACCGTCGAGATTTTGATCGCTCGAAGTTTTCGTAATGCAGAATCAACAAGCTCTAGTCATTCATCCAAAGGCCTCAGTATCATACCACGCGAAGGAAAAAGAGGTAATTCTTGTCCATACCTTTGCCAGATTCCGCATCTTTCCAGTCATTATTCCCGCCAGTCGTGAATCTTTCGGCATTTGGCTTTTCGGATCGATGTCGAACACTCGAGACGGACTTTTTTTGACTCTCGCATGATCCTAGAATCGCTAGCGACCAGACTGTTTGTGATGCGATAAATAGTTAGTCAGGGATGCGGACTCATCGGCAGAGACCACTCACGGAACACCACTGATAAAATCAAGCGCACCCACAGCTTCATCTTTCTCTTTCTTAGAAGCCACTTTGCTTCAGGAAGTGCATTGTGCGATGATACAGATACCGCTCATGTCTTGAGTTGAGAATAAGAAAGAGTGTCGTAGTAGGTAGTTAGCTATCTTTAAACGGGCCACCTATGACGAACGGAGCTGTCCGGAGTCTCCACCAGGCCTCGGTGGACTTTAATGGACAGCAACAACTCCAGTAGAACTTAGATAACCAAAGGAAGCCCTCACCCATATCTAAATCGATCTCAGCTTTGATTGCTCTAATATGGAACCAAAAAGCATTCTAATTATTAAGTATAAAATAGGTTAATATTTTGGATTGCCCTTTAGTTCTTAGTATCTTGACTTAGATCCTGAGGCCTTCAGTTCGTCAAGCCACCAGGTTCTACTGTATACCACACTCACAAAGAATTACAAACAAGAAAATTATGTATTTGAGGCTAATGATACATAGAGTCTCTATTTAGCGGACTGCAAAGATCGCCGGGATCAACACTTCCAATCTACTGGCGCGGGGACCTGATACATTTCTGTTAGCTCAAACAAGGCATACTTCGCCAGGATTGGTATATACATACGTTGGGTTATACTGCGGTGAAGTCGGGCTGTAACTAGGCGAAGTTCCACCGCGGGCAGGTGACGTCGGGGAGCCATGAATATTGGGAGATGTGGGAGAATAGATCTCAGGGCTTGTAGGGCTCCATGCTGGTGAGGCAGGCGAATACTTAGGTGACGTTGGACTAGAGAACTGTCTAGTACCACCAATTGCTGGACTTGTCGGGCTATATGTCGGCGAAGTCGGCGAGAATGCCGGGCTGCTTAGCGACATGTTTGGACTGGAAGGCGAGTAATTGGGAGACGAAGGTGAGAATCTAGGAGAGGTTGGCGAATATGATGGGGAGGCCTGCTGATAGGATGGAGATGTTGGGGAATACTATAAATTGTCAGCCAAGCTTACTTTCTTTGACCATATTAACTGGGGGATACATACAGCAGGTGACGTGGTTTGGAAATTGGGACTGCTTGGGGAGAAGCCTGGAGACGTAACGAAGCGGGGACTCGTGATCGACATGCCAGGGGAAGCTGGTGAGTAACTGGATGACGGCGAATAACCCGGAGAGACGGGGCTTGTATTGAATGGGCTGGTAGGCGAATAACCACCAGGGCTCTGAGGTGCTGGGCTGAAACCTCCTAACCCCTGAGATGGTTGATATGATGTGAAGCCCGCAGGTGTCTCTGACCCTGCCTGTCGGATAGGCGAAAACTTGGCGTCCGGGTCTGGGGTACCGATATAGCCGTTTTCCATCATGGGGGAGTTGTTGTCGTATTGAGTAGCTGCTCCATCGTTGATCATCGCGTCCTTGGCTCCAAGACCACCCATTAATCCAATTCCAGTGTTGCTTGAAACTACCGTATTTAGCATATTTTGGTCGAGATACACATCGAACTCTCCCGTTCCAGCGGGGGCCAATTGACCGAGAATCAAATTCTCAGACACACCACGGCAATCATCAAGTTCTCCAAAAGCAGCCGCTTCAAGAAGAATTTCGACAGTTTCTTCGAATGAACATCTCATCAAAGCACCGTTGTCGGCACGGTTGATACCGTGACGTGTAACAGGTGTAAGATAGCCACGCACCGTCATAACATCGACTAAGAGTGCCAAATGACGATGGTTGACATAAGAACCGTCGAAAGCCAACACCTGAGTCAATTCTCGCAAGACCGCCGTACGAGCAGCCTCGATACCGAACACTTCAAACACTTCGATAAACTGGTTGGAATAAGTTCGACTGGTGTCAACACCTGGGATCGTAAGTACGTCGGCGAGAGCCGATCCACTTGTTTCGAGAACCCATTCCTTGCAGAGAGGATCAGTCTTGCTCTGGAACAAAGAACCATCCTCCATAACGCGAACATTGTCCTTCTCATTGATGAAAGCACGCTCGACACCAGCTACACCACGCAGAGTCAAAGTATCCAACAAATGTTGCTCAAGCTTCTTGAGAGTCACGTCATATTCCATGTCTTCTTCATCTTCGTCTTCCTTGGCGTCATGAAGTTGGCGAATACGGATAACTTGCTCATCAGCGTTGTTATCACTGAAAATGACTGCAATGTCTCTAGGATACTGCTCTTTGATCCTAGTAGCAACGTCTTGAACAGTGAGCCCCTTATCCAAAAGCTTGGGTCGACTCAGAACAATACGCAAAAGCCACTTGGACTGACGACTGGAATCATCGGCAACGTCTTCTGGGATGATAAAGTACGACTCAACCATATCTCTATCGTTCTCAATGACGGTAGACTGGATATCTGGGTCATAGTAGATTTCAGTAGCTTCCGTGACCGAGCGAAGACTTGTATGTTCCACAACACTACGCAACTGCTTGGCAGACTCCTTGTCATGCTTCCTGTGAGGCTCTTGGTAAACCGTCATGGAAGGCGTCTTGATGTTGGTGGCCACGTTCAAAATTTCTTTCAAACGAGGGACACCAAGAGTAACGTTCTTACTCGACACACCTATACGAATAGTAAAAAAATTTAGTTTAATGACTATGATTCTGTTTGCTTGTAGAAAGATAGAAACTTACCAGCAAAATGAAACGTATTAAGGGTCATCTTAGGGTTCGGGTTAGTTATCTGCCAATGCCAAAGTATAGAGCAGGATATGTTCTTACCTGTGTGGCAGGTTCTCCAATAGATTGAGCGGCCAAAACACCGACCATTTCTCCTGGATTAGCTTGAGCTCGCGCGAAACGCATCTCGATTGCTCCTAAAACGTGGTTGAAGGCAAGCTTGTTCATAGAATACTGCGTGACCAATCGCTTGAAGGCTAAGCGAGAACGCAGCTGAGCCTTGAATAAGAGCGTGGCACTAGTCTGTGCTTCTTTTGAGATCACATCGTCACCACGAACAATGACCAAGCGATCTAACAAAGCCTGAACTTGAGGAATGACCTCAGCGGGATGAAGATCGCTGATGGTACCTTCCTTGATATGGAACGTGGTCTTAGCCGACTCGAGGATACGCTGAACATTGAGTGGCAACTGCATCATTTCTTCGTCTCCCTTGGCGACAGAGCGAAGGAACTCCCGGTCCTTCAAAAGAGCCTCCCATTCCTCATCCAAGTAGCGCTGAACTTCTACGTCACCTTCAATTTCAGCGGCTTGTTCGAGGACTTCAGGTCCGAGCGTGCGCTCCGGGTCCATGAGGTCAACGCGGAAACGGTCACGGAACTGTTCGTCAGAGCATTTGATAATATCCACTCTCTGGTTCTCAATGTGAGCACCATCCAAACCGTCCTCTCCGTACAAGAATTGGATAATATCGCCAAGCGAGTTTCGGACAGTTCCATCATACTTAACCATGAGCTCCTCAAGAGCCTTGACAAGTTTACGTTGAATGTACCCTGTTTCAGCAGTCTTTACTGCAGTATCAATAAGACCCTCACGGCCGCCCATCGCATGAAAATAAAATTCGGTTGGCGTTAACCCTAACCTTAATCTTCAGCTTCTGATCCTTTCACAACATCTGAGCATATGCAGAAACTTACCTCGAAGGTAGGAATTTTCCACGAAGCCTCTGGACTCCGGAGAATAGTCATCCTTTGTAAAGTGAGGAAGCGTACGGTACTTGAATCCGAAAGGAATACGTTTTCCCTCGACAGACTGCTGCCCAACAATAGCCGTCTGTTGATGTTTGGGTTAGTACTGGTCACCAACTTGAGCGAAGGCCTACTCTCTCGTCCACTTACCATTTGCGAAATGTTGATGGTGGAACCCTTGGAGCCAGATCTTGCCATTTGAACAGCATTGTTGAGATCCTTCAAGCTCTTTTCGGTCTCGCTACCGGCCTCCTCACGAGCATTATTCAACGCACGAGATACCTTGCTCTCGAATGTCTCTCGAATATTCATACCGGGCAATGGCTCCAGTGTATTCTCAGTTGCACTTTGGACGATCTGTTCAACCTCTGCCTTACCAGCACGGACTGCGGCCTCAATTCGTTCAATGGTCTTCTTATCGGGAATTGTATCACCAATACCGATGGAGAAGCCATTATGGAGAAGCCAATAATTGACAACGCGCTGCGCACCATCGAAGAAAGTTACTGCGGCATCGGGTCCATACTCATTGAAGATAGTATGAACAATACCGCCGCCGGAAGCTCCGACGGTCTTCTTCGAGAACATGCCATACATCAACTGGCCGCCGTGTACCAGAAGTCCGCCATCTGCTAAGGGCGAAAATTTCTCTGAAAGTGGAGCCTTATCCTTATCGATACGGAGCAAATTGAGTCCAGATGGCAACACCATGCTGATAATCTGCTTTCCGGTCCAACGAGGTCGGGGCTTCAGAATGGCCGGCTGAGGAATGACGCCATCCCAGTCCGGAACCCAAAGCATTAAATTCATAACTTGATCCTTGGTAAGAAACACATCACGGCGACAAATTTTGTAGATACCACACAGAGAATCCTGTACAATACCCATCAAGGGACCATTTCTCTGTGGTGACACAATGTTGAGAGGAACCAGGGCAAGTTCCTGTAATTCAGCACGAGCTTCTTCGCTCTGAGGTACATGCATGTTCATTTCGTCACCGTCGAAATCGGCGTTGTAAGGTGTGGTAACCGATAGATTAAGCCGGAAGGTGGAATAAGGCATCACACGGACACGATGAGCCATCATAGATTCCTTGTGCAACGACGGCTGACGGTTGAAGAGAATCACATCCCCGTCAAGGAGATGGCGCTCGACTTTCCAACCGTAGAGAAGATTGGAACTTGTCTTCCGCGCCATGCGCAAATCTATTCGCTCACCGTTATCCCGCACAATGTATCTCGCACCAGGGTAGATTGTGGGGCCATTATTAACGAGTTTTTGCAAAAATTCGATATTGTATGGCGTGACGACTTCTGGATACGTCAAAATCATCGCGCTCTGTGTTTGGGTCAACATCATGCCAAAATAAAAAAGAATAAGGTTAGGGTACGAACCGACCGAGGAGTGCCGACCTCAAATAGAGATAAATTGGGATCTCCACAAATTCTGTTAATATAAATCATATGGTCAGTAAAATCATAAGGTAAGGTTGAGGGATAGAATGTTAGGGTTGACGGATGGTGTTGGGGTTAGGACGTACACAGTACGGGCCGAAAAGTCGACACGTTTTCCCATCAAGTTTTGTCGGAGGCGGCCTTCTTTCCCTTTCAGACGACCACGGATCGCTTTGACTGGCCTATTAGATTTCGTCATAGCCTTGGGTTGTCCGGCAATATCATTGTCCATATACGTGGCAACATGATACTGAAGTAAGGCCTCAAATTCCCGAACAACGTGTTCTGGCGCGCCTTCTTGTTCGCATCGTTGTAAATTCTGATTCGCACGGATGATTTCTGCGAGTTTGAATGTCAAGTCATCTTCAGCACGTTGACCGCTGGAGCTCTTGCCGCTAACAACACTGGGACGGACGACGGGAGGAGGGACAATGAGAACGGTGAGGATCATCCATTCAGGACGGGCGTAGTCGTTACTTAGACCCATGATCCTCACGTCTTCATGCGAAATGCTGCGAAAGATATTGTAAGCCATCGCGGGGGTGATAGTTCGCTTCTCGGGTTGAGGAATATCAATATCGTCTTCCATCATGTTCGCTTTGTTCGGTTTCCAGGTTCCGACGAGACTCAATCCCTCTTTACGGATAGTGGGCTGAGCATTACCACAGCCACCGTGTCCCTTATGCGGTTTCGAGCCTTCCTTGGAGAAAGGATCTTCGTCCTCTGGTAGAGGATCGGCCTCGCAAATGGCAACATCTTTCGACAGACGCCAGATAATATCAAACCGTCGTTTCGGGTCGCGAATACGTAGCGCATCCTGGAATTTGGGGTCGCTCTAAATGTAAAGCGGTAGCAGTTAGCATGAGTACATATAGAGAATCTCAACTTTTAAGAATTACCATATCTGCTTTGATCTTACCACAGTTGTGGCAGACAGTCTCCAGTAGTTTCTTAGTCTTTGTAAGAAAACCTGTTCAGATTAGTCGATGGAGTCATTAACCAAGAAGATATTAGAAATCATACCGATGTGAAAAACAGGGGTTGCAAGCTCGATATGACCAAAATGTCCTGGACACTCTTTCTGACCCTCCTCACAGGTTTCACAATAATATTGGCGATCGAGAGTTCCCAGCCTCGGATCATTTGGACCTTTGGTTCGTGGGCGCATTCTCTGCTCGTCCTATATGAAATAAGAGTAGAGTTTAACAGATGGATTCATCAGGCAATTCTGCAAAAAAAAAACTTGCCGCCTTACCATTGTCTCAGGATATTCGACATGGACCACACTCAAGCGTTTGATCTCTTCAGGCGAAAAGAGACCAAACTGAATCTCCTTTATGGTGCGCAACGGCGCCTTGGAGTAAGGAAAGTGAACGTTCGACATGGTTGGGGTCCTTGACGTTAATCACGGAGACGGGTCGGTAACAGAAAAACTGAGGTTTTAGTCTGTTGATGTTTGACTGTGCTGCGCCCTTCGTTATGAGCACAGATTTTTCTCAGATTTCGGCGAAGAAGGATCCAAAGTAACAGTCAGCGACCGTCAGTAGAGTGAGATAACAAACGGCCGCCTGCCGATGAGGACTTTGGCAGCCCTTGCCACGAGGGCGCCGGTCACCTTAGACAACGAGACGCCGCGAAAGTCGACAGTTTGTAACGGTGAGAAAGCCGAAAAAGTCGCAAGAGTTGATAGCCCTGACTTGACTTGACAGAATCCCAGATAGAAACACGATAATCTGGGATGACAGGTGATGAACAGGAAGTTGTCGCGTTGATGAAGGAGCGATGACTTGCGAGTCGCCTTGCTGACGCCGGGCAGGGACTTTAGCTCGAGTTTTCTTGGGAGCCGCTAGTGGTTGCTGCCTAGCCAATCACAGCCGTTCTTCATGTTTGAGCAAGTCTTGGCGGTGAATCTGCGGTTGCCAGACAAACTTCAAGAAAGAAAGGCATTCACCCTCAGTTCATTTCGCTATCTGCGCTCAAACCTTGCCTCTTATTACAATTATATGCGCACTTAATTATGATACATGAGTGAAACTTCGTTGTCACCTCCTGGATCACTGCCAGGTAGGACTTACACCAACACCAACCGAATAAGCCGATTACAATGAATCTATCACTCGTCGATCCATTCGCCCTCGCCCAAGACTATCCCGATACTCTAACCGGAAAATTACGTATGACTCATTATCATTACGGCGCTCATGACTGGGATACATAGGCTGACTGAGAGTAGGAAGCGGCCATGCTGCGTGTTTACGGTTCAGTCACAAGGGAGACTACCTCGCCGCAGGTCGGGTGAGTGACTATTGTCTACATAACTGGATGAATGAATTAAAAGACTAACAGTTTGGATTGTGTCTCAGGTCGACGGTACAGTCATTGTCTTCGATCTGGAGACAAACGGGGTAGCGCGCAAGTTACGAGGACACACAAGGCAGATACAGTCACTTAGGTATATGATTCGATGTCGCAGGTAATGGCATTGCTCGGGTCGCTAATATTGTTGTAGCTGGTCCAGAGATGGCCGATATTTGCTAAGCGCATCGCAAGACTGGAAGTGTATACTATGGGATTTGAAAGATGGCTCGCGAGTGCGAATGGTCCGTTTTGCAGCCCCGGTATACATTGCGGAATTACACCCTTTTAATCAGTGAGTCGCTTGGATATATTATGACCGTATTGGTGCTCGATGCTGACTTCCGGAGTTTGTTATTTGTCGCATCCCTCTTCGAAGAACAACCAGTCCTAGTCGACATCTCGAACCCCAAGCCCATCAAACACATCCTACCCTCGGTCCCCCTGCGACCTCAGGATGGAGTCGATCCAGCCGCAGCAGCCAAACAAGCCGCGCAAGACGCAAAACAGTCAACATGCGTCACAATCTTCACTGCGTTGGGCAACCACATTATCTCAGGAACATCAAAGGGATGGATTAACATAATCGAGACTCAAACCTGCAAAACCATACATTCTACTCGTCTCTGTAACGGCGTAATCATTCTCATCCGCCTCGCAAGCAACGGCCGTGACCTTCTCATCAACAGCTCCGATCGCGTAATCCGAACAGTCATAATGTCCGACCTCTCTCAACTAGGCATAGGCCTCGACCCATCAAACATCAAGTTAGACGTTGAGCACAAATTTCAAGACGTCGTCAACCGTCTAAGCTGGAACCACGTGGCGTTCTCGTCAACTGGCGAATTCATCATGGCATCAACATACATGAACTCAGACATATACATTTGGGAACGAAGCCACGGCTCGCTCGTTAAAATCCTGGAGGGGCCACGCGAAGAAATGGGAGTGGTGGAATGGCACCCCTCACGACCAATGATCATGTCATGCGGCCTCGAATCCGGGTCAATCTACATATGGTCTATAATCACACCCCAGAAATGGTCTGCCCTCGCGCCGGATTTCGCTGAAGTAGAAGAAAACGTGGTCTATGTGGAAAGGGAAGATGAATACGACATCCACCCGGCAGAAGAAGTCCATCAACAACGTCTCGATCAAGAAGATGAGACACCAGACGTACTATCCTTGGACCATCTCGGCAGTGGTGCCGCTATGGGTGAACTGGATATGGATACTTTCCGTATGCCAGTTCTGCTAGATCTATCGGATAGTGAAAGTGAAGAGGAGATTATAGCTGTCGGTCCGGGGACGATGAGAAGACGAAGTCCCGGGGCTGGCCGAGAATGGATGAATACTTCTCATGACGGCGCATCATCTACTCGAGGTGCGGCAGCAAACGGCTCTTCAAGAGGACCGCACGGCAGAGGGAGGAAGAAATGATGTTCACCACTAATATTTTACACTTATGCTTTTCTTATCAACATATCTGTTATTCTCTCTTTTGATGTTGGCAGGCTTCTTGCTTTTGGAGTCTGGGAATGGGCCGGCGCACTTTGGCGGCGTTACGGGGAGGGCATCATACCTAGGCAGGTAGGTAGCAGATCTGATCTAAGAATTATAGATGTAAGTTGAGGATATATGCCGACAATACCTATATATATACAAAAAAAAATGATTCAGGTAGAAAAATGACAACCTGATGAGATTTCGGGACTGAGTATCCTCATGCATTTTCACAAAAAACACAGAGAATATTTCCAACGTTTCTTCCCTGTATCCTTTTTCTTTGTTTCTCCCTCTTTGTCCACCTGCTCGCTTCCCCTTGAACGCCAGAACCCGAAGCGCCGGACCTGGTCCCACGTCGCTGGCAAAATGCATCCCATAAAAAGAAAGAAGAAAAGAAAGCAATGTCCAATAAATACCCTAGGTTTTTTTGTTCCGATCCTTCCTTGCACCCCTGCCCTTTCCCAGTGCCAAATAAAAAAAAATTAGAAAATGTAGCATCGTCACGTCATTCTTTTCTCCTCCAACATTATGATCTGATTTCCCTCTAAGCTCCTGAAATATGCATCGATCGATTATATTCGGTTCATGCTCTGGTAGGTCATGACAGCAGTACCGGGGTGAGATAGTATGTATGTATGATTGTGTAATAGATGGTATGTAAGTTTTAGTAGACCTGTTTTGGGCCGCTGAAGATGAAATCGCTGGACCGCCTAGCCCTCTGCGTCTGTGACATGGCCATCCTTGGTCTGCCGTCAAGTCAGATTTTATCGAAGGAATGGTGTAAGATGATGGCAGAACTCTACCTAAGTAGAATTTCCTCGCCATCTCCTCAATTCCCCGACGGGTTCTCTGGCTTCATCGCTTGATAGATGTGAAGTATATTATAAGCTCGTATCTCCTTGTTATAAGCTTCCCTCTTCACATCCAAAGCTAATTGCTGAATTTGTTCTCGTGAAAACCCCCATACCCGGTGTAGCGGCGCAAGGATCAATGTCTCAACGCTCTCAGAAATGGCGAGATTATACCACCGACCAACTTTCTTTTCGTGCTCGTCATGATGCCATGGGTTCAGCGGGAGACCGACAATTTGGTGATCAATGTTTACAAACCCTTGCTTCTCCAGCGCGGCCATCGTCTCGCTCACACTATGAGCTATAGGCCGTGCAGACATTTCGGTCGCCTGTTTCAAGTACTGATACCACTTATGCATGGACGTACCTTCGAGGGAGCGTTCTTCGCATCGCGGTTCAAAGTCTATCTCCACCTGCTCGAACCATCCTCCAGGACGTAGATGGGAATATATTCGACGGTAAAGCGACGGCCAGCTAGTGACACTTCCACATCCCATCTGCATATGAATCAAATCCCAATAGTCTTCTCCCAGTGCCCATGGATACTCAAAGTCTCTCGGGGCATAAAAGTCACAATTCTTAGGACAGTTCTCGGGCTGGATATCGGCGAGGTCCATTCCGGCCACGAAGCTATCGGGATACTTGTTGGCTACATCGATGGCCCAGATTCCCGTGCCACAGCCCAGGTCAAGCACACGCGCATTTGGAGGATGAGGGGCATATATCAATCCGTCGCCCACTCGAGCTTCTGTAATGACCTTGTGGAACAAATCCAGGCGATCTTGCTCCTCGTCGTCGCACGGCAGCATATAGACGCCTCTTCGGTACCCATGGTACGTCCGCCCGTTTTCTAGGTGGCGGGGATGCTGTTCCGGAAGCCTTTTTCAGTTCCACTGTTAGCAGCCATTGGGTAAAAGAAATCAATCCGGGCAGTAAGAGAACACATACTTGTATTGAGAAGGCATCAGAGTATTAGCATTGTTCGAAGAGCGCGCCGATTCCCCGGCGTGGGGGTTGTGCGCGTCAACATTCTGCCCGATTCTTGAGGCATCCGGCAAGGCGTAGATGAGCTGAGATGATTGGGGGCTGCCCGTTGTAGTGGCTGTGATTGTAGTAGTAGTGGCTGTGCCCTGCAGCGGTTGAGCAGGATGTCGATGATTGGGGAACATGCTGTGTGTGCGCGTATGTGTGTGTGGGTTGCGTTATGTCACTCCAAAAGTTTCCCGAGGAGAGCTCGCAGTTGCTTAACAATAAATAGATTGATTCGCCTAACCGTCACAATTTATACAAGCAGAATGTCTCTGGTGTGATTCGGTGATTGTTGACTATTTCCTGTCCTACCCCATTCAAAACAACAGAAAAAAGGAAATAACCAAGCGAATGGGGCCAAGGTTGAGGAAGCCGAGAAAGGTGTTACCAGACTAGATTTTCAGCTGATTGCGAGAAGACGAGACTGTTTCATATAACCACATGGCCGTGGGGAAACAAGCGAGAGCCGGCGCGTATCCAACGGCTCATGGAACACAGCAGGCAGGCCACGATACGAGGGGCGGGCGATGAAGGGGTATATATATGAGAATTGGGGGGTCCCCATGCATGGGAGGAAGAGCGGGAGCTCCGACAAGCTGAAGGAGGAGGAATGCGTAAGATGATGAAGGGGGAAGGGAACGAGGAGAAGAAAAAAAGAAAATGCTTAAGACGAGGTATTAAGCAGACAGGGAGGCCGGCGGCAACAGCAGAGATCCATATTAATATTAATGTTTTAAATGGCAGCGAGTATCTAGAGCAAAACTAAGTCGGCTAGTCGCTGTTAAAATTAGGCTCTGCCAGGTCCGGCCCGCAGAACGATGTAAGAAGCCTAAGGCCCTAAACGATGCCTTGCCTATCAGGATGCGCCGACGGGGATGCCTGAGCGCCTGGGACAACACGAATGAATTAGCCAATGATTGCTTACGCTCTGCTGAGGAGTCTATTCTTTTACTATTCTGTGTTTATTTCTTTTCTCTTAGTACATATACAATGACGACAAGATCGCTGGGTTGACGTGGCTGCATCGATTGGCCTTGCTGCAGCGACTGCATTGGTGCATAACCTAATATTCGGAGCATCTCGACATGCATTTGATCCTACTACGTCGTACAGAGTGCATACTGCTAAGTAGCATACTACCTTCCCACGAATGCGGGGACTTGTACAGACAGTCGCACAGCGTTATCAAGTCGCTCAGCATGATTATTTCGGTAAGTCTCGCTCGTGTCAGTGTAACTGCCTATTTTGTGTAGCTGGCCAGTGAGGAAGGAAGTTGTAGTTGGCGGGGGCGAGAGCGGCTGGTGCCGAAAGGGCCCATCAACCGCCCGCCGCCTCCCAAACCCTTGGGACCAGCTTTTCTCCTACACACTCTCTCTCCCTCTCCCTCTCTTTCTCTTTCTCTCTCTCACATTCCCGGACCTACAACGCCCATCAACAATTGTCATTTGATACGACAGAGCTACTGAATGCTTGTTTCAACTCATTGAGACGTTCAGTTGCGGGTCAGCATCTCCAATGCGTGCAATGGCTTCGTTTCGGCGTGTGGTGTACAACCCATCATACATAATGTCCGTTATTCAAGGCACGCATCCCGATAGTCTGGGTAGCTTTGTTCACCGCGATTTACACGGGCCACTCAGCGACGTCGATTGCAATTCCGTTGGCTGAACGTTAACCAGACGAGACGGTACGAATTGACTGAATCAATCATCTGACGGCATCCGAGTCCCCATGCTAAACCTCTTCGAACTCTAGCCGCAACGCTAACTCGACCGTGATTTTGTGGCACAGTCAAAATTCCAGCTCACGATACCAGGCCAATAGTTGATTTTCAATACGCATGCAACTGCAAGCTCAATCACTCATTGCCTCCTATCCAACCAAAAATTCGGCCGCCCACGCGAGACCCTGGTCTAGGGAACAACAACCGAGAAACAACTCTGGCAAGGCTACATACGTACAACGCACGCATGCTGACGTCTCCAGGCTAGGCCCCCCTAGTTAACTACGTAGTTTTACCATCGGACTAGAGTTAGCGACCACCAACACTATCGATGATCCACCCGTTGCCCCGTTGCATCACCTCGGCGCTTCGCGAAATGCATGTTATGCAGCAGGAAAGCGGAGACTAGCCCAGTCAACCACACACGTTTGAACGCGCCCCTGAAGCCTGTCCAAACCTCTGAGAGCTGAAAGGTTGTTCGCGATCTGGCGGCACTTTGTAATAAACTGCTGTGCCGCATAAAATGGACCCGGAATCCTACGGCGCCAGTTGCAATCTTTTCGGATGTCGTGGCGGTCAGCGTCCCTCCTCCAATCGACTAACTCGCTACGTTCCAAGAACTTAACGCATTCCTCTCTCGCTGACTCTCGGGCATGCTGTACGCACTGGCTATTAATGATTGATTTGATGACCTCTGGCCGAACTTTTGCGTGGGGGAGGGGGAGATCATGCATGATTCAAAACGACGTGAGGCGCGAGTCCGGAATGATTGTTCTTGAGCTATACCTATACACTACACAACTATACATGACAATAAAGCTTAAAGCAAACCAACGATTCGCCTATCGCCCATAGCTCATACTTGGACGCCTCGAAACCGTCTCTTTTACCGCCATTGCAGCCGTTTCGACCTACCTGTATTCGTTTCTGATAACGTTTGTTCTGCATTCATTGGACGCTTCAGTTTACTCGCCTGTGGCTCGATAGCGTTGGCACAGTGCATGCGGACAGTGTCATGATTTTGACAAGTTACATTCGTGTTATTAAGAGGGGCAATCGTTCGGAACACCGGGGATGTGCAATGCAGACATCCGGTTTGATATTCTCAAACTGTCCTGTCCTACTTCACTTCGGCGCCCTGGAAATTATGCAACGTGTGTGGTTTGCTATCGACTATATGGAGGCTGAACAATACAGCACGTCTTGTGATTCTTCCTACGCCCGAGTCAAAGCGTACCCTGGGCAGCTTAGTTGGCAATGCCAAAAGATCTGCTCCATTGTTAACCCCGAGATCTCTGCTAGGTGGAGAGACATTCCAAGCCCTGCTTTTACATTGCAAGACTTCCGACGTCAGCTACTCTCGCCTCATCTGGACCAAGTTCAGCTTTTCCGTTTTGCTGCCTGGACAAGAATGTTGATCTGTTGGTGGCGTTATCACTAGTACCTGATACTTCATATGAAATATGTACGATCAGCATCATTTTACGGCTGCTGACCTTGTCGGGTCTCTTTCTAGGGCTAGAACACATCAGCACTAACTTTCGTAGGCCGAGTCAGAAACAGCTGCAGCTGCGCCGCAAATCCGCACAGACACTTTTACTTCGTACTAGGAGTGAGGCCTGTGACACTGTCCAACGCATCAAACTACTAGACTACGTTTGGGATAGGGGAAGAAAAAGCAAGTTTGGAGGCTAAAAAATATGCCTTGTTAGGCATCATTGTCTATTGGGGCCGCGGCTTGTATCAGTCAATTCAGTTGACTTGTCATTTGCTTCATCTAGCTCCAATTGTCCCGTATGCGACGCTAATGTCTTTTCTGATATTCATTCGCGACCTCAAGTTGGTATGCCGTGTGGCCAATAAAATCGATCCGGAACATACGAGTCATTGGATCTCTTTGTTAAAACGGTTAAGAGTAGAGCTCGCCCTTAGAGATCCATATAAGGACTTTGATTTCTTCGAATTGACATCACTTCGCAAGTACAACATCCTAATATACCTACTTTCTCTCTGAAAGTAATGTTAAACTTTTGTAACTCGTTATCTTGAATTTTTAGCAATGTCTCTCAATCTCTGATAACTCTTATGTAGTAACTAGTTATACTTAGTGATCTATTGGTCGTCCGGCCTCATGGCAAATCGGCCAGCCCCACACAAGCTACGCCCTATCCAAACTTTTCTTTCTCCCATCGTCAATATTGTTCCTTTAATCTACATATTATTGGAACGTCATCATTTTCTCCTACGATATCCCAAATCACAAGAGATTATTCTTGCCAGTCATTTGCTGTGCGGAAACTGGGGTAGAGCGGGGAAGAAAATCAATCTTGCATACATCGTGCATCAATAGAGACACATCTATTGTCCGATCCCATTGATCTCTACTGTCATATTGTCAAGACCAGGCATCAATACTTTGCCTACACCAGACAATTTGCGCCACTAAAAGCTGTCTCTCTTACACATGCACACCCTTCAAGCAACTGCATCTTCGTCCTTGTCACTACCTTCGGGTACGTACATTTACGCAATTGCGGCATCTACTCCTAGCACACAACAGCAGCGCCAGTTTGCACTCATTTCATCCGATGATTCACTAAGGCTGTTCGATGGACAATCCCTGCATCCTCTGAATATAGTATCTGCAAAGTGTCATGATGGTGTCACTGCATTGAAGGAGTATCGTGGGAATGGTACAGGGGGCTTTTTACTCGGTACTGCTGGTAGAGATGGGGCTGTTAGATTGTGGGATCCGCGCTCTACGTCTCAAAAAGCCGGTATAGAGATGAACGTTGGTATGTGCTGTCATGTCCGGATGAAGTCTGTATGTCAGCGCAATCTGACGCGTCTGCAGAGAAAAAGTGTCCGATATTGTCATTGTCTTGTGACCCTGAATCATACACTATCGTTGCTGGTACCGAGCTTGAATCCTATCAAGCTACTGTTGCTTTATGGTTGGTGTTACCATTTTGGACCATTCAGCCTTGACGAGGAATCTCAGGAGCTTCTAACCTCCATAATCTAGGGATATTCGAGCACCAGGACAGATACGCCAACAATATATTGAAAGCCACAATGATGACGTGACAGAGGTAGATTTCCTCCTCCCAATATACCATCCGAGAGATACTCTCTGACTTGCATTAGCTACAATTTCACCCTACACGCAAAAATGTCCTCCTTTCTGGAAGCACAGACGGGCTGGTAAATCTCTACGACACCAACATTCAAGACGAAGACGAAACTTTACTTCAAGTAATTAACCACGGCTCCATACATCATGCCGGGTTCTTATCCGACGACGCAGTTTATGCTCTCAGTCATGATGAGACGTTCTCGATACACCCTATTACAAACCCGGACTCGGAAGAGCCTCACGAACCTAGCCCAATCCAATTTGGAGATGTGCGACCATCTTTGCATTGTGAATATGTTGTGCAAGCTTTGAGCACTAATCAGGGGACTTACTTGGCGGCTGGCAACACAACGTAAGCTCGATCATGCCGCGTCATTCTATCAGAAGAAGAAGAAGAAGATCGACTAATTCTTTATTCCATACAGTGAGAAATGTCTCGATTTATTCCCTATCACTCCCTCTCCCACATGGGGGTTTGACTACACCAATGTTTGGCGTCTACCAGAGGCCCATGGTGAAGAGATTGTTCGTGCTGTATACCTTGATGAACAGGTATACCTTCTACTTACCCCGTATTTTTTTCGGACCCGAACTGACCCTCACAACAGTCGAGAACGGTATTCACTGGCGGTGAAGACGGATTTATTCGGGCATGGAGACAGAATGGCTCCGATCATACTGAAGATGACCGAAACGACGGACAAGAACAGCTGTCATCAGACCGAGCGGCTGCTCGGGCTAGAGATAAGAAGAAGTATAAAGATGAGAAACGCTTTAGACCATACTGAAACGATATGTGAAGTTTGACGATGCCTGCCATTCCATCCTCATTCAAGTCGAGAAAAGATAAAACAACCTTATCGATAGCCGATAAGCAGATACAGCACGTGATACGCTAACGGTATCAGGATTAGCCAGCTGATCTTGATAGTGGGTATGTAGCTTACATTCTTAGTGAATTCAAAGTTGACCTCAATGATTAATGAATCTTACTCAATGGTCAGCATTTCGCAATAGACTTCTTATCTCATTAAGCACTCTTCGAGGCCATATTATATATTGTAGAACTGTTCTTGATTGACACTGGCTGTTTACACATTGCGTTCTGTATTGGACACCTTTCAGTCGGCTTTGGCTCACGTATCAATTTCCATTTCATCCTGGTCGTTCGTGCCAATGTTTGCATCCCTTCCACCACGTTACCAGCCTCCATACTGGTGTGAGTTGCTTTAACAAAATTGTCGGGAGGGTCTGCCGTGCCCCATTGCCTACACGCTCCTTTCTCAAATCCTCCAACCAGTGCGAATCGCGCCCTGATGGCGGTTCCATTAGAGTTACCAGGACCCTTGACATCAACCATAATTGGAGTGTCTCCACCATTGCCTGGTGGTTATTGAAAGCCAGATTATAGGTTAGCGCGAGGAAAGCCGGGAACAGCAATTCTAATGCGCAAGGGATTTTCTGTCGCCCTCTTATAAGGTATGGTGATCTCGAGCATCTCGAAATTGTGTTGGAAGGAGCGCAATGGCAGAAGACAGTTCTCGTTCTTGGGAAGTATATCGTGGTATCCTCCAGCCTCGAGCCATGTCCTAAACAGACTCAAATCCAATGTGGAATTGGTCCAGGCAACAAATGTAGTCCGGGGCGATATGCCTTGTTTCTTTAGCTTCTTTGCAACCTGATGGACATCTAGGGCACCGTCTGAAAATTCATGTCTCATTATCTTCTGCTCAGTAGCTATTGCCGCCCACAAAAGCGTTGTATCGAACTTCACACGACTTGTCCTGCTTTCCACCTCGCCTGTGACCGTCAAGATACGACAGTTGAGGATCTTCTCTCCGCGAGTGTTGCAAATCCCTATCTCGTAAATTTTCCGTTAGCTTAGGTTAGACTCTAAGTCCAAAAGCATCAGGTTATCGTTGCGCTTCGGGTGCTCGCAACATGCTGCCATCAGCTCGACCAACTTGGCCATCCCAGACTTGCCTTCCCATTGGGTTGAGGGTGCTTTCATGACTGCCTCCTGCATTTCAGGTACCAATTCCTTTGGTGTCGATACCGCGTGGCTGTTGTAGTGCTTTTTGCAGAATTTCGCGGCCAGCCACACCCGCTGGAAGCAGAATCTTTCCGCACATTGTTCCTGGTCTCGTTCCTTCTCCGGACGTCTGTAGCGCAAAACCCCGGTAATTCTGCATGAATAGTAGCATACGGTGCATCTGCTGGCCGGAGAACGTTTACGATGACTAACCTGGACTATGGACGCCGTGTCAAAGTCGATGGTGGCATTGTAGGGACAGAGATGTGTCAACAACCCATTCACCAATAGGCTGGGGCCTATACATTTATATCCCCTGTTCGCTTCCACAATGGTGCAGCCAGCTATTAACGTTTATAGTTATCTCAATTCAGAGTTGGGTGCTAGGCTAAAAAGCAAAAAAAAAAAAGAAGAACAATCCTTACACTTTCGAATAGCGTCATTCCGCTCTGCCACCTGCTGTCTTGTGACTCCAAGATCCGCCTCTGTCTCTGGAGTTGCCTCTTTTAGAGACTTATGATTGTTTTGCGCATGCATTTCATCATTCGTGGTGTTTATTGGTTCAGGGTATTGATCGAGTCCCTTCAAGTGACTTGAATCCTCGTGCGCTATCATGCGTGTATCCATTCCAGCTTCGGTGATGGGCATCCCACTGACAGCGTGTGGGCACGTCAGGACCATGCACAGAAGTGCCCCTTCTTTTCGGTGGACAGTACGTGCATGCTCGTCGGCCTTGCCGGGCGTGGCGGTGAAATACTGACAGTTAAACTCCTCTTTCAGTGGACAAGCATACCCAGTCTTTTCATCATATGTCCTGATATGAGCGAGTAAAGAGTCGGTATTCCAGAAGAGCTTTTTGCAGATCAGGTAAGGTAGGTTCTGCTTCATGGAGTGTACATATGTACATACGCCATATGATAGACATATCTCCGTCGACTTATTTTGCACTTGCAGCCGGGATATTTGCACGGGATTGATTTCTTGTTGTATAATTCCTTCCCCTTGCATAATCTCTCCTTCCTCATGTGCACTGTCAAATCGTTCGTTCGAGCAAATCCTTTTCCGCACTCAGGACAGGAGTCGCCATCCTTAAAAATGCCCTTTTTGCATGGACTCTCGCCTCCTCGGCAGTGTTGAACAGCCTATCGCATATGTCGGTGGCAGGGCATCTGTGGGTGTATTCTGTTCCATCCTTACCATCCATTGACATATGGGTGTTCAAATAATTTTGCTTTTGAACTTCCGTTCGGGAATAGAACAAGGAATTGTTTCACAGTCTATCATGCTGATTTCATGTGTGCGCATGTGGCTTTCCAACTGATCTTGGCGGTATGTCGAATATCCACAGACCTCACAATGCAGATCGTTGGGATTCTCTGTGTGCATGCCTTTGATATGCCGTTCTAGGGCTGGTTTGGTAGTGAAACCGTCGTTACATTCAGGACATTTGTACTTTTTACGCTCCTCAAGGCTCCGTGTATGAGTCTCATCATGGCGATTCGCATGCCACTGAGTTTTGAACATCATGTCACAATCTGTTCGAGACTCCTTTAAGGGACACGGGGCTTTTTACGTTCTGGCTAAATAAAAATCAGATGCTTGTTAGTTGAAGTATATCAACAACCGTCTAGCGATATAACTAACCTCTTTCCTCTGTTTTGTGGCTCTCTCTCCTATTGACATTCTGGAAGAACAAGCATCACAGAAGTGCCCAGGTGAGTTTATTTGGATATGAAAGCCACTCTAATATATTAGTATATCTTAGTATTAATAACTAGGATGCTCTTCATTTCCATGTCAGACCAGTATATATGGATAAACATTCCTTTCGTTGTTACCAGGTTCTTCGGCTGTAAGAAAAGATGATACGGCTAGGGCTTAGGGCTTCTTTTAGTCCAGGATAGTGGTAGGGTTGGCCACAAGCTAGTACCATTTGGGGAAGGCATTTCATCCGCGAATCGATAAGATAAGCTTATCGTTTTCCGGCGGGAAACGCTAAACTGAAACAACAAATCATTTTTTCTCTATCCCAACGTCCTCAACGGCCTCAACACCGATAAGGCTTTGCAAGCCGTGATTCTCGTTTAATAACACATCTGCTCCTACTCCATATAGGATTATAGAGCAATGAATCAATTGTTTCTCCTTGTTACTTGACTTTCCAGCTGATCTCTCAGTCCTCGCGCCATCTTCAATCCTGAACTTGTTTTTTTTTGCGACCATCAACATAACATCAAATATATAATTACCATGGACGCCCAAGCCTACCTCATGCGCCACGGCTGGTCCGGCCCCGGTAACCCTCTTAATCCCAACCGTCGACCCGGCCAACACGGCGGTCTCGGTCTAACCCGACCACTCCTCATATCGCGCCGCGAAAACAAAATCGGTATCGGACAGACGTCCAAGAAAGATCCTACGAATCAATGGTGGTTACGCGGTTTTGAGGAGGCGCTTAGGGGCGTTGGAAAGGATGGGACGGCTAGCCCGAATACCGAGGGATTGGCGAGGGAAGACAATACGTTGACGAGGAATGGAAGCCAGTTGTATAAGTTTTTTGTGAGGGGGGAGGTTATCCCGGGGACTTTGTTGCAGGAGGAGGAAACTGCTGAGGGGGTTGTGGTGGAAGTGGAGGAGACATCTATAAAGTCTGAAGGGAAGAAAGAGAAGAAAAGGAAGAGGGGTCAAGAAGATGATGAGAGCAAAAAGTTGAGGGAAGAAAAGAGAAAGAAACAAAAAAGGGACAGTTCTGAGACCGCGACCTCCATAGAGCAAGACTCAGATTCACGCAAGGTCAAAAAGAAAGAGAAAAGGTCCAAAAAGGATAAATCCATCAACGTGGATGTTTCGGCTACAGATGAGATTGATAGTGCGCAATCAACAGATTCAAAAGAACGCAAACGAAAGAAGAAGAATCGCTCCGATAAAATCGACGATCAAGATCCTGATACGGATAAAAAGTCAGAGAAACGAAAGGAGAAAAGGAGGGCTCGTCTATCTGAAAATGATGATCAATCTATACCTGACGTGTCGGTGCAGGCGGGTTCGACATTCACCACACCGACCGAATCAAAGAAGGAGAGGAACAGATCGAAAACAGACGACAAGAAGAGTAAGAAGAGTAAGAAGGACAAGAAGGACAAAAAGACAAAGAAAGGGAAGGAGAGAAAAGACAAAGCGGGTTGACACGATCAGGAAAATTTGACTGTACATATACATAGACGTTCAAGCTAGCTATAGAGTATTTTTTTGTTATGCAAATTGATCCTATCTACCTAGGTAGGCGATCTATCTATTCAACAGGCAACCTACCCGGCTTACCGGACAACAACCACGGTCTCCTCTGCCAAAAATCATCCTTGATAATATCCACATGCTCAACAACAACCTGCGCTTTGCGCCGTAACTTGCGCATCTTCTCCTGCTGCGTCTTGGAAAGTTCACCACTTGGTTGTGACTCAGCAGCCTGTGTAAGTGATGCTGTCGTCGCGGAAAACTGATCTTCAAGTTGATACTGGCGATATACGACACTACCCTTCTTATAGATCTCAGCTTCGTTGTTGTAGTTGATTCCGAAACGGCTGAATAGAATCTCGTTTTTGTCGGATGATACTGTACCCTGTACAAATTTCAGATCAAATTAAGTCAGAGAGATGATTTACGTAGATGGTACCTGCAACTCCTTCTCGGCTTCGACATTACTCATTCCGCCTTTCAGGACCAACGACCAGAACGTTGTGTTGTACAGATTATTGATATGGCCTATGTCAAGAATATTAGTTCCAGTATTCCTATTTTGAAGGAAAATGTACATACAATCGACCTGTCTCCAACTCATATAATCCCGTAGTATCTTCGCGTTAGGATACTGGACAGCCCGTCCATCAAACGTGGGCAAACTAGATAGATCAAGAGGCTTGTCCGGGAAGAATATCGGCCATTGACAGACATATGACGCTGTGAAAGTTGATACTATTGTCGTGACGAGTTTGCTTTATATCATGTCAGATAGGTGTTGGGAGGAGATTAGAATATGTGTCGTGCTACTTACGCACTTCTTCTCTCGAATAGTTGGCAATTAGGATGGAAGACGAAACTAGACGACTTGGTCAGTAAAATCCTATCATCTCAGAAATATCAATCGAATGGATTCGACGAACCTATACTCATCACTAACGCCATACGCAATAATCAAATCAGGCAAATCCTTCATAACTGACACGGCAGCAGCGTTCATAAGATCCAACGCGCGACGGTCATTTGGCTTCTCAAATTTGTATTTATCTGACAATCTGTCTCCAGAGGTCAGTATTCGTGCTTTCGGAGTCAGAAATTTCTTTCTGGTTGCACGCACTTGTGGAATCCTCGACCATCTATTCGGACAACAATCCATGTCTCCGGGAGGAGGTTATCAGGTTGTTCGAATAATCGAACATATTCGTATCTGTTTTGTAATATTAGTTTTTTGTGTAGGTATAGGTGCGATGTCTCGACATACTTTGAATTGGCCATTGTGTTGCGACTTTTAATTTTATATCAGATCTTCCCCCGCACAGAATTTTTTTTTGGCTTGAGCACTCGACCGTCAACTGCAAGAAATTCGATGACTGACTGCAGTTTTCTGTTCGGAGTAAATGGAGTGATTTGAAATTCTATGGTAGCTGTGATAATGAAAATATGACTGTGTCGGAACTATGAGTGAATAGTCATGATTTTGTGTGCCCAGGTGGTTCCTCGTGGGACAAAGGAACCTTAGAAACGACTTGAATCGATTTGCATATTAGAACCTATACCGAACACTTGCCTAGATACCTAATATGCTACTGACTGGATTAAAGTAATATTTGGACTTCACTTGCGAAATACCTGGATAATGTTCTACCAATGTATTATAATATTTTGATAGGCATGAGTACGGTCAGGTCAACATGTATGGAAATAAAATTTGTCTTATATGATATTTACTCCTCAACTATCTCTTCATCACCGTTCTCACTTGCTTTTTCACTAGCCTCTATAGACTGCTTGTCCTTCTTGGATTTCCTGCTGAAAAAGTTTCTACTGCTCCGAATACTGGATTTGTCTGCAGACGGTGTATTAGAAATGACGCTCTCCATACTCTTTCCCAACTGAGCTTCATCCTCCTCGTCAGCATCTCCCTGGGAGGATTCATATTTCTTAGAGAATATGCCTCCGCGGTCCTTCCAGGAAAGGTTGAACTTGCTGGAGCTGCCTTTGCGGGTTATCTTCTGGATGAAAGACTCCTTAGTACCAAAGGTATCGGAGGGACTGCTAGACGGGACAAGGTCAAGTGACTCAAGAGATTCTGCACCCCCAGAAAGGGGGCGCGAGTCCTTAGAGCGGCTGGAGGTCGGAGGCGACTGGTCTTCCGGGCGAAAGTCGAATTCCTCTGATCGTGACGCAAATTCCCTATAAACAGATCGTTCTTTATCTTTGTCTGACTTCTTGAACAAAGTCTTGAAAGTCGGCGCTGCGGGGTTCAGCTTTGGAGTCCCAGGTCGATGAGAAGACGACGGTCTAGTGCCAATAGGGGCTTGAAGCGGTCGATGTTTATCATGTGGCGCTTGCAAAAAGTCTGGTTCCCCAGGAGACATCCCAAGAGGAAGATGACTAGAGGAACCATACTGAATCGATGGCCGACGAGACGGAGCGCGCGACCACGTCGAGGGAGATGCCCAGTCGAAAGTCGCTAAAGAACCCCTCTTGTTCGCATCGCTCGACGGCCAACCAAAAGGCTCAGTCGAAGGATGTGGGAGTTGTTTGTCAAAAGAGAATGTAGATGACGGTCGGGGTGACAAAGAGCTTCGTCGAATAGGGCCAAGGATGGACGAAGGATCAATAGGATCGTGCCTAGGGCTGAATTGATTATATCCTTGATCCATCTTGATCACATCGGTGGAGCTGTTTTTCCCTGCTGAGAATATATTTGCAAATGTACTTCTCTTGGATGGAGTATGGTCCGAGGAGCTGTCTGCCGTCACATGAGCTGCACTGCTACGAGGAAAGTAAGACATTGGATTTGCCCAATTCGTAGCATGAGTAAGACGCCGACGACGTGCCGTGATAGGGTCGATATCATCGTAGTTTCGTGGGAAAGACCGACTCTGTCCAGGTTTTAGACTTCCAAGCAGTGGAGGCCCATCGACCATGGTCTTTCCACGTTGCCTATGAAAGTTGAATAGTCCAGAAAGTCGGCGAGATGCAGTTTGTACATTAGGCGAATCACCCGGCGACATCCTTTCACTAGTCGGGATGGCTAGATCGACATCTCTCAAGCTCTCATGCGGGCTTGCAAAGAACCTAGAAGACATGGACTCTGACGGGACCGGGGAAGGCGACCGAGGTTGCTGATCGAGAGAGGGACCCGCCGTTGCTTCACCACCGGGCACGTTTTGTTCAACCATTGATTCAGGGAGCCCAGAGGATTCTTCATCGCCAAGTAGATCCGACGGCAATAGGGCATCAGCACGGGGACTCATGGGCGGTAGAGATGTGTCAGATTCCGTGGGAAGAGCTTCGCCCCTGTCTGCAAGACCGGCCAACGTCATCCCATTGTTGATATTGAAGAATGCAGTAGTGGGAGGAAATGTCGGAGAGTTGCTCGATGGGTTATAGGTCGTGCTCCGGGAGAATGCGGTTTCCACTTGTGGAAATGCGATAGGTGAAGATACATTGCTCGTCAATGAACTACGATGTCGAGACCGGCGCATAGCAGAAGACTGAGACATGTCGAGATCCAGAGTTTGCAAGGCTGCAAAGGGTCCTGTTCCATTGACTCTTTGTTCAGTCAACCACTTCAGCCGTTCCTGTGCTTCCTGGTATTGCTGCTGGGCTTGTACGTGAAGGTTGACGAGTGTAGCGTATCTGGTATGAAGATGGTTGAGGCGGTTTTCCCACTGCCGAGCTTTTTCAATGTCAATACGGTCGAGTTCCTTGCCATCCTCGTTGTCACCCCCTTCAAGTCTCTGTCTCTCATCTTCCAACTTCTTGATGCGACCGCCCTTCTCTTGAATTTCGTCATCGATATCTTTCATGATGGTTTGCTCAGAAGCAATTTTCTCTCGTACTTCGTTGGCCTGTTTAGCAGCATCCTGTTCAATCTTTTCTTTCTCCTCCTTCGCTCGTGCTAAATCCTTGTTGATCTGCGCAATTTGCTCCTGCCATCGAACAATATCGTCTTTTCGTTTCTTCCGCTCTGCCTCCTTCTGTTGAAGTAACCTCTCACGCTTAGACTTTTCGCTTTGAACGGTACGATTGACGCTCTCCAACTTGTTGACATGCTTTTTCAGGTCGCCGCTAGCCTCATCCTTCTCTTTCACACGTTGCTTTAACTCATCGCGTTGTTTCTCTAATTCCTTCAAAATTCCATTATGTTCCTCGTCTTCCTCAGCAATTAGTTTGTCCATATTCTCATGTTCCTGTTGCAGACTCTTAAGACGCTCGGCAAGACGTTCCAAAGTTCCGCTGTGGTCATCGCTGGTGGAGGCACGATGCGAATCGTCCGTCTGAAGATCAACTAAGGCCGTGGCTGATGATCCTTTCTTTGCTCCACCAGCACGTTTGCTCTGAGAAAAACCTGAGCTATGCTCTCTCGCCATCACCGGAGCTGATGGAGCCGAAAGCGTAACCGTTGAGCGAGGAACCGACGCCTGGATCGTAGGGCCCTCAACGTTTCCATCCTGCTGAGTTTGCGATAAAGGCAGTGGCTTCGTACGAACATGAAGGACGGCGCTAGCAGTTTGAAAATTGGCCGCGCTGACGGCGAAAACACAGATGTGATAGATATGACCGGGAATCAGATTTCCTATCGTGACCGCAGTTTCCGCTCGTTTGGTCTCGCCCACTGAAAAAATGATTAGTTTTGTTTGCGCATGGATTTCACTCAGAGTCTGCACCTTTTGCACTATTGACCTGGATTATATGTTTACTGACTGAATGGTGAAAGTCGGGATGTTTCCAAGCGATGTGTATTTCTCGCGCCGAGATTTCCTCCAGGGTAACCTCGGGTGAGGGAGGTATATCCAGACCGAGCTTGTCGACAAGAATATCGTTTGGAGTCTGACATACCTGCCAGGCCCGGTACAAGAGCCTGATGTAGCGCTTGTCAGTAGATCTCTCGAGAAGGTACGCAATTCCACTTACCAAACCAAGGCCCACAGGATGGTGCCCGCAAGGAAGAGAGCCATTACGCCTCGAACCCTCACACGAGGAACCACACTAGGATATGCATCAAAGGACCAGTATAGCGGCTCATACATCCCCACGTTGTAGTCCATCCGCTAAAGAAGAGGACGGCTGCCAGCAATGCAGGCGGTCACTGCAGTGAGAAGGAGAGATGATTCACGTCTTTAAGAGAAGAGGAGAAAGAAGGAAAATTGGAAGGTTTCGGTCGTGGCTGTTTTAGGAATGGCAGCTGCGATGCGGGTTAGCGCCTTGGCGTAGTGGTCACGTGATGGATCTACGTTTAGCTTATTCATTCTTCAGTCAGACTAAACTGATAATTACTACACCCAACACCCCATATATATATCTGCCAATACCGACTACCATTGTGCTTAGAGCAAAGGGAGACGGGGCCTGTCTCGGTGCATTAATGACCCGAGAACTTTTGATACATATATCGATCGCTTCCAGTGCAGTTGCTAACAGCCAGGCCACATGATTCATTTTTATCTCCTCAGTTTACTCGAACCCTTTCTTTTCAACGGAGTGCGTATATCAGCTACTCGATAAATATGTCGTCCCAGAATCAAGGCCCTCGCCGCATCGGCCAATGGATATACCTCAGAGCGGAATGCATCGACGAGTACAAGGAGTGCCATGTAAAAGTATGGCCGGCAGTGCTCGAACAGATCAAAGACTCCAACATCAAAGACTGTAATTTACCGTCCTCATGGTCATGATGTGCATTCTTCTTCTGACGGCAGCAGACTCGATTTACCTGTCTCTCACTCCTCGTCCCATGCTCTTTGCAAGTTTTAAATACGTCGGCAATGCCTTCGACAAAGACATGGAGCGCATGGCAGCCAACCCTACAGTCCAGGAATGGTGGCAAATGACAGACAGAATGCAAGAGTCCCCAGTTGAAGGGGCAGTTGGGAGCGCCAGTGGGCCGAGTTGGTGGGGGAATACCGAGGAAGTATTTTATATGGAATAAATAGATCTATCAACAGCGATTCTCGTCTCATATATCTTACCACCCGTACTGGCCGGCTATAGCGGATAGATCAGATCAGTGTAACAGTATTTGGTGCTGCCTGTTTCAGGTACGTGACCGAGTGAGCAAATGAAACTCGTTGAAACCTCCAAATAATCAAGATCAACACATTCCGCACGTGGTACCGGGCTACGATGAATCAGGTGATGATGATAGCAGAAAAGAGGAGATCCTAGTCAGCTGGCCGGAGTATCACCCCTTTGACTGGTTAGCGCTGTTGCAACGAACTCGTCGTAGTGTGTCGTATTTGCTCGCGTATGCATAGATAATGTTATATACGGAGTTACCTATGTTCGTTAGTAGGACAAGCGTCGAGGAATGGTTGATGGTTGGGGAGAGCCTCGATGCGGGCCGATGACGCTGGTGGGCGCCAAGGCAGTCAGGTTGAAGAAGCGTTGAGAATCCAACACTCTCTCTTTCTTCTCTCTCTCGTCTCCTCCATCTTCGCAATTGCCACAACAATTCCTTCACTCCTAGTTGACAGTGATATTCGCTCACATTATTTCTCTCGTTTATTGCTCGCAATCATTTATCCTTCGTTTTCGGTCTGGGTACCTGCCATGAGATAACGTCAACTGTTGTACCGCTTTTCACATGATAATTTAATATCCATCGACCGATCAACCACGTCCCTATGCCGAATTTTGCCAGCCGCATGCCTTAGACCTTGATTTACCAACTTTCGACGGGTTTCGTTCTACCAGCATTATTTATATGATAGATATATACACCTTGAGAGCCAATATCGCATTGCCCGCGAAACCGCTGGGACCAATACTGCCGGAATGCAGTACGTGCGAAGCTTGAGCGGCCCCGTCTCGAAGACCTGGAATTCAATCAACCCTGCCACTCTTAGCGGGGCTATTGATGTGATAGTCATTGAGCATGAGGATGGTGAGTCATATCGCTCTTTGTTTACCACATAAGTCGACGGTTCTGATTCTAGCGATAGGAAGCCTTGCCTGCTCGCCCTTCCACGTCAGATTTGGCAAATTCTCTCTGCTTCGCCCGTCCGAAAAAAAAGTCGAATTCAGAGTCAATGGAGTCAAGCAAGACTATTCTATGAAATTGGGCGATGGAGGCGAGGCCTTCTTTGTCTTCGAGACAACCGACAATGTACCCGCAGCGCTACAGACTTCCCCAATAGTTTCGCCTGCAAGCAGCCCAGCAACCTCTGTTGATGAATTACCCTCTCTTCAAGAGCCTCCCGATCTATATCTGGATGGCGCCAATAGCTCGAAGGTTGAGTGCAGAGATCCAGTTGGCATTCCAGTTCCCACTGATCGGTTTGGGAGTCATAATTTCGGTGTGTACATATCGGTTGCCATGGCAAGCATCTATTCTAACAATCAGCAGGAAACTTGACGCCGTTATCGCAATCTCCGAGCAGCTCCACTATACCCCGAAACCGTCTTGATTCATTCGACGACAGCACTCTTGTGCCAAAGCTGGATCGCTCGGCTTCAGATGGCGTACTCCCGCAGGATAGAGAAACACTAGGGAGTGAATTCTCCAGTCCTGCCAGCCTGCTTCGCGCGGGAAATCGAGCCAACCCTCATCAGGACCGCCATTCAATGAGCCCTCCGCCTGTCTCACCCAGTGAGGCTATTTCGCGTGCGATAGCCCTATCGAAGAAACTGTCAGGTTCCAATATCCCTTCGCAAGTAACCGAGAGCGGCGATCTTATGTTGGACATGACTGGATACAAGAGCAGCGAGGAAGATGCGCTGCGTGCAGAGGTTGTTGCACGTAAGATTCTTTCGGAAGAACTGGAGGGAAATTATGACATTGGCGCTTTGATTGGCGCAGATGATCATGGTAACCTTTGGATCTATAGCAGCGAGGAGGCGAAAGCTGCAGCTGACCGTCGCGCTACGCTGAACTCTCTCAAATCACACCCTGTTCCGTTCAGCGATGACGCCGTTTCAGACCCAGGGTATCATAGTGACGGGGAACCAAGTACTCTGCAACATCCAATTCAGACTCGTCATCATCGTACTCAATCTGATGTCCAGCCTGGCTCCCCAACTCCACCTCAAACTCCGCCGCAAGATGCGAGCGTCGGAGATCCTAATCGGAACTATGCCAAAACGCTGAGATTGACCAGCGACCAACTTAAAGCCCTGAACCTTAAACCTGGAGCCAATCCTGTTTCATTCACAGTCAATAAAGCTACATGTCCAGCTACTATGTATCTTTGGTCTTACAAGACTCCAATTGTGATATCTGATATTGATGGCACAATCACAAAGTAAGCGCCCTAGCGATATAAAGCCTATTATTTCTACTAACATGAGTTCTCTAGATCCGATGTCTTGGGCCACGTCCTGAATATGATTGGACGGGATTGGACACATCAAGGTGTTGCGAAGCTCTTTACGGACATTGTGAGCAATGGGTATAACATCATGTATCTGACAAGTCGCTCTACTGGACAAGCAGACTCAACTCGGACATATCTCAACGGAGTCTTGCAAGAAGGATACAGATTGCCGAAGGGCCCGGTTATTATGAGTCCCGATAGGACCATTGCGGCCCTACGCCGTGAGATCTATTTGCGGAAACCCGAAGTCTTCAAAATGGCCTGTCTGCGTGACATCCTCAACCTGTTCCCACCAAATCACAATCCATTTTATGCTGGATTCGGCAATCGTTTGACAGATGCCTTGAGCTATCGATCTGTCAATATTCCGTCATCACGCATCTTTACGATCAACTCCAATGCCGAAGTGTCATTAGATCTTCTGAGCCTTAATAAGTATAAGAGCAGTTATGTGACAATGAGGGAACTGGTCGACCACTTCTTCCCTCCCGTCAGCCTACTTGTTCAGGGAGGCGGAGAGGAATTCACAGATTTCACCTACTGGCGAGAGCATGCGAATCTGGATGATTTCTCAGTCACTGACAGTGAGGAAGAAGAAGAGGAACGGGACATTGAAAGCGAGCGCGGTTATAGTGATGATGATGCCAGCGACCTTGACGAGGATGAGCAAGGAGATGACATGGGTGACAGTTTTATATCTCGCGATTCTCTTGATGACCCCGAATTAGCTGGATCTATGGCGAATTCGGTCCTTGAAGATGAAGAAGAAATTCCTGACGAGGAGCTATCTGAAGCCGACGACGGTCTCCCTGACATATGAGGAGTATCTTTGCGTGAAACTCGTCACTGATTCGACGCAAAAGAGAAAAAGAGTTGTTGATACATGCGGCCCAATTCTTAGCTGTTCTCGCTCTATACCCTGCGGTTTTTGATTTCTTGTCGATTTTATTACGGCATTTGTACAAAGGGAGTCTTCGGTTGTTTCTTGTTTTGATTCATTCTGTAAATTAGACGCATCAGCGGCTGGAGTTTCAAGCGATGGATTGACCGTGTTGGCAAGCATTCGCGTATAGTTGGACTGTTTGGGTATTATTAGTATATGATCTGGGATGTCGAATATATAATGAACTTCGTTGCATCTAACTTGGTCTCCAGAATTAGTCGTATTGACTTCACAAGATCGAGATCTTCAGAGGCATGCTGCCTCGGGCATCAAATTGTGTTGGGGTAGTCTAAAGCGGACTAGCGGCATGCGGGCGGCGATCTGAACTGATAGTTGCAACTTGCGACTTAAGCCTCAATATTGCTTGAATTAACCTCACAACAGTAAAACGACTTCAAACAATTAGTCTCTCCTAGTTGAGATCAGGACAGTCCCAAATACGCACTTACCTTGACAATCCCTCATCGCACCAAGTTTGAATAAGCACCAACATGTCCTCTGACTGAATATCGATCTACTCTTTGCGCTTGAGATTCAAAACTTACTTTGACTTCAAGTAGCCGTTTGCAATAACAAAGCAATAAAAAAGAAGAATTTCATCAAAATGGCGTCACCCAGACCAGCTGCAGCTGCAGGATCAACTCAGCCTTTGACACCACCAGACGACCATTCCTCATCCGCCAACCCGACCATCTCATCACAGAACGCCGCACCCACCCAAGCTGAGCCCATTATGCCATCAGTACCAGCAACCTCACTAAATGACTCTGGGAAATGGAGACGCCCACGCGATGCGCGCCTCATACACATGCTACTAGCCTCCCTCGGCGTAACCGCATACCAGGAACGTGTACCCTTACAACTCCTCGACTTCGCATACCGCTACACATCATCTACACTCCAAGATGCTGCTCATCTTGCCATGGAAGGCTACGCGGGAGTCCCAACTGGTCCTGGAGAAACGAACGTGTCGACCGGTAATGGACGAGGCGTGGTTGAACTGAACACCATCACACTCCAAGCGTTACGACTGAGTATAGCGTCTCGATTACATTATCAGTTTCAGCCTGGACTACCGAAAGAGTTCTTGATAGATGTCGCTACGGAGAGAAACCGAATTGCGCTTCCTGGTGTTGCGCGCGGTGGAGAAACGGCGACGAAGAATCCGTTTTCGAATGTTTCTATGGGTGGAATGAGGCTCCCTCCTGAGAGGTTCTGTCTTACGGGTACAGGGTGGAATTTGAAGGAGGAGTGGGAGAGTGAAGGCGAAGAAGACGTGGACGAAACCGAGCCGACGGCGACGCTACCTAACGCGACGCAGAATGAACACCAAGAAGCAGACGCAGATGAAGATGGGATGGAGGACGATGACGAAGATGGAAGAATGGAAGACATATTTGGCGAAGATATGAACATGAAAGAGGGTGATGACGATGAGAATATGGAGGATGCTTAATCTTTTTTCCGTCCAACTGTACTATGAAGAAAATCATCTGGAGTTTGGGCCCATATCAGAATTGGCGTTATTGGTTTCTCTAATAGGACGGCGTTGGGTTTTCTGTATCCCCTTCCGATCCGGAAGTTATCAAAGATTTGTATCTAGCTTGATCATCTAGATATTGTATGATTGATATCATTGCCCCCTACCTAGGTACGATAGAATACGTATGTAGGTCAGAAGAATCAAGAAAAAAAGTATCAATGGTATATATATCTACAAAGTAATGTACATTTTATAGCAACACGCAAGAATTGAGATTTCCAAGTCACAAAAAACATGCAACAAGAATTCGATAACCAAGAACGCCATTTAATATGCAAAAGTTTCCGGTTGAGAGAAATCCCGGAAGTATTGTCTCTCTCGGATCAGAGATAATATAATGTTTTATCGATCATTTCATATCATCCTCTCTCATCATCTTAATAACCTCCTGCCTCCGTTTCTCAACAGCAGCTTCCTGCTCTTCTCGTTCCCGCCTTCGGGCCTCTCGACCCGCAAACCACTCTTCGCGCGCTCGATCTAATTCTTCAGGTTTTGCATGCGCTAACATACATGTGTTCATGGCTAGGCGTTGTTCGCGACACACCCAAGTCGTGGTAAATGTTCGGCCGCGGGCACATTCTGCAAATGCTAAAGAAGGACGATGATTAGTAATGAAACGTCGGAGATGGGTGATATGTCAATAAGACGGGCAACGAACCTTTAATTTCTGGAGCGCAGTACCCGCGCACTCGTTTGTAGTATATTTCTTTAACTTGTTGTTCTTGCGTTGCTGATAATGGTAATGGATTGTGGATGTTTAGATGTTGAGGTGTCGAAGCTGGTTGGGCTTCAGATGAGGCGGACATTTCGACGAAAACCCTCTTCTAGTGTTGAATGAGTGGTATAATGGAGGTATTGATGGTCGATTTCTGGATTGCTATACGGTACCGTGGATATTGTGGGATTTGATGTGTTTCGAGGCTATATCGTAGTTGAGTTCATATTGCGTGACTCGCTTTCTCTTTCGCTTCTGATCGGGACTTCAATTCGTTTCGTCGTATGTATCGGCGTGCATGTAATTATCAAAGGCCAAATTCTGAATCTTCAATGGTTCAGCTAGCGGCTCTTGTCTCGATTGATGTACTCTTTAGCAGACGAAAAGAACATAAGTTCAGAGCTTCTCCAAGCTGTCTTCCCAGACCGCCCACCGCCCTTTTGTCGGCTCGCCGCCTTTTCCGCCGCCGGCAGTAAAATCTATCAGTGCTTTATCTCTATTAAAAAATTATTTTCTGATAGACAACAAACGTTCGCAATTGCTGTCAGCATTTTCAGTCATTTCTTGGCATTTAGGGCTCGATCGGATACAATCTACTCGGTTTATACAAGGCTTCCTGCCTTTTTCGTCGTCTCGACCTCCGAACAGCTCTGCCGCTCATAAAATGTCTTCTATGCGAAATGCCGTCCATCGACGGCAACATCGAGAACGAGGTCAACTGGAGGGTCGTGAGAAATGGGGTATTTTAGAAAAGCACAAGGTCAGAAATACCTGCTAAACACCGAAGTTGCCAAAAGAATATAACTTAACTCATATTCATAGGACTACTCCCTCCGCGCCAAAGACTACAACCTCAAACAACAGAAACTCCAACGCCTCCGCGAAAAGGCCCGTGACCGAAACCCCGATGAATTTGCATATGGCATGCTATCAGATAAAAATGCGCAACAGGGCAAACATGGCGCACGCGAGGGGACGTCGCTTAGTCATGATACAGTGAAACTGCTCAAGACGCAGGATGCGGGCTATTTAAGGACTATCGGGGAAAGGATTCGAAGAGAGATGGAGAGGTTGGAGAAAGAAGTGCAGTTACAAGACGGGATGGAGAAGGTTTTGGGTAGTGCTGGGAATAAGAAACGTCATTCTTCGGATGATGAGGATGAAGAGGATGACGAGGACGAAATGTCTGGCAATGGGAATAAAAGACGCAAGCTTATATTTGCGGATAGTCGGGAAGATCAGAAAGAATTAGGGCGGAAGTTTGATGAAGATGACAATGAGGATGAGGAGGAGGAAGACGAAGAAGACGACGCATTCGGCACTCAACTTCACAACCTCCAAAGACAACCCACGAAAAAGGAATTGGAAGCTCAAAGAAAAGCTGTTGCACACGCTCGTGCTGCCCGAAAAATCAAACGCCGAGCAGCAGAAGGGCGACGCAACAAATTGGCTGCACTCAGGAAGCAATACGCCGAAATCACGACCGCGGAGAGGGAACTCGAATTGCAGCGAGCCAAGATGTCGAATTCTGTGGGCGGTGTTAATAAAAAGGGCGTCAAGTTTAAGATTCGGGAAAGGAAGAGGTGATTCACGTACAGATGTTGTTACGCACGTTATTTGATTAGAATCATAGATTTATTTAGCATAATTACTATGGGCGCAATGGGATGCAAAAAGTCATTCATGTTCACATCTATGGTCAAGGCGGAAGTTTCAAGTATATCCCATGCAATGCTTTTTCCTCTTAAGATATACAGTCAATTTTGAATCAAGTCATTAAACAAACCAGCAGAACCGAAAACGAAACATTTCCACTCTCCGTTGCGCATATCAGGATCAGTACATATGTAATAAGCTGCTGCTGCGATCTATCACTAGTATCGGTAGTCATCCTAAGATTTGTTGATGATATCCATGCGAATGCTCACAGCGCGTTTGTGGGCATCCAAACCCTCAACAGCAGCTAGTTGCATAACTGCCTCTGAGACATTGCGAAGACCCTCAGCCGACAAATTTGAGGAGGTTATGTGCTTTACGAAGGATCCTAGGTTCACACCAGAATACTGCTTTGCGTATCCGTATGTTGCTGAACAGAAGACTCTGTGTTAGCTTTTCGCTCAAAGGCGGGAATATGTGACAGGATAATTAACTTACGCAGAGAGTGATTGACGCCTGCAGAATAATCACCCACGCTCTCTGGAGTCCACTGGCCGATGAAAACACTTCCAGCATTCTGAACTAGAGGAACGACCTCCTCTGCATTCTCGAGCTGCAAGATCAAATGTTCCGGAGCATATTCGTTGCTGAGATTCATGGCCTCCTCGATAGACTTGACAACAAATGTAACGGAATGTGCAATTGATCCACGTACAATGTCGACTCGTGGTAGAGCATTTGCTTGTTGGTGCACTTGCTCGTCGATTGCTGCCAATTCTCTGTCATCCAAGTCGACGGCGATAAGGATGACCTGGGAGTCAACGCCGTGCTCTGCTTGACTCAAGAGATCGGATGCGACGAATGCTGGGCTGGCTTTCTTGTCGGCAATAACAAGTACCTCACTAGGTCCAGCAGGCATATCAATGCTAACACCGGCAGAGGTATCGTTCGACACCATCATCTTGGCAGCAGTCACGAACTGATTACCAGGACCCAGGATCTTGTCAACCTTGGTGATGCTTTCGGTACCATAAGCCATGGCTGCAACAGCCTGGGCGCCACCGGCAAGTACAATGCTCTCTGCACCACACTTATGTGCTGCATAAACGATTTCTGGAGATATGCTACCATCCGAGCGAGGAGGAGAAGCAAAGACTATCCTCTTGCAACCGGCTACCATTGCAGGGACACCAAGCATAAGAGCAGTGGAGGGAAGGACGGCGGTTCCACCAGGAATATAGAGACCAACACGTTCGATGGGGCGTGAAAACCGAGAGCAGACCACGCCGGGCATGGTCTCGACAACAAGTGGCTTGTCATCTTTCTGTGCCGAGTGGAACTTCTTGATGTTCTCAAAGCTCACATCGATAGCTTTAATGGTATCAGACGATAGTTGCATCAAATGTTGAGGGAATGGAGCCTTTAGGACGGGTGATGTCAATGATGTCGCCTTCTCGAATTTGTGGGTGTACTTAAGAACAGCAGCATCGCCGTTCGCGCGAACGTCAGCAATAATGGGCTTCACAAGTTCAACTATAGCCTCATTGGATTTTTGGGAAGGCCGTTCTAGAGCGTCTTTGATAACGCTGATTGGTGTGTTAGCTGTGTGAATCCGCTTCATTTCAATACGGTCAGATTTGGGAGCTTCCTCTTCCACTGGTGCAGGGCTCGGTTCAGAGGCCTTCCCTGACTTGGCCAAGCCGACCTTCTGAGCCCAGCGAGCTTTAGCATCACCCTTGCGGCGCTTGACCTTGAGATTTTTCAAGTCCAAATTCTTCTCAATATCCTCTAAGCTTACATCCGCGGCAATGCATCGGGTAAGGGCAAAGTAGATCAAGTCAGCAGCCTCCGACGCAATCTCACTTTTGGTTGTCGCCTGGCACAATTCCTCTGCTTCTTCCATAATCTTGGCTTCAACAAGTTTGGGATCATTGAATAGCCGCGCTGTATATGAACCCGGAGGCGCGCTCTCCTTGCGGGATTGAAGGGTCTTCTGTAAGCTAGAAAGACCGTGATACCGACCAAAGCAAGTGTTCGTGCCAAGGTGACAGAATCCTCGGCCAAGTTGTTTAACCCTGAAAACCAAACAGTCTGCGTCGCAGTCAAAGCCAATACTTAAAAGCTCTTGCGTATCTCCGCTAGTTTGGCCCTTATACCAAAGACCCCGCTTTCGAGAGTGATAGACTCCAGTGCCCGTCTTTAAGGCTTCCAACAAGCTCTCCTTATTACTCCACACGAAGCCTAATGATACTCCCCTCTCATCGACCACTAAGGTGGCAATAAGTCCGGTGTTTCTATCAGGCACAGCCCGGCTGGCCAGGACGTTTGACGCAGCGACCTTTCCATCCGCCGTTGGGATGATCGAAAGCTGATTAGACGGCACGATTGCAACGACGCCGTGAGCGACCTCTTCAATGACGGCAGATTCAGTCACATTCTCTCCGAAAAGTTTGAAAACTTGACCGCCATCCTTGGGAAAGTCAAATTTTTCGAAGAGTTCAGCGGCGTTCGAGGTTGAACAGACGCCAACATCTTGTGACCCGGGGGCATTTGCTAGCCAATTGCGTAGCTCTGTCGAGTCTTCATCTGAAGCAACATATGCGACTAATCTTGACGACGGAATCTCGTTCTCCTCGGTAAGTGAAATCAATTGTTTCGTGTTCAGGAATATCTTCGAAGCACCAGCATTGAGAATTTCCACTGCATTATCAGCGCCGATATCAGTAGTATCAACGTAGATGTCAAAGAAGGTCGAATTTGCATTGATGAAATCTATCGCTTCTGACGCATTGGTCGCCTTGATGAACGCATTTCCGACCCGGGCGATATTTTTGATATTGTTCTTGTCCGATGTAGCGCGGGGCTGCACAGCAATCACCAGCGGTGATGCCATGGTGGTAATCCTTCCAAGAAGCTTTAAAAATCGAACAGCGCCTGTGACGTGTCAAGTTTCGATAACGACTGAATCAAAATATTGAGGCAAGAAGGAATGTTCTTCTAATTCAGTCCCTTAGAAATTGAGTCATCAACAGAAGGTTGGATCCATTTTTTGAAAGCGGCAGAATGTCCCCGCACCGAATGGACCAATAGCAAGGGTTTTTCTTTCACCGCCCACCGCATGGTGTTCCATTTCCATCGAAAAAAAAAAAGAAAAAAATACGTCTTATGATCATATCATGATTTGGTTCGAGACTTGGTGGTGACATTGTTAGGAAGGGACATCAGCAAATAATTACGAGAAATTGACCCAGTCAAGTGTATTTTCGCCATTGTACACGTCCTTTCCTGGTCTGTTGTCGTGCCGAATATCGGAGGACTCCTAGCCAGCCGGGATATCGATGTTTTGACGCTATTTTCTGTTCGGAAACCGGAGAATCGTATCTCACAATTGTTGGCAGTCAATAGACTACGGGTGACCCCGGTGATTTCCCTAGTACGTTTTTTATCCTTGAAGTAATACCAGCCATGTAATACTGGGTATAGATAGTAACTTGATAGGAGACCGCCTACTATAAGGGGTTAATCTCTATATTATTAAGAAAATCAGTAGCAAGTTATTGGCTGGAATTATACAACACTATTTATATGACCCCTGCATGACTGAAATATAAAAAACGTACTAGGGAAATCACCGGGGGTCATTCGTAGTACTTTACTCGGCTCGGTCGGACATAACCCGACTCAAACAATGCCGCGAAGGTTGGTCTGCCCCTCACTGCAAGACCCTCCTTAGTACACAAGTACACAATAAGTCGGCCCATGCTCGAATATCTCCTGTGGGGAAGCTACGGTTGCAGTACTATCAATCGTAAGGAGCCTGGATCCTTGATTGCGCGGCGCGTGGTCTTTGTTAGTGCTCGATGCGTTGTAGCCATTCAATACTACTGTGCCATTTGACGAGGGAACATATTGCCATCATTATCTTCCTTCCGATTTTCCCGTCGGTCGTTTAGGGAATGAGTTCGGATAGTGTGAGCTGGTAAGGCAATCCTATCCTCACTGGACGTCCCCCGCCTTGACTCTTGCACAGCATGTATTTGTATTGTGTACTTCAACTCGGTTGATATGTAAGACGAGAACGATACTGTCCTTGGCAGTAGTCGAACATGAATTTAAGGACGTGTCAGCCTGGATGCTCGGTGAAGTTAATTGCGTTGTGGCTGCATGGCCTGCAAGTAGATCGCCAATTGTCCGCACCAAGGTCACGATTGGTAGCTGAGTCCACTCTTGCACGTAGTGGAGCACTAAAGCATCGCATCAATTAAGCTTGAATTTCCCCGCCGCTATGGCTGAATATAGACTCTTCATTCAGACTTCTCGGGGTACGAAGTGGCCGGTAAGTTTGCAATTGCAGCAAAACTGTTTATTCGGTACCGAGAAGCATTCCGGATCACTATTCCAACTGAGTCAGCTCTCGCAATGAAGACTGGCTGGATGGCTTGAAAGACAGACTTATAAATGCGATCACTGCATGATGGCGCTAACCCCATGCTGTCTAGTATCAACTCGTAGATAGATAATGCAACCGAGTCAGTGTAGCACGGCACTAAGAGGTAAAAGGAGTTTTTTATTCTCGATTGTAGATCTCGGACGAAGTCATACGCAGTCAACTAAGTTAGTTGATGTCACGTATATCATTCAATAAATTCTGCTGGAGGAACCAGATCCGGGGAGGTCACGCAAGTGCCTGGCGATCCAAAGAATGCGATCCGCGGATTAGTGGAACTGGATCGTGTCCCCCCATCAACACATGCCAGGCGGGGAGGTTGTGCACAATGAGCTGCATCATACGTTGGAAGCTTGGTGGAACAGAAACTGCTAAGACGGAATCGATCGTTGGAACTTCAGATGGTAAATACAGAGGGAGAAAAGATTCGGATAGGTACAATAATCAAGGCCGCAAGACTAAACAACAAGCACTCCACTGATCGACGGAGGCGTAGAACAGCCTGTCTAGCGTAGAGTTAGTTGTTGACCATGGACTTGGCAATCGATGTATGCTGTGAGTGTGTGGATAAGCGGAGTAGAGAAGGTCACGACTGACTAGGGGTCACTAGCCATCAGTCATCAGCAAATAGCAATTACTCGTGACTGCCACCACAACTTTTTGTCTCCTGCGAGTCAGTCCTCGTGGGTGGATCACTCGGCACTGGGGATGATCTTTGCCACGAGATAGGAGAAAATGGTGAGTAATAGATGAAGAAGCGATGGATGAGAGAGAGAAGAGATGAAGAGAGAGAGAAGAAGAAGAAGAAGAAGAAGAAGAAGAAGATAAGGTGGAATCTGATTTTCAAGAAGAAAACTTGGCAGGTGCGTCCGAGGCAGGGGCATGGACAGGGGCAGCCATGTCCAAGGAAGGAGCGATCGGAGCGTGGCCTATCGCGCGACTTCCCTCCCAGCATGGCAGACGGGTGCCATCTGGAATTTTGTCTTCTTTTTTAGCTCATTCTCCATCTCACCACCCCCTCTTCACTCGTTATTCCTTCGAATGGGCCGATGTCACTCTCTTGATTACTCGCGTGCGCGTGTATATATCTCTACCCACCCCCGTCGCTCCTTTGATTCTTTCCGTTCACTCCTTTATTCTTTGGCGCGCATCGGTGGTTCTATAACAATGCGTTTCTCACCCATGTCCCTGCCAGCTTTGGCTGTCGTCGGCCAGGCTGTTGCATCTCCCATCTCGAAGAGGGATACTGCATCTGACCGAGCAAATGCCGTCAAGCAGGCGTTCCAGATTGCCTGGGATGGCTACTATGCTCATGCATTCCCTCATGACCAACTGCACCCAATGGACAACACGTATGATGATTACTAGTACGTTCTCGTACTTAGATGGCCAGAATGAGGCGACGCATTGCTAACCATTACTGTTATAGTGACGGCTGGGGCGCCTCTGCAATTGATGCTATATCGACAGCAGCTGTCATGGGCCATCGGGAAATCGTGAACCAGATTGTCGACTACATTCCTACCATCGACTTCACGTACTCAAATGAGACAACTATCAGTTTGTTTGAAACCACTATTCGCTACCTAGGGGGTCTTTTAGCCGGTTACGATTTGCTCTCTGGCCCAGCTGCAGACCTTGTATCGGACAAGAGCAAAGTTGACACTATATTAAAACAGGCCCAGGTTCTTGCTAATACATTGAGCTACGCTTTTGAAACACCTTCTGGTGTACCTTACAACAACTTGCTTATCAACAATCGTAGCAACGATGGATCAACAACCAATGGCCTGGCTACAACAGGTAGCCTGGTGATTGAGTGGACGCACCTCGCGGATTTGACCGGCAACCATACCTATGCGCAGATCGCGCAGAAGGCCGAGTCCTACTTGATCCATCCACAGCCATCTTGGGCGGAACCTTTCCCTGGTCTGGTTGGTAGTACTATTGACATCGCAACCGGTAAATTCACCGACAACTATGTCACCTGGAACGGTGGAGACGACTCCTTCTACGAGTACCTTATCAAATTCTTCGTCTATGACCCCATCCGGTTCTCAGAGTACCGCGACCGGTGGCTAGCTGCTGCTAACTCTACTCTCGAGCACCTTTTGTCTCACCCTGCATCACAGCCGGATTTGACATTTGTCAACATTTGGAACAACGGAACGACGATATCCACCAGCGAACACTTAACCGGGTTCATTGGTGGCAACTTCTTGTTAGCAGGCTCTGTTTTGGGCCGTCAAGATCTCATTGATGCTGGTTTGGCATTCACGGACTCGTGGCACGCCACATATAATAGCACCGCAACCAAGATCGGCCCTGAGGTGTTTGCTTGGGATAAAGCGGGCGTTCCGGCCGACCAGGAAGCCTTCTATGAGAAAGCTGGCTTCTACATCACATCAGCTGACTATGTCTTGAGACCAGAGGTTATTGAGAGTTACTACTATGCTTACCGCGTCACTGGTGATACCAAGGTTGGTTCTGTATTGTGGCTTGAGTTTTGTTCTAACTAACACCATGTAGTATCAAGACTGGGCCTGGGACGCCTTCCTTGCTATCAACTCTACATGTCATGTAGGATCTGGGTACTCCGGTATTGAGAACGTCAACGTTGTTGGGGGAGCAGGCTTCGACAATGAGCAAGAGAGTTTCCTTTTCGCCGAAGTTTTGAAATATTCCTACCTGATTCACGCCGAGGGTGAGTTTATGAGTTCCAAGTCTGTCAAGGGAACGTGTACTGACGAAGATTTAGATGCCGATTGGCAAGTGAAGGCTGATGGCAAGAACAAGTTCGTCTTCAATACCGAAGCACACCCTTTTACCGTTGTTGGATAGAGAGTAGACTATTCATTCTGCAGATAGAAAATCCCAGCTGTAACTGGAGATTAATTGATAGGGTGGCCTTGGAATAACTCCCCCGCATTCTCCGCAATTTCCAGGTCGAGGGTTAGCCTCGGTCTACGTAGGGGCGAACCAAATGATTAGATATCACTACATATAAAGTGTCTCTCCAATCTTCCGTAACCGATCCGCTCATATCAGTAAATTCGTCTTTAACAATGCCTGCCTTAACGTTACACCTTCTCGCATTCAAAGATCATAGCGACGATGCAAAAGCATTCGTCGCCAAACTCCGCAGCTACACATCCGTCAAAGTAGTAGTAGCTTCACGACCACGATACGTCGTCGTCCGACCAACATTCCTGGACATAGATCCATTATTGATGCAAAAATGGGACCTGGTGCTTCTCCTACAGCCGACCGAACAGAACCATCATCAAGGAGAGTCTTCTCTAATACCATCTGACCTGCAAGATGTGATACTCGCTGAATATCGCATTCTTGCTGGGATCCCGTCAAAGTTATTATCGAGCTTCCCTGAGCGAGATGCTCAGTTGAAGAAGGAATCGCCCCCGGCGTTGACTGGGTCGTTGAGCAAGATGCGAAGTCAGAGCAAAGAGAGCTCTCAGGCTCTTGAGATGTCCCCTGATCTTTTGGCGTTTATGGATATGTTGTCTGCAGAGCATGATAAACCGGTGACAATGCTCAATCTACTTCATTTCCACTATCCGGATGGAAAGCAGAATTATTTTCAATACGGACAAGTAAGCTTATCCATCAGCCGCCTTTCAACATCTCAACTTGCTCCTACGTAGTAATTTAGGGGAGTAGAATTACTGATCTCATCAAAACGAACAGGCATTCATCCCTGTCGCCGGGAGACGCGGAGGTAATGCGAAAATTGTTGGCAACGTCGTTAAAACACCTGCTCAGTCAACCTTCTTGAATGATTCGCGCGGCAGTCCCGATCGACCGGAGCAGGACTGGTGGAATGAGATCTCTATCGTGCATTATCCTTCGATCCGGCATTTCTGTGACATGCTTGTGAGTGAGGATTATCAGGCCATCAATGAGAGGTATAGACTGAAGGTGAGATTTGCTGATTGTCGTGCGATCTGTGCAAAGCTTACATGCTATAGGCTCTTCGTGACACGTTTTTGCTGTGTACTACCGAGTTTGATGTAGAAGAGGATTCTCGTGCGAAGCTATAGTCAAATAATTGAATGTAATGAGTGCATGTCGAGTAGAGTAGAAACAAGGAATGACATCCAGCCCCAAAAGGGAAGGGACCCACCGCGGAGCACGTCCAGCAAAGAAAGACGCGTGAACAATCGCGCTTGCACTTATCAAACCTACAACAACAACTTACAACTCCCTCAATTGCTCCAGCTATTGACAGAATGTCTTCGTGCTTAAGACTATTCTGCTGAATACTGGGTTATTTCTTATTGATTTTATCTCCTTATTTGCATCGTTTTCTGCTATTCCTCATTGTCGCGTTGCGCCAATCAATTAGAGCATATTACTATTGTCCTGACGAAGTCATACTTACGCCTGAGGGATATGTCTGATTAGCCAGCCAGACCAACGTGTTTGAATATCAAGCAAGCAAGCAACTTGATCAGCATCTGTGGTCAAATGTGCCCGGCGAACATTGAACAACAATGTATCTCCCACGCTCCTTGATAGGACATTTATACCTCCAGCTTCTTCGATCACACCATCCACTTTCGCCTCCAGTCCTTATACTCGTTGCCCTTGAACCCGACGCGCTATGCGCGTGCCGCATCCTTACGACGCTACTAAAACGCGATTACATAGCCCATAAGATCCAACCTATTGCCGGGTATGGCGATCTCGCGCGTGCCGGCGAGGAGCTCGTACGTCCCATGCGGACAACAGATGGGGGCACTGGAGGAGTGGTCGTTTGTCTCGGTGTTGGTGGGCTCGTTGATTTGGGCGAGATTCTACGCCTGACAGACGAACAGGACGAATCCGAGGAGCTGGGCGGGGTAGAAGTATGGGTTCTAGACGCGCGCCGACCCTGGAATCTGGTCAATGTCTTTGGTGGGCACCCGGATCATTTCCGTGGCCGCGAAGCTCTGGCGGAGATGGACCTAAATGCCCTACGCAAAGGTCGCGGAGTCGACAAAGGTTGTCTGAATAAAAGTTATAAAAGTGGAAGTGGAGGGATTATCGTCTTTGATGATGGGGATATCGAGGAAGAGCTGACCAAGGAATGCGAGGCTTATTATGCCCTTGAAGAAATGCCAGAGGTTGACGATGATGGTGATAACTTGGACGACTCAGAAAGTGAACATGACAATGACAATAGTCTTGTGGGGGCCTCCAAGAAGAGAAAATCCTGGTCAGGACGCGAGCTGGAAGATAGTGATGACGAGGACGATGAACGGCCGCGTCAACGCAGGAGAAGTAACTCGGTACGTATATCACTCTACGATTTCCTTTTCCTACTTTTCACTTTATTGACTTCCACGGCAGAGCTCTCCCATTACATCGTCACCGACTAATCGCCGCCGAGCGATTGGACATGACTCTTCCAACTCGTCACGCACACCTACGCCGGAACCAAGCTTTGTATCCCCTATATCACACCAGCCTTCAGCGCGAACTCTTAGACGACGACTTTTACGAATGAAACGAAAGCACGAAAGCATACTGCAGACATACTACAACACAGGCACGGCCTATTCAGAGCCAATATCCTCAATGATGTATTCACTAGCATCTGAGCTGGGTCGCGAAGATAACGACCTTTTGTGGCTGGCAATTGTGGGAACCTCCAGTATGGAGCTATCTGGACGAACGATGGCCGGTGTAGGCATCTCGAGCTCCTCTGAACATGGTGGCTCAGCAGGATGGGGTGGATCACGAGGCGAACAAATACGGCAAATTATGCGAGACGAAGTGCACAGACTCAATCCGCCGGAGGGCGTCGAAAGTTATCGTGATATTCCTGGTTCAAACACCGATGTCATTCCTACCACGGGAAGGTCACCAACGGACACGTCAATACGAATATCTCCGGAACCTCGTTTCCTACTGGTACGACACTGGTCGTTGTACGAAAGCATGCTCCATAGCCCATATTTGGCGTCAAGACTGCATGTATGGACGGAGAATGGCCGGAAAAGGCTACATAAGTTACTGGCCAAAATGGGTATTAGTTTGACACAATGTCACCAAAATTATAACCATATGGACATGGAGTTGAAGCGCGTATTGCGTTCGCGATTACTGAAATATGCTCCTATGTACGGCTTGGAGGGACTGGTCCCTCCCGTTGCATCAGGACACAGCAGTAATCGTGAAGGTTGGGGCTTTGTACGAAGTTGGGGATGGAAAGCATGCTTGTCGGCAACAGATGTCGCTGTGATCCTGGGGTCGATACTAGAAGTTGGACCAAGTGCAGCAGCGACGTGGGAATCTGGATCCTATGCAACCAGACAGTTGGCCATGAACAAAGCAACCAGTCCCTCGGATACTGACCCGGCAAATATTCATCCCCGATTTTGGAGCGCTTACGACGCACTTTCTCCGACTGGATCTGATTCGCCCACGCTCCTGATTGAGTCATTGCCTTTGGCACAACACCTTCATCGTTCAATTCTTCGTACTGGAACGTCTTTGATGTCGAAGAACCAGATCCGCCATCTACGAGCTTTCCGCATTGGTGTTGTCAAAGATGGGCCTGACGTTAAGCTATTCACTAATCCGGGAGCTTTGACAAAGTTGGCATTGTGGGTCGCAGAAGCAATTCAAGTGCAAGAGAGGGATAAGAGTGAAACCAGAATGGGCAAGAAGAAGATTCTAGGCACACCTCTTGTCCTAGCTGGATTAGACGAGGACCGCGGCGTCTATGTTGTAGTTGGCACTGGCGGTGGTGGCGGTGTTATTGATTTCGCGGCTCTAGCGAAAAAGAATGAGGCACGACGGGTGAAAAAAGAAGCAGCAGATAAGAAAAAGAAAGATCGCGAGGAACGACGAGAAAAGCGTGCGGCTGAACATGCTCGCCGCGGCGAAGACGAAGATGACGACGCATCGGAAGACGAATCAGAAGAAGATGAGTCGGAATCTTCGTCTGATGACGAATCAGAAGATGAGAAGAGCCTCTATGGAAACAAGCGTCTTGTTCGTAACCGCTTTGGTATCGCCTTCCAGGAAGTGGTTCAAGAGACCAGTGCCCGAGTTCGAATCGACAGCTTTGAGCACTGTGTAGTAGAGGTGCAGAAAGAAGATTTGAGTGGATTCCTTGAGGCCTTGAGCTTTAGGAGTGTCGTCGGATAGGTGCTGATAGTCGATCGTTCCGACTTTCTTCTTTCACGATTTTCTCAGTCATGGCGTCTGGCATCATCACTTCGGCGTTGGCAATATATGCATCTTGCTTATCTGGTTCTTTCCGTATCGTTTAAAACGGGCGTTACATCAGTCATATGTGCATGAGATGACTCTTTTTCATGTTGTGGTGGGATTCCTCACATCGGTTCTGTATCATGGAGTCAAAGTATGCGGTACTATCTATTGCTGGCGAGGACTTTTTTGGTTGGTTATTATCTTATTTATTTTGCATCTCTTACCCTAGAGCACATTTTTACCCGATTCCCCTTGTTTCTTGACGCATAGTTTACCACCATGCATGTTACTCGCATTGTCGTTGCTTTCCCCTGTTTACTGTTGTCTTCCTCAATGAAATCCTTTGAATGCGTTCCATGGCGATCACTTACTTGACTCTTCTCTTGGAATAACTGGCGAGCAAATATGGTATGGATTGAAAATGTATTTGTTTTCTCTTTTATCGCTGATTGATGGATGGACATGATTTGTTTGTGCGATACCTTTGTAGGTAGTTAGTAGTATTATTCATGAATGTTGTTACTAGATAGCGACTTCTTATATCTTCGAAGGTTCTGTAGATGTTTATGATTACTGAAAAAAAGTTCAAATACCTAGGTATGCTCATCAATAAAATACAAGGGGTATAAACTATATAGATGCAATGAAAACGCTATATCTATGGATGAAATCAAGTTTCCCTACCGAAAACCGAACCAGCCAGCCAGAGTCCTGTACCTGCACCGATAACCGCCAACCCGACTAATCGTTTAGTCCAACTATCTTCATCAGTCATCTTGCTAGCACCCACAACAACCTGACGATGGCGATCTGTAGCAGCAGCAGCAGCAGTAGAAGACGGCTCCGATTGCTTTTGCTTCTCATCAGAAGCTATGGTCCTGTTCTGTAGAAAAGGATATCCCTGCTCTCGCCGTTGCCACTTCTCAACAAGTTTAGCAATCTCGTCCAAATCCTCCTTAAGTGATCCTGGTCCACGTGTTGCATTACTTTCCACTTGCACAGCTTGCGTATTTCCGAAGAAATCAACCACAGTACGTAGACGACCTTCTTGTTCGCCGCCAGGGAATAAATCCCATCTTAACCCCGGTTGAGAATGGATCTTGCTCTCGTCGTAGGAATCGAATAGGTCTCCCAGGGTAAGTTTTGAGTTTGGTGATGTTACTTGTGTCTCTAGGAATTCTAGGACGTAGTACGTCCACCGATCGATGACCGCAACTCCAACATCGTTGTCGGCATGGTGTGAATAGGATGATTCGTCGAGCGCACTAGACCCGGTGGCGATGATATTCGGTGAGTAGAAATGCGTATACATGGTATTCGCCTGACACGTGTCAATCATGAAAAGCAGTTCATGATACCGTTTCTTCTCCCACATTTGACCAAATGCATCTGCCAAGTCCCAAGCACCGATCTCCTCGGAATCTTGAAACTTCAAAAACCGATCCCCGCCGTGGCCAGTCATGTATACCAACACATTACTACCTGCGTCAGAACCCAGACGTTTACTTCGTGGCACATCCTCATCCAGTCGATCGGTAAGCAAACGAATAAAATTCTCGACCGTTACCTCATAACCCCGATAATCAACCTCGATATTCTCTCCGTACAGATCAACCGCTCGATCGGCGTTACTATAAACTGTACCGGGGAAGGCGTTTCGCGGATTACAGGCCATGTCGTCTGGAAGCATGAGGATGATTTGCGAATCGGGGATTCCGAGGCGCTTCACGGTTCGATATAGAGATAGGACATTGGCGAGATGGCGATAATTGAACCAGAAGCGTGAAGTGGACACGAGAACGGCCCAGTTGGAGGTGTGTTCCCCGAACACCGATACGGGTATGGTGCATGATAATAGCAGCGTAGCGAGGCCCGCCCCTGAAAAAAATGGTAGGCGCATTATTTAAAGGAATATATTGTAGCGAGCGTGGGAGTAGAATGATTGTATTGCAGTGAATGTAATGTTCCTTAGATGCTTTTCGATGTTGAAAGAGAGCCTACTTACTGAGGTGGAGAATCTTCCGGGTGGATCGCTGGGGCTATCCACGATTCCTATTTCGGACGACATTTCAAGCCCTAGTTCACTTGACCATACGCCCAGGGTGACATATCACACCTCAGATTACTTTACAGCACTCGATGTACTAATATCTCTTAGCCGCCAATCTCCTGGCTTGGTTTTTTTTTTTTTTTTTTTTTTTTACACCTTGCATTTTGGGCAAGCGATTATTGGGAGATAATGATTGCGACTTATGCTGTGTAATTAACGCGGTATTCTAGCAAGGATCTTTTGTGATACACAGTCGTCTGAGCCTTGCAAGTGGCTTAATACATTCTGCACTGCAATCAAGTTTCCAGACAATGTGGAGCCTGAAGGGGCCTTCGAAGATCATGCGGCTTGCGTGATCTCCTGGAATTTAACTCGGACATCGCCAAATGCGAGCAGATTGATCAGAGAATCGGGGATATAGTATTTAAACCGGATCAGATCCAGATATCTTCAAAAGTTCTCAGACCTTAGAACATGTCTTCGACGGGAAAGTCTTTCAAGATACTAATTGCCAGCGGAGGCGTCGCTGGCCTTGCTCTAGCTAACATGCTGGAAAGATTCCAGATCGACTACCTTTTCCTAGAAGCACATAGCAATATCGTCCCAACGATAGGCGTGGGTATTGCAATATTCCCTCATGGAGCTCGAATTCTTGACCAGCTTGATCTATATGAACCTATCGCCGAGTTGGTGGATAACAGCGGTCGGGGGGACCACATTCATAATGAGGATGGTGATTGCTTGCTGAATGTACCAGAATTTGAGGATTATAATAAGCATCGGTATCTTCCATTCATTTGTGGATATTGTAGTTTTGGTGCTGATGATAGATCAGACATGGATATCCGGTCTCATTCATCGATCGTCAATCGCTCCTTCGTATACTTTACGATCGTTTACGAAACAAGAATTGCGTTCTACTGAACAAAAAGGTGGGATCGCGTTAGACTAATTGAGGGAGGAGTTACGGTTTTTACAACAGATGGGCAGAGTGTTTGCGGAACCCTACTCATAGGGGCCGACGGAGTACATAGTGTTGTGAGACGAGAAATGTACCGCATCGCCAACGAGAAGGTGCCCCAATACTTTGCAGCGGACGAGCACAAACATGCGTCATGCCACTATCTCTGTGTATTCGGCGTTTCTCAAGATGTGCCTTGCTGGGTACAGGGTGAAACATATAGTGTCTTCGGAAAAGGATACTCTCAATTAGTGGTTTCTGGGCCTGACAAGAGCAAGATCTACTGGTTCTTCTTCGCTAGATTGCCGGAGACGAGATACGGCAAAGATATACCGCGACGATACAACAGAGAAATGGAGACACAGATCATCAAGAAATACGAACACCGTCCAGTCACCAAGACAGTTACATTCGGTCAGCTTTATGCTAAGCGCTCAGTTTCTACGCTAACACCTTTACATGAATACACGCATGAGGAATGGTTCTTCAATAGAATTTCTATAATGGGAGACTCGGCCCATAAGGTATGTTGACTCAACCAAACTGGGGTTTCAGACAGCTTAGTGATACTGACTATATATATCCTCAGCCAAACCCTATCTCAGGTCAAGGTGGTAATGCGGCCATTGAATCGGCAGCAGAATTTGTCAATGCACTTTTAGAGAGACGGAATAGCCGTGCTCAAGGACTCGATAGATTGACTGATAAAGATATTAAGAATATCTTCATGAAATCGCAAATTAGAAGACTCGAACGTGCAAAAGATCTAGTCTCTGCTGCTCATATACAGCAGGCCTTGACAGCATTCGAGAAACCTCTCGTCTCGAAAATACTCTGGGAATATACTCTACTCCTCGGGGGAGACAGTGGCTACCTAGATCTATTTGGTGAAAAGATTGCCAGTGATCCAAGGTTGAAACACCTCTCTATCAAGGAGCGGCCACGAGTGATACCATACGACGATGAGTTACCTTCTCGGCCAAGGACATCAAATAAATTACACCTGGGGCGGACTTTCCTCATTCTGGGATTGCTCTATATTCTTCTTAAGGACCATAACTTCCTGTACTATTCTTGTTCCTGGGTTGACACTCGAAAGGGAGCCATGACTACCTTTAGTGCTGCAAGGGACACCTCAGCACTCCTCAGAGACCCTTTCTCATCGGTATTCATGCAACTTGATACAGAAAAAACAAATTGCGTACAACATTTATGGGCTGTCACGACTCATATCACCGATATTAATATGTATCGTTGAAGGATATCGATTAGGAAACCGAGCATCCATTCTTGCCTTGCCAAGTCTGTTCCTATTAGCAATCTCATTCAAAGGGATAGTGTTTGTATCTCTGCTCTACTCCGTCATGAATGCCTTCTTATCCACCAGCTCGCCAGCGGGGAGATTCGTGAAGCCAGAGGTAGCTCGTGTCTTGGGCGAACTGGGCAACCAAGAGGTGGAACTCCAAAAGATCAAGAACAGTCAGGTTGTGAGAACTGTAATAACCAAGACAATTCTGAATGATACAAAGGCCGAGATGTGCCAATTTTGAAATTTGCATATCTGTTCGCTATTGTCCTGCAGGCTACGGCTCATATTACACTGTTTCCATATGCGTATAAGGCGCATAGAACCAATTCTTCAGAGGTCCACTCTGTGCTGAAAGTGAAGTCTGATGTACTTTCGGATTTCTAGTACGTACCCTATAATTGTTATTGCTTAAGTCTTCTAAAGTGACTTCAAAACTCCCTTGGTTCATTAATCTTATGTAGGTTAACTCTAGAACGCCTACCATATGTGCTTCTTTATACAATGAAATACACCAATGTATAAGCTCCCATACGGTCGAACTAGCTGTTATACTAATGAATGAGCATAGGTAAAACATTGGTCCACCTGAGGAGCAACAATCCTCATTTGAGCATTCTAGTATCCAACACGCAGCGCGGTACAACTCTTGAACGGAAACCTAGAACTGATCCCAATTCTCCTGCCTCCAGACATCCTCAGCACTAACCAAACGATCCCTCACGCCTTCAAGATCACGAGAATCTACCATAATATCCCCATCTCCAACAGTCCCCCACATTCTTGGAGCTCCAACAACTTCCCAGAACTTGACCATAAGGCCCAATTCAGTTCCCCACATACCATGCAGTCCTTCAAACTGCTCAAATGGAACTGATAAAACTTGCAACTTTCCTTTTCCTGCAATTTCCGCCCATTTCGAGAAGTAGTCTTGAATCTGGTACTTGCCCGTGGTGACATGGACATATCGACCGCCCTTGGGCCCGTACGCGGTACTGGGGTATGGATGTTGGAGAAGTCCACTGACGGTGATGCCGATATTATTTACTGAACCGAGTGAGGGGAGATGAGATGATGATTTTGCCGGGAGCGCAAGAATATATTGTCCAGCTGGTTTCTATTTTGTTACACCATTAGCCAACTTTCACCGGGCATCAGGAGTGAGGACAGGGGATCAATACCGAGTAAATTGGAGTAAAAGGCGGATATTTAAAGTTTGAAGCATAAAAGCCCGTCAAAAGAAAGATGGTCTTAGGGTTCAGGACTGGGTCATTCTTGATATACGCGTCAATGGCTCCTTTGGCATCGAAATGCGGAACCTCTACCTCGCCGTTACTCAAATCCTTTGCAGCAGGTAAGGTGCTCCAGTAGTAGGTCTCCAGAGTGAGAGTTTTTGCAGCGGCGCGGGCGAGTTTAACCCCTCGGTCATACTCAACTTGCATTGCCTTTTCAGGCCCGATCCCTGTGCCAAAGGGCTCGTAGAAATCTGTCACAGCAAATATGGCATTTGCGCCAATAAAGGCATTGGTGAGACTGCCTTCATCGTCAAAGTCGGCAGCTATCATTTCAATACCTCGCTCAATGAGCACCTTGGCTTTTTCACTGTTGAGGTTCCGTGTAAGACCTCGTATTCTCCAGTCAGGGTTCGCCGACAAGGCATTGATAACGCCTGAGCCCTGCTGGCCAGTTGCGCCTGTAACAACGATAAGCTTGGACATATCTGAGAATAGATTTTAGTGAGGGCTTTGGAAAGTAGGATTTGTTCTAGATGCGAAGTACTTGAATTTGGAATGTTGACCAGAAGTCTCATCGAGCGAGGTTGGATTATGATGCCTTTATAGGGTTCACTGAGATCACGTGCTGATATCGTCATACAAGGCTTAACATATTTACTTCCATACAGTTCAGTAAGCTGCCCTTGTAATTGTTTCTACCGTCTAGCTGTTGTCCTAACCAGTCCTTGTCCTACATTCTTACAGAGATAATTAGTAAGGTTGACTCATTCATGCTCTATCGGCTTTAACGGATGTCCACCGCAAATGTCCTCAATCCACGCAAATGTCCTTAATCCCCGCAAATGTCCTCAATCCCCGCAAAATGTTCGCAATCCCCGCAGAATGTCCGCAATTTTCGAATCGTGTCAGATTGGTAATCCTCCAGTGATTAGAAATTGATTGTAGCGTCATAACTGATGAAGTTTCTTGACAGAGAGAGCTTCAGCTTTCTATATATTCACGGTACGACAACGGGGAGTTTAAACATCTTCCTTATCGGCAACTCATATATCAAGAAGTGCTGAAATACATATCGTCATGGAAAACCTCAAATTAATCCTCGTCATTGGAGGAACCGGTGCTCAAGGCCGTCCTGTCGTCAAAGGTAAGCTTCTAAGCCAGGAAACTTCACGCGAACTATGGTCTAACAATAATACGCAGCACTCTCCGAGAGCGGTCGCTACAGTGTCCGTTTATTGACTCGAAACCCAGCCTCAGATCAAGCTAAGGAACTAGCTGCTTTGCCAAACGTGACGCTGCTTCAAGGTTCCCAGGATAGTCAAAAAGATCTCCACGCCGCATTCACTGGTGTATATGGCGCATGGGTGAACCTTGATGGCTTCACCATAGGGGAAAAAAGCGAGATTTTCTATGGTATTCGGGCATACGAAATCGCTCGTCATCACGGTGTCAAGCACTACGTCTTTGCGAACATTGACTACGCTCTTCGAAAAGCTGGGTGGGACGAGCAGTATCATTGCGGACATAACGACGCTAAGGGGCGTGTTGGTGATCTGATCTTGAGTCACGGCCAATCGACCATGAAAACTTCACTTCTGACCACAGGGCCATACATGGATATGCTCTACGATGGAATGTTCGTTCCTAAGGAGCAAGCTGATGGCTCGTTTGTCTGGGAGAACCCTGCGTGTAGGTTCTTGTTCCTTGCATCGATATAGCTGATTATTTCAGGAATAGACTGACAAGATGAACTTGACAGCGGACGGTAAAATCCCTCTAATTGCATTGGACGATATTGGAGTCTACAGTCTGTGGATGTTTGACAACCCATCCGAGTCCGCAGGCCTGGACCTCGAAGTTGCGACAGATCAAGTGAGCTTTGCTGAGATCGCGGAGACTTTTACGAGAGTGACGGGCAAGAAAGGTGTGCATAAGTGCGTGTCACTAGAGGAGTACCTAGTAAAAGCCGAACTGTATCCAGGAGCTTATTCAAATTGGGCTGTCAAGCCGGATGTGCCTCGCGACGAGTCGTTCATGACCTGGCGTGAGAACTTCTCGTCTTGGTGGCGCTATTGGAGCGAGGGCAAAGGCGCAACTCGTGACATGGCTTTCCTTGACCGGATTCACGCCTCACGCATTCCTAGCCTGGAAGCGTGGATGAGAGTCAAGAGTTACGACGGGCGACCACAGTCTGTTCTGAAGGATCTTCATGAGCTGAGGAAGAATCAGGGACCTTAGTGACGAGTGGGTAACCTCGTTGCTGGGATGAGGTGCACGTTAGCTTGAGAACCTGGCAAATAGAACATAACCATTGATTCGTTATCTCAATCAAGTATATAGGTAGCTATTCGAGGACCCTTCTTTGGGATAGAACCTAAAGAAAATTGGATTGGCGTGTTGCACGACGATACTCAAACTGGAATCGATGTCCTCAACACAACCTTTACATCCTTCATGGGTGAATTGTCGTTGGAAATACAGTAAAACCTGGCTATAACGAAAGGAAGGCCTCTTTATATTAATTCTGATATCAGCTTGAGTTACTTTAATTTGGAAATGAAAAACAATATTACCATCAATAGTGAAATAGATTAATAACTGGAGTGCCCATCGTTCTAAAATTAAAGCTTTTCCGGATATACTGTCTTAGGTCCTGTGAGGCCTCCTATTCGTTATAAGCAGGTTTTACTATAACGATGATTAAAGCCCCTCAGGGCCGCCAGTGCCCGCAAATGTCCGCAAAGACTCCCAACATAAACTATACCAGTACCATCACCATCCTATGACGTCCCACGCTCTTGCTTCGTGCTTCTCCTGCCGTCGCAGTAAGCGTCGCTGCGATAAATCCCTCCCATCATGCCAGCTTTGCATTCGGAAGGGCTTGAAGTGTAACTATCCCCACCGCCGTGGCCAACGTTCACCCTCGCCCCCTCACAGTTCTCGTGGGTCAGAAACTGCCACTGATTCCGATTCTTCTACATTTTCTTCATTTGCTGTGACTTCTGCCATTAGTTTTCTTGCACCAGATCTGTTCCGACAAGCTCGTTTGGAAATTCCTCGCCTCAGGTTGGATATCCCCGACGATGTTACTTCCCATTTGGGTGACAGCCAGCAGGTGCGCGAGACAGCCAACAATTTTTTCCAGATGACATGGATGCCCATAATCAGTAGGAAGTACTATCTAGCTGCTGTACTCAATCCGTTATCTCCTTCGCGACGCTCGACCGCTTTACTTGCTCTATGCATGAAGTTGTGCTGTTTACGAGTTGAAGGCGCAGAGAGGAATTCATTATATCGATTAGTCAAAAAATTCTACTCCGAAGTGGAGAGTACAGAAGGCTTGTGTGTCCAAATCCTCCAAGCGGGCATATTTATTGCAGTTTTTGAAATCGGCGATGCTATCTACCCTGCGGCATATTTGACAGTGGGTGCATGTGCTCGTTATGGCGTCGCCATGGGCCTGGACAAGATCAATAAAGACAGGATGGGCGACGCTCATAATTTTTCAGCACCGTGGATGGAGATCGAAGAGAGGCGCAGGGCTTGGTGGGCAGTCTTGATCTTGGACCGGTTCGTCACCTTTCACATTAATATTTTGGCTACAAGGAGGAGCTCCGGAATTCAGCATGATCCTTTCAGGTTTAATGCTTTTTCAAATACAGATTCCTGAACGTCGCAAACCCTTGTCGGGCCTTAGCGACAGAAGATCCCACATTTGAAGATTTCCTCCCTGTGGATGATGACCAATTCTATGACGCGGTGAGAAAACTTGCTCTCTTAATTTCTGAGCGAGTAATAGCCTTTGTCTAACAAGAAACTACAGTAGAACTTGGCTGCAACGAGCAGAACCCCTCCCAAGATTTAAGTCGATATACCCAGAAATGAGTGTGATATAGAGGTGAAGGGCACTCCAAATCAATTTTAGCATTAATATTTGGGATGCCCTTCAGCTCCATATTAATGTAATCCAATCCAAGATCAGTGTGAATATGGAGAGGCCTTTATCGCTAAATCAAACTCACTTCTGGGTATATTGAATTAGGTCTTGAGAGGGATTCTGTTTGTTATACCCAAGTTCTTCTGTATACTCAGACCTCACAACCAGAGAATGCGGTCCCCATATCCCAGGGGTTTATATTCAAGATCGGCCACTTCGGCAGACTAGCCCAGGCGACATACCTTATCAGCCAGGTTCTTTATACAATCAGATCCGATTCTGCAGTAAATGATTATTTCAACGGAAGCGGCAGCTTGTCTGCGGATATGGGACAACTATGTCGCACTCTTGAAGCTCTGGTTCGCGCCAACGAGATGGAAATTACACTCCGGAGGTTGACCTTTTGCTGCCAGAGCTTGGTTGCTTACAGGTAAGTAATACTGAGACCTATTATTCCACCGATAAAAAAAGATAACCGTTCAAGTAGTGGCATTTTTCTCCTCCAACAGCATTTGTGGCAGCGGTTGAAGGTAAAATCCACACAGGAGGCACAGCAGCATACATTTATCGAGACTCGAATTGCCATTGATACGCTTTGCCGAATTGCATCAGCACTGCAGGAGAGATCTAATATGGTAGATCTACTGCAGGGACAATGCACCTTTTTCCTCGTAAATATCGTCTATCAAGGAGTTTCAGCGCTTATGACCATTGGGCAAGGAAATCCATCGGCAGAGATCAGGGAGAGCATCGATACGTTAAGCTATTTGCTTGGGAATATACGAAGCCGTTGGCCACTTGCTGGTAAGGTCCTTGCTAAGGAGGGTTCAAAGTGATTGATTTCTAATATTAGTGAAGGTGTGTACAAGAGCATTCTCGACGCAAAAGCGGCTGTGTTGGCCGCAGAAGCAATATAGCTATGAGTTACATGCTGTAGAAGGAAAGAGAGTAGATTAGGCATATGGTTGTTTGACTTATACAACAGAGTCTAGCTATAACGAAAAGGAGGCCTTCTTCATACCTATACTAATCTCAGTTTTGATTACTTTGATATAAAACTGAGAACCATCTCAATTATCAATCAACACCACAATACCATGATATATTGATTTCATCGTGAACCACCCAGGTTCTGTAAAAGCCACTTGGAAACAAACAACCCTATGCCATCATATAATCAAAAATCTAGCGTCTTTGTAATGACTCAACCAAAGAGTTACGTGTACCTCGGTAACTGGACATGCAATCATCAATTTGCTGATTACCAACTAATATCGGCGTTTTATTACTGCAGATAATTAAGACTAATACTCATTAGGAGAGTGCACATGAGAGTGCACATTTAACTTTTTAGCGAAGACTGCGCCTGTTTTGAGCGCTATATTCATTACAAATCAGTATACGACAAATGTATTATTTATAATCAGAGTCTTGGCGATTGGTAACATTCTTGATGCTTCTAGCCACTCGTTGCTCTCATCGGCGTCCAGCTCTGGCCAATCTTTCCAAGTATTTTGCTGGCTAGTCCGTTATCTCTTGACTAGTTATGATTCAGGCACTCCATATGTATTAGTATTAATTTTCAAAAGCTAGCAGATGGCTACGCCTAGCTTGCACAAGTTGCGGGAATGCTTGCGGCAATGTCCGCTTTATGCCCGCTTCATGTATGATGCCTCAGTTACTACGTAGGTAGGCTTGCCTTCTGATCACCCATTACCAACATCGGCTGCACTTAAAATCAGTATCATCCTTCCTCTCGAGAGTAGCGCCCCACACACTTACATTCGAATCCGCAATTGCATCTATTCTGCTCAAATTACCTCTCCCCGTTATCCCTCAAAGACAAAGACATCAAGACACACCCATGGCTCCCAGCAAGAGATCCATCCTAATTACAGGGTACGTAAACTGTGATATACATATCTCCATGCAAGTCGAAGCTTACTTCAGATAGCTGCTCGCAAGGCGGAGCGGGAAATGCGTTGGCATTGGAGTTTGCGGCGCAAGGCCTACGGGTCTTCGCGACTGCTCGTTCCCTCAACTCGATGAGTAATCTGTCAGAGAAGGGAATCGAGACTCTGGTCCTGGACGTCACTGTACCGGAGAGTATTCTAGCCCTGAAAGAAGAGATTGTCAAACGCACAGGCGGTACCCTCGACATTCTATACAACAACGCTGGGTCCAGTGAGTTCTCTTAATGAGCCTTGCAACCTTTTTGATTCCAGCGGGTACTAAACAATACCACAGTGTACGAGGCTCCGGCCTTGGAAGCTGATCGCAGTCAGGTCCGGAAAATGTTCGATGCCAACATATTCGGTCTATTTGATATGGTGACGGCATTCACGCCTCTGCTAATCGCCGCAGCGCCCGATTCTAAAACAGCTCCCACAATCGTCAACGTTGCATCAATACTCGCCCGACTTCCATTCCCATTCGCGTCCGCATACAACGCAAGCAAGGCCGCAGTATCCGCTTACTCAGATACCCTGCGAGTGGAACTCAGCCCCCTAGGCATCCGAGTAGTCACTTTATTCATGGGTGAAGTTTCGACCAAACTTCGGTCTGCGAATAATATCAGCTTCGGACCCGAGAGTCTCTACGCCGATGTTGAGGTAAAGGTCAAGGAGAGGACGGAGCAGAGTGCCAAAGTCTCTATGACACCAGATGTCTTTGCCAAACAGGTTGTCCCCAAGGTCCTGGCTAACAATAATGCCAACTATCTCTGGAAAGGCACAAATGCTTTCATTGTATGGTTGCTCGCTGCCGTTGGTCCTCGGAAAGTCTTCGACTCGACTGTGATGGGGCCTGTAGGGTTTGGTGATAAGAACGTGATCAAACGGATATATGATCGCGGACAGCGGCTTGTTGAGAAGTCATGAAGGGGTGAGGGAGACTGATGGATGTTATGTGCTACTTTGAAGTAATATTAATATGTTAATTGTTCTAACCCTGCAAACTTGAAAGTTGAATGTCGAAACATTTATATCCCGAATTAAGACCAAAATAGTTGGAGTTAAGTAAAGATCACGCTAAGCCCAGAAAAGCCAAAGAGATGTAACACGACCCCGCTATCGGAGGCTACTAGTTCCAAACAGGGAAAGCGTTGTCATTTGAAGGGCGCGCTCGGTACAAAGCGGATATTGACCAATCAGATCAAGCAAGTCACAAGACTCAGCCAAAAAGAGTAAGAACAGAGGTCATGGATGACTCTTCTTCTTCTTCAAGAGTCTCTCCCCACGTTAGGCGAGGAATTATCTCCTTACTTTTTCTGTTCATCAGTATATAGTCAAAAAAGCGGTTGAAGCACCTTGGTTGATTAGAAATCTGGTCTTCAAGCGAGACGGGTCCCCGGCCGGTTCATTGACTCATCTGATCTACTCTTCTCTTTCTACTTGCCATTTTATTCCCTATCCAGCCAGTCTTTTCGGTCGATTCTCTATGACGATATATTTTTGACTTCCTGCAGTCCATTGGTGCTGAGCATCTGTTTGGCTACGTTGTCGGCATCGCCCACATAACTCTTACTCATCAGCTGAACACATTCGACGATCCAATCGGTCTGACCGTTACATACCTGAAGACCGTTAGCACCATTCACATTCTCCCAATTGCTGACAACCCCCATTGCCAATACAAATGGAATACTTTGACTTTGAAGGGGCATCTTTCGCCTCGAACAATGTGCAAGACGACGACGTTGCATCATGTTGCCAAGAACTCGACGAAGCAGAAGCTGTCGAGAACTATGAGTCGTTGTTCTTTGATAAGAACTTCCAGCTGCATCCCGACTCGGGGCTGACAGCTGACCATGTCGATAACCTGCATGATCAGGAACTGGACCCCCAGCCTCCGGTGGAAGACCCAGTTGTGACCGAGCCGTCTTCTGGCTCACAGTATCCCATGTTCCGATCTCCACTGCCCTGTGATTTCTGTCGGCAAATGGGGTTCAATTGCTTTCTCATACAGAGAGGCGTCTTAAAGAACGGCTGTACCTGCTGCGTTTCACTTTATCGAGAGTGCAGCTTCACACACGAAAAAACGCCTGGCAAGTATCTACATACTCTGCAACCAGTGGGTGAAGACGACGTCACATCCACCGGTGGACTTACTGGAAGGCGAGCATTGAAATCTTTAGGGTCAAGTAAATTCGATCATCTCGAATCTCGTGGCCGAAAGAGTGGTGCTCGCTTCTCTCGTGACGCTGTTAGAATCTTGAAGAATTGGCTCTCAGAGCACTATCAACACCCTTACCCTAACGAAGCAGAGAAGGATGCTCTCAAGGAACGTACCGGTCTCAAGAGAAGTCAGATAGCCAATTGGCTCGCAAATGCTCGTCGTCGGGGCAAAGTCTTACCATCTACACGCAGTAGTTCGCCTACTCCAGGTGCTGTTGATATACCCGGATCTACACACATCTCGTCAGCATCATCAACAACATCGACATCGTCGTCATCCACTCTTGAATATGCACTGATGACGCCTTTGGAGCGATGGAAGCACTCTCCTCCCGAACACGAAGCTGCCGCCACCAGTGATATTATCCGAGCTATGGCCAACGCCTCTCTTCCGCCTCCGTCACCGTCACATGCCCAGCAGCCGCAGCAGCAAGGCTACTATGCTCCTCCTACGATGTCTGGACACGGCCGGTCTCTTTCCCGGAAGACAGGCTCCAGCAATGACTCGGGCTCGTTGTTCCAGGCACCGTCAGTGAGCAGTTATGAGACGGAGAACAAATCATCAATTTCTGACTACTCGTTTGCCTCCGCCTTTTCACATCGTTCTTCTCAACTTTCGTTCAACTCGGCGGACCGGAAAGAACGACGTCGGCGCCGTAAGCAGATGCCACCAGTTCCCGCTTTCGACCGACAACCTGCTCGCGGAGCTCGTATCTTCCAGTGTACGTTCTGTACTGATTCTTTCCCTGCGAAATATGACTGGCAACGTCATGAGAAGTCAGTACACTTAGCTCTGGAGAAATGGACTTGCGCACCACGCGGAGGGGTGATAACTACCTCCGACGGAATGAAAGCATGTGCCTTTTGTAGAACACGTAACCCGACCGAAGGACACTTGGAAACACATAACTATCTGACATGCCAAGAAAAAACGGTTCAAGAGCGGACGTTCTATCGCAAGGATCATCTAAACCAGCATTTGCGATTGATGCATGAGGTCAAATATGACTCGTCAATGGATCAATGGCGGAGCACAACAAACGAAATCAAGTCACGATGCGGCTTGTGCGATACCAACTTTACCACTTGGAAAGACCGTGTTGATCACATAGCGCAGCACTTCAAGAACGGAGCAGACATGTCGCAGTGGAAAGGTGACTGGGGGTTCGAGCCATATGTCCAGCGCCTTGTTGAAAATGCTACACCCCCATACCTTATTGCAAGCGAGCGAGCAGGCCTCGGTCAGGATAAAACGCCTGGAATAAGCCACACGGTTAAGACCACCCGTTCGTTCGTGGGGTCTTCATCGGTCTCCCTACCAGTACCTACGGATGAAACATCCTTTACACGACTCGAAAATGAACTCAAAGCATTCATCGGTGGCCAATTTTTGGATGGTAACACGCCTACTGATAAACAGATTCAAGATCAAGCTCGTATGATCGTATATGGCTCCAATGATCCATGGAACCAAACATGCGCCGATAATGTGGTTTGGCTAAGTGTGCTGAAGCGAGACTGTGGCATGGAGGACCTTCCTGGCTTAGAAAACATCAAGCTAGAAGATTTGGGAATGCAGCCTCCTTTCGCAGGTCGCATGCAGCATCCTCCTCTCGAGACGAACAGTCTCGTTGCTGGCAATGTGCGCCATTCCTGGTTCAGCACCGCCAGCCTTGGAAGCGCCGCAATCTCGGCATCGGGGCTGCAAAGCCCAGCCTTTGTTTCGAGCAGTGGCTTCCAATCGGCTGCTCACAGCATGCCTGGAAGTCTTGCAGGAAGCTTTTCCGGCAGCATCGGAGTATCATCTGCTGGCCCTTCATCTGCTATACCTGGTCTATCGAGCGGATGGAGCAGTAACTTCTCTGTGGGCGAACAGTCATCATCCGACTGGACAGGTTCCGTTGCATATGCGGATCCTATAGCACAGTCCAACTTTGATCTTGAGCTGTTGCTGCAATTGAACGATCCGCAGTCTCAAGGCATGGGTATCGATGCTCCTATTTTCGATATGGAAGTGTTGACTTCTCAGGCTGAAATGATGCCACCAGTAGCGTCTGCCCTTGGTAAAGAGCCACAATCATTTGATCCTCTGTCGACAGCAATGATGACAACGGCATCCGAGACGCGACCAATTTCTATCCCCACAACCACTGCTGCTGGTAATACTGTGGGTATGGACTCATACTTCGAGCCCTCGTTCTCATCCCAGCCGGGGTATAATTGAATTTGAAGAAACGTTTGGCGTTTAGGTTTTGATTTTCATCTGTGATTTTGCATTTAATGATCTGTTAGTTATTGCACATGTTTTGGAAAAGATTGAGCAAACGATAGAAAGGGGGAATGATATACAAATCCTTAAAAAGGGGTGTACATACTTAACCTTTCAAAATAAATGACCTACCCAACTCTGGCGGACGGCACATGTATGTAAGTACTAATCAGCCGTGTAAACCATCAGGCTGTAAGCCAGGGTAATATACCCAATAAGTCCGATGTAATACAAGAACCCAATATTAAACGCCCTGCGAATGACGACCCATAAGATCCACACGTTGAGTGACTCTGTCTAGGCTGGTAAGCAGGTATGTGTGGTCCAAATGGTGTTCGTCAACCGTAGGGCGCGAGGCGTAGACGTTCCTAATCTAGTAATCTATTTGACTTTGACACACCTGCAATTATTGGCGTAGTTCGCCATTGTACTTGTGAGGCTATTGCTGAGTAGCGTGTTTGTAACATTCCATCAGAATAAGTAATTTATTTTTACCTTACTAGTACATAGCTAGGAACACACCAATCAACTTGGATACTTTGACTTGAATTGGGATATAACCTAATTGGAAACATGATGACTACTCAAAGTAGTCGATGGAATTAAGATGGAAAGAACTGTCCAATTACAAAATAGTACCCATGTTAACATGCACAGCCTTAATCTGTGAATAAGCTTCGAGACCAGCTTCACCCAATTCGCGGCCAATACCGGATTGCTTAACGCCGCCAAAGGGGACGCGGGGGTCACTGTCCTGAGAACTATTGATCCATACCATACCAGCCTCAATCTCGGCTGCGACACGATGACCACGCTGGATATCGCGTGTAAACACAGATGCACCCAGCCCATAAGTAGTATCATTGGCGCGAGCGATGACTTCCTCTTCAGTCTCAAAGGAGGCGATGACAACAACGGGGCCGAAGATCTCTTCCTTGCAGATGCGCATAGAGTCGTTGACGTTGGTGAATACGGTGGGGGCAATGAAGAATCCCTTGTTGAAGTCGGTGTTTCCGCCTTCCTCGCGATAGGGGCCTCCACCGGTGAGAACTGTGGCACCTTCAGATTTGCCAATGTCGATGTAGCTTAGGATACGTTCGTATTGGGCACGAGTAACCTGTGGGCCTTGGAAGGTTGATTCGTCCCATTGGTTGCCGACCTTGGAGGTGCTCTTTACAGCCTCTTTGTATTTCTCAATGAAAGTATTATAGATCTCCTTTTGAACGAAGATACGTGATGTCGCCGTGCAGATTTGGCCCTGGTTAGACATGATACCTGCATGTGACCACTTGACTGCTTGTTCCAGATCACAGTCACTGAAAACGAGAAGCGGGGATTTACCACCGGTCTCCAGGGTAATGTTCTTCAACGTTGCGGACGCCATCTTCATAATCTGTCGTCCAGTGGCGGTTGAACCAGTAAAGGCAATCTTGTCGACGAGGGGATGCTCAACGAGAGCAGCACCAGCCTCGCGACCGTATCCATTGACGACGTTGACAACACCGGGTGGGAAACCGGCCTCCTTGATCAATTGTCCGAGGACTAGCGCGCTTAATGGAGTCTGTTCGGCAGGTTTCAGAACGACGGTGTTACCACAAGCCAGAGCAGGACCTAATTTCCAAGCTGCCATTGAAAGGGGGTAGTTCCATGGGATGATCTGACCGACAACACCAATGGGCTGGCGCAGAGTGTATGCGAATTTTTCGGGAGCTGTGTTGATGGTCTGGCCGTACGTCTTATCAGCCCAGCCGCTGTAATAACGTAGAGCGAGGGACACCTCGCCCAAATCCTCGTTCAGAGCGACTGAGTACGGTTTTCCATTATCCCACGAATCGATTGTGGCCAGAGTCTCTCGCTTCTCATCGACTAGATCGGCTAAGCGGGCTATTAGACGACCGCGGTCTGTGGCCGCCAGTTTCTTCCAGGATGGATCTTTGAGAGCGGCATGGGCAGCTCGGACTGCACGATCGACATCTTCGGCGCTGGCTGCGTGGATAGTGGCAATCTCCTTTTCAGTGCTAGAAGAGTCAACTTAGCTGCTTTTTCCCTTTCGGGAAGTGAAGATAAAGCTACTCACGCTGGGTCAATAGAAGTGATTGTCCCACCATTGCCCTTGACAAACTCGTTGTTGATGAAAAGACCTGTTGGCTGTGTGTACTTTAGGCCATTGGGGGCAGTGATCTCTACAGAGAGATCCGACATCTTGACGGTGGAAGAGCTTGCAGAAGGATTGACGAAGGGTCGACGTGCAGAAACGCAGAAACCACGAGAGGGATAAAGAAAAGAAGGAGAGGAGATTGGTTGAGATGGAAGACGGTAGTAGTGCGATACCGTTCTTATACGAAGAACTGCTCGAACGGAGCTCCAGTCAGGAAGCAAACGACCCCGCATGAGATCACTCTGTAGCTATCACAGCCCACGGACACGGAAACGATCTCAGAATGGTTAAAAACGCGCGGTCTTCAGTAGGCCCAATGGAAGCATCCACATCAAAAAAAAAAACCATTTTGCGATAAGACAAGGCAGAATGATCTCATTGGAAGCTGAGGCCGGGGGAGCTGATAGTGCCGCATTGGGAAGGTGTTCGCGACGCTCTCTAAGAGCACGAGGGGCTTTTACTGCCTGTTCGGGCTTAGCTTTCTTTCCAGAAGAAGTATCAAGAATGGCCAGACAGGCTCATCTTTTTCTTTTTCTTTTTTTGGTGACTGTAGATAGACTATAAAATAAGCATGATGATAATCTCCGAATGTTGGACAATGGCATTCATGCAGCAGAGATTGGAATTCTTCAAGGTTCCCCCTGGTCATGCTGGGCCGGACTGGAATCAGGAATGTGGGAGCATTATGATTAATCAGCCCAGAACATCCCAACGGTTTGGAATAATAACTATTATCTCCAAGGATTATCTTATCATCTTAACCGCCAGTAAATGTCTATACTGATTATTCAACAGTCGCTGAGATGGATATATCAAGCTGACACGCTGATTGGTGGGGGCTCTCGCGGATTGACATGTGATAATGCCTTCGTTCCTAAATTGTCCGCCGAGTCTTCAAATTTGTTTCAAGACACAAGCATGTTTTCTGACGTGCAACCTGACAATGTCTGTTAACAACTGGGACTGCTCTCTACGTCTTTACTTACGCTGTCCACAGTATGCTCCCCACCGCTCTTCGACGACGCCTAGATCGCTTAAATAATCTCCAGTCGACTTTCCTCGCTCCGCTGGAGCAAGTCGACTCAAACCAATACTCCAGCCAGGGACTCACTTGCACTCCTGAACTGGACTTCGGTCATGATATATCTAGAGGCACTTCGTCGCGACCGACGTCTGCAGGCAGTAAAGGATCAACGGTATCTGTCTCAGTCAATGCTTCCGGCACTTCAACACCCGAGTTGGATACCTTGACAACCTACGAGAGTGACTCCGGTCTTCGATGGAATAGAGTGGTACCTGGTATATTTATTCCTACTCGCACACTCGTTCCCAATGTTGACATTTCTTTGGTGTAGCATTCTCATTGCTCCGAAATGCTGGTTTCGAGGCTCAGCAGCCAAACTCGGACGCTCGCCTCGTCCGGAGTTTGTTTATCGACGGCGTAGGCTACCTTCTTGAAGCACTACCTTCAGATTTGACTGACGACGAGGCGCGTTCGATCCGCGATCGACTTCCGGATCCTTTAAGAGCGCAAGTTGAGAAAATTCCTGCCTCGCCCTCACAGAATAATCCCGTCCCGCCGTCCTATTTACACCGTGTAATCGCAACTTTGATTGTGTATGGATTTATATTTGCACAACTCATTCTCCCGTATGTAAAAGTGCTACTGAATTCCATATATACATACGAGCGGAAATATCGTGTCACCGAGAGAATTCTCGCTGCTGCATTGGAAAGTGCGGATGGGGTAGGAAAAGGCGCTGGTAATATCGGCTCGATGCTGATGACATTGAGTGAGGGGAGACTATTCACGGGATTGTGTACCTTAACGGCGTGGACTATTGAATCTGTTGCTGGCGGTGTATACGATGGAGTCAACGAGGGACTTGTTGTCTTAGGCGCGACTCATCGGGGGTCCGAAATAGTGCAGCAGAAGCCTTCGTAGACGTTATTGTAGAAGTAATGATTAATGATATTAATAGAAGCTGGTCTCGCATGAAGCCTCTTGTGAACAAACCGATCGTCCCATGAAGATAGAAAGCTGGAGTCAAGTTGATAGTTAACTAGTTAAGTGGGGAATTGCTTAGTCAGGTACAGCTTCAACCCGCCTGATTGGCTCATATACTTGATATTCCCCAGGCCCAACTGTCAACATTCAACAAGCAGATTGTCGAACTCGAGCTTCACGTTCCCACACATTCTAAATATGGCGTCTTCAAGATTGCCGAATATACCTTCCCTGCGGAAACAACAATTGTTCTTGGAATTGTGAGGTCCTTAAGATGATCATTTGTCAACGTGGAAGCTAACAATTTATACAGTCGGAGTCTTAAACATGCACCGCCTGCTGGAGTTTACGTGAGCATCACCAATCCTACAGACCCAACCCATTGGTCTGGAGTTATATTCATCCGCAAAGGTAACGGCTCCTGTTCCCTTATCACAGACTCGTGGTTTATCTGACTGTCAATTTCTAGGACCCTATGCTTCGGCGATCCTCCGTTTCAACATCAAATTCCCGCCCACTTATCCTGAATTACCACCACTCATCACATTCACGACCGACATATTCCACCCGCTAATTGTTCCTTTGACCACATACACATTTACCACTGGCTCGTCAAATGAAGCCCCAGTTAGCGCGACGGACGAGGAGCGCCTGTCTCCTGGAGCGTTCAGCTTACGGCATGGCTTTCCTCATTGGTTTGGAAGAGCTCGACGAACTGCAAATAATTCCGCGGCTGGGTCTCGCAATGTCAGTGGAGGTAGCATACCCCCTGCCACCGTAACGGATCAAGAGGCAAATGAGCAGACCCAACCTGATGCAGGGAGTAGCTCCCCTGCACCAGGTAATTCAATTCCACAAGAAGGAGCTGAGCCCACTGCCGAGTCGTCGCTGCAAGAGACGCCAAAAGCTCCAGAGAACAACCCTCACATCTCCAAAGCCCCTACAGCCAATCCATTTGAGAAGAAAGATGAAACAGTCCATGTAGTAACATTGCTAGACTATATCCGCTCAACGTTTGATGACGAGGCTGTACTTGATTCTCTCCCGCTTGACGCAGCCGGAAATCCGGGTGCATGGCATGCGTGGAAAGCACATCGTTCGGGCCCAGGTACACCAAATAAAAGAGGAACTCCGCAAACGCGTCTTCCTGGCGAGTGGAATTGGGAGGGTGTATGGGCAAAGCGGGTTCAGAGTGGGATACAGGCAAGTCAATCGGATGCTGCATTATTTGCCAGCACTCCTCGAGCGGAAACAGATTCTGTAAGTGGATTCAACCAAATTCCCTGGTAAAATTGTATCGGCTGATGGTCGCTCAGATACGATTCTTGGATCTGGACCCTTCAGTCCTAAATAGCGTCAAAGAAAAGCTGATTGCGGGATTGAAAGAGAAAGAAAGCGAATAGTATATACTACTTTGTTGTTTTTGATACCCCTTTTTGTTGTTCTTGCTTCTTCCTGGTTCCTTCCTTGTCCGCGCCTTCCCCATCTGCACATTCCCCCAATTGTCCAAAATTTCCCCTGGACTAGACAGTCAACCCGTTCACTTTCTTCTTCGTATAATATCACGACTATCCTTCTACCTCCTCACTTTTGAACGAAATGCCCACAAACTCCCGCGGTGTGAAGAAGACCTTCTTTACTCTAGCCTTGATCCTAGTCCCTATTCTTCTCCTCTTTTTCGTGGTTGCAACTTCCATCGCTTGCTTGTTGTTCTGGGAGAGCCATAGACGAAGCAATCGCAATCACCGCTGGTGTCACTGGGCCATCTGGAATTGGATCAGGACCGAACCGAGTAATAGATCCAGCAATACTGACACGCCAAGGATCTCGGTATCGACGAAAGCTACCGATACGACTGAAAGTGGACTTGAGTTTCGTACTCCAGTGCATGGTCGAGAGCACGTGTAGGGCACTTCCAGTTTATATCATTTGTTTCGAACATATACTTGTCATTGATACTTGGAGCTACGATGGATCTGTACCCGGCACCCCTATTGGTTAACAAGAGGAAAAATCTGCCTGCGGTGAAGCTGGGCAACGACAGGCCGCAGAAGCCTTTGCTAAGCTTCGGCAGGAGTTCATCAGCACGAGAATCAACTCGAGCATCGTCTAGTGAATCAACTATTTTAGCATCGAACAATCCTCTACATACCGAATGGTCGAACCTGGATGTGGCAAAGGTCCGTCGAAGTAATACTTCAAAATCTCTCGGGCATCCGAACAGGAAAGCAGCCTCCAATGCAGCATATCCGGGAAAACATACTAGACAATTTTCTTCGACGAGCTCAACGTTCAAATCGGAAGCCAACTCTCAAACCCACCGAGCAAACAGGACCGCGTCGCAGTCTCACACACAAGGGAGGATGTCTCAGTTTTTTCATGCCTTAGACAAGAAACTTATCAAACCTTCGGCCCGTGGAATTTCGAAACGATTATCGAGCAACGTACAGTCTACACAAGTTGAGGACACGATGTATTCTTCCTTGAAGCATAATTTCGTTCCTCCATTGTCTATTGTGAATATGGATATGCATATAGACGAAACTCTGAGCGATTTCAAGAAAGATGAAATTTACGTCCATGTCACCGTCACAGTCGATGTGAATCTGGACAGCGTGCGGTACATACCATACAGTTTGGCCATCAGTGCTGTGATCCTGTTGAATATGACGTAAGTCAGGCTTGTCAATCAGACTATCGTCTTATGATCACGTCTTAACATCCTCTTAGATCTGATAGGGAGATGCTCAGAGTAACTGCTATGGCTCAGGAGATTATGGACAAATTGGACGAAAGAGACTCCCTTGTCGTGGCATGTGTGAATTTCGAGCGAATCGACTGCATCGACGTACTTTTTTCGACAAATGGAATCCGTGGTTTTGACCTCGCGCGCCTGCTCTCAGACTGTACATCAGCTGGAAAGCAGTTAATCAATGGGGCTCTCCGGGATGACGAGCTACTAGGAGTTGCCGTTGAGAATTCATTCCAACTGTTTGATGCGAGCAACTCTTTAGTACCTCATGTCTTTCTGATTTCAGCTAATCGCGATACTACAATGAGCACTACTTACAATCCCGCTGTGGGATTGACAACCGTTACTCTCGAAGACCACTACGATTTTGGTCCTACTCCGCGTCTTGGTTGGCATATTTATCCAGAGATGAATCTCGAAAAAAGTTCTTCCTTGGGTTTTGAACATAAGGCTGACAAAGCACTCTGCCACATTCGTACTGGCTTTTCGTCGGGGAGTATCACCGATCTCCATTTAAGGTTCTCACCCGCTGCTGGATATGAGACACAAATTTGTGGAAGAACATCTATAGCTTCATTACGTCCTGGGGAGACATGGAAACTTCTAGTTCATATCAGCCACTACGAGGAACAGGGTTTTAATAGCCTGGAGCGTGAGATTAAGTCAATGCTGCGTTATGGTGAATTCGCTGGCTTGAATTGTGATCGTGGCGGAGGTATCCTTGAGGCAACGCTACGATTCAACCACTCGCTACACCCGAGCTGCTCGTTGAAGATGGTCAAGTCTTGCTCTATTGTACGTGCATAAGCAAGATTGCTCCCTGTTATGGATTGATCGTATGGCGTTCAGGTGCCTTACGTCCAGTTGGTATGCTTCTCTGTTGGGACTCACCTATCCTTTGAAAAGTATACATAGTATACATTTGAATAAGTTTGCTTCCTAAGACCGAACAGTTGACGATACTTTTGAGACGTCACGAGGTCGATTGCTCAATGCGTCAATTAACTTTGTATATATATATGATTGCCCAGCATGTTAAAACACTATTCAGAATGTCATGCTCATATATGCCTTATAGCTGATCATTAGTTGTATGATAAGATCTCTTCATCCTCATCTTCTCCCAAAGCGGCTCGCCATCATCATCAAACTCAGCCCACTGAAAAAACGAACACCCTTTACTACCGGGCGCATACCCTGCATAACACATCCACATATACCTCCCTCTAGAGCTCTGTTTACGTTGCACGCATCGTAATATCGTCGGCATATTGCATCGACATCGAGGGATATTGCGGGGATGTAATGATTCGCGATACCATCGATACGTAATATTGATTCGTTTATTTCCTGATACTGGATGAGGAGAGATATTGGACACTGCAGGGATGGAATGTTTCCATTCTTCTTGCATTTCGGCGTGCATTATTAGGAGGGAGTTATGGGGGAGATGGATTGAGATTTGTCCCTGGGCATCGGCTATTTTGTCTGGTAGGCGGGTCTTCTTTACGGAGTCCTCATCTTGCTGTTGTTTGTTGTCATCATCGCCAGCGCCATCTCGCGCAGCAACTTTTCTAACGCGAAACTCTCTTGCTACCCCAAGGCTTAAACTCCCAATGATAGCCCTAGGCCCTAAATACGTCTGCTGGTCTGAATGATACCCAACACTCTCCTGCGGCCCATCATAGCAATTCACAAGCGCCACATTCGGTACCCATTCCCTTGGTGATTGATATCTTAATTTCTTCCCGTCGGGGTAATGTGTTTGAATGCGTCGCTGGACTTGTTCATTGACTACTTTCTGCACTTTGTCGGATACAACTTTCATTCGAGGCGAGAGTTTGCGTACGTCTGTTTGATAGGTGCCATTATAGACGTATTGTTCAGTTTGTTGTCTCAGTTCGTAGTCTGAAGAAACGTACAGTTTGCTCGTATGTGGACTTTGTACAATTTTATCGAAGAGTTGGAAGGTGTCTGAATGGAAGGTTTTGGCTTCGTCGAGAAGCTCGGTCAGGAGTTCGTTTGCTTCTTCCGGACCCAGGAAGTTGTGGATTATAGAGCAAGGGGTGTGTCTAGCAATATCCTCCGGGGAGTATAAATGAAGCGTCTTGCCTCGCTTTGTTAATGGTTTGGACCAGCCTGATGATGATGAGACTATAGCTTGATCTGGTGCGGCCGATTGAAATGAAGATAGCAGGGAAGATTGCATGCCAGCTATAGAGTTCAAGTTGTTATGTGAACGGGGAGAAGATGCATCTTCCCTCTTTGAATCGCGTCGTGCTTCGAGGCATGCAGATGCCGCCTCGACACAGCCTTCGTATGAAACGAGAACATCAAGCAGGATGGATTCATCTATATCCGGGAACAGAGATATCAGTCGAGCAAGCTTCACATCTGTGGGCTCGTCATCGTATTCCGCTTTGTCATCCGATTTATTCTGAGTTGCTGGCTGGACTGTCTCATGTTCAAGACTTTTCTTTTGAAGATCGAAATCTGCGTAGGAGTCGAAGAATAGTTTTCGACGCTTCCGTGGTAGCTTGTCAGTCATTATGATAGTTAGGACTGCATCATGTAGTTGATACTGTTGATATTCAAAATTATCGTGCCCTCGTTGATGCCTAGTTAAGTAGTCCTGCTTACTAATGATAATTACGTAATGACAGTAGATGGCAGAATCAATCACCGCCCGGCGTTTACCTCGGTGTGAGCAGCGGCTGCGGGTCGGCATCACATTCAACTTCCAAAGCTCTGGGCAAGCAGTCTCGACAAGCTCATTGCTGCAGTGTTTCGAGACTCGGACTTGCCCCCATTATGACGTGAAACTTTTAGATTTTCAGTACTTGCGAACGTCGTCAAATGCCCCAACTCGAATTGTCGCCCACCTAGACATTTCAGTTCGGCCGGCATCATGCTTCATTACCGCACCGAAGGCTTCAATGGGTCTGCCGTTAAATACTCCCCTTTCTTCGACAATCGACTCGGTGTCAGCGCATCGGCAAATTTTGGGCTGGTTGGAAACGGTCGTCTATACATCCTTGAATTAACTCCAAACGGCGTTGTGCCTGCAAAATTGTGAGTTCGCTCAGAGAAGCTTTTCCCCCTCCACGCGGGCGGCTCTACATACCCCGCGTCTCCGCAAATTGATCAATATTGATGGCCTATCTAGTTACACCACACAAGACGCCCTATATGACCTAGCCTGGTCCGAAGTTCACGAAAACCAAGTCCTTGTAGCCTCCGGAGACGGAAGCATCAAATTATTCGACAGCTCCGTAAACGATTTCCCTGTACAAGCATGGAAAGAACACAACCGAGAAGTCTTCTCCGTACATTGGAACCTCGTGGCCAAGGAGAACTTCTGTTCAAGTAGTTGGGATGGCACGGTCAAAGTATGGTCACCACAAAGACCACAATCCCTTCTTACCCTACCGACGCATAGTTGCACGTACTCGGCCGCATTTTCCCCTCATTCCCCGGATATTTTGTCATGTGTGACTTCGGATTCACATATTCGCATCTTTGATCTTCGCACTCCTGCCTCCGCTTCGAATCATTTAACCATGCAAATTCCGATACACGGCGGTCCCGTACCTAATCAAGTCGGCATGCCGCCACAAGGTGCTGGCGCTGCTGCTCCTCCATCCGAATGCCTAACACACGACTGGAATAAATATCGCTCTTCTGTTATCGCTACCGCCGGTGTGGATCGTGTAGTTCGCACATTCGATATTCGAGCACCACAACATGGTCCCATGGCCGTTATGCCGGGTCACGGCTATGCAGTCCGCAAATTAGCATGGTCTCCTCATCTTTCCAGTCTTCTTCTCACAGCTAGCTACGATATGACGTGCAGAGTATGGAATGATCGTGGAGATGCACAGGCGGATGTGGACCCTATGCGTATGGGACCTACAGGTCCTATTCTAGGTGAAGAGTTGGGCTGTATGAGTCAACATACGGAGTTTGTGACTGGTGTGGATTGGTGCTTGTTTGGTGCCGAAGGTTGGTGTGCTACAGTCGGTTGGGATGAAAGTTTATACGTTTGGGATGTCAGGGCTATTATGAAGCAATAGACAGTTTTGCTGGTTTGAATATACAAAAGGCGTTGGGTTTGATAGGGAGATTTATTTTATTCTTGTGTATATCATTTATGCATTGCCATTATTCAACATTCAAGTGTCATTTCTTCTTTAAACCATCATTGAACTTCAATCTCGAAGCTGCATAACTTTGGTCAAATGGGAGAATAGATCACTTCCCAGCCAATCTAGCTTCAACCTTCCTCCTCTCCGCCTCCCTCACAACCGCAATTTCCTCGCGACTCGCATCAAAAGCAACATTGACCTTATTAAACGGATTCTCATCACTCTTCTCAAACTCCTTCTTGCAAATCTCCACACGCTGCTGTTTCCTCAAACCGGGATGCTCCGCCTCAATCTCCGGTAATCGTCTGGCCTCAAACGCCGCATAAGCAGCCTTGAATCTCCGCTCTGGATGTCGATCAATCTTCGCATTCCCAGATTCCGTGAGCTCGAGCGCATCGAGCGCATTCTCGATACCAGAGGCGTTCAAAGTAGCTGCTTTTCGGCTGGAAGGTAGGTTATCGTCGAGTTGGGAGAGATCGAGACCTCGGGATTTCTTCTGTGCGGTTTTTGCGCCTGCGCCTTTGGCCTTGGAGGGTTGGGAGGCTTCTTCTTCAGCTAGCATGGCATCACGCTCGGCCTTTTTGCGGGCTGCTTCGGCTTTTTTGGCTTCGGCTGCTTCTCTATGTCACCAATAAGTTAGAGATTTTGAATTCTGTAAATGTTTCTTCGGTATGTAAAGATCTTACTTCTTAGCATTACCACCCTTTCCTCCTTGTGACCATTGGGCATCTTCTTCGGCAGCCCGTTTGGCATCTGCGGCAGCCTGCTTTTGAGCAGCGGCTTCTGCTTTCTATTTTGATAGAATTTCAGTTAACAGTCAGTTAATAAAAATAGCTATGTCCCCTCTTGAAGCCGACTACATCGTCATCGACTGATTGTGGGAACCTGAAATGTGCACTGCGGGGGAGGGGAGGATTCTCGATAACTCACTCTGGCGTTGCCAGCAGCCTTTTTGCTATTTTCACCACCTGCTCTCTTTGGCATGTTCAGTAGATATATAAGTTGATATAGTAGATAATGAGTGAAATGGAAGCTAGCTCTGCTTGAGGTATGAATGTTTGTATGGTTGACTTGTGGAAGTTAAAATAAGGAAATCTATCCTTCTTTCTGGGTGGAAAATCATGGTCAGACTCAGATTGATAGTAACTAGATATGAAAGCTTTCTATGCAGCAATTAAGTATGCGATAGCAATAGAAAGATTAGAACAAGAAACTGAATCTAAACCTTAATTAACACAGTAAAAAATAAAATAATCTATCTCTTAATTGCCTCTTTTTCCTTTTCCCTTTCTAGGTAGATCTCGCTATAGCCGCCGAAGATAGGACACTGTACACTTGGAGAAGATAATCTTTAAGATCATCTATAGGCAAACATTCTAATAAGGGAACCCCTAACAGACTACCAGCAGCAACCGAGGACTTTATATGCGTTATAAGGATAAATATATGGGCTATCGCGAGTTCATGCCGAATCTGTGAGAAAGATTATGTAATTAGCGCACTAGTGCCCTAGTTATAGGGTTAGTCCCTCCGGGCGTAATAAACATCATTCATTCATTCATTCATATCCTTCTATACTTTCTGGAATGGTCGTGTTGGACGTGGTAAGTTCGCAAATCTCGCATTTCTCCTTGAATCCTTCTTCATTTCTGCCTAACGCCCTTGATGAAGTAACAATTGCACCCTTTGTTGCTTCCTGAAGTTTCTCAATGGCTTGTTCCGAAATATGTCCAAATCGCTTGTGCCATACATTCCAAGGGTCCTTCAATACTTTTCTCTCGAAAGAACTAAGTGCTAAATCGTTTCCTAGAGAACTCCTAGGTTTCCGGTTGTTGTCCCATTCAATCAGATAAAGCCTTCCTTCCTTCTTCAGTCCACAAACATCTTGTTTCTTTGTCACCAGTCGTCGGGTCAAACCACTGAAGAAAAGTCCATATTCCTCGGCCATTCCTTGCGAGATAATGTTAGTATGCATTCCTGGAACGTACCATGCTTCCTTCACAAATATCCTTTTCTTTGCCTGTCTGCTGATCGGGTCGGTAGGATAGAATTGATTGATGTCATACATTGCGACGGCGAATCAGCAATCAATGGAAATGACTTCAAAGATGGGTGCAAGTTAATTCGGTGGACGCTTTCGCGCTCTGTGGGCAAAGATCGATCAATTGGGCAAAGTCTATGTCGTTAATAATGAGTTGCATCCTGAGCAGATTCCAGCAACTTTGAAAGAGTTCATGATGCTCGATCTCAATCCAGCAGTCGCTGCTCAATATCTCAATCACGCGATGATTAAGCCCTTGTGTGTCGCCAAGGTGATCAACTTTTTATCTGTGTGAGAAGATGCTCAAGTTCACCGAAATTGTTAAGAACCTCAGTCCCAGTATCGACGGGGAGATTCTCAGTGCGAAAAGAAGAATGTGTCTGGGTACGTCTCATCCTCTTGCTGTCTCATCCAAACTAGTGAGTTACTAACACATTGAAACGTGGATAGCTCCCAACAATGTCAGACATTGCCTTCTTACGAAAGTTGCCGACCAACTGGCCCTCGCACGACAGAAGCCAAATTTCGCGGAATACTGCTCTATCAGTCGGGAGACTCATACTGACGAATTGATGTCAATGCTGGAACCTTTGGTAAATTCTACGGGAAACAATGGCCTGCGAGAAGCGCTCATGGATATCGTCTTGGACGCGCAGAAAATTGGAATCGATCTTTTCTCTTGCCCCTATGACACCAGATTCCACTTTCCCGAACTTCACGAGTCGTATGATCCTACGGTCATGGTGAATCTTGATCCTGCACTGGCCGTCAATATCGTGCGTGCAGGAGTCAGCCTGTCTATTACGCCGTACATACGACTAGGACTGACTATGAGCCTGTGCGTTATCAGAATGTCTGCAATGCGAGAGTCTTCACTGGGCTTCCTGGCGAAGAAGCGAGTGCGAATCGCACTCCCGGACGCCCCCCATGATGTTCTTGGTTTTTCTGATCTGCTTTCGGTACACTATGTGGACATTCCTTTTCTTCTTTCTGAGATAAATGGTTTTGTGGTTTTGTCACGTTTTCTGGTGGGATTTTCGGAGGAGGTCTTTCGTGGGGTTGTGCTTCAAGGATTCGAGGGTTGGGGAGGTTGTTTCAGAGAAGAAAAGAATGGATTTTTTGATTTGCATTCGAAGTTCATGCTGTGGCATGTGCCGATTGATCAAGACCAAAAGCAGATATAAATAGGAACTAGATAGATAGCAAAACAAGAAAAAGCAATCATGATCGATACATAACCTAAGAGAACTTGAAGCAGCCCTGGAGCTGAAGAAGCCTTACTTAGATTGTAGTCACTGACGACATCTTTAGGTATATACTAACTACTACTACCTCAAATTGTTCCAAGGTTGTCCGTATCATGCTCATGCCACTTAAATATGTGAATTATTCTGTTTTGAGTATGCATGACAAATGAGTCACTGGTATAAATGGAAATTTTATATGAAGGCTGCTTTGATGATTACTTTCAAAGTAGTGCTATCTGTAGTAAGCTCATCAGTTGTAAGTCTGATACAGCTTCCTGAACTCCGAGTCCCTTGAAAGCAACACGTCTGGCCTATCCACCTCCAAAAGTTCCCCGTGCCGTAGAAGGGCCACCATGTCGAATCGATCGATGTATCGAAATCGATGGATAACCGCTATGATTGTCTGCTGGGATAACTCTTTCTCGATAATGGACTGCATTAGAGACTCCGTGTCCCAGTCAACACTTTCAAGATGTCAGATTTGGTCCTTTAACAAATTCCAAAAGCCATTGGTCATACCTGCTGGTCGCCTCATCCAAAACCAAAATCGGGGCCTTGACAACAAGTGCCCGGGCCAGTGAAAGCAATTGTCTTTGTCCCACGGACCAGTTTGAATCAGAGAAAGTCATGTCTAGGCCACCCTTTGGGCTGATTTGACTCCAGAGTCCAACCTTCTCAACTGCGGAAATCAAACTTTCATCAGAAACCCGCTGGTGAGGATCAAGATTGAATCTTAGAGTTCCCAGCAGGAAGAATGGCTCTTGGGAGATAACGTTGATAGTGGAGTGGATGGCACTTTGTTCCATTTTGTTAATGTCTTGTCCATTGATTGTGACGTGTCCGGAGTAGATTTCAAGCATTTGAAACATTGCCATTAGCAGAGATGTTTTCCCGCTACCCGATGCGCCACAGATTGCTATCTTTTTCCCGGGTTTAATTGTTAGGGTAAGATTTTTGATGATTGGGTTTGTGGCGAGACTGGAACAGCGGGTTAGATACTCAAAGTGAAGAGGAAACAGTTGGTGGATACGCACTCATACCCAGCAGTCACATTGTGGAAATTCACCGCACCCCTCGAAGGCCAGTCAGGCGGAGGAGAAGACGCATTGCGTCTACTCGAGGGAGTATCTTCAATAAAACGTTGAATGCGTGTTACAGCACCAACGGAGGTTTCGGTCATGGTCCACATCTTGATGGCCTGAGTCAAGGTCTGATTGAGTGTCAGAAGGAGAGTCAAAGCAACACCAATTGGCGCTGAGTTGAATTGATCCTTCAAGGAGGTAATTATTATGCTTAGAAGGGCTGCTATCATCCCTACTATCAAGTCCAAGACGAGCGTTAGCCACTGTTGTATGCAAAACAGCATGTACATTGGTCGTTGGGATCGATTCAATAGGAATTGGCTTTTGTTGCAGAACTGCTCATCCCAACTAAAGGCGCGGATGCTTGAGATGCCGTGTACTGTTTCAAGAAAATGGGCGTAGAGCGGTGCCTTGGCCTCAATGTCCAGCAGTCGGACCTGTCGAGAGGTACGCAGGTAATATGACTGGAGGAAGTATAGGACCAATCCGAGCAATGGGATCGAGGCTCCCAGATACTTTCCCAGAGCGCAGATGATAATCGTGTTGATGAGAACGGTCAGGAGACTCATGACAAAATTGACGGCATATATAGGTAGCATCATGTCGATTAGTTCTAAATCCTGACTGAACCTGTTGATCATCGATCCTGTGTCTATACCCTGGAAGGAACTGACTGGTGCTCTAATGTAGTGTTAGTCTAGAGGATCTAAAAATTAGGACATATCACATACCCCAAAGCGGACCTAAGGAGATCAGAATGTAGATTTGGTGATGTTTTATTGAGGATCCGTACAAATAGTAGCCTATGAAGCTCTCATTAGTCAAGTTCAATTCCTCAGTGTAAAGAAATACGTACCAGCAACCCGCTACAATAGCCAGCAAGGTCAGTCCGAAGATCATGGCGTACACACCCAGGTACATCCCTAGTTGTTGATTCGGTTGTTCTTCATTCGCCTCCACCCACCATTGCATCCATAGTGCTAGATGAGGGTATTAGTTGTCAATCAACTTTTGAGGTTAGGGTAACTGACTCTGAAAACTGGTACAAAAAGCCTCGATTGTTGCAAAAGCTAAAAAGAAGAGTAGTAGGGTGTATCCTGCGCTATCAAAGTAGTACCCATACACAGACCAGGAGCCTTGTTGTCGACTATGGTCATCTTTTTTATTATCTGTTGGTTCGATTTCATCAATGTGAGCATTTCTTTCATTTGATGTCAAAGAGAGCTCTGACGGTCCCCCGTGTTGAAAACTATCTTCTCCATCTGTCTGAAGTTTCAAGGCAATCTCCGGCTTTTGTATGATGATTTCGTCGTATGACCCCATGGCAGCAACTTCCCCTTGATCCAGGACGATGATCCCATCTGCATAGGGAAGCATCTGATCTAAGCAATCTCATTAGACCCCTGCCTGCAGTCTCTACGGGTTGAATACTTACATGTAGTCGTGGCAAGAACAACTGATCTTCCAGCCTTTCTGAAATAGCCATCCTTACTAAAAAGATGGTTTGAAATCACAGAGATGCTGTTCGAGTCCAACACGCTGAAGCAATTATCTAACAGCACAACTTCGAGTTTAGAATAGACTGCACGGGCAAGTGCCTAGCACTATATTAGAGGTTTTGCATATAAAAAATAGCAACCAAGATACTTACAATAGTTTGCTTCTGTCCTCCACTGAGTGAATCGCCATCACTTCCCGCCATGCGCATATCGCCTTCTGGCATAGCCTTGAAATCCTGTTCGATCCCGCAGGATAAGGCTGTGAAATCATACCACTCCTTATCAAATTCCGAGGTGCCAATAATGTTCCTTCGGATTGTATCATTCTGTATCCACGGAGACTGAGGACAATATGCAGCTTTTGAAAAGGAGGCTGTTATTGTACCTCCGGTTACCATACTTTGATTGATCATGCTCTCTATCAATGTTGATTTCCCGCACCCGACGGGCCCAATGATCATGACGATTCCCCTGCGGACACTGAGATTCAGGTTCCGGAGTGTGGGATCTAGTCTCGAAGACCATGATATTTCTGCACTCTTGAACGAGACTAATGGAGTGTCGAACGATTTCGAAATTTCGAATGGTTGTTCCTTGTCTTCCTTTAGAGTATCCACGGATGCTTGGGTCGATGGTCTGAGTAGTATTGTAGAATTATCCATACAGTATTTCTCGATGCGACTAAAACATGCGGCGGCTTGCAAGTTAGCAGGCATAGCCTGACAGAAGATGAGAAGCGGATTGGTAAGAATCGAAATCAAAGCCAGAGTGGTAATCGCCGTGCCTGAGAGAATTGATCCATTATGTTTCAAAACTGCTATAATGGCGTAAATGGTGAATGTGGCACAGGGAGCAAAGGTTGCAGGAACATTAGCTACACTGATGTTAGCTTTCGATGGCATACACTATGGCATACAATTGCGAATCTCCTTACACAGAGCAATTTGCCATATAAGCAGCTTTCGGAATCGGACCGAAGTTTTAACCTCGACTTGCCGCAACCGTGAAACCATTTTGAACAGAATGTCATCGAGTCCAAGCATCTGTACGGTCTTCATTTTGCCTAACATGCTTGAGGTCACTGTTAATCGTTCCTGTACACGCTCAATCCATTGCTTTTGGGCTTGCCCGGACCTGGTTGACACTGGTACCATTGCTAACACAGACCCTAAACGAAAGATTAGCGGTTACTGAAAGGATAAAGTAGACGAACTTGACTCCAAGGCCGAGTTACCTAGTGAGATAATGAGTGGAATAATGCAAGCAATCCAGACCTCACGCTCTAACAGCCAGATTGCAACTCCAACTTCCAAGATTGAAGCCCATGTCTCATGGAGGTTTCTCAAGTTCGGCACAATCCGTTCCACATCAGTGCCCATCAAGGTAATCGCCTCTGAATCTTTTAGCGCAGCCGCAGTCATGCCAACTGTTTGTTTGTATATCATGGATATAAGACCAGACCGTATCATGGTAAGAAGGCGGAGTATCTGGCGCCAATATACTGCTTTTGAGACCTTCTCATAAGTCAGTCCGGCAAGAGCATGAGCGGTTGAATGGGTATGTACGTACTGCTAAGCCTACATATACCACGATATATGCACCGATGAGCGCTTTTCCAGTCATTTTCGATTGTGGCGTTGAAGGACTCCCAATGTAGTCTATGGTAGCGGTGATGAGGAAAGGCTGTGCAAATGTGAATACGCTTAGAGCAAGACGTGGGATGACTGCTGACAAGAAAGCCCATCGGTAAGCATAAAATGTGGCTTTTATTAACTGATGACGGCAATTGTAGTTTGGCTGTAGACATTTCCAGGCTGATTGGAGCTTTTCACCACACTCTTGTCCTTGGAGACGTGTGTCAATTTCCTCTATGTCCTCCACTCGGATGACATTGGAATAGCCTCGCTGCAAGAATGGCAAGATCCATATGAAGAAGCTTCGGTTCAAAAAACCACAAGTTTGCTCCTTAGGAGTCTTCTGGTAATGCGGTTTCAAGATCTTGGTTTTCGGAGTTGATTCCACGATGAGAGCGAGCACTGTCACGATGAAAATTGATAGCCAAAGATATCGACACACACCGACCGATGCTGATGGAATAATCCAAAGTGATCGTAATCGAGGTAAGCTACAAAGACTGGACGCTAAGAAATAAAGAGTAAGAAGATCTGATGATCTCAAGGAACGCTGGTCTTCTAGAAGGGAGACGCATGCTGCTGTGAATGTTGCAACAATGTTGAGCGTCGCTGACGGTAATGAGGCATGGGTGTTAAGGGCTGATGTGTGGACTTGAAATATGGTAAACACGAGATGAAGCACGAATAGTACCGTAATAGCAGACTATTTGACATCAGCTTCGAAGTGGAGTAAACGTTTTAAGGGGTTCAAAGGTTCATACCAATTTCGGGATGGCAAGTCTGTGGGAATCTACTTTAACAGACCGAGTCCGCAGGGAATAAAGTCACGGTGGGAGAAGCAAGAGGAACACAGCAGGTGGAAGACAGACAAAGAATATATCTTCGAATAAGAGAGTGAAATCAAAAGGACGGCAATAGATACTAATCTGCGGCCCCAATTGATTGTCAGACCCTAATGGGCAGCCGAAGGATGTATCAGCAGCCATGTACCTAGGTAGATGTAGATGACTCTGGAATTGAGAGGATTCAGGCAGTGAGACGTGCGCAGATTATTTATTTTCGAATTTATAATCTGTCTTGCAGTGCTATATCCAAATCCATCTTGCATTAGATTGGAGTAAATTCATAATTTCCCGATACGGCAAAATTTGCTCTCCAACTCCGTAAATTCCATGATAAGCAAGATGAACCCCGAAATTAGATTCTTCTATCTAATAATTTGATTTAATACAACTGATTCCTGAAGAATCTCGAAAATCGACCGAATTTCTGCTTCTCGGCTGCAACGTGCAAAATTTGATTGGTCTCAAGACTAGCAGTACGCACAAGAAAAACCAGCCATAAACATGGCGAACGCAAATGAAGAAACTTCGTTATTGAGTACAGCCACAGACAGCAGACTCCCTGAAGAAGAATCTGTATCGCAGCGCACATCTTATTACTCGATCGAGAATCGCCGTATGCTGTATACAATTGCGTCCCTCTGCGTCGTCCTTTTGATCTTCGATCTATCTAACTACATAGCAGTAGTGCCACAGACAGCTATCTATGAAGAAATTGTTTGTCGTGGTTATTATTCCTCGGAAAAATTGGCACTGGGAAATCCCAGCGGTGATAAATGCAAAGTCGAACCGATCCAGAGCGAGGTGGCTCTAATCAGTGGCTGGAGGGACACATTTGACACCATCCCAGGTACGGAGTATAAATGGCAGTGTCAATGGTCTGGTGGATTTACTGATTTTTACCATTCTCAGCCCTCTTGATGACAAAATTGGTCGCAAGAAAACGGCCCTCCTTGGAGCGGTTGGCTGTTTGCTCAGCGATGTCTGGGTGAGAATTGTGTGTATGCATAACGATATTTCCTCAAATACGCTTTCAATATTATAGAGAAGTCTGACATATCTTACATGCTAGGCTTGTTCCCACATATCCTTCCTCTCCGCTTTATGTGGTTCTCAGGAGCTTTTCAACTCATTGGGGGAGGTGCTACAAGCGTGGCGTCCATGATTTATGTGATGGCAGTGGATGTGTGTCCTCCTGAGCATAGGTAGCTTACAGACCGGGTGGTAAAAAGACTATAAACACTAACAGATTACAGGACGACAGCCTTCTCGCAAATTACTGCAGCTGCTTTAATATCAGAATTTCTCTCTGTCCAACTCAGCGCATGGTTGATGTCAATAAGTCCCTGGATCCCGTACCTAGGATCATCTTCAATATTTACGATTGGACTAATATCGCTTATCGTCCTGATTCCCGAGACATACATCCCGAAAAGCGAGTCTTTGATAGTAGACACGAGTACTGAAGAGGAGAATTTGACTTCTGCACTCGGTCGCCCCAGTTGGATAGTTCGATTAGCCTCTCGCATTGGCCAGCTGAAGAACATGCTGGGAGCAATTTTTATCTGGATGAGACGAAATGTTCCAGCCATGTTGATCATATCTTCCTTCTTCATTGCTAATATCGGAAAGCAAACATCAGTTATCTTACTACAATACATTACACAGAAATTTCACTGGACGTTTGCGCAGGTTAGTGAATCTAATAATCTATTGATACTGCAATATGGAAAAGATCTAATAGCATAATAAGGCGGCATTCGTTATATCTCTTCGAGCAGCTGGAAACTTGCTCGTCCTTACAATCTTACTTCCTACTCTATCAGAGTTCCTAGCTAGAAGGGCACACTTGGATCGAGCAGCAAAGGACAAACGCCTCTCTCAAATCAGCGTAGTCACAGTCATCTTAGGTTATCTTTTAATCTTTGTTGCCGACTCGCCTGTAGAACTCTCTGCCGAAGTCATCCTCTCTGCGCTCGTGTCCGCATTTACGGTAACCGCAAGAAGTACTCTGTCTAGCTTGGTTGATCAGAAATATCTAGCAACGGTATATATAGGTCTTTCCGTCATGGCTTATAGCGGTATAGTTGCTGGGGGGCCCTTGCTGGCCAGTTCCTTTCGCTGGGGGATGAAACTTGGAGGCTTCTGGATAGGATTGCCTTTCATTGTCGCTGCTGGTCTCTATGTGGTCATTCTTCTCGTGATATCAATGACCAGAATGTCATGAGATTCAGTAGTGCTTTGAGAGAGATCGATAATTAGACGAGAAACTACATATTTGAGGATAGCATTTGGGCAGAGAACTAAAGTAAGTCATATAAAGACAACGACGTCGGCATATGAAAGTGAATTAGTGATTGTGGTCATGGGTATTCGTTTGAGCGTCAGCATTAGCAGGCCAATGTGCTGCTAAATAATCATCAAAAACTTTCTGCTAGGTGTTAGTAACATCTTGTTTGGTCAACGAGTACGCTCGTAAAATAAAATCTTACCCTCTTGGTGCAGGTGTGACTTATTCCGAGTCCATCAATCGTGCCGTGACTGATACCATCACCTGTAGAGTACTCAATAGTCATGTCCATATTACAGAGGATAGCTTGGAACAGATATTCATGACAATGTTCAAGGTGTTTTAACTCGTGGACCTCTGGTATAACATCAGTTTCGTCGAGCTGGACACTGACAAGTGTACTTCGATTCTCGATCAGAACCCAAAACTCAAGGCGTAGCCTCCTCTATTGCCACACAGACTCTTATTAGCCTTCTTGTTGAAATCAATTGCACAAGAAAAAAAAAAGAGAGATAGAGAGATGCGGAGGTACTCACAAGGCAGTGGTATTGGTGAGCCCAGCTAAGTCCGTATTTATTATAGTGCCCATTGAGTGGAAGTCCAGGAGGAAGATTGTAGCCCTCAGGATCATCAATGACGACCCATCCAGCTCCCACAGGTAGAACGTTGTTCCAGACGTTATTGTTCCCATTAAGACCATGGAAAGTGATTTGCTCGAATTGCCCTTGTTTGTTGTCCAGTCAGCAATAACTACAGGAAAAGGAAATGAAATGAAAGGAGACAAGCTCACTAGGAGGGAAAGGACCGCCTCTTTCAATTGCCGTTCCTCTTTCTTTAACTCGAATGATGGTATATATTGGAATAAAAATGCCTGAAAGGAGTGCAGCAATGAGAAAAGATCCAATCAATGCACTGCGAAAGTTTCTGGTTATAAATCGTGGGGCCTTTTCAAAGCCTGCTGGGTGATCAATCTGATCGAAATCTTCGACTTCCATGTAATTGTGCCCTGCGATTCGTAGTTGTGCTTGATCGAATATCTCTGAGACGGAGGCCTTGAGCAAGCGGAATCCATGCCGAAGTTCCATAGTGTATGGTGTATGATTTCCAGAAGGAATCTAGCCTGGACGTTTAGAATGAGAAGTTCAAATCACTTGTCCTTAGAAGCCCCCTTTGTGAGTCTGCTCTGGATAGCTGGATCTGGACGAGTCAATAACACATACCGTGGTCATTTGCATTCAATTAGCCTCTGATTACGCTCTGATTACGCTCAACACGCCATGTGTAAGCACTAAGAGATCCGCAGAGTAAGCTGTGCATACTTGCGCCATTTCTCACAGCTTATCTGCAAACTCGGGCTCTCAGCCCAAATCCCTTGATCTAAGTGCTTGGAGAATTGAAAGGCTACGCTTAGAGGGAGATGTTTGGACAAAGCAAGTGATCTTCAAATACGGATTCCTATTCGCTCTACTCAATTCTTATGACCCTTATGCCCTTCTTCACTTTCGACTATCCTGGAATTCATCATGACAGGCACTTCCACAAGAGATTGATGAAACCTTAACGGATTCATCACCAATCGCCTACAATGCCTTGTATGAGCAACCCTGTCAAATCTCCTCTCCATCACAACCCCAGTATCTCTCATTCGGACGTACTTCTCCCAGTAGAACATGCAATGAACGATATGCCAATCTCTCAAGCCCCAAAGCTTCTTTCTCCATCCCCTAGCTCTCAACTTGCGATTTATCAATGGGAATTGTGCCATTTGCGTCGGCAAAGTACGGCCAGGTCCCGTTTGGACCTGGACCAAAAAGATCGAACTCTGCAGTCAACTCGTCATCGCGGCAGTGTGGGGGTAACCAGGCAGTAGCGAGGGAGTCGTATATGCAATTTTAGAAAGTGCTTCTTCGATGCTGCTGCCACAGTCACAGAGATTCAGCGTAGGCTCAAGTGTTTCGGGTCGGTATACGTCAGGCGTAGGTAGCGGCGGTCGGATTATGTGGTATATCTGTACGCTCATAGATATAAAGCCCCATAGTGCAAGAAATATGGTGATAACTCGCGTTGTTGCATTCAAATATCGCTTTTCGAGCTGTTTGCGTCGGTGTAAGGATGGTGCTTCAGAGCCTTGAAGAGATTCTTCGTCATCAAGATCATTTGAAGCGTCTGACTCCCATGTTGAGAGAAACGGCATTTTTGACAAATCCATTGGTAATGGAATTAAAGCATAGGCAAGAGAACGCGGCGAGAAGGTTCGTCGATTTACGGGAATTCTTTATGGATGAATGATGGGGAAACCGAGGACAGTTAAAGTCGTTCTGGGCTCGCAAGAGATGAAGCATGTAGGGAAGTTATGGCAAAGTAATCATGATCTCTAGCCTAATCTACGCTAAACTTTCTAATTATTCGTTCATGTAAATGAAAATTCTCGCGGCTTGTCTGAAATTCGTGACCGTTGCGAGCCATTAGCACGAGATGGGGGGTATGACCATTTGGAACCCTAATCAGCCAGCCCATCGAGTACATAGTACTACTACATATGCATGTTGTAAGCACTATAATTTAAGCACCATAAGTACTACGGTATAATACGGACCATAAGCACTATGAGCAACTCTGCATAATTCGCCTCCCCCTCTTTCTAGAAGAAATCATCCTACCAACCTGAAATCGTAGCTCGAAACGATGAACCATTAATGGATGTGTTATGCATATATCGGCATCTAACTATGCTTTACCAACTAGAACGAACAGTAATCTCATGGGCGCTTTGTTTTCTATATACTGATTGATTGGTAGCCTTGTTTAAGTGAAGTTGGCAGTTGTTACACATGGATGCGAGAACCAACGCCGGGAAAATAGACCGGTTGACCATAGATGAGGCTATTTCAATCGGAGTTATGTTGAGTACAAATAGATACAAATGTTTCCAAAGTTCTGCGAGTTGAATGTAACAGTCCCCTCAATTTGATAAGCTGTACAGCCCCTCATCCAGCGGATGGTCTGCAAGAGCTATTCCAATCGTATTCGGCTCCTCTCCAGTATAAGGATCTCCTAGATAGTAGATTAGCGTCTCAAGACTTCTAGCCACATACAAACAATTGACATAGTTCTCACCGTATATTGGATGCATAAGAAGCCCCGGCTCAAAGGCGTCGAACGAATGCTCTGCCATCCAATTTTCCAATGGTTCCCAACTGACACATTGATGATTTCCCTTATCAACAGCTAAAGGGGTTTTTTGGCTTGCGTACAATATTAGCAACAGCGCAAACCGACTTATTGCAGGATCTTACTTAGTTCCCCAATAGAACGGTATAAGTGTAGTATCGGCATTGCATTGTACATACTGCCTCAACCAATCGACGCAATGCTCTTAGATTATTATGTTAGATCAAGTCCTTGGAAATTTTTGTCCTCTTCTTCCTTCTCCCTGAACTCACCAGTGTGATATAAGAGTTTGGTAGAATCCAACTTTGTCATATTGGGGTAATAGAAGTCCTTGTAAAGATAGTGATGGAATCTTTTCACACAATGCAGACCATGGAAAACTGCAAAGGTGCCATAGGATCCAGAACCATCACCAAGCTTGACCACACCATCGTCATGAGAAAATGGCCCGAGTTCGTCTTTTGTCAGCCTAATATTCTGGTCTATAAAGGTATTAGTCAAATTTCCCTTTTGAATAATGGCTGGTCGGGCTGTACGTTGCATGATATTCTTCCAATCTTCAGCAAGTTCACGTGTCGGTTTCCCATTGAAATGGCCTGGTTTTTCTGGATTCAAGCTCCCATCGGGTTGATGTATAGGAATCAAATTGAATTGCTTCTCTTCGTACCTGATAACATCTCGTACCGGCGCTGTTGCGCATGTTAGCCTCTTTTCAAAAGGAAAAACGCTTTTGAAATTCGGGCCACTTATTGTCTTTGAATAGAAAGGTGTGAGAGTATCGGAACCGTACATAAGTGTAGAATGATATACATAAGGTCAGATTCAAGATGATTGTTAAAAGAACAATGCAAATCAGCCATCTATGACGCTTGAGCCAGGAACCATAGGTATAACGTAGCGCAAAACCGTCTTGAACATCTTCCTCTGTACATATCTTGTCAGAGAGCAGAGATTCTGCTGATAATCTATTTTCGGCGTCCAAAGCAGAGTATTTCTCCATGTTCGACACTCAGAAGATGGTAGATTCAACAGTGCACACTGGAAGCTGTTTTGAAGGGCAAAATCTTCTTTGTTCATTCAGCGAATTAGTCGTTTGGATGAATTTTAGGTCATTTCATGCTCAACCACGGATAATTGCATATTACCTTGGTAGGGAAGATAGTGTGGCGGTTGAGAGTATGATATGATGCCTACGCCGCATAAATATGTACCAATTAATAGTTGAGAAGTAAGCATGCATGCATGTTTACCAGGGCATTGAAATTGCTACCTTGTAAATTGAAAGTAAGCATGCATATTTACAGGGGTATGCATCAATAACTCAATAAATGTGCTTCGTGAGAAAAAATTCAGGCGTACATCAGTCAGTACTAATCGAGAGTCTATAGTGAAAACCTAAGGGCAAAACGAGTATCTAATATGCATAATACAACTGTCGAGATACAGGCAACAACTATATAAGTGCTTCACAATCTTCCGTATCCAACAAAATCCTTCCGAGGACATCAAATTTCCAAGCATTCCATCTCATGCTTCAGAATACTTCATATCTTTAACGATCATCTCGATTTCATTTCTCATCTCTTCAAGATGCATCTCTCCAAGACTATTTACCTCGCATGTATCTTAGCAATCGGAGCACAGGCTCTAGTCGCATCCCCTCGTTCAGAGGCTGACGACGCCTGGAGTATCAGCAGCAAACGCAACGAAACTGACGACGCTTGGAGCATTAGCAGCAAGCGCAACGAAGCTGATGAAGCTTGGAGCATCAGCAGCCGTGAGTACCATTCATCATAACAACATAACTTCATTCTTTTTGAGAAGGCACTGACATCAGGGTATAGGCAAATAGGTCTTTGGGCCATATTCAGCGTTTCTAGAATCGGCCAGCCTACCGCCTTATTGAATTAGCTGTACACAGGATTCAACGATCACAGGAATGCAAATTCCCTTGGACACTTTGAAGATGATCCATGGAGTGTGACCCTCATAGTTGCTAGTTTTAGCGTGTTCTTATCCGCGTATTCACGTTCTCTTTGCCCGTTAAGACATATGATGATCGCAGTCGTCGTCAAGGTTTTTAGGATTATCTCTTAGTTAGAAAATAACGCATTTCTACTTCCTTTTATATTAGTAACCCGGCACCTCCATGGTGACACTGAATTTCCGGCGTACATAGCTCACGTAATATAGAAGGGATTGAAATCGAGTAACGGTTACAAGTCTCTTGATGTCTTCAGTTCAACTCTCTTGCTTAATGCACCGTAGAATTTCTGATATATAGTGCAACCTCGTCATATCATAGCACTATCTTATCTTCTCTCTTTCCCTCAGGAGCGAGGTTCCCATCTGTCGGATTGGTGTGTTGACTCCAAGCTAATTCTGAGTAGTAGCTAACAGGGACAGTAAAAGAAGAATTGACTAGCAAGATTGTGTGTATTGAGTTGTCTGTGTGTCTGAATACATGAGGTTCCAAAGCTTGGTTTATATGGACATATTGGTGTGATGATTTGTGAGCCATCATGAGGGGTAAACATTAGGCTGAAATCTAGGTGCCCAAATATTTGCTCTAAGGTGACTAGTTGACATTCAAGATCAAATGGCTGATCTTTCCGCCTTGTTGGATATCCGGATTATCTGACACCATCGAGTCCATAAGGCTCATGTGAAATATAACCAGGGATCCTGACCCCAGCCAATATTCTCAAGCCAAGGCATGAGATCATCTTCACCTATATCTAGGTTTTCATTACCAAACCAGTTCTCAGGCCAGTCAGTACCTGAAGCAAGTGCAACTGACTCCAAGGAACCAACAGAAAGGACCTGATCCAGAACCTTGCAAATTATGCTCGCGCCTTGCTGAGCAACCTCATATATTCCCTCATGCGGTTCAATAAAGGATTTTAGATGTGAGACAAAGATGCTGAGCTTTTGGATCATCTGGGATCGTGAATGTATGGGTAGTTGTGTAGCGGTAGACTGTTTGTTGAGTAACTCGGTGGTTAAAATCCCTGCAGCAGGGAGACCCATGTAGCATAACTATTCAAACATATGTCAGGTTGCAGGAACTAACATATGTCATATGCAACTGAGGTGACCTTACATCCCAGGACACATCTTGCATAGACTTTGCAGATCTGGTTCGTAGTGTAGTAAGATTAAGCAGCGTGGAAATGATTTCGCAAGAAGTATCAATCAGTCCCTGTAATTTGATTTCTAGCCGCTTCAACACAATCCGATATAGTAAAAACTCTTGGTATGTGAATTCGAGGTGTGTTAGAGAACGACTTTCGTTAGCGAAATTCGACTCAGATTCACTTGGCGTCCAACGTAAAAAGAGAGGAAGGGCTTGTTGCATCTCGCGAGAATCCTTGATCATCTTCCTGTTTTCACCACAATTGCTGTCAATATCTTCTCTACCTCTGGTATAGTTCAGGGGCATAGAATACGCACTCGACTCGGTCTAGAAGGTCATCAGTCTGATGGCTCATAGACAGCTCTAGAATATTTTCCCTCATGAAACTTGTCAACAAAGCGATGCGGAGCCTAACCTCAAGGGTCAAGCTTCCTTTAATATTCCAGCCATTAGGATCAAGGCTCTGTAGCGCCTGCTCGACCTCGCTTGGCGTAGCAATGATTTCCTCATAGCTCAAATCCAGAGGAAGTTCGATGCAACAGTATCTAGAGCAGATCCGGGGTGGAAGTCCTAACGTTGTAGCCAGTTCCTTGTCAAGTGAATATGCACATGCCAAAACTCGTTTACGTATCTCAGCAAGGAAGAACGGACATTTTTCTTCGAGGTTTGAACTAGGTCGGTGCAGGCCGATGGCATAGGTGATAGTTGATAGGTCACCCAGCTTTTGCCAAGTTCTAAAGTCTATACAACTGCTATTAGATATATGCCGCCTCTCGTAAGTGAACTACAAGGTGATCAAAGAAATGGAAGACATACCACTTTTACCAGCCATAAGAGTGAGAAGCACTGTCTGTTGAGTCACAAGCCAACATAAGGGATCACTGGTAAATCCAGAATGATTGCAGAATTGACAGCAGATCTCACTGACAGCAACTGAAATGTTCCTCAGTTGCCTTCTGTCGATATTCCAGGGGTTGTGTGTAAAGACAGGATCATCATCCGGTATATGAAAAGTAGCCGTCCCTAAGACTGCAAATAAGAGTCCAATTGTTTCCCATCTCGCGGCAATCAAGGACATATATTCTGGCATGGTCATCGTCTCAGCTACTAAAATTCTTTTTGTGGTGTTTGTGAATATCTCAGCGGACAAGCTGAGCAAGGAGAGCTGGGTGTCACTAGAACCTTGTACTGCAGCATCGTATATCTTCTCAATAGCTGCACACAAAGTGCGAGTCAAGGGAGGTCCGAGAAACCAGCCGGTGGAAATCTTGTTCTTGAGTTCAATTATCTTCTACAACCAGCGGATCTCGTTTAACTGGAGCAGAACTTGGGCCCCAAGTCGAATCTTGTCCAGCTCTTCTGGGGGACGGTGTGCAGCAGTGGTATCTTGTGAATAATCCTGATCTTGATTGCCCACGCCGGTGGCATCATGAGACTCATTGAAAATGTCTTCAGGTAACGTAAGGCCCAGATTTCCAGGTGCCAAAGGCCATTTTTTCATTGAAGTCCACTGTCCAATATATTGGTCATAGAGGTTTGTTCCGGTATCCAACGATGTGGTTAAGGTGGAACTTTGAGTAATTGTAGATGGTTCCTTGTTGATACGGAAGGTCACTTGGTTCTTGGTGTACTTTCTCTTCGGCCTCCCTGATCTTTTTTGCACGAGTGCTTGTGGTCGAGAGGGTCGTGTCAAAGGAGCAGGATGATAGAAGCAATGATTGGCCTGACCTCGTTGTAGACATCGATCGCAAGTGGGACTTTTGTGGTCGCAACGCAGCTTGGATTTCCTGCAAGGCTCACACGAGGATAGTTGTCCATTCCGCCGAAGAGTTGCCATTAGTCTTCAAACCCCGCCGATCTTTCATTAAGATTCAAAGCACGATCAAATATGTTACTCTATCGTCATTTGCCCAAGTCAGGACTTTGAAGGCTCAAACCAGTCTCATGTTGGGCAACTAGCAACGAAATAACTAAACGTGGAATGGAATAAGAATCAGAGTATAGGCCGGGGAAGGCCGATATCGTTCCGCGATCTAAGTTGACTATCTTTATCTCTTACCTGCTTGTCTCGTAATTCTTATTGGGTTGTCAATTTCTTTCAATGCACTTTGAACGCTGCTCAGTTTGTCACAATACATTACAGCCCCTCCCTCATTTACAGGGGTGTTGAACGGATGCAACTTCCGGGTTAGTAGGGTTGCTTTCAACTGACAGGATTATTCTACGGCTATCCTTATTATGGCAAAGCAGCGCATATATACACTCCAACTGATTGGATGAGGTAGAAACATGATTATGGCTTTTATAATATAAAGATAACTTTCCTAGTATATTTTCAGACTTATCAACGATAAGCTTTCCGTCATTGATGCCTGAGGGATCAGGCCGTCAACTGTACGAGTTCTCTCTACTTAAAATCAAATCAACAAAGCAGTTCATATGCAAGTATTAACACGAGTGAATATTTATTGCAATTCAGGTAACACATCAATAGCTAACCCCACCAAAAACTCACGCTGATACCTGCTCTAAGCCCCCGTACATAGTGCCACCAGCCAACAGGAATATAGAGACATTCACCCTCCTTCAAAACTGTCTCGACATAATCTGCATCAGCAAATCCAGGCCACTTAGACTCCCAAAGCTCGAATTCAGCAGGTGACAGTTCAATAGCTGCCAGATCAACCTGGGATGTATTTGACATGTCAATCAGCTGGCCTTTTTCTGTGTTCTGTGAAGTTAAGCCTGTGCCAGTCTGGTCTTGATTACCAGGCGTGATATTCTCGTCGCTGTCATTGACCAACTCCATTCCTCGGGGGTATATCTGTGATGCTGGGGTATGAGGCGAGTATAGCCGAATGTATTTAGCACCAACAACTTGAACAAGGATGTTATGGTAGGGATCGTGATGCAATGGGGATATCGTCCATGAAGGACCAATCCAGGTATTTATAATCGGATCGGAGGCGATGCCCATCTGTGCTTCGCTATCTGACTGATAGCCGGCATGGTTCCGTTTGGACGAAATGTCCTTCAATCCCATCCCGTCTGCCGTTGTAGTAGCATTTCCCGCTGAGCCCTGGTCGATTGAATTCTCGTCTTTCTCCTTATTCATCGCTTCCTCCTTTTCCCGCATCTTTTTCAGATATACAGGCGTTCCCGGTTCAGGACCCGGAGGATCAATATAGCAGAAATCCGGGACACCGATATCCTTTCGTAGAGCAGGAATCTGTGCCAAAAGATCATGCTGTGCCATATATCCAGTCTGAACTTCATTCTGCTGCTTTGCATCGCTCGTTGCTGTCTTCGAACCATCCTTAAGCCGCCAGAGGTGGATATCTACGAACTCTGAAAACGGCATGATTTTCTGTCCCCACCCTTCATCAGTGTAGGAACGACCAATTTCAACTGGGACAAGTCGTCTCCCTTCTAGGAGGTGCTCAAACCAGTAGTCCTTGGATGACCAAGGCCTTTCATTCAATGCAGGCCAGTTATTAATTGCATCAGTGATAACAAGTGGTGTACGCACATTTTGTATGTGGTTTTCCATCGCGAAGAAAGAAGGTGCTGACACTCGAGGAATTGGCTTTTTTATTTCAGGCAGTGGAGCTGATCCTGGTGGAAACAAGGGGACATTCATTTTTTGTCGTTTTGCACTGCGTTCGTCGTCGCCGCATTCAAAAGATATGGATGATTGTTCAAACTGTTTTCTATTTGCTCGTAACCAGTCCTTCAAGGCAGAAAACAGTGATTCAATCATCTCCTCTCGCCAGGGCGCACCAGTCATTATGATCGCCATGTCTAGGGGTCGCACCACATCCGCAAGCCAAGAAGAGTCATCATTATGGTAGTCACTCCCATGGTCAGAATGGATATTCGCCTTGATTAGCCGCACTGCTAGCACAAGACAAGCATCCGTGTAAAGACGACGCCAGCACCATTTCACATCCTTGAATGGAAAGACATGTAATTTCGCGTTTGCCATGTTCAGAGCACCTTGTGGGTCATCTCGAAGAAGAGATAGAAGTTTCTCTTTATCGTGCTGAAAACATTCCAGAATAGGATCTTGCAGCTGGGGGTTGTCAATGGCAGACAATATATTGGTGATGAGAGCTTCCATTGGTATGAATTTCAGACTGTTTTGTGCACGGGTGTCGATGATCCCTCTCGCAATTTAGCAAGGATTCAAGATGGAAGGGCACAAGGAGGACATCTGGCATCTGGTCCAAATATTTTGAGTCTCCAAATTTGCAAAAGTGGGAGTAAAGAATAATTCCTAAGAAGGAGAAAAAAATGTGGAAGATGTGCCATGTTGTGTTAGGAGAAGGATTAAATATGAGCTTCCCCGACAAACGGGGTTACCCGTCTAGCGTAGAACGTCACCCAGCGATTGACAATGGACAACAAATTGAATGAAGTGCTGAAATACAGACAATATTAAGGAATTTCTCAATGAAAAAATTGACATATATGTTTATCTGCAGGAAATTTTAATGAGAGAGAATGCTAGTATATATCTTATTATATACATTGTTATACAGGGATCGAATTAATATACATAAGAATCAATCTGATCAATGGCCTTCAAGAAAAGTCATCACAAGATTCGGTATGCCGCTAACACCCTCGGCCTTGATGGCACTCACCGGAACCACTACAAGGCGCTCTCGAAACGCATCTTTGTGTCCGCTAGGGTGCTTAACAAACCCTTCCTGAATCTGTGACAGATAATCCTGGAGAGCAGCGAAGTTCTTCCGAGTGTCAGGTAAATCAGCTTTGGTAGCGACAACAAACCACGGCTTTCGGTAAATAGGCGGCAAAACCAGCGGTGGTAGAGGGTCTCGGGGACTCGAAGCCATCCATTGCTTGTTCACAGGCTCTGACTCGATTTCTGCATTGCGCAATTTATCGTATTCGCCCAGCTCATGCCAGAGCTTCTGTAAAGTTTTAACAGGATCGGCGGAGCTGAGATCAACAACGAAACCAAGAATGCCTGCGCGCTCAATATGTCGTAGGAATCCCAATCCAAGGCCTCGATCCAAATGCGCATCCTCGACCAAACCAGGAATATCAGCTATTGTGAAGTTTGTGCGAGGACTCTTCTTGTTCGACGACTCTACGCGTGGCCTTCCCTTGAAATCGTCCAAAACCACGGTGCCAATATTTGGAGACAACGTAGTGAACTCCCAATTCCCAATTCTCGTGCGACTGTTTGTCAGAGAACGAAGTAGGGTGCTTTTCCCTGCATTGGGGAACCCCACTAAACCGACGTCGGCCAACAATTTGAGCTCGAATTCCAAGTGTAAAGTCATGCCTCCTTCGCCTTTCGTTGCGAATTTAGGTCGTCCCATATTGCGTGCCACAAAGTGAGGATTGCCGAATCCACCAACCGCGCCTGCAGCTAGAAGCTTGGGCTGATCCATATGTCGTGACAAGTCCAAATGGATCGGGGCTGGAGGCTCCAACGCAGCAAGGTTGGACCGTCGCGGTGGACCGAGCGTCGGAAAAGTCGTCGTCAGGAAGTCGGAAGGAAGCGAGCCGGGATACAGTACGAATCGGTCGCGTTGCGCTGCATACATTCCCATTGCCTGCTCTTCCTTGGGCATCGAACCCTTCAAACTCTTGTATCTATGTTCTGCCTCTTCGACGGGATCATATCTGGATATTTCGCGGACAACGGTCCCCACCGGTACTTGTATCAGAACGTCATGACCTCGCTTCCCGCCTCTACTCTTTCCCTGTCCGTTTTTACCCCTTCCGGCTCGGATGGTCCCTTGTCGCGCAAGTTTGTGCAAACTCGTTAAGCCGTCGATAGCTTGGATGTATATACTTCCACCACTGCCTCCGTCGCCACCATTTGGAGGTCCCTCTTCAATGTACTTTTCTCGAAGAAAAGCAACACATCCGTTTCCCCCGGAGCCAGCGACCAATTTCGCGGTGCATTTATCCTGAAAGATGAATCGCGAGTAGTCTGACGGTGGAGGGTTAAGGTGTGAAAGGTCGGGCCCCGTTTTTTCGTCAGGAGTTTGTTCGATCGATAAATTGTGGCCGGATGTGGACTGCCATCGGCGGCGAGTTCGTAGGAGATTATCTGCTGCCTTGATCGTCGTTCGTTTTGAGCAGTTGGTAGCGTTCAGGAACGGATAGAGGAATGGGAGCATGATGTTTGTAGATTTTGACATTGTGCAGCTGTTATTAAAGAATCGTCGATGGCTAGGCCATCATAGCTGATAGAATTGGTTCTCTTGCATAATTGATGCGGGATATTTTGCTCCTTCTGTCTTTTGCAAGCTGCAAACATCAGTCTTGGAAGTTTTATCTACACGTGACAAAGACATTATCGTCACGTGACCAGCTTCCAGTCTTAACTGCGCCCGTATCCATTTGTCTTGCCTCATAATTTTTCGTCCCATAGTTCAATGGCATTGATACATCGCTGCAGCTCTGAATGCACTTGATTACAACTGATCAGAATTCAACGCTACGACGTAGGAAAAAGATTCCATGCTTAGTATCCGCGACTCGCTCTCTGTCTAGCATACAGGTCACAATCTCTACTCGATCTCGACGACCTTATATTGGAAAGATGCGTACGGAGTACGGGGGTAGGGGTCAGGCGATTGGACTGCGGTTTATCGCATTTGGCTGATTTCAAGATATTTCATAAATTGAATTACAAGTGCTAACCAATCATGATACAAATAAGTATAGGCTAGTACGTGCCTACATTTTTTACAGGCAGGAGAACTGTCCGAGACCATCCTCACAGACTGACACTCACCGCCACAAAGGCCGAAGGCAGCAATCCATGAAGCAAATACCAGATCAAAAGTCTGGAATGCACCATTGATGTCACCGACCCGCTTGAAGAGCTTTAAGAAATGCCACTCGCAGCCTGAGATAGGGGTACAGGACATCCACACCGTCTCCAGATTCGTCTCTTGAGTCTTTACCGATCGTGGTGGCCACATGACTATCTTAGTTCGAGAAGGTGAAGATTAATACCATAACGTATGGGTCATATAGAAAATTCGACGAGTCATAGACGAAGTTTTTAGAACTCTCTCATCGGCGAAATTTCTATTGCTATTGGACCAATTGGAGGGTAGACTATCAAAACTAACGAAACGCCAAACCAGAGTGATGGAATGGAGCTAAGCTAGTGGGGACCTCACCTCAAGAAGTCAGTCTCAGATGGACAGCCGATTTTTGGAAGGTGATTTCGTTTAATTTATTAAATTGATCAGATCTGGGCTCGGCAGGGGCGCGACGCGGCTGAATCATTTGTCTTCAGAATTGGGTTTGCTTTGCGTAGCACATACTACGTCTGTTCGAAAATCTCGACTATACACATGAACTAGGAGTGAATTCAGGTGACTATACTCCGTAGACTTCGAGCTCTGCCAGTTTCTTAGCGTCCTGTCAAACATTGAAACACTGGAGTTGCGACCTGGATAGGTACTTAACAAATCCGTACCGCACTCGGCACTGGGATAAGCGTACTAAATCAAAGTTTAATGAAGTACCGAAGCTTCCTTGCAAGCCGAGTGGCGATATCGATATACGTAGCTTACTTCATTTAATCAAAGAAACTTCGATTACCTTGTCCCGTTCAGCGCCCCTTTGTGCGAATTCCGTCAGGTACAGAGAGTCACTTTTAAGACGAGAGTCTAAGACGACGCTAGTTGGTAACTTCTGAATAGGGCATATGTATCAAAAATGCATCAACAAGTCAGCTGTCTAACAGACTCTGTAGGACTAAGAGACAAAGACAACAGTAATCACCTCCCCGAAGAGAATTGAATGATGAAGCTCGAAACTTGGAATGGGCCCACTTCCGGAAGCATTCCGGCCCTGCCGTACCGATGTATCGTGTTCCAAGGATACGGCTCTGCTAGTGCGTTACGGATAAATACAAGCCCTAATTACTTTAATAGTTACACACAATAGCCCAGGGCTGAAAGCCTATTTGCCCGGGGAATCATCACCCTTTGATCCGGGCAGATTTTACCCATCTCTGAGACTCTGACAGAGTCAAGATCTTGGCGTTGGGCCGTCTGCTGTGTGATGATAATTATGAATTACTATGCTTGGGTAGATTTGACTAGAAAGCATCAGCGAAAAGGGTGAAGCAGTCGCTCTTGTTGATACAATAATTAGTACTGCGTATTTACTTTGGCAGCTGCATGTTGATTTTAGATGTGTATTGTTATGATATATCGACGTACTAATCTGATACAGTAACATATTCTTGATCGGGGTTAGCGTTGTAATCTATTTGTATCTTTACCTCGACCAGGCAATCAGCTTCGTTTTAGTATAAGCTACCCGATGAAGCGATATCTGGCTATTCTCTAGACCGATAAGCAAAAGAAGTGCGCGGTAGATACTACACATACAGCATCAAGCTTACAAGTTTTCCTACTTGACCCTTCCTTTTCAACTGAAGAAGGGCATTTCACCACTCTCCTCCGTAGCTACGACAAATAGTAGACAGTACGGAGACGACATCAATATCAATGCCAAGAAACCGTTGACATGTAACCAAAGTGTCGGTGTATGACAAAGTGCCGAAGTATAGTTATCGCCGACAGAAAAGAAAGATCGACAAGCAGCCCTGAAGATTTGAGGTAGATAACAGCTGATGGAATGGGGAATCCGTGATGAGTTTAACTAGGTAACTAGCTGTAATTGGTGTCTGATATTAAGCCGAGTCTGGTTGCAGCCTGCGAGTAATACATGGATAATATGCTAGATCATGTGGTTTGTAGTATCGCGCATATCAATCGTTCATTTGGGTTGGGTATGCCGGGTTGGATACGTATGATTGGCTTCCGCATCCAGCTCTACTTTTGATGAAGTGCCTAATGGTATTGTTCTTTGCAACAAAGACGACTATGTATTGTATCAACCTTGGAATAGAACACAGGCAGTCATTATCAGGCTACATCTCAGTGTGTACCCATACGGAATGGCAGGAACGGTTACCCAGCTCCCCAACTACATACGCACCGAAGTACAATCTTGCATGGAACATATGTCATCTGACGTTGACTCGTGCTCTAAATCGGATCAAAGGATTCTTCCGGTATTCGGCTTAAAACATCAAAGGTAGGACAGGGATCCTTGCCATGTGTTTTCCTGCCGACACGTTGGCAAACACACAGCCACAAACCAGGTGTTTTTTGTACTCTATTTCCAACCTTGGGGGGTCTTTTTTTAGCCTTATTTTTACCTGTTTGTATCCCCTGAGCGGTGTGCTTTGTTTTTTAACCGCCTCGGAGAATCAGATGGGGTCACACAAGAACATGCATATGCAAGATGTTGATGTCATGAACAGTCACCCGAGAGATGAAGTTATTCTACCTGGACGACAGACAGTTTCGAAAGAAGTGCGTTGTCACACTGACTCAGCCTCTCGTGACAATGAAAAGACTCAAGAATAAAGAAGGATTCGACCGTGTATAAGCGGGCCTGCGGTCCAGTTTGAAATATCACTTCGAAGATGAGCCGCCAGCTCAGTACTTGATGCCTTGGACATAGGCGTGTATATATCAAAGATCTCATTGTGTAGTGATTCATGAGGCAGTGCAAGTGTGGATAAACTTGTGAAATCCTTGAAATTGCGCCAACCAAGTTGTCTGCAGGGCACAACGACATCCATGGACATCCATCTATCGGGTATCAAGAATCATCCCGCAGAACAACCCCACTGGCAAGAGTATTGAGTCTTAGATATTCGTAGGGATCCTTGATTACATGCGCAAGCTGATGATGTGATAGGACTAATGCCATCATGGCTGCACGAAATCATGAACGCAGATATGCAGAACTCAAATGTATCCTCTAGTATATGGCGTATGTAGTAGCTCTGACAATCTTCAGCCTTGAATATCGATTCGATTGCGCGAATGAGATGATTGGCCGTCGCACTGCATGGTAAAAGCGTTGGTCCGGACTGTCGGAATACCCAGTAGCCCAAACAGGAAAAAGGCAGGGCTAAATGCATTGTATTGTTACGTATTCTGTATTGAATTTCGTGTATCTAAGAAACAAGCCGGTAATGTAAATACGGAGTAAATAAAGTGCACACCGCTGTTGCATACTATTTTAGGGTGCCAACAACAGTCAAACAAACACCGACTCCTGGGCTTGAAGAAACTAAAAGTCAAGATGGGACTAATATGCGATCTGTTTCACAATTTCACATCATCTGATGTCAGAGGATTTCTGATTCTCAGAGTGGATACACCAACTAGTACCCCTGGTACGTACGTAGTCGCACTACGTAGCCGTAAAAGGTTTCAATCTTATCCATTCTTCTTTCTTAGTACTGGCAGTATTACTCCATAGAATCAATAGAAGACCGCAACATCTGAGTCAAGCACTGTCATGGAAACAATGGTTACTCGAGACAGATGAGTAAGTCGACAATGAAATGTCGCGACAAAGCCAAACGAGGAAATAAACCCAGGTGCCGTGATTCCGAGCCCTAACCCGGGTGTTCTGAATTGCTTTTTTCTCCTTTGATCCTATCGCAAACCCTGGTGATAGTGAGGCGATGCTATAGTTAGCGAGTCGGAAAGCGATGATTACTTTTTCCTTAGTCCCCTGTCAAGGAAAAGCAATCAATGCCATTGAATTGAATGCCATGGAGACGGTGAGCGTTGAGAACCTCAGCGGAATGACGGAGACATACGTATTGAGATCAGGACTGTAGTAGACTCGAATGACTCGGAAGGTGGATTGAGATTCCAGAATGAATCTTGAATCTTGTACGGAGTGGCATCAGTCAGAAAACCTGGATAATTGGCTAGGGAAGTCGGAACCCCATCCCATTGGCGCGGAGTCACGTGAGCATCCAGTTCCTGGCGAGTGGCGGTTCTTCCCTAACATGCCAACTGGCCAATCAGCACTCCAGGAACCGCAACCGGAATTCCGGGCCAATTTCTTTAGTTCTTTGCTCTCTCTTACTTCTCACCCTACTGAGATAGAGCATTGAAGCCACGTCTATCCCTCCCCCGGAATTGCTTGTCCGAACAAAGCAGATGTCGTAAGAATCAAAAGGGCAAATGCTTTCAAATCCGGCTGGAACCCACGTCCCTTGTGACATGTCTTACGGCTTGTTCAATATTCTTCGACCCTCACCTCACCGCATATTTCTCCGCTGCCAGAAAGAGTGATTTGTTTTCTCCCAACGGTTTCTGTTGTGCCCGTATTGTACTACGTTTGGTGGTATTCCATGTCCGGACAATTTATGATTTGCGTTTCGTTTGTACGTAGGTAGCCTCAAGTTTTCGGACAGCGTACAGTACTGATCTCCATATTTCATTAAATCACTGGATGCTACGCCCTGTAACGCCTTAAAGACCACATACTGAGGGACCCAAAAACATTTAATCAACCGGGTGGAGCAGAAGGCTCCACGGACTGGCCACGGAGATTATTTATCTCGAATTCTGTATCCATTCTAGTGCCCTAAAAAGCAAAATAAAAATAAAAAAGAAAAAGCTAGCTCAGCTAGCTTCTGCCCTCAACCGGTCTCTTGGGTTAGCATCCTAGTCCGAATCCAGAATATCCACCCAGTCACAGACGGCGTATCATTTCGCTGAGACGCCACTTTTAGTGTTTTTTGAATTTTTCTTTCGTTTTCGACTTGCCTTTGAGACTGGAAAGGATTCCTAGTCTTGTTCGAGTGCCCGGGGTTCAGGTACATGGGTCGCCTAGTAACTACTAGCAGCTGGTCTAGTACGTTTTGTCTGTTTTTGGGTCTTTTTTGTTAGGCTTTGTCTGGTTGATCATACGTGTAATTTTTCTTTCCTTTCTTTCCATACGAATGGCCCCTTTTTGACCCCCCTTTTGGATACTTTCCTCTTTCCTCTCACTCGTTGAGCTTTCGTTTTCGAATCGGTCAAGATTTCCATCTTGTCCGCCAGTTCCATGCAGGGCATCCGTACGCTTGACTTATGCATGTATGTATTGCTGTAGCATGTACGGAGTACGTTCGGAACACTGCTTGAATAGATACATTCAGTCTTGCACCATATCCTCTACTCAATCGAGTCTCAAGATTATCTTCCTGCAACAATCAGTTGATATATGAAATCGGGCTTGGTGGGATAATTCAAGCTCACAGATGCGCCGCGTTGACCTTGAAATATCTACATTACGTATCCAACTGTAGAAACTTCACTAGCTAGTTAGTATCAAGGCATCCGGCAAGCGTAGCCCCTTTCTTGAACTACATCAGGATAAACTAACCAAGCCCTCGCCTCGCCCTTGTTCAACTGCGAACAAACAAGATCGTCTAAGAAGGTAAAACCCGGGACCACTTTTTTTTTGCCTTGTATTCTTCTTCTCCCCACATCTGGCTAGCTCAATCATTCCAGTTGTGGATCTCTTCTTATTCTCTATTTTATTTTGTCTTGTCTTACTGTTTTACTAGTCCTCCGTGTGGGATGGTTAGCTTGTTACCTGTCATGTCACCGATTGTATACGTACCGTACTATCGATACACAACATCACCCTTAGTGCCATTCGTAACTAGATGTGTAATATGTAATGTAGATGGATCTGAGAAATGACTGCTGGGGGTGGAGGTTTAAATTTGGGCCTCCTTCCTCGCCCAAATGCCTGGTCTTTCTGGAATGATGCTTATTTTTTGAATTAACGTTGAGTATATAAGGAAGACGTTGAAGTTAACTCCCCTCCTTCCTCTCCCTTCACTCTTCCATTCTCTCGACAACCTCTGCTAGTCTACTACAAATTACATCAATAAAACACCAACAAGGACATCTCAGCATTCCAGTGTCTTATAGAGCCTATCGGTGGTGGCTCGCAGATTACGCCTTTCAATGTGTTGATGATTGCAACGAGTGTCGTTTGCTTCTAGTGGTGTCACCCTTACTTCGGCGTCTTTAGTTTACTCGACCTTTAAATTCACAATCTCACAATGCCGACTCAACAACATAGGCTCCCTGTCATCGACACGGCAAAGCGATGGTTGCAGAGGCTGGTCCGCTCCCAGAACAACTCCAACGATGTCCCTTTTCCATGGCAGCAGTTCACCGTTCTTGGTATGCTCTTTTTTTTTTTCTTTGCTTTGCTTTTGTTTTGGCTATGCGGTGCATGTATCGAGTAAGACTGACTCTGCCTAGCACTTGTACGTATATGTGAACCGATTGCATTCATGTCAGTATTTCCCTATGCCTATTACATGGTTGAATCATTCCATGTGGCCGAAAGTGAGGAGAAAATTGCTCTCTTCGTTGGCATGATCACATCTGCCTTTACTTTTGCCGAATTCAGCAGCGGAGTCTTTTGGGGCCGTCTCAGTGACAAAATCGGCCGGAAACCAGTCCTGATTATGGGCTTGATTGGAACCGCCATCAGTATGCTAGTGTTCGGCTTTGCACCAAATTTTCCAACCGCCATGGTGGCTCGGGCCCTGGGTGGGTTGCTTAATGGGAACATCGGGGTTTTACAGACTACAGTTGCAGAACTAGTGACCTCTAAAGAACAGCAACCACGTGCTTACTCGATTATGCCTTTTATCTGGTGTCTTGGCTCAATCATTGGACCGTATTTGGGCGGTGCTCTAGCCAGGCCCGTGTTGAGCTATCCGGCTATTTTCAAGCCAGGGACCATTTTCGATCGGTTCCCTTTTCTCCTTCCCAACTTAGTCTGCATTGGCATTCTTATTATTGGAATCACTATCGGTACTCTATTCCTGGAAGAAACACACGTCGAGAAGAAGCATCGCAGAGACCGTGGAGTCGAATTGGGCCGCTGGCTGTTGGGCAGATCTTGGAGTGGTCATGAGGAAGTTATTGAGCCAATGGAAACCAAGATAGGGTTGATTAAGGAAATGGAAAGCGATGAGATCTACGAAGACCAGCCACCTGAATACAGAAGCAGGGAACCATCTCCTCGCTCGTCCTCGATCGGCAATGTTCGCCCACCAGAAATTGATCTCGACCTAGAAGAGCCAAAGAGGAGTCGCCGCGTTGGTTTCAAGAACGCATTGACAAAACCGGTCGTCTGTGTTATTGTAGGATACGGTATATTGGCTTAGTAAGTCTTGCCTGGCGCGGTTGTCTCTCGAATATTATGTAACTAACAACCCTGGTTCAGTCATAGCGTGTCCTTCGACCAGTTAATGCCTATCTTCTTGAGTACGCCGCCATCAGAGAAGGATATTGACCTGCCTTTGAAATTTACCGGTGGCTTGGCTCTTTCAACAAAAACAATCGGCTATATGCTGGCTGTGCAGGGCATTTACTCTCTCTTCGCACAAATCTTTCTTTTTCCTTTCTTGGTTAACCAACTTGGTGCGCTCCGGTCCCTTCGCTTGGCTATGTTCATCTGGCCACCTATCTACTTCGCTGTCCCTTACCTTATTTTATTACCGTCGACCTTGCAGAAACCAGCTGCCTACGTGGCCCTACTCAGCAAGATTACGCTACATGTTATTTGCTTCCCCGGGATATCTTTACTACTCGCCAATACAATCCCTTCCAAAAATGTCATGGGAACGGTCAATGGATTAGCATCTTCTGTAGCCAGTCTGAGCCGGGCCCTTGGCCCTTCAATCACAGGCCTCTTACATTCACAGGGACTGCGCAGCGGGTATTCAATTATCGCTTGGTGGGCCTTGGGGATCGTATGTGTGATTGGTGCCATTGAAAGTCTGTTCATGGAGGAAACCGATCAGAAACAAGAACATGACATTAAAACCGATACCACGAGCGAGCAGATACCGAGCGTTTGCCAGCACCAGCAATCACTATACCCGGAACCGCTAGTGGTATCAGAGGAGGTTGGGCTACTTTCGAACATGTTTACGACCTCCGAGATTTCCGAACCACTCGAAATGTCCATTGACGATAAATCGGAAAGACCTTGAAATGAAAACGAAATGACATGAATTTCATTTTTTTTTTCCTGCATCCATCTTCGATCATAACATTTATGCATGCAAACTCGGGCTGTTTTTGAACATTGATTTCCTCTTCTGGCAACCATCTTTCGCGTTTTTATATTTTATCATTCACGGTCAGTACTGTTCTGGTAACGGTATTCTTTTGGGGCTTTAATTTCACGGGCAAGCCGCTTTCGGATTACAGCATATTAATACATCTTTGACATGGGATAAGGAACATTGGGCGGATATAGCATACAACTGAGCGACAGGGACACAAGACCACACAAAAAAATCAAGAACAAAACAAATATTATTGGGAGGAAATTATGGCCGCACAAGACGCAACTCATGAAAGATATGGTCTTTATTTTTATTGCATTACATTGAAACTATCTGGGAGGCTTTTTGAAGAAAAAATTTAGCGAGTCATTTGATATATCCAATGTTTGATAGAGAGTTTTTTTCATTCGTACAGAAATAGATACCTATTTTTTCGTTATTAACAACCTACATACAATTACATAGGGTATACACATGCAACGTTATGGTACGACAATACATGTTGTCTGTAGAATTACCCTTCTGGTTACATGTAATTGAAACTCGAGTGTTTCCGTAACGGTTCGATTGCGAATTCGACTCCTGATACAACGCAAGGATACTAGGTAGTCCAGCCATGTCATGTCAATGAGTAAGTTACATGAAAACGAGATTTTGTCATACAATATCAATCCGTCCCCAGGGTCTTGATGTCTACACCGCCATGAACAGTACATAGGTCTGCTTTCAATGCTCTGTGTATGCTGTCCTATGCAGGGTGCCTACTCCTGAGTTCACATAATTATATGAAGTATTTGTAGTTATAGTATGCGCTTTATCCATGCATTCGTTCTCTATTCATTTCCGAACGGGAGCTGGCTAGCAACCAGCCTGTCCTGATCGCTAATCCCCTTTGCCGGTTGCCCTAATAACCGGCTCCCTATATCGATACCTATAGCTACTCATCTTAAGATGACGTGCTACGCTCTAAACAAGATTGAGCGCGGTTATCGTCGGTTCTGATAGTAGACCAAGTTGGCAAGTCCTGAGCAAGGAGGTTCCCTTAACGTTGTGCTAACAGAATCGGATTTTTTGATACCGCGTGATAACATCGAGAAACATCTGCTGTGTTCCGTTTTTTTAGGGCTGAAAGCTACTTTCCTAGTTAGGCAGGTTATGTGTAGACATAAACTATTTGACCAGATGAGGTAGTAAGGTAGCGCAGGTAGGTAAGAAGTGAGTATCGATGTATATGTCACCAGGTTTTGAACCTATCGACGACGATCCCTAGGTATGTGTTGGCATGGTTTCGGGAGATGAGTAGTGTTTGTTACGCGAACTCTCCTGTCAAAGTACGCAGGGATGCCTACATATGCGTAACATGTAACTACATGTATGTGAAAAGCCTGCATACATGAGGTATTTATACCAGCAGCAGCAGAAATCAGTTCATTATATAATGTCAACTGTCATGTCTATCATATCGATTAGGGCTTTCGGTGATCTTCTCCGCCTAGCGGCTTCGGGTTTCTCGGCTGACTGCTGGGAATCTGGTCTTCTTTGACATGATAGTCCTACCATGCATGTCATTCTCTTTGCATTTATGACTATTTAGCAAGCCATGTCAGAGAATTCACACCTGAACAAAGACATCACAAATGTAAGTGCCCATTTTGTCGATCTGGCTTGTGTATGTCTTGAAATAGCCTAGAAATATTTCTGGCTCTAGCGTTAGTACTCTGCGACATCATTGGCCATACTACCCCGCGTATGATTGGCCTGAGATCGAGGCATCCCAGATGGCACGTGGTAAATCAATGTTTGGGGTAGGCGAAGCTAGTAGAAGATTTGATATATTTCTTCTGCTGTTCATTAAAATCTACTGTCATACTCTTGCTAGACCTACTTAATGTATTCAGGCAACTTCTCAAGAGACTCTCCAAAGTCTATGATCATGTCGTAGACAGAGTAATGAAATGGTAGACACACATTTCTCTCGCGCTTAGAGCGGCTTGTCAATGAAGCATGCTTTGGCTCGTTGGGCAGAGAAAGACCTCACGTTAGAGTCTTCGCTTTGAGTGGCACCAAGTCTGACCACGTTTTTATCCATGGCAAAGCAATCCTCAGCCTGGTTTCAGTCTGTGAAAGTGGTAGTTGTTGGTGAACAGCAAAATGATGTGTTTTACTTTTCTGGAGAGACTATCTAAACTAATCCCATTTAAGAATAGCTTATCCACTCATCTGTTATCTACCGCCAATCCGAGCGTGCGCTGGTCATAGAATCGATCTTCTCCTTCCTCGACAAGGCTGAACGAGATGCTGATTATCAATACTGCTTCATGTTATTCCCCGCTCTCTGTCTTCTTCTTCTAATTCTTCTCACTCTGTTGATGATGTACGAATATTCAATGAATCCCCAATCCTGTTATTGACTTCGCTCGTGTCAGCGCAAGCTGTTTCTCTCATAGTTCATCCGGCTTATCGCTTTCCGAAATCCGCCTGCCGGCATTGGACAGTGGACACCAACCAAAACCCCACTGTAAAATCTACCTAATTCAACAGGCCCATCCCTCTTTATCGCTTCATCTACTATACCCGGCGTAACGACAAACTCAGTTTGCGACGCTGTGTTCGTCGGAGATAAACTGCAACATTTACCTAGGTCTTGCCAATCCCCCAGACCCCGGGACGAGACACAAGGACGGGGCTCGGTAACCGCTTTGATTTCCCATGCTGGATCTCCGTGTGAATGCGCGACCCAACCACCGTTGAATTGGAAGCAGACCTGTGATTCGGAGCATCATGGAGATTGCGAGAAATAATCTATGAACTCGTCATATCTCTGTACTAGACACGTGGGGCGACAGGGAGCTTAGCTCATATCGAATGCTTCCCGCGATCACTCCGCTAGATGTATAAGCATGCTGAATCCACCTTCACGACCTGGTACGTCACCTGTATCGACCGGTATCAAACGATCACGATCACCCGATGACTCCCTATCTATCCCTTTGCATCCATCCGCCGGTCAACGCGAGAGCAGCAAACCCACCTCCGCCATGAGCACACCCAGCCAGACGTCGACATCGACCAGCGTGCCTGCTTCGTCATTCCGCAACGTTTCTGCCTGTAACCGGTGCCGCTTGCGCAAAAATAGATGCGATCAACGTCTTCCTCGATGTCAAACATGCGAAAAAGCCGATGCGAAATGCGTCGGGTTTGACCCAATCACGAAACGTGAAATACCTCGCAGTTATGTTTTCTTTTTGGAAGCCCGTGTGACATACCTTGAAAGATTGCTACTCAAAAATGGAATTGAATTCAAGCCTTCTTCTGCCTTTGACGGGGAGATGGAAGTGCGTGGGACAAATCAGGTTTCGGAACAAGATGCCGAAACTGCTGCCTCAAAGGAAACCAAGAAGGAATCTAAAAAGAACGAAAAGGCGTTGGAAGAAAAGAAGGATAGTAAACAGCGCGATTTGGTTTCTAATAAGAGCCGTGATCCGGATTCTAAAGAACATTTGGATCAGTTGGTATCGAACATTGGAATGGTCTCCGTGCAGGCCATGTCGGATTCGCGCTATCTGGGTTCTACCTCTGGTATCTCCTTTGCTAGGCTTGTCTTTGCAGCGGTCAAAAGCTCGGTGAATACGAGCGGCTCTGAACCTGGCTCGGCTCGACTAACCGAGCGCAAGTCGTCAAACAGCACCGGTAGTACGATTCGAGAAACTTTCTTTGGCCTCCAATCGCGTCCCTTGATGCAACAGGCTGCATTCCCTGATCGAGAACTCGCTGATCGACTTGTTAGTTTATATTTTGAGCATGCAAATCCACAGATGCCCATCTTACATCGTGGCGACTTCTTGGAGCTGGTAAACAGAGTCTACGAAACGGAGGAATCTGCAAGGTCATCTCGTGATCTATACTTGTTGAACATTGTATTTGCTATCGGCGCTGGTATTATCTTCGAAGGAAGGAGAAGATCTTCGGATGATGAAGAGGATGGTTCGAATTCCGGAAACAGATCATCTCCATCGCACTCTGCTAAGAAACAGAAGCTTTCGGGAGTTCAGTTTCAACCGGAAGAATACCATGCAGCTGCAGTTGTACACTGGGAAGCCTTTCTAAGTGCTTCGCCTATGGCCGATTCTACAGGAGGCGGCCTTGATGAGCTGCAAGCTTATCTTTTATTGGCTAGTTTCGCGCTGTTGAGACCGGTTGCCCCGGGGCTCTGGTATATTGTAGGTGTTGCTGTTCGACTTGCTATTGATCTTGGTCTGCATCATGAAGATGGTACTGGCATAGACTCGATCGGAGAGGAAAACGTTGTGTCTCCGAATCAACCAGTCCACCCAGAACGGGGTCGGCTTCAATATATTCGTGATCACCGCAGAAGGCTTTGGTGGTGTGTCTACAGTTTCGATCGACTTGTTAGTACTTGTGTCGGTCGTCCTTTTGGAATAACCGATCAGGTCATCACTACCGAATTTCTTTCTATTCTCGACGACCGCTACATCACAAAGTCTGGATTTCGTCCACCAAAAGGTGACGTACCGAGCTATAAACATGTTTCTTACCACTACTTGAAGTTACGACTGTTGCAATCAGAAATCCAACAAGTCCTACAATATCAACAGGCGCGCTTTGTGCGACGGTCAGGGAAGAACAGTTCGAATCACTTCATGCACACCAAACTCCAGTCTCCTTTCCTTGAGCGTTTTGATTCATTCCGTTCATGGCGCAGGGATGTCCATCGCCGCTTGCTGGAGTGGAAGGACTCATCACCAACGAAGAAAGAGACAGGAGTCCAGTTTTCCCTTGAACTCTTCGAGTTGAATTACTACCAAGCTTTAATCATGCTGTATAGACAGACGCTCACCGTACCTGCGGCGTTGGCAGGGGACCTCCATCCAACAGAAGATGTTTCCAGCCCACCGTCTTTCGACCTGGATGATCGAGAAGATGAAGATGATATTTATCTTCAGATTGCTGAGGCAGGTCAGAAAGTCATCAAGATTTATCGTCAGTTACATCGAGTCAGACTAGTGAATTATACATATATGACGACTCATCATCTCTTTATGGCCGGTAAGCTTATTCAGTGTGACTTTTGGAATAGAGCTAACAATTTATCAAGGCATATCATTTCTGTTCGCGATCTGGCACTCACCTGTTGTCCGCAGTCGTTTGGTAGGCCCCTTCCCCCGACAGAAAACCTTGTATATTTATTAATGTATGAGCGCAGACTTTGGATGATGTCGACTTCACCGTTCTAGCTGCAACATCCATTTTCAGCGATTTGATAGAAGTTTGCCCGCCAGCAGAGACGTGTCGAGATGCATTTGAACGAATGAGTAGAGCTACAGTTCGCATGGGCTCCAAGGGTTTCGCATCACAAGCCGTGGGTGGTGTATCGCTCACAGCACCGAGCAAATCGCTGGCATCGACAACTGGAAACATTAACCGCACTGCAGCGCCAGGCGTGCAATTAGCACCTGTACAGCGACCTCAACGACCCCCACGACGGCCTACTTTTGATATGGATCTTAGCGATTTGTATCACAGTCCTCCTAGCCAACAGGCTCATCTCAATCCCTCTCCTAGACAACGATCATATCAAGTTGCGCCGTCGTTAGCACCACAACCCGAACAATATCAAAACAACCCCGGGTATACCCAGGCATATACTTCTTATGATCAGACTGCTCAGCAACACCAACAACAATATTATATGGCGCAATCACCGCAAAGTGCCGGATCATCAACAGCACCTGCTTTCACTCCTCCGACACATTCAGAGCCGCAGCAACATAGTCTAACGGATATGAGCCTCGACTTCCTCGACTTCGCCACCAATCTCGCCAACAACCTGAACCAGGACGCTGATATGAGCCATGCAGACGGCAGTAGTGCAGCACTTGATACGTTTGCCGGTCCTTTCAATCTGAACGATCTGCAGGGCACGGGCATCAATCTGGGAGGCTTCGGGATGGAAGCTGACTATCTCCGTGATTTGACCACTGATGGATCAGGATATGATTTGATGGATGGGTACTGGTTTGGAATGTCTGGTGGTGGAAATTCTGGAATATAGAATTGATGTATATGCATATAAAATATGATACCCATGATTATACACTTCATTGATAGATATGTCAGAACAGATTGGTGTAAGCCTAGGCACTCAGGCATTCATTCAGGCACTCAACCTGGGCCAGACCTGACTTTCATCCCCAATGAAGCGCAGTCGGGCACCAACCAGCCAATCGAGAACACGCTGATGTATGAAATGGCCTGATCCGATCCATTTACTAAGAGAGTACTGTTTCCGTCTTACTCTCATAGGAAGCAGAGTTTACTACAATCAAGCAGTTCCACTGCGTTTGCAAATGAACAACTCATCATGCATCTGTGTGGTCATTTACCCCAGTCTAAGGCTGATGAGATGGATGCCTTACTCCACGGCACCTTCAGTTGGGAAACAATTATGACAAAATGTGCCTTTTGAAGAGAATCAATCGATGAACATAGGATCATTGAGAGAACAGAAGTGTAGGTGAATATATAATCTGTAGATGTTTAGTCGCTGTTGCTCAGTGATTGGGCTTGTTTGTTGTCTGTCTGGTGGGGCGGTCCTTCCCTTCTCCAGCTCTCTTTTCTATCAGTTAATTCTCTCCCCAACCTGTTCCCCTGCTAAAAAGATAACCTACCTGGTCACTGTACGCCTCACTTTGTTTATCATGCATGCCCCTAAATCCGAGATTGACTTCCTGTGAAAGAATCTGGAACTTTTTCCAGCGTTGGTTTAACTATTTATGTGGTAAGGAAAGAATTACCCCCTCTGCTGCCTTCGATTCATGTGACATTCACCGCTGTATGGTCTGAGACACTTGCAGTCGACAATGTCGCAGTAGCAGCCTAAATTCTACTGGGACAGACTAGTCTAACTTGTGATATTAACTAGATCATCAGATCCCGCCATATTACTTGTGTATCCCCATATTCTCTCTCTCAACCTACGCTTGGACAGTGTGTTGGTCTTTGTCGAGACAACCACACAAAACGCGCTCTACACAAATATCTAGGAAAATAGATTGACGTCAAGGCAAAACGACGAGTGTCATGACTGGAGAATATTGTTGTTGGAAGAAACCCCGTCCATTCTCTATTGAAGGGCGCTGTACGGATAGCGCGCCTTCGCTTTGAGGATGGTTAAAGCAGATGTGCGCAGAGATTATTATGCCGACTTGGGAGTTAGTCCTGGTGCCGATACGGAGGAGATCAAGAAGCAGTTTCGCAAGCTTGGTATGGTTGCAAATTCATTCCCTGCATGTTGCTCTTGGTCGACCGCCTAGACTAATCTATTTGATGTACTGCAGCTTTGAAATACCATCCGGATCGAAATCCAGGGCGCGAAGCCGAGTTTATAACAAAGTTCCAAGCTATCCAGGCAGCACATGAAATTCTTTGCGACTCTCAACAACGCTTGAAATATGACACCGAGAGACTACGAGCTGGATACGGGAAGCTATATGGACCTTCATCTACGAATACCCCTCGCCGTACAAATACGACATCGTATCCTGCCAACAGTACAAGCAAACCACCAACTTCCAAACCTCAGCCCTCTCGTCCAGCTTCGTACCAAGCTCCACCGTCCAGTGGTGCCCAGAGATATGCGAGCTATGCAAAAGCTGCGCCCCAGCAGCCCTATGATAAGATGTACGAACAGCAAACCCGAGCGGATGCCTTCCGTGCTTTTCAAGGGATGAAAGCCAACGGCTGGTCAAATTTCGATCCTAAATCTGGAAGACCGACTCCACCGCCCTGGAACGCAAGTGGTGGAACAACATCATCTCGTGGAAAGTCGGCATACGAACAGATGAATACTAGGCAGCATCCTGACGCATTTGGACGAGCGTCAACCGTAAGGAAAAAGCATGGCTTTGCTCCAGGAACCCCCGGCGGCGACGAACCTATGGCCAGGAATATATCATCTTACTCAAATACGCCGCGAGCTGATAGGTCTTCTGCTTTCTTCGACAGTGTACCTGCGCCAACACCTAAGGCGAAAAGGACGCCAGCTTCTTCTCGTCCTGAAACTCCAGTGGATGAAGTCCTCCCAGAGTTTGAACGTACCAGCCATAAATACGCAACGGCCGGAGGTGAAAGAACTTACTTTTCTAGCGCAGGGTTGGCTCGAGCGTACAGTATGAGGGACTCGTCATCCAGCTCCAAGGCACGATCGCGGACAAACCCACCGAGTCCTCGTTCTCCGGCTCGTGATAGGCACCGTAGCGCTAGTCCCGGTATTAGACACCCGCACAAGGCTTACGCATCTTCTACATCAAGTTCCAGTAGCGAGGATGATCTGGATAGCGAGGTCGATCAACCCACATCCAAACCAAGCCGAAAGGCCGTTCCAAAGAGTCGGTTGCGACCAGGCCAAACTTTCCAATATCAAGGACCAGGATCAGGTGAGGAAACTTCCAGCAGCCACAGCCACCACCATACGGACTACCATTCATTGCGGAGTCATCGGCGTCGTCGTAGCCTTTTTAACAGGAGCCGACCCCACAGCTACCATGAGTTCCAGGATCAAAGTACTGACAGTGATTACCATCAAGGAAACGATTCTGATAATTCGTCGTTTGCAGCAAGAGCTCAGCAGGCTGCTCAAGGAAGTCCATTGCATCCGGACCAAGCCGCTGAAGGGCTTGCCAAGTAAGTCTGTCGTTTACAAACTGGAGAGACCAAGTCTAATATTTTTTGGGCTACAGCCTCAGTTTCTCTCAGAATGGGGCTAAGAGCAGGAGCCATGATAATCTGAATAAACGATTTTCTGCCAGCGACTGGGGCGACGCTATCAGACCCGACCTATTTGCGCCGAATCCAGCCAATGGGCACCACCGCAGCAGATCAAAGACTTCACCTGCACGCGGTAGACCAGGAAGGAGATTGGATTCCAAGTCGCCGGCCAACGGCTTGTCTTCAAGCGATGAAGCCGCGAAACAACACACCCCAAACTCATGGAACCAATCTCAGTTCTCCGCCGACGCGTGGGCTCAACATCTACAGAGTAAAAATTGGATGTTCCAACCGAATCAGACGCAGCAAGGTAATTCGACTAGTGCCACGACAGGAAGAAACGTTCCTCGAACTACATGGCGAGCGGCGCAAGGTCGACAACCTGCCGTAGCGACAGAAGCCGAGGAAGAGGAAATAACAGTCTCGGCCCCTTCATCTAAGGGTACTCCGACACCAGTGCCGGATGCAATGGAAATTGATGACGAGCCTCCTTCTCACTCAACTAAAGCACGTACAAATGGATATGTATCATCACCACTGGTACCTCCCAAAACCGATTCAAGTGCCAAAAGTGGCGACGATGAAAATGCTGGGAAGACATCAGAATGGATGAGTAGTCTATTCAATATGAGCGCACTCCACAACGTGACACCATTCACTAGTTCAAATAACGGGGGAATAAACGATTTGAACGACATATATACAACACTTCCATTTGAGTCTCGTCCCAACGATCCAAATACTGGCCGTCGGATGGCTCCGCAACGGAGCAAGACGAGTCTTCCACAACCCCCTAAACGCCCTCCTCGGCCGGCAGTTGTGCCAAGCGGCAACGACCCTCGGAATATGGTTCTCCCAAAGCAAAGTTGGGAGATCTATGAGAGACAGATGAGCGCGTACATTGTTGAATGGAACAAATTCCAGAGGCAGATGCTGCAGCTCTTGGCCATGCGGCAACTAGGATTTGAAACCGGTCTGGCTCCCAGATGGATCGATGCCACGGGAGATTCTCTTCGCTTGAACACCAAGTCTACTGAGGATGACGCCGATGTGCAAGTGGGCTCAGGAGAGGAGAGCGACGCCGACAATGACTCTGATTTACTTGTCCCGCATAATTCTCACGGTGGGTTCAAAGCATATTTCAACTCTGTTGATGACTTTGCGCGAATCATCGAGCACTGGTCAGTTGCATTGGAACGGCATCGCGATTGCATGTCGCAACTTGGCGAACTTCGTCAATGGATTAGAGGTCATCGAAAGCTAGCCTGAATTCTATCCTCGACTTCATTTGTTGTGTCAGAAGAAGGACCTTGTTGAACTTTCTCTTCTATACCATGTCTTCTAGAATATTATTTTGGTGGCGATTTTTCTCTTAATGTATGTGCATACTTGGGTGTTTTGACATGGACGACGCTTTAGCAACTTGAAGGATATTCTTTTCTTGATACTCATGAATGTTAATACTTGCTATTCTGAGCTTCCAAGCCCTAAATTGCTCAGCCTCAGAAAACAAGCAAAGCAGGCTCCGCAATCGGCATATACCCTATGTACGGTCACGTCATGGTAACAGTCATGGTAAATCCTAATTGGATGTGTGTAATTTTCAGTCAAATTACGTACGGACTAATCTCCCCCGCTAAAATTTCACGCCGGTAACAAAACACAAAAAAACCAGGGTTCTGCCAGAATCGGAACCGCCCGTCAGAGATCAGAATTGACTCATTGCAACCCGGAGATCCATTTTGATTTCTCTTATTAAAATCTTCAATTTGTTCAGTGTCAGTTTCCTAAGTCTTGACATTGTGTACATTCAATCGATTGGCTCTGGTTCAGTCTTTACTCAGACTTTGAAGTTTCACTGCAGTCCTTTTCTTACCCCGCGGCGATGGTGACTATCGTGCTGGGCTCTCAATGGGGGGATGAGGGTATGACCGATCAATTCTTTCTATAAATCATGCACCAGCAAATTTGAGAAATGAACCAAACCTAATTCACTTTTACGTGTCATAGGCAAAGGAAAGATTACCGATTACCTATCTCAAGATGCGACGCTCTGTTGCCGTTCGGCTGGTGGGCATAGTAAGTTTTTCTCTACGTACACCGTTCTACCACTTTTTATCGTCAGTCATCTAACAATTGTTTCTAAGATGCCGGCCATACCATCGTCCACGACTCCGTGACCTACGACTTCCACATCCTCCCATCCGGTCTGGTCTCACCGAAATGCATCAACCTCATCGGTGCAGGCACCGTAGTCCACATCCCCAGTTTCTTCAAGGAATTGAGCGCCCTCGCAGATAAAGGTCTCGTCGACGTCGACAGTCGCGTCTTTATCTCCGACCGTGCGCACGTCTGCTTCGATTTGCACTCTGTCGTCGACGGATTGGAGGAAGCGAAACTCGGTGGGCGTAAAGTCGGTACAACTGGTAAAGGTATCGGGCCCTGTTACAGTGACAAAGCTTCGCGACGGGGTGTACGTGTTGGCGAGATTCTGGATGAGGAGGTCTTTGAGCGCAAGTTGCGCAATTTGGAGAGCGGGTATAGGAGTCGTTTTGGAGAGTTGGCGTATGATGTTGAGGATGAGATTAATCGCTTCAAGGTAGTTCCCCTCGCCCCTATTCCGTTCCATTCAAAGTATCTCCGAGCTGATGATATGACATAGGAATACCGCCAAAAACTGAAACCATACATCGTCGATCAACTCTCCTTCCTTCAGAAATACAAAAATGACGACCGGATACTCGTCGAAGGCGCCAATGCGCTCATGCTCGATCTTGACCACGGCACATACCCATTCGTCACATCATCATCCACAGGCCTCGGAGGTGCCATTCAAGGTCTTTCCCTCAACCCCACCAAAATCAAGAACATCATCGGTGTCGTCAAAGCCTACACAACCCGTGTAGGATCCGGTCCTTTCCCCACAGAGCAACTCAACGAATTTGGCGAAAAACTACAAGTTGCCGGTCGCGAATTCGGTGTCACAACTGGTCGCAAGCGTCGTTGCGGATGGTTCGATCTTGTGCTGTGCCGCTATTCACTCGCTGTGAACCACTACACAGCCCTCAATCTGACAAAACTGGACATTCTGGATGATTTCGATGAGATTAAAGTCGCTGTCGCCTACACATTACCTGATGGAACTCGGCTAGAGGATTCATACCCTGCCGACCCTAATCTTATCGAAAAGTTGGAGGTTGAATACATCACTTTACCCGGCTGGAAGACTAACACTATGGGTCTGACCAAATACGAGGACCTGCCTGAAAATGCGCAAAAGTACGTCGAGTACATTGAGAGAGGATTGGATGGTGTTCCCATCAAATGGATTGGTACGGGACCAGCACGAGAGCACTTGATCATTCGGTAAACCCATTATTACATGGCTTCTCCGGGAGAAGTCAAGTTTTCTGAAAAAGGCAGCAATTATTCATGATTCAAAGACAGCCGGAACAGATATTCGAATAAATAGACATACTATATGAACTCGTTTTTGGTCTATTATGTTGTTTATAGATGTTGGGATTTGATAGGTGGTAGCAATTGCTCCTTACTTTGCATGTAGTTTTAGTTTGTTCTTTTCTTGTCTTTGTCATGATTCATATACACTTTCTCGTAATGTCACTCTCGTAGAATGGAGTACTTAACTACATGCTATAAAGTCATCTATCATAGACCTATTTATTAGGATTACATACCAATTTACGGAGCTGTTCCGTAACGGCTGAATGGTGTAGCGGTATCACGCATCGTTCACAATAGTTGCTGGACTGAAATCATTCATCCAATCGCAAAGATTGATCGAACCGATGAGGTCCTGGGTTCGACCCCCAGTTTAGTCAAGCCTAATTTTTTTTTTCCCGTTCTCCCGTCTCTCACTCACCCCGTGGTTAAGAGACGGACTTAAATGCCTTTTTTATTTTTATGGTTTTGACGAGAAGTTCTTTTTCCGTATCACCTACCTACTGTCTACCTACATACAGTACGCACTTAAAATATCAGGATACCAGTTGACATTCGCTCGGGCAACGTTCCAATGGATGAGGGAATCTGCGGGATATATATATTCAATGTTCCCATGTTACGGGCTAGTCCCGCCTAATGCTTACTATAAGGGCATACTTGAATAGAAAACACAACATGAGGAGAGAAAGAGAAAAGGACATAAGATTCCGTCGTTCATACAAGTTTATATAGAAAAGGGGAACGCTCATGCTGGGCTGGGTTCGGCGCCGGATATCCGTATAATCGTAGATACCACATAAGTGCCAAGACATGAAGTCCTGTTAAGGGGCAGATCAGTTAATTGGAATGAACCTTCGGCATCTGGGAATGGCTTCGAGCTCCCAGGTTGCGCTCCAGCGTACTGGGTGCAGAAGCGAATAAAAATGATACAGATTTTCTAGTGAGGGCTGCTTCACCCGAACCATATCAACATGAGGTCAGCTCATAACATCCCATGGATGGATGGATGTACCTAGGTAGGTAGGATTGCAGCAAAAGCAAAGCACCACATGCAATTGACACTATTCATCAATTGTACTAGGTAATTCAATCTTCGACTAGAGATTTGGAAGTCCATGGCGAAACTCTGTCGAATTGCTGCTATCATTGATCGAATGCTGGTATCAATTGATACATTCTTGGTCCCCAAGTCGAACCCAAGCCCACTGATGACTGAACCTGAAAAACTTTTCCGGCTCATTGACAATTGGTTCACAAATTGAGTATTGATTCTACCTTTGCTAGGAGGTGGCGTCTGTATACAGGTTCAAAGTCAAAGATCCGGATGAATCGTATGCAGACATCTGGATCCCCGCGTTGATCCAAAGCTGATGGCTTCCAAAATTTCAGTAAAGTTCAAAATGTGCATCTACAAAACGGAGGACCACTAGATAAGCAAGCCTTGAAGCTGGAAGTAACTTAAGTAGATGATGGCATTGGTCTTATGTGTCTTCTTACTATAGCAAAAATTCTGCCAACACAACATGGCCGGTTGGAGTAGCTGGTTATCTCGCATCGTTAACAGGATTGTAGTAATACAAACCAATTACCGATGAGGTCGCCGGATCGAGCCCGGCACTGGTCATTATGTTTTTTGCTTTTTGGCATTTCCTGAGCTTCCTTCTTCGTTCAGTCCGGGTTTTACCGGCTTGAGATATGCTTAATTAGCCCTTTCCACTCTTGATCTAAAAAAGGGTTCATCAGCAGGGCTTCCTCTGATTGGATTATTATGATTCGCCCTGTATCATGAACAGAATTTTTTTTCTCCATTACCAGATTTTTGTTATTTTTTGGTAACTGTAATATCGGCAACCAATAAGTTGCATGTATTTCTAAAAATGCATCTCTCACGAGGATGAGGATCTTTCGCATTTATACGGCCATACATAGATCTACAGCACTCTTGAAACGACTTTTCTTCTATTCTCAGTCTCTGTACACGTTGCTGTCGATATTGGCAGAGTATAATAGACATTGTCATCAAAAATGTTCGTATATCTACTTTCAAGCACATTAAATACGTAATCGTATCGTATCGCGCTTATCGATACTAGCCATGTAATTTACCGTATCTTTACCTACCCCTCCCGTTCCATTGTAAATCAAACGGTCCACTTCAAAACTATATAAATGAAAATTTTTACTCCTTTTCCATGGCCGGTTGGAGTAGCTGGTTATCTCGCATCGTTAACATGTTACTTGTTCCATACAAGTATTAATTACCGATGAGGTCGCCGGATCGAGCCCGGCACTGGTCAGTGTTTCTTTTTTTGCAAATTTTCCCTTTAATTTTTAATTCGTCTTTTTATTTAAAGCAGGGTTTTTTATTTTTGTCACCGTAGTCTGGCGGGGTCTTTCGAGATCGAGTACAGTGGTGTGTAAAGTAGATTACACGTCTATTTCAAAGAATCATGGATGTAAAGAGGAGATTAATACCATTCTATATACCGATGTTATATCAAAGCATGTACAAAGCTTCGATTGACGCAAGCAATAACAGAACACAATCGTACAGCCAATTTTGTGTCCTCCAGCCAACAATAGGTGAAACTCAAAACACCGAGGAAGTATAGATGCAATATACAGTTGAAAGGAGACGCGAGAAAAGAAGGAGAAAAGATATTTGAAAAAGAATCCATAAACACACAATGTCCTCAAAAACAAAAGACGCCATGCCCAATGTATCACCCAGTAAAGTGTAAAGATCCCACAAAATACCGTACATAGAATTAGAACGAGATAGGCCATAATCATCTTCTCGTCTTTCTTTTTCTCGTTCCTCCGGCTGACCACATATACCATTATATCTTCAATTCGGTGAAGACAGGTACTGAATTATAACGTAATAAAAATTTGAAGGGCGTATAACGACAGTGTAGAAGAGAAGAACTTGAACATATGCAGTAAAACAAGTCCCACACATACTTGCTTTTTCGCTGGTCATATGACACGAAGAAGGGAATATGTCGAGGGAGGATTGAATCGAAAACGCCAGTATGCGAGGTATCTCAGAAGTACTTTTCCTAACTCTTCAGCAATGCTCAAGTGTCAAAAAGGTCGGTATGCTGAAAATTGCACTTTCATGTTTGTTCCTGTCTAATCACGGCGACCTCTAGCCCGGTCCATACTGAACCAATCATCCCGTTCAGGGCGTTGAAACCCCTGTTGACGACGGCTAGCGAACCCGTCTCGTCGAGGACGTTCAAAGCGCCATTGGGCGCCTGAAGGTGTACCAGAACTGGCAGCATCATCATATCTACCCCTAGATGATCGTCGTTCTTCCATCCGCAATCCAGGGACTCTATCATAACCAAGCTTTGAGGCCATTGATGGACTCACTGCCGGGGGTTCAGGAAGGCCCCATCCGTTCTTGGCAAGATCATTGAGAGCAGCGACAAGATTTCTCTTGCGACCAAAGGTACTGCTGTTGGCAGACAATTGAATACGGTAAGCGTCTTCCTTGACTTCGTATGGGACCAGCTTCAACGCTGCTGTAACTTGGCTTATGGTCTCAGCAACAGGTCCGGACAATGAGTCTGGCTTGGACATATCGGCATTGGCGGCTTCAATTGAATTGTCTTGTTCAATAGGCAGGTCACCCAACTGTTCAACAAATGATCTTTCTTCTTCATCATGGATGAGAACCCATCCTTGACCTTCTTTGCCGGCACGACCGGTGCGACCTAATCGGTGAATGTAGGATTCTCGGTTCCTAGGAATACCCACTTGGATGACATGTGTGACATCCGGGAAATCTAAACCTCGCGCAGTCACATCAGACGAAATGAGGATTCCAGACTCAGCACGTCGGAACGCATCGGAGAAATGGGTTCGCTGGGCTTGGGAGAGTTTGGAGTGAATATGGAGGATCTTGCGACCTAGAGGGTTGCCGCTCCGACGCTGCATAGGATCACTGAGCAACGCGCCAAAAGCTTCATGTGCTAACTGGACCTCAACTGTGGTGTTGAAATATACGATAGCTTTCATTGGACGTAGGTTCTGGTCTGCGGCGGCACGATCCATATACCTTTTCAGGATCTCAACAATTGTGGGATATCCGTTCTCAAAGCCTCGAAGGAACACCATTTTCTGAGGCACTCTCAAATGCGTGGGTACCTCGTCTTCGGAGACCGTTTTGATGAATTGAAATTTGGGTTTCATTGACCTGCGCACCATACCCATGACTTCACGAGGCACTGTTGCAGAGAACATGAGGGTCTGTCGATCCCTCACACTCGGGTCAGGAAGTAGGTCTTTGATACTCTCGATTTCTGGACCAAAACCGTCGTCCAACAATCGATCAGCTTCGTCGAGGACAAGGATATCAAGATTGGGCGCAGCGACACGACTCCTGTAATCCGACAGAATATCTTTCAGGCGACCAGGAGTAGCAACGAGAACATGGCAGCCCTCCCTTCTAATGCGGTTCAATCCCTCTTGTTTCCTTGTGCCGCCCACAGCCGTCTGAACGACAACACCGGTACCAGCCGCAACTTTCCTAGCCTCCACGGAAATCTGCTCGGCGAGCTCACGAGTGGGTGAGATTATAATGGCGCGGATATCCTGGGAATCGGGTCCATCAAATCGGCCACGGGATCTCTGAACGAGACTGGGATCATTGGTGATGATTCTTTGAAGTACAGGAACAAGGAAGGCAAGGGTTTTGCCAGTACCGGTCTTAGCTTGAGCCAAACTATGGAAAGAGAGGAAAGTCAGTTCATGATCTTTGAAAAGGATCGATGGTCAGATGGGACCCGGAATCTTACACATCAGCGCCTGTAACGGAGTGAGCGATGGTCAGTTTCTGTACATCGGTCATGGTGTTGATGTTCATCCTTTCAGTGATAGAGTGAATAATGCGTGGATGCACGTGGCCATGATGACTCAGTTGTGAAAACTCGGAAATGGAACTGAAAGACTCTTGCGGCTGAGTCTCAGCGGCAGCAGCATTGGCCTGTTTCAAAAGAGCGGACTGAAACGATCGGACTTGACGAAGGGACGATAGCGTCAGGGGCAATGCTTTTTGAAGATTTGCAGTCAAAGGAGATGCGACTCTAGCAGACTGCAAGACCCGGGGAGCGCATGTTCGAAACGCTCTCGCCAGGGCCGGCCCGCGATGAACGGCGTTGTACATGCTGGAGGAAGGGAAATAAAAGAGGCTAATCAAAGCCTTATAAAAATTCGGTCTAAAAACACACTCCTGAAGATTGAACGATGAAGAATGAAGAGAGAAGTTACGGGTGATGGGTGATGGGTGATGAAGAGCAAGCAAGCAACGACCGGAAAGATAGGGACAGCAGGAGAAAAAAAATATTCGGAGGCCAATTCAAATTGATTGCTACTATGCGCTAGCCTGATATATCCTAGCGCTATCCCTCCGAATTAAAGAGTGGGCCTGTGGCTCTTGATTGGTGGATAGCTCGGACCCCAGTCCCCATATTCCATCCTTTCGTTGACTCTTCATCCTTTACACTCGAGATGCCAGATTCGAGGGCGATCGAAATTGACTGGCAGTCACATCTCAGATCCTCAGTAATACTAGCCCAGTTTCAAAAATTTCTGCTAATTTGCAAGACCCGCATCCTTGAAGATGCAGACTGTCTCTTCCAACTGAGCCTCTGGTGTCCCGAGAGAAGGGATAGCGGTGTTATTAGGACCGCTTGCTTTCTCTTGACCAGCATGCACTGACTTTGACTTCCATAACGCGTGTATAAACCCTATTCTCTCTAGAACGCTTGCAGCCCGACTACCCAGCTCAGGCTCGGCCAGTTGACTGCGTCCTTGCGAGCCGCTCAAGAAGATCGGTATACTTTTGACGTGTTCAGGCACAACAATCCTGGAAGCCACAATTCCTGGTTCTGCATGCTCATTTACCGGCTGCAAGTTCGGGGTGGATGGATGATCCGAAGAAGAATCACCCATACTCCGTACCTGCTGCTGTCTCTGCTGCTGGATGTACGCTTGCTGCGCAGCGGCAATAAATGTTGATTTAAAGAATCCCGCCGCCTCGTCAACTTGGTTGCGCTCTAGTAAGCCTGTCAGAGTCTCGGCAAAAGGCATCCAGCCATTTATCCCTACAAAACCACCAAGCTGATGATGAACACATAACAAAACGACAGTCCCCAGAGCTGCTCCCTGCCCAATTCCCGCTATGAAGACTTTCTGGGGATTATTATCAACACGTTTAAGTTCATCGTCAATAATTCGTAATATGTATGAAGCACTCTCTTGGACCGTCATAAGCTGCTGAGGTGATTCCAGCTGTACGTTTTCGAGAGAGGCCATCTGAAACCATTCGGTGGTATTATCTTTATTGTTTCGATACAATTGCCGCCGGTCCGCCTCCGTCCAGTAGAAATGCTTCGCTCGAGCGGATGGGAAGACCCAACGAGTGTTTGGGAAATGCTGGTACAAGTTCTTTCCTGATGTCGTTGTAGACTTTGCAAAATAGTCTGCAAGCTCGGGTCCAGTGCTGTCCCTGTCGTGTAGGAAAATAACGGTAGTTTGGTGTTTACCTTCAGGGAAGTATACGTGCCGGGGAGCAAAGACGCTGTTTGACATTGTGCTAAGTATCCACGGATAGTTGAGTCAGGCTGAGAGATACTGTAGGACTCAAGATTTTGTGCTAAGTTCTGGCGATGTTTCAAGGTGAACTCAACATTTTATTCTAGAGAAGCTTGTCAACAAGGCCGTCAATCCACTCAGCTGCGTATAACCCAGGCACAACTCGTGTGACTTCATTCGACACATCGGGGAGCCCACGTAAAAGAGTCGGGACTCACCTACTTTGTCTCCTGGTATGTTTTTTGTCCGGGAGTATAAGGGTTCTCTTGGACAATCGCAAACGATCCGTTTTCTCCTTGTGACAATATTTTTTTTATCTTCTTTGATCTCCTTCAGCAATTGAACAGACAATATATACCAGACTTTCTGAGATCGGAGATTGTAGATGCTGAATTATCAGTCAAATACGTTCGTGAGGCAGCAAGGCTGAGCAAGTATTCCCGACCAATCAAAGAATATCATACTAATGTCGAGTGGTAGCCTTATTCTGGTTGTTAAATCCACGTTTGACAACTTATAAAGATATAATCCATAGCATCCGAGGCCTCACCTTGAATGATGACAACTCGACGGACTTAGCTTCATGCCATCTTCTCTATCTATTTCAATTTTTTATCTCTAGCAGGGATAACCCATGGATTTTACGACCCAAACGGTAAAAGGGGCTATGTGAGTAGCTTTAGAGTCTAGACTACTTAGCGGACAGGGAATAAAGTAAGGCTCAACATGCATCGAACAACGGAAGAGGAGACCCATCATAAAATGATAGATCAGACGATACCACACCTACAAACGTAGTATTATTTGAAAAGTGTGCCGATATAGTGACTACCTGTGACTTCCCAGTTCTAATGTCCACCCCCGAGGTCATAATCTGTTGCTCGAGTAATATAATAAGCTTTCCAAGACTATAACTCACTTACTGGGGCTAAATGGAACCAGATAATTGCGAATTACAAGATGAAAATACAAATAGCAGGCTGCCAGATATGAATCCCTCTTTGTTTAAGGGTTATTAGGGTTATTCCATACTAGGGTTACAAGGGTTAACACAAGTCTTTGTTAGGGTAGGCAACCCACTTTCCGCGCCACACCCAGAAGGTGAAGCCCACAGTGGGTCTTTTTCATTGCCCCGAAAATTTGGAGATGGCGAGCCCGAGGCTGACTTTGGCACAATTCCATCTGTGCAAGATATTTAAAGGATTGAATGCTACCAAGTCTCTTTGATAGCATACATTCAATTTTTTCGTACATCAGTCACAATCATGGGGATATCAAAAGCAAAAACAGGTGCGCCGGCTCAACAACAGCCATGTCAGCCAAGCGAGGGAAAAGGGTCTGGTCAGGCAGACGGTCTGAGAAGAGATATTCGAAAGGATATGCGAATGAACTTGGTGATGAGGGGTAGCATCGACAAGGAGGAGATTATTCTGAGATATACCGAAGATTATCCTGAGAAGGCGGATAAGATTCGAGATATTGTACATGGGTAAGTCGCATTTCCTGACTGTTAGCTTTCTCAATGGCACTGACATTAGGCTTTAGATACGCAACTGTCCTCGAAGACAAAGCAGCCAGCAAAGTTGATAAGTCGTCAGAGCCTGCAAACATGCAGATAGAATCACCTAAGACAGAGGCTGTAAGATACCCCAAAAAGATCCAACACATAAACATGCTGATACAAATGAAATAGACATCTGGCAGCTCTGCTACCCCAAGTGACTCTGCCCCACAGGCCACTGAAAAGAAAAAGGAAAAGAAAAAGGACAAACAAAAAGAGAAGAAGAAAGAGAAGCAGCCTTTCGAAAGGGCAAAAGAGCCAGTTCAGAGCTTGAATAATGCTGAAAACAAAAAACGCCAGCCGAAACAGATCTTAGAGCCAAAGAAACCAAAATTCGAACATCAACCGCCCCACATTTCGCAACATGAAGAACCACTATCCAAGCGACAGAAGGCAAAGAGAGCAAAGAAGTCAAAAGAGAACAAAAATATAGTATCAGAGCCCAGCGTAGAAATGAAAGCCAGAGTGGAAGAAGCTGAGGAACACGCAGATCTCGTGCAATCCACTAATGCAATTCTCAATGGTAAGTGTGCTGCATTCGTAGGGTCATTCCCAATCAAACCTAACCAACTGCAGAATTCAAAGAACATTTGGCTACCCAACGCCTGGGCTCCGAGGAAAACAATCTCCACTGTTTGTCGAAGACACCGGACCTGGAGCGTCAACTTCAATTCTTGAGTATTGTCGATGAGAGCTCAAGTTCCTCGGACGAAAGCCCTCGTAGTATCGAGCATTCAGTATTAGTTTCTCCAACTCTCGAGGACATGGGAAACAAAATGCCGTCCCAATTTGGCCTTCTAGGCCACTTGGCTTCACAACAATCTGAAGACCTTGTTGACCCAAGGGTGATGCTCAATACAAACACACCGTTCTCTGCTTTCATCTGTGGTCTGCAGGGCAGTGGGAAGTCACACACCACTTCTTGCATAATAGGTAAACTCATGTCAAAATTCTATGCTAATTACGTTTAACTAATGAGGAACGCCAGAGAACTGCTCGCTTCCTTTCCCTGCTCTCGGGGTACTAAAAAAGCCACTTTCAACCCTTGTTCTTCACTACAACGAGTACAGCTCCAATGTGAGCAATCAACCAAGCGAGGCAGCGTTTCTTGCTTCTACAATGCCAGAATACAGCAATAAATTCCACAAGACTATTCCAGTGAGGGTCCTCACATCACCTTCCAATTTTCACAATCTCGAAAAGATGTACTCGCAAATCCCCAGCATCAGCGTCCACCCGTTTCGCCTTCAGCCTCGTCACTTAAATATTGCAACGATGCTGTCGCTTATGTCGATGGGCAAGAAGGATTCCAAGCCTTTGTACATGGCTCAATTAACCAGGATTCTACGTGAGATGGCGCTCACCAACAAAGGACAGTTCAAATACTTCGAGTTCCGTCAACGATTGAAGGATCTACGATTGGACAGAAGCCAGACACCATTCTTGGAGCAACGCCTAGACCTGCTAGATTCCTTCCTAGACCTCAAAGGAGCAGACAAGACCAACGGGGACTATTTCGTCGATGGCGGAGTCACGATTCTGGATCTTTCCTGTCCATTCATGGACCAAGATACTGCCTGTATTCTCTTTAGAATTGCCATTGATCTGTTCTTGCATGCCCATCCGTCTCGTGGAAAAATGATTGTAGCTGATGAGGCACACAAGGTATGTGCTTGTTTATTTCCACGATTTCGAGCCATTTACTAACTAATGCTGTTACAGTACATGACCAACACTGAAGCTGCAAGCGCACTAACAGAGACCTTTCTGAACATCATCCGTCAACAGCGACACCTGGGGACTCGAATCATCATTTCAACACAAGAGCCAACCATATCACCCCGTCTTATTGATTTGTGCTCCATCACTATTGTCCACCGCTTCTCTAGTCCGGAGTGGTACCAAACCATAAGGAAGCATCTTCCTATTGAGTATAAGAAGGACAACTCAAACCAGGATGGTAATGGGGATAGTACTACCTTGGATGGGATGTATGAGATTTCAAGTCTCCGTACTGGTGAAGCACTGGTGTTTGCGCCGTCCGCACATCTTCTGGATGGCCATCAGGAATTAATGGATGTTAAACACAAGGTATTCAAGATGGTGATTCGGAAGCGTGTTACTTGGGATGGTGGTCAGACTATCAAGGCTGTTCGATAACTTACGAATTACCGAGTTTGGGGCGGGATGTGTTTCTTTGAATGGGTTAGGTTAGGGATTTAGATGCTGTCATGAAAACCACCAATAGACTAGAATGTTTACGACTTCGATAATAGACCGTCATCACTTTAACTCTTCGATTGACGAGAATCCCGTATGATTGGTTCAATATTTCTTCAATGAAAAGATTGGGGGCCGTTCCGCAGTGGAGTCGCCAACCTTATTTCGACCGTTCATTGATTGGCTGCGTCGTTGGGGATGGGGGCTGCAGAAGCTGAAAATTGCCAGAAAAAGCAAAAGAAGAATCAATCTCTTGGAGCACATACTCCGATATACGAACTACGCGCGGAGCCAAGATTGTCGTGCAGCATTGCATCGAATACCTAGTGGCTATCAGCACCGTGGGGCCATGCTGTTATTTACTAAGGATCGTAACGTTAATAATTGGTTTTTTCTTCCTTTTAAAAATCGCCGTTGATGAGGAATTATACGCTTCATAGATTCTCGTGCCATCTGCCTACATGAAATGTAGCGAGAATTCGAGAAGCGCTATTTTTCTGTTACGCTTCTTAATTTACCTTCGTGCTTCTTCGGCGACTGACTTGACGAGGGACTGTAGCCAAAGAGATCATGGCGACAAATATTACTGTTCCATATGTCGCAATTGGCGACTTCGACTGGGGTTTGAATCTGGCATCTTCGGTCCCTTTACCTTGGAATCAGACTATCTGGTATGCTTTACCCTATTCTTGTATATACCATTACCTCGACGTCTCTACCTCAAATAGAATTGATATCGTCCGTCTGACGTAAGAAAGGTCCCTAGTTGCAGTCTTCACCGCACTTCCTCTATGGATGACCCTCGAACTCACCGTTTCGGTCCTCTATGTCTTTCGGCGCTGGTCCGGTTTATATTTTTGGGCCGTGCTTGTCACAACATGGAGCATCTCCTTACACGCAATTGGCTTTCTACTGTCGTACTGCGTTCCTTCCTGCAACTGGATTGCCAGCTCTCTCATAACTGAATTTGGATGGGCCGGAATGGTAACCGGATTTTCGCTCGTCCTATACTCGCGATTGACTCTTTTGAGCTTTGTCATGCGCAACCGTCACATTTCGAGAATTGCACTGGGCATGATCACCACGGATGCGATATTGTTCCATATACCGACATTTGTGGTTTTCATGGTTGGTATCTCAAGTCCGGCTAATTTTGTAAAGTATGTTCCATACATGAACATCGTCGAACGCATTCAGATCGTCATGTTCTCTGTTCAGGAACTCATCCTCAGCGGACTATACATTTACGGGACTTTCAAAATGGCGCAGGATTCTTTCAATAGCCGTATTCGCAGAACGATCGCATTGCTTATCACTGTACAGATTATAGCTATTTGTTGCTCTGCACTGCTCATCATATTGGATTTTGCGGGTTATTATATCCTCAAGTCCTTTATTCACTCCTTTGTCTATGCGATCAAGCTGCAGCTAGAATTCGTCATTCTGAATGAATTTAGACATCTTGTTACTCAACCCAAGTCGGGATCAGGAACAGACGAGCAAGATTTGATGATGGGACCGAATAATTGCGCCATGCTTTCGTTTTTGAAGAAAGGGGATTCGTCGCCGGGAGGACGAAATAATGAAACAGATTTGGGGATTCAGGCTGTTTGAGTTCAGATTTCCTCATATCTATTTATGATTCAGCGTTGTCCCTGAATTGGAAAGTTCATATTCGCGCAGCAGACACCATTTACAGTTTGCGAATTTTCCGTGTAGAGTCGGAATAGCTGGCAAACAGCCGACGCTCGGAGTGCGAACATCTGCACTATTCATACCACCGGAACGATTGAATATGGTGCGGTACTGGAACCTCCAGGACTTTCTGGCATGGTATCAATGTCCGAAGCGAACATGGATGAATCCGTGAAAACGGGGAAAAGGAAAGGCTACTCGCTCCTCGACACATTTCATATCGCAAACATTCGTTGAGCTTGGCAGATACCAAAGCTTGGGGTTCTTTCTAGCAGAGAATTGTCTGTGGCAGACAATGCCCTTGGTTGCCCTACGAGGCTTTGAGCAAGTGGAAATACCAGTGATCTTGTGCCTGGTACTGCCTACCTAGGTAAACAGTGGTGCATCAGAGCTTTGACCTCGTGAAACTCTACTAAACTTTGTTGCTCGCTACCTAAAAGCTAAATGATGGAAGCCTCGTATTCACGGGGCCTGAGCCTTTCACTATACTCTCTTTGTCCAAGTGTATACACACAGTGAGGCTGAGGCTCAAAATAAAGAATAGGAGTATTTAATAACTGAAGATCATATATGGCTAGGTGTAGTCAAACCACTCTCTATCCCTCCCCAACCATTAGCTACCTTTCAAGGTAAAATTTTGTAATCATCAGTTCAACATGGCGGATATAGGTGATTTGGCAAGTGAGTTGGTTGGAGAAGTCATTTCTTCAGGGTAAGTCATTCAGAACCCATTAGTATTAACATGCCAACCGTTAATACAAAAACAGAGATCCCCTCTCGGCCGCGGTCAAACTACTTATTAAGGGAGGAATAACGATTGCCATATTTTACCTCGACCGTCGAGCGTGTCAGCAGTTCCTTGAAGAGATCCAGACGCTTTTTGTCCGGCTGACCAAGCTCCAGTATCTTGCACCACTGATACCTGCCTCACAGCAGGAGGCCAGAACGGCTCGCATGGGATGGATGATGACTCCGGCCGGGGTGGAGAGTTTGTTTATGAGCGTATATACTGACATCAGCAATGCGCGAGAGCGCTTTGGACACTCAGCCGAACGACTCAAGTCATTCGGACTGCAGGAACCGGTCGTGGTGAATCTCAATTCTCCCTCAAAAGGTTCTGAGATCCGCAAGCGCCTAGGGGCAACCTGGCCGCCACAGTACCGCAAATGGATATTGCAGCGCGTTAATCCATTTCAATTCATGCCGACAATTGCGAAGAAAGATCTAGGTCGATTTGCTCTGGGTATGGTTCGCAAATCGGTGCGATCGCCGGCACATCCCGATCTTCTGCTCGCACGCACCCTCGGACTAGCGCAGTTCTGTGGCCTTGAGGAAGTAAGTCTTGCAGATTTGATTGAGCTAATGGCACATGCATGTCACTACGAAAGGGTAGCGAGACGATATATTGCTGCCGTGTTCGGAGTACACTATACCGTTTTCACAGGGTATGCGCTAGCAAGCAGCTTGGATGGGAAGCTACTTGGAAGTCTGGAAAACCCAATCGACAACTTTGCTAAAATAGCAGAAGGATTCACTGGCTCTTTGACGCAAATCGGAGCTGTGGAATCCGGTAAACCCCGAATTATCGGGGCTACGGATATGCCAAACATCAAGTTCAAGATCGATAGCGGAGTAGGGCCAAAGCAAGGCGAGCCTATTTACATGATATCTGGTTGGGCTGAAGTACTTCGTCATCGACCGAAGAATCACCCGCATGTCCGCTCAATGGCCAAAGACCTCACTGTGGGACTGGCAAAAGATGTAGGTAAAGCCTTCGTTCCTGCGCCACTGCTGCGAAAGATGAGCAATCTGGGACGGAATGTCTTGGCACGAGATGTGCACGGAAACAACCTGTATTTTTCTGCCGAGCTAGAGACGATCACTGTCAGTATCAAAAGGACCCCAGGAGGCCGACTAGTTGGGAAAGTTTCGCAGTTTGGCGACTTTCGACCATCGCCTTTTGGTGGACAGGGGGTGTTTGGCGTGAGATGTGGATGCAATAAACCGGAGCCTGGAAAGATCATACAGGGTTCCAAACTCAATGGATGTCCGCTGATGAGCGTTCACAAATATAGAGCGGGTGAGAAGCTGTTTATAGGGTATGATGGGACGGTCTTTCACTGGACGGCTGGAGATTTGCCCATGATTCTCTCCTGGGCAGACAGTCACGTTACTGGAACATATATCCAGGTAGCTGAAGAGTGTGTATATTGTGCTACAAGTCGAGCATTGGGCACGGGTTGTAATCTAATCATAGCAGGAGGATGGTGAACTGATAATACCAGAATCATACTTCGAGCGTAGAAGCATTACCCCTTTCAATCCAGTCGTCTCGCTTATGACCCGGGCCGTAATTCTTGATGGAATTAGTAAGCGGCTTTCCTCCTGTGCTTGAAGAGCCTTGGATGTCAATGGGTCACGGAATTGGACCGACGTCTCAATAAGTAGGCTTGGAACAATTCATCCACTCCCCAAGCGAGACCCGCTTACAGGAATTTCTACTCGCTATTCTACTCCATCTGGACCCATCTCATGTCGTTTGCCAATGATGCGCTGTGTTGGACGCATTCCACAATTTCTTCGCACTCGCTTGACTTGATCAACTAGCGCAGCTCGTGCCTTCGTAGATCTCACCCCTAGACCACATCGATTGCCACACCGCTGGCCCACAAGCGCACATTGGACTGTGATAGAACAATATTACTGCCGGTTCCTCATTCACTGTCCGACCCCTATCCAGATTTGGGCTCGGCCCATTACATCATTGGATGCGAAATCACTCACCATTCCCGTTCAAACTCGCTCTTTGTTCGCGATGACTCGCCACCTAGAAGTAGAACTCGTACTATCCTCAACCGGAACGAAACAGCCCGGGTGACTTCGCTAAGAGTATAAAGAAATGAAATCTCAGCAGTTGAAGGAAGCAGCTTTGAGGGAAGCGTTCGCAAGATCAAATCAAGATGTACTCTGGTTTTTCAAGCTTCTGTAGCAGATAGAAACACATGCTAAGTTAGAAGCGGATGTGCTTATGCGCTTACACTACTGTGTCTCCCTTTTTCCATATCCTTTATCAGCCGCTACAAATCTGTAAGCTTATTTATTGAATAATAGAGAGTATTCAAATATGTAGAATCCCTCGTTGAATTGGTCACCAAGTAAAGCAACAATATTTGCTGGTGGAAGTAAAAGGACCACGTTGTTTGTTCGCTTTCAGCTTAGCATAGTACGATGGCCGTATGGCGAGGATAAATGCCGCTCCAGCTACAAGTCCAACTGCTATGCAGGACTAAGCCCATGTGAAGTCTCAAAGCAGAGAGGGTGCGCTATACCCTTTGGCTAATGTGGTGGTGTACGAACAGGGTCAAGGTGGGTTGTTTTAGGGTTAATCTGTTAGATTGAACTAGGCTTAGCTTTGCCCCACTTGTCCGCTCCACGACGACGTTTGTTTACACAACAGCCAGTCAAACACCATTTTACATGTCAGCAGCGAATCTCTGTTACAAATTTGCATCCGAATAATTCGGTAGCGATAGATTTCAATACACTGCATGAAGCTGCAAAGACCGCCCTGACCACTCAATCAGCAGTCGCAATATGCGCTGTCCCTAACAGAAAAGCCGTGCACAAAGTCACCAATCCACCGTCTTGGCCGCATAGCAACATATCGCCTTTCACACAATATATAACCGCAAGAAAATGGCACCAATATCATTTTTAACAGATACCATATTTTGTTTCGTCCGCGATATCTCCTCTGCTTTCATCACGCTATCCTCATCAACACTCGTTGCACGATTTGATCCATTACCAGAATCCACAACGTCACCGTCCTCTCTCGAACAAACGATACACAAAAGACAAAATCAAATCCTCTCTATACCCGCAACATATGCATTTCTCAACACTTCGCCTACACCTGGAACCGTCATCGGTGTCGTCCTTGGCGTTGTCGGCGGCGTCGTCATTCTCGTTATCGTACTGTACCAAACACTCGGCTGGGGCAACACCAATGAAAGCATAGTAGTCGAGGAAGAAGTCAGTGAAGTTGGTGTGGTGCGCACGGGTTCAAGGCGCAGTGCAGTGCCGAGGCCGAGATCAAGTCGGCCCGGGGGCCGTCGTGTTGTGGACGAAATAGTCGAAGTTCGGGAACGACCGCATTCGAGCAGAAGATCTGACGTGGATGTAGATGACGAGGTTATTGTTATCGAGGAAGATGGGACTACAGGTACACATTACTCGGATGACGTCGTGGAGGTTGAGGAAGAGGAGAGTAGTGTCGCAACAAGTCCTCGTCCGCCACGCCGAAGGGGAACTGGTGGAAGTTATAGGAGGGTTGATCCATTGGCATACGGGGGTGGTGATGAGCCGTATAGGCGCCCTCATCGATGATTTTAAGAGGTTCTCTTAATATTCTTTTGGCGTTATTTTGGGATTGAGTTGGTGGGATCGGATAACTGCATGATACGATAATGTTCTCGGACCATCGGGATTAGAAAGCTACGGTTTACTGACAGATGATACTACGGGCCAAATGGACTGTTTTTTCCTTTTTTTTTGACATGTTATTATTCCCTCTTGTGTTTTGTTGCCTTCCTGCTTTTCCATTCTTCTTTTCTACCTAGTCCACTTATCTATTTCGAGGAGACATCTTCATTTAACGTTATTTATGTTGTATATAGTTCACAAATAGTTGCATGGAAACGAATTCAACGGATTTAACAATTAGATATGCAGAGTTAGTTCATACCCTTCAAGGAATGTATGTACAAAAAGCACAACGTTAATTGCGAAGCCAATATTCAAGACTGCCCATAAAAGCAAAGCATAAGTGTAGAAGACACCATCAAAAGTCCAGTGTCTGATTCAAAATAATAATTCAAGCCGAGAAAAAGAGCGCCGATTCGCCTGAACCGTTCCCAAAGGATATCAAAACCTTAGCAAAACCTCGCATGCAACCAAGTAGATCATATCAAAATATAAAAATGAACGATATCACAACTGACATCTGGCTTAGATGAGCCAGAAGCATAGATCAGCGCAGCAGCAGATTGCGAATGCAGCAGCTAACCCTGCGCAAATTCCGTCTGACGAACTGTATCCCCGATTGGGATCTTGTGCATAGTAACCCTGTGGAGGATACCCTTGCTGATATCCCTGTGGCGGATAGCCTTGTTGATACCCTTGTGGGGGATAACCTTGCTGATAGCCTGGCTGGTAGTAGCCACCCTGAGGACCTGGCCCGTATTGTGGCTGGCCTGGTGAGAAATATCCGTTCGGTGGAGGGCTGGAGTAGCCGTTGGGGGGTGGACTTTGATAATATGGTGCTGGAGACGGAGTGTGACTTGAGGGATTATAAGGACCGGCGTCTTGATGAACTGGAGCCGGATAGGCTGGTGGTTGATCATCCTGAAGGAAGTTGGTCAGTATGGTTACATTCTGCGTACTCGACGCCGAAGCGGAATTGAAGGCTGAGGTAGACAACATACAGGTTTGTTCGGCATGGTGGAATCTGTGATGAAGACCGTTTGATGATTTCGAAAGGAGGAATGCGATTTAAGCAGTCACGCCTCCGGGTGTCGCCGGTAATGACGAGTACGGAATAGTCAATGGATTTGTTCTTTCCTTGTATGTTCAATCACTGTTAGTTGAGAATTAGTAGATATTTCAATAAGATAACCAATTCATAACTATTTTCAAGCGGGATTCATCGCACCTACCGATCTAAAACCAGGCAGCTGCAAAGCAGCCAATTCCTGGAAGCAACGAATGGGTTCCAGCCTCGGACTTTTGGGATCGTACACAGGGTGGTGCGTCTACCGAGGCCCTTCTATTTAGGTATATAGAAGGACGATGAGACCCTATTGACTCGACCGATAATTATTAATGATTTGAGGAGTTGAAAGATAGATGGCAGTTGACAGATGCAGGCGTTTACGGAGTTAAGCCGATGATACGCCACTTCGTCTGAGGTTGAAGAGAGATGGGCTGTGCAAGCCAATCAGAGCACATTATCGGCTTCTTCGGCCAGCACCGCCACACTCATTGTATCGCCTTCGCATCTACCAATGAGGTCACGGCGTCCGATGGCCGGATTAGGAAGGAGGCTCTCACCGTTGCTTTTTCCTATTTTGGTTGCACAGTTCCCCGTGGACAGGTAGCTTCTTCTACTTCTTTTTGGGTCCTTTACGGAATATTCTCTGGTGTATTGCTAAGTGAGTCAGCTATATACATAATGTTCACCTATGCATTTAGTAAGCCCCCTTTCTCTGACTATATGCAGGCTGCGGCGAGGATTCAATTCCTGTCAAGGCCGTCAACACTGGCGTGGTGTTGATCAGTTCAAAGCTGTCCACTTTTGCACCACTGCTCTCCTGTGCCCATAGGGTGATAGCCACCCAATTCTCGCCTTGGTAATTCAAAATACCTTGTGGAACAGGGAATTCCGTCTGAGGACCAAGCTGCGGGACATATGTCCCATACTGGTATCCGTTGACATAAAGCTGCGCTCGGTATAAACTGCCGCTGCTATCGCCAAAGGCAAAGTATAGCGGAATATCATATCCTTCGGGAAGATCAAGAGTGAAAGAAGTCGAGTAGAAACCTACTCTAGCTTGACTGATGCCCTCCAAGGGACTCGATGTTTTCCAGTCACTGCTTGGAGGAGATGGTTGGTGCCATCCTTGACGCTCAGCATAGAGTCCACCTTCATTCAAAGGTCCGCGAGCAAGGTCAACGTAGTCTTCTCCGCCTAAGTTACCGGTCAACTTCCAGGTGACATCGCTTTGACTGTGACCGGAGAGGTCAAAATTGAGAATGCCTCTTGGAGTTTTCATTGTCTCTGTACCAACTGTCCAGTCCTCTTCCAGGCCGGTATTAGCGACAAGTATTGTGAGATTATAGCTGGATCCAGCTTTCAAGGCCGACAAAGTGTAGCTGGAGGCCGCGGAATCATTGTTTGCACTGCCCGTCCATGATCCCAAGAGTTTATCATTTAGCCATACACTACTTCCAAACCCACTGCCACCTATAGTCTGGACATTGAAGTACTTCTCGTTGCCATTAGCCACAAAATGACCCCGATAAAGCAGGTGACCGGTGTTAAAACCGTAGTCGGAAGCATAAAGTGACACGGGAGTCTTGAGTGGATTGGCAGTGTTATTGGTCCAGTCATGGTTGGCACTGATCCATGCACTGTCATCGTACGTTGCCTGAATTTCAGGCAGTGAGTCGACGTATTTCCATGTCAGCTTTGAGAAGTCTGGCAAGCTAATTTTCGGAGCATTGTATTTCACAGACGCAGTCCAGAATCCGTTGGAAGTCTTTGCATGGTCGTATTGGACACCGTTAACAAACAATCTAGTTGCGGATGGGGGTGCCCCAATAACTTCAACGTTGGTGGTGGCGTTGAAATCTGCAGAGAGGTGCAATTCGTTCCCTTGGAGATACGCGTAACGTACGAGATAGCCGGCGTTCACGATGATGGAGTTTGCAACTGTCTCCTGGCTGGAGAATTCGACACTACTATTTGATGTACTAACTTGAGGGACCCAGTAACTGTACGCCGAGTTGCGGTCTATATTATGTCAGTTGTTGATTTGGAGATGCTATTACCATATTGAAAGCTTACCGAGCAAGAATACGAGTAGGTCATCCACCTTTACAACCCTGCGGGAAGAAGATACATCCCATGCAATGATTGCTTGTCCATTCTGTATCTTGGTCGTTACTCCGGACTTGGAACCATCAACAACCGAGATCTGTGCATTGGACGAGGAGGAAATGGCCAGCTCATGATGTTCCCCTGGTCCACCATACAGAACAAGCGCCTTGTAATCGGAGAAATTCTTCCACGTGAACACCTCAGCAGTTGAATACAAGATATTTGTACCCGCAACATTGTAATCGGTCACATGAATCTTGGAATCACGGCCATTGAGAGACAAGGATCCACTGAGTTGAGGCAAAGTCAGAACGCCGGCACTAGTTGGTACCTTCAGAGTATAGCTGGTCGAAGCTAGACTGGAATAGTCCGAGTGTCGAACGACAAAAAATGACGATTTGGTACTTCGACCGATCAAGGGCGTAACCGTCAGTGCTGACGTACTACTGTACGTGGAATTCGAAGCACTGCCAGGTACAGCATCAAGGTAAGAAGGTGAAACTTTGAGGAAGTTTCCAATCAGTTTCAACTGACTGTATTTCTCACGAGTGATGTTTCGGGATTCCGAGATTGCAGAACCGTAGTCGTAGGATGTGTATCCATCAGGATAGCCCAGGTTGCCCCAATTTGTGCCACCGAATGTCTTTATAAAAAAGGTCAGATATGGACATGGACTAGTATGTTGCTGAGGAAGTTCTTACCATATACAAATTCAAGAATACAGCACCGGCAGCTATGTTATTCTTATAGAAGACTCTTTCAAACTCAGGACCGAGTAAAGCCGTGCATTTAGCGAACCCGGGGCCTTGCCATGGATCGAAAGAACCGCCTTGGAACTACTCGACTGTAAGTGGTCCTTCTTTTTCCAACTAGTGACAATGAAATTTGTACCTCAACAAGTGAAAACGGAGTAGATGGGCTTTGTTGTACATGGGTTTGGCGGAAATACGTTGGTAGATCACCTGCCGGCCATGTCGAAGGGTTGGCCTATCTTGCGTCAGCGAAAGAATACACTGGGGTCAATAATTGTCTCGTGAAACATACGCAGTCAAATCCCAGCCTTTGATAATATCAGCATGAGTACCTAGTAGGGGAGTGAGCACCAACTTACGGATACGAATCATGGCCATAAATATCGACAGCCCCAACGCCGGATCCGGGTGCATTGTGTCCATAGGCGCCTGCATCATTACTGATAAACGGCACGATAACTCCAGCATTTCTAGCTGTGTCTTCAATGTCTTGCATATATTGCGGATCATCTGAATATCCGGTAGCCCAGCCGGAGTACTCATTTTCCGGTTGATAGAGAATGATAGGGCCGCCCTTGGTGATTTGGTTTTTGGCGATTGTTCCAGCAATGTGATTTGCATAGCTAATATACTAAGTCACTTGCTAAACAGTATATGATACTGACAGGGAAACTTACTTCTTGGTAGAATCGAAATAAGCCGGATCTCGCGTTCGTAGCGTACCATTTACTCTCTGAAGCCACCCTGGGAAACCTCCGCCGGACACTTCAGCATTGATATAGGGGCCCGGACGAGCAAGTAGGTAAATTCCAGCTTGTTTTGCAGCATCGAAGAAGGGTTGCAAATCAAAGATGCCCTCTGCGCGATAAGTACCAGGTTTCCCCTCCAGTAGCGCCCAGTCAACATAGAAAGAGACGGTGTTGAATCCTAGAGCTTTGATCTTGTGGAAGATGTCGATGTACAGGGAAGCGACTGGAAGACTTGATTTGAGATAGTCATGAGCGTGGAATTGCGTAAAGGGTGGTTTGCTAAAATTGAAGGACGTACCGGAAAGGATGAACTTCGCCAGAGAATATCATCAGTTTTTCTCCATGGATGTAGAGCGATTGATTATCCCATGTTACCTACTCAGTCAGTACCACGAAATCTTTGGTCTACCTACGTTAATGCGTCTGGATGCTTACAATGTCCTGTAATAAAGCTCTTCGTTCGATATCAGGGTGCCCGAGCACAGTCAAAGGTTTACTCCTATGTGAAACAGCTCTTCCCAAGGCTTGCCCCGAGAGGCAGGCCAGAGCCGCAACTGTAGTTCCAAGAAGAAACTTCATCATTGACGCTCTTGACGATTTGTTAACTGCTTGCTGAACTGGAAAGCATCTTGTTACTGGGGTACGTCAATGCTATTAAATAGCACTGCATGAGTTTCTCAACGGTTACATCAAGCACAATTTACCCGAGAGAAGAAATATTCGGAAAATTGTCGATCTTAACTTGACCTTAACTTACTATGTAGAATGAGGGGGTGGCATCAAGGGATGATTCGACGCGAGATTGGATCTGACCTAATTTTCTATACCTGTTTTCCTTTTACTTCCTTGCGTGGTTGTCGATCCTCCAGTGCGGGGAGAAACATTCTGCATTAGTTTGTAGTAGTTTAATTCCAATGTGTCTGCTCATTATACCGTTTTAAGCAAGCTTCTTTTCTTGCTCGCTCAAATTGTTCCGTCGGTTGTCATTTGACCCGAGAACTGATGATGCAAGTAATAATAGCTGGTAGATATCACTTAAATAGGTATATATCCGGCGTTACTTCTGATGTAAAGATATAGAATACGGAAATAAGGCCTATCCTGCCGAGGTGGTCTAGTTGATGATGAACGAAGGAGCAGTTGCTTCCAGGTATGTAGGAATCGCGCAAAGTTCAGGTGATTCGGAGATGAATCTAATGGGCAATATACAGAATATTGTAATTTTTCCGTTTATTCTCAGGTTCTCAGCAAATTACGCCAGCTTGTACGCCTAGAAAGCTGGAGAGGCATGAGGTGAGAGAAACGCTGGATTTCCCCGCATCAGCCCAATCGGGTAATTTCAGGTTACCTTCCTATTTGGGAAAGTTCTTACAAGGATCTTTTGCTACGCAAATCTTTGAATTCGACATAAATGGCGAAAGACATCTTGAGGCCTTAATAATATAGGAGATATTGTAAATTGGTATACTACGTGATACTACTTAGTGATAGGTAAGTGCTCCGTCCGATATCCTAATTAATGTGACTGTCGAGAAGGCTTCAGCTAAGGGCCTACCTACCTAGGGATGTAGGTAGGGTGTTGGTATTATTACAAAATTCTAAGACAAAGATTTTGAGTCTTGAGTCTTAGCTCCTATATTACTTAAAAACCTTTGTAAACCTTGGAAGAGCGATATTCACTAGGTTGATTGGCAAGTAGCTAACTCATCTCCCTAACTATATAGCATAGAAAAATAAAGGTTTGAAGCAATATATACTCGTAGAGAACACAAGGTAATAGTGAATCATAATCAGAAACGTGTATGTTGATTATTATTATGGAATTAGGTTTCTATACTCCGATGCTCCCCACAGTTAACCGGTAATTATAGGTGTAAATGGTAATAGCCATGGTATGCAATCTTTTTTGTGAAATCAAGAGATGCTGAAAGTATTCAAAGTATTGGCGAATATAATGCTGGTTGATGCGAGATACGTGCAAAGGAGTAAGATGAGCGGAGCGCAAACTAGTCCGACTGATGGTAGATTTGCAGAGTATCGCGAACGGTCTCGAAGGTGAGCTCCAGGGTTGCCGTGATTGTCTAGGAAAGCCGAAGAAATGCGCTATTGCTTCCCAAGCCAGCGGGATTCGGTCACTCAAAATCCTTCTCTCGTACATTGTCGTGTGCGTCGCCATGCCCATGTCTCGACAATGATACAGAAGGTGTATGGACAGACAAGTGCACATCCGCATCTCGAAGATTCTCTCCTGCTTGTCGTACTTGCTCGCCAGTCTCGCGCAAATCTTCCCCGGTATGTCGAATATCATCCGCAGTACCTCTGAGGTGAGCGCTAGTGTCTCGGACCTGGTCCCGTGCACCTGACAGACGTTGCCCCAAGTTTTGAAGCTGATCTCGAAAATGATGTTCCGTCTCGTCACGGGTCCCTTGAAAACGCTGTCCCAGATTTCGCAGTTCATCACGCATGTGATGTTCCGTTTGATCGCGGTGTCCAGAAATTGCACCTCGCACAGCATCAAAGCCCGTCTGAGCTGCACCCTTGGCATCAGCAAGCAAACTTCCCCTTGGCCGAAGACTTGAAAGATTTTCCAAACCACCCCTTTTCCCTCCACTGTCCGAAGCTCCAGCCTCCATCTGAGTTCGGACTTCTTCATACATCCTCTCAATGTTATGAATTTCATCCTCAACATTCAACATGCAATTTTCTAGACAAAATTCTCGTTCTCGCTGTTCAATGTACTCGCGTATCTGACCCCAGGCCTTTTCTATATTCCTCTCTTTGTGCGGAAGTCCGGAGCCTCGTAGGTAGGTCAAGATACCTGCCATGATGGTGTTGATAGCTCCAAATGCTGTTACAGCACCATGTGGACCGTTTGCGGCACCGATGGCCGTCAGTGCAGCAGCAACCACGATCTGAATGCCCAAGCTTGTGTTAATCAAGATGTTGAATACGCGGTAGCGGAATGCCGCGGCCTGCTCTGCATTCACAACTCGTGTATAGATGCCCACGTTCGGGGCATTTCTAGGAGAGAAGAATCCATGGCTGGAAAGTACAGGAACGGAGTCAATGCCGGTCAGAGATCGAAAGACGAGGAGTTTGTTATCTGGGGGAATTAGGTTATGCGTATGATGAAGATTGTATATTTGACTTATTCGTTCTCTCTCGTCTAGCGGTAGCGATGGTGGAGGCTGTTGTGGTGGTTCAAATTGAGTTATGCCAACACCGGTGTACGGCTGCGTAGGTGGTGGATGTATAGAGTTCTGCGCCTCTGGAGGGAAGCCCTTTTCTTCTCGGTCGAAGGAGAATAACCGACTCATGGCGCGTAGCGATGTAAAGGAAGACAGCTGTCTGTAAAAGGGTATGCGGGAAGAAGGCTGTCTGTCGGGCTCCATGCACGCAACCGGAGCACTACCGACTCACAGGAGGAGGCACAGGGTCGCGAGGGAAGGATGCAAATCTACGGTCAAAGGATCCGAAGAGCCGCGAACTTAGGAAGAGAAGAAAATGTGTAGGAAGGGAAACGTGTTTGCGACACGCGAGTGAGCATTGGTCCCGAGGAAAAAGAAAAGAAGCTGTCAATATCATTAACTAATCAGCTGGCACCTTGTGTGCTGCATGATGCAAGCGAGGGCACCGTCTCCTTTCTAGCGTGTGCTATCCTATGACTTTCTTGTGTGTAGTATGCATCAGGATTTGAAGCTCGTGCCGAGCTAATCAAAAAATCTTTGCTCATCCCGGCACTTTAGTCGCAAACTGCACCTGCTTGCTCCAAGCAGCTCCATCAGCATTGCTTGCATGGTATTGTAACATCGAACTTTGACGGAGTTCTCGGCGATCAGTCTAGACTCCACTGGCATGGGACACACGGGTCAAAGCCCCCGTCTAGCTCAAGTTGGCTTTGTTGAGGTGTCTTAAGATTTTGCACCACTTAAAAACCCAATGCTAGAAGACTCCAGATCCTCTCAAAGGGCTTAATCTCCTAGGTCTCTATTCGGAGTATTTTTTCTCCATAGAACTGAATCAAATGATAGAAGAGGTTATGCTGAATAATTGGACGCTCTTCACTGAATCTTCAAGCTAAAATCAAAGAAGATCGAGTAGTTAATATGACGATCTCTTTGATGAAGACACTGAAATCCCAGAACTTCAGCCAGCCTTTGAGTGTTTGAGCAACGAACTGGATGATCCGCACGGCTCGCGGGAAGGAATAGAGGGGCAACTAAGCCTAGGGCGGTAAGATCTAGGTTGTCGGTGGGGAGAATTAGTGGATGCGGTGGTTTTAGGGGCCACCGAGGCGGCGCTAAAACTATATATTTGAGTGCTACGTGCAAGTAGGTTTGCTTGTATACTTCTTCTTGGCAATTTCGAACTGGTATTGATTCATGAAGATCAATGGATTATCTTTGCCTTGAAATGGAAGACTGTCCGGAGCGAAATGTCACGATTGGTTCAACAGCGGGATCGTCTGGTAGACGAGATCGTATCTCTGGATTAATACTCCGTAGTATCATATGGATCTGGAATATAGTTCATTCCTCTGTTATGAGGACCATTCTATTCTACGTAGTAGGAACTACCAATGTTCACCCCCTGTGTATAAAATGAGTGATATACCACACCTCGGAAAGCTAAGTCAACACAGGGTAAACCCCGTATAAATCACAAGACAAAAAACAAGAAAAAAACTCCGAGTAGAAACGACAGAGTACTCTGTCCAACAAAACTACATGACGTGTCTGTTGCACCGGAAAACAGCCACTCAGTACATATTCTTGGAAGCGAAGTAAAGAGTAGAGAGGAAATGCGAGCGAAATGGGACTGCTTCCGCCAAGTTGGCGGAAGCAGTCGCCAACCATGCAAGACGCCCAGGTTGATCCTTGCTGTTGGTATGAACGTACTTTTTTAAATGTATGCTGCTGCAGTATGTTATGTAGCAAACCTGATTAGAAAAATGCAAATTCAAAACGACATTTAATATTGCGACCAGAATGGGAAGCCTCGTTTTTATGCTTAAAGCTGCCAAATCCAACGTTTTACTCTTTTCGGCGATCCAACATTAAGTTCGGAGCAGACCACACACGAGTACAGACTATACATGCACTCCGTAAATAAATAGGTCGATGATACCGATCAACCAGTTGATTGGTCGATCTTATTTGTTTCATTAAACGTGACTTTGTGTATGTTTACACGTCTTTGGATAGATATATTGGCTGCCTGGTCCCGTGACTGAATAACCCTATGTTGGAAGTAGTTCAGATTTTCACCATGCACTTTCTAATACAAACATTATCTGCACCAGAATCAAGACAATCGTACTACGAGTCGTATCAAAATGCCATAAGACGGTTTGTGTTCGTTCACCTTTTTCAGATTTTCATGTCGGGTAGCTAATCATATGGCTAACCCATGAAACAATAGCAGAGAAGAACCAAAATTACATAGAAGAAAATAAGAAGAATAAACAAGGCACCCAGGTTACTGTTTTCCCATTTTCATGCCCGCTATCAGCTCCAAAAAAGCCTGAACAAAAGGGGTGGGCTGTAAGAAGATAGTAATGGAAAAAATGGACAAGAAAAGAAAGCCAACCATAAGAACTAGTTGGAATACTTTTCAGATGTAGAGGCAACCTCTCACATCAAAGTCAAATAGATCACAAGTTAAGCAAAAAAAGAGGTGGGCGAGTAAAAACAAGAGTAAAGGAGACGTGTGAGGAGTTGAGATGGGAAAAGATGTGGAAGAAGAGATCAAAGACAAAAATGAGATGAAGATATGAAAAATGTCTTATCAGAGTTCGCTCAAGGTACTCGGGTAATGAAAACTCTTCCGAATCAGCAATATGCAGGAAAACGCGCTTTCTGTGATAACAAACATGCAAATACGTCGTCGTAGAAGAGTATGTTACCAGAGGTCATATGGGGGTTTTGATTTATTGAGCTGGTTAGGTCGGTCTGGTAAGAAATTAAATCTCTTACTCTGCGTCCTCAAGGGCAGCTTTCTTGAGCTCATCGGCGGCATCGTCAGCACCATCTTTCTCTTGCTTCGCTTCTGCCTCAGCGGAAACGTGGCCGTTCACGCCAGCGTTTGTCTGAGCCACCTTCTTAGCGTGGTCGGTAGCACGCTGGGATTCTTCTTCGAGACGCTCAATCTCCTCTTTGGCCTTCTTGATATTCTATTCGAACGTCAGTGGGTGACTACGAAAATGCATCGTGCGATGGGCTGAAAGCCCTAAACATACCTCTTCAGTTTTGGCGGCCTGATTCTTCTTCCATTCAGTGATCTTAGCAGCCAACTTCTCTACGACAGCGGGGACATCAGCCTGGCTCATAGGCTGGTCGACCTTGACCTTGGCGAAATCCTCAATGACACCAAAGCTGAGGTTAAACTTGCTGTCAGCAGCAGGGGCAGGTGAGGCATTGCCGCCCTTCTTGCCCTTCTTTCCCTTCTTGCCGCCGGTACCAACGAAGTAATCTTCTTCGTCCTTCTTGACAACCTTCATACCCTTGATACCTGACTCATCGACAGTACGTCCAACCTCGGCACGGAAAGCACCGCCTGCAGTCTTCTTGGTGTCGTCGAGGCCAAGAGCAGCGAAATCGTAGTTAGGATCAAAGTGACGGATAAGACCCTGAGCAGTCAAGATCTCGTCGGTGTAGGCGGGTCGGGAAGCCTCCTCCAACTTCTTGTCAGCAATCTTCTTCTTCTTCTCACGTTCGAAAGCTTCACGCTCGGCTTTTTGGCGCTCTCGGCGAGCACGCCAGACCTCATCCTCGTGCTCTTTCCAGGCTTTGCGCTCCTTGTAGTAGGTATCCTTAAGCTCACGAATGGCGGTGAACTTAGCCTGCTGTTCTTGCTGCAACTTGGTACGCTCGTCTCGTAGAGAGTTGAGGTTCTTAAAAGCGGAATCCTGTTCAGCTTTGATAGAGTCGAGCTCTTGCTGGATCTCATTGTATTTGTCGCTCAAAGCACGGGCCTCAGGGTTGTCAAGGGTCTTCTTCAATTCGGCGATTTGCTTCTTTAGAGCATCAATATTCTTTTGGCCATCGTCCAATCCGGCAAAATTCTTTCGCTGCTTGCGCAAGCTGGAAATATCGGAAAGAGCCTTCTTCTCATCGACTAAGCGCATGTTACCGGAATCGACCTGTTTCTCCAAGCGAACAATCTCCTTATCAATTTCCTCGACGTTCTTGAAAGCGATCTTGCCGCGGGAGTTGTTCTGCTCTGCAACACGGGCCTTGAGGGTGGCATCGAGGGCATTGAGCTTCTCCTGAGTGCTGGAACGAGCAGATTTAAAACCTTGTTGTTTTTGGCGGATGGCAGAGAGCTCAGCACGAAGCTCCTTTTGTCTCTTGGCAGCAGGTGAGTCTTGGTTGTTGGGCTTTGCACTTTCGATCTTGGCCTTGATTTGGTTCTGTCGATTGAGGCATTAGTAGACAATTCATAGCGCATAGATTTCCAGAAATGGGCGCACCAATTTCTCTTGCGCGGCGGTGTGTTCCTTTTCGGCAGCAGCCAACTTGGCCTTGTAAGCAGCCTCGTCGGGTTTTGTGGGCCGAGTCTTCTGCCCGACAGCAGCATCTGTGGCAGTGGAAGCCATTTTACCGTACCGTCGACCTATTCAAAAATTCAGATAGCATTAGCATGGAGGTATTTAAGAGCACAATCGTGGGAACATGTGAGAGTGAGTGACAACAACAGTGTCGTGTGCAGGCGATCAACTCTACAGAAATTGAATGAATCACAAGGAGCAGGGAATCCATTGAACTGATGACAAGGACTTACCAACCGAGAAAGATCAAGCAACCAGAAATGAGAGGAAGATGTCTCAAAGGGACAATTGCCAATGATCTCGCAAAGGACAGAATTCAGACAACAACTGTCAACATGAGGCTTTTGGCTGTAATTATTTTTCTCCGTTCCATTCGCTTCGGTTCTAGCCTCTTCCGACACCGCCTGCGCTTAGTAGGCTTAGCGCCCGCTTAGCTGATTAGAACTTCTTTCTCTTTTTCGCCGATCCATCGTCTCCAGAAATCATTGTCTGTCCACACTCACGACTACTTTTGCAGCTGGCTGACGATCTGCTGTGTTGTGGAGAGTGTGCTTAACCTGAATATTTGACTCTACATCTAGAAAAAAAAGAAGACCTCCCATCCTTCGACCAGTCAAGTCTTATCTTACGTCGAGGGCGCCGCGCCGGTCCCTGCAACAGTCAATATGGAGGAGGACACTTCACCAACTAGTCAGGAAGCTAGAAATGAGATGGCCAGGTTATGGCGCACATGGCGTACAGTTCATGAAATGCTACGAGACCGGGTAGGTGATGATCAAGCGCTATTGCTTTTTCTTCATTTCGATTTTTGCCTCTAATAATAAGGTCGCTTTTCATGCTACAGGGCTACGAAATGTCTGAAGAGGAAGTAAAAATTGATTATCAGGATTTCGCGAATAAATTTGGTGGCGAGCATGGATATCCTAGGTATGCTTGTGACTTCACCTGGAAATCTAACTAGGTTTTCTGACGTTTGCAGTCGCGCCAAAATGACCATTGCTGCTATGCCCTCCGAAGCCATGAAAGCCAAATATACCCCACTCAAGAAACGAGTTTCTGATCCCGACCCTGTACCCGACTGCGGTCCAATATACGTTCAATTCTGCGAGGACACAACCGGTGTAGGGGCCAAGCAAGTGCGAGCATTCAACCACCTGGTCGACGAAGGAAACTACCACTCCGGCATATTCATCACACGAACAGCCATTTCACCGTCCGCCATGCGTCTCCTGAGTAGTGCTGTAGGCCATATTTGCGAACACTTCCAAGAATCAGACTTGTTAGTCAACATTACACACCACGAACTCGTGCCCAAACATGTGTTGTTGAGTGCGGAGGAGAAAGCACGATTGCTGGAACGGTATCGTCTCAAGGAGTCACAGCTTCCTCGAATTCAGGTGTCGGACCCAGTTGCGCGCTATCTCGGTTTGCGGAGGGGCCAGGTTGTCAAGATTATCCGAAAGAGTGAAACGGCAGGTCGATATGCAAGTTATCGCTGGGTTATTTGAGCTTTGTGTTTAGGTACGCTCTAAAAATACACTGCGAAACGAATAAAAGTAGCAGTCACAAAGACTCAAGTCACCAGAAGAAAAGGGAAAAAAATCAAGAGCATGGCGTATTGGCGCAATAAGGAAATGGTTAATAAGCCCAAAGAAAGGCATGCAAATCGGAGAGCTGGACCTGAATGGTTGATACCAAGTCCACCTTGAATGTTATCAATTGAATGTGCACATGTAATTTATGCTGAGTGGATGCTAGTTCTTTATTCCCAATAGATTCAAATTCAAAGGATTTGATGTATTGTCTCGAAAAGTATATCATTAAATATTCATATGTACATCTAGCTGTTTAAAGAAATGGATGTGTAACTATTCCATACCTCTGTAGCAATAGAATGGGTATATCCGCCAACGCCAACGCTAAATGAATGCAAGAACTGAAAAGGGAGACATAACCTCCCAGAAGAATACCAAGCCAACAAGAAGAACTTCTAGCCTCGCCGAGATGCATAGCTGCAGCCGTTGATATGCACAAAAGAAGATGGATTAGATTAATGTTCGTATGTGTCGTTCTCTGTTGTAGAAGTAATGTCTGATGTAGTCCTTGGGCGTGTTGCAAGGCCGCCTACATCTTGTAGGAACATATCTACACCTTGATGATGATGATAATGATCATTTCCAGGAGATGATGTAGTGTATCGCGGCGTATGAAAATGAATCCGAGTCTGATCAGAATGTGTTGTCACTGATGGTATACAAAAGGGTTCCGTTTGGTGTCGAACAAGCTGCATAGCATTAAGCCGTGGTTGTGACGGTGACGGTGTCTGCGACTGTTGCTGTTGGCGTCGTGATTCATTTAAAAGACCACCCACATCATAGAATGAAACACTGCGCTGCAGAGTTCTAGGACTCATCCCCGGGTCATTAATATCAGCAAATGAAGGAGGAGGTATTCCCGTCAACGTCTTGCTTGTCGTTGAACTGCCCGTCATAGTATAATCCTCTATGCTGTGCGAATCACTCAGCGACCTGTCGTCGTGATGATCATGATGGCGATGAATGGATTCCCCGACGACAGGCGCCGGACGCATGACACTCCGTTGAGTCGCATGCAACTCCGGATCGAGTCTGATACCTAAACCATCGACTAGATCTGCATCGCTGCCCCAATGGTGTTTGGTAATGGTAGTTCGTCTAACAGATGAATGATCGACGCTGCCAACCACTGAAAGCGAGCGTTCTACTCGTTTGTACTTAGCCCTTTTCAGACCTCGGTCACGTAAGAATGACCCAATGACCACAAAATTAGCGACTGCTGTAGCTGCGAGAATCTCAAAGGAAGCGACTAATGACCGAAAATTTTGGATCCCGTTTCGTTGAATGACAGCCGGTACTCGAAATCCCGTGATGCCGACTAGGAGGAGCGATGATGCGAATAAAAGGGTGAGTTGGATCTTGCGTTTGACTGACATGGCGGAAGCCAGAAACAGGGATACAGGGAGTACGACAAGGAAGATGTCGGTTAAAATGTCGCACACTCCCATCGTTAGCAGGTTGGCATATCCCAGCCTGCAGTACGGGCCAGGGTCCGGTGTGACCTGCCAGTAGTGAGTGAAGGGGTGGCATTCAACCAAGGTTGCAATGACGACAACTGCAAGTGTACTCGCAAGAAAGTACTCGATCAGTCGAAGTGAGATTTGAAACGTTCTTGTCCAGACCATACCAGTCAGTCGTCTTAGGAACTCACAGACTGTGTATTTGGCCAACCAGATGCTATTGTACAAGAAAATGTTAGTCAGATTCGCTCGCCGAATAGCCTGAGTTAATACTCACTAAACAGCATAGAAAACCCTCGCCGCTAACACAAGCCGACTACCTATTTCTCTGTGGTGGATATCCTGCTCTAACAATCCCTCCGTTTTGGCGTTATTCGTCCCCCAAACCAGGACCAGATGAACTAGCGTCATTCTCGCAATCAATGGGATGGCGCCGATCATCATGACTTTATCTTCGGTAAAGAACCGTTCTGTTCGTTTATAGCGGCCGATAACCCTAACGAGGATAATAGCAAAGGATGCAGCGGTGCACCACCAGCATACTAGCAATGTGGGATTGTTCTGGAGCGCAGTACGTGGATCCGGTGGGACATCTTTATAAATATCTCGAGGGACGAGTGAGAGTGTTGACATGATCACGTTCTTTTCCCGCTGGACAAGGCTTGCCCAGGTAGGCACCTTTTCCTTAAGGATTATGACGCTGGTTGATTGTATTGCGCAGGTCGCCTCCAAGGTCTGCACGGCTGGAATCCATCAGTGTTTTAGAAATACTTTCTTCGTGCAAAATATGTGTATATCGATCAAACTCCAAGCCCGGATGATACCAGAGCTTGGTAGTTACCCCTGTTTGTCTCTGCAATTGTGTATATATCGTAGATTTCTATACAGCAACAAAGCCGGGGAAATAAGAATGCCCCAACGATATGCTTTGGATGCACAAATGCGAAGAGATCAACAGAATCTATAAGGGACTCCAGTTTAGACTCTGTAGACAACTCAAGGACCGAGCAGAGAAACACGAGCACATGCTGTTGATGACCAGGAGGCGTAGTTAAGGGCTCACGAGACAATAAGTACTTATCAGATAAGTAACTGGCGCTAGCAATCGTGGATGGAGCAATCGACCGAGGCGGAGCGTCAAGCTAACTGGTTTAGCGGAAGAGTACGAGTCATTGTCCCAGTGGCAGCCAAGACGGATACCATTGCTATCAATTGAACAGCAGATAAAACAAAGATAAAAGGATTTGGGTCGGTGAGGTTTTTTACAGATGTCCCCTCCACTGGAGCTATGCATTACTTTGCTGGATAAGCGATCCCTCGTGATCCGATCGATCCACAGGAGATACACTGTGATTGCTTGCTATACGTACTTTGAAGTGCTGGTTAATACGTCAAACTGAAAGATAAAGCAATCCGCTTCGAGTCATTGGCTGATAGACCCGCCGGTTCTGTAACAAGATCGTAATTATGACTCGGGAGCATAAATTACAAGAATAAAACCGCGCACTGGCCGTGCGGAACGAGCGTATCAGAGCCTTGGACAGCCAATCAAATGCCGCGGCCACGTGCCAACGGGCCATTAGCGAGCCGCTGCATGCGCCATAACTCTAATTGACTGTGGTTATTACGTTACATACGCATGTCTGTACTGTTACACGGATTCTTCCGATCTTAGCGTAATTGACTAACCCATTAGTAACTAATCCCATCTTGCATGTCTATCGAATCGCAATTATCATTATGCTGTGATCTTTGTCTAATACTCATGGAATATATGAGCAGCTACGTTGCACTGGGTCAATGGAAGCCGCACATTCAGCTCCAGCTTATCAAAACTTTAAACTGCCGACAGTTTTAGGGTTTGAGCTTTGTCTTCGTGCCTCAAATTCAATTTCTCAGCTTAGTTTGTTTAAGCTTTGGCTTGGCCAAATTGCTATCCAGCGCATATCTTTCGCATATCTTTAGATTCTTTACGATAAAGGCACGAATTATACTGAATATACCGCGTCAAAAACAATGTCGCATTGAGGCACTCACGATGAATCCTGCGTTGGACTCTGGGTTATATATGTTCATTCTAGATCCTATCATGGCCAGCCTAGATACTGATATAACAAGACCATATGGGAATGGATTATACAACATAAGAGAGGGTGCCATTGGCAATTGTATACCCACGTCTTGTCCCCAAATGGGACTTTTACAAGAAAGGACCTATTTAGGTAATCGACCTGCATAATCTTCCTCCCTTACAAAGAAGATCATTTAGCACAGGCGTCTCCACTCACCATCACAAAGCCAATCCTCTACTACACCTCCTTTGGATATATATAACTTTCATTGTTCAACCGTCAAGTAGGCTCATCACATTGATACGCTGTTGAATTTCTATCCATGCCACTAAACCAAATTCAGGCAGTAAGGCAACAAGGCAACCATCCTGACATAAGCAAGATATGGGGCAGCCTATCTCCGCCGCTAAAGCTTTCAGAAAATAAAATCTCAAAGTCAGCTGTGCAGCTACAAAAAAAGGATTATCTGTTGAGCCCCACTATCATTTTACAATGGGCAAGGGCAAAAAGGTAAGATACTGATATGAATGATATATTTTCCGATTTCGATATCATAGAAACCGGGTCGCGTCTTGCTAACCTCCAATCGCAGGGAAAGAAAGGTGGCGGACAAGCCAGTCGACCACGTCAAGCTTGGACAGATACACCTAAAACCAATGAAAAATATGAAAGCTATTACAATGACCATGGACTCATTCCAAAAGAAGAACAAGATGCTTTCTGGGCCGCCTTGAGAAGAGAGCTCCCCAACAGCTTTCGCTTCACTGGCTCCCGAGGGTACGTCATAATTCAGTGTCGCTGCCGCATTGTGTATACAACATGAAGCAGTACTAACCGGCGTGATCCTTACAATAGGCATGCGCTTTCTGTTAAGAAGACGCTTGTTGATTATCACATCCCACAAATCACCTCCATCACCTATGAAGGAAACGTCGTTGAGCCTCCAAAGCCCGTTCCGTGGTACCCAGACGAGTTGGCATGGTACATGACCACACCGAAAAATGTCATCAGACGCTTTCCTCCCTTTTCGTCCTTTCAGAAGTTCCTCGTCTCCGAAACAGAGGTAGGCAACATTACGCGCCAGGAAGTCGTGAGTATGATTCCGCCTCTATTCCTCGACGTTAGACCCGGTATGACAGTTCTCGATATGTGCGCCGCGCCCGGAAGCAAATCTGGACAATTGATGGAATTGCTACATGCCGGAGAAGAGGAAAGCATTCGAAAGGCCGCTGCGGAGGTTGAGCAAGACACTTACGATGAGTCGCATCTTCCCGAGGGACTGCGAGATTATGGTCGTACTACTGGTCTTCTCGTCGCCAACGATAGTGATTTCAAACGAGCGCATATGTTGGTTCATCAGATGAAGCGATTGAATTCTCCGAATCTGATTGTCACAAACCACGACGCAACTTTCTACCCATCTATCAAACTTCCCTCGCCTACCGGGGAAAAGCAACCCAACGTTTACCTCAAATTCGATCGCGTTCTAGCGGACGTCCCTTGTTCCGGAGACGGGACAACCAGGAAGAACCCTAATATTTGGTCTGATTGGAGTCCTGCCAGTGCGCTCGGTTTGCACGCAACTCAGATGCGCATTCTTGTTCGGGCTCTCCAGATGCTCAAGGTTGGTGGACGCGTTGTCTACTCCACATGCAGTATGAATCCAATCGAGAATGAATCCGTTATCGCTGCCGCTATTGAACGCTGTGGTGGGTCATCGCACGTTGAGATCATTGATTGCAGCAAAGAGCTCCCCGATCTAAAGAGAGTAAATGGGTTACATACGTGGAAAGTCATGGATCGCGATGGTCGTATCTGGAACAGTTGGGAAGAAGTTGAAGAGTACAGAGAAACCCAAGGAATTACTGGACTTGGCCGTTTAGCAGCGACCATGTTCCCTCCGACAGAGGATGTCCATCTCGAACGCTGCATGCGTGTCTACCCTCATTTACAAGATACTGGCGGTTTCTTTATCACAGTGCTAGAAAAGAAGAAGGAAATTCGGGCCAAGCCAGAGGATATGACAAAAGTTATACCAAAAGCATCGGTTGCTGCTGTGGTGGAAGAACTAGACAAGAAGAACCGCGACGGTAACGACGGATCTATGGATAAGATCGAAGCGCTCGACGATATAGTGCTCCCCAGCGAAGGAACGAGAGGCAAAGACGCAACCGTTGCTGAATCTTCCCACCAGCCTCCATACAAAGTAACTTTGGACGAACCTTCATCGAACGGGAAGCGATTGGCTCCCGAACTAGAAACTCAGATGCCAGTAAAACGTACGAAGCTTGAAGATGGTACGGAGGCTATCCTCGGCGATCGGCCAGTACATTCTCCCCCTCCATCTGCTGTGGAAGGCCAGGAAGACACTACTGATTACCCGCGAGTGGGAGATCCCAAGCAACTGGATATGAACATCAGGGCAGCAAAAAGAAAGCCGGGGTTGCCGTTTGAAGAGCCTTTCACTTTTATCGACGGAAAACAAGAAGAAATTGAGAAAATCTTCAAGTTTTTCAATATCTCTGACCACTTCCCACGGGATCGATTCATGGTGAGAAATGCGGCGGGTAGCCTCAGCAAGACCATTTACTACACGAGTGCACTGGCACGGGACATCCTGAGGGAAAATGAGGGACGAGGAATCAAGTTCGTACAGAGCGGAGTGAAGATGTTCGTGAAACAAGACGCTCAGAGACCAAACCAATGTCAATGGCGCATTCAGACTGATGGACTGCAATTGGTCGAGGCCTGGGTTGGACCCGAGCGTACCGTGACATTGACCAAGAAGGAGACACTACGGCTTCTACTGAAAGAGTTATTCCCGCGATTGGACAAGAATAATTACTTGCATTTGGGAGAAGTGGGAGAAAAGGTCAAGGATATGGATCTTGGGTGTTGCATATTGAGAGTGGAGCCAAGTGATATTGAGGACGGATTCCGGTAAGACTATAGTCAAGATTATTCTTTTTACACGGGGACTAATGCTGTTTGTAGGGAACGAATGGTCATCCCTCTCTGGCGATCAATGTACTCTGTCAACCTCATGCTTCCCAAGGAAGATCGTCGTGCGATGCTTCTTCGGCTCTTTAATGATAGTGAGCCTGTTGTCCATACGCAAGTCAAGAAAGGTCCAGTGGTAGGTGATGGAGAAGCTGATTCGAGTGAGATGAGCGAGGCCGTCGTAGGAGACGCGGTAACAGCCACAGCCGACCCGGAAATGGTATATGACGAGATTGTAAAGGACATTCCTACCGGCAAGACGGAAGAGGACATTATCAAGACGGAGAATCTCCTTCGTGGAGAGGAACAGGAAGACCTAATGGCTAAAAGGGAAACGTATCAACGTGATGGTGATGAAGAGGATCGATTCAATACAACGGTTTAGATGACTGGAAGTCCAATGAGCTATATGATGTATATGTAATAAAAGTTGGATTGCGGTGCTATCTCCTTGCTTGCGTTGATTCATACCGTAGATCATAGTAAGTATGCAAACAAGTCTGTAATCTAGTTGCCTGTTCTGAAAATAAGCTATTGTCCCCTCCTTCGTGACTGATTCCGTCCAGCCACACGAATCGCCACGTTAAACGATGCCGCGTATTGATTTATTTATACATAGAGGACAGCTCATACTCCCTACTGTAATATCAACCAAAATTCTAGGCAGTCAAATTTATTAAGCTGTGGTATTAAAAACCCAATGCTTACGCCCGAAAACCCCCAGACCCATGCGGATTGGGGCTGTGATAGCGCGCCGGAGCGGGAATGGTGTACGAGTTTTCTAAGCTTCACCAGTAGCCCTAAGTAACGATCATAATGTGGATAAGCTTTAAGTGTTTGATCTGCAAGAGAACTAATCTCTTGTTGGTTATTTCCTTTGGGTTTGTGGATGCTATTTTTGTAGTGTGTGTATTTAGGTACATAGGAAGAGTATAAATAGGGAGTGAATAGACGCTAGAATGTTCTCTCATTCCCTTCTCTATCTTGTACAAGTCTTAGAAAGCTTCTCATTCCTGATTTTCAAACAATATCTATCGATTTCCAAGGTTATGATTCTCGAACTTTGACCAATCAACGTTCGGAGGCGGCCCATATACAACATCGTTATTGTATCAACCAGTCATCAAAACACACGAGCATTCTTCGAAATGGGTCTCATTAAATCTGCACTCTTAGTCGGCGGTGGCATCTATGCTGTAAAGGCTGTTACCAAGTAGGTTGTAATGATATCCCTACAGCTTACCTAGTTCCTTCCGAGGGGCTTCGAGTGACGGACATTGACTAATTGTCTCCAGGAGCCACCACGAGAAGAAAAAGGAGAAACAAAAGAACCAGAACAACATCCAAGACATGTACCCTCCTCCACATCAACAGCAGCATTACTACCAACCGCAATATCACCAGCAATATCAGCAACAACAAAGAGTGGGCCAAGGAGAGGGCTACGACTATACCAAAAGTCGCGAAGGGTCAAATATCATGCAAGACTATGGCCATATCAACGGTCAACCTCGAGGACAATTTTCGCCGCCATCATGGGCTCACCCTGAGTCTTCGCAGTCCCAGTATCGGAACTATGCCGATGGACCACTCATTGACGGACCACCAGCGTATGCTGCGTACGATGAAAAGAAAAGATTGGATTAAAGAAGAATTATCGAGATGATTTATGTTCATTTCAGTGAACCCATGCCTTTGTTGGATAGAAAAGGATTGCTCTGCGGGTGTTGTTTTTGTGTTGTTGTCTTTCAGAATTAGGGTTGAGGTGGTCACGTTATTTTGCATTGTGCCGCTTTTATTGTGACTCTCTCTGCTCATGCCGAATCAATGATTTTTAATCAAAGAAAAAGATAAGTCGAATACAATCCGCTTATATGATCTGTCAATTTCACTTCAAAAGGTTTCGTATGTGGCTGGAGATACTCGGGATTAACGGATTCCTTACCCAGGCAATGAATATGGCCTAATACCAAAAGAAGAAAATGAAGGCAAAAACAAAAAATAATTTCATACACCGTATCGAGAAGATCTGTGCTACATATAAAAAGCTGGAGTGCGGCTGACATCCGCCCTCTCCAGCGCCGCCAGACGCGGTCCCAGAAGCGGTCTGGGAAAAGAAAAAGGAAAGAGAATGCGCCATGACCCCCTCATGCCAACGTTTTTCCTACAATGCCGATAGTGACCGGGTTATTGACCACTTACCTAGAAAATGCACGACAGGGGTCGGATTAGATTGTTGCCTGTAAGACATGGCATATTATATGTAGTGACAGAGCGTGGGTTGATATGGGCGTATTCAATCCGAGGGTGTTGGCGGGGACCATGTTGGCAGACTCTACTAGTCACCTATCATGACGTTTACATACTTGTGGTGGATACGGAGTTGCTTAGTTGAATATACGTACTCTATAGATGTACATGTAGGGCGTACAAGGGTTCAAGCTAATGCAATAGGCATTTGCTCTCGTCCGAAAAGTCCGGAGATACGTGGTTCAAACTGCTAGAATAATACCAATTGTTAATACCACCTGAGCAATAATCTTCACGTTTTGAGTATAACCTGAGTTTATCCAATCAGCTTTTGCGATTGGATGTTCGGCGTTTCCAACGTGATGGAGCTCTGATCGTTTATATTAAGCTGATGGTTCGCCCAGGACACTTCAATTTTACATGATTACATTTGTAGTTTCACATTCTTCTTTTACTTGCCATTCACGGATATTCGGGTTTTCTTCGATACGAACAGCCATTCAAATGAACTACCATAACATGAAATCAGACGTCCTCTTGGTGCCAGGCAACAACGACATGTTCAATAACCAGGCCTGGTTTTACAATGATCAGAACTTGAAAGATTTTCATAATGCAGTTATTTCTGTACGAGATCTCTTCTAATGCTATTGACGAGGTATACTAACAGACAATAAGGGCATCCCTCCATCATCTCCCTTGAATAATGATGAACTATCATTCGAACATTTCGTTCCACCTTCAGTAGATCATATGGATTCTCCATCTTCAATAGCAGCGGGCAGTCCGGACCTATCTCACCCTCAACGAGATGGTAGTAGCAAATCATGTACAAAGAAAGAAAAGTCGAGAAAGTCACGGTCTGCAAAAACACCCACATCTGAAGAGGATACGCCAGAGAAGAAATCAAGAGTCCGTCCTTATACTTACCCATGAAACTGTCATTACTCATCTAACTATCTAACAGAGAAGAAGAGAACAAAACCGCCTCGCACAACGCACATTCCGTGAGCGAAAAGATAGATATATCCAAAGCCTCGAGTCGCACATCAAACTTCTCGATGCCAGCCATAAAGATCTTCAAGCATCATATCGACAATCTACAGATCAAATCAATGCGCTTTACACACAATTACTCGAGATCCAAGGTGAACTGGATTATTGGCGATGTCTTGCGCAACCATCTACGACCCAAGCCACTGTGACGACGACAGCGCCGACGATAACGCCGGTTGAGGCACATACTACGAGACATCAGCGTCAGCATATTCCGGTCATTCCGGGTATGCATATACAACATGGGCAGTTTACGTAGTTCTTTTTTTCTTTTCTGTAGTCATGTATAACCCCGGTATATTAATGATTCCATGGGAGTGTGTGCGATATAAATTGCAAAATTTGGCGAATAGGTTTGGATTTTTTGGTCTGGTCGCTTAGATCAGCAATTAGAAATGGTGTTATACGTTATGTATGATACACGAGTACATACAATATCATTATAATGTATGATAAGCAGATTTGAGGTCGATCAATTCTCCCATATACCTAGGTACCCTCTTAAACTGGCACTTTCAACATGAATTTGGACTGACCCGCATATTTCGATATACCAGTATAATCACACCTGAACCATTATTAAACATCTAACTAACCATCTAGTAGCTGATCAGCGCTGTCCCCTATGTACAAGCCAACCCTTTATGCACCAAACACCTTCCTAAAACGGAAAAACTAACGCTGCCACCCAACACTAGTAAATGCCACTATTTGTCCTACCGATCCGATACACTTTCCCAATCCGCTGCAAGTCATTTGTTCAGCTTCTGACATCTGTCGTGTTCAGATCTCTTGATGTCCGTGCTTTGACACCTGCTTATTTGACAGGAAGACATTCTCAGCCCTACTACCTGTAGTCGTCACTATACTGGGAAAACCATTCATTTACCAATCTTAGTACCTACGAATTACCTATTGTGTATAAGCTTAAGGTATGTTGCTACTTCAAATTGCAAAATTTAACGCCGGTCGCCGGCGAGAGACAGGTGTACGCGCAAACTGGTCAACCTATTCTCGTTCGTGATGTACGTGAAAAAGCAGTAGTACCCCGCTTGTTTATATTATTAATTCACGGAAGAAGCTATCCACAGGCATAAATCTTCAGCTGTCATCATTCTTCCTGTTCAAAATAAGATAATAGCGCTAGTAATAGAAACATGCCCATGTAACTGCCACCTGTCAATATCATCGCCAAGAGTTGTCGTACAGTTTCATACCTGTCTACGATCTTTCCATGCTACCCTATGCATATTCGGGATATCAAAGAATAAGGGTCTCCTTTCTCCTTGAATCTTTTCTGACCGGTGATATCCCATATTAGGTAAGTGGTGTGGTCGGTCTGGACTCAGACCCAGAAGCGACGCCGGAATGTTGCCGAAACTGCGCCTACGTATACACTTTCTTTAAACTAGTATAGGCTAATTGGATGGGATTTGCCGGAATAGGAAGTATATCTCTTTTATTCTTTAGTTTGAAGATTGAAGAAGTAAGATAGATATATCGTGAGGACACTGCTCTTTTCTGGCGTTATGCATGGCGCACTCAACCATAAACGGAAGGTCTTGAGACGCCGTGTTGATTTACCTAGGTACTACCCAGTCTATGAGGTAGGGCTGCGGTGGTAACACGTCTGAGCCACATGAGCTACAACTTACCTACATGAGATATGATATTCAACTCAGTATCGCCTGCTCGCGGCCCCTGAACCTATCGCAACCATAGTCTGATCTCTAATATGTAACCACCTGGACACAGGCAAAAAGCAAAAAAGGGTGTAATAAAGGACACACCGCTCTTCCCTTCTAGAGTCTTCGCTTGCATACGTAGTCATTGACAGGATTGGTTGTGTACGACAAGGGTTGGGTAGTCAGATCCAATCATCGAAGTCCAAAGGGAGGGTTTGGGTAGGCTCGTTGCATTTCACCGCTTGAACTTGTGGTTTGGCTCTCTTCAGGTTTTACGTACATTTCACAAGGTCCACTAACTGCTGGAGAGGCAGTTCGGTGCTATTTTTGATGTCCTTAGGATTCCAAGAAATCTGGATATCTATTATTGGATGGCAGAAGCAGAGACTGGGGCGTTTAAATTCCTATGAAGCTAACATCGGAGTTTAATTGAGCAGACTTTATGAGTGGTTATTCAAGACAGGTTTGAAGTTTGATCTATGTAGAATCTATCCTAGAGTAGGACTAATGTAAAGTAACCCTAAATTAGCTTTATTTGATTATAGGACCCTTCTGTCATTGTCTGCTTTTGCCTATGACTTTTGTGTCCTCTCGAACTCTCATGCAACGACCTCGTTAGCCTCAATTTCCTTTTCTTGCTCCTCCTTCGACGACTGTATCGGTGTATTCGAGTGCAAATTCTCAAGGACAACCCGCAACTCCTTCAGGAATCGAGTTACCTCCTCTTCCGTGCCCACTGTTATCCTCAAGCAACCCTCACATCCGTACTCCTTACCCCGAAAACGTACCACGACCCCTTTTTTCTCAGCCATGGCTTCATACGTTGCCAGCGCAACAACGTTATCAGGTTTTCCATCCTTGTTAAGCATCTCAACAAGCAGGAAATTCGACGCCTGACCACCGAGGAATCGTCCAACTCCAGGGATCTTGGGCATTTCTCGCAACATCCGATCACGCTGTTCAATAATCTTCGCACAATTCTTCCGCATAACAGCAAGATTGGCTGGTGTAAACGCTGCTTGGGCAATTGCGCTCGTTGGACTGGAGATGTTATAAGGCGCCTTCATACTATTTAGCAACACCGCAATCTCGGGGCTCGAGAACGCAGTCCCCAATCTGATACCGGCCAAACCAAAGGCCTTACTGAGCGTCTGCATAATAACAAGGTTGGGCCACTCATTAACCCATTCCGCCAGACTCGACCCTTCGGGCGCAAAGTCAATATATGCTTCGTCCACGACAACGATACCGTTCCACGTCGGGTGTTCGAGAACTTTTTGGATATCCTCTTTTCGTATCAAGTTCGCTGTCGGGTTGCCAGGTGAACAAATATACACAATCTTTATCCTGTCGTCGGCTGATAGCGCTTCGTTGATTTTGTCGGGCTGTAGTTGAAACCCGTTGTTGACGTCGAGTGGTACTTTGACGATTCCGACATCATTCACATCGGCGCTGACGGCATACATTCCGTATGTTGGAGGACAGGTGAGGATCTTGTCTTGTCCCGGCACGCAGAAACATCGTAGCAAAGCGTCAATTGCCTCGTCCGATCCGACGCCGACAAACAAGTTTTCTGGTTTCAGGTCTTTCTGTGTGTGTACCTTGGTATTTCGGAGGTTGCAGATCAATTGCTTCAAATCGATCTGGTGCCTATACGAACACCCAAGACCTTGTCAGTAATTACATTAAAATCTTTGACAGTATGTATGACTCACGGATCAGGATAGCGATTCAATCCCAAAAAGTCAACCTGCGGCGAAGTACTCGTTGTCGCGGTACCTTCTATATTCCCATCTCTATTTAGTAACAGACCCGGTCCGTAGGCATTCTCATTGGCGTCGAGTAGGATATTTGTCCCGTCGTCTTTGTAGTCACTATTCGAATGGTAGAGTTCGTTAGCTTGCATATAGTATTATCTTCCCCCCCTCATCGGAGGAGAATCGGTGCCATTGCAACTTACTCTCTGGCACATCGGTAGGGGTGCAATTTCAAGATATTTGGTCGCGCACATTTCGACAGATCAAAGGCTTGTTTTTGTGAAGCCATTGCGATCGTCCGTGGTGATTGGCGTCTTGTTGAATGACAGAGGGATTGAAGATAGGACAAATTCAAAACAAATTTTGGTTGAGTCACTCCATAGTGGGGAACATCCTATGACATAGTTAGCTCTCGCCGCTTTTACCCAGTATATTTGTCAGTGGAATGATAAGTCATGCTTCAATTACTGATCATGAAAGAAGTGAATGAGCACGCATGAAACACTGTATGTATGCTTGTATCAATTGAGAATGGAGTGTGCATTCAGTGCTATGTACATGCCTGCTCACTGAGAAAGCTAAGATTCTAAACAATATGTCCCTGTAGATATTTGTTTTTTTCATTGAAATTTCTTTTATTATTATCTCTACTTTCCCATTCTTTGCACATTCCTCATACTTGGTCAAATATTAATGAGGTCCATGTCCTAAGAAAGTGCATGGTTGCTGCCTCAGGCCGCTTTAGGGTTTTGTACGTTTCGATCCGAGTTTGATGCTGAAGTTAAGCTGTGAGAAACACCTAAAGACTCGAGAACAAGTATTGACGATTCTATAGGACGGTGGGTCACGATTTTGATAACTTACCTAGGACAATTTTAACCTTAAAAAATCCTATTACGCTTGCAATCAAGACATCAAAAAGCGATAGATATGCAAACTCGTTTAGTAATCAAGGAAAAACGCCTTTGGAATTACCATCCTACACATACAATCTACAGGAACATGGAAATCATCGGGGTCAACCGGAGTATTTCCTACGTAATATTGGGCGGGCAAATGTTCCACTTCTGAATCTTATGTCGTTGTTGTTGAATAATCAGAATATTACAACCGAGACTGTTAATGAGGATTCAATAATTCATCATCAAGATTACCAATATGTTCCAATGCCTGTCCGAACATGCGACTCTACTCAAGGTATATATTTAAGACACAAACTTCTGCTGAATTGAACAAACACACCGGGTTTCAACAGCGATATTCTTGGGACTACAATTCTGTTCTACCGCATAACGAGGAATTGGGACCTTATAGAGTTGGGAGTATTTCATAGCAATGTCGGCCTTTCCTATGCATCAGCTCGCCCGTGCGAGTGTTCCAGCATTCACTTGTCCGCCAGGCACCAAAATGCATATTTTGAATCTAGGAACCATGAATGTTGACGAAGGATGGTACGTCTCACGATGCCACTGCTACTGGGTGGAACTCCATTAACCACAGATTACAGGCTCCTCATAGGCGCAAACGGGAGTTCTTCATCTAACCCGAATCCTACGAACAAGAGAAGGGATTTAATGCTTATTGCTGGTTTGATTGATCATCCGGAAATGGGTCTGGTTCTCTTTGAGACTGGTGGTGCTGAAGATGTATACAAGGTATGAAATTTGTAAACCCTTACTCCGAATTCAGGACACTTACAAGATTTCTACCAGCAATGGGGTCCAGATGCCCTGGATCTTTTCCCTGTAACCCGACACTCCGCACATAATCATCTCCCAGAAGCCATCAAGAGCGTAGGCTATGATATAAAGGACGTCAAAGCAGTCATCATGGGCCATTTGCATATGGATCATGCTGGAGGCTTGGAGCATTTCCGCAGCACTGGCGTGCCAATTTATGTTCATGAAGATGAATTCAAGCATGCCTGCTGGGCAGCTGCTACCAATGCCGATAGTGGTGTATATCTGTGAGTTACCTCGACTGTCACGTTAGACCATCCATATATACTTACGTTTTTCTCAAGTGCGGATTACTTAAATCTCGATACATTGAACTGGCAGACATTCACTGACAAGCAACTCGACCTGTGTACTGGAATTACGCTTTATCATTGCCCCGGCCATACACCAGGCTTGTGTATTATGCAGGTAAACCTTCAGGAAGATGGCACCTTTATCTGGACTACAGATCAGTATCACATCAAAGAGCAGTACGAGTTAAACCAGGCCCATGGTTGGCTTTTGAGAGATCACCGTGCATGGATTGAGAGTGGAAAGTTTGTCAAACGTCTGCAAAAGCTGTTCTCAGCAAGATTGATATTTGGCCATGATGTTCAAACGGCGGAAAGTTTGATGAAGGAGAAGAGCGTGTTCAAGTAGTTGCTTTTATCTTTCCTCTACATATATCTTGAAAACCTCCTCGGTCAATGAATCTATAGGACGTTTGAACCAGTGCTAGTGAAAAGACAGGCGACAACGAAAGTGAATAATAACGCAGCATAATTCATGGCCCAGTAAGAAGGCTTTAAGTAGACTAGACTAGATATTGCGAAATACAAATTCCGAATGGTGTAGTATACCTTCGATCCTATTGATTTTATAGGTTAGACTTTATAGTACTGCTGTATCCACAGTATATAGGACAGAATCTTGTCTGCACTAAATGACTTCAACCCTCTCTATATATACATAGCCATAGGCTCAGAGCCTAGAAAGATGCAATCAACGCCATCGATGCTTCTATTTTTTTTTTCATAAACAAAGGAAATCTCCCTACCCCTGATAAAGAAGGTATATAAGTCAGGGCGCACAATCAATCACTTTTGGCTTTTTCCACAACGTTTTCCGGTTGTGTTGGTTTTTCGGCGGTCCCGGGGTTTGTAGCGGGATGGTCAGGATCCGTCAAGCTCCTCTTCTTGGAGTTGACGTGCTTCTTTCGCTTTTCGCTAACATATGTCCAAGCCCTACCGAGACCCGCCGTAAATGCGCTCTTAATAGTCTGCATGGTCGCTGGCCATCGGATTGTCTTTGTAATGGTATGTTGAAGCTCCTCCTTGAGACTTGGATCAGCTGCGATACGCTGCTCAAAGGCCCCTCCTTGTCTCCGGTGGATGCGCTCGGGGTCTTCATCACTTGTCTTTTGCATCATTTCGAGGAATTCTGATCGCGGTATCTGGTACCGACTCTGATACTGGAAGTATAGCTTCTCTCGGAAGGATTTGGGCAGCCGCCGTACCATGTTTCCTCGCTTCACGGGATCCATGTCTTGAGTGAGCTTTACATTCGCTGACGGGTCATCGATCCAGTCTGATTCGGAACAGCGAGAGTCGTTGAAATCGCAATTCGGCAGATTCTCAATCAAAGGCGCATATAGACGTCGGAAATAGTCCATCTGGCCCGATACAATATTTCTTACTTTATCGGGATCCTCTGCAGACACAGTCATGCGAGGGTCACCCATGTAGCTGAGTCCGGCAATTGTGGTATAAAGCTGGCGTTCAGTGAATTCACGAGGTAGCATGAGCAGTGCGACGCGCAATGCCGAGAGTAGGTTGACCTGGTTCGCTACTCGTACTCGTGGGTGATCGCGCAGAATTTTCACTGGTTTGTGTAGACGTCCAGCAAGGTACATGGTATCCCATTGACTGAGATCTCTGCATAATGTATCGATGTTCACCACGCCGTACTTGATGAGTGTACCGTTGACCGTTACAAAAGGGTTGAAGTAGACACCGGCTCCCCATTTGTCTTGTACCGCTGACACAGCACCGGAGCCAAGGGAGCCAAGTGCGGAGTAGTGGTCCCGATGCTCCTGCAAGTTGAGGGAGTGCCAATGTTGTGTATGTGATACGCCAAATATAAAATCAATCATCTTCCCTTTGCCTTGCTGAACATTTTGAATAGCTGGAGGTGGTGCAGGGTGGCCGGGGTCTGACTCCGAACCTGCCGTTGCGGTCTGCGAAAAAACACCCGAACCGTAGGCGAAGGCATATCTTATAGGTGCGCGGAACTTCCACAATATCTGTCGAAGAGCTTCTTTGAATTCCTCATTAATGACCATGTGCTGATTGACACCAAAGTTCTTCGATGGCAGTTCGGAGAATTTTGAGATAGACAGGTCCGGGTTGTCTTCCCAATCTGGAACTTCTTTCTGGAGGAACGCCGAGCTCGAGAAATTGGATGAGTAGCTTGTAGAGCTATTAATTCGAGAGGGTGGATATGATGGTCTTGCCCCGAAGTGATCGGTTATGTGTAGATTCGCGCCAGGCTTTTCGCAAGACGTGTGTAAACCTCGGGTAGCGTGTGTCCGGAAAGGATAGTAAGTGTAAATATTTGTATTTTGAGTTGAAGCTGTTATTGATCTCAAGTATATAGACAATTGTACAGGAAGGGCACGTCGCAACCGGACGGTATTTGTCTGCAATTGCAAATCATTAGTGAACAATTCTCGGCTATAAATGTCCATAAAGCTTACCGAAAGTTGTCGCATTTTGAGAAGCGTCGGCAATGAAACGAGCGTCGATGAAGTAGGAGTATAGAACAGACAGGTACTAGATCATGGCGTTTACGAATTGAACGATACAGAGAATGCAAAAGTGGTGCTGGGTTGAGTTGTTGCAATATAGTACAGTGTGTTGCAGTTCTTCAAATCATAGCGAGTGCGACAATCCAAAATATGTGGAAGGATTGACGTAGGCGCAGCAATTCCGTCTGAGCCCGGAATCGGCCAAACTCCACAACCCAGGTCACGTGCAGACGCATCCTCCGTCGCGTTTAGCGGCCGAGCGCGCATCGCAAACGTAAATAAACACTGCTTCGCAAGGCGTTGATTATCAAACACACCATTGTTTTACGTCTTTCACCGCGATCTATCCGAAGAATTGCGATATGTGTTAGGATCAGATAATTCGAAGTTCGCAGAGTACACCGCAACATGGAGACTTTCTCCGCTCGTCTAGCGAGCTTCAACTCTGTCGTGCCAGCGATCAACTCCCGAGTGTCTAGTTCAAGGACCATACAACCATTAAGATGGCCTTACGAGTCACCGTCCCCGGAGCAGGTATGTCGAAGATCAATATCTATCCAGATGTAGGCTGACAACGTCATAGCTGGCTCATGCTGGGTTCTTTTTCCGCCCGTACGACACCAATCCGGATAACACGATGTGCTTCCTCTGCGGACGAGCACTAGATGGCTGGGAAGATGGAGACGATCCGGTACTAGAGCATTTGAAGCATTCACCTGACTGCGGCTGGGCGATTATCATGGACATTCAATCAAACACATCCAACCCTGCTGAGATTGTAGACCCCACCAGTTCCTCTATTGTCGAGGCTCGCAGGGCCACGTTTGCGATTGGATGGCCGCACGAGGGTAAGCGTGGCTGGTTGTGTCAGTCGGAAAAGGTTGGTTCAAATGCATTGTAATTAAATGCTGGATATACTGATGGAGACTTTCTAGATGGTCGAAGCCGGATGGTATTTCTGTCCCAACGAAGAATCCCCAGACTTGGCAAGCTGTCCTTACTGCAAGCTATCATTAGACGGTTGGGAAGAGTCAGATGATCCATTGTAAGTATCCATCGCGCCTTCCTATTTGGTGTATACTTACTAGAACGTGACAGTGAGGAGCATCACCGCCGCTCATCCGAATGCTCCTTCTTCGTCTTCGCTCTACCCGCCGCAAAAACTAAGAAAAATGCTCGCGCTAAAAAGCCACGCGCTTCAAAGGCTTCCCGACTTTCAACACAGTCGGTTATGACTACTGCCTCGGAGGCTCCCACGATTGACGAAGACATGACAGACGTCAGCATTATGTCTCAGTCGACAACCAAGAAAACGAAGGGCACGAGAAAGACTACTAAATCACGAGCGAAAAAGACTAAGAAAGATGAACCTGTCGGAGTTGTTGAAGCTGTGGAACCTGAGCAGGTCGAGATTCAGGCACCTGAACCAGCAAGACCTAAGCGTGCTACTAGAGGGAAAAAACGAGGCAGCGAAGCGGTTACCCAGGAGATGTCTGTCATGACAGTAACAGATGAACCGGCAGTCAATTCAGAGCCGTCGCCGTCACCCAAGAGGCGAGCCACAGAAATCCGCCGAAGTGTATCCCAACAACCCGAGGATATACAACCTGATATACCAGATGAAGCTCCGTTAGATGTAGCAACTTCTCCCGTGATGCCCAAGAAAGGCCGCAAGGGAGCCAAGAGAGGTACATCGACCAGGACTCGAAAGACATCCACGGCATCCTCGTCAGGAACTGGGCAAAGCAGGATCCCAGATGATTCCATTCTTGAAGCAGCTATTGAGGCCGATTTGGCTCGCAAGTTGGAAGACCCAGAGCCCTTTGAGTTTCATTATAAGGATGAAGAGCGAGAGAGTGCACGATTCCGACAGCAATCAATATCTACATCCATAAGAGCCCCGTCGGAGGCACGTTATGACCGCGGAGAAAGTCAGGAAGCTCACGTGGAGGCACCGAAACAAGCTCACATGGAAGATTTAATCATAGAGGTTGTTCCAGAGCCGAAGCAGAAAAAGCAAACAAAGCGAAAAGCGACTGCGAAGAAATCAAAGAAGGGAAAGGCGCCAGAACCTGAACCTGAGCCTGAGATTGAACCCGAACCTGAACCCGTGCAGGAACCCGAGCGTGATCCAGAACCTGAAGTAGAGCCAGAGCCAGCAGCTGAGTCCGAAGTTGAACCCGAATCCGAGGCTGAACCGGAAACTGTTGGGCGGGCAAACTCGAAGTCGAAGCGTATTTCACAGTCCAAGCCTTCCAAGGTTCAACAAAGATCCAATCATGCAGAAGAAGCTCCACAGGTCATGATGGAGGTTGAGCCAGTCGTACGACAGGGATCGGTTGTCACTGTTGAAATTGATATGAACGACCTCCCGCCAGAGTCAGACCAGGAGATGAACGATTATAAACCTCCCAAGAAGCAGGGCAGAAAAGCTGCTAGCAAAGGAAAGAAGCCTGCTGCTTCAAAGAGAAAAGAGAGCGAGATCGTAACGGAGCAAGAGAAGAATGAGCCAGCTGGTTTTGACTCACAGGAAATCCTCCCAGATGCTCCGAAACCTCCAAGACGTGAGTCAAAACGCAAGTCCAAGGAGACTAAAGAGGACTCTATGATAGTAGACAGACATGAAGAACTTCCACTTGCTCCGGCTCAGAAGGAAACGGTTGACGAACAGCCCGCCAAAGCGAAACGTGGGCAACCTTCCAAAGAGAGCCAAGAAGTTTCTCGCAAAGAGAACCCGGTGGTTGAAGTCAAATCGAAGCGAGGTCGGCCTTCCAAACAACGATCCATTCCAGCCGAAGAAGACCTCGGAGAGCATTCAAAGAAGTCCAGGGTACCTCCTAAGAACACGCAGCGCTATAGTGACTTGCCGAAAGACCGTCACCGTGCACAAAGTTTTATAGAGTCTGTTACGCAAGAAACACCTTCACCTCAGCGACTGTCACCAAACAACACGCATTCAACAACCCAGGAAAGAACCCCATCACCATCGCCCCAAGCATCCGATGCCGAGAACCAGCCACCATCAACCAGGCCACCTTCAGCAAGGCCCCCTGTTCTCTCTCCATCGAAACCACCTACCGCCCGTATACCTATAGCTGCTAGCACCCCTATGCAATCTCCGTCTAAGCGTCAGGCTAACTCGGGATACTTGTCATCTACGCATTCATGGGCACCGATGGAAATTGAAGAACTTCTCGGTAGTATGAGTGACAAGGAGAACCGTGATTTTGCAATCGACCAGGACAATCTTAAAGAAATTCTGACGAGCCCTGAAAAGAAGATGACAGTTGAGGAATGGATATACTACAATGCTAAGAACGGCGAGGAGCGACTTCGACGAGAATGCGAGAGGCTTATCAGTATTTTCGAGAGAGAAGGTGGCCGAGCTATGAGAGCGTTGGAAGGTATTGAATGCATTGACTGATCATATCTGCTTTTAGCATTTGAGGCGTTTACGTGTTTGGTTGGCTGGAAGGACATTACTTGGACATATAATATTGAATGCGTTTGACTTGTTTATATTGCAAGAGTTATATACACGAACTTTTCTTTTGAAACAATCATAACCTAACGCCGTGGGTATCCTTGGACCTTCTATAATCAAATCTCTCAGCTTGCAAATCACCGGGCTTCATCCATATTAAGCAATAATACCCAATCTACCCTCCCAATTATCATCCTCCTGCTTAACTGCCCTCCTCTTCTCTCTCCGTTTAGCCCTCTTCTCTTCTCGTTCCCTAGCCTCCTGCTCCTCTCGATCCTTAAGTCTCGCGCCAAGATCCAAATTAAACGCCCTCCGATCCTCTTCCTCCTTTTCTCGTTTCTTATGCGCCAACCACCGTAACCGATTCCTTACATCCTCCAACGAAGCACGCTTCACCTCTCCACTTTCCCCAATGGCAATCAAATGCTGTTTACTATTCAAATGTTCCACCAACTGTATATTATCCTTAAACGTAAGATCACAATCCGAGCAATAAAATCCAGCGCCTCGTCCGCGTTTCCCCACTGCTGCTCCCGCAGGGACCATTGTAGTCTTGCCCACCATCGAAGCAACATCGAGCCGTTGCGTGCGCGACGAGGTCTCCTCCAATGCGCTGTAATCGACGGGTGCGTGCCATTTTTTCCCGGCAAGTTTGGCCTCGTAGCGCGCTTTGGATTCGGCTTTGGCTTTGGCTTCTTCTTCTTTTGCGCGTTGAGCGTATTCTTCGCGGTTCCAGGTTTTGCGAAAGTCGGTGTCGGAGGAGGCAGTGCCGTAGGCGGAGCGTTTGTCTGTCATTTTTATTTCGAGATTCGAAATCCCTTTGAGGATAAGGTAACGCTGGATACTGTTTGGCAGAGCTGTCGAAGTTGGAGAAAAGGGTAGATGGATGTTGGTTGAAGAATTGGAGGCAAAAACCTACGGCATGGCAAGTGGCCCATGCTTCCGTATCTTATCTGCGATCCTCAGGCTGCAAACCACTGTTTGCATCTTCTCCAACTTCTCGTCCTATATAATCGATGTGACAGAACGTTTCATTCATTTCATTCATCATATTGTGTGTATATCTTCAATTCCTAACACTATCACACAATTTTATAGGATACCAATTACAAATCTCTCAATCACTGGCTTTAACTTTTTGTGAGGCTTGCGTAGATCCACTAACATGAGCCTCGAAATCAGCCTCGCCGATTGATTATTACACCCTAACTCTATCATGAGCGAAGTATTGCTATTGCCTACACCCGTGGACGGAATATATATGTAATGCTCGTTGGCACATAGTCAATTCAACATGTGGATCAGCTTGTACATCAATGAAGGGACCACCATAGTATAGGCAGCGACGAATCTGGGAAGCCGAAGCAGATCTCAAAAGAAGACGACAACCTAGCCCAGAATTCAACATTGACTATCTCTCTCGAGCACTATCGGTTTGTGTACATATAACGGCAAAAATGGATTCAACCAACAGCAACCCAAATACAAGACATGAACTCACCCTGATGAACCTCCCGACAGAGCTACACATCCACATCGCCTCCTACCTCGACTATCCGGACGCCCTCGCCCTCAAACACACCAACCGCCATTTCTATGCTATCGTCTATACCGGTGTCTACCTCAAGGTTAGCTGGCTCCTCTCCCGCTTCGAGCACAAACTCGAATGTCCGCGAAACGAGGACTGCTCGTTGCGTACGGATGCATCGTTTTGCAATAAGACTGTACGAAAGATCATGGAGCGCCGAAGACGGCATTTAGAGTGCAGGCCAGGTGATGGAGGATGCACTGTGGTTTTGGGGGCAAGTTGTAGGAAGGAAGTTGTGCCACGATGGTTGAGGAAGGAGTTGAGAGGATGGAGAGACGAAGGTATGTAAACTCTGTCTGCATCGATATATATGGAACGGTTTGACTGACTTTGAGTGATTTAGTGTTGATATATGGCTTGCTGCTTGTGTTCTGGACGCTGGTGTGGCATGCGGTTCGAATGTATGTGAGATAGTACCATTTAGCTATGGGGGCAATGTTGGCTTTACTCTAGTTATAAATAGGCCAGTCCTTAGTTGAGAATCCGAACTGCTTCCAGCATCTCTTCACACTTTGATATAGTAGTAGAGAAATATAGAAACAGCAGCAGATTGCTTGGCGAATAATCCCCAGTATAGGATCATAAATCTTATTACTCCGCCGCGTCGCTTCCCCTTGGGGTCAGCTCGGGCTCAAGGGCCAGGTTGAAATTTGTATATAATCGCTAATAAAATTGATATT